CATCCAGATGTCATTCTGTGCAGAACGACGAGCGATAGGCGTTTTTTGTGCGCGAGTCCGTGTGTTTGATCATCTGCCGCCAGGCGCCGCGGATACAATGTGTGAAGCCGACGGAGCGAGGAGGTTTCTGGAGGTACCCTCCTAGATTGTATCTATTGTGGTTGCCACGTCACAACTTGCTTAGGTCTAACGTAATATCTCTGAAATGGAGCATCCATCATCTCATGATATCTTGTCACGTCATTGTGAACTATTGCTATTACTTTTTCCCTCGTTGCCCTTCTCTTTTACTCTCACTCTCACTACTCATAATCCACAAACTTTTAAGGTCATTCAAGGACGCCGCTCTTAAAATTGTGCCAATCAGTCAGCTGGAATACAAGGTCAGTTCACGAACTTTTCCACAATTGGCTCTCATCTCTTCTCGGTCCGTCCGAAATAAGCTCCGCCCCTTTTCTCTCCCTCCTCCTTCCTCACGCGCATATATTCTTCTTCTTCTTCTTCTTCTCTGTACCCACAAGTACCCCTTTCTTTCCTTTTCTTCTAGATTTTTAATCGAAACTGTAGCCTCGCTGTCTCTTGTGCCAACACACAAAAAGTGCGGTGGCGGAGAGGTTGGCATGCTCTCGAAAGCTCTCCGCGCGCAGCTTATCATGCTCATCAACTCATCTCGCTAATCATTCTTCTCGTGCCCTTCCGCCTGCTGACCGGTCTTTCCGCACCCACCCCTCGAGTACTTGTCTTCTTTTTTTGCTCGCGAAGAGCCCTTCCGACCCTCTTTTGTATCGCCTTTTCGCGCCTTCTAAATGATTGCTCACGGCCATCATTTATACAGTAATATGTTGTGAATGAGCAAACATTTGATTCCAGTTCTTCATAACTTGATATCTAACTTGTAAGATGTCATTCTGTTAAAACACAGCTGTCCAAACATTCAAAAGCAACGGCACATATAACTATAATATCTCTCCGGAACCACTTAAAAGTTCGAACATTCGTCAATGATGAAGGCATAAATCTCTCTAAATTATCTCGGCGTCTCTCCGTTTTCTCAACTCCTCCGGCCTTAGTTTCTGTTTAATTTGCCTTTGTTCTTGCTCGAAATCATCGCGAGAAACCAGAACCAGATGTGTGTGTGTGTGTTTCCGTGTGATTCTCTGTTAGTTTTGGTTCAACCATCACTCGTTTCGTGGCTGAAGTCGGTCAGGAAATCCAATCGAATGTGATGCAGAAGGAGCACATTCAATTGACGTCTCTTCCCGAGACTTCTTCTAAAAGAGATTCAATTCTAGATTATCGTAGGGGGCGCAAAGACAAAAAACGAAACGAGATGTTGAAAAAATGAGAGAGAGAGATAAGAATCTAGGGTAAAGTGAGACCGACAAAAGAATTGAAATGAAATTCAGCCTCTTTTTTTTCTCATTTGCTAGTTGCGAAACTCAAAGATTGTTCCAACTTTCCCATTCGAAAGTGCTCTAAACCCTTCCTACATTTGCATTCTAACAAGCCCCTCACAGTTAATCAAAAATTCCATCAGAATGCGTTCTCCGCGACGTCTTCGTGGCCACAGCTGCCGTCCTTCCCACATCCCCCCACTCGCCCGAATCGGTTCCGAATCTTCTTGTCTCCAACCTCTTCTCAAAAGTTTAATCGTTCGGAATCGTTGCACATTTCCTCTGCTTGCGCGCGCCTCGCGTATCCTGTTTCGGGGCCCTCTCTGTGAGAGCATAATTACATAATTACCCTTTCTTTCTTCGGCTCGCCGAGCATTTGCGAGTTCTCCACTGTTTCTGTTTCGACATTCTCGCCGAAAACGTTTTAATCGCTTGCTCCACACTCCCAAAAACTTCTCTCCCTTTTTGTTTTCCCGCTTCTCAATCCTCTTTGAATAATTTTACTTTTCCTGCCTCCTTCTTCTTCTTTTTATTGCTCCATCTCTTCTATTTACTGAACAGTTGCCACGTCACTTCTCTGATTTCGGGCGTCAGATGGTCGTGCGAAAGCGTCGAAAGCGGTGTTGTATTTCGATGAACAGAATTTAGGTGACAGATTTGAGATATTGGGTTTGGCAGTCGGTCAGTCTGGTCACATAAAGCCAAAGAGGCTCCTCGGTGCTCTGGGCATTTTCTGAAATCTGGCAGTCAACACAAACTCTCCGAATCTACAGCCATCTGTCTCGTGCCGTTGTTTTTCCCACACGCATAAATATTTTGGTACCCCCCACCCTCACCCACTCATACTCGGTCGAAATCCGCTTGGAGTAATCACTAATTATACCTGAAGTCCTTCCTTTTTTGCTAAAAACGAAACTACAGTAATCGCTTGGCGGCGAGGTGTCAGGTGTTCAGAAATCGGAGTATTCCAGGTGAAACTTTGACACCTTTTCGTCTCAAGTTTCGCGTTTTCTTTTCCTTCTCAGAAGAGGAAGAAGTTTTCGTTTTTGTGTGTGTGTCACCTAATTACAAAGACCGGCCCCTTCTTATGAGAATAATGTTAATAATAGACCTGCGATTGGGGCGCTTTTTGTAGCCGTGCAGACGGTTCGGATGTACATAATTAGGCGGTTGAGGATACGAAATGAGTGGATCCGCATTTTTCACTTTCAAGGTTTTCTCCGGCTTATTTTGGGTGCCAACATAGCTCTTCAAGCATCTGAAGTATTCTGATGTGATTATGAATCTTCACTCCGAGATGTCCTTCTCTACCGTAATCCTCCTTCCATATTTCTATTCCGACTTGCTCTGCTGCTCCAATTACTGATTACCTAACCGGTGCACAAACATATCCCGACGCATCCTCCGACCTGCCGAAAGCGATCTTCCGCCGGCTATCACAATGTACTCTCTAATCCCGTACAAACAGTGCCGTTCTTTCGGTCGTGCTCTAATCTGTAAGAGTGTCCTCCTGTTGACATTGTGCTGATCGATGAGGTGTATGTGTGGTAATCGAGCCGCTCTTCATCTCTCCCCTTTCATCTTCCGCCTCCCGAAGGTGTTCCGCGCGGAACACACACACCGTCTTGACCCCCTAAGAGCCCAGATATCCAGGTAATTGATACTCGCCAGGCTCTTTCTCTCCCCTCCTCGGGACAAATCGTTCCTGCGATCTTTTGGCGCTGATTTACGATCGAGTCATAAACACGAGCACTTCATTCGTTTTTGTTCCGTCCAAATGGTTTATATGCTCTTCTTGAGGAATAGCCGCGCCAATTGTCTCCAAAACGCCCATTTCAGTGGAACGAATCGTATAGATTTTAGTGTTTTTCCCTCTCTCAAAACTTTTCTTCGCATCTAGATGTCTATCACGTTCCTGCCTGTTTCTTTTCTTTTATGGCTCTCCTCTCCTCCACCAATCACCCCGATCTGACCTCACTTTGGCCACTGGATCAGCCCTAAACTTGTCAAACTTTCATAGTCTTACAACATGATGTACCGGAAGATTGACCCTTTTGCTCGGGGACGAACCTCCAGGGTAATAACAATTTTATAGTCGTGTCATTGACTTTCGACTCGTTGTGCCAACCCATTTCCACCCGATTAGTGTTCATTTCCTCGAGAATTCTCTCCCAGATCAAAAAGAGGCGACCGCCCGAGTGTCCGTTGATCCGTACTGCCGGTAGAAGGAGGAAATGAACACTTTTGTTTACGTTTACCACTTTTCGAGTCTCACTTCAGAATCCGTTCACTTCTTCTTCTTCTTCTTCTTCTTCTTCGGCTTCTTCTCCATTTTTCCACACCAATTTTTGCCTCTCGACGCTGGCGCACAAAAGTGGTCTTCCTCTCAGGCACTTGATGAGCTCCCGTACAAATAGACACACTCGAGGCGCTCTCTCCACTGGCGCAATTCAGTTTTTGGCGGAGAGAGAAGAAGCGCTGTTTTTGCAAGGCGCCGACCGACAAGTACTTGCCAAGTTGTCCCCTCGGATGGTATTGTGACCAGCGGGAGGTTACTGTAGTTGAGTGGATATGACGTGGCAGACGAATACGGATATCCACGTGTTAACTCTTTGACGACGCCGCCCGTCCGCTCTGAAACTGCACGTTTCCCTTTCAAGACTCCGCCACAAAACGTGAAGTTCTCTTTGAAGTGTGTCCGGAACGCTCCGCCATTCCTTAAGTGACCCCCGCATCTCCTTTGACACCCTCTCCGTTTCTCTTTCTTTTCCCCAAGAAACACTAACACCTTTTGTTCTTTCAAAGGGCGGCAAAAACTGAAGAGTCAAGTGCATTCACCTCCTTTTCACAATTCCATTAAGGTCCATTCCCATTAGGTTTTTTACATTCTCATGATCGGTTTACGGTGCGCAATATAAGACCGTAATCCTTTTCGCGGTAACCTTTCGAACGTCTTGTAATCCGCCGAAATGAACGGGCGGCGGCTCTCGGAGCAGCCACGTTTTACCGCGTAATCCCTCTTTCGCAGCACCTGGCCTCTTCCTTTTCCGCGTCCGAATCCTTCGCAGAAGGTGTCGTTTTTGCCGCTTGCCTTCATTAATTTCCTTATCGAATTGAATGATCATCCTTGGCGTCTTCCTTCGTTTTCACAACTTTTTTATTAATTGCCCAAAGACATGCAGAACTAATTTCGGGCGGTCTCTGAGGGCCACTTTCGAGGTTATTCGTCTATCGCAGTTTGTATCTTTTCTGAATATTTGAAGGAGTCGGCCCTTGACGTGGCAGTCATCTCCTTCCGTTTCACGTACGTATGGTCCCTTTTATGACCCAATAGCTAATCCGTACCTGTCTGTACACTCCTCCTCCCTCTTCCCCTTGCCGGCTCATTTCCGTTCTTGGACCTTCTTGACGTGGCAACATCCATCACTTTCCTCATTTTTCTTCTTTTTCCCCGCTTCTGCCGACTAATGTACTCTCTGATGGAGGTGCTTGCTTCCATCAATTTTTCATCATATTCTCTTTTGCATCCATCCATCCAATCTCTCATTTTTCTTCCGACTTGTTTATTCCTACTCTTTTTCAAAACAAACTTCGCCTCATTCCAGAATGCGTCTTCTCATTCTGCTCGCACTCGTTTGTGCTCCATTCTGCGCTGGCAATCAGTTTTGGCTCAGTGTGGAAGTGGAGCAGATCGACTGGACCGACGGCTGTCTGACGACTGCGCTGTGCTCGCATCCCAGGTTCCAACTCATCAAGGATCTTCTGCCGGTCAACGAGAAAGTCACCATGAACTGGCCGATTGTGGAACACTTCGATAAGGTGAGTTGCCACGTGTCCAGGTTCTCACCACGACCACGTTCTCATGCTCTCTTTCTCTCGCGATCATCCGAATATCCGTCAGTATCCATCAAATGTGTCAAGGGGGGAAGACGGATTTACGTAACTGTAATTAGCGCGCGCATGCCTTTTCGCCTCGCCGCCTTCCCCCGATTACGATTACGCAAGATGGACCTTCATCTACCTGCGAAAGCTTTTTTTCTGTTGTCTCTGTGACGTCATCGCTCACTAAACCCGCCAATTTTCAGGAATCGCACCGTCCATTCGTCTCTTACTGGCCCTCGGGACGGACCGAGGATATCTCAATGTCTGCTCAGGTCGTCGGAACGGACAGAACGTACGGATTTCCCAGAATTTGCGACCAATCGCCGTCTGTTCGCATTTTCCCAGAAGAGCACAAAAAGGTGAGTTCGAATCGAAATGATTTCCATCTTTACGGGCCTTCTAAATCTGCAATGTCACTCCGTTGCCATAAAACAAATAAAACGTGGCAGATATGGACATTGTTTTAGCGGCTACTCATAGAGTGAGTCAATACGCAAAAAGGCAAACGGTTTAAAAGTGTGAACCGATTGCCACGTCACGTAGAGAGCACACACAGCACATGAGCAAACACTGGCAATGCCACGTCATCAGAAGAGAAAAGAATGACCATTTCAGATAATCGCCCATCTGGAAAAGGAGAAACCAACCGGAAAGCCTCCGGTCGATTCGCTCAAAATCAAAGTGAAAGGAAAGTGTTTCAATGCGACGATGACCGTGGTGAAGCACACGGAACGGTGCCCGTGGTGTCCCGATCCGAAGGAAATCACAGTAATCGGCCAGGAGCCGGGAAGCGAAGCCACTGGACTGAGAGCCGGCTCGGCCGCGTGGCTCTTCGGCTCTCCATCCTCTTTGATCTCCGACGATCGCATCGTTCACATCGGAGTTCTCGTTCTGGCGATCGTCGCCGTCGTCGCTTCCACTGCCTTCGCCATCATTCTGGTGATGTACCTGAGGAACAAGAGACTGGTCAAGGAGACCCTCAAGAAGCCACGCTTCCATCCGTACATTTCTGTGAAAGGGCATGAAGTTGCTGATGACAACAACAGGTACTGTCTCCATTCTAAAGTACAGACTTTTATTTCCCCTTTTCCAGATACGATCTGCCTTGGGAACAACAGAACCGTCCCCTGACCTACTGGATGACTTCCTCCAACAAATCTTCCGAGTCCACAATGACTTCCCCGCTCGATTCGGCTTCATCCCTTCACGGCGGTCATCAGAATCCGAACCACGCGCTCTTCAACTCTCACCATCAGAATGCACACCCGGATATGTACCATTCCACGTACACCCGCGACGGATACCAGACGTACCGTCCGCCTCCGCCATCCGGCCATCCTCCGATCTTCCCTCCACAAACACAACTGTTCCACCCGCCCACGTACTCCACACAGCGCCACGTCACCTCTCCGAACTCCTCGCGGAACGATGACTCTGGCCTGGAATCCGTGTGAATGCGCGGAGAAGATTGTAGGAATGACAGTGTGTAGATTCGATTCGTTTACTAGAAAATACGGGTAAAATTGCTGCAGAACCGGTTGATTATTCTTTCCCTTTTCAAGTTACCTTCTTAATATTCTCAGTTGTAAATATCAATTTTTAATGCAATGGAAGTTCACTTCGTCTACTTTGGATACGCTATCTTTAATAATAAATGTTCAGTATTCAATGTTTGAAAACAGAAAATTGAATCAAAGTTATGATGATTCGTTTATCACTGCGTAAAAGCACCGTCTTCCCCTCCTTCCCATCCAAACATGGATGCGAATCTCTTCTTCGTTCTTCTATTTCTCATCACCAATGCCCATTCGTACTCCTCCGCAACGGGTCAATTCTGCCGTCACAAGGGAAGTAATGTTTGCCTGAAGAACGTCCGTTACATCAAAGGAAAAGACTCTCCTATCTACGAGCCCGTCTCTTGTCGCCAGCAAAAATGCCCTTACGGAGCGTATTGTGACAAATCATCTGCGTGTTTTAAGGAAGTTCAAAGATTTGGATAACATGATTTCTTTTTTTGCAAACGAATGAAAAAATCGAAAGGTGAAATGAAGATTTTAGACCCCTGGTCTGCAGAATAAGTACTTATTTTGCAGAGAAGGTCTCCGGCATCCTCGTTCTGCAGATCGGCTCCTTGTCGCGGTGACTTTTTTCCCTTGGAAAGCACTTTGAAACAATGTTCTCTAGAATAAGTAGCACAATAAGAATTGACACATAAGTATCTTTGCTAGCGTCAATATCATTAAAGAGAACTGTTATTTTATAATTATTTACTGAAAACAAAGTTAACAAAACATCAAAATGCTGAATTCCTTCATATTTGCTCTTTTACTTTCATTGTTCTCAATATCCTTTGCATGAACTTCTTACTTCCTCAGCATCTGATTCACGAACTGAACATGGATTTAATTTGCTTTTCGAGTTGACTCAGTTACAGTTGATCGAATGAACCGAGAATTAAAACGAAAGCTTCGACAGTAGTTCTTCTGGTTCGTACGAGTTCTGCAACGGGTGCTTCTCATTTGGGGGTAACACGGTCTAGATTCAAAATGTTCAGCTTCCTCTGGAGGATCCTTCAGCTCGGCTGATTCGGATGAAAAACAACACATATAATAGATGAATCCCAGTATTCTTAATCCCTCATTCTCTGATCTCAATTCATTCTTCTTCCCTTGAGTTTGCGTTTTCCTGTTCAATCTTTGACTGTGAACATGCACCAACTAGACAAGTAAAACAGAACGAAGTGATTATTTTTTTTAATTACTTTTACACAGTGGACTTAAACTTTTCAGACGGAGGACAGATCCGTCGACGGACGATTATTTATTACTGTGAGCATACATTGCGAACGTACATTGAGATAAATTATCGGGGGAATGATTAGACATGAAATCAAGTGAAAGGATGAGAGTCGAGATCTTAATGCAAACTCATGGTTGCTTCATTTCCGCATCGCGCATAGCGCTGAAATCTGTCGATCCGGTTGCTCCGCCTTGGTAGTTTTGTGGCTCGAACGTCTGGTTCGAATCGCTGTCAAAGTTGTCGCCAGTCGAGAAGTTCGAGTCCTCGTTGATGTCGAAGTTAACCGCTGGCTGCGTCACACTCGTTGAATCTGCAGCTAGGTAGAGAATTGTAAACGTTCGGTCTAGAAATCGGCTACCTTGAGAGTTTTCGGCGGACGGAATTTGGTTGCTCTCTTCGTCCACCTCCTTGATTTGGTTTTTCGGCGGGGCCAGGATGTTTTGAGCACTCACTGAAAAAATCGATAAAATTCGAACACGTGCCAGCTATTGTCTACCTGGGACCCATTTATATATCCGAATGTTAGTGTCCTTGATGAGAACGAGCTTTTTCTCCCACTTGCGAACCTTTTCAAGAGAGTTGATCACCTAAAACTATTGATTAGAACATAGAACGATGGCAATAATTTCCGCTCACCTTTCGTAGCTCGTCTTTTGAGCGGTTTCTCGTTTCCGCGCGATGCGAGCGATTTGCCGAGTACATCTGCAAAAGCAAATTCGTTACTTTAAACACAAATAAACGGAAAAACAAAATAATTTGACGGAGAAATGGTTCAAAGCAAAATGTATCCGAAAAGCGAGCCTCGCGCGAACGTTGTTCGGCCATGCGAATCCTCTTCCACGGCCAAATCTCGGCCATCGAATAAATTGAGTTTCGCAACCAACTCATGAGCTGCTCGCCTCGTTTACCTCGTTTGCCTGTAAAACTCTTCTTTATTGAATTTATCTTGTTTTTCATGCAATTTTCACTTCATTTCTCCACAAACTTCTTCCAGCGGGCTTCCTCAAAACCATTCAAAATGTCGACGATCGGAAAGGAGGACATTTATGAATCTGACGGCGCCGCTACTCAAGTTTCGAAGAACGAACAAGAAAATGATTCACCAAGTCATCCAGATATTGAACTGGTTCGTGTAACAGCTTGTTCTATCTTTTCACATACCGAATTCAGGTTTCCGTAGACGTCGACGAAGCCCTGAAGAAGTACAAGAACCGCGTTCTCAACTTGACTTCTATTGGTTTGTTCTGACATGTGTCCAGCAGAATATCACTTTTCTCTTCAGATTTCTCCGATTCCATCGCTAAAAAGCGTCGTCATGCTTTCGGTAACAATCAATATGTCTTGGAAGTTGCCGGCTCCGGTAAAATCCACCTTCTGACTCAAAATGCTGTTCTTTATTCAGGTTACTCGGGTCATGAGACTCCAGCTGAGAAACTGAATCGAATTCTGTACGAAATCGCCGATTTGAACGAGCAACTGCGCAGCGACGATAATGTCAAGACGGATCTTCTGAATGCTGAAGTTCTCGATCATCTGGCGTCTGAAGTGAAGACTCTGCAAGTGGCTCAGACGAACGGACTTCCCGCGAAGGTGGATCACGATGTCGACCTGCCAAAAGTGCGCTCTGATCCGAAAGTGGCGACTCTCGAGAACAGACTCAGACGGATCGAACAGGCAATTGGAAGCTCCGTGGTCCCCTCCGCTCCAGTCCTTGACACTGTGGAGGATCTCAAATTGAGGTAAACTCAAATTGTTTTTTCTTCTCTTATAAATTCAATTCAGATGCGAAACCCTCAATCATTCGTACGTCTCCGGTTTGGAGCAACGTCTGAATGTGATGCTGACGAAGCTTGAGAAGATAGAGGAGACGCGCGCGAACACGGATATCGATGAAAACCTCGAGAAGAAAGTCAACGAGATTCTGGAGCTGATGCAGAAATGGGATGTGGCTTGCTCTTCTCTCCCAAGCAATGTCAACAAAGTGAAGGCTTTGAACAGATTGCACGAACAAGCACAGCATTTTGCCAGCGGGCTCTCGCACCTCAAAACGATACGTGAGAAGTTGGAGAAGGAGGTGATGCAGGGAAGAGAGGCAATTATTGAGTACGAGGTAAGAAGAAATACACTGGAAATAAGATGACCGTAAAAATATTCAGACGAACGGAAAGCAGGAGATCGGATCGGTTGTCGAGAAACTGAAACTGCTCGAGGCGAAGGTCGCCGGATTGAAGTAAATACTAGCGAACTGAATTATAATTAATCGATTACGGCAAACTGTCTGTTTTATGTTTATGTGCTTTATTGCTTCGACCCATGCATTATGTATGAATTCCCTTAACAATCGAACTCCATGCTCAGCGAACGTACTCCCCATCCGACTGTCGTGTCCTGAAAGAGCGCATTCTTATGGATACAATGGATTCTCGAATCACATTGTAAGCGTTGATCACTAAAAGAAATTGGTCTTCCAGTCCGAACCAGGTGCTCGTTCTCACATCAAAATCCACAGTCATATTCAGCCCGTCTTCTGTGATCACTGCAAAGGCGATTGAGATCTTCGGATTCGAATGGGTCGCCGCGTATCTTTCGAAGTAGGCTTTCAATTGAGCTGAAACGACTTCACTGGCTCATTTTCCGTCTGCTCACCCACCATAATCGAGCGCCTTATCCGTGTAACACATGAATCCCTTCACATGGTCATCATAGTAGTTGAAATGATCGATAATTTCCATTTTACTTCTGAACATTTGCTTGAACGTTCCCATGAAGAAGTGCAGGAAGTGGAACGCGTTCTTCGTTCTCATAACTTTCGGGAACATTGACCTGGGATCACTGATAAAGTTCTGAACATTGACGAATTCGAAACGTTGTTCAGTTGTTGCTCACCGCGGTGACGGCACATTCACCCGAAAGCGCCAGAGAAAGCAGTAGAAAAGGAGCGAGGAGACGCATTCGGACGGGAGAAGAATGAGCTCGGGAAGGGCTCCATGTCTTCTAGTAAATTGCAGGTTTGCTGCGGGGATTTATGAGCGCTCTTTGTGAAAGGGAAACGAAATGAAGAATGAACAAGAAAGGGCAACGGAAGAAAGAAGATTTGTACCGCCGAGATTCGTCATTCAGAAGAGAGAGATGTGCGCAAAAAGTGATTGTCCCGAGCGGGAGTCGAACTTTTTTTATCCAATGAGATCATAAGTGTCACGTCTTCGACAGTTTACAGGTGAAATTCGGAAGAAGCATTTGGGTCTAATGTGCATTAAACGCGGGAGCTATGGGAATGGCATATGCATCCTTTATGGGACCCATGAAGGATCCACCGCGAGCGGCCGGCAGAACCAAGAACGAAAATGGAAAATGGGTCGCGCCGCGTGCCCCACGAAACCTCCCGCAAACCCGAGCCCGTGAACGTATCCTGGTGGGAACCAGAGATTAAATTTTTTCAGCTCAGAATCTTTCTATCTGTCCCTGACCCGTTTGTTGATAGTTTTTTGCCTTCCGATTCTTCTCGTTTCCCTGCGTTTCCCTCCATCCCATTCTTTCCGTGCCTTCGATTCCCTCACGTATTCAGTCCGTCGGCCCTTTCCATTCATATCCATCTTCTGACATCGATCGATTGTTAAGACATTAACACGTGATAAGAACACGACGCCTGTCAGAGTCCGTTTCGTTACGGTACGGGCGGTTTTGTCCTCTGAGAGACGGGTGCGTAGTGATAAGAAGTGGGGGATCCGCCTGCAACTGCAGACTCCGTTACACCTTTTCTCTCTTTTCGATCGTTCAGAGATCTTCGCTTCTGTTGAATGTTTGATCTCTCTCAGCTGAAGATGAAATGGAAGTCGGAGATCGAAAGGTCCGATGGGGAACTGAAGGGATCCATGGAAGATCCGAAGTGAACCAGGCGAACCTTTGTAGGTTGAAAAAGGGGAAGTGATGTAGGAAACCTGTTTGGGAAGAATGATGGACAGATGATTTCCCGCTGATGTGGGCACGTTGGACTCTGTAGAGACTGAGAGCTTGCGAGCATTTGTGAAAGAGCGGGAGATGAGGTTCTAACGGACGGGACAATAAAACGAATAACAATTCCAGATGACTCAGACGGCAAACTGCATGTTTTCCGATGCAAACTACCTAGAATACAGTCCTGCAGACGTCCCAAACAGCTCGAAAGCGTGTTCCCTTCCACCAAACACCCAGCTTCTGTGTCAGTTCACGTGACGGGGGAATCCCCGGGCTGCAAGCATTGGAAGTGTGAACACGTGAATGTGCTGATCAGTTGACGACGTACGTGTTTGTTTCCTTGAAGTGTCCACGGCGGCGAAATGGACACCCCATCCGTCTGCGCGTCACGTCGCCCCTTTCTCTCTCCTCGTCCCCAACGTCTTCCACACAACCAGACCGTCCGTCGACAGTGACCAGCGACGGTCCGAAGGTCTTTTTATCAGTTTTTATATCTCTCTATCTCTCTTTCATAGTAACATTCATTCCAGAAGGTGGTCATCATGGCGTGTCCGTATATGGGAGGAGGCGAGCTCACGCACAGAGTCACTTTTATGGAAGGAGGAGAAGAATGTCAGCAGGGAGTGAACAAGGTTGAGATGGGATTCGGACAGACTTATCCCGAGTATCTGCAGGTTTGAAAAGACAGAAATTTTCGGATTGGAGTTTAGAACTTCCTTTTAAGCTTGACAAGATTCTGACGGCACAGAGGTTGAAGTCAGAAGCAGACGGGCAAAGGGTCGACGACGAGCACCTCTTCATTGTTATCCATCAGGCTCACGAGCTCTGGTTCAAGCAGATCATTTTCGATTTGGATATTGTCAGAAAACTTTTGAATAACACAGTGAGTACCCTTCTAGACTACATTTTTTAATGGAAAGTGGTCTTTCAGATTGTGGATGAGACAAAGACATTAAAAATCGTCTCAGGACTAGATAGGATCGTAAAGATTCTCAGTCTTTTAACGGAGCAGATCACTCTTCTGGATACCATGAGTCCGTTGGACTTTGTGGACTTCCGCAAGTACTTGACTCCAGCCTCTGGCTTCCAGTCTTTGCAGTTCCGTGTTCTGGAGAACAAATTGGGCGTGAAACAAGAGCGTCGGATCAAGGTGATCAGGGTTATCTTATCAGGGACGCAATTGGAAGTATTTGCAGTATAACGCGCAGCATTACAAGAATGTGTTCAATGATGAAGATCTGCAAGCGCTGAACACGACCGAACAGGAGAAGAGTCTGCTGACGCTCATCGAGAGCTGGCTGGAAAGGACTCCGGGACTGAAGTCGACGTCCGAGGACGAGGGATTCTGGGATAAGTACGAGCAGTCCGTGCAGAGATATCTTAGCGATATGGCTAAACAAGCAGCGGTACGTTGGCATTGTGATCAAGCAATTGTGTCTCTTTGCTTCTCTGTTTCCCAGAGTATTCCCCTTCCCAAGCCAAGTCACACTTTTCCCTTCCCCTTTTCGATTCCATTTTAGGGAACTCCCATCCATTTCGTTTCGCTCTTCCCTTTCCCTTTCTCTAGTCTCCCCGGTAACTTTGTTTCATTTAAGGATCCATCAAACACGGAGGAGATCGCCAAGCAACTGACAGCTGAGTACCACAAAACTTCGGATGCTTTCCAGTCGGTTTTGGATCCCAGACAGCACGAGCAACACATTAGAAATGGTAATTTCCATTAGTGCATATTCCAACTGAAACGAATAATGAAATCCTGCGCACAATGATCTGTCGCGTGATGAACGGGTTGCGCCCAATTTAGTCCGTGTGCCCCGATGACCGAGCGAAAAAACAAAAAATAAAAAAATAAAACTACAAAAGGAATAATCGATTGCGAAATGCACAAAAATCACTTTCAGGAAACCGTCTTCTCTCGCACGACGCCACGAAGGGAGCCATGATGATCTATTTCTACCGTGATATGCCTCGCTTCTCGCAACCCTACCAGATCCTTACTTTCCTCATGGACATCGACAGTTTGTTCACCAAATGGAGATGTATGCTCGTTTTCTCTCTGTCCCTCCCATTCACATTCATTTCCAGACAACCACGTCCTTCTGGTGCAGAGAATGCTGGGAGCGAAGCAGGGAACGGGCGGTTCCTCCGGATACATGTACCTCCGCTCGACCGTCAGTGACCGTTACAAGGTGTTTCTGGATCTGTTCAATCTTTCCACGTGGCTTATTCCACGTGAATACATCCCGTCGCTCTCGCCGCGAATGGTCAAAACACTGTCGGAGCATTCGAATCTCTCGCATTCGCAGTCTTCGGAAAGCGAATGACACGTGTTAATGCGACCGTAATCCTTCGTTCTGTTCTTGTTTGTTTCTCTCGCCTCGCCCATGATTACTTTGTTCATAAAATGAATTGTTTCCAAGTCGGCACACAGTTTCGGAGGACGAAAGAAGAGAAAAGGCTGACAACTATTTATTATCACTCTCGTTTTTGGCGTTTGCATTATGATAAGCGGGTTGGTTTGAATGCATCGAATTGAGTTGGCACGCGAAACGGAAAAAGAATGCTTGCGAAAGGGAATTCTCATCAAAAAGCGGGAAAATTATGAAGAAAACAGATTGGGGGACATACAAGAGAGGAGGGGATTGGGGGAGAATTATGTACAACAGTATCACAGAATCGCTGATGTCTTGGGAAGGGAAAAATGGAAGTTAAAGGGAAATTGAGAGGAGAAGGTGTGTCCAGGAACAGTCGTCAGTGGGTATTTACGGGGGCAAGAGGGTCTTCCGGAAGCTTCTGGGCACTCCGGAAGTTAATGTAATATGGCGCGGCGACACTGTTTCCGGAAGGGGGCACAACCTCGACGACTCCGTCATCAATGGGGGGTGGGGGATGAACAGCTTCGTGACGCCTTCTTGTCGCTCTTCAGCCGCATCTTCCGGAATCCTCTTTTTCGTCGGCAGCAATTGTGCCAACTTCCGATGATGTCCGAAAAGTTTCTGAAGACGTGAGATCGACGACATCACGAGCTTCTTGACTAGAACATTTGCTCCCTACAAGAGAATAAATATTGGAGGACTTGCGAAGATTCCTCACATAATGGGGAAGAAAAGAAAGGTGTCCAGACTGGCGGATCACTCTGATTTCGAACCCAGTAGGAATAATCACCCTGAAAAATAAACGTTAAGAAACTTCAAAATAGTTTCGAAAGTGAAAAAAAGAGCGAAAGTGTTGGGGAGAGGAAAGGTGTGCTCTCTCTCTCTCTCTTTTCCTCTTTCTGGTTATCAACGGAGCCGTTGATAATGATAAGAGAGACGTTGGGCGAAAGGGCAAGACAAAGGACCCGAGAGGGACTGCAGAGCACGAGAGCGCGAGCACTCTGCTCGCGGAGCCCTCCGGCCCAACTACGGGCCACGCCTTACCGACGGAAAGAGAGAGAGAGAGAGAGAGAGAGAGAGCGAAGCGAGGGAGACGAAGCCAGATAATTAGAGAGCTTATCAAGCGGAAAGGGTCCCCCGGTCCTCAGATTATAATTCCTTTTCCGTAATGGGATATACTCGCGTGGCGGTTGCCCGTTGGCGCACAGGTGTATTCCCGTGAAAACTGCACCGATTGTATAGTTTACGCGACGACGAATTGTTTGGAGAGCTGGCGAAAAAGGAAAAAGTGAAAAGGAAAGAGACGGTCAAAATGAAAAAGGGGGCCGGGCTTCGATGACGTGGCACACAACTGGAATCGATTGCGAAAGACGTAGAGAAACATTCGAATTCGAGTGATGACTCACTTGATGTGAACACATAATATCTGGAAAACCAAAAGAAATGGGAGAAGGGAAAGTGACTGGTTGATACAGTATTCCTAGGAAAGAAACGCGCTTCTTCTCGGGCGGAAAGATACAAAAGTGTTTGCATGCGAACCGAATCGGCCGCTCGCTCTCCTCATATTTTTATATGCGCCAAAACCGCGAACTGACGTGGCACCGTACCACTGTGTGCGTCTCCCTGCGCCGTCTGCTTCCTCCGCTTTCCGCAGGTGCTCTCCCGATGATACGAATGTTTTATAATACGTGTCGCATCGGGGGGAAGAGACGCGGGGGGACGAGAAGGCGCGGTGACATTGCCTCTTTTCATCCATGCACTTTATTGACCAACAACTTTATATTAGAAAAAAATTCAAAAATTTTTTTGTGTATATGAATGTGTGGGAGTGAAAAAGCAACAAAAGAACGAGACAACAAGAGGACAGAAATGGGAAGGCAGCACTGGAAACATAGTAAAGGAATTTTTGGTATGAAAGCGACCGGGGACGTTCCAATTACAAAACTGAAGGTGTAACCAGTATTCTGCATAGAAGAAACATATAGAAAAGTGAGAAGATGAGGGTTATTGGGAGAATTAGTCGCGCGAACGCATTCCAAAAGCTTTGCGGAACTTCTCGTCGTAGTTCTTGGCCAGATCTTCGAGCACCAATACGAGCGGATCCTGAGGACGGGCCATGTTGTGCACTCCAACGGCGAGTCTCTCGAGAATCGACTGAAAATAGAATGAGCTTGAGCAGGTGATTTGAAAGGAATTGACAAACCGCGAAATTGTGGACTTGGAACCAAGCGGTGCTCACGTTCAGAATGTTGACTTCGCACAATAATTTACGGGAGCCGTGCACGAAAAAGTCATAAGCGAACGCATTGCGCTGAATCTTGCGACCGCGATGGTCCTTCTTGTCGAAATCGAGCACTGGGAGGAACGACTCATCATGCGAGTACTGATCGAACAGCGGGGCGACGAGGAAGTCTTCGGTCAGAGAAACCGACTCTGAATCCAATTTTCCACTGACCGTAAACGACTGATCCTGAAACAAAACATTTAGAAATGAACCAATGAGAAACGCTCACGAAGAGGCTTCCGTCCTTGGAAGACGCAGCCATGAATCGCTTGTAGAGTCCAGTGACCGTTTCATTGTATTCCTTGACGAACGGAATCAAATCAGCAGGCAGGCCGCGAAGTTGGACGTGCACGCTCTCGAGAGCATCGTTTCGCTCATGGAACGGAGCCATGCGAACGTTGGTAAACAGATTGGCGAGGATCTCCAGCATCGTGAGTTGTGCCTGCTCCGGCGACTCGATTTTTTCGAGAAGTTGATGGAAGCACTTCTTCTGCATCAGATAAATGAAGAGAAGTGTTCCAGAAGCTCCAGCCGACGAGTGAATGGCCATCTCGGCAAAGTTCTTGGCTTCACCGAAAGGCGACAGCAGTTGCATATGTCGGAGAAGTTGGAACGAGAACGCAGAGAACATGCGAAGCTGCTTCTGGAGCACACCATCAGAGGCTTCGCGGCGAGTGTGAAGACTAAAGGAATGCTCGAGGAGAGACTTGGCGGCAAAATCACGCTGCTTCATCGTGGACACCTTCTGTCCTTCGTCGTCCAAAATGTCCTGTTGGTGCACGTAAGCGAACAAACGGAGAAGGAAAATGACGGTGAAAGGTGGATTTCCTTGAAGATTCGACAGGGAAGCAGTCAAGAGGCGACGGATCTTGCTGGAAGATACAACGTTGGGTGTAATCAGCTTTAAAAAAACTAACCTAGTCGGTATGCTCATGAAGATAACGTTTCCGGAATGATCGAAACCACGTCGTCCAGCACGACCACTCATTTGGCGATAGAGGAGAGGAGTCAAATGGAGAGTGTCCACTCCGAACATGACAGTCTTACAGGGCATGTTGACTCCGAGAGAAAGGGTCGAAGTGGAGAAAAGAACGGCAAGGTTGCCGGAACGGAAGAGCACTTCAACAGCGCCTCTTTCGGTCGTGTTCAGTCCAGCATGATGGAATCCGATTCCGCGTTCGAAGAGCTTCAGAAGCAGCTGCGTACTCTCACGGTTTTTCGCGTTCTTCTGCATTCTCTCCGTCATTTTCGCGTACAAATCCGAATCTCCTCCGTTTCTTCCGCGCAACTTGAATCTTTCGAGAACTCTTGCGAGTATCGCCTTCTTTATCGCAAGCACGTCCATCTCGTCGTCCTCCTTCTCCGGACCTGCATCCTCGTCCTTGTCTCCCTTCTTCTTCTTCTCGGGTTCATCACGCTTTTTCTTCGCCTGCTTCACCAGTTTACTCTCGTCCTTGATCATATACTTTGTCTTGAACTCATCCGTCTCCATGTATTCCAGTTCTCTTCTCTCCAATTCGTTGGCGAGCGTAGTGGCGAGTTTCTCACACACGTGACGATCGTCATTGAAGCAGATGGCTGGGAGTTCTCCTTTGTCTCTCAATTCGTCGACAAGAGTAACGACGTAGTCGTTGGCAACTTTTTCCTTGTTGAAGGGACGAGCTCTGTGCGTGAGCTGACTGTTGACTGGCTCCTTGAGAATTTTCAGAATCGAATTAATCTTTTGCTCGTCAGTGGTCAGCCACTCCATGAACTTCTTTTTCAGTGCGTTTTCGAGGCGACGGAGTTCCGATCTCGAAATCCAGACGGCTTTCGAACCGTGCTGACCAAAGAATGTGCATGGCTCGAACTCTTTCCTAAAAACAAAACTGTAAATATTAAAGTGCGTGGCGAGAACTCACTTGCAAGCGGGATCGACTTCCGCCATCATATTGTACAGATGAAGTATCTGTTTGGCGGTCAACTGCTGATCTTCCGGGATAGAGAACATTCGCAACTTCTCTGGCATGTACACTCCGTACGGCATGAGTGGAATCACCGCTTTGTCGCCGGATCCCTTCTTGTGTTCGGCTCCGCCTTCTTCTCCGTGCGGATCGTTGATGTTCAGAATGGACAACTCCAATTCAGAGTATCTTTCTCCGTAGTTGATGAGCTCGACCTTCCGTTTTGTGGAACTCTTCGCTTGCTCGCTGGAGTTCAGCCACTCATGCAATTTGTCCGCATTTCCGATGGTGGCGGAAAGAGCAAGGAATGGGCACTGAATAAGCAAAAGAAGCTGCTCCCAAATATGCGATTCTTCGGAGGCTCCGATCGAGTGGACTTCGTCGAAAACGACGTACTTAATGTGCGACACAAACTTCTGGACGGCCGGTGTTCTAGAGAGCATCAGTTCCTGCAGGCACTCTGGCACAGTGATGAGCACTTGGCACTGCATTGCATTCTGCGAATACTCCTGGGTCAGTGTTCCAAACAGCGACATTCCTCGTTTCATCGACTTGTTACGGAAACGGGCGTACACGGATCCGCACACCTGAAATTTCACTTGTGTGCGGGTCAACGATATTTGCAACGAACCTGATTGATAAGAGCTTTCGATGGGGCGACATACACGACGACATCGTTGTCACTCGCACGGAGCACTTTCTCGATACAGTAGTACGAGACGAAGGTCTTACCGGCGGAAGTCGGCGCGATAATAAGGGCTGAGTTTCCTCTGTCGACTGCGTCGAGCATCTTTCTCTGCCATCCATCTGGAGCGAATCCACTCACACGGTCGTCCTTCTTTGGGTCAGATTGGATATCAATGAGTTCTCCTCCGTATTGCAACTGATAGTAGATCATGTTGATACCCAGATTCAGCTTCTTCTGTTTCGCTTCGGAAGACGGCTTGGAACCAGCTGGCGCATCGAAACCGAGAGAAACCCAGAGATCGACGATCTGTTCTTTCTGTTTCGGCTCCAAATGTTCCCAGTGTTTCATGAAGCAGTCCTTGATATGTCCGACCAAATCGATTGCAACGCTTCTTCGTGCTTCCTGCTTTTCAGGACCTTGATGATGATCGAAAAGTATTCTTCCTTCGCGGACAGTCACTTCGAAGCGACAAAGAGCTTTCGATTCGGGAAGATCGAGCGAGGTGTAAAGGTTGTTCAGGAACACAATGGACTCCTTGCCCTGTTGACATCCGTATTTGATCTTCACCTTCTCACTCTCCGCCAGTTTCTGATCCTTCGCCTTTTTGTTCGCTTCCAGAATCATATCCTTCTTCGACTTTCCAGCATCTTTCACAACTCCCTTCTTTCCACCAGCCCCTGGTTTCTGCTGTTTCTGTCCGCTCCATCCTCCTTTTCCTGTTTTCTTTTCTTCAACGACCTCCTCTTCGACGGTTGCAAATCCTTTCGGAACTCTCGAGAAGTCAACCAGCAAGTTAGATCCGCGACCTTCAAGCGAATTGGCGAAAAGTTCGTACCATCTCATCAGGAACTGTTTGGCTCGGTTCGCCCGCTTCAACTGCCACGCATCCTCAATCTTCTCCTCTTTCTGGGCATAGGTCTCCTCAATCGGCTTCAATCTCCATTGAGAAGTGTCCTTCAAGAATTCGGCATAATCTTGAACTGCTCCTTCCTCCACAGCATTCTGCGATGTCATTTTTTCAGTTTCAGGTACGAATCTCTTGAGCATCGGAGAAGTGACACTGTACAGAATCGGAAGATTCAGAAGAGGATCAGTGATTTCAGGAAGTGGATCGAACAGCTTTTCGGCTGTGTCGGTTGCGAGTGGAACAGTGAGTCCGGCCTTCTGATGGTACTTGGCAAACTCCTCCTGAAGTCGGTACGGGAGAACGGAAACACTGGCATTCAGTTCGTCGAAGATCGAGTAGACCATTCGGCCGTCCCACAAATCCGTCAAGTCCAGCTTCGAGTTCTGAAAATAGAGAGTACACAATCTAATTCTAACAGATTGTAGATTACGGCATGATCGGCTTTATCGAGTAGAACAACTGCTGCATTGAGAATGAGACGTCTGTCTCTGATGACGTTGAGTCCTCGTTTCGCATCCGTACGATCCGGGTAATAGATTCTGTGAGGTCCTCTTCTAGTGCAAATCAAGGAGGACAAGAGAACGGCAGCTGCGAGCGTGTCGAATGAATCAGACGCTTTTCCGGTCGCCTTCGCATCTAGGATAACTTTCGCCCACAGGTCGGCGAGTGTCTCAAATTGATTGAACTTGACCTCCTTGCTGAGATGGTTGCGGAGGAGGATGCTGTTGTTCTCCCAGTGGGCAGCAAGGAACGCCGGCCAGTCCCGAGCTATGAAAAGTCTTGGTTGAATGTAGTAGGCTTCGACCGACGCGAAATTGACTTTGATCGAATGAAGAAGCACGACAGACATGGAACGAGTGAGAACGTCGAGAGCTGAAAGAAGATAAACTGATCACCAAATAAAATATCTAATGCCGAACCGATTGTTTCAAATTGCTTGGTCAAATCGATGTCCTGAGAAGCGCACACATTAGGAGTAACGTTATCGGTGGAGATCATGAGAAAGGAGGGCGTCAGATCGTTGAGCAACTTGTCCCACTCCGAATCCGTTGGATTGGTAAAGAAAAGGAGATCGCGAGCATGCGGGCCACTGGCGAGGTGGGCGAGAGCCGCCGATCGAGCAAACGAAAGCGTCGTGTCCTTCGCGAATTGAGCGGTTAAATCGGAGAAAACCACCAACTTGAATCGACCTCCAATGTCCACAAACTGTTGTAAAAAACGATCGATTTGCTTGTTGAGGACAATTGATTGACCGGCAACGTCCCAGTTATGATAGCTATGTGCAGCACATTCAACAATCAGCGAGTCGACCGAAATGAGAAAGATCTCGACGTCGGCGAACTCGCTGATGATGTTCTTGTAGTTGCACTGGAATGCGGCGAGATTTTTCTTCATGAAAGCGAGCTGTTTAAGAGAGAGATTGAGCACTTCCGTAGTTTCTCCGATGTTTTCCAAATCGTCGGACATCATTGAACTGGCGTCCGAGTCGTCGTCCGATGCGTTTTTTTCCGATCCGGCGACGCTGTTCTCCAGAATCTGTACCTTCTCGAGACTTTTGGCTATCGACGGTTGACGAGCACGAGACAGAATCAGCGGCTTCTCTTCGACAACCACGTTGTCGTTTTCGCTGTCAAAAAATAAATTTATTGCAAAAAGGGGATAAATTGCTCATCCTTATGTTGAATGGTCTTGACGCGCAATCTCAGACTACTGTTGTTGGGTGCAGGCCCACAAGTTTAAAACCGTAAGAAAATGTGTGGCGCGAGTTTACACCCAGCGCGCGTTCTCTGCGTCTCTCTCTCTCACACATCAAGCTGAATTGTCATCATTTCAGTTGGATAGATTTTCCCCGAGCTTACTCAGCATTCGGTTGTATTTTTAAGTATCTTAAAAATAAATAGTAATCGAGTAATTTGTGTTTGCCTGAGAACACAACAACTGTCACAGGCCTGCACTTTGGCCTGTCATCTTCCGATTTCCTCCTAATATTATCCATAGGCGGGCAAGATATGGTTTACCCTGACCCGGCACTATCTCCGCGCAGGAACCCGAGTTACATTCATTGTGTTCCCCTCACGACGGAGAGTGGCAGGACTCTCCAATGTCGAATGAAGGCACGAAATAAAGATAATATTATCTGGAAGTCTCGAATACACTAAACGATAGAGCGAAATGACACCGGTACGACTATCGAAGCTCAATCCGTTTATACTACTGCGCCGAGAAGGCGCGGTGACATTGCCTCTTTTCATCCATGCACTTTATTGACCAACAACTTTACATTAGAAAAATTCAAAATTTTTTGTGTATATGAATGTGTGGGAGTGAAAAGCAACAAAAGAACGAGACAACAAGAGGACAGAAATGGGAAGGCAGCACTGGAAACATAGTAAAGGAATTTTGGTATGAAAGCGACCGGGGACGTTCCAATTACAAAACTGAAGGTGTAACCAGTATTCTGCATAGAAGAAACATATAGAAAAGTGAGAAGATGAGGGTTATTGGGAGAATTAGTCGCGCGAACGCATTCCAAAAGCTTTGCGGAACTTCTCGTCGTAGTTCTTGGCCAGATCTTCGAGCACCAATACGAGCGGATCCTGAGGACGGGCCATGTTGTGCACTCCAACGGCGAGTCTCTCAAGAATCGACTGAAAATAGAATGAGCTTGAGCAGGTGATTTGAAAGGAATTGACAAACCGCGAAATCGTGGACTTGGAACCAAGCGGTGCTCACGTTCAGGGTGTTCACTTCGCACAATAATTTACGGGAGCCGTGCACGAAGAAGTCATAAGCGAACGCATTGCGCTGAATCTTGCGACCGCGATGGTCCTTCTTGTCGAAATCGAGCACTGGGAGGAACGACTCATCATGCGAGTACTGATCGAACAGCGGGGCGACGAGGAAGTCTTCGGTCAGAGAAACCGACTCTGAATCCAATTTTCCACTGACCGTAAACGACTGATCCTGAAACAAAACATTTAGAAATGAACCAATGAGAAACGCTCACGAAGAGGCTTCCGTCCTTGGAAGACGCAGCCATGAATCGCTTGTAGAGTCCAGTGACCGTTTCATTGTATTCCTTGACGAACGGAATCAAATCAGCAGGCAGGCCGCGAAGTTGGACGTGCACGCTCTCGAGAGCATCGTTTCGCTCATGGAACGGAGCCATGCGAACGTTGGTAAACAGATTGGCGAGGATCTCCAGCATCGTGAGTTGTGCCTGCTCCGGCGACTCGATTTTTTTGAGAAGTTGATGGAAGCACTTCTTCTGCATCAGATAAATGAAGAGAAGTGTTCCAGAAGCTCCAGCCGACGAGTGAATGGCCATCTCGGCAAAGTTCTTGGCTTCACCGAAAGGCGACAGCAGTTGCATATGTCGGAGAAGTTGGAACGAGAATGCAGAGAACATGCGAAGCTGCTTCTGGAGCACACCATCAGAGGCTTCGCGGCGAGTGTGAAGACTAAAGGAATGCTCGAGGAGAGACTTGGCGGCAAAAGCACGCTGCTTCATCGTGGACACCTTCTGTCCTTCGTCGTCCAAAATGTCCTGTTGGTGCACGTAAGCGAACAAACGGAGAAGGAAAATGACGGTGAAAGGTGGATTTCCTTGAAGATTCGACAGGGAAGCAGTCAAGAGGCGACGGATCTTGCTGGAAGATACAACGTTGGGTGTAATCAGCTTTAAAAAAACTAACCTAGTCGGTATGCTCATGAAGATAACGTTTCCGGAATGATCGAAACCACGTCGTCCAGCACGACCACTCATTTGGCGATAGAGGAGAGGAGTCAATTGGAGAGTGTCCACTCCGAACATGACAGTCTTACAGGGCATGTTGACTCCGAGAGAAAGGGTCGAAGTGGAGAAAAGAACGGCAAGGTTGCCGGAACGGAAGAGCACTTCAACAGCGCCTCTTTCGGTCGTGTTCAGTCCAGCATGATGGAATCCGATTCCGCGTTCGAAGAGCTTCAGAAGCAGCTGCGTACTCTCACGGTTTTTCGCGTTCTTCTGCATTCTCTCCGTCATTTTCGCGTACAAATCCGAATCTCCTCCGTTTCTTCCGCGCAACTTGAATCTTTCGAGAACTCTTGCGAGTCTCGCCTTCTTCATCGCAAGCACGTCCATCTCGTCGTCCTCCTTCTCCGGACCTGCATCCTCGTCCTTGTCTCCCTTCTTCTTCTTCTCGGCTTCATCACGCTTTCTCTTCGCCTGCTTCACCAGTTTACTCTCGTCCTTGATCATATACTTTGTCTTGAACTCATCCGTCTCCATGTATTCCAGTTCTCTTCTCTCCAATTCGTTGGCGAGCGTAGTGGCGAGTTTCTCACACACGTGACGATCGTCATTGAAGCAGATGGCTGGGAGTTCTCCTTTGTCTCTCAATTCGTCGACAAGAGTAACGACGTAGTCGTTGGCAACTTTTTCCTTGTTGAAGGGACGAGCTCTGTGCGTGAGCTGACTGTTGACTGGCTCCTTGAGAATTTTCAGAATCGAATTAATCTTTTTGCTCGTCAGTGGTCAGCCACTCCATGAACTTCTTTTTTTCAGTGCGTTTTTCGAGGCGACGGAGTTCCGATCTCGAAATCCAGACGGCTTTCGAACCGTGCTGACCAAAGAATGTGCATGGCTCGAACTCTTTCCTAAAAACAAAACTGTAAATATTAAAGTGCGTGGCGAGAACTCACTTGCAAGCGGGATCGACTTCCACCATCATATTGTACAGATGAAGTATCTGTTTGGCGGTCAACTGCTGATCTTCCGGGATAGAGAACATTCGCAACTTCTCTGGCATGTACACTCCGTACGGCATGAGTGGAATCACCGCTTTGTCGCCGGATCCCTTCTTGTGTTCGGCTCCGCCTTCTTCTCCGTGCGGATCGTTGATGTTCAGAATGGACAACTCCAATTCAGAGTATCTTTCTCCGTAGTTGATGAGCTCGACCTTCCGTTTTGTGGAACTCTTCGCTTGCTCGCTGGAGTTCAGCCACTCATGCAATTTGTCCGCATTTCCGATGGTGGCGGAAAGAGCAAGGAATGGGCACTGAATAAGCAAAAGAAGCTGCTCCCAAATATGCGATTCTTCGGAGGCTCCGATCGAGTGGACTTCGTCGAAAAACGACGTACTTAATGTGCGACACAAACTTCTGGACGGCCGGTGTTCTAGAGAGCATCAGTTCCTGCAGGCACTCTGGCACAGTGATGAGCACTTGGCACTGCATTGCATTCTGCGAATACTCCTGGGTCAGTGTTCCAAACAGCGACATTCCTCGTTTCATCGACTTGTTACGGAAACGGGCGTACACGGATCCGCACACCTGAAATTTCACTTGTGTGCGGGTCAACGATATTTGCAACGAACCTGATTGATAAGAGCTTTCGATGGGGCGACATACACGACGACATCGTTGTCACTCGCACGGAGCACTTTCTCGATACAGTAGTACGAGACGAAAGTCTTACCGGCGGAAGTCGGCGCGATAATAAGGGCTGAGTTTCCTCTGTCGACTGCGTCGAGCATCTTTCTCTGCCATCCATCTGGAGCGAATCCACTCACACGGTCGTCCTTCTTTGGGTCAGATTGGATATCAATGAGTTCTCCTCCGTATTGCAACTGATAGTAGATCATGTTGATACCCAGATTCAGCTTCTTCTGTTTCGCTTCGGAAGACGGCTTGGAACCAGCTGGCGCATCGAAACCGAGAGAAACCCAGAGATCGACGATCTGTTCTTTCTGTTTCGGCTCCAAATGTTCCCAGTGTTTCATGAAGCAGTCCTTGATATGTCCGACCAAATCGATTGCAACGCTTCTTCGTGCTTCCTGCTTTTCAGGACCTTGATGATGATCGAAAAGTATTCTTCCTTCGCGGACAGTCACTTCGAAGCGACAAAGAGCTTTCGATTCGGGAAGATCGAGCGAGGTGTAAAGGTTGTTCAGGAACACAATGGACTCCTTTGCCCTGTTGACATCCGTATTTGATCTTCACCTTCTCACTCTCCGCCAGTTTCTGATCCTTCGCCTTTTTGTTCGCTTCCAGAATCATATCCTTCTTCGACTTTCCAGCATCTTTCACAACTCCCTTCTTTCCACCAGCCCCTGGTTTCTGCTGTTTCTGTCCGCTCCATCCTCCTTTTCCTGTTTTCTTTTCTTCAACGACCTCCTCTTCGACGGTTGCAAATCCTTTCGGAACTCTCGAGAAGTCAACCAGCAAGTTAGATCCGCGACCTTCAAGCGAATTGGCGAAAAGTTCGTACCATCTCATCAGGAACTGTTTGGCTCGGTTCGCCCGCTTCAACTGCCACGCATCCTCAATCTTCTCCTCTTTCTGGGCATAGGTCTCCTCAATCGGCTTCAATCTCCATTGAGAAGTGTCCTTCAAGAATTCGGCATAATCTTGAACTGCTCCTTCCTCCACAGCATTCTGCGATGTCATTTTTTCAGTTTCAGGTACGAATCTCTTGAGCATCGGAGAAGTGACACTGTACAGAATCGGAAGATTCAGAAGAGGATCAGTGATTTCAGGAAGTGGATCGAACAGCTTTTCGGCTGTGTCGGTTGCGAGTGGAACAGTGAGTCCGGCCTTCTGATGGTACTTGGCAAACTCCTCCTGAAGTCGGTACGGGAGAACGGAAACACTGGCATTCAGTTCGTCGAAGATCGAGTAGACCATTCGGCCGTCCCACAAATCCGTCAAGTCCAGCTTCGAGTTCTGAAAATAAAGAGTACACAATCTAATTCTAACAGATTGTAAATTACGGCATGATCGGCTTTGTCGAGTAGAACAACTGCTGCATTGAGAATGAGACGTCTGTCTCTGATGACGTTGAGTCCTCGTTTCGCATCCGTACGATCCGGATAATAGATTCTGTGAGGTCCTCTTCTAGTGCAAATCAAGGAGGACAAGAGAACGGCAGCTGCGAGCGTGTCGAATGAATCAGACGCTTTTCCGGTCGCCTTCGCATCTAGGATAACTTTCGCCCACAGGTCGGCGAGTGTCTCAAATTGATTGAACTTGACCTCCTTGCTGAGATGGTTGCGGAGGAGGATGCTGTTGTTCTCCCAGTGGGCAGCAAGGAACGCCGGCCAGTCCGGAGCTATGACAAGTCTTGGTTGAATGTAGTAGGCTTCGACCGACGCGAAATTGACTTTGATCGAATGAAGAAGCACGACAGACATGGAACGAGTGAGAACGTCGAGAGCTGAAAGAAGATAAACTGATCACCAAATAAAATATCTAATGCCGAACCGATTGTTTCAAATTGCTTGGTCAAATCGATGTCCTGAGAAGCGCACACATTAGGAGTAACGTTATCGGTGGAGATCATGAGAAAGGAGGGCGTCAGATCGTTGAGCAACTTGTCCCACTCCGAATCCGTTGGATTGGTAAAGAAAAGGAGATCGCGAGCATGCGGGCCACTGGCGAGGTGGGCGAGAGCCGCCGATCGAGCAAACGAAAGCGTCGTGTCCTTCGCGAATTGAGCGGTTAAATCGGAGAAAACCACCAACTTGAATCGACCTCCAATGTCCACAAACTGTTGTAAAAAACGATCGATTTGCTTGTTGAGGACGATTGATTGACCGGCAACGTCCCAATTATGATAGCTATGTGCAGCACATTCAACAATCAGCGAGTCGACCGAAATGAGAAAGATCTCGACGTCGGCGAACTCGCTGATGATGTTCTTGTAGTTGCACTGGAATGCGGCGAGATTTTTCTTCATGAAAGCGAGCTGTTCAAGAGAGAGATTGAGCACTTCCGTAGTTTCTCCGATGTTTTCCAAATCGTCGGACATCACTGAACTGGCGTCCGAGTCGTCGTCCGATGCGTTTTTTTCCGATCCGGCGACGCTGTTCTCCAGAATCTGTACCTTCTCGAGACTTTTGGCTATCGACGGTTGACGAGCACGAGGCAGAATCAGCGGCTTCTCTTCGACAACCACGTTGTCGTTTTCGCTGTCTGAAAATAAATTGATTGCAAAAAGGGGATAAATTGCTCATCCTTATGTTGAATGGTCTTGACGCGCAATCTCAGACTACTGTCACAGGCCTGCACTTTGGCCTGTCATCTTCCGATTTCCTCCTAATATTATTCATAGGCGGGCAAGATATGGTTTACCCTGACCCGGCACTATCTCCGCGCAGGAACCCGAGTTACATTCATTGTGTTCCCCTCACGAAATAAAGATAATATTATCTGGAAGTCTCGAATACACTAAACGATAGAGCGAAATGACACCGGAACGACTACCGAAGCTCAATCCGTTTATACTACTGTAAATCTCTGAAAATGAACTCACCGCTATCATCCCAATTAGCTGACATTTTTTTCGAAATTTTATTCGAAATGATGAACCCTTCCAAAGAAACACTTGTATTTCTGAAAATTGCAGTGCGCTATGAACGACGGGTGAAAAACGGAGACATGGATACGGTCTATGAAAAACCGACGATAAGTAGTCGATAAGACAAGGAACCACGAAAAACTTCATTATTTATACATTTAAAACATCTAACAGAAAAAAAGCTGTAGATTCGGAAATCTTGAGAACCCCCATAAAAATCATCACACACGGAAATAACTTATCGGAGGCTGACACACCTTTTAATTACACCCCAAAAAACAAAAGGCCAGACTTATTATTACTCAATCAGCGAAATCGCCACCCCCAAAAGATTAATATAACCTCGTAGGATAATGAAAACAGAACTATTCGGCGTTTATTTAGATCGGGAGCTCCATTCCCTTGCGAGCCTGGACGACGCGGGTCACGTAAAGGTAAAAGAAATCGGCGTAAAGGACAGTCTGCACGATTCCGGCAACGACGACAATCGGATCAAAGTAATCCTCAGTGTAATAGCGGTAGATCCAGTTAAAGATATAAAGGGCGCGATACGATCCGAGGGCGAACAAGTAGTGAGCAGTGATGACCTGCAAATGAAGGAGTAGGAAGGAACAGAGAAAACCGCGTGCTGGCTGGGTCACCACTTCTGCGCCTCTCAAGGAGGAAGGTTGACTAATATGTGCTCGTTGGACACAACTGGCAAAATTCGATAGAATTTTTATAGAAAAATAGAATTTCGAAATAGCATCTGTAACAATCGCTCTTGAGAGCACGCCGAGTTTATCAGAAATGGTTGATTAGAAAGTGGAAATTGCTTTCCGCTTATTTCGTTCATTTTGCAGAATCAATAGCGCTCACCTCGGCGGAACCAGTAGACTGGAGCAGGAAGAGCTGCGGGAGAATAGCAACGGCCTCCAGATAGATCGAGAATGTCCATAGAATTTCAAATGGGGCGAAGTCGTGATTGATAAGTACGGCGAGGAGGACAGAGGGAATGATGAGCAGTTCGACGCGGAAAGTATCCGATTCACGCATGTAGGTCGAACGGAACTTGAAGAACATCAGGTAGACAGTAGCATAAGTGGCAACTAGGAAAGTGATCTGAAAAGTAAAGAAATGAAATCTTTAAAAAAACGGAGATTATACCTTCATCGTGGTGTTGTAGAAAGAGACGTAGGTGGTGAAAAGATCCAAGTAGCGAGCAGTGAACACGATAGCGAACAGAATCTGCGAACGCGCCGAGATTCCTGAGCACGATCTGCTCTTCCAGATCTTGAGCAGAAGAATGATGATCGCGAGCAAATGCGACATATCAGCCGCTATACGGAAGACGTTCATGGTGACCCTACAAACACTGTTTTGAAACTTGACAGAAATTAAATTTCGAAGACGAAATTCAATGAACATTTGATTATCGATAAGATGGAAAACATCTAGAAAACGGCAAAGACGGTTCATTCCGACAGTTATTCAGGTCATAGCAGTTTGGAAAATGACGGATAGAGGGAGAGGCGGCGGAGAAAATTGACTTCGCCCATATTATTGTTCGCTTTTTGAAAGACAACAGAAAGACGATTGGATGCTGTCTAAAATTAGCAAAAACACAGAGTGAGACAGCAAGCGCACAAGCGCCAGCACAAATGTGCCACGTCGGAATGCAAAATAGGGGAAAAAGTGAAAGAGTGAAACTGCAAAAACAACGTGGCAACGAGTGACAGCGCTGTCCCGTTGCAAGAAGTGACACTGTGAGAAGAGAAATTGGCGGGAGTTGGAGAAGTTTGAATCATATGAAAAGGAAACTGAGATTCAGAGGATTTTTCAATGTTATCACGAGCGTACTGTTACATAGACAATTTAGAGACATTTGGAACTGATTATAGAACAAACGGATAATCGAAATGTACAAGTTTTAGGCCTAAAATCCTAGAAAACTTGTGATGAAGTGGTCTGCAAATGTGCGTGTCCACGCTGGAAAGTCTGCAGTTGCGCGTCGCAGTGTTTGCGGTTTCTGGCGGCGACAGCGGTATATCGATTGGTTCCCGTTCCCGTTCTGCGCCTGTTTTTGTTTGTACAAACCGCCGCGACTATCAACTGTCCGGCAAGCAAATTATTTCCTTTTCGTGTCCGTAAAATAGACAGCCGAAAAACAATGACACTTGCAGAAATGATCTCGGAGAACGGATATATGGAGCTGATGCGGAACTGCATCAAATGGAACAGCCGCCAGATGGAAGACCGGAAAAAACGGTTAGTTTGATTGCAGTGGCATGAATCATTTGAAAAACGATACAATCACCAACAATTTGCAGACTGCGTTTCCCGTACTACGAGCATCAGACGGCTACTGCACAGCGAGAGTCCCGTTTCACGACCCGGACAGCTGACCACGTTTACGCTTCAGGCGATCCGAACACAGTGATGCAGCTCGCAACGGAGCGGTGGAAGAAGAGCAAGTCGCAACCACCATCTGATGCCATCGAAGTGAGCATGTTCCTGCGGGACAATCCAAACATTCAGATTGCCATCGATCATATGACTCCACAACTTGGTACTACCATTGGTAATCGAAATGGAAAATAACAGACTTACTAATAGGTGCAGGCCGGTTTGCAGAGAGTAGTTCTGATAATTCGAACGACTCCTCGATTCCAAAGGAGAGACCAACTCGTCAAATTCAAATCAAAGAGGAATACCGTGAAGATTATGTACTCGAAGATGAGCTCTCCCCAGATGAGAACGGCTCCGATGAAGATGATTGGTCAACTCGTAAGCGCCGGAAAGGAAATGCTGGCAACACGGCGAAGACTTCTTCTTCTCGAAAAAAGGTACTCGAACAATTCCCACCCTCAGACTGGGATTGTTATTTAGGTACCTACTACTCGTTCATCGGCTTCTCGGTCGACCCCGTCCCGTACAGCTAACAGCTACAAGCAAGAGCCGGTGTATGAAGAGCCGGAGGAGAAGATGCACCAGTGTGACAGTGAGTGGATGATCGGAGTCGCGGAGCCCTCTCGCCCAGTCCAGCCGTCGGAGAAGCTCTCCTTGTCCTTTCTAGTGTCTCCCCGAATTCATTCCCCCCCACAGCATGTCAGCTACCGGGAACCACCTTTCATACATGTCTTCACATTCTCACTCACATTTCCTCTTGACCGAGATAGACATTGCTCTCGCAAGAAGCACATGCACTTCCAGTTATCACTGGGATAAAACTGTTTCGTTCCGCAAATTCTTTCTTCTTCTGAAGATATTTCAGACTAAAGAAATCCTTTTCGCATGACAAAATCACTATCGCTTCTAAATTCATAGATTTTCCCCAATTTTTCGCAACTTTAGTGAAAATTTCAAAAATTTCGAGCTAGTGCCAAAATTTACCCTAGTCCTGTAGAATCTGGGTACTCGAGGGAGCAAATGCAGAATTTTAGTTATTGACAAGTGATTGTGGTTGGTATTCGTCAGTACTTCTCTTCCCTTTCCGTAGCCACCCCACCAGCCAACCCCTCTTATTTCCGCCACTTCTCCCCTGTCTTCTTCCTGATTGTCCCGTGTTCTCTCGCTCTCTTCCAATGCACAATTGATCCCAGATACCCTCCCCCGATCCCTTAGAAATCCCTGTAGTCCTCATTCTCAAAATTGGGCGAGAGGAATCTAAACTCGGCGACATCCACTCACCTGATCACTGCTTCTCTGCGCTTTACGCGGGGTCGGTCGAGAAGGATTTCTTAGAAAGATAAGCGTTAGATCAGCATGTTTTGAGTGTTCCTGGTAGCTGATATTACGTGGCAAAAATTGGAATGCTACGTCTTATTTTGTTCTAACACTTTCAGCTAACCTCCTATTCGTTTTCAGAATGCAGCGCGAAGTACAAGAGCCTCGCGGGTCTGAGCTATCATCAGTCTTACTTACATGACCAAAAACCTAGTTCCCCTCTTCATAAATGTGAGTTTCTAATGCAAGTTGTTCAATACATGTTTCGTGTGTCTTTCAGTATTATCGCCCAATATCGAATTGTCCAATAGCTGTGATTTCTGCAACGGTAGCGCCTTCATGAACAAGAATACAAAAATGCCCGAAGATCTGGTGAGCTGTCACGATTGTGGTCGTTCTGCTCATCCGTCCTGTCTGAATTTCAACAAAAATGTAACCAAAATCATCAATCGAAGCGGGTGGCAATGTCTCGAGTGCAAGAGTTGTACCATATGCGGCACCAGTGAAAACGACGTGAGTTTATTGTCGCCTACGTTCAATTTTCGAACAAAGTGTTTCAGGACAAGTTGCTGTTCTGCGACGACTGCGACCGAGGATATCATTTGTACTGCCTACGGCCGGCTCTCGAAAAAGCTCCAGACGACGAGTACTCGTGCCGTCTGTGCCAGACCGAGTTCGGAGCAAATGCGAGTGCTCCAGCTGAGAAGTGATGGACGCCTAGTGGATCGAACCTCCACCTCGACACTCGCCCATCCCTGTCGGCTTCTTCAACCCGCATAATCTCGTTCCGTCGCCCCGATCCTCGTACATCGTCTAACCAACTTATCAGTGTTATCATCTGCCGTTAATGGCCTACTCGCCAGTACCATCTCTCTTTTCCCTCGCCCCTACTACGATTACTCTGCGTCTCGCCTATTCATCTATCTTTTTCGTTTATTTTACTTATTCATCGCCCAATTTTATGTATCTCGCCCTCCCCTTTTTCTTCCCTTTTCTCGTCTACAACAATGCTTTGTGAGTGTATTTATTCCTACAAGTATCGATTACATAAATAAGTTTCTTTTCTTGCAGAAACCCTCTGTTTTTGTTTGTTTTACCCCGCCCCCTCCTCTCGTTTTTCCATCCAAATTCGGGTCTTGATTTGATTTGCAATCCACTGAATCCAACACCCCAGGCGGCGGCTCCGCGAGCAACAAACGACCCACTTCCGGAAGACGCCGCACTTCCGAATCGGAAGACGTCTTCTTTTGGATATTCGGCAACTGTAGTCATTTTCAAAACTGGGTCAAACCCAGATTATTCACTCATTTCTGGTGAGTCACTCAAAAATAAACAACGCATTTTTTGACCAAAACCGCCGTTTTCCGTTCCATTTTCGAGTGCTTTCTCTCTTTTTTCCTTTTCAATTTCTCACCTTTTCTAGTGTTGACTTTTGCAGTGAAAACTAATGTTTCGTTGTAAGACGTTGAGTTTATGTCCCCCGGGAACTTGTGATTTCGACAGAAAAACGAACGAATTACTCGTCCGTTTTGGACGAGAAACCGGAATGGAAAGTGAGAGAAAGAGAGAGTTTATATAAATGTTGATGTGTTTTCCCATTTTGGAATTTGCATGAGTTGGCGGCTGAAGAGGATCCTTTGAGACTCTCCCGCCAAAAGAGAGTTCTCTACTGCTGCGGGCAAGTGTGCATCGCGCTCTACCGCACTCCACGTGAATTTTTATGCAACTTCTGAAAATTTACAGAATACGTTGGAATACGGCACTAATTTTTGCTTTTCGTAATTTTCAAAAAACGTGATAAAAGAAAATGAAAGTGATAATTTGTAGGTGGGTCAAAAAACAAGTCCCGTTAGGTCATGCCTGTCAGAAAATGAAAGGTCTTGTGAAAAAAGATTACTGGAGTTATCCGAAAATGAAACACTCTAAGAATTCCATGCGAAAAAGAACTTCCTCTGCGTTCTTTCTCTCATTTCTGGTTCCATGGTTTCCTTTTTCGTTTCTTTCACACCCCCAAATGTTTATTCTGTCAATTAGGAAACATAAACTTTTATACCTTCTTCTCTTTCTCTCTCTTCCGAATGATTCATGATTACTGTACCGACAAGTGCCCATCTTCCATTTGTTTTCCGTCCCCCCTTCCCTTCATCAAGATAACCCCTCTTCTGCCTGTCCCACCCCCTTTTTTCATTCGAATGCTCCGAGCGAGAGAGTGTGTCCACCTGAGAGACCCAGACCGTCAGGTACTGTATGACGCACTCTGACCGATAGACATCATTATGATGTGCATGCCTTCTCCCCCTTTCTCCCCCACTATCATCGATTTTCTGACCCTTTTTTGCTTCTTCTCACTTTTTCTCACGGTATTCTTCGAAGACGCCGTCACGCCGATTTTCCTCGGCCGGCGGGAGGTATAATTTCAATATGAAGCGTTCGTTTTCCAAGGACAATTCGCCCGCTTTTTTCGTTGATTCATCGTTCCATTCATTTCCAATGCGAATCTGCTTCCAGGAACACACTGGCAGTTCTACGCATCAGAAGAAAACGACGATGACGACGGCCGTCGACCGACTCGGTGAGTGTTTCATTTGCTCTTTTTGGGATTCAAAAAAACTGAATAAGAAGTGTTGCTTTTCTGGAAGCGCTGTTAATTCATAGCTGAGCTTAAGGTGTTCTTTTCCACACTTCGGTTAGCGTAATGGAAACAAGGTTCACAGGCTTTTTGAGGCCTGAACTTTTGACTCAGTTGCAATAATCCGATAGGACCCAAACTTTGCAGGCTTCTTGGACTTGGACTGAAGTATCTTGGACCTAAGCTTTGGAGCGATCGGGTAAGTTGCTCACCCGATCGACTGGCTTGAGACCGAAAAAACCAGGTTTTTGTAGAAATTGCGGCCTCTCATGCACGTGTATTTGGATCAGATAATCCGGTCGGTCTGAAACTGGGTCCCAAGATACTTCAACCGAATTCCAAAAAGTCAGCGAAGTTTGGGCCTAACAGAAACCGAAACTTTGAATTTGTCACAAAATTGAGAACGGAAGGCAAGCCCTAAAAGTTAGAAAATTAATGTATAATCGTACCTTCCTGACGTCAAAGATCTCGCTATCGGAAGGTAACAACTGTCTTTGCAACTATTACAAAATAAAATGAGTGGATCCTGATGAAAAATGCACGTGAACAATTTGAGTCCGTAGAAAATGGAGCATCGAAAGAGATTTGAAAAATGAGAATCCCACAAGTCATGTTGGATAACAGGCCGCTTCCTGTAAGTGAGTTCGTGCTCTTCCGCTCCGCCTTCCTTTCTCTCTCTTGTTTCGTGATGTACTTCCTGCCATCTCTCTTTCTTCGCCTCATTTTCCTTCTCCTTCTTCTCGTGTTTCTCTCCCGTCCGCTCAAAAATCTGATCGGCCACTTCCGCCCACCTATCACTTTCCTCATGCCTCCGCCCAGTGTCTCTTGTTTAGCAACACGAACAGCTGTGATTTCTTTCTCTTCGCCATCGCGCCTTCCAATCACTTTTTCGTATTGATCCATTCTCACTTTTACCGCGTTTTCATCTCCTCAAGATTTCTCTCTGTTTGGATTACCGTTTCTCTCTCGTTCTCCTCCGATCTTCCGCTCTCTCTCTCCCCCTCCGCGGCAAACTTTGTCTTCAAATAGTTATGCAGCTTCTTCCTGCCGACTTTCCTCTTGACGCGTTTTTTAACCTATTCTCAAGGAGGTAGCCACGCATGTTTTATACTTTCTCTGTGTTTAGTCTCAGTTTGACACGAACTCGAAAAGATAAAACTGATCTGAATGAATGTCTAGACAATTCCCAGTGAACTCTATCTCTCCCTAACTTTTCAACTTTGAATTCGAATATTCCCTGCGGGTGTCTGTGATTCAAAAACACACTCCTTCTGCCACTTTGTTGTGTGTCGTTTATGTGTTTCTTCTCTCCGTCCCGCCGCCCCGCACACTCCTTCCACTTTCTTTTATTTCGTCTTCCGCATGCAAGAAAACAGAGATCGAGGCTCCAGATTTCGAGAAGAACTCCGTCCGAATCCCACCAGTTCCCTCCGATTTTTCAGTTTCGATTCTAACAATATTCCGCGCGTCGTACCGTCCATTCAGTTCGCCCATTCGTCCATAGAATGCGTATGACAGATTGCGTTTCCGAACTATTTCAATGGAATGCAATGCAATTTCAATCTGTCGCTCTGTCCATGAATCTCAGTGGAAGTTGACTGAACACTGCGAGGTCATCATTCCGTCTGCTCCGTTTCTTTCCCTCAACTTTCAAATGTTGCGTGACCATGTCTCCTCCAGATGCTCTCCTCCTTCTGTTTCTCTTTTTGTCATCTCCATAAATCTCCTCGTGGCGAGCTCCTTTCGCCCTCTTCTTTATCGTTTTGTTTTCCCTTCAAAAACGCCATCGCCACTCACTTTGACACATCTTTCTTGCTCCTTTCTTTTCCGTTTTCACTCATTCATTCCTTTGCTCTTTCCTCATTTCCCACGCCTTCATTTCAGTACTAAATGCCGAGCGACGATCGCTTTGCGGATGCCGTCAAACCTGCTCTAGGTAAAAGGGAAAACGGAATATGGAATGGGCGGAAAACGGTTATGAAGCGTGACGACTCCAACAGATTTATGGGGGTTTCGATAGCAAATGGTCGTGCTTTTATTGAAAGAATTTGAATTCGAAGAAAGACTTTGTTGGGTACGAGGGGTTCAACTTGCAGAAGCCCTACTGTCCGACCTGCAGCACACGACGGAAGTGCTCCGCCGGGCTCACATCAACGATCGCCGTTCGGAGAGCCGCGACGACATTGAGCATTCGTACAACCTGGAGAGAACTCTTGACACCCAAAGGTATCTACTTTTTCGTCTTGTTCATCTTTCTCTTCTTCATTCATGTTCTAACACTCGTTTGGTGTGACGCGGCATTCTTCTCATTTCAGCAATGGAAATAAGTCAGTTTTGAAGCGGCGGACGTCGGAAGGACGTGATTATTCGATAAGTCCGGAGAGGATTTACGGTGAATCCAGTGCCGGAAAAGCCCTTGTTTTAAATGTGAATGTTTCTGTAGAAAATGGCCAAGAGCCCATTCCAATTGTGAACCGATCGTCCCGTCCCAGTGTCCAAAGTATTCTTTCCCAAGTCGAGGAGCCCGTGCAGGCAACCAGGTACACTCAGATCTTCTAAATGTCGTTTGACTAACTCGCAAGTCCCTCGAAAAGTGTTGAATGTCAGAGGGTCAGTGTAGCATTCTCTGCAGTTATCCCTGCGTTTCCAATCACTCCCGCAAACAAACGCGAGGCTAATAACACGCGCTAAACACGCATATTACTGCCATGTCGGAGCAGGAGCAGCAGAAGCCGCAAATCATCTCCCGTGAGGAGCTCGTCCCTCCTCCCTTCTGCTCCCGGCCGGTTCTCTATTTCTCTCCTTCTCTCGCTCTCTGTTTGTCCCTCTCTCCTTTACTAACAAGAGAATGAGGAAAAAGAGCTGAGAGGGCGGGAGTACCTTGCTCGCTTTGCTCCCTCCTCTTCTTATCACTCCCGGGATGATGCGCGAACTGCAGCAGCGGCTTGACCATTTCAATGCGCCAAATTACGCGCAGAACAGCCATTCGAACCATCAACTTCATCATTCGGTTTATAGCTCGAGGAAGAGTCTCGGACCGCCCAGCCAGGCACAATCCTACTCCGATGTCGTAAGTCTTTTCTTCGCTTTGCGCTGCGAGACCCTAGAGTACTGTAGTCTATGTGTGGGCGGTGTTTATCTACTTCTAGTCATACTGAAAGCTAAAATCATCAGCGGAAGCAGTCGAATATCCCAACATCATCATGTAAGAGTACATAGAGCTACCGTACTTCCTTGTGCCCACCACATTCCAACTGACGGCAACATCTAGTTCATTTGCATAGTTTCCCATCATTGGGATTCCATTAATTGCAAATGCATGCTCATAAAAGTCGGATGACCATCCGGATCCGTTTCCAACTCGCCCTCCTCTTCCATTTTTATGTTTGTTTCGCCCCGTTGTTCCGCGTCATCTCTCATCTACAACATAGTAAAACTAAGCAGTGAAATATTGAGGAAGCAGCAGAAAAGAATTTTGTTTGTAAAACCTTCTTTTATGCGCTCTCTCTCTCTCTCTCTTGGCTTCTTCGACGTGGAAAAACGTGGAGGCAGTGTGACGCGTGGAGAAACGCCGAGAAAAGAGCAAACAAAACGGTGCCCGCCAAGAAGATTCTTTAGTTAGTAGCGGGGGTGTAAATGAAGGTGAAACGGCGAAAAAAAGAGACAGTCTTCCTTGGTTTTTGAGTCTTGGAAAAGCACGTGGAAGCGGAGAACACTTTGAAGGCAAAGGAAATAATTCCCCGCAGAAAAGAGAGAGCTCCAGCTGTTATTGTTGTTGTTTACCCGTGGGCTCATGCTCACAATTCTGATAACTCACAGAGTCACAGAGCAAATATTCATAGTTTTGTTGACATGTTCTCCGGGTCTCGCAGCGAAAAACTCATAAAACAGAAATGAAATGCGTGGAATTGCAGAGATCGAACGGTCGGTCTCCGTCGAGAGACCCCCTGCATTCGGAATCGATGATCGGAACGATGAACGGAGAACTGAGCTCGAAGCACGGAGTCAACACGATTCCGAAGGGAGATTGTGCTCATTGCGGAAAGCCAATCATCGGACAGGTTAGCCCTTTAACTCTTTTCGCCCCATTTCAAATAGGAATTTCGTGTTGCAGGTCGTTATCGCGCTCGGAAAAATGTGGCATCCGGAGCATTACACTTGCTGCGAATGCGGAGCCGAACTCGGTCAGCGTCCGTTCTTCGAGAGAAACGGCCGCGCGTTCTGCGAGGAGGACTACCACAACCAGTTCAGTCCCAAGTGCCAGGGCTGCCATCGCGCCATCACCGACGTGAGATTCCGATTGTGCCCGACGTCTTCAACCATCTTTTCTTGCAGAGATGCGTGAGTGTCATGAACAAGAACTTCCACATCGAATGCTTCACTTGCGCCGAGTGCAAGCAGCCATTCGGAGAGGACGGATTCCATGAGAAGGTACGTGAAGCATCAGAGCCTTCTTCTATAATATCATTTTCAGAACGGACAGACCTTCTGCAAACGCGATTTCTTCCGGCTGTTCGCCCCGAAATGCAACGGATGCTCGCAGCCGATCACCTCCAACTTCATCACCGCCCTCGGAACTCACTGGCATCCGGACTGCTTCGTCTGCCAGGTAACCCTGTTTTCCCCCGTTTTCCCCTTCTCCCAAGAGCCTCCAATTCACACGTGGTATTGAAGAAACCGTCGAAATCGGAGTGCGCGGTATGTTTTATGTCGGTGTCCCGTCGATTCGTTCCTTTTCTTTTCTGTTTCGTGGCCTTGTGTGAGGTGCTCCAAACTTCCAGTTTTCTTTGCATTTGATATTCGAGTGTGCTGTGGGAAACATAGAGTTCGGAAGAGACAAGTTCAGCTTGTAGTTCTTAACTTTTGAGAAATTCTATGAAACTTTCAGCTTTTTTGGGTTCACTTCTTGCGTATCTTTTCGGCCAATTACTATTGAGAAAAAGGAAAGAGACTCAATTCAGTTGAGCATGTCCCCGTAGCCATAAACCCGATAGCTTCCATTTCAATCATCGGAGTGCTCTTTCTTTGTGTCGATTGTTCTTCTTGTTTTCAGTCGTGCGGAGTGTCTTTCAACGGCGGCAGCTTCTTCGAGCACAACGGAGCGCCGCTCTGCGAACGTCACTACCACGAGAGCCGCGGCTCCGTGTGCTCTCAATGCCGTGGGCCGATCAACGGACGGTGCGTGGCGGCGATGGGCCGGAAGTTCCATCCGGAGCACTTCCGCTGCTCCTACTGCAATCACCAGCTGACGAAAGGAACATTCAAGGAAGTGGACCGTCGTCCGTTCTGCCACAAATGTTACAATAACACGTATGCCCTGACTCCAGCCTAATCTCGTTTTCTATTTTTGTCTCTGATGTGTCCTGTGACAAGTATTGTGTGTTTTCGAGAGGAAACATTCGATTTTTGTCGCTCGTCTCTTGTACCATACGCCCAAAAACTCTACGCATTTTCGAAATAATTCAAACTCCCGCCATATCACCCCCTCTCCCAGTCACTTTTCCTTCACTTTTCCACGCATTTCGCAGGGCAACGAGCACTTCGCGGCGCAGTGTCCGATGGATGTCACCTATTTCGAAGAAGAACAAGCATACTGAATCAACCCTCTTCCCCCCGTTTTCTTCCTTTTTTATTCGTTCTCCTGTAATCCTACTATATAGACATTTAATGAATAAAAGGCGATTCGAATGAACAAAAATGAAAGGCACTGCAAAAGTTAACGGGGTGGGGCACTGTTTGAACAGATGTCTCCGTTTGGAATGGATCGAAAGTGAAATTGTTCGGATAATAACTACAGTCTTCATGATTCGAGTTATCGCCACTGGTAAGTACATCCTAGTTCACAAAGTGTAGAGGATGGAAACTTTGAAAAGTGCTCTCGTGCAAGTGTTTTATGCGAGCCGTTGCTTATGAACGGCGCTTGGAGAAGTTCAATAGTTCAATCGTGGCCACTTTTACGATTGTTGCCGTAAAAGAGAGGTTGCAAAGTGTTACGACCGAAACGTTTCTCTCAATTGAGAACGGTTTTCGGGGTCAGCATTTCTTACCGTTTTTCTTCAGAGCCGTCGTTCATGTCCCCTCGGTTTCTGGCAAACTGCAAACTATTCTGCATTCTCTTCGCATGCTTCACAATTTTTCTGCTTCTTTTTTATCCAGAATACAGAGCCAATGTAATTGACTTAGGCTGAGCCGATTCCCATTATTTCATTCGCAGAGCTTTCAAATCGCATCTTACCGTACTTCTTTCCTTCCGATGACCAGAAACAGAAAGTTCCTCGAGGCGGCTGAGCAATGGAAACAGTGTTTTACCGAAGGGCTCAATAAGAGCAGGAAAGAACCGAAAGAGGTTAGATTTGTGAGCAGAGGACTGAATATGATGGAGAACATTCAGATGTGGTATTGGGTACGGCACGTAGTGAACAACTGCCGGAATCAGACGGCCTTCTCTAAGATCGAGTTGACGGGTGTGAAGAATAAGGACGAGATGAAGTACCACGTGTACAGCACTTCCAAAGTGAGCACAGAAGAGCACAGACTAAAAAGACGGCAAACTATTTTCAGGAGCCCAGTGTTGTGGTAACCCTCGGAATCGGGCTGGACGTGAAAGCCGAAGAAACGCTCAAACATTTCCTTCCCTACGGATCTCGATTCTTTGCTGCTGACCCGATTTACAAGGGAAACGGAGAGCTCTTCGAGCCCATCGGCTCTTTTTTTCCGTTCGCAGTCGGAAAAGAAATCACTGTCTCGAATGCATTGGTCCTGAAGGACAGTGAGCGAAAAGCGATGAGATCCGGCGCAATAGTGTTACAATTTCAGAGAAGTACATCAATCTGGTGATGCCCCACATCGACATCATCACTTTCGTCACCAAATTCGTGAAGGAATCCACTATCGATCAGTTTCTGATGGACAACGAAGGGCCAGAATACGATATCATTCCGATGATGGCTCGCGGAGCAGAATTCGATCAGAACGGGATCGTCGTCTGCCAATGCAATACGGAAGTGCACACGGCAGACGACGAACGCAAACGGAAGTTTCTCGAGATTATGAACACGGTAATCGACGACGGACGGTACGCATTTCTCGTCTCCTACGCCACCGTCCATCACCGATTCTTCTTCATTAACATTGAACATCCTATCTGTGTGGAGAAGTATTTTTCTAGGTTTTTTGAATGAAATAACGTTCTTGTTTAGTGATCAAACTAGAGTTTATTGTGAGAAATAGGAAGCGAAATTTAATGACTTTGAATTTGAACCCGGAAAAGTTTGAAATTGCAATTGCACAACGTTCTCGATTATCTTTTACGGATAAATCTTCTTGTAAATGACGGCGGTGTGTTCCATCAGTCTTCTCGTAATCGTCGTCGTCATGAGAAGCCGTGCTTCCAATCGGTTCTCATCCAGAAGAGTCCATTCTCGGAACATCTGAAGTTAGGTGTCTTCAAGATCAAACAAGGAGTAGACCCACTACTCTGACGGCCGAATCATGCGAAAAACTGATTCTCCCGATTCTTTGCAGCCTGAATTTCACCTGATTTGGACCCGACTCACCCTCCTCGATGGTCATGAATCCTGCAAAAGCGAGCAGAAATATATTGAATCAGGTGCAATCATTCGATCATTTGACCAAACTACACAATGCATTTTGCAACACTTTTTCTCTTTTTCTCTCTCTCTCTCTATCTCCCACTCTTTCTCCTACCATTGCTCATCGCCGTGTTCAATGACACGTATTCTTTCTCTTGTTCCTTGTCGTAGTCGACTGCAATGTACCCATTTTCAGAGTGAATTTCCGTCGGATCTCCGTCTGGCATGTTGATATCCCAGGCGAATGCACTGAAAACTGAAAAGATGAGAAGAGGAATTTGTTCGGGAAGGGACCCACGTGTAATTCAGCAAGGGACTCCCGTTATCCGAGTGGTCTGCAATCGAAATGTCCACTTGCTCTCCATAAGTGAACTTTGGAATTGTGGGGAAAAATGCTTTTCCGCCGAACTCGGAGCGCCATCTTCCAACCATCCACGCGATGGACTTCAATTTCGACGGCAACAACTTCACGTCGTATTCTGAAGAAAACGGATGCTCCTTCAGATGCTCATTCCATCGCTCTCATCTTCTTACTCGGGTCGATTGACTCCCCACAAAGTTGGCAAGTCCTTTGGCAATGCGAATTCACGAGCTCAACTCTTTCACAATCCGAAGCGTTTGTTGCCACCTATGAGTGAAATCATCAAAGATTGCAAGGTGACGTGGATGGAGAGGACATACCCAAACCGCACAGTTCATATCAGTATCGTGACACCTTGGAGCTATTTTGGCCGATGACGTGGAGAGAAGAAGGGGGAGAAGAAGATAAATAAACGAAGGGAACCGGTTGATCATCTGGAGGAACACAACGCCAATCAAAACAGAGAAGGGCATTCGGGAGTACGGTAGAAGGAGAAGAAGGAGAGACGGTTTATGGTGGGAAGAAGGAGAAGAAGAAGAAGAGATTCCGGAACTGTGAATCACGAGGGAATCGGAGAAAAAGGGCAAAGCTGTGGATTTGTTTGGAGAGTGGAGTTGTTCAAGAACTAGGAAGTTATGGAATATTCATGAAAGATGAGCACAATGGCCGTTCTCAATGAAAGCTTTTAGCGCTGAGAATTCTGGCAATGTCGCTCTACCGCAATCCCACGTGAAAGCGACGTGGAAAGCGGTGAGCGCGATTGGCAGACTTCTAGGAACAGTTCCTCTACTGGCGAATGTAATATCATAACCAAAGAAGGGCGAGTAAGTGGCTAATCTGGAAAGAAGGAACGTCCTTCCTCCTCCTCCCTCCGCAAGGCGGTGTAATCAGGGTGGCGAGGGATAGCTTTCCCTCTTCGGACTGGATCCGCCCGTCCGTCAATCCTTGCCATAACACCCAGCGAAACAAGCTTTTTATCCGCTGAGTTACGCAACGCAAACGGTTCGTCTCTTTCGATTTTCGACGCAAAAAGCGGCGTCATTGCGTTGAATAAGTGAAAATCAGAGGAAAGGGAGAAGAAGTAGAAGGAAGAAGTGACATAATCGGACAATTAGAACAAACTGAGGGATGGCATCTGAAAGTGTGGAATTCTGTTTACCCGTTCAAGCATTCTCGCCATAAACATCGGCCTCTGCCCCGATTTGATTTCTGGTTAGTTTCTTCAGCTGGAATCTGCTCCGATCCTTCTGATCTCCTCCGAATCGGATCTTGGTCTTTCCATCTGCACTTTCCTCTTTCGATTCACCAAAGACGTACATTCTGCACTCGACTGCACCCATTTTCATTGTCGATCTCTCTTCTTTTTACATCATCAAAAAGTACAACAATTGGCAGTTATTGTCGCATTTTGAAATAGGGGCGGGTTCTTTCTCTTTCTCTCTCTCTCTTCTGTATCTTTCCGGCCTATAAAACAGGACCAAAAAGTGATGGATCTGTCAGACAATGAACTCGTTTCTTATCGCTCTTCTCCTCGGTAACCTTTCCCCTTTCCGTTCCATTCAACAGTCGTCTATTTCCAGCTTCCCTTCTCTTTTCGGTCTTCTCGCTCCCGCTCATCGGCATCCGCGACGACGTCTCTTCTGAATTCGTCGGCGTCGGACTCCGCGACGACGTCCCCCTTCCGATCCACAAACGAAGGGTCGAGAAGCCTTCCGCGACGTCGTTCTGCTCGGAAAACCGGAAAACGTACGAGGATTACTGCGCCAATATGTGGACGGATCGGACCACCCGTCTCCAGAATCTTCTCTTCTCTTTCTGTCCCGGATACGAGAACCGATGCCTCCATTAGTCAATCCTGATTACCTATTTATTTAAATAACGACATGAGAATCTCAGTTTCACTACGGTTTCAAGACAATACTCATCTCGATTGAACTATTTTTGCATTCGTTTATTGCGTCTCTAGAAGTTACCAGCAGATGATAATTTAAAAACAAAACTAAATAGCACATGTGTGAGGAGGAAAACAGATAAAGTTTCAGATCGGAATGGGGTTGAACATGAAACAGACTGTGGTTAGCATTATGCATGCATTCAGGTTACATTTCTGGGTATTTTGCAATCGAACGATCCGCCAACTTCGGCGTCTGTCCATTTCAGCTCTTCAACGAGCCAATCAACAAGATCCTCCTCGCTCATTTTCAGGAAATCGGCCATCAGTTCATAAGACATTGTTGGTCTGAAAGCCTTCGAAATAACACTTATGGCCTTCTTCCTCTCCCGATCCACGAACAGATCAATGAGGTATGGGCACATTTTCGGAGCAGCCTGTAAGCACAAGTTATTGACTTTCCAGCAATTCTGACACCTACTTTGAAAAGCTTGAAAAACAAGATGTAGTTGTTCATCGTGACGGCCTTTCGAACTTTCAGCGCGAACGTCACACATTCATCTTCTTTCAACTGCGGAGTGAGCTCCTGGAGCAGCGAGTTGATGTCTATCTGATTGTCCATCGCAATGTAGTACAGAAGACGGTACGAAACGAATTCAGCGTGATGCACGCAGTCTTCGAGTTCCGCGTAAAGCAGTTTCAACTGTGACTGACACTTGTTGAACTCTTCACGATCGGCGTTCTCGAGGGCTATACGTGCATTCACTTCGTACACTTCCACTGTGAAATGGTCGCGAATGCGTTGAACAGTCAGATCCTGACGGATGGATCTCAGCTGACTCGTCAAGTACGAATACTCCCGTTTCTCACGATACTTGTTCCGAACATTCTCCAAAGCCAGACGAAGGATTCCGAGTGGACGGACAGCCGATGGATCAGGAGCCTGTAAGAACACGATTAACATCAAAGGGAGAAATAAGGTAACTCACAGCAGTAAGTCTGAAAAAAGATTTTTCAATACTCTGACACGTTCCACGGATAACCTGTCCTCTCCGGAAATACTGCGGGATGCTGATAGACGGTTTCGTAGCGGCGGCGAGCGTTTCGGCAAAACGACGAGCGCGGTCTTCCTGGATAGCAAATCATTATGCGAGCTCATCCGAATCATATTTTTTACCCTTTTGGACTCAGTATCTTCCACTTTCCACGTATTCTTACTTTGTTGATTGCCTTTCTGTTTCTTGCCGGCTTTTTTCGCAGCTTTGTCAGCTTTCTTTTGGGCCTTCGTCTTCTTCTGAAGACCATTAAGGGTTAGCACAAAGCTTTGAGCAACCGTTTCACAATTAACATGATCAAAACTTCCGTTCCCAAGTGTGCCCCAATCCCCTTTCAACACCTGATTTGACGAAAAATGCAAAATCTCAATCTGGTCGCTCTTGTCTGAAGAGGAGGAAGTGTCACTCTCCCGACGAGCCCGTTTCGGCTGTCCTCCGTTATTAACACCACCGTTACTCATTTCGTCACTGCGCCTTCGCGGCGGCGACTTCTTTCTATGGAATCCGTTTGCCTGGTGCGGTAACTGTTTGGCTGGAGTCCATTGCATGAACTCATAGTTTTTCTCAGCGGGTAAAGGCTCGTTATCCCAGTTGACCATGTGGGCATTTCCGGCATTCAACATGGGCTCAAGTCTCTTCTGAAGATACTCTTTTGTTTTCTGACGATCTTCTTCGGAGTTGGCCGCTTCATAGGCCCGCTCGATGTACCGCCTGAAAAGTTCCTTTTTTCGGTATCACTTGGTTGAGTGAACTTACTTGGCAGAAGGAGGAACTTGTCTTTCAACCGCTTGCATCGGGGCTCCCCGTCCCCTTCCAATCCCCATCAGCGGCGGCGGTCCTCCTGCCTGCGGTACGAACGAGTTGGTCAAATGAGGAAAAGCCGCTTGATTGTTTTTTCTATTCAGTGTAAAAGACTGGAATTGGTTTGGCTTCTGTTGGCCTTGCTGGTTCCAGGTTCCTCTTCCACGCCCTCTTCCAGACCCATTCCAATTCTGTTGCACATGTGGCTGATAGTTATACGCAGTTTGGTTATACGCTGCCTGAGCAGTCGCGTTGGCCGCTGTTGCCGACGGCGGAGGAGGGGGTGGTGGCTGTCCGGTCCACGAAGACGGATGAAATCCGCCACCGAATTGTCCGTAAGATGCGGGGTTGACACTTGGGTACGGAAACGAGTTTGACATCCAAGGATTCTGACCTGAAATGTTGCTTCCCATCGACGGTGCTCCATTTCGTGGCATTGATGCTTGCGCCTGAAATTAACAGGTGAAAAGTTCAACTGATTATGTATTTGATACCTTCTGTAATTCTTCGGCAGCTTTTTTCCAAGCTTCCGACTGTTGTCCACCTGCTGCTGGCACCGGGATCGACATTATTTCGTCACTGTAATCAGGGGAGAATTCAGATTGAACTGGAGAATAATTTGATGAAAAAGGGCCACGTTTTATGGAAGCAGGAAACCATTGACTTACCCCATATCTGAAAATCAATGAACGACTGAATAAAGAATGAATAAAATCGTTGAGAAAGTGTTTTGATTGGCACAAGTGGTGCGCTGCGTTATGTTGTTTCGTAAAGTGGGCAGCCGCAGTATTGATTTCTCAACGGAGCGTTCTTGCTTCACTTGCCCAACAACGTGGAAAAAGGTGGAAAACGAGGACAACAAGTAATAAAATAGTTGATTGAAACTAATTGATTAATGAATCAATGTACACAATTGCAAGAACAAATTTATGAAACGAATGAGAAATCAACCAGAGACAAAACTACAAATTCACCTAGAATTGAGAAAAAGAAATCCTTTTAAATACAGTTTCTGTTTCACTTTGTGTCATTAGTCTTCTTCCAGTCGCGATATTCTTCCAGTTTTCTCTGCTGTGACGTCATTCCCGTGGCTCGCGCAGCCGATCTTTCCGCAATGTAGTCGTCGGTTATTTTCGCTCGAAACGCAGGATCGTGGAATCTGAAAATTTATCGAGTTTCATCAATCTCAATTCGATTCGAGCTGAATTACTTTTCGTATTTGCACCGGTTGAAGAGCTCTAGAGCTGGTTTGCACGAATTGAGACCAGACACGGCGCCGTCTGTTCTGAAGCAAGTTACGAGACCTGAAATCAGTCTCAGTTCTTTTCTATGAACAAACTAATACAAATAAAGAACATCGGGTTCCAGAACTAACCTAGATAGGATTCATTGCACTCGACCCTTTCAATCTGTGTGTTCATGCGATTCGGAATGATCACATCAGCTTCGATCTTGCGCAGGGTTCGATCTTCTGGATCACCTACAAAGTGGGAACTGTTTTTTGTTTTTTAATAACAAAATATACCCAGTCCATGTGGTCCTCCAGCTGAATAATGTGGCAAAATGTTCTTTTTGACGCGGTATTTCTTTCCCGTCTTCTCATCAGTCACAATTTCGCCTTCTTTCAATGTTTCCAGATTATCCGTGATGTTAACTTTGTTCTCCGTCATTTTCTGAAAGAAACGAATGCTATGAAGTCGTTAGAAGTGCATTGAAGTCGGAAAGAAGGTTAAAAAAGAATTTTTGCGCAAAAAATCTGTGACCGAACTTTACGGAAAACTAGTCCTCGACTTACGGCCGCCGCTCCCTCCCTCAAATTCTACAGTATTCTGGCCATCTGGCGACATCTGAAAGACAGAAAAGGATAAAGTAACATCGGGAAAGAATAATGTAGCAAACTATTTATTTATTCATTCTCAGTTCTTCATGTGCGTCCTTCTACTTTTCCTCTTTGTTTCTAGTGGTTCCATGGAGTCAACAACTTCTGTTAAATGTGCTTCTGAGAACGGTATTTTTTGTGAATGCGCCATGGAAGGTTCCGAAATCAAAGTGAGGACTATATTTTAAAAAACAGATGTGATTCTGCATCGACAAGCTCAGATATGGAACTGTGTTCGTCCGGGTGGCTGGTCCACTTGGTCGAGGTGGTCGAAATGTAGAGAAGGAGTGAGGAAGAGGCGCAGAACTTGCAACAATCCACAGCCAATTGTTAAGTACAGAAAAATGATTACTATAATCCATTGAGGACTTTTTAGGAACAACCTGCTTAGGCCAAAGAGTCGAGAAGCAGAAATGCGTTCCTTCGCCTTCCGTTCCCGAATTTCTCTTCGGAACTTGGACGGACTGGAATCCATGGTCTCGCTGTAATTGTGACCGTAATCAGAGAATACGGTAATGAAGCATACAGTACCCATAACTATCGTCTCAATTCAGAACACGTCACTGTCGAGGAACTGCCTGTGAAGGATGTGAGAAGCAGCAAGAGGAGTGCTTGCCAGAAGAGTGCCCGATCAGCAAAAAATGGTCGAAATGGACTGACTGGACAGATTACGGTAGGTCTGGATGCAAAAGAGATGATGCCACGTGGATTGCAGGAACGGATCAAGTCCGATATTCCGCCTGGTGTTCATCGCCGAATGTGGCCTCAGTGGATATGGGATTCCGGAGAGAACAAAGAGAATCCACGCGACATGGTGAGATATTCAATGTAGTCTGTGCTTCTACAATGGAATCACAGAATACACTTTCCCAGTAGTCTGTAACCGTCTTCTTGTTTTCAGTCAATTGGTCCGAATGGTCTGTGCATCCGGGAGTCGTTTACCGGTATCGTCTTCTCCGCAATTCCAGCATCTCAATCGAACATCACCTGCTCTCCAGATCCACGTCATCTTGCCTCCCTCTCTACTTTGCCATCCCTATTCTCTGCTTTTCCATTCTCGTTGGGTTCCTTCTTCAGAGTCTCATTTCTTGTACCCTGAACCGATGCAGACAGAAATGTACAAAGTTGACATATTCGTACGATTCCAATCCCCGCGATTACCCTACTCATTTGGTTGGCTCGCCGAAAGATAAACGTTTTTGGTAGAGAAGAAAAATTTCTAGAAGTTCGATTCGCTGAACACGAGACTCCTGAGAACTTTCGTCTGATCACGCCACTTTTTTTAGATCAATAATCTATGATTTTTACAGTTTGTAGCCATCCGATGTATTCCAAAATGCCCCAGTTATCATTTTTCTATCTACGATTGATACGTATATCGATACTTTGTCCTCTCTGTTTGTGTGTATGTTTGGAATGAACTTTGTTTCCTAAAATGATTCTTACTCGAGACTTTTTATGACGTGGGACATCTTTTTCAGGCCTGATATTACTTTTTCCACCGAAACACATTACAAAATGCGGCGCCTCCCCGACGATTCCATTCGTCTCGCGCGCGCGCCATCAACAGTCAGCGCCGAGCGTCTGGTGTCTCTCGGGGGTGCGCACTCTCTCGTCGACCGTATCACTTCTCTTTCGTCTCTCTTTTCTCGTCCGTCCCGTCCGTCTCCATTCCACCTCATTCGCAATCAAAACGATGGCAGAGGTCGGTGGTGCTTTCAAGGACTCTCTTACTCAGGTATGTTTTTGAGTGACCTCCGAAGATCGTCGCAAGATAATCGGCATTTCAGGCCCAGAAGGACGAGTTGCACCAGATCGCTCTCAAGATCGTGCAGGACGGAAAGGGAATTCTCGCCGCCGATGAGTCTACCGGTAAGCCGATTTCCAGACGCGAGAAAGAAATCAAACAACAAGAAACTTCTTCTCAAATTCATCAAACTCTGTTCTTCTGAAAGTTTATCTTTTGATTCACTCTAGACGATTCTAGATGTTTCATCATCTTTTGATCGTATTCTGTGTTTCTCTCTCTCGATTTTTCGATTGTTTGTGTTGTTGAAAGTGGAGATGTTGATAGAGAGAAAAGGAGAGATAGCGATTGAACTGATAGGGAAGATCGTCGCTCGATGAAACAATTGCCATGTTTACGAGACGGAAAACGTGACCAACAAAAGAAATGATCGAATTTGCAGGCACCATCGGAAAGCGTCTGTCCGCCATCAACCTCGAGAACAATGAGACGAACCGTCAAAAGTACAGACAGCTTCTGTTCACCACGCCAAGCCTTTCCGAGCACATCTCGGGAGTGATTCTCTACGAAGAGACCTTCCACCAGAGCACCGACAAGGGAGAGAAATTCGTCGACTTGCTCATCAAGCGTGGAATCGTTCCTGGAATCAAGCTCGACCTAGGAGTCGTCCCGTTGGCCGGAACTATCGGAGAGGGAACCACCCAGGGACTCGACAAGTTGGCTGAGAGAGCCGCCGCCTTTAAGAAGGGAGGATGTGGATTCGCTAAGTGGCGCTGTGTCCTCAACATCGGAACTCACACTCCATCGCACCTTGGAATGCTCGAGAACGCCAACGTTCTTGCCAGATACGCCACTATCTGCCAGGCTAACGGACTCGTCCCAATCGTCGAGCCAGAGGTTCTGTGCGACGGAGAACACGACTTGGCTCGTGCTCAGAAGGTCACCGAGCAGGTGCTCGCCTTCGTCTACAAGGCCCTTGCTGATCACCACGTTTACCTGGAGGGAACTCTTCTCAAGCCAAACATGGTCACTCCAGGACAGTCGAGCGCCTCGAAGTCGACTCACGAGGAAATCGGACTTGCCACTGTCACTGCTTTAAGACGCGGAGTTCCAGCCGCCGTTCCAGGAATCACTTTCCTTTCCGGTGGGCAGTCGGAGCTCGACGCCACCGCTAACCTCAATGCCATCAACCAGGTACTCTGATAAAGAGGGCGTCTCATCGGGACTTTTCTGTTTTCAGGCTCCACTTGGAAAGCCATGGAAGCTCACTTTCTCGTACGGACGTGCTCTCCAAGCTTCCGTGCTGAAGGCGTGGGGAGGAAAGGACGAGAACATTGCAGCCGCCCAGAAGACCCTGCTCCACCGCGCCAAGGCCAACGGAGACGCCTCGCTCGGAAAGTACGCTGGAGAAGCCGCCGCCGGAGCTGCTGCCGAGTCTCTTTTCGTCGCCAAGCATTCCTACTAAGTAATGACTCAGAACTTGTGAATAGCACGCACACAAAAGATTGTATAATGATTTTGAACAAAAATAAATGTTTTATCATCCAGACTCTACCCGAAAAACTACATATCACTGACTAGGGAATGATCAATAGGTAAGTTGGCCTTATGGGCCGTGACTGACATAGTTCGATAGCTTATACCAAGAGGATAAAATGTTCTGTTGACCATTTTTGCTGCCGACACCTGGATTTCGAGAAAATGGCGCCGGAAAATTTCCACTGAAATACTGTATTTTAGGCAATTTTCCTCCCTCGTAACAGTCGCGTGAACTCCCTTGATATCAAAGTATTCGGAAACAACTGAAATCGTCGGTTGGATGGTGCAGTGGGTATTGGGTTCGACTAGTAGGCAAGAGGTCTGTCCCCACTCTCCATAAATTTTTTTTGTTTTTTTTTGTCGACTGAATATCTGGGTCAAACGAGGTTTCAGGATGATTTTTACACATTTGATGACTCTCCACAACCGAAGCAACTCAAAAATCGAATAAATAGAGTTTTGAAGAAATATGCATTTTCCATTAAAATCTCCATACAAAGTATGGACTTCGAAAAAAATTTTTAGTTGGTCAGATTATTATGTCACTAGATAGAGCATAAAAAGTTGTACACAATTGCAGTACATCATTTTTCTCAAAAATCACAATTAGGGCCTGATTTGAGGCCTCAAAGTTTCTATCGTCAGAAACTCCCTCATCTTTGGAGACCTATATCTTCAGAACCCACCATCAATTAAATAAAAGATCAACTGGAAAGTTGTTGCAAATTTTGTGTTGAACAACTTTGTAGTTGATCATTTTATACCAAAACACTTCATTCTCATTTTATACTGTTTCTAATTCACAAAGGAGACAAGTTTTTGAAAAATGAAATAGATAAAATAGAGGTTACAAACAAGAGCATAAAATGAGAATGAAGTGTTTTGGTATAAAATGATCAACTACAAAGTTGTTCAACACAAAATTTGCAACAACTTTCCAGTTGATCTTTTATTTAATTGATGGTGGGTTCTGAAGATATAGGTCTCCAAAGATGAGGGAGTTTCTGACGATAGAAACTTTGAGGCCTCAAATCAGGCCCTAATTGTGATTTTTGAGAAAAATGATGTACTGCAATTGTGTACAACTTTTTATGCTCTATCTAGTGACATAATAATCTGACCAACTAAAAAATTTTTTCGAAGTCCATACTTTGTATGGAGATTTTAATGGAAAATGCATATTTCTTCAAAACTCTATTTATTCGATTTTTGAGTTGCTTCGGTTGTGGAGAGTCATCAAATGTGTAAAAATCATCATGAAACCTCGTTTGACCCAGATATTCAGTCGACAAAAAAAACAAAAAAAATTTATGGAGAGTGGGGACAGACCTATTGCCTACTAGTCGAACCCAATACCCACTGCACCATCCAACCGACGATTTCAGTTGTTTCCGAATACTTTGATATCAAGGGAGTTCACGCGACTGTTACGAGGGAGGAAAATTGCCTAAAATACAGTATTTCAGTGGAAATTTTCCGGCGCCATTTTCTCGAAATCCAGGTGTCGGCAGCAAAAATGGTCAACAGAACATTTTATCCTCTTGGTATAAGCTATCGAACTATGTCAGTCACGGCCCATAAGGCCAACTTACCTATTGATCATTCCCTAGTGAGAAACAATTCAGATAATGCTCTCTTTGCTTCCGAAGTCTGGTTTGCTGATATCGTTCTTCCGAAGAGGTGCCTGTCCGTCCAAAGAGAGTTTTCCCTCCGTACTCAACGTCAGAAGACATTCGGGGATGTTGATCTCACTCCACCCGAAAGCCCAGAGATCGTAGACCTGTAAGTGTTGAGAGTGAGCATTTGGAAAGCTGTAGAAGGTGTTCTCACGTGGAGGAACATCTGACGAACGTGCTTCGTGACTACTGTGTCCTCGGTTATCAGTTTGTGGCGCAGTTTCACTATCAGCCGTTCGACAAGGTATGAATTGAGGTCGTGAAGAACCCTTCCGTTCTCGCAAAGGAGCACTCCGGCCGTCTGGAAATGGCCAAGATTCAGATGAGTTTCTTTTGATGCTAACCTCCAAATCTTCCGTGTCGGGCCCATCGTCAATAAGTGCGTCGAGTGAGGAGAACATTGGTTTTATGAAACATTTCGAGACGCATTCGTCCATTTTGACGTAGACGGGGTACATTCTGAAGAACGATCAAGGTCATTTCTACTGCATGAAACACTCACGAAAACAGCGTTTTGACACTGTTCCGGAACATGAGTCGAGAGTCATTGCGAACGGAAAGCCGGTTGCGGTAGTCATTAAGCAGCAGAGCGAGCACGTTCGAAGAGAGCGAGATGTCCTTTGTGTCTGCCTGGAAGTATAGATAATCATGGATGCAAACGTATTCCGTGCGGAACCTTATGGATGTGCATGAGGATGTTGGCTGCCAGAGGTCCGAACCGTCCGTCCGCCAGCCACCTCAGTCTCATGTGCTCCGCGAGCACTTCCGTGTTGTGCTGTCCTGCGAGCATACTGTATGCTTGCACTGAATTCTTCCCCATCAAGATAATTTCTTTTATGTTTCAACCCAGATGCTCACCAGGAATCGGTCCCTGCTGCGTGAGAGTGGCGAGCGAAGCGAACAGACTTCGCAGTTTGTCGTCATTCATTTTGTTACAGCAAGTGACGGACCGACGGGCAAATGCTGTAAATAATCAGAGAACAACCTTGAAACGAGAGAGATTATGAAAGTTTTCGGAGAGAAACAGAGCTTGGATTGAAGGAGAAAAGCGGGGAAAACGATGGAAAGAACTAAAAGAAGCAAACTTTTCCATTGAATTTATCAAATATTCAAAACGTATCTAAATCAAATACCGCCAGTTTCGTTTTCATCAGTCTTTCAGTTCTTGCTCTACCGAAATCTGGCACACAAATTGTTTTGTAATGAAATCGACGGCACGAGGTCGAAGTGCCCGCAAAGAAAATAAGGTGAAATGTGAGGAAACGTGTGAGTCGGAGTGAGAAATTGGGTGCTCTTCCATGCGCTTTCCTCTTCAAATGCATGACAAAGTTCAGGGGCGAAAAATGAGAGAAAGCGGCTGGAGAAGACGGCTGTTTCACATCAACACATGTGGCGAACAGAAGACGAAGAGCAGAGAAGCGACACAAAACACAGACACGAAGCAGATTCGGAATGAGATTGACAGATGAAGATTCGAGAATGGAGAAGCGGCTCAAGTCCATACGTTACGTGATGTGACCCTGGAAACGTCAGAATTATTCTAACATTTATTTTTTTTCAAAAGCTCTCGAACTTTCCGTGTCCGACGGTGAACTGCGTATCTTCAGATGAGGATATCGATGACCCCGTGCTGCCGGATCGACTGATTTTTTCTGGCCCGGATACACCCAAAATCTTGGTTTTGGGAAATCTCATTTCGGTAAAGAAAGTATTATTCTTATTAATAAAAGTGTCATGTTTTGCAGACCATACTTCTGTTCAAGCGAATCTGGGGAGATGATGACGATGAGGTCAGCTGAAGAAGCATCTAATGCTAATATAAGGCGATTCGAATTCATTCGAAGTCAATAAATGTTCAATTTTCCCTTGGAAGAAGTCAAATCACACTGAAAAATATGTGGCACAGGGCAGTACTCAGGCAAATCGTTTCTAATCTAACTAGCTAATTCTCGTTTCTAACCGGACCTAGTTAGATTGCTACCGATTTCTGAATCTAGCTAGCTGATTTTGCAATCTAAACATAATCTAGCTAGGTTTGCCCGAAATTTTAATCTAATTAGATAAATTTTAAATCTAATATCAGTGTTTTTGCAATCTAATTAGCTTCGCCAATCTGATTAGAAAATTTGTCAGTCTAGTTAGAAGAATTTGCAATCTAATTAGGTCCGGTTAGAAACGCGAATTAGCTAGCCAGATTACAAATTATTTACCTGAGCAGCTCTTTTCTTTTTGAATAAAAAGCAAAACAATAAGCCAAACAAAAAATGCAGAAAACATTCGGCACCCATGCGAGTCTTCCCGCATTGCGGTTGCAACTTCTCCATCAGCTGACTGCGCTGACAGGTAAACCGCGATGGCCGAAGGATTAGCAATCAGTGGCTACACCGATTGCTCAAAGCGGTAACACTCGTGGCCGAAGGAGCGGTCCACTGATTGTCAATCGTTCGCACATCCGCGGTTTTCGAAAAATGTAGGCCCCTCCCTCCCCTCTGTGCTTTTTCTGCTGAAATTGGTCGATAGTAACACAGAAAACATAGCTATAGATGCCCCCGGTCGTAGAAGGTTTCTCTCCTCCACACCCAGCGCACTCCCGTCATACAGAGAGATAGAGAGAGAAAGACGCGCTCTCTTTCGAGCACCCCGCCCTCCCAGTCGTCCGTCTCTCGTTTCACTCTGCGTCTCTCTCTCTCTCTCTCTCTCTCTCTCTCTCTCTATGCTGGGAGTGCACTGGGTGTAAAGGAGAGACACCTTCTACGACAGGAGGCGGCATCCATACACTGGTGAAAGACGGGTGGAGCGGAAGTGCGAAAAAACTGCGAAAAGAACGCGGCGAACGACGTTGAGTGGGATGCAGGATTGGGCAAATATCGGCCCAGGCCTTGTGAAGGCTTTTTGAGACCTGGACTTATGACCCACTTGCAATATTTCGATCGGAACCAAACTTTGAAGACTTCGTGGACTTAGATTAAAGTATATTGGGTCCGAGCTTCAGACCGATGGGATTATCCGGTCCCAAGATATACCGGTTTGAAGCCGAAAAGGCTGGGTTCTTGCGAAAATCGCGGTCTTTTGGGCCTCGATTTAAATAGGAATAGTCCGAAATCGACTATAGAAATTTTGTGGGAGTTGTTGACAGCAGGAAGGACTATGAATCAGAAAAGTAGGGAAATGGCAGAACGGATAGCAGGAATCTTGTGTTTTCTGTGCAAAGATACGATGAAAATGGATACTGGTACTTGTGATTCCTAAAATTTGGAGAAAAATTACTCTCAAGAAAATTTGTTATATTTTTCATATTTTTCCCTTTTTTCCCTCACGGGTACGCGGCAATTTTTAAAAATTGGCATGGACCCCTTGACGGTCACGGGTACGCGACAATTTTTGCTAGTCAAACCCACTACCCGCGAATAAGAAACTGACGCCCCCGGGTTCGAGAATTTCGACAATTAAAGCTTTTTGCGCAATGTGAACTCCATTTTGCGCGTAAATTTTGTTGTTGTGGGTGCATTTTTGCTTCCTACCGTAACCTTGAGGCTAATTGTTAAAAATTTTGCCCAATTTTGAAAGTTTTAAATTGAAGTTAACTGCTTGAATGAAAGAATGGACGACGACGATGGCCCACCAGCAAAATTAAAAAAAAGAGGTAATTTTTCTTAGTTTCTTCTGTCCTCATGCTCCCTTTTTAGCTAATCAGACACCTACTGCCACGGAAAGACACGCTAGAAAGCTGGAAGAAAATGACATCGATTGCGAGAAGGCGACTCTTTCGAACATCACTTATCTCGCTGTCATCGGTCTGAAAGCTCTTGGCGTGGCGGACGCCAAAGTTGGAGAAGTGATCAAAACTGTCGGCGATTTGGTTGGAATTTCATTCCGATCCGTCCCGGCGTCTGCGAAGTGTCGCAATTTTGCTCTCACTGATCTCACTGTCGGTAGAAGACATGTTAAGGAGCGGCTCAGCGAGTACCAAGAACGTGGGAAAACTGTCTGTCTCGCATCCGACGAAACTACGAAGGGGGCGATGAAACTGCAGGCATTTGGAGTCCATTCTCAAGATGGGACTTTCACTTGCGTAGGAATTGACCACGTCGCGGAGAAATCCGCACAGACAGCCTTTGAAAAGCTTTGTTGGACTGTCACAAAGTTGTCAGGGGCTTCCACGGACTTTTTGAAAAAGTTCATGGTATCTGTGACAAGTACGATGTCGGATTCGGCGTCTACTGAGATTAAATTTAATCGCCTGGTCGAAGCCTATCGCAATGAAGTCATTCCTGAAGTGGTTTCGAACTATGCAGACATGACGGACTAATAAGACTCAAATTTCGGCCCTTTCCCAGGTTTTCTGCCAGCTTCATGTTCTTTCCAATTACACAAAAGTTGTGTTGAAAAACCTTCTAGAACTTGAAATGGCAGAGTTTGGAGTACAGAAATTTACCACCTGTTCGATACTAAACCTAACATGAGAGTTGATGTGCGTGTTGCGTTTACGATGATTCAAAAAAAATCACACCTTGGAATGGCTGAAAACGCGTCCGGAAGACGCCAGAACCTCCATTCTGTCGGAAGCTCGGGCGTCAGTAAGCCAATTACGAAATGATGCAGCCGCGCGAAAACTCGAAATCGATAAGGTGGTTCTCCAAAAGATCCGAGAGAAAAATCAAGCCGCTGCCGCGAAAACTGCGAAAGCGGCGAGCAAAACCTCGTGTAAAAGACTTCTTCTCTCTGACCGTTCCCATCTGGAACTCTATAGTCTCCAACACCTCCACTTTCCTCTCCCCCCTCCAGTTCGAAGAATCGACTCCTCCCTCCATTACCCGTTTCTAACTTTCTCTCCTTCTTGCCCTACTACCCCTCTACCATATAACTCCTCCATATCTCCCCTAATCCCTAGGTACGTCTCGTGAGGGACTGTCCTTTCGACCATTCGTCCTTCCCTCTTACTGTGTTGTATCTTTTCTCTTACCTTACTAAATAAACGAATGAACAACAAAAAAAGGCGTACCTGCATCGACGAAATTGTCAGAATCGGTTTCTGGAAAACCGGGGAAGACAATGACCACGGCCTTGCCGCTTGTAAAACAGTGAAATTGAAAAGAGACGCACTGATCAGCTAATTGAACTTCAGAAAATGTGGAATGAGTTGGAACCTATCAGTTGGAAATCAAAAGCTACAATGGATACCATCAGAAATCAACGTGTTTTTTTTATTTAATTTCAACCTCGATCTCCTCCGTCTTTGTTCTTTTTTTTTAATCGAAAATTAGGACTAGGCCCCTAGCTAGGGTTAATTTTTCTAATTTTTTTCGTTACTAGTGAGACCTTTCGCGTGAAAAATGAATTGGAATTTCTTCATTTCATTTTCGAAATCCATTTCTTCCTGAATATCTATATTCTCTTTCCGATTTTTTTTTCAGGTTCCGTTGGCACTTTTTCTGTAAAAAACAACATGATAGCACAATAAACAACTTCTAAAACTTATTTCTATCTCAAATTACCTGTTCAACACAAAAAATCATCGAAGACGGGGAAAACCGACCTGAAACTCCAAAATCTTACTGCATTTCGCTGCCGCCAAAAACAGCAGAGAAACGCGTGCGGCAAACTTGCAAGAAAAAAAAATTGAGAGCGTACTAATTTAGAGTGGGGAAACACATTCTAACAAAAATTTTATGGAAATTTCGAGTTTCGTGAAACCCGTTGCGGTATTTAGTGCGCCGCTACAAGACGTCGAAAATACGGTCGACCGCAACTTCCTCGCCGAGGCTTATGACGATACACGACGACTTGCCGAGGTCTCGTCTCAGTTCTCTGAGCGGCAAAATGTCGTCGCTCCGGCGAAATTTGCAGACCTGTGGTAAATATTTTTATCTTGGAAATGATCAAAACTCGTTCTGACCTACTTTCTTGGCTCATGGCGGGACGAAACTGAATTCTAGAACATTCGTCAATTGAAAAAATGCTGAGACGCTCAGCCGTTGCTTATTCATATTCGTTTGCTTCCCACCGGTTTCAATTTTTCTCGCTTGCAGATACTAACCTGTACTCCCCGAATCTGTTTCAATATGAGCGATAAGCCGGAAAGAAGTGGCTCCAAAGCGTCGGACTCGTCGTCGTCCACCAGCGAATTTCCAAATGCTGACCTCAGCATTTTCAGCGGATCTTTCGAAAATGGTCGGTGAAAAATGATATTTCTCACCCCAGTCTGATAATTTTGTTTTCAGGAGTCTTCACTTCCAACCTTCCACTGTTCGACTTCATGGGAGTTGGAAACCAATACTCTCTGTACTCGCCGCAGCCGTTCGTCAAGTCCAGCGACCCGTGCCGTTTGACTGCCATCACTACTCCAAAAGAGCCGTTGAATCTGAAACCCGCTGACTTCGGACTCGCTGATTTCTCTGTCGGAAACGAATCGTTCGCCGAGTTCTCCGCCAACAATTCGTCGTTCGTCGGAAACTTCCAAAGCAACGTCCGTTCTACTCGTCTGCTGCCCGCCTGGGCAGTCGACATGAGCGGAAATATTCGCGAAGATCTGTCGCTGCAGGAAGTCGTCCGCAACGGATCTCTCATAGACTTTGCAATGGATCGGACTGGAGTCAAGTTCCTTGAGCGTCATTATCCCGCCGATCCGGAAGATGATATGCACCGGATGCTGTTTGACAAGCTCACCGAGCAGAACACCGTCTTCACAAGCCTCTGCCGCAGCGCCGCTGGCAACTTCATCATTCAGAAGTTTGTGGAGCATGCTTCGCTAGATGAGCAGGACCGTCTGGTGGTCACGATGACCGAAACCGGACTCATCGAGATGTGCTTGGACAAGTTCGCGTGCCGCGTCATTCAGTTGGCCATTCAAGCAAGCTACTTTTGTGTCTAACCTCTATCGCAATTTAAATATTTTCTAGAAGTTCGATGAGTTGTCGGCGTCGAAGCTTGTCGAAGAAATCAGCAACTTGAACTTCTTGCCTCTGTGCACGGATCAATGTGCCATCCACGTGCTCCAGAAGATCGTGAAGCTGATGCCCATCAATGCGTGGTCGTTTTTTGTCAAATTCCTCTGCCGGGACGACAATCTGATGTTGGTTTGCCAAGATAAGTACGGTTGCCGTCTCGTCCAACAGACCATCGATAAGCTTTCTGATAGCCCAAAGGTAACCAACCCAGTTCTTCCAAAGGTTATCAAATTGTTTACAGCTCCCGTGCTTCAACTCCCGTCTCCAGCTGCTTCATGGATTGATGACGTCGGTTGCTCGCAATTGCTTCCGTCTTTCGTCCAATGAGTTTGCCAACTATGTTGTTCAGTACGTGATCAAGTCGTCTGGAGTGATGGAGATGTACCGGGACACGATCATTGAAAAGTGTCTGCTTCGCAATCTTCTGTCGATGTCTCAGGACAAATACGCCTCGCACGTCGTCGAAGGTGCGTTTCTCTTCGCTCCACCGCATCTTCTCTCGGAAATGATGGACGAGATCTTCGACGGATACGTCAAAGATCAGGAAACAAACCGCGACGCTTTGGACATTCTTCTCTTCCACCAATACGGAAACTATGTCATCCAGCAAATGATCTCCATCTGCATTTCTGCCCTATTGGGAAAAGAGTGAGTTCTACCAGATTACCGCTTTGCAACCCTTTTCTCCCAGGGAACGCAAGATGCTCCCGTCGGAAATGCGTCTCTACGCCAAGTGGTTCGACCGCATCAAAAGCCGCGTCAACCGCCATGCGAGCCGCCTGGAACGCTTCTCGTCGGGCAAGAAGATCATCGAGTCGCTGCAGAAGCTGAATGTTCCGATGACGATGATGGACGAGCCGATGCCACTGTGGGCGGTTCCGACACCGCTCATGGACATCACTGCGCAGCTCATGAACCGTCAGAACTGCCTGAAGCGTTCCGTCTTCGAGGAGTAACCCCCGCCATCGAAGGCTCCCCTCTATATATCTTGTTCTTGGACCCCTTGCCTCTGATTTCCTTTCCAGTTTATTGTACTATTACTCATTTGAAAGTGACACCTACTCGCCTCATTTGTAAGCTACCAGACCGTCGTTGTCCGATCTTCGGCACGCTTCTCTGATAATTTAATAACCGACGTTTCTTGTCATATACTTCTACTCTCCCGTGTACTTTTGAGTGTTAAGTTCTATTCGCATGACATAGAGCTTTTTTGCATTTTTCTTGCTATAGTATCGTAATAAAAACGATTGTAGCATCGTAATCAGTTCCATAAAACTTATGTTTCGTTTTGCTATTTATCGGAAATAGAAATTTTGAGAGACACCTGAATACCTTCATCATTCTCAGAATTTGAATGAGACTTTCAAAATTGCAGATGGGCCATTGAACCTGCGAAACAATTCTTTTCAGACATCGAAAATGACGGCCCAATTCATACTGATCAACGAGTTTCAACACATTGCACTCAGTAGAAAAAATACACAACTGAAGCAGGGAAAAAGTGGTATGTGTGGAATGGAAAGGGAACGAATTGAAAAGGAAGCACGTTTGTGAAGTGGAAATTCCAGATGTGATGCAAAAGCTACTAAAGAAGATAATTATTACAGGAACGAGTGCATTTATAAAAATGAAAACGATAAAATTGTGGCGGAGACTGGAAATTAGACGAATTCTGATGGAAAGAAAGAAGAATGTATCGAGGGGATCGTGGGATATGTCATGCCGATTTGTTGGAACAACAAGGCCGTCGACCGGATCAGTGAGCACAGCACAACGGTCTTCGGATCTGGTCTAAAGTTGACACAACGTGAATATTTTACAAGTAAGAGCTGAAGGGGACCTGTGATCAAAACGGTAATGAATAGAATAGAGAGAAGAATGGGTGACAATGGAAGAAACGGAATACGTGAGAGGACAGAAAAGTGTACACTGGAGTATGGAATGGGAGAAAGTGGACACGACAGAAGGGGCACACGACTAAGGGAACGAAAGGAAAAGCACGCATGATCAAAGAGAAGACCCGTTGTCGAGCAGTAGTCAAAGTGGGTAAGAAGATGAATGACGACAAGTAAAGTAGGATAACGAAATGGAAATGGATACACATCGATGAAAAGACGGGTAAACAGTGCGGAGGGCAATCACAGATTGTCCTCTTCGCGATTCACTGATGGGCTGCGAGGGATGCTGGGCGAGCTAATTGAACCACCGGCGATCGAAGAACGAATCTGTAACAGATGAGATAAAACTGGGACAAAACAACAACTAGAAGGTTCTGTCTCTCTCTCTCTCTCGAAACAGAGCATAAGCTGGTGTGGCATTCCCTCCCGAATCACACTGAGCACTCACCGATCCCTTTGGTTTGAACAACTCGTGCCTCGACAGTTCAAAAATGTCTGCACGGTCTTCCTTGCGATACTGCAGGCACCGTCGGATGAAGTCTTGGGCGGCCAAGCTAACCTGAAAAATTAAAATATAAGAAGAGTGAACTGACGGACAGTTGCGACTTACCCCTGGCTTTGAAGGAAACGACACCTCTCGAGCATTTATGATCGTATTGTACTCGAGAATCTTCTGTTGCGTTAGCTCGTTTCCAAACGGCTTCTTTCCATAAATACACTGGTAGAATATGACTCCTATGCTCCAGACGTCCACTTTGCTAGTGATCTTCGGCGCCGGCACCAAGAACGTCTCCGGTGGGAGGTACCAGTAAGTGCCTGCGAATTGCGAAGTCAGCTCAATTCCCACGTCGTGATCATCATTCTCTCCCTCCATAATCTTGGACAATCCAAAATCGGTGATTTTGATCGCTCCACTTGTATTTCCTGATTCGAGAAGGATGTTGGCAGGTTTCAGATCGTAATGAATGATCGGCGTGGGCTTCTCATTCAAATAGACAAGCGCAGAAACCACTTGCATAATGATACTTCTCGCCTCCTTCTCACTGATCGACTTGTTCTGCTTGAGATAGAAATCGAGATCGTTTCCTGGACAATATTCGAGGACTGTGCAGAAAGAGTGATTGTCGATGGTGAGAAGATCGTACTGTTTCACAATTCGACAGTGATCCAACGACTTGTGAATATCCTTCTCCCTCATCGCATGCTTCACGTAGTTCGCCTTCTTCTCCTCCTTCCAATCCTTGTTCACGTGGTGTATTTTGCAAGCCACGTAGCGATTCTCTTCTACGTCGAATGCTTTCCACACTTCGCTGAAGCCGCCTTTTCCGAGCAAGCTCAGCATAAGGTATCTTTTGTGAAGCAGTTGGTGATCCTTGAATTGAGAAGATGTCTCATTCGCCGCTCTTTTAAGCTCTCTCATGTGATGCTGTCGTTCTCTATCAAGACGGTCTCTTTCCATGGTCAGATCCGTCTCCTCCTTCTTCAGATGATCTCTTCGTAGTTTGTAGATTTCATCTAGCTCGACGTACTCCTGGTACTGAATTTCTTTCGGCTCCTCTGGTCGTCGGAAGATCGCGTCGTCTCCGGATCCGTTCGCGTTACTCGTAGAGGGCTGATTCACATCCAGCTGCACGACATTCGCTGCTGGTCGTTTAGGTTCCTTCCCGATACCCAGCGGTTTCCGTTTTTTCAACAACGCCATTGCATTCGCAATTTCATTGCGCTCTGCCGTGATCTGGTCACTCTTCTTGTCCAGCTCAGCGAACGCCCATCCGTCCACCCACTGGTCACGGAATGAATCACCCGTTCTCATTGTCTTGAATGTACCGATGCGCGGAGAATCAGTGGACGTTTTGTCACGAAGAGCCTTGCGTTCGATGATGTTTTTTTCGATAAGCAAACGCTTGTTCGTCTCTTTGGCTGCTTCAGTTCTCCGTCGTTCGATATTGTACTTTGTTTGCAATTCATCGAGCTGGCGACGATAATCCTCGATGATCCTGTCTCTCTTTGCAACTTCGTCGACCGATTGATTGCTGCTCTGAAACCTCTGAAATGAAAAAGAACTTGCTGACACGTTACGACATTCAAAACCAACCTGAGAGCCTTGTGACTGATCCGTCTGGGTCTCCCCATCAGCCTGTCGAACCAATCGATCAGCGTGATTCGTAGAAGGCGGAGATGGATTCGAGTTGGAATTTGAATCCGACGAATAGTGTTGCTGTTGCGACGGAGTTGGAGTCGCTCGGTTGTTAGCGCCCAGAGAAGCAGGCCAGTACTGCAACGGACCATGGGTATGGCTTCGAGAATATCCTTTATTTACCGTAGGCGTTATGTCATTCTGATTCATTTGCTGCGGTTGTGGTTGACCGAAACTGTTCGATCCGTTCTGCTGATTAGTTGGTTGCCTTTTCGGCGACGACTGATTTTGTTGAAACTCGTTCATCAAACAACGAGCCACTCCGCTTCCTTGCGATTCTCCTACCTTCATGAACTCTGTTATTTTTCGTTCGTGTTTCGGAGTCGCCTGTTCTTCCACCGCACCCCGTCTCCGCTTCCGTGGTTTCTTTTCGGTCGTGTTGGTGTTATGCGCGGCTGTCGGCCTGCAATAAACAGTTGTTCGTACTCGACAGCTTTTCGGATGGGTAATCAGCTTTCGCCAGAATAATCTCACGATTGTAGTCACGAAAAGACTGCCAACTCACCTTTGCGGAGTACCCCCGATATCCGGCTCTCGATCAGATATACTGCCAGCAGACGAGAGATTACTCGATTCGTTCACGTGCTGCATTCCAGAAGATGATTGACCAGACTGCTGTTGAGGTTGTTGCGACTGTTGAGGTTGCTGCATCTGTGGCGGATACATTTGGTGCTGTTGGTACTGCTGCTGAAACATGAGTGTGTTACATAGGCGATTACGCAATGCGGGCTGCTCACCTGATGGTAATGCATCTGTTGCATTTGCTGTTGGTGCTGCTGATTGTGGTACGACGGATGCATCCCATATTGCTGTTGCTGTTGTTGCTGCATATGATGCTGCTGTTGCATTTGCATTTGATGAGAATGCATGTGATGCACATTGCCGTTGTACTCTCGCATTCCATTGTCCATTGAGTCCTCCATCTGCAGGCACTGATTCATTTCGGTAGGCGACGAACGGGACAATCCGCCGTTCTGTGGCGCCTGCATCATAACCGAAGTTGACGGGTGGCCAGAGTTCTGCGGCGGATTGTGCATATATTGAGTGGGACCGAGCATTCCGCTGTTCATATAGGAGACGTTCTGAAAGTTAAAAACATTAGCACGTTAAAGAGGCAAATAACATGAGGGAAACAAGAGATCATGGGACACAGAAAATCAATCAATGCGCCTATTCTACTCGTGACCGTTTTTTTCAAATGGATCACTTTTCGTCCCCGACTTACTCCAACGTGACCCGTATCCCCGGTCGCCATCGTAATGCCCGAAATGCCGAGTTGCTGCTCGCCAACAATCGGAGCGTGATTCGATGAACCGTTGTGACTTTGGATCTGAAAATCGATGACTAGGCATTTCGTAATGGCCAAAAGAAAAATGACGTTTCACAATAGTTGCTGGTAGGAGGCAGTTCGGAATCAACCCACCCCACTCAAAACCCTTTTTCGGAATGTTAGTGATGAGAAAATTGGAGACGCGCCGATATCGAAGCACACGCATATGTCACAAAAAGGGAAGGGGCAAAAAGAGAATAAGCAGAAGAGGACGACGAGCAACGGCGGAAGGCGAGCACATCGGTGGCGGGGGCAACACACCGTATGACGTCATCACAAAACGGGCCAGCATGACAATTTCGGGAAACATTTTCGGTCTTCTTCTACTTCTCCTTCCCTCCTCACCCGTCAAAAAGGACTGTACAACGCAAACAACAAGAGCGGGCGGTGATGATGGCTGCGATGATACAGTCCATAACCAATTCGTCGTCTTTCCCTGTGTCCATGGCGCATTTCTGCGTTTCTCCACTCTCCACACTCTTTCCTTTTCGCCTGGTCCTGATGCATAAAAACGTATGCGAACCACTCGTTGTCCCGTCCGATTTCCATCCTCAACCCGCTTACTCCAAAATTATTATACACATTGGAAATACGAACGCTAAGGATGAGCGACGAGTCGGCAGAGAAGGAGAGGATATCTGGCCTACCCCAGCAAGACCAAAAGAGAATAAAACGACAAAAAATAAGAAAAAGACGAAGAAGGCTGAGACGGCTGAGATGACAACAACACGGAGCGCGGGAGAAGGGGAAAATGGCGACGAGTGCGGCGGAGAGGAAAAAAAGAAGAAGAACATTGCCCAACAGCCGCCTAGATTAGATATTATGCCAAATTAGGAGGAGGCACACGGCTCCAGAAGAGCGGAGAGCGCGGGGACGCGGGCCACGAAATCTATTAAAATCTGTCTGACGATGAGTGCAACGGACATAAACAACAGGCCACCGTTGGAGACGCTCGGCGACGAGACAGATGCAGGGAGAGGACGGGCGCCAGCTCTTCTTGAACTTGGCCTAACTTGCAGCGCTCGCGCCCACCCTCACTCTCTGCTTGAGAGACTATGAGTGGGAATGAAGAAACAACGTGCAGTCTTATCTTCGACTGATAAGACCTTTTAATCGAACCGAAGAAAATGAAACTGGTGGCAGGCTACAAATGTAGAAAAACAATGGAACTTGTGAAGGTGAACTGAGTTTCAAGTGATGAAAGTGCAGAGAACAAGAATGCAAAAGCAAGACTAATGTGAAGAAGAAAAAATGAAAGAAGTAGAAAAAGAAGAGGAAGGGTGGTGGTCGAGCAGACCAAGCAGAATCAATAGAGACAACATCGAAAAAAAAACGGGAAAAAGATGGAGGAGAAGTGGCGACGGGGCAGAGGAGTGGCGGTAAAAACGAGCAGCCGCAAAGTCCAATAAGCGTTTTGTTTTGTGTATGTCTCTGTGTCGCCTCATCGACATCTTCTTCTTCTTCTTCATTTCCGCGTGTCGAACACTCTCATCTCATCAGCAAATCGGCCCTCTTTTCTCCGCTACTACTAACCCAGAGACGCCGAATCATCAGCCACTGCAGCGGTCGGCAACAGCCAGGCAACTGAGGGCGATGACAAGAAAAGGACTACGAGTGTGTCATCACATATCATTTTGCCTTTATGACAGCTTGATAAATTCCATGTCTCTTCGTGTAAAGAAAAGGAAAATCAGTCTTATTTACGACAGGTCTTTGAACTATTTCTAGGTAGTGGAAAACGGGGAGAAGACATTAACAGGAGAAGAAGAAAGGACTAGTACAATCCCAAGAGTGAAGAGACATATTTCTCGCAAATCGCCGTCGCAAAAAATGAAAATTGTTCGGTGGAGCAACACACGACGAAAAACGCGCACATGCGAGGAACGAGACGAAAACGAGCAACAGGAGCAGAGAAGGAAAAGGGACGAGAAGACCGCCGTTTTGTCAAGAGCGCTGTTTGCGCTTTCAACACCTCAATGAAGAAAACGGCCATTATCCGGAGGATGGAGGCGCTGAAATTTGGAGGAGAACGTGGAGGCGCGTGACGTTGTGGAGAAACGATCGGATCGATTCATGCGGTTGAAACGCGCACGAGATCGTGGAGGGGTACACTGGCGCAAGTGCGCTCTAATGAAATTTAGCTTTGGTCTAATGCTTTAAGATAGGGGCGCTACGCAATCGACCGTTGGCGGAAATTCAAATTTAAATTTTCAATGTTCCGTCACGACCCCGTGAACGCGGGGCATGAAGAGACCGCACGAACAGAATATCGACCGACAAGAGAGGGCGATCGAAAGTGAAACCGAAAACCCAAAGTCAGAACCAGATCTGCAGAAGCTGTTGTTCCTTAATACGCTGTCCTACACCCGCAAGCTCATGTGTACGTCACCGACTGGCTAATTACACTAGCGAAAACACCTGGCGACTCAGACGGCGAGCGAGCAACAAAATGAAACCCAAATCTGGGGGCGGCGGTCAAAAAGAGAAAATAGTGAGGTGTTCGAGTCAATCGGCAAAGCGTAGGGCGACAAAACAAATGAGCGAGCAAAAGCAGCAGGAGCAGCACATAGCAAAGCCAACCAAATTGCAATTCGGCCTTCCTCTTTGGTGTTTGATAACGGTAAACACACATGTGATGACGACCAAGTGGTAGTGGTTGGAAGGAGGGCTAGGAGTACTTTGTACGTAATCGAATATCGATACAAACCTCATTGAATAGGTTTCGAAGAAAATGCGCCACGAAATGGACGCATAAAGCGAAATATATCAAGTCGGAAAACGAGGAGCGATGAGGAGAAGGAGGCAAAGAAACGGAGGGAGAGGCAAATGAATCGAAGAGGTCGAAACACACACGTACGCACCAGGAGGAGAAACTGAGGCCCTCTCCCAAACAACCACCATTGCCACCATGCCCATGCAAAATATGTGTTGAATGGGAAAAAGCCCGGGCGGCGTGTTGGCTCCGGGACAACAGCCTCTCCAGAACTGGTGGGACCACGAGCGGAAACGAAATACGCACCCGGCCGAAGGAGAGGACAGATAAAGACGTCGCCTGGCGCCTTCTTTTCTCGGAGCAGCGGCTAAGAGAGTGCTCACACTACTCGTCATTCCAAAATACATACGATGGCGAAAACGCATCAGTTGAAAAAACCAACGCACGGACTCTACCTATCAGACGATGAAGGGTTGCAGTGAGAAAAAAAAAGAGAAAGACACTTTGAAGAGACCGAGAGACAACGAGTAGCACGCTGCAGAGACGCAGATTGCACGTGTGAACGCGGTCGTTCGGACCGCTGAGCCCAGAACGAGGACTAATTTCACGAAAAATCATATTACATTGGCGGTGGTCGCGAAATGAAGGCGCGCGCGCGTGGATCCCGCGAAGGAGTCCATACTGATCTTAATAGAGTCGTTCAAATCGTGATCCATGCCATCACTGCAAAAGAGAGAAGGCAAGAAGCAAAGACGCAGACGGGTGAACAGAATAGTCGACAATAGAGTGCATGAGAAGCAGAAACACAGAGAACGGGAGGACGGAGATGCAGCGGAAAAGAACACAAACAAACCAACGCACGGACATACGGACTGAGCGGCGAACCGGCAGCAAGAGACAGACATCGTTTTATCCTCGTCCCTTCTTCTATCATATAAAACGTATACAGAACTAGAGGAACAGGGTTCGTCAGTCTTCTTTCTCCCGACCTCCACTCTTCTCTCTCTTTTTTCAATCTCATCAACAGCAACATCGATCACAAGTTCGTATCAAACGTTTCTCAACCTCACTGTTATTTTGAAAGAAAAATTCACAAATTATTTGTTCTTAACGAATCGAATTTTTACAAAAGAACGTGAGAATGATCAAGGAATGTCCTTCAACGGAATGAGTAGCAGGTGGGGGGGGGAGAGAAGAGCAGCTGTTAACCGGACTCTGGCATCAACCTTTCTTCCATGAGGGTATGTACAATACGGTCGATAGAAACTGGATAGAGCACGACCGGAAGATGTTAGAAGAATTACGTGTGGGAAACGGCAAAAGGGATGGAAGTAGTGACGCATCAGGAGGGCGACAGCGGTTGATTCTACGTAGATGCGGAGAAAACCGAATTCTAATTTTAGTGGGGTGCTCGAACAGAGTGACAGCATCAGAAGATGACTAAATTATCCGTTTGGAAAACTAGAAACGTCGACGAAACAATGCATTCTAATCGCGATTAATGTGTCGAAAGGCATCGCATTCCGCATCTACTTTTCGAGCACTTTTTTGAAAACTATTGTGTTGCGGAGAAGAAGTACTAAATTTGAACGCTCACCGTACTCATACTTTGGTTTTCATCCTCTTTCTCCAGTTTCTCCTGCCGTGGTAAGAAAGAGTCAAAAGAGCACATGATGAACGACATGACGGGGCCGCTCGGTAGTGTCGCCCCTCCAATTGTTTAGTGTGCAACCGACAGAGGAGATTTATGAATGAGCGGGCATCCAAGAGGGCCCGAATGAGAAAAATTGGTTTAGCCCTGGCTTCGCCATCGTTGTCGTTCACCACAGACGGACGGCCGGATGAGAACGAAGAAGAAGAAGAAGAAAGCAGCCGGGCCAAGCCAAACACCGAGTCGCTTTCGACGAGGACGACGGTTGGTTAGCGTTTTGTGTTTAAGTGAATGTGAGTGAGTGCGTGAGTGCGGATGTGTTGGCGGGGTGAGCGTCTCAGTCCGTGAGCGTATGCAATGTCCCCGTCCCGTCCGTGCGCGCATTTTGTGTGTCAAAGAGTGTTTTGTGGGCTGACGAAGAGATTGGCCGATCCCTCTTGGTTGATGACGACTTGTGCAGCAGCCATCACACCTATCTGGGTGGCGGTGTAGAAAGATTTACGACCAGAATCGGACGATTAGAGTTGGAATGAGAATTCGGAAATAGACATGTGAGAAGAATATTAGCTATCACCGGGTATCAAAGTGTGGTCAACGATCGGAGATAGTTACTACTATCAGCCGATCCTTTTCGAAGCGATAAACTTACTGTCGGCATTGTCTTGCTTTTGTTGTTGAAGAGCACATGCTCGGTAGCGAACCCACGCTCTCCTCCACCACCTCCTGAGCCTCTACTGTTCCCGCCGATGGTACCATCCATCGACATCGTTGACATGTTCGAGGACCAGGTTCTGCAAAATATACTTAGTGATAATGACCAAATAAAGTGAAAGCAAACGAGAAAATATGGAAGAACAAATTAAACATAACCCAGAAATCATGATAGACTCCAAGAGAGTGTAAACTGAATAAAGTGAGGAAATGGGGCAGAGAAGGAGCGGGCGGAAACAAGAAGAGAGTTAAAACCCGCGTAAAACTCGGATTAAGATGAATATTCGTGGAAATTTGTGCTCAATCGATAATGACTGTCATATGACTTTCTTTTCCAATTTCAAAATTTTTCCGCGTGTAAACAAAAGGAATGGCTTTGACTGGGGAATCAGCGCGGTGGGGGAGAAGAAAAAGAGTGAAAACACGAAGAAGACTTGGCAAAAAGGTAAGCGAATCGGGTGCCGAATGTGTGGCAGAGAAAGTGTAGAGACCGCCGACTTCCGTCACATGACCATCATCCATATAACGAGAACCTTTGTGTTCTCGTGCCCTCCCGTCATCTAGAAATCTCCTCTTTCTCTTCTCCAAAACATGCGCCATTCCTCCCTTTTCCATCGACAAACAAACAAAAATATGCCGCCCAAGAAATTCAGATGACACCAAAAGTAGTGGGGTTGCTATAGAAATATGCTCCAGTAGTGGATGTCTAATTGAAAATGCAAATGGCAAAGAAGTCGAAAGAAACGAGGAAGCAGAATCAACAAAAATACGAGGAAAGGAATGAGCGAGGAAGTGCGGAAAAGTGCGAAAAACGAAGAAACGAACGAGCGAAAGAACCATCTGTACAACGAGCGTATGCGAGATGAAGAGACGTAGAGAAAAATGGAGAATGAGGGCGGAGCGCCCGAAGGACATCAATTTCTCGCCCTTTCCCAGCCATACAAAACTGAAAACGATAACAAATGAGAAACGGATAGGAATGGAAAGGAAATAGTAGATTGCGGGCGCAGGAACAATTCGGGGGTGCGCGCATTTCAGAGTCACAAGCTGATCACTTATCAACTAATCCCGACAAATTCCTTCCATCAATCATCAAATAGATATGCATTCAGAAGATGAAGAAAGTGGGGAACAAGAAGAATGAGTTCGTTCGGTAACTACGAAGACGATCACGATAAGATCAAACGGACGAAATGAGGATTTCGGTGACGAGACAGAAACAGTTTCTATATTCTAGAAGGCAATAGAACAGTGATAGAGTTGTGTGGAATGAGTCACAGTACGGAAGGTATTGATGTAAAATCATCGACTGTACTTTTTACGAATTGATTCGAAAGTTTAGCGCAGAGACAAGTGTGAGCACTGAATTGAAAAGCGAGAGAATCGAGAGTAACAAGGTTAGAAAAAGGTAAAGATACAGAGTAGGACAATAAATAAAAGGGAGGAGAAGGAGCGGGGAACAACACTGCCGCTCTCCTCACAAACACAATACGCAAATCGATACAACACAAAACGAACACGCGAATTCTGTGGCGAAGAAAAAAGTCCGACAACATCGTCGCAGAACCAACCGGGGCTGCCACCACTTCTTCTCATTTGATGGAAAAGTTGGAGGCCCAGCTAAAAACAACGACGAGGTGGACTTTATGAGCATGTTTGTAAGCCGTTCTGCTTCAATTTCGACGCCTTTCAACATCTACCGTAACCCACAATTTCGTTGCAGGACCCGCGGGGGAGTGAAGGTGGACTAGTACGCAATGAGTCATTTGGAACTGTGCCAAAACCGAGTATAGTTCATAGGGATCCGGTTTAAAAAGCTCTTAATTAGAAGTGTGAGATACAGAAGAACTCGGACAATTTTGAAGTGACACCTACACTAGTCTGTTAAGAAACCGAGTGGGACAAAACGTTTGACTTGTGTTTATGATAAGTTATCAGATAATCAATCTGATTACTGTAGGATAAAAACAAAACACCAGAAAACATACATAGAAACATAGGAAACTAATGATGGCGAATCGGATACACAAGAAGCTAAAGGAACTTGAAAAATGAAAAAAAGCGCCAAATCATCTTGTGTCGTGTATAAATGTGAATTGGGTGGGTAGGAGGCCTGGTGGGAGATGCAACGAGAGAACACGGCGAGCGGAGAGACGTGGAGAAGCGAAGGTTATACATTGCAATCGGCCATCATTTAGCAAGTGAGCGTAGTGAACGAGAAGCAAGAGTGTGTGAGACGAAGAGATGCAGACGGGTTGCGGCGTCCAAGTAGCCAGTCAGGACCGGACCGCGGGAAGCGAGACATCGGGCTCGGCACGGACGGTGCAGATCGACGAGATGACCGAGTTAGAGAGTACTCTGATTTCGGAGGAGGCTGTACTACTACTCGTCTTTCCACAACACCACCCATTTTTTGCGTCCTCCCGCTCCTTTCTGTTGGTAGCCGAGGAGGCCTCGAAGACTCCGATATGGCCGCCGTCGTCGCCGCCGCCGCCACGCAAACGAAAGGAGCGAGAAGAGAAGAGAAACTAAGCGCGCCGTTGGATTTCTTGACCTATTCCATCCGCTATTTTCCCCATTTTCCGAGAGAAGACGACTACTCTCAGGCACATTCGCAGCACGACAACTACTCGCTCTCCGATGTAAGCACCGCCCACAAAAACGGCTATAATCATGTGACATCGAATGAGGCTCTCTTCTCATCAATGTGAGCAAACAAACGGCGAATAATACACCCCGAAAAAGTGAGAGACTGTTACTTGGTTTCGTAGTGATTGGGGTGAGTAGCAAGGAAACCCTTTTCCATACTCAATTATTATGCTTATTCACGTGTCTGACGATTCCAATGAATGTGAAAAGAAAAAATATCCCTAGGAAATCGCATCGTATGATCCCCATGCTATTTATTGACTCTCTTGCCGTCCAAATTGTCGCTTTTGAATGTAAAAAGAGAAGGAAATGTGAAGAGACAAGCTATCCGTAGAAACTATCAATTTGTTTCGTATTGTCTGAGAACTATACTGATCACTGATAACAGCCCGATAGGAAGAAATTGTGAAAAGAAAAGAAAGAAACGTATTGATGCCGAGTGAATTAGTTTGTCTGGAAAGTGGCAAAACACAACAAGATATGAGAAACTAGCCATCCAGTGAATGAGCAAATGCGGGGGGAAGTGGGAGGCTGAATACGAAATTCAGAAAAAAACGAAAAGAAAAACAAGAACAAGACGACGTTTACAGAATGGAACCAGGCGAAAGCACTCGTCCTATTAAACTTCGATCAAAAAGCTGCTTTCGAGGATTTACGACTTTCTCTATTATTTCCTCCCATTTCAAATGGGATTGAAGTCCATTCTTCGGAGAAAAATATCTTCCCACAAGTTTTTGTTTCCAAAAAAAACGAAGACTCACCAATGAGACACAGAGAAAACGCTTTCGGACCCGGGAACAATTTATTTTTCTTTGTGCGGTTTTGTGAATATTTGCGGCGAGGTTTTGTGTCAGAAGTGAACTAGCGGATGGCGGAGAGTGCTGATCGATAAGTGGTAATAGTAACGACAAGTACTGTGTATAATAAGCATTCGACTGGACACAGAGACCTCTGTTTGTGCACACAGCGAGCGATAGTTCACGAGTCGGCCGAGTTTGTTGCGGTTTGATAACATATTCGCCTTCTCTCGGCTTTTTGGACAAATAGCGACGGCTTGTGACAAAGTACTTTTCGCTTACTCAGACTGCGGAACGGGGTGTGCCAAAAGGGGCCAATTAAAAACAAAAGGAGAAATTGTTTTCTGGCAAATTTTGTTTTCGGTTTGGCGGCCGAATTTGAACTGACTTGCCGTATTTCACGCACAATGCGCGTAAAATATAGTGTTTGCACACCCAAGCCATTTTCGAAAAAAAAATCCGCCCCGTTTTCTGCTCAGTTGCTCGAAAATTAGTGTCTGATTTGGAATAGTTCAATTTTTGAATTATCAATCAATGTTTTAGCACTGTTTGTTGTTTTTTATTCGACGCATTCACCGAATAATCGATCCCTTTTGATCTGCTGCTATGCACTTCTAAGTACTGTGGAATATTCCGATCACTTACATCAATTTCCTTCTTTTCTATTCTTTTGATCGTCCTTCAAGCAATTCCATCGATATTTTGTTCCTCATTTTTCTCTCAGACCTTCTGATTTCAGGCCATAATGTCATTGGCCACAAAATTGCGCAGAGTGCGAAAATCGCCACCAGAGGGATGGGATTTGATTGAGCCAACATTGGAACAGTTCGAAGTAAGTTTTTCTCAAATCTATCTCAGCGAAATTATAATGTTCAGGCAAAGATGCGAGAGGCTGAAACTGACCCGCACGAGGGAAAGAGAAAGACAGAAATCAATTGGCCAATATTCAGGTGAATAAGAAAATAGCTAATATTATTTTCAAAAAACTGTTCAGAATCCACCACCAACGGTCTCGCTACATCTACGACATGTACTACAAGAAGGCGGAAATCAGTCGTGAGCTGTACGAATTCTGCCTGACTGCCAAGTTTGCCGACGCGGCACTCATTGCCAAATGGAAAAAGCAGGGCTATGAAAATTTGTGCTGTGTAAAGTAGGCAAAGTCGCGATGAATGGAAGTTTAAAAAAATTTCAGGTGTGTTCAAACTCGTGACAGCAATTTCGGTACCGCCTGCATCTGCAGAGTTCCGAAGAGCAAACTCGACGCGGAGCGTGTCATCGAATGCGTTCATTGCGGATGCCACGGATGCTCCGGATGATCGACCTGTATCCATTCCGTTTCATTTTTATTTTCCTGCGTGTACCTTTGATTTCTCCTTTTCTCATGTCTATTTCTAATAATAAATTATTTAAAAAATAGATGTTTTGGAAAGTGGACTAACAAGTTATGTAACTAAATCGATACCTTCACGACATTATTCGTAATGAGAATGCGCACAATTCTGAGTTCAGTATGAATTTCGACCCGAATCCGGATTTTCCTCAATTGTCCACAAAAGTGACGGTCGGGTGGGATCAGAAAAGAGGCCGATTCATCAAGGCGAAAGAGAATATTCCGGCCGGAGAAGTGGTTTGCATCGAGGAGGGACTCACTGTGAACATCAATCCGGAATGCTGCTATCGGTGTCTCACAAACATGGAAAGCACCGATTTCGCGTAAGAATGGCCAGAAACGTAGCTTTTAGAATGGAAACATTTGCAGATATTGCGAAGGATGCGAAGAGTTTCTGGAACCGGGCGAGCTGGCTTCTGGAGGTTTCGACAAGCTCGGCATCTTCAAACTTGCTGCTCACCTCGTGTTCTGCTATCCGTTCGAAGACATGGCCACCCTCGTTCAATCTTCCGATCCCGGTAATCGCTCGCTCATTTTGACTCAGAACACTTTATTCTATTACATTCAGAAGTGCCGAAATGTGCGCCCAAAACACTTTCAACAGACAACATCCAATCCGTTTATCAGCTGGCTCCGTTCCCGGAAATCGGTGAAACGTTCAAAGCGAAACACATTCAAGACGGCATTGCAAAGATTATGAAGGCGTTGGAAACGGTTTGCCTTCTTATTACTTTATTCAATTTTTGTTTCGTTTTAGGACTCAAACTGGGGAAGGTTAAAATTTCCAGCTCGTCTGATGACATTCACGAAATCACTTCGGATAATGGCAGAGAGATGCGCAAAGAATGCGCACACGATCTACAGTATCGAGCAGAAAGAGAGCGGGTGAGACAAGACTTTGAACATTCAAGAAAACAAACATTTCAGATCCGACGAGCTTCCTATTGGCACTGGACTTTTCCCCATCGCTTCAATTTTCAACCATTCCTGCACTCCGAACGTCTTTGCATTGTCAGTCACAGAATTCCGAGTTTCCAACATTTACCTTTTTCAGTTTTGTTCGCAACAAATTCTACTTCGTCAGTCGGGGAGTTTCGAAAGGCGAAGAGCTCGTGGACAGCTACGGAGTCACTTACAGTCAGAACACTCTTCCGCAAAGAACCGTGAGCTGAATTCTGGAAGGTTCTGCTCTAAACTCATTATTTCAGGAGTTCCTCAGAAACGTTTCCGGATTCCGATGCCACTGTGACATGTGTGTGCAGAAAAAGAGCGACGAAATGCTCGAGAAGAACTTCAATAACGTGGAGAAGTGTGCTCGCGACGTGATTTCCTTTCTGGATGTTTCCGAATACTCGGACTACATGACGCCCGGAACCAAAGATATTGAGAGTCTGATCGTCGCATTTGCCCGGAGACCAGATTCTGATATATACACAGAGAAGATGTTCGAGCTGTGGAGGACGTTCATCTCGAATGCAAACATGAGAGGAATCCTGTTCGATCCGTATCTGAGTGAGAGTGAATTCACTTTCAGCATTTCTAGGCTCCTTTTTTCCAGTCCGTCCATACATGGAGATGACTCTTTTGTCGTGGAGTGAACAGGTTCAGTGTTCGGAAGAAGAGAAGGCGTCCCTTCTGATGACCACGTCTCGACTGCTATCCACTTTCTATCAAAAGTTGCATCCACTGCACTAGTCAGTCTGAATATCTTCATCCAGATTCTTAAATTGACAATTTTCAGTAATTTGGAAGGATTGATCAATGCAGGAAATTCAAAAGATCGGGGTGCCATCCGAATGGCCATCGATCGTCTGAAGTATGGAGTACGGAGAGTGTGGCCGACTGAAGAATTTGGGGCGGAATCAGATGAAATAGATCTCGATATCGAAAATTTTTGATTCATTTTATTGCTAACCATTATTCATTCCATCTGCCAGATACATTTCTGGCACTTCCCCCCACTGGCACTTCTAATGATCTTCTTTCTAATAAACATTGTCTGCACTTTTTTCAGCCACTCCTCTCCCTTTCCGCCGTTCTATGACACCTTTTCCCCGTCACATTTGTAAGCCACGATTACCTGTTCTGTTCCGGAATTTGGCACATTTTCTCTCCGAAAATAGAATATTAATCCCTTTGCTGATAACATGAAGATGGTCAAGAGGCGAGCGAATCGATTGAATTCAAGGACTACACTGTTCAGGGCGGGGCGGCGAAAACGGGAAAACAAACTGGAGGCGTTCACGGAATGGGCTACTGGAGCGACGAAAAATGGCGTCACGGAAGAGGGGGCGAAGGCGATAACGGCAGGAAACGGAAGTTCGGAATGGAGTGATAAGAGCCGCGAGGAGTACGTTCGGACGGGTTTGGAACGAGGGAGATCGGAGGGTCTCAGGCCGTGCAATCCAGGAAATCAATAAACCATTAATCCCGATTTGAGCATTCTTATGATCTTAATTCTGATTCTTGACTTGCATCATAAAAATGCCATAGATCAGGTCAATTTCATTTCACACAGGGCTGTACGATAAGTATTGGAAATTGCTTGGAATCGGACGATATCCGTTGATCCTATTTGTCTGGAACTTTGTCTGATTCGGATAATGGCAGAAAAATTAGAGTCCGATTGGATAATTGATAATAGTGCAAACCTGTTTTTGCGGTTTTCCTTTAGAAAATCCGCTTACTGCAACCTAAACTTTCAGACCGTAAAAAAGAAAGCAGCAAATGAAAAAAGAACCTCAAACTAAAACTTATTTTATTTTTTTGTTAAAAAAAAACATTAAAGACGTGATGATAACGGAAAAAAAAGAGAAAGCGCAGAGAGAAAGAGAAATTAAGCTGCAGTATTTACCAGTGGAGAAGTGTGATAAGGAGGTGATAAAACGGCGTTTCATATAAAAAGAGAGGGCTCCGAGCGGCCCGACCATTTGCTTTTTTGCTCCGCCACGCATCGAGAGCCGAATGAGTAACAACAAGAATGATCCGAACGGAGCCGTCGGCGAGCCGGATGACGTTCCCGTCAAGCCGCCCAAGATATTCGACTTTGCCGAGTGGCCCTTCGAGATTCCTGACGTCTTCAAGGTGAGCTTCTTCTTCTTCTTCTTCTTTTTCTCCCTCTCTTTGCCCTTTCTGTTTTGGATTTCATGATTGCAGAGGAAAGAACTCTCCTACAACTACAACTACGATTTGGCGACGTCGAAAAGTCTGATGGTCATAAAAATGATATTCAAATGGCGCGGATCTCTGTGGGAGGCTGTTTACAAGTGAGTGCTCCGCCCAAAAAAATGATAACTGGGAGTCGTAAAAAAGAGCACGAGTCATTGTGATATCGAGAGTTCGTGGGCAGCTCGTAAACTGACGTCGTTCCCGATTACAGAGAGTTGCTCGCATGGATCTGTGCCTACACATTCGTCTCGCTCATTTATCGATTCGCCCTGACAAGGAATCAGAAAGAGTAAGTGATGTCAGAGGAATGACTGATCGATTGGTTCATTTGAGCACCGATCAACTGACTGATCTGTTATTTCCTAATCGTTTTCCCACTTCGACACTCACTCTTGCAGTCTCTTCGAGAGATTCGGAGAGTACTGTGATGCTCGCATGGGCTATTTGCCCCTCAATTTCGTGCTCGGATTCTTCTGCAACATCATCATCCGGAGGTGGCTCAAACTGTACACAAGCCTCGGAAACATCGACAAGTGAGCCTCTTGTTTGGAAACCGAAAAGTTCCCTACTTTCTTTCAGTATCGCCCTCTTCGTTTCTGCCTACGTTAGAGGGAAGGATGACAGAGCCCGTCAGATACGGAGGAACATAGTCAGGTACTTACTGCCGTCCCCCTCTCTCTCATTTCCACATGCTTCTCAGGTACTGTGTCCTCTCTCAATGCCTCGTTTTCCGTGACATACACGTCGGTGTCCGTCGCAGATTTCCAACCCTCGAATCGATCGCACAGGCGGGAATCCTGCTCCCGCATGAACTCGAAAAGTTCAATGCGATCAAGTCTCGATATCAAAAGTACTGGGTCAGCTTCAACTGGGCACTCGAACTGCTGAATGTGGCCAAAACGGAGAAAAGCATAGATGGAGACAATGCGAGGAACGCGATCGCACAGGAGATCAGCAAGTTCCGTGCCGCACTGACGACGGTCTCCATGTACGACTGGGTGCCGATCCCGCTGATGTACCCGCAGCTGGTGAACATGGCTGTGCACACCTACTTCTTCCTCTGCGTCTTCACGCGCCAGTTCTTCATCTCCGCTGATGCTCACAACAAAACTGAAGTGGATCTTTACATTCCTTTCATGACTATCATCGAGTTCATTTTCTACATGGGATGGCTGAAAGTGGCGATGGAATTGTTGAATCCTTTCGGAGAAGACGCTGATGATTTCGACTGCAATCTTTTGATCGACAGAAATCTCGCCATCGGACTCACCTCAGTCGATGAGGCATACGACCAACTGCCCGAGGTGAAGCCGGATGTGTTCACGGGAAGATCTGTGAAGCCGTTGGATTCAGATGACACCAGAAGTTTGAAATATCACTTTGGAAGTGCAGCTCAGTAAGCGAACACTATCAAAATGTCAAGTACTGTAATATTTCAGAATGGAAGAGATCTCCTATCTGAAAAAGGAAGAGGAGAAGATGATAAAGGCGGGAAAGAAGCCGAACAAAATGAAGCTGTGGCTGAAGAGCATGAAGCGAAAGCGCTTCGAGACTTCGGCGACGCAATCCTACTCGGTTTCCTTTCCGATTCCCGAGTGACTTCCGTTCCAACAAACCAATCACGGGTCCTCCGAATATAAATCAACTTGAAAAAACAATCAATAAAGTGTGTGTCTTCTTTGTAACCTGTCCTTGCAACAGATCTTCTTCTTCTCCTTATTCTGCAGAGATCTCTTCTGCACTTATCTTTTTGTCATCTTGATTACGCGTTCTCCATTCCCACCAAAACGATGCGTTTTCTTACCTTTTTCCAACTTTGGCTGTCCATTTTCTCACTGGCCGATGCTCTCCGAATCCTTCAAATCGTGCCCGGTTTCACCAATTCCCACGTGCTTTTCAACTACAGACTGGCCGAAACGCTCAGGTAATCAAAACGGCCAGAGACTACAAAATAGAAATAAGAATTGTGTTTCGTTCCGTCGCATTCAGAGATCAGATCTTACACATTCTCCCTTCTCTGCCCTTCGAGAGAATATGCTTTTCTGCTTCCTCACTTCGAAAACGGTTTCACACTATTCATTCAACATGATAAGAATGGCGTTTCGAATTCCAATTTCGCTCATCGCGGCCATTCTCTCAATTCGCTTCGGGACCCGCCCGTCCTGAAAGTAGCTGCGCCTTCAAAGGTTCGCTCGCCGCGCGTGGCCTTTTCCTCCGTTTGTCAACGAAGAACAAACTATTCGTTCGCTTCAGATTCCTTGGCCACGATGTGAAAATGTGGACTCAAATGGAGATGGCGATGCTGGACACTGGAAACAATAAACTTCCAGAAGACGTCGTCGAGTACAGAATACCCATTCATTTCACAGATACTCTGAAAACAGAAGGGCTCAAGGTTCCCCGGTTTTTTGGTTTTCAATTCCAACCTTAACTGGTTCCAGGTCTTCCAATCCATGATGTTTTCGTCCGGCGACGCCCACGATCTCTGGTGGACAGGCCAGGAGTTCAAGGACATGAGAGTGGAAGCCTGCGAGCAGATGCTCACCCACGACGAAAGAGTTTGATTAGCATTCATTCAGCAGGAATGACGTTTGACCAACACAGGTGTACGAGGAGTTTCGGAAGGACGGATTCGACGTCGCCATCGCCCACTTTCACGACTTGTGTCCTTTGGCTATCGCGAAAAAGATGAATGTGAAACGGGTGAGCGTTTGCACTGACTGACCGACGGAGATCAGGTACACCGATTCCGAATTGTCATCGTTTCGAAGAAAAACGCAACGGAAGACTGCCTACCTACCGCCGCGATTATTGGAATTCGAATGTGCGCTTGCCTCTGTTAGATTGTTGTCTCTAGTTAGGAACAAAAGGATTCTGTGTACAAATCGGATGATAGTTGGGACATTCTTCAGGTCATCTGGATCACGCACGGCACCTCAATCTATGATTTCGCCGCTGTGCAACTCGGTCTCCGAACCATCCCATCGTCAATTCCGCATCCTCTCTCTTCTGGTAACTCCCCAAAAAGGAGGTAAAACATCGACCCTGTTCAGCTGGATTCTCTCAGTCGTTCGCCGACCGCCTTCAGAACACTCTCTGGCACCTCTCCCTTCTCGACTTCGTGAATCTCCCTCAAAACCTTCTTATCGATGAGAACCTTTTCTACAGAAGTTTCCCCACAAAACCTGAAATCGTTAATGGCCTTTTTTCAGAAATGGTGGGAGCCGATCAGGACGATCTGTGGGACCTGGCCAAGAGCACAGTGCCTTCTCTCTTGATAAATGGGGACAGAATGCTCGATTTCCCGCGTCCACTGCCCCTTCACATCGCATTCTCCGGAGAGTTGGGAGTGCGGAAGGGGAAGAAAACAACCATGGAGCCGTGGTTGGAAGAAATAATCGAGAAACCGTCAGAAGGTTTGATCGTCTTTTCGTTGGGAACTGTTTCGAATACAACGAACATGCCAGCTCAGATGATAGTAGGCGATTGTAGATAGATTTTCCAATGCAACTACAATATTCAGAATTCCTTCCTCGGAGCATTTGCCAAGTTGAATACATACACCATCCTTTGGAGAATGGAGAAGTCAGTAGAAGGAGCAGAGAAAGTGGACAATGTGCATTTGGTAAAATGGTTACCGCAGAAGGACATCATGAGACACCCGAAGATGAAGCTGATGATCGCCCACGGAGGATACAACTCGTTCTTCGAATCTGCGCAGGCCGGAATCCCCGCAGTTCTCATGCCTCTTTTCGCCGATCAGAAGATTAATGCGAAGAGAGCACAAAGATACGGAATGGCCACAGTTCTTGATAAGCTGGATCTGACAGTGGAGAAGGTCCACGAAGCAGTCATTGAAGCCCTGCGGCCACAGTCAGAAGACTTGTTCTTGTCCATTCGCCCCACATCTTTTCTTACAGATATTCTGAAAACGCGAGGAAATTGTCGGCGATGCTCTCCGACCAGGTCTCTCAAATACCGTACTCCGCCCTACAGTACTCCCTCAAACTGGCAACCAGCCCGAAACCGTCCCTTTTCACCCTCAAGTCTCAATACCTTTCATTCCTCGAGTTCCATAATCTTGACGTCATCTCGCTTGCCGTTCTCGCTTTACTTTTCGTTCTCTGCTAGAAATGAATCCATTTGATCGTGGTGCCGTCACTCAGACGACCGCCGTTCCGTCGTTTCTGTGCGTAAGACAACTTGGTAGCAGCAGCAGCAGCTCCAGACAAAAATATTTACCGCCCTGCTTGTTATTGACGTGTGCGCGACCAGGAAACAGAAACGTCGGGCCCATCTCGGGAAGCAATCGAATCGCCGACGGCATCCGAAATAACACCCGTACTATGATCGGTCTATAGGGACTATAGGCAGACGGCGATCAGCTGCAAATCTTGTTTCGCGACTCGAAACACTTTCACTTCTCTCCCGGACCGATTTCGATCAGTGAGGATTGGTGCGTTGACCGGCGGAGAAGGGCAGCTGACCAGAGGAATCAAAAGCACAAACGTCGTCGGTTTGTTTGTCAACACTCAATTACACGGACGCCGGAAAGCACGGTGGAGCCCAGTTCCAGCCAGACGTTCGAATCAAAACACACTTGAGAGTGGCGGCGAACACTTTGAAGCAGAGATCCGGGGTTGTTATCTAGGAGCAGAACACACAGGTCTTCCATGGTAAAGCTGCTTAATTCAGATGCATGGAAAACAACAGAGAACGTATGCTATTGCTACCGCAATCCACACTCTGTTTCACTGTTTCGCTGTAATCGGCGGCAGACAGTCATCCGGAACTCGTTCTGATATCTGATGTCAAAAAGGGCAGACAGTTGACATCAGACGGCAAGAGAGAGCACGGAGACAACGAGACGCAAACACAAACAAGTCAAAAACCATGTCTGGTATTACACCTGGAATTAGTCGAAAACCTGAATTCTGAGAGAGCGTTTGAAAATAGAGAAAACGTCCTTGTACTCGAAAACGTTTTGTGTCCTTCTGTTCTGCTCCATCGGAAATTGTATTTTGAGAACGTTCCCTCTGTACACTTCTGGAACACTCTCCGTCTCTTAGTAGGCCGCACTGTCTGGAATTGCATACAAAAGAAGCCGATTGCTTCTGTGGTGGGGCGGGCGGGCCGAGTAAAACACATTGGAGCGGAACGAAGGACTGAAATATCCGATAGTCTGCCTGCACTTGTTGTCAGTTGCTGTCTGACAGTGCGTCTCGCCCCCGCACCGAGCCCCCAGGCCATCCGTTTCGTCGTCCGCATTCTTCTGAATTGCACTGCCCTTTTGCTCGAGACAGTCTAGACCGCTGTGAATACCAGTGTACAGAGGGCCAGACGAATGCGCGTCGCCCGTTGTTTTCAACTGATTATCGTCAGCAACGAATCTGATGCGTCTAGACGGGCCAATTTCCCTTTCTTTTCGTTCCGCCTCGATTTGTTTTCGGTTGCTGGAAAGTTCTTCAGAGCAGAAGGAAAGAAGAAGAAGAAGAGGAAGACAAACGAATTGTGCACTCTCTGCTAGTTTTCAGTCATTGGTGTAGGAGGATCAAAGCGATTAGGAGTCGTCGGAAATGCGAGAACCCGTAAAAAGAAGAAGAAGACGAATGGGTCGGATAGCGGACACCACGGCTACCGTACTCAGATGACGTTTCCAGTTGTGATGGCCTTTGGTTGTTCAGAGAGGAACGAGCGACTGATAAGAACGGCCACTGTACTCTGAGCGCCCCGGAGAAAGGGTTTACGAAGTTTATTATCTCCATTCAAGATCTTCCTGATATCCCCAGCTACCGTACTTCTGCCGAAAATCCATGTTGTTTTTTTTTCCTTTCACTCTCATTTTCTTCCGAAAATACTTGGATTTGTCCTCGCACATTCGTTATGATGGGAAAACAAGAACATCGTCTGCTTCTTGGTTTTCCTCTACCAGACAGTTTCTGACACCAACAACCACTTGTTTATCGTAGACTGTCGTGGCCGCCTTCCGAAGCTTCACTTTCGTCCGCGACGACGTTGATGTGTGTAGAGTGATCGAAGCGAAAGACCCGTCCGTGTGGCTACACATTAATCTTTAGCGAGAGGCTGGCCGAGACGCAGACAGCGTCTAGACGGCTGCAGTGCCCGACCCTATCGAGTTCCGACCCCTTGCAGGCGCCGCCCCATCCGACTGCATGCCCTCCCATACCTCCTCCTCCTCCTTCTCCTTGCATTGCGTGCCCATTTCGCGCCCTCTTAATCTATTTTTTGTATTCGTCTTTGTCTTTTTCATTTCTTGCAACTCTTATCACCAAATGGCGGCCGCCGTTAGCTTATTACCAGCACCAATGCTGGCAATTCGCGTGCGGCGGCGCCAGCTGTTTATTTAATGGCGAGGTGCTCTGCTGCGTGTCTGTCTGGCCTTTTTTCTGTGCTCGTCTACACATAACTTTGCTTTCCCTCATTAGTATAAGATCACAATTCGTGCGCGTCATGTTCGTTTTCTGAAACCGCTAATTTCTTCCTTGTAGGCTATGATACAGGAATGGTTTGTGGATAAAGTGTCTCGATTCCGCAAACGTTTCGATCATCAGGAGTTGTCTGAGCAGTCAACGTCTTCTTTCAATTCTTCCTCTTCTTCCTGTTCCTCCACTTCTGGAAGATCCAGACGCAGCCGCTCCCTCTCCGCAAAGAAAGAGCAACGAGCAGTCCAAATGAATTCACGGACTCGCGAGATCATAATAAACCAGATCACTCGAAAAGCGGTAAGTACACGTTCTTACTTCCTCCTTTTCCTCTCCGTTCGCATATCCGTTAACCATGCCTTTTGTGCGTTCTCCTCTGGCGTTTCGGCCTATTGTTCCTCTCGCTAACATGTATTTGTCGTCACGTGAATCGGCGCCCCGACACGGTGATCAATTTTTTATGAGCGCACACCGAAAATTCGAAAAGCACGGCGATTTGAACCCGAGGTTATGGTGATCTGAGCGGTCGGAGTGGAAGCCCGATAATGTGTATGTTCAAACTACACTTCACGGACTAACGATCGTCTGCTTTGCCATGCACGTCTCATAGAATCGATAAACATTGTGGCGAGCGCCCCCAGCTAATAAGGGAATCGGAGCGTCTAATTAAAGTTGTCCCTCGCTCTCAGCCTCGTCACTCTCAGCCAGAGCCAGCCCTCAGCTTTTTCGGAGGTAAAGAACAAGAAGACGTGTTTGGGTATAGATGTTCACTACTGTCTAGTACTGTAGGTGTGCAAACAGCCGCCGACAATGACATCAAACAGGAATCTGCAGACAGTCGGACACAGCCAGTGTTTGAGTCACATGTCTGTCTGGGGCGCGAGACAGTGACGCAAGTGTGGAGGGAGCCGTCACGCAGACACTTGCCCGCACGGTTATTTTTAACGGGTTTGTTTCGTTCATATCTAAGTTCACAATAATACTAGTAGAATGTGAAGAGCTCGCAAGTCTTATGCTATTTTGGTGTTCGAGTGGGCCGCCCGTCAAGTCAATTTCCCAGTAAGGCATAGTGGGAAACTGGAACAAACAAGGGAGCGAGTATGTTCCAAAGTAAGACACTAGTGAGCAGGAACACGCACTCTTCGCTCCAAGAACCATCGTCACTGGACTGAACTGCCACGACTTCTCTTCTTGTTATCAGTGCTACGAAACAAGCGCTCGTTCTGTGGCCTTTCGCTTATTTGCTCGCGTGTCTCGTGCCCTTCCGTTTCTAGTCTCCTCATCCGCGAAACGCAACAAACGCAACAAACGCGACATTTCGCCCTTGGCCCTCGGAATTCGGCGTCCGAAGACCAACGTCTCCTGCGCTCTCCCAAACGCGTCTTTGTTCCCGTCGTCCTCCTGGAACGACGCGCTCCCTCGGCGCCGTAGACACAACAGGGCGCCTCTCGCCGCAAATGTTGCGATTCTTGCGTCGTCTGCTGCATACTTGCCTGTCTAGACAGACACAACCCGCCTTTTTCCCATCCTCAAATAGATAATGATCCTTTTGGGAGAAGGGACCAATGAGCAAACAGAAACCTAACTCCACTCTCTTTTCAGCATAACGCCTACTTCGAACTTCTGGATGAGAGTGATACTGTATCGGCGGTCTGTCCGGAATGCTCGAAACGGAAGGGAAAGTTCATTGGCACAACATGCGGAGATCATGTGCCCATTTGCAAGTACTGTGTGTACGTGATGATGCTCGCGGCGGTGAGTTCCTCTCCATTATTTATAACCACGGTGCGCGGGAGCGGGGGCTATTCAATTGATTCGAACGGTCCCCGACACAAACTAGACTTTATTCGCATTGTGTTTGCACACCAAATCACAATGCAATCAAATCAAACAGTGCGCGACGTCTGTCCACTCGGAGACCATCAGATCATTCGCTATCACTTCCCTGAGAGAATGAATTGCTCCAAGGGATGAGCGGCTCACAAGAATGTTTCTCGCCGCAGGGGGAAGCGAATAAACTTTGGCCGTGTGGCACTCGGGGCGCGGCGGCTCGATTCCCCACGGGTCCCGGTCGTAGTTCTGCACGCGCGTCGTCCTAAAAATCGAATTTGACGAGCCGCGTCTTAGCACGTCGTGAGCCTCCGGTCGTCTGGCATTCGCTCGTTTCCGGGGGAATGGGGCCGAATGACGGGGACGCCAGAGACCAATGCCGAGGGGGAATTGCAAATGAGATGGGGGAGCAGCGAAACAACAACACACACACATACAAATATTTACAAAGTTTAAATTGCAGATCCGTGAGTACCAAGGAGGTGTTCTGACTGCGAGCTGTCCTCATTGCTACGCTCTGATGCATACACTAAAGAGAATTTCTTCGGAACGCCCTCATTCATTGGTCAGTTTCTGCTGCATTTACAAACGTGTCAGCGTGCTGCTCCGCTTAATTTAATTGAAGCTGCTGCGTAATATTTTGCGTTGAAAACTGAGGGAATGATGACTAAGCTCGTTTCATGATATTCAGACGGATTTTCTCTTCTGCTTTTTGATATTATGATCTCAGCGGCGATTTGTGTGTGTGTGTGTGTGTTTTGGAGAGAATAACACAGCATAACACAGCCAAGTGAGGCGTAACTTCCGCTAAAACCAACAGAATTCTGATCGTGGTGGCTTATTCACGTCACAAAACTTCACATGAGCATCCGGAAATAAGAGCATTATTTTCAGAAGGAGATCGAAGGGGATGAGAATACACCGACCCCGGAAGTTTCCCGTCCGGCTGAAATAACAATCTCGATCAGTGAATACGCTGCATCAATCTACCGAGAGTCGAGAGGAGGACGTGTGAACAGAGCATACGACTCGTCGAGTTCGCTCTAGGCACCGCAAATGTATATAATCTCCTCGCTTCTGCTGTCATTTAATCTACTTGTCATTTCACTCGGCTCAACACCCTTTTATGCATCGATTCATTGTCGCCTTTCCGCCTATTCTTCGCTGTCTTGCTACTGGAAATCTCTGTAAATGTATGTACGGTGTTAAACTCTCCATTCGAAAGTATTAATTTCCTTCTGCTTCCGGAACTCTCACTATTCTATTTCCTTTCCACGTTCTTGGGCGACATAACTTATGAATTATTACTATTGTTTCCGTGTTCTTTTCTCTTTTCTTATCAGCTGCCGTCGACATTTGTCTGCGAAAGTGTAATAGACCAAGGAACGGACACACTCTAGTTTCCGGAATTTCTCTCTCTCTCTCTCTCTCTCTCTCTCTCTCTCTCTCTCTTCCGGAAGGGGACCCTCGCAAAACGAGACGGCCAAAGTCCAGTGAGTCAGACTAATGACGCTCTGAGACGACGACCAAGTGTTTTCTAACGAGGCACGTCGCGGCGCCCGTGCCTGCTCGGCAGTTGCTGAATGGAGCAGACTAGACAAGGCTGTGCTCTTATTATAAATTCAGGGAATCGAAATGAAAATAATCGGAAGACGACACTGCCTTCCTGTCTGCTGCATTAAAGATACCGTTTATTTCCTTGAATGTGGTTTTGTCCAAAGTTTGACTGGGTGTCCATATATTTCACGAGGCAATCTTCAGCGCGCAAACCGAAGGGGATTCCGATACAAATAGATTTTCTCGCGCACAAATGCAATTTGATTGGAGACAATTCTCAAAAGTTTATGGTCGACCGATCATTCTTTATGTCTGTCTAGACATACGTCCTTGTTTCCGGCATTTCATTACTTGCCACTTCCTTTTTCAGCGACCAAAAGATCAGGCACACTCACATGCACAACTACCGTACTCCTGAAGCAGATGATGTTCGGCGCCTGAATTTAGATTGGATTTTAGGAGCAGATGTGCCCTGGGCGTCAGAGGGCACTTGCAGACTCGTGGGGGCTCGGGCGGCGCCTCTCTGAGCACACATTGCCGTCTTTCTCTTTCTCGGATGAGCGGTTCCGTCTAGACAGACGAGTGTCTGCACGTGTCTCGCCAATCTGAAATGGCTTTTTTCTTTCCAAACTGCCAAGTGCTCAGTCGTCTTCACGTATTCATAACATGAAGGTTTCAGGGTTGAAGGTGGCGAAACTACGCAGAATTCACTTGTGATCCTGAGAAAAAAAATGGGAACTGAACTATGGTGTAGGGGAGCGAAAAGGCCAACCGGCCAGCCAAAGGTTGCGGTAATTACAGGGAGTGATTCATGGGACGTCGTGGGAAACTGACAATCATTTTTCGACCTTTTCGAAATGGCAAAAAGTTGAACGCAGGGATTTCGGATTCTCGTCCAAAATCTAGAGTGCGGTGCTCGCATAAGTTCGAGCAAATGAATTTGGAAAAGTGCTTTTCGCTTCACAGAGCAAATGAGTCGAAACGTGTCGTAATTGAGTTGCCTTCTATCCTCGCCGACTGATTGTTTAGTCCTCCAGACACCAGTAAGACTTCTCCGTGCTCTTTGATCGCCGAAAGTTCTTTTCGAACGTGTCAATATGCTCTCCCGCCTACTCAATATTTCATTACGTTTTCCGGAAATCGCGGAAGGGCTCGCCGAGAATAGAAAAGTGGGCGCTTCTATTTTTATGATTGAATATCTTTGTTCTGCTGCAAGACGGGCGGTGTTTGGTGTGATTCTGAAGTCGCCGCCGGCTCGATTTCATCGTCGATCCATTAGCCGAAAACATCAGAAATCGACTGCAACCGAAATAGTTTTGGGGTCGACCGGGAGCAGCGACAGCTGTGACATGTCTAGACGGGGCCCAAGAAGTCGTACTTTGATGATGATGGAGACGTCGTCGGGGTCCAAAGAACGAGCGGATCGTGTACTGGATGAGATTAGACGCCGATGTTTAGGAATGCCGATTGCTCAATCCGGCCACGAGATTACTATGCGGCGGTCAACAGGGTGAAGCGAAAGCAAACAGAGGGCATCCCGCGGGACAGAGATCCCGTGCCGCACAAAAACACTTTTTGAAGGGGAATGCAACATTCAAGCGGATTAGAATATGCTCAGAAAGTCATTGTGAACTGATTGAAATGGGATTAACGAGGACTAAAGAGTAGCAATCTGAAGGGGCATTTCCAACTCTTACCCGTTGTGTTTCCTGACACTTTTTTCGAGGTTCCGCTGCGAACATAAAATGAAGCAGAAGAGCGGCTGTAAAAGTTGATGTGCACACATCAAACGGAAGATATAAAACACCCGGGAGCAGGCGAAAGTGACCTGAGTTCCCTTACCGTATCACGATGAACGGGTCTCTTCCTGTTCTTGTCTTGCTCTCCTTGACTGTCGCAATGGTCTCATCAATGGGATTCTTCATGAGTGAGTTGAAGAGCTCGGTTTCTAGGAAAAGTAGTCGATTCAGGTGAGAACTATGCAGCGAGGACGGCGCCGAAGGGAGATTGGCCGGATACTTTCCCGAAACATCCGGCTGGATTCAACTATAAATGCAGAGGAAGACAACTCGGACAGTTCACGAAGGCGCCTGCTCCGACGACTGTTGCAAGTGCCCCTGTTCAGCAGGTCCTGCGCGATGAGATCGGTGGAAACTTGGTGCCATCTTCCAAAGCACCAGCTACTACCCACGTTATAACTGTGATTCCGACCACTCATAAGCCAGCCACGACCACTTTGAAACCAACAACGAAACTTCGTCCAACGACTACTCTCTCAACCATTTTGACCTCGAGAGCGGCAGCAGTAACTACTAAATCACAAAAGGGAACGACTTTCTGGATCAGAACTCCGACTCCTCCGAACGCTCCGAACGCAGTCTATCCGGGCGCTCATTCGGTCGGAGTTCCTCTCTCCGCCACAGTCGCCGTCGACTCTCCGTTCGCTCCAGATGCCGCCCTTGATCCTCTGAATGGTGCCGCCGAAAGCGATGACTTCGACATCAAGACAGTCGGAACCCCGAAGCCGCCAAGAGCTGTGATTGATCCAGATGCTTAATTTGTTTATGAATGAAGTTAGCCTTGATGTGTGATTCATTGAACTGTCCCGCTCACCCCTCTCCGCGCATTCTGACGTTTCAAACCATAAAATAGCATGCAAAAGCGCGTCCAAACTTCAAATTTTAATGACGCTTTTGTTGTATAAAACTATCGTATCTCTGCACCGATTGTTCGAGTTTTTCAATCTTCGATAATGATCGGCTCTTCTCGTTTTCTGACCCTTCTCTTCGCTATCGTTGGATCGGCTTGTGCTATGTCATTTATCAGAAAAAGTAAGGCGATTCCGGATTGTTCCAATTGTTGAAGAGACGTTGTCGCAGATTATGAGGGTCATCGAGAAAGTGATTGGCCGGCGACGTTCCCCGATTCTCCAGATGGATTCTACTTCGGATGTAGAAGATGTCGGTGTCAGTGTGCACAGAATCCCACGACGAAGAAATCTTCAACGACAGCGGCTCCGACGTCTTCATCGACAGTTGCTCCGACGACCACAAAAACTGTAAAAACTACAGCAACGACCACTGTTGTCCCATCAACCAGTACTGTGCCAGCTACATCGCCCTCCACTTCTGCTAGGCCGACAACTACTCAAGTTCCTTCTTCGTCGTCAACTAAATCGGCAACTACAAACGCCAATGCGGATATGGATGTGCCTCAAATGTTCGGTGCACCGTTCACTGTTTTGCCTGAAAGCGATATACCTGGAAATGATAGAGTGGTCGCCGATGAAGTCGATGCCGGAACGACGGTGACGGAAACTGGAACAACCTTTTGGATCAGAACTCCGACTCCCGCAAATGCCCCAGATTCTGTCTACCCGGGATCTGGAGGTGTTCCTGTCTTCGCCACCGTTGCTTTCAATTCTCCGTTCGCTCCTGATGCCGCGTTGGCTCCGTTGGACGGAGGAGAAGCTCAGGATGATTTGGATTTCGGCATTCGGACCGTGGGAACACCTAAAGCTCCGAGAGCACCAATTGACCCCGATGCATAGATGAAAACGGAAACTTGTTCATTAATAAACACTATTTTTTTAATCGTACAAGATTTATTAGTTACAGCTTCTTACTGACATTATTAAACACCGGAGAGGGCGACCTGCTCGGCGCTTCGTAGATCTTGTCGCCAATCACTGAGTGAAGACGGTTCTGTTGGACAGAAGAACTGGAAAAATAAACTTTTGTATTGATTTAAAAAATGGTTTACTCGAAAATGTTTTCCAAGAAAGAAGCAGACGCGGACGAGGTAGGCGTTGTCGGCTGAAGGCTTCGTCGGCGGACCACAACTTCTGAAAGCATTTAAAATTTGGAGTAATTTTTACTCTCACGCTCACCTTTTCCCGGTTTGTCTGAAAGACAGAAATCGAAAGAAGCGGTGCGATTTTTCCGTCCGTCGCCCAATCGAGATGAGCAGAGCATCGAAGTGTCTCCGAATCCCTCCTGCAGACAAAATAAATTCTGAATTCACTGCAACTGAAGAACTGACGCCTGTCGGAACGGTGACGCTGGTGTCGTTCAAAATCGAGGCATCTGCGTCGGAAGTGAACGAAATGTCATTCGGGCGGCATGGCGCACCAGCTGGACCCGCCACCTTCTTCTTATCTTTACTTGGCGTTACAAGAGAGAGCAGACTTTTCAGCATGCTGCAAACTTTTTACTTAGTAGAATTTGCAAAAATCGAAGCTGAAAAGCGGCGACATTTGAAGAATGTTTCGAAAAAAGCGAAAGAAATGAAGGCGCTACAACGAAGTAAGTAGAACTCGCACTTAACAGAACTGTTACGATTTGGAACTCGAAACGTTAAAATATAACTTCGAGTTCCAAATCGTAACAGTTCCATTCCGTGCGAGTTCTTCTTCGTTGTGGCGCCGAAATGAAAAAGTTGTTTACGAAAACCTAAAAAAAATTGAAATGCAAATGTGCTTTATTGCAAATCTGAAAAGCGCGAGTTGGCGCCAGTTCAAATAAAATTATTTTTCGTCTGAATCGAGATCTGAATTATGATCGAATGTATTTACACAATATAATCAGTTTTCAAACAGTTTCTAGTCGACTTTTATTTTCTCGCTGATAAAAAGAATGTGACACAAAATGGGTACAATCAAGTTAATGTCACAGGAGAAAATACGTTTATTAACTAAAGTCGGACTAGAGAAGGGCGGCGGGCAACAAGGATATACAAAAGAGAAATTGGAGGGAAATGTGCGAAATCAAATCGGTTTCAACGTGTTTTCAGTGTCCTTGTAGACAAATTGAGCTCCTGCAACGAAATCACTTCGATCTATTTCAGTTTTCCAATTCATTACCATCTTTCATGGGCGGCTTCGAGCACAGAACGGCGCGCTGATTCGTATTGCAGTCTACGCTAACGAATTTGAACTTGCTGCGGCAGTCGTCGTGGATCTCGTTGCCTGTGAACTGAACGAAACGATTGAGAAGACACGGGCGGGACGGAACAAACCACAGTACACTTCTTGTCCCTCGGAAGCTTCTCCGTCCACGGGTCGAACTGAATTCCCTTGTTTCCGTCCTCCCAACCGAAATCCTTGTCGTACTTTACATATCCGATCCATGTCTGCTCGTTCATTGTGAAGTTCTTCGCTGTCTGAACGAGAGCAGACACGAATCTCGCTTCTCCGTCGTTCTGCACAGATGCCACATAGGCGTTCTCCTGACGACACACTTGACGGCCTTCTGTGAATTTCTTCGCTTGCTCAATGTGCTGAACGCAATTGTGAATTTGTATTCATCTGCTGAGATGCGAACCTTGTAGCACTTTCCGTTCTGCGCATTTCCGTCGTGTGAATAGTAGCTCCATCCTTCCTGGCAAGTCGGTTGACTAGAATCCTTGTCTGTAACCCGTTCTCGCTCTCTCAGTCCTTCCCTTTCCAAACCTACCGTTTCCAAGGGTCACTTCACAGAGCACCGATTTCTGCGCCTCTTCGCAAGGGAAGTCTCCGAACTTGTACTGTGTTCCTTTGTGTGGATAGTTTGGCAGTTCGTTTCCAGTGAACTAAAATCCCATTTCGATCTCTTCCCTTATTTCCCTTCCTCACCACAGTGCAGTCGTTGATGTTCGGTGCTCCCGGGAGCCATCTCGTGAAATCCATCGCCGTCTCGTCTTCGTACACATAATACTTCTGATGAATACGATTCAACCCAATCCACGTCTGGTTGCTTATTCCATCAGGCGCGTTGTTGTGAAGTAGGGCTGCAAGTATCATGTAGACTCGGTGCGTTTTGATTCTGAATACCAGATAGAAGGAGAAGTTGTCGTTCGTTGTGAATCGATGCCAAGTGTCCGCCCTTTCCCAAACAGTAAACACGGGCATCCTCAAAGTTCATCGGTTTGTCGAATCTTCGGAAGCACAGTGGCGGAGCGGTCACGTTCGTGTTGAACTGCGTCCATTCTGCCGGACAGCCCGGATTCTTTTTCCTGTCTGGCCGGGCCGCCCCTACCAGAGGCCCTCCTGCGGCCATTGCCGTCGTGATCACATTGGTCAGATCGGGTTTCTTTGTGGTGGTGATTGAGGTGCTTCTCTGATCCGAGAGGGCCGCATTCAGAGAATCGTCAATGTCCTCCTGTGGTCCTTCCGTCGTCGGTCTGACCGACGTCGCTATCACTCCCTTTGGGGCATCCGTCTTCTTTCCTCCGGCCAGAACTGCCGCCGCCGACACCAAATCCGCCATCTCGTCATCCTCACTCTTCTCTTCCTGCTTCTCCTCTTTCTCTGCCGCCGCCACTGCCTTCTGTTCCACACTCATCGACGCGCTGTCCGCGCTTTTGTCGTTCGAACTGCTCGCCGACTCCTTCTTGCTCATCTCGCTTGCCGACATCGCCTTCGCCATTTCCGCAGACATCGACGCCTCCTCGTGCACGGAATCCGAACTAGAATCCGAGCTTTCACTCTTGCTCTCCGCGCTCATTTCCATTGCGAGGGCTCTTTGCTCGGCCACTGACATCGACTGGCTCATTGACATTTCGTCCGTTTGAGAGTCGAACGTCGAGCTGGTGCGGGTGCTCGAGTCCGCCCAGTTCGCATTCACAGTGTATCCGCCCATCAGTGAGGCTGCAGCAGAGAGCAGGTCCGCCTCGGTGTACTGGTCGAAGCTTTCCGACTGGGCAGCCATGTCCTGCGACATTGAGATCGCGGCCGCATAACCCATTTCCTTGCGAATCGCAGTTTCGGAAGCATCGTAGATTTCGTCGGAGGACTCGCTTGCGCTCGCACTCGCGGACGCGGCGCTGGCGTTCATCGCCTGCTGATCGGAAATACTGGCGGATTCAGATTCAGCCATGCTGTCCTCGTCGTTCGATTCACTTTGGCTTTTTGCGGACAACGCAGCTGCCTCGGCAGTTTTCTTTTCGCCCGCAACAGTCGCATTCTTGGCCTCTTCCACTGCCTTCGTTTCTTCCGTCTTCTTTTCTGTAACTGGCTTCTCTGTCGTTGTTCTCTCGTCAGAAAGAGCGGCGTTCAAGTCTTCATCGATATCATCGTCTGAATGTACCCTTATGTTACCTCTAAACTTATAATCTTCCTAACCTTCTGGTGTTTCTGTTTTTGCCGGTCTCTTCTTAGCCGGAGCTCTCATGGCATGCACTGGAGCTGGAGCTGAAGCAGAAACACTGTTCTTTCTTTCCCTTCCGTCCTTTCACTCACCATTCTTCGGTTTACCCTGAAATGTACAGACAAAAGGAAGAAGACGTCCGACGGGTACAGTATGCCAGAGACCTCCGAGCGACATTTTATCAATTGCAACGCCGTAATAGCGGGATTCGGGAGCCCACAGCTCGTTGAACTCAATCTCTCCTCCGTTCTCCCAACCGATATTACATTTGAGATTGGATGCGCCCACCCAGAACTGAGTGGCATTCGTGACTTCCAGGTCAGCGTTGGCTAGAAAGAGATGAGGGAGGATAATGAGAGAATGGGAGAAGCGGTACCTGAGTAGAGGGACGAGTCATCCTTATTTATCTTTTCGGCCAATTGCCCTCCTAAACTGACACAATGTCTTCTGGCGGCTTGATAGCTTTTCGGAGTGTCATACAACTTGAAGCAGACATTCAAACTAGAACATTACAATAAAAACATCGAGAAAAAAGCGAAAATAAAAAAAGTACCTGGGCGACGCCAACGGGTTAACGGATCCAATCTTGCATTCGTACGCGTCCGTCTGATTCTGGGTGAATACTAGAATTGGCTGAAACAGAAGAAGGAACCATATTGTGGTTCGTCTTTGCATATTCTCTGAAATATGACCACTTGGGAGGGTGGCTGAAACTGTGCGCTAGAGGCGGCCGTCCGTATCTCGTTTTATCGTTCGTTCCGTCGTACAGTAGGCGTCCATAAAACGAGCGTTTTTATTTGCGGAGCGAGCGCTCCAGCAACATCGATTAAAGCCGCTCCAGCGCGTTTTTACCTGTAGGCGGTTGGAGAGTAAGAAAAAATTGGTGATCGGGAAACGAAACGGAGGTGCTCTCGCAATGATGTCACACGAATCTATGGAGACCGGGAGCGGACCGGGCGCTGAACGTCATCTGGCTAAATGGGCATCTTTTCAGTGGGCGCCAAGCATCTGAAGTTCCGAATTATCTGTGAATAGGAATATACGGATCAATCTGTGAAGTGTCTTGGTTTTTCTCTTGTGCACACTTTCCTGTTATTTCTGATCTGAAATTATCATGCGTTCTAGTTTCTTATACTTTGTAACCCCAGCGATCTTTGCCAATGTCTTGCAAATCGAAAGCATAAAACGATTCATGTCAAACGCAAAAAATCAGAGATTCGCTGTTTGCAGCCCCCGGGGGGGGAGGGGGGTCGGCCGTGTCATTGTTGTTCCGCGGGCGGCGGTTCGTCATGCGAGTACTGTTTCAGCACGCTCTCCAGAAGACTCGCCAGCTTTTCATCGTCCTGCAATTAAAATCGCTCGTTTGTTCGCTTTTTGCAGCGTTCTGACCTGTTTCGATTTGAAGCCCTCCGCTTGAAGCTCTTTGTAAATGGTTAGCGCCTTCCACGAGGCACTGTAATCCTTTTGGCGGTACTCGAAAATGGCGTAGTTGATGATCTGAAACAGGGATGGATAAGGGGAAGAACGGAAGGGAAATGACGGACAACGGACGGAAGAGGCTTCAGTTCGATTGACTTTCTGTACGCCAATCTCGCGTTCTTGTTGTCTCCCATATGAGAGAGAATCACTGCCATTGCTCCGACGGCTTTCGGGTTTTGAGGAGAGAGTTCGGTGCACAGTTTGATGTAGTGAAGCGCCGAACAGCGGAGATTCATCATGTCGTGAAGAACGCCCAGGTTGTAGCTGATTCTGAAGCAAAGGGAGGGAAACGAATATAATGAAAATGATAAGAGGATACTTGTAGTTGAGAGGGTTTATGAATGCGGCCTTCTTGAGGGCGGAATGCGAGGCGGCCGGTTTGTTTCTGGCCATCAGTCCGATTCCGATGTTGTTCCAGAGACATCCGTTGTAGTCGCAAACGTCCGCAGCAACTCTGTACTTGTTCAGTGCCACGTCATGATCCTTGTGGTTTTGCATGATGGACCCGATTGTCAGGATGGCCTGCAGATCAACTCTTCTCTCTTTTATATTCTTTGATTTCTCACCGAACTGTTCGTTGGATCGTATGCCAAACAGTTACCGAATTGGACGAATCCCTCCTGAACCTGCCCTTTTCTCAGCAATGCCAATCCCAACAAGTTCATCACTTCCGTGTTCTCCGGCTGCAATTTCAACGCCGACTGATAGGCTGCGATGGCCGATTCGGAGTCTCCCAACTCTTCGCAAAGCCGTCCCAAGAAGCTGACCAACGTGGCATCCTTTCCGATGTCCGGTCTGAAAAGTACTATCTTTCGCAGTCCAAATATGTTCAAATTACCTCATGAGTACAGTCCGTGCCGCTTCCACCGGATTGAACGTCTTTCCCTGCATTTTCTCGGCCGGGAAATGGTAGATTGCTCTCGCGAGCCAATACCACACTTTCGGGTTCTCCTTCATCACCTCACTTGCTTTCGTCAGTTGCTCCACGGCGATTTGGTGCCGTCCGAGCAGGAAATTGCACCGTCCGATCTCGTAATAATACCTGAACTCTATCCAGCACTTCCTCTTTTCCCCCGTCTTCAGATGTACCTTCCGTTCCTGCCGGATATTTCGTACGCCTTCTGGAAGCACTTCATCGCCTCCTCGAGTTCTCCTTCGTTCCGAGCAATGAGCCCTCTCACGTGGAACGCCGCCTCGTTCTTCTCCAGATATTTACTTTGGATTTCTCCGATCATCGACTTGCATTCGATGTAATCGCCAATTGCAAAGTAGTGGTACATTAGGGCGTTCAGGGAACTGCAGTCCAGGATTTCGATCCTTTTCGGCGCAGACGGAGCTCTCTCGGGGACTGCCTCAGCTGCAGGTTCTGCCGTCTAAAATTGCAACGATTTCTTTTCATTCTCATGAATGCAAAAACGGTGGAAAAACATAAAAACTGACTTTCTGCTCATCGTCGTGCTCATTCTGAATCACATCAGTTCCGATAATTTCGTCCTGGTTGCTCTCCTCCATTTCACAATAAATGCTCAGCGAGCACGCGCTTCTTCAGCCTTGGTAGTTGTCATGGAAACTTAGACGCACGCGAAAAGAAGAGAGAGGAGGAGTGCAAGACATTTATTATTTCAAGTGTAATAATGAAGTGAAAGCATAATACAAAGTCAGAAATGTTTAGTTGGATGAGTTGATCACGAATGGCACGCCTTGATAAACTTCTCAAAATTCTCAACGTACGGTGCCAGGATTCCGTGTCGGTATGCTGAAATGAAACGAATTGGTGGAAAAAAGATCATCGCCTTCCTACCGAGATATTTCCGATTCTTTGACTCCTCGGCCTCCTCGTTCTCTTCATTTTCCTCCTTTTTCAACTCGTTTCTAGCCTCCAATTCGGCGATGACATGGCTGAAGGAATACAGTACAAATCTTTACCATATCTGACTAAACTCACTCAATCCGCGGACACGTTTTCACATCGAACTGGGCGATTGTATTCACATCTAACGGAACGGCAATGTTGCCAGTGCCAGGATGAACACAGAACGGTGACTTCAACAAGTGATTTGTGCCTGCAAACATACAAAACATTTAGCGCTAGTAATGCAAATTGCGAAATATTTCAAAACGAAGGGAAACGTCGCCCGCTCGTCGACCGATGCCTATATAAACGGCGGCATTTGCCAGTTGTCCATCGGTCCGGCGTCAGTGGGTTATCTTGAAAAAATTGAATTGGAGATGTTCCGGGGTTTCTCTCCGCCCCACTGCTGATGGCTACTGGTCAGGCGACCCCCTCTCCCCACTGACACTCCTTGACCGTGTTTTTTTATTTTGCGAATCAACTCCACTCACCTGTGGTCACGTTCACGTCAAGACGAGGATAGCATCTTTGGAGGACAAACCGCAAAAGAGCGTACCGATCACGTCCGAGTTTATCATTGTCCTGAAAGAAACGTCTTCGTGCAATCGGCCATGTTTATCTTACACTGAAACTAAGAAGAAGGTCATCTGATTTTAGCCCGACTCGATATTTGTCATCGAATACTCCGCGAAGCATGTGCCATCTCGCAGTTGGAGTGACATACAGAGGGAACGTTTCCTTCAAACTGATGCGGAGACCTTCCCCCACGTCCAGCGCTTCCAGGATAGCGTCCTCGCTATTCAGCCATCCTTGCTCGATGGCCAACTGCTCGAAGATTCCGTCTTTCACGGCGTTATCGTAGGCATCGCTGACGAACGGAGGAGTTCTGGTCACCCTCGGTTTGCCTTCCGTTACCTCGATCTTACCGTTTGTCTAAGAATCACTTGATACATCTAATTACTCTCTTGTGTTACCTTGAACAGATTGAGCATGGCGGCTATGGCTGATCTGGTCGAGTTATTCAGCATACGAGATTTCTTGTCTCCGACCCAGCAATGGATTCCACGTCTTCCAGAAAACAGCCACATTCGTGCTTCAAAACCAAACATATCTTCCAATTGATAGTCCAGAATCTTCGCTGCCAGAACCATGAACTTCCAGCACTTGCTGCAAACACTAGCACCCCTGAAAGACTGACTTCGTATAGGGAAGCATATTTTTCACTTACTGGCAACAAGTTCTGATCGGATCATAATCAGTCAAATCGATATCGAACACGAGTTCTCTCTCGACCGCCTGATAGTCCGTATGTCTTTTGTTGTTGACCGGTTCGTGATTGTAGACGGCTCCGATATCCAGTTTATGAGGATTGGTACTGGTGAGTGCTTTGAAGAACGAATGCTCATCATTGAAACTGCGATATCTCAAGTGAACATCGTCAGCAAGAATGAATGCGAACTCTCGACGGTTAAAATAGAGTCCAGTATCTACAAAATAGCAATTTTTGGGTAATCCGGAACCGAGTACTCACCAGCGTTGTATCGAAGCCATTTCACAAATGGTTTGACTGGAAAGAAGTTTTTGTAGTAGACAGGTAAATCTTGTGGAAGTCGGTTTGGGTCGTAAGCCATTCCTGAAAGGTGAGAGTTGAAATGCAGTCCGAATTGTTTTCTCGAAGAAACAGAAAAGAAACTGATAGCATTAATGTATTAACAGGTTCAACGTCACTTTAGATATGTTTATTAACACTTTTAAAATAAAACTACTTATCGAACATTTTTTGTTGAAACGAAGCAAATTGGGCATGAAACGCCTAGCAAACGCGGTAAACGGCGCTACAACGCAAGAGAACTCGTACGGAATAGAACTGTTACGATTTGGAACTCGCAACGTTAAAATATAACTGCGAGTTCCAAATCGTAACAGTTCCATTCCGTGCGAGTTCTACTTCGTTGTATAGCGCCGCGGTAAACTCTAGTTTGAATTAAACTTCGCGCTCAGTGCGATAGAGCGCTCTTGCCTCAACACTGTTGAATTGCAAAATCTATTTCAGCAGTTACTTCGTTTTCAGCTCAAATCTCCAGCAATAATGCAACTTCGACATATCGAAAACGAGATATCAACCAGTAATTGCAATTAAAATCAATAATATTTTATAATCCTTTCTTTTCAGGCACATGTTCAGTGATTTTCGAGTTTACTAGTTTGAACGATTTGTACGGAGTTTTGAATCTTCTGGAGCTTCGAAAAGACTACTTTTATTCAAAAATTCGGGCATTCTACAACATCCCTGCAGACAAGGTAATAGTAATATAAGTAGAATCCTCATTTAAAAATGTTTATTCAGGGATTGGTTCTCGACATGCAGGTCAAGAATCCGCCTCAGAATCCTGATTTTTCGTGGGAAAGACGTGTCAAATATCTTTACCGTTACATGCTCGAACTCGAAAAGCTTATGTGGAACCTGTCGACGCTTGGCGGCGCTTACTCGGCCATGGGCGATTTCGATACCAAATATGTAGGAGATTCTAGCCGTTTTCATTGAATCCATTTGAATTACAGGCGGAAACTGCTGCGAAAATCACTGCTCATCAGATTTGCCTGGCCAAACAGTACGGAGATCCAACGATTCTTGCTCGTTGCTATCTTTATACGGCTCTCGCGGAAGCCCAGCTCGGGAATCTTACTCTTGCTGTCAACATCGTTCGGTTGGTTATCAGAAGCCGAATTAATTACCTAGTATTGTTGCAGAACCATCAAGAACTGGGCCAAGCTGAATCCGAACACAGAAATGGTGCAGAGATGTTGTGAAGGAGTATATCAGAAGCTGAGAGCCATCAAAATATTCGGAAAATAATTTATCATGACAAGTTTTCATTTTATAATGAATCTATAGTACAATTAGAGTGGTTCTGTCACGAAACATATAAAGATACTGAAGGTGCGAACAAGAAGGGATGAGATTATAGAGGAAGAAGAGGGTTTAGAGGTTACGGAGGCACAGACGACGGTACAGCTGAATATCAGCGACCGTGAGGGTGACACGCTTGGCGTGTCCAGCAAGCATATTGGATCCTTCAAAACATTCGACAAGGAAAGCCTCAGCGGCTTCTTGGAGGGCGAGGAGAGCATCCGCACGAATACGGAATTCGTCGCGGAACCAGCTGGAAGAGCTCATAATTTCATGAACCAGTCGACAGAAGGGGGCCTGAAAACTGAGATTGAAAACTGAAAATAAGGACGAAAACTGGCCTTTTGAATGAGTAGGTCGGTTGATTTCTGGTATTTCCGGATCTCCATCATAGCCTTCTGTCCTGGCTTCCATTTCCGATTGTGAGCTTTGGTCACGCGGCTCTTTCCGACACGCACACGAACGGGCTTTCTGGGCTGAACAGTCGAAGGACCGGCCGCACCGTCGGTTTTTTCGTCATCGTCCTCGCTTTCGATAATCATCCTGCTGGTGCCTTCGCGGCTCTTCTGAGAAGACTGATAGCTTTTCTGAGCACGGCTCTCGTCCCGACGATTCTGGCTCGATTTCGAATGATAACTCTTTTGGAAGTAGCTCTGATCACGGCGTTGATGGTTTGAGTTCGACAAATACGTTCCGTTTGGAGATCTGGAAGATGCGAACAATGGAACGCAACACGGAAAAAGAAACGTACGGAGAACGACGACGGGGAGGACGGCCTGCATATTCATTTTCTTCGTCCGAGCTGTAATCGCGGTTGTGATGGTTGTATGATCTTTGCGAATTCGAATTGTGCAATCTTGTGCGACTAGCACGGTCCTGAATACATTTTTTACGATAAATTCACCAAAATAAGGGGGAAACCGTGATATTCATGTCAGTCATTTCCGCATGTCTTCGAACTTGCTCTCTTCTTCCGCTGTCGTCCTTCCCGCTCTTCTGTTCATAATATCGTTTCAATGCCGCCTCTATTTTTTGGGCGTATCTAAACGAAAAAAAAACGGAATTCTAATGAAAATATCTGATTACTCACCTTTCTCTTCTGCTCTTCCATTGCGAAATCGATTGAGAGAGGTTCTCTGAATACCCGTACACCTCCTGATCATGTTCCCAATCGTTAATTTGCATGGTTAAAATATTGAGCATCTCCTGCATATAATTAGCATTTTCATTGAATCCCGGTTTAGCCAAAAGTCTAAAAATTAATTCATGTCAAGCTTAAAAAATCAACTCACGCTTGCATTTGGGCCAAGTACTTTGGGCTAGGCTTCACGACATTTTGAAATCGATCGGCATTTCGAAGAACGGAAGATTCTCTAGTCGGAGAGTCAACTACTTCTTCGATGTGAGGTCCGTCTCGTTCAGCCTCCATTTGAAGCATATTTTGCTGTAAAATCAAGTGAAATTATGAAAGTAAAGTCAATGAAAGAGGGAGGAAAACACGAACAGATTTTGAACTTTGGGTCATTCGCGGCGAGAGGCGCAGACAATTCTGCAAACACGTGCACGACAAAATGCACATTGCATGGCATGACGACCCAACAAACGACGACAATAGATGGAACTGGTCCCCATGGGGTATGGGGCAGAGATGTTGGGAATAAAAATTTTACTCTACGGAACACGGAACACGGAAAACGGAAAATTTTTTTTTACGGAACACGGAACACGGAAAAAATATTGCAAAAAAACTCGGAACACGGAACACGGAACACGGAACACGGAATTCCCAACATCTCTGGTATGGGGCACATAATTAAAATTTTCGATGCAATAAAGTAAAGCTTGAGATAAGTAGCTCCTTTGTGTGCATTTTTCGAACTGCAAACTAATTTAAAGATGCCAAGCACCAAAGTCTGGTCCTTGGCAGTGAAAGAGATCTTGAACTACCCTTCGCTTGATAACTCCTTTATCCGTGGCCTTGGTTAACTTTGGTTAAAACCGGAATTAACATTATAACAGACGAGGAGACAATAGTAATAAAGCCTACTCATAAACAACAAGTTAACTTAAATAAGAGTCACTACTCACAACTGAGAACGAAGGAAATGAGTATGAACTAACTCTTAAGATTTCAATCGAGCAGTACACAGATCAATGAAACACCTAGAATTGGCGGGCTAAAGCTTGTGTATTTATATTGGCGCGGGGGCGCATGAACCAACGCGCAATTGCGGACATAGTATGAATACTGTATGAAATAGGTCTGAAGTGGGTGGCGTTGGGGAACATTTGATAGGAGGAGGGGTCAAAGTATTCTGAGTGCTAGAAGATCTTGCACAGGTAGTTTCCTTTGGTATTTTCCGTATTGACCAATTGGAGTTCTTGGATCTTGATATTACAAACATGAACTGAATTATACTCGACATGGGGAGTTTTTGTCCAGCACCGACACTTCCTCACAGACCGTCAAGCTCCTCCACACCTCAAACGAAGAGTTTTTCTGGCCTTTGAAATCCCCTGCTTCCTCTACGGATGTGAAACCTGGGCCATGAAGACCGACGAGATGAGGAAAGAGGATGTGGCACAGAGAAGAATGGAGCGAGTAACGAGACTGGAAGTGGTGAGAAACGAGGAAATTGCAAAGCGAACAAGGTTGCAACGTGTTACGGAGTTTGCCTAGATTACCGGATTCCTTCGCTGCGGTGGGAGGATGAGTTCAAGAACAAAGTCTGAGACGCAGGGCAACCCGGTGTGACGTGGATGTGGATGGCGCGAGTTCAAAAGAAGTAGTTGCAGACATCATGGCTCCAGCAAAAAAACAGAACTAATTGAACCTAATCATGACCATTCTTTGATCCCTAACGAATAAATGAAATGAAACCATTTTTCTCTCATTAATTCTTTTTTGCTTTATGCAAAAGTTGGGTGACCATTCGACTACCTTCTTGCAAATCGTCTCAACTTCCCTGTACAACTGAACAAAAACTTGTCTTCAAAAATCCGTTTCCTTTTTGCGCTTCTTTTTCCGAGTCGGTCAAAACAGCAAACACACCGTTTTCATTCTCATTTTTCTGCTTGTCTCACTTTGATCGCCCCGAGAAAAGAATGAACAGGCGTGCGACCGAAACTGTGTAAAACTACTATCACTTCGGGCGAAGTCGCGGCGGCGGCGCACGACGTCTGTGACGTGTTCTTCTTCGAAAGACGCATCGGGGACTGACCCTCGGATGCCATCCGGCGGTTTTTTGGCTGATGGCGCCGGCCTCGGCGATCATCCGACCGAAAACACATGTCGATGCCATCCATTCCGACCCCTCCGTCCCCTTCCACGTGCCCCTCTGGCCTCTCACACACACAAGCCTGATGATCAGTGAACTAGAGAGCTGGAGGCGCAGACGACTGTTCGGCGCGTCGCTCTCCCTGAGATGCACTCACGAAATACGCTCATAGACACATACGAGATGGGAGGAGGAGGAGGCGAGGGAGGCGCCCGCTCCCTCAACCACGGCCCGGGGCGCTGCTGGCCTTTAACATTTATGTGAGTGTGTGTGTGTGTGTGTGTGTGTGTTTCGTCAGCTCCTCGTCTCCCTTCTACGTCTTCGTCTGCGTCTCGACCCGCATCTCTTTTCGCTCCCTTTTTCCCCCAACCATCCGTTTGTTGCCTGCCTGCAAAACCGATCAGTCCACCACGGCCGCCGTCGACGACGGAGAAACTTTTTTCTCCATCATTCGGAGCGTCCCCCAGCCAGCCAGCCAGCCAGCCTGTGTGTGTCTATTTGTCTCGCCTTCTCTCGCCGGCTCCCCGTCCCTTTCGCCCTCCTCACTCCCACCGAGAACATTTTCGATCGTTTCGCCTCTAAATCTAGTCTCTAGTTGAACACCTGACCTCGTCATACACCTGCGAAATGGGATGGCGGCGCTGACGATTCACACGCGTCGCAACAAGAACCAAGGGCAGTCCCTCCGTCTGAACATTCATTCATTCTCTCTCTCTCCCTCTCTCTCTTTCATCTGAAGACGAAGCCAGCTTCTTCTTCTTCTTCCTCTCTTCGTTATCTTCATCCCTCTCCCCATCTCCCTGCGAGTCCTTTTTCCCTTTTCCCTCTGCTTTTTTAATCGCTCCCCTCCTCGATCGGATCAGTCTGTCCGACACCTCGCGGCTCGCCTACAGTACCCGCCGGAAACGTAAGTTTGTCCTCCCGTCAGCGAGAAAGAGAGAGAGAGAGAGAGAGAGAGAGAGAGAGAGAGAGAGAGGTCTCGAAACGAAACATCGCAAACTGCAAACGTTTCGCGTCGAAATCTCGCAGATCTCAGCTGTTTGTGACCCCGAAAACAAAACGCCAGCCCGCGGCGCCATCAGGTGTTTTCCTTCCTCTCCTGCGCTCCTCGGATTCCCCCTGCTTCATCCCTCCGATCCACTCCGACAGCTATCCGCAACTTCTTCTTCTTCTTATTCTTCTCCTTCTCCTTATCCCCATTGATAAGAGATCGCAACCGTCCGAATAGTTCTCAATTCGCCCGTCGACCCCCTCACCCCCTTTGTCATCGTCTTCCGCTTCTTCGCAGTCCCTTACCATTTAGTTGTCCCACAGACGAACACTTTCTCTCTCTCTCTCTCTCTCTCTCTCTCTCTCTCTCTCTCTCTCCTTCTCTCCTGGACTCGTTTGTTTGTCTGTGTTGGGTATGAGTTGCGAACTTTCACCACTGAGGTGACAATCAGATGGTCGGCCGGCTTCTCCTATGAATCACAAAATAAACGCGTCAAAAGTGCGCTTGCTGGCCCCGTCTCCTTACTTTTTTCCAAAACAACTGTTCCTTCGTCCGTCTTCTCCATACCGTAGGTCCGTGATTCCATTGGTCTCAGAACTTGGCAGCGACCCCCCACATCATGCATATTTATGGGTTCCCTTCCATCCGATTCCCCTCTCGGTACCTACCGTATCTGCGGGGAACTGCACTCCAGTGATAAGCCATGCCGGCGCCTCGACGTGTCTCGGCTGTGTGAAACATGCCATATGACAACTTCTCTCTCTCTCTTTCTCTCGTTCTCCTTCTCTTTTCCGATATTTTCTCTCTGCGACGAGGAAGTCTCTTCTCTTCTGATCGTTCCAGATGACTTTCCATTTCTGATTTCTCTCCATATTGCAGGTAATCCAGACGGCTCCCATCGTCCCTTCGTAGTCTTCGTAGTACTAAACAGTGAGTTTCTTTCCATTGTTCTTGTGTTATCTTTGCCCTCTGCGCCCGGAATGCTTATCAGTTTCTCAGCTGAGGGGAGCACCTATCTTCTTCATTACAAAGAAATGGCATGTCAGGCGAGACGAGGGCGCTGATAACGAGCAGCAAAAAGAGAATGAAAGACAAAGAAAAGGTTGTTTCAGGTAGATCACTAGTAGAAAATGGTTCGTTCGGATAGCGCAGAAGAGGATCAAATCATCAACGAAGATGGGTGAGTTTCCCAGGAGTTGCCAGCTGGCCGAGGGGCGGAACACCTGGCAAATGAGAGAGTGTGCGGGGAGGGGAGACGGATACACACAAATGAAACTTCTCTTTCGTCCCCTACTTTTCCTTTTTTGGCGATGGAAACGACACTTCGGACCTGTAAATTGCAGCCAATTGTGCTCTTCTGGCCCCCCGTCCCAGTCTCCATTCTTCTCTTTTCTCCCACTCATTTTGACCGTTTTCAGATTTGATCTCATAGAAGAGGACGAGGAGATGCTTGGTTCGGGCACAGGTGCATTGCCCGTTTCCATTCCCGCCTGGAGCTCCATGACGGGCGCCGCTCCGACCATCATGTCGGCCGCTTCGGCGTTCGATCTGACGGCCGCCGGAATGCATAATCAGCTGCGTTCCGTCCTGCCAACCTCGACGATTGGGCATGCACCGATGCTCGCCAACCGGTCTCTGTCACAGCCGGCACCTTTGTCGCCGACGTCGCTGGACCCGGACAGAAGGTGAGAGAAGCCGGCTGATTGGGTACGGTAACGTAATAAGAAACAGATCCAGAATGCGTCGACAGATAGCCAACTGCAATGAGAGACGGCGGATGCAGAGCATCAACGCGGGGTTCATGGCTCTGAGAGCACTGCTGCCCCGCAAAGAAGGAGAGAAGCTGTCGAAGGCTGCGATTCTTCAGCAGACCGCCGACATGGTCCATCAACTGCTCGGCCAGAAAATAAACGATGCTCCTGAAGGTGGCGAGCCGAAGAAGTTGAAATTAGAAGGTGTGCTCTGAAATGAAATTGAAACAATTAAACAGGCTTTCAGAAGATCATCAAGACGCGGAACAGAGCGCTCAAATACTCCATCTGAAAACTGTTCTGGAGACGGAAAGGGCTGCTCGGAAGGCTCTGGAGCAGCAAGTTCTCCAGCTCCACGAGCTGCTCCAGATGACGACGACGTCTTCGCAGGCGTCCTCTCCAGTCACTCCGAGGACCAACGGGACCGGCTTCCATCTTCCCGGTTCCTATGCTTCTTCGGCCCTTCCGACTCCTTACCGGGAGTCTCCGGAGCGGAAGCCCTCTTTTCAGGACTCCACGAGCACTCCGTTGTCCTTGCTCACTCTCAACGGGAGCTCTCCGAAGTATTCGGACTCTCTGATTGCTCCGAGGGCCGTGCTCAGGCCTCCGCCGATGCCGAATCTCGAGACGACCGTCATCCGTCCGACGCCGTTGCCGCTGCCGCCCATCTCCGGTACGCTTCCCATCAGATCGTTCGACCGTAATCCCTCACATTGTAGTCGAAGTCTCCTCTCCGTCACTTTCGACTCCGTCACCGTTAACGGCCGCTCCGATAATCTTCTCATCGACGGCGCCTCCGCAACCGACCATCCTCTTTTCGACGGCGGTTACTTCGGCCATGTCGACGGGCAACTCGACGCCTGTCGCTCTGCCACATCAACTCCAGGGACGCACGTCCGCGTTTGTGTGAGTGACACAGAAGGGAACGAAGGGAATGTCTGGTTTTCAGGAGCACTCAGCCGAGTCTCTCCCTCCACCACTCGGTGCAGACCATCGTCGAAGCGATCCGTCACCTGGAGGGCAGCTCTTTCATGGCCACCTCTCCGCCGCCGACTTCTCAGACCTCACTCGTCCGCTGATTCCTCTTCTGCGTTCTTCCGAATTTATCCAATTTTGTCCCCGTCTCTCTCTCTCACTCACTTTCCATCTCTCTTCAGGTTGATCCTGCTTCTCTCTTTTTCTCTGTTTTCTTTTCCTTTTCCTTATCACATTTCTATTCGTCCCAAAGTTTGATGAATTCTATGCAAAGAGTGCTTTTGTTTTTCTTGTTTCTAGGTATCCCCTTTTGTTGTGTTTTCCACCCGATTTTGCTCTTTCTATCCCCTTTTCAGCTTCTTCCGCTCTCACGGTCTTTTCCATTTTTTTTCCCACCGATAACTTCTTGTCCTCTTCTCTCTCTCTCCCTGTTCTCCAGACACTGCCCGTTTATTTTCCGTTCAAATCGTGTCGATTTACCTTTTTTCGCCCGGTGGTTTTGTTGACCGTATTGCAGCTTGAAACACTTTCATTTTCAGACCTCACCCTCTCCATTGCTCTCGCGCAAAAGATTCTAATTTAAATAAATGTGAAAGTACAAAGTTTAGCGGTCTGAATGATGCGATCGAAAGAGTACAATCAGATAAATCGTTCTTGCTGAAAGTGTTTATGTTTAATACAGAGTACAATGAACACAAGAGAAAGAAAAGCCTATTGAGAATCCCGACACCGTTATGCGAAAGAGATCCTCTTTAAGTGAATAAACCCCGTGATCTCTGATCCTCTCACAGTCCTCTCGTGAGGTAATCCTTCTGAACGACCGCTTTGTACTCCTCCAGAAGGTCCTGCACGCTGTGCGTCGCTTCGTCCATCCATTCCAGCGAAAAATCATCCTGAAGCCACGAAATGAAATCGACCGAGACGGACTGCACTCACAATTTTCTCAAATTTGTCCAAAAATGCCTTCTTTGATCGCAATTTATCGTATTTTGACAACAATGACTCGAACAACGGAGCCACACTCGTGCTGTTGTTGAGTAGAAGTCCGGAAACCTTGTACTGCGGCTTGACGTACGGAGACAGAGGGGCGTGCATCATTCGCAGTGGCTTCAGCATGTAAAATGGAGGTCGTCTGATGTTGAACTGAAATCAATATTGAGCGGAACATCAAAGAGTCAGATTCTCACGTCGACATTCTGTTCTGCTGACATAATAGTGTGCGCCTCGATCTGTCCTTGCAAGAACATGTACGCGGAGAGCATGCAGTCATTGGGACGGACTCGCGAAGCAGTCGAAACCATCATAGACGTCGGCTTGAGAAGGAAACGGGTAACATCGGCGACGGAAGTCTTCCGAGTGAAATTCTCATTGGGGTCCACAACCGGGGAGATCGCTGAATATGAAATTTTCGATTATGAGTAAGAATTCAAGTGTACCGGCTTGAACAAAGTGCATAGGTGGGAACGGAGCCAAGTCGAGATAACGGATGGATGGGCAGACGGCCGAATTGAAGCGGTACATTGCGGTGGAGGTGCTCATGATGCGGGCGACGAGCGAATTGATGTGGTCGAAAGTGGGCGTATCTGTTTTAAACTTTCCGGCCGCCAAACGATGAAGAGCAGCGTTATCGAGTACGACGACGTGGTCTGAAGATGATTGACGTTGCAGCCTATAATTATAATTATAATCAACCTGGGTTCTCGATGAGTCGCTGCATAGAGAGAACCCAATTGTAGGGATGGACGACGACGTCAGTGGATGAGTTTCCTTCGGTGTTCGCGAAAACACTGTACGTCTGGATTACTTTTTTAGGAAAAGCTTCTCGCAGTCTTTCGAGCAACAGTGATCCTGTGCCGGATCCGGTTCCTCCGGAGACACTGTGCGTGAATAGAATACCATCCAGATTGTCCGTGTTTTCCGCTTCTCGCACAATAATATCCATTATTTTCTCTTGTACTTCTCTGAAATTATTCTTTCAGCTAATCTGCTGATGACGGAAATCCTGACTTTCCCTGACAGTATCCACTGGCCCAGTTGTTTCCGGCACCGCCTCCGTGATCAGACATGAATATATTGTCTGTGTTGAAGAGGTTCGAGAAGTTAGGGGACTGCATCATTCCGTTAATCACTCGGGGTTCCAAATCGACAAGGACCGCTCGAGGAACGTAGTGATCGTCGTCGGCTTGGTAGAAAAGAAGATCCTTTCTGTCGTTCATGTCGTCCTCGTGAGTTGTTTGACCTCGTCTGTAACATCCTATCAAAACTGAAAGCATCTCCACATTCCCTCACTCATTGATCCCGTGTTCATCGACCATCGCCTTCCAAAAGGCCTGTGCCAATTGATTTCCGCATTGTCCGACATGGACAGTCATCAGCGCCCCCGTTCCGGACATCTGAAAACTGAGGATTCAACTGAATAACCAACACCAAGACCAGCACAAAATAATTGAACATTTGATGAGAACAATAACCAACACAACGCACATACACATCGGATGGAAAGGATACTTTCATTGATTTTAGAGAATTAACGAGGAAACAACAAAAGGAAAATAAGTAACAGCAACAAAGAGAATAACAGTAAATTTAGAATCCTTAGGACTGGCTTTGGTCGTACGCTCCCTCGAACTTTTCTCTGATCGTCGAGAAAATCTGAAGACATTTCGTTGCATGGCTTTCTAAATTTTTATTGCTCACCTCCTCCACACTCTCGAATGCCCTCATCAGCACTTCCAGCGCATTGAATCCCTCTTTGGTCTGAACTCGGAACAAAATCTTGTCTTCGAGTGGATGCGGTACGTTGTATCCACAGAACTCGACTTCGTCCCTGTAAATGCATTATTTTTCAGAGTTAAAGAAACCTACGATTACATTCGACTGAGGATGTGCTTGATTGAATTTCCGATTGTATGATCTTCTTCATACATAATTAGCGTCAAATTAGTCGGATCTTGCTCGAAGCTTTTGGGGTCCAGCTGCAAAATTTTGTGTGCTACCAGACAAAATTTGTTTTCTCACGATTTCCATCTTCTTTTTTGCCGGCACGTTCAAATCTTCTTCTTCTACGTTCTCTCCTTGTGGTTCCTCGACACCGTCCATGTTCTCTTCGACTTCCTTTTGAGCCATTTTGAACAAAGTAAGAACTGAAAAGCAGGCAACTACCCAGATGATACATCGCTTTTAAAACCCAATATATTTTTCACGTATTGAATATCTTAAGAGTTCTGATAAGAGTTCTAACAAAAAATAAACAAAACTTTCGTGATTCTGCGAATACATCAGTTTTGCCGCGAAATTTTGGCCTTTGAGCGAGACTCCGCCTAGTTTTGCAACCCTCGCACACAATTCCGCAAAATATGCGCACGCACATCCTTTTTTCGCTATTTTTCAGTCTTGACATCGACAATCATGTTTTTCCTTCCAAATGCTGGACATGTAAATAACGATACAGACTGCTGACACGGACAAAAAGAAAAACACTGGGAGTTTTTCAGAAAATTTTTATTTTTTCGCATAAAACACGGGGAGGTTGCTTTTGACGAATGAACGAGAAGTGGCATCGCTCTTTTAAAAAAGAGTTTCATAATTTTGATGGAGAAATTGTGAGCACCACGCAATACACTAACTTAAGCGAGCCGTAGCATAAAAGCTCGTTTCGCAGTCAGTGCTGCAAAGAAAATCCGTACTGCTGAAATCAGAACGAGATTGCTGCGAGCCGAGGATGCTCAATCACGTAGAAAATTCGAAAATCGACTAGTCACAAGTCAGATGTTACGGAGAAGAGAAAGAAAAGAAACACGTGGGGGCCATAATCAGAAGATGAGGGTGGGAAAAAGATCGAAAGTGGATAGATTCATATGAACGACGAGTTAAATTAATGCTTCTTCGGTAAGATATTCGTCCAAGCCGCTCTTATTCCTCTTGACTTCTGCGTACACATTGAGCGACCTTCTTTTTGAAATCCGCATAATTCTCCCGTTGCATTTTCTAAAAACAAAAAAATTTAAAGAAATAATGAAAACTAATAACCAACAGCAGCATCGACATTTGCTGGTGATTCGAAGTTCGGATCAGTCAGCATGGAAATGACAGACAGCAGAATCGTCTCGACAGTGTGCACCGGCAACCATCGCTCCTCTGGTCGTTCGTATCCCCACTTATCATCTCCAGGGTCGTGAAGGATCGAGATGCACACGTTTCCTTCCTTGTCGACTGAAACAAGATCGTCAACCGACTATTACAAGTCAAACTAACTATTTGGATGCCAAATTTCGGAGATGAACTTCATTTTCGGTGGTTTTTGTGGGTAATCTCGCGGAAAGTCAAGAATCGCCTTGAAGAAACCTCCCTCGCTGAAAACAATTGGTTGTTCGATTTCAAAAATCAGCCTCTTTACTAGAGCGTATCCGGTGGCCCGATCACCAGAACCTCCCACTTATAAATGTCGTTGTCATCGACGAGACCAGCCGAGAAGCCGTCCACTGGCGTCCGTCGCAAGTCTGAAATTGGTAGTTGATCAACAGATCACGTGGGCAACTGATACCTGCGAGTTGTTTCTTCAGCAGAAGCGACGCCTGCTCCATCTTACTGAAAATGGTAGGAATGAATAGAGAGGAGAGCGTGAACGTTATTTCAAAACGAGGAAGTGTACACGTTTTGAAGAAAATCAATAGTGACGAAATGGAGCTGATTTTTTGCAAGCGGGCCCGAGGAGCAGCTCCTCCTAGAGCTATTGATTTTGGAAAAGAAACGGAGCTGTGGGAAATTGAGTGAATAAAAAATAGGATGGCGGCACTGAATGGCCTCTAACACGGATGAAGAGCGCCAGCGAAAGAGCGAGAAAACGAAAACGTGATTGTTAAAGGCGCAGGCAATTTCGTCGCTGGGTCTCGACACGATCGCACACAATGCGCGCTTTTTCAAATTCAGTCGGGCGTGGGCTGATCTCAAATGTGACTCGGTATTTCATTTGTGACTTTTCAAAACACTGACCTGAAAATCGCAAAAACATAAATTCATTTCAGTTTTATTTCCTTTTCAAACGAAAACAAAACGTTCACTTAATTTTGTCACACCACGCAAAGGATCGATAAAAAAAGGAAAAAAAGAAAGCGGACAGAATCTTTACATAAAAAGGAAGAAACGATGGCTCTCCTAGCAATCCCCTGAGCAGAAGAATGTTCGAAAGAGTGGTGGAACATTCGTAGACACAAATAAATATGCGCAAAGAAATTTGATTAGAGTTTTAGGGAATGTGTGCCAATAGAAGGATGACAGCATCCTTATTATTATTAGATCTCAGTGCATGCAGTGAAAGAATTGGTTGAGGGAAAGGATGGAGAAGGATCGGCGCGAATCGGGAGTCACATTTTTACAAACACGGGTTCTTTCCAGCACCGCCCATCTTCCACAGATCACGAAGGAGATGGTTGGGAGTGGAAGGGAAGAGTTCACCGACGGAATAGTTAGAAGGGGGAAGATGGCCACAGAGGAGAAAAGGGACAAAAAGAGGGTTAAGTGATTGTGCAGAGGTATCTGAAAAATGGAATCCTAGCAGAGAATGGATGGGGCAATTGAGGGATGAAAGACAGAAAAAGACCCAGGGAAGAGGAGCGAATGCGAGAATGCATCTACTGAAGAACAGGATGCACGGAGCCGAAGGGAAACTAACAAAGAAATCAACTGGGTTCTTTTTGAAATCGTACTCCGAACATTCTGGAAAAGAAACAAAAACGATGAGCACCGTCGTCAACGTATTCACTCTAAAACGCGAGAAACTAGGGGCAAAGGGAAAGGGAAATTAGTCGTGATCTACGAGAGTCGTCGCGAGAATGACCGCATCCGGAATCTCGTACTCGGGTGCCAGACAGTGGACGAAATCGCGGAAGTGAGTGTTAGTCAGAAGAGTCTCGTTGTCGGCCCACAATCTGAAAACAGGCATGTCTGAATACAATAACTCTCGAGTGTTCCGTACCTCGCGAGGGCTTTGTCTCTCTCCTGCTTCCGGTCGTCTTCATTCGTGGAGCACGTCGATTTGGTTTCCGAAGCAATTATGCTTCCATTCAGATCAACGGCGATCGGCTGACTGGCTGACTGTCCGAGCAGACCGGACAATGTGTTGGTGGCAAGAAGACGTTGACGGAATTCTTCAAAGTTGGCGGGCTGGAAAGTGACAGTTGAATGAAATCCGAAATGAAGTTAGGGGGGGGGGGGTCTCACCAGAAGGTCGAGTGGCTCTTTCTTCACTTCGGTTGATCCGGCGATTCCAACGAGAGCGGCGAGTTTGTCTGTCGATGAGAGTCCACTGAACATGTCGTCCTCTCTGAAATCAACCGATACACGCGTTTCCCTCTCTCACTTCAACTTACACTTCCTTCTTGATCTTGACTTCTCCGTGCTGCGAGTTCATCACTGTCGGACTCTGCGATCTGGCCATCGACTGATTGATGATCTGCTGAACCAGTGGCGACGCCTTCGGAGTGGGCGGGAAGTTCCCATTCGCCGGATTGGGAGTGCTCGGAGTGGTCACGTTTCCGCCTCCGCGGATGTAGTCAATCAGCTCCGTCTTGAACTTGTTCCCAGGTCCAAAGCACCCCTCTTCCAGTCGCATCTCCTCTTCTAACTGAAGCACTTTCTCGTAATCTTCTTTGTGATGAGCTTTCAGGTGCATTTTCAAGTTGGTCGAGAACGCCGAGCCTGTTCGGAACTCGCAGTTTGTGCACCCAACCATCTGAAACAAATATTATCACTCAACCAGAAGACGAATGGAAGTACTCACTCTGTCTTCCAGATCCTTGAAATACACCCAGACGGGATGGCGACGAAGGCGACGGCGCTTCGGCTGAGGCACTCCGTTCGCGTCTGTTCCGTGCGGAGCATTCAGGATCTCTTGCTTGATGTGGGCCGGGAAGTTCAAGCTGTTGATGATGTGATCCTGACTGACTGGCACCGGCGGCGGAGTCGGCTGCATTTGATTTCTGGCCAATTGGTTCAGAGCAGCTAAGTTTGCCGCATTGAGGGCGAACTGGGGCACTCCGTTCTGCTGTTGCTGTTGCTGAAGTTGCTGCTGAAGTTGCTGCTGCTGTTGTTGCTGTTGTTGCTGTTGCTGTTGTTGCTGCTGCTGTTGCTGCTGCTGCTGCTTTTGAACTGCTTGCAACTGATTCTGCATGTTCTGGAGATGCTGCTGCAGTCCGTTATTCGCCAGAGTCTGGCGGAGAACCGCATTCAACGGATTCTCCTCGCCGTTCTGCTGCTGATTGGTCACTGAAACAAGAGTGCAGGCTCGGAAGACTTCGAGGAACATTCTTACATTTGTTGATTGTCATCAGAATACTCGAAGTCATCGGAGGCATCCGCTTCCGATTCGCGTCCACGTTGAACAGTTTGGAAGTGTTGCCGCTGAGCAGCAGGGCATTCAGATTGAGTGCGTCTTCTGCCAGAATCACCTGCAAGTCTGTCTGTCTGCCCCCGATTCACCTGCTTCCAATTGCTCACCTTCTCGTAATCTGGCCTGTGATGCGATCTCAAATGCACTTTCAGATTTGTGCTGAACACACTTTTTGTGCTGTACAGACACTGCTTACAACGGGCGGTCCCATCGATAACGTCGAAATACGGCCACACAGGGTTCCGCCTTTGCCGTTTCCTCTTGGTCGGCGTCGGTTCGACGCTCGGAACGGAGGCGGCGGTGGTGCACGGGCTGGCAGCCATTGGAAGGGCCGTAGTCAGGTTAACCGGCAGCTGAAAAAAGGGCGGTTACTAGGAAAAAATTCACGAAAATCATAAATTTCGTCTCTTGTTTTCAACGACAAGTCGAGTGCGCGTTTGCAAGGAAGTGCAAGAAGAAGAAGAAGTACCTGTGGAGCGACGGCGCCGAGACTGGCGAGAGTCTGCTTGAAGAGCTGCGGATTGAACGCGGACATCATGTTGATTGTGTTCTGATTGTTCTCCATCAACGAGTCTTTGAAGTCCTGATGAAATCGAAACAATTCTGAAACAACTACCACCCACACTTCAACTAATTTTGAATGGGAACTCACGTCTCTGCAGATCTTCTTCTACACTGACACCCTTCTCTTGAAGATCTGTTAAATGAGTGGATGACGTGGAGAGATTGTCTGGGGAGGCATCTCGCTCACTGCTCTCGAAGCTGGTCGCCACATTCTCGGGTGAGAAAGAGACTATTCCAGAGTCAGAAGTGGGAGTCTCGGTGCGTTGGTCAGTCGGACTGTGATGCTCGGACGAGCTGTAGGGTGGCGATCCATCGGAAGTGGTTGTGAAGGAGATCTGATCGACGTTGTCGTCCGAGGTGTTGCCAAGGGAAGCCGGGAAGTCTGCGGTCATTGCATGAACTGATCAGCAGTGACCTGCAATCAGGGGAACATGTGAAAAAGAACGGATGAAAAGGACAAGGAAAGAGAAGGATGGCCACCGGAACCAAGAATAAACACGATTGGAATCAGCCGATCTCACGCTGGACGGCGGGCTCTTCGTGCGGCGGCTGTCAGACATGCGCGGAGCTGTCAAAGTGGTAGCCGGCCGGGCGAGGAGGAGAAGGGCTACTCTCTTTGTTCGGTTCAGCAGTTCTCGAACCCGTTTCGTAAAGCACACATAATACAGGGACGGGTGCTCCCCCCTCAATCTCGCCAAACACATAATCGTACTAATCGCTGAGGAGCGGGGGGAGACAGAGAGCCGAGATGGAGAGATCATTAGGCGGGCGGACGGTAAGAAAACAGAGAGAGAGAGAATGGACGGCAATTTGAAACAGCTACTTGATACGGAAATCAGAACACACACACACACACACAGTGACGGGTCTACGAAAGAGAGACGGGTGTACGTATAGGAAAAGGCTTGACACGCCGAAACTGGATGTATCGGATTTAGCTCTGATCGTTAAGGGATACTGTAGTAAGGCATGATGTGGCCACGAACTGTTCCAGGGAATGGACATCCTACCGTTTCTGCTCTTGTGCTCCTACTGGGTGGACTGCCCGAAACTGGACTGATCCACCTGATGATTGCGAGTTCGGGGCTCAGTCTCCAGGTCGCGCAGAACCGTTACAAGAGCGTGCTCCGCGCGGAGAGCTCTAGAGATAGGGCCCCCGTGAAGAAAAACAAACTGATAAAACTGGGAGGTGTTTGCTCCGTAACGCGAGCTAAAAGGGGAAATCACGAAGCGCATACAGTAAGAAACCAAGAAGGAGAAGTCTTGAAGGAGTGGCGCAACTCGGCCGAAACTGGAGACGCGTGTGAAGCGGCGACTGCAAACTGATACTCGTTACCGCAAAGTCATCTCGAGCATACAAATGTACTAGGTAACCGGCAGGTATCGAATTGACGGGCCTGTGCGCGAAAATGGCAGGCGGAGCTGGAGCGAAAGTGAAGGCAAAGTTGGAGAGAGAAAACTGATAAAAATAGCACATGGTGCTGGGGGGAGAAGAAGAAGAAGAAGAAGAAGACAATTGCGAGTAGATAGTAAAATATATAGTAAGACGACATAACACAGAAATTGAACTGATAAGAGAGAAGCTCTCCACAAGAGTTGCAGTACTCGACTGCGCGCTGATAGCACGAGGTGCGCGCACAATACAAAAAGAAGAAGAAGAAGAAGAAGTAGAATAGAGAAATTGGCGAGTTGGTATTACACTGATAAAACCTGGAAGTAGCCTATTTGGAGAGCATTGACGACGCACTTTGAGACAGACTATGAAAAGGTTATTACGTTCTAGGACTGCCAAACGAAGGAAGTAAAGGAAAGGAGGCCGGTGCTCCTGAAGTTTTCGGACCAAAAGCGCAAGTATACAAATCAAACGCAATGAAGTATTTATCTCAGTCGATCTGCCATCCCATTTTTCATACGAGGCACAGTTGCTTCTTCTCCTCAATGCACCTTTAGAGCAGTTGTGTGACTTTGCTCCCGGAGCCACACAGTTGGCAGTAGGCGAGGACCGAATGACCAGTATCTGCCGGACTCTAGACGGGCGGCTCCTCCCTCGAAAAAAGCAGTCCAAACAGGGGTAGTTGCATTGTCGGGGAAGGAGGGCAACTCGAAGAATGGCGCACTCTGGCCGCGCGGTATTGTGCAATCTATTTTCAGAAAGTATACTGTTGGTGGCTCACCTGTGCGCGCAAACATTCACTTTCTCTTCGAGTTTCAAAAGCGAAAGTTTGCGCGTCTCTCGGCTTTCCGCGCTGCCTCCGCGCGGTCGTCCGGCGCGGACGGTGCTCCGCGGCGACTCGCAGTTCGCCGTCTCGGGTCAGTCTAGAGTCAGAGTCGAGTCACGAACCGGCTCCCACAAGTCAAACACGTCGGCACTCTCCACGAGACGCTTCACTATTTCCTATCAATTTGAGAGTACGGTAAGGAGCTGCTGGGGCTGAAGCCGCCGCTTCAAACAATGCAACTTTTATCCTTTATGGCCAGAAATTCGAAACGGCGCTGCGTCTCGCCGGTTCCGCGTGCTATCCGCAACGGGCCGCCGCGGCCGATCGCGCCGTCCGATTTGAAACTTTCGCGGAACGAGAGTGAATGGAATGGACACAGAGGTGAACACGCTAATTAGACGAATCCGAGATGGATACGGTAGTCGGGAGTGTTGCGAATGAAACGGAACCAGTTCGGATGGCGGCAGGCAGGCAGGTGGGGATGTACAGGAAAGCATTAGCAAGTTCAACAAATGTAGTCCTCCCGACTGGACTACTGTACGTCTACAGCAAAAGCGAACAGGATGATACTGATAGGGACATGAGAAGAAGAAAAAGAAAAGTTCGCAAGCACTACACATCAAGCGGACTCTTCTCGCCCATCCGGCTCAAGTACGTATAAATGTGTTGCACATACATACATACACGCTGCGATGGTGTAACTTTACACTGGACCCAAGGGCGATGAGCCAATGTCCAGGAGGCAGCTCCGAGATCAGTGACTCTAGTAATCGGGGCGGCGGCTGGTAGGTTACGTGCAGGCTCCCGAGAGCCCCGATTACAACATTCGCAACATTGTAATGCGGGCACTATTGCATAATTATTCGGAGAAGAAGCTCTCCGATCGGAGCACACCGGCTTGACGGGGCGGGAGCCTCATTTTGATCGAGTAGTCATTCGGAAAAGAGACTTTGAATAAGCAGAAGCAGGAGAAGAGCGGGAAGGGACCGAAGAAGAAGAGGAAGAAAAAGAAGAAGAACTTTGATGTTCGGGAGGAAACTGTGGTATGTCTAGTCTAGAACTACTGGACTGAAGAAGGATGGACAAAGCGGAGATATCAGGTGATATAGACTTGAAACAGGAAATCCTTAGGTTATGTTGAAATGACATGCGTTGTGACGTCTTTCTGAGGAAACCAGATGTCTTCTCAAGTGGTAAATCGTATAAATTAGTACAAGGGTCCCCTGGACGGGCTCTCGGAGCATCCAGTATTACAGCACGGAACCAGAGGCCTCTGGGTTAGTGCAATGAGAGGGCGAGAGGCAGCAGACGGTTACATCATAAACAATTGAGCAATCGGTGCCTTCAGAGCCGCCCGGAGGCCTGCTCCGATCATCCCCGAAGAGTTCGCAATTACCACAAAATTTGAGTGAGGAGGCAGGCGGAAAGAGTCGAGAGAAGACGCCGATTGTTTAGATTTTACAAAGAGGAAGAAGAAGAAGAAGAGGAGGAAGAAGAAACTGGCGGGAGTTGTACTGGCGGAAGGAACCAGTGACCGGTGAGGAGCAACAAATTATAACGAGGACACAGAAATGGAAAATAAAAAGAAATGAGGAGTCAGAACCTAGAATTTGTATGTTTGGTTACGGTAGGTGTGGAGGAATATCCATGCGACCACAAAGATACGAAAAGAGATGAAGAGAATGTAGTGGGGACAAGAGCCTCGTGCGCCTCCGAGGATCACTGTAGCCACGTGGAATCCATTGTACTATTCACAAAATGGCTTCTTCGTCGTCGTCACTTCTAGATCCCAAAGTCGTCTTCGCCCTCTCCAAATTAGCATTTTGATGGGAAAGAAGTACAAGAGGGAGGACTTGAAGTGGTTGCAAAAACGCGGGCATTACCAAGAGATCCGGACGAATGATGTCCGTTCGGACAGCAGCCCTCTAAACGGATCGCAAGTTTCATAAAGTTAAAATGAGCGCGGAGAGGCGGCGTCGTGGTGGGAGGGGCCGACTTCTTCTCCTTCTTCTTCTTCCAGGAGATGCGCACTTGTATATGTACAGACAAGACAAAGGACAGTATGGTTGTATGTGTGTATAGACTTATCTGCGAAATAGGCCATCTACAACATTTATCTCTGCGCGCCTGGTGTGGACGCTCCTCTGGAAGGGCACTCTCTCCTACTCGTCGGCGACGCATCCCGAAGTGCGGCGTACCTGTTCCTTAATCGCCGTCGGCCATCACCCAGAAGCTTCTTCTCGCTTCTTCTACCTTCTTCTTCTTCTTCTTCTCCTTCTTCATCGCCGTCGCGAGTGCGGATCGCCCCCGCCGACTTTCGAGATATAATTGAGATAACATATAGATATTTGAAACATGTTATAACGTCTTCGCCCCCGTCGCCGATGCCGCCGCCCGCTTCGTCCGCAGTTAGGTATGCGGCAGATACCGGGTTGATTCGTGAAGCCGCTGGACAATGCGCACTGCCAATCACTTTTCGACGTGGCAACTTCTAGGCGCGCTTTCACTCGCTCTCTGGCTGATCGCGATAAGGTATCTAGTACCTGGAACACGTTTTTGACGTAGAAATCAACTGGCCCTCACTGCGCATCCGAAACATGCGCAAAACGTCCGACACATTTCATCTAACTTTGCGACGAATGACGTGGAATAGAGCAAAAGCCAAAAGGTGACTTCTGATCCAGATTCTAGCCAATCAGAAAAGAAAAAGTAGAAAACAAGTCTAAATCATATGACAAAAAGAGCTTCCAGATCAGATCACCAGGTCAGTTTTGTAGTTGTTTGTCGGCTCAAATAGAGTCAAGTAGTAGGAGTGGAACTGGAAAGAAAAACGGAAATGGATGGGATGTTGAAGTAGTACAAAAAATGAGGGATTGAGGAGTCGTTTCGCCTGCTCTCATTCTCGAAACGCCCAAATAATGGAGAACGCGAATGAGAGCGTCTAATGGGCAGAGAAGTGGCTCATCTACCGTAGACAGGAGCCCTGTCACTCCCGGCTCCGCGCGCATATTAATGGGGCCCCGCTCTCACTCAGCGCCCGATTCCCTCCTCATCGTTTCCTATTATTTTGTCTGGTAACCATGGAAAATAAAAAAGAACAACTAAACGAGGACATGCGGGAGAAACAAGCTGCTCGCGACGAAAGAGAGAGAGAGAGAGAGAGAGAGTAAGCGGTTCGTGACAGTGAATGGTCAGCGGGAGTTTACCTTTTGGTAAACTCCATCAGTTCGTCCTGTTTGTTGTCGCCCCCCGCGAAAGCAACGGCTCGGAGAGCACCAGAAACGAGAGTGCAAAAAGGGAACGAGCAGAGAAAAAACTTGAAAATCGAGCCGGTCGGAGGAGGAGGAGAGCGCCCGAAATAGACTGTAACGGAGAGAAACTGGAGGAGACACAGGTAGGGTTTGAAACACGGTTCGAGTGGGAAAAGAGAGAAGGCTCGCTTTCGAAAGAATAAACAAGTCTGTCCACCAGGGGATCACTTTTAAAAGAAGCACTTATGGGAAGAACAACGAGTAAAGGGTCACCGAAATAGAAGCCTTCGGAAGGGATCCTTGCTCGCCTCGTTATCACTTTTCTTCGTGCGGGTCGTTCATTCCTCCCTCCCCTTTGAATTGTTACACGCGAACAGTTTGCTCAGACTCTCAATTGGTCCGCGACAAACAAAAAGAGAGAGAGAGAGGTGATAAGAGAGACGCAGCGAGCGGCTACTGGTACCAGGACGCTTCGAAAGTTGCAGTGCACTTCCGTCTGCGCGTGGGAACGCACGGAGACGCGAGAGAGAAAAGAGACCTCCGTTTTGGGTCATTAGGTAAAAGTTATCGTACCTAGTGCGTGTCTTTCTCGCTTCCAAAGGACACGATCTGATCAGTTTGAAAACGCGGATAAAAAGTAGGTCGCACTTGCAGAGATGATGAAGTCGAAGATGCGGAGAGGCCGCATTTCGGACAAGGGGGGGGGGGGACGATAAAAAACTCGCAATTAATGAAGTCCTCCCATTGCGAACTAATCAAGAACTACGCCCTACTTGTACTAAAAGGGTTATAAATCTTGGGTACAGCCAGATTTCGAACGGGAGATATCGGTTTGTTGATTCGACAGAGTTGGGAAGAGAGACCTGGAAACAACAGGTTCGCAGCGGGAAGCCTGCGGATGACCAGAGACGACTGATAACGGATGAGGGCAAGTACACGAAGACGGCTTCTTCAAAAATGAAGGTATTGGGTTGAGGAGTTGTGTGAAGTAGGTCACTAAGTGAAACTGTCATTCTCTTCTCCTTTCGTCTTCTCCCCATTACCTATCCGTCGATCCGAGGCGCGGCAAACCGTAAAAGGGCACGCGATGTCCGGAGGGAACAGACGCGCGGCGCGGAAAAGTGAAAGGATTACTGTAGATGTACCTACTGGTCTCGTGTTTCTCGAAGTCACAAACAATATCCGACTTCTTCCTCGGAAAGGGGGGGGGGCCGCCCGAATCCCGACCCGTCACTTTCGATTTCGGTCGTTTCCTTCCCAAGACCGCCTGATTGCCCTTTCCTGGATTACCCGTTTGCAAGGAATGAAGCGGAAAGTACTGTCGAGTAAATAGGAGAAAGCAGAGAAAGGGGCGACGGAGAGCTGACTCAGGGCGGGCTACCGTACTCTTTTATGGGCAGTGTGACCCGGTAGCCGTATGGCTATCACAATCGAAAGTGCCACGTCATCGGACAGACTGAATTGATATGACCTGGCAGAGAGACGGAAGCAAAGAGTATGAAAAGGAATGAGAAGAAAGGGACTGTGTGGACTTGGCACATTCAAACTGTCTGTGCATTCCTGTGCTCATCAGGTGTTCCAATACAGTTCAAAGTTCTGCGAAGTTCTGCGATCTTTATCATTTTCATTCCGAACGACTTTGCCCTAGTTAGAGTTCTGCCCGGACTGGCTACCCATCCGGCTTTCTTCCTCGTCGCTCTCCAATCAAATCATCCTTTTATCAGTTGGCCAATAAACTTTCGATCAGTTCCAATAAATCAGTGTTTTATCCATCCATTCCAGCCCGAGAATGGACTTTTGCGTTCGATTCGAATCAAAACAAGTCGAGAGTGGCTGCAATCGGTGTCCGGCAGACGCTGTCAGTTATATAATGATGTCCTTGTTTCCGCCAGAAGACATGTGTCGCGGTGCCCCTCGCCCGCGTAGTTTCAAAACTCGTCGACCACTCGAATCGAGAGAACTGGATTCGGTCTGAATTGACCATACACTGCAGATGCTGCCTTCTTGCCCCTCCTAACAAACACATAAAGGACATACTACGGTAATTTCGGAAAATAACAAGATGAAGAAGAAGCTGAACAAGATTGGATTGCGCGCAAACGAAAAAAAGGGAAGAGAGAATGAAGATGAGATGGAAGTTATTTGGAATGATCAAGGAGCACAGTGACAGAGATAACCGTAAAGAGCTTCCGGAGAGAAAGAGAAACAGTTTGTGTCTGTTTCTGAATCCTCTCTTCCTCGCTCTTTCGCGCTATCAGTGTGTAATCCGAAGTAATTCCATCCTAAAGTATATCATCGTAACAGAAGTGTCTGGGCATCAAGTTATTGTCCATTTCCAATCTCCCTCCCTTTATCCAAGTGTGTAAATGTTTCGGATCAAATCAGACTGTCCGTAATCTGGCATCATTCCAGGTTTTCTCTCTCCAATCTGTCACTTATCAGTCAAAATGGACTTCGAGTAGAAAAAGAGAGAAGGGGAGAAGAAGAAGAAGAAGGAGAAGATGGAGAAGAAGCCGAAATACCGGTTGATACATGAAGAATATACAACAAAATTATGAAGGGAGTGGGGAAGGGAAACAAGTGATAACATAGATGATCAGCGAAACGGATCGGGCGGAAGGAGTATTATGCAAGCGAGATCATGCTCCGTTCGGACAGTTGGCCGGCTGCCAGTTGCTCTCTCGTGTGTGGCCATCAATCTGTTCCTCGGACATTACTACGAAGAAGCTGCACGAGAGCGGCGAGAAGGGCACAAAAATCTGGAAGGACAAAAGGACTAAACGCTCGCAATTAGTCAGTCAACGGACCAGGTGAATCGGGCCGACTGAATTAGTTATGAACTGGTTACAAAACGACGCTTTTCAATGGAAATAAGTTTCCTCGCGGAGCATGTGACACCCGGATTGTTGCGAAAGTAATGGACTTGCAGGGTCATCCATCCCTTCCTCAACCTTTCGCCTTAACACGTTCCAATTCGGTGTCTGTCGGGGAACGTGTTAACCTTTGATAACCATCCCATTGACCTCCACGTTATCGACCTTCTGGAAGATTCTCCCACACGGAGGTCAACGTGGCAACTACACGGGTCCTCATGCGGAGCTCGAAGTTCGACTCGCTTGGTTCTCAACTCCACCTTCTGCTTCTCAGGACGCCCACGTCTGCCTCCACGAGATAATGGATTCTAAGTCCCATTGGTAATAAAGTGTTATTGGTATTTGTCTAAACACAGTGAAAGGATCTGATTGTCGAACGAGAAGTCGCTCTGCCCGGACACTGAGTTCACCACCCGACAGGGGCTCTGGCAACACGGATGCACTTGGAAAGTTTGGAGCGAAGGGAGAGCTCGGAGCGTTGAGCACGTAGCCTGCAAATAGGTTATTTTAGGGGTTGTTACGTCGTCCAGGCGTATGACAATTGCTATTTGATCTACGTTGATCTACCCGCTATTTTTGTTTTTATTTGTGATCATTTCGGGCTCGCCCTCCTCCGGAGAACGTCTCACACTCACTCTCATATATTCTATTGCTATCTCTGCTACAGGGGTTAACAACAAGTTCATAAACATACAACTCTCTCATTTTCATGTTGAAAATGTATAAATAAGTATGTATTTTCATCATAAACACCTACACTTTCCTTTTACGAAAGGAGAGGGAATTAAAGGAGTCTGAAAAAGTTTGGTACCTGAAAACTTCCTCTTTTGCTCGAATGAAACACTCTAATTCCGCCCAGATGCTCGTCACTGTAATATTGCACTGTCCGAGTCTTCAATCAGGCGGGCTCACTGGCCCAGCTCTGCCAAAAACCTCCGACCTCCCTCCATTCCATTCCAATACAAGATTGTTGTGCTTTTGAAAGTTGGCACTCTGCCAGCCCTCACTCTCCCCTCTCTGTCCGACGTCAAAACAAAACAGTGTTCGTCTGTCTGTCCGAGCATTCCATTTCATTCTCGCCCGTTCCGTTCGTCACCCGCTCTTCTTTCCCAATGGTAAGTGTCGGTTGCCCGGAGACCGCCCGTCCTTTCCCCTTTCCTTTTTTCCTTTTCATCAAAAATGTATACTACTGCCGACTGCGTTTTTGTGAATCTGGCGGTGCTTCGTCAGTTAATCCCTCCGGCCAAATCGCAATTATGCGGCAAATCGATTCGAAAACCGTTTCGAAAATGTTGTCTCACGAGACCAGACGAGGCCCCGCCGGACCCGCACTTTCATCACATTGCACTACTAAACACACCTACCTGTTTTTAATCCAATTGCACGGCATTTCCCTCTATCCCGTTTTTTGATTCACAATGTTTCAGAACAATTCGAAAAAAGAAGATCAACGCTACATTCATATCATCAGAATCGGCAGTTTGAAGATGGATGACAAGTGGAGGGAAGCCGCTCCCGTCAACGACATCGAGGCGTCCTCGTGGATCAGGATATTCCGAGCGGTGCACTTTTCTTCCTTTTCTTTTTATATAATAGCTCGATTTCAGTTCGATACAGATCATGATGGCCTGATTCAATGCGAAGAAATGCAAAAGACCATCCGAGATAGCACTTATTCGTTTGGTTTCGACCACTATGAACTGCAGAAAATGTCGTTGTATCTGGAAATGCGGGAGGGGAAACCTGTCGACTTTGCTGACTTCTGCTACTTGGTAATTAAGCTCTTTGAGAGATTGAGAGATTCACAGCGTTTTTTATTCCAGATGAGCAAGTGCAAAGGCTACCGTCTCCGCGAATATCTGTTCAAAGCAGCGCTGACAGTGACTCCGAAGAGCCAGAGAATCGCCGTATTCTCGAAGCTGCAGCAGTACAAGTGCGTGCCGCCGCCGCTCTTCCTCATTCTTCTCTCCATCATCCAACTGGCCTTCTACATTTTCTACGTCGTCGACTCTTCTGAAGGTGTCTGGCTCTCTGGCCCCATCCCGACAATCTCTCCTTTCATTGTCTCTCACTATCACATCGCGGAGCTTTGGAGACTTTTTACCTACTCTCTTATCAATGTCGGGTACGTGTTTTTACCGCACCACTCGCTCTTTGATGTCTTACAACAAAAACATGCGATTTTTAGCATATTCCACGTGATTTTCAACATTATCATTCACCTGATAATCGGAGTTCCTTTGGAATTGGTGCACACATGGAGGATATACGTTTTGTATGCGATTGGAGTGTTGTTCGGTACTCCAGTCCGTCCAATTTCCGATGACGTGGATGATTTCAGGAGCTCTGATGTCCCTGGCCCTTGATCCGAGTGTATTTCTGATGGGTGGAGCACCTGGTTCATTTGCTCTTATCGCTTCGCATATCACAACAATTCTGACCAACTTCAAAGAAATGGAGAATGCGACAGTCCGTCTTCCGCTTCTCATTCTTTTCGCTGCTCTCGACTACGCCCTTGCAGTCTATCAACGGTTCTTTGCGCCTCGAATCGACAAAGTCAGATTTCTATTCAGTCTCTTTTCCTATTCACTTCATTTAGGTTTCCATGTACGGTCACTTGGGCGGTCTCGTCGCCGGAGTCCTGTTCACGTTTATCTTGCTCCGTGGCTCCAAACCCTCCCGGTTCTACACCGTCTCCTTCTGGGTTTCGCTCGTACTCGCCGGATTCTTTATTGCCATCTGTATCGCTCTCATTGCTGCTCCCAATCTTTTACATTGAATAAACGTTTACACTACGGGCTCAGTTCATTTTTCTCTGATAGTGAGGTCCCAAATCAGGCACTTATTGTGATTTTTGAACAAAATAAGCAGATCGAGTACACTTTTTGTGACCGGGCTTCTAACTTTTTGAGCAGAAACTATTCACCCAGTTCTTACTGTCTGGGCCGATGTGTAGTGTTTTTAATGAAAAGTGTGCAACTGTAGTAGAAATTGGCGGTATCATTCAATCCAAAATGATCAGAATTGATACTGATTGGCAATGTTTTTGTCTACTTCATCAGACAGATTCTGTTAAAAATGATTGTTTTTGTGATAAACACGAGTGTCGTATCACTATGTTCCACTCTATCCATTCTGTCATCTTTCAACCCTTCCGTACTTTCTCCTGCTCTCCTCCTCCTCTTCTCCTCAACTACGTCACCTTTTCTTTTCTGCCCATCTCCGGGTTTCCCGCTTTCTCTTTCTTCTCTCGTCCTATAAAAACTGATAAAAGAGCATGATTTATCGCTCTTTCTCCTTTCTCCTTTCAACCTGAAACAACCACTTAATCTGTTTTCCAGCGGGAAGAAGATGCCGTTGAACAAGTTGATTCAAGATGGAGACAATCAGGATTTGACGAACGAACGATTCAAGGCGTGAGTTGAAAAACACGAGAGTGTGACAATCCCGTACAAAAATATCGAAACCCGTAGATTACAAACCCCGTATAGTCAAATCCCGTAGAAAAATATCGAAACCCGTAGAAATAAGTACGCAAACACAGATACGCCAAAATCAGAAAACTCAGAATATTGGACTCCTCATGGCAATGTTTAATCGTTCTGCCAAATTTTCATGTCTCAAATGAATAGTTACTAAATGGGCGAAAACGGCAATCAAAAATGAGTCAAAACAGTGTGCGCGCACCTTGCATTAGGCCCCGCCCATTTCTACGGGATTTGACTCCACGGGTTTCGCATTTTCTACGGGATTGTCACACTCGCGAAAACACCGGAAGACAAATGGATGAACTATTCAGAACGTTCGATACGGACGTGTTGGCGGCCGAGTTCCACGGAGGAGAAGAATCTCTGAAGAGAGTCCGTGAGCTGAGGGATGAGATTACGAAGAGAGGGCATCTGTTCGACGCGATCCCTGCTGCTCACCGTACAAGAGCCGAGAGAATGGAGGACGTCAGCAGAAAGGTATTCGTGCGCTGGAAATCTGAAAACTGTATACTTTATGAAACTTTTCCCGTGGTTAACCTCTAAACTCTTTTCTGCAGTCTATTTGCGTCCAATTCAAATGCCCGTTTTCCATGACAAACTGCTCGATTTCAGCTGAAAAACCTGATGGAGACTGTCGGGGACTTTGCCGATTTCACCAATTCCCTGGACATGCTGACTATCATCCGGGATGTGATGGGAATCGAGGGATTCCCTTTGGCTCTCCACAATCTCATGTTCGTGCCGACCATCCGAAATCAGGCCGACGACGAGCAGACTGTACGTTCCTGATGTTCACTTTACCGCGTGATAATGCGCTTTCAGGAGTGGTGGCTGATGGATGCCATTCAAGGAAAAATCATCGGAACTTATGCCCAAACGGAACTCGGTCACGGTGAGTTGGACGATTCTTTCCAGGAATAGATCGTCTAATCCGTGTCCAGGATGCGCGCACTACACGCGAGTTTTCCCTTTTGCAGAACGCCTCACTGATAACGGGGCAAGCTCCTAGAAATTGTTGCAAAACTACCTTATCAGAATAATCTGTGACACGTGAAATATGGGTAGAATGTGATTGATGATAAACTGTGGTGGAGGAAAGAAAGAAGGAGAGTGTGGCGGAGCAGGACAGAAAAGATTGAAAGAGCGGAGTGGTCATTGGGCGGAACGACCTGGTAATCTTATTGTTTCACGCATGGTTATCAGCTTTAAGAGTAGCATCTCTTCAAGATATTTCGGGCTTGAAACGTGCTTACAGACACCCACGAATGACCGAGTTCTTATGTTATTATCTCGATCTTTGATGACTTTTTCGCTCATTTCCGATACATAGCCTTTCAAAGTCAGAAAGTGCTTTCTGACCACGTCATGCGTTTCTGTTCAGAGACCATTTTTAAGCTGAATGATAAAAATACATTTGCAGGAACCAATTTGAATGCGATCGAAACGACAGCCACTTATGATAAGAACACCGAAGAGTTTGTCATCCACACTCCGACCACAACCGCCACCAAATGGTACGAACATCCCTCGAGCATCCCATCTCATCTACCCAATTGCAATATTGCAGGTGGCCGGGAGGTCTCGGAACCAGCTGTACGCATGTGATCTTGGTGGCCAATCTGATAATTGACTCCAAGAATTACGGTCTCCATACGTTCTTCGTGAACATCCGCGACTGTAACACTTATGCGGCCACGTCTGGAGTGAGAGTCGGAGACATTGGAACCAAAATGGGCATCAACTGTGTGGACAACGGGTTCCTCGCCTTCGACAACTACCGTATCCCCCGTCGCAACATGCTCATGAAGCATAGTAAAGTGTCAAAGGACGGAATCTACACCGCGCCTTCCCACCCCAAAGTCGGCTACACCACGATGCTCCACATGCGATCCGAAATAGTCTACCATCAGGCGTACTACCTTGCCATGTCTATGGCCATCTCCATCAGATACTCGGCCGTTCGCAGACAAGGAGAGATCAAAGCGGGCACGCACGAAGTCCAGATCCTCGACTACCAGACCCAGCAGTACCGTCTGTTTCCCGGTCTCGCCCGTTGTTTCGCTTTTATGACTGCCGCCGGAACAGTCCGTGCCATGACCGAGAGCTGCATCAGGGAGCTCTCGACCGGAGGCGGTTCTAATGTGCTCGCTGACCTGCATGCTCTTTCTTGCGGGCTCAAAGCAGTCGTCACTCATCAATCCTCTCAGGCCATCGACCAGGCAAGACAGGCTTGTGGAGGACACGGATACTCGGATGCCAGTTACCTGCCCACCCTTTATAGTGAGTGATTCTACGATCCGTACGCTGGTCCGTACGCTACGATTAAGTCTATTTGCAGCTGCCTCGGTGGGAGCATGCACGTACGAGGGAGAGAACGTCGTGATGCTTCTGCAGCTGGCCAAGTATCTCATGAAAGCGGCGACGCAGGCGGAGGAGGGAGTTGTGATGGCTCCGTTGGTCACATATCTCGTTAAACCGGAGCCTTTCGATGGAAACGGTTGGCATTCATTTCCAGATGAATCATCCGGATCATCACTTTTTCAGACAAGTTCGCAAAGCTTCTCAGCCACTTTGAGCACATCGCCCGTCACCGTGTAATATATGCTTATCGCCAGATAATCGAAGAGGAAAAACGAGGCGTGGAGCGGGATTACGCCTTCGCGAACCACTCCGTCGACTGGTCTAAGGTGCCCTTTCACGCGACACAACAGATGCGATGATGTTTCAATTTGCAGGCCGCCCGTGCACACACAAAGTTGTTTATCGCGACCGGCTTCGTGAAGAGAGTGCGGGGAGTCGCTAATGAGGCAGTTCGGGATGTGTTCACCACCCTTGCGGAGCTCTATCTCTCCTATGAACTCATCGAAATGGCGGCTGACTTGACTGTGGGCGGATACCTTTCAGAGGCTGAAGTGCAGGAAATCCGAAACGGAATCTACGATGCCATGAGAGAAATCCGTCCGAATGCGGTCTCCATCGTCGACTCCTTTGATCTTTGTGATCGGGAGCTTCGTTCTGTAAGTTTTCCGTTCAGTAATAGCCCATTCCTCTTCTAACTGTTTCCTGTGCCAGGTCCTCGGTCGTCGTGACGGACACGTGTATGAGAACTTGTACAAATGGGCTCAAATGAGTCCGCTCAATGAGAAGAACCTGCCTCATGTTGAGAAATATCTGAAGCCAATGACTAGCAAATTGTAGATTCTGTTGTTATTTTTTGATTTCTGTTTCCTAAAATAATCAGTTGTGAATGTGTATTCATCAAACAATAAACCGTTTCTTCTAATGGACAGAGTATCATAAGGCGGGCGGGAGGTAGTCATGGGGACGAAGGACAGAGACAGAGTGGGGCGGGGCGACTCGGGGGAGTCCTCGGGTATCGACCCAGCCGGCGACCCCCCTTCATTATTCATTCTCGCCCCCCACTCGCATCCTTTCCAATTTCTCTTCCTCCAGTGCACCGGCACCTCCTTCTCAAACAAACAAATTCTAAATTGTGGCTTCTTCTCGGCAAGCTCTTTGTCCGCCTTCATTTCCTTGAATAACAACACGCGTATGCATGCTATTATAGTTGGTTATGAGCAATTTGCGTGCGATCGCGATCGCGAAAAATAATTAGGTTCATTGCGAAAGCATGAATATTCCGTCGTCTTCTTCTTCGTTTGCTCCCTTCATTTTCATTCATTCAGCAAAACACAAAACATCGCATTCTTTATAGTTAACTGAACAAACTTGTGGAGAGCTTTTTCGGGCCGCGCTCAAAACAACAAGTGGTTCTCAAAAGTAGCAAAAGCTTCTATATTTTGTTCATCTCTCCGGATAATCTCATCACTCACAAGTCACTCGTAAAGCACGAATTCTTCCGGCTCTCTTCCTCTCTCTCTCTCTCTCCGCCACACGAATTCATCAATTCCCATAGCGTGTTCGCGGTCAGAAATAAGCTCGGCCGGCTGCATTTTGTGCCCTTCTCCCGTCCTCCAATTATCGCATTTATGACAACTGCTCTTTCTCCGTTATTTCCCCTTCATACTCGGTAATTGGCATTCGCCCACTTCAAAAACAGATTCCCGTTGTTTTCGAGTGCTTTTTCACCCTCTGAAGACGTGCGACTGAACCTTTTCCGCTAAAGCACGCACACACACACCATTCTTACTGGTATACGTGAAGGGAGTAAGCGTATATCCGGAGATAAAGCGAGTTTCAATTAGAGACGGAAGGAAACAGGGGCCCCCTTCGCTGACTGACTGAGCTCCGCCGGAGAACGTCAAATGGCTCGCCATCAGTCCTTTCTTTCTCCGGGGGCTTCTTCATATGGAGAGTGCAGTGTAAAAGGGTATTATCAACTCTCTCTCTCTCTCACTCTCTCTCTCTCTCTCTCTCTCTCTCTCTCTCTCTCTCTCTTTCCTTCAATTATCAATTTTTGAACAATTGTTTGCTTCGTTTCCTCCTCATTCTTCAGTTTTCCGCTCGTAAACACCGAATTTTCAGCTGCTTATTTTTGAAAAAAGATAAGAATGGAGGACGTCGCCAACACTTTAGCGATGAGTCAAAGTGTAATGGAGAAAATGCAGAAGCTCGAGATCTCAAAGGTTCCAATAACGTGTAATGGTCAGGTGAATACCGCTGAAATGTTCAGAAATACGACGTGGAAAAGTTCGAAACATTGCTGAGATTGCCAGCACGTGAAGTGAACGCATTCATGGCAAAAGAAGCGAAAAAAACGGATGAGGAGAAGATGACCGAGGAAGACAGAAGGGTAAAGAAATCGCGAGAAGAGAAAAAGGAACGGGCGGCCAGAACTCTTCAGAAATACGTAAGACTCCATTGGGAATGAAGAGACTTAACGAGAGAATTTTTTCAGTTTCGGAAGATCAGAGTTCGAAAAGAAAAAGACGCGTACAGGACCAGAATCACAAAGATATCAGCAAAGAGAAGAGTGGCTCTTCTGGAGCAGATCCGTCAGAAGATGGGGGAGCAGCAGCCGGTGAGACGGTTCGGAGGGTATCAGGTGGTGCGGGCGGTCGAACTTCACAGAGCCAGGCAGCACATGCACGGCAACTGGCTCGCCAAACTGTCCGTCGACGTCAACTTCCACGAGATGAATCTCTCGAGACCGAGTTGGTTTTCCAAAGTCGATTCTCCTCTAAAAGGCCTGTTTTCAGATTCTCCAACTCATCCGATCGCCCATTCGATTCCTCTGCTCATCCGTAAAAGCGCCGAATTGAAACACGAGAAGAAGATGAAAGAGATCGAACGCGCAACAATGGACATCTACTGTGGACTTGGACCTCAGAAGAATTCATAAACCACCAATCTCTCGCAGCACATTCCATTCTATAACTTGTGATACGATAACACCAACTAATCATTATCATTAATGAATATATTCGAGTAAAGAATGCGGTTTGTATCCCATAATTAGTCCGCCTCCGCTCGCACCCGCTCTCTCATTTGGTCTCTATTGACCAGCCTCCTCCACCTGCGCGGCACCTTATTGTCCTTTTGGCTTGTGTGCGCGGAAAAGCATATTCGTGTCCCGTGACGGTGCAAGCGCGCTCCAAAGCGCATCTGAATTCGTTTCAAATTTCGGCGCTGCAACGCAGCATATTGTTGCAATAGAACTCGCACGGAATGGAACAGTTACGATTTGGAACTCGCAGTTATATTTCAACGTTGCGAGTTCTAAATCGTAACAGTTCTGTTCCGTGCGAGTTCTACCTACTTCGTTGTAGCGCCCAAATGTCAATTTTCAATTTGTTTCCGAGAAATTGGTTTTCTTATCAAAGTGTACTAAAGTTTGCTTGATTCAACAGTACAAGCGCAGTTTTCCGTACGAGAATTCATGTTTGCTTTTTGTAAACCTCCCCGTCGAAAAAAATAAAACGTATCAGATTATTGTCGTCAAATCGGCTAGCCCGATCCTCTGCTTTGCAATTATATCCGTCGGTTCGCTCGGCCGTACTTAGCGAGTCTCGCTTTCGCAACAATATCGATTTCCCTCGTTTGCGCCCGTTTCTGTCCGTCCGACGATTCCCTCTGGCAACTGACCAACACTTGGTCTAACTTCAAAAAATGTTTCGCAATAGTTTTATCCACAATCCTCTAGAATATTATTCAAAAACAAGTTTTAAACTAGTAAACTCAGTCAGCAATATTCCTATGTTTTTATCGTTATTTGTATAGTTTGCGTCAAGAATCTTCCGCTTTTCTAATCGTTGGTAATTGTAATCTATTACTATTTATCAAAAAGTGCATTTTGATTTCAGATACGTTGGAAACCAAAAAACCGAAGGATGCATTGCATCTCTTCAGATATTCTTTGAAATAAAACGTGAGTTGTTTTTGGTCTCCGCTCCGGCCCAGATTTACATAAGAATGAAAACGTGGCGAGAGGGAATGTGGGGATGGTTCACCTATGTTTATTCCTACGTGGGCGCGAAATATTTTTTTATCATAAAAGAGTAAAATGCTGACTCCCCCCTCACAAGTGATGCCAACTTTGCTCTATACGCTTCGCCGCTATATTGGCTGTAAACGGCGCAAAGAAAGAGATTCCGACGATGAGTCGGAAGAAGGTGAGTGGGTTGTTAACTTTCGGACGTACTGACAGAAACAGAAATGGGCTGCTTGATAACTAAACTAGAATGTTCACTGACCTGAGCAGCAGCTGCTTTTTGATTAAGTATCCTTGGCAACAGTCGTCATGAAAGTCTTTCCGACCCTTTTCTTTCCAAAACTTTCAAGCGTGGCTGGGCACACAAAAGGCTATTATTCGCTGGCTTTTGTTGCCATTCGAAATGGAAAACATATCGAATGACGACGATGTGTTGACTCTAAATGCTATTCACTTAGTCGAAATTGCAGGTTTCAAGAAAGCACTTTAAGAATTCCTGAACTTAACCACAATGTGAAATTCAGAATCCTCGCCGTTCCGGGAATCAATATCAGAAAACAGTACTCGTGAGCTTTTGCCAAGAAAAGAAGAAGGAGGAATGGATAAACTGCGTCAATTCTCGCTTCTTCTCTGGAAGGATTGGGTGTTGCTCCGAAGGAATAAAGTGTGGACTCTGTTCGAATTGATCATTCCGTGTCTCCTTCTCGGACCGCTCGTATACCTCGTTGTCAATGTGAGTCGGAAATGTGTTTGTTTGACATTTAAGAGGAATGATTAAATTTGTATTACAAATTCGTCATTAAACATACACGCCGGTCGGAAACGAAAGTATTTTTTGACTAATAGCACGCAAAATATTTGAAAGATGACTGTTGACATGTATGATCAAGAGTTCTGGTTTTCTTATCAAATACAAACAAAATTAAAAACGTATAATTTTTTCAGAACGCCAGCTCCAATTCGTCTCCAGAACAGCTTTATGACAGTTTCAAGTTAACCGGATCCATTGAAGACATTTTCGTCGACTATGGTTTCACAAAATCAGCACACCAACGATGGTGCCTTCGATCGAATGTTGTCTTCGGATACACGTAATGAAAAAAAAAAGATGGAAAAAAGAAAACAAAAATATGCTATTTCAGGTCAAAAGACTCTGCTTCACAAGAAATCGTAGACAGTATTATGAAGAATGTGGCCGCAAAATATCAGAATTCGAAATTGAAAATGGCAGTAAAAGGAGAGAAGAGCGAAGAGGAGCTACTAACAGTTCTGAAAGATGATATGCCGATGGCCAATGACACGTTATGCATTGTCAACAAGTAAGAATCGGTTTCATCCGCGAAATCCCAGCGTTTCCCTTTCAGATATGTCGGTGGAGTCGTTTTCGACACAATCGATTTGACACAGAAGAAACTCCAATACAAGATTTATCTCGCAAAAGCGATAGAAGAAGAATGGCATCTGACTGAGACGAGCAATAATCCATACGGACCGCTTTCTGGCTATGCCAGCAGAATCCCATCGAGCCCGCCGTACTGGGGTGCCGCCTATCTCACTCTCCAGCATGCCATCGAATCCTCGTTCATTTCTAAGATTCAAGGCGAAGACATATATGCCCCTATCACTTTTCGAGGACTACCGGTACCCAGATACCGTACCAGTTCAGTGGCCGCCTTCATCAGTTTCTTCCCGTTCCTCTGGGCGTTCGCCACTCTCATCAACGTGCTGCACATCACGAGAGAAATCGCCGCCGAAAACCATTCTGTCAAACCGTTCCTGACTGCGATGGGACTCTCGACGTTCATGTTCTACGCGGCACACGTGACGATGGCATTCCTCAAATTCTTTGTCATATTCGTGTTCTCCGTGGTGCCACTCACAACAGTCATGGAGTTTGTCAGCCCGGTAGCTCTCGTGCTGACTGTTCTCATGTACGGTCTCGGAGCAGTCATCTTCGGAGCATTCGTCGCTTCTTTCTTCGACAATACCAACTCGGCAATCAAAGCGATCCTGGTCACCTGGGGTGGAATGCTCGCTCTTTCGTGGAAGTTCCGACCGAATCTTGATCAGATCCCTGCCTGTTTCCTTTACGGGCTCAACATCAATGGAGCTTTTGCTTTGGCCGTGGAAGCCATTTCGGATTATATGAAAAGGGAGCGAGTGCTAGATTTGTTCAACATGTTCAATGATTCTTCTCTTCACTTCTCGCTCGGTTGGGCACTCGTCATGATGCTCGTTGACATTGTCTGGATGTTCTCCGCTGCTTTGTTCGTTGATTATCTGAGAACTTCCGCCGATTTCAATCTGCGCACGATGTGCAGTCGAGGGGATCGATTGGTGAGTTTGAGAAAGCGAGCACCTTCTCATGATCATTTTAGGAAGAGTACGAGAATCAGACCGACGGAGTGACTGCTTATAACACGAGAATCAATGAGCAGGTGAGGAATAGAGTCAGGCGGAGCGATATGGAGGTTAGCATTGATTGTGCTCGCATGATAACTTCGCTTCTGTAACTGACTGACTGAACAACATTGAAAAAGTGAAGATTCAGATGAACACGATGGGATCGTCGTCGCTGAGCCCTCCGAACGCTGATTCTGATGCTCTTCTGGAAGGATCGACCGAAGTGGACGGAGCGAGAGATTCGGCGAGAGCCGATATCAGTGTGAACAGATTGGTGAAGGTCTGGCCCACGACTGGGGAAAGAGCCGTCGACGGACTTACACTGAGAGCCGTTCGAGGACAGTGTGCCATTCTTCTGGGACACAATGGAGCCGGAAAGAGTACGACTTTCTCGAGCATCGCCGGAATCATCAAGCCGACGTACGGACACATTTCCATTTGTGGATACGACGTTGGAAGAGAAGTCGCTCAGACTAGGAAGCATATCGGAATGTGCCCACAGACAAACCCACTGTACGACAAACTGACTGTTTCCGAACATTTGCAATTGGTGCATGGTCTGAAAGGCGCAAGGAAGGCAGAGTTCAACGAGGAAATGGATAGACTGCTGGAAGATGTGAAGTTGAAAGAGAAAAAGAAAGAAATGTCGATGAATCTGTCAGGAGGAATGAAAAGAAAACTTTGTGTATGCATGGCATTGATTGGCGATTCGGAAGTGATACTGCTCGATGAGCCGACTGCCGGAATGGACCCGGGCGCGAGACAAGACGTGCAGAAGTTGATAGAAAGAGAGAAGACGAACAGAACGATTCTGCTGACCACGCATTACATGGACGAAGCCGAACGGCTCGGAGACTGGGTGTTCATCATGTCGCACGGAAGGCTCGTCGCTTCAGGAACCAACCAGTATCTGAAACAGAAGTTCGGAACCGGATATCTGTTGACTGTCGTTTTGGATCACAGCGGAGAGAAAAGAAAAATGGCAGAGGTGCTGACGAGTGTGTGCAAGCACTTTGTGGAAGGAGCCGAGAGAGGAGAAATGCACGGACAACAGATCGAGATGATTCTGCCCGAAGTGGAGAAGCATTCATTCGTTGCGCTCTTCAAGGCATTGGAAGCCATACAAGATAGAGAGTAAGTGCGATAGACTCAGTATTGTTGTAATCGATGACTTTTTGCAGTTTCCGCAGTGAAACACTCGCAACCGTTCCGAACCAATTGAAATCCCAACTGGCCACTCTCGTCATGAAGAGCTTCGGACTGTCTCTGAACACACTGGAACAAGTCTTCATCACCATCGGGGACAAAGTTGACAAGGTGTTGGCGAGCAGACAGAACAGCAGAGCGAGTCACCTCAGACAAAACAGCGAGTCGAACGCTTCTCTCAAAGTATTCATTCATCTTTCTTTCAATATGCTAATGATTATCTGATTTCAGCCGCCAGGATACGATGCCCAAACAAGTACGAAGAGTGCTGACAGTTATCAAAAACTGATGGACAGCCAGGCGAGAGGACCCGAGAAAAGTGGAGCCGGAAAAGTGTTCGCGCAGGGCAGATCGATCTTCCGCAAGAAGTTTCTTTACTCGTATCGTAACTGGACTCAACTCTTCGGACAAGTCTTCATTCCCATTGTTCTCCTCGGATTGGTGGCCTCCCTGTCAACATTGAAATCGAGCAACAATGACCAATGTACGTTGGAATTGTATGACACATGAGAAAAAGAAAATACTTCAGTTCGTAGTTTGACTGCTGAGCAAATCGAGCCCACCAAAGTTGTGTGGAGATTCGACGAGAATGCTATTCCCATCAAGGCTAAAAACTTTGAAAATTTGTTGAAGAAATACCATGGGTTTGATATCCAAACATACAGTGTCGCTAATCCGCTTCTGAACATTACTACAAAATTGATTGGAGTGAGTTTGGGGTTGTGCACACTTATGAAATACACTGAAACCTGCAGGAAATGCCGCCCGCTTCACTTGGAATGACTGTCAGTGAAGACTCGAGTGACGTGGAAACTCTCTTCAATATGCGATACTTCCATGTCCTTCCGACCGTTGTCAGCATGATTAACAGAGCTCGGTTGGCCGGAGACAGCTCGGAGGACGTTAAAATTGAAAGTGGAATATTCTTGTACACCAAGTCAAGTTCTGACAAAAATGTATGAAGCAAAAGGGTAGAAACAAAGCAAGCTTGTGCATTTTCCAGTTACTTCCGAGTCAAGTGATTGACATGTTGCTCGTTCCGATGCTAATTCTGATCTTCGCCATGGTCACCTCGACGTTCGTGATGTTCCTGATCGAAGAGCGCACCTGTCAGTTTGCTCACCAGCAATTCCTGACCGGAATCTCCCCAATAACATTCTACTCTGCCTCTTTGCTCTACGACGCCATACTCTACACGGGCATCTGTATCATCTTCCTTTTCATTTTCATCGCGTTCCAATGGATGACAAATCACTTCAGAATGTCAGTTTCCTTCCTGATTCCCCCGTTCAACTCCGTTTTCTTCAGAGTTATTGCCTTCTGGTTCCTTTACTTCTTCTCTTCGGTTCCTTTCATATATGCCGTATCGTTCCTGTTCCAATCTCCATCGAAAGCCAACGTTCTTCTGATTATCTGGCAAGTGGTCATCTCCGGAGCCGCCCTTCTCGCCGTCTTCCTCATATTCATGCTCTTCGATATCGATCAGACATTGAAGTCTATTCTAATGGTGAGCATTTTTCCCTATTTAACACTCCTTCTAATCGTCTCATTTCAGAATGCGTTCCTCTTCCTTCTTCCGTCATACGCCTTCGGATCTGCTATAATAACAATCAGTACGTATGGAGTTGTTTTAACTGATGAGCAGCTGATGGAATGGGATCAGTGCGGAAAGAATGCATATCTCATGTTCGCTTTCGGAATCTTCTCATTCTCTCTTTTTGTTCTTCTGCAATTCAAGTTCGTCAGAAGATTCATGTCTCAATTGTGGACGATCCGTCGATCTGCGAACAACTATGTCCAACCGGTAATGGTACGATCGTCTTCATTAGTTACTCATCTACTATTTTTATTTCAGGGAGATCTTCCAGTTTGCACGAGCGTTGAAGATGAAAAACGCAGAGTTCATAGTGAGAACACACTCAACTATGCTCTTGTCGTCAAGGATCTAAAGAAGACGTTCGGACAGAACACGGCAGTCAACGACCTCTGCCTGGCCGTCGACCAGAAAGAGTGCTTCGGATTGCTCGGAGTGAACGGAGCCGGAAAGACGACGACGTTCAACATTCTCACGGGACAATCCTTCGCCACCAGCGGAGAAGCAACCATCGGAGGACGTGACGTCACCGAGCACATTTCCATCGGCTACTGTCCACAGTTCGACGCTCTTCTGCTTGATCTGACTGGAAGAGAATGCCTCGAAATTCTTGCTCAAATGCACGGATTCGAAAAGTATTATGAGAAGGCGGAGCTCATCTTGGAATGCGTCGGAATGCAAGCCCACGGAGACAAGCTGGTCCGATATTACAGTGGTGGACAGAAGAGAAAGATCTCGGTGGGCGTGGCTCTGCTCGCTCCGACACAAATGATTATTCTGGATGAGCCGACGGCCGGAATCGATCCGAAGGCGAGGAGAGAAGTGTGGGAGTTGCTGCTGTGGTGCAGAGAGCATTCTAACAGTGCGCTCATGCTCACCTCGCATTCCATGGACGAGTGCGAAGCGTTGTGCTCGAGAATCGCCGTGCTGAATCGGGGACAGTTGATTGCGATAGGAACGAGTCAGGATCTCAAATCATTGTGAGTATCTGAGTTGAATCGTTTTCTTTTCAGTCCTGTCGTAAACTGTTTTTGATGAGAAAGTACGACGGATCTTATTGGTTATTCGTGTAATTTTCCAGATACGGCAACAATTACACTATGACATTGACCCTTCACGGTCCCGAGCAACGCGATGTGATCGTTCAGCTGGTGGCCGATCGTCTTCCGAACTCTGTTCTCAAAACGACATCAACAAATAAGACATTGAATCTGAAGTGGCAGGTCAGAATGAACATCTTCGATTCCTTATTTGATTGTTTTCAGATTCCGAAAGAAAAGGGCGATTATTGGTCGGACAAGTTCGAGATGGTTCAGAAATTGGCGAAAGATTTGCAAGTGAAGGATTTTATTCTGGCGCAATCGTCGCTCGAAGAGACGTTCCTTCGGTTGGCCGGACTGGACGGAGAGGATCAGATCGACCACGCCCATATCACCCACACCACGCGCGTTTGAGTCCTCCATCCGATCCTCTCTTTTGGCTGTATATTATAGAGACACTATCCCCCTTTTCCGTGTAATCGTTCATCCCCGCTGCCCAATGATCAAGAAAAAATTCATTTTTCGCATTTTTATCTGCCCCTCCTTTAAATCCTTTAATTAACATGGTGCAATAATCGAGTAATAACTGCTGAGCCATATCAGCATCTTATTATGTGTTGCCGAAATACGGGAGAATTGTACCATATTTACACAAAGACACACTCATTCGAACACAATAAACGCTTTTCGCTTTCTTGTTGAGCTATACGACTGGATAATGTTAACCGTAACAGTAATGGAAATGCACTGGGAGAGGGGGAATCACGCGGTGAAAACGCCTTCGTTCGCCGACATTATCGTCTCGTCGAACTTGTCTCCGATCGGATCGGATTCCGAGGAATCTGACTCCTGACGCAGCCGCCCTTCGAATCGGTTCGGCTCGGTTTTCAGCTCCTTCTGCACAGTTTCCCGAAGGATTTCCGCATTTGACCACTTTGACGAGAGCATCATATCGGGCTCATTCTGAAGAGAAAACACTGAGCATTTGAGTGAAAATGAAAAGGAAACTGACGACGAAAATGGATTCAGAAGTGGGCGGGGCTTCTGCCGAATCCTCCGTTCTGGCTGTGGTCGTCGCAGAAATCGGAATCGGAGAAGTGACCATTCCGCCGTTGTGCCATTTGCAAATATTCAATTCCGGATGGTCCCGGCACACTTGCCACTTTGAAAAGACTTTTTTGCCATTCAATGGAATGTGACGCTGAACAGATTTATGATTCATAGACGATTCTGTTATTCCCCGTTTAGATACATGCTTTTCGAAGATTTTTTGAAGCCTGAACTTCTAACCCAGTTGTTTCAAAATCCCGGTAGGACCCGAACTTTGACGGCTTTTTGGACTTGGAAAGTGGATTTTTTCGAAAATTGCAGATGGTCCGACAGGTCTGAAACTTGGACCCAAAATATTCCAATTCAAGTCCAAGAAGACGGTTAAGTTCGGGTCCGATTGGAATAATGCAACTGGCTCAAAAGTTCAGTTCTCAAAAAGCCTGGGCTGGCCTTTTTCCAAATCTTAGAATCTAGACGAATGTAATGAATGATACACTGAACTTGATGTCTTCGATGACTAACCTTCCAAGCACAGATTGGCAATGAGTCATCGAGACTACAAAGTCTCTTCAGAAGGGGTTTCGGCACGAGATTCCATCGATACGGCGACATTTCAGCCATCTGGATTACTGTAGATGGGAAGGGAGGAGCCGGAACGGGATAAACATACCATAATCGGAGCAGTGATAGAAATGATAAGAAGACAGAGCATTCTGGAGGATCGGGAGATTTGGCAACCGAAAAAGAAACAAAACAATTCGACACTTTGTGGGCGGAAAAACGAATGGACAATGGACGGACAGAGTGCAAACAAGACGCGTTTCGGAGGGAAAACGGCAGAAAAAATGCGAGGGGTAGGCAGAAAACAAGTGGTTTTATCAGTGGAACATGAAGAGGAAAAGAACGAAAACACTTGAAGAGGAGAGACGAGAACGACAGTACTCGGGTAACTGAAACCGTTCGGAAACGGAGGACAATTGGATGGGAGGACTAAACTGTCGAGGTGGTTACAGACTGGTTTGGGCGGCAAAAAGAAGGAGAAGAAGAAGAAGAAGAAGCATAATAATAATGGGCTGAATAGTAGGGAAGTTGGTTGCATGATTAGTGTAATGCCTCCTTGCGTCGCCCCTCGCGCCCCCTCCTCGCATTGTTATCATCGTCGCTTGGGCGAATGGCAGACCGCTCGGATATTGTAATGTACATTTGAAACGGGGTTGAAACGGACCGACTGACCGACGCTACAGTACCCTGGAACAAACGGAAATGACCAAAAGATCAGATCTTATTTTATTTTGACCGATGGAGTGTGATTACGAGAAAGTTTCAAGCCATTCACAGAAAATCGAGGACAATTATTTATTTACGATTTATTATAACTGATTGTTTACTACAACTTTTTCGTTATTTATAATTTTTTGGTTGTTTTTGCCTAAATTAATTCAGATTTGGATATTTTTGAATCAAGCGCTCCTTCATCTTTAAAGGCGCAAAGCAATGTTTTACAACTATGTCCCGCAACGCTACAGTATGTCATGCTTTCGCAGCGCGCTCTTTTTCTCCTTTTTCGAAAATAACCGTGGGAAAGTTTGTTTGCAGACGTTTTTGGTTGAAGTTGACTCTTGTCTTGCATGATTTTCCAAGTTTTGAACAAATGAATAATTTTTCAAACAATCAGCTAGTCTATTGCTGTATTTCCCGGTGATTTCCGCTCGTACACTATTATTTTCCCCTAAATTTTTCATTCAACCGTTTTCAGAAGAAGATGCAGACAAAGTCGGACAGAAAGAATGCCAGTGTACGCTAATCACGTAAAACTAGTGCATCACTCTTAGTTTCAGAATTTCTTGCTCGTCGCCTTCGCTGCGTTCACAATCGGATCATTTGTGATTATTGCTGACAAGAGCAAGGGAACGGTTCTGTGGCACGTCTTCGCTGGATTTGTTAGTTACCGGCCGGCACTGTTCTATAAAAATGTTTTTTAGGCCATTTTCGAAACCATAATCTCGTTCCTGTACGTGTGCGAGAACTCCGTTCTCATGTCGATCCATCTGCTCTACCAGACGGTTATGTTCATTCTCCCTTTGTTTTTCTTTTCCGTTACCCTTGTCTCCTTCTACGGTGAGTCTAGAAATCTACCTTTACCTCGCAAATATCACTTCAGATCCGGCTGCCGTGTCCGCGTTTCTGGAATCATTCAAACTTGAACAGATAAATGGGTTTGTTTCGAAGCACTCGGTTGCGTGGACCATGTTCTGTGTCATGCTGCTCATCGGTTTGTTTCTCTACCTATTGTCAGCCTTACAACACGATTTCAGTGTGGACTGGTCGCATGATCCTGACTTTCTTGAAACTCACTAATCTCATCATCAAGAAATTGATTCGTAGGGCGAATCGACGAACAAACAAAACGAATAAGGCAGTGATCTCTATGGCGGAAGATGTCAGACCCATTTTTATTCGAGCGAAAGATCTCCTTTTCAGAACCAGCTTCGCAATGTGCTCAACATTTCTTCTGTCATTCTGTTCACCATCATGGCCTATTTCAACGACATGTCTATGCAGAACATCTACCTAGGATTTGTCAGTTTCAGTTCTTGTTTAGCAGCCGTGTCATTTATTTCAGGCTCTGTTCGAACTCGTGATGGCCGCTTCGCATGCGTGCGCGGCCCCGGTTCTCATGGTCGCTCACTACATGTACCAGGCTGTCGCGTTCTCTTTCCTGGCTTTCCTCACGATCATCGTTTGCATTCACGATGCCTGTCAGGGATTTTTTCCATTTTAACAAACTGTAATTACACATTTCAGTTCCGGCGCCAGTCATGTCGTTCCTCAGCTCGTACGGACTCATTCAAGTCAGCAGCTTCGTTTCCAAGGGACCGTACTTTGCTGTTTTGACTCTGACTGCCTGTAAGTCCTCTTTTATCCTTACCGTTCTCTAGTTTTGTTTACAGTCTGGTACTTCCGAATGCTTGATCTCGGTTGTGATATTGTCGATTTTTCCGTTATGGGACGCATCAATCAGAAAAGAGTCAAGAGGGCCGAGCAAATGGAGACTCCACTCATCAAGTTTTAAATGTCCTCACATATGCACAAATTACAATGCCTGTCTACCGCATCTCTTGTTATCTCCGTTATTTTTGTACATTTTTACTTCCACATTTTTACCCGTTTTCATCCTTCGAAAGGACACCCAAATTAAAACATTCATCAAAATAAACAATCGCGGGGAATATTTTCACTTTTGTACTTTGTAGAGTTGATATGCTCACTATACTGAAACGTTCAAAATTTTAATTTATAATCTAGATTCAGACTAACCATGCCGACCTCGTTCAATCCGAACCGCGTTCATTTGGTAACTGCTTCGATGTGCATCACGATTGGCAATGTTGTTTTCAGGATGATCCGATTGTCTGCCGTTGCATTCCGATGAAATACGTCGTCGTCATCGTGCAGGCCATCTTCATTGCCGTGACCATCTGGGTCATAATCGACAGTCAGACAAACGATTACTTCACTTATCCGGCTTTCGCTGTGGTAATTCCAATTCGTGTACTTTTCTTTCTCTGAAGTTGCTCCCAGGTCATTTCCGTGCTCATCTCGTTCGTCGGATACGTGGTCGAATACAAGCCAATCATGGTCATCCATTTCTGGATTGCCACCATCGGATTGCTCGTTCCGATCTGTTTCACCTTCTTCAACGCTCTCTTCTTTTTCCGTCAGTTTCTTCCAGTTTTCTACTCACAGTTATATTGTTCAGTTGCTCTCATTCCGAGAGAAAAAAAGTACGGCAACTACCTCATGGGTTTCATCCTCAGTTTCATCGGATTGATCAGTGAGTGAACACGTTTTATTCACCTGCTATTTTGCAAAAGCGATAACCAATTCGCATGCGTACTTCGTTTTTTTTCTGCGCTTTCATCTCACAACGAATAGAAAGTGCAGAGAAACGGGCCGATTAGCTCGTTTCTTACTCGCATCCCATAATTATTGGCATCTTTTTGTGCGGCACCCTGCCTCGCCCCCTTCTATCATCACTCGCGTGCACTTTCCAGTCGTTTCTGTGCGCGCGCGCGCCCTCTCCTCCCTTTTCCGTCCGCGCCTTTCTTCTTGCAAGCGACTCCAAATTGTGCTTTTCTTTAGTTCACCTCTGCTACGTTTGGATGTGCCGCCAGCTGGTGAAGAAGGTCGAGGGCGAAGAGGTCGTTCTGCCAGAGTTCGACACCACCCAGGGACTGTTCCAGTTCACCTCCTACGACGGAAAACACATTTCAATCTATCCCAAACTCTAAACTTTACAGCCCACGCAATTCCTCATTCTTTTTTATTCTAAACTGTTGACACTTTCTAATATTTACTTTTGTTTTTCTGCCCCCCACTTGGACTGTTATCCCTCCCCTCTTGGACTGTTATCATTCTGCATTTCTTTGATTTAATTGTTCTCCAAGAAACAGTTGTTACAAACTCTTTGTTCGCTCTTTTCACGTATCGCTTCTCCGTCACATATCGCTTCACCTCATAGTTTTATCGTCACATTCGAAACACACACTTCCAGCGAAATGAGAATCGTCAGGTTTAAAGGAATGGTTGTGTGCCACTACGACGATGGACACTTTTTTATTGTGAGTTTCAGTTTATGCAGTTTATGCAGTTTAGACAATATTCCTTATTTGCAGGTTCCACCGTCGTTTCTCTGGTGGACGGCGAAGGTAAACTGAAGGGGGAAGCAGCGTCTCTTCAGATTCTCCTCGTTTGCAGCGTGTCATCCTCGCCGCCCTTCTCGTCAATGTTCTCCTTTCGTCCGTTTTCCTCCTCAACTCGTCCGATCTGCTCGCTTGCCTTCTCTTCGGCTCGGTGAGTCACTGGCGGCGCAGTTCTGTGGCGGTACACGCAAAAAAGCTTTCGCTTTTCTGTGTTTGACGGTCGTTTTGACGTTGCGCAATGGGAATGGTTTATAAGTTTGAATAAGAAAACGGTTAATATTTCGATGGGAAAATAGAAATATCAAACAAGTGACTCGCTCAGTCTGACTTCAGATGACCATGTCGTTGATGTTCGCCTGCGGATACATCTACGAGTCGCTGCCAGTCATCGTCCTCCATCTCGTCGTCTCCCTTCTCAACGTTCCCGCCGGAGCGGCGGCTATTGTGATTGCTGCTCTTGACCCGATCGGTCTGTTCCCTCTCGCGCTCAATTCAAATAATTTCCATTCAGTTTGCAACAACGCAGTTAAGTGCAAAACGGTCAGCCAATGGTCCGGGGATATCGGCGTTCTCTGCTTCAAAGTGTGGATCTATATGTACGCGGCCGTCGCCATAATCAGTACGAATCTCCATTTTCCACTAACGTTCAAATGTCACTCTTTTTAGCCCACGTCTTTATGATTCCCGTCTCGTTCCGTCTGATGAAATATGCGGCCGCCTCGGAAGCATTCGACAGACTGCAGGAAACGAAGGAAACGGGCGATCAGAAGAAGAGCGGTCACTGCGAGAAACTTTGGAATCTGTATACCGTCTGACCTATGTGTACATTGTTGTTGTTCCCTTGTTTGTTTGTTTTTCTTTGTTTTATAATTGTTCTTTTTTCTAACGCGAATACTTCCTGGACCACTGGTGACTAATGCATAAATTGTTGATTCTGTGGTATTATGCTTTGAGAAACTTTATATGCAAAAAAACGGACGAGTAGTCAGAGCTTCAGAAGAAAGATCCAATTTGCGAGATATCCCCACTCGCTCCTTCCAATGCCTTCTGAACTTCAGCGGACGAATCGACGCTCTCGCACGAAGAGGAAGCCGATTCGAGAAGGGAATCAATAGTCGAAAAGACGCTTTCGTCTGGGATTGCACTATTGTCAATGCCATTTTATGAGACTCACATTTGGTAATAGATTCCGGGAGCTGCGACTTGCGTGCGGAAAGATCCTTTGAAATCTCGACTACCGCGCAAGTTGCCTTGTTCGCCGTCACCAAGTTCTTGAGCGCATTGTAGATGGCCACGAGTTCCGTGGCCGCCGGAACCTGCCCCAACGCCTTCGCTTGCCTTTTCTGTCTCTGACTTCCCTTCGCCAATCCACTCACGATCTGCTTGGCGGCTTCCGGCACCTGGCGCACAGTGTCTCCCACCGATTCGGCCAATCGGACTCCCTCGTTCAGTCCGCTGTCGGCCACTCCTCCGATGCCTCCGCCCACAGCGTCGCCGACACTTCCAGCCGCCTTCCCGATCGCCTTCGGAATCTCTCCGAAGCCCGCTCCGATCTTTCCGACTCCTTTTCCGACCTCACTTCCGATGCTTCCACTGAGTGCATTCATGGAGGATCCGATCTGGGAAGGGATCCTTCCGGCCACTCTCAGTTGTCCAGTGGATCCGTTGGAAGCCAATTGGACCTGAGGAGGAACTCGCACGCTTTGGAGAGTTTGCTGGTAGGTCTGTGGGGGCGGATGCCATCCCGGAACGGCTGAAAATCAGTATGGAACCTCTGGGATACTTTACCTTTCCTTATTTACCTCTCTGGGAAAGAGTCATCGAAAAGACGGAGGCGATGAGGAAAAGAGAATACATTCTGATGCCATTCCAGAATTTCGAGAGCAATTTATACATTCCCAACTTTATTTGCTTAGCCGGATGACCTGAAGACCTGCACCAAATGTGGAAAACACGAGCGAGTTTGTTCAAATTTCCGGTACAAACAAACTCTTTATTTTTCATTATTTAACAGAACATTGTACACGCGAGTTTTTTACAGTTTGTGACGGATATCCAGCTTCTTCTCCTCCGCGGTCGCACTGCTTCCGTCAAGGTACTTTGCCACGTACCAGCAAGTCGGCTGCACCAGATAGTCGTTGTCCGAGGCGTACTTGAGTCCCTCCTTCACGAGAACACGGGCGACTCCCTTGCCTTGCTGGTCTTCTGGAGTTACTGTGTGCTGGAAATCGAGCACACGATTCGGAAGTTCGGCGTATTGAAGATACGCTTTCGAGCCAGAACCTGTGAGGAGTCAGATCGAAATGGAAAGCAGAAGGGATTCAGATGACGTACTGAATTTGATGAAGAACTCGGCCGCTTTTCTGCAGTGTTCCACACGGAACGCCATTTTCTGAAAAAGGGTGTGAAAGAAGAAGACGAAAAGTTAGGATAAATAGGAGAATTTGGATTAAAACAGTATTCCGAATACCAGTTTCAGTTTAATTGATTATTGTTATTTTATTTTCCGACAAGAAAAAGCACGAATATTCACAGAAACAAAGGAGAAGTCGACTAGAATGCGTTAGAGAGGAAAGGGCGGCGAAAAGAGAAAATCGGGTGGAAAAAGTTATATATTTACAGAAGGGATGCGTTTAAAATAAGGGAAATCTGAATTGGATTCTAAACGGGGAAAAGCTTAAGGTTCGAATCAAAATGCGAATTAAACAGAGGTGCAATCGGGACATTATGCAAAGCTTGGAAGGGGGTGGGAAAGAGATCGCAGAGAAAAGCGAATCGACTGATTATTTGGAAAGGATCGGGAGTTCGGCATCGATTTCCCAGATGATCAAGTGAGACATGTCACGTGGTCGAATGGATATCCCACTCAGTACCGGCTCGTTCTCTTCACCTGCAAAAGCGATATCTTTAGGCGGACAAAAAGGAGATGTCTACCTATCCGGAAGTCAATGTATCCGTCTCCTCCGGACATGATTAACATGCGCCGTAGAGTCACTTCAGCCGACTCTTCGTCGCCGTTCTTTGACGCCCCGGGTACACCGAGGAAGAACTTGACGCTGTCTTTGTGTCCGTGGAAGGAGAGTTGGGCGTGCGACATGTTGCAGTACGGAATGAGGTCATCACTCGACTTCTCTTCATTCGATTTGTCTGATGGATTTCCGTAGACTCTGACGAGCCCTCCCGGTCCGACAGGACTCTTCGAATCCTTCGTCTCGACCTTCTTTTCCAGCTCTGAAACGCTATTTACACATGACGTCACTATTTCTCACAACTCACTTCCAGTGAACGGAACTGAAATGATAACTCCAGTTCCTGTTCCAATCCAGAGTCTTCTGTTTGAGACGAGAAGGGCCGTCGTTCGCATGTAGGAGAAGTCGAGCTTCGAGGTGCCGAGCATTTTGGTCACGTACGGCTCAATGTCCACGTCTTGGAGGTGTTCGTACGTGTGAGCATGGTAGAGGCGGAGAGTCGAATCGAGACGAATCGAGAGCCAGACCCCCGCTCCCACCCATTGCATATTACGGACTTGACTGTCTTTGCGGGGATGAGCAGCGAACACTTTCTGAAGATGAACATATTCAGTGAGTGGAGAATGAAAGAAGCGCATACCACAATCTGAAGGCTCTCTGCATCAATGACGACTACACAGTTCTTGTAGGTTGCCCAGATGTTCGTCGAGACGAGACAAAGTGATCGGACAGATGAGGTGGCATTTCCAACGCGCAGAGAATGATATCCTTCGTCTGACCATTCACCATCTGAAAACAAAACTTCAAGTGCGGGTAGCGGACTTCGAATGTCTCTTACGTTTGTTTCTATGGAAGATGGCAATGGTTCCATTGGCAAGAGCTGCGAAAATGCGACCCTTATAATGTCTGAAAATAATGAATATGCATGATGTTCGGATTGACATGTGTCTGCTTACACAATACTGAGAACGGCGTCAGGCATTTTGATGCGACGGAGACATTGCTTCCATGCAGTTACCGCTGAGTGAATGTAGATGCTGGAAGAGAAAGAGTTCAGATCAGAGAATGACGCCTTCAAGTGCTCACTATTGGTTTTGGCCGCCCATCCAGACAGTCGGAAGTGCGCCGCTCATCTGTCCGGAGACTCCGTCGTACTTGCTCATCGCGTCTCGGATGTGTGGCGGAAGTGCTGCTCGGCCAGCCGGACGAGTGGCAGGGGGCGGAAGCGGCTCTGAAAGTGCCGAGGTTGGAGACGAATTAAGCAGTAGAGCACGGAGACGTGCAGAAGCGGTAACCGAGGATTACACATTTTAGAAATTGAATTAGTGGAAGAGTTTCAGAAAGAACAGGTGCTGAGGAAAACTGAAAGGCGACTGGAACTAAAGAGAGACAGAGTGAGGGACGACACGACATCGAAAGAAGACGTCCCCCGTTCACCTTTTGCCTTTTTCAGTTTCTCCAGTGGAATCACTTTCGGCGTTTCGTCTGCCATCACACTCTCCGACACTCTCGACAATTTAGTTTTGGCTAAAAAGAGAAAAGAGAAAGAGATGAGAAGACGTAGCAAATAAGAAGAGAAAGAAGGGATTCTCGAGATGGAGCTTGTTTTTTATTACCTTTAACAGGAGCGGAAGGGTCGACCGGTGCCACTTCGCTGATGCTGACTGGAAATGAATCTATTTGCATTCATATCAGTACCTAAACTCACAGTCTCTCGTTCTCTTCGGACTCGGTTTCATGTCGTTCGAGCAGTAAGTGGGCACTCCGTCCTCCGAATCCTCCATCTTTCTCAGCTCGACCCATTCGCACGCTCCGAGGTCTGCGCCATCCAATCCTTCGGGCAACTCCTTCACTTTTCCGCCTCCTGACAGATACTTCTTCGACTGTTCCTCATTCATTTCCGGTTCGCCTTCCATCACTCCGGAGACTGCTTGAATGCACAGCAGATGACTGTCGCACGCCGGGAACGTTTCGATTATGTTATTCGGATTGTTCGCGTCGAAAACTGCGATCAAGCTCTTCCCCTGATTCGAACTGGCCACCCAAACGAGCGAAGAGGACTGCCACTCGTCGAGTTCACTCTCGCGAGCATCCAGATTACGGGCTCTCTGAGAATGGAAGGCTCTCTTATCTGCCTCAGAACTTTCGGTTTCTTACCTGTATCTCATCCTCCAACTCCAAACGAGTGTTCGATGTTTTCGTCTTTTTCAACGAAGCGGGAGCGAAATAGATGGGATCTCCGACGATCCACTGTCCCTTTTCGTCCCTTCCTCCTCTCAGGACAACTCCCGTCGCACACCAAACCTTGAGCGACGGCTCGTTATCGAGAAGAGGTCGGCAGCAGACGGGAATCGGAACAGAAGAGACGTCGGCGTCGACGTTCGGGAACGACCAGCCGTACGCTTCGATTCGGCCGTCCTCTTTCTTGACGTGCTCTCGCACCAGTTTGTACTGCTCTCGTCTCTCGGCGGCACGTCTCTCCGAAATCCTGCAAATTTGTCGATATCAATTTACCACAACATCAATTTCCAAAAAACTCTTTATATTGAAACAGTGTGCCCTACGGTAGATGCATGACATCACAACACAATGAATAGATGAGGTTGAGGGAAGAGTGCAATTAGGATGAATGGGTGAATTGAATGCATGCGGCTGAAACCGAGGAAGGGAAAGCTACCCGTGCATTTCCAAAGAACTATTTTACAAAAACATTCGAGAATAACAAGCAACGGGGTTAACTCAACGGAGAAAATTTAAACGGGTTTTGATGATAAAATTAAACTAATCGGCAACCAATATGATTGGTGATAATAAAATGCAATTTGATTAATATATAAAAGGGATCAGAAAGGGATCGTCTCTAGGAGTATTGTGAGAGATCGGCAGGGCAGAGGAATGCGGGAAAGGAGAGGGAACTAAAGCTGTCTCGAGTGCATTATGGCTATCAGTGATTAGTGAGTGCTAGTGTGCGGACGAGTGCGGTCAGTACTAGAGTTTTCAGTAATTATATGAATTGTTCATCGAGAGCGAAGCAGGGGAGCTGTTATCTGCTCAGATGTATCCTAAAAGACACACATCTAGCATACATTTATTGTGCCCTTAACAAGTTCAACTAGCCCGATTCGTTGTTAACTGACATGTCTGGATCGATGTACTCCACCGAGCGGGTCATCTTGCTGCGCGTGGAAGTAGTACGATTACCGCGAGCAGATGCGGGAGGAGTCACTGATTCGCCCAGGAGACTCGAGAAACTGTAACAATTAAGCGGATAAGGTTCGCCTTGGGGAGAAATTCGCTAACAATTCCCAGATGCCGCCCGACTTCTTCTGATTCACATTCTGCTGCTGCTGCTGCATCTTCTTCGCTCGTTGCATCTCGGTCCATTTGATCGACTCTTCGAGCTCCATCAGCTTCTCTTTGTACGCATTTCGATCCATGAGCACGCGCTGCATTTCGGATCGAGTAAATCGTTTGCGCATGGCCATCGGAACGTCTTCCTGCAATCACTCTGTGATAAACAAAAGAATGGTCGTGTTCTTACCTCTTCTTGTTCGTTCTCCTTGTCCATCAGCTTCTGCTTCATCGACTTCATCTCTTCTTCGAGCTTCGAAATTTGCTCCTGCATCTTTTCGCTGACCATCTGTCTGCTCAAGTTCTCGTCTCGGAGGATCATGTTTTCGCTGTTCAACTCGTCAACCTGGTTGATCAGATCGTTCTTGACAATGTTCAGCGCGTTCTTCATGTCCAACAACTCCGAGTTTTCCTTGATCAGGTTCTCCACTTCTCGTCCCATTCCTGAATGAGCAGTGTTGAACGGAAAGGTACGAACGGAACAAAAGGGAAGCGCATGATGACGTGACAATCTTCCAGTCAGAATGTGTGGAAAAGGGAATTCGGGAAGTGAGCTGGAAAATCGCCTCGTCGCAAAAACGATCGATTGCATGCTTTTCGAAAAGTTTAAGAGGTCGGTTTGATTTTTTTGTTGTTGTTGCTTTCTGGCATTCTCTCTAAATTTACAATCACGACATTTTGTCTCCAAACTCACCGATGAATGTGTCGTTAACTGAAAAAGAGAGATTGTTAATAATGGAAAAGAGATAGAAAGAGAATGAGAAATGCAGAACTGAGAACACTGGCGCTGTCGCATGCACATGCTCTTTTTGTGCCGTGTGCCCTACCCAAACTGCCGTCGTCCGAAGTGTCGTCGTCGTCGATCCCTCCGTCGTTCCAGCGGCTGCCACGTGGCGGTCTCAATCCCAACGCATTCCATTCCGATTCGTCATCTGCCAAAACACAAAACGCACATCAAAATACGATACAACATCTACTTTTGACAAAAGGGAAATGGAGGTGTGCCGGAGTGGATTGGAGAGCCTTTTTGTGGGTTTCAGTCAGATCATGCTCAGGGAAAACCGGACAAAAGCGAGAAAGAAGCAAGCAGAAAACGACAAATGATAGAGGAAAAGGAGGATAACGACGATATGAACTGAAAAATTACCCGCTGAAGCGAACTCCGCCGGATCCACTAGGTTTCCTGTCAAAATGGGAGAATAATAAAACTAAGAAACTGGAGAGGTGGGTGGGACGGTGTGTGCCAGTGATTCGCCCCGATATCTGCTTCTTTCCCGGACATCCCCAAATCGTGAGTGCATGAGAGAAATGTGTGTGAAAAAAGAGCAGAGATGAAAGGTTAGAAAGGAAACAGTTCCTTTTAAGCACAAAAGAGCACTCCGATTAGTGGTAAAGACACTACGTGGATTCGACTTTTGTTCTTCGTTAATTTTTCTAGAACACAAACCTGTGAGATCTGCGCCAAGAGAGTCGTTTGTTTCCCTGTGCTCACTGAAAAAAATGAACTTTTTTGTAGAAGATGCCACGTGGCAACTTACACAGAAGTCGTCTCATCTGCCTCTTCTTCCGACTGCTTGGGAGACGTCATCTCGTGCTTCGGAGTCGGTTCTTTCGCGAAAACGGGCGAGTTGGCTTGCGAGAGAATCTCGTTGGCTGACGGCGGAATGTCGCGTGGCGACGGTTCCACGTCGGACGAGAACTCGTCTTGCCAATCTGGAAAACGGTGAGGGTTTGAGGGAAAAGGGAAAGGAGCAAGTGTACCGAATGCTATTAAAGTCAGTGTTTGTGAGTTCATGTCAGTTGCGAAAATAATACTTTCCATGTTTGATTTCATACAGAACCCCTGTTGAAGACGCCACGTCGAAGTGTCACGTACCTTCGTTTGTGATATGGTTCGCCAGATTGACGTCCATAGTGGTGGACTGTGTCATGTGGGCTGAGATTAGATCGGAGACTCCTCGAATCGAAGAAGCATCGACAGAGGCAGCCATTCCCATTCTGAAACGGTTGTTTCAGACAGAAATCGAACAAATCCGAGGAAATAACACAAAGAATACACAACAACCAGAAAAAACAATGAATGTGGGTTTCATGCTCTCCAAAATGTGTGCCTAAACTGAGTCGATTCGAGGGGGACTCAAACCGTGGAAACAGAAAAAGAAGAGGGCTCGACGAGAAACTCACAGCGGATTCTGATCACTTTTATGCAAGCGATGGGAGATGGGAAACCAACTACAAACGACGACACGACAGTCACGAAACTGGTTGAAAATGGGAAGGAGGGAAAGGGACTCACTTGTTGCGGAGCTGCACATTCGGCAGGGGCATATTCTGCATCAACTCGAACTTTTCACTGCCCATTAGGTACTTTGTCCGTTCCATGTGATCCACGTGCGTCCGCAGAAGAGTGTTGTATCGCTCATGGAGTCTGTCGAACTCGAGCTTTTGCTCGGCTTCTCGTTCTTCCAGACGATTTGCTGAAAATCGTATGAAATTGGCTGGTTGGGATGTGAAAATACCGTGATCGGTGGCATTTTTTGCTTTCAGTTCGAGCATTCGCATGATGGACTCAAGCGACTCTATCTTCTTATCGAGCTCTTTATTCTGTCCAATCAGCGTGTCTTCTATCTCGATGTACTTCTGCTCCGTCTGCTTCCGAAGTGCCTTTTCTCTTTCGTACTGGGTCTGCAGCTGCTCATTGTCTTCTTTGAGCATCTCGAGCTCTGCCACTTGCTCATCTCGTTCCAAATAAGCCAAATCGAGTGATTCGAGCACATTCACGACAAGAGGCATGAGGGTCTGAACAGAGAAAATAACAGATGATCGGTGTCCTGTTTCTGGCCGATTTGCATACTAACAAACAAGACGAGAATGTTCATTGTTCAGCCAGAGTTCAGGAGAAGACTCACCTTGACGCCGTCCTCGCCGCGCTCCTTTATCATTGTTTCCAGTTCACGATAGATGGCAGAAGCCATCGTCTGCACTTTGTCCGACATGGTGCGGTGCTCATCTGGAGAGCCGGTGCTGCCATACACAATCTGACATAATTTATCTCCCATCAGCACTGAATGCAGCATAAAACGGGCCACAGTCAGGCGCCCAGGACTACTCTAGTGTCTCTCTAGAGTCTAGACCAATCGATAATGAAGAGGGGAGCGGAAGAGAAACAAAACGGTATTTACTGTGGGCGATAAGAGAACGAGATAACTGTCGTAGGCGCGCCACCCGGTTGCCACCTACCTCTGACGGAGTGCTGCTCGTGATCGAGTCGGCCATCTCGTTGACCGGCGACAGATTACAAGCCATTTGGAGGTTCGGTCAACCAGCTGCTCGGCTATTGGTCCATGGGAATACCTGAAAGTTGCTGGATGACTCAAATTGTCACTTTGTTGCTTCGACGAAAAATCAATGTAAATATTTGGCAGAGTGTCACTCCGCGACGGAAAATCAATAGCTGGGCGCATGTGCGAATCTCGTGGATGCAAAACTACGATAGTGGGTGCCTTTGGGAGCGCTTTGTGCGTCAAAGCACGCTCCTCACGGCGCACAACATGTTTTTGAGTGGTTCTGGACTTGCAACGACAGCGAATACACTTCATTAGAAGGCGTGAAAGGAATTTCAATAAGAGCGTGGATTGGCAATTATTTCCCTCAATTTAAGAAATAGAACTAGAGCCCAAAACAGAAATTGAAGTGAAAAAAGTGGAAGGAAAACAAAATCAAAACGAACGAAACTGGCAATAACAAAACTGATTTGATGCCTTATTAAATTTTATTTACTGCGTACACTTTTTGATAAAATTAGAAAGAAAGAATAATTTTTTAAATCTGAATAAGTTAAACATTGCGAAACGCTTCGCGAAGCTGAAGAGGAATTGAATGCATCAATTGCGAAATGCATTTTAAAGGGACATGCATATTCGTTAGACTTTGAGTCTCACAGCCATTACAGTACTGTTTTAGGAGGGAACAGTTGAATTTAGAAACAAATTTGCCATAATTTGTCATCCAAAAGTTTTCGGTCGCATCAGGGCGAGATGCTGACAATTCCGAAGACGCCCAAAAAAGTTGTGCACCGGGAGAAAGCTGCACCACATCGCACTTCCCCGCCGAGAGTGAGTTCCTTGCCGCGCCTCTCCTCATTTCAAATCTTGTTTCCCAGTTCCGTCTTGACTCCTTGCTCAACTGCACGGACCGCACCAGCGCCAACTCTGTCGGAGTCCCATGCGGTGCAGAAGAAACATTGTCGACCGTCTCAAATGCGTACACACCTCATCCTATCGCCAGCAGCACTCCGTTTCGTCACGTGTTTAAGCAGTCGCAGAAGGATGCGATACTGGTCACCAAGAAATGGCCTCAGCCACGCACAGAAACAGCTCCATCGCCGATTCGGCTCATTTCAACCAGTTGCTCGAAGTCAATCACACTCTCGTCAGGTTCAGAGCCAGAACTGAACATCTTGAACAGTTCGACTGATGGGTCTGCACTTTGTACGGTTATCGCAGCACCGTCCTATCCCAAACGTTCGCCGTTGATAATCAAACAGTCAAACATGGACAACAAGCATCAATCAATCATCGTGATCTCGTCGGACTCAGAGAATTCCAGTTTTGACATGCCGCAATTGCCGCCTCGTCCAGATTCGGAACCACTCTTCGGATACAACGAGAAAATTCAGAAGCGGCCGATGAGTGTCGATCAGATGCCGAGCCGTGGAACGTTCCGCCCGTCCATGGTTCGTTTTCAACAGAATTTCCATAGTATTTCTTTTTTTCAGCGTAGACGGCAGCTCAAGATGTCCACGTTCAGCAAGACACCGCGATGTGCTAGACCGACAAAGGCGTGGCTTGCCCGCACTGCTGATCCGAAGGATGAGGAGCCGATCGAATCGATCCAGAAGAAGACGAAAATGACGGCTGAAGAGAGGGAAGAGGTTTGGAAGCGGCTTCTGGCACCACCGACTTCGTCGCGACGAGACGCCGGTGCGCAGCCGCAGTGATTCAAGATAGCGGAGACCATCAAAATTGTGTACAATATTAACAATTTGCACCCAGTTTCTTGTGAATTTATTATATGTTATTAGTTTCCACCTTTTCCTATGCAAATAAACACGGTGAAGAATTTTTTCGGGGATTTGCATCACAAAATTCATTCACTGTTATTTAAGTTCATTCATCAGGACTTTCCCCCGCCGCAATTTCGTACTTCGTTCGGAAGGCGAGGAAAACAATGATGATAGAAGTGAACAGCAAGAATCCGGAGGCCGTCTGAAAACGCATTTGATCGGAAGGGACCTAAAGGAGAACAAACTGACGACGAGCAGAAGAATCGCGTTTTGGATGGCCGCATTTCCCACGGAAACTTCTGCGACGAACGCGTAACTTATAAAAAAAATGAGCGAGAAAAGGGAGAATCCGGCAGTCGGAGAGTGGTAAATGGCCAACTGAAAATGTGAATAAATTCGATCGATTCGTTCGGATTCGCGCTCACTTTCATCTGTCCCATCGTCAGAATACAACGAGATCGGCCCATGAAGAGGAGGGCGCCGAAAGCGATAACGGCGAGAACGAGGAACATAATGGCGGCGATGTACATCCAGAAGCTGGCCTGATCGGACACGTATCCGAGGGGAATGAGTCCTTGCAGCAGGACGGTGAACCCGATCATCTGAACGGCATTCGAGCGTCGGCCCGTCATTCCACACTGAAACTCACGAGATTTCCGATGAGAAGTTTGTTCAAAAGCATGTTTGCATCTGCTTTTCCGATTCGTAACTGTCTAACTTTTCGTAAGAAAGAAATGATTTCTCAGAGCGGCTTTGACGTGGAAAACAAAAAGAAAAAAGGAAAACTTTATTTTGATGCGGGAATCAGACGTCTTTCTTCGTCTTTATCTTCTTCGACGGCTTCTTTTCCCTTCCATGAACCTCGTCCTCATCTTCTCTGATCGTTCGCCTTCCCTGAATCGAATTCAATTTCTCCAGAGCCGTCTTATCTGAAATTTCTCTCTTTTCTCTCGTCCTTTTTTCTGAAATCAACTGACCCGCCGGTTTGCAAACTTGTCTCTTACTCAAATAAACAGTCAAAATGACGACGACGACTGTGAGAAGGACGCAGACTCCGCAGATTCCGGAGGCCAGCATAGGCAGAGAATCGGGAGGAATAACGTACGAATTAGCGCTCATGTCTCAAACGGAAATCGGAAATGATTGAGAAATGCTAGTTTTCTGACGTTGTTGAAAAATAAAAACAAAAAGAACAACAGAAAAGCGAACAAAAGGTGTCAGTTCATATGTAGATCTTGAGAAGCTCTTCTCCGACGGCATCCGGCTTCATTGCTCCGAAGTCGGTGACGATGAGAGTGAGGAACTCGGGAGCTGTATAATCGACATCTGGGTGCTCCATCGCCAAATTGTTTTTCTCAATCTTAGATGTTCGGTACTTGAATTCGTTTGGAATGTCGGCTTGATTAAATGGAAATTCTCTGACAAATTTTAAAAGTTCGGCGCACACGTAGACAGGAACATTGCGGGATTTCGCGAGGACGCACACGTTAACAGTCCCGATCTAGAACAGGGAAAGATTAGAAAAAAGGCATAGAAAGCTCTATTCAGCACTTTGTTTATGATTCCGCCCGTCTCCATTACTCCTTCCGCGCCGATAATGACAGCTTGCATACGTTCCATGATGTAGCCAACACAACTGTCGAGGACAAGAACCGTCGGAATACCGTGCTTTGCCAGCTCCTGGCACATATGTTTTCCAGACTCGTCTGGCTGCGATTCAGTGACGTAAACGGTCAGAGGACATCCACTTTTATGAGCACTCAGAATTGAGGCGAGAACGACTTTACTGAAGGAATGCGTTAGAATGTTCTGAAACAGAATGAATCAATCTTGAATATTATTTTCCACTTACCATATTGTCTGAGAACAACAGTTTCGTATGTGTGGCGATTTTGACACGAGCTCCTTTGACACTCCCGTAAAACTGACGGGCACGTTGGCGGTAGAGCTCGAGCACTCGCGAGAAGTCTTCCTGATCTAGAAGGGCTGCTGGAGCAAGGGAAGTGAACCGCGTGAACATGTCGGCGGCGCTTCGGATCGACGTTGAGCTGTAGTCGGTCTTCTCAAGGGCGGCAACCACGTCTTTTTGCTCGTTTTGAAACTCAGCGACAGTTGTAGCTGAATCGTTTTTAAAACTTGTTCACTATGCATGAAAAATGATGAACAAACCACGACTCCGATCCAAAACTTCCATCAATGTTTCCACTGTTGCCAAACTTGTAGACTTATTGGGGTCGTTCTCAAGCTTAGCTCGGAAGAAAGACAAGGTGCTTTCCTGATTCATCTTTGGGCTGAAAATTATAAAGTCTCTTGAAAACAGAATCAGAATTTGCCAAATTTGACATTAATGGGAGCGGTGAGCTGGGAGCGCGGACTAGGTTCACGAGAGAAATGTCTCTGCGTCTCTCCATTTCACACGCTCTTTCTCCGCGGCCGTAGCCTAACATTCACATGTGTTTTGAAAATTCAGCTTTTCGTTTTCAATTTTGTTTTCAACTTTGGTTTTTTCATTGTTCACATATCAGAATTTCAAAATTTTCTGTTTGCAAATAACTCTAATTCAGAAATGAGCGAGATGCGTCCATTGACAAAAAAAGAAGCAAAGAAACGACTACACCGGAAGGACTTCCCAGAGCCAGTCAAGTCCCGGAGAGAAGTACTGAAAGATATTATGCAATCGTCAAGTTCGGATGATGAAAAAGAGCGTCAGGTCCGCTGCTTGTTCGGCAAATATTTTGAGGAAGATTCGAAAGGTTGTGGACAATTGTTTTGAGGTCGTTTCTTTTTATCAAATTTTTCAGTAAACATTCACGGAGCTGTCGCCGAAATGATGAAAGGAATGCCGGTCAAAGGGAAAACAAGCGGTCATAATCTGTTAACTTGGTACTTGGAGGATTTCCGAAAATGGCTGCAGGACTCTAAATGCGAGGAGAAATTACGAGAAGAGAACCTGACGGCCGATATTCAGAGCACGGCGATGGAGTACAGCAATCAAAATCAGCTGACTCTTGTTAGTGAAATATTCCAAATCACTCCTGAAAATCTTGAAATCGGTGCAAGGAAGAGATTCGATGACGCTCTTAAAAAAAACGATTACGACGCCGCTCATATATTGGCCAGGGAGCACAATTTTGCCGGCGAATATACGTTTGAAAGCCTCGCACTTCCGCTCATTCTCTCTGGAAAAGAAACGAAGGCATACGAGCTAATGGCCGGCCACCCGAGTTTTCAAAAGGAGCTCGTCAGATTCTTGGATCGGTTTGTCGAACAATCTCCTGCGTCGGTGGAAAGTGTTCTCCAGCCGTACAAGGAAAAACACATAATGACGGTTTCGTTTGATAGATTCCACGGAAAAGCACTTGACAAGATGCTGAACGGAATAATTACTAAAGTTACGAAGGAATACAATTTTGATCCGGATCTTCACAAATATGCGCCGAGACATAAAGACAACTCCGACTCCAAGCAGCTGAAATACAATATCACCCAAAGATTCGACGGCCCAGACTATATTTCGGACGACAACTATTACCAGCACATGACGTCGACACTCGACGCGACGACTCCAAAAGTCAGAGAAGAAATTATTTTTCACCTGTGGTCATCCGATCGAGAAGAAAAAAAGCAAGTGGGATGTTGTGTTTTGCGGTTCAATAAATAATTGCAGAGTCGATGCCATCTCGTGGGTTTTATACCTTGGACTCGACAAAACGAATGCGAGAGAAGTTCCTAAACTCATGGTTGAATACTTCAGATCTCCAGATGGCATGGTTAAAAAAGCCCAGCAGTTGCTCATCGACAGAAAGTGAATTCAATGCAAAATCTATGCTTAAATGACAATTTCGCACTTCAGAGAACAACTGGTCCCTTTGGATGGAGAACGTCTGTACGTGGACGATTGTGGCAAACAGATTCAGATCAATTCCATCGAGAACGAATCGGCGCTGAATGATTTATGCTCGAATCTCAAGTTCATTGAAAGCGACCCAGATCCGGTGTACGTCGGATTCGATTCGGAGTGGAAACCGCCAAACTTAACGGAGCCCAAGTGAGTAGAATGAGAGGTCGCCTGATGAAATTCCATCTGATTCCAGCTCTATGAAGCTAGCAGTCATGCAGTTGTACTTCCGGGATACTGTTTGGCTGGTCGATTGTGTCAAACTTGAAGAGCAGAATCCGAAAGTACGAGACGAGACTTGGCTGAAATTCGCGCAGAGACTTCTCCGATCGGACAAACTCAAAGTGATAGGATTCGATATGCGGAACGATTTGGATGCTATTCTGACGATTCCGGCACTTAGGAGCGTGATCAAAATGGAGGATATCAATAATGCTTACTGTGTGAAACGACTGACGGAAAACGTATGCGAAATTGACATGGAAATCTTGGGTCTTGCGAAGAAGACGTTCAAGTTGTCGGATCTTACACATAAACTTCTCGGAATCACTTTGGATAAAGCGGAACAGTGCAGTAACTGGAAGTGCCGACCGTTGCGCAAAAAGCAGATAGTTTACGCCGCACAAGACGCCGTCGTCGTCGTGAAAGCATTCCAGAAGATTGTCGAGCTGACGAAGAAATATTCAGAATCGGTGAATTTGAAGAAGCTGACGGAAGAGTCGAATGTGATGGCTCCGAAGAAAGAGAAGGGCAGAAAGGAATCGCGAAAATTGAACACTATTCCATGGTCCGAAATCTATGAGACACTGCGTGGGCACTGTGATCCAAGCAAGCCCCGCAAAAGGCCGTTCGAACTGAAAGTCATTGTCGATACGATGCTTCTTGGCTTCGGAAAGCATTTAAGGTATCGTCTCCATCGTCTCGTATTCATTAAATCTCTTACCTTCAGACGTGTCGGAGTCGATGTCTACTTACCCATAGACGTGACCGACTTTCGTGAAAAACTGAAATTGATGAAGCGATTGGGCGGAGATCTCCAGAGGCATATATTAACTGTGCCCTCAAAGAGTTACGAAGCGCTTCGGGCCGAATACGATCGTTACACAGTGGTCATTCCGGAACTGAACGAAAAGCACCCGATCGATCAGCTCATCTCGTTCTTCGACCGTTTCAACGTGGACATTCGTCGCGAGGACGAGTTCACCCGATGTTTGGCGTGCAACTCTCGACTTTTGGTCAAGATTCCCAGCCCAGTCCTTCATTTTCTTCATCAGTACTGTGTCATCCACGTACAAAATGTTTATCGGGTGGACATGTATCAATTCCCCTTAGAAGGCGAGTCCAGACACGCGAACACAAAGAAACCCGTTTGTTATAGACTGGTGGAATGAGATGCTGGACATTGATCCGAGAGATTACGATGGTGTCAAAGTGGAAATGAGCCGTCCAACGCCTGAGAGCAATTGGATTGTGGCCACGGTCCCCACCGGATGTCTTCATATCACGTAAGCATTTGCGAACAGTTTCAGGCTCTTTTACTAATTCTATTCCAGAAGAAACACAGTGATTCATAACAACCTCCCTGAAGGCGTCGAAGTGCGTATCCAAAGCGTTCCTGACGACGAATTCCAGCGCCCAAACCTTTGCTTCTATGTGTGCGGAGATTGCGGAACTGTGAACTACGACGGCCGAGCATCATACATTACCTCTAGCCAAAGCAACGATTCATGTCACTAATTTAACTCTTTTGTTAACGAAATATTAACCCTTCAACTTGTCTGCCGTTTCTCTTTCGCAAAACGTGTATATTTTACGGTTCTTTATCCCTACCATTTTCCTCGGACAGTTTTATCTCGATCGCTGTATATTATCCCTCTTATGGAAGCTTCTGAATGTAAAGAACGTCTAGTGCCAATTCGCTCATTTACCTACTGGTCATTCTTATCCAATTATCTTGACGCATTGCTTTCTTTCTTCAAGGTGTCTCCGTTTTCCAGTCTCAATTATGTCTGAAACCGTTTCGGAAAAGTCTCCGAAGGAGGAAACGCCGGAAAAAGTTAAGCGACGGACTCCTCACGTAAAACCAAACGTTGAAGTCAGACGGGAACTGTTCAGAGTGAGTGGAAACTGCGAATCGAAGAAAATAGACTGTTTTAGGGAATTGTGGATGGGACCGGAGAGCAGGACGAAAAACGAGAGCTAGTCAACAAATTATCCTTTGAATTTTTCGAAGAGGACTTGAAAAAGTGCACTGCGAACAAGACGAAGGACGGATTGGAACTGTGGGAGATCGAGAAGGACAAGATCTACAGTTCAGTTTTGAGAATGCTTCGTCACATGCCGAACAAGAACAAGCCACAAGGAGTAGAGCTGAGTAATTGGTATATGGACGCATTTGTCACCTGGTTGGAGCAGAAAGGAAACGAAGATGAGCTTCAGGAGGAGTTCTTGAGCGAGAGAACTCTGGAAACGGCACTCGGAACAGCCATCGAAGAACCGCTTATTTCGCATGGGATCAGTCGGATTTTCGGAATCAGCCAGGAGACGATCGAGCAAAAAGTGATGGAGAAAATCAACTACTTCCTCGAGAACAAGAATTATAAGGAAGGCGGTATCCTCGCGGCGAAGAACAATTTCGTCGACCGCTTCGAGTTCGATCAAATCGCGTTGCCCCTTCTTCTTGCTGACAAGTTCCCCAACGTCCTCGGGATGATGATGAAAAGTACGCGACTTCAAAAGGAGTTCATCTCGTTCCTGGACAACCTTGTCGGCAAAACTGATGCTGAATTGACTAAATTCTTCGAGAAGTACGAGTACTTGAACTTTCCGGAAATCACTCTGAGGAGATTCAGAGGACATACATTAAAGGCATTCATGACGAAATTCTTCAACGGAGTTGTGAAGGATTGCGGATTCGATTTGAAACAGGAACGAGATGCGCCAAAACTCCGATTAGAGCTGAGTAAGAGCGCGTTGAAATACTATTCCAAGCAGAGATTCGATGTGCGAGAAGCGAGCGACACGTGGTACCATGAGCATGTGGAAGACACGTTGCGAAAGAGTTCTGATATCATAACTGCGTATTATCTGGCCTTTCTGTGGAGTTCGGACGAAGAAGCGAAGCGGTGAGCTGCAACGATCGAATAATTCGGCAACCTGCTGGTTTCCAGAATTGACGCAATTTGCTGGGTGCAACATTTGAATATTCCCCAGGATAAAATTCCCGATGTCATGAGAAACGAGTGGAACGTCCCGGAGAGAGAATCACTGAGGGAACAGGCTCGGATGATCGTCGCTGAGAGAAGGTAGGGAAGTTCTGAAGGCCATTCAAAGCAGCTCTCGTCAGTTTCAGGAACTTGGGCGCTCCTGAAGAAGGGGAGCAATTGTTCGCCTCTGGGCTGGACAAGAACTGGCCGATAAAGATTGTGGAGACGGAAGAGGGCTTCGTGGAAATGTGCTCGAAGCTGGGAGAGCTGATAAAAGAATCCGAAGAAGTTTACGTTGGATACGATAGTGAAGGAAAAGAAGCGAATCTCGTGCAGCCTGGGTAAGGAGAAAGAGATGAGAATTATGTAAATCTGCGGGTGTTCAGCAATGCCAAAATCGCTCTCGTGCAGCTGTTCTTCCTAGAAACCGCCTGGATAATCGACAATGTCCGCCTGGAAAGCCTCGAACTCGACGTGCAGGATAAAGTTTGGGCAGATTTTGCAGACAAGCTGTTCCGATCGGAAAACGTTTTACTGGTTGGATTCGATATGCAAAACGATCTGAGGAATCTTATGACAGTCTCTAACTTGCAAAAGGTCATCGAACTGTCGGAAATCAAGAATGTGGTGTGCTTGAAAGAGTTAGGAGAGGCTATATGCAGAGTTGATTTGCAACTGCTGGGAATGCCGAAGAGCACGTTCAGACTGTCGGTGCTCTCGAAACACATTCTCGGATGGGACATTGACAAAGCGGAGCAAGCGAGCAACTGGCAGTTCCGTCCGTTGAGGAAAGTGCAGATCCTGTATGCGGCGGTCGATGCAATCGTCGTCTCGGAGATATTCAAACGGATAGTTGAAAAGGCTAAGCTATGGGATGCCTCTGTCGAGTACCCAAGGTTATTGAAACAGGCTAACGTGCACTATCTGATCTTCGAGAAGAACAGAAACAAGAAATTGGCACAAAAGATGCCATGCTGGCCGGAACTCTTCAAGGTCGGCCTCGTAATGTGCACTTGAAAAGTACTATTTTTTGTTTCAGATGCTAAGTGCATGCCATGATCCAAACAAAGCGTCTATACGACCATCCGAAGCCAAAGTGATTGTGGACACGATGGTTCTCGGCTTCGGAAAGATTCTCGAAAAACTCGGCGTCGACGTTATCGTGCCGAACAAGCCTGCCGATTTCCATCGGGAACTTGCGAAAATGAAGGATGGAAGCTCGGAACAAAGGATTATTGCGACGGTCGAATCGAAGAGTTACGAGGCGATGAAAAACGAGTACAGCAAGTTCTTCCTGATGAAGGATGTGTACAGCGTGCAGGTGCTCACCCATCTGATCGAATTTTGCAAGCAGTACAATATCGAGATCAAATACGAAGATAATCACGGATTTCTGAGCGCATATCCAAAGAAAGAGGTGAAAGGAAGAGAAGAAAACGAGGGCAGAATGGGGACCTAACTGTCATATCATTACTAACTTATTTCTTGTACAATTTTATGTATTTCTATGACATTTTGTTATGACAAGATTTTCTCATGACTTTGCTTTAAGTACTATTGAAGACATTTTGACCTGGTTTGAGCATAAAAATTGCCCTTTGACTTGCTTATTTCTATTTCATTGAAAAGGCATCTGACCCTTTTCTCGAACAGAGTATCTCGTTTTGATGTTGTGGTCATTCCATTTCTACTCAGCTACAGAATCAAAAGCATTCCGGGAGAAATCTTCGCGCGAAATGAACAAGGATCTCATTGTAATTTACTAGATCCAGTATTTCAAAACTTTATTGTCTCCACTCAGAATTTATTCTCCAAACTGTCCTCGGATCCGGCGGAAGTTCGGAAGAAGGCGTTGGAATACGGATGCGACTTTTTGGGAGGCGAATGGAAGAATCTGAAAGCAGACGATCTGGAGGTGACTCAGATGACGTGAGCCGCCGAATCCACTCCCTCTTCCGTTATTACTACTCCCGTTCAGGGGCGGTCAGTCCAACCTGCTCTACCTGGTCTCTGCCTCCGATTCTCATTTCTCCCCGGATACTCCCTCTCGATTCCTCGTCCGTCTCCACCGCCAATCGGCCGTCCAAGTGTTCACCGATACCGTCGTCTTCTCAATTATGTCCGAAAGAGATCTCGGCCCGAAACTGTTCGGATTCTTCCGGGGCGGGCGCCTCGAACAGTTTCTGCCCAGCGAGACGCTCGATCCGGACACTGTCTCCCTGCCAGAGTTGGAATCTTTATGAAACAGGGAAAAAAGAGAGAATTTCCAGAGTGTCTCGGAAGATCGGAGCCATCTTTCCACTCCTGCATTCGCTGAAAGTTCCCATTCCGAAGAAGCCGAGGGCGATCGAAATGATTCGGGAATTCTTGAAAGAGTGCAGAGATCTCGGGCAGACTTCCTTCAAGTTGGTGCCCGGATCTGTTGATTACGAAGGAATTCCGGAAGAAGTGACTCTAGATCGATTGGAAAAGGAAGTGACGGATTTCGAGAAAATGTGCGCGCTTTTCGATGAAACCGTCGTGTTCGCTCACAACGACCTTTGGGTGAATCCGGTCAAACTTACTGCTTAACTGATTCTTGCCTACTTTCAGTCCGCGAACATTCTCCAGCTGAACGACTCGAAAGAGATAGTTTTCATTGACTTCGAGTATTCTTCCTACAACTGGCGGTCCGTCTCTGCTCGCATTCCCTTCCGAATCCTTCCGTTTCAGATCGTTCGACCTTTCCATGCACCTCTCCGAATGCGCCTTCGATTACCGTGTTCCGTTCCCTCCGGGCGTCCACGTCGATCAAAGATTCTTCGAGAATCACCCGAACATCCAACTGTTCTGCTCTGCATACGTGGATACTCTGTTCCGAATGAAACTGGACAATCCGCATCAGAAGTATCCGAAAACCGACGATAAAGAGAAAGAGACCGCCCGTCTCGTGCTCGAATGCAAATTCTTCCTCCCACTTGTCAACATGCTCTGGGCAACGTGGTCTCTGAAGCATTTATGGGTGAGATCCGGAACAAACACCTCACGGCAACATTCTTATTTCAGGCTGACAATCAGGATGACGTGGATTTGGCAGTGGCGGCAAGCAACCGACTCTCCGTTTTCTTCCACTTCAAACCGCAATCTGAGCAGATCTATGAACAACTGAAACACTTCTGATTTTAACATCAACAGTAGAAAATGTTTAATTTGAGTGCAAATATATTACAAACTCTACTAAATATATAAATATGTTTAAAAAACAAAAGTATTATGAGAAGGGAATGAACCGAATCGCCGTATCACATGAGTTGCTCAATCGTCCTCTCCTGCCGGTAAACTGTCCTTGAGCACCTGATCGAATCGAATTCTGATGTCTGTGTTCGCGCCGGAATCAGTTGCCGACGCGTAAACTTTGAAATGGACGGCCTCCAGGGCTCCGCGGATGGCTCCGGCGATCATTTGAGAGTAGGAGAGTCCGGCTGAGACAAGATTCGCAGGAACCTGGACGGGAAGGAGTAATAGGAGAGAATGGCTGGGAACAGGTAACCTGAACGAGTTCGGTCAGTGGATTCGACTCGAGAGTGATGGTGAACTCGCGGTCCCCGCTGGTCCACGCGGACGCCGTGGCCGACACTCCGAGGTAGCACGGAATCGCGTTGCGGCAGAGCACGTCCGCGATCTGCCGCGTGTCCACACAACGCGGCACGTTCGCGTTCTTGGCGAGGAAGTCGTCGGCGAGGCGGGTGCCCATGTTGAACCCCATCTGCAAGTGGCCATTCTCTTCCAGTCTTTTCCGTTCTGCTCACCTTGTCCAGTTGCACGGTGACATCTTTCGGGTCTTCGTAGTCTTTGAGCATCTCGGTGACCATAGCTCCGTAGGTGAGACAGAACAGCTCTGCGCTCATCTGGAAATGAAAGAAATCGAGAAGGAAAAAGGGGATTTAGAACCTTCTTCGAGTCCGCCAAATTCTGCTTTATCGCTTTCGACATCTAAAATTCTCGATTTTGTTGCAGATAAAGAAAAAAGAACAGTGGTATTTCGAATGTAAATTACATTAAAACCTTCAAACACTTATGTTAGGTTATAAACTTTTTATTTTGAGAATGAATTATATATGAATTAAAAAAAATTCGAGAACAGATGAACCAAAAAGAAAACAATTACAAGAGACCGAATTGAGGTAAGCATCAGAGCTGAGCGGAAATGGAATTTTGAAATCCGGAAGACGGCAGACGGCAGACGGAAGAAAATTTTTTCACGGAACACGGAAAACGGAAGACGGAAGAAAATTTGTTTCCCGGAAGACGGCAGACGGAATTCCGCTCAACACTGGTAAGCATGTTGATACAAGAGGGCTGCTCAGTCCGTTTCCGATTCACGCCTTCTCCGTTTTTCCTGATGACGTGGCGAGTCGGTCCTCGATCGGCTGCGTTTCCGGGATTTCTTCGACTTCTTTCCCTTTTCTTCGTCGTCAGATCTATCCTCTTTCGAGTGCTTCTTTTTCTTCTTCTTCTCCTTCTCGCGGATTTCACCGTCCGATTCCGAATCTCTCTGAAAATTTCGCCTTTCTTGCTGCTCTATCAATGTTCTCACTTACATCACTTTTCTTGCTCCTCTTCTTCTTTTCCTTCTTCTTCTTCTTTGACGATTTCTCTGTCGATGACACGTGCCCTGACTCGGTGGGGACCGTCGTTGCTCCTCCCGTTCCCCCGCTCGTTCCGGCCTTATAATTCTGGAATGCTGCCTCTCTTTCCTCGTCGTTTTCTAATACCAAGTACGCCTTCTCCTTCTCGATCTTAGGCTTGATCACACTCCATTCCGAATCTCCGTCCACGTTGTGACCCTTCAGAAGGTTCCGGAACTCGCTCTCCAGTCTTCTTTTCTTTCTCAGCGACTCTTTCTCCTCGTCTTTCGCCTTGTTCTCCGCCTTCTCAACCATCGAGTTATAGCACAATTTCATGTTTCCGTGATCCACTTTCCCTCCGTTTTCATGCGAAAGTACCCACGTGGAGAACTCTTCGTACTCGGTCGTCGCCACAACTTGACACGCCTTCTCTGTCAGTATCTCTTTTATGAGACGGCGATCCTCCGTGTATTGCTCTTTTAGATCTTCAACGAAAAACTTGAAGAGATCGAGGGGAGAAGATCCGGGCTGGAGGAGCATGCATTCGAATCGAGTATCGGTCGAAATGATCGGGAACATGGACGACCAGAGGGACATCGAGGTGATTTCTCCGCGCTTGTGCAGCTCCTCGAGCAGTGTTCTGTACTCTTCGCGCACTTTCCGTTGCTGCCTTCGTAGCCTTTTCTCCTCTTGCTCCTTTTCCAGTTCATGCTCTTTCTCCGCTTGTTTTATGTGCTCTTCGAACACCGACAACGCGTCTTCTTTGTCCATCACTACAATTTTTAATTTCTTTCCGATAAAATGCTCGCAACCACTTACGCTGCAGGTCAGTTTCCTCAGCGAACTGTGGGTTCTCAATTAGAAGTCTTTGCGCCTGAGCCCACGTCGTCTTGCAAGTAATCTGGTCCATAGTCTGCAGAATGTGACTGAAAGCAGCCAGATTCCTCTTCCGGCCCTCCTCCTTCCGTTCTTTATCACGACGAGCCACAAATCCCTGAAAAAATATTTGCAGCTTAAATAAAGATTCAGATGACGTACGATGCAATCTCTGAATATTTCTTTGCGGTCCTCATCATTTACTGCCATCCAAAGTGGCTCTTTGCTGAAGATCTCGCTGGCTTTTATGTACTTCAGGCTTTCCTTCATTTTCGGGTGATCTTGCAAGAACTTTTCCAAATCTTCTTTCGCCTTCTTGATTGCAAGCCGTTTTTCATCCTGCAAAAACAAAAATAAAGTTAAAGTCTTCTCAATTCTTCTTGTTATCGTTATCGATAGAAAGTAGCCGAAAAATGCGCCTCGCAATTGCGAGTGGGCGGAGTCAAAACTCCTCCCACATTTCCCTGCCGCACGCGACTTTGTGCAGAAAAACCTTTTTTCTTGCTACTTTTAACTGAAAGCCGGCACATTTCAGGCTGAAATGAGTTCTTTCATCACTCGCGCCGAAAGATCAGGAAACATTTTTTCGCGTGTGACCGGTCTGATCAGAGCTGGACAGCTGAACTGGGCAGACCGACCGTTGTGGTAAGAAGCGTTTCAGTTGAAGAACAAAAAAATTTGCGAGATTCAGGTACGACGTCTACATTTCTTCTCCTCCTCTTTCGGCGCCTGATTGGAACGTAAAACTGGCGAAGTTCGACGAGCCAATTCGACCGATTTTCTACGAAGAAGACGTTCTCAGAGCGTGAGTAACGCTTTCTTGGTAAGAAAACAAAACCACGAATTTTTAGAAAGTTCTATAAGGCGTATCGACACACCGCTGGAATTCAAGTGGACAGCCCAAAAACCAGTATCTCACAGCAGTTCCTCAACGAGTACAAACTGGTCGAAGCAGAAAACGCAGGTGCTACCCCGGAGAAGCTGTTTGCCCTGACTCAACAGCGACTCAGTGAAAACGGAATTATCTTAAAATAAGCACAAAGATCTCTTCTAATATGCCTAGCTGTTTAGTTCATAAAGTTGTTGGCCCATTCACTCACTCGTTCCTCCTTTTGCCGTTGCACTTTCCAGGCGTTGAACAGCTGTTTCTTTTCGGAGACTTTGTTCAGAATACGGAAGCGAGGATCGTTCTGGATCCACTTGACGGCTTGGTCCCAGTTGCACGTCGTCGTTATCTTTCCCTCGTTGTACTTGTCGCGCAACAAATCCCGGAACCGTTCGGACTGCCGTTTCTTCAGCTCCGCCTCGTCGTTCACTTGTGCATCGCCCTCTTTCTTCTCGGCCGGCAACGGGACGTTCGGCATCTCCGCAAGTGTCTTTTTCATTGCCTTCTCCAGATCAGTTTCCGCCTTTTTCTGTTGCACAGCTGCCGCCAACGCCGCGTTTTCCACCGACACCGTCGCTGGTTTCTGTTCGCCTTCTGAACAGCTTAATTGAAAAGAGTACACTGGAAAGTGCTATTCTTACTGATAACGTCTTCACCTTCTGGCTTCGTCCACTGCGTCTTCTTCGTTACTGTGTTGTAGTAATAAGGCCTTCCTTCGTCCTTCGTGAAGAACTCCTTCCACTGTCCTGATGCTTGCTGCTGCTGAGACTGTGCACTCGCTGCTCTCTACAATAAAACTTTCAATCCATTTTCGATGAAAAAAGTGGGTACTCACCTCTTGCGGAGTTTTCAAAGCATCGGGTTTGACCCACATCGACTGTTTCGTTATCCGATTGTAGTAATAGAGCCGTCCGTCGGTGTGTTTGTGCTCAGTCCATTCTGAATCGGCCGGCGAAGAAACCGAGTCGTCAAGCCCCATTCCGGGCGGAACGAGCATCGGAGAGGGGCGAGTCGGTGCCGCAGCGGCTGCAGCAGCATGGGCGGCAGCGGCAGCTTGAGCGGGAAGAGAGCCGGGGTTCGGGAAGCCCAGAGGAAGCTGTGGGAGGGCTCCTGCACCTGGCATCACAACTGGAAAGATAGCAGTTATTCTGTTCAGAAAATACTATTTTAGGAGCACGTCACCCGCAAACACGATTCGTTTGTCAAACAGAGCAGAATAATAGTGTTTGGCATCACAAAAGTGTCAATTAGCATGTGAGAACGACGCGTACTTCTTGGCTTTCTTTTTCTATTTGCGATGTTTTTATTGAGAAGATCAACCCGAAATTGTTTTCGAAAAGCGTACGTACATAAATCGGGGCGGGTCCATTAGGAATTATATAAGGGTTTATTGTGCGCCCCATTGGATCCATGTGTGGAAATGCTAGCGCAACGAAGTAGAACTCGCACGGAATGGAACAGTTACGATTTGGAACTCGCAGTTATATTTTAACGTTGCGAGTTCTAAATCGTAACAGTTCCATTCCGTGCGAGTTCTACTTCGTTGTAGCGCCAAAATGCTCCCTTTTATGTTATAACGGACCCACAGCGGTGTGTGAAAGGAACACAAAAAAATAATGACTGTTAAGTTGAATTCACCTGTTTAATAGATTTTGAACGTTTCTAATTGACCAAATTCGATTAAAAAACAAGGAAAACTCACTTCCTCGCCCTTGCAGTTGTAATTGGAGTTGTTGCGCATTGATATTGGCAAGCAGATTGTGGTTTATGAACTGAAACCCAGTGGGAATCATTCTGAAAATTAAAATGACTATTAGACCGAATACACAATGTTGGCAGCGGAAAATCGAAAATGGAAAGCTGCGTCTCTGCGGACGTTTCGCTCTTTCATCGATAATGTGGTTGGAGCGCACTTGCTGACCTCTGTTGTATTCAAGACGTGTTCTGAACAGCGCTGTTATAACAGATATACATTTATTAGATCGACAATGAGATAATCAATGGCTAGTCTCTGTGAATGATCTTTCCCAGATATCGGAGTTCGATATCGGACGTGTTGGCCACCAACTTCTTCTTCGTGAAAATATACTCCAGTGGCTGTTTTTGTTGGTCTGTGACGATTTGGATGTTTGAGATGAATGTTGGAGCCAGAATAGCGACCGTTCGTTCGACCTGAAAAAATTTTGAATTGAGTTCGAAAGTAACCTTCCGCCTACCACATCGGATATGCTCTCGGGCAGCTGAGTCGATCTGAAGGTCCGTCCGCGGTCCCGAATTATCGTCACAATGAGAATGCCGCACGTCATCTCGCATAAAACTCCATTCAGTTTTCTGATCACTGCAGGAGAGAAACGGTCAAACTGAAAAGCTAGTGTTGAAGATCAGAAACGATTTAATCCGACTCACGATGATTTTGAGCTGATCCAAGCGCCTTGGAGTGCTTACGGAAAGAAACTCTTCTCTAGTCAAATCGAACGGACTGAAGACGACGAAATCCTGAAGATAATTTCTGAATAGACTGAGAGAAAGAGTTGAACAAGAAACTTACGAAGTTTTTCACGACAATAAGATCTTCCTCGCTGAGCAGCACGATCGCATCCATGTCTCGAAGTCGGATAAGAATGGCGCGGAGCTGAAGATGAGAAGATTGGCAATGAAATGATTGTAATTCAGCACTGTATTTGGGGAAAAAGAGCAAAGGCGCCGGAAATCGGAAAGTTTGAAAATGGAAACATTCTTTCGTACAAGTTAAAGGGAACAAGAGATATTTTCGGAGTATATATCCATTGGTCTCGACGACGATGAGCGTGAAAGATTCCTATCTGTCGCTCTCCTTTCCCTCCCCCCACCATCAGTTTATCAGAAGAAATCCGTTTCCAGTTTGAAAAGTTAGGCCACGTTTTCAGTGGAAAATTACTTCGCGAACTAGAAATTCGGCCAGATTGCGAACAGAGCGCCCTTTCTATTCTGTGCCCCTATAATAAGTTCCCCTAGTGTTGTAGTTTTCGAGACGCGCGTCACTAAGAGTACGTAGTTGCGCGTAGAATAAGGCGCCCCCGCGCATTTACACTGGTTTCGTCCGCCCGCCAAATTCGGGTGTTATTTTGATTGTTTACTGCACTATTGAGATCTCTTGTGTTAGTTCCCACTCATTTCCGTCGTCTCAATTGTAGTAGTGTCTTTTAATTTAAGTTAAATTGTTGTTTTAAGAGTAGGCGTTATTACTATCGTCTCTTCATTTGTAATTGGTTTAATTACCCAAGTTTGAGTTTGAGCATTCGAGAGAATAAAGATCAAACGAAGGGAAGAAGAACTTTCTTTATGGTGCAACGACGAAGATAAGAAGTCGGGGCACGAGCAAGACCCGCGTGGCAGAAGAAAAACCGGAGAAAACGGGACAAGGGGGCAGAAACGCTCTGAACCCTAGTTTCCCGAAGGAACGTGCAACAAGCAAATCGCGCCAAGGACACCGAGCGAAAAATGTCTCTACGTTGTGAGCTTGGACTCGCAACGCGCGCAGTCAATGCTCTGAAGCTAAATACGGCGAAGATGCAGGCGGATTGCGCGAGAATCGACAAGGAATCCAACGCGAATCTCTCCAAGCTGAAAGATTGGATGACGGAAGAATTGGGGAAGATGGAGTCGAAGTTGAAAAGAGCGGAAGAATCTCTAGCGAAACTCAGCAAAGCTGCCGAGAAACCCGAGATTGTAAGCAATGCAGTCGAAATCGGAAAGTACGAGGAGAAAAGTGAAGAGATACTCGACGCGATCGACGAAGCCGCAGCCATGCAGGACAAGCTATTGGGAAAGCTACAACGCACCCAGACGCCGGATCCCGCGCAAGGACAACAGCGAACGGACGCGCAACAAGTGGCCCCCAGAACGGACAGGCATCAGCACCGCAACGTCAAAATCCCAATCTTCGCCGGTAATAAATGGGAGTTCCAGAGATTCTGGGTAATATTCGAGGAGCTAGTCCACGGAACGGATGAAAAGAAGATCATAAAATTCACGCTCCTCCTAAATTCACTCAAAGGAGAACCTTTGGAGCTGATGGATCGGTTCGAGGTAGCGGACGACAACTACGACGACGCAATTGAACTCTTGAGAGCGAAATACGGAGACAAAGAGTCGATCATTCGTGAGCTCAACGCGAGACTCAAGAATGAAACGGCAAAAGACTCGTCCATCAGGGAACAGAGGAAACTGATGGAGCGGCTCCTCGTCATCGTCAAGCAATTAGAGAAAAACGAGGAGATCATGAGTACTCGATACATGATCACGTTTCTCATCGACAAATTCACAACGAGTGTCAGAAGAGAAGTCTACAAACGGAAGATATCGGGCAAAGGAGAATGGTCGACGGCGAGGATGTTCGAAGATTTGGAAAGCGTCATCACGATCGAAGAAGAACTTCAATCATGCATGGGAACCAAGGACGAACAGAAGAAGGCCGGCAAACAAGAGAAGCAGACGACCGCGAGGCTCAACCCGAACAACGAATCCGGAGAGCCAAAGATGGCAAAAGCGGCGCCAGTGTGCATATTCTGCAGATCGACAGATCATCATACGAACGAGTGTGATAAGATAGTGTCCAACGCGGATAAAAGAGTTATCCTGCAAAGAGAAGAGCGGTGCCTGAACTGTCGAGGTACTGGTCACATTCTCAAAGAATGCAAGAGCAAAAGGAACTGCAACTTGTGTCAAGGTCGTCACAGTTCGTCAATCTGCCCGTCAAGAGAACGAGTTGGCGGGAGCGGCTCGAGCGGAAGGCAAGGAAACAAACAGCAATCCAGGATGCCGCAGTCGAACCAAGCTGTCGCCACTCATATAGCAAGGACCGAGGACCAGGAAGAAGTTACCGAAAACGCTTCGGTAAACTTCTCAGCAGCCGAAATGCCGGAAGAAAGAAACACGGGCTTCATACCCGTAATTCAAACCAAAGTTCGAAATCCGGAGACGAAGCAATGGTTCCCGATAACGGTCATGATCGATTCGGGATCAACCAACACCTTCATCAAGGAATCAGCCGTGAAGAAATTCAAATTGAAGCGTCTCAGTCCAGCGTATTTTCCGTTGCAAGTATTCGACACTGAGCCGAAGAAGTCAAAGAAGTACGAAAGATCCGCGGTCGAACTCGGAAGCGACAGGACCATTCTGATCGATACTATCCACGCTTCCCGCCTAACCGGAAGAATCCAGACTCCGAGACTATCAGAAGAAGATAAGAATTTCATGAAGGAGCAGAAAATCGAATACAACCCGGACTCGGTGGATAAGGGCAACGATCGACAAGTCGGGCCCAAATACGATAATCACTTTCGCCGACGCCAGCAAGGAGGCAACAGCGTATTGCATCTACGTGGCAAATCGATTCGGGACAAACCTCCTCGTGGGAAAAGCGAAGGTAAAGCCGATCAACGAGAAATGGACAATCCCAAAAATGGAAATGCACGCGATCAAACTAGCCATGCTCCTCTTCGAGAAGAACATCTGCATCCGGTGCCTCGAGAGGACGAGTGGAAACGAGGGGAGCCACGAGTGCGCGCCATCTACAAAGGCCTGCTATTACTGCGCCTCGGAAGAGCACCATTCTGCATTCTGCGGAGAGCCACTGAACGTTGCGCCACCGGAGAGGCAGTAAGGGGCAGGGGAACGCCCTCTGCCCTGACTCCTCGTCGGCCGGGAATGTGAAAGATTCCTATCTGTCACTCTCCTTTCCCTCCCCCCGCCATCAGTTTATCATAAGAAATCCGTTTCCACCCCCCAATCATTAAGTAGTTATAAGTTCCCCTAGTGTTGTAGTTTTCTAGACGCGCGTCACTAAGAGTACGTAGTTGCGCGTAGAATAAGGCGCCCCCGCGCATTTACACTGGTTTCGTCCGCCCGCCAAATTCGGGTGTTATTTTGATTGTTTACTGCACTATTGAGATCTCTTGTGTTAGTTCCCACTCATTTCCGTCGTCTCAATTGTAGTAGTGTCTTTTAATTTAAGTTAAATTGTTGTTTTAAGAGTAGCAGAGTTGAGCGGAAGAACTCAACGGAAGAAAACGGAAGAATTTTTATCTTTTTCAGAAAATTTTTTCATGAAATGTGATCAACTGACGAAATGTATAGCAAAGTGAACTCTGTTGATAAAAAAATAATTGTAAATTTAGCTTTTCATACAAAAAAGTTATTCGAGTTGTTCCGTGAAAAAAGGGCTAACGGAAGGACAACGGAAGACGGAAGGACATTTTCACGGAACAACTCGAATAACTTTTTTGTATGAAAAGCTAAATTTACAATTATTTTTTTGTGAGCAGAGTTCACTTTGCTATACATTTCGTCAGTTGATCACATTTCATGAAAAAATTTTCTAAAAAAGATAAAAATTCTTCCGTTTTTTTCCGTTGAGTTCTTCCGCTCAACTCTGAAGAGTAGGCGTTATCGTTTGAGCATTCGAGAGAATAAAGATCAAACGAAGGGAAGAAGAACTTTCTTTAATGAGGAAAGCACTGGAGGTTCTTCCATCTGAGATGTTTTTGTTGTTATTTAAGCTTGTGATGGCGAACCTTCTGAAGCTGGAAAATGTCTCCTATTGTCCTGCAATCGTACAAAACATCTCGTAGTACTTTCCGCTTTTTGACCGTATCCTTCTCATATTTATTCACAATTCTCATCATTTTCTCCGTCATGTTCGACATTTTCTTCTGAGAGATTCAAATATTCTGAGAATGCTTTTTTTTTCAAAGAAATTCAAAAGAGCTCACGTGACGATGCTCTCGATCACCGCAGATCCTTGACATTCTGGAATTTTCCGGAGCAATTCCTTTCGAGCTCTCTTCTGGAATATCGGTCGACCCGTCATTCTATCTGAAACGGAAGCCGCAAAATTGTCAGCGTGAATTTTTGAAAAGATGAGTTCGGAAAGACCAGATTTGCATACGGAGAGTAAGTATCATCGGAATAAATCTTTACTTTTCTAAACTATGGCACTACTGGCTACAACTATTTTTTCATGAGTAACGGAAAAGAAGAGGCACGATCGATACAGTGAGATGGAAACACGTAAAGAACAAAAGGGATCACTTGAGGGCATTTACAGAGGCGAGGCAGGGGAACAGGGAACAGATCATAAACGAGATCGAAATGATATTAGTACAGGGGGAATTGTAACAAGTCTACAGAATCTCTTCAATACTCGGATCACTCTCCGGCAGCTTCAGTTTCGGAGTGCGAGTCTTGATGGTGACTGTCTGAACGCTTACTGAGAATTATTCAGATACTCATTCCCTAACACTCTACCTCCTTCAAAGTCTTCGATTTGAATTTGCTGAACTCGAATTCGAGATCTGAATTGGCACTGGCCGAAAGAATCATGCCGATAAGTCCGACTAGCTGCGGGTCCTTGTCCATCTCAAGGAGAACACTTTTGTGCTTCTCAAATTGCTCACGAACAGTCTCAGATGCAGAAGAGCCGATCAGACGTTGCCGATAGTGCTCGGGAATTATACTGTAGCTCCAGAGTTCATTGAGTTGATGTTTGCGAAACTCTTTCAGGTAAATGAAGAACGGATAATCGTGTGTAGGCGAGCAAAACGGATGCGAATGGATGAGGCCGCGGGACTCGAGTTGCAGAAGAGTCTCGCTGATGAGAAGTCTTCCTCTTCCGACGAGCAATTGACGGACGTCGTCGGTTGAGAACACAATGAGTTTCGAGTTCAGCAACAGCTTAGCGCCCTCGTGGACCTCTTCGAGCAGACGGGATTGCTGCGAGTATGGAAGTGAGAAGTTTTGATTTTGGGCCCGAGGAGAAATCCTGAAACTTGTTATGGGCGAGGAATGAATGAAGGATCTCACATGGGTTTCCTCGAAGAACCAAGACCTTGTTTGTTCGACAACTGAGCAATTGAGGCCAGCGGAAGCTTTCGTTTCTGAAAAGAAGATTGTTCACTCGGTTATTTGAATAATCTAACATCAACTCTTTTCACCGGAAAACGCGCCGGTTCAGCAATACGGTTGACACAGATCTGAGTAGATTGCTTCGGAGTGTCGCCGTCATCCCATTGAGCCGTCAGAGGGTTCAGAATGACTTCCAGTGCCGTGACGGGACGCTGAACTCCCGGATGGCTCGGCAGAATTCCGATGGGGCGACGAGCGATTGATTGGAGATTGAGGTTGAAATCGGGGCGATCGGGGCGTTCGGGGCGTTCGGGGCGTTCGGGGAAAGGACCCAAAGTGACCGGCTCTGGATATTCCATCTGTTGCCGTCTTTGTTCGAATTTCAACAAGATGTTTTCCTGAGCAAGTCTCGCCGACTCGGAATCAACAGCTGGTTTGTCTTTCACGACGAAATCTGTTTGCTGAAATTGGACAATAAGCTGGTCGGTTTAGGGAAACCAACCATTTCATAGTCAAGATGCTTTGCCACGTCGACCAGTTCTTCGTAAACAGCAAAGTTAAGTCGGACGGAAGTAGCCGTGTACTCGGCGTTCTCGATGACTTTATTGAGGCGGCGACGCGTGTCGTCGAGAATAGAACAGCACGTGCAGTCAGCTTTCCGGACTTCTTTCGTTTCGGGAGCTTTCGAGCCCGGAAGCAGCGCAGAAAGTTCGTCAATCGACATGTTCGAGTACCGAGGAGGCATAAACTTCTTGAGCACGCGGAGCAATCCCTGAGGATCGCACTTCCCATTGACCACTGGTACTTGCGGCGGGAATGCGTATATGTTGCGCAGGGCTCTCACCTGAAAACTATTCGATATCGTTCCCTTTCCCTCTCATTTTAGTTCACCGGCACGTCAACATGACTGGAGCAAACGAAGCATTCGTAGGCTTTTTTGTCGTCATAGCTCGAGAAGTCTTTCTTTTCGTCAAGCCCTTCTGAAAACTTGAGGTAGGCGACTATGACGTGGAGTTGCGAAGCGTTGCTCAGACATCGCATCGAGATTTTCTTGTTGAGCTCCCCGCACACCACACATGTCTTCCAAATGTCCTTCTGCAATCGGCAGCTTCTGGAAAATTGAAAAGCAAGAGATATTCTACCTGGCACACGATTGTACTTGTTGGCGAAACCCCTTTCATCTAGAAAAGAGGAAGGTTAGGTAGGCTTGAAACAAAAGGAAAATAAAGCATTAGCATAGGACACACAGCCGGAACATGCAGATCAAGCAGAAGAGAATAGGTTGTTTTGGTGCAAACAATAAAACTTTATTTATGAACACAATCACAATATATTATCATGGTAATGGTCGGTGTTGATTAACTTTTGGTTCTGAAACGAGAAAAGGTATTTAAAGATTTGAAGAAATACAACTTACTCTCTGAATTATGAGCTGTCTCTTCAACAGCTTGATCTCGTCCTGAGCAGCTGCCAACTGCGCTTTTTGATTCTCCTCCCGTTCCTGCTCCCTTCCGAGCATTGTTTTGGCCAAAGACTCGATAAACTGCATCTTCTCCAGAATCCGATCCATCTTCTTCTCCAACTCCGGCACAACGTACTCACACCTGCATCCATTCGAGGGCTCCGCAACTCGCTGCCTTTTTTTGGTTGGTTCCCGCACTTGTTTTTCCTCTTCGTAGAGCGTGCTATCGTACACAAAATCGCCGTGTTTTGTCGGCCTCCGATTCCTTCTCACAGTTCTCTGAAATCTTCAATAGTTTTGACGTTCGAACTTAAAAATAATTACGGTTGATGTCGACGGGTTTTCGTCTATCGGCGAGAACTGTTCCCTTTTGATGGGTATTTGTGGCACATGCTCTTTTTTGCTTTTCAGATGGAGAACCAGGTCATTTGGATGTTCTTTCTTGACGTCAGCAAACATAATGGGCATATTGAGTCGGGAATCGATTGAATTGGAATTGGAAATGTGCTGTTTCTTCTTCAACAACTCTTCAAGATTTATCGGTTCTGAAACAGCAAATTTATAACTATTGATCTGGCACAATTTCTTACTTGCTTCCGTTATGTTTGCCACGGCACTAGCAGTTTCTTCGTCCAATGGTTCCAACTTAATCTCTTTTACAGGTTCATGAACTTTTGGAGGAGACGGAGACACTTTGTTTATTGGTTTGATGGTTCCCGGGACAATCAGTCTGATCGGTTTCATGTCTTTCGCGTCCGTCGGCGTTACAGGGATCATTGTTTTGCCTTTGACAAGATAGATTTTCCTTTCATTGCCTAGACGAAATTTCATCGTTCTTTGAGAAATGTGTATGTAAAACTCACAATTTTGAGGAGAAGAAGCTGACGGCAAATCTGGTTGCTTTTGAAAGGGAATTTCAGTATGTCGAATCATGACGTTGGGGGTTTTGCGTTGTTCTTGAGGCAGAAAGGGCATATCACTCATTCTGTAAAACACGAATATTAATATTCGATAAACCTGATAAATACGAGGCAACTTGTTTTCATGAATAATGTCATTATGCAACTTACAATGAAAATAATCAAACTTTCAGCGTCCGATTCGGAAACGTCGCAGTGCAAAACATCGACGGGTCTCGCAACGAGCGAAACCAAGCCGCATGCCTCTTTTCGCTGCGAGACCCATTTCGATCGTAGCGATGGGATATCGACACGCAGAAGATGAAATCGTGCGATGCTTTTTCATTTTTTAAACGTGTATTCTCTTGTCAGATCCCACGTATCACTAATTACGTCGATCAGGCCACCCACCCGCATTTTACAGTTCCAGCTCTCACTCGCCGCCGGCGACCTTTGAAGTGTCGTACTGTCGCCCGGTTTAGCAGAAAGCGGCATTTTTAGAATTCGCCAAAGAATTTGTTGAAGATAAGAAAAAAACAAAAGTAAAAAAGCATAACAGACAAGAAGAAGTGAAAGTGACTAGTTTACAAATTCGAGAATACATTTTCAGAATCCATATCACATTTATTTAACTTCCTTACAGCAAAATCCCTTTAGTTTTCTAAAATGTAGTGAAATTGTTGCTGGAGATGCTGCTCTTTCAGCATCCGGGGGAGACATCGTGAGATTCTGATGGGCGAGGTTTCTGAGACGTCTGGAGAAGGCATCTGAAGCATGCTGGAAGCAGCAGGAGCGCGTAGAAGGCAGGGAGAGGACGACGAAATAGAAGGATCGCACGTGAGTGCCTCTCCTCGCTGGCAGAGGCTGCCTTCCCATCGTCCAAGCTTTTCAATGTGGATTTCTAATGAGGAGGGATTCAGAGAAGCCTTGAGAAGGCAATAGACACCTGCTGAAAACAACAGAAGTGCGTAGAAGGCAAGGCGTAGAGAAGCTCGGTGTACGCCGTTTATTTTTAATACGACTTCTGCGGAGTTCAGCGGAAGATTGCCGCTCTTTAAGGACGTTCCAGCAATCGGGACATTACCGTTCGACTTCTTGCAGCAATAACGTCGGAGAGAGGTAGAGAGAGGAGGCGGGACCGCAAAAATGGTACCATAGTATATCCATTAAACATGTATCACACATAGCTGAGCTAAGCGAACCGTAGGCTCGCTAGTCGTTCACAACATTTTCATGCATTTGTGCAACAATCGGAAACGGCGGTCCAACATAATAGAACTGCGCAGAATAGAACCGCGACACAATAGAACTGTTTTTGTGTTTTTGTCCGTTCCTTTCAATTAACTTTCGCAAAATTTTTCGTCTCTCGATTAATTACCGTAAAAACTGTATTATAACGGCATGCCGTTCTATTACAGGGTGCCGTTATATTTTTCGGAATTGAGTTCCAACTTTTTTCCAGAAAATTATAACAACAAGAATAACTGCTTCTGAATTTTCCGCTTCTAAATAGATGTCTGGGGGGTGCCGTTATAATACAGGTGCCGTTCTATAACAGGTGCCGTTATAATACAGTTTTTACGGTAAGCCGAAGACCACAGTTTAAACCTAGAAAATTGTTTCCTTTCGTTTTTGATAGTACAATAAAATTATTTTCTGTGGGTTTTCGCTACCGTAGAGAAGAAGGATCACGACGGAAGTGAAATTAATGAGTGCAATAAATCGATCACGAGATTCAAAAATTATTTTTTTCTACGAAACAATTATTCTACAGAAAGGTTTAAATGGCGCTCCAAACAGTTATATTGTGGCCGGTTCTATTGTGTCGCGGTTCTATTCTGCCCAGTTCTATTATGTTGGACCGCCTTTCTAAGTGTGGGGCTGAATTTGAATGGTGGGGGGGGCTCTTATTTAATATGTCCTCTGCTGAAAAGGAGGGGGTGGGGGGCTTTCCTTTGAGAATACCTAGTTCTTAAAGAAAAGCCCCCTTTTTTTGCACTCGATTGGCGATTGGGTGCTGCCCCGAATGGGAACTGCCCGAATCAGAACTGCGCCCGTATCAGAACGCGCCTGAATCAGAACTGCTCGAATCAGAACTCTTCAAGCTAGAACTGGTACTAATCAGAACTTATAAAATTTATACCACCCTGACATTATTAATTCCAAAAATGCCGAAAATGAATAGGAATGCTTCTAATCCAGGATCTCTGCTTTTTTCTGCTCCTATTTTTTTGTATTTCTCTTTCTTCCTCTTCTTCTGTCTATCTTACTTTCTCTCTTTCTTTTTTCTCGCAATTTTGTGCATGGTTTCAACAAGTTCCGTCGTCAGGAAAAAGCCCCCACCTTTTTTGTACTGGTGGGGGGCTTTTCTTGAATTTTCCATCGAATTTGTAAAGTAGTCACTTTTACTTCTTCTTCTCGTGTTTTTAAGCTTTTTTTTTACTTTTGTTCTCTTTCGATCTTCAACGGATTCTTTGGCGAAATCTGAAAATGCCGCTTTCTTTCCGGAAAGATTTTTTTCCTAAATTCCAAAGGTCGGCGCGACGAGTCGCCGGCGGCTAGTGAGCTCAGGCACGAAAAAGGCGCAAGCGCATAGAGTACGCAAGAGATAATGATTGACGCATCCTCGGGGCAGAATTTTTACATTTTTTGTCCTTTTCCCGTGTTTAGCCCCTTTTTTCAATTGCATCACGAAAAACTGGTTTTTGATTTCTTGTGGGAAAATTCATCCACGTCTTTTTCGGTCTTATTGTATAGGTCTGAAGTTGTCTATACGCTCACAACCAGCAAACAAGTGTAGGTAAAGCTGGGTGGTCCGCAGTCGCCTACCAAGATAGTGATTTTTGCTATTGGTGTACACTCTCAAGAGGCCCCGACTAAGTATACATCGTCTACGGTGTCCTATTACCCAGGGTCATTCTGATAGGGTCTGCCTGTTCGCTGTTCTCTTTTGTTTTCACGGCCAATTGCGTCATTTGTCAGTCACTGTTGTTTCCGTGGTCTTGTGATAACGTACTACGTTTTCGGTTATTGTTTCCTTCTCAACGTCTTCTTATTAAATATCAATTTCAGATGACTTTGGGTTCCGAATTGAAGGCTGAAGTAGATGCTCCCGTTACCAATGGCAAGCTCAATGAGCAGGAACTAGGTCAGGATTATGATAATAACGATTCGGGGCATTCTTCAGTCAACACTCCAGATACTGCGGAGCAAGGTTTTCATTAGTAAAGTGATCATTTAAAAATGAATGCCCATTTTCAGAGAAGAATGACAAGCTAGTCAAGGTGACCATCCAGCCATCGTGCGGAGAGTCTTTCGATCTTCATGTACGTCCATAATCTATACATTCTCGCCTAATTTGGTTTTTTTCAGCTCAGCGACAATGAACTGGTTCAAGAACTCTACCAGACGTTGCTGGATCGTGAGGCTACTTGTCACAGAACCTGCTTTTCGCTTTATCTGAATGGAACTCCCGTGGATAACTATTCCGAAGTTCGCGCTGTTCCTGGATTTGTTGACGGGTGCACTCTGAATGTCGTGGACGAGCCATATACTGTTCGTGACGCTCGACTTCATCTCCGTCAGGTTCGCGAGCTTCTCAAGTTCGGAGTTGCTCCAGACCATCACGATCCTCCGTGCTCTAATGATGCGCAGTCGTACCTAACGACAATCAACCTGCAACCGGACGAGAAAAAAGAGCCAAAGCAGTTTGATATTCTTCCGCCGGAGCACGTTCTTCCAGGATGCAAAGAGCGCTCTCTCTCTCACTTGATTGTTCCACAGCCAAAAGATCTGGTTGCTCTGAAGGACATTGCCTTCTCGCCGTTCAATCCGCCACCGGGTCCACGCAAGCTGAAGGGAGATGTTCTGTACATCGACTTGATCACTGTGGAGAATCGCGTGTACCACGTCACTTGCTGTACACGTGGATTCTACGTGAACAGCACGCAGGACGGAAAATTCGATCCTACTCAGTCCAATTCCAACAAGACAATCTACCAAAGTATTATCGAACTCCTTCAAAACGTCAGTCCCGGATTCAAGAAGGCTTATCCGCAAATATTGAAACGGCGACAGGACAAACCACTCGTCGAGCGTTTACCGACCAGCTACCCTGTCTCTTTGTGGGTCTCTAGTCCTTTAAAGGCGGATGGATACAACAGCGACTCATTGAGAGCTATTGAGCTCACTGAGCCTTTCCGTGTTGGATTCGAGGATCACATGCCGGGACTTCTCCGTGATTGGAACGAGGAGTTGCAGACGACGTTCGAAATGTCCCGTAAAAGTGTTGCTGAGCGAGCAGTTCGCGATCGCAGCTACTACAAGATTCATGCGGACTATGTGAATGCTGCTGCGAAGGGAGTTCAGGCGATTCTCGACGGAAACATACTGGCCATAAATCCAGGAGAGGACAAGAAGACGCATATGTACATTTGGAATAATATCTTCTTCAGTCTCGGATTTGACGTGAGAGATCACTACAAAGAACTCGGAGGAGATGCCGCTGCTTTCGCAGCCACCTCTACCGATCTTCAAGGAGTTCGTGCTTTTGCCACTTTGGAGGATCCAAAGTTGAACACTCTTGGAATGGCGATCTTTGATTACCGAGGATACCGCGTTACTGCTCAATCCATTATTCCTGGAATCCTCGAGCGCGAGCAAGAACAATCGGTTGTCTATGGATCGATAGATTTCGGAAGGACTGTAGTATCGGATGAGAAGTACCACGAGTTGCTCGAGGAGGCTGCTCAACAGCTTAAGATGCTCCCCCACAATGTGATCAGTGTGAAAGACGGGGTCGAGGAGGAGTTGAAACTATATACCAGCTACGAAGCAAAGGGAATCGTCGGAAACGACGGACGGAAGTACGTGCTCGATCTGCTTCGGTCGATGCCGCCAGATGTGCACTATCTCGAAGACGCGGAAGTGTCGGAGACTGCCAAGCAGCTCGGATATCCACGCCCGTTCCCACACAAGTTGTCGGCCCTCCGGCGTGAGCTGGTCGATCTTTTCTGCGAGTCGAGACTGGTTTCTTTCATCCGGATGACGGCCAACAGAATCCGCACTCTGATCGCGGAAGCCAAGGAAGCAAATGACGAAGAACTGAGCGCGAAAGCTGGTGAGTAACTTGTTACTAAAATACCCATTCAATAACTATTTCTGTTTTTTTAGCTGCTGCGGAGAGCGAGTTGTCTCGTGTGTTCATGGCAATCAGCGAGGACAAGGAGGTTGAGACGACAAATCCAATCGTTTTGGAGGCAATCAAAGAGGCGTGTGCCGCAATCAATTCCCTTCGCGATGATAGCTACCTCATCAAATTCAATCCTGATTGCTTCTCTCCGAACATCAGACATGCTCCATCTGAAAATCTTGAGAAGCAGCGTCGTGTTGTGATCGATGCCGCCGAGTTCCTCTTGAACAGCCAGATTCCTGAGCTCATTCTGCATTTCAAGGACTGCGTTCTGTTGCCAATCGACGGAGAGAACCTTGCTGAGATGATGCACACTAAAGGAATCAACATCCGTTACCTGGGAGAGATTGGAAAACGACTACAGAGTAGCACCTCGTTCGCGCGTGCGCTCGTTCTCTCTGAAGTTGTCGCTCGCTCTGCCAAGCATGTTATTCGCAAGATCAACGTTCAAACGTCTGCTGACCAATTGGCTGCCTGCACTTCACACATTTTCAACTGCCTCTTCTCAGTGATCGCTGATCCGACCTCAACTGCTGTCAACGCTGCTGGAAAGAAATCTGGCAAGAAGAATGGAAAAAAGAGAAACGCCGGAGTGTGGTCCTCTTTGACAACTGCTTCCTTGTGGCAGAGTATTTGCGAAGAGTCCGCGTACTACTACGGATACCCAATCGAGGCTGAATCTTTGGACAAGTTCATTGAATATTACGACATTCAGAAGACTGCCCTCTTCCGTCGCATTTGCCGAATTATGGGAGTCCAAGTTGTGGCCAAGGACTATCAATTGGACAACTCATCTGGAAAAAAATCGGCCATCTTCTCGGATGATGACATCGTGAACTTCTACCCAGTTATTAAGCATCATCAGCCATTCACTGCTGACGCCAAGAAGATGTTCATCCGCGGTCAGCATGCCATGTCTGTCGGAGCTTCTCGTGAGGCTTACGAGTGCATCAGCGAGGCGATCAGCTTGATGACAGCTGTATACGGAGTCATGCACCCGGATATGCCACAATGTCTGCGTGCTCTCGCTAGACTGTCTCATGTCCTCGGAGAAACTGGTGAAGTTAGTATATTTTCATAAAGTTGCCAACTGATTATCGTCTTGTTTAGGCTCTCAACCATCAGCATAAGGCTGCTGTTATGAGTGAAAGATTGATCGGGTTGGACGCTGGTAACACGATCATCGAATATGTAAATTAGAATCTCGAGAGTTCATTAGCTAACCGTTAATTTTCAGATAAACTTGGCTCACTTCGCTTTTGGAGCTCTTCTCATTCCTGGCTCTCTTCGTCCACTGTACCGTGCTAGATATCTTCAGAATCTTGTGTTTGGAGAGAAGCATCCTATAATGGCTCAAATTGATGTATTTGCACTAGTTTCACTTTCAATTTTATCCTCTGTTTTCAGGCCAACATCGGAACTATTCTGTTCACCATCCAAGAGTTTGACACCGCTCTAAAGTTCTTGCAGTCGGCTGATGCTATCAGCAAGGCTATTGGTGAGCCGAAGAAACTCAAGACTGGACTCATCTCGAATCTGATCGCCCGTACTCATGCTGCTCGTGGAGACTTCCGTGCTGCACTTGTCGCCGAGAAAGAGACGTTCGCCATTTACTCCGAAGTGTATGGACCGAACCATCAGAGAGTCAAGGAATCTGGAGAGTATCTCCGCACGCTTACCCAGCAGGCCGTCTCTTTCCAGAAGAAGATGATGAATCCGGGCGCGAACACCAACATCACTGATTTGTTCCAGGTGAGAGAGTTTATTCCGACCAAATTCCATTCCATTGGCTATTTCTAGATACAAACTCCTTCGGTCAGCTCAATCTTCGAGATTCTGAACATTATCAACGGAATTTTAATTATTCCTCTTCCGGGACTTGCTAATCTGGCAGCTATCGAGAAGATGCAGAACGAAGCAGTAGAAGAAAGCAAATCTGCTGAGGTTGCTGCTCAATTGAACAGTGAAACTCTCGACTAGATGAATCACATTCATATCGGTCAACCATATCCATAATGATTTTTTTCAGTGTTTTCCTTAGTGATTATTCATTTTTAGAGTTTAGTTTTGTAGAATAGCATAGGTTTTGTTTATTTTGTTATTTTTTCTCCGGTGTATCTCCGTTTGTTCGTTTTAGTAGCTGTAGATATTAGAGAGTAGCGATGGTGTTTATTTAGGAATCAGTTAGTCCCCACTTAGCAATTATTCACCGCATTTGTTGCCTTTCTAAGTTTTATTGAGATTTCATCATTGATTCTTTCTCGAAAAACCAAAAATTGCTCAACCCATCCCCTTTCCTCTTCCCGTAAATTCATCTGAAATTTGCTCAGGAGTGCCAGCGCCATACTGCGTCGCCTTGTGCCACTTGATCTGACGCGCTTTTCGCTATCCTCACATGGTCCCGTTCTCATCAGTAACCCCTCCCGTCCCCTGGTACATGTTACGATTGTCATTCTGAAGAGTGCCTTTCAGGTGTGTAAACCCTTAATCGAGTTCCTCTCAATTAACTGATGTGTTTTTTCTTTCTTGTATCTCGTCCCGTATCCCCTATTGCCTTAGGACTCACAGCCTTTGTAGTTTAGTATGAAAATCCTCTGCTCAACTGTTATAAAATGTTTATTGTTCTGTTCTTGAAAAAAAAATGAAAATTCGAAAATGCTAAATTGCGTATCGTTGAGAATTTGGTCACGTTTCCGTCAAACGCTTCCAGAGTTATCACGTTTTCCCGCTGGATTCATTCCCTTTCGCCCTTCCGAAAAGGCAATCTTTCTAGGCCGCGGCCTTCATTCGGGTGTGGAATAAACTGCTTGGCGCCAATTTCCTCATCGCTCGTGTCATTGTTCTGATTCGGAACTGAAAGAGATTCGAATGAAAAATGAGCGACTGGAAGAGACCTTCGTCGATAAGTCGTCCGACTGAAGCGCCCAACGGACAGCAGAAATGGCTCCAAGTGAGTGTAATGCGGAAAACGGGAAGGCAAAGACAGATTTCAGGGGAAAGATTTCCTTTTGGAGGTGGAAAACCGGCAATTACGGCAGAAAGTGGCGGAAGGAATCCACGGTTACGGAGGCCGAATTATCGATTCGTTCGATGATCAGACGCCGTTCGTCGTCATTTCCGACCACGTGCTTGCGTCTCGAGTCGAAAAAGATCGAGAGGCGATGAATGTGAACGAACGGGTACCGTTTAGATTTAGATCAGGCCCGGCCCAAATGTTTCAAAAACTTGTGGCTGATCTTGCTCCAACTGTACTAATTCGATCCGATCCTAACTATGAAGCATTCTGGTGACAAGTTTTAGACCGGTCATTCGAGATTTGTGGATCAGATGCCGAACGGCCGAGTTTAGTGCATCGGTCTAAAATTTGAATCCAGTAAGCTCCAATCAAAGTCCAAGAAGCCTGCAAAGTTTGGGTCTGAGTGGAAAATTGCAACTATTATAGGGGCTCCGGACAGAAAGGGCGCGCTGTTCGCATTCTGGCCGAATTTCTAGGCCGCGAAGTAAATTTCCACTGAAGATGTGGCCTAACTTTTCAAACTCGGCCCCGAGGTCGCTCAATTTGCACTGCAAAAAGAGTTTCTCAACAGAGCGTCATTTCTGTGATGTGCCCCTATAATAGGTGAAAGGTTAGGCTTCAAGGTTAGAGTCGGTTTTTTGCCCAGCCCTGATTCCAATCAAACCGACCGTATTCAGACAGTGAAAGCGATGCCGGCGTTGCTGAGAGAAGCCCTTCGCAGAAAGATCAAGGTGTGCATCTTTCCTTTCTGATTTATTCTTTCCTATTTCAGATCCGAACTCCACAAACATTCCTGGGGAACATGAATGCGTATGCGGAAAAGCAGAAAAAAGGAATGTCGGCGACGAATTCGCACAGTACAATGCGAGGGAAACCGACGCTCGGAAGGGAGAACTCCGTGCAGGCCGGACATCCGCAGAGAGTGATTCCATCGACATCCCGGAGGGACCAGCACGACATTCGTCCGAAGACCGAGAGGACCTTCGTCCGGATCGATCTACCGGGGAAGAAACCCGAGATCCGACTCGTCGATAAGTCTTCGTTCAACACTTTATACGCAGGATTCGACGCTGGATTCTCGATTTTCAAGCCGGCGGAAACAGCGCTCATCGGACGAAGAGTGAAGGAATTCGAGGATTTTATAAAAGGAAAGTATGAGCCGACGAAGAAGAGCTTCAAATTGGATGAAAAAGATGATTACTGTGCGCATTGCGGGAAGAAGTTTTCGGGAGAACGGAGAGAAGTGAGGGGACTTTCATTTGACAGAATACATCTTATCCATTTCAGCACGAGAAAACCGACGAGCATCGGCACAAAGCGAGGACGAGAGGAGTAGCGGCGGCGCTGGAAAGGGTAGTGATGGAAGAGAAGCAGAGAGCACAGATGAAGGAGAAACATGAGCAAAAGAAAAAAATGGTGGCGGAACAACGGACGGCGATGAAGGAAACATCGAAGAGGGCGAGCGTGGAGAGCGACTACGGAGAGAACGAATTGAGAGTGAAGTGGACGGAAATGACAGCGATGATGAAGTCGCCGGAGAACGGAACAGGTAGGAAACGAACGATTTATTCAGTTGGGGTAATAGTGGCAGACACTGTGATAGCAGATGGCGTCGAAGTCCTCGCGGGGGTAGCAGTCGAACGGATTGGAGCACGTTGAGCCGGTGTGACGGGCGGAGCACAGAACTAGAATGAGCAGGAGAAGCAGCAGCTGAAACTTTAAAAAGTTATAAAAACAAAAACCAGGAACTTACGATCGTCTTCATTTTCCGAACAGCGAACTCGTTTTTTGGTGTTTTCCTGGTCAGACAGATCTAATTTATACCGTCGAGATCACATGTCTCCTCTCTCTCTCTCTTTCTCACTCTCTCATCCTAATCAAATTATTAAATCACGTCCCTCCTCAATAGTTTATGATCTTTGGCTGAAACAGACATTACTTTCAGTCACTTTTCAGACCAGTCCACTCGTCGCCGTCAGAAACGCATTCGCTACAGTCAAGGTTACGGAGACACTAATTTCGTATAGACCGCTTCCTCTATCTATACATATTTCCATCTCCGATTACTCATTTTTTTGTACTTGTTCATGTGATTACTGTATTATCTATTTCATATAGCCTCGTTTTAAGTGTAACAATTCGGTGAGTTCAAGATTCCCAATAAACTCGGTTTTAACGGCAAACGAATTTCTAGTATTCCAAAATTTTTTGTGCTTTCACAAGTCCGTAACAGTTTCACATTTATTCAGAAACTCATTCAAACTCAAATAGTTTCTCCGGATTGACTTTGGATTAGTGCGGGAGATCGGGATGCAATAATGTTAATGGGGGATATGCGGATAAAACGGGCAGGAATCAGTCGGACATGGAGTGGCTGGAAGTCAGATGATGAAGACCTTCCTCTTCCGGAAGAGGCTGGCGCTTCCAGCGGGGATTCAGAACGAGCAGGAGGACGCAGACAGTGTAGAGGAAGGTGAAGACGCCGACGAACGAAGAGGTCGCTTGCTGAGCACACATCTGGCCGTCCTTCGTCCAGCACCTGAATACAATTCTGAGATTAAATGTAGTCGGATAGGAGAGGCTCACGTGTGTTTCCAGGCGGCACGTTCCGAGATTCCCATGGCGACAGTGATGGAGACGAAAACGAAAATGAGAACTCCGAAGAGCTGGTGGAATGGCATGACGAGCTGACGGATGGGAATCGGCATTCCGGGGAAGAAGTAGGTGATGAATCCGACGGCGTACTGCACGCAGAACAGAATGACGACGGAGAGACCGATCCACGAATGGAGAGAGACCATGTTGACGATCGGCGCCGGGTTGCCCGAAGGATCCTTGTGCAGGTTGTGGTAGTCGAAAACGGCCTTCAGGGCCATCAGCATGAAAACTAGGACGACCGAATGGAGGACGACGTGCAAGGTCTTGCTGAACTTCTTGCGTTCGTTGCGGAACACGCGGTAGACGAGGATGGACTCGCCGAACAGGAATACCATCCCCATGACCATGAACGTCGGATGGTAGTTGAACTCCTTGTCGGGATCCTCATTCCACGCGAATCCACTCTCGAACTCGCTCATCCAAACCGTCACGAGCAGCACTGCGAGACCGCCTGAACATGAAATATGGGAGTGTGTGGAAATTCGGAGGATTCGCCTACCGAACACTTGTGACATAACGAGAATAATGTTGAAGAGCTTGATGCTCTGATCTTCCCGAAGGATCACGAACCCCGGATCGAAGAGCAATGACATGACTCCTGGAAACAGACGGAATCGACGTGGAAATGAGGGAGCGAATGGAGAAAATGAGCGAAACGAACGGTCTGCGTGCCTGGGTCTCTTGTGTTTTCTGGCCGGATCGCGCCTTTCGAATCGATGTGTTTATTTGTGGGTCTGCGAATTTGGATCACGCGCGAGAAAACAGGGGAATGAAGGCATAATATTCGCTTGAACTCTGATCAGAATCATCTAGATCTAAAAAAAGAACAAACAGTGCCATTTCAGAAGTGAGCGGCCGACATGCAGGCGGAAGTGAATTCGTCGTTCCACGTCACTTTATTGACCGCCGGAGGGCGGTTTGAAACGAGCTGCTCAACAGAAGACGTGCTCTTTCTCTCGCTTCGTTTCTCTCCTCACCCGCTTCTCCCCAGCGGGTGTCTTCTCCAAGAAAGAAGAGAATTACCGACAAGCGAAACGACTAAACAGAAAAACTATACGAAAATGAGTGGGGAGAACAGAGCTCTTCTGAAAGTCAGGTGTGAGCAGGAAGGAAAAGAGAGACCGAAGTTAGAGAAAAAAGAAAGAAATGACGACGAGAGACGAAGAGGAGCCCCGAAACGAGATACGTCGCTTGTTTATGGGCGTGAGCAGATGAGAATGGGCGGAAGAAGGGCGGCGCAAATGGCGATTGATTCCCGGGGAGACGCAGAAGCAGAGCGATGAATTGAAGTGATAGTCTCAGAGGGAAACGGAGCGAGAGCAGATTGTGGTGTGCTCGCCACGAAAGTGGACATTCCGACTCTTGCGGGAAGTGTTCAATTTGGACGCGTTTTCACTGTGAAAATGGGGAAGGCAATCTCTTTTCACATAAATAATTGCTTGCTCGTTTCTCTTTTTTGACCGCTTTTCATTCGTACACTCCATTTATCACGGAGACGTTGTAAAACGCAATTATGAATGCGAGAGGGCTCTTCTTGCTGTCACTTTCAGTTGACGCGCTTGTAATTCAATTATTTTAGGCAGTAGGAAGAGCTCATTTGTTTGAGAAATAACTAGAATAAATAAATCTGTATTTAAATCGAACTGAAGACGACATTAAGCACATGTAAGATGTTTCAATTATTGCTCTTTCATTCATTCAAAAACAAACCTTTACTACTACAATATCACGAGTCTACGGTGAACGGGAGGAAGCAGGAAGAAAAGTAACTTGGAAAAGAATACACATTCACAATCGATTTGCAAACGAAACATTAATGGAATGTTACACTAGAGAGAAACGGGGAAAGAGTAAAAATTACAAGGATGACAAAAAAGGGGAAATTAGAAAAGTTTTAGAGGATTAGCTTGATCACGGACGAAGAATTGACGGACTAGCAGGCGACTCTGTCTCTATTCTAATCTTGGTGTTTCGAAAAGATTACTGTAGAAAAGAGGCCATTTCGGGAAATCGAATTAGAGCATTTAGTTAAACAGAACTGGCAGGTTATCTTCTTCGGAAGCGAGCAGGTTCCGGGGCGGATCGTTCTCCGAATGAGACTCTTCGCTCGGCGGTGGCGCTTCCAGCTGAACCAAGAATATCAGGACAGCATTTTAATTTCGATAAACTTACAGCTCTCAGGGCGGCCTCTTGCTCCTTCAGCTTCTTCTTGTTGGCCTGAATCTTCTTCATTCGGAAGAACTCCTCTCTTTCCATTTCGTCCAATTCGGTAACAATGTATGTCAGAGTGTTCTCGATACGCGGAATGATGACGTGCTCGATGGCATTCACACGTCTATTCGTCACCTTGATCGCTTCATCTAAAGTGATGAAGCAGGTCTGGAGAGTGGCCAGCTCGACGAGCAGCTCAATTGCTCGGTTGTAGTTCTTCTTCAGACGAGTAATGTTGGCACCTCCCTTTCCGAGACCAGTCAAATCGTAGGAATCCGGTCCGTCTTGGTAAGCCTCGAACACGGGGAGCATGACTCCTGAAACAAGCTTCAGTTATGCCAAAAATATAAAGATGGACAACTTACCGACAACGTTTTCTCTCTTCTGACGAACGCGGTACTGAGCGTGCGAGACATTCTGGATGACAGTGTGCGAAAAGTCTCCGGCAGTGAACTTGGCCTCAGCCAGCGAAAAAGCGGCCTCCTTCATCACTTCTCCCATCAGCACTTTGTTCTTTAAACGTTTTTCTTTGTCCTGTTTTCCTCTCTGTAATCCTAACCTCGACGATCTTCTTGAGAATGTCACGGAAACGGAGATTCAAAGCGTCGGCCTTCTTCTTGAGCAGAGAGTGACCCTTCTGAGCTCCCTTCAGACGGGTTTTCATCAAGGTTTGCGCCCTGAAATGCTTGTTCGCTTGCTCATTCCGTTTTCCAGTACTCTCGAACTTTAATTTTACGGAACTTCTATTAAGTTGGTAAACTCTGCCAAAATCGCTCTAAAACTCACATTCTCGACGGGAAAACCGCGATTCTGTCTTTACCACCTCCTCCGGACATGGTTGATCCTGAAAACAAGGATTTTAAGTGAAAAACACGTACAAAGCGACAAAAACGAGAGGAATCGGGAAGTTGAAACGGAATGCACGAAAGACCAATGACTGCCGATTGATCGCCGGCGTTTGCTGTGGAGCGCGCTTGCAGCATGACTCATAAATAGAGAAAAGCGTGTTTCTTTTCAGAAAACAAGAAAAAGAGACAAGATGAGAATGATAAAAAAATGTGTTCTGCAACCTCAATTAAATAATATAACTCTTCACGGGGTTGTCCCTCTGTCTCTTTGTTTGTATGTTAGTTTATTTCTCTGTTTGTCCGTCCCCACTTCATTTCTAAAACGAAAAATTTGTGACGGAGAAATTGAGGAATGAACACGTCAACTTCCGAACAGCTATAAGAAAGAAACAAGCGTAAGCTCGGCCTGCGCAGCGGGCCCCGGTTTCAAAAGTCTTGTAAATAAATAAATAAATACATAAATAAAGGGACAGACTCAAGATTTTTTATTAATAAGAATGATAAGAATTATGATGATGTATTCCCGTGTTCTGTACAATAAGCTGCTCCAAATTAACGCGAATAACCACTGCACATAGTTCATCATTGAGGCTTTCACGAGTTTATGTCTGCTTCAGTTTCCAGGGGCTCCCATTATTTCGAATTCAAAAGCATTCAGGTATTTGTTCGCAACAACCTTCGGCAGTCTATTCAGATCTCGATCTGCCCGTTCTTTCGTCATTTTATTGCCCTTTCGTGGTCACATTTTATTGCAAAGCCGTTCTTCTCTTTCGCAAGTCGCCCCTTTTCCATCTCTTGTTTGCCAGTGGTCGCCTAATTATCCATGTTCACATAACAAGCGATTTTCTTCGAGTTTTCGAGTCAATATTTGGACGCGGAGCCACCCGAAATATCCTGGAGTTTCGCATGTCTTTCATCGGATTAAACTGAATAAACATCGGCAAGACGCATCACTTTCCGAACGCCGCCCATCCCTTTGATCCTTCAATCTCTCAACCTCCGCACTTTTGAGATGAAAAAAAGAAAGAGCACACTCACCAATTTGCTCTTTCGCCAAACAAATCTGATTCTATCTTCAATAAACAAGAGTTCTGCAGTTCAGGAAGCGATCAGACATATCGAACATTCGGGGTTTACTTAAGAGGCTGAGCAAACTGATCGTACTGTCGTCTGGTCACAAACGATTTGCCGTCTCCCTGAAGGCTGTTCCTAATTCGTTCCATATACTTAGGGGGCGCAAAGGAGGGGGCGTGGCCTGACGAATTTTCTCTTGATTTCCGCGCGCGCATGTTTGAGGACCTGTACCGAGGTCCCCAGACCAAGTACCATACTCGTAATGTTTTACTTTATGTAATCGACCAAGCTGAATCTAATGAACAACTCCGTTTCCCACGAAAACGCACCATTTTCTCAAAAAAAGGCGAAAACGAGAATGGAAGTCAATCTGAGAGCCCGTGTGGCCACATTTATGGCTACACGCGCCTACTTTCAAGTGATTCCAACAGTTTAAGGGATGGGGAATCCGTTTTTTTAAGTCAGAATCAGACAATCTAGTTTCCGATTTTTACAGGTCCTCAAACTGGCACAAAAAATTGTGAAAAAATTTCAGCGATGACCATACTTTTTTATGTTTGGAATCCATAGATAAACTCTCTGAGAACCCAAATACAAATTTTCAGAGCTCTAGACAGTCTAGGACCAGATTTGTGTTCATTTTAGTAGAGCCAGTTTGGCCGAAATTGTAGTTTTTGGGGGTTTTGAGGGTCACAGGTACCTTACACGCGGCTAATTTTCCCAAAATCGGATTCAGCATCAAATTTCCGACCGATCGATGTCGAACTTTTCCATCTATCTAGTTTCCGTTTTTTGAAAAGTGACTGTAAAGTGTAACAGTTTTGGATTTGAGCACGCAAAAACACTAATTTGACACCTAGAAGTGGACCGCGCGCAGCCAGCTTTTCTATGCCATTGGCGGCCGGCGCGCCTTCGCCCGGCTGGCGCAGTGCGAAAGTGCTCACTCGGCAATGTAAAGGTGCCGGGTTCGAAAATTTTGACCTCGAAAGTTATTTTGCTTTCTTAGAACATCATTTCTGCTCATTCAAAATGTTGACTCTTTGGTTTGGTCCACCAGACAAGGATAAAAAACGCGTGCGGCAAACTTGCTAGTGAGACTCCGCCCCCTCCTCGGCCGCCGACCTGAGAGAAAACAGGGCGACTTTGGAGTGGTGTAACTCGGGATGTACCGAAAATTTTCGAAAAAAAAATTGGGAGCGTACTCATATAGAGTAGGGGAACACATTCCAACAAGAATTTTATAGAAATTCCGAGTTTCGTGAAACCCGTTGCGGTACCTACATATACTATCCACTTCGGAATGTGCTGACTCACTCGGCTACCGTACCTCTGACCCCATTCCGTTCTTCAGGTGCCGCTTCTCTCACTTTTTCCCATAATTCAGCTCGTTTCGCAATCGCCGTAATCGTGTTGTGATCTCCTCAAATGCCCAGTTTTTGCGTCTCTTGTCCATCTCTGATTATCCATATCAAATCACAACGTCTGCGTCTCTCCGCATCGCGCACTCTCTCGCTCGGATCGAACCGTCGGTCAACATTCGGAGGAGAAAGACCGGCCGTTGCCTCCCACATTTGCCTCCCAAAACGAAGAAGACAAACGCTCGTTTACTGCTTCTCTATACTCCCGATTTATCGTGATTAATTGCGAGATCCGTCGCTCGCCCTCTCCGTTTTCGGTCACATGTTTCTAGCTTACACCCGTGGGAAATTCTGCGGGGAATCACGAGAATCAGAAGCCAAGGGACCCTCTCTTCACTAAAACCCGTTTCCCTTCGCCTCCCTCAGTTCCCTCGAAATCACAATTTCCAATCGTAGAATACTCGTAATCCCAGTTCGACGTACTCGACTGATTACAATATGAAAAGGACGGCTTCCTCCTTCTCCTCCGACTGATTGTAAACTTTCTCTTCCTCTTCCTCCATTGTTCCGTCTTTCAATCGAGTCAGTGTTTTGCGCGGCAGAAAGAAGACTTCCGAGAAGTGCTTCTCATTCTCTTCTGATTTATTTTTGCCGTAATTTTCACCCAGTTCATTTGTTTTATATACCTAGATGAAGAGTAATGAAAGCCTTTGCGATAGTGTATTACATTATTGGGTATTGTCATTTTCTTTGTATTCTATTCACGTGACTTTTCGTAATCAGCAAGACATCTCCGGAAATCCCTCCTTGAACTTTAGCTCAAGTGAAGCAAGTGAAATCTGCACCCATTCCATCAGAATCCGACTGATTTCTGGCATTAATTTCCCCTTTCCTCTTGTATAAATTCTTCCGTTTCTCCCCCATTCCATCCTCATTTCCTTCCCTTTTCCCTCCGATTAGACCACCCAATCAGGCCTTCGAGACCTTCGAACCCAAAAGAGAAAATAAAATAAAAGCGATGTACACAGTTGTTGTATCACCTGACGGCGCCCTCACCTCCCCCCAGTTTAATTCGATAAGTCAGTGGTGCGGCTGAGCCGAGAGAGTGTCCCTTTTGAAGAGGCGTAGACCTTTAGAATACAGTAGACACAATCGCCTCATTTTTTGAAAGCGAGAGAGAGAGAGAGGGAGGGAGAGGAAACACGTCGACGCCTACCAGAACTTGTTGTCATCATATTCTGTCCGAATTTCAGAAGAATCACTCATCCGTCATCATGAACAATCGCCGTTACCTTCTGCTTTTCTTCGTCGCCCTTTCGATTTCCGTCGAAGCGGCCACTGAAGTGATCCGTGCGAGAGCCTACATTTTCAAAGCGGAGGCGGGCAAAGTGCCGACCGAACTCATCGGAACCATCGACTTTGATCAGTCGGGAAGCTTTTTAAAAGTACGTTTCATTCAGGGGCAGAATCTCACTCTATTTTTGCACGCTTATCAGTTTCGGTCTGAAATGTGTTCAGTAAAACTTTTAGTCCAATTCGATCGTCTAATGCGGAGCTACTATGAACATTTGGCTTTCATATGATACATTTCAGCTGCCTGAAGAGATATCAAAGAGTCGATAGTTAATAAATTGTTCATTAAGAAATTGTCCATATTTTATTATTAGACAGCGTTTTCATATCTCTACAGACGACTAAGATTAAATGAACGGTAATTAGGTAGATAAAGACTGTGCAAAGTTCGGTTCTGACAATTGCGCATTCGTTGTTTTCAGTTGAATGGCTCGGTATCGGGTTTGGCAGCCGGAAAGCACGGATTCCACATCCACGAAAAAGGAGACACTGGCAATGGATGTCTGAGTGCGGGCGGTCATTACAACCCGCATAAACTGAGTCACGGAGCTCCGGACGACTCGAACAGACACATCGGAGATCTGGGAAACATTGAGTCGCCCGTAAGAGAGAGTTTTGTAGATATTCGAAGGAAAAGAAGTATTTCAGACTTCCGGAGACACAAACATTTCGGTGTCGGACTCGCTCGCTTCGCTCAGCGGACAGTACTCTATCATCGGGCGGAGTGTCGTCATCCACGAGAAGGTTCGTTCCGATTCCTTCTACCGTACTCTTCCATTTCCAGACTGACGACCTCGGCCGCGGCAACTCGGATCAATCGAAGACCACGGGAAATGCGGGCGCCCGTCTCGCCTGCGGGACCATCGGTGAGTGCTTGTTCCGTTTGTGATCTTTCTGTTCCCGGTCCCCTTCGGTTCATCGAATTCGTTTGACAGGTACCGTCTGAGTGTCTGCTTCACTCTCTCACTCTCTCCCTCTCTATCGTTATCTCTCAACGAACCGCCCGGTTATGTTTTCTATAAAAATCACTGCTTTTTGGCTGTGAACTCTGTATTAATGACACGTAGTGAATGTACAGATATTAATAACTTCAACAATAAATTATTCGTTGCTTTTTGTCGGTTTTCTGCTGGAACGGTCTTGGGATACTGTAGTTCGTGCTCTTTCAGAGAAACTTGGATTGTTTGCAGGGATCATCGAAGAACGTCTTCTGGAGACGACTACTGCGTCCCTTCCGCCAGTGACCCAGTCGCAGCCGATCGGATCCTCCACTTCCACCCTCCTCCTCCCCTTCTTTTCCATTTTACTCATTCTAGTTTGAGCTCTTCCTCCCCACCGTAGTATTTTCGACTTTAGCCTAAATCCCTCACGAAACTGGTCTCATTGCGTAGCCGAATTCTGCGAAAATCCCCCCAATCGAACACAGGTAAACGATCCCGCTGATTCATAATGTACATAGAGAGCAGAATGAATAGTTATTTATTTTTCCACGCATACAGAGAGAAATCGAACTGACAATGTAGCAAAAAGAGTCAGTTTGAACACGGTATTAGAAGAGATTCGGTAAAAATTCGGGTTGGAAATGAAAAAAGTGGAGACAATAAATAGGAACAGAGAACGATGACAAGATTTATTTGAAGGAAAAAGAAGGTTCAGTCGCTGTCAACGGCATTCAAATTGGAACGATTCGGAGCGGCGTCGCTATCATTGTCGTCGCTGGAATGGACAGCTCGAGAAGACGGTCCTGGCTGATCATCATCATCTGAAAGAAAGAAAAATTAGGCTTAGAGATCCATCCAAAGCTGGGCAATTTTCGGTCCAGGCTTTGCGAAAGCTTTTTGAGGCCTGTACTTTTGACCCACTTGAAATTCCGATGAGGCCCAAACTTTGAAGCCTCCCGAGAAGCTTGCTAAGTTTGGGTCCTATCGGATCCTTGCAAGTGGGTCAAAGTCCCTCGGCAGGTCTTCAAAAAGCCTGGGCCGAGAATTGCCCAGCTCTGGATCCATCAGAATCCCTTACCATCCGATCCGCCGATGATCGGTTTGGCGCTTCCGTCGGATTCCGAACCGTCATCCGAATCCACAACAGTCTTCTTTTTCTTCTTTTTCGTCGTTACCTCGTGATCACTAGCATCACTGTCGCTTCTGATAGGACTATCTACAATAAGCAACAGTTTCATTTCATTTCATCTTCTTCGCGTCTTACCAAACTCATCCACTGGCGGCCTAGTCTCTTCTTCTTCATCTGAAGAGTCGGTCGCTGCTGGCTTCGGCTTGTCGTCGTCGGAAGATTCGGAAGAGGAGAGGAACGCACGAGACTTGATCTTGCTCGACTGCTTCGCCGACAGCTTCTCCTGCTGCTTCCTCTCTTTCTCCTCCAGCCTCTTTCTCTTCTTCTCCGATCTTCTGTTCGAGTCGGATCCGCCGCTGTCTCTTCTTTCTCTCTTCTTCCTGGACGCCTTCTTCGCCGCCTTGTCCTTCTTTCTCCGTTCTCGGTTCTCTCCGTCCTCTCCACCTTCTCCTTCCCAGTTCCCGGCATCAGAGCTGTCGTTGACGAACTCGTCTCCATCGTCATTCTTTCGTTTCCGTCCCCCACCACCTCGTCTCTTTTCTTCTACAATCTCCGGAAGCTTCAGAATATCCTTGGTCATGTCTATGAATGTCATTCGGAGAGTCTTATTCTTCTCGACCTTCTCTTTCTCGGCTTCTTCCCGTGCTCTCGCCTCCTCCATCATCTTGTTCTTCAGTTCCATCAGCTCATTCTCCTGCTTCTTCTGCAGCCGCCTCTCCTCTTCGTCTTGAGTCTCAGCTAGTTCCAGTTTGTGCTTGGCTTGAGTCAGAAGATCTTTGCAGTTGCGTGATTCCTCCGAACAGATCGTTCTCGAAATGCGGAGTCCACTCGAATGAGAGTGCCGGTCGTCCGTTTGGGCGATGTAATTGAAGATGCGCTCGGAGAACGTGAGGTCGGCTATGGCCAGATTGACTTCAGACGAAGACATTTTCTGTCCTCTCAGAATTTCCTTCGCCTTTTTCTTCATCACGATCGCGTAGTTGAACTTGATTTGAGTGTTGTCCAGCTGCTCGAGCATCGCTTTCTCAAGCGCTTCTTTGGCTTCCTTCAGCATTCCAGCACGGTAGTAAGCCTTGGCGATGTAATGCAGAAGACCTGGATCTCCGTCCTTCCGGAATCGCTTCATCGCCGACGAGTACCATTGCACAGCTTTCATCCATTGCTCCCGCTCCATGCAGACATGAGCAATGTTGACCCAAACGTCGTAGAAGTCGCTCGTAGACTCACGCACTTGCGAGAAGACGTCGTGAGCGTCCGCCCAGTTTCGTTTGTAAGCCAGAACGCATCCGATTCCGTTCGCAGCGTACATGTTCTTTGGCTGCAGTTTCAACGCCTTCTGGTACATCTGGAGAGCGCGGTCGATGTATTTTTTCTCCTGTAATCATAACGGTTATTGAGATGAAAAGTGCACAGAAGCTTACGTCTTCCTTCTTTCTGGAAGGATTTAAGAGCTGCTCGAACCACACGTTTCCGAGAGCCACAAGAGAGTACGGATCGGGCGTTTTGTTGTTGTATATCTTTGAGAGTATCAGCTCGAACTTCTTCTGCGCTGGCATCCATTCGCTCTTCGCGAAATGGAGATTTCCGATGAGCGTCCAGACAACTGGATTCGACTGATCGAACTGTACACCGTTCTTCATCCACAATGACGATTCGTACACTTGATGACGGTCTCTCGTTATGCATCCAAGACGGAGATATCCGTCGATATATCCGGGACATTCGGCCACAATGTCTTTGTACATTTGCTCTGCTTCCGCGGTTCGACACAAAAGCTCCAGACAACGGGCAAGGTTGTATCGGATCGTGAGCAGATGAGATCTCTCAGGGGCGGTCCTTCGCGACAACAACTGCGAACTTTCCCCTGTGCTCAGCTGCTCTTCCAGTCGCTCTTTGGATTTCTTGAAGTATTTCTCGGCCCTCTCATACTGTTGCATCGTCATGTAAAGGGCGCCGACATTGTTGAGCATCTCGGGTTGTGGTTGAATGTTCTCGATAGTCTCGAGCAAATGAATCGCCGTTTCGTACAACTCTAAAGACTTTTTCGGATCGGAAGCCTCGAGAAGCTGTGCTAGATCAATCGATGCCTCGTAGTCGTCGCTGTGGATCGCGAGGTATTTGGTGAGCACGTCCCGTCCCTTCTGCCTCGCTTCGTTCATCATTGTCTGGTCGTTGAGTTGCACGTGAGCGTACAGACTTCCCAGAATTTTCATGGTGTCCGTATTGTTGGGAAGCCTTGAATGAACCACTTCAAAGCACTTGATGGCCTCGTCAATCTCGTTTTTGTGGATAAGCATTTGGCCGAGACCGTAGTGAGCAAGAGTGTGCTCTCCGTTGTTGGCCTGACGAGCTTGGTAGTACATCTGGAAGCACGTTTTTGTTAGAAGAAGCTATCCGACCGTTACTTACTTTGTATGCTTGCTCGTACTGGCCAGAAATGTGCTTGGTTCTTCCCATCTGGAAATAGGCTTCTGCTTTGATCGCTTCGCATTCCGTGTACTGGGCAGCATGCCAGGCAAGACCAGACGACCGTTCGGTGTCTCCTTTGAAGAAGAAATGATTGGCGAGATGGACGAGGACGACAGGATGATCTGGCTGAAGGTTGTAGGCCTTTCCGAACAGAGTGATCGCCATTTTGAAGCTGTCTGGATCCAGAGTATTGAGGAGAATGATGGCCAATCCACACATGGCCGACACATTCGTGTGCTCCAGCTCGAGGGCTCGTTCGAATGCCATTTTCGCCTTTTCGGTGAGTCCCATTTTGGCGAAGCAGTATCCGATTCCGACGCGAAGGTCGGCGATAGAGTGACGTCGCTGACGGATCGCCTTTCTGTAGTAGTAGACGCACGTTTTGTAGTCCTTCTTGTTGAATGCAATGACGGCTTTTCCGACGAGCGAGAGCACGTTCTGCGGGTATGTCTTGACGACGTAATTGAACTGCTGATCGGCCAGCTCGTACTTGTTCGTGCTCTTTTCTCTCTCAAACAGATAGAACCAAGCACGGACAGTCAGATGGGACCACTCGTACATTGCGATCTTGTCGGCCGTGTTGAATAGAACAGTGGCCTTTGAGAAGAAGTCCGTTTTTTTCTCCTTCGACTTTTCCTTGTATCCCTGCGTCATCCAGTAGGCGGCAAGTATGTCAAGAGCTCTCATCTGATCCTGTTTAACTCCAGTGTATTCCAGTCCGGCGCGTGATCCGGCTGCTTCTAGTATCATCATAAACGGTTCGACACGACCATGTCTGTAGTATTCGAGGGCCACCTCAATCCAGTAGGAAAGCTTTGCTTCTTCGGCTTCAAGGATACTGAGCACTTCATTTCCGTTGGGCAGCTCAGCGCAATTGATTTCAATAACTTCCTGAAGACAAACTCGATTTTTAATTGGAGCAAGGATTCATTTTCAAAATTAACAAAAACACAAGAGGAGTATCGATTATTGTGCTTCAACGGCGACTAGAGCGAACAGTTTGGAAAGAAGATTCGTGTCAACAAACGGCTCATGTTTGAAAGTGAGCAGAACGAGAGTGAACACGTCTCGATTCTCCTGTTGAGCCAGATCAAAAAGCGCGTCGTTTTTTACGGCGACTTCTTTCTTCAGCATGGCGACAATCAAAGGGAGATTCTCGTCGAGCACTTCCACAATGTACTTCTCCTCTCGGTTTGTGCTCTTCTCAGTCAGCTGTTTCCATGCGGACATTCTTCCCTGAGCAATTTCGAACTTTCCGATGATCCGTTCAAAATCGGTCATCGCCTGATTCACTTTGGTGTTCATCACAACCAAATCATTGAGAACTCTCGCAGCCTGATCTGCAGTCAGTTTCGCCGATTCTGATTCGTCTTCTTTCGAATACATAAGTTTTAGCCGAGAATTGACGATCGATTCGAGCCATTGGACAGATTTTTCAGATGTCGCAGCCCAATTTTGAGTTAAATTCCACACTTCGATCGAAAAGCGGCGGAGACGTTTCAAGTGTGTGCCCTGAAACATGGACACGGTGAGAAATCAGGTCGGTTGGCTGAAATGAACAGAGAAAATGGCCTACCGACGTGATGAATCAACTGTTCATGTGGGCTAGACAAAAGAATACAACATCAGCACAATAATCGATACTCTCGCCTCATTTTTTGTCAAAAATATAAATACGATTAACTCACGTCTTCTGTGCTGTCTTTCAAGGGAATTGCGATGGTTTTCGTTTCTCCTATATCGTCAAGAGGTTCTTCCATCATTTTGATCTAAAAAACAAATTTAGTAAATTGAATATGGCTATGTCAAATACACAAAAAACAAAAATTACTGACCTGACGGTAAAAAGGAAGACCTCAATGAACGACGTCAACAACAAAAATGCCAATTTTCGAACGAGCGCGGGGTTTGATGCACACTGGACGCAAGTGTGGAGAATGACGCTCAAATGCACAGTTGCCTCTCCCAAAAATTTACATCACTTTTCAATGTTTTTACCGAAACTCTTTCCTTATCCACATTTCTCAATTTTACGTTTTCAGGTAAACATGTCTGACGCCCCAGAAGGTGGAGAGCCAAAGCTTTCGAAGAAAGAGCTCAACAAGCTCGCCAGAAAGGCCAAAAAGGACGAGAAGGCTGCGGAGGTTAGAGAGTTGGGAAATGTTTCGCAACTCGGTTTTTTTTCAGAATGGAGGAAATCAGAAACAAACTGCTGCAAGTGAACAAGACGACTACTCAAAGGACTTCTATGGTTCCTACGGACTTGTGAACTCGAAGGAAAAGAAGGAGTTGAACTTCTTGAGAGTGAAGGACGTCAATGCTATCAACGCCACCAAGGAGGTTAGAATTGCAAAGTTACCATTGTCTCAAAGTTTTAACTTCAGGTGTGGGTGCGTGGACGTGTGCACAATACTCGTTCCAAGGGCAAGAATTGCTTCCTGGAACTCCGCCAAGGTGTTTACACCGTCCAGGTCGCCATGTTCTTGAATGACAAGATTAGCAAGCAAATGCTCAAGTTCGTGTCTGCCATCTCGAAGGAATCAATCGTCGACATCTTCGCTACCATCAGCAAGGTCGAGAGCCCGATCGCGTCCTGCACTCAGAAAGATGTTGAGCTTCTAGCTCAGAAAGTTTACGTCGTTTCCGCGTCCGCCCCGAAACTTCCTTTGCAAATCGAGGATGCTTCCCGTAGAGCACCAACTGAGGAGGAAAAGGCTAACGAGCAGGAGAACAAATACGCTGTTGTCAACTTGGACACGAGACTCGACAACCGAGTTCTTGATCTGCGTACGACTACTTCCCATGCGATTTTCCGTATCCAGGCGGGAGTTTGCAACCAGTTCAGAAAAATCCTCGATGACCGCGGATTTGTTGAGATCATGGCTCCGAAGATTATCTCCGCTCCCAGCGAGGGAGGGGCCAATGTCTTCGAAGTCACCTACTTTAAGGGATCCGCCTATCTCGCCCAGTCTCCTCAGCTCTACAAGCAAATGGCCATTGCGGGAGATTTCGAGAAGGTCTACACGATCGGACCAGTGTTCCGCGCCGAAGACTCCAATACTCATCGTCACATGACCGAATTCGTCGGACTCGACTTGGAGATGGCTTTCAATTTCCACTATCATGAGGTACAGTTCTTTCATATAATCAAATGTGAGTCTCGGTTCAGGTGATGGAGACGATCGCGAATGTGTTGACCCAAATGTTCAAGGGGCTCCAGCAGAACTATTCGGACGAGATTGCGGCCGTCGGAAACCAATACCCTGCCGAGCCGTTCAAGTTCTGCGAACCACCACTTATCTTGAAGTAATCAATAGATCTCTCTGATTATCCAGTTTTCTATCTTTCAGGTATCCGGATGCAATCGCTCTTCTCCGTGAAAACAAAATTGAAATTGGCGATGAGGAGGATCTTTCGACGCCAGTGGAAAAGTTCCTCGGAAAGCTGGTTCGAGAGAAGTACAACACTGACTTCTATGTGCTCGACAAGTTCCCACTGTCTGTTCGTCCGTTCTACACTATGCCTGATGCCCACGACGCTCGCTACTCGAACAGTTACGATATGTTCATGCGAGGAGAGGAAATTCTCTCGGGAGCTCAGCGTATTCATGACGCCGACATGCTCGTCGAGCGAGCTAAGCACCATCAAGTCGATCTGGCCAAGATTCAGTCGTACATCGACTCGTTCAAGTACGGATGTCCGCCACACGCAGGAGGAGGAATCGGATTGGAGAGAGTGACGATGCTTTTCCTCGGACTGCACAACATCCGTCTCGCTTCATTGTTCCCTCGCGACCCGAAACGGATTACACCATAAGAACTTTTCCTTCCCTAACCTTTTGTTATGTTTCCACCATTTCATTGCCTGTTTATCTAGTAATTTATCCCGCTTTCCTCGTATTCCGTATTTTCTTTATTACTGAAACTGAAACGCTGTTCATATATAATATCTTTTGTTCGACTACAACCGTTATGAGAATAGGGAAGTTTCTATTTAGTCGTGAATGTTGTGTGGCATCTGACGACCGATCGTCGAATGGCGGTGAGGTCCAAGACGCATTCCGATGTTCTTCTTGTATCCCCACTGAAAGGAATCATTTCGGGTGGGAGTGGGGAAGGGAACGTACTCTCTCGAGGGCGGTGATGTCGTCGTCCTTCTTGATGCACGTGAAATTGAAGATGAAACTGAGCACGAACAGAATGGCGAAGAAGACGCACCTGAAAACGGCTCTTTCGCGGCCAAAACAACCCATTTTCGTGTTTTCGCTTTCCGAATATTCTTTGTTTTGAAACGATTCGCTTTTTTGGAAATTGAAGTGGTTCACCAGAAAACCAAAAATAATTATTTAGGAAAGAGTTAGCGAGAATGCGAAAGAACGAACCAGACGGCGACGACTCCGAGGTAGTCTACGAGCTCCAGATGCTGTTTCAGATCGACGGCCATTGTTTCTGGAAATGGAGCTGGATTGGAGGAGGGCTCGACGCCTCTGGGCAACGGGAACATTCGAATGAGAAAGAAGGATGCGGATGCAGGTGGAGAAAATTGGGCGGAAAAAGAGCCGGAAAGGGCTCGGAAACAGGCGGTAATTAGGCAAGGGACACGATTTTAATTGCGAATTCAATCGGTTTTTCGTCGACACGAAATGACACTGCGAGGGTGAGGAAACCGAGAGCTTTTGGAAAAAAGAAAGAAAGCCGAAAATGGCTTCGCTTCTGAACAATGAAAGGATTACAATCATGATTAAAAGGATGTGTCTTGGGTGGAGAAGTCTGAAATAATCTTTGATGTTTTCGGACGTCACATAAGCAGCTTATACGTGTCATTTTCGAATCGATTCTATTTCCCACGAATCATATCTTCTTTTCAAGGCAATAAAAAGCGAACGCCGGAATCGATCGTCTTGCCGCAGCTTTGTTTATGCATTTCTCAATTGTGTAGGTTACAATATTTTGCAGCCAGGAAAGACGGGGGGAAATAACGTTATTATTGGGCGCGTCGGCCGGAAAGAGTCGAAGGAATGACGGTTTGGCGGTGCGAATGATAAACTATTGCCAGAGCAGATAACGACAGAATCGAATAGTTTTATTGACGAGTGTGACGTAAAAACGGAAAGTTAGAGACGAAAAGGTGGGTGAGAGGACGGTTGAATGTGGCAGAATTTGCATTTTGGAAGGGAGCATGTGGCGTTTGGCTTTTGAATGGCTGCTTCCAGGAATGAACAAAATGGAGGAAAAAGAGAACGTGAGTGAAAACAATGGAAAGGAAACGAGAGGATGAAATATGCACGGAAACACTGAGTAATGAAGGCATTTGAGACTGGAAGAATGCGAGTGACTGGCCACCAATGAACGGACGGACCCGAGTGAAATGCACGTAAAGCCGGCGAGAAGGGAGAGCGAGAGGGGAGAGGAGAGTCTATTTGACAGGAGAATAAATGAGCCCATCCAGAAAGAGAATAAATGATCCCATTCTCTGGTCTTTTCGCATATTGTCCTTCACAATCGTCTGTCTTTTCGAGTATGTGTCATTCTAAAAGTTCTTGAGGGCACACCTAAAAGATTATGCAACAGCTCTTTCCCATGACTAAAGCTTTCGAACTGACCATCTTCTTCAAAGCTCACTTACGTGGTCAGATAATTCTGGGTTAACCAAAAAGAGTGACCTTTAAAATATCAAAGTTGACTCCACCTGCTGATCATCTGAATGCCAACAGATTCGAGTACACTCATTTTTCTCCGCACCTACAAATTCATTCCCGTTCGTAAATCAGCTGTTTTTGCATTACCTTGGCAACAACGACACAGCGTCCGATTCGGGATTCTCGTTTATCAAAGTCTTGCTAGGACTGTCCCTTGGCTTTTTTTTTCAATTTATTGTACCTTGCAGATGACCGTGTTAGGTGAGACAGTGTTGTTGGAGGAAAGGTACTGTAAACACAATGCTGAGCAGCTTGATTTATTCAAAGAAACAATCAGAACAGTGGATATTTATTCGATTAGCTGATAAGAACTCGGCCAAATTTCAACGTAAAGCTGAGGATTGTTCGGACTCGAATGTCCCGACCAAAAGTTCGTTTGGTCAACCGTCACCCCGAATGTTTCCTTCGTCGCCGGCTCGTATTTCAATTTCTTCGCCGTTTTCACTAAAGTGAGAGCAATCAAATTACTTTTCAATGCCCATTTTCAAAACCCACTCATTAATTGTCCGGGCCGTCTGATTGCAACGAACTCTCACTCCACTTGATATTTCGCGAATATCAATCGGCTCTTTGAGTTTAATTCAAAAACGTTTTCCCATCGAAGTGATCACCGGAAGCCGGGCGAGCACCGCAATCAAGATTTTCATATCCTGGTTGCCGAGATTTGTATCTTGAACGTTTACAACTCGACAGTCCATATTTTGAGCCACTAGCGTTGCCACCGACGCGAGTCCAAGATATTCACTGCACTCGGTGTACTGTCTGGCTGCGAGGGATGCTTCCAACGTTCTCAATCCGCGTTCGGGCTGCTCCTCCTCGTTTCGAACTTGAAACTGCCAACGCTGTCTGTTGAAAGTGAGCATCAAAGTGACAGTTCTATTCTGAATTTGAAAAACGAATATTAGGAGACGGAGGACGAAGATCTTACGCTGCGAAAATAGGAAGTTGGTTGACGACAACTCGGACAGCGACGGAAAGTAGTTTGAAAAGAGGAAGCACTGCAAAGGAAGGGAATGCGAACAGTCTGTGAAGGAGTACGGACGGACAATGACTGCGGAAGAGAGGGACACCCTCCAGTGCACCTCTCGGTCCATTCTTGCCTTGGTGACAAAATGGTACAAACGTTTTGAACACCAATTATCACAGACTTTCACAGTACTCAATTGGCAGACAATGCTCGATTTGCAAATCATTGCAAGAAACGCGAAGTCTCTACCAGTAGATTTGCATTTCCTGGACAACGTACCCCTTTTGACACGTATGTATGGTTTCCAAAAGTTCTAAAGTTCGACAACATCGCGTTAAAAACACGGGGATAATCTTTTCAAGGCGAATGACGCGGAAACTGGATTGGGAAACAGAAAGGAAATGAGTCAGTCAAACAGTTTCACTCCCATCCAACGGACTGTTTGATCAGCCCGGCTCCTTCTCTCTGGACGGCCATTCATCCGTCCGCTTTTTACTTTGGAAATATGTTTGTTCCAAAATATTCAAAGTTATAATTATTCATCCCCATAATCTCATCTTTCTCCGTATCTCGCTGTCTTCAATTAGAATACAGTATGCTTCACAATTCTCTCTAAACAACCAAAGCCTTACTTTTCCCTCCAAATCGGATAATGTTCCGTAACCAGTAAGTCGACAAGTGTTGACCGTCGATTCACAATCCAAATTCAACGCTTTCATGTCATTTCCACGTTGTTAACCGTGCGAATGCAACTATTCCCATCTGTTTCCTTCCATCGTTTCAGTACGGAAACTCGTAGACCCGTAACTTTTACTTATGACGCGCCAATGAATCATTCTGCGGTGGAAATATTGAATTATCGCCGTGGGAAACAAATAATATTGCGAAATGGGAATGGGCAATATTTTTGCGCCGTCGATTGCAGTTCTTGTCACTTTTCTCGCTCATAGTTTACACCGCGAGTTGAGCCCATAAAACGAATGCGGCGCCGTGCCATCTGGACCCAATCCGTTTCTCAACAGAGCGCGCTTTCCCTCCGTGACTAGCTCCTCTTTTCCTTCTCAATGAGCAGCACGGACCTCTTCTCTCTCCCCCTCCTCTCGATTGGTTTCATTTTGTTTCCGCCGCTCCGGAGGACGGGTGCACCCTCATGAGTAATCGAATGATGATGGATTCGTCGTAAACTTTGATGTATCACCCGCAACATACTCGCTTTTCGTTCTGTTTTCGTTCTGTTTTCGTTGCTTCCGATCTATCAATCGAAGCCCCTCTCTCTCTCTCTCTCTCTCTCTTTTTCCAATCAGGACGGGCAAACGGCTGTTTTGCTCGTTCTTAACAACGAGTAACACAACTCTCTGGCTCCCCTCTCCCCCGCTCCTTCTCTTTCATCACCATAGTTTCCCTAATTATTCATGTTCCTCATTGTCACTTCTTTTCACTGTTTCCTGCTCCTTTTCTTTTTCAAAAAATGACGTGCGTCCAAAGACTAACTTCGAATCCGTGGGAACCTCTTATATGTTTGATTCAAAGGAACGAAAACCGGTCAGTTTACGTTGAGAGTACATTCGGTGCAAACGGAGGGAGGAAAAGGGAATCCATTTCGAATTCAAATCATAGTCGCGCCACGGCGGAAGAGTGTGGAGGAGCGAGAGACGCAGGCGGGCACGGAGGTCACTCAGAAAGGGGTCTCCGCCACTTGCCGTTGCGAATATCAGCGATGATTTCATACACTGTTCCATTCCTATTTTGTTTTCTTTTCCCACTTCACGGATGGCGTCACAGGCGACACATCATTGCAAAGTATTAAAACGTGAGGTCACCGAAACCAAATCGCACAAACTTTTCAAATTGTTCTCTCGTACTGACTCATTGTTCTGTGTTCAACAACTACGATTCCCCATACCTGCGACATACTCGATCAGCGAATCTTTCTGTTCTCACCTAGTTTACAACTTTCTCAGTAACTCTACTCCTCATGAACATCGGGTAGTCCTCAAGTTTCAGTGATCATCAATAACAGCACTTTTGTGCAAACACTCGCGGGTCTCTCTGTGTCCTCCGTAATAACATATTTAGTAGATCAGTTACTTCCGTGGCATCGAAAACAGTCTATGCCTGATCTAAACCAGAATGACTCATCCCGTGACGAGTCTCCTCTTTTCATCAATCTCCGCTCCCTTCCCCTGTCACTTTTTGAACCTTCGTGCGTTCCGACTTGTTTGCTTTACCTTTGCTCCACTTACAACTTTTGCAACTTTCCCATCCACCGTCTTCTCATCTGTTTCTTTTCTTCCCTCAATCATACGGTCGGTGCCACACTGTACTTGAGTCGGCGCCCTCTCGAATGGCCATTTCTGTTTGTGTATCTTTCAATTTTTCGTCCGTTTTCGGGGCTCTAAGGCGATGAGCAAAGTGGCCGGTCGGTCACGTACAAACACGGTCAATCGTGTATCACTCTCCCTCCGTTCCCCTCGTTCCTTCTGTCCGCCTTGCGAGTTGTCACGTGATCGGATTCTTCCAAGGTGTGCCCAATGCTGTCTGGTTCATTAAAAACCAGCAGTCACCTGCCGACCAAGTCTCCAAGGCCCCACCCCTTCTCCTCCTTCTATCCATATTTACTAAAAATCGTTTTGTTTTGATTCCGCGCTTCTGTTTGTTAAATATCGAGTGTGAGCAGCGAGCCGCGGCAGCAGCCACCTTTCAATTGCTTATCTTTTATCAAATCATCTTCTTTTTACTTTCTCCCCCTCCCATTGCTTTTCACTTTTCATTCGCTCCCAAAGCAAACTAGTACTGTCTTATCAATCGAAACGTTCTCGACGATGATTCAAAGGAATCCAGTGATAGGGCGATCAGAAGAACACGAACTCTTGAATTGGAATTCTACGTCATTCAGACTCCGCGGAGCAACCGTGCAAACACGATCATAATCAGATTACAATAACCGTACATTGTGATTTGATCGGAAAGTTCATGAAGTCAAAAAAGGATCATATTCTTCCGTCTGGTACGTCTTCTCCTGGAATCCAGAATTCGAATTCTCTAACGCTGCAAAAGACGGCATCCTCTTCCCGAAAAGGTCTCAAATTTCGGGACCAAACTTTCGCTTCTTTCCCTCCTCCAATTCTGCTGTTCATTGTTGTCGATGTGTGCGCGTTTCTTTAAAATCTCCGAAAAAAAACGGAGACGTGGTCCGGTTGCCTGGCGATGAGGGGGCGTCCCGGTGCTTCGCTCCTGATCCACTTCAGACACTGACATCGCCCTTTTCGCTCTCGAACATTTATTTCGTATATTTGTTCGGAATGTCTGAGGAAGCAGAATAATACAAAAAAGAAGACGTTCCCAGGGAAGTGAGTCACTTGTTAAATGCATTTCTCTCTCTCGCACTTTGCGTCGTTTTGTCGCTTTGTTGATTTGTTCGAGTGTCGTTACAGCAATCGGTTCAAAGTGTCATTTGTTTTGTAACAACACCGTTTCTTCTCTTTCTCCAATCCGTCAGCGGCCCACAGAACACCTGTTCCAAATGCTGAACAGTGCCAAAGATCAGGTTCTTTCTTGTTAGTGCTCCGCGAGCATTGTCTCTTTCTCTCTGCGCGTCTCGCCGAACATGGATAACTTTGCGAAGACTACTCGGCTGTCCGTACTGTAAGATCAGTCGCAAATTGACCCAGTGAGTCAGGCTCATTTTTTGATCCGTTTCCCGCTTCGCAGTACAGTTACTTTCCTGTTTTTTGTTTGTGTTTGCTCGAGAACAAATCAGCACCAAAAGGTTCTCGCAACGATCAGCAGTGGGTTCCTCGAGTGGTCTCTCTTTTGTCCACTTCCCAATTTCCGCGTTAACCTCCTCCTCCCCCTCCACGTTCGGTTTCGCTCCTCTGCGCCCACATCTCCTCACTCGCACACACACACACACACGCATTCAATTCATTTCTTCGTTATTTTCTGGCTTCTTTTCCTCAGATAGCCGCACTCGTATCCATCATTTGAGCGCCGTTGCCCTCTCATTTATTTCTGCACTCATTTCTATCCGTGAGTTGTCCGCCTCTTCTCGCGCGCCCGTCACGTTCAACTCAGAATCACTTTCGCTTTCACAGGCCTGATGTGTTTCGGTGATTTGTGAGAGCAATAAGTTTGTTCGGTGCAGGTGGGAATGGCAAACAGCGAGAGAGGGAGAAAGAGAGTCTAGTTGCGGGTACGAAAGGTGTTTCCAGAGGGGACTACGGTAGTTCGGGAACGGGATGTCACGTACCTTCATTCTTCATCAGAAGACGTACATATGAGAAGAGAAAGAAGGAGAAGAATCTATCACGTCAGTCAACTTGATGAATCGCCTGGCCGCCCTTTTCGAAAGAAATCCTTGATTGACTTACGTCCGCGTTCCCCCGGATATATTATAGGGGCACCGCACAGAAATGGCGCTCTGTTGAGAATCTCTTTTCGCAGTGCAAATTGAGCGACCTCGGCCGAGTTTGAAAAGTTAGGCCACGTTTTCAGTGGAAAATTACTTCGCGGACTAGAAATTCGGCAAGATTGCGAACAGCGCGCTCTTTCTGTCCGGTGCCCCTAAAATATGGTTTTTTTCTTTTTCCGTCGCCTCCCAGGTCTGCCACGTGATATGTCATCGCCACCTCCAAAACTTTCAAACTTGTGTCATAGCAGCGCCCTCGAAATAATCCTACTCTGGACTTTCTCGTTTGTGATAAAGGAGTACGCAGAGTACTGCTGCTCCTCCCGAAACCCACGGGCTCTCCTCGTTTCGTTATTTTGTTGTTCCTCCCGGATTATCACCTCCCTCTTCTGAAGAATTTCTCTGCTGCGCTGTCACTAATCCGTCAGTCCGTCCCCGATTGATTACTCGTCTGTTTGAATGCGTTCCATCGATGACACTTTGACCACAAAAAACAACGCGACGTCGCCCGTCCTTCTTTTCTTCTCCAACCAGTCCGTCGCAATCGATACGCCTTCTTCTTCTTCTTCTTCGTCTTGAGACGCCGTCGCACAGTCTCCCCGGGAGTGATAATCATCCGTCTCGTTTACTTCTTCTTCGCGTTTTCTTTTCTTTCTTCTCCCCCTCCCAAATAGTAGTCTCAGCGCCGGCCGGATTGTTTTCTTTTGTCTCGCTTTCCCCACACCGCTGATAATTTCAGCTTACGCATGACTCACTCGTTCCTAGGTTTTCACACCTTTTCCCCCACTTCTTCTCCGGGAAGAAAACTCTTCCTGTTTTTGCGTTCTCTCGTTCTCTGATAACTCATTTTTGGAATAGTTAATGACGAATTCGACACGAGAGACCCTCTTATCAGTATGGAAGAAAAGTTCAGAAAAGTATGTAGTCTCTGGTTTGTCGTTTAATCCAGTTAACAAGCGGGTGAGTCAATAATGACTATCCCCATATCAGGTAAACTTTCCTTCTCCGTCGGTTTCTGGTTTGCTGCCAAGCAGATCGAAAACCGATTTCTGTGCTTTTTTCAAACGACTCAATTATAGTTCTGTTTGTGTGTAGCAGCGCCGCCTCTCCTGGGATATCTCCCCTTTTCTTCATTCCTGAGTTCTGTCCGCATTCACTTCCAATCCGATAGTCTTTCTTTTCTTGGCTAAAAAAAGACAAAGTTTCCGTCCTTTCTCGTCTCTTTTATCATTGCCGGCGCTAGCAGAGATCACAGACGCAGACACCACCTTTCTCTCGCCAACACAGTGCGTGTTGCAATTTGGCTGGTTGTATAAATCGCCCACAAATTGATATCGGTCGGTCGCTGCTGCTTCGGCTTGCCGTGGCAGATTCACCGTCTTCTTTCCAAGTGCCAACTTATTAATGCCTTCACGTTCTCTGACTTATGCATTTACTCCGAAGTCGGCCAGTATAAATACGTGTTTCCATTTCGAATTGCGCCATTTTCATTGAATCATTCTCTTGTTATTGGCACCTGCTCCGACCAGAAGCGGGTGCATTTCGGGTTCCTTTACTCGGAATTTCCCCTCAAGTTCACGTCAGTGATATGGCACGACTTCTTCCTTCTCTTCGTCTGGTCATTTCTCATTCAGCCGCTCGTTTTTTATGAGTAGTGGAACAAAGGTGAATTCGAAATCCATAGACTCATCTGTCCCGTGTTCTCTTTCAGCTCATCCTCATCCAGAATCTGCAGAATCTATTACAGCTTGTTCAAAACTGACTGTCTTTTGCTTAACACGGAATGGTTGTTAGCGGGTATCCGTTGCACATTTCTTTTGACTTCTCATCTTATTTTTAGGATTAAGCAATGTACTCGAAATGCCTTCAAATATCCTATTCGTCGATTCAAAAAGTTTCTTTCTCGTCTAGCAGGCATGTTTTTGATCTACTTGAAAGTTGGCCCGAAGATGGCCAAAAGTTTATAAAAATAGAAAGAAAATTGTTCAGTTCTGACCGGAAATAATGGGAGAGAAAGCAAAGGCGCTTTGCCAGGTGCACAACATATTATTATTTTTTCGTGTTATTCTGACTGCGGGAATTCCATTGAAATTCGTAAAGAAACGCTTTTTTTAATGCTGAACTGTACTTGACAAACTGTGCAACCGTGTTTGCGGGGACGGCCAGAGTGGAAGTTTGAATCTTGTTTTTTATTTTGTCAACTCTGTCTTTTCAAACGAAAAAAGAATAAGAAATGGTTAATTCGATGAGACAACTGTGATTAACTCAAAAGTATGTTTCGAAATACTGTTTACCGCGTTTTTTCTCGCCGTTTCTCTCTCATATTTTCGTCTCCCACGCCGTCTCCTGACACCGCCCCTCATAATATCGATGACTAAGCCCCATTTGCGTTATCTTCCCATCCGTTCTTTCCGCTCTTTTCGTTTCTTAAACTCAAATACTGACCGCTCATCGATTCAGGAATAGAGGTAATGAACTGCGAGGTGAAGCATGCGCTGCACTGCGCCGTCCTAGTAGCGTGGATCGTATGTTTCGCCTACTTCTGCGGCGTGTTCACCGAGCCGGCAGAAGGAACCGTTCCGGAGAGTCCCGTTGCCAGGTTTGCTCGTTTCTCTTCACGGTCTCTAATTAAATTATGTCATTTCCAGCTATGGACTCATCTGGACAATCTTTCTATACTTGCTCCGATTCACCGCTCTCCTAGTACTGCCCCAATGCCTTTGCAACCTGTGCGGATTGATGCTTTTCAATGCCTTTCGAGAGAAAGTGCGCATTTTCCTTCTTTCACAATCTCATCGAACGATTGCAGGTGCAACTGAAAGCCGCTCCTCTTCTGTCGCCATTCGTTTGCTTCCGGGTCGTCACGAAAGGCAACTTTCCACTTCTCGTCAAGGTAATTCCCGCCGACCCATAATTCATCCTCGTCCTGCTCCCCTATCACTCTCTGATCACCGATAAGAGTTACGTGTTCTTGCCGTGCCGCCGCACTCCGATAACATTTTTCGTCGATGGCATCCACATTTTATTAGATTTTCTCTGATAACCAACGGTTAAAGTACGAAACGGACTTGACCGAGGAAGGAAAAGAAACAGACGGAGACGGGAAGTGTTTTTAATTTTCCTTTTTGTCGCCTCCCGCCGACGATGTAACTATCAAGAATGTGTGAAATTGATAAGGAAGCACTTTGCGACCTTCCTCTTTCTCTCTCTAGTCGATCGATCTCGAGATTCAAAAAAAAAACGAGGCAAGAAATGAGGGGAGGGTGTGTCGCTTTAATTGAGTCATCGATTGAATCGAAGTGAAAATTCATAAGTTTCGTGCAAATATCAACCAGAATAGAGAAAAATTTAGCTTCTCGGTGATAAGAGAAAAACTTGACGTGCTTGAAATGATGACGCATTTGATCAGCGAGACAGTTTCGGAATTACAGGAGAACATTGAGACAAACATGAAGACGTGCTTCGAGGCCGGAATGGAGAACTTCATTTTCGAAGTCGTCACGGACAAGGCAATCAATCTGCCGTCGAATCCGCGCGTTCGAGAAGTCGTCGTTCCAACCGCCTACAGGTTCGCATCCAAATTCCATTATCTGCATAGGTTTTTGTTTTTCAGAACTAAGAGCGGTGCCAAATTCAAAGCTCGCGCACTGCAGTACTGCTTAGAAGACGACGTGAACATTCTGCAGCCAACTGATTGGATTGTGCATTTGGACGAGGAAACTCTTCTGACCACTAACGCCATCTGCGGAATTCTCAACTTTTGCGAAGACGGAAAACATCAGTTCGGACAAGGAGTGATTACTTATGCGAACGGAGACATTGTGAACTGGCTGACGACGCTGAGTGACTCGTTCAGGTGGGTGATAAGGAATAATCACAAAAACGAAAGACGACTGAGTCACTCTAACACGAAAACAATAGTTATTGAATAATTGCAGAGTGGCAGACGATATGGGCAAACTGCGGTTCCAGTTCAAACTGTTCCACAAACCGCTTTTCGGATGGAAAGGATCGTACGTGGTGACGCAGGTGGAGGCCGAGAGGGATGTTTCGTACGATCATGGAATGGAAGGATCAATCGCTGAAGACTGCTTCTTCTCGATGGTCGCAATGAAGCACGGATACAGTTTCGATTTCATTGAGGGAGAAATGCACGAAAAGAGCCCGTTCACGATGTGGGACTTCCTGCAACAACGGAAGCGATGGCTGCAGGGAATCCTGCTCACCGTCCATTCCTCCAAAATCGCCATCGTCCACAAAGTATGTGCTTCTCCGTAATTTTCGTTTCGAACCGATCCGTCTCTTCAGGCTCTTCTGGCCCTCTCGCTGTACGCGTGGGCGACAATGCCTCTGACCTCGCTGCAAGTGTTCCTGTGCCCTCTGTTCCCCCTTCCCAGGTGTTTACCGTTCGACTTCCTGCTCTCGTTCGTCGGAGCTCTTAACCTCTACATGTACATCTTCGGAGTCGTCAAGTCATTTTCGCACAAGTACCGTAACAGTCTGCTCCGTCTCGGAATGTACTTGGCCGGTGCTCTGCTGACCATTCCGTTCAACATTCTCATCGAGAACGCCGCCGTTCTTGTCGGAATGTTCGGGCGGAAAGACCAATTCTACATCGTCAACAAAGACATTCAAACTGTATAAACACGACAAGTACAGTACGTTTCCTTAGGCTCACTTGTCTTTCTGCAACTCCACTTTTTTTTTCAGAATACGATTTGACACGCCGCCGTTCAACTGACCTCTCGCTCCTCTCTTCTTTCCATGATTTGCAATGAATCACAGCCTGATCCATGTTAATTTTTTGTCATTCGCCTTCTTTCTTGCCGTTCGTTTCCGACTCGAAAGTCGTTTTCCCATCCCCCGTTCTATTCGCTTTTTCCCGATTTGCTCATTTCTCACCCCCGTTTGTGATACCTTTCCGGTTCGTTCGTCGTAAGGAACGAACAGTTATGGGGCTATTCAGCGTATGTTTGTTTTCCGTTTTTTTCGTTTTTTTACATCGCTGAATTGGATTTTTTGACGTAAAAAAACGAAAAAAACGGAAAGCAATCATTTTTTTCACAGCCTGAATAGCCCCATTAGTGATCCTATCCGAGTCGCAGATCTCTCGACGATAGTGCTGATTGTAGGTGCACTGTTCGTTGAAGGATACTCTTGTTTCGTTCTGAATACTGCAGCGTTTTATAGGTTTATCGCATTTCCTCCCACTCGTCCCCGTAATCCCCTCATGCTGCCATGTCGCCGTTTTCTTCGGATCCCCTTAATTTGCTCAATATACTCTATGCTTATTTCCAACTTCATTACAGTGCCTCCTCACCCTTTCCCTAGGAATTGAACCCCTTCCCTCTCATCCGTCTTCGTGCACTTCACCCAAACACACCGGCCTATGATCTCGTGTATCACAGTTTACGTGTTGTTAAAAGTTGAACTTATCGTTTTATGAATCTGATAAATGCTTAGACAATTTTTGTTACGCGCTCACAAAGTACAGTAAATCTATCAGAACGGGAACGGATTGGGTTGGCTCTTCTTGGACTCGGACTACTCGATTATTCTCTCCACCATCTTCTTCTCCAGCGTCTTCTCCGAGTGCGGGCCCAGACGAAGCCGTACTTTGTGTTCGGCGCCCCACTGAAAAAAGAAAACGGATCGTACTTCATTCGAATCAAGTAAATTATTTTGGAGAGGTGGCAACAGGTCAATTTCCGGTCACGATCTATCATCGAAAGAAGAGGTTGAGAGAAGTGCGCGCGAAGGACAAATGAGGAAAAGTTATGGAAAGTACGCGGAGACGGTGAGACGCGCTCCCAGTCGTCTACAATAGCGAAAATTCATCTAACTGGGCAACAAATTTTGGAAATAATTTGGGAAAATCTGATAAAAATCAGGGCGATACGGTAGGACGTTCTGATTTGAAAAAGTGTCGTCGCGTTGACACTATTTTGAAAGATTTTACAACACATTTCGCCTCATATCGTACTGTATCACCCTGATCTTATTTAGAATTTTTCAAAGTTGCTTCACAGATGACTGGGACTTCTGAAATTATCAGTTGGTGATCAAGGGGGGAATCCAGGGCAGGGCTGGGCAATTGGCCGGCCCGGGCTTTTTGTTGGCCGACCATTGACCTGGACATTTGAACCACTTGCATTATTCCGATCGGACCCAAACTTTGCAGGATTGTTGTACTTGGATTGAGGGCCATTGGGACCAAGTTTCAGCCCGATCGGATCGTCGGGTCCCGAGATATGTGGATCATTGGCCGATTTTTTCCAAAAAGCCCGGGCTTCCGGCCAATTTCGGCTAATGATCCACATATCTCGGGACCAGCTGATCCGATCGGGCTGAAACTTGGTCCCAGTATGCTTCAACCCATGTCCAAGAAGCCTGCAAAGTTTGGGTCCGATCGGAATATTGCAAGTGGTTCAAATGTCCAGGTCAATGGTCGGCCAACGAAAAGCCCTTGCAGGCCAATTGCCCAGCCCTGGGGGAATCCCATAAATACCCCCATCTCACTTATTCCGTTCAGAATTTGGCCAAGAACTCACGATTTCCATTTTGGTGAGTTCGTCCTCGTCGCGAACGCAGCAGTAGTTGATGCAGGTGCACGAAGTGATCAGAACGAACGCCATGAAGAGACCGAAGCAGATGGCGCCCGCCCACAAGTCCCAGTTATCGAACTCTTGCTTCGGCATACTTCTTAGAGTGAATTCCGTGTAAACGAAAAGGAGAATGAATGCGGTGCCGTTTCTGATAGAAATGAGGGATCAACGAGCCGAGTAATGGCCAGAAGACAGGTATAATTAAGGAGATCTCTCGCGGATTGCAGGTGAGAACTAACTTTCCCCGATTTATCAGTTTTACTGCTGAGCTCAAACTCTTTGGAAAAACAATGGAGAACTGTCGGAAGGGAGCGGCGGACTCTGAAAGTGACTTCAGAATTGCCATCAACCCCGCCCCTTTCTTCTCGGTCCGCCCACCGCGCATCGCTTGATCGGTCGATTCGTACCGACCGGTCGATCGTCTAGAAGAAGAGCTGAGCGGTCATCTGTCCTCTTGGATCTCTTGGATTGACTTCTTGCATTGCAATAACGTCAAATCAGAGGAAGAAGAGAGAAGTGGCCGAGTCCCATGGGCAGAAATGAAAAAAAAAACGAGACGGCAACAGATAAAATAGCTATTTCTGCCTTTTTTTATATACCCCAGTAGGCGTGGCCATTCTAATTAGTGGGCGTGGCCACCAGAGTTGAGCGGAAATGGAATTTTGAAATCCGGAAGATGGCACGAAAGAAAATTTTTTACGGAAGACGGAAAACGGAAGACGGAAGACGGAACAAAAAAATCGTCAATGCAGAACCTTTTTCTCCGGTTTTTTTTTTGAAAAAAGTAACTAAACAACAAAAATTTTGAATCTGGGTCACCGCCCGTGGAAATTCGCGTTCTTCGGGGCTACTAAATGGCTTCTGAAAAGCTATTACTCTTTTACGCTAAGAAGAAAAAATCCCTGAAGACGGCAGACGGAAGAAACATTTTTTTACGGAAGACGGGAGACGGAAGACGGAAGAATACCTTTTTGCCGGAAGACGGCAGACGGAACAAAAAAAAACCACGGAAGACGGATTTCCGCTCAACACTGGTGGCCACTGCACCTGGCTTTTCCTTCTTCCCGTTTTGGGCCCGGTATACTTTCCCATCAGACTCCTTTGTCGGCATTCTTATCACTAATCTCCGCCTTTAATTAGGTGTGGGAATGTAAGCTCAAAGCGGATTTGCGGCAAGTTTCAAAGAAGCCGACTTAATTACAGACGGAGATTAGTGATAAGGACGCCGGAGATCGGAGGATCGATTCATTCATTCTGTGAACAGTCTCAGAACACGACAAGACAAATAAGAATGAACATGAGATCCAATACAAAGGTGCTCAAAAGTGAGAAATTAATGACACAGTTTGATTATTATACAAGTAGTCGTCCGTACTTTCGGTACCGTTTGTTTTTCCGCAGGATTTCCTCATAAAAACAGTGCCGCAGAGCTCCAGATTCGGTGGGTTTCATCTGAAAATGAGTGAGGTAAAGTAATGAACAAAAGTGCTTGCATGCCTTTTGCCTCTCGACTAATGCGGCTCCAACAATATCAGAAACGACCTCTTTGGCTAGAAAAGCGAGAAAAACGTGAGCCTCTTCGCCCAGAATCGGAGGATTCCCGATCCACGTGATCAGCGTTTGCCGGTTGTTCGTCGGATTGACCGGTCGTTTTCTGAAAAGCAATCGTTCCGACCGTCTCACACGGTTGCTTGATACCTCTTCCAGGGTGCTGTGTTCGATTGTACGACAAGTGCAGCTAGCGGAACGACGGAATGCGTTTGGAAGCTGATGCTTCGTGCCTTCGCGAATCGGTTGTATTCGGCGCTGGTCATCTCTAGAATGGCAGATTGAAGAGCCAAGGCTCGCTCTTTTTCAGTCTCATCTTCTAATTTCTGTTGGAAGTTGAAATTAATGACTCGCTGTTGGATGCCTTGCCTTTTACCTGATGCATCGTGGCCGACATTCCAGCTTCTCTGAACGTCTTCCGTACCTCTTGCAGCAGCTTCTCTTCGATTGTTACAGCGCCGACCTTCTTCCTGTAATCATCTTCTATTACTTCCCGTCAAAGTTTTCCGTTACCGTTTCTTTTTCAGATATTCTCCTTCGACGCCGCCTACTTCTCCTATGTCATCCAACGGATCGACGCCGTCTTCCTGAAAAAAAGAGAATTGCTTTGAATTGATATTTTCTGTCTTCGAATACCTTTCCATCATCTCCATACTCTATTTCCTGTCCACAAATGTTCTCTCGAACTGATTTCGTCCTCATGAGTTTGGCCATTTCGACGCGCTTTTCTAAATACTTCAGAAATCGAACTAGGATTTCTTTCTTGTTTTTCAGCATCGGAAGCATGTGCATCAGTTTGATACTGTCCAGTCTGAAAGTATCGAAATTGTCGAATTCCTTTTCTAAAAAGTCACTTTGCGTCATGAACTTCCACAATATCCTCGAAGAACAGAATCAGCTCGTTTTTCAGCATGTTCAATACCAACTCTTCGTTTTCCTGGAACGGAGTCTGGAAGAAAAACGTTATTTTTGCATTTCGAACATCGCCAAGCAAACTTCAGCGTCTCCAAAAGCGAACATTAGAAGAAGGACGATGCTCCGGATGGACGGTTCCAGCTCATTCGAGAGGTTTACTGAAAGAAAGGTTTTCGACAGGGAAAGTCCACTCAAAAACAGACGCCTCGCTTCATAATCGTGCTCCTTTTTCGCGGGAGCGTTCTTGGTCGGTGTCTGCTGAGCAGCCAACTTTGCTCTTTTTGGAGGCATCTGCTAGGAAGAAATCATGGAGATATGTGCTCAGAGAGAATGAGAAGTACACTCTTCCGGAGCGAGATCTTTTGTAACCGAGCAGTAGTAAAGCTAAAACAAGGATTTTGAAACAAATAGTTTTATTTGGTAGATGAAAATGGAAGTGTGTAAACATAGAATAATGGTAACAAGAACCGTAGCCGAAGTGTCGGATTGGAGATTTCAGTTTTCAGAAAAAAATTGAATTATTGATTAAAGTTCAGATGTGATCGATCGTTTCACTAAGATTTGCTAACGCTTAGATGAACTGCTCGGCCCACTCGTTCAGACAGTTGAAAGCACTCTTGGCGTGGTTGGAACTCACTCCTGCCGTCTCCTTGAGCCACTCGATGAACAGATCCTCGTCCTTTTTGAGCAACAGGTATTGACCGAACAACACGTACGCCTGAAACATTAAAATGAAGATTTTCATCATTAAGAAGTGAATTGATTACCTTATCGAATCCGGCGTCTGAGAGCTTAGTTCCATAGTTCGGTCCGATTCCGGCAATGCACGTAACTTCTTTATCGCCCATTGGCTCTCCAACGAACTCGCGATGCTTTACAGAGGTAGACATATTCTGAAAGGAAAATTGTGTTGCTAAGGGAAATTAAGAAGTAGCGACATTTTCGAAAATCGAACGAAAACGTGTTGCGAAATAGAAAACAGAAGAGGAATGACGAGTATAATGGACAGGCGCACGCTCTTTTAAACGAGACATTTCGCGGTTGAAGGCGGGCCGATTCGCAGCAGAGCGCATTTGCATTGTGTATGCGCCTCACTCTTTACCATTGACTATCCTGCGCTCGCGCTCTGCGTTTCAATGAGAACGGATGGCGAAATAAGGTGCAAATGAACCATTAGCACCAGTGTTGAGCGGAATTCCGTCTGCCGTCTTCCGTCTTCCGTCTTCCGTGGTTTTTTTTGTTCCGTCTTCCGTCTGCCATCTTCCGTGAGAAAAGTTTTCTTCCGTCTTCCGTCTGCCGTCTTCCGTAAAAGAATGTTTCTTCCGTCTGCCGTCTGCCGTCTTCCGGGATTTTTTGTTCTTACCGTAAAAGAGTAATAGCTTTTCAAGAGCCATTTACTAGTCCCGAAGAACGCGAATTTCCACGGGCAGTACCCAGATCCAAAAGTTTTGTTGCATTAGTTATTTTTTTCAAAAAAAAAACCGGAAAAAAGGCTCTGAATTGACGATTTTTTCTTCCGTCTTCCGTTTTCCGTGTTCCGTAAGAAAAATTTTCTTCCGTCTGCCGTCTGCCGTCTTCCGTATTTCAAAATTCCACTTCCGCTCAACTCTGATTAGCACTTGCCTATTGCAAAAGTAAATAATAAATGAAACAAACATGATACAAAAAGTAAATGAACACTTTCAGGGGAAAATTGTTTATGCACAGCAATCGGCAAAGTAGTTATTTTTAAGGAATCACTGAGATTTGAAAGTAAACAGGACAACCGACACAATTATTGGAATCCCGAATCAGAATGAGCATTGTACTAGCGGTTGTAATCCGGAGGAGAAGCCAGTGGAGAGAAATTGAGATTCGGCTGGGCAATACGATGGCGAATCGCAAAACGTCCGATTTCATCAGCAAGCTTTGTAGGACTGTCTTCCTGGAAAACAAATATTACCCATCAGAAATATAACACTTTATTTTGATACCTGAACACAATGTCCGACTTTGGGAAGAACACACGTCTGGAATTTTCCCTGCATCTGGCCAATCGTCAAATCTTTGTCGAGTCTGTCTACGCCAGCCAACACAAGCAATTTGGGGACTGGACATCCCAGGAACTCTCCGGACAGACCCTCGAACCATCCCTTCCAGAACTGTTCAGTTGATGTCAGATCAATCCGCCACGTGTATTCGTCCTTTGAAACTTTTCGGATCTGCGACGGCATCGAGACACGGGCTGCAGTCGGGTTCTTGACTGTTCCCGATCCTAGACACCACTTGATCGCCTTCTCGACTGAATCGAACGAAGACGGCCGCGAGTGCAGGAAGTGGACCATTCCTCCGAGAGCCTCCATTGCAGACCCTTCCACCACGTCAATCACGATCAACGCGGAAATATTCGCATCAATCGCCTTCGCATTGAGAGTGTGAACAGCCAAAGCACCGCCCATACTGTGTCCCACAATGCACATTGGACTGTCCGTCTCTCCGTAGACAGCCTTGAAGAGAGCGGCGATGTCTCTGCAATACGAAGTTTTTGATCGCTTTCAAGATCTCTCATACTTGATTTGGGTCTCTTTGGAGAGATCGCTTTCGTCTGCACACCGTGTCTCTCCATGACCACGCAAATCTGGAGCGATGACTCTACAAGTGACGAACGTGGTCAACTCTTTCTGAAAAACAAAACAAGATGCAATATAGTTTAGCTTGACAAGAAGAAACTGACAGCAAAACAGGCCCATGTGAGTCCAGAGTATCCACCGCCGTGGAGCAGATAGAAAATGGGACCTTCCTCTCCCTAAAACGAAATGAAATCGTGAGCATTGAAGGGCTTGTTTCGGGTACCTTTAAGTACACATTGAAAGAGTCTCCGTTGATGTTCACTTCCTCTTTTTTATCGAAGAAATCTGACCAGGGAATTTCAGACATATCCCGTTTCTTTGAGAAATTCTGAGCAGCTCTGAAAGGAAACGAATCGTTTTCAGATGCGAGATTGACTTGATTACGAGCTGGGAGCAGGAGGTAAATGTCCGTGAGTTACTGCTTGACGAAGAAGATCATTCGGCTAAAAGTTAGGGTCGATTGGTGTTTCTGTGGGAATAAATCTAACCCGAGAGGGAGTCGTCATTTGCAGTTTAGCCGACGGCAGCTCAGGCAGCATATCGATTTCATCGTCGTCCGACATTTCTGGGAAACAAACTATGAAGAATTTCGTTATTTTTATTTAATTTAATTTGTAAAATTGACAGAAAAGTGCTCACGGTGCATTTTTTCTAACCTGGCCTAGGAGCTCAGTAAACTTACGCTAGGCCAAGCGTTGTGTACTCCGCGAGGACAAACAAAAATTCGAAAACACTCGCGGGTATTTACTCGATTGTAAATTCTCATATTTTGCTCTATTCCAGTCGCACTGTGCTCTTTTTATGAGAACTGTTTTGAAGAAGCTTAGTTTCAACACATGTCTGCTAATAGTCGAAAATCAACGAAAAAAAGACTTTTTTTGAAATGTCTTGGGACATTTTTCTTCCATTTTTCATCTCGCTCACTCATTTTGTCGACCAGACGCGTTTTCCAGTGATAACTCAGGAGATGCCTGCGGACTCCCTCCGCGAACGCCTCCGCAGTCGGAATGCCGACTCTTCCCTGCTCAACACTTCACTGAATTCCAACCGGTCGGCGTTCGAAGACAAAATGTCGCCAGTGTGCAAATCGAGATACGCGAATGACAATCAGAGACTGGAGAAGCTGAGGTTCGTGTTGAAAACAACAGAGTCCCAATAATCATTTCGAATTCCAGGATAGAAAACCTGGAAATGAGAATCAAGTTCCACCTCGGTCTTTTGCTGATATTTACTGTCGATGTCAGTCTATTTCTCGTTATTCTTCTATTAGTTTCCTTTTTCAGCATTTTGTGCTTGGTTCTCCGCTCACTTCGATTCTTCTTCTCTTCGGATTTTTCTCTTCTTCCGTCAACTCCCTCGTTTCCTCATTCATTGTTCTTTATTGCGCAATCATGACAATTTGCTTTATCTTTGAAACGAAGTTTCCCAACTTCATGAGCCGTACGTCGTGATTCTTGTTCCAACCAATCCACTGAAAACTTTCAGGCGTGTTCCAGTACAAATCGACCACAAAAGCCTGTGCAGTGCCCGATCCAGCCTCTCCATCTACCTCCAGCCAGAATGTCCTCGACACAAGTGCTCAGAGCTCCGATCTTTCCTGGGTGGATGCCCATAAATTCGGCACTCCATCCTTCAGATCAGCTCAAGGAAAAACTTCCCCAACTCACAGAAGTTCTCCAATTTTCTCCCACATTCTGACAAACACCTCAGTCACCGACACGTCTGGAATTCTGGAGGAGGCGGGCGGATGGAAAAGCCCCGCAGCTTACACCAAATCGACAGAGAGTATTCACACGAGAAAACAGCTCGAAGTTCTTCTCAAGTCGAACAGAAAGGACGAGCCGATCGATATGAATGCATCGCAGTCGTACCTGTCTTCCATCTGGAGTGTTTTCGATACCGGACGTCGTGGAATGAATGTGGAGAACAAGAGCTATCAGCTTTCCGAGGAACTGACGGAAGAGTCAAATCCCAATTCAGGTGGGTAGAAAAGTGATAGAAAAGACATAAAATGTGTGTTTGCAGCTTACCGAATGAAAGTTGGCAAGAACGGAAGGACGGAAGTGAAAATGTTGAGAAGGGGAAAAGACGGAGAAACGGAAGAGGAGGACGAGGACGAATTGGTCCGTCTGCACAAGATTATGAATGCTGCGAAGAATGCTCCGGAAGGAAAGGTAATGGTGATTTCCTGGCTTCACGTGAAGTGTGTGTGTCTTCCCTTTTCAGGCTGGAATTCTGAAACGTTCCAATTCAGTCGACCGTGCTGGAATCCGTAGTCGCCGCCGATCTCACGGATCACCGGAGAAAACGACGGGAAGCGAGAGCGAGATCAGATATCGAACGGGCGAGCTGCTGTCGGAAGAACAGCAGAAGAGAGCCGAGTTCTTCGTCCGTTCCTGGCTCCGCAACACCGTAATCCTCCCGTTGACCAATCACATCGATGAAGTAAATAAGATTCTGGAGAAGGAGCACGCGAATCCGCCGCTCCGCATCGGCACCTCCTCAGTGGATGCCCTCAAACTGGCGGCCATCGAACGGGACGTTCTCAAGTCCTCCAATCTGCCGTTCCTTCTTCCGTTCCTCAGTGTGCACTCTAATCAGGCGTACCTCGTCAGCCGCGTCAAAGAACTCAGCGCTTCCGAGTTCATGGACGTCTACAAATGGAATTCTGGCGGGTCGGAGCCGACGGAGGACAATCGGGGCACGAGTCGTTTGACCCGTCGCGAGTGGAACGACTCTCTTCCGACGGACGCCCTCCTCGTCTTCGAACTCTTCCTCGTTTACATGGATGCTCAGCTCAATTCAAACTGTCTCGTCGGAGAAATGCGGTATTTTCCCGCTCCGGAATCCACCCCCAACAGTATATTTTCAGTCTCGATCAGCCGTTCACCAGTCGTTTCTGTGTCAAGAATCCCCGTAAGCCGTCAAGTGCTCAAAGAGCTCCCCTCAGTTTCTACCTTCATTTGGTAATTCTGCTTTCTCGTCTCCAATTGAATATTGTCCCGTTCCAGGTCTCCCAGACACCTGCTCAAATCGAATTCGTGCGCGTCGACGAGAACGGCTCGCCCGTGAAGTGCAATGTGCTCCGTCAGAGTCCGAATCTCTTCCGTTCAATTGCTCAGTTCGTCCACTACGTCAAACAAGAGAACCACGGATATCTCGATCAGACGTCCATCGGCCCGGCCGGCATCAATATGACCTGCATTTTCGCCTAATCCCAATTTTTTTCATACCATTTTCTTTATTTTGTCTATTTATCACTGAATCCACACGTGCGGACATACTGGTTCGCTTCCGTTCGTTTTTCTGTTTTCCACTTCAGATCTCTGGCAAATAAACTTACTTTGAAAATCTCGCTTCACAATTTACGACTGGGATTTTGTGAAGCATCCGCGGTTTTTAGAACTCGAAATGTGAACAACAACGAAAAAGGTTACAATTTTTAATCATTCATGTCTACGATGAAACCGAGATAATGGAGGGAGAAGAGAGGGGCAAAAGAAGCATTCAAGCACAGAAAAGGAAACATTTTAGGCCAAATAATTTGGTTATGTAGACAGAGGAAAGGATTGAGAGGGGAAATGGGGGAGAGGGGGGACACATTCTACTGGTGGGAGAGCTGATAGAAGGTTCGGAGGGGCCGACGAAGTTCGTACAAAATAATTATATTATACCAGTAGCACTAAAGATCAAGGCGCTTCAGACGCTCAGAAAAAAAGGCGCTAAACGTGCTTACTGCTCAGTCAAACGAACATTTCAGGAAGAGAAGGGACGGTTCGATGTAGAAAGTGACAGACACGGAGGGGAGGGGGACTGAAAGAGCCCCGAAAACGTTGGGAGTGATCGGAGAATCGGTCCGGATCCAAATAAATAGCATATCACTCTTCTATAGAATTGGAAAAGGAAAAACTCCAACAATGCACGACCAAGAACAATTCCTTTTCCATCTATCAAAAGGCAAGAAACGAGTAAAAATTGAAATAGAAAGAAGAAGAGTAGAATTCAGAAGATGGGTATAGTCGATTCGACAGGGAACGTGTGTAACTCGGGAGTGTGCAAGATAACGCCGAAGAAGGAGAGGAGGAGGAGAAGAAGAAGAAGGAAGTGTTTGAAGGGGACGACTATTGCAAGTTAAGCTGAAAGCGCTCTATATCAGAAACATCGACCGTCTCGTTGTTCGTCACCCCAGATGGGCCCGGCCGATCCATGTGGAATTCCTCTTCTTCTTCGTCGCTCTCTGCTGACCTGCTAATAGCGCTCCTCTCGCTGCAATTTGCGTTTTTGCCCTCGTCGGTCCGTGCTTACGAACCTCGGCGACCTACTATCCTCACGGTCACGATATACCACTTGATTGTCATCTATCACCGGTTCAGGAATGCATCCATCTGGGTACAGTTTGCTCAGAACCTAGAAACGAATCAAAAATGATTAGAACTGAGGATCCGAGCAAACCTCCGGAGGACAATCTGACTTCGGAGCACCTCCTCCGAACGGAAGCAAGAATGGGTGTTTAAGCGCGTCGGCGGCAGTCGCTCTCTTGTCTTGGTCGAAATCAAGCATTGGACGGAGGAAACTTTCGAACTGCTGCGCATCCTCGTGCGACCACTCGTACTTCTGCCGCAGAACTTCGTACAATGACCACGGCTTCAGTTGAGTGATGTGAAGAAGGAATCCGTTTTTGTGGAAGAACTCTTTCCAGTGCTTTCCTTTCTTGTAAATCGACGGCGAGATCTGGCCGAGCAGTTCAGAGATGTGAGCAAGATGATCTTCGTCGCGAGAGTAGTTGTCTCCCTGGTGCGGTTCGAACAGGTAGTCTCCGGTGGCCAACTCAAAGGCCATGCACGCCGTACTCCAGATATCCGCTGGTGGTCCGTATCCTGATCCGATCAACACTTCAAGGGCACGGTACTGACGGGTTTGGATGTCGTCTGTGTAGTGGTGATTCACCCAGCACGCATTTCCAAGATCCGCAATTTTGACGTCGATATCACAATAAGGATCACCAAGGTTGGGACCGACAGGAGGAGCAGGAAGAACGCCGCCAGGTGGGAGAAGGCTCATGGGAGATCCGAGATATTCTGCCGACGGCGACGAAATCTCTCCGAATTTAGTTTCCGGGTCGCTGAATGGCGTCAGGGTCGTACGATCGAAACGGTCGGGACTCTTAATTTCGACCTGAAATAGGATAACTGGAATTCAATCGCCAAGAAGTTGTTTCTCACCTTGTTGCCGTTTCCGTTGACAGTGTCTTCCATGTTGACATCCTCGACTTGTGTGTTGTTGAAACTGGTGTCCAATTCCTGCAAAACCTTGTCAAATCATACCGATATCTCGTGCATTCGTGAATTAACTAATGTCACAACATCATCAGCTTAATTGATGAAAATTAAACACGATGATGAACGAATCTCTTGAAAGCCCACGACGACGGAATGCGCATTACAACAACGATGGAAAGCAGCAACAAACTGAATCCGCTCTGATCGACAGTAAGAAACTCTCAGGATAAGTGAGTCAAATGAAAAACGAAGGAGAAACGAGGAGAGTGCAAGCTTCTTTTGGTTGCAGAGAAGGAGGAAGAGAGTACGTGTGAATCGAGGAGCCATGTCAACACAACCAAACACTCACAAAACTATTTGCATTCTCGATCACCTGTGTCAGATGATACGTCTGGTTGCAGACGCCTCCCACCTGCTGATAGAGAGCCGGCGGCGGCGGAGCCATTCTCGGAGACGCCGGTGTGTTCACGCAAGAGCTGCCTTGCAGCAGTTGAGGAATCGGTCCGTTGAAAAGCAGCGACGGTGGACGCATTCGAACCCCATTTTGCTATATTGTCATAGTTTTTAGCGTAATATTCCCCGTATTCTATTCCCCTTCCCTTTTCTTTGAATCTAACTTACCGGTGCATTGTTATACGCTTCTTGCAGTCCGTTCGCATCCATCTTCAATCCCTCAAGGCCGGCTAATTCAGCCTCCAACTTTTCTCGTTGCTTCTTAGCCTTCTTCTTCAGTTTCTTTTTCTTGTTCTTCGTCATGTTCTCTTGCGCCAACTTTACCATATGATCCGGTGCAGTGCTAACAGCCGACCCGCTCATTTTCATGTTCATCTTCCGGGCAACGACCGCGTGTTGCGCCATAATCTGAAAAAATACGCATGGTTTGCATAAAACTCGTGACATTGGTACCTTGATCTCCTCGCGGCTCATAGTGATTAACACATTTTCTGGTTTTATATCAGTGTGAATGATACCGCACTTTTCGTGCATGTATCTCAATGCCTCTAAGAGCTGCTTGCATATTTTCCTAACTTGTTCCAGATGAAGTCCTCGGTAGTTTGACCGTATAATCAATTTGAGCAGATTGCATCCGAGTACCTCGAACACCATAGCGACATGCTGTCCATTTATGCCGGACACCGTGAACTCATCCAGAAGCTGCACCACTTTGTTGCATCCCGTGTCATTCGGATCAGCACTTCGGACTGACAGCAACAACTAAAAATAATAAATCTTGTCTATTAATGACTGCATGGACAGTTTATAAATCCTAAATCGATATTATAAGCTGGCTGTGTTGACTACTGCCAACAACAATGTTACACAAAACACTTGTCCGCTGCCTCCCTTTACTTTTCAAAAAACGAACCATCATGACTCACTGACATAGACTTGTCATGAGACATTCGACAGCCGACTAACCTTGATTTCGTCCAGAGCTGCCTCCGTATAATGTTCCGCAGATTTGACTATTTTCATGGCCACGAACCGCTTCTCCTGGGTGTCCCAGGCCAACCAAACCGTCGAGAAATGACCCCATCCAAGTTTGCGAATTACGTGATATCTGAAAGCAGCTTTTCCAAATATGATAACTTTGAAATGAAACGAACCTCCCATTAAAAACGTCACCAATGTTGACTGGGTGGTAGCCACCTCTTTTGTAATCACGTGGATCCTCTTGTTCTTCATCATCGGATCCAAGTTGCTCTCCTGGATCCTATAACAAGAGTTTATATTATGATCATGTTCTTTCAAAACTAACCATAGGATCCTGGAATGAATCCGAATGACCACCACCTCCTGCGCCGGCAGAATCACTCCGTCCGGGACTCACGCTCACATCGTCGAGATGATCATCGTTGGCATTCACTTCGTTCCTGAAACGTCCGACAATTATTCTGAATTACACATGTTTTAGTGTGTTACTGAATTTACGCGAAAATTACTTTTTCTTATTTTTCGGAATAATAGAAGGACGGGGGATAGAAATAGACGCTGATGCAGTTCCCAGATCATACTCGAACATTTGGATTTCAATGTCGTCCGAGTCGTAAGAAGTAGTGCTATCGCCGTCGTCGTCGCCAGCAGAAGTGGACGATGTCGACGAAGAGACGGACGAATCGATTGTCCCTTCGCTTTCTTCTCCCTTTGCCGACCGCATTTCCGCCGGAAGGTTATCGTATTTAGACGTTTCCTCGTCAACTGGAACGTCGCCTTCCGAATGACACGATTCCATTTCTTCGATAGGTACTTCTTCATGCTCTTCAATAGAGCTAACTGAATCGACTGAATCTTCTGTGGCGTCGTTCACGTGGAAGGAATCATCTTGCGACTCGACATCTTCTTCGTCTGAAGCAGACATGCAAGAATTCATGGCTTCGTCAGAGCAACGTGAACCATCTTGCGAACGCATGGACTGATCGTCGTCACTTTCTTTGTCAGCAGAATTCACAGAATGGGAAGAAGGCAACTCCACTTTTTTCTCGACATCGGGAAGGACGGAAGCGACAATTGTAGGAGTGACCGGTGCTTTCAAAGTCGACGACACGCCACCATCATCTACCGCACTTTCGAACACCAAATTAACTTCCGTTTTCTCTTCCGCTTCGCTTCTACTTGTTTCGTCAAGCGAAACTTTGGCAGTAGGTCCGGTTGACTCCTTTCTTTGCTTGACAAAGAAATAAAACCGATTCTGGTCGACTAAATCGACATTGATATTGCACGCAACGTTGCCGGGAGTGGCAATCAGCTGCGTGCAGATATCAGTTTCAGTGTAGGCCTCATGGTCATCCAACTCTTCGGACTCTTCCGAATGAACACGGAATCGACGACGTCTTAGAAGAGTAGCATCATTCAGCTGTTCGACCCGGTCTCGATATGGCCGGAAGCCGTTGTACCAACGGCAGAATAACACGACGAACATGAATAGAACAGTAGAGAACACGTCAGTTAGCTGATGAATGCCGCCTGCTGCTCCGGCATCTCCTGTTGTACCCGAGTAATCGATGGTCGGGAGCGGATAAGCTCGGGCCAGCCTGACAGAAAACCGGCTTCGAAATCAAGCGAGTTTTCGAGGAGCGACGGAATCGCAACGCGTTGAAACGAGTCGCAGGAAGGGAGTGGGAGGAGGCGAAGAGTGGGATCGGCGGCGCGAAAAGTGAGTGTCTCGAGAATATTGGCGGCCGCCGACGAGGCGCGAGAGTGTCTTGACGAAAACGCGATCAGTGCGAAAGGAGTGAGTGTTCAAGTGATAGCAGGGATGTGCTGATTGCGACGGAGAGATAGAGACATCTGAGCGAGAGATATCTGCGTCTCTGCTCTTCCTTTCTCTTTGACGGCCAGGTCGCGAAGAATGGACAGCTGACAGTGACGTGCCCAAGGTGAAGGCGCGAGGAGAGAAGAAGAAGAGGAAGACGAAGAAGAAGGAGAAGAAGAAAGGGACAGATGGACGAAGGTGGGGCCGACTAACAACCAGTTGTCGCTGCGAGTGGAGGGAGGATTACACCAGGCAAAACTTATAATCATTTCGGTCGGTGACAGCGATGCCATAATCAAAGATTTATGTTACCGCGACAATAGAACATACTGTTTGGTAAAAACTTTCGTGCACGATCCGACTTGTTGTCCTTCATAACTAACGAAAGATAACGTTAAACGTACTCTCTCCGTTACACCAATAATTTTTTCAAAAATAAAACACATACCTTTCGACGTGGCTTGATCCGTTCATTGGCGGCGTAACTCCATTCTTCGAGTTTGTGTTTTTTTCACCCACTTGAGGTGATTGAGGTGCGTTTGCTGCTGCGGGCTGAAATTAAGAATGATTAATAAAGGAAACACATGATAGCTCACATGGAAAATGCGAGCGATCCAGTGAAAAGATTGAAAAATACCGAGCATGATAAAAAATTTTCATCTGCTTTTGTGTAAACTCATTTTGCTCTGTTCTTCACAAGCGGAGTGTGCCTCCATTTTCTCAGTAATTAGTGGACTTCTCTTCAACAATAGCGCCGTTCCTTTAGGTGAAACGGAAAAGTTTTCGAAAAGCACGCTCTCTCGTGCAGGTTCGAGAGCAAGAAAAGAGTGCGCGAATTGAGAATGAATAAATAGCGACAGAGCGGCTTGGAGTCCGCGATAGGTCCCCAGAGAGCGCAAAGAGGGGCTTGTCATTTTTTGGGTTCTGAGTGAAGTCCGACTTTGCATTTGTGTGAAAGGGAACATAGCCGTCGAACAGGGGAAGAAGTGCACAATCAATTCAGAACTGTACGGTTTGCTCAATTTTGATAGCTGTCATCTTCAGAATTTTTTTTTCAGTATTTGTTTTTTGACAGTCCACACTAAACGTTTTTTCTCAGCCAGAAATTTTTTCATTCGAGCCTTATTGTGTTTCCATAGAACAACATCAAATATTCGAAAGAAACAAAATAACGAACCTTCTTCTTGTTATTCTTCTTCTTCCTCTTTTTGTTGTCTGGTCCGCCCATTGTAAGCAACTAAGCACGGTCCAGTTCACACTGCAAAAATCGAGGTTAAAAGGACATTTTTGATAATTTTCGAAGACTATCGGCTAATCTCAAGCTACAAAGTAGGTGATAAAGTGATTGAATCTGCCGATACAAACACAGAAGACACAATATTTGATAAGGGCTGAGATAGCGTGATGAGACAGAGCGCTCCGAACGAGGAGGGCTCCAATTGGCGGCCGTATTACGCCAAAATATCGATCCTCGAGTTAGATCCGCAGGGTGCCGGACTACGGTAGTGCACTTGTTCTCTGGTTGTCTGCCGACGCGTCTCTTCACCTCTGCGCCCTCACCGTTCACCATGATCTCTCGCCGATAATTCTTTATTTGCAGCCGACTTACTCGAATTTTTATCACCAAAAAAGTTCCGATTATTACTTTTCTAGAACTTGCCAAGTTAGAAATACAGAGCGTTTTTTTCTCGGTGTTTGAAACGGTTTTTCGTCTCGTGCCATCTCGCAACATGTGATATCGAAACTTGCACTTTGCAGCTCTTTGAAATTCAATTTAGAAGGAAACTATTCGTATTTTCAGGCTATACTCGGTTAATATGCACAATAATTCCAATCGTCTGACTCTGAATCGCAAGGTTGCTGTGATGGGATATCCGCATGTCGGTGAGTTTATGTCGGGGAACTTTCTTCTCTATAAATTTGTTTTGTAGGAAAATCTGCGCTCGTTCTCCGTTTCATGCAGAATACGTTTCCGGAAAGGTACGAATCAACGATCGAGGATCAGCATACGAAGCGTTTGACGATATTCCAGCGAGATTACAACATTCGCGTGACTGGTGGGTGAAATTAGGAACACGTCTAGTTAGAAAATATTGTGATTGCAGACACCGCTGGACAGCAAGAGTACACAGTATTCCCGAGAAGTTGCTCACTCGATATCAATGGATTTGTCCTTGTTTATTCGATTGAAGATAGAAAATCGTGAGTATTCCATTATCAGAAAGAGATAACAAATTCATTTTTCAGGTTCGATATGTGCACGAACATCTACGAAAAAATTGTCAGGGTTTATGGAGATACCAGGTATTTGTGACCTAAAGTGAGGCAGATGCTTATTAGATTTATTCAGCATACCAATCGTGATCGTTGGAAATAAAACCGATCTGGCCAGCCAAAGAGTTGTGCAAATGGAAGAAGGAGAAGCGTTGGCCAAGCAATGGGATGCCAAATTCATTGAAATCACGGCCAGGGAACCGGTGGGAACTTTATTTTTGCAAGAGAATATAAAAACAAAAAATAAGAAGTGTGTGCTCTACAACAGAAATAGCTCGGTTTCGCAGTTTTTGCCTTTTTTCGCATTAATTTTCCGTGTCCGCTCATAAAAAGAGGAAACGCCCTGTCGGTTAGTCGACGTGTCCCCTACGGTTCTCACCACGAAAGCTTGACCGATTCCAACATCTTGTTTCTTGCAGAATCGAGCGAATGAAGTGTTCGAGACGCTTCTTCGCGAGATAGAGATCTCCCGCGGAAACCTGGATCCGAGAGACCGTCGACACTACGCTCATGGTCACAAAGGAAACAGCAATAACGCTAGCAACAACGGCAGCTTCGCAAGCAAACTGGCAGACGGAAAAGGCTGCAGCATATGCTGAAGTTCTTCCCTTCTTCCACTACGTTTTCTTGTATATTCTTCCATTTTGTTTCTAGAGTTTGTATTTCTTCTCACGGTGCTTTCCCACCGGCGTTTCCATCCGCTTCTTCCCGTTTTCTCCCTTTTTCCAACCGCGAGTCGCTATATCCGTTAAGATGCGAGACAAGATTGGGTTTGGGATCGGGACGTTTCGACCGATTGTGTATATATAGATTCTAGAATTCTGGCGAGATTCCAACGAAAATTTCTCTTTGTAAATACGCATATAACAACTAATAACCTAATCTGAACGCGCCGAAGACGTCTAGAGAAACCTACTAACTACTAGTTTCCATATCTTTCAATTCGTCGTTCTAGCCAATAACAAAGTATTTACATATCCCTGTCCCAGCCATATCTTGCCCATTCTTTTCTTACAATTTGCTCAATGCCTCCGCACATTCTTCCCATTTTTTCTGATAAACTCGGTCACTTTTCTGCCTCTCACGTCTCCTCAGACAACCGTTTTCCCTTCTCTCCCAGTGCCTTCTTGACGGTTTGCAACTATTGCAACGTGTAAAATGGCTCAGTCTCATGCGAGTTTCACAATTTGTTTGTTCAATCATTTCTCTAGGCACTTTATGAAATCCTGATTTCTCTTCTATCTATCCGATTTATCTTTTGAAAAGTTTTAAGTTCGATTCTCTCTTTTTACTCAATTGTAACTACTCCTTGCAATTGTAATAAATGAAAGTTCCTCTTTTGTGAGCCCTCCACAGTCTTCTACCCTACTGGTCCTTATCCATTCTCCCATACATTCGACGTCTTCTTCTCCCGCTCCGTCGCCCTCCCACAACAGCTTCTTCCAGATGATGACGGGCTCTTCCGTGACACCTTCCGCACCGCCCGTCGATTCCTCCCCGTTCGCGGCGCCCCCAAACGGTTAGTTTGCCACGTGGCCACGTGTGACGGCCCGAAAAGAACACTCCCTTTTTTGCCCTTTATTGATTTTTTGATAATAAAAACGCGGCGTCGTGTGAATGAGCGCCTCTTATTCCCATTTTCATATTGAAGACGCGTCGCCGACGAACGACTCGACCGACGTGATGAGCAGAATTCCGGGCGGGATAAAAGTTCCGGATGTCGTCGCAAAGTGAGTTTCTTCTCACGGCACAATCACCCTTTCCGTGATCTCTTTCCCGCCGCGTGACCGTGTTTACCCTTGCCTACCGGTACATGAAAACCCGTCCTTATCCCCTTTTTCTGTTGACTTTCCTCTCGACCGCCTTAACCCGGAAACACGAGTTTTCCCTTCTACTTCTTTCGAATTCTGCCGTTTCCGATGGGTATCACCTCCAAAAACAGCATCAAATTATTTCGAGGCAACCGGCCGCCTAAAGCTATCCCAATCAGAGCTTGTCCTTTGGAAAAATGTCCTCGGTTTGAGTCTAGAGCCCTTTATTTTTCCAATATTTTGTAAATGTGTAATAATTATAGTCTTGATACGGCGCAAGTGGCCGCGAAGGTCGAATCATTCAAGAAATGGACGATCGGAACGTTCAAAAACTCGAAGCAGCAGCTTTTGGAGCACATGGGAAAGATCGACAAGACTGTGGATCCGGAGTTCGAAGCACAGTGCGAAGTGCTCAAAGACATCCACAGACGGTACGGACTCGTCGTCTCGGCTGCCAAGAACTTCAGTCAGGTGCTTTCGCAGATGGCGGAGGCGGAGAAAAAGCTGTCTGAGTCGTTCTATCAACTTTCACTGAAAGAAGAGCAGATTAAGGTGAGTCCGAGGGAGAAAACAGACTCGAAAATAAAAGGGATTCCAGGCCCAATGCACGACTACGTCGGAGACGATGCGCGGAGTCGGAGAACAGGCGGCCTCCCTCGATGCTTGCCTCAGATACTTCATTTCGTCGATGGAAACAGTTTACAACCAGACGATCACCGACACGTTGCACACCATCTACAACACTGAATCTGTTAGTTCCGGAAGATTCTTCTCACGGAAACTAATTTTTACGATTCCAGGCTCGCATCGAATACGACGTTGATCGTAACGAGATCACATCGGCCACCATTCCTGCCCAGGGACAACAGCCAAAGTCCCTTCCGGTCGGCGCTTCCGAGAAATGCGAAGAGAAAAAGGGAAGGTACGAAAAACTAAAGAGCGACGCGAAGATCAAAATGCGACTTCTGGAGGAGAACCGTATTTCCGTGGTGGCCGTCCAACTGGAAAAGCTCCAGTCTGCACTGGCCGCCTATTACTCTGGAAATGCGAAGCTTCTGGAGTCCTCCGTTCGCGAGTTAAGCATGCTCCAAACTCCGCAGCCCTCTTTCATCCCGACAATGTAATCAGCTCGTTCTGTCTACTGCACCCTCACATTCCCTTTCTCGCCTTCCTGTTAGGTCACTTTTCTTTTCACCCCAACCGGGTTTCCAAAATGTAAACTCCCAGGTGTTCTGTGTATATTTGATATATCATGGGATTCTTCTCCGCAATACGATTAACTTTTCGATTTTTATTGTCTGATGGTGGTGACGAGTATTCGTATAATAAAGTGGTCATAAATTTAGTGTGCTTTTTGAATTTTTCAAGTAATGTTCCAGAAAAAGTTAGAAAACTTGCAACTTCGTTATGGGACGCAAGCAATGAATAAAGCCTATGCGCCTTTAACCCTTGCAGTCATCACGTCTTTTTGACGCTCTGTTCTCTTACGGAAGTCGCAATTTTAAACTAGAAAAATGTCAGAAACAGTCAAAAATTCACAACTAGAAGACGTTCTGCAACCGCATATCGAGTGCTCCATTTGCATGAATACTCTTCACAACGCGGCCAGGTTCGTTCTCCACGGGATTTCGTGCGAATCCAAGATTTTTTGCAGCTGTACTCCATGTCTTCATACGTTTTGCATGGGTTGCGTCGGCCAATGGGGAAAGGAAGACAGCAGAAAGTGCCCGATGTGCAGGGCTTCCGTCAGAGAAATCGCCCCGAACTACACGATGCGAGAAATGGTGAAAGCTTATTTGCTGGTCAAACCAGGTGAGAATACCTCAAAAGAGCACTTCTAAAAGTGTAATTTCAGAGTGCAAAAGAACGAAAGAGGACGAGGAGAAGCTGAACTTGGCCGAACTTGAATATCTTCTGAAGTGGCTGACGGACACGGATGCCAAACTTCTAGAAATTGAAGCGTTGGCCTCTCAACGGGGATCTTCTAATGGGTAGATTAGCGCAAAAATTTCAACTTCCATGTAAACGTTGTTCAGTTCCGACGATAAGTATAACAACACACTGGCCCGTGCTGTCGAACTCTGTAAAAACATTCTGGAGAAGAAATACGAGTCGGAACTGAAAGAACCGCCACGAGTTGAGCAGATAAGAATGGCTGTTGTTAATCTGCTAAAAGAAACAAAGAAAGAAGCACTGCCGGCGGCGGTCTTCTCAAAATTGCACAGTGGACTGATTTTGTAAACTCAAAGTTTTAACTTTTTCGTTTAGGACTGGAGCAATCCTACCGTAAGCTCGTAAGAATCAGCATGCCAATAATCGGCCCCACTGAGCATTCCTGCAAGTGCCCTTTTCATTACTTTCACCTTTTCACTTATTCAGGGCTCGCCAACACATTCTTCGAAAAAGACTGTTCGAATGCAATCGATTCCGACAATGAGTTTGACTCGGATGAGAGAAACAAAGAATGGGACCTCGGACTGCCTGCCAGAATATCCGATTTGCTGCTCGGAATCCGTCATCCGCAACTTCTGCCACGACGTCTACCACGTGTCCCAGTCGGCGATTTCGACCCGATAGATCTAGAGGCTTTGGCACGAGTCCGACAGATGAACGCTCCAGGATTCAGAAGAGAAACGGTGAGACTAGTGGATTGAATTCAACGAACAACCACAATATTCCGACTCTAAATCAGGCGCCGCCGTCTATTCCGTCGCCTCCTCCTCCTCAACAACGTCGGCAGCCTCCACGAGCGATGAGAACTCGTCGTTTGGCTCGGGAGGAGGACGCACGGGCCGCTGCAGCTCCGACCGCCGAACCTGTTCAAGCACCTTCCCAACAAAGAAGATCATCTCGGCTCGCCGCAAGAGTCTGAAGAGCCGAATAGAAAGTTAAACTGTATTATGGATCATCTATGTATTGCTACACTAATTTCTGTCCAATATGAATTGCTTGCTAGATAGCACCGAGAAAGTGCTCCCCTCGAATGATCAACAAGGCCCCCCAAGGGAAACGACTCGCGCAACATTCGTTCCGCTCTCCCACCCTTTCGCTTTCCGCTTCCCAGTCCATTGTAGAATGCCATAAAGCATGTGACATGTCAATTATCTCTGCGTCTCTCTTTACTGTAATTATTCTCGCACGCGAGTATCCGAGAAAGCACGCTAAGGTCGGAGGGAGCGAGGATCGTGAACCGGCAGGACGGATCACGTGATTTCCAAAAGGAGAGGGGTGGCGCTTGCGCAGATGTGCATATTGTTCGAAGACGAGCTCGTTGGCCAGTAAATATGTTTACTGCTTTGCAAATTGCGAGCTTCGAAACCGCGCTCCACTGAACTGTGATTGAAGTTGAGAAGGTCCTCAAGCAGAAATTGATCTTCTCGAAATGGTTATGTTTACAGCCTTCCATGACTTCTTCCCCTCCTCCATTCCATTTTAATATAAACATAATAAGTGAAAGTGTTTGTCGTCCTCCCGATCCGTTCTCCGCGTCTCCATTCATTCCACACTCTTTTCGGCTCTTCTCCATCCCCATTAGTATATTACGGTGTTTTCTCCCGCACTCAGAAACAGGTGTCTTCAATTTCAATGACCAACAGGCCAAAGTGGAATAATTTCTATTTCTGCTTCCCGCGGTAATTTATTTATTTATGCAATTGTTTTGTGAAGTGGAGGTCCTCTGATAAGTGATTGTTTAACATCCTCTTCTCCGTTTTTCCCGCCTTTCTATCCGTTTTCATTCGAATTCCTTGCTCTCGCTCGAAATGTCCGGTCGCTACGGCAGAGGCCGTCCGTCGGTCCGCGAATCGTCCGTTATGCCTTCAGAAGTCTCCCACAAGTACGACGCCTACATCGAGGCAAGGAGAAACTATCTGGAACAATCGGAAAGCGAAGAGGACGTCGAGATTCGGACCATTCTGCGAAGACCGCAGCAAAGTTATTTGAGGAGAACCGGTGAGAAGAGTCCCCTCAATTAAGTGCCTTCTATTTTCCAACCTGTCCACTCGTTACACCCGTTATTCGCTCGGAACGCTTGTGTGTAATGCACGTCCGTTTCCCGCGCATTCTCTCGGATTTCACCCCCACCTGCCCGCACTTTCTATCCATTTTCATTCCGGAAATATCAGAATCAGAATCCCCTATTCATCTGTCGTCCAAATATTTACTTTTTTTTCCGTGTGTCCGCCTTTTTGCGAGTTGGCATAATCATAATCAGCAAACAGCTTATAACTCATTAACACAGTCCTTCTCTCCGTTTTCTCCGAATTCATTCGTTTGCACTCATCGCATGTTTCAGCATGGTTTCCAATCCAATCTCCGTCTTCCGTGCTAGAAATCAACAGGACAAGAAGTCGAAAAAGGCCGTGGGTGAGTGGGAATCGGTCCTTCGTCCTTATCTACGTCATCATCTTCGATGAGCCCGTTGTCGGCTTTTCACTCTTCTCTCTCCGCTCCGTTTCCCACACACTCTTTCTCTGTTTTTGGCAGCTCGTCAGCTCTCCTCTCCTTCTTCTTCTTCTCTTTCTTCTTCTATTTCTTTTCACTCGGCGCATCCTCCTGTTTCTTCCTATTTTTTATTAGCCAAGTTATTGAGAAGTAAGCAAAATTGAATGGAAACGCGCGAAATTGTGTGTGAGTTGTTTGACAAACCCGCGCGGTGTCTCAAGAGTAAACAGAGGGCACAACTCGTGGATGTTTCAGTCTCGACGAGCAGCGAAGAGCAGCAGCCGCCACAGCCGACCACAATGGTTCTTATCCCGACAGTCACCGTTCAGGCAAGTGCGCTCCGTTGATAACCACAGGGAATATTTGGAATCCCCCCCTCATTTTCACTCTTTTCGAGTGATTTCTCTGATCATTTCAGGAAGCTCCGAAAGAAGTGGAAATTCCCAAGGAGCCAGAAGCCAATCCTTCAGGCTCTGCCGTCCAGGAAATCCACGTGGAGGGCCCGAAAGAAGAAGAAGAAGAGCTCAAGCCCGAACCACACATCGATGAACAACCAGCATGCTCAGTTTGCACAAAAGTTAAAGAATTTGTGAAACCGTTATATGAAAACGTGAAATCAAAGTGTCAAAATACTGTGGAACGACTACTGGACCCCTCCCTCCACACCACCATCCGCACGGAATTCCTGTTAGTTTTACTGGCGCCCGGCCTCCGTTACCGATTGCCATTTCAGCCAATACCTCCCTTGTTTCGCCTTCGCCGTTGCCGTCTTCTTCGTCGGAATAACATTCATTTCAGCTTTCAAAGTTCTTAGCAACCCAATTCAGCAGGAGCCCACCTTCTTCTGCAGGTGAATTTCTCTAGCCAAAAACCGGAAAAATGATAAATTTTTTTGCAGAACCTTTTCTCGTCCGTTCGCTCCACTTTTCGATGCTCTTTGTGCTCCAGAACCATACGTTTTCGCTGATGAACTTCCGAAAGTGATGGGCGGATTAGTGGATGAGATACTTTTGAGTGAGTGGAAGCCATGTCTAATGTGTTCGAAACACTTCTTCCGATTCCAGATATTGTCCAGTTCTATCGCACCGTTCTCAAAGGGTTCACCGTCTTCGGCACTCTTTTCACTGCAATTTGGCATGGACTTTCCGAGAATGTTTGTCCCTAATTTCCTTGTTTCACTAAAAATTTCGAGTCGTTCAGGTCTTCTTCGGATTCCATGAGCTTGGAGAGAATATGGGCGAGAACATCAGTTATCTACTCCGTTTCATCGTTCAATTCTTCCAACAAATCATCTACCTCTTCTTTTCCTCCCTCGCCACTATAGCCGGGACGGTTGCAGGAGTATTCACATCGCTCCATGATTATTTGGAACCTCAACGTCACAATTGAATATTCTCTTGATGTACATAGATTTATTGAACTTCCGTTTAGCCTTTATCTAATTCACTTAACTCGCCGCCGTCTGTAGTCATCTCTCCTGAAGTGTCTTCCCCCCGCATGATCCCTCGTTTTCTCACTTAACCTGTAATTTGCCTCTTTCTCATCTTTCCACCTCTTTTCAGGGCCGCTGATTCTCATTTGGTTAAATACAGACTGCCTATGTACTAATTGACATTTTTCATTGAATTTATAATAAATCATTTGCATAATCACTCGTTTGAGCACTGCACTTATAAATAAACAAAAAAGTGAACGATTTCTGTTTTTTTTCAGTTGTTTCACTAATTTCTTCGACTTATTCACAACTACATTGTAGCCGTCTCGTCGCAATTCAAATTGCTGCGCATTTGCACGCAGCGAGGTTTAAAGGCGCACGCGGTCTCCCTGCTGTGAGGTCTTGCAACGACACTTGGCACACAGCCAACTGCACTGGCTTTCGATCGATTCGCACGCGATTTCTGCGCCTCCAGACTCCAGATTTGGCTCTTTTCTGCGTCACAAAGTTTCCGATTTGTGGCCAAGCGAAAAGAGAGCCGCCCCCTGCCTTCCGAAGTCACTGCCGACGCCTTCTTTCGCTGAAATTCGAGTCCCGGACGACGATATTTGGCCATTTCAATCAACTATTCCGCACGCGTACCAAGTCCAAGATCCCACACCTCTTTTCGTTTGTTTCCGTCTCGCTTTTCTGAGTAATAATGGTACGCGTGTGCAGAGTAGTACCCAAAGAGTGAGGATTTCATATTTTTTCATACTCGCAGCTTTTCTGGAGGCGGTTTCTTTCTTCCGTACAACTTTCACTGCTCGGATTTCGAAATCTAACCTCCATGAACGCTGTTTGTGTTTGTCATTTTATATTTTCAACAACATTGGGTATATTTTTGTCCGACATTTGTGGTCATTGCATTGATTATCCGTTTCACCGCCTCCATTCCTTCCTCTCTGAAAATTAGGACCTCTCGTGTCTGTTGGCGGTTGAGAGTGCAGTTTGAATGAGTTAACCTTCAAAGAGTCACTGCAGTCACTGCCCTACACGGTTTCAGTTAGGAGTAACCGATTGAAACTTGTTTCTGTCCATAAATCTTCGTACCCGATTTCCATATTTTCTTTCCAGCTGGACGAAGTTTGCACCTCTCGGAGATGTCATTCCACGAACCCGATTTGTCGTCTTCAAAACTCCCATCAATAGTCCCCTTTCAACGAGAATCGAGAAAGAGCAGAGGTTTACGACAAGTGATTTGTTTCGAAAGGTAACAAATCGGAATTTTTGCTGATAATCAATCTCTGTTTAATTCCAGATAGGGGAGCGTGGTCAATATCTTGGGCTAGTTGTCGATTTGACGGATACCGACAGGTACTATGACAAAGAAGACATTACCGGATTGTGTATTCAATACGAGAAGGTCAACTGTCCCGGAAGAGGGTAAGTCTTACTAAATTTGTAGATCTAAAGACCTTTATTATTCAGATTCATCGAAAGAGACGAATGTGTGGAATCATTCAACCAGGCCATTCAAGAGTACACTGACAAGTGCGAAGACAAAGAAGCCTTGATTGGGGTGCACTGTACGAACGGAATCAACCGTTGCGGATACCTTATCTGCCGGTTTCTCATTGAGCGATTAGGATGGAGTTCGCACGAAGCCATTGATGCATTCGAACAAGCCAGGGGCTACTCGATAGAAAAAGGAGCTTATGTGATGGCGCTTCACAAAGCTGCCAAAGATTCGCGAAACAAACGAGCTGACTCTGACTCTGATTCATCTGAAAGAAGGAGAAAGAAGAAGAACAAGAGAAAGCACCGCGAAGAGGATAACATTCATATGATAAATGCTATTCTCGGCGAGTTGGGACAACAGACTGCCACGGTATCCGGTACATACCATGCCTCTCCAAATGGTATTGCGACTCCGGAAACTGGTCCACCACAGCCGCAACAACAGCATTGGGGATTCGCCATCAAAGTAAGAGTTTTTGCTTTGAGCATTACTAGTTTATTTACTTGTAGAGATCTAAATATTCACAACTCAACCAGCCCGCACCGATTACTGGAGCAGGAACGCCACCGGAGTCAAAAGAAGGAAACACGCCACAGGAAGACGAAGAAATTGAAGAAGAATATGAAGGAATGGAAGAGGAAATCGAAGTGGAGCCGGGAAAAGGGCAGTCGGTATCATCAAAACGACGTGCTCGGAGGAACAGAATGCAAAACGTACTGAAGGTTATGGCTCGTGGAAAGTTCCATGAGATCCAGGCAATGCGCGAGGAAGTGGCACTGACTCATGGAAACGCTCGAGATTAGCAACATTCACCTATCCATTTTTAGAATTTAAAATTCATTTGCTCAATCGCGTTCTGTCTCTAATACGTTCTCTCCCGATCAAACTTTCCGATCTTCAATTGTACGTTCATTATCTCGATCATTTGGACAAGCCTACTTTGTTCTTGATTCTGTCTAATTTGAAATACCAAACCAATAATGAATCTTGTGATTATACCATTATATGGGTCTTCTAACACTTCTAGGTCATTTGAATACACAATACCTTCTTCACGGGCAGTAACTTCTCACCTCTTCGGCACTGTCGCACTTTCAGATGAGTTCGGAAAACGTGGGATTCTCACTCCGTCAAGGCACAGTTCTAAACAATAAAAAGACGTTTAGAGTTCCTTTCAAGGTACATTAGCATCTGGAGAACTGTTTTCAGCAGATTATTCAGGTGTCATGCATGTGCTTCAGTCCGCAAAACGACCTGATCGCTCTCGGTTCAAAGTCCGGAGATGTCATGTTGAAGAGGACGACGTGGAAAATGATTTGGAAGGTAATCGGTAACACAGACGGAACATTGAGTAGTGGTAATGTTTGCAGGCAAGTGTGGGCATGGTCCCGGCAGTTGGGGCGGACTGCACCAGCGAAAGTTCGGTAACCGCATTGGATTTCTCGCCGGACGGAAGATTCGTCGCGGCCGCTACCAACAAGGGACTCGTCCATCTTTTGGACGTCGAGTTGGGAAAAGTCAGATATTCAGTGAAGTAGGATCCAAGTAGGAATCGTAACAGAGAAAGAAAACTGTAATTTCAGAATAGCGAACGAAGCGACGATTACCAGATTGAATTGGGCGAGTGCTCGCGAGGAATCGTTCTCCAATGTCTTCGAGGAGTTCGGATTCTGTCCTTACACAAAAAGTGAGAGAAGTTCATTCATCCGAAAAGTAGAAAAACAAGTAGGAAATTCATTTGTTCTTCTTGTACGAGTAGAATCCCTCTCCAGTCTTCCGTCCCCACTTCCCCTCGGCGACTAATTTGTCAATTAGCGGACTCGGCATGAACTGCTGGTTTTCCGGGTATTTGGCCGCCCATCCGTCCATTATGTACTTGCAAGTGTCTAATCCAACGTAGTCGGCCAATTCGAACGGTCCCATCGGATATCCGGCTCCCAGTTTCATTGCCGCGTCGATATCCTGCAAAGAGACCGTTCAGTAGCAATAGGGAAATTGGAAAGTAAAGTACCGTCATAGAAGCATCCTCCCTTTCGTACATTTTGACGGCTTCAAACAAGTACGGGATGAGCAGTCGATTGACGATGAATCCGGGACTGTCTTTGCACGCGACTGTCGTTTTTCCGATCGCTTTGCCGTACTTAATCAATGTGGCGAACGTCTCATCAGAAGTGTGCTCCGTGCGGACCACTTCGAGCAGCTTCATCACCGGGACCGGATTGAAAAAGTGCAATCCGCCGAAGCGGCTCTTGTCGGGACAACCCTTCGAAATGTCCTCGAGGCGCAGAGAAGAGGTGTTGGTGGTGAGGATGGCAGTCGATTTGGCGGACTGCTGAATCTGCGCAAACAGTCCCTTCTTCACATTTCTGTCTTCGATGACTGCCTCGATGATCAGATCGGCGTCGGCGACTGCGGAAGACACGTTATCGCTCGTTTTGATGCGAGACATCGTCAAAGCAACGTAGTCCGAGTTGGCCTGAAAAAAGTGCGTGATCCTCATTCGTTATTCTGGGCTTCTCACCTGATTAAGCCCTGTTTGCTTCTTAGCGATACGTGTCAAGCTTTTATTGATCGACTTCATAGCCCCGTCGAGTGATTCCTTCCGCGTGTCGGTCAACGTCACATTGAATCCGCTGCTCGCCGAGACTTGAGCGATTCCGGATCCCATGATCCCCGACCCGACAACTGCCACGTTTCTGATGTTTTGCATCGATCGCTTCGCTGTGAACATCATCTGATATATAATATTTCAGAATCTGGAGCTGTCGAAAGTGCAGTAGAATTGGCACTAACGAAGCCGGACATCTCGAAAGAAGAGATCGGATTCGTCTACCAACGCCTGGATGTTGTAAGTTTGAAGCGCTCACCAGAACAAACGATCGACGTTTCCTACCAATGAAACAGAGAAAAATGACCGGGAACTGCGTGGCAATGCGCCATGGAACCTACAGTAGTGCACGTGCGTCAAATGTCACGTTTTCAGGATGGGACGACGTTCAAACACGACGAAGCGCAGAAGGACAACCTTGAGAGGATGTTCATAACGTCGAACACATTCAACAGATCCCTTCGGCACACAATTCTGCTTGCCTCCATCGACGATACCAAAATTGCTGTGCTTGTTGCCGGGGTGTTCCCCTACAGGAACATCGATATAATGGAAGCGACACAACAATTCAATCAGGATTGTGTCATGTTCTACGACATGCACTACAGTGTCGCTTTCGGCGGCGTTTCCTTCATTGTCTCCACATGCGGACCTTTTATGGATTGCAAACAGAGGGTCAGAGAGAATGGATGAATGTGAATTGGAATGAATTGATTCAGGAATTGAAAGCGCCGCTGGTCGTGCCCCCAAATCACCATTCAGGATGTCATACCTTCATTTTTAATGTCAAATTGGACATTGACTCTTCGTTATGGGACGCAGCTCATAGGTATGTCAGGGAAAGAGACGTATTCAGAACTCGAACGCCTTCAGATATGTCCGTCTTCTCTTTGGATACAATTTGTATACGATTTCACTTGAAACGACAAAACGCGACTGGGAAACTGAGATTGCCGCTCTTCACAATCGTTTTGACACTAAAACGAAGGCTGTCCGAATCGGGGAAGTTCTTCTCGAGATGCTTCTCTCCGGATCGACTGACTCCAACGGTGAAGCGTTTCTTGAAAGAGGACTCGGAAATGACGGACTGGCTGGAGTCCGAGAGTTCACCGAAAAGTACATGACGTGGGTGTCTTGCCTCGCTGCCCTTCTCAATCGCTCCGCTTTCCAGTGAAGTGTGCCGTCTTTCTCGTGGTCAACTGGCCTCCTCCGCTCGTAATATGTGCTTCCAACGATGCGAATTCGCCACTGCCCTTTCAAGATCCGATCTCTACTCGAGTTTGGAAGTGGACGAAAATATCCTTTACAAGGAAGAAGTTCCAGTTCCCGAGACTTCAGTTAATGCTTGGTTGGCAAAGTTGGAGAATGAAATCGATATTTTGGACTTGAAAACTCGGCATCTGGGAGTTCAATGTCTGACTATGATGTGAGTGGGAACCTGTTTGGTGTGTGAAATGAGATCATTTGCAGGCAAGAACTGAATCACCTTTCCAAGTGGATTTCTCTCACAAAACCGTTCGCCAAGTCAATGAAAGTGAACGCATTGATGAAAATAAAACGGATGGACATCGAGCAAATACTCAGAGTGAGCTCTTTTCCACGGCGGCTCACGAACGTCCCTTTCAGTACATCGTTTCAAACTTCTTCCCCGATGACGATTCTTCCGATGAGATCACGAGCAGACTTTTCGAATTGAGAGATTTGCTCAATGAGCAGAAGAAAAGGGACGCGAAGAAAGACTTCGACGAAGTAAAATATCTGGAAAAGATGGCAAAGTGCGCAGAAGAGGAACGGTCAGAGCTGGCGAACAAGTGAATGAATAACTTGAACTTGAAAATAAATACAAACAACATTGCAGATACCAGACAAAGTTAAAATTCCCAGCACTGCCAGCAGAGGAAGAATCCGTTGAAATGAAGGAAGACAACGAAGTGAAGACTGCGGCTAATACCACTCTAAACAGTACATCCGAACGGACCACTTTGGAAGAACCGATCAATCTGGACAGAGTCGGACCGTTCTTCACTGACGAATTGTCGGAGAAAGCGCTGGAAGTGTTGCCGCGCTGCAATGATCTTTACGACAATGTTCTCGATAATAAAGCTGCTTATTTCAATTCGGATGAAATCAGAAAGATTGGGTAAGGCACAACGGCCATAATTAAAAGAGGAAAAATGATTTGCAGTTTGATGGCTGCTCTCAAGAACCTTGCCAAAACGCTCTCTTCTCCACAGGTCATGTTCTGTGATAGTCAGGGAAATACGAAGAACCAGGAAGTGGTGAGTGCATCCTGTTCATCTCTTCCGAATTAAATATTTAAGCAATTCATTTACGAACTGGGATCCGGTGTAGCCCATCAAGGATTCGTGAACGCCAAGATCACCAACGTCACGCATCAGGCGCTGAACGCTCAATCATTCCATAATGTTCCTGGCTTGGGGTTAGATCATACTGATTCAAAAGTCACAATAAAAACAATTTTTTTCTCAGAAGAGCAATTCAAGTGACGGCCATCGAAAGGACATCTCTGAGGGCGACCGTCATTGTGCCGACTCGTGACGCCAATTTAATGAAAGACTCGATTTCTGTTGTGAACGATCACATTGAGAAAATGAACAGACATCATAATATCGATGTTAGATAAATCACAGTGATCTTGAAAAATCAAATGCTTGCTTTCAGAAAGTGGGCGTGGTTGTAAGTGCTGCTCTCGACCTGGGAGAAGCGATGGAAGTGGATCCGAACGAATTGACAGTCGACGTGACTGTGGGACAGTTGGTGAGTGCGAAAGATCCTTGAAAGATCGTCTCTGTAAGCATCTAGTCATCTAATAACACTTAACGAATTGATATGTCTACGAATTGACGTAAAAGTCGAAATTCTACTGAGAAACACGTAATCACAACTTCCTGTTGCCGGAAAACAAATCTTATTGCAGTATCCGCAGTACGACAAACTTTCCCAATACGAGCAAGTCTTCCCGCTGCGACACGGAGAGCTCGTCGTCGTGGTAGGAATCAAGAGAATAATCAGAAAGCTTCTGAACAGATTACTTTCAGGGAAGGTTCGGATCAAATGAGAACAATGTTTTTGTGCCTCGCATTATGCGGACCGTATCCACGTATCCACACGCCGAGCCCAACAGGAAGAATACGTTCGTGGTTCACGCGTCAGAAGACGGAAAGCCTGGGCCGAAGTTTGAGAACATGATTGTGCACCCGACGACCCAGTTGATCGCTTTCTTGCACGAAGACAAGATCACGCTTGGAGACTTGAAGCCGGAGCAGCCAGTGGAGCCGAAGAAGAAGTCGACGAAAAAGAACTTCCGGGACTACCAGAAACGCCGTGATCGGTACCGAGAAGACATGGGATTTGGCGTCAACGTGAACGATATCCAATACGACGTTCTAGTGCAGGAGGCCATGGACAACGGCCGCGATCTCACCGATAATTCGGATCTCAACAATGAGGATGAATAATATTGACACACTTTTTAAAAATTTATTTTGACGCCTTTCATGTCTTCTTTTTTTCAACGATTATTTATTGCACATCTCCTTTTCGTTCTCAAATTCTGCGGGCACCCATAAATAATTGACGTGTACGAGGGTAAGTGTCCGCGTGCTCAAACGTGATATCATCGAATCGGAAGCGGCGTGTGATGTGAACCGGAAACCGGAAAACGGTAAATGAGTGGTAGCACAGCACGAGCAAAGCTCTCTAGGCCAACCGATCTATTGCTCATCAAGAAGATGATCGTTCAATGAGCACTCAAAAATCCTTTATTTGTCGGGTATTGGGGATAAAATGAGTGAAAAGGATGAAACTGCTTCCTGTTTGGAACGTTGATGGGTGGCCCAAAAGATGATCCCTTGCAAATTTGTCTGATTTCTGCTTTTTTCATTCGCTTTGATCCGTGCTCAATGGTCACTCTACTACATCCGATTATCAGTGAGCAGCAGCCGATCGGAAGAGCACTTCAATGAGCAGCGGCCTTTAATTCTCACTATCAACAGACGGAAATGGAAGTATCGAAGACCTTGAAGTGATTTTTGTGTTAAATCAAAACATTACGTTTGTGTGCTTTGCCCGATTTCTCTCCAGGAAGTCTCCCATTTACGAGTTGCTTCTCTCAGAATAATAATATTCTGGCTCTCGTTTCACACGTCCGATCGCCTATTTTCAGAGATCAAAATGGCACAGTTGGATCGTGAAAAGTGCCTTCCGCTCCGCTTCTTCTGTTCTCTGGAACCCGACGTCATCTTGTGCTTCTATTTTTCCTCGTCAGACATTCACAATTTTATAATATTTCCGTTGCCTTCTGATTCCTTTTGTCGTCGCGGAAGTCGCCTCCATAGAAAATGCCATAATTCACGAGTTGTTCCCCACTTCGCACACTGTTTTCCGTTCGCATTCTCCCATGAATTCAATCAGATCGCCCGAAAACAATCGTCTGCTGCCCACGATTACTCACGTGGCTCTCCGAGAGACTCCGCCCATTTCCTGCAGATAATCCGAGTCAAGACCACTCGTTTTCCGTTTCAGAACGAAGTCTTTTCCCCTCAATTTTAGCGATCCTCAAAGAACCACCTATTCCAAAGTGTTATTTTCCCTCCAAACTTTGTCCCCTCCAGTCTTGTTTTTGCCCCGGCCGATCTTTGAATACCAAAGGAAATCCACGCGAGCAAAGCCACGCCCCTTCTCCGATTATTATGTGTGGGTTTCAGAAGTTCACTCCGTCTTTCTATTCGGCGGTGTTCCATTTCATTTCGTTGACACTCTTCTTCTCCCTTCTCCGATGTTCGAGTAATTGACGTCTTCTGAGTGAAAGGCGTCAGAAGATGTCCACGCGAAACGAAAAGTAAAGTATAAATTTAAAATGAGAATGGAATGAAAGTGAAGAGGTTTCCGGGAGCGAAGAAAACTTCCGTTTCCGATAGCAGACATCATCACTCGTGTCTATTCTGAGCCAAGAAATCCAGCATATTCTATGAGTTCACTGCCGTACTTTCGAAGCAGGAATTCCATTTCATGTCTTGAGAATACATTGAGCGTGATATGAAACCCTTCGAAATGTGTGCACAACAGTGCGAACGCAGAACAAATTATCATTTTCATTGATTTGTCGGCCTTGTTTCTCACTTCAGAAAATGGGCGGAGCAATGGGTTCGCGTCAAGTGAAGCGCTCTTCGAAAATGTCTGTGAAGAAGGGGATGATATCATGAGTCCGAGTGCTCCTGTTCTCTGTTCTGAGAAACGGCCCAGCCTTTTCAAATGCTCTTTGAGGCGTGACTTTTCGATCCGGGTGCAATATTCCTATTGGACCCTAACTTTTTAAAACTTGGATTTAAGTGTCTTGGGCATTATCCGGAGATACAGATCTCCAGAGTTGACGATCCAATCGGTCTGAGACTTGGTCCTGGGTAACTTCAATCCAAGTGTAAGAAGTCTGTAATGTTAGGGTCCAATAGACAAGTGACAACTGGATCATGCCCTGCTGTTCTCCCAACCACTTCCTTCCTTTTCTCTCCAATTCCATCCGCAATCGTCCTAAACGGTTCAACAGCTCGCGATGACGTGGTGGTGTTTGCAGAAGTGAAAAAGAGAGCATTTCTCTGCCACGTCAACATATTTTTAGTCTTTTGTTCACCTCCCGCTTCCTTATTTGTATTCCATGCCGTTCCCCAAATAACTCCCAAGACACTTTTCTAATCCGTTTTCCCTGATAATCCCTTTTGTTCGTCGGACCTCCAATGGGTGCCAATACTCGTGTTCCGGCCCCTTTCAGATGCCTCCTATTTAAATATTTCCTTCCAGAATTCTTGGCATTCACCGAAGATGATCTCCCGGCTGCTTCTTCTGCTTTCCTTCCTCGTTCTGGTACCTCATCAGCTCCCCCAACTACAGTAATCCGCTCCCTTTCAGTGCCATTCGTTGGTCTCCGACTTCTCGCACAGATTCCTGCACAGAGATCCCGAGTACGAGCGCAAGATATACGGTAATCCACGCACCGCCCATTTCAGCCCAATTCCTGTGCTTCCAGAGCCCTTGTACATTTCGAAAGACTACCGTCTTGGCGGCTCCGCTCAGCTCTCTCCGCTCTATGAAATGACCAATTCGCACCTTCTCAACCTCGCCGATCTGCTACGGAAACGTACCGAAAACTGAATCCAGCTGCCTCCGCAATAACTGTACATTTACTCGGTATCAGACGGCATTCAATTGGTCAAATAAATCGTATTCCTGTTTTTTTGTACAGCTCGGAATAATTTATTCACAGACGTTCTAAATACCAAAACCAGCTTTCAATACCTTACATTTACGTTTTTTGGAGAAAATAAGAAAGGAGTTAAATACAATCTACTGAGAAATGGAATGGGCTGAGCTTTCTATGCCTTGACGAATCCCTTCTCCTTCAGTTTGGCGACGAGAGCGGACACGTCTTCAACGAATCCTCCGGCCTGACGAACTGGCGGCTCAGTGACCTCAGTAGTCTCCGTTTGAGCAGCCAGATCAACTCCCAAGTCCTTGATGGGAACGTTCTTTAGTGGCTTCTTCTTCGCCTTCATGATGTTGGGAAGAGTCGCATAACGAGGCTCGTTGAGACGAAGGTCCGCAGAGAGAACGAACGGAGTTTTGACCTGTGAACTTGTCGTTAATGATTCGAGAAATGCTGTAACTTTACCTTGATAGTATCGAGTCCACCGTCAATCTCTCTCGTCACTTTCACGTGTCCGGCACCGGCATCCTCGACTTTCGAGGCGTACAAGGCCTGAGGCCAATCGAGAAGACCGGCGAGAAGTGGGGCTGTTTGCGAAGAATCGTCATCGATCGCTTGCTTTCCGAGGAAGACAGCGTCGAACTTCTCCTGCTCCACGATCTTCTGCAGCGCCTTTGCAACGTGGAATGATTCCAGCTTTCCAGCTTCGGCGTCTGTCACTTGCACGTGGATCGCCTTGTCGGCTCCCTTGGCCAGGGCGGTTCTCAGAACTTCGGCAGATTTTGGTCCTCCCAGAGAGAACGCGACCACTTCAGTGGCGAGCTTCTTCTCCTTGAGTTTGACGGCCTCTTCGAGAGCGATCTCGTCGAACGGGTTCATGCTGTGCTGAACTCCCTCGGTCACAACTCCGGAGCGGTCCGGCTTCACGCGGATTTTGACGGCGTAGTCGACGACTCTCTTGACTCCGACAAGGATTCTCATGATGGCACTAGAAAAAGCAATGTTTAGAGATGCGAACGGAAGCAAGAAACGAGAGCTTAAGAGCGGAATGAACAAGAGAAACCGTCATTGTTGACGTCAACAACACTGCGCGTAAAGTAGGGCACATGTTTGAAAAGTGTTTGCGTACACGGTTCACATCACGTCAGACTGCAGAATTCGTACTTTATTTTTTTTTAATTTGTTTTTAGGAGACCGTGTCAAAACAGCTGAAAATCACGAAACAGCGGATACCAAAGCAGCGGATGCCATGACAGCGGAAGCATCTCGCTGATTGGTCAATCTCGACAAGTGTGCCTAGAAAAATAATTAGGCAGCCAATCAGCGAGCTGAAGATTAAGGGCACACGCAAAAAACGCTTTCCGCTGTTTTGGCATTTCTTTTCGCTGTTATGGCATCCGTTATTTTTGCATCCGCTGTTTCGTAATTTCCCGCTGTTTTGACACGGTCTCTTGTTTAGCCTTTTCTGTCGAAAGTGTACTTAAAGCCGTTCTTCATCCATATACTAAGCACAAACCTGTCTACTTTTATAATCTTTCAGAATGTCGGATTCTTCGTCATCCGATGGAGAAGACAATCAAAAGTTCTTGGCCAAAAGAAAAAAGACGCTCACCAAAAGTAAGAATTCTTAAAGGCTTGATAAAACGTTAAACCTTCAGAAAAAGTTGTCACTGAAGCTATAGAAGAAGAAGAAATAGAAGAAGTTGAAGAAGAGAAAACTTTCGCCGAGCTCGGAGTTTCTCAGCCTTTGTGCGATGCTTGCCAACGTCTTGGATGGCTGAAACCGTCAAAAATCCAACAAGCAGCTCTCCCGCACGCTCTCCAGGGCAAAGATGTGATCGGATTGGCCGAGACCGGTTCAGGAAAGACCGGAGCGTTTGCCATCCCCGTTCTCCAGTCTCTTCTCGATCATCCACAAGCTTTCTTCTGCTTGGTTCTGACGCCAACAAGAGAATTGGCCTTCCAAATCGGTCAGCAGTTTGAGGCGCTCGGCTCGGGAATCGGTCTGATTGTGGCGGTTATCGTTGGAGGAGTTGACATGGCTGCTCAGGCGATGGCTCTTGCCAGAAGACCGCACATCATCGTGGCCACTCCGGGTCGTCTCGTTGATCACCTGGAAAACACGAAGGGATTCAATCTGAAAGCCCTGAAATTTCTCATTATGGACGAAGCTGATCGTATCCTGAACATGGATTTCGAGGTCGAACTCGACAAGATTCTGAAGGTGATTCCTCGCGAGCGCAGAACGTATCTGTTCTCTGCGACAATGACGAAGAAAGTGTCAAAACTGGAGCGTGCTTCATTGCGAGACCCAGCTCGCGTTTCCATTTCCACTCGTTACAAGACCGTCGACAACCTCAAGCAGCACTACATTTTCATTCCGAACAAGTACAAGGAGACGTATCTCGTCTATCTGCTCAATGAGCACGCCGGAAATTCGGCCATCGTTTTCTGTGCCACGTGTGCCACCGCCATGCAGATCGCTGTGATGCTGCGTCAATTGGGAATGCAGGCGGTCCCTCTGCACGGCCAAATGAGTCAGGTGAGTCCGTTCTGTCAGAATTCTGGAACAAATGCAGACAACAAATTCGTTTTCTGGTCATTCCCACCCTTGGCTTTTTCCAGGAAAAACGTCTCGGATCACTGAACAAATTCAAGAGCAAAGCACGCGAAATCCTCGTGTGCACGGATGTGGCGGCCAGAGGACTCGACATCCCCCACGTCGACTTGGTCATCAACTATGATATGCCGTCCCAATCGAAGGATTACGTGCATCGAGTCGGAAGAACCGCTCGTGCCGGCCGCAGCGGTCTCGCAATCACAGTCGTTACGCAGTACGATGTGGAGGGATATCAGAAGATTGAGACTCATTTGGGAAAGAAACTGGAGGAGTACAAATGTGTGGAGAACGAGGCGATGGTTCTGGTGGAACGAACTCAGGAAGCTATGGAGAATGCAAAAACCGAGATGAAGGAGATGGACGAAAAACGGAAATCAGGCAAGAAGAGAAGGCAAAACGACGACTTCGCGGACACGGAAGAAGGTGGCGGACGATTCAAAATGAGCATCAAGAACCGAGGAGCTGGTGGTGGAGGCGGAGGAATGAACAAGAAGAAATTGAAGAAATGAAGATCAGGTTATGAAATTTTTGTTTATTTTGTGTTTCCTTGTTACTCTTGGTATATTACGAAAATAAAAAAATTATCAATAAATTAGAGGATGAATAGTAAAACAGTCGAAATAAAGAGATAATCGAATAGAGAACCCGCTTGCACAGTGGTATTTACAAGAGTAGATGGAAAGATCATTGAGGCGGATACTGGTGGTGATGATATTGTTGGCCAACTGAAGGAGGATTCCAAGGGAACGGATGACCGACGCTTCCGGGATTCACGCTGCTCGGATTGACACTTCCAGGTCCCACGCTGCCCGGATTCATCAGAAGTTGCTGATGACTTCCGGGATTCATGACACTTCCCGGACCGCCGGCACTTCCAGGCATTCCTACGCTTCCCGGTTGCTGAATACTCGAAGGATTCATCTGCATTGAACCTGAAAGAAGACTGATTGCTGCTGAATTTGGTGAAGCTTTCTCACCAGGCCCTCCCATTCTGTGCATTCCGTACGGATGCTGTGCACTCACTGACTGCGGACCCATCATTGATCCCGGTTGCAATATCGAAGCGGGCTGTTGATGGAGCACGGAGCCTGGCGGAGCCACGGAAGGCGGCGCGGCGGCAGATCCGGGCCGGACGTAAGGAGCCGCGGGGGCGACACTCGAAATGCATGGTTCGTCGCGGTTCGACATGTTCCAGTCACCGGAGGAGAAACGGTCGACGACCTGACGGACGAGTATCGAAATGGAGCACTCTCCCGTGCTGTTCGCTTCTGCATTCACGTCATCAATCAATTTTGCGAAACCATCAAGCTCGAGCAACGATTGCACATTCACATTGTTTCTGGAATTGAAGACGTCATCCCTGCCGTTCAAGTGGATTACATACTCTTTTATTCGATAGATGAACCTCAGGATACTGAATGATTCTGACGTCCGACTCTTGCTGATGATCACCTTAAGTTGAGAACGTTCGCGACTATTGTTCTTTTTACAAATCTTACGTTTAGAATGACATTGTTGTGCGGTTGATCGACCTTCGTCGCCGGCGCCAGTTTCTTTGTCGAAGTGTTGTGATAAGTGAGCGAGAGTTGTATGCAGCACGGTCTCGTTGGAGAATCCTCCTGAAAACTTCCGTTTAGTCGGTCAGTCCCCCCATAATTGCTACTAGTACAAAAAGTGCGGATGACCATCGCAACAATCTCGAGCAGTCGGATAATCCGCGGAGAGATTAGTCACACATGCGATTTCCGCCAGCCCACTTCCCGAAATAGCCAACTGAATCAGTTTTTCGAGCAATTCTTTCCATTCTGCTTCATGACTCCCTTTCTTCCTATTCATCGCCTTCGAATTTGCAAACCAAAAACAATTGAATTTCCTGAATTCCGTCACGCCGACGCCTTTTTCCTTGGAATCACACTCCGCCAGTCCTTTCCCAGCCTCGAAAATGTTTCTAAATTCGAGAGTAGTGTGCATTGAACGCCGCCCACTTTTGCATCCGTCTTCTGCCATTTCACCTTTTACCTTTTCACGTCACTTTGACTGACACACTTCAATTTCCCAAAGTGAGAAAAGTGAATAAATCACGCGATCAGAGACCCTATTCTCATCATCAGAATCCAGCCACAATGCTTCCCTGCTTTTCAGATAAGCCTACCCTCCTACACTCAACTCTATGTTTTCGTGTTCCATCAAATTGGATCCATTTCATTTCTTGGCTTCTTTTATTTTTCATATTATTCTCGAGAGTCCGTTTATTCTTAGCCAGGAGTCCGTTTTATGGCCACTCACTTCACTTTGAAAATACACGTCACTTATGGACGAGTGGACCATCATGGGACCGCCCGTTTTAGACCACCGCGCGCTCATATTCCTACGCTCATTCCATATTCGATCGCGCATAACCGATCAGAATAGGTGGGAACATCTATTGAAAGGGCAATGCGACTTTTGCAAAACCTCCCTTCTTCCTAATGATTAATGCTTTCCGAGACCATCAATACCACTCCTCAGATTGGAAATTGTTTTTCATAAAGCATGCTGTTTTGCCGTTGATCTCATTTCTGGTTGATTTCAACGAGACCCCTTCAGTCTGCAGTCGGTGGGAAATTTGAAGACGAGAAAATTGGTAGAGCGGGTGCCGAATTCATTCCTTTTTGGTGTCGTTGAGGGCGTCAATACGCGCTCATCCGTGAACGCCGTCTTTATTCGAATCTCCCCCCTCCCATTTATCCGTGGTCTTACTCGTAAATACTTTATTACTTCTAGCTGCTTTTAATCTTGGCCCTCACTTCAGAAAAATGGCCTCGTCACAGACGCTCCTCTGCACGTTGCTGCTCATCGCCATCGCACTTTGTGCCGTTTCCGCCGCTTACGCTCCGAGAGTGAGTCTTTCTTTCGTTTAAGATGAATGGTGTTTGGTGTGTGTTAAAAGACATTAGGGAGTCGAAATACTGAGTTGATGTCATTGGATCCCAAATGAAGCATTATTAGTCACTTAAATTTCAACAGAAAGAATCCCCATTTCAGAGCATTCGCGGCGTTGGGGATGTCCCTTCGATGTTCTTCTCTCCATTCCGAATGATGGGAAAACGCAACCAGTTCTACGGTCTTTTCAAGTGAGCTCTCACTGTCACAAAGCATCTCCAGTTATGCTGTTTTCAGAAAAATCCGAAGTAACGAAGTGGTCGACTACTAACACTCCAGTCCATTTCCAACAATGCTCATCGCCCAATAACCTCTTCGTTTTCGAATAAACCGTAAACTCTGTTGTTCGCTTACCATTTGGGAGCTCATCAAATTCGCCAAGCTTTTTGTGGCACCATGGGAAGTCAATCGGGTCATGACGATGTACGACTGAAGAGCGTATTCATCGCCGCATCGGAAAACAACCTGAAAACAAGTACTTGAGCAGGCAGATTCCATCTCTCGAGTACCTTTTCAAAGTACAAGGCCATCGCCTCCAAGTTCTCCGGAGTTGCCTGTTCATTCGTTCCTTCATCTGAAAGGGAAAACGGGAATGGGAACGAGAAGGGAACACTGCTCACCGAATTCAATACGAATCTTCAGAGTCGCCTCCGGGCAAATGTAGATTTTGTAATGCACCATGCTCGTCGTGTTCACCCCTTCTCCGTTTAACTGCGAAGCACGAAACCTCACGAAATCAGGTTTCGCGTCGACGACAGTCACGATTCCGCAGTAAAGATTGTTGGGCGGAATGGGGTTCGCGCGTACGGACATCCGTTCGAGAGTGAGGAGAGCTCTCTGGAGATACGAAATGGCGCAAAGATATTCATCCAGTGGACACGTTATCCGTCCTTCTGAAACAATTGGAGCTCACTGTGGAAAGAGTTCTAGGCTCTTTACAAACATACCGACTTCCTTGAAGTCACAAGCTTTGATGATAGTGTCGTGTGTCATGAGAACAGGGAAGGAGGTGACTGCCATCCGGGGATCCGGCTCTTCGTGCCTCTCATCTACAGTTTCCATAAACTGATCCGGTGTCCACATCTCTGGTCCCATAACTTGAGGATTGTCAGATCTCGGAATCTCTATCTCATCCGTCATCAGTTGGGTCGTTTCACTGAAATACTAAGCGTTATGAATTTACACTCAACTAACGTATTTCGCACCTATCAATGTTGCCAAAGAACTGAAAAAGACCCGCGCATCTTGGCCTGTACCGCGAAGCATCCCTGACAGCAATCTGACCGTCACCGAGGAGCTTCATCTCCAGAATAACATTGCCTTGCATCAATCGGATCGTCGTCTGATCGATTGTGAGCAGATGATACTTGAGACGGAATGGGAAGTGCACTTCCGGACCGAGCAACTGAGAAAGCGACTTCAGCGATTGGAAGCGAATGCGACCGAAGTTTCCGATGGCGATGAGTGGTCGGATGGTCTGGCAGAGGAAGTGCATGATGTAGACGAGGTCATGCGTTTCTTTCAGCTCGTCTCTGAGCAGTTGAGTCATCATTGAGTGCGGATTCCAACGTGGCTTCTTTTGCCAGTCCACTTCGGAAGAGTTGAATTCTTCGTGCGGCATAGTTTGTCCGAAGTTCATCAAGAAGTAATCTTCTACGGATCCAGGAGTTTGAGATTTCACATTGAAAGCGAGGATCATTAGCATATCTCGTTTCTCTCCGTACGAAACCACGAGTTTGTGGAATGTATAGGCCTCGATCTGAAAAGTAATGGGTTGAAGAAAACGAGAAAAATGATAATACTCACACTGCAGTACTTTTTGAAGTGCTGTTCATACGCCTTTGAGAACTGATGCACAACCTTGTACATGTACAGATACCGCATCAATCTGTGGACGATTCCTTCTGCCAACTTGTCCGGAGCACCATTGAACGACATCTGATTGAAGTCCTGGATCCACGTGGTATCCTGAAAGAGATTTATGATGTGCGAGAGGGATATTTCGGGTGACGGAAAGTTAGCCGCAGTGCTGGTGAGAGAGGGCATGGCGCAGAGTGGAAAAGTATTCAAGGACAGGGAATGGTTGTGTGGGGGAAACCATCACAATCAACTGTTAACGGAAAACGGCTTTCAATCGTGCGAGGTTAGAGAAATCATGCGGAACACCGACGACATGACAGAGTTACAGGAAACAAAAATAGAGGGAGCATTCCATTCGCTCACACAGAAAACTAACCTTTCGGGAATAGGCATTCTGAAATCAAAAAAATTTTGGAAGTGTAAACGAAAACATCTTTGAGAAAGCATTCTTTGTTTTTAAGAAAACGAAGACAAAACGACACCGAGACTCATTAGAAAGAGTAGCTGGACTTATGAGCTGGGCACTAACTAGTACATTAGGAGAGGCTGGAGTTTAAATTCGAATGTAAATACACACCTTAGGACCATCACGACGGTGAGGAAGACCGTGCGGAACGTCGCGGATAAGCGGAATGTTCTCGAAGCACATTTCGAATTGGAATGTGTAGCGGTAACGGTTGTCGATACGAATACAGCAGCGAACGCAGCACTTGAAGAACTCGCCCACGTCGAATGGAACGACGCTTTTGACACTGAAAACGGGTTAGACGGTGAGATTGATATGAACTGACTCACTCTGTGATATGAAGAGCAAGTCCTCCGGGAACGTGCACGTCGTCCCTCCGCAGTTCCACTCCGACTCCTTTCCTCTGCAATTCTCCTGCCAAGAGCATGTAAGTAATGCGGTCTTCGACAGTCGCCACTGCGAATGAGAGCCTTTGTTCTCTCGCACAATCGTTCAGAAGGGACCGCTCGTTGTTCGTGAACCGCAATGTTCCCATTTCCATCGCATCCCGCACCGGCACTCTGTACAATTCGTCATCCTGAAAGCAATATTAATATTCCTGATTTGTGAACTATTTCTCACGTTATCAAGATTAATTATCTGTGCACGTCCCCCTTCAGACTCCAGAAGTTGCAACCTTGTTGTGACAATGTTCCGGTCGTCGGGAAGGAATGAAATGAGAAGGTAGTGCGTCTCGGATCGGAGGTACTGCAGGACTATTCTATGTCTCGGAGTCTCTTCCAGAACTTTCTTCACGAATGGAATCAGCTCGGCTTCTTTCACTTCTCGGACTGGTAACGCTTTCATTGATCGACGATATCTTTCAATCACGAGTGCAACTCTCAGCTTCCTCAGGTAGGTCCTGATGGTATGCGAAGAGCAATTGCTGCTGTAGAGAGCTCGTCCCAAGCCAAGCACATCTTCGTGTTCGCTGTCAAGCAGATGAATATTGCAGATGACTTTTCCACAAAAGGAGTTCACAGACACTGTCAGCTTTTCTTCAGTAGCTATGCTGTCCGGAAGAAGAGAAAAGGAGATGGAAGGGACGGACAGTCCGGTCAATTCCACTTTGAGAAGAGGCTCCGCGGCTTCGATGACTCTTCGCAATCGCATCAGTCTCTCTTTGCATCTCACTACATACGTCTCCGAGAGCATCCTTTCCATTGAAAGCATTCCGGCTCCGCAGTCGAGTTTCCCGAGTTGTGGGGCATGCGGGAAGTGACGAACTTTCAGCCCGCCGAGCTTGTCTTCCTTGTCTTCGTACACTTGCACTCTGTACTGCGCGTCGTACTTCACTTGTCCGACTGTCAACCTTCTGTTTTTTGAGCGTTTCACCCAGTATCCAACGATCAGAACACGCTCTTTCGGGTCGTACTTTTCGATAGTGATATTCTCGCGGAGCCTTCCGGCAGCCAGTCGAGATGTTTGACAGTAGAGTACGTCGAGTTGGAGCGAGACGCAGAACGAATGCAGGAAGAAGAAGGCTTCTTTGACTGGGTTCGCGGCGACGTTCATTCGCGTCTGCAGAACACCGTGCAGTTGATTCAGTTGAACGGGGTGGACGAGTGGGAGACCCAGTCCCAATTCGTAGTCTTCCACCAGGATCTTGATATTCAACAGTGTCCATTTGGTCATTTCTGTTTCGCCAAGCAGCGTGATTTTGATCTCAAACTCTCCGGGAACCAGAAGAGTAGCCAGGCCACTGCATATGTGAATTTCTCTGACATTTGGAGGAATGCCCGACGAGAGACGGGAGAGTCGCGTCTCGACCAGTTGATTGAGACGAGAGGCCACACCCCTCTGCTCTCTGGGAGTGATTTTTGGCTGCGGAATGAACGCTTCTTTGATTTTTGATGGCATCCGATTATAAGATCCCCTAACAAGAACGTCAATTGCAGGAGCAATGTGATATTCCGGAAGACGGGCCAGTTCAAGATCTCCTCTTGTCATCGAAACCAGTCTATCTGCAGTGTCGATGAAGTACTGAGACTGCAGATCCAGTAAATAGTCGACTGACTGAAAAAAACAACATTCAGCTCGTTTTCAAAGGGAAATACTTCTTACATAGCAAACATCCATCCGTTTTGAGACTCTTATCCATTTCACGATGGCAACCAGCTTCACAAACTGACTGCGCGTGGCGTGGGCGAAATGAACGAGAGACGTCTTTCGTTCCTGCTCTCCTTGCTCATTTGTCTTCCGTTGCATCAGCTCAGCAAGCACTGTTATTTCGTGATAGACGTGCTGAATGGCGAAATCCAGCAGAACGTTCAACGGAATCGTCTGTGGGCCACAGTTTGGAGGAACTTCCGGCAATGGGTTTTGTGGTGTTTCTAAGAATTTAAAACTTCAATTGTTGTACAGATTAGGTGTTTTACCGTCTTCACTGTCTGATGAATGGACGGATTTGACGTCTATTTCCGAAACATGAACAGTTTGTTCCTGGGATGAAGTGACATCTCGCTCCGAAAAGTCTGAGGATTCGTCCAAAGAAAGAACTGAACCGGATGGAGCCGGCGATGTTGGGGCTGCCGGAGAGTCTGCCGCCAAGGCAGCGCGCAGTTGTGACGACATCTTTGCTGCAACGAGAAAACGCATATTTTTAGATTTATTTATATTCCAAAAGAGTATAGGGACAACTGTCAAAAGAGTTTTTTCAGCTGTAGTCGGTTTTAAAGATTAAGGGTCTTTGCAAGCATAGAAAGAGTCATCTAGCACTCGATTATACAGTTTTCTGACAATTCAGAAAAAACAATCTGTAAAATCACATCTTCTCAACGTTTCAGTTTATAAAAAGAAGCCAATGTTGATACCTTTTTCTAGGCCAGGGACGCGGAATGGGAGAAACTTCGGCCACGCGCATTTGCGTACCCGGCAGGAGATCTGACGACTTTAAAAATAGGCGCGAGTTTGGAAATTCATAACAAGCCTTCCGGTTTTTTAATTTTTTTAGCATATAACTAGGGGGCGCAAAGGAGGGGGCGTGGCCTGACGAATTTTCTCTTGATTTCCGCGCGCGCATGTTTGAGGACCTGTACCGAGGTCCCCAGACCAAGTACCATACTCGTAATGTTTTACTTTATGTAATCGACCAAGCTGAATCTAATGAACAACTCCGTTTCCCACGAAAACGCACCATTTTCTCAAAAAAAGGCGAAAACGAGAATGGAAGTCAATCTGAGAGCCCGTGTGGCCACATTTATGGCTACACGCGCCTACTTTCAAGTGATTCCAACAGTTTAAGGGATGGGGAATCCGTTTTTTAAGTCAGAATCAGACAATCTAGTTTCCGATTTTTTTTACAGGTCCTCAAACTGGCACAAAAAATTGTGAAAAAATTTCAGCGATGACCATACTTTTATGTTTGGAATCCATAGATAAACTCTCTGAGAACCCAAATACAAATTTTCAGAGCTCTAGACAGTCTAGGACCAGATTTGTGTTCATTTTAGTAGAGCCAGTTTGGCCGAAATTGTAGTTTTTGGGGGTTTTGAGGGTCACAGGTACCTTACACGCGGCTAATTTTCCCAAAATCGGATTCAGCATCAAATTTCCGACCGATCGATGTCGAACTTTTCCATCTATCTAGTTTCCGTTTTTTGAAAAGTGACTGTAAAGTGTAACAGTTTTTGGATTTGAGCACGCAAAAAAACACTAATTTGACACCTAGAAGTGGACCGCGCGCAGCCAGCTTTTTCTATGCCATTGGCGGCCGGCGCGCCTTCGCCCTGGCTGGCGCAGTGCGAAAGTGCTCACTCGGCAATGTAAAGGTGCCGGGTTCGAAAAATTTTGACCTCGAAAGTTATTTTGCTTTCTTAGAACATCATTTCTGCTCATTCAAAAATGTTGACTCTTTGGTTTTGGTCCACCAGACAAGGATAAAAAAACGCGTGCGGCAAACTTGCTAGTGAGACTCCGCCCCCTCCTCGGCCGCCGACCTGAGAGAAAACAGGGCGACTTTGGAGTGGTGTAACTCGGGATGTACCGAAAATTTTCGAAAAAAAAATTGGGAGCGTACTCATATAGAGTAGGGGAACACATTCCAACAAGAATTTTATAGAAATTCCGAGTTTCGTGAAACCCGTTGCGGTACCTACATATAACATGTATTTGTTTGTATTTATCAAAGCAAATATCTGCTTAGAAACATTTGTAAGCAACTTTAAAAATCTTATTTTCCTTACAATCTCCTATTTATCGTACTCTCAATATCATCATTCTTATTGAATAAAAAGCTAACAGAGTCTGTCCATTTCTTTCTTTCTTTCTTTCTTAGCTTGTCCGGCCATGTTTCATTTCTAAAACGGAAAAGTTGTGGTGGAGAAATTAGGAAATGGACACGTGAACTTCCCAAATGGTTTTGAGAAGCAAAAAAGCGGCGAAGCCGCTTCCGAGCCTCAGCTCGGCCTGCGCAGCGAGCCCCGGTTCCGAAAGTTTTGTCATAAAAAAAAGATGAAAATTTCACGTTTTCTCGATGTGCAGGTATAATCCCATGTTATTTTTCAGAAGTTGAAGCACATCGAAAATAAAAATGGATGTGACCGTGTTGTCCCGCGAAGAGGACGTCGCGAAGGATGAAGAGATAGAAATCATGATCAGAAGTGCAAAGGCCGCTCTCAAGCTGGGCATGTTTGAGGAGGGACTGGCTCGTTTCGAAGAAATTCTCGAGTGCGGTACCAGCAATTTCAGACTGCTCAGCACCATTTATATGTGGTACGGAAGAACGTGCAGAAAACTTAAATACAATCAGAAAGCTCTGGAATTCTTTGAGCACGAAGTGAACACCTACAGGTAAACAATTCAGAAGGGCTTCGACTAAAAGTTAACGTTGCAGATTGACTGGAAACTTTGCTGCGGCATGCGACGCATCTCGTCGTATTGCGGAGTTGTCGTTGAAGATGGGAAAGTTCTCGAAAGCGAAAAGAACTGCCGAGGACATGCTGGATTACGCGACGAGCAAACGGGAGGGAGAACAGTTCATTCGACAAGCGAGACTTCTCATTACTTCAGTTTATCTAGAAGGATTCGAACGAAATATGGAGAAGAATCCCGACGAGAACAAGAGATTGCTGAAAAAGAGCAATGAGCATATTATGGAAATGAAGCTGCTCAGTGAAGACGCGGTGGACATCGAGATTCTGATGCTCGAAGCAAAGCACGATGCGCTGTCCGGAGACTTACGAAAGGCTCGGGACATTTATCACAAGTGCATCGATTTGGGTGTCAAAACCAAGCAGTTCGCATTCGTTCATCGTGCGTACTTCGAAATGGCCTCTTTTGCCGAAGGAGGGGCTCTTCTATGCATAGTAAACGATCTCAGAAGTGCTCTATTTTATGCGGAAAAGTACGGAACCCAATCAGAAATTGCACACTACAAAGTAGATCTGGCCCAGAAGATGTTGGTCTTCGGAAGCACCCATGAAGCGTACCTCGTTTGCACAGAAGCTCTCGAATCATCTCGGAAAATCAGTTCGATCGGTCTGATCACGGTGTCACTTCTGACCATTTCCAAGTGTTTGATCATCCTCGGAGAGCGCAACCAGGCCGCTTATTTCATTGTCCTGGGAAGTGTTCTTTTTTTAGAGAAGGAGAGAACACAGAAGGAGGAGAATCCGGAAAACACAGACTTCCATCAGTTCTACAGTCAAATTGACGATCTGATGACGTCGATGAAAGAAGAAGTAGCTGAAGGAACAGAAGTGCAGTTGCAGCTGGATGCGTCCGTCGATTCTGTGCCAAACGAAATGGTCGCCAAGTTCATTGTCAAGCTGGAACACACGACGACTGTCGAGACGTGGCGGATGATGGTGAACGAAATGATCAACGAGGCAAGAAAACCGATGCCGGAGGAGACGAAGGAGAACGAGAAGCCATTGGACTTCATGGAGCTGCTGGAGAAAATGAACAATCGAATGGATGACCAGAGAACTGAATTGCCGGCCGCCGTGTTCAACAGACGTTGGTTTTGGCGCTACAACGAAGTAGCACTCGCACGGAATGAAACTGTTACGATTTGGAACTCGCAGTTATATTTTAACGTTGCGAGTTCCAAATCGTAACAGTTCCATTCCGTGCGAGTTCTACTTCGTTGCAGCGCCTTGGTTTTTGGCAAGAAATCCAATAAGAACTCTCTATTTTCAGCACGTCCCTTGTCATCTGCGTCGAGCAGAAAAACCATAAAAAGTCATCGAATCTTGCCAGGACTACGAGCCAACATCAACAAATTGCAGTGAGTGGAAAATTGCAGCGGGAAGACCTTGAACGTACGCGCAAACTGTGTCTTGTTTTCGTAATTACACAGTAATCATCATTATAGTTCCGCGCTCGCCCTCATTTCTTTTCTAGATGCCACTTTGTTTGTTTTCAGAGATATGAGAATCGACAGGAGCGCGCTCAGTCGGATTTTGAAGCGTCAGAAAAAAAGCAAAGTGTCGATTCATTCGAATTCGACCCAAGGGGAAGACACCCGAAGCGACGTGACTGCTGATGATTCGATTATGACCACCTCCAAATAAGAAGAATACTCAGCGTTTTATGAAAAACATTTTACTTGTTAAATAAACCAATCAAACTTCTTATTTAATCGTGTGTAGTAAATATTCGGTTCCCTTTGTCTTCTTTTCGACCTACATTTGCCCGCTTGGCGTACTGCCTGCACTTTCCTATCTTTCCACCTTCCCGACCCCCAGTATCACACTCATCTCCATTTTCTCTTTAACCTCGTGCCTTCATTTTGTTTTTTCGTTCTTCTCCCACGTGTTCTCGACGTCATTCAAGCGGCTCCTGAATGACCTCGAAAGCCGGAAGAGAGCAGAGACGCAGAGAGTGCCAGACTGCGAGTGTCCGAACGAGCGCCATCCGCCCTCCTTCTGGCTCTTCTCGAATCTCCACTCGTTTTCACGTCTCTTATTCCTGTTTTCTAGTCATCTGGACATATCTGGCATGACGACGGGGAACTGGGTGGCACAGGTTGGCAGAAGCTGTTCAAACACAGGTTCTCTCGTCAACAATATCAATTCTTTCTGTGCTTTTTGTGGCCATCGGTGTAAAGTAAAGTGCAAACTGCGAAGAAAGAGGGAAAAGTGATATCAAGTTTCGTCTTTTCTTGGCTGCAAACGGCCATTGTGTTCCCGTCACTGTTTAACTTTCACGGACACTTCGAAAAGTTTGATCGCTGTCTCCCCTTCGTTTTTCCCGCATCAGATTTGGTCAGTTTCGCTGACCATCTTATCAGTTTTGTGATACGAAGAAAGGTGTACTAAGCGGACAGATTATAAGAGCACCTGTTTTGGAGGGACATCAAACACGTGCTCAAAATGAGGCGGTGCTTGGAACTGCTCTCTTGTGGTCTCTGGGCTCGCGGCAATAAGTACGATGGTCTTTGTGTCGTCTTGCCTGTCAATCGCCTAATTGCTCGTACTTTCCTGTGCTCTTGACCTCATCTCCCGTAACTTTCTTCCCCAAAACTATTCTTCTTCAATTAAATCGCTGTTTCCCACTGTCCTGCATCATGTTGCATCATTCTCGCGCGGCTCTCCCTCCTCCTTCCAAAGCTTCTCTGCTCCCCGCCCTCTCGTTTTTCTTTTTGTTTTTTTTTTGCCAACGAAGCAGTCGGTTTTCGTCCGGGTGCTCGGCTCGCGTCATCTCCTTCCTTCTTCTGAATTCCCACTCTTCACCGATTTTCAATTACGTTCGAGAGCCCTTGACTGCTGCGTCTTGCCATCTCAACCCGCTTATCTACCACGCATTTCGCCGATCTCTGAGCTATGAAGTATAAACAAGCCCTGTTATCATTTCAGGCACTCGACAAATCGTGAGAAGCACTAAAAGAACAACCATCAATTATGGACGCCAATTCGAAACCTCGTAAGTTGTTATGGCTCGTTTTTCTCCCACGCGTCACTTCAACTACCGAATTCGTATATGATGGAATACCTGAATCACCCATGGGAAGACGAACCTGAATCACCCATGGGAAGACAGAATGCGTTCGTACCGCGCCCAGAGTGTCGAAGAATAGCGTTAACCTGTTCTTTGTTCGGGCACGGTAATTCTTTGCGAGGGTGCACACACGGAACAGCCAAGAAGCGCGCGGGCGGCAGACGGCGACGCGCTCTCCGAGCCTTTCTCCGTGCGCCAAAGCGAACTTTCTCTCTCCGAGGAGAGGGAGTGATCACTGCACCCTCGCAAAGAATCACCGTGTCGGGCACAATCATCGTTTGATCGCCTTGAAACGAATCGGTTTGCAGCCGATGAGAAGATTGATTTATCGGGGTGATAGGGCCGAATTCGCAAGAGTGTAAGGAAAAGAAAAAGTTCATGAAAAGATAGAAAAAGATAAGGATAGACTTCGTTTGCAGGACTGGTGCCGTCGACACGATTCGCGCTCTCGCTGGTCATGTTTTTCGGATGTCTTGTCACATACATGATGCGCACGAATATGTCGTTCGCCGTCGTTTGCATGGTGTCTGAGAACAAAACAGACGCAGCCGTCTCGAACGTTTCGAGATGCGGAAAGGAAATTACATCAGCTAACATTAACAGCTCGGTACGGAAAATAGGGAAAAAGGGAAATGAAAAGATGGAAAGATCGATTTTCAGGTGATTGGAGAGTTTGACTGGGACAAGAAGACGTCTGGAATGCTGCTCTCTTCGTTCTTCTACGGATATCTCGGAAGTCAAATTCTGGGTGGGCATCTCGCCTCTCGATACGGAGGAAAGCGCGTCGTTTTCGTCACGATCCTTGGCTCGGCCCTTCTCACTCTTGTCAACCCAGTGGCCGCCCGTACTTCCGCCTACGCGTTGGCTGGCGTCCGTGCTGCCATCGGATTCCTTCAAGGAGCGACGTTCCCAGCAATGCACACTATGTGGTCCGTCTGGGGTCCGCCGCTCGAGCTCTCTGTCCTCACCGGAGTCACATATGCCGGTGCTCAGATCGGAAACGTCATCGTGCTTCCGCTCTCCGGATTTCTGTGCCAGTACGGATTCGACGGGGGATGGCCATCTATCTTTTACATCATTGGAGCGTTCGGAGTAATGTGGTGTGCTGCCTGGTGGTACATCAGTGCTGACAAACCAGTCAACCATCCGCGCATTTCGGCTGAAGAGAAACAGTACATCGTGTCGTCGGTTGAAGCCTCAATGGGCAAGGACACTGGGAAGGTTCCGTCGACGCCATGGGTCAAGATCCTCACGTCGCCAGCTGTCTGGGCGTGCTGGGCTGGACACTTTGCCGGCGATTGGGGAGCATACACGATGCTCGTCTCTCTGCCATCTTTCTTGAAAGATGTTCTCGGGTTGGACCTCTCATCGGTACGTTGAAATGATTTTTTTCAAAAATTGACTAACTTCCTCTCAGCTCGGAGTGATTGCTTCTATTCCATACATCGCCTACTTCGCTGCTATCAACGTCGGAGGAATCGCAGCAGATACCATCCGCGCTAAGGGGCTGCTCTCCACACTGAACACGAGAAGAGCCGCAATGCTGGTCGCCCTCATCGGACAAGGCATTTTCCTCGTCGCTTCCGGCTATTGCGGGTGCGGACAAGATGTAAGAAGAGATCTTCTGGCTGCCTTCACGTTTTCCACTTTTCAGATTCTCGTCATCTTCTTCCTCACCTGCGGAATGGCCATTTCTGGTCTTCAATACTCTGGCTTCGTCGTCAATTATCTGGAAATCGCGCCTCCATTCTCTGGAACAGTCATGGGGACCGGAAATACCATCTCGGCTCTTGCTGGAATCATTTCTCCGGCTGTCTCCAGCGTTCTGACACCCAATGTAAGATAACCTTGACGAGAAAAAGTGAAATTGAAATATTCAGGGCACGCAAGAAGAGTGGCAACTGGTTCTCTGGCTGACGGCCGGAATTTTGACTGCAGGAGCCCTCATTTTCTCGATCTTCGCTTCTGGAGAAGTGCAACCATGGGCGAAGCTCACTTTCGAAGAAGGTCACGAAATGGCTCCACTGAGGGAAGGAGAGAAGATCGAGCTGGCAACCGCATAGACAAAACATTCTTTTGTTTGCCTTCGATCATACCATAGGCATAGGTTTTTATTTCATTCCTACAAAACTTATCTATTTACAACATTTTTTCCTTTAGAAACACCCTGAGCTTTATCTATTTCAATTCGCGCCAAACACCAAGATTTCACTTTTCCGTTTGCAATTCGTTGGATTCTCCCGCTCATTTTATCATGTATCCCATCGAGATCAATATATTTATGAAAATTTCCAGTTATATTTATAAAAATAACACGTCAAAATAAACAAAATTATCGGTCATGACAACTTAGAAGGTGAACCTTTGAAAACTTTTTCGAGTTCTTTTCAGAGTGCATAACGCATTGAACCATATCTGGAAACAGAAAAAGTGAACGGATTATAGCAATATCTTGGTACCTTGAGATGAGCTGTCTTTGACTTTCTTCTCGAGGCACGAAGAATTGACCCTTCCTTTCTGCAGAGAAATGGCCATACTTCTCATTCTGTCGGGGAAAAGTTGCGAGTATTCGTACTGTTCCTTCTTGCAGTCAATGATCGGAATCCATCGGAAGACGTACCGGAAACCGATTCGGAATCTAAATAACCAATAATAACAGAAATGAATGGGAATGAAAGTGGCGTACCTCTCATTGGCAAAACAATAAATGATGGGATTGTAGGCACAGCTAGACATGGCGATCCAGTAAATCAGGAGATACGCGTACTTTCCGTGGGTCGCATCGAAGAATTCTTCGAGTGCGAACGCGTGATAAATGTGATATGGAAGCCAGCAAACGACGAAAGCGACGACCATCAGGAAGAGCATTTTGACGGCCTGAGCAACGAAGGAATGAAAGAGAGAACGGGCGCGGGAAGAGGAACCTTGCTCTTCGCTCTCGTGTGATTGTTCTTCAAACTGCTGTCCGTCGCTTCGTTTGTTGCTCGGAACGCGACGGCGATTCGGGTGAACGTGGAGCCGAGGATGATGATGGGAAGCGCGTACTGGATGCCGAATAACACCTTTTCGAAGCTGGAACAGAAGAGGAGACGCGTTGAAGCGGAAAGAGTTGGCAAACTAACAAAGAGTTGACAGGAGCGGAGCAGACGTGCGTTTTTGAGACGGTGGAAGTGGCAACGTCGTAGGTATAGAAAGAATTGACCTGGAAGACAAAATAATAATAGCGGATTAGTTGTATTGAAAGTATTACGGAAGCGGAGACGGCAAACGGGAGAGCAGTGACAGTGGAGACGACCCAGATTATGAGGATGGCGATGACGGATCTTTTTCGGGAGAGCGGACGTTTCTGGAGTGGATTCACGACTGCCTGGCATCTATCCCAACTGAGAGCCATCATGGAGCACACGGAAACAGTGGTGGGCGCGATTCCGAAGAAGGAAGTGAGCGTGCACAGATCTCCGTACCTGCAAAAGCAATGACTCTCAGTCTGACTCTCCGTTGGCTCTCTTACCACCAATCGTAGTACAAGTTGTACGTCCACGAGGTTCCGACATTGAACAGAGCAATCAGAAGATCAGCGAACGCCATGTTGAAAAGAAAGTAATTGAATCCGTAATGCATCACTTTGTGCTTGTAGATAATCCACATGACGACAGAGTTTCCGATGATGGCAGTGGCCATCAAAAGAACGAAAGAGATTGCGACGAACACTTGGGTGGCACTGAAACGGAAAGGAGAATGGAGGGGCACGCGAGACAGAGAGGAACGTACATTCCTTCCCGATAGCTCGGAGCACAGAAGAAGATTCCGTGCAGCTCGGCAGGGAGAGTCACGTTTTCTGCATTTCTGCAGGCTCGTTCACCGATTTGAACCAAGAGTTCGTGGTTCATTCCTCTGCAAAACTGGTTTAGAAAAAGGATAAATGAAAAGTGGAAAGGGAAGGAAATGAGAGCCGCATGACAAACGGATGGACGGATGGATAGGTCAACGAGAGAAAGAGAGAAGAATTATGAGTGATATATCCAGGAAATTGGGTTGGGGGAGGATAAGCCAACGACTGAATCGGAATCATTGTTTCGACCTGCATCTCTTCTCTGAGCACACTCTTTTTTCGTCGTTTCAAAACTCAAACTTTGGAAGTTTGCAGTGGTGAGAATATTCAGAAATACGGAGAGGAAGCGTTGGGTTTTTGGTGTCTCTTCGCTTCGAAATACAGCCGCCTTTCTCTTCGGCAAAAGGTTCAACACGAACCGACAAATAATTCAGAAACGGGGCTCGAATTTGGAATTCTGTGTTCTTCGAAATACCAAGAAGCCGTGCGCCAAACCACGGCGACGGAATCGGAAGAGTAAGAAGAAATGGGGTTGAGAATAATAAACGAGATGACTGTACAAGGATGGAACGAGAGAGGCGGGAAAAGAGCAAACTAGCAATTGAGTGACAGGCAGACGAACTTAATACTATGAAAGCACTTCGAAAATATATCAGATTCAGATAAGTTCACTGCAGTTGCAGTTGAGAAAAAGGTCGAAACAGAAACGATCCAGACGAATTTATAGGATGGAATTCGTAAGTAGATGAAAAGGTGGAGTACGCTGAAGAGGGAGATGACATCGAAGCTCAGAAATGAGAGAATTCCTCTTAATTCATCATTGGGTTTCACATGGGCGGAGCCGAGAGCACCCCGGAATGGAACTCCCTCAGTATTTTCTGTGGCAGTTCTATTTCGGTCAATTCCATTTCGGGGCAGTTTTATTCCGGGCTGCCCTCGCGGAGCCTCTACTTCTTCAGAATCTTCTCGGTCTTCGGCCTGACTGAAAAACGACCTGGAAAAATCGGATTTCCGGCCGAGAAATGGGCGGCGCCGGGGATAACCTAAGCGGAAAAAGAATGACTCTTGCGAAGACCCTTGTCCTCATTATTGGCCCATTTATCCGTAGGGGTATCAAAACAAGTCGGAAAAAGAAACGAAGAAAGCGAATGGAGAAAGGAAGGGGGATGGTGTTGCGAGCAGTGAATGAATGGATGACGACGGACGGGGAATGAATCGAATTGAAACAAACGCACGGACGGGGTCGCAGGTGGACGAAAACATTGGAAGACTTCGCGGAACCGATCACTTGGGAGCAGCAGTGAGCAGGCCGTAGAATAAAAGAATAGAGTTCAAGCGGAGTCGTCCGGAAGTAGAAAAGAGAAAGAGAACACAACTTTTCGCATTCTCACTTCTCCGTACGATGACAGACGACACAATGGGCCCATATGGGACGAGTCTCGCACAAAACAGAGTTTGAATTGTTCCGGAGAAAAGAGGACTCTTGGTATCATCCGGAAATAGTCACGTCATCGAGTTGAGCCAGTTTCTGAGAGGACTTCGCAGACAAACCGTCACTTTTTCGAAGGTCAAAGAGAAGTGACGCATTCTTGCAGAATGGTAAAATGAATGCAATCGACGTAAAATATTTTGACGTTCCTCGAAATGTTCGTGCACAAAATTACCATTTTGACGAGGTCCATTCTGGAAACGAAAAATGCTCAAATGTACGCCTTTCTTCGAAACCTAATTGGAGTTTCCATTTAATTCGGAGAAGGTCCAACATGAAAGATGGAATCATGATCTCAGAGATACCTAGAATAGACGAAGGAAGACCAAACTTCAGAGGAAGTGAGTCCTTGCCCACTGTTTATGAGAAACTCTCGCTTCATTCGGATGGCCTCAGGCGGTCCAATTAGATCTTTCATTTGAAACAAACTTGAGCATTGAAACTGTGAAAAAGTTTCAATGAAAAGTTGGTCCGAAATTGAGAACGGAAAGAAAATCGAAACGGAGTGGGAGTGACAGGCATCTGACTGATAAACTAGACGGAAATGGACAAAACAAGAGAAAATCTAATCAGGAGACAGACATGACAGATTTGTGACAGAAACCGAATGAAAAAGGAACGCGCACACGTAACCTCGAAAACATTATTAAAACTGGAAACTGAGAAAACAACGAAGAGAAGTAAATCACAGTTAGACTGGAGACCACTTTATAACTGGAAAAGGAGGACCTCCGGAATGGCGAACGGAAGTTTGGGATAGAAATGCAATGGAGCGCACGAAAAACAAAGTGATAATGTCAAAAACTGACGGGAGGGAAATCGGCATAAACACCGTAGCTATTCAGACTTAGCACGAGATGACGTGGCGGGCGAAAGAAAGCGAGCGGAGAGTACATCCGAAGAGCATAAAAAGGGAGGAGCACGGCCAATTTCTTGGATTGGAAACCATCAAAACAGCGATTCGGACGAGTGAGCCCACGATCAAAGTGCACCGAATCGAAGTGATTCATCGGCGAACCGGATAAATGGCGTTGCCCCAAAAACACATGCCGGAATCAGAAGCGAAAATGCGCGACTCCTCACTCTAATGCAATTTTTGGGAGGTGCAGCTTTAGAAAGAGTTGTAAGGCGGGAAGAAATTAATTTAAGATATCAAGTCACTTCCCTTTGATTTGCACAAAACAGGAACAGAAATGAGATAGAGAGCGAGCAGAGGCGGAGCAAAAACGGGAGGGGCAACGAGTTTCGCATCAAATTCCACTGCAGATTTCGGATTTAGAAAGGATAAAGCATTACGGGCAGGCGGCGGTTCGATGTGTGATCGACAACAGGGGAAGTGAGTGCCACGTGGGACCGACACGCGAGTGATGTCCTTCTGGGCACAGAGACGTGGAGGCTCGCCCCCGAAAACACAAGTTGTTTGCTTGCGGTCCATAAAAAATTAAAGATCTCTTCTTCTGAGATTAACGACCTCTTTTCGAAAAGACTGAAAAGGAAACGCCTTTTCGGCACCGCTCGGTGTCAAATGAGCGACGCCGGCACAGCTCGGCGCAACATGAGTGTCAAATCGGCACAGGCGCCTTTTGAAAGGAGTCGCTCAGGAAAGATCTGGCGCCGACGCCTTCTCGGCACCACCGGCACAGTCTCGGCGTCAAATGAGCGCTAATTCGGGCCCGTCGCCTTTTAACAGGAGTCGGAACGGCGTCGGCGCCTTTTTTCCTGAGGAGGGCGAGAACTCATACTTCTGACGTCCGGCGCACCGCCAATTCAATTATTCATGCGCTGTGATTATAATAAAATTTGGGTGTGCCGGTGCGCATTCACGTCTGAAAAAAGATGGCAGCGAAAGGACGCGATACCACATTTTCTGAGCTTGAAGAGTATACTTTGAGGGAAGAGAAGGAAAACGAAGACTGGGAATGAGTGGTTTGACTGCGATTCGAGGAGACAACCTTTGTCGGAAGGGAAGGTTGTGCTAGGCTTCGAGGCTGTAATTTACGGGCAAAACACTCATTTGATAGGGCAAAAAATTCGAAAGGGAAGGGGAGAAAGTAGCCGAAATGAAGGAGCAAATTGGAAAGGACACATCACTCGGGGTGACAGGAGGAGTAGCAGAAGACGTTGCGGGGAAGTTTCAGAAGAGGTCGGAGATTAGAAAAGACTCCGTCGGCTTCATGACTCATGACGGCGGCCAGCCTAGTGTTCATAATGAGATAAAGAGATAAAAAGTTGGTGGCAGAAGAAGAAATCGGAGTATAATATCCCAGTTGGTAGCTGATCCTACTCTTCTATTTTTACCCGAACCTTCTAAAGAAGCTAGAGTTGAAATGTTAATCTCCCCCGTCCACGGCACTCCGGAAGGGTAGATAAAGATCCCATAAAAAGCAGAAAAGTTGCAAACTCTTTGCTCATTCCGCGTGCAAACCCACGTGGTCGCTTCTCCAAAAACAATGTTTCTCGGACGGGTTTATCCGTGATTACTGCTCCAAAACACAGAGAAATCGACGGCGAAGGACATTCTTCCCTTCTTTTCGGCTCAAAAAGTTTCGGACGAAACGAAGAAGCAAGGTTTCGTGCCGTTTGACAAGACTCTTCGGATCGCTGATCAAAAAACGAAGTAAAAGTGGAAAGAAACCGAATTTTGAATGGGACTGCATAATGCGCAAAATTTCTGAGTTTTTTTATGGGAAAGTTTCAGCGACATCTTCTTATGTCTTGGTCAGAATGCTTCTGGAGCGGAAAGATGAGAATAAGAGATTGGATGAGTACTTCATAAGATCTTTGGAGCAACATTCAGAAGGGGGAACTAATGGAAGTGGCAGATGCAGAGCACGAGCAAACACGAACAAATAATTGGAAATGGAATCCGAGAAGTTGGGTTTGGAGACACGTGAGCCGAAGAACATCAAACCACAATCTACGTCATCAGGAACCTGCTGATCTTACGGGAAAAAGTACAGCTCGCAGAGGAAAACGGATCGGAAAAGTGTTCAGAGACCGCGACTCACTTACGTGCCCGAATAAGAAGACAACAAAAGGAGAAATCAGAATTGAATTGGCTCGCCGAGAGCAGAGCCGAGTCGAGCTGATACATTTGTTGTGTTGTCCGAATAAACTCCGAGGAGGGCGACGAATCGCGCGAGCTCAGATTCCGATTTGTTGCTCTCTAATTAAGATGAAACCTCTAAAAATAGACAGGGAAGAATGTAAACTTTTAGTTGAATTGAATTCCCTGTCAATTAGGGGAATACGCGGAAGATTCTGAATCTATTTAGGACGCCGAGTGGGGTGTTTAAATGAAACGAGACAGAGATGTTTGATGGGGGGAAGCAGGTGAGCACCGGAAGGATGGCAGCTCCAGACTGCTCAGAGACCAAGTGAGTCCAGGTTGGAAGACGTGCGATTGGGTGAACGAAAAGTTCGATCAGATGAAAAGAAGGAGAAAAAACTGAGAGAGAGAGAGAAAGCACATTTAATATTATGCTTCCTTCCGGCTCTTTTTTGTTTATTTCGTGGATCGCCTCGAATAATGTGCTAATGCATAAGTTAGGCCTCTCTTTTTCCGCTAGAGCCACGGAATGAACTCGAAGACGGATCAGAAGGCTTAATAAGAAAAAAGGACAGCAATGAACAGTTAAGGAGGGGCAGCGATTAAGAACGAATTTTGCAGGTTCAGTGGCTTTCAGAAGATGAAACTCGGTTTGAAACGAATGCTCGTTACTTCTTTGAATTTTGAGAGTTCTGCGAAACCGACAGAAGAAGCTCTTAATTCCGTTCCGATCTCTTTGTCGAATGCTGTCTATTGAGAATGAACTGCGAAGGCATAACAAGAGAGAAGAATAAGCGGTCATAAGCAAAAGTGGAAACACAATTGCTGCATCTTACGGAGAAATAAAAGAGGTCTGACGGGTGGCTGATCACTCAACCAAATCAAAGCTCGCCGAGTTCATTGACATATTCTCATTCTGTTCACGGAAGACTGACTACCGTACTCCGTCGGAGCGTGTCTGTGTGTGTGTGTGTGTGTCATCTTTCCTGCTATATCGGGGGGTCAATTCTGAATGCTCGGATGAGCATGTCGATTCAAAATACAATTGAATATTGGATGAGAAGGAAAGAGGGAAATTTCCGTATTCCCTGTGAATCACTGGCAAGTTGAGTGAGCAGGTGAGAAGGGAACCGATCGGAGAAGAAGCACCCTCTTCAACGTTTATTAGCTTTTACACAACCGGCCGACCGATGTTCAGTTGTTTCTCTGTCACGTAAAGAAGGCGATAATGGCGGTAAGGAGGAATAGGAGGAAGGCCTGAAAGAGCAGGGATTGAGCAGAAGGAGCCGCGGGGAGCACGCCGAGGAGCACGCCGTGTTTTGGAACAAATAAAGGAAGACAGTGTTTGACATGATACTTGTGGGAGACACTTCACTCTCACTCTGCTGAACTTCAATCTTTCTGAGGTGATTCATGAACATTTCTGCCAGATATTTCTAAACTAAGTCGCTATCATTTCTATGATTTTTCCTAAAAACAAAGGATCCTGACAGACATTGTCTTTTCATTTCTCTTGTTCACTTCCCCTTTTCCCAAGTATTCTGATGCTCAAAACAAGCGACGGACTCCGTGCGTTCCCAGTGCTCCTTAACCCAATTTTCAGAGGTAGTTGGCGGGAGATTATGGGAAATGGAATAGGTACAGACAAAGAACACAAGAAGAGAAGAAAAAGAGACTAAGTGAATCTGTTGCTCCTCAACGCCTTCACCTTTTGAAGGGTTGCCCGGCTGCAAGGCACGACTTCTTTGATGATGTCAGCGAACTGAAAGTACGTGTCGTGGTCATAGATGCACATTGTTCCTCCGCCTCGGTGCAGCTGGTGTGTCTGAAAACTTTCAAATGAGAGAAAAGTTCCGCATTCGTTTGGAAACCTGTCTGTTGATGTCTCCGATGCAAACATAAGGAACTGGGGGAGTGGAAGTGACTTCACTGTACGCGACGACGAACTTCGAGTGATCTTCGTAACTGGTGTAGTTGACACCGAACGGAAGACGGATGTACTTGGCACTCATCGTCTGAAATCCTCTCGCTAAAGTTTCCAGAAACCGCTGAAGAGCTTACCGATTGCTTCTTGTTGGGATCGCACATTGAGGGCAAATTAAGTTCATCGCCGCTCTGATGATTCCATGTTTCCACTTTGATGGACGATTTCAGCTCTCCGGCAACTAGGTCGTTGTACAAATCTTGACCCCATTCGCCAGTCTTTGCAAAGTGCTTGAAGTTCTGCCCTCCGAGAGATTTGAGCACTTTGATGGAAGTGAGTGGAGGGCTCTGAACACAGACAGACTTCAGAAGACATCGCGGATCGAACCACCTTATTGTACTCTTTGTTTTTCAGTTGTGTCAGAACAGGAATAGCGTTCGCAAAACTGGCGGGAAGATTGAATTGGTAAGTGAAAGTGTTGTAATAAAACAGTTGTTGCGCTGAAATGTACTTTTGAGCACTTCGTCAACTCCGGATGTCTCACCGATATCAGAAAGAGCATTATAGTTGAAAGAGATGCAAATTCCCATTTGACCGTAGTAATGCGCATTTGAAGGGAAGCGGAACTGGTCGGCACTCGGGAACTTGGGAATGCTGTGAATCAGCCAGAAACCAGTGTACTGATCGAAGACGGTCACTCCTTTCGCGTGGCCAGAACTGTTGCTCCAGATGGTGCTGTCTGGCCATTCGTCATTATACAGGTAAGAGAAGGTCTGAAAGATTGCCCGATTGCGGTTCCCCTCTGTGGTCGACTGTTACCGAAGAGTTATCAGAAGTGTAATATTGTTGGAGGGTGTAATAGATCCCATTGTTCTGCACATCCATTCCTTGATCCATTAGCTTCTGAAGCATTTCAATTTCACAAGCTGCTTAGGTATTCTGTATTATTCTTACCCAGTTTTTGTTATTTACATCAAAGTACATGAACCCGGTTCCGTTGGAAATAGGCAAGTTGTTCGGATGATCATAAAGATGTGGCAACTTGTAGAACACAAACCTGAAACAATAACCTCAAAAAAGCGGTCACTTGGAATTCCCTTACCAATCTACATTATTCCCGTTGTTGTCCTTACACTGATACAATGCGTTCGAGAACCCGAGAAGAGAGACGAGCAGGGTAAGTGAGCGATTCATCTGCAAAAAGGTAAATTTAGAAAAAGAGCAAGGCGTTAGAGACGTGCAGCACTATTTATAGAGAGAAGGTGTTAATGGCAAGACATAAGAAGATTATTGATCAAAGGAGACAGATTTCCAACGTCTTTGTCACCGTTTGACCATTTCGAACTGATCTTCTCTGACCGGAATGTTGCACTTTTGCTCTCTTTCGGAGAAAAAGTGAAAGTTTACACACTCTTGAGAGTCACGTGGTGATTAGAATGGAATTGAGAAATGAAAGTGGAGGTAGGAGTAGGTCAGTGGTCTTAAAGAGAAAAAAGGTAGAAATGAAGGAAAACGTCTACAAAAAATTCTGACGTGTCTTCAAATGTTGCCATTCCACCTGGTTTATGTAATGCTCACGAGCAGATAGGCTTTGTCACCGCTGTTTGGTGTGGCCACTTTATCATCGTCGACCAGAGAGGCAGATAAGATTGGGCCGTACTTCAAACAACATCTTCTTCTTCTTCTTCTCGTTATCATTTCTCGGACAATGTGACTGTTGTCGTCACTATACTGTGCTCTTCCAACGACCAAACAAGAATGATGTTTGCTGCAAAAATGAGAGAAGAGGAAAGATGGAGTTGTTTCCTGGAAATTGATGAGAGTCCAGTCTGTATAGACAGGCCACGAGTTGCAAAGATCTCTACCAAAGGTAGCATCGTCTGTATACTTGTTCCCTTCGTCTCTGAGAGACCAAATGAATATTCAGTCAAAACGTCCAAACATTCGTGGAGTGAACAGCTGAAACGACCTCGTCGTCATGCCGTTTTCCCTCTTTCCACCTGCCTTCTCTCTCATTCTTCTTCTTCTCAGTCCCTCTACCGTAGGCAATAACATGTCCGAATCAATCTAATATTTCGGTTTCCGGATAACGTGTCGAAGCCGATTTATTTGCAAACACAACGATGAAAATGTCTCATATCTTATCGTGTATCACATGACAGTTATTCAGATGGTTGTCGCAAGAAGATGTTATTGGGGGAGGATCTACTTCTGGAAGGGAATGTGTCTATTGAGGAGAAGAAGTTGGAATGTGCGGTGAAGTCGTCGTCATCGCCGTGTTGGCTTTTATTTGCGACCGAAGCGAATGTAGTCGTAGGAGGCCTTCTTGCTGGGCGCGGACCGTCCGAACCGAACAAAGTCGTAGTCTCGCTTCACTGAAATAAACACGCGTTGGGAGGTCCGAATGATCGGGTAAACACTTTGAATGTAACCTATTCAGAGTGATTGGATTAGGAAAAAAATAAAGCGAAAAAGTGAGAGGAGCAGAGACAACGGGGGTTAATTGGAACTGATTGAATAGGCTCGACGTAGGTGTTTCCGAGAAGGTAATCAGAATGAGGACACTTTGGGTGCAGAATGTTTGCCATAATCAGATACGTTCCCGTTTTATTCTATTCAGCCTGATCACCGAGGGCTCGCACTGCGTCGTACTTTAGCCAGACTTCCTCTCATTTCAAAAAACTAATTAAATTATTGCGAGAACTCACTCTTGAACTGCTGGGATGGTCTGGCGAGAAGATTGACGAGACGAGTTGACTCATAGAGCTCCGGCGGGAGCACGAGTCCCAAGTCGGCGGAACGCTCCTCGAGCGGACATTCCGTCGAGCACTCCTTCTTGGCGTCGGCAGCCAGGACGAGCACGACGAGCACGCAGATCATCGAGGAGTGTGCCATTGCGAGAAGAAGTGATACACGCACTGGAACAATCAGAAGTGGTTGGGAGAAGTGTTATGAAGGCACGGCCTCCCGGAGTGAATGCGATTTGAGACTACGGTGGGAAACTGAATTGGATTTGTGATGTAATGGGCTAGCCGGGAGAAAACAGGCGTCGACGTCAAAATTGATCGAGTCAGTCGTACTGTTGTTTGGCACCGCATACTGGCAACAGCTCGTTGAGCTGGAGTCGTTTAGTTACTCGGAGAGCCGGCGCCTTATATCACCTGAATCACTTGTCGCCCCCCAAAAGCGCCGCCCCTTTCTTTTCGCATTTAATTGAATTCGACGATCTGCGTCTCCTGCTCAACCCACTCTCCCTCCACAGATCGACTATTTCGAGACAAAACATAAATTAGGAATGACGTGGAGTTGGGTGAGCCCGAAGCAGAAAAAGTACAGTCGCAGGTATTGCATGGCTCCATGTGACCGAGAGGAAAAGTTGGAAAAACGGAAGATTTATGGGCGTACTGATTGGAAGTTTGCAAAATTTGAGTGAGTTTATGGCTTCTCATGAGGAATAATGGGATATGGAAGTGCCCACTGCAAAGGTTTCTTAATGATCCGATTCAAGATCCGGGTGGGAAAGAACATGACTGGAATGAGAGGAAGTTAACGGAAAGTCAAAGCTTACCTTTCAACGAGAAAAACGTTCTTTCACACCATCTTTCAGACCAGATTCTTCTTCAATTTCATTTTACCCCTCGGATTAATCTCTGAGTTCATCGTCGTCTTTAAAGTTCAAAAGTCTGTCATGCTGATTCTGGTTTCTGGATTCCTGATTTCAGATTCAGAATACATGAACAGCCGGTATATAATTTCAGCTCAAAATTTTCCTTCAAAAGCAGTGGAATGATTTCATCTGTCAATGATTTCATATTTGCATATTTGAGACAATCTTCAAAACAACAAAGTGACATTAGTGAGCAGCTGAAGATGAATTTCAGCAGGAGTCGTCACTCATTCTTGGTTTCGGAAGAAAAGAAGAAAAAGAGAAGGGGAGCAACTTTGAAAGTATGGAAGAAAATTGGCAAAGAGAAGAAAAGGAAATCACCTAATTCGGTTACTCTCCCCTTCGAGCTTTGGCTCATTTCGAAAGTTGAACGCCTTTTCCCAGCTGACAAATTGGCTTTTGAGGGGGAAATTGAGAAGAAGATGAGTGTATGGAAACATTTTCTTAATATTCTAACCAGGCGATTGAAAGTACGCTTCAGTTGGCTTTCCGAGAAGAATACATTCCTTGAAGTGACAGAAACAACTCGAGATCACAATAAACATTTCTCTTCTGCGTGTGCACCTCCTCTCCCTCTTTTCGTTCCTCAATCGTTTGTACTTTGGCACTGCTCCGCTCCGATTCCTCATGGGTTCCGCGTCTTTTCCGCATGCACCTCCAGTCTCTTTCGTCGGAATTCGGGAGCCTCCGTCCAGAAGTGCGCATGTGGGCCGCTTTGTAAACTTTCGCATCGAAACACTGGTCAAACCCGGTCGGCGACGAAAAGCCGGGGCCGTCTCGTTTGAGGAGAGAGCGCGCGATTCGCGGAGACGCACAGCCCGGGCACAAAAAGAGGAAAACGCGCAAATGATAAGCAGCAGCTCGTCGTTTCGTGACCTCTTCAGAATGTCTGTTCGTGTCGGGCGGGCGGCTTTCCAAGTGTACGGTAGTGATAAGACAAGAGAGAAAGACGCCATGTGCGCGGAGGAGGAGGCGGCGGCCATAAAAAATGATGCTGATGAAGAAGAAGAAGAAGAAGGTACTGTAGATAGATCGAGCACAAACAAACAGCGATCGGAATTATATTCCGGCACGGCAGAAATCTATTATTATGATTGATTATCATGAGACAGTCGTACGTAAAATCCAGTGCTCGAGACACCGGAGATCGGCAGCACAACAGCGCCCGAAGTGCAAAAAGTGACCGACACAAAATCAAATGGTTTCGTGTCAATACGCACACAATGAAAGCGGAGAGAGTTAGAAAGGAAAAATAGACTTTTAAAGGAGCTGGGACGGGAATACGGTACCGGTCATGCGGCGCAAACCTCCAACCTTTTCTGGCATGGCATAACCAGGTTGTCAGCGGAATGACTAATCACCTGGACAGGTGCTTTTCGGGCGCGTGCCTGATGTAGATCACTACCGTAATCCTTCCGGTTTAGAGCTGAAATGAGTCAGAGCACTCGGATCATTTCGAAATGTTTGGTAACAGTCCCTTTGATTTCATCATCATTCCGCCCGCGTTTATCATTTGAATTCTTGCGGGTCATTTAGTGGCGGGGATCCCGCGAGCCGGTGTTTGAGTGTGTACTTTTTCAAGTGGTCGACAAGTGACGGAGAGTGCGTTGGTCAGTGTGCCACGACCTTTGTACAAGCTTCGCAAAACAATCTCAAGAAGGGGGCAAGCTCTCCCGTCACAAATAGAAATGCGCCCGGGACTGATGGTGCACTGCACTGATTCGCATGCCAAATAGATAAGAGGGCCGAATTGGGTCAAGCAGAAAGGGAACAAAGAGTGCGCCGTCCTCCGTCCGTTCACAAAAATCCGCGAGTTATCCGCGCGCGCGCGCTCGGAGAGTCCGGAGCCGCATCCAGTAGTCGCGAAGAGCTGCCCGACTTGTAAACATACTTATCACCGCGGCGAGACCGACTGGCCGAGCCTGGTATCCGCGCGTTTTTTTGCGGGGCCACTGTCGTGAGAGGGATGCTCCCCGAGCCGCCTTGTCATCTTTGCGACGAACACTCACATTCCACCACCACCACACATTCTGATAAAAAATGACAAGTTGTAGAGGCCGAGGACAAACAGTGGCACGAGCGTCGCCATCGTGATGTGTTGCAAAAGATGCGCTTGACAGCTTGTCCACACTCTTTTCTTTCGCGTGTCTTTCTTTCCAAGAAGAAGACCGAATTGAATCGAAAAAAGCGTACGATGCAATCCGTGAGACGATGCTAATCTCGTCCGGATCGGAAACGGTTTTCATCCAATTACATGTGTGGACATGACTGGTTACGCTGCACCGGACTGGATGCCATCGCCACGAAAAACGGATTTGTACTTTACTTTGGGAACTGAGATGGAATAATGAGAAGAAGAGAAACGACGAACCGGTCAAGATAACCGAAGAGCTTTTAACATTGGCATGTATTCGGAAGTCGAAGGCAATGCGGGGGATATTACCGGGAGGCGGAAATGGGTGTGATGTTCAGACGAATTAGAAGACGGGCGATTTGTGATTTCTTCGCTGTTTTGCTCCTGTCTCTTGGAATATCAGCTAATTGTATCTGTTGGACTTCCGTTTGAATCACCGATCTGAACATGCATTATCCCGGATATTCCTGTTTGCCACGTCATCCTCATCATCGTTCTCATTATGAAATCGGCTGTAATCTCGCAGCTCTACAGTTTATTTGCCCACTTCTTCCGCCGGAATTCGTCAATCTGGTCAGGCTGAACTCTGCAGGTGCCACGACGCTGCTCAGGCGGCTTCCTCCCCGAACCTAACCCGTTCCTCTCCGTCTTTGCGGGGCGCCGTAGTGTCCCCAAAAAAGGAAACAATAGTACTTTTCCGCGCGCCTTCTATTCTCGTGCTCATAAGCGCCGAGCTTCTATTTTCGGCGGCACTCTCCGTCTCCGTCTCCGCCAACTTCTCGTCGTGCGTCTCCGTACAGTACGCGGAGAGAGAGACGGAGGGGGCCTGCGCGAGGGTAAGAGGGCGGCGCCGTTCGCATACAAACCTTCCCTCCCAACCCCTCGGAAGCTCCTATCCTCTAGCCTTACCGACTCATTCGTCCTACCTCGCCGACGAGAAGACACTTTTCACAGAGAAAGAGTCTCACCAGTCTGGCCCTCCTCTCGAGACTCCTCCCCCTTTCTTCGTTTTCCTCTAATCACTTATCAGTCCACTTCCATTCCAGCGTGGCAATAGTTGTCGTGTCCACGAAGAAGAAGAGAGCAGCCTTGTTTCCATCTCAGTCGACCTTCTTCCATACTCATATATCCCCTCGCAGTTCACACATAATGCTGCGTAATCTCATTTTAATCTCTTTCCTTGGTAAGTTGTTCCCACTTCTTTTCCTTTTATGAATACGCCTCCCTTTTAGCCTGTGCATTTGCTCAGACGCCGGTCATCGGCGGAACCTGTAAACTGGGAACCGCCGATGTCCAGATCGGTGGAAAGCAGACACAGTTCTTCCTGAAATGCGAGACCACAGCCGAGTGAGTTCTTCCCTTTGCTTCCCCTCTGCTCATCCTTTCATCGTTCCAGCAGCGCCGAGGGTGAGGGTGTCTGGGTCGTAAAGTCCCGTGCCGCGGCCGCCGCTGCTCCAGCTCCGGCTCCAGCCCCATCGGCCCAGCTTCCAGTCGAGAACACCCAGCCACAACAGCATCCAAAGGCCCGCAAGCCAGCTTCTCCGAACATTTGTGGTCAGTTTCTTCTTCTTTCGGTTTGTGAAAGCTCTTAAGTCAACTAATGAGCGAGACGCACTTCTGGCCGCAAACAAACCTAGAGGTGATGTGGTCAACAACAGGCTCTAAAGTAGGGATGAAATGAGAATCAGAAAAGAATAAGAAAAAGATGAAGTGGAAGTAGAAATCCTCCGACATCATCATCCGTGTATTTTGCCATGTTTACTTATGCTTCTGATGGTGTTTCTTTTGCTTCTGCGGCACTGAATGAGTGTGTATTTATTCTATTCACTGAAAAATTACATACAAACACAAATAGTGGTTGTTGCCAGCATGGACTGGATCGATCACAATCGCCCATGTACTTCCTCTCCCTTCCTCTCTATAGTTTTTCCGTTTCACTCTCACCGAGGGGTTTCTATGGAATTCGGAGAAAAAACCGTAAACGACAAGGTCATTTGGGGTGTCTTGTCTTCGCGATTCCTGCTGCTCCGTCGGCTATTGTCCGCACTTGCGCACAGTGTGCTGAGAGCCGTCGGCGCGTGACCAAGAGGGGGGGATCGACTCAACAAATAGGTCAGTGGGGAGCAGAGAGCACGCGGGACGAAGAGCCGCAGGAGCTCGCCCGGTCTCCCGCGCCGATTCAGAAAGAAAGTGTTTTGTTTTGTCTCTCCCCCTTTCCGAGAACAAATTAATGAGGAACAACTTTTTGGGACGGGACGACTGATAAGAAATGAAAGAAATGAATGCAATTTCAGAGCAAGACAATGGAGCCCGCGAGAACGAGGCGTGCGCCGTGTCGGCCACTTGCTTGCAGGCCCACAACGAATTCCCGTCCTCCTACCTGCAATGCGACCAAACGTAGGGGGACGAAATGGGGCACAAGACACACTAAACGGCTTGTTTCAGAACTCTCCGATGGGTCCGCAAGTCGTGCCAGGAGGGCTTCCTGTTCAACTTTGAGCAACAAACCTGTATCGTTCCGAAGAGAATGAGCTCCCTCTCCCGTAAGTTTCACACTCCTTCGTTGCCTAACACTTTCCTATCAGCGCCTCCCCTCTCTAACTCTAACCCTTGCTCCAAATGCCGACTGGGAACTGCCTGCCGTCATGGCGAATGCATCCCTCTAACCACTTCCAGTAGGTTTCTTCCCTTTCCTCGAGTGCTTTCTAACCCTTTGCTAGATCTTTGTTCTGACGGATCACCCCCGAACGGCACTTGTTCACGAGAACCTTCCCCTTGTCCCCATGGACATTTCTGTACGGCCCAAAAGGTGTGCTGTCCTTCCACTGCTCTTCAAGCTTCCATCGGATGCTCTCTTGTCTGTACCATCGACGAATCGTGCCCCAAAGGAATGTCTTGTCATAACAACTGCTGCGAAGAACGGAAGCTGCTCCGTCATCCCAAAGTCTATCGATATGCGACCGTGGAGGCCACCAACACAATCTTCGAAGTGGACAGTGACATCTTCGATAGTGCCGCCGTCGAATCGCTTCCCACCCAGAAGCCTCAGCGCCTCGAGGAGATCATGGCACCGTCAATCACGCCCACTCCGACACGGACCACCACAGATGCAGAGCCACAGCGGCGGTGTTTGAGCAGCGACAGTAACGAGTTCACATCATCAGGTTCGTTCGTTTCTCCTCTTTTGTTTGCGGTCATTTTAAAGTATTTCGGAGAGGAGCGCTCCTCTGTTTACGAAGTAAATAGCGGCTAATGAGGAGCTAAGACGAACACGCACCGCGCATTAGCCACCAACCAAATTTTACTTTTCTAGGCGGAGCATCAAGTACATGCGGAGGAACGAATGCGAATTGCACTGCTGATGAAGACTGTCCCTCGACATTCAGATGTTCGCAGGGATGCTGTCGATTGGCAGTCTGTCCGAGGAGTCTGACGGCGGTCAGATTTACCTGCACGAGTCAATATCACTGCAGAGCGACCGAGCACTGCTTTTTCGGAGGATGTTGTCCCAAAACAATCGAATTGGCAGTGATCAAAAGTCAGCGAATTCAAAGCAAGGAAGAAGAGGGAACAGAGAAAAGCCAAGAGAAATTGGAAGTCGAGGAGAGAGTAATAATTGGAGACTGTGAAGTGGACACGAGAGTAAAACTGTGTGACATTGATAATGTCTGCCCGGATATGTCCGAATGCGTCGAAGGCGTCTGCTGCAAACAACCTCCCGCGGCACGATGCGGCAACGGACTAATGGCTCTGACGATCCCGTCGAGCTGTGATCTCTCAGATGACTGTCCCATTTCATCCAGATGCGAGTACGGGAAATGCTGTCCTCTCTTGACCGAATCGGACTCTGAATCGGAAGTGGAAGAAGAAACAACGCAGTCGACATCAGAAGATATTATCAAGGAAGAAGTCACATCAACAGCGACAAAGATTTGGAAGAAAACCATGAAAATAGAGAAGGCAGGAGGGTTGTCAATCAGCAAGAATGTATGTGATTCATTCTTTCGCTCTATCTTATCGTCCCCTATTTCAGAAATGTCTCTCTTCCCAATCATGCGACCTCCACAGCCTGTGTCCACCTGATTTCACATGTTCGCTGTCCGGAAAGTGCTGTAAACTGAATGTCAAGTGCCCGGATGGGACTGTTCCGGAAACTTCTTGCGAATCCGCCGACTCACATGACAGCTGTCCGTCCTCATCGCACAGATGTACCCTTCTGAACAAGGAACACTACGCTTGCTGCTATAATCCTGGTAAGCTTTCTATTCACTCACCGAACAATAATTCCAATCTTCGTTCAGAATCCTCTTTTCTCGTTGAAGGAAGTGTGACTGCAGTTGTATCCGAATGTCCACCCGGATCAGTTGAAGTCGATCCTCGATTCGGCACTTCCTGCCGTTATAGTCTCCAGTGCCCGTCTCCGTATTTTTGTACTCAGAAGGGACGGTGCTGCCAACTTTCCAAGACTATATAGGTTTGTTGCTCACTTTCTACGGGGAGATCACCAATTGTGTTGTTTTCAGAAACTCCAGCAACTATCCGAAATCTCCATTTGCCAAACACGTGTACATTGCTAACTTATACATTAAACTAACGATAAACCTTGCATGAAACTGACATCTAATCTGGCTTCTCCCCCCATTTTCTCTCCGTTCAGTTTCCTCAATTCATTCATACAGGTCAACAAGCCAGCGGACTCATCTGCACATTCTCTAGCTGCTCCAACTCGAACCCGTGCTCCGTCGGAACTTGTAACAACGGATACTGCTGCTCCAGCGGCTCCAACAATGCCCAGGCAATCATCGGTATGTCATCCGTCTCTTTTTGTCCGTCCGCACCCCTTCACTCCCTTCACTTTATTCAGATTCTGACCGCACCAGCACCACTAACACATCCAAAACCAAAAAAGCTAACAGTAAGAAGCATCGGAAGCCTAAAAAGAAACAGATTTCTGAGGAGAGCACCTCCGATCCTCTTCTTCAGAATGATTTTCCGATTGGCCCACCTGGATACGGGTTCCCAAAGCACCTCTCCAAACTGGACGAAGTGCTCATTAGAGCCCAAGGTGACGGTGGTGAGCGATCTGGCTCATGCGATCCCCACTAGCCTCCCTCTTTACAGTCTCTTGCGCCGGCGGATTCACTTCCTCGTTGATCTGCTCCGTCGGCTCAGAATGCCCTGCTGGCCTGCACTGTGACACTGCTAATAACCTCTGCTGCCCGCTCTTACTACCCCTCACTGATCCGAAAAATCCAAAGAAAAGAAAGTCGAAGAGAAGGAAGCAAAAGCAGGAAGAGATGGAGATGATCGAGACGACGAACGCGCCGGAGCCAGAGCGATTCTCGTCTTACTCCTGTGGATGCAGTAATCATTTGCACTTTCCCACACACTAACTTCCTATCCATTCGATTCCATTCTCATCTTTTTATTTTCAGTGTCCGGAGGATCCGGAGGATGCGTCGGATGCCAGAACGCCCCACAAGTCATCACCATCCGTATGCTCTTCTTTTTCGGGCAACCCTTCTAGTCGTATTGAATTTCAGCACAAAACTCGTGCCCAGGAGGAGGATACTCCGTTGGAGGATGCAGTTCCGGATACTGTGCCACCGGATACTCTTGCATCCAGAACCAGTGCTGCCCATCTTATTCCTCTGCTCCAAGAATCTCCGTCTGTATGTCATCTTTTTCTGGTGATTTTCCAAACCTCTTTACTTTCAGACAGCTGCCCATCCGGAGGATCGGCCGTCGGAGCTTGCATCTCTGGAAGATGTGCCAGTGGATACTCGTGCTACAACAACGCCTGCTGCCCACAGACCACCACCACCAACCCATTCGTGTGCACAGACGGAACCCAGGCTGCCGGAGGATGCGTGAACGGACAGTGCGGAACCGGATACACCTGCTCCAACGGACTCTGCTGTGCCGGAACCTCGACCACTGTCAAGTGCCTCGATGGATCCGACGCCGTCGGAGCTTGCATTCCTTCTTGCCAGGGAGACGGTTGCGGAGGAGTCCAGGTCACGTACTACTGCGGATCCGGATACACTTGCACCACCGGAAACATCTGCTGCCCAATCAACAGTTGCCCGAACGGAGGAGAGCCACTCGGACCAACCATCAACGGACTCTGCCCAACTGGATACACTGTCCAAGGAAACCTCTGCTGCTCCGCTACTTGCTCCGATGGATCTTCCGGAACCGCCGCCGTCAACGGAGTCTGCCCAACTGGATACACGCTCACGAACGGAGTCTGCTGCGCCTCGACTCTTACCTGCTCGGATGAGATCTCCATCGGCCCATGCACCGGAACTGGATACAACGGAGGATGCCCAGTCGGATACTCTTGCGATTCGAACGCTGTTAACTGCTGTCCAGTCGTCGACTACACCAATGAGAGTTGCCAAGTCGGACCAGCCATCGACGGACTCTGCCCACCTGGATACGTTGTCGTCTACATCCCGAACAGCCCGCTCATCACCAACGGAGTCAACCCGGGAACTTGCATTGACGTCCAGTGCAGTGAGTATTCTTTCCTTCTTCGTTCCAGACACGATTAGGGTGACACTCCTATAACTGGTTAATTTCAGCCACCGGAGTCTGCGCCGCCGCCAACCAAGTCGGAGAGTGCGATCAGAACACTGACACCGGAACGTGCCCGACTGGATACACTTGTTACACGACTGCTGGAGTCTGCTGCTCCACCACTACTTTCTCGCGCCTCCGCCTCTCCAACATGCGACCAATGGCCCAGAAGCCAGTCTACGGACGTCCACTTCACAGCTACATGCCTCGTAAGTAGGACTGTTGTTCCGTAGTCTTCCATCAAAAAGTGTGCAGTGTGATGTGTTCCTATCTCTGTAATTCTATCTCTCTCCATCCCGCCCCTCTCTCCACCTCTTCTTCTTCAGCTCGTTTCGGCGGACCGTCCGTGTCTCCCTCGTGCTCCGACGGATCTCTCTCTTCCGGCCCGTGCATGAACGGGCTCTGCGGCATTGGACTTGAGTGCCAGAACGGCCAGTGCTGCTCTCCGTCGTCCAAACAGACGGCCGGTCTTCTTCAGAGTACTCTGCATGCTTCCCCGGTCTCTCTTATCTTCCCATTCCAGGCAAATGTCCGTCCGGAGAGACCGCTGTCTCGGGATGCTTCCCCAACGGATCCTGCGGAACCGGCTACGAGTGCGTCTCTTCACTGAACCTCTGCTGTCCTCCCGGTCAGCCACAGCTCCCATCGTTTCCGCCTCACAACGGAAACAACATGAACGGTCTGAGCAACATGAACAACATGAACAACATGAACAACATGAACGGTCTGAACAACATGAATAACAACCGATTCGGATCGTCGTCGATTTGTAAGTCGTGACGTGTCTCATCACGCCGAAACACGTCCCTTTCTGTCTCTCTTGTAGCGCCGCGACCCATCGGCGCCCGCTGTCAACTCGACGGCGAGTGCGTCGGACACGCCGACGGGCTTTCAATGTGCCACGCAGGAGTGTGCCAGTGCTCTCCGATCGCCTACACGCAAGGAATCGCATGCGTTAGACGAAAGTGTAAGAAGCAGCGCCAGTGTGCTCCGCCTTCCCTGCATGCTTTTCGCTCTCCTTCCCTTGCATGCTCCTAGTCCCTCTTCCTAGACGTTTCTAGGCTTTCCATCCCTTCCTAGTCTCCGCTTAGGCTTCTAGTCTCACTTGTAGAGACCCTAGTCCGAGCACGCCCTTCACCTGCTTTCCAGTACTCATCCGACGTTCTTTCAGCTTTCCAAATGAACGACGACCCCGTAATCGACGCAATCGACGACAAGTCCAGCAGCAGCAGCCAGTCCGGCGTCCGCGTCTGAAGGTATCGGAGAACGAGCTGAAAGCCGCGTTCCGCCGTCTGCGTACTTCGTACTTCTTCAATAGTTCGTGATTCCGTGATTGCTCAACCTTTCCATCATCACGTTTTCTTCTATCGAATGTCTTTCTTCTAATGTTCTAAAACAATTCTCATTCTGTTTGCCAATTCACCATACTCCCCTTTCTTTCACTGTCTTTTCCATAACTTTGACAGATCGGTAATTCCCGTGGAATATGAGTCCTTCTTCCTTTTATCATTGTCCACACAGATGTCTGATATTATATATTCCTATTTATTGACTTTTAATTTATTAAATTATTGAAAAAAGAGTTTTATTCATAAATTATTTATAATTAAAACAAACCTTCCTCGTCACAAGGTACAAACACAGAAACACAATTCTTATCAGTTTGACAGATCAATATAAAAGCGAGAACATTTCGCCATCTCTCTCACTTGTTACATTCTTGCTTATTTTCTCTTCGGAACCAATGATCATTCGCCAGGCGTACAGCAACTATGTTTCCAACCAGAGGAAGCTTCCTCTCCCCAAGTACTCGAAGAATTCCATACAGAGAAGCCTTGGATCATCCGGAAAACTTCGGCTCTTCGAGTCTGAGGAAGCCGAATTGCATTCTTTGAATGCAGAAAACAGCCGGATGAAAGAATCAATTGAGAAAGAGAACAAACAATTGAAGAAAAGAGTAAGAATTCGACTGTTAGTCAACCAATATCTACCATTTCAGGAACAATATCTTTGTGTGGTTGATACGAACATTACCAAAATTTTCGAGCGTTTCGAGGGGAACAATAGCTGCTGGCAACCTATTTTTGAAGGTATCGGCTGCCTGATCACACTCAAAATATTCCACCCTCCAGACTATAACACTGCAAAGTTCAGTGCTCTCCAATTCAAAAGAGAAAAAAAGGAAGATGACCCGAAGTACACGGAAGCAATGGAAGTGAGCCGACCGTTTCCATCCAGCTTCAAATTGATTTTTCAGAAAATTCAACGTCTGAAAAAAGAGATTTTGGAGACGGAATCAGTTAGGGAACAAACTTCAGAGTCTGCTGCTCAAAAGGAAAGAATTGAGGCGCTGACGAAAGAGATGAAACTATGGGAGTTGAAGAAAGATCTGATCGATGAGAGGCTCAACAAAACTGCGAATGAAATGACTTTGAAAGTCCTCGAGAAAGTTTCGGGAGAAATGTTCGATGAATACATGAACAAAGTATCATTTCTATTAAGATTCCAGTTCAAAACAAAGCGAATTTGCAGATCATTTCTCAATTCAAACCGGTGTTCCAGAAGTATAATCAGTCGGTTGAAGGAGAACAAGGAGAGTTCAGAAAGATGTGGAGACAGACTGTCAAGACACTCCATGATCCAACGTTCCGCGCAGAAAAGTACTCTTTGGAATAGAAATTTGTAATTAATCATTTTGAAGTATGCCGTTCTCATTTAATGAATCTTTGACAATGACCAAAACAAATGAGAAGAAAGAAAGAAAGAAATGAAAAGTGTATTCTCGAGTACATTATAATGGTAAGAAAACTTACGGAAACTACTTGAGCCTTGGAAACCCTTTCAGATATCTCCGACATGGATTATGATGGTGTTACACACCGCTACTTTTTCTTCAGATGACACGAGAATTGGAGAATCAGTGCTGTTTTTCGCCGGATTCTTCATGTTATTCTGGTTTTGTGGAGCCGCTATGTGGAAATGCAGGGCTGGGCAATTGGCCGGCCCGGGCTTTTTGTTGGCCGGCCCTTGCCCTGGACCTTTGACCGACTTGCAATATTCCGATCGGACCCAAACTTTGTAGGCTTCTTTGACTTGAATTGAGGGCCATTGGGACCAAGTTTCAGCCCGATCGGATCGTCGGGTCCCGAGATATGTGGATCATTGGCCGATTTTTTCCAAAAAGCCCGGGCTTCCGGCCAATTTCGGCCAATGATCCACTTTTCTCGGGACCAAATAATCCGATCGGGCTGAAACTTGGTTCCAATATGCTTCAACACATGTCCAAGATGCCTGCAAAGTTTCTGTCCGATCGGAATATTGCAAGTGGTTCAAAAGTTCAGGTCAGGGGCCGGCCAACGAAAAGCCCGTGCCGGCCAATTGCCCAGCCCTGTGGAAATGGGAAAAGAAAGCACAATGACCGATCAGAAGTCTTGATTGTGTTTTGTTGATTCAAAGATTCTCATTGATAAATTCATGTGTTTCCCTCACAGTTCAATTCAGAACGTCTCAGCCGACCTTGCCGATTGTAACCCGAGCAAAGTTTGCTCTAGATGTTGATTGACCAGGACGGGCGGTCGACGTGTCGAATCGACAGTTCGAAGCGCTCAAAGCAAAGATTCTAGAGACGTTCAAAATGGTTAGTTTTCCTCTGTTCTATTGTGTTTCCTCTATGTTTTCCTTTCAGGCAAAAGGTATAAAACCTCCGTCAAACAACCCAAAGCCGCAGAAGCCGGCACCTAAACCAAAGCCTCAAACAAAGCCCCAATCACCGAATAAACCACAGCCTCAAACAAAGCCCCAATCACCGAATAAACCACAGCCTCAACCATATAACCAACCGCCGGCACAACCACCATACCAGCAACCTGTGCAACCAGCACCCGGAGGAGGTGGCGGGGGAGGAGGATTCGGACTTGGAGGAGGGGGTATCATGGGAATATTCGGTCCAGTATTGCAAATTATTACGAACATGATCAAACCAGCACCCACTCCAGGGCCACCAATCGTCGTTCCTGGCCCGCCGATTCCTTCTCCGGGAAATCCGAGCATCACCATTCCTGGTCCACCCGTGACAGTTCCTGCTCCTGCACCCGAACAGAAACCCGATTACCTGATCGTCGGCGTCTTCTTCGGGGGATTCTTCTTCCTCATTTGTCTGTGTGGCGCCGTCGCCTTTTTCTACTTTATCTATTATACTTCGCAGCAAAAGGCCAAGCAGGAGGAGGAAGAGAAGAAGAATAGATCGGCCACGAGATCGAGGTCGCGGACGAGCATGTCGAGAAGTTCGATGGGAACCACGCGTCGGAGTTCGATGGGAACCACGCGTCGGAGTTCGATGGGAACCACGCGAAGCACATACAGGACTGGCACGAGTCGGATGGGGACTACGAGAACCGGAAGGACCGGACACGGCAAGCACAGGTCTAGGCACTCGAAATATGGATGACTCGCGCATCATACATTTAACTCGATTTTCCCGTTTAATTAGCCGTAAGGCTTTCTTATCGCTGTAATTATCTTTTTAATAAAACCGTGCTGAAAAAAGAGAGAACAACATAAAAGCCTTTATTGGAGAAGACAACAAGTTTGAATGAACGATTTTAGACCTTCGAAACAGCTCTTTGTTTCTTCCCGTTTTTCATGAAGAAGAAGATGCCGACGCCGATGAGTGCACAGATAATGAGAACAAAAGCAAGGAATCCGAGCCCCACCGCAATCGACGGTTCGGCTGTGGTCGGGGCACTAGTCGGAGGAGGCGGCGGCGGCGGAGTTTCCCCTGGTGGAGGTGGCGTCGGCGGAGGCGTCGGAGCAGGAAATGGTGTTGGACTTGGAGATCCGATTCCCAGAAGATTGGGGACGTAGTTGAGAACAGTGAGAGCAGTTGAAATCAACTGAAACAGATGGAAGTGTCGTCGCGTTGGAGTACAATCTTACCCCTATCATCGTTAGAAGAGCAGACTCGAGTGATCGTTCTAAGATCAGAACAAGCAATGGCCGAACAGTGAGTAGCCCTTGATGGCCGAGCCAAGGGTCTTCACGGCGAAGTATTGAAAGAAATGATCAATAACTCAAATATTTATTGTTGATCCGAACAATAAATGAGTACATAACAAGTAAAAGGACGCTCTTCAACCAATAGACGAGCTCCTCTTCTTTCCCTTTGTCTTCTTTCCCCCAGTCGTTCCCATCGTGCTGCGTTTCGTATTCCCCATCGTGCTTCCCTTCGACGTTCCCATCGTGCTTCCCTTCGACGTTCCCATCGTGCTCGCCGTGCTAGTCGTGCTCGCAGTCGTTGTTCCTGCTCCGGTCTCCGCATCGGAAGAATTCTGAGAAGCAGCTGCAGCAGCCGCCTCCCTTTTCTTCTTTCTCCAAAAACAGAAGGCTCCAGAGCCACTGACAGACACGAGAAGTATCGTCATGAAAAGGAGAAAGACAACGACGGTCAACGTGTCGGAAACTTCAGTTGTGGTGGCCGGCGGCGCGGGCGTGTACACGACGGTGGAGCTGCCAATCGGCTGAGTTGGAGTAGACGCAGTCGACGGAGGCGGATCATCTCCGAACATCAATTTTGAAAGGCCTCTGGCAAGCATACGGAATGGTGCGAATAGAAGGCCGAACTGCAAGAGAGGGCGTCTGAGATAAATAATCTGAATAGACGAGGCAGCTTACCATTTTTTGAAGCTGTAATACTATTTTGTGATTGATGCCCAGTTTTTAAAAGGACCTGAAGGGCCATGCTCCCGTAACATGCAGTTCAGTATATCGCTCTCATTGCGAAAGGTTGGATAAAGGCCAGTAGAAAATAAAAAAATTGCTTTCATCAATCATCAAAAACTTCGAGATAACGGTATCAGAAACAGCAACTCCAAATCTCAAATATTTATTGTTGAATGAAGCAACAAATGGGTTCAAAACAAGTAAAAGAGCATTCCGCTCAGGCTCCAGACGTAGCGCCCGTCTTCTTTCCCTTCTTCCCCTTCTTCTTCTTTCCGCCAGTCGTGGTCGACATTGTGCTGGTTCCCGTGGTGCCGGTGGTGCCCGTCGCCGTCGTTCCAGTGCCGCTCTCCAGATCGGAAGCAATCGGACCGGCCTGAGCAGGAGCAGCCATCGGAACATTGTTCTTCTTCTTCTTGATGACGAAGAAAATGCCGACGCTAGAGGCGATCATGGCCAGAATGATAAAGACGAAAACGATGTAGACAGCCGTGCTAGAGACCTCCGTAGTTGTTGGCGGAGGGGCGGTCGTGTACAGAATGGTCGGTCCGGCGGTCGGCTGAGTCGGAGGAGGCGTCGGGGCTGGAGTGGGTGCCGGTGAAGAGAACCACCCAGAAACAGTGGAGATAGCGGACCCAATCCAATTGAACTGCAAAAGAGAACTCTTGAACAGGCGGACATGAAGAAGTACTTACCGGAAACATTTTTGACTGTTTTATGCCTTCCTCTGATCAGCCTTCGCCTTTTTATAGAGGCTTCAAAGGCCGAGGTCCGGTTACATTGAGGCTGAGGTTGTGGTCACGGTTAGTCAAAGGCCGGCCGATCACGAGAAATAATAGAGAAAGGACGGGTTTGACGAGACATTGGAAAGCGGATTGCTAATAAAATGCTTTAGCTATTGCCCGTATACTAAAAACAAACAAATTTATTATGAATAAGGCAACACTTTTAGTGGAATTCAAACAAGTAATGAGCATTCCTCATTCGGTACGCTCAGATCTCACCACTGGCATTCGTTCCACTTTTTCCTTTCTTTGCATTGCTCTTCTTTTTCTTCTTTCCAACTCCTCCCGAAGTGGTTGTGCCAGTCCGCCCCGTAGTCGTTCCAGAACGTCCCGTAGTTCCACTCTCTTGATCCATGGATGCGGTAGATGTTCCTGTTCCAGTTGCTCCGGATCCATCAGCAGCAACAGCGGCAGCAGCAGCAGCAGCCTTCTTCTTCTTCGATCTTCGGATACAGAAGTAGATTCCGAAGCAGCATAGAGCAATGAGGGCAAGGAAGAAGATGGTGATGATTATCAAAAATGACATCGAATAATCTGTCGTCACTTCAGGAATGGCAGTGGTGATCGGCGGATTTGTGGGAGGCTTGTAGGTAGTGGTAGGCAAACGTTGTTTTGTGAGACCTCTTTGAACTTGCGGCGCAATGGTTGTTGTGGTCGTTGTGGTCGTTGTCGTTGTGGTCCTTTTAGGCGGCGGTGGAGGAGATATAGCGTCTGAAACGTAGTTGATGACCGCTGCAACGGCCCGTGCAGGTGCAAGCAGGAAATCGATAAATCCCTGAAAGTAGCCGTGTCCACAATTGATTGCACTATGCTTACCATCCAATAGGAACTGTTCTCGAGAACTGACAAGTTTCCAAACTGGTGTTGATTTCAAAATTGGTCACTCGGTCAGGAAGGTAACGGAACGAGTTCCGGTCACCGAGTTCATGGACTGATAACCTAGGCTGAGGGGTACGTTCGTCAAGGGCTGGAGAACGAGGGAGAAGGGTCAAATATTGAGAGCACGGGGCCGGTGGGCGAGGGCATCGGGGCTGGCCGGCCAAAACAATCTTCACGATCAGTATTACTGCAAGAAGATGCTAACAAAACTAATTGCTCTGTTGAAAAAAGACGCAATTCTGGCAACTCGCAGCATTGTTTGGACTCTGTTCGAGCTCTTGCTCCCCGTTGTCATTCTGTTCGTTGTTACTGCGTTCATGGGCCAAGTAAGTAGCATTCAGGCGTCAGGATAAAAGCATATCTGATCATTTTCAGTTCGCCGACATTATGAGTAAAGCGGTGAGTCGGAGCGAGAGGGGTGGAGTGACAACTAAATTCGAAAGATTGAATTGAATTCAGATGGATGAAATGAAAGGCAAGACATTGGTGTATACAGTGGGCGCACCGATCATTTTCGGCCCTCCCACCGGTATTTGTGACGGAAAGATTATACCTACGAGCGTTTTCCTCCGGTAGGGAGCCAGCGAAGTTCACATTAGACATGATTCTATTCCCAGAAATGGAGACGATGTCACTTTTGATCTACTACATAAAAAAAAAGAGAGCTTCACCCTTTCAAACAAAGAGATCAAAAAGAAGTTGGGCGACTGTGAAGAAGTGTAAGGAAGTTCACTTTTCGTCGCCACTAATCTGTCATTTTTCAGCATTCTCTGTGTAGACATTTCTGGAAAAGACATTAAGATCAATGTGGCAGCTAGCATGGGCACGATCCCGATAGAAGATCTTAAATCGCCGATGCAGACTCTGTGAGCGCAACCGTTTTCCATAAAGAAGAACTAGTTGTTCATGTGTATTTTAGTAGCGACGCCTACATGTTTTCTGGAGTTATAATTGAGGCGGTACTTCAAGAAACAGATGATAGTGACAAAGGAAAAGGATGGTCAAAGGCGATTCACGTGGAAGAAATAGATGTGAGGAAAGTTGATGTTTCGGAGATCGCCCTCCCCTACTTTTTCTTGATCATCGGAATCAGCATGGCCGTTACTGTCATCAACGTCGCCCGGAACGTCGTCACGGAAAAATCGACCGTGAAGGTCAGAATGTCGATAGAACTTTCGGGAAAGTTCTCGAGTTTCAGCCCTACCTATCCGCTATCGGACTGCCCGGTTGGATGTTTTACACTGAACACTTCATAGCGACTATCCTCAAATCATTTATCACTTGCATCGGAGCAATGTGGTACTTCAAAGGAATTGAGGTATCTGCTAAGGTTCAATTACTTCCGGATGATCCTATTTTCAGTACGCGAGTCTCGGTGTACTGATGCTCGGAGCCATATTCTACATGATCGGCGCCATCTCGTTCTCCCTTCTCATCTCTTCCTTCTTCACAAATGCCAAACGCGGAATAGAAGGTTTGGTGCCTTATTTCAGTTTTCCATCAACAACTCAAATATCAGCATCCCTAATCGCCTGGTTCTTCCTCGTTTGCTTTCCGCTTTCCCAAGACGAGGGCGATCTGAGCGTCCTTCATTCGCTGAACATCAACTACGCCTACCATTTTTTTTTGTTGAAAGCACAACAAAACGCATTGGCTAACAATAAAATGACGTTCGGAGAGTTATTCAACAAGGAATATGTGGATGGAACTGCCGCAGGAATCTATCTTCTCATGGTCGTTGTGGATGCGATTTGGATGTTCGCAGCCACGTTGCTTGTGGACAAATATGGTGAAAAATTGGCTTCCGTCAAAGACTTGTTCAAGGTGATTTTCATGCCGGTGTGGGCTGTTAAGGATTTCTGTTCTAGAGCAACGGACGTGCGAAAGGAGGCGGCCATGAGGACCGGGACGTCATTTTAGAGGGTTGCATTGAGAACGAAAAGACGAGAAACCAAGCAGTGTCCGATGTCGAACTGAAGAACGTCGTGAAGGTTTATCCGACTGGCGAGAAAGCGGTCAACGGACTGTCCTTCCGAGCCATTCGAGGACAAGTTTCCATTCTTCTCGGACAGAACGGATGTGGAAAGAGCACGACGTTCTCGATGATCTCCGGAGTCGCTCTTCCGACTTCCGGATCGATCAAAGTGGCCGGGGTGGATGCAGTGCGACAGAAGGACAAAGCCAGAAAGTTCATCGGATTTTGCCCGCAATACAACCCATTGTACGACCGTTTGACTGTTCTGGAGCATCTCGAATTGGTGAATGCATTGAAAGAGGGACCGCCGAACAAGTTCATGGCCGAAGCGAAACAGCTCCTGCAGGCGATCCGACTGGCAGACAAGACGGGAACCCATGCCTCGAAGCTGTCGGGAGGAATGAAGAGGAAGTTGTGTGTCTGCATGGCAATGATCGGAGGGAGCAAAGTGGTCCTGCTGGACGAGCCGACGGCTGGAATGGATCCTGGCGCCAGAAAGGACGTCCAATTGATGCTCGAGAAAATCAAAGTGAACAGAACAATCCTGCTGACCACTCATTACATGGACGAAGCGGAACGACTTGGGGACTGGGTGTTTGTGATGTCGTACGGAAGGATGGCTGCCAGCGGATCTCTGAATTACTTAAAGAAGAAGTTCGGATCCGGATACGTGCTCACCGTTGTGCTCGATGTGAAGAGCGACAGGAAATACTCGACGAAACTTGTGGAAAGCATCTGTTCACACATCGTTCCGAGAGCCCAGCTTGTAATTTAGTTTTTTCTGGTTATTTAATGCGGGAGTTTTTCTAGAAAGATCAAAGAGGACAAATGATCGAAATGACTCTTCCCGAGGAAGAAAAGGCAAAGGTTCTTCCTCTCCTGAAGACAATGGAAGATGTTATCCATAAGAAGTCAAACAGCTTTGGTTTATGATTCACACAGATGTTCTTGCAGGTATACCAGCAAGAACGTGAAGAATCTACCGGAGAAGCTGAAGGAGAAGATCAAAAGACTTCGAGTGACGACTCTTGGACTCTCTCTGAGCTCCCTCGAAACTGTGTTCATTCGGATCTGCGATGAGTGCGACATTGCGATTGCCCGCGAGAAGAATCTCGAAGACAAGAGAGCTGTGGCCGAAGAAAGCTATGAGAAGCTGATGAAATTGAAGAGAGGTGAAAAAACGATGAAAACTGTTGGAAGCCGTCAGTTTCAGAAAGCCGAGTCTCTGGATCTTCCCTGCAATCTTCCCAGTTCACCACATTGATCCGCAAGAAGTACTACTACACAATCCGTAACATCTATCAGTTGCTCTTCCAATTGATCATTCCCGTTGCTATTGTGGTTTTCGGATTGCACATGGTCACGCTGAATAAAAGTGAAAGTGAGTGGAATAAGAAAATGACCATGAGGATAATTGATTTCAGTTACGAAAACTTCCGAGACCCTTGATTTGAACATTCTTCCAAAGTGCGTGGCTGTGATGATGAAAGGTGACAAAGCCGACAACTACGATGAGATCAAGAGACAACTCGAAGGACATAAGAAGTTGAAAGTGAAGGAGGAACCATTAGGGACCGACCACCAAAAACTCATCACGAAATATTATGTAAGAAGGACGGGAACAGGTGTTTACTAGTTGCTTCTCTCTCTCTCTATTTTAGAAGGACACGCTCGGATTCGTTGTCGAGGTGAATGACGGCGTCGCCAAGATCTTCTACAACAAGAGACTCGCGCGGGCTGCTCCAGTTCTGACTATTCTCGCCACAAACTGGTTCGTCAAAGATGGAGGGTGGTCCCTTAAACTCGAGTGGTTGATTTCGGATACCGAGAAAGCTTCGGTGAGGGAGAACATGCGTTGTGAAAGTTGTCAGTATAATCGACCGATTAAAGAACGAGTTCATGTTGTTGATAACGATGGCGTTCTTCGTCACGCTCGCATTCGCTCTCGTCACTGCTCCGTATGTCCAGTTTTCTATCGAAGAACGCGTTTGCAAGTTTTCTCATCAGGTGCCGTCTCTCTTTCTATTTTCTCAAACATCCTCCATTGCAGCAACACTTGACTGGAATGAATCGGATGATCTTCTGGTCAGCCAGCATCGTTTGGGATTCGCTAATCTACATTTTCTTCTGCGCCGCCTCCATCATCTGCTTCGTGGCTTTCAAAATGTTCACTAACGTCATCAATCTGTAAGTCGCTTGCACAAAACATCATACTGATAGTTGTTCAATTTCAGCATTCTCATGATGTACGGAATCTTTCTGTTGGCCATTCTCCCTATTACCTACGTCGCTTCATTGATCTTCGAGTCTGCAACAAAGGCATCCACTCTTCTGATTCTGTACCAGATCGTCGTTGGAGGAATTGCTGTCACGGCTCTTATGCTGATGATTTTGGCTAAATCAAACTCGGCAGTGATGACGGTAAACGATCTCTAGTTCTACCAAGATCCTGATGTCTCTTTCAGGTGATATTCTACACAATCTGCCCACCAAGTGCTTTCATGTTTGGGTTCTTCAAAGCCTTAATATCGGCAGATCTCAAGAATCCGGACGGAATGGCGGCACAGTTTGTGGATTACAAAACGATTTGGGAGTGGAAGGGAATCAGTACGCTTGCAGTCACATGATCTTAACGCAATGGTTTCTTTTTCAGTTCGTGATATATTCTTTTTATCTCTCTCCTCTATCATTTTCACCGTTATTGTTTATGCGATGCAGAACAGGAGCACACGTGTCGCCATCTTCGATATGAGACATAAGGTCGAGAAACCGATACCGAAGAAGCCTGTGGTGAGAAATGACAGTGAATACCAGACTAATAATCATTGCATAGAAAGCCTTAGCTCCTTGCAAAGCAGTCGGTTTCGAAGAACAACTGGTGCGCAGAGGGAGAGTGAAGGAATGCACGGTCGTTGTGAAGGCAAGATCAAGAACTCTCCGTGATCACTCATTTCAACGGCACCTTTCAGGATTTGGTTCGTGTTTTCGGGAAGTTCCGAGCCGTCAACGGACTGTGCGTAACTGTACGGAACAACGAGTGCTTCGGCCTTCTGGGGACAAACGGAGCAGGCAAAACGACGACTTTCGACATCTTGACCGGACTCAGATTCCCCAGCGGAGGATCTGCCACGATTGATGGAAAGGACGTTGTCAGACATAATGTGAGATCCAATCTCTATTCTTTCACTTCTCGAAATTGCTTCAGTATGTTGGTTACTGTCCTCAATTCGATTCGATTCTTCCGGATTTGAAGTGCATTGAGGCCCTTGAGATTATGGCTCAATTGCACGGATACACCGAACCGAAACTGGCTGTGAACTACGTTTTAAAGTGTGTCGGAATGGTGGAGCACTGTCAGAAGCACTTCCGAATGTGCAGTGGAGGACAGAAAAGGAAGATTTCGGTGGGAGTTGCCATGTTGACGAGGGCTCGGTGCATCATGATGGACGAGCCGACTGCTGGAATCGATCCGAGAGCTCGTCGTGAGATCTGGGAGATTCTGGATTGGATGCGGGAGAAGTCCGGAAGTTCCATCGTGCTAACTTCCCACTCGATGGAGGAATGCGAAGCTCTGTGCTCCAGAATCGCCATTCTCCGCAAAGGAGAGATGATTGCATTGGGGACGAGTCAGGATCTGAAGTCTCAATACGGAAACACGTACACGATGACGATCATGGTGAACAAGATCAGTGACAGAGAACGAGTGTGCAGAGAGGTGCACAGGAAAATGCCAGAAGCCGTTCTGAAGACAGCGATGACCAATATCACGACGAGTCTTGTTTGGGAATTGCCGAAAAGACAGAAGGACAAATGGTCGAAGAAGTACGAAAAAGTACAGAAATTGGCGAGGAAGCTGCACGTGAAGGATTTCATGCTAACGCAATCGTCGCTCGAGGACACTTTCATTAATCTGACTGATTGATTGAGTCTCTTTTACTTGTTGTTACTTGGTTATCTGTTCACAGAATGAATGTTTTTTTTGTTGAGAACTGTGTATTTTGAAGAAAGGAAAGAGAGTACATTCACGTGACGGAGAGGATGCAGGGTGACGAGAGTGTGCGCGTGTTTGTCCAATCAGCTGATCGATATGTTACTTTGCCTTCATTTTACATTCTCCTTCTAGCATAAATAACATAATGACGACTTTAAGCAAAAAGAAGCAGAAAAATATGGTGATGCAATCGGGGGTAAGTGGTTTTTAGCGGATTTGTGAAACTTACATGATTTTAAATTACTCTGAACACTTGCAGGTGTACCCAACTGGAAAACCCAAAAAAGTGCCAGTACAGTACAAGATAACGGATAATTATCCATCTGAGAAGAAACTGAAGAATCGAGAAAAAGAGTGGGAAAAGGAGAATCTGGAGTTGGAATTGAGTCGGAAGGAAAACGAACGAGCGAAAGGAATTGTTTTGGAGAAGGTATGTGAAACTAGTCTTTGAAAATTTTAGAATAGTTCAGCAACTTGATCTGCTTACCATTATGGCCAAGTTGAGCCGGATGAAAGAGGGGATGAGCAGCAACAATGAGATAGGACAGTTTATGATGATCAAAGGTAGGTTGCTTTATTGGCATCGAGAAAGTTGTTCAGTTTGAGAGTATCTTGAAACACGAGAACGGATATTCTTGAGCTACTTCCCGCCCATGGATAATGATACGAATACCGAGGACGTTCTGAGAGTAAGCTATTCCAAAAGCCCCTTTTCAGCCTGTGTAGAATCCTTCTAGAAACTAGCTGTCCTACGAGACGCCTTTGATGAATTGATGATCACCGAGGCTCCGCATAGACAGACTGCGAACACGGAGAATCTGTTGAGGTTCAAATTTCTGGAAATAGAACTGATGGACAACAGTCTGCTCTTTGGGGAAGAACAAAAAGTGAGAGAGCTCCCGTAAGCACAATCTTTCAATTGTTTTTGATCAGAGAAAGGCAATGCTGAAGGAAATGAACGAGACGATAAACGTCTTCAAGCTCCGCGTGGTTGCCGAAGTCAAATTCCTTCAGGAGAGTGACCCGCGGATGAAGTTTCTTCCCGAGTTTTCCCATCTGCGTTTTCTCACAGCCAAACCTGACCCCACCCCCGCACTGTTGTACTTTTAATAGAGATCTCGTAAACAGAAGAACATCTTAAAATAAGCATACATCGTGAAGCTCCTTTCTGATTTCTCCCCTTCTACGATGAATAATGAATGTTGTCTTTGGAATTTTTACGAAGAAAGTGCAAGAAATAAACAATCGACAGAGCATTGAGTGAGCACATGTGGCTCGAATTGGGCAGTATAAACAATAATGAATTGGATTAGGGTTGGAAAAGAGCATCAAGGATCAAAAAGAGATGAATTCCACCTATTTAGTTTGCAGAGCTGTTTTTCAAAGTGTTATTGTTTCTCTGCATCTCGTCGTATCTCCATCTCTCTTTCTCTCTTCCTCAATCTGAGATTTGACCTCAAGCTGGAACACGGAAAGAGTCACTTCTTCTTCATTTTTTTTTGAGTAGCCATCGAAAATGCGCGCCAATGTTGCGATTCCACCGCAGTCCGCCGCCGAAATAGCGCTGGGATCTCGGAGCCGAAGAGCTGGTGATCCAATCTGCGGGCGGTGCCTGTTGGCGTCTCCAGAAGCGCCGGCTGCTCTGCCGTTTAATATACAGAAAGAGCGGAGAGTCGGGGCGAGGAAGACGGAGTGTAAAGCGAGTTTCGGGCAGCCGGAGCAGCCTCCGAGAGAATCTTCTCCCGCTTCGGAGAGCACTTTCACACTATTTCCACCCGCCCGACTTGAACGGGGGGTGTTTTCAGACGTATTCTGTTTTCAGACATTGTATATTAACTGGTTGGTGTGTCCTTTTTGTGTTTCCCGCTCCACTGGACTCAGGTCTCGGCCGCTGTGTAAAACTTTGGCCATTTCATCATTTTTGTGTGTTGTTTTTCAATTTTCCGAGGCTTTAAAACCTCGATCGATGGCCGAGCCTAGCGGAGTGGGATTGCAACCTTTTTCAGGGGCTAATATAACGGATTGACAATTCTAGAATTAAAGTGCAAGTAAAGCAATGTTTTCTAACTTTTTCTCTCGATTGAAAGCCGCGAGCAGACGGCCTTTTGACCCCCGACAACTGTGCATTACGGAGGGAAAAAGAAGAAGAAGCAATGACCTCGCACAGTTGGCAGCATCTTTAGCTGACAGCCCGATCGATCAGCGATACTCCTCAATCAAAAGTTGAAGGCGGAAAGTGGAAAGTAGAGAGCGAATTTTGATAAAAGACGGATGATTGCTTGAAAGTGCGCGCACTCTGCAGATATCTAGATCCGCTTCAATCCCACTTGTCGCAAACATCCGATGCGCTTTTTCAACTTTTCCACTTCTCTGAAACCGACCCGAATCTTCGTATGATTCCTTTCGGTCACTGCCTTTATTTGCCCCCGACCTTTCCAAGCTGTTCCGTATCTGTCGCTGGCTCGTGTCAGCCCGGGACACGACCAAATCGAACACTCTCCAGATGTTTAGTAAAAAATGACAAAGTGCGACGGAACCGTCCATTTATATTATAAATCGTCCGCCGTCCCTCTGCTCTCTGTTTGCAACACATCGGCGGCGGTCGGCCGGCTGTTGGCCGATCGGAGCGCGCCTCCGGATGATTGAGAAGGCGTAGTGTGTAATGTGTAATGCTCTTTCATTTTATCACAGATTTCCAACCTATGCATCTCCTTTTCTTGCCTCTTTTCCCCTTCTTTCCCCTTCCTTTCAGCTTCCGTTCATGATCTGTCTTTATCTCCAGAACGACTCCATCTTTGGGTAACGAGAAGTCGATCCGTGACTAAAATGTCGCGCTTAAGACTTCTCGGCTGGACGGCAGCCATCATGCTACTGTCGTCGTTCTACACTGATCGGTCGGTCCTCTTTCGATATCTCCCATCTCCAGATGTCGAATGTTTTTCAGGATAAATGTGGATGCTGCCGCTGCTTGCAAAGGATGCGCCCCACCATGCGTCTGCCCGGGAACAAAGGGAGAGAGAGGAAACCCGGGATTCGGCGGAGAGCCAGGCCATCCAGGAGCACCTGGACAAGATGGTCCCGAAGGAGCACTTGGAGCTCCCGGAATGTTTGGTATGTTCTTCGATTGCTAGAATAAACAGATGAGATTTACTGGTGTCAGGAGCCGAAGGAGATTTCGGAGACGTTGGAGCGAAGGGAGCTCGTGGAGACCGCGGACTTCCCGGATCTCCAGGTCATCCTGGACTCCAGGGACTTGACGGATTACCCGGTCTGAAAGGAGAAGAAGGAATCCCCGGATGCAACGGAACCGATGTGAGTCTTTTCTCGTTTTGATTTTTGACCTTTCTAAAAGTTGTACTGCGACAACGAGGAACTATCTGTTCACTGAAACATGATCTCTCTGGCCATGTGTTTTTTGTTTTCCCCGCAGTTTCGCAAATTGACTCGGCTACTGCCTCAAAAAACAGCGAAAGTGAGTGAAAAAGAGGAAAAGAGAAGGAGATGGCTAGATGGGTCGGCGTGCCAATGTGTGTGCAGCCGTCATGTGTAATGCCATGACTCATCCGTATCTCTGCTTTGCTCCGCTCTGCGTACGTGCCCGCACTACTCAAACTCTGCACTATCAGTCCCTCTCATTTCAATTGTTTCAGGGATTCCCTGGTATTCCCGGATTGGCTGGACCGCCAGGACCACCAGGAACAAATGGAAATCAAGGAAGACCGGGACTCTCGGGACCGCCCGGAGAGGGAGGAGTCAACTCGCAAGGAAGAAAGGGAGAGAAGGGAGAGTCTGGAAGATCAGGAGTCCCTGGATTGCCTGGAAACTCTGGATACCCAGGACTGAAGGGAACCAAGGGAGACTCAGGACCGTACGGATTGCCCGGATTCCCAGGAACTCCAGGATTGAAGGGAAGAATCGGAGTGAGAACTTCTGGAGTCAAGGGAGAGAAGGGATTAGTTGGACCCCCAGGACCACCGGGACCGCCAGGATCCTATCCATGGGCTTCGAAGCCAATCGAGATGGAGGTTTTGCAAGGACCAGTTGGACCAGCTGGTGAGCAGAGCACAAAAAGAAAAGATTATGAAAAAAAAGGGTTTCAGGAGTGAAAGGAGAGAAGGGTCGTGATGGACCAGTTGGACCGCCAGGAATGCTCGGACTCGACGGACCTCCAGGATATCCAGGACTGAAGGGACAGAAAGGAGATCCAGGAGATGCCGGACAACGCGTTAGTCACAATAAATAGTTGTTCTTTTCAACATTCATTTGCAGGGCAAACGCGGAAAGGACGGAGTTTCCGGAAGCTACGGAGAGAAAGGAACTCAAGGAGAGCAAGGAATTCCAGGAGTCCCGGGATACGCAGGAGTCAAGGGAGAAGCTGGAGAACCTGGATATCCGGGAAGGCCAGGATTCGAAGGCGACTGCGGACCGGAAGGACCACTCGGAGAAGGAAAGGGAGATCCAGGACCGCGTGGACCACAAGGATTCGATGGAGTTCAAGGGCCGAAGGGTTTGACTGGACACAACGGACTTCCGGGACCAGTTGGACCAAGAGGACAGGTCGGAGCACCAGGAGCTCCAGGAGTTCCAGGACTCGACGGATTGCCAGGATACACTGAGAAAGGAGACCGCGGAGAAGACGGTTACCCAGGATTTGCCGGAGAACCAGGGCTCCCAGGAGAGTCTGGAGACTGCGGATATCCAGGAGAGGACGGTCTCCCAGGATACGATATCCAAGGACCACCAGGATTGGACGGACAGTCTGGAAGAGACGGATATCCAGGAATCCCAGGAGACATCGGAGACCCAGGATACTCGGGAGAGAAAGGATTCCCAGGAACCGGAGTGAACAAGGTCGGACCAGCAGGAATGACTGGATTGCCGGGAGAGCCGGGAATCCCGGGACGCATCGGAGTCGACGGATATCCAGGACCACCAGGAGCGTCCGGAGCACGAGGAGACGACTGCGGCTACTGTCCGGACGGTCTTCCAGGAAACGTGGGAGACGCTGGATTCCCAGGAATGGATGGATATCCAGGACCGCCAGGACCGAACGGAGACCACGGAGACTGCGGTTATCCAGGACCACCAGGAAAGGCAGGCTTGCCAGGAACGGACGGTCTTTCTGTAAGTATTCATCACTATAAATACTTTGTAATTATCAATTTCAGGGATCGCCAGGACTTCCAGGAATCCCAGGTTATCCGGGACTGAAGGGAGAAGCCGGAGAGATCATCGGGCCAATGGAGAATCCGCCTGGAATCTCCGGATTGAAGGGAGAACGCGGTTTGCCAGGACTGCCAGGAAGACCCGGAAATGAGGGTCTTCCGGGACTGCCGGGAGGACCGGGACAGGACGGATTCCCAGGACTTCAGGGAGAATCCGGACTCGTCGGAATTGACGGAAAGAGAGGACGCCAAGGAAGTGTAAGCTCACAAATTGCTGCTTTGAATGCATTCATTGTCTGATTTCAGTTGGGTGTCCCAGGACTTCAAGGACCACCAGGAGACTCATTCCCAGGACAGCCAGGAACTCCAGGATACGCTGGAGAGCGAGGAGCTGACGGACTTCCGGGACTCCCAGGAGCTCAGGGTCCGCGAGGAATCCCTGCCCCACAGAAGATCATCAACCAGGTGGCTGGACAGCCAGGTGTTGACGGACTCCCAGGTCTTCCAGGAGAACGAGGAGCTGATGGACTTCCAGGACTTCCAGGACCGGTAAGCGGAAGAAAATATACTCAGTTTAAAGAAGTAATCTTGTCTTGCTCAGATCGGACCTGACGGATACCCAGGTGCCCCAGGAGAGCGTGGAATGGACGGAGTTCCAGGATTCCCAGGACTCCACGGAGAGCCAGGAATTCGCGGTCAACAAGGAGAAGTTGGTTTCAACGGAATTGACGGAGACTGCGGAGAGCCAGGTCTTGATGGTTATCCAGGAGCCCCAGGACTTCCAGGAGCTCAAGGAGAGACCGGATACGGATTCCCAGGACAAGTTGGATACCCAGGACCAAAGGGAGACACTGGAGCTGACGGACTCCCAGGCCAAGACGGATATCCAGGCAGAGATGGTCTTCCGGGAACGCCAGGATACCCAGGAGAGTCAGGACTGGCTGGACTTGATGGAACCCCAGGACAACCGGGATTGCCAGGAGAGCCCGGACTCGTTGGAATTGACGGAAAGAAGGGAAGAGATGGACCGCAAGGACCGGCAGGAGCCGCCGGTGTCCCAGGATACCCGGGAGAAGCTGGAGCGCCAGGAACCAATGGACTGGACGGATACCCGGGAGCCCCAGGAGATCAAGGATATCCAGGAGCACCAGGACAGAATGGACTTACAGGACCAAACGGATTCCCAGGAGAAGACGGTCTGGTTGGATTCCCGGGACTTCGTGGTGAGCATGGAGAGAACGGACTGCCAGGATTGGACGGAGAGTGCGGAGAAGAGGGAGCCCGAGGACTCGACGGACTTCCGGGATATCCAGGAGAGCCAGGAGCTGATGGTCTACCGGGACTTCAAGGAGGAAACGGATATCCAGGATTGGCAGGAGAGGTCGGAGAAGCAGGAGAGCCAGGACTTCGTGGACAGCCAGGAGAGCCAGGAAACCTTGCCTACCCAGGAACTCCAGGAGACGTGAGTTCACAACATTCACTATTATTATTCTTATTTTCTAATCCGTTTAGGTTGGATACCCCGGTCCAGATGGGCCGATTGGTCTTCCAGGACCAGACGGTCTTCCGGGATTGAACGGAGAACGAGGAGAAAACGGAGACAGCTATCCAGGAAATCCGGGAGTTTCGGGAGTTCCAGGAGATGCTGGATATGATGGTCTTGATGGAATCCCAGGACTCCCAGGTTATCCAGGAGTCACTGGAATGCCGGGATTGAAGGGAGAGTCTGGTCTGCCAGGACTGCCAGGAAGACAAGGAAACGACGGAATCCCAGGACAGCCAGGACTTGAAGGAGACTGCGGAGACGAAGGATTCCCAGGAGCACCAGGACAACCAGGATATCCAGGACAGCAGGGAAGAGAAGGAGAAAAAGGATATCCGGGACTTCCGGGAGAGAACGGACTGCCTGGACTGAGAGGACAAGACGGTCTGCCTGGATCGAAGGGCGAGAACGGAATGGACGGACTGCCTGGATACCCAGGAGCCCCAGGACAACTGGGATCACCGGGAGACGTCGGATATCCAGGAGCACCTGGAGAGAACGGAGACAACGGATTGCCAGGAAGAGAAGGACAACCGGGACTCCGCGGAGAGCCAGGACAGCCAGGATTGCCAGGATTATCAGGAAGAGATGGACAGCCAGGACCAGTTGGTCCAACAGGAGACGATGGATATCCGGGAGCTCCAGGACAAGACACCTACGGCCCGCCAGGACAGGCCGGAGACAATGGATACCCAGGACTCGACGGACTTCCGGGAACCCCAGGACTTGCTGGAGAGCCAGGATCGCCAGGACAATACGGAATGCCAGGACTCCCAGGAGTTCCAGGAGAACCAGGACTACAGGGATACCCAGGAGAGAGTGGTCTCGTTGGAATTGACGGAAAGCGTGGACACGATGGAGCTCCAGGAGCCCCAGGAGCCCCAGGACTGGACGGGGTTCCAGGACTCGAAGGAGACTGTGGAGATGATGGATATCCGGGATCCCCAGGACAGCCTGGAAGCAACGGATACCCAGGAGAGCGAGGAGTGCCAGGATTCCCAGGACAATCGGGACATCCGGGAGACGCTGGATATCCAGGAGCACCAGGACAGCCAGGAATCAAGGGACCACGCGGAGACGACGGATTGCCTGGCCGTGACGGACTCGATGGACTTCCAGGACGTTCCGGAGCACCAGGAGTGCCAGGACCAATGGCTCTCGATGCCAAGAATCCACCAGGAGAGCCAGGAGACAATGGATACCCAGGAGAAAAGGGATACCCAGGGTTGCCAGGAGATAACGGTGAGCATTAAACTGCAGTTTTCCTATTTGTTTTTGTGTTTATTTCAGGGCTTTCCGGACCGCCAGGAAAGGCAGGATATCCAGGAACGCCAGGAGTTGACGGATACCCAGGAACGCCAGGACTTTCGGGAACTCCGGGCAACGGAGGAGACCAAGGATATCAAGGAGAACGCGGACGTCCGGGACTTCCAGGACTTCCAGGAACCCCAGGATACCCAGGAACGCCTGGAGGATGGGCTCCGAGCCGTGGATTCACCTTCGCCAAGCACTCTCAGACCACCGCCGTTCCGCAATGTCCGCCAGGAGCGTCGCAGCTCTGGGAGGGTTACTCTCTTCTTTACGTGCAAGGCAACGGACGTGCTAGCGGACAAGATCTTGGTCAGTCAATAATTAACAATCTCTGTCTGAATTCCAGCTCTTTGCAGGTCAGCCAGGATCTTGTCTCTCCAAATTCAACACGATGCCGTTCATGTTCTGTAACATGAACAGTGTCTGCCACGTGTCGAGCCGCAACGACTACTCGTTCTGGCTTTCGACCGATGAGCCAATGACGCCGATGATGAACCCAGTGACGGGAACTGCCATCCGCCCGTACATCTCACGCTGTGCCGTCTGCGAAGTTCCCACTCAGATCATCGCAGTTCATTCGCAAGACACCGCGGTGCCACAGTGCCCACAGGGATGGTCTGGCCTCTGGTCCGGCTACTCTTTCGTCATGCACACCGCCGCCGGAGCAGAGGGAACCGGACAAAGTCTCCAGTCTCCTGGCTCTTGTCTCGAAGAGTTCCGCGCCGTTCCATTCATCGAGTGCCACGGAAGAGGAACTTGCAACTATTACGCCACCAACCACGGATTCTGGCTTTCCATCGTCGATCAGGTAAACTCTTTCTTATCCTCACTCATATCAAGTTCATTTCGTTCGCAGGACAAGCAGTTCCGCAAGCCAATGTCGCAGACTCTCAAGGCTGGAGGCCTCAAAGACCGCGTTTCCAGATGCCAAGTCTGTCTCAAGAACCGATAATCACAGTCACTTTCTCGCTATTATCTATTTATCTTTCTGCTACTTAAAACAGCCTATTTCATATGCAAGAGTTCCAGCTTTGACTGCCAACAACCGCCACCTTTTGTCTGTGTGATACATACCGTAATTTTGAATTCTCACCCCGACTTACTCTACATGGCATCGTTAATTTTTATTGCCTTTCTCTTAATTTTCCAATGCCTTCACCTTCTTCTTCTTCTTCTTTCTCCAAAAACTAATAAAACTCTGAATAAAGTGTTCCGAACAGTAAATGACGCTGCGTTTCGGGTCTCAAAGATCGCAATCTTGCCTCTTTTCCTCGCATTGCCCGTCCAAATCCTTCCCGAGATGAACAGCAATTTGTTGCGGATGCAGTTTTCCCGAGACGCCTGTCGTCCGAGTAGATAACATGCGCATAAATAACTGGTTTGTCTAACCTATATATCCTGGTATAAATTCTCCCGAAGACGGCGGCCAGCTGTTGTCATTGTCGTTGCTCTTCTTCTATTTCTTCTTCTTCTTCTTCTTCTTCTTCTCGTCCCGCCTGAAGTTCGTGTGATAACTGGCTTCGAGAAGAGGGCCGGTTTCCTCCGAATTTGCATCTTTTCTCACACGTTGATACACTCGCCGCCAGCCGAATCGCCGCAGAAACAGGAAGATGAATGCATGGATAATCAGTCGCCGACTGCCGTCTTTCGGGGGCATTTTCCTGTTCCAGGCAACAAAACAAAGTGTCACCGCTTCTTGTGATCCAAACTGAATGATTCGAAGTTTCTGATCAAAGAATTTTGGTGAGGTCGTTCAAGAAGTAAGCTGGAATCCTTGTGGATCATCAGAAACAGCAATCCCATCCACATCTTCGTATCATCATATCAATCACATAAAGATTTCCATTCCATTCGATGCTTTTCTGGTTGGCTAGGAACCACAGAAACACCGAAACAGTCCGGAATTCTTACTTTCCCTCCTTCTTTTCTTTCCCTGCAGATAAAGTTCGCATGAACTTGTCTGCCCATGCATCTCGATTTATCTTTTCCCTGAATTCCTTTTCTCGGGAGAAATCGTTCTTCGAACATCGCATATTCATTCATTTTCCCGTCGCTCGACCCCGTCTCGCAGCACTTTTTGCCCGTTCTCCGCTCAATGACGCGAATCGGATCGGCACCCGACCACCTGGAAAACTGAACGCTTTGCCGGTTAGCGGAAGGCGTCGCGCACGTGTCCGTTCACGGAAACAGGCGCGGCGACGAACTGATCGATTCGGCCAAAAACGGCCGCATCGTCTGCCGATCCAGGAGACGGAGACGTCGAGAAAAGCCGTCGTTGCCTGCGAAGAAAGAAAGACTTTCGATTTGCGAAATCCTCGGAAGACACTTTGTACGCCGCCGCCGCCTCCAGAAGAATACGGACGACCGGTTGTTGACGCACACTTCTGAAAGAGTAATCCCTTCTTGTCTCCGTAATTTATTCCCTTCTTCTCTTCGTTTTTTCGTGATCGTTCACCCCCAATCCGCACATTATTTCACATAATTAGTCAATGTTTTCCACTTGATCTACTTTCTGTTCCCATTTTCATTCAATGATTTTCAGGCCCAAAATGGAGCTGTCCGAGTTCTGGACAGAACTCAACACATTCACGATCTATGGGCCCAACCATACCGATATGACGACCAAGTACAGATATCCGTAAGTTTTTTAAAAAAATAATCTATAACACAGAAATTTTCAGATATCACTTCCCGTTTGAGCAAGTTGAAGATCCGCAGTTTTGGACACACCTTTTCCAGAAGTACTGGTACCATTCGGTCACGGTTTCTGTGCTTTACTTCCTCATGATTAAAGGTCAGAACGTTTTTAGCAACTTTTGCTGACTTCTTGTTTCGCAGCGATTCAAAAGTTTATGGAAAATCGGAAGCCGTTCACTCTCCGCTACCCACTGATTCTTTGGAATGGGGCACTCGCAGCTTTCAGCATAATTGCCACGCTACGGTTTTCCGTGGTATGTCTTCTAACGAACTTTGGCCAAGTGAAAGAGATATTCATTTCAGGATCCTCTCCGTTCGCTGTACGTCGAAGGATTCTACAAAACGTTGTGTTATTCGTGTCATCCGAATGACGTGGCTGCCTTCTGGAGTTTTGCATTCGCCCTCTCGAAGATTGTTGAGCTGGGGGACACGATGTTCATCATTCTGAGAAAGAGACCACTCATTTTTTTGCATTATTATCATCACGCAGCCGTGCTCATTTACACTGTTCACTCAGGCGCTGAGCACACAGCCGCCGGTCGTTTTTACATCCTCATGAACTACTTTGCTCACTCTCTCATGTACACTTATTACACGGTTACTGCCATCGGATACAGACTGCCAAAATGGGTTAGTTTTATTTGCCATTTTCTAACAAAAATCTTAAATTAAAGGTTTCGATGACTGTGACCACTGTTCAAACAGTTCAAATGCTCGCTGGAGTCGGAATAACTTGGATGGTTTACAAGGTGAAGTCCGACTACAACATGCCGTAAGTTGTCCGATACCCCAGCTTTCCGAACGTTTCTCCTTTCCAGTTGCCAACAGTCCATGGCCAATCTCTACCTCGCCTTCGTCATTTACATTACTTTTGCCATTCTTTTCATTCATTTCTTCGTCAAATCATACGTTTTGAAGTCCTCCAGAAAATCGGTGAAGAAAGATTAATTATACGGATAAAAGCTGCCTTTTTGCTCCTCAATTATTTTCTGTCTTGCCAATAAATTACATATTTATGATAATTTAAAAAAATTGGATAGATATCAAGCCTTTGGCTGAATAGCTCCCTTCTCGATCAGATCTGGGATCTCGACAGCCATCCACGGTCCGAGCCCTAGGGCGAAAGCGTGAGCGATCCCGAATTTGGGTGTGTTTCTGGCCCACAAGGGCTTGAAATGTTCCGATAGGCAGATCTTTCCACCGCGGTACATCTGTAATGATTTTTCCATCGAATGGTTGCACACAAAAATTATTAACCTTAGCAGTCTTTCCATCCAATTCTGGCAGGGCGATCTCCGGAGCTGTCACCGGATACGTGATTGGAATGTCGAATTCAACGTCAAACTCGTACTTGACCATGTTATGGAAGTACCAACACTTCCCGAACCATTTGGTACCAGTTTGGTTAGATTCCAATCTGAAAAATCAAATTAATCTTTCTGAACGCATTCCAACGGGACAACTAACTTGAACCAGTCTCTGTCACTCTCCTTATTGTTCTTGACGGCGGCGATGATGGATTCGTATTCTTCCTGCAGCCAACTTAGGAATAATTTGATTCTGCTCGATTTAAAACCTACTTTCAGCCTTTCAAGCCACAAATCTCCATCTCTTGGACTCGCTTTCGTCTTGCACAACGGGATTGCCCTCAAACTAGACTTCGTTTGCTCATCCATGCCTGAAAATTGAATGTTCGTTGGAATTTGAGGGACCATAGTGGAAGGTGAGAACAAGAGCGGATGTCTTTGTAGAAAAAGGCAATCTCAAAAGTATTACAAACAGTGGGAGTGCATCAAACAAGGCGAAAACAGCGGAAAAATAATTATTGTGTTGGAACTTTGTGCAATTTGACGTCGCGGTGTTTATCTGCGTACACCACCCAACATTACACGACAAATGTTTCTTCCGCTTCGTGAGAAGCGGGACTCAACGATCAACAAAACAGAAGAAAGAAGATAATGCTCGGTGTAAAGATCATAAAAACAAACAAATTTTCCTCAAAAACTGAACTGTATAGCTGAGCCTCCGGCTCCTCGAAAAAAAGCAAAACGACGGTGAAACACTAAACATTTTTATTGGACAAAGATTGAAGATTCGAACGAAAGTTTAAGTGCGTGTGAGAGTCTATTTAATGGAGGCAATCGCGGGTTTCTCCCGGGAACGATCCGGCCAGTTGAATGACTCCGGCGTCATAGATTTTCCTGGCCACCTTTCCGGAGCTAATGTAGCTATCCGGAATCTTGATGGTGAACTTGCGCTGGCAGGGCTTGATTCCGTCGTTGCAGTCGTGGTAGATGTTCAATTTGGGGTCGATCGGAGTGACCTCATCCTCGTGTCCAGCGATCTCGAAGTCTCCATTAGCGTTCGTCTTTCCGGAGGCCATCAGATCATCAGCGTCCACACCTGGAATCTGACGTTCCGGATGATTTCAGACACTCAGAATACCTCTGTCATCGTCGTACAACTTGACAAGCACTCCGACTGCCGGCTTTCCGTTACAGATGAGTTTTCCACGGACTCCAGCGGACTGCGTGTTGCCGATGAGCGCCGAAGACAAGGAAACGAAACAGAGAAGGATGAGAAGCTTCATTCTGGAAATATAAAAAATTTTAGGAAAAGATGGGAAACTGAGAAGAGATTGGAGCGAGTCGGAATGAGCCATCAGGGACCCGATTAATCACTAGGACCCTCCCCTTTCTCTCTTGAACAACATGTTGACGAGGAGGAAGTATCTCAAGCTGAGAAGGAGAAAAAGCGAGAGAAAGAGAAGTAGTTTTACGTATTTGATCGGTGGACGAGTCAAGATGAGTGGATTTGTTTCCATAGGAATTGGGGGATTACGGAAAAGAGCAAACAACACCTGAAAATGGATTACGAAGCAGATTACAAATCAGAAAAGATACCGGAGGAATGTATGATCAGAGTTCCGTCCCCTGCATTTTATATTACTCTCCCGCACACTCTCCCTTTTGTATTTTCCCTTTTTGTTCGTCATGACGACCCGAAACAAAAAAAGAAAATAAAGAAAAGAAAAGCAGAGTCATCGATTATTCATCCCCTGAAACATCACTTTTCTTTTCTTCCTATTTCCCGTTTTGTCCAGTCCCAACAATGCCCTCTTCTCGCAATTTCGATCTGGAATACGATGATTACAAAGAGCGGAGGAATGCGGCTGGAATGGGAAGTCGGGCGAGCTCCAGGAACGGAAGATTCAAGCCGATCGACGCGGAGAAAGAGAAGAAGAAGCAGGAAGTCGGAGAGTTCGGACTGTGAGCTGTTATTATTTTCTTTGAAATCATCTCAAGTTGGTTTTCAGCCCCAGCAACGAGTACCAAATGCAGGGATACAAAGAGAAAAGATCGGACGTGGGAGCGGACGCGCTTGCCTCCGTGCGAACCCTCAGAAACAATCTGAGAGTGATGTCGCTGGAGCATCGAGACAAGGACGAACCGGTCAAAGCTCATTTGTGTCAGTCTGCTTGCGACGACCTTTCGAAAGCCGAGAGGCAACTGGTGGAAATGAGTCACCGACGGAGTGATGCCGTGGTCAGAGGAGACACGAAGCAAGTGGAGAAGATTGCGGCGGACATGGACAGGGTAAAGTCGGACGCGATTCGGAACGCATACTCTGATTTGATGATGGATGACGGGACGATGAAAGCGTTCGGAGTGAATTCGAAGTGGACTCCCGATAAGAACCCGATGCCGCCGGATGACTGGAAGCCGATGACTCCGATGAAACCGAGAAAAAGAGCAGAAACGCCGAACGGAAGAAGGACGGAGAGCCGACAGAGTGTCCGCGGAAACAATGATAACGGAGAGAGACGGATGAGCACGAGATCGGCGGAGAGAAGAATCATTCCGAAGGAAGAGACTAAGGTAGAAACAAGATAAAGGGTGAAGAGAAGAGGATGTTTCAGCCGAAACCCATCCGGAAGAATCAACGGCTTTCGGCAGTAGGTCGGGAGCCGGAAGCGATCCCAGTGGAGACTCCCTTGCTGAGTGGTTCCACTGTTCAGGACGATCCGTACAAAATGCCAACTTATGTTGGGTGAGTTTTATTCGATTTGTCCGTCCCAAAAGAATGTTCAGAAAATGTCCACATTGTCAGGTGACTGAGAATGGATTGGGAAGATCTGGAGGAATGGAGAAACACTATTCAAGGTACTGTAAAGTGATGACAAGCTGCAAGTACTGCATGAAGTTGACTATGGTTAGAACAAAATGAGACTTTTCTTCTAATCGCTGTCCAGTATTCTAGGTCTCCCAACTAACAGATCACATGATTTATCGATGCGAATTTCTGTTGGATACAATGGAAGCGTGTAACGAGTGCGGATTGGCGATGGACAAGGAAGATCAGAGGAGAGGAGCGGGCCATCCGATGTGCAGAGGTCGGAGACCGCCTTCAGGGGCACAGTGGTGTCCGTTGTGTACGATTGCGGTGGAGGATAATGAAGAGGTGACACAATTGAGCGCATCTTTCTGAAGAATTCGTGTTCAGGGCTGGCGGGAGCATCTTACGAGCAACTGTTATAATAATCCGAGACGCGACGGTCCGGAGAAGGATCCATGGGAGATGAAGCAGGAACAAGACGACATACTGTAAAGTTCATGAAGTTCCATAAAAATGAATGCATGCGTTTTCAGTAGAAAAGCGAGAGAGAGGAAGCAACGTGAGAAAGAGGAAGAAGAAGCACGGAAACGAGCAGAGGAAGCCAGGAAACAGCAACAAGTGATGGTCAATAACAGTGGATATCCCGGAAAAATGATCGACGCCGATAAACTGGTAGTGGCCCTTCAGGAGATCCAGGAGAAGAAGAAGGCGGAGAAGAAGAAGCGGCTGAAGGAAGTAGAGAAAGAGAACACTGCTACTTGATCTTTCATTTCACTAATACATTTATGCCCGATTCATTAAAAAAGATTCTCGGATGTGTTCCTTCGATCGGCCTGTAGTCGTCCTTGTTCTGCGGACACCCGTCATCCGCCCATCTGCTGATGTCCATGTTGAAGTAGTGCATGTGATCGGGAGTGGAGAGGTTTTGCACTTGACTACTGCAAAGTCGAAAGATTTCATTTATTACTTCTTTTTCGATAAACAAACAACCTGCAAAAGGGCTGATCAGTTTGTTCGCAAATCAGAAAAGGGTCGCCTTCTCGCATGTCGTTGTCGTACCAAACTTCAGTTCGCGGGTGATAAAGTGCAATTTGATCAATGTTATCATAAAACGGGACTCGCGGCGCGTAGTCATGTGCATGAATGATATGGTAGGAATAGGGGAACTGCGAAACACCGTTGGATGTTATCAGTTGGTTTTTCGGTTTCACTCACATGCATACTGTGCCACAGAGCGAATTCATAGTCGGTGCATCGAGGACAGCCGAGCAGGATCACCTTCATGTTAAACGGATGGCTCATTCCTGTTTGAGCGATGAACGCAGAAGTGATCAGAGCGATCGATGCGCCCATCGAATAGCCAGTGACCTGGAGAAAAGGATGGAAAGATGGAAACGAATCCAGCACACCCAAAGCTCATATTCTGGGTACAAATCTAGAAGAATCTGCAGATCTTCCCCCACTCCGCTGTCCCAAATCGAGTAAAAGTTGTCGGAGAACACTTTAGTCACCCGTCCGATGTTGAAGAACGGCACAGTGCCGCTGAAAACGAACGTTTTTGAGTAATCACTATGACAGTTGCTACTTGTTGTTGCCAATTTTGTACAAATCGTAGTACTGATGAGTTCCATGCGAACCACGGAATGTGACGGAGACGACTTTTCTCGAGTGATCGAATGCAGTGTATCCGGAGCAAGTGACATCGGAGAAAAGAGAGGAACAGTTGGATTCGCGGCGTTTGTACACTGTCATTGTGGGTAGATGATTGCTGGATTCATTAAACTCTGAGAGGTTGGTTGGGTGACTGAACGTACTCAAGACATGTCTGCGGATCATTGCTTCTGGCTGCTGCCACCACTGGAACTATCGTATACCTGACGAACTCATCGTCGTAAGAATACTGTAGGCCAGGCAGCGAAGGGCAGTTCAAGAGCAACTGAATGACGTATTCAGAAGAAGCACGTGACAAGATTAGAACTTACATCAACGAGTTTCGTGCAGTTTGTCCTATCAGGCTGCCCGACGCACTTGTTGTCTTCCAAACAAAACCTGCAATTGCACCATTTGCATTGCTTGCATCTTTCCCCGTAAACAGACTGTGCTCCCGCCTGCTGCAAACATTGCCAGCAGTCTTTGGCTGAAAGTCGCAGAAAGAGGTGAAGAAGGAGGTAAGCGGCCGGAGAGGGAGGCATTCCGAGGGTGCCAGCACTGCCGAATGACTGCCAGAACCATTGATAAAACGGTTTATCAGAGAAAACTTGCGAGAACCAGAGAATACGGCGCTTTATCATCGCGGCTTCGACTTGTCTACAAAAACTCAGTCTCCACGTTCAAGCCGACGTGAAGAAAGAGAAATGGCAAATTGTTCGCGGTGCCTGAATTAAGTCTTTCCCGGTCGCAATGCAAGAAAAACGACCTGGATTAGAACATTTGTAATTATACTCATTTTCAGGATATTTGTTTGCGTCCAATGCTCCACGCCTATCAACTACAAGGATTCATCCAATTGAAGTTTACAGGCTCGTCAAATATTCAATTCGGAAGACGTTCAATCCGAGAAGTTGAAAAACCGGCGGATCGATGATTCACTGCTTTTGATGGTGGCGATTGGAAAGAATTTGACAATTAACAATGAGCTCGATTAACAAGAAAACCAAAATTCGACGCGGAGACGTATATACTGTGCCCTGAAAGAGTTACGAATCGCTTCGGGCCGATTACGATCGTTACACAGTGGTCATTCCGGAACTGAACGAAAAGCACCCGATCGATCAGCTCATCTCGTTCTTCGACCGTTTCAACGTGGACATTCGTCGCGAGGACGAGTTCACCCGATGTTTGGCGTGCAACTCTCGACTTTTGGTCAAGATTCCCAGCCCAGTCCTTCATTTTCTTCATCAGTACTGTGTCATCCACGTACAAAATGTTTATCGGGTGGACATGTATCAATTCCCCTTAGAAGGCGAGTCCAGACACGCGAACAAAAAGAAACCCGTTTGTTATAGACTGGTGGAATGAGATGCTGGACATTGATCCGAGAGATTACGATGGTGTCAAAGTGGAAATGAGCCGTCCAACGCCTGAGAGCAATTGGATTGTGGCCACGGTCCCCACCGGATGTCTTCATATCACGTAAGCTTTTGCGAAAAGTTTCGGGCTCTATAGAAAGAAGGAAAAACTGAAAATTGTGAGAAAAGGAAGGTACATTATTGGAAGCGGGACTTGAGTTGACGGTTGAGTTGCATTGCGAGGAATCCAAGTCCCAGCTGTAAGAGAGTTTTTGTGATTCTTCGAGGGGTCACTGTTGCATACATGTTTCCAAATTTGACACAGTCCAAGCATGTTTGAGCAGTGTTTAATGGAACGAATAACAGGAAAAGAGTTAGAGAAACGTGCATTTTCACTTGAAAATTGCAAATAAAAGCTATTATCAGAAGAACGAAATCAAATGCGATTGGCAGTTTCACGGCCGATACTTTATAATAAACATTCATATGAAATGGAGCAGGAGATCATTCAGATGAGATTCATGGCTGAGCATACGCACTGATGTTAACAGGACATCCAGCATGGCCCCAGCTCGGAAGATTAATGTTGAAGTAATAGAGATGATCCTCCGGATGCGCAGTGTTATTCACCTTGTTGCTACAGTAATCTCCGTCCGATTCCGGGCAAATCTCGAATGGATCGCCGACATTCATGTAGTTGTTGTACCTGAATTCTCTATTATTTTATGAGGGCAAAGACTATTAGCATAGCTCACCAGACTTCGGTTCTCGGGAAGTAAAGTGTCGAATTGGTGACTGCGTCAAAGATTATCTCTCTGGAAATAGGGTCGTAGCGGTGTAAAATGTGGAAGTTGTATTCGAACTGAAATTAATAAATTTTATTGACAGTCTTTGGTCTGTGTTCCTCACAGTAGCAGTGTGCCACGCGGCAAAGTTGTAGTCTCCGATTCTCGCGGCGCCCATCACAACCACTTTCATATCGTCCGGTTTGTACAGGTCAATGTCGACCACATAACTGGAGGCGGTGTAAGCGAGCGACGCTCCGAGAGAGTGACCATTCACCCACAGTTCGTAGTTCGGGTACTTGTACTTGAGATGGCGCAGATCTTGGCTCATTCCGCCGTTCCAGAGGTACATGAACGAATCATAAATAACTCTGAATATTTTTCCGTTGGTCTTTGTAAAGTATGACTTGATTCCGCTGAAATTCCTCTTCCAATGTCCAGCAGACGCCTTCCTCACTCACTATTTGAGCATGCCTTCGTGGTAGTCTTGGATCTGATCCGGTCCATGCGCTCCTTTGAATGCCATCACAATTGCTCTTCTCTTCGTGTCGTAAGCAGTGTACCCGACACAAGTGACATCCGAATAGTTTGTTGAGCAGTTGACAGTACGGATTTGATACAACTTCATCGTCGGAATTTGGTTGCTGAAGTGCCGCCAGAATGTGTCTAGTTGTGACTTGTGAAGTGAAATTTGCGATCATATAACGTGTCATAAAACGGAGAAAGACACAAAGATTAGACCCACTTGAAGCACAGCTGAGGATTCTCGTTTTGAGCAGCCGTCGCGATGACCATCATCTCCGATCTCATGAATTCGTCGTCGTATCCGTATCGGGGAGCAGTAGGACAGTTCAGTGGAACCTATGACACATCAGAATATGGGAAAGGAATAATGAACTCACATCGATAGAAGTTGGGCATGTTCCAGCAGTTGCATTGCACACGGAAGTCTCGACGCACCATCTGAAACATCCCATAGATAAAAAAAAATCCTAAAGCTTCGCCCCAACTACACCTAAAGATCCCTCCATTAAATCTCTCATAAAGTTTGATTTATGTAACGTACACTCTGCCGGAACCAACACAATCCGCACAATTTTCTGCTCGGTTAAACTGCACAAATGAAACAAGTATGAAGAGGAAACGGAGCATTCTGGAGTGGAATAGACACTTTGCCGAAGCTTATCACACTTGTCCGACTCGTTTTATACACTCTTTTCTTATCAGCCAAACGTCACTTTGTGTCTGCCAAAGTTCGGAAGCCCACTTATCCACTTCATTAGGCTCCTTTTCCTTTGTTTCCACTTGAAACTTTCCCTCCCGAATCCCGTTTACAGACATCTTTTTGGCGGATTTCGAGTGGTCCCCAGTCCAATTACCCGTCTCTTCTCTCCCGTTTTATGCGGGCCACCACTCTGCAAAACCTCCATTTCGTTTCCGTTTTCTGCATATCTCGTAGATATTTGAACAACTGACCGCCTCGTCCAAATGCTAATGCGACCTGTTTCGTTTCATGAATTCCCAATAAGTTTCCTCGTCTTCTCGTGACGTGGCATCGTCTGTTTGCACTTGCCAATTCAATCAAAGACGTCATTTGCAGGGGCCGTAAATTTCGGGTCATGAGGATGCACCCAAACCGCTTCCGGCCCTTCCCGGGTCCAACACAGAGTCTAATGCGGATTCATTCTGGATCCTGTCCGCCAGTTTCAGTTCTCTTATCCAAAGTTAACAAAATTAACAAAGCTGGAATGATTGCGCCTTCTTTTTTCTTCTTTTTCGCCGTCTGTCATTCACACTCTTTCCCAAACAAACGCTGCTCTTTGGATCGGTTTTCGGACTGCTTATCCACTTGAAAGTGCTCCTCCTCCTTCCCCATAAATTATTAGATTTCGTTTGGAAGATGCGTCGTCGAATTCTTGTCGTTTCCTTATTCTCGCCCCTTTTTCTTCCCCCTCTCAAACGTTTTGTCCATTCTTCTGAACTCTTTTGATCCCCGCTCATCAATTTGCACAAACGTCTTCTCGCATCACATTTCAGTTTCTCCGTTCTCTCCCGGAAAGCCGTCCGGAGCTCCTTCGTTTTGCTCCAGGAAGTGACCACTCCTTATTAATAACTCACTTGGTTTTCTCCTAATTGGGACGCCTCCCCTCTCGGTTCAAATTGCTCTGTTTACGTGGAATTTCTGATTTTTCGATTTCACGACGTTGCAATAACGGACTTCTGGAGCTGTCCCCCGGTTCCCTAGACTCTTTGTTATCTCACTCCGAAAGTACACATCTCATAATTACTTTAATAACTTTGTTCTTTGTTCGTTTACGGAAGTCATTTAATAGAGGCAGTCTCGAATTATTCATCACAAAGATCTCTTTCTCTGATTATAATCCAAACATAGAATCTGCCGTCGCAACAGTCAGAATACGTGATCACTTCTTCCTCTAATGGATTACTTTTTCCTTATTGTGTACTTTTTTCAGAACGAAAACAACGCGTGATCCTTCCGTCCCTTCTTGCTCAGGTTCTTCATAATGGTGAGTTGAATGAATCGTGCAAATGCGAAATGGGTCAAACGGCCACGACCCGGCTCTCTCCTTTCGTAAAACACGTGAACGACGCGACAGATTCGGTAATTAAATGGAAGAAGAAACGGAGAAGGAGAGCGCTCTCTTTTCTCCAAAACGGCTGGTCATTCTGGTGTCCGGCGGGCCCGTCCTCATTTGATTTCGACACCCAACCCGCTTTGTTTCTTTTTTTGCTCCGATACTTCCGTCCGTTTGAGACGGCCTTCTGGGCCAATAGATTATGCAAAGAATTGACGTGGCGTCGGACAGTTCTCTCGGCAGAGACCGTGGGAGTTTGTTAGTCGAACGCATCACTGTTGCAACTGTTACTTTGTTATTTTGTGTGACCATCGCTGATGTTTATCATATTTCTAAGTGTTTAACTTACTAGTACTTTTGGAAAACTCTCAGGGTGATACAGTAGGATATGCTGAGTCGAAATGTGTTGTCAAAAGATAAGGTCACCTGAATCTTCAAAGTCAAATCCTATAGTACAAAATGGCAAACGCAGCAATTATCATTTGATCAGTTAAATTTTGCTCTACACGATTTGGCTAGAACAACTAGAGTCCGAACCTAAGAAGGTTAGCTAAAAAAAACGTTCCTTGGCAGATGCTCCAGACGTTCACATCCTTCTGCCATCTGTTCCGTTTCCTTTCCAGACGATGTGTGAATTCCCTTTTTCTTTCATTTTCCTCATTTTCTTCCTTTCCGAGTGAGCCCAGCTCGTCCACCGTGCCCTTTTTCTCATCAAGTTTCTAATTATCCGATTGTTCCAACAAAGTCTCTGCGCCTCCGCTCTCTCCGCTCTTCATCACTTCAGTAATGTTTGAGAAAGTGTCAAAAACGGCAGAGCAGCTTGCTCAGGGGCTCTCCCCGATCTCATCACTTCGATTCAACGCCATATTGTATTTCCTTTCATTTCGTGCAGCAAAGTAGAGTTTGCATACCAAACCACACGAATAAAAAGAGTTGAAAGTTGTTATTCTGTTTATAGAAATGCATGTCGCCCGTGGTGTGCACCGGTGTGCAAATTGGCCAAAAAATTGAATAAGTTGGACGTGGTTTATGTGATTAACAGACCGCGATTCCTTTATTTTCCCGGTGGAAATTGGCCGTTTCGTCTCGGGAAATGATCCGAAAAGTGGAGAAGAATAGGAGGAGAGTGACCGGTTGGAAGGTCGACGGACAATTAGAAAATCGTCGACGCAATTGGTTCTTTTTTGAATTTGGACTGCTTCCGAACTGAAGAATGTTGGAAGATGTCCCTTTTCGGATCATTGCGAAACTCACGAGATTCATAACTCTTTGCAAAACTTTTCTCATTCGGAAAGTGATTACCGGAAACAGTTCATGATGTTTTATGATATGCCATGACATGTCATTATTCGGGAATACCTCTTTCTTTTCGTTCTTTAGACTGTCTCCGTTCTTCGGGAGCCACGTGCTCTTCGCTCAACTGTTACCTTCGTATTCTTGATTCAATTTCAGCTGGTTTATGTTTTGGTTTAATATTCATTCGTATTTTTCCGAGAAAGTCGTTTCACGTGTTAAAAAAACTACTAGCTCCGTGCGTCCGCCCCTTCTGATCCAATCAGTTGAAACCCGGAAACGTCCCTTTCGCCTTTCCGGCCTTTTTTTCTGAAAAAGGGCAATTAATGTCCGAATTAGTGTAAATTAACGTCCTTTTCTTTGCTGTCTTTTTCTCTGCCATATTTCCCTTCGCTCCCATTTTGTTTTATAAAAAAAGAGAGACGAAGGGCTTCATCGCCCAAATGTTTTGAATTGCCACGTCATCGCTTCTGAGATGCCCTTTATAACGTCGCCTCCTCCGCCGCCTTCTGCTACTTCAGTCGCCTCAGGCAAATAAGTTGATTAACTTCATTTCGACTTCTGCCCCACGTGCAAAATCTTCTGACGGACCATCGACTGAAGGTCTTGCACGGCTCCATCTCTTTCCGACATCTTTTGATTTGTGAGCAACTCAAGCGCCATAATCGAATTCACTTTGGCGTTGCGAAGAAAAAATAACATCAAGGATATAATATAAAACAATCTCACCTCTCAATGTTTCCTTTCCGTTTCCTCCTCGTCCAGATTGTTCTCTTTTTGCTACAACGGGAGGCGAGAGCTGGGAAGGAAGCATCCAAAACTTGTCAAACTTTTTTTTTTTTGAAAGCTGAGCCACTTTTGGAGTTTGATTGGTCAGACACCATGCAAATAAAACACGGAATTGCCCCTTCCTATCCTTGCATATCCTCGTCACTTCGAACCTTTCCACCGGAGGGCTTTGTCAAATGTCGGGGCTCAGAACCATCGTGCTGTTGCTTAGTGTTAATCCCATCGTTTTCCCTTAGTATCCATCATATTCCTCATCTTTCACTTCCTCCGTTTTCTCTTTCGAATTCCCAAAAAGCGTCCATTCTGCGGGGCGCCGATAATGGAGGTGAAAGTTCGGTTGCAATCCGATACACGGGCGGGAGCCTCTTTTCTCTTCCTGAGCGACCACCAAATGTAGGCGTGGCGGCGTAGTGTTTCCAGACATTTTCGCTCCAAAACAGAACGCATCTGCACTCTCCTGTCCCTTCTCACTCTCCCCATCCGAACGCCTGCAAACGTTCTTCGTTCAGATTCTCATGGAAGATGTCGAGGTCCAGCAGATGGACAGAGTCGCCGCCATCGTCATATTCCTGGTAAGATTTTTTATCCTTCCTTCTTTTTGCAACATTATCACTTACATCTGACTTTCAGACAAGTTTCATTGGCTTTGTGTGCAACACATTCATCGCCTGCTACATCAAACGTCTATCGTTGCTCCGTAATTCATTCGGACGTCTTCTGCAACTTCAGGCGGCCGGAGATGCTGTATTTGTGCTTGTTTGGGCTTTCTACTTTGCTCCAGTCCTCTTTTTGTGAGTCTTTCTCTCCCGTAAATGACTTTTACAACGACTGGTCTGGCCCGACGAAATTTGAGATTTTGGGAGCCCGTCGTTGATGATGCCATGAGCGGAAGTGCGACTCCGTCGGAGCGTATTCAGTTTCCAGAAAACGATACTTCACATTTTCAGCGACATTAAACCGCTGCAGTCATTGGGAATCGCCTCCAGATTCGCACAATTATGCCTCATTTGCTACGACATCTCCATCTACACTCATCTCGTTATTTCACTAAACAGGTTGGCTCCAGAAGTTGCCCATCGTTTTCTTACAGTACAATTTCAGATTCATATCCTTGTACTTCCCGACGAGTTACCAAACGATATTCACGGAGAGGTTCACGACAGTCCTCGTCTGTGCAATCATCCTTATTTCTTTCGGGTTCTCCTGGTTTCTCATCATCGGTACAGTACTTTAATTGATTGGAAATCCTCCAATTCTGTTTCAGTTGACTGTCGAATGGGATTCTCGATCCCGAGATGGATGCTCGATTATGTGAGCCCTCCATGCGAGATGATCAACGTCTATTACGCAGAGTTCTTCCGGTACTCCCTTTTCCACCGTAATCCTTCTAACGACATTGTTTCCAGGGGCCTTATCGTCATTTCGATGTTCGCCATCACCAACAGCTTTACTTTCTGCCGAATGCACATGCACAACCGGAAGAAACAGTCGGCGTCGACGTTCGAGACGACGCAGCAGAAGAAGCGGAGGGCTGTCGAGACTGCGTTTGTGCAGCAAGTGACGTTGCAAGGCCTGCTCTACGTCATCGAACTCGTCACTTACTTCTACATCTCCAACAGCTTCCCGGTGCCTCTGGACCCCGAACTTCTGTACCAGTCTCCCAACCGATGGCCCAATTTTCTTCTGACCACGTACGCCTGGATACTCGTACACACTCTCGACGGGTTAGAATCTGAAACTGTAGAATGAACCTCAATCAAACCGTTTCAGAGTGATCACTTTGATATTCAACAAACAGTTCCGGAGTGTCTTCCGTCATCCATTCAGGTCTCAAGTCACGATGAACGTCTCCAAAACTCCATCGAGGTGAGCGAAACTTCCTTTCTTCCAAATAGTTTTCCCTTGTGATTTTTCCCTATTCCAACCCGTTTCAGGAGTCTGGGTGGCGGCAAAGAAAACATGCCGGTTATCATTTTATGAGAGTACAATTGTTATTTTATCCGTCTTTATTACCAGTTATCGTATTTCGGGTCTCCTTGGTCAGTTATCCGTCCGCCCGTGCAGTCCGTCCTTTCCCTCTGCTTCTTCATTCCCTTTCTCAGATTTCATCTGTTCTTGAGCACATTCTTACCCAAACACACATTCAGTTTTCTTTGTTACACTCTTTTCTTCCCTCTCGAACGATTTTCTTTGCAGACGCAGTCGATTTGTGACCAACCGAGACGATTCGAATCGGAAGAAGAGCTCAATCCTCGCGTGTACGTTTATTTCAAACTCGAACACTGGATTCGGATCTTCCGTTCACGTCTGATCCCATTCCCTTTTAATCATGATCTCCTTTTGATTTAATCAATCACAACCAAAGAAAACTATCGCCAAACGCAAAACAAAACGACTCGGTTATCAGCTTTATAAATACGAGTTAAGATAACAAATAAACACATTTCGTTACATTTGTTGTGAGACCACGTGGCAGAGTACTCGTAACACAGTTCGGGGCACTTTTCTCGCGACAATGAAAGCTTCTTCGGTAAGTAGTGGGACAGAGCACTTCGGGAGGGCTCAGACGACGTTCTGCGGGTTCTCAGACTGCTCGGCCTCGTCGTCGTCGAAATCCGCTTCGACTTCTTCCACTCTCACATTTGGAAGCCGTCCGTTCTTCCGATTCGGACTGAATAACAGACGGGCTGTATCGTAGTCAACCTGAAAAATGTTGAGTTTCTACATTACTGACCCTCTCACAAGTGCTCATTTTGTGCTAATCCATCTTTGAGCACACGACTTACTTCGAGTTGCACTTTGATTCCTCCGGTCCTTTTCGGCGATTTTTTTCCCACTGGAATCTTTTTACCCTCGTTGTCTCTCATTTTTTTGGAAGACGACGAAGTGGAGCGATGTTTTCTTTTCCCGAGCGGAGAAGAGATTGTAGCCGGATTAGAAGGCGTCGACATTGTCTGAAACTCCCCTGTCAAGTGGTAATCCGGGCAAAAGTCACTGACCGAAATGGACCTGCCGCCGTTCAGAAGGTTCTGTGTTTCTGCGAACGGCTCATCCGGAGCTATTGTGATGTTCGTCACATTCTGCTTTTTTTGAATCTGCTTCAGAATCTCTTCTTGGTCATCCCGGAAGCGGTTCGCCACACTGACCGACTTATTCTGGAAGTCGAAACGTCGAAAATTAACTCTTTTTCTGAAAATGTCTAACCTGCAACCGATCGTTCTTAAAGTCCTCTTGCATGATAGAGCAATACGTGAAATGCACTCGTTTCCGGTATCGCCACTTGGAATTGTTCAGCGCTTTCCTGCAATACTTCCTGCCGCATTACCACAAACGAGAATCAAAACATACCGAAACTTTCTGACGTCCCACATGAAATTATAAACTTGAACTGTGATAATTCGGAGGAACATTTGAACGAACAGGAATATGAGTGATATGATGGCGACGAATCGAATCAACAACGGATTCTTGTCGCAGTAGATCAGCTCTTCGTTGTATCCTCCGAAGTCGGCGGCGAGAGCGAACGCGGCGTCGAGAAGGAGAAACACACACGTGGCGTACTGGAAAAAGAGCTGGAGACGGAGCAGACGGGCGTTCCGTTCCACTATTGAGATCACAAATACGACCTGCAAACAAGGGTTTGTTGACGATATTTTCGGAGATTGAACGTACTTTGAAAGAATAGAATATTGCATATTGGAGTGCGGTGAGGTAGAATACAACTAGAGGCTTCGAATAAACATCACACCAAGGCAGAAATATGGCGTAATGAAGCATGACGGCCAAGAAACAGATCAATGCGAAGCTGCACTCGATTATACAAACGAGAAGAGCCCTAAAAGATTCGGAATGCGCTTGGCAGATCGTTGAATTCTGACCAGGAGGGCGTCGCTGGAACTGCAAATGGCTTCCAGAAAAAGGGCATTTGATATCGGTGCGAGGAGGGGTCGAATCGCTCGGCGCCGACCTGCTCGTAGACTTCCAACGGTGTGTTTATGGGCCACGGAAACCTCATTTCTGAAAATGAACTGATCTTTGCATGTATTCTTATTCTCTGGTCCTGAATTCAGATCAATTCAGATCACTGGACACATTCTTCTTCTCCTGCTGTTATCAAATTATCAGACCAAATCAAAGTCTTTCGCTCCTTCTCTTTCTTTCCTATGATTCATCTTTCTCTCTCTCTCTCTCTCTCTCTCTCTCTTTTTCTCTTCTCCCTTCCAGATCAGATCTGCAGCTTGCAGCTGACTACACTTTTCCTTTCCCTCCAATTTTCATTGTCCACTTTCATTCTTTGCCCACAACTTTTTCATCGGAACACGCGTCACACCTGATTTTTCTGATTGATATAGATTGCGACTTTGGAAAGTGTAAATGATTGAAAAGGGACGAAAGAAGACGCGAAAGTGGAGAAGAGCAGTGGAACAAAACACAATTTGGAAGAAAGAGGACCGGAGGATTAGGAGAAGCCTGGGAAACTTGCGGCAAATGGACCCATTTCGGGAATGGAATCAGCTCGTGACTGACTGACTCATTCAAGTGTTTGGTGCTCGAGTCTGCAAATGCAGAGACTGCTTCCATGGGAAACTTTCAAGAGATGCAATGGGCCCATGAACCACATTTACCGTAAATACTTCAATAGAAGGGCAACTCAATATCGTCTGTATCTCAACTGCTGCTAGAGATGTCAGAAAGTGATATATTGATGAAATGTGTGAAATGTGCAAAATGTGTTCCTAGGCAATTTATCAGTTAACAACGTTTTGATATATTTTCTAGCAACTGAGGTATATCGTCCTGAATGAACTGTAGGTAAGCGTTCACGTGGCATTCAAATCTTTTTTATTGCATTGTCTACGAATATCACATTCCTTCCAAAAAGAAGATAGCCCGCAAATGATCCGAATGTTAATTTATCTCTTTTTTATTTCTGCGCCTCTCCTCTGCCCGCACTCTTTTTCACTCCCAAATTTCCCTTTTTTATTCACACATTCGACCCGCTTGCAAACAAACAAGTTTCGCTGCTTTTGATTATCTAATTGCTGCTGCTAATGGTTGACTTCTTCTCCTTTTCACTCACGTTTCTCGTCGCTCAAATCGCTCCACAACTGGCTCCAATCCTTCTTGAGCCGTCGTCGAAACCTGCGGAACCGACCGCCGGTCTCTTCGAAATCGTCTTCCATCGTCTTCGTCGTCGTCGTCGTCGTCGTCAACGTCTTCGCTCTTTCTGCCTATGTACAACAAGTTACGCTAATTAAATCACTGGCAATGACGAAGGACTGAGAAGAAAGAAGAAGAAGGAATTGAAACGAACACGATGATGAAACAGTGACGGCTTGAATGGCATGAATTGGGATGGGAAATTAGACTAATGAAGATCAGAATAGGTGAAAATATTATTGGGCTGAAAGAAGAACGAACTGAAATTTTGTTTGATAGAGTAACTTATCTTTTATGAACGAGAACGACTGAGAGAAAGAAATAATCAATTGGAAGCACTTTGCGGAATGGTCATTTTCAGATCGAAGGAATAAACATTCAAAGCGTGCTAATTCGTCAGTAATGAGGGGTCGAGTGATTGATTGAATTCGCCCTCAAAACCATCCGATTCAACACGAGTAAACATCCACTTGACAGTCGTTTCCAGTCGGATTCCATAGACTGCAGAGGATTGCAAATGCGAGCGGTTCATTAGAAGAAAAGAGAGAGAGAGAGAGAGACAGAGAGATTGAAACGGCGAAACGGATTCTGATTGGATTGGGTCGATGCGGGCCCGCGACTTGATCGAATCAGAAAAAGTATCGGAACTTTTCGGGGGTGATACGGCATGAAATATGGCAGGCGGGGAGAACGACCGCATCCTTCCCGATTCGTTCTAATTTGCACGACTGTGTGATGAAGGATCGGGAAAAGAGAGGAAGAGAAGACGGAAGGGAAGAAGGAGTAGGAGACTGTGATTCGAAATAAAACGGGAAGAAAGTTTCGGATCTCCCACGCAGATGTACTATCACTGACGGAGGCGGAGACCAGCATATGGGGGCAAGAATTAATCAGTTCGGACGCATTCTATTTAGTTTGTGTGTTGGTCGGAGAGGAGAGCGGATGCCAGACGATGACACTCTTGTCCCGCTCAAAACACGAGATCAATTCGAGATCATTCCCACAGAAGTCATCTTCAATGCCGGTGTTTACGGTTGAACACTTGGGGGACCCGCTCTAGTTCCTTGTTGTTGATAACTTTGATTTATAGCTCTTCGATTCGGATTCAGATCAAAATACCTCAAGCGTAGTGGCTGGCCCCCGGGTTTCCTGTGAATTCCCTTCCGCTTCACTCCTCCGTCACCGCTCAGCCACTCGCCTTCCGCCCAGCCAGACATGTCGATTAAAGTGCGCTTGAAGACCCAATTAGTGAGAGTAAATTCCATTTTTGCAGATTCTTTTCGAACAAATTGAGCAGTCCGCCCATCATGTTCTGACTGATTGTGAGCTGCAATCAGTGACCATCCGGAATGAAGATGCGGATGGAAAACGGAAAGACGAAAAGAAGACGAAGGTACAGTACCGGGATGCGGAAGTGGGAACTGACGTGAAAACGGACGAGAAGCGGAGTGGGCCGAGCACTTTGAAAGTGAACGTGGCGACCAAGTACGAGTTCCAGAAGTTGAATGCCACGCAGGTGAGTTCTCTTCGCAGAAGGAGTGTTTGCTTTTAATTCTTTTCCATTAGTTCACTAATGTTCTTCAGATCCATCGAGCAATAAATGATCCTAAGCTGGGTGAATTCCTGGTGCGCGTGTATCCTCTGCTCAAAGAAGAACTCGACAATTCGGATTTGTTCAATAAACTTTAAGCTCGGCCGATGCTCCAAGTGCTCCGAGTGCTCGGTTACACATGCAATTTCTATAGTTTACCACTTTTATTATCCGCCAAATAAACAACTTTCACAAGATTGTAAAGAGAGAGCGAGAGAAGGAGAGAGAGAGAGAGGTTTTTAAAAGCTATGGGTGGAGACATCGATTATACAAATCCAACGGATTTCAACTCACAGGGTTGAGAAGACAGAATAATACTTGATCACCTTATTATAGTGTGTGTGTGTATATTATGAAGCTGAGGAGATATATTGATGGGAGACGAAGCGAGCGAGGGAGGAATTCACAGGGGGAACAAAGGGAGCGACGGGGAGTACGGGACACCAACTAACGGTTTTTGGCAAAGGAAGAAGACACAGGAAGAGAGAGGAAAAGGTATGAACAGCCAGTGACGTGGCAAGATTATTAGAGCGTACAAGAGGGCGAACAGGATGATTCAAGGCGACAGAATGTTGATGTGCTGCTCTTCGGCGGTCTCGTCCAACTCGATGGCAGTCTTGAGAGAGCGCAGCATTTCGAGCACTTGCACAAATGGTTCACGGGGGTCTTTGGAGTCTTGGTGACGTTGCAAAGCGTTTCCGAGATAGGCGGTCACTTTTTGGATGTTGATCTGAAAAAGATACACTTGTAGAGGGAGAGAGGCAAGAGTGAAGTAAGAACCTTAAGAGAATTGAACGACTCCCACAGTGATTTGGTCGAAGACTTGGCAAATTCAACGAAATCACTCAACGGAATGTTGGAGCCACTGTGCTCCATCTCTCGTTCCGCTCGGACTGTTTTGTCATCGAGAGACACGAGCTCTTCAGCAATGGAATTGAAGTCGTTCTCTTCGACTTTCTCCAGAATGTCAATCAGTCCGAAGAGCTCATCAAGATCTAAGTTGATCTCATCCTTGAGAATGGTAGCGAGAATGGACTGTACAGTCTGTCCGGATGGAGTTGTCGTTCGCAGAATGAGAGAAACTTCGGAAATAGAGAAGCCGTTAATGGTAAGGCATTGACGGTCATCGAAGAAGCCGATGTTTAGGATGGCAAGGACCAGCTGCATCACATTTCGGAGTGCTCTACTCTCCAGAAGAACTTTCACGGCAACCTCGTACTTCATCAGTTTCTGAAATGCAGTTTTCAGTTTGTGAAATGGCATCTTTGAGCAAATACCTCTTTCAACGTGTCAATGTGTTCTGGGAACTGATGCATGTGCTTCATTGTCACCAACTTCTCCTCAATATGATCTATTTTCGTGAGTCCGACGAGGAATTCTTCGTTCAGATCAGTCACGTTCTCCATTTTCCGAAGTAATTGGACATCACTGTTGGTCGGAGCAATCTGGAGAAGTAGGTCGACGAGACTGATGTCGAGCACTTTGATGTCCATTCGGTGGATTGCGAACATGATTTCGAAAAGATTGCTGCTGACACGAGAACGAACTTCCTCCGTCACCATCCGCAACTCTTCGCTCAGAATGAACTCAGGGAACGTGCCCGTGGAGTCAATCTTCCGAGCGATATTCTCCACGTACAACTCCATGTTATTACGGCAGTCAGCAAAGATGGTTCCCTTCATCTGGAGGTCATTCAGAATGGACCATTGCATTCCCGTGGACAGAAACTTCGGCTGCGCATTCTCTCCTGGCTTGATCGGCTGTAGTTTGTTGTTCGACAGCATGAGCGGAGGAGAAGGAGACGTGGTGGATGAGATGATGTTCTTGATGTCTTCTGTCACTACCGGCACTTCTTTTTCTTCTTGCTGGAATGGTCACCTCTTATCAGATGATCTCTGAAGCATGCACTACCTTAATCAGAAAGTTGTTGACGTGCTTGTTGGCCGTCAGAATCGTGTTGTTATTGTTTGCCAGAACCGCAGGGAAAATAGACTGAAGTGGGTTGAATCTGAAGAATCATTATATGATTAAAACAATATCAGGTGGGACCAGGCTCACCTCAGATTTCTCAGCGGATGGAATGCGACCTGCTGTTGTTGCTGTTGCAGAGTGGCCAGCAGATCATTCTGCGATGCCGTGTTCCGCCGATTCTGAAGGGACGCCTGACTGCCGCGTCTTCCCCCCAGCTGATTCGGACTGACTGGTGACTTCGGAGACGTCCGTCCTTGCATTGGCCGACCTCGTCCTCTTACTGAAATCACCGATTATCAACCTGTTTTTAGTCCTTCCCTCAATACCATTCGGAAAGCAGAGCTTCATGAACTCTTCGACTTGTCCCGCATATTTGTCCATGTAACTGATCGGGTCACCCGCTAATCCATGCAACGAAACCATATGACTCTTCACGTTGTTTTTCGAATATGTAGATGTGAAATCACACGCCGGACACTGGAACATTGGCTTAGCCACGTGGCACTGACGAATGTGGCAAGGCAGTTTTGACGAGTGCACGTCTTTCTGACATATTACGCAAAATTGAAATGTACAAGGATAGGACTGAAAGAGGAACGAAATTATGATTCCGGAGAACAGATTCTAGCCAAGAGTTACCCTCTTTCTCTCCCCATTCGTCGTCTGATTCTGATTCTGATTCTGTGGTTGTGCTTGTTGTTGTTGCTGTTGTTGCTGCTGTTGCTGTTGAATCAACTGATGTTGTTTCTGCTGATTATGGAACTGCACCATCGCCTGCTGAGCTTGGAATAGCTGGCTGAACTGAAGCAGGGCGAGGTCTGGATTGAAGATCGGAGGCGTTGTCAACGGTGGTGACTCCTGAAACGAATTGAATTTAGATGCCACCCGTACCTGCCTGACTTTTCGAAAAAGCTAATCCCAGGATTAGGCGGGCTCCCCCACGAACCTGAATACCACCATTCCCATTCGGGAAACAATCAGTCCAATGTTCTTTGCTCGGATTACTTTTTGATCCTGTTCATTCTTTCTCATTCCCCTGGGGCTTACCTGCTTGACTAGAGCGTTTCCGGGAACGGGATTCACCGCAGCCGCCACTGCACCGTTCATCAGTGAAGTCAGCATGTCCATCGAGGCATCCGAAGCGGAAGTGTTCGTTGGTGACGTGGAAGAGGAACAGTCATCTGCGTTCGAACGGGCAGTCGTGGCCGCCGATGGCTGACTGTTGGGAGGCAGAAGGCTGGGCACCGTCGGCGCTGACGATGCCAACATCATGGCGTCGTGTCTGAAAAAGGGTAGAATGAGAATTGGAGTGAAGTGGAAAGTGAGTCAGAGCAAGAGGAGTAGTAAGGAGCCTAGAATCTGTGACCGCTGGGATCAGCGCTGTTTTCGAGTGTGACGATGCCGCCAAACGCCATTAGAAGAGACACAAATGAGAAGTTTCGTTGGTAGGCCTACGAAACTGCGTCGAAAAAGTCATTCCGCTAAGCCACGTCGAGGCCTCAGGACCGCAAACGCAACTTTGTCTTGTTTCGAGTTATGCTTCTACACGCACGGCACGAAAACGGAAGGGGCACATGATCGGGCAAGTCACTCAACTATAATCCAACTTCATTCGAACTCCCCTGCTGGTAATCCCCAAATGGAGGAAAAAGCTGTAGCCTGATGAGTTGTCAGACGTACAAACTTAAGGGCTTCTTTGAAATTAGGCGACCGAATTCAAATTTCAACAATAATACGAAATTCGATCTTCGGATTAGTCGCATTTTTAGCCGTCAAGTCTTCAGTAATAATCCTAGTTGTGATAACAGCAAGGTTGCGTGCGAAAAGCAGAAACGGACCCTTTCGTCTCCTTTTTTGGTGAATAGTAAGCTCGTGCTCGTAACGGGTGGGGATTAAGCGCGGTGCCCCAGTGGCAGTGGCCGGCGGTCCTTTCCCGCTCCCTTCGATATCTCATTTGTCATATTCATGTGCATGCCTGGAAATGCGTACTGCGAAACATGGGCTTACCGCCGGATTACTACCATCTTGGTGACATTGGGAAAAAGGCGAAAAAGAGGGGAAACGAAGGGCCTTCCAAAACAATGGCCGAGATGGCAGTAATGCGCCAAAAGATTCCGGTAATGGGATATTAGAATGCGGGATGAGATGATGGTCAAATGAGCGCGAAGCTAATGAGAAAGAGCCCGGCAGGAGGAAGTCGATGAGAGGGGAATTTCAGTTCTCCGTCTCAGCCTTGACAACACCACTATCGTAGATCAGCTCTGTCCAGCCCGAAATAACTGAAAGAAACAGCTCGTCGAGTGCGTAAGAAGAGTCAATCCGCTCGCCGCGAAGGTGTGATCTACAGTGTGTTTTCGTCTCTTCGCAGCGACTTACCCTCTGGAGCAGACTAATCGCAACGCAGCTCATCCCTGCGGCTCATCTCAGTAACCAACCTATGAATTCTCAAAGTAACTGACTCAATCGTCCCTAATGGTTGCCCACAGACTCTAGTTTCGCAGGCTCCAGCAGCTGTTCCCGCCCCGAGAAATGATCGGATGCCTGCGTCTCTTGCTTCTCTCGAAACCATATGACTCTCGGCGGTGATAACGACGAAAAATGAGGAAATTTGGCAGTGATTAAAACTTGAATTGAACCTTTTCTGTGTCAAACAAATAATTTGTTGGCCACGCGTTATCGTCCTTCAGTGGGGTGTTGGTCATTGACGGCGGAGCATTGTGACCTGATGTCATTTCGAGCAACTTGTGCACATTTTCAAATGACTTTTAGTTACTTGACAGAAAAGGAAAACGTAAACGGACGAGGAGAACGGCGTGTTTATTATGCGCCAAAGTTGAATGAAGCACCGGGAGAGGCGCCAATCGAGCGGCCAAACCACGCCCATTTCGGCATGGCGGACAAGGATAACGGGATTTCGGAAAACGGAAAAAAGGCAGAGAGTACTGTCATTGTCCGACTGGGCGGAGCCTTTTCATGAATGTTCTCCGAATCATTTCAACGTGGCAGCGGTGCGTCCGTCATTTTGGAGTACAAATACAAAATTGCGGGCTTGGGCGGCAAAAGGTTTATAGTCTTGTTATCAGGTCGTCAATCTTTGCCACGTAGAATGATGCTTCATGTTTCCGGAACTACGGTTGAATCAAAAACAAAAAGGCTCCGAATCTACAGTAATCCGATTTTTGCTCGCTGGCTGACGGCCTTATCTCCCCTCAGGAGTTCATTCCGAACCGCCTCAAAAGTGCGCCCGTCTCTCACAAAAGCCTTTCAGGTGGAACTGCGCCAAAAGACGTCATAGCGACTGGAAAAGCGAAAGCGAAAACTTGAAAAGGGTAGTAATCGCTGCCCCGTGTGACTCTACGCCTATCATCGCAACCTGTGCCCCGGCACTACCTGGGTAAGTACAGAATTCGAGGAGGAGCCAAAAAAGACGAAGAAGAAGTTTTGTGCTACAGATTTGGACGGGTAAACAACTTATCAGAGAAGAACCTAACAGTTGATCGCTTATCATCAAGGCGGCGGCGGTGAGAATGCAACTCGCTGCTCCGCAGGAATTCGGAAAGCGTGCTCGTTTCTCGTCTCGCCTGATGAGCACAAATCCGAGAAGGTGAGCCATATCGGATGAGCCGGTCCGCACAGGCAATACATGGCAAAGCTAAGCGCTCAGAAGGATTGGCAGCAACCTTAGCACATTTCGGACACGTGGCAGGAGCACGAAATGAAACATTTCCGAGTGGGAGGTGTTCCAGACAGTCCCCCTCCGGGGCCTTCCTGTTTTGCCTGGCGACTCTGTGTCTCTCCTCTGTTTGTTCAGATTTCTGGGTGCCAGAGTCAACACCACTTTTTCTCGGCGCTTCTGTCCGCCCTGCGAACTGTTGCCACCCCGATCGAGAGCAACTTGGTACTGTTTTTGTACGTGTGAGAGCGAAGGCAAAGTGTGTTTTTAGTTAGGCTCCAGGCAACTAAAATTAGAGCTGTTTTTGGGTAAATAAAGGGAAAAAGAGCAGAGCTCTGTTCTTTTTTCGAGGGCGGGCGACAAAAAATAGAACGTTGTTTTTGGAATGTTTCATTGTCTCTGGGACCGAAAAGTAAAAATAGATCGTACTGGAAATAATGGCAACCATCCAGCAGGGATCGGGCATCTCGCTTTCAGCAGTTTTCAGAATCACTTCGTTTTCTTCGCTCGGGCGCCTTCTACTCATCCGGTTGCTGACCCTCAATTCCGCTCAAAAAGAGATAAGTTTGCAAGTCAAATTCCGAAAATCAACTACGGCTGAGCCCGTCTTACGCGGGCTCACCGGATCATAGAATCGACTAACCGGGCACCCTGCCGTCTTGTCTGCCACGTAGGCACTCATTTCATAATCCAAGCATTTGTTTTTTTCAACGACAACACATGAGCGGAAAGACTAAAAAGAAGTAGAACACATTCGGCAGATAATTAGTATAAGAGGCCTACAGTAATCTGGACCAACGCGTGCCTCATTATCTCACATTCATGATGATGATAATAACGGAGGAGACGATTCGATTGGCGACACGTCGTCAAGGCTGTTCTCAACATGAAGATGTTTGTCGAGGAACAACTAGATCACCCAGATTCAACCGGCATACTGTAGCCTTCTCTTCGAGAAATGTGATCGTAGGATTGTGGCTGTTTTTCTGCGGAAAGCGAGCACAATGCGTAGGATCCGAAAGGACATCATCAGCCATGGCGGCGGTAACACAAAAAACGAGACAGAAAATGTACAATTCGGGAGAACGGAATGCGCGAGCGGGCGAAATGGAAACCATTCAGTTTAGTGACTTCGTACAATGTACTAGGCCTATACAACGGCTCTTTTGCCTTTGTCCGCACTTACAAAGTGAACTGTGGCTGCTTCAGTTTGAAGTCGGAATCGAGACGATGGCGCCGCTCTCGAAGAATCTGCAATCGAAGGATTGTTTTGCGGGTGGCCAACGAAGGCAGCGGCGGATGGTGGTACAACCTGACGGTGGCCGACCAGATACAGAATACAATCGGTTTGGAGGGGGACACGCGCGTCAATAAGTGATTGTTATTAGTCAAAATAACAGTAATTTGTAGTGAGCGAGAAGGAGGGGAGGATGAAGCCGAGCAACGACGAATCAGGCGGCGGTACGTCATTTGGACAGCATGGATCTATGTCAGAACAAAACATGCTGAATTACGCGGTGACTACAATACGGAGTGATTAACGCGCTCGGTCAGAACATCCAGACACACGAGGTTACTACAATCGGAAGAAGATCACGCTTTGTCATCCGACGACAGCTGCGTCACCTCTTCTGATGGCCAACTTTGAGCCGATCAGATTGAATATTGGATGGGTACGGAAAGTGAAATGTTGCCAATATGTGTGATTTTACACCATCCTGCGACGCCACAAGGTATAAGCCGGGGCACGGCGCCTGGGTGGATCCGTCACCTGACTCCTTCGAACTCCCCTCCCAACTATTCATTCGAATTTCGAACCGATCCCACCCAAAAACAATAATTGTTTTCGAGTTTGGTGGTCGCCGGAAAAAGAAGGATGCGCAGGCCCGTTTTGTAAAAAATAAGACAAGTATCGTATTACTGAGAAATATTAATCATGTTTTTGCGACGACGGTGTGTTCACTTCTCGAGAATAAGTTAGTGGCGCTTCAATTTGACTTTTGAATTATTGAACACCCGCAGCTTCGCGGCACACAAAACAGCAGTTTAGGCAGCGATTTGTGAGAATAACTTACAGTATGCAGGGAGGCGGAAGAAGATGACTAGAAGTGAAGGATCGGAACGAGATGCCTGAAAAGAGGAAGGTGGAAAAGATGGGGCACAGCAGAACGGGTAATTATGAGAAGCGGGCAGGACGGGGCCAATCGGACGACAGGCGCCGCCCACTGGGGAGCCACCGATGAGTTGGCAAGTGGACGATTCAAAAAGGAAAGAACAATGGACGAGCGATTTGCATTCGCATTCCCGGACGACTGATTACCAACACAAAAGGGAATGATTAGCAAAGTGAGAGAGAGAATGAATTGAGCGTGCGAACTGCTGCCCTTCCGCTCACCGAGAAATGAACAGTACGGTACCCTCCGAGCAGAGGTTTATGAGTGCGAGATGAGGCAGTTTCCACGTAGTTTATGAATCATAAAACTACTCCGAAATGAGTGGAAGTTGATGGTTGACTCAAACAATCGTTAAGGGTTTCATGCGAGAAAAGGGGAGGAGACATGAGTGGAAGTGGCGGGCAACGGCGCTGATTTTCGAAAAGGGCTCAAATTTGAAAAGTGAGAATTGAGGGGATTCTTCCAGGTTGGTCCATGACAGGTTTCCCGTGATGCGAAATGAAATCCCGGATGAAACTTGATAAGGATTGTAATATTGAAAAGGGATTGAGATCTGAGGATTGCACGAAAAGACCAATATGGTCTCTAGAAGGAGACAAAAAAAAATAACTTTCAGAAGGATGATCCAAGATCCGATGAATGTAAAGGTAAACGGTTAAGATTAGGGTGGGGGTTTCAGGGTGATTGAGGTGAAAATGGAAAAGCAAAGAAAGATTTTACAGAAGAGAGCTGCCCGATGTTCTCACTGCGAATGAAATAGTAACAACTCAGAGATAAGCTGTGCAGCGTCGAAGACACGAGGGGAAAACAAACCAAGTTCAAGATGCGCTCTAACTGGTAAGCAGCTCACGATTTCAGCTGGATAGGCTTAAGCCAAGCGATTAAGGCCGCGCAATATAGAAGGAAACTGAAAATTCGAAAATTACGGATTGGATGGAATGCACGAATAGAGCGGAGCGGAAGAGTTTCAGACAGAGGAAGAAAGAAGCAGAGGGAACGGAAAAGCTGGGAAAGTTGGCGGGGGAAGGTGATGGGAACGCGATGGGCGCTGGGAGACAGGAGACAGTGAGCGCCTGCTGGCCCGCTCCCTCACGCCCCGCCCCGCGAATCGTCACTTTCACCCGAAGACTTGGCCCCCACCGTTGCACCAAAACAACTTGCGCTGCCATCGAAAGAGGATGTACAAAAGAAACATCAACGAACACAGGAGGGGCTAAAAACAAGATTTTTTCTTTCGTTGGCGGATGCTTGTACCAGAAAAACGAAGGAGGCGACGAAGAAGAAGAGATGCCGTCGTCGATTGGCATGCGACTGGAGAGGAGGCAAGCGAAAGTTTCTGTTACTTTATAGTAATTGGGTTGATGTGGCAGAAGCTGAATAAGCGAAAAGGAGAAGAAAAACAGCGACAAAACAAGAAGGTTCGGACGATAGGCCCAAATGCGGCTCGGGTGTCCATCCCGGTGCTCTCGATATGTCAAATAAAGAGAATAAGACGGTTGAGCAGCAGCAGCTAGGGGGCTCCCGTTTTCGCACATTTTCAATGCGATCACTCACTTTTCTTTGTGTCTATGTCATTGTGTGGTCAGGCGCAGGCGGCGGAGCCCACCAGCGTCTTCCGCTGATTGCGAATGGTTTCAGACGGGAACGGAGGTCAGCAGCGGTCAGTGGAGGTGCACGGCGCGGAGCAGCTGTGAAGAAGTTCCTGAAGACAACGGTTTATTGATGAAGGAAAAAGAACGAATGACAAGCCACGTCATAGGGGAAACGAGGGACACTTTTAGAAAATGATTATGCCGCGTCCAAAGATTTAAAAAAACGGAAATCCCGCTGATTTTGCTCTCCAAAGTCGGCCGAAATTTGCTTGAATTTGCGCAGAGATGAACGAATGTTACCGTACACCATAAAACTACGGTATTTTTTGAAAATTTTTAAATTCCTTGAGAATATTTGAAAATGTTAGAATTTCTTGGGTCACATTCGTTCAGCTGTGCGCACCTCGTTTTTTTCAAGAAAATTTCGGCCGACTTTGGACAGTAAAATCCGTGGGGTTTCCGGTTTTTTTTTTAACTTTGAACGCATCATAATATAATAACAGTTGCTAAGAAACGAAAAACGGGGGCAGAAACGTGGTGACTGTAATCCTATTGATAATCGAAACGCGTAGTGTTGAAGAAGAAATGTGGTGTGCAATGCTCTCATGTTGAATTTCGGTTGTAAACCCCGTCGAGGATAAGCCCTCAAATCTTCCGATTTCTGAAAGAAGCGTCACTCACGATTCCCAAGCGCATCAACTTCAACCGAAGGATAGATCATCCAAATCAATTGATTGTCGGAACTTGGATTGATTCAGGTGCTCGGGAGCCTGATCCCGTCGGCTCTCGACCCATCTCCGCTCCCTCTTCACCTCTCTCAATGCCTCTTGGCTCGACCTCCAGGCCTCCCTGCTCACCAAACCCAAAGATGGTCAAGAGTGATTCGGGCGGGCGCCTCTCGCTCGGGCTCCCGCTTCTGCTCCGAGTTAAGCTCGCACACATCTTATTCTCGCCTCCTTCTCCTCCTATAGCAGCAATATATATGTGTTTGCGTATCGTTTTCTTCTCGCGCCAGCGCAAGAAGCCTTTTTTGCGAAACAAACAGGCCACACAACGACGTGAGGAAGGAGCATCGCAACAGAAAAGGAACGGACGAATAATGCGACAGTGAGTGCGAGAAAGGTTGCGCTCATCTTCAAGAACTCGCTAAACCCATGGACTCGATGACACACAAAAACAATGGGAAAGCAAAGAGAAAAAAAAGTTGCGAGGACCACCGCCAAGTTCTGAAATTCGGGAGACAAACACATCTGGATTGAACCTCTGATCATATCCAGCAGAGAGTGTCCACTCGCGAGAGACGCCGATTGTCCCACCCATCGAGCTTATTTTTTGTTTGTATAAGTTTGTTTGTTGTCCGTGTGAATTACAATCAGATGCGATTTGAAATGGATACTTGTGTGGCCCTCGGAACCGCTCAGGGAACTACTGTAGGCGAGCCGCAGAACGACTGTGTTCACAGGCGGTCGAAACGAAAAAAGAGAGTGAGAAAGCATAAATTGTCATTCGACCAGAAGTACTTCAAAAAACTTTGGCGGTAGAGTACGCAAACTTCGAACGAGGGGAGTGCGCGGCGAGTCTCCGCATGTTGCCCTAACCCTTTCGCAGAGGGGTACGGTAGCATTCAAATGAACATTTCGTAGTGAAAAGTTTGCGGTTTTTGTCCTCTGTGAACTACTTTCTGATCTTTCGGATGTTATCTACGCATTCGCGAATCATTTTCCCTCTTCCGCCACTTAAAAGCGAACATACGATGGCAACATGTTGCGAGGTCTTTCTTTCTGAAAATAAGAAACCAGCCCTTTATACAGTAATACATAGTAATGGCATAGTCCGATGTTTCGTTTTGGCTTCACTTATCCGCATCTCTCAGACAGAAGGCAACATATTCCGAACGAGGAGGAGACGTCGACGAAGACGCGCGCGGATGATGGCGGAGAAGAGCGAAAACAACACGACGACGCATTAAGTGTATTTTCAGTGTGGACATGGCCACGCGAGATACAGCAGGAGAGGACGGTTTTCAGCGAAAGCATACCAGTTGGTGACGATGGGAGGCAGGAAGAGAGACACGAACACTTATTACCATTTTACTTTCTTTTTGTTTCTTTTTTGAGATGAAGCTGCGCGTGATGGCGGAAGCGAATGGCTATGAGGGAAAGATAAGATGGAGATGGAATGGGTGGAAGGGGACGAGCAACTAATACGGTAAGGTGAGAGAAAGAAACGAGTGAACTTGCCGACCGGGAACGGAAAATGAGAACTTGTCAATTTCAGAATCAGCTGACACAGAGGTTCAGAGAAACCGGAAGGGAACCCGATAACAATCTCGAGAAAATGACCTATTCTGAAACGACCAACTTAGTTTGCAGTTGTCGTTCTCCTTATCTGACCGCCAGCCTTTTCTCGCATCACATCTTTTCAGTAAGTTCCTAATCACCTTTTCGCCTTCTTCTCCAACCCCATTGACATTGAAACATTACGGTAGGCCGGTAGGTAGCCACACACGGCCAATCGCTCTCAATCACTAGCCATATTTCACACCTTTCCAAACCATAAACTTGTCTTCTATTTCGCATTCACAGAAGACGATGGGGGGGAATGGTATGTGTGTATGATGTTCCAATATTCTCATTGAATTAGAGCGCGGTTCATCGAACGGATGTATGTACATACGGGCAGTCAAGCGGTTTTCGAAAGGATACTGTCCGACCTTATACATAACAGGCATATTATGGGATGGGAAGGTGAGAGCCTGGATGAGACACACGATGGACAATACAGAAGGTCTGAGGAGGGACCAGATGGAGAAAACACTGTTCATGATCATGATATGATTAGTGAGAGTCTAGAGAAGTTCAAGATCTCGGCTTAGTGTTAAAGTTAGTTGAATGTTCAATGTTACCTACGTCCATTCACTTACAGAATTTTTAAAGGTTCTCTTGGTTTCCCCCAATCAACCTCTCCAGGCCTAATCGGACAAATCGACCGGAAAACCGCCCCAGGTATCAAAAAGAATCGTCAGATGACCAGAATGGGAACAAAAACTGCGAAAAGTCGGGAAGCTTAGTGTCGGCGGACGGGGGGTGGCTACTCAAAGAAATGATATCAAAACATAGCATGTTGCCGCCAAGGACAATGAGTTCAAAGTTGCGGTAAATGCAGGGGGACGAGCCACCCGACGGGCGGAACGAATGGCTTTCATCTCGCCGCCAGGCTCTTTGTTCCTTCCCCCACTACAGTAGTCCCCTTACGCATACACATGCAGACAGAAATTCAAAAAAAAAGAAGAAGAAGAAACGTGTCGCGAGAAGTCTCGAGTGGCTAGGCGGCGGGCCTAATTCGAACGCCCGTTCACGCCTCCTCGCTGCCCGTATTCCCTCGTCCAGTGCTTCGTTATCAAACCATTCGCCCGTCGAATACACACCGTCGGGCCCCCGCGCTTGCCGCCGAAAAAAACCTTGAAAAACCGTATCATTAACAGTTTTCTGCCTTCAACGCCATCTCGAGAGACCACCGATTACAGAGTTTTTTTGGTGAGTGGCAGGCAGTCAGGTAGGTAGGCCGCCTTGAGACTACGTTGCTAGCGCCCCAACACACTGATAGAAACTTAATGCGAACCTCGAGAAAAAGAAAAAAAAGAAGGTCGTGTGATTGATCACCCTTTTGCGGTTTCGGTTCGAGAACCGAGGTTCCTCATGTGAGAAGAGAAGAAACTGTATCAAATTGGGTGGCGGATCGGAATGGAATTGTTACGGGGCAGGTCGGAAATAGAACCGATTGACGCGATTTCGAGAGCAGAAACGGTTTGTTTGTGTGTGTGTGTGTGGGAATAGATCAAGACGTCGTTCCGATCCTCAAAGTGTTCCCTTCGCATCCAAACTCTGCATATTGTGCCATAGATTACGTAATAAAGTTCATTAACTGCTTCTGCGCGGCTTCTCTTCCCATCACACATTCCCCATTTCCATTCATCAATCAATCGATATCCCCTGCCAACAGCACGATGCTCCTGCGCGCGACGACAGTTGCTCCTCGCGCGGCGCCCTTTTGAGCTCTCATTTTAATGACCAATTGAAGTTCGCCGAGTTTATAAACTGGAGGAGCAGGCACACGTGTGTTTGGACCAGATAATTTATATGCATGGCTTTGCTCGCCACACGCAGAAACAACTGGGCAGGAAGACCCGGGGGTCGGCGAGTTTGGGGAAGTGATTAGGCGGTGATTACATGGCAGAGACAGCTGGACGACCCGACGGAACAAACTGGATTCGCTTTTCATTTCCACAGATGATGCCGCAATTCGCACTTTTTTCTCGCTCTCAACAGGCCACTTGTTGCAGGAAATTCAAGCTTTACTATGTGAGCGACGGTTGGAACCACGCCCAAATGTTTCTCCGAAACTTAGTCGCTCAGGTGCTGTGTTTCACTCGAACGTTTCCACTTTCCTGTTAAAACTCTCAAAGCTTCGTTCGTGTAGGTGACTCCCATTTCGTATTTTTCTATGGTCTCAGAATCAGAATGCTCTTGATCATAGCCCATTATGAAAGAAAAGCAATCAAATCTATTGTCATTCATATCATTAACACTTCCATTCTCTGTCCGTTTCCCACATCAACACATTGCGTACAAAGTCAACTTTCGTGATTTTTTTCCAATTCAAACCCAGTGTTGTGGTTCAGAATGTCTGGAATTTTCAATTAAGTGTCCTTCCGTCCGTCCGTCCGTCCGTCCATTTCTCCTTCTCAATTTCAATTCTCCGTCTTTCTCTCCCCACATTTCATCAAAAACCGAGCACGCGTTTCCTCGTAAAACCATTTTCGGTCGTCTCCTCCCTTCTTCTTCTTCTTCTTCTTCCATCCATTTAAAGGACGGAGTCGTGCGCGGAGCAAGCCGACGCGTGCTCCAAACACAGCGTCATATCGATTTCTCTGCGGCTCTCCTTCCCCAACGACTTCTTTTTCCAAACAAAGTCACTTGCTTTCGTGGCCAGACGGGCCTTAACTCTTTTTGGGAATTCAGTGTCCTTTCGAGTGTGCACAACAGTTGAAATGAGCACCCCGCGCAGCTGACAGCTGAATCCTTTGATGGAACTCTGACGTCTTCTGCTCCTCCCTTCTTCTTCTTCTTCCTCTTAAATCACATTCTTTCCTCTCTGAATTTGCATACAAAACGCATTCGTCGTCCTTTTCGTTTCCGCCTTTCCGTATTTGGCGCACGTAATTGAATTCTCGATAGAAATTCGTAACGATGAATTAATGGGGAGACGGGAGCCCTCGTTTCGTCGCGGACGCCAATAAAAAGGAGGCGGCCAATTATCCCGAGAAGAAGCGTGCCCGTCGTTTTTCCGTTGACGTCTCCGCTTTGCTCTTCTTTTCGTGCCTTCTCTGGGGAGATACATTGATGAGCACAGCTCCCGGAATTGCGAAATCGGCCGTTTGGCGGATCCCTTCTACTCGCTTTCTGTTTATAATTAGAATGTGTGTTGCCACCTGCGAGACCCTCTGTTGCAATAACATTCGTGCCGTATGCCTCTCATTAATGAGATCGTTACCCAAGTAATCCGTCCCCGGAAACGGGCAGTCCATCTCGAGTGCCACTTCACACATCCGAGTGACCACTTCAGATCAACTTTGCTTTGTTTTTCCGAGCCATGCAATCGGATACTCTCTCCGAGGTGTCCCAGTTTCAGTCTTCCTGTAGAATTGGCTTCATTTCAAAAGTCAGCGATTTCTTATAATCTGACCTAATAACTGTAAACTAGGGTGGCATATTCTTTGTTTTTCTTAATAACTTTATTTCATGAGATTACTGTACTACCACCGTCTTTTCTCTATTTATGGGTCGTTCAGTTCGACGGGAATCATATATTAGGCCTCTTTTGTGTGTTGTTTTCCGATGTCCTTCTCGGTAATCCCTTTCAATTTTACTCTTGTTTCCCTCTTTTCTCTCATTCATTATTTAACGTTTCACCTGAAAACATACACGACAACTACTTCACGAGAAGCTTCTGGGGAAACGCCTTTTACTTTTTGCCCTCTCCGAGATAACAATCGGCTTCTCCTACTCCATTCATCTTCTTCATCTTCATATTCTTCCATCCACGGACGCGTCTTTCCGCGCGGAAGCCCGCGGACTCTTTGCTGCTCATGAATCGCCGATAAGTTCGGGTTGCTCTCTATCTCTCTCCCGGTGGTCGAAGCGCCTGTATAAACACGTGTTCCGCACCGAATCAACCAGTCATGATGTGCCACGGGAGCGAAATGCGAAATAAATATTTGAGTTTCGCGGTGCTCACACAAAAGAAACACGAAGTAGTAGGAAGCGAAAAAGTATTGGAAGGCATCAAATTAAGAGTATTACTCACTCGCGCGTACAATTCGGTTCACTGACCATCAACTGGAATGGCAGTAAATGCGCGAAAACGGTCTCTCCCCTCTCTTTCTCGCTCTTTTCCCTCTTTAAAATTCGACACTCAATCGTCTAGCCCCGGCCGCTTTTGATTTACGGCGTCATAAAAAAGTTCCACATTTGCGAAGCGCCTGAGTGTCACTTCCAATTCGCATGACCTGTCCTCTCATCCCTTTTTTCCCTTCTCGTCCTTTTTCTTATCACCAATTCTGATGTCGTTGTTTTCCAATCGCCTGCCGATGATCACTTTTCAGGCGTCAGCACGATTGCAATGAACAAATCGCACTTGGGAACGGTGAGTATCGATCAGCAAGTCGGCAACAAGTTGAGAGTGTTTACTGCTGAAAACACAGAGAGTAGAATGATCTTTGTCGTTAAATTGTACTGTCTAGGAGAGTTTCAAGCATTTAAAGAAGCTTATAACAACCTCTGCTTACACATGCTCTTATACTCAGTTTACCGCTCTTGCCCCCTCGGTGTTTGCAGACTTTTCAGGAAATTTTGGAGACAATGCCAAAACGGGGCACGGTGATTTTTTCTCGGGGTGCAGTGGAGAGAGGAAGAAAGTTCGGCCGTCGTCCCGTGAACTGTCGGCTGCTGATTTCGCCGGCCGGTGGCACGCTCCCCAAGCATTTTTCCGCGCGCCAAAACTTCTGATGCGTGCTGTTCGAAGAATACTCATTCATTTTTCCTAATTTTTTGGGAACGAATTCATTATGATTAAAACTCGCAAGCAGCAACGAGAAACCCGCAGGCAGCAACGAGAAACTCGCAGAAATGTCTAGGGGTGACTGCCAAAACTGTTTTTGTTCGAAATATGACTGCTCGTGCGTGCTTTTTGTGTCTCTTTGTTAGTTTACATCATAATGAACACGTTCTCAAAAAATCAAGTGAAATGAATCAGTATTCATACGACGCCACGCATCTGAAGTCTCAGAACAGCCGAGGAGCGCGCGGGCGGCGGACGGCGGCGCGCTCTCCAAGCCTTCTTCTGTGCGCCGCAACTTCAGATGCGTGCCGTCGGACGAATACTGGTTTATTTTACTTGATTTTTTGAGAACGTGTCCATTATGATGTAAACTAACAAAGAGACACAAAAAGCACGCACGAGCAGCCATTTTTCGAAAAAAGCTATTTTCCCACTGGCCTATAGACATTTTTGCGAGTTTCTTATTGCTCTTTGTTAGTTTTGATCATAATGAACGCATTCACTATGACAATGAATAAGATGAATAAGTATTTCTCCGGCGGCACGCATCTAAAGTCCCTGGAACGCTGCATCGGAGCCTTCGTGGACGACCTTCTGCCGTTCGGCCATGTTTTGGGACCAAAAGTAAACTGGTCGGGACCAACTTTTTTTTACTGTTCTTTTTTTTAAAAAAAAGCTCTTTTAATTTAGAAGAAAAGTATGCGGATGATTAAGAATTGTACGGTCCAGTTTTTGAGAAAAATCTGGAAAACCTGTTTTGGCCTAGTAGAACGGCGTGACCCCGCGGCCAGGCACGGTCTCCTGATCGAAAAATGTGCCAGCTAGATCGCGAAATGCGCATACTCAGCCGTCTCTTATCTCTAACGCGTGACCGTAGAGCGCGCTTGCATTATCAATCGAAAAATTTCTTGATGAAAACAAAAGAAGTTGTCGGCGACATGGTTAACACAAAAAATAAAATTTCAAAAAATCAGAACAAGCAAGGACAAAAATTAGGAACATTTTTCTGCAATTAGCTGATCAAAAAATTCGTGCGTGTTGAAGAGAGCCAGTTTTCTCGAAACGTGAGTTTAAAAATTGTCAAGGGGCAGGTACAACCCAGCTTTCTCAACCATTTTGATACTTTTTGTTAATACACGATTAGATTTAACTATTGGACACAAGAAATCTGTATAATAAAAGCGGGTTGACTAAATGGGATCAAGTAAACTACAGAAGAAAAACGTTTCGGTCACTTAAAAAATCAGAAAATGTTTTTTCGAAAAATGTGAGACCTACAAGTTTTAGACATCGGGAAGGACTACAATTTGCGATTTTGACCAAGAAAAAATATGCACTTTGAACGGAGATACGTACATTTCAAGTTTTCAGTTGTAAAAGTAGTGGTTTTTTGTGTTTTCTCGAAAAATCGAGAGCTAGACAGAAATTCTCAAAAAACGAACGCCTACAAGCGATTCCAAATTTCATAAGCTTTCTTTTGCGACCTCTAACGAGCAGATTGGTTGAGATTGAAGCGAGAAACGTAGATTTGAAGTAGACCGACTCGAGCTAAGCTTACGGTAGATCAGATTCTCACAGGCCCACCGACGGCGGCAACGTTCATTCTCACTCGACTATCGTTTAACTTGTAATTTTACGAGTCTTTATGACTTTTCTGACATATATTTCAAAGAACTGGTGTATTCTGACTCTTCCGTCTAGTAGAAGACGTTGTGAATATAGCATCATAATTCCGTACTCCACAATCGCGAAATGTCCGGATTTTTGATTGCTGTTTGTTTTAAGAACGCATATAGAACACATTGAAGTTGAAATAAGTCGAAAATCGTTTTTTTCGTTCTCCGACAGCACGCTTCTAAAGAAGCCGACGGAAGACTGTAGTTATTCCCTGTCGACGTATTCGTAGTCACTTCGAATTTTTTTTCAAGTTTTTTTGTTGCTGTTTGTAAGTAGCGGTCTTAATGAACACGTTCATAAAGAAAAAAATGAGAAGATGAATCAGTACTCTTCCGAGAGCACGCACCTGAAGTCAGCAGAAAAACTGTCGCTCTTTCAGAAGACGTCTCCGTGGACACTCCAGAATATTTTTTCAAGTTTCTTGTTGCTGCTTCGAAGTACTGATCATATTCAACATATTCCCGTAGAAAGCGGGAAAAAAATGAATCAGTACTCTTCCGAGAGCACGCATCTGAAGTCAGCAGAAAAACTGTCGCTCTTTCAGAAGACGTCTCCGTGGACACTCCAGAATATTTTTTCAAGTTTCTTGTTGCTGCTTCGAAGTACTGATCATATTCAACATATTCCCGTAGAAAGCGGGAAAAATGAATCAGTACTCTTCCGAGAGCACGCATCTGAAGTCAGCAGAAAACTGTCGCTCTTTCAGAAGACGTCTCCGTGGACACTCCAGAATATTTTTTCAAGTTTCTTGTTGCTGCTTCGAAGTACTGATCATATTCAACATATTCCCGTAGAAAGCGGGAAAAATGAATCAGTACTCTTCCGAGAGCACGCATCTGAAGTCAGCAGAAAACTGTCGCTCTTTCAGAAGACGTCTCCGTGGACACTCCAGAATATTTTTTCAAGTTTCTTGTTGCTGCTTCGAAGTACTGATCATATTCAACATATTCCCGTAGAAAGCGGGAAAAATGAATCAGTACTCTTCCGAGAGCACGCATCTGAAGTCAGCAGAAAACTGTCGCTCTTTCAGAAGACGTCTCCGTGGACACTCCAGAATATTTTTTCAAGTTTCTTGTTGCTGCTTCGAAGTACTGATCATATTCAACATATTCCCGTAGAAAGCGGGAAAAATGAATCAGTACTCTTCCGAGAGCACGCATCTGAAGTCTCCGATGAAACTTCGTTGGCCACCGAAGTGTGAAATCGGTGCTCCCAGTGTGGCTTACACGATTAATTCCGTTAAATTTTTGATGATGTGGTCATGAAAAACCCTCGGACAACGTTTTCATCACGAAATAACGGAAGATGATTTTGATTCTCACTTGTAGCACGCATAATCAACCGCAACACGAAAAATGCAAATTTCGTACTGACGCCGGCATGTTTTTCAGAATTTTTTGTTGCTCTTTGCAAGTTTTGCTCATGATAAACACGTTCATGAAGAAAAACGGAAAGGTAAATCAGTATTCTTCCGGCGGCGTTCCGAGCGCCACGCCAACTCTCATTTCGCTTCTCGAGCGACAGTAGGCAAGCGAGAGAGTGCGAGACAAGGAGAATGCTGCCGGCGACGCAGAGAGCACGCGTAATTGCTTGCGCTTTTCTCGTGCAGGAGACCGTGCAGGGTCGCGGGGTCGCGGACTAGAAACCTCCGCGAGACCCCAAAGAGAAATCACCGCACGGTCTCCTGATCGAAAAATGTGCCAGCTAGATCGCGAAATGCGCATACTCAGCCGTCTCTTATCTCTAACGCGTGACCGTAGAGCGCGCTTGCATTATCAATCGAAAAATTTCTTGATGAAAACAAAAGAAGTTGTCGGCGACATGGTTAACACAAAAAATAAAATTTCAAAAAATCAGAACAAGCAAGGACAAAAATTAGGAACATTTTTCTGCAATTAGCTGATCAAAAAATTCGTGCGTGTTGAAGAGAGCCAGTTTTCTCGAAACGTGGGTTTAAAAATTGTCAAGGGGCAGGTACAACCCAGCTTTCTCAACCATTTTGATACTTTTTTTGTTAATACACGATTAGATTTAACTATTGGACACAAGAAATCTGTATAATAAAAAGCGGGTTGACTAAATGGGATCAAGTAAACTACAGAAGAAAAAAACGTTTCGGTCACTTAAAAAAATCAGAAAAATGTTTTTTTCGAAAAAAATGTGAGACCTACAAGTTTTTAGACATCGGGAAGGACTACAATTTGCGATTTTGACCAAGAAAAAAATATGCACTTTGAACGGAGATACGTACATTTCAAGTTTTCAGTTGTAAAAAGTAGTGGTTTTTTTGTGTTTTCTCGAAAAAAATCGAGAGCTAGACAGAAATTCTCAAAAAAACGAACGCCTACAAGCGATTCCAAATTTCATAAGCTTTTCTTTTTGCGACCTCTAACGAGCAGATTGGTTGAGATTGAAGCGAGAAACGTAGATTTGAAGTAGACCGACTCGAGCTAAGCTTACGGTAGATCAGATTCTCACAGGCCCACCGACGGCGGCAACGTTCATTCTCACTCGACTATCATTTAACTTGTAATTTTACGAGTCTTTATGACTTTTCTGACATATATTTCAAAGAACTGGTGTATTCTGACTCTTCCGTCTAGTAGAAGACGTTGTGAATATAGCATCATAATTCCGTACTCCAGAATCGCGAAATGTCCGGATTTTTGATTGCTGTTTGTTTTAAGAACGCATATAGAACACATTGAAGTTGAAATAAGTCGAAAATCGTTTTTCGTTCTCCGACAGCACGCTTCTAAAGAAGCCGACGGAAGACTGTAGTTATTCCCGTCGACGTATTCGTAGTCACTTCGAATTTTTTCAAGTTTTTTTGTTGCTGTTTGTAAGTAGCGGTCTTAATGAACACGTTCATAAAGAAAAATGAGAAGATGAATCAGTACTCTTCCGAGAGCACGCATCTGAAGTCAGCAGAAAACTGTCGCTCTTTCAGAAGACGTCTCCGTGGACACTCCAGAATATTTTTTCAAGTTTTTTGTTGCTGCTTCGAAGTACTGATCATATTCAACATATTCCCGTAGAAAGCGGGAAAAATGAATCAGTACTCTTCCGAGAGCACGCATCTGAAGTCAGCAGAAAACTGTCGCTCTTTCAGAAGACGTCTCCGTGGACACTCCAGAATATTTTTTCAAGTTTTTTGTTGCTGCTTCGAAGTACTGATCATATTCAACATATTCCCGTAGAAAGCGGGAAAAATGAATCAGTACTCTTCCGAGAGCACGCATCTGAAGTCAGCAGAAAACTGTAGCACTTTTAGAAGCCGTCTCCGTGGACACTCCAGAATATTTTTTCAAGTTTCTTGTTGCTGCTTCGAAGTACTGATCATATTCAACATATTCCCGTAGAAAGCGGGAAAAATGAATCAGTACTCTTCCGAGAGCACGCATCTGAAGTCTCCGATGAAACTTCGTTGGTTTTGCTCATGATAAACACGTTCATGAAGAAAAACGGAAAGGTAAATCAGTATTCTTCCGGCGGCGTTCCGAGCGCCACGCCAACTCTCATTTCGCTTCTCGAGCGACAGTAGGCAAGCGAGAGAGTGCGAGACAAGGAGAATGCTGCCGGCGACGCAGAGAGCACGCGCAATTGCTTGCGCTTTTCTCGTGCAGGAGACCGTGACCGTGCGGGGGAATTCACGAAAATCGCGGATTCGCGCAAGCTTACGGTAAATGCGCGTCAAGTATGGCGCATGCAAGAATCCGCGATTTTGGCATTTTTTCCGCGATTTTGGTTTCCGCGGTTTTCGTGAATTCTCCCGTTTTGGCATGGCCCCAAATTTTGGCTTGAGTTTTCAAACACCTAGGGGCAATAGCGATGAATTGAGTTTAACAATTGAAAACTATTAATTCCTTCCATTTCACACCCTCTCACTAATAATTTCCCTATCGCTTTTCCAGGCTGACAACCCTCAAGACGTAGTGTCCGCCCGTGATATCGGTCGTCTCGTCGACGTCGTTAACATCGGGAAAGGTTTTCTCCGATACGTGGGCCCGATCCACGGAAAAGAAGGTCTTTTCTGCGGCATCGAACTGCTCGAACCGAATGGAAAACATGACGGATCATTCCAAGGTTTCCACACTCCCCTTGCTTCTTCCCCTTCACTCCCCCATTTTCAGGTGTTTCCTACTTCATCGCCACTCCGCAGCACGGCATTTTCGCACCATTATTTCGAGTTTCTCTAGATGTAGACGAGCGTCCGAGACCCCCTCCTTCGAATCCGTCCAACGTAAGTCCCTAATTGTCCTTCTCATCTGTTCCGTACGTTCCTTCTAACCCTTCCCTCTCACCTGCACTTCGCAGCGTCTCTCCCGATCTGCTCTTCCGGCTCTCCAATTGCGCAATCCGCTCACTCAAGAGCGCAAGCCGGAAGAAGACGTGATGTCCACTTCGGTCTACGTTTCCGCCACCAAACCGATATCCATTCCAACAAAAAACTGTCGCCCTCCGGAAAGCGATCCGATGCAAATGTCCATGTTCTCCGATATGATGGACGGATCAGTGGTACGTCGCAGCACGGACAATCTGTGTGTGACGTGACTTCGTGATGCATGAGCTCAATCTGAGAAACATAATGCGGTCGTGGTGGTTCCCACAGAACTCAAATTCCAAAGTTGCACTCCTTTCTTGCCAACACCTCCTATCCATTTTCTCGCCGACGCGTGTATAATAACAATAATCGCACGACTGAATGCGTGTGGCAGCCGACGACAATTCTTCCCCCTCCAGGTCGCCTTCCCTTTCGCAACTTCATTCACTCATGATGTTTTTTGTCGCCGTCCTCGTTCTCTCCATTATATTCAGTTTTCTCCTCCAACTTATCTTTTATCCGTCCGTCCGGTCGGCCGGTCATGTCGTTGTAAAGTGTGTGTGTTTTGTGTGGATATGCTGGCTGGAGCCTCACCACGGGGAGCACTTTTTTCATGGCTTTATCTTTTCAAAACTCTCTTACCTGCCTGCCTTTCTCTCGAAAACACCTGCTTTTTTCTCGTCGTCGACTTCTTTGCTCGTGGTTCTTCGGTTATATATAGTTTAAAAGTTGCAGTTTTCGAACGGGTCCTGGAGCGATATTGCCGAATCAATGATTACTTCCAACTGTACTTTCACAGTGCGGAAAGGGGTAATTATATAGTATCCAGAACCTTTTTGGAGTCATTCAATTACAGCCGCCTATGCCAATGGACGATGAGACTGACCTGATGAGCGTTCCGATGGTTCAGTCAGTATTCAATATTGACAGAGAAGCGTTGAGAAGGGAAGAGCAGTGTAAGTTTTACTTTTGAGTGAATAAGATCGGTATAGAAGTATCTTAATAACGTCATCATTCCAGTGCAATCGTCTATGGTGCTCGGCGAGTCGCGAATCGGCGTTGAGCATCTTCCGATCATAGAAGACGAGAATGAACTCGAGACGCCTCTCGTCGAGACGAGAGCTCTGCCTCCCCCGAACGACGTGAATGCCAACCTTTCCTCGAAGACTTATTCTTCCACATTCATCGAGCCGTCCGTGATGGAAACACCAAAAATCGAGGTCCGAGAGAATGGTGAGGCATCAGAAAAGACGAAGAGAATGAGCATGATGGATGTGTCAGGAAACTTGGACATTCCTACTCTTCCGTCGCCGCCGCAACAATCTCCGTCGGCCAGCTCAACGGCCTCCCTGGAGAGCGATTCTGGTTCCAGAAAGGAAACTAAGAGTGACAAGGCAAGCGATGGGAACAGTCACCAAAGGGCTTTTAAATCTCGAAAAACAGCTATCCTTCCCCGCATTCGAAACATTTCCGATTGGTTTTGCGGGCGTTGGAGGGTGGGAATCGGCTTTTTTCTACCGTCAGGTTGAATAACGGGCGTGTCTGTTTCTATAATTTATGCAAGAATTTGAATGAGAATCGCAAAGCGAAAACACACGCTCTCCTCGCTCCGTCTTCTTTTTATCAGTTTACATTTCCCCGCTCACCTGCACCACTGATAACAGTGAATCGTTTAATTACATTATTCCAATTTCAGTCAGAACAACCACCGAAAATGGAAGAGAAGCCAGTTCCGAAGAAGAAAGAAGAGGCCCCAGCTGCTCCGTCGGCTCCAAAGTTTCCCGTGAAACAAAAGGCGCCCACCAAGCATCAACTGATGATGGAACAATTGAAAGTGAGCGAGGAAAAAGGAAGAAAAGGAAGCCATTTGCATTACTTTGCAGGCGTCCATCGAAGCGGAGAAAACGAAGCCGAAAAAAGAAATCAAAAGTCGAGTCTCGCTTCTTCCGCCGCCGGCTCCAAAAGCTCAAAAGGAGAACAAAGAAGGTGGGTGAAACAGAAGAAAAATAAGCTTGAAGCAGTTGTGATCATCATTCGTATGTCTTGGGGGGTATGTCCTCATGTTTGTTTGTTTGTTTGTTTATTTCTCCGCTTGTCCGTCCCCATTTTCATTTCTAAAACGAAAATAGTAGTGACGGAAAAGTAAAGAAATGAACACGTGCCCTTTCAAACAGTTATGAGAAAGAAACAAGCGGCGAAGCGCAGCGGGCCCCAGTCTTAAAAGTCTTGTCCATTCATAATAAAACAGAAAGTGTTGGAACTTCCCCTTTCACATCTTTTGCCTCTTTTTTCTTGCTATTCAGTGTTTAACCCCTATGTCTTTCTCAGGAGAAATGACTGAAACTCCGCGGAGATCCATCTCGAAGACCCCTCTAAAAACTGTGAACGCAAAGGTAAAGAAGTCTCCGGCGCCGCCCGTCGAACGACCAAAAAAGGAAAGAAAGCCGTTGTATGTAGCTCCTCCGCCCAAAGGTTTGCAGAGAAGTTTTATGCTGTTTGACTAAACTGACTCACTTTTTCAGAGCGAACAGAGAAGGAGAAGAAGGCGCCGCCGCCGAAGCCAGTCGTTTCCCCTCCATCCACGGCTCCGAAAGAGGAGAAGAAGCCTATCGTTTCTTCTATTCCGTCCACATCTACCACATCTTCTGCTTCGGGAAAAGGAGCCTTCCCGACGTCTTCTTTTGCCGGGGGCAGAATGCAACTCAACCGGAAGACTTCTACTGCCTCTTCTGTAACATCTGCCAAACCGAAGAAGCCTGCTACCATAGGTAAACTGTCGTTTCATTAGATATCAACTAAGCGTGTTCATTCAGACGAGAAAGAGAAGCTGTCTCGCCTCCAGCAATCTGCTCGAGCCTTCGAAGCAATGATGATTGTCATGAGTCGGATAAACGACGAGAGCGAGCGGAAATTAAGAGATTTTACGGAGCAATATGGTGAGGAAATTGAGAGATCGGATTGAGAGATAAGTGGATGATTGCAGAGAAGAAAGTTGGAGAGCTCGGGGATCTAAAGAAAATGCTCGATGAAGCCAGGAAAAAGTTCGAAGAGGACGTCGAGCAGATGAAGAACAATAGCCAGCAAGGTGAGAAGAACCTCTTATTCCATCTTGCCCCATAAGGAAGTGCATTCCCCGGATAGTTTCCTCACAGCTTTTCCTCTTGCCGCCCGCATTCCCTTGAAATGCCTGTCTTTGCCCGGTTCAAGTGATTTCTCATCTTCTCCCGACCGGGTTGCGTTTGTGAAGCGAGAAGAAGAAAGAACCGCGCGTTATCCGGACGGCCATCTAGCCGTTTTCAACACCAGAACAATACGTCGGGGCTTTCGTTCTTTTCTGAGACTCCCAAGCTATGCGCCACCAACAATTGGCCACGGCACGAACTACTCTCGCCGCCACAGTAATCGCCGCCCTTTCGTTCTCCGCGTGCATGTTTGTGAGCAAGGAATGTGCCACTTCATCCTCTGTGCTCTCGATTCTCGCTGGCGCCGCTCCAGTTGTTCTACTTATTTTTACAGTGGTACGCAATCATGCGAGCACAGTCGACAAGATACAGAAGAGCCACGAAACACAGGTGAGACCGTTGTGATCCAGTTGAAATAGAAAAGTGGTGTTGTAGATTGCTGAGAAGACGAAAGAGTGCGAGAGAAGTCTGGAGGATGAAAGAGCGAGGCGAGAAGCCGAGATTTGTGCAATGAGCAGCAAACACCAGAAGGTCGTGGCTTGTCTCGATGAGAAGATAGCGGAGGCTGAGAAGCAGTGCGAACAGCTTAACATTGACAAGAAAGTGCTGCAAGCGGCTCTCGCGAATGACTGCGATCACAGAAATCAGATGCTCACCAAGGAGATTTCGTCCCTACAGATTGCGTTGGAAATGAAGTCTGCTGAGATGAAAGAGCTCAGACAGAAAAACCAGAACGTGAGTGACATTTCTCAGGTAACTTCTGAATAACTCAATTTCAGTTGTCCCTTCAAGTGGACGAGATCCCACTAAAAGAATTAGAGATCAGCAAGTGGAAGCACAAGTCAAATGATTACAAACAGATGCTAGATCAGAAGATAAACGGAGAGAAGTGAGTTCTTCAAAGACAATATAACGTTGCCTGATTTTGTTCAGAATACTTGTCCAGCAAATTGAAGATCTCCGCCGGAAGCAGATTCATGATGAAGAAGAGAAAGAAGCAATGAAGAGGAGTTTCGATCTGATGCAGTTCAAATATGAAAACGGAGAAGATCCGAACGTCACAAGTGTTATGTCGGCGCCTATGGAGAGCCGCTTTAGCACACCGTATGTTGTTTTCGAGCTTAAGCTAGCTTAGAAGTTCTCACTGAGAATATTTTCAGAACAAAAGTACAGTACCGTTCACGATCGTCCGCATCGGGAAGCCGTCCAATTTCCATGGCCACCAACGGAGATCATAGACTCTCCACCTCTTCTCACAGTAAGTTCTGCCCGTCAGCCGTTCAAATTTTGTGTATTATCTTGCAGACGGCGACCATGACAGCATGAACCGATCTACGATCTCCATGTACACAAGTCACATCAGGTTGCCCGAGAACCATGCCGATGACGTCATTTACGCCCCGGACGAAATAATTTCGAGCAGGAGCGGATCCATCTCGCAAAGACTGGCCATAGCCATAGAAGACGACGGAGAGCCAATACTCAAGAGCGAATCTGGAGACGCTTCGGACTCTGGAATCGGATTAGTCATGTGAATTCTCTCCTCTCCTAGCCGCTTTTCTGTTTTCTGTGAACCGTTTCATTCTGGTCCGGTTGTAACGGACTACTGTCGTATTCAAGTTGTCTTCTGATCTCTGTCACTTGTATGTCATTTAAAACATCGACTACTTTTACGCATTTTTAATAAAGTAATCTTGCTTAGTAAACTGTTTTTAAAAACGTTTACAGTCCTGAAATTATGCACAAACCGAATACACAAAATGGCAAAATGCAATCATAGGCTAGAATAGAAATGAGTGGGCTAAATAGAGATCGGAAAGTGAACCGGAGAGAAAACAGCAGGAATCAACGGGCTGAGCAGACGGCGTTCTCGTTGACAAGGCTGATCGCGTCGTATCCGGGCGGTCCTCCTGAAAAAGAGAAAGATGGGTAGGAACAGAGAAGAAGTACCTATACCTTCCGGAGCCTGGAATTCTGGAAGTTCGGAACAAGAGGACTGAGGGGGAACCACAGATGCAGCTGTGCGAGCAACTTCTGGAAGATTACCCGGTGGAAAGATTTGTCGAAGATGAGAAACTGACCAGCGGCGTGATTGGAATCATATCTGTGCACACAAGCATGAGCATGATTCTGAATGTTCGCGATTTCCGATTCCATGTCGAGAATGGTGGACGCAGGCGATGGCATTGCAGGACTACAAATGATCAGTTTCAGTCTCAAACTAACATTTAGTGCGGTGGATGTTTCCAGTGTTAACGACCCTCTCCCTTTCCATTAAACTCACTGCTCCATGTCGACGGCGGTCAGAGGAGCCTCTCGGAAGGTGTTTTGCGAAAGGGAAGCAGCTTGTGATCGCCTGCAATTGGAATTGTTATCAGATTGAAAAGAGAGTTATTTTGACAGAGAGATGCTGATGCAACATTGCGGAGCATTATGCTTTTGTTCAATTGAGAATTGCGGATCTGATCACTTACATGGCAATGGCAGCTTGCTCATAACTCGGCGGGAGTCCTGCATCTCCGGATGACCTGGTCACACTGGGCGCCTCTCGAGTTGTGATGACCGCCGGAGCACCTCCCCCTCTCTTGAAGATCTGCTCGTATCTCGGAGGGGGATCCATGAATCCAAAGTTTTGATGGCTCCGACTGTTGTGGTCTGAAAACAGATATTGACGAACTGAAACCTGTCACAAAATAAAAAAGGGACAAGCACAACATGTGAATGCTCACGCAGATCTGAAGTGATAGTGTCCTCGAAGATCCCGACGATCACTAGATGTTTCATTCGTTTTCATCCCCACTTTTCCCTTTCCCCTATCTTCACTCACCATCTCTCGGATAGATGACATCGGTGTCGGTTTGCGTGGGGTTCCTGTTTCTGAAATCACGAGAATCTAAATTATTTAATAATAATCACTCCGTTTTCTTTGATAACAACTTTTGATAACCCGAAATAGCAGCCGGATCATTGATTTACCTGAACAGGTCGAGAAAACAGAGCAAGAAGAAGCACATTCTCTCTTTCAGCAAGTACGGAATGATCGGTGCGAGTGGGGCATGTGTTATCGATTCGTATTTTTTGATAAGCACCCCGGTTGCCTGTTTTGTTTTGATTGCACCTCCCAAAATGACACTAAAGTGAGCACGGGGCAAATAGAAAACGGAACCGCGCCGTCTGTGCGAAAGGAGGGAAATTTGTTTTTTGTACTATTTCATACTACGGTGTACGACGGGAATGCGAAAATGGAGCAAAGGGGGGGGGGGGCAAACAGGCGGCAATAATAACATGGAAAAGGGACTGAATGGAGATGGTTATGTCAGCTGCTGGATTGAATAAAAAATCACCATTGTGAGTTGCTTTTTCGACTATCTCTTATTTTCTGTGTTTATTACAAATCAACCTTTTGTTCATGGAGCTGTTCTATGCTCACTACGATATTTTAGTATCTCTGCACTCAAGGCTTGCAATTCTCTGGCACATCAGAAAAAGCAGCTCTCACCTTCTGCCATTTACGAGCCGCATGAATGACCGGCACATGCACATGATCATGGCGATGACAATGAGAAAGAGGACTAGAACGACGAGGTATCGGGTGAGGTCGCAGTTCGGGTCATCGTCCTGTAAACGAAGAAAACCATGAAGAGTGGCTGCATTTCCTCTCAAACCAAACATGCTGGATTCGGATATTCTGTAGTGGCGCCTGCAGAAGATTTTCTGTTGCTGAAAGGCATTCGGCTGAAGCTGAAAACGGAAAGTTTCGGAGTTGATGACAAAAAAGTAATGACGGAAAGGAAAGTGCTAATATAAGAGAGTTAATCAGGAATAAAGTATGACGCAAAGAAAGAGAGGGAGGTCTGATGGGCGAACGAAGCGGGGGCTAAACTGTGTCACTGTGCAAACAGCGACGATTCGATTTGCAGCAAAAGTTTAGCATTTTTGGAAACAAAGAAAAAGCAGTGCACACCATCAGGCAATCGGAAAATGACTAATGAAGGACATCGGACGGATGAGACATTCAATTGTAGTTTAAGATGAATTGTATTGAGCGGAAATTGTACGAAAGAGTGAGAGCTTTGGAATCAGAATGAATGTTCATTTCGAAAAGAATACGAGGACGGTTAGAGAGATCGGCACTTTCGGAATGAGCGGATTAGACCGTTATCAGTTGAAGAGTCTGAACTCTAGAGATTGTATGTTTCTTGCTGAGGTCACGGGAAGCATCTTGCGATGATTGCGAGCTTGATGAAAAATGAAGAAATAGTCTGGAATCCCGAGTAATCGACGTAATGAAAGGTGTTTCTGATGCTTTCTGAAATAACCGCTTCAATGAAAACGGAGCAAACGAGACCTCGTTAGATGGAAAAAACATTTTCGGTTTCTTATCGAGTTAACGATGTTTGTGAAAGGGTCACGTGGCATTGTGGAGGACAAGATAACCCAGTGATTAGGCTGATGAGATGGTCGGGATGGTATGGCCGAATTAGCACGTTTCGAAATGTTTTGAAGCCAGCTGCGAGCATAGTGATAAGAGTGTGATTGGCAGGGAAAAGGCACAGATGATTCTGATGATGGAATGAAGGAAAGTGATTGAAGTTGAGCGGAACCTTCTCATAAAATACTCACAAGTTGTCACAACAACTGATAACAGAGATCACACTTCCGTTGTTTGTAAAATGATGTGGCAGAATGATGCATACAAAACATGGAAACAAAATGTTATGAATCAAACGACACGATACGGAGCTGACTGGGGACATATATGAATTCACGTTTTCTCTAAAAACACGTATGGAATCCCCTCGCTGATCTTTCGACCTAAGTAGGTCTTGTTGAAATAGACCAGCTCTTCTGTGGATCCTGCCCTAGTGAGCAGAACGGAAGGAACGGGTCGATCCTGCCCGTAAAGATCCTTTCCGTCTCTTCAAATGAGATTCCGTTTGACAAATTGAGAAATAGCGGAAAACAAGAATGACGGAATTGTACTTCCGAGCAGCCGCCCATATCTTTCGGCTCTTATCTTGAAACGCCCTGGACTCGGAAGAGTCCACAGTTCGCCGATTCATGTGACTGCCGACGGGTCAAAAAATGACGTCCGTGCTCTTGTCGCAGAGACTCGCGCTATAATAAAACAAGGAAAATGCGGACGGCGCCAGACTGAACTGTCCCGAACAACTGGTTATAACGGGAGAGTTCGGCCCGTCGGTGGGAACCGAAATGATTCATTTTGGACTGTGCAAACTTCGATGAAAAGGAAAAGCGAGCGTGTTGGTTTTATAGTTCAGTGCGACGGATTATGCATACAAACGTGTGCTGAACTCGTCGTTTTATCAGTGTCTTCGCAAATCGCATTGGTCTACTATTTTAGGGTCCAACACGCACTTTTTATCATTCGAAGTCTGCAATTGCAGTTGAAAAGTACGAGTCAGTGAGGCACTAGGTGGGATTCCGGCAGAAGCTGAGCGATGGACAATAACATCCACGAAAACACGACAGCCAGCACAAAAGCGAATGCTCTCTAAACAGGAAAAGTGTACCGTAATCTTTTTGTGTCCATTTCGAAACGTGTCTTGTTGGCCGACGGCTATCAAAGAATTGTGTTCTTGCCACACAAAATTTCGTCTCTGAGTCTCACAGTTTCTCACAGATTACGAGCATGAGAGATCGAGGAAAAAACCAAACAAAGGCCTCAAATGTACAATTCCCTCTTTCTCTCTCTCTTAATTCCCCAGAAGATTCGCAGAGTCTGAATGCGTGCCGGGTGACACCTGCATGTCCTTTCTAATCGTCTCTCAGTCTGTCATTGTCTTCTGTTTACCCCAGATTGTACTCAAATCCCATGGCAGGTGGCCATCCCCATCGGACATTCCCGTCTCACACTCCATCGAAGCAAACCCTCCCTCGCTAATTGACTGTGTGCATAATGAAGCATTATTCATTGCGGTGAATGTCAGTGACCGTATTGGAAACATGAATTTATCAACAGGAGGGGCGAGTGGATCAGTTCAGTTGTCGTCGGATTGAGCAAGCAGACTGGAGAGAAAGACTTCTGCGATTTCTGCAGGACTGACATCTTCAACAGAAACCGGGGGAGAGGGAACGGGATTGCAGGGAGGAACTTCGAACTCGTCGATGATATTCACGACCAGCGGCTCCGGATCACACGCTGCAACTGGTTCGACGGCAGCTCTTCTGATCGGACGGAGACGGATTGGCTGGGCATCAGGGAACTGGAAACAGAGATTAAATGAGAAACGAACAATCGCAAAGGGATAATACCTCAAAGAACGGTTCGATGAGAGCACAGAAACGGGCAGCGCAATTCCGTTTTTGCATCTTCATGCCCCTTCGGATGTGGATGATCTCTTCGTACTCTTCCTCTCTTCCATTATCTTTAACCCATCGAAGAACCTTTGCCTTCAACTCACTGCAAACATCTGAATACATTTGGACACTTTTCGACAAAAAACGTACTCATTGGGAGTGCACAAATATACCCATTGCTGGCAAGAAGGGCACTTTCTCGTGAGACGTAGACATTGAGTGATGCATTTTTTGCAAAATGAATGCTGACAGCGAAGGGTGTGCGGCTGAAACAAATGGATTATATTTCTTGAGGTCATTGAAGAGAAATGAATACGAACCTCGACGACCAGATCGTAGCAGATTGTGCATAAGAAGTCGTCCTCTTCCAGGTCATCACTGAAGCAAGAGACTAGTTTGTTGGAGAGTAAGAGAAAGGAGAGGGGATGACCTTGAAAAGAGAGAGAGAGAGAGAGAGAGTACTTACGTTACTTTCCATTTTGGGGTGAACAGAGGTTTCGCACGATGTTTCCTCCAACTCAAATAGAACGCGAAAAAGTAGCAAGGCATGAAAGTGATCAAAAGTGCGAGATATATCCATCGGGACATCTGATAGTGGTGTTGCGGGTCAATGTCCGTGTAGTTTCGAATGATCCAGCAGATCAGTTCGGTGATCGGGAACACAAAGAGCATGTAGACGGCGTAGACGGTGATTACGTACATGATCGGCGACATGCGGATGCAGCACGGCATCTCGCGACCAACAATGAACGAAATGAATGGGAAGATCGATGGGGACGCCCGGCTGGGCGGGTTTGGACCGCGCGTTTATGGCGGAGAGGGCCACCTGTACGTGCTCGGACGGAGCAGACGAACGGACGAAAGATCGATCGGAGGGCGGAGAAGGAAATCAGCGGGAGACTCGCATAAACAGCCTGAACGAAATGGATGAATGCGAACAAATATGTGCGTGTGAAAACGAAACATTCGAATAAAAAACCAGAGGAAGGGCGATGGTGATTTTTGAGTTTTTTCGAAATATTTGAAACGAGAGAAAGAAATGCGGAAACAATGGGCGTTCGAGTAAAACTGAAGAAGGAGACTGTGATTCATTGAGAAAAGCGGAACGTGCTGAGTCAGAGTTTCGATTCTCATCCTAAGTATCCCTCTGACAATCAACCTCATCGCTCTGCTTCTGAACCGGATCAAACCTACCCGAAGAGAACAGTACTAAAAACATTCGTTCTGTTTTTGTCTACTCCCAACTATTTCCTTATCACCTGTCCCATAAAAATTGCATCTCGGTTCAGCAGAATCCCTCCACATGTTCATGTTCTGTTCCATCAAAAGAACACCGCGTCAATGATAGATGCGGCTGTTAATCGGACACCAGAAAGCAGCTGGCGACGGCCAATTTGCAGTGATGGTGGCAAGGGAAATGGGCAGCGAAGGCGCCGTGGACAAGCTGTTTTACGAGTCATAAATCGACGCGGAAAGAGTTTTCGAACGGACTGCAGCTGAAGAGGACATTGCACAACGTCGCATCTGGGAAGGACATTGCGCAATCGAAGGAAGATGGGCAAACACGGAAAGAGAGGCTATCTGTGTGTTTATGGATGCAATCAAACATGTAAAATAGTTTTTATGGTGGGTATGAACAAAGAGTTTGGATGTTTCTATTCTCTCGGTGAACTGGGAGTCTTCTTGCTCCTCAGCCAGATCGTCGCATCTTCTCTCTGAAGGTCCCCTCTGTGTTCCAGTCCGACTCCTGCCTGCTGTCTCACTTGCCGCATGATCTCTGATTTCAACTCTTGGTCCTCCACATTCTGAATCTATGCTCACTGAACTGATCTCATAAGTTTCCCTACTTTCATCAGGTTACACAGCGAGTTCTCCGAGTGCTTGTTGAGTTCCGTCCAGATTATAACGAGGGCTCTGTTCTGCAGCAACAGCTTCTTCTGATTCGATTTCATCCGTTCGGAATACTCATCTGCCAGTTTCCGAGATGACACGAAGCTCATTGTAAGGGATTCCAACTGTCTGAAACCGGAAATTGAAAAAAGATCTGTAAAGATGAACTCGCCGATTCCTTATGGGATTTCCAGCATGTGACCTACATAAAGGACACTTTTCATTGACATTTAAGTGGCTCTCAATGCAAAGTCGACAGTACGAATGACCGCATTCAATGATAACTGGCTGCAATTATAAAAGTACTGATGATCCACGGAAGAGTAAGACAATCACCTCCACGAATAAATCGAGGCAGACGGCGCAGCAGAAGTCTTCGTCGCGCATCGCAATTGTTTGGAAAGTAACTGTACTAATCGGGCAATCTAATCGAATTAGCCTCGCAAATAAAGAGTTTGACAGGGTGGTTCCGATGCTAGAACAATAAGAGAGGAATTGGATTACTCATTGACAGAAGGACGGACGGTACGGAAAGAAGAGCGGAAGAGACGCAGAGAGAAGGTCCGAGCACCGAAAAGGGAAGAGAACACCTGGGGAGATGGGGCGGACAGTGAGATATGAAGGGGTCATTCAGTATGATAACATGATGGATTGGAAGGCGTCGAACGGAGAACAGAACGAATTATGGATGGAACAGTGACAGACGGGGAGGGATCAGGAGCAGCGGTTCTTGGCAAAATAATCTCGAGAATGGCCAGAAATAAAACAGTACAAGAAAGAGTCAAGTTTCCGCGAACAAACCATTCGTTTAGACCCCAACAGATCAGGTTTCCAGTCAACCTTTAGTACTCGGAATAGGTACCAATTATATTTCCATCAAAAAGTGAATGAGGGCAAGTCAGCTGACTCCGGGTCGAACACTCGGAAGCCGTCTGCGGCACAATCAGCCGTTTCCGCGCGGCGCCGTCATTACGGTGTAATGAGGACTGAAAGGAACAACACGTTGTCATCTGGACGGTGTCTCTTTTCCCATAACCGGTTACTGTAGGAGGGCGCGAAACGGCACCCGTTTTTCAGACGAAACGGACAGTTTCGAGGAACTTTATTCGGGGTTTGTCAGTGTGTTAATGCGAGGAAATATAGAAAATCATCAAAGAACAAGAAGGTAAATGGAGGAAATGAAGGGGAGGGAAAGAGGAGGATATTGGAGGGGAGGGGACCGACTAGAGTGTAATGCAAGTGTAAAGGAACTAGGATAAGGGAACAAAGTGACTATTCGACCTATTCAAAGCATGATGTCAGAGTGCGGCTGCGTCGTCGGAATCGGAATGTACTCGGTTTGATTGGGTCGCTTCCGATACGGCATCGTCACTCGCTGCCATTTCTGAAAGACGTCTGGTAATGGGCGAAGGAGAAGGCGGAGAAGAAGCCATACCTCAGAAAGAGAATTGCCTTTTGCGTTGACAAACTTGTAGATGCCTACCAGCGGGATGAAAGAGGCGCCGGAAAGCGCGAAAATGATGCCTATCACGTTTGCAGCTATCGGGTACTTGTAGTCCTGGTAAGTGAGAGCCTGGTAGTTGACGAAGTTGGAAGTGATCATAGACTGAAATAAGGCATTCTAGAAGAAACAAAGAAGAGTAACAGACCAGAAGGATGAACGGAGCAGCACAACTCCAGCAGAACTTCCAGTAGTTTCCCGGCCGGAATCCCATCATTTCCTTCACATCACGGACGAATTGGCGGAGTCCTAAGACGGCAAAGTTTTTCGTTTAAAGTGAAAAAGGCATACCATAAATATAGGAAATTACCATGGCTTCACAGAAAACAGCAATGAGAAGACCCCATGTGGTTCCATAAATGATAAGCCATTCCATGATCAAAATACCTCCCTGAAAATTGGTTTTTTAACATTGACACTTTCTCGTAGAATTCACGTCTGTGCACATTGAGATTCCGATGATCATGTAAAAAGAGAAAAGGCAACCGACGAACACTTCGCGATGTCTTTTCAGAATGGGAAACTCATCCGAGAGACCAGTGATTATGGCCTCTGATCCTCCGAACTGCAATTAGGTTGCTGGCGGAACTATGAAAACGACAAGACCTACCGAAGAATCCAGTCCAAGAGTCATGAGCATCAGAAAGAAGAGCACGGACCAGAATGGAGCCCAAGGCATCGTAGAGAGAGCTTCCGGGTAGACTACGAAAACGAGCCCGGGACCTTCCTGAGCAACTGCTTCAATTGGTTTTCCTGACTTGCACGACATGTATCCGAGAACGGAAAAGATAACGAATCCGGACAGGAAGGAAGTCGCACAGTTGATGAAGGAAGTGAACAGGGCATCACTGAACAGGTTGATAATCGGGAGAGTGACATTTATTGGAGACTGACTTACACGTAGACATTGTTATGGAAATCATTGTAGGAAGAATACGCCATGAGGACTCCAAATCCAGGGCCGAGGGAGAAAAAGACCTGAGTGGCGGCGTCCTGCCAGACGGACGGCTTCTGAAAATTCGAGTGTTACAATGACAGTTTATGCACGAATACCCGAAGCATTTCAAAGTTCGGACGGAGGTAGTACTCGATTCCTTTTTGCCATCCGGGAAGAGTGACTCCTCGAATGAACAGGATTCCGAGCACGACGTACGGGAAGAGCGCAGTGAACCAGACGACCTTTCCGGAAGTATGAATGCCTTTCCACATGGAAAAGTAGCAGATAAGATAGACAACGAACAGAGAAAGCTGAAATGAATGTGCTGATGGAATGGGAGGAGGTGAACGGCTGACTGCAATATCCCAGTGAACACTTCCGAGATCAGTGAGGCTTCGGACGACGTGAGAATTCGGAGCGTTCGCTTCATGAAGGCCCAGAAATCCTTTGCTGAAATTGTCAAAATAGAGCTAGGAATTTTTTGATTACAAGTTGATTTACTAGAAGTATTCTTCGGCGGCAGATATCTTCTCGGCGGGCACAGATTGGTTTGCACTCCGACACATTGCGGTTCCGTCTTCGGACCAGTGTGGTTCATAGCAGGCAGCAGAGTTGTACGTGTTATTGCACGACGCCCAAGGCAAGTTGAAGCTGTGAATGAAAAAGGTTCGAGTGGAATGGGAAAAGAGTTACCTAAAGGATGTGTAAAGATAATGAAGACCCCAGGCGAGGATCACATTGTAAAAGAAGTCTACGTAGAAAGCGGTGAGAATAACACAGTAGCCGATGCCTTTGAAAAGCGGACAGATCCTGCCCCACGTGGTGATTGCACCCTTCCGGTAGTACTGACCGAGACAGAGCTCCATATAAAACAACGGTACTCCGGTTAAGAGAACCATAATTGAGTACGGTATGAGGAAAACTCCGCCTCCGTTCTTGAAGCACAGATAGGGAAATCGCCAGATATTCCCGAGATCAACAGCAAAACCGACTACTGAAAGGAGGAAATCGAGCTGAAAAAAGAGTGAAACGAGAGAGAGCTGGGAGGAAAGTACCTTGCCAGACCATTGTTCTCTGGCCGGATCTTTGTGTTCGCCGTCGGCTGCGACAGTCCCGTCTTCCGCGGGTGCAGTGTTATGGATGCCGTTCGACGGTCGACGGATTTTTTCATCGGGATCGTCTGGAATACTCACCAGTCTTCAATTCGGAAAAGGATCCGTAACATTACCTGTGGGCACCAATTGCATAGTGAGAGATGGATATCAAGATGAAAGGAACGTGTTATCAACTGATGTGCCCAATTTTCGAAAGTTGGTTCTGGAAGAAACAAGTGAAACATCAAAAAACAAGGAAAAGAAACAAGAATGTAGGCGAGGGTGAACTCTTCGTGTGCTCGGCGAGCTCTTCTGAGCCCACTTTTCTTGTCAAGCCCTCGAAGGTGGAGGAATGCGCGGCGGGTTCTTCGGGCTGTGTGGCATGTCGAATATTCCGGTGTGCCAGCCCCAATATCATCGTCGTTTCTCTTCTACATTCTGCTTCTGATTCGTGCCTGCGTCTCCTGGCGACGCACAGTCTCTGCGAGCATCGACTACGGTGCGGCGGATAATTGCCGGAAAGCATCTATCTACTTATACTTCTTTCTTCTTTTTCTACATTTATGTGAGCAGTGTGCGATTATCCTTCTCCAGTTGGTTGCCTGGCACAAAAACCGACTGAAAAAAAAATGCAGGATTTATGAAGAAGGGGAACGAATAAAAGGACAGGAAGATACGTGAAAATGTGAACAATATGAAGATGAGAACGGAGTAAATGTACATGAGAACGGAGGTCGACTAAGCGGAAAAGACTACGGTCGGATGAGAATTCTGTGGGAGAAGTGAGGTCATTTGAAATCGGAAAGAAGGTAGCTGGCGGATTGCGGAGGCAGGAACACTTTGTACTTTTCGAAAGTCGGAGCAGCTTTCTGGCGGATCTTCGAGAGCAACGGTTCCGATATTAGGAACGAGTGGTTCAGGATTTCCTGGCTGAAAATTTAAATTTTTTATTATGAAGTCGTTAGAGAAATTTTTATTACAGCCTACAGTAATCTTTTTTCGCTGACGCTGAACTCGCCGTGTACTTCTCGTGGACAACTTGCAATAAAAGTTTTTCGCACAGTTTTATAAACATATTTCTCTGATTTTGTCAAAATTTGTTTAGTTTTTCTCAATCTTTCTCTCTTTTCTTGTATTTTTTCTCGAATATTCGTTATTTATTGTTTCTTTTTTTAATCGGCGTTGCTTGTTCAAGTATATTCGGGAAGTGCTGCCCGATGGAGCGCACACAAATCCAAAGCAATCATTATCCATGAGGAGGCTCCGAAGATAATCTCTTCCGTCCGTTTTCTTTCGCGTTTTCTTGCTTTTCATCAAACTCACAAGTAAGAAGGGGCCACCAGTTGGCGGGTGTCTTCGGCGATCAGAAGATAGCAGCGACCGGGCGCACGAATCAGTCGGCTCTGATCGTGGAGAATGTTCTTGTCGTCCTCGTCGCACGAATACTGAAAGTAATTAATGAACGGTCTGATTAGAAAGAGACGGTCTTACTCTGAACATGCGTGGATACTTGTTGAAGAGAAGAGACGGTGGGATCTGGAGCACGTGCGCCACTTTCTGGGCAGTCACGAAACGAGTGTTCAAATCGATGCGATCCGGATTCCAACGGATAACCTCGCTCATCGTCGGAGGAGTCATCTCCAGACGGTACGCTTCCTCGTCTTTGCGTGGGCGACCACGACGACGTTTTGCATCGGAGCAATGGCTGACTCCGGACACATCGGAGCTGTCAGACTCATATCCTCTCTGCAATTTCTTGACTTTGAAACAGTTCTGATTTTTATGCGCGCTAATGTACTCGAAATCCGTTTCCAATTCCGATAATTCAACCAACCTTCAAGTTGTTCTCGTGCTCTTGACTATTAATGTCGATGAAGCTGTTTCCGTTCACGAAGATTGGCGGAACGGGCTCTGGCTCCTTCAAGTACGGTTTTTTGGCTGCCTCCAGAATGTTACAGTACAGTCCGTTAAGCACAGTTTCGTCCACAACCTGCATTGAGAATGCACACTTGAGAAATGGTTTCCAACGCCTTACGTGTCCGTTTCTGCGAAGGTTTTCAATGGCTGGCATCAGCGTGGTTCTGGTATGACGCTCCATGATTTGATGAATTTCACGGGAAATTTCATTTTGAAATATCTGAATTACATCCGACGGTTTTGTCGTGTTTTCGTGTCTTACCCGTCTCATCAAGTCCAACGAAGACGGAGCATCATCGGCCATGTCAAGCTTGTTACGCCTGATCACCTGCTTCAACGAGTTCACCTGAAATTCGTGAGCTCTAGAAAAAAGCTCTGACGTGCGTACAAGTTCTAACAAAGTTAGATTGAATCGAATTATTAGAAATACATAACCTTTTTTCGAATGTATCCCATCAAATTCGTCATTTCAATCTTTTGAAAACTTCTTTGCAAATTCCACAAACGAAATTCCACAAACCCTGGCAGAAGACCCATCGCTGCTTCCATCCATTTCGCGATTCAACAGCTCGTCAAGAATCACGATCCGCATATTCATTTTGTTTCCATTGCCGTTTCCAGTCATTCGTTCGAACATTTTTTGCGCTGAAAATCGGCGTTTGAAGATGGGTAACAACACAAAAAATAGGAAATGTGGGAGGAAAGACTGCTGACTGACGACTAGACCAGTGCCACGAGAAGAGACGCAGAAGGGACACAAGCGCCTTCTGCGACTCTTCACTCGCCATGCCTCCCGGGCACTCCCTCATCCACACGCTCCTTCTCGCTCCTCTCAGTTCGGTTTGCCCGTTGCGCGAAGTTTGTGGTTTTCGTCTCGCTCTTCCCCTCTAGTTATGATGTCAACGCCAGCTCCGTCTACTTCGATTTTCTTCGAGGTGGCGCGTGTTCCTGATACTATTGGCAAAAGTAAAAAGAGAGAGACAGAGTGCGGTAGACGGGTCAATGATGGAAATATTTGCTTTCTCATTTCGCGTAGATTTGAGCCGAGAATGACCAGAGCGGATCCGGTCGGGGAACCGATCAAACACTCGTTCAGACTGAACCAATCAATTACGGTGATTTGCATACTAGTCTTACGACTGCTTCTTCTCAGCAGTTTGCATCGTTTAACCCCCACCACACTCAATCCCTTTTCTTTTCAGCTTATTCGTTACTTGAGTTCGGCCTGTAAAAGCCATCATATCAAAAACCAAACGAAAATGTCATCGTGTAGTGGTTTAGCGAGTTTAGCTGTCTGGGAACGCTCACTCTTCATCCGGTCGTAAGCCAACTACGTCTTCTCTCTTTTCGCTTTTCCGATTCTCGAATTTTTGATTACTTTCTAAGAAAAACTGGAAAATATGGAGCAACCGGCGCCGAGAGCTAATTGAATTCACATAAATATATATTCATGCGAGCCTCCAGTTCACACTCTCCTCCCACACCGATTTAGCCGTCTATCTGTCCGATCGACGCAAAAGTTTGCATTGCAAATATGTGTTCTGCACTGTCTGCGGCAGTCTGTGCATGTTTCTGCCGGCGAAAACCTTTCTGTTCACCCTTCAAATTATTCCTTTCTTCGTCTTTTCTTTCCCAAAGACAATAGGGGAAGGGACCACCGAATGGGCGCCTCCGTTTAGTGGCATTGGCCGTTTCGAAGCCTATTTTGCACAAACAAAGTGATGGGTTGTTTGTGCTTACGGATACTTCCCCTATCGCCTTTCTTCGCTTTCTTTTTTGTTCCCAATCGTCTCGACGCGATAGTTTGTCTCGATTCCCACCAATTTCGCTTTGTTTTCATCGTGTTCAGTGAAAGTGAACGGGATAAAATCTCGTTATTTTCCGGTTCTTCGGGCGAAAGTTCTAAATCTATTTGTGCGAAATCACGTGAATCGTCGAGCAGAGCACACTTTTCAACTGACCCTTTCGAAACACTTGCCGGTCTTAGAATTTCATCTGTCCTTTTCATGATCAGGTTACAACAACTTTGTTGGAGGCTATAGCGTTTCAATGTTGTTTGTTTCTTTTTCTAACTTTTGTGATCAATTTCCGCTGATCCATCATTTCGGACCTAAAAATTATGAAGTTACAAATAACACGGATGTCTGATCAGAACAAAGCTAACCAACTGCTCGCTGGATTGCTTTTGAGACGCACTTCCTGTTCTTTTTACTAGTTCGATACTTGACAGTGTAATATCAACATCTGAGATGTAATTTTTCTTGCCGAAAAACACGCCTAGTCCTTTTCTCTCGGCCGTTACTTTTCGGAGAGGATGAACACACTCTTCGTTCTCGAGGCACCTGCCTTCCCGTGTCTCGTCGACTCCTTCTCCCGTTTTGTGACCGCTCTTTGAAATTAGGTCCTCTTTTGCCCCGTGCGATCGGCTTTCCCTTCGTCTTTTCATTGCTTCGGTCCATGCGAGTGCTCCCGGGTCTCTCCACAGAATGCCGTTTCTAATATATACACAAAGTGCCAATTGGAGGCCCTCCGGCCTGTCTTCCCTCGCCTTTTCCCGCCCGTCAACTTGACGGCAACTGCTCCTTTCCTTTCTTTTTTTCCTCTTTTCCTGCATTTCCCATCTTCCGTCTATGATTGTTGCATTCTTCTCACCAGTGTTTTTTTTGCAGCACGAGAAAAAAGCAATTTCCCCTGCGTCCAAAGTATTCCATACGAAGACCAGGAAGAAAAGAAAAAGAGCTGAAAGATTATTGCCCACAAAATATTTTCCGGTTGAATGGAATTCTTTCCTAGTGCCCCCGTTACTTGTCCGACTCCCTACGGCTTTTCAACACCATTTCCGTTGGTCAGCAAGCGTATCGTGCACCGATGATCACGCCCTTAATAAGAACAGTTAATGTTCAGTCTATGCCCATTTGTGATCACCGGACTGTACCGCTTATCAGCAGCCAGAAAAGAGAAACATGAGTTGGTCAGCCTATTTCTTATCAAATACGTTTGACGCTCGTTTCTAGTTAAAGTGTGTCCAGCCTGTCAGCTGTTAAATGACCAACACTACTCTCTCGTGACTCGTTCAATTTGAGCTATGCTGAACCCTAAGAACCTTCCGAAATCCTGAAATATTGGTTTTCCTCGAAGCTTTAGTCGATCACCTCTGAGTCATTTTGTTTATTTTCGAATGTTGCCCCGTAGGGTTGCAGAAGAGGCGCCTGAAATCGTCTGTTCTGCAATCCTAATGCCCCGACTTTCTCGCGGTGCCGCATCATCCAGTACTGTATTCAATCGATATTGTTTGAAGAATAAAAGCCACATGGAAATGCAATACTGGCCAACTCGTTCAGGTCTTTTGCGATCGATTCATTAGGTTTTTTTTTTAATTCTTCCTCTTGTCTTGTTGAAATCCACGCTGAGGCTGCTAAAACATAGTATATTACATCCTTATCAGCAGGTCCTTATCACAACGTAATAGAACTCGGCAAAATATAACTGCGACATAATAGAACTGCGCAGAATAGAACTGCGACATAAGAGAACTGTTTTTCGGTGGTGTGCGTTTGTATTTTTCTCCAGTTCTATTACGTTGTACCGTCGAAAGGTTTACTGACCATTGTGCCAACGTTGTTCTTCACAAGCTTCTTTTCTATTCTGAACGTTTGAACTTGATTCATAAAGATTCCAATCTTTCTGACCTTCCGCATCTGTTTTCGTTCGAATGTTTATGCAAAAGGACGCATGACGCGTTCCGTTTCTTCTCGGACATGAAATTGCGCCTACTCGGCTCTCGCAAAGCGCCCTCTATCAAGATGACGCCCAAAAGGGCAAAGAAACCTGTAAATAAATAGATTAGAAGACATGCATAGCCATGATCAAAAATCGAAAGTTCTTGGTGTAAATAAGACCGAATCCTTCGCCGATTGAGTCGCGTTTCCTGCTTTCTTTTGTCTCTGACCCGCTACTCTACTCCTCAAAACCCGTTAAATGTCGTTTCTATTCTCTTTCCTTTCTAATTACCGATTGAATGTATCCGTATCAAACTCGTTATTAGGAATCACTTTTGCAGAGTAATCATGGTCCAAACGTACAGATCGCCTGTACGGATCTACAAACATCCGTTTGAGATCGTGATGGCGGTGAGTTAGTTTGAAGAAACTTGAATTCCTTTTTTTTTCACAATGTTCCAGGCATACGAAATGCGATTCCCGACGTGCCCACAGATTCCAATATTCGTCGGTTCAGAGAAGACGTTCGAATATAAAAGTGACGACGGTGCAGAATGGGTCATCGACAGGAAGTGCCAGCTCAACATCGAGGCTCCTTACCTAGTGAAAAAGATTGCCGGAGTCGACTACGTCTACTTCTCGCAGAAGAACTCGCTTGATCGCAGGAAGAGAACTCTTGACATCGAAGCGACGAACATCTCATTCGCGAACAGAATCGCAGTTAAAGAAAACTGTACATATTACGTACGAAACTCTGGTTTAACAGACTCAATAAGCTTCTTATTTCCAGGTTCATGCCGAGAACGAAAACTGGACATGCTTCGAGCAGTCTGCTTCTCTCGATGTCAAGAACTTTTTCGGATTGGAATCGGCCGTCGAGAAGCTCGCTGTTCGACAATACGGAGCCAATTTGGCAAAAGGAAAAGAAATTCTGGAGTTCTTTATCGAGGAACTGCTGAAGACGACAACGCATATCGAGAGGTTCAGAGATCCGGAGGAAGACGATTCAACTTCAGCCACAGGTGAGAAGCAGGAGAAGCAACAAACTGAAAACTTCTATGATTCATTGAAATTCAATTGTGAGTATTCTTTTAAACTCAATGTATCGCTATTGCCCCTCGGTGTTTGCAGACTCGAACCAAAATTTCCTGAAATTAGGTTTGAGTCTGCAAGCACCGAGAGGGCAAGAGCGGTAAATTGAGTATAGTTAACCGTTTTCACTGCAGTGTACTGACCTCATCAAACCGATTCCAGATTCGGCGATTGAACTGAAAGAGTCATCTGACGGAGATGCCGTGCTCGTCGAGAAGGCGCCGATGCTGGCAGCAGAGTCCGAGGAGATGAAGACTGCGCGAGCGACGGCCAGTTTTGACGACGGTTCGTTGTGATTTCGTCCAATTGCTGCTCCGTTTAGGCATCCGTCTCATCAGTTTTCTACCGTGTTCTTAGCCCGCTTTTCATGCACTTGTGATGTCCCCACTCGGAAACCTTCTCTTCTCCAACACTTTCATAGTTGTAATAGTTTTCTGTTTCTATTAGCATGCTTCAATTTGGTTGTTGTGTCAGCATGCTCATCTATCTGCACAGACACCTTTTAGTTCTAATTTTCTATCCCGGGCCGGAGGTATCTGCTCTGTCTCGTTGTAATTTTCAAAGTAACAGATTTTCTGTGCCTATACCCACAATAAAATCGTAAAACCCCTTGGTCAGTGCAAAGAACGAAGCGTTCCGATGCTGCCGCCAATCAGAAAGTGCACCCGATTCCCCCGCGGATATCTTGTACTCGGCGGTGCCCACTTCAGACTGTTTGGTCTTTGCGCGACTGAGTCTCTCGGCTTCTCCCGTCTCTAGACGGGCGCAGCTCTTCGGCGATCTCCTTGAATCGCGAATTTATCGATTCATTAGGAACACGATCTCCTTTCATATTGTTGCTAGATAATGCTTGCTCGAAAGTATGATAAAAGTGGGAAGCGTAGAAAGTCTGTCAAATTCGTAATTGGTTAGTTGTTATCCCCTGCCTGCAGCTCAGCTTGAAGCACTCACAGCATCAGTCGCAACCACATCGCAACACACAGCAATTTGTTACTTTTTCAGCTGATTCGAAACTCGAGGCAGAGTACATTCGAAGGTTCCTGGGGCAATTGAGTCCACTGGAAGAGTCGAGACTTTGCGAAATCAAGTACAGTCTGCAAGCACATCATAAGGTTTTGCCAGTTCTACTTTAAGCTTCTAAACATTGCATTTCAGGGCAAGCTTCCGAACGATGCCCACTTGCTCCGTTTCCTGCGAGCGCGCGACTTCGATGTGGCGAAGGCGAAAGACATGGTTCATTCGAGCATAATCTGGCGCAAACAACACAACGTTGACAAGATTCTGGAGGAGTGGAGTCGCCCGACAGTTATCAAGCAGTACTTCCCCGGATGCTGGCATAACTCGGACAAAGCGGGACGACCTATTTATATCTTGCGACTCGGACAACTGGATACGAAGGGAATGCTTCGGAGCTGCGGAGTTGAGAACCTCGTCAAGCTAACTCTCTCGATTTGCGAAGACGGACTGCAGAGAGCCGCCGAGGCGACCAGAAAGCTCGGAACTCCTATAAGTTCCTGGAGTCTGCTCGTTGATTTGGACGGGCTCTCGATGAGGCACTTGTGGAGACCCGGAGTTCAGTGTCTTCTCAAAATCATCGAAATCGTGGAAGCCAATTATCCAGAAACAATGGGACAAGTGCTCGTTGTCCGTGCTCCGAGAGTGTTCCCCGTTCTCTGGACTCTTATTTCTCCGTTCATCGACGAGAAGACAAGAAAGGTTGGTTGGAGAGCTGGAGGAATACAATAATAATAATAATAATGGTTCTGTTTCCAGAAGTTTATGGTTAGCGGTGGCAGTGGAGGAGATTTGAAGGAAGAGCTTCGAAAACACATTGACGAGAAATTCATTCCGGACTTCCTGGGCGGCTCATGTCTGACGACAAACTGCGGGCTCGGGGGTCACGTTCCGAAGTCGATGTACCTTCCAGTTGAAGAGCAGGAGGGCGCTAGCTCATCAGAGGACCCGTTGCACTCGACGTACACAAGCACCGCCACGTGGCGAGGATATCCGATCGAAGTGGTCGTTCCCATTGAAACTGCCGGATGTGTGCTCACGTGGGACTTTGATGTTCTGAAGAACGACTGCGAATTCAGTCTGTACTTCTCAACTGAGGTTCGGAGTGACAATAAAATGTTCAAAAACAGTTTTTCCAGAAAATTGAGCCACCTCCAGTTCGCGACGGAGCTCAGTCGCCGACTACTATTCTCAATCCCGTGGAAATGGTTTCCGCGGCAATCGGCGGAGCCTCTCATCAGCACCCTGATCTTCAGTGTGCGCCTGAGCTGAAAATCGGTTCTCCCGAACTGACCCTGGAAGAGAAGCCCGTGCTGTTCCAGGAAGGAGATTCCATGCAGGTTTGTGTCCCTTTCATCAATTAGCAATGAAAATTCCATCTGCAGGGATCCCATTACTGCTCTCGTGCTGGCACTTACGTACTGCAATGGAGAGTTCCGGAAACGGGCGCCGGCATTTCGTCCACATTCGATTTTGGCTCCCATAAATGCCGATTCATCTACTACTATGAGATTCTGAATTCCGAAAACTTCAGGTGTGTAGGCGTGGTCTTTCCACTTGTGATGTACTTTTTTCAGAGGGTCCGTCGCCTCTCTCGAATCTTGCCGCTCGTCATCGTTCAGTTCAATCGCCCCGCCAACGCCTCCGACGCCAGGAACTCCCCGTAATCCTTAATTTCTTGCTTGTGATCCGTTCCATTACCTTTCCTTTCTCGCTTTCAGTCCCTCTATGCAAATTCCCCTCCGCCGTTCCTTTTCATCGTTTTCTCGATACGGTTCTTTTCTCAACCTAATTTTTTCTTTTATCTGTCCATTCGATGCACATAATTTATTTATATTTCTTCCCAACTTGTACCCATTTCCACCAAACATCCACCAAAGTTTATGTTTTCGAGCCCTGTATAAAGACGTCTTGTACATGAGAGTGAGACGGAAAAGAACAATGATTTTCACACCCAACACAAACATAATCCGCACTCCAATATATTGGACAAACAGGCCGAGAATGGGAATTGAGCTGGTATTATTTGTTAGTGCCCATTCTCCGGTAGGGTACTTACCTACTTTAGCACCGAATTCACTCGAACTGCGCCCACTTGATTCGCTTTTCCGTGCCGATCTTTCCCCTGCTCCTTCCTCTTCCGAATGCCGCCACCTCCTTTGATCACTTTGGATGTGGAGGGCGTCTTCTTCAAGACGAGAATCGCCACTCTCAAGTCCATCGAAGGCACCTTCTTCACTCGTTTCTTCGATTCGAATTGGAGAGAACAACTCGACAAAGTGAGTCATGAATCGGTCTCCGAACTTTCTCCTCTTCTAAACAGTTCCCAACTGTCTCATGGCCCCTCTACACCCATTTCCATCCCAATTTTCCATCCACCAAGGGCCGGCCATTGATGACGTAGGCACTCGACAGCTGGCCTCGGTAAAGACCATTTGTTTGGTGGATGGCTACGTCACAGACTCCGCCCATTGAATGGTGAACGGATTGGTGACGTAGGCAGACGCCAGATGGATAGTTACCGCAATGACGACGTAGAAAATGAATGGGGGAACAGCCGTGAGATTTGAATTTCCGGGTACTGGAAGCTTGGAGAAATGTTTGGCATTATTTGGCTTTGGTAACGTCACACCGAACCGTCCACCATTCTGTGACGTAGGCATTCACCCAAACAAATGTGGGCCACCGACCAGCCGACAGTTGTCTACGTCACCAAGGGCGGAAGGGTCAGAATGATGACGTAGGCAGACAATGAGAATGGAATGAGGGTGATCGGAGTGACGAAGGCAAATGGGACAGAGCGAGACGTTTGAATTTATGGGCGAGTGTGGAAGGAATCTTATCAAATATTGCTTCAGGATGGAAAACTATTCATTGATCGGGACTCAACAGTTTTTCCAGTCATTTTGAACTTCCTCAGAGACCACGAGAAATGTCCTCTGCCAAAGGACGAGTATCAACTGTTGCGAGTGCTCAGAGAAGCTGTGTGAGTTCCAGACTACAAGGCAAACAGCAAAATATATTTCGATTTTATTTCAGGTTTTTCAACATTGGACCTCTGAGAAACGTAATTGAGCACAAGTTGAGGTAGTTTGTTATCTTTCTCAACTTCCTACGTAGGCCCAATGCTGCCGGCTTTCAGAGCTTCCACCTCATCCGACTGCACTTGTCCTCCAGGGATCCCTTCAACGCCTGTTCCCCAAAAAGAGAATGTTCCGAACCCTCGGATCCTGCTCTCGAAGCCTCCACCTCCTCCTCCGCCTCCATCTCTCGTCCAACAACCGAAAGATACGGTTCAGATTCCTATGCGGAAGCCGCCAGTAGACAGAACTTGCAAGAAGTTGAAGAAGTCAGCAGACTCGATAAGTCTGCCAAGAAATTTCACGTGGGCTCCTCAAACTGATGCTCGCCTCACACACGAATCCTTTCAGACACATCGCCCATGTTGGATGGAACGGTTCTTCTGTTTTGTTTGACAAGAAGTTGACCGATGATCCGACGGTCAAAAAAATCTGTGATGCGGCTGCGGAAGCTGTTGATTTGAATGTGAACCGAGTGAAGTTTATATGAAAATTGTCATTTGTTTCAGGCGGTTTATAACGTGGTTAACAAGAACGCCGACGAAGAAAGCCACAGTGTGGAAGTGCTGATCACAGGCGGAGTGATGCAATCGAGGGACGGAACTTCCCGTCACTGAACGCTTTTTAGCTTTCTTGAACGTTTTTTTTTCGTTTCCTGCAATGAATTCTTTTTCACGTTCTCCTGGAATGCTATTCTAGAAGTAGAAGTCACATGTGGAGTGAAAATGGGATTATAACTATAATTTATAAGAGACACCAGACAATAAATGCAAATGCGCTCAGGCGCTCTTCGCGCGCGACCGTCGAATTGAAATTTTATGGCGGGAAAAGCTAAAAGCCGCGATTTTTCCTCGCAACCGGGAAAAACATTGCTCTTTCTTCGTTTTTCGAATGGTTTTTGCTTATATCAAAAGAGCCAATTATTTGAATGACTTATCTTAACATTTTTCTCCTCTCCGCGCCCATTCTCCTTTTATTTTGGGACCGTCGGTATGCGGTCGCCCATTGCCCTTGACGCTTACTGGCTCCGCCCTTCTCTAGGGGGCATGCAAAAATGGGTATAAATAGCGCGTCCCAACATGCAGAATATCCAACTCTACAATGATGATGTTCCGTCTATCTTGCACTGTCACAGTATACGGCACTTAAATTAAGAGATAACTGTCACACGAATACTTACCAGACGTGCGTCCCTATTGCGCGCAGCTAGTGCTCTAGTCGTTTGAACGATAACTGAAGCGGCGCCAAATCTAAATGTCTGGCGATCGTCGTCTTTCACAGATTCACTCTGTATTGTCATTGTCTAACTCGCCTGTTTCTCTAGATTTTGCGCCCTTGGCCAAGCTTGGAATTGTTCGCGGCCGTGGCTGCTCATTTCGTAACGCTAGTCCATCAAAACATTCAAACTTTGAGTCACGGATTCGGTCTTGTCGACCGTTTTAACTTTCAGTTTGCAGCTTCCAGGTGCTCTTTGATAAAAAGTAGTCCATTCGCTGACGCTGTCTGGGTCAAGCGGCCTCCAAATGTCGTCAAAAATCGCTCTCAAAAGTCCGAGTATCAGCGGGGCGCTCTTGCCTGTTCTGCTCCTCTCATTTCGCGCGCTCTCACACTTTGGCGCGAAACATGTCGATTCAAGATAAGAACTGTCACTTTGAATTCGCTACTCTCGTCCGAACCACTCAATTCTCTGAATTTCTCCTTTTTCTCTCTCAATTTATTTATTTTTCAGGAAATGCAACGTCATAACAGTACTTACGTTGTCAAGCGCGACGGCCGCAAGGAGGACGTACACTTCGACAAGATCACCTCCAGAATCCAAAAACTCAGCTATGGGTTGAATATGGACTTTGTCGATCCGGTGGCTGTTGCTATCAAGGTGATCAGCGGTCTTTACAAGGGAGTGTCCACCGTCGAACTGGATAACCTGGCCGCTGAAACTGCCGCTTCGATGACTACGCAGCATCCGGAGTACGCTCTTCTCGCCGCCCGAATCGCTGTCTCCAACTTGCACAAGAAGACTAACAAGGTGTTCTCGGAGGTTATGAAGACCCTCTACGAGTTCCACCATCCGCTCACCGGCAAGCACGCTCCGATGATCAGTCCGGAGACGTACGCCATCATTACCAAAAATGCTGATGTTCGTCTTTTCGGCGATGACTCCATAAATTTTAATATTTTCAGAAGCTCAATTCAGCCATCGTCTACGACCGGGACTATTCGTACACTTTCTTCGGATTCAAGACTCTGGAGAGATCGTACCTCCTCAAGATAAACAAGGAAATTGTCGAGCGTCCGCAGCAGATGCTCATGAGGGTGGCCATCGGAATTCACGGAGAAGACATCAATTCAGCCATCGAGACGTACAACCTCATGTCCGAGAGATTCATGACCCACGCTTCACCTACTCTCTTCAACTCTGGAACGTGCCGTGCTCAGATGTCGTCGTGCTTCCTTCTCACGATGAGCGACGATTCGATTCTCGGAATCTACGACACTCTTAAACAATGCGCACTCATTTCGAAGAGCGCCGGCGGAATCGGCCTCAATGTGCACAAAATTCGTGCGACAGGATCCGTCATTGCCGGCACCAACGGCACTTCGAATGGACTCATTCCGATGCTCCGTGTCTACAACAACACTGCTCGCTACGTCGACCAGGGAGGAAACAAGCGTCCAGGAGCTTTCGCCATCTACCTTGAGCCATGGCATGCTGACATCTTCGAGTTCGTCTCGCTCCGCAAAAACACTGGACCAGAAGAGGAGCGGGCTCGTGATCTGTTCCTCGCCCTCTGGGTTCCGGACTTGTTCATGAAGCGCGTCGAAAAAGACCAGGACTGGTCCCTGATGTGCCCATGCGAATGCCCTGGACTTGACGATTGCTGGGGAGAAGAGTTCGAGGCTCTCTACACGAAGTGAGTGCAAACGGCAAATTTAGCTAGGTTTCGAAGTGCGATATCCGAGCAAAGATAATTTATCTCTGATCGGATAAAATATGTTTCAACTTCGAAAAGAATTGAGCTGTACGATAACCCAGAAATAAGCTGTTATTTCTTTTTGGGACAAAAATCAGCTAACATTTATTCATGTGGTCGTTTTATTCTCAAAAGAAGCATTTTCATTGCAATTTTTTAGGTACGAAGCCGACGGACGTGTCCGAAAGGTTGTGAAGGCTCGCAAGCTCTGGGAGCACATCGTCTCGAACCAAATCGAGACTGGATTGCCTTACATCACCTACAAAGACGCTGCCAACCGCAAGTCGAATCAGCAGAATCTCGGAACGATCAAGTGCTCCAACCTGTGCACCGAAGTCATCGAATACTCCGCTCCGGATGAGGTGGCCGTCTGCAACCTCGCTTCGATTGCTCTTAATCGCTTCGTAACTGCCGACAAGAAGTTTGACTTTGTCAAGTTGGCAGAAGTAACGAAGGCGGTGACGAAGAATCTGAACAAGATCATCGACGTCAACTACTATCCAGTCGAGGAGGCGCGTAACTCAAACATGCGTCATCGTCCGATTGGTCTGGGAGTACAAGGACTCGCCGACTGCTTCATGTTGATGAGGTATCCGTTTACCTCGCCACAGGCGAGAGACCTCAACAAGCGTATCTTTGAAACCATCTACCACGCTGCTCTGACTGCCAGTTGCGATTTGGCTGAGAAACTCGGACCGTACACAACGTACGAGGGATCGCCAGTCTCGAAAGGACAGCTTCAGTTCGATATGTGGGGAGTTACCCCGACCGACCAGTGCGATTGGGCCACTCTTCGCCAAAAGATCGCCAAGTAAGGGTAACTTTTTGCTATTCAGTCTCAATATTTCTTTTTCTAGGCATGGTGTTCGCAACAGCCTTCTCATGGCTCCGATGCCGACTGCTTCGACTGCTCAAATCCTTGGAAACAACGAGTCGATTGAGCCCTACACTTCGAACATCTACTCTCGTCGTGTGCTTTCTGGAGACTTCCAAATAGTCAACCCACACATGCTCAAGGATTTGGTCGAGCGCGGACTGTGGACTGACGACATGAAGAACCGTCTGATTGCCAACAACGGATCCATTCAGAACATCGAAGGCATCCCAGCCGACATCAAGGAGCTCTACCGCACTGTGTGGGAGATCTCACAGAAGGAGATCATTGAGATGGCCGCCGATCGTGGAGCTTTCATCGATCAGTCGCAATCTTTAAACATTCACATGGCCAAGCCGAGCTACGCCGCCATCACTTCGATGCACTTCTACGGATGGAAGAAGGGACTCAAGACTGGAATGTACTACTTGCGTACGAAGCCAGCTGTCAACGCCGTTCAGTTCACTGTCGACAAGAATGCGCTGAAGACGAAGAAGACTGTGGAAACGCCTGCTCCAGTTCCGGAGGACGATGAGGGATGCGTGATGTGCTCTGGATAACCTGCTGACTTCGCCTATTTCATTGTAAATTCCTCCAATATCTCACGTTCACTTTCTTTAACAGGTTGATTACTCGTTTTTTGCAACATGTTTCCACCCTCACCCCTTTATTGCTAAATCTACGGAAAGTTTGAATAAATTTGATCTGAATCAAAACAAATGCTCAGGCTCTTTTCAGTTTACTGGAATTGAGCAAACGCGCCGACTCCCCATCAAGTAGCATTTGTGCATGCAACATGCGGACAAAAGTGGCTGTGAGGTGTACGTGGGTAATGTTTAGTGAACCGGCAATCGAGCAGATTTCAAATGCGCCCTTTCGCTTCTCCTTCGTCGACCCAATGAGCCGGAATGGAAACATTGAACTATGTGCCCGCTTCCCCGTCAGATGGCCCTCGGGTCTTTGCGAGATTAGCTTGATTCTTGGTTTTCGCTCATTTCCCATTTTCGCTTTCACTTCTTTACCAAAATGTTCATCTTCTCCGTTTCGTTTTTGCCCATTTCGAAGAAGAAAACGATTGATGACTTGTTTGGGATTGTCGGGAAATAGTGTGCGAGTCGAAGAAACACAGACATACAAATGATGATGGCTCTCATGAGGGCTTTTCGGCACTGAAGAAGTGTTCGGTGACGACTCGAAAATGCGGTTGAACGGACCGACGGATGGAGTCGCCGATGTGGCACAGAGCTCTCTTTTCGAGCAGCCAAAATGAAACATTTCTGGTTTTTCGTCTTTCGGAAATGTGATTTGACGGACGGCAAAGATACGATTAGAGCGCCAGAAATCACAAAGTTCCGCAATTCGCTGCAACAATCCGTCTGAAACGTTTTCATTTTAAATGACGTGACAGAAGATGGAAGACAGTTGTGACGTGGAATTCATGAGCCATTCGGGAGCGAAAACATCGAAAGAAGGATTGCAAGCGTTTGAATAAATACCTGATATGTGCATACTTGATTTCTTAAAAATACGAAGAAAACTTCAGCTCCCTCTCGTTTTTCGTGGCACCGCACATGCATAAAACGGACGCGCGTGAAACGTTTGTGTTGTTGCCGTTTACGACTGGAAACCCTTCGTCTTCCGGCAGCGCCCGACTCCTTTATGCCCTTCCATTTGTACAAAGGTCGGGCATCTTGGAAGTATTCTGTATCCAGTTGGCGTGTCTCTCTCCCTTCCTTCTCCCTCTCGTTTTCTTCTCTTTCTTCTTCTCAAATCTCATTCCGGGTTGTCCTTCGAGCAGGTCATCTGTTCTGCAGCTCTGCAGCACAAACTTCATCGGTTGCTAAGTGACTCCACGTATCGCCCTCTTTTTCTAGTTCCTAGATCACTTTGCTTCTTCCTCTTCCTCTTTCTTCTGTCCCTTTTGAAACATGCCCTTCCGGATCTTCCGGATCTTCCTGTCACGTGGGCGTCCGGGCGGTCATCTCGTGTTTCGCTCCTTCCATTTAAACCCGTCTTCCGGTGCGTCCATTGTTGCCCCTTTTCATTTTTTCCATTGCCCTTGCTCGCACCTTTGCACTCTGCTCTTCGCTTCTTCTGGGACTGCTCCGCCCGTCCCCGAAGAGACCTGAATGCTCGAGATAACGGGATTAACACGAGAAAGACACGCCTTTGCGGCCGTCCGCTTCGCACGTTTCTTGAACTTTTTTCGTCAAAAGATGAAGCGACGGATACGTGTTTTGTTTGCTCACAACGATACATCTTCTTCCTTTCCTTCGAGCACTTCGAATTGCCAACATCTCACTTCCGGGACGATCTCAATGAGTTGCAATAGTTCGCGATGGAAGGCAGTGACTGAAAAAGTTATGATTCGAACTTTTTGAATCTTTTTAAGAGTTATATCATCCCTAACTGAAGTTCGGATTTGCCTTGGTATTCCATTTTTCGTTCTCCGAATTTGTAACTATCACTTAACGAAAACATACTGAATTTGACAACGAACGCCAATGACAGGGCCATATTTAGGAAAAACAAAAACAGAATTTCCGTGCCGTATCGCACTTGGCATCTGATCATAGATCTCCAAAATGTTTCCAATGTTTACTTCACTGTATTTGGTCATCTGTCTATTCTACTACTACTGTTTCACTTCTCGTTCCGCCGTAGTCCCAAAGTCCAGAAGATGCGTCCCTTTTCTGCTCGGTTTCTTTCTCAGCTTTTCGAAGAATGAACACATTATATTTTGTTCATGTTTTCCGTTATCCGGTCTTTCTCTCCAGACAACGCCCATCTTTTATGTTTTTGTCTCTTCTCGTTCGTACAGAAAGTCAGCCGGCAGAGCGTCCAATTTCCGGAAGGCCGCAGAGAATCTGGAGGGCGGGACTCGGAGAGCAAGCAATAAATTGGGATGAAGAAGGGGCGAAAGCGAAAATTACACGTTCTAGAGTCCACTTCCGCAACATTCGACGCCTCTATTGTTTCCATCATCTGCCTACGTCGCGCCCCTTTTCCCCGAATATTTCGCCCAGTTTGCACGTTTCGCACCCTTCATTGCCGATGAATGAATGAGGGAAAAGTGAAATTGAAACTTAAGAAAGAAAAAAAGAGGACAGGCGCCAACAGAACAGGTTGAAGTTCGGGCTCACTCGGAGAGAAGGTGTCCTCTGGGTTCGTTTTTCTCTCACATATCCACCACGTATGATGTTCTGAAGACTATGCCACATTCCCCTATTCTTCAATTCCTTCTTTTGGTTTCCGACTGAACTGAACTCACAGAAGTGAGTCCCACTCTCCCGCTAATTTCGTTATCGCAAGTGGAAACACGTCTCTGGTTTGGCGAAAAAGTTTCACGAGATAACGAAGAAACACCTACCGTACTCTTCTCAAGTACTCTTTCTCTCTTCCTGTCCCATTCAAACCTTAACCTGAAATCAGACTGACTTAATCCCTTTCATGTTCTTCTTTTCAAAAAACCATGATTTCACTGTCTAATTATATACTGGAAAGATTTTGTCTGTCTGATATGATTTTTCGCAAGCTAACCCGTTATTTCAGTTTGTGCGCCGAGGAGATCAAATAAAAAAAATAATAACCTGCTCATTATTTCCGTTTCCTTTCGTTCTGCCCATCAAAGTTCTCCGTTTCATTATGAGCATTCCTTTTCATTGTTGTTTCCCTCTTCTATTCTTTTCCAATTTCAAACCGAACTCTCTTTTTCTGGACGGAAATTGGGTGCAGTCCGACCGGAACGTCGGCAGATTCCCGCCCTCCCTGTCTGCAAGTTGAGACGGCATAAACTTCGAGTAGAAACGGATTGATTCTCGGAAATCGTCTCCAATTAACACGGCGTCGTGAGAGCTGAAGACGAGGAAGAAGGGACAAGTTTAGGGCGAGATCAAAAGAAATTGAGACCGGAAGCACCCGTAGGCGACCATTGAGCACGGAAGAGCACGTCGAAATATTCGATTTCAACTCATATTCCGGGAAGGCGACGTTTCATTGCCTGTTTGCCCCATTCTGCAGAATCCTCCACCGGATTCGGAGGAACGAAATGGAAGGATTGAGTTTCGGAGGGCGGGTGACGTGGATGCCACTGGAGTTGGGACTGAGTTTCACCTTTTATTTCAGATCTTTGACACTTCCAAGACCCGCTCCGCTAATCTGATATTATTTCAAACTCGTGACCAATCACCTTTCACAAACCCATTCTTATGCTCTAATGAAACCTTTCTCCACCAAATTCTCTATCCGGTTAGCCCTTCTTTGTGGCTTTTCAAGTGAATTCTGAGAATCATCGAGTGATGCGTTGCCCTAAATCTCTAATATTTAATTCATTCGGAACACGGCCGACACACGTGTCAGTACTATTTCTGTCCGAGAATGGAATGCTCTTCATCGAATGAGATTGTGATTATTTGTGCGAAAACACTTTGGTTCCGCGCGGAAACCGCTACCAGGAATCAGTGGGAGCAGAAGAAGAAGTGGGAGATCTTTGAGTCGTGCATCTCCCTCTCTTTCTGCCCGTATAATTGCTATTTGCATCCCGATTCGGGTTCTTCGAAATAATTTGACGTCTTTCTTCTTTCCTTCTCCAGCTGACCACATCGTCGTCATCCTCTTCTCAATCTTCTGAATACCTTCTGAAATGTTGGCGGCGTGGGTTAAAGATTAGTGAGGTGTGATAATTAGATGTGCGCTCGTCGTTTTTCAGATTTTTTTTTGTTTTTCGCGGCGAGAATCTTCCCCGGCTTTTTGTGTTTTTGGTTTGGTCCTTCGTCTGTAGACCGACAGACTCTCATTTTAATACTTCTCCGGGGGAGAGTTTGTCTGACTCATATCATCGAGTTCTTTTTGTGTTTACCCACTCCCAGTTCCAGTTCCTTTTCCTTTTTTGGGTCTGTTTTCAAAAGAGATTAGTACAATTTTACCTCCTTTCATGAACTTTTCTGTTTTCTCGTTTGACTTCATTTCACTTCATTAGTTCCCATCATCAGGTATGCACTCATTTCAGTCTTTCTAGGTACGGTAGCTCTTCCTCTTCTCGTTTCAGACCCCTTCTCCCATTTTTCTCGTGCCAATCCAATTTTAGCGTGAACACCGAACGGCTGTTAAGCGTCGTGTAAACAAAGGAAAAAAGGAAGAGCCGGGAACAACTCTCTCTCTCTCTCTCTCTCTCTCTCTCTCTTTCCCCCCGGAGAGAGTACACTTCACTTCCTTCTCGCTCACTCTCTCGCTCTTGATAAAATTTCAAAAAAACAAGTCAAGTTCACTTTGCAGCCCCCCGTTCCGATGGAATTCGCGGATGGCGACGAGTACGAGAAATGGACACACATCGAGCGGAGAGTTCCGTTCCAGGTACGTCCCTCATTTTGTATTCCGAGGAGATTGGGCGATCAGTTCTTGGGAAAGATGGCAAATGACATAAATGTCAATAGGAAACTTGTTTTTGGAAAGACTTACTAGTTACTCACTTTGAAAGATTCTACAGTTGTACTACGCTGATTTTTCTTGGTCGAATTCATCAAAACCGTTGTCCATTCTCTCTCATAAACATCTTTTCTGCTCCTGCAATTTTACGACGTTCCTTTCAAACGTTTCCCTCGAATATTCCGTGCTGGAAGAAGAATGATATGCAAACGCATGTGCAAAAACATCATGTTTTCTGTATTTTTGCTGAGCCGTTTCAGTTCCTTATCCTCATTTCCATCTGCTAGACGACGGTTCTCTTTTTAATTACCATTCTTCGTTCGATCAAATTAGCTGTTCCTTTCTCAGCGTTCCTTCAAACGGAAATGACGTTGTTTGTGTATCCGTTTTTGTGAATCTTTGCGATATTCTCAATTATTCAAAGCATTCGTACCTTTTTCATCCCATGCTTTCAACCCATTCTCCTCACATATTGTTCATGAAATAATAACATGAGAGTGCAGAAAAACAAAGAAAGTGCGTTCATGAGTGACCCGTTCGAGTACAGCTCTTAATCCCATTTTCTACTCATTCGCGTTAGTCAACAGCTCGCCCAAACCAGCGCCTAAACTTTGTTTTTGCTCCCCGGAAACAGTGCCATTTCCGTTCAGCCTTCCTTGTGCCCTAACTTCCATAGAGTCTATAGAGCCTCTAAGACACAAACACGCGCCAACTTAATTATGCTCCTCCCTTCCCTTTTTGCCAACAAACTGTGGTTTGGGTTGTTTGGAGCAAAGAGCCCATTCATTCACGAAGAAACATTTTCGGAGCGAGCAACATTCTGCTCAGTTGGCAATTTAATTGGAAACTCGACTGACATGCCCTTGCCATGTGCCCGTTTACTTTCGGTTCGTAGTCGACGACGTGCGTGAATCGAGTGACCGGAAAACAAGAATTTACCTGGAAAGAGGGTCCGAATTGTGTCCTGCACTCTCAGTGTGCTGGTGATATTTAATTCTGTGGGACGGACGGACGCTGACGCTGATTTTGAGGAACAAAGAAGAACCACATTGTGTAGAATTCAGAAATTGTTTTTGAAAAGCAGAGCACTGTTTGTAATGAGCGGTTATTTCTCGGTACACGCATTTCTCTAACGTGCTTCCTCCTCCGTTCCTTGTTTTGGAAATCAGCTATAGTAGTGGCGGACGCCTCTTCGATTTCTGTTATTCCGAGTTTTTTCAATAACATAATTGTTTTTATAGCATTCAGTTGCCGCCCATTTCCCCTAAGTATCCTCTCGCGGAGCTCATCCAAAAATCCATCCACTGCTTTCCATCCTTCCTCCGCATCGCACTCTTTTGGTGGTTTTCCCTGATTGACAAGGTCATTTGCCACGTCACAATCCATTTCCATCAATTCCCCCTCAGATAGCCCCGCCCCTTTCCTCCCTGTCGCTTTTTCCCTTCGTCTTCTCCGTTTTTTAATCCGAACCGGGGCAAAGAAGACGACCGTGACTTTCCGAGTTCTCACGATATTAAGCTTTCTGCTCTCACCTATTCATATAGTTTTCGGCGGATATCCGAGCATATTCGGCTTCTTCCCAAATCGACTGAAGCATCAGAAGGCGAAGAAGAAGAAGCTACAGCTCCGAAAACAGAAAATCGGAACAATGAGCATTGTGAGTTGTGTTCTTCCTCGTATTATTGTCACTTTTTTCCCACCGGAACGTCCCCTCCGAAATATGATATAATTTCGTGAAGTCTCTCGGCGATTGTAAGAGACTTTCACACGTTTCCGACGAGACGAACGAACATCCATGAATACCAAATGGAAATCAAAGTTTCCATGAATGTTGCTTTCTGATTCGTCTGAATGGGGATATACAATTAAAGAAGTGGAGAATCAAAAGGATATAGCTGTTGCTACCTGCCCGTCCGCCGGAAAACAACTGAATTATTCAATGTTCGCCTTCGTTCTTTCACATTTTTGCTAGCTTGTCAAACACATTTTCCAACAGATTCCGGTTATTTTGTCAGAAACTCAATCTGAGTACACCGTTGGCCTCTCTCTCCGTTTCCCGTCGCCTTCCGGTGATTTGTACAAGCAAAACAATTCGAATAACACTTTTTTGGTCGTCGTTCTCTGCTCGCCTGTTCCGAGAAGAATGACATTAGAATGTCTGAATAGTCGCATCGACTAGTGTTTTCTTGTTTTCAAAAGACTTCCATCAAGAGTTCCGCTGACCGTTTTTCGAGTTACCCCGGAAAAATCTAATTATATACGGGGCGACAGCGAAGAGCAGGCTCACTGCTCACGGGAACGCAGTAGTTATAAACTGGGAATGTGCACAAAATTTGAGCAGGAAAAGACGAAAATAGAAGCAGAGGGAGTGAAACGGAGTTAGAATAAACTAACAATCTGCTTGCAGGGATACAGAACGTACGTCGCCTCCACGTACATTGGCTTCAACTTTGTCGGATTCGCAATCAACGCGTGGGTTCTCTATGTGGTCGCTCCGCTGCTCTTCGCGCCCGCAATCAAAGTACCCAAAAGCATTCTCTTCTACATTTTCGCCCTTTGCGTTGGCGATCTTATGACAATGATAGCCATGTTGCTGCTCATTATCGAGCTTGTTTTCGGCACGTGGCAGTTCTCCTCAATGGTCTGCACCTCTTATTTGATATTTGATTCGATGAACAAGTTTGTGATTCTTTCAGATCGACCGTTTCAGTTTGTTCCATTTCAGATTCATGGCTCCTATGATCGTGTTTCTAATCAGCAGAACGTGTTACTCAACAGTTTGTCTTGATAAAACGACTGGAGAAAAAGCGGCGACTTTGAAGGTTTTAACGGAATCGCAGATAGAATCCCACAATCTGCTTTCAGTACGCGGTCATCCAGTTCTGCATCGCACTCGCCTGCGTGATGGTACTCCTCTGGCCGGTATTCGCGTACTCTCAAGTGTTCACTTTCTATATGAACCCCAATTCGACTGCTCAGGAAGTGACCGTCATGAGGAAGTGCGGCTTTTTCCCTCCGCCGCGTGAGTTCTGCTCACTCGTGACGTCAAAATTTGTTGCTCCTTTTAGAAATCGAGTTCTGGTTCAACTTGATCGCTTGCATCACTTCCTATGCGGTGCCGCTCTTCGGAATTATTTACTGGTGAGTTGACGTCGATAGAAAACGTTTGCAACTAGTTCGCATACTTTGCTTTTTGCAGGTACGTATCTGTGCCATTCTTCCTGAAACGGCGGGCGCTGACGACATTGGTGGCCTCCAGGTACCTTCCGGCTTCCTCTTTTTGTGTGTGATAGAAGAAGAGATCGAGAGAATTATTTATTGACACGGGCCGCCAGCCTCGTTTCTCAGAAAACTATTTCGGGAGAGAAGAGACTGATTCTGTGGAATTACTAATTAGATACAAAACATAATGGAATGTTTTCAGTTCGATGGACGCCGCTCTTCGGAAGGTTATTACGACTGTCCTCCTGCTCACCGTCATTTACGTCCTCTGCTGGACCCCTTATTGGGTGAGCATGTTCGCTAATCGAATATGGACAATGGAAAGGAAGAGCAGTAAGCAGACGGTGACCAACTGGTGCCCAACATTCTCCTTTCAGTCATCATCATCTCCTACTTCATCCATCTTCTTCCGTACATAAGTTGCGTTGCTTACCCACTCATTTTCACCTTACTGAACCGAGGCATCCGATCCGCCCACGCAAAGATAGTGGCAGATCAACGACGGAGATTCCGAAGCTTGACGGATGAAGCCAGTTCGCAGATACGGACGGCAATCAGGTGAGGACACGCTGCGAAAGCTCATCACTAATTGTGGATTTCAGGACAATACCAGGTGCAAAAACGAAAAAGAATGAATTCCTGACGCGAACCGAAGAGATATCGTCTGAAAAGAACGGTTCGGAAGGAGTGTCCGAGCTCCGGGACGCAATGCCTTCGCAGACTTCGTTTCCTGATGAAACCCTCCTATGAGATGATTTTGATTGTAGCTAGAAATCGTTGAATACGTGTTGATGACCGCTACGGGAACTATTGTTTTCTTGCTTACGCATAAAGTGATTTTTGCTGTTTGACTTTCCCCAAGTATCAATAAAAACTGAAAGGCACTGAACACGGATGACACTTCATAATTCGATTATGCATAACGACCCTCTGGATCGATTATAAAACAGTCGCGGACAGTTCAGAAATATCAGAACTCTCCGGATGGTTCCTTCGCAGCCGTCTCTTCGGAATACTCGGAGCAAGAGTGGTCCCATTCGCATTCGAATCGGGACACTTGTTCACAAAATGAAGGCTGTCATCGAAGAGAGCCGTCTGCAACCACGCGAACAAGACATCGACTCCATGGACCTTGTGCAACTGAAACGCGTATTCCGAGATAATTGGAACCAGAACAATCGACTGACTCGAAAACTCGTTCAGTTGAGAGAACTGGATTGTCGCTGGGCCGAAATCGTCATCGGGAGCGCCTTCGAACGGAGGATCAAACGGATGTACACGGAGAAGTACGGCGACTACATGCGGGTCATCGAGCCGTCTGAGGCAGCTGTTCAGAAGAGCAAGAAGCTCTTCAAGCACTGTTTCACCGTTCTCCGTCGTAAATATCCGCATGCGCCGTTCAAAATTCATTGACTTTTATATCGGAATAAACCGTTTTCATTGTCATTTTTATTGAGAACACTATCGAGACAATAGGAAGAGAAGGCGCAAAGGGAAAAGAAATCAGATGTTGTCGACGATCAGAGCAAACTTGAGAACGGAATTGGAGTTGGCGAGCTGAGCGAGTGTCTTGTGCATGTCCTCCACGAGAACCGGCTTCGAGTTGGCATGATTCAGGTCGCCGACGCAGTACGAGAGACGCGGGTTGAAGTCGTGATCACGGAGACTGAAACTACAGAAGACAAATGAAAACAAGAATGGGAAACGTACTGGCGAGTGCACAGCTGATGGAAGTTGTAGATCACGTCTTCAAGAGGACAGTCCGATGAGAACTCATCCGTGAACGTCGACTGCACACTGAAACAAGCGCTTTACGGATCATTTCATTACAACCTTTCGTACCGTCTGTGGAAAACGTCACGATGGAGCAGCAAGAACTTGACATGCACCATCATGAGGAACTTGGCCGAGCGGTTACTCTTGACGCTGTTCGACGAGTAGGTGTACTTCGGGAGAGTCAATTTCATCGCATCGGACGAGTTCGTGGAGCTAGAGCTCTTCGAAGTCGAATTGAGAAAAGAGGTAGAGTCCGACGACGGTTCGTTGAGCGAACAGAGGAGAGAGCTCCTCGACAGAACGCTCTCGTCCTTCGGCCTGACTTTCGCCTTCAGAATCTCCCCGTAACGCTTCGGCTGAGTGTCGATCGAAGAAGTGACAGAAGAAGTGATCGTCGGAAGAGTCATGTAATGGCTGGGGATCTCTGTTTTTCCGGTGGAAATGCTCGAAGGTTCGGTCGATCTCTTGTTCACAATCGGCGACTTCTCGCTGAACGCGGCTCTCTTCTCGCTGGTAGTGGTGCTGCTGATCTGGCTGACGAGGTGGGAAGGAGTGGATCCTCTGAGCGGAGTCACAGCCGACTTCTTCGGAGTCTTGATGGGAATATCAGACGAAATGCTCTTTCTCTCCGTTTGAGCCTTCTCGATGAGGGCCTCAAGAGTAATGCCGTCCAATGGTTTGCTCGAGAGGTGCACGGTGTAAGTGTGCATGATTCCATCTGGAAAATATGGAGAGTTAGGGATGTTACGAGAAAGAGTTACCTTCCGACGACTCAATAACATGCTTGTGAGTCGAAAATTTATAGTTCGAATCCGTGATCTGTCTCAGCGCGGGTGGAAGGTGCTCTCGTCTGGAAGAAGAGGAGGCGATTGTGGGAAGGGCCGGGAGCACTCACCCGGTGAGATTGACACTCTTCGCAGTCATTGCTTTGCTCGATAAAATCAACTACTGCAGGAATCGGAAATGCGACCGCACTGAATTCCAAACTGAGAGTTCAAGTGGTAGACACTAGTCGCGTGGTCCCTTTCTTCCAACATTTGTTGCGTGAGTAACTTTCAAAAGATGTTATTGTAACTTATAAAAGAGAAATAAATGCAATTCAGTGCTCTCCTATTTCTTCGCCCTCGAATGTATAGAAGGTCAACAGGATGCCAAAGGATTCCCGGCCAGTAGAGATCTAATAATATCATTCTTCGATTCTTCGTGTCTTCACCCCATTCTCTCGCCCTCAAATCGTGATTTGTGTGTCGACTGGGAGCCAAATCGGGTGCGGCCTCATCCTTTTTCGCGCCGAGATTTGCTCAAGCAGCCATCGGCGGGCGGCCGTGAGGTATCTGTCATATCGAAACATCATTTGCTTTCGATTCCAAGGTGTCTGGAGACAATCCCCCTGCCATTCGTTCTTTCCTTTCAGCATCCCATTGGTCAGTGAGATCGCAGAGAATGCTCCATTCTCTCGGATTACTGTACCTGCTTCTGCACGTGGCGCTTGCCGAAGAATGCGTCGATCGGCCGTGTGTGGAATGCAGACACTTCATTAAGCAAGACGATCCATGTCTCCATCATGGAACCAAACCCATGTTATACTGTGATCTGCAGACTAAGTTTGTTCATTTTCCGTTCCCTTTTTATCGTTCTGTTTGTAGTTTGATGCAAGAGTCCCCCACCAATTTCTTGGAATGCGTTCAAAATCGATGGGTTCTCCGAGAATGCGTGACTGGAACTGTTTATGAATCCGGGCGAGGTTGTGTCGATCCGACTCTGCAGCCATTCATGCAAGGGTTTTCCGTGTCTGGCAGTGGAAGAGTCGGAGACGTCTGCCAGTATAACACCGATTGTCTCAGCGTAAGATTCGATAATTTCTCAAAGATCATTCTCTTTTTATCTTTAGGGAATGTATTGTGCCACTGGATTGTGCACTTGCCTCAGTACTTATATTCTCCGAGAAAGTTATTGCTACGAAAGTGAGTCAATCGTTCAGCTTCACCACTTCATTGTGCCTTTTCAGAAGTAAATCCAAACCAACCAGGCTGCACATATGATGTTCAGTGTGAAGCCGTTTGGCCAGGATCCAAATGCAGAATGGACAGCTCCATCGGAACGTGTCGTTGTCCTGAAGAGACTCACGTGGCAAGAGAGACGAGAGATGGCTGGGTGTGCATATCCCTCAAGGACCATGCTTCCGGCGGCACCGCTCCTCTTTACTTCGTCTGTCCTTTGCCAGAAGGTGCTGGATTCAAGATCTCTCTGAATGACCCGAGCCCCGCGATGGGAGCGTTCCCAGTTGGATGCACAGTCGGATCCTCGGCCACCATCGAGCCGGTCCAAGGTCTTCATGGAGGAGGCGCTTGCATGTGGCCGTCGGACGGCGAGTACATTGGAGACGTCTACGACTGCATCCACACGAGTCCTCACGTGAGTATCTCCATCTTCAAACTGTTTGTGCAACCACTTTTGCACACAAAAGGAAAAGCGACGACACCGCCTTGATACGGGGACAGCAGAGGGTCTATTTGCGCGAACTCGGCACCTGAATGTGCAAATACGGTCACAAGTGGCCAGCAGGCGATAAGTGCCATCTGATAGCGAGATAAAGATGAAGTGGATTGGGGATCAAAAACAAATTTCAGATCAATTTGGCAGAGAAGTTCCCTCAATCCAACTATGCACCAACAGCTGACGGAGTATGCTGTCCCAGCAGAGCTCTTGCATGCATCCAGCCGCAGCTGACCGGACCGAATCCCTCGGAACCTCGGTGGTGGTACAATTCAGTGACGGGAACGTGCCAACAGTTCATGTGGGACTCGGGGGCTACAGAAGCCAAGTTCCACTCTCCGAACAATTTCAAAACGATCCAGCACTGCGAATCTTACTGCAGAGACAGTTAGTTCCTCAGGGAATGTTCTTATTCACGGTTTCTCTTACAGCCTGCCAACGGGGATCACCACAGTACTCGACCGAATCGACAGTTCATTCGGAACGTCCGATCACTTCGTGCGCCGCTTCCGTGTCTTGTGCCAACGACTTCCAATGCACTGCGATCGGGAGCCAGCATCTGTGCTGTCCGACTCCAGGATCGGTGTGCTCCGCTAGAGGAGGACGTCCGTTTGATATTCAGCCGAGAAATTCCATTTTCCATCCTGGATTCCTTGTTCACACTGGAAAAGAATCTATTCGTTTCTACTACGACCCGGGAACTGGTCGATGTCAAGACTTTATTTACAAGGGATCCGGTGGTAACTACAATAACTTTCTCTCGAAACACGAATGCGAAATGTATTGTGCCCGTTGTAAGTGCTCACTGACTACACTCTAGTTTATCTGTCAATTTTAGTGCAATGCGAAAGAGGATCTCCACTGCGAATCGGAGAAGAAGCTCAGAGATGCCAGAATAATGCACAGTGCCCGTCATCGCATGAATGCAAAGCAGATCAAGGAGTTTGCTGTCCGCGAAAGCGTAAGTCCGCTGTATGATGCTTTTATTTCTGATAACACATGTTCAGAAACCATCTGTGCTCAACCTCTTCGTATCGGAGATTGTACAGAAAACGTGAAGAGATATTGGTACAACGCAAAGACGAGACAGTGCCAGATGTTCGAATACACTGGCTGCCAAGGGAATGATAACAACTTTGACTCCATTCTCGATTGCCAGAACTTCTGCAAGAACGCCATCCGTGAGACCAAATACTCAGTTAAGTTAACTCTTCTTCCGTTTTCAGCTGAGCCTAAGTGTATCCAAGGACAGGCTTATAAGGACATGTTCGGTAACTTTGTGACCTGCTCGAATGGAATGGGATGCCCTGCCAACTACGAGTGTTATTTTGACGGAAGCCAATGGGGATGCTGCCCGACAAAAGCGTTCACTTGCTCACTGAACCCGGACGCTGGAATCCAGTGCGGAGCTGGGAGCACATTCAAGTACTACTACAATGCGCAAACTCAGAATTGTGAGTCATTCCAATACAACGGATGCGATGGAAACTCCAACAACTTTGCGAACAGAGACGCATGCGAGTCGTACTGCAGTGTCGGAGGATGCCCGAATGGCGGAACTCCACTGAGAGATCACTCTGGAATGGTCATGGTATGTGGAGCACAGCAGACTTCCTGTCCCGACTCTCATGAGTGCATTCCTGTTCTCGTCGGCAATTCCATGATCAATCGATGCTGTCCAACGAGAGCCTACATGTGCGGACTTCCTCCACAACAAGGAACTCAATGCGGAGCCAATTTCGTGCAGAGATACTACTTCAACATCGTCACTGGACACTGCACTACTTTCCAATTTGGAGGATGCGACGGCAATGCGAACAATTTCCTGAATGTGCAACAGTGCAGAAATTTCTGCATGAGCAACGCCTGCCCTGCTGGAAACGTGGCATACGTGGACCCCAACTCTCAGATGCCAATAAACTGCAATGAGGCGCTGAGCAACAGTTGTCCGTCCGGCTATTCGTGCACTTTCAACCCACTTATCAACAATCATGTCTGCTGCGGAGCCACCGATTCTGGAGTTTGTCCGGATGCTGAGAAGGCGTTCATCGACACAATTGACATGTCTCCGAGGGAATGTCTCATCAACATTGAACAGTCCTGTCCGGCCAACTATTTGTGTAGGTTCAACATGCAAAAGAACAAGTATTACTGCTGCTCCAGCATCTCAGGAAGTCAGTTTATTCCTTCTCTTCTCTATTAATAGTTTCACTTTTCAGAGACTTGTCCAGTTGGAAAGTTCCTCTATAAAGACCAAAGAACATCTCAGCCAATTCGATGCACAATTGGACGCAACGATCAGTGTCCGGACGGATATTCCTGCCAGAGCTACTTGGCAAACGCCTTCCAAGGCTTCTGCTGCACTGCCAACTCGGTCTGTCCAGACAACGCCGACTATCTCATTGATGATCAGTCCCAACAACCGAGAGCGTGCACCATGGGAACCTTTGTCTCCTGTCCAAATGGCTTTGCGTGTCGATCCTTGACTTCTTCCTCGGATGGGTTTTGCTGCAAATCCGGTACTGGAACCCTTCCTCCATCAGTCACCGACGGTTGCCCTCCCAATCAGTACGTCTACCTAGTCTCCGGAGAAATTGCCCAATGCGATCCGTTCAATCCTCCGAACGCGCCTTGTCCTTCCGAATTCACTTGTCAGTGGTCTCTCTCAAATCAACGATACCAGTGCTGTGGATCCAATCCGGCTCCTGTCCCGATCCGTCCGTCCGATGGATGTCCGAACGCTCAAGTGGCATTCCGTGACTCCGATACAGTAAGAGTTTGTAGTGCTGGAGCAGCTAACTGTCCAGCCGGATACTTCTGCCAGTTCTCTAGCTCCAACAACCAATTCCAATGCTGTGGAGTAAGTGGAGGCTGTCCGGATGAATCAGTTGCATTCGTCGGCATGTCCGGAGAGCCGGAGAAGTGTGTGGTAGGACAATCCAATTGTCCACGTGGATTCGGCTGTCAAAAGTCCTCCGCGGGCTATCACGTCTGCTGTACAGTGCGGAAAGTGGCTTGTGAACCTAACGAAGTGATCATCGAAGGAGAATGTCACATGCAAGTGGGACCAGGAAGCGAGTGTCTCGCAAATGAACAATGCACAGGAGGGTCCATTTGTGAGGATGCCAAGTGCGAATGCAGACCTCCGTTGAAGGCCGTGGGCGGATTCTGCCAAGAGGAACTGCGTGAGTGGTCGAAGTTAAGTTTCAATACGGAAGTTTCGTATGTTCAGAATGCTCTTCCAATCAAGTACTTCACAACGGTCTCTGCCACAATAAAGTGAAGTTGGGGGAAGTCTGTTTGACAGTTCGACAGTGTCAAGAAGGTGCCGGATGTGCCGAAGGAACGTGTGAATGCAAGAAAGGAATGGTAGAAAAAGGAGGAAAGTGCATGACTCCTGCAGAAAAGAAGGTCGTCGTGGCTGCTAAGCGTAAGTGGACACGTTGTTTAGACAGAAGTTCCATTTATATGAATTCCAGTATCAACTGGAGTGACGTGCTCCAAACCCGGATGGAATTCTCTGATGGACGAAGAGAATGATCGGCCAAAACACTGTTCTCCCATAGGAAAAGCGTGTCCAAATGGATATGAATGTCAAATCAACAACAGACGAACTCAATATCTGTGTTGTGCTCCTGATATGACTGTTTCCACCGTCGCGATGCCATCACTTCCTTCTCCATCAACGACAACAACTGAGAGAGCAGTCACAACAAGAAAGGCAAATCTAAAAGGTAACTGGTGACCCGTTAATATCCAAGAACATTAGTCCATTCCAGTTTGTCCCACTGGCAGAACCCCTTATCTTCTGAACGGAGCCCCTCAAAAGTGCACAATCTCCCGCTGCCCGGCAGGTTATGAGTGTACTTATCGAAACAATGGATATCATTGCTGCTCCATCGCAAACAAACCCGGGCTTACTGTAGCAGGAACCACAGGATCTGTTGTCTCCAAATGTATTCTTTTCCTATTTTTATTTTGTTGCAATCTCATCTTTCATTTTCAGCTACTCCAGCACCGGATCAAGAGAAGTGTCCACGTGGAAACCCTCTGATCTACCCCTCGACAAGTTCTCCAGTTCTCTGCCAACCGGGAAAGAGAGGATGTCCTGTTGGCTTCGGATGTGTGCAGAGTTCCACTTCCAACAACCACATCTGCTGTCCTTCCCGCCACTCTGATCGTCCTGGATACAGCAGCGAATCGTTCGGACTGGGAACCTACTACAGTCGGGGACCACCAGCTGCCATCAATCCTTGCGAAGGATACTTGGTTCTCGTGACCAGAGTTGTGAACGGAAGAATCGAGAAGAGATGCGGTGAGCCTGGAATTCGTCCGAGCACGAGATTTCATAATTAATTTTCAGAAAGAAGCTGTCCATTCCCACAAATTCCGATCGGAGGAGTGTGCTACGAACTGAAGAACAAGACGACCTAATCAGATCCCTTGTCTCCCCCTCTATCACTTCGTAATGTCCACTTCGTGACCACTCCGCAGAATGTTGATTATTACCTGACCCATATTTACAGTATCCCGCACCTTGTTTGCCCTCATTTTGACACGTTGAAGGAATCGGAGGCCTTCCCTGACGAACCCGCACATTTTGACATCCGCGAGCACACGCGCGTACGCACACAAGAAGTACCAGCAGTAGCGTTCATTCGATTAGTTCCTCCTTATTCGCCCTCTATGATTCCAGCCATCGCCCATCACTAGTGCCCCTCATTCTCTCCCAATTTCCCCTCTATTCCGTTATGGCCGTTCACGGCCTTTTGCTCTTTCTATTATTGTTGCTCACTCCGTGCGCAGGTTTGTTCCCATTTTCCCTTTGTTCTCACGCCACGTGGCAGTTAGTCATATGGTTGTTCGTAGGTACTATGTAACCAATAATAAACTGTACATGATCGCCTTCTCCGTTTTATTCTTATGCTCTTTCTCTTCAGCTCAAATTGACGGTCTCCGTGATAAACGACAGACTGGAAGTGGCCGTGTCGGAGATGCGTGCGCATTCAACACAGACTGCTTGGCTGTGAGTACTCTAAATGCTGTCCTTTTGTTTCTAATTTCTTTTTTTTTAGGGAATGTTTTGTAACGGAGGACTCTGTTCCTGCCTGACGACGTACATTGCTGCAGAAGGATATTGTTATCAGAAGATAGACCCCGGCCAGCCCGGATGTGTCTACAATGAGCAATGTGCTTCTGTCTGGCCAGATGCGTTCTGTGACACTTCCGCCGGAGTCGGAACTTGCCGTTGTGGAGAGAATAAAGTGGAAAGGGCCACGAGAGACGGACATGTCTGTCTTGATGTTCTCGACGCCAACCACAACACTCTAGCCATCACTTGTCCTCTTCCTGAAGGAGCTGGATACACTTCCGCTCTTTCCGACCCTAAGCATCCGAGACAGAGCGACGGACCGGGACCTGTCCTCTGCAACACTGATAGTACTTCTACAAGCCAACCGGATGAGCATGTGAGTGTCATAGACGTTTCATTTGGAATCTAACCCGTTCTCAATTAGACTGGAGACGGAAACGCAGCCTGTCTATTTCCGTCGAACGGTCAGTTCATTGCCGATCAGTACGACTGCGTTGAGTTCGTGTCCAGTCTCGATCTGACTTCTTCTGGCTACAGTGACAAAGCGAACGGCATCTGTTGTCCTAATCGTGCTTTCACTTGTGTTCAACCTACTGCAACTGGCCCCAATCCGACGGAACCTCGTTGGTGGTACAATTCGATCACTGGAATGTGTCAGCAATTTCTGTGGGATCCCACTGCCGCCGGACCGGGAGAACATTCTCCAAACAACTTTAGAACCGTTGAACATTGCGAAAGTTTCTGCAGAGATAGTGAGTGATCTTTCCCATCTCGATTCCAATCCAATTCTTTGCAGCATGTTCCCGTGGAGCTCCTGAGTACGTTCATCGTTCGTCGTTCCTCGAGCAGACTCCAGTGACCGGTTGCTCTCAAACAAGTGCATGCTCGCATAACTTCGAATGCAAATCCGTCGGAAGCACGCAATGGTGTTGTCCGTCCGTGGCGTCTGTCTGCGGTCCCATCGGAGGACGTCCTTTGGATCCGTCAGTTAACACGCGAGGAACGGTTTATCACACGGGGGCCGAAAAACAGGGAACTGCCACGTCAACACGATTCTATTATGACCCACAATCTGGAAAGTGCAGTCCGTTCACTTATCTCGGAGCCGGCGGCAACTATAACAACTTCCTCTCTCGAATTGATTGCGAACTTTATTGTGCAAGACGCGAGTGATCTCTAATTTCATACAAAGTTTAAAATGTGATATTTCAGTGCAATGCGATCGAGGAAATCCTCTCCGAATTGGCGACGTCACTCAGTCGTGTGCTTCCAACAACGACTGCCCGTCTTCTCACGAATGCAAGATGGATCAAGCTGTTTGCTGTCCGAGAATGCGTAAGCGTCGCCCTGCTATTCTTCCCATCTCGTATCTTTTGCAGAGACAATCTGTACTCAACCCCTTAGAGTGGGTAACTGTGATCGTTCCGTCAGAAGGTATTGGTACTCGGCGGCCACAAGAGAATGCCAGTCGTTCGAATACACAGGATGCCAAGGAAACGACAACAACTTCGAGACCCTGGTCGATTGCCAAACATTCTGCAGAAATGCTGCTCGTGAGTCCTTTTCTGACCTCCTTCAAGTATGTCGCATTTTCAGCGGAACCTCGTTGCCCACAAGGCCAGGCGTACAAGGATAACCAGGGAAAGTTTGTCGTTTGCACCACGAACAGGCAATCCTCATCCTGCCCAGCTAACTACGAATGCTACTTCGACGGAAACATGCACGGCTGCTGTCCAACAAAAGCGTACACTTGTTCCCTCTCTCCCAGCCCTGGAAAGACGTGCGGACCAGGAGTTTCCTTCAAATATCACTACAATCCACAAAGCCAAGAGTGCGAATCTTTTGAATATCTCGGTTGTGATGGAAACTCGAACACCTTCGCCAGTCGTGCAGAATGCGAGAACTACTGTGGTGTGGGTGGATGTGCTAACGGAGGGAGTCCTTTGAGAGACAGCAACGGAGCACTCCAATCGTGCAGTGAGAGAGACGGCGGATGTCCTTCCTCTCACGAGTGTCACGGAGTCAGCCTCGGCCCAGATATGATGTCCTACCGATGCTGTCCCACAAAAAGTAAGCAACGGTTCGGAAATCCCTTTTACCCGCAATGAATTACAGCATACATATGCGGTCTCCCACCCCAACAGGGATCTTCCCTCTGCTCCGGAGGCCTCACCGTCGTCACCAGATACTACTTTAACATCGTCACTCGCAAGTGCTCTCCATTCGTCTACAATGGATGCGACGGCAATCCGAACAACTTCGCGTCTCTCAATCAGTGCAACAACTTCTGTATGGCTTCTGCTTGCAACGCCGGAGACGTCGTGTACCTGAACCCGAACACTGCTCTCCCTATCTCTTGCAACGATGAACTGCAGAACAATTGTCCGAAGAGTTTCCAGTGCATTTATGACAGCCTAACTGATCAGAGCGTTTGCTGCGGCGCTACTGATATGGGCGTTTGCCCCGAAAATGAGAAGGTGGAATTAGCTTTTCAAGAAAATGAATGACAAATCGGTTTAAGGCTTACATCAACGCAATGGATGGAACAGTTCGAGAATGTTTGATCAACGAGCACAACTCCTGCCCGAAAGACTATCTGTGCAGATTTAATGCCATCAAGAACAGATACTTCTGTTGCGGATCTCTCACCAAATCCAGTAAGTTCATAATTAAATGCTTAGGCTGCAATAATTTGTTTCAGATTACTGCCCAGTTGGACGTGCTCCGTATAAAGAACAAAATAGTCTTCAGCCGATGAGATGCACAATGCACGCTGCCACTTCATCTTGTCCGGACGGCTTCCAGTGTCTCAGTGACCTCAAAGATGCTCTCCAAGGATATTGCTGCTCCGTTTCCGAGATTTGCCCTCATCGGGAGGAATACTTCATTGATGAGTCCTCAGGAATGCCTCGTTCATGCACAATCGGACATTTCGTTACTTGTCCAGCTGGTTACCAATGCATGGCTCAGTTTGACGGATCAATGGGATACTGTTGCAAGTAAGTTCTCACTTGATCATTTGTCAAACTCATCAAATACATTCAGAGGAACTCCTCTAATAGTTGCGACTGATGGATGTCCTCCCGGGGAGATAGTCTACATGGAAAGGAACGAAGTGGTCGCTTGCGATCCATTCAATCCTCATAATCAAGGCTGTCCGGCCACTTTCTCCTGTCAGTGGTCAATCAGAACCCAGAGATATCAGTGCTGTGGAAGTGATCCTTTGCCGACGCCCATGGAGAGTAAGTTGATCTTTCCGTTTATCAGAAAACCTATTCATTCAGACGATGGCTGCCCAACCCGTCAGATTGCTTACACTGATCCGGATACGAAGAAGCCAAAGATCTGCACATCGGCTAGCCTTTCGTGTCCAGCCGGGTATTTCTGTCAGTTCTCGAACCAGAACAAACAGTTCCAATGCTGTGGAATGCCAAGCGACTGTCCCATTCAAATGGTCGCTTTCATCGGCATCACTGGAGAAGCGCAGGCGTGCTCGATGAACGGAGGAACTGCCTGTCCGGACGGATTCTCGTGCGTTCGCGGAAAGAGCGGATTCGAATTGTGTTGTGCCGGAGGAGAGAGTGAGTTCGGACCACTGCGTTCTGAATTAAAATAATTAGAGATTTCAGCTTGTGAAGCGTCGCAAGTGCCGGTTAATGGTGTCTGTATGAATAGAGCTGTTATTGGAGAGCAATGCGAAGAGACTCCACAATGCGTGGGCGGCGCTCATTGCATCGTCATGAAGTGCTCATGTCCCGCAGGAACAATTGAACAAAAGCAACAATGCATAGAGATGACGGTGGAAAAAGAATTAAGTTAGTTCAACAATCATATTATAATAAATAACAAATTTTGAATTTAAGAATGTACCGAGAAGCAAGTGAAGATCGCCGAAGAATGCTTTCCATTGGTGACTCTTGGCAGAAGCTGTGTGCATTCTGCACAGTGCCAGGGAATGGGACAGTGCATCGAAGGAGTGTGTGATTGCGATGAACAAAGTGTGAGAAAGGGAAGCCGATGCGAGAAAAAGGCAGCTGGACGGCCCCTCCAGACTGCAACTCCATTGAATGTGAACAGATTGGCCCCCAACTCTCCCCATGTCATGAAGCAGATCCAGCCACCTATGACGACGACTTCCACGACTGCGGCAACAGCTTCCTGGCAGCCACCGCCTGGACACACTGAGGTAATCAACGAGGGAATCTGTCCGGCGCCTCGTCAACCGTACTTGGCCAACGGAATTGCCCGTCAGTGCATCAGTGGGCAGCCGTGTCCAGTCGGATACTCTTGCACTTGGAGTCCGCAGGCGAAGAACTATTTCTGCTGTGCAGCCAACAAACTCGTGATGAGAACCCACGGTATGTTGTTCACGAAACGAATCTCGGCAGTTCTCTGATTCCAGTACTCAAGGACGTTTGTGACGGAGGCGAAGCCCTGCTGTTCCCGGCCACGAAAGCACCAGTCATCTGCACGCGATTCACAACTTGTCCTCCGGGATACTATTGCAGAAGGTCACCGAAAACAAAACAGACACATTGTTGCAAGAAGAGACAACCATTGAACATGCAGAGTTATATTATCCAAGTCAGTCTCTACATTAATTCCGCGGTACAACATTCGTCACCTTTAAGATCAAAGAAATATCTGCAAAGAAGCCGGAATCTCTTCGAATGGCAGTTCTGTCCCATCCGATCACTTCGGCTGCAGTTCAGATGGCCGCACATTACATGCATCCTGGGCGGAGACGACCGAAACCTCAGCCTCATAAACCTGTGAAGAATGTGAAACCGATGAAGAGTACGATGCCGTGCCCTCCGAACCAAGTACTTCTCGAGATGGAAATCAACAGGAAGATCATCAAACGTTGCCGTGAGTTGGCCACTTTTACAGAAGAACTATTGGATAATCTAGCGTGTCGCTGTTGCAGAAGCCACGTGTCCTGTTTCGATGAAGTCCGTGAACGGCGTCTGCAAGATCGAGCGCCGTCCTTCGGTCAGCCAGTGACTCGCTCCCTCTTCGCCCGTGCCTATCGTCTTTCATGAGTAACTGGATGATAATCGAAAGCTTTCGAAGACTGTCAAAAGCCATTTTGTTGCTCTCTCTCTCTCTCTCTCTCTCTCTCTCTCACATTCTCAATGTTTCGTTGTTGTTGTTGCGCCACTCTCAAAAACGCTGGTGGTGGAGAATTGTAGTATTTTTATTGGATCATAAAAAGAAAATGAATCATTCCCAATTAAATCTCTGGAGGAACCACTTTCGGTTGGCACGGAATCGGAGAGACCCCGCGATCTACAACCTCGCTGTAGGACGGCGGTTCATCGCAATATCTGGAACAGAGTTAATTTAATCCATACAAAAACACAATAGAACTGACCCAACGACGCTGTCACTTATGAAGAACGGGTTCGGCGGAACTGTCAATGAGTTTCTGTAGATGAACGGCGGCGGGATGACCATCGTGAGATCTCCGATCGGCGAGGACTGCAAACTGTCACTTCGGATGACTTCTTCACTAACTGCCACTCTCATAATTGACCCCATTCACTCGAACATCCCATTATCTCTCAACTGCTTTCTCGTTCCAACATGTAATTTCCATAAATTTCGCACCCATTCTCCTCGCCTATGATTTCTTACACGCATTTCCATCTTACTCGATTACCCAATTTAAACTCTTTGTCCTTTCCCTTTTCTGTTCGTTTGCCATGCCAGTGTCAGTGTTTGCATTCCGAGTTCTATTGACACTTTTCCTTTGAATGCTCAGAAGACTGAAAAAAAGTCGCTACATTTGACTTCTCCCTTTCTCTTCCAATTTCGAATTTCATTTGCCCTTTCGCTTCTCGGGTGCGAAAACGAAAACAAAAACGACAATCAATTTGACGTCGGCTCTCGGAGCAAGAACGAAGAAAAGAGCGAAAGAGAAAAGCGAAGAAGAAGAGAAGACGATGCTACTGCGGCGAGGACGGGTCGGTCGCTTCCTTCGCGCACGCTCGCCCATTTCGCCTTCGTTTTTTGAGCCTTCCCGAGCGTGTTTATACATGCATATCTAGATGATGTTTGTACTTGAAAGACTTTCGAAAAGAGCGAGAAATAACGGAGGACAGAGTATAATTTGTCGCCCTCTTTTTCGTTTTTTAATACACGCGTCGCCTATATCATGTTTCGTTCCAGGCGCTCCGCCATTTCCTCACTCTCTCTATCTCTCCAGTTAGAACACGATCGGTTGTTTCAATTTTTAGGCTGCGCATGCATACACATCTGCCTTCAAAACCAACATGTGTTAAATTGGAGCGGAGTGACGCGGCCCGTCCTACCCGCATGGTATCTCTTGCATCTCTTTCTTCCTCCCTTCCTCCGCCCGCCTGCCCCATTCGGACACAGCTGCTCGCTGTCCAGTCTTCAGTGGCCCGCTCAGCCCCTCCCGGCCACCACTCTCCACTTTTTTTTTTGCCCTTTCCACTCATCCGCTTTAATGGGAATTCTCGAGTAGACAACATATTTTTGCTTCGCTTTCCGTCAAAGTTATGCTTCTTTCATTATTCAAATTCTTTTTTAGGAAACCTCAACAAAAATTTCTTGTATGTTATGACTAGTCGCATTCAAGCAAAGGCCGGTGTTTACTCGGTGAGCAGAGCGGATTTCACGAAGGCATTCGAAGATGTTCCAAAAGTTGTAAGCCTATTAATTTTGCTATATGACATGTTGTGGATTTTGTCAATTTCAGGTCATCACATCGGCTGTCGACCTACGAAACAAGTTCGACACGGTCAAAGCCATTCTTTCGAACAGTTCGGAAGACTGGAACAAACGGCAGACTGAGCTGAAAACAGTCAGAAGTATCATCATCAACGGAGAGAAACTCGTGGATCGGTCCCAGATGATCTCTTACATTGTTCAGTTACTCGGATGTTTCGAGATGGCAGTCAAAGACCTGCGATCTCAGGTTCTGAGGGAAGCAGCCATAACTTGCAGGCATGAAAAGCAGACTAAATTCAACGATTAACAATATAATTTCAGTTTCATTGTTAGCAAATATGGCATCGAAGTTCACTCGATCGGAGAGGATATCCTGGCTCTGGCCATGGCCCAAGTCGCTGTTAGTACCAAGATCATGGCTACTTCAGCGAGCACATTGACAGAGTTCATAGTAGAGGTAAGTCTTCATTTCGGAATTGCTGTCACTCCTTGACATATTTTCAGTATATTCAAACTCGCCAAGTATTCACAGTTCTCTCATCTTTCTCAACTTCCAAAGACAAATCACAACGGAGACAGCTTGCCGCTCTTCTTGAAATTGTGATCAGCAAATGGAGTGATCGAATCAAAAAGGTAAGTAGATTTCTTTGTTTTTTTTACTTATGAAAATAGAGTTTTCAGCAAATAATGCGACAAATCTGTGAGCTTATAAGGTCAGCCATCAACGACGCGGATTCGGAGGCGCGGACGGCGGGAAGGAAAGCCTTCGCGAAACTGGACGAAACGCATCCAGAAGAAGCAGATACTCTGTACCAGGAGTTGGATCACGCAAAGCAGAAGATGTTGCGAGGGGGAGATGCCGCTTCCTCCTGGGCAAGCGTCAACAGTGACAAAGGATCCATTCCCATCCGATCGAAGCTCTCGGCTGGCGCGAAAGCGCATGCTAACATTAGTGCCAGTGAGTTCAGATTGCAAAACATTAAAATTGTGCTAGTTTTCAGAATTTCTTGCACAACGGAGCGCTTCTGCAATTGACACGAAAGCCATGAAAATGAACGCTTCAAGGGGATTAGTCCGTCCGACTTCTACGAAAACAATGGCCAGACAAGAAACTTCTCCAGCTGGATGTACGTTTTCATTTCCGAGCTTACTCGTAATCATTTTGATTCCAGCAAAGATTGCCTATCCAAATCGACCTGGCTCTAGAACCAGAACATCTTCGATTACTTCGGCTGACTCTCGCGACACTTCTCCCACTCGGAAGCACTCTCCGTTGCCTCCAGAACTACAAAAAGCACGTGTCCAATACGGAAACGGCTCTTTCTTTGCAAAACTCGGAATGCCGGAAGACACCGACGACGACGAGTTTCTGCTTCCGATTCGGATTCGCTCGCCCATGAAAACGCCGTCGGGAGAGATGAGAGAGACTGTTTCGAGAGCACTAAAAGAGTGCTGCTCCGCGTCGATGCCCGAGAAGAAAGAAGGAATCAAGAAGCTGCTGCCGATTGTGGCGTGAGTGGGAAGAGTTCAATGAAACATAAAATGAGAAAGGGTTTCAGTGACACGAGTCTGAATGCTCTTGAAATCAAAAACATTGGAAACTGTCTGAACCGTCTGCTTGCGGATGCCTCCAATCCAATGCTTCTCGAGATCTATTCCATTTTCGTGCGTACCCACAGCAGCCGTCTCTCCGAATGGCTCCGTTTGGCACTTGCAAAGTTGTTTGCCAAAAAGGCAGCTGATACCCTTCCGAACACGCGAAAACAGATAGGTCACACTTTGAACGTAATCCTCGAAAGTTTCAACGCTCGTCATCAACTGGCGACAGTTTGCGAACTAATGTGTGATCCCATACATTTGATGGTTCCAAAGGTGAGTCGCAGAGCAGAAACGCCCTCAGATCAATCATGTTTTGACAGGCGAGAGTGGTGCTGCTCGAGTACATGACAAGTCTTTTGGACGAGTACACGGAACCTGGTGCGGAGATAAACATCAAGGAGTTGAAGGGGGCGATTCGGAAGATGTTCTCTTGGATCGGTGATCAAAGACAGGCGATGCTGCTGACTCCGCACGTCGAGAAGGCGATCTGCTCAATGTTCTGCGTGAACACCGCCGATTTCTCGGCTCTCCTCTCCGAATTTGATGCCGATCAGAAGAACTGGATACATCAAACATTGCAGAGAAATGGCCTCGAAAATGGAATAAGGTTTGTTGTGCGGCCATGCATTCGAGATGACCCGACGTCCCCAGACGCATCTTTCTTTTTGCAGTCATTCCACACGGACGGCAGCCAACTTTTCCGTCAAGCAAGAGCCGACATCTTTCATTCTGCCCGAGCTCGGAGCCCGCAAAGGCGCTCCTTGCTCTGCCGTCAATCTCGGCTCTTTCAATTCAACGAATTCAGCACTCAGCAAACTGGAAGAGCAGTCGACGTCACGGTTAATGGAGAAAGTGAATGTGAGCGTTTTGTAGAAATATTGAGATTATTTACCCACTTGGTTTCAGCTGAACTCGACAGTCACTCTGCCGCCGGACACATTCGAAAAGATCCAAAATGTTCAAGAACTACTGCACAATATGCGAAATGCGGAGAATGCGGACGAGCAGGAGAGTGCCATTAGCACTATTTACATGATGATTTGCGACGGAGGATTCGGTGTTTGGGATCAATGCTACGCGAAGCTGCTTCTCAATATATTCGAGATTCTCTCCAAGAGTCGATCTGAGAACAACAAGAAAATGTGTCTCCGGATTCTGGGAAAGATGTGCACCGCGCAGGCATCCAAGCTGTTCGATTCAACCGAAATGGCCGTTTGCAAAGTGCTCGATGCAGCAGTCAACACGAACGACGCAACGACTTCTCTCGCCGTGGACGACTGTCTCCGTACTCTGGCCACTCACCTACCCCTTCCGAACATCATCAATATAGCGAGAGTGATTCTGAACCAAGAGCCAATCGATGACGTGAGAGCCTCTCTCGTGCTCAAAATGGTGACGAGACTGTTCGAAGAACTGCCGCCGGACGAACTGCAGAATGTCGTGGATGACATCACTCCGAGTGTGATTCAAGTAAGCCACTTTCTCGTGTTTACTCATTCTCAATACCCCCACTTCCAGGCATACCAATCGACGTCATCGTCAGTTCGGAAGACCGTTGTCTACTGTCTCGTTGCCATGGTTAATAAAGTCGGCGAGCGGCGGATGGAGAAGCATTTCACGAAGCTTCCCAAGGCGATGGTAAGGCTTCCCTTCGTATGACGTATCTAACGTCCATCCCTCATTTTCAGACCAATCTCATCCAAGTGTACGTCAACAGGGCAATCTCGGCGAGTCTCCCTCGAATGTGACGCACTCTCTCCTAACCATTTATTTTATCAGATTTCATTTATCTTTAGCCTAACACCATAATAGCTGTTCACAGAATTACGATTAATTGTGCGCAAAACGGGTACCCTCGCATTTTCTCCGTTTCCCCGTTTGTCATGTGATTCGATTTCACACTTTCCCATGCTTTCAGTTAAAAATAAACTATTCGATCTCCGATTCGACTCACCGGAACGGGCGAAACGGGACGACTGTCTTCCCAGGCAACTGGCGAAGACAACGGGATGACGGAGGAGCAGTTCTTCTGAGAGCCGGAATGGAGCAAGTATGCAAAACGGGCGAAGCAGAAGCCGAGCAGAATAAGTACCCACGAAAGGAGGTAGGGGATAAGGAGAAGGAGAATACTTCTGGAAAAAGGGTGTTGAAACGGGAAACGAGGGAAGCGGGCAGTACTGTTTGCTGACGATTGAGAGAAAAATAATGTTCTCGACGATGATTAGAATAGCGAAAAAGATGGCCACTGAGGAGATTACGACGAAAACATTTCTGAAAAGACCGCATATTAAATGAGTTTAAGCGGAAGTGAACTCACCGATAGGGTCTGAATTTGTGAACAACTCCTGGCGTGAGATACTCTTGAAGTTGGAAACACATTCGACGGACAGAAAATAGTAAGAATGAAGGGGAGAGCATCCAAAAAGTGATGGGGAATTATCGGGAAGCCCTTCGGATGTTGAGTGGCTTCTCGAGTGACTGACTCCTCCCGTCCCCGCTCTTTTTAGTCCCCAATACACATGCAAAATACCAGATTCATTAATTGCACAAAAAATGTGAGGGGCGAGAGTGACAAATAGAAACAAGTGTGAGCTAGAAAAGAGATCAAAAAGTAAAACCCGATTGGGAGGGAAAGGGGAGAAAATGAGAAAAATATCGATAAGATTCTAAAAATAAGTTTGAGATCATTTGAGGAGAGATTCGTTCTCAATTCCTGATAAGTCGATTGTTCTGGCCTGACGGAGACGTGGCGGACGGGACCGTTCTTCGAAGCCATCGGAAGAGATGTCTCCGCCGTCGATCGATGCTCCGTGCATGCTCTTCTGACGGCGAGCCATCGCCTTGTAGCTGAAAATGCGCTCACGATAGAAGAGGAACTCCAGTGTTTATTGTGTACTCGCTCATATAAAACTTCCCGTCAGCTCCCCCCTACTTCCTAACTAACCGACTCAAATGCTGTTCGAGCATCTCTATTCTCTTCATCAGTTTTCCTTCGGTGCTCGCATGCTCGACGATAAGCCTCGCCATTCTATAACATTCATTTGTTGTGCCTTTCTTCCCGCTTTCTTTTTCTACTAATCGTCTGGATTACCTCGTCTGTAGCACTTTGACCGCGTTGTTCAGGTGATCCGCAATCTCTTCCACAGTCTTCTGCTCTTCCGGAGCGTTCTCGTCCAGCAGATTGTCCTTCTTCAGAATTTCTCTTCCTTTTGCCAGCAGAAGTTTCCGTGCGTCCGGATATTCTCGAAGTGCATTCCACAAATCTGTTTTGCTCAATACGAAAAGATCAGTGTATCCGACGGATCGGACGTTGGCGGTTCTCCGGTTTCCGTTCTTGCTTCCTACAAGTCTTTGTTTCGAATTGAAAACAAATGCGCTCACCGGCAATGTTGAGAATACTGAGCTCTCCGAACACAGAACCTTCCTGAAGGGTCACAAACACCTTCTTTCCGTCGTCATCGACCACTTGAAGACGTCCTCGTTTCACAATATACATCTCTCGACCGATGTCGCCTTTTTTGCAGATGAAATCACCCGGAGAAAACACTTGCAACTGTAATTTCAGCACCAATTCCGCGAGAAGACCAGCTTCACAATCCTAGAATTAACATTTGGATTTGAAAAGAAACGAACGAGTAACCTGGAAAATGCGGACTTTTCGGAGCGTCTCAAAGTGCACCTGCATGGCAATTTCCGCCTGCAACTTGTCTGGAAGCACTCTCAGTACTTGCTGATCACTCAGAGATTGCTTATTCGTCCAGAGGTAGTCAAACCACTTGATGACCCGGATCTCAAGCTGAAAAAGGAACCTTTTGGAGGGATTAGATGAGAGGAACTTACCTGTTTGCTGACTTTTCGCAGTTCCATATACTGCTTGATACCATCCATCTTGTTTTGGAACTCTGTTCTTGCTGCGCTCATGTTGGAGATCATACTGAATACGAATCAATTCCTTTCATACTGCTCTGAAGTTGAATCTCACCTTCCGACATTACCGACAATCGTAGCGAAAATCAAGACACCGCACATGAGGTCCAGCGTCACGAAGACGTATTCCACGTTACGAACAGGACTGGGAACCTCTCCGATAGTGGTCAGAATGAGCGTGGACCAGTAGAAACTGTAGACGTACCTACGGAGAAGAGTATCCGTGATGTCACTGGAATTATATTTCAGCTCAAATTGAAAAACGAACAAACTAACTCTGGTAAGCTCTGTTTGTTGAGATGTCCATAGACCCAAGTGTCCGTTCCCAAGCCAATCCATTCGGAAATCCAAAAGTAGAGGCACGCGTTCCAGTGAATAATGATGACAATGTACCAAACGACGACGACGACGCGGAAGGCATTGGGCATTGAACTGCGAGTCTCGGTCCTTTCGAGACAGTCCCTCACTCGTTTGTATCTGGTCAGCCGATTCAATCGGAGGATCGGAAGACCCCTCCATCCGACCATCGGAATTGGCCATCCGAACAAATAGTCGAGAGGGACCAGGCTGAGCCCGTCGACTCTGTACTGTTTGCTCTTCCAGTACGCTTCCGTCACCTTCTCGGCGTCCCGGACCACGAGTCCTTGGTCCATATAACCCATTCGGTAGTTGAGGAATGTGTCGATGAAGTAGACACAATCCATCAAAAAATCGAAAAGAATCCAAAGCAAGCGGAAGTGCCAGAATCGGGTCCAGCCGAGATCGGGGTACGTGGCGTAGGTGGGCATCTCCCTCATGTTCGTGAGCATTTCGTAACTGCATTCCATCTGTGTCGTACTGTTCTGAGTCTGATTGTAGAATCTGCACAAAGACTGAGAAGAAGGTCCGATGAGATCGTTGAAAACTTGTCGAGCAATGACAAAGAGAAGGTTGTAGATGTAAGCGAATGTCACCTAAGTCATGCTGTTGTCGTCTAATTAGTTGCGACGCCAAAACATACCACACATGTCCAATAATAGAAGTTGTCCGTCGAAGGATCTTGTGTGTAATTTGCCACGTACTTCTTCAGTCTGACCAAGCAATTCGCCGGTGCTTCTGCTGCTGCTGTCGAAACGGTTCCGGCCGCCGGAGGAGCTGTTGTCGGTGCACCAACGACCCGCTGAGCTGAGTTTGAATTCCCGTTAGACATGAACTTCTGGAAGGCTCGGAATAATTGTGAAACAAAGCACTTTCGCGTGGGGGAGAACCTGCATAAACTCGTTCTGAGCTAGTTGCGAATCCTCGCTGTGCACTTGATTTTTCCTCCTTAGCAACTGAAAAGATAGAGAGTGATTAGAAAGCTAGACGGATTATAATTAGTACCTTTGTCAGGAGCCCGAACCGAGTAGCTGCGGAGGCCGCCTGTTGCGGCAAGCCGAATCCATTGGCTGTTGGAGCGGAAGGTGCAGGTTCTGATGGAGCCGTTGGTGGAGGAGAAGCTGGTGGATCCGCGGAAGGAGCCGCCGGAGGTTCCGGAGCATCCACCGCTGGCATTCTAAAAGGGAAACAATGGAAAAAGTGGATTAAATGGAAGAAGAAATAACAGACAAGTGGAAGCCGGATGAGCATAAACGGAAATTGAGCGAAATGGAGAGATGAGGGTGGGGATTATGCTCATTTGAAAATCAGCAGAATTTCGAAACTTTGAGAGCATGACTCGTTCAAATGATAAGCCTTGAGAGTTGCACTTTAGAAGAGAAAATTAGCAAAAAAGATGGATGAGAACGTGACATGAAAGAGCAACATGACGTGCTGATATGGACAGCGTAATGGAAAGGGCGAACCCGTCTGGAGTCGTCTCAATTCGTGCATTCCATCGTTTACACGGAGAGGTGTCACGCAAGAGAGGAGCAGATGCGCAGACACGCGGAAGAGCTCTTCTCCCCCTCTCCCGAGCAGCTATCTTCTCGCTGGCTATCAGTTATCAGCTCGTTGCCCCGGGAGATGATGAGAAGATGCGTGGGAATGGACGAATGAGAAGCGTAAGAAGACGTGAGGGTGGACGGAGAACCGGCCATTTCCGATAACACGATAGTTTTGGAAGTGAATCTTAGTTTGGGATCAAAAGGTGATAGGATGAGACTAGATGAGCAGCGGAAGCTGTCTCAAAAACAAATACGATTACAGCTTTCCGATGCGAACGGAATCTTGCACAATAGAAGTATCGAGTAATTAGTTATAGGCTCATCATAAACTTGCAGACATCTGTGAGAGTTTCCAGCTGGTCGGTGCACTCTGCTACTCAAAGATCTCGTTTAAAAAAAAGAAATTGATGTTGAACATCTTTCTAGACTTTTCCATAGGAATATAATTCTGACGCCATCCGCACCTGAGCTGAAATCAGAAACGGAAAACTCGGGTCAACCGGGAGAATCGGAGCGTGAGCTCGTACTCTGCTCTGATTTGAAAATGATGTAAGCTGGACGGATGCGAAGAGATGAAGGCGGAATGAGAGCGGAAGACGGCTTAACGCTCCTTCTAAACAGGTATTATCAGTTCCACAATCCAGCGCATTTTTTCGAAGAATTATCAGCAAGCTTTTTCTGCCCTGATCTGACGGGAAATTGAAACAAAGACCGGGACATTAATTGTTTTATTATCAATGAAAGTAGGTGAGTAACGATATATATTTACAGTAATACTTTTGATAAATAAATATAATGCAGCCACGGAAGTCTGGCAATCGTTCTCTATCGCTCTCCACGTGAATTCAGTGCTAAATAGGGAATGGTCTCGAATGCGGCCGGGTTTTTACGTGAGGTTGCGGTAGAGCGACATTGTCAGAACTTTGAGATGCCGATATCGCACTTTATTACTTTCATCTATTCCGTTCATACTCTTCCCTCAGTCCAAGTCCAACGCTCCGAACAATTTCTCCTGCTTCTGGAAAATCATCGAGCGCGTCCCAAAGACAGGCGAAGTGCAATGTGAAGATTTCCGTGTGTCCGATAGCTCTTATATTATCCGTTCTTTTCTCCACTCCTGAACAAGAACAATTTCATGATTGAATGGGCTTGCGCAGCTGCTCACTCTTCTCGATAACACAGAGCTCTCCGAACACTGATCCTTCAGCCAACGTGGCAAGCACACGCTCTCCGTCATCACTAACCACTTGCACATTTCCTCGTCTCAAAATGTACAATTCGTGTCCGAAGTCACCTTTCTTGCAGATGTAATCACCGGCGGCAAACTCTTTCAGCCGCAGTTTGTACCCTAAGTCAGTTCGGAAGCTCTCATCGCAGTCCTTCAATTCCATTTTCTCTATTTTGAAGAAATTCGACGGGGACTCACCTTGAAAAGAGGGCTTTTTCTCAATATTTCGGCTAAACTCGGTTCTGGCCAGCGCTTGCTTCTTTCGTAAATTTTGTATAAAACTATCATGCCGGCAAAGAGGAGAAGAGTCAGAACGCCATGTTCGAAATCGTACGACGGCGTGGGAACCACAGTTTCGGGAATGGGCTCAGCTAACGCTGACATATCGGAAGAGAGAAGAAGAATAAGAAGAAGTGTGAATGGGAAACGCATGAGAGAAGAAGTGAGACCTTACTTTTCTGAGTCGAAGGAGCTCGCTTGCCTGCGGTTATAGCTCGTTACCATGGGAGATAATGACTGAGAAGCAGAAGCACGCAATAAGTATTATTTACGCACCTGATTTCGACAAAGAGGAAGGGTGAATCATGACGAGAGAATGAGATGTATTGTCGGAAGGATAAACAGTGCATGAGCACTTTTCAGATGGCACAACCCAATAATGTCGTTTCAGATTGCTCTTCTCTCATTTTTCCTTTCCTCTGGTCGTTCTCAATCTTGCGTGACGTGGCAATTGTATCATTTCCGCCTGATCACCCATGTGTACTACTTTTGTAGTGGCGGTCTTTCGGCCGCTATCTCCGAATCTCATCGAATTTTTCCGTGCCATTAATCATCAATCAGAAGAAGAAGAAGAAGGAGAAGTGAACGGGGTCGAGGGGTGGCCTGACATGACATTTACATACTTGTGAGCAGTGATGCTCACAGCCGATGTGAAGTATATACTTATCCTCATAAACACGGCGACAGATGGCTCTCTCTCTCTCTCTCTCTCTCTCTCTCTCTCTCTCTCTTTTAAAGGGCCTGCCTCCAGCCAAACATTAGTTCGAGAGCCTCTTCTCCTTGTTCTTTTTTGAGCGTGCTCTTTCTGTGTCCGGGAAGAACTCTGTGCATGATGATGCATTGGCGTCCATTTGAAACACGCCCATCCGTCCCATACAACTCATAATTTATCATCGATGAATGACACTTTGGTCTGCGTCTCCGAAGACTTGAAAAGGCCGACGCACAAAAGTTATGATTTCACTCGTCCCCGGCTCTAGATGATGCTCGCTTTCTTCTCCCAAATGACCAATTTTTGAGGAAGTCTCCAATGTCTCCGATGTTGCGACAGAACTAGTACAGTTTCGAATGAGAATGAGACAAGTGTTGCGTAACAGCTTTTCATACAAAACTGGAAAGATTAGATGGCATCTCAAGTGCTTGTTGTCCCCTTTTTCTCTCAAATTCATTATTGTGCAACTACCGTAATCTCGCTCTTCCTTCAACATCTGCACAGCAAATACGTGCCCCCGTTGGCCCATTTTCTATTCAGTCTATTCATCCGTTGCTTCGACTTGCGCAAATCTCACCTTTCAACTCGCTAATTATTCGCTCGAAACCTTGAAACATCGTCGTCCTCCGTCCCACCCATATCTTCTCAATGACGTGGCACTCTTCTCGCTTTCTCGTCCTTCTGAGTCAACAGACCCACGGCGGCGCGACCCTTTCAACTTGTCCGTTCATAAATAACCACCTGCAAATGTTTTTGCGCTTTCGATGTATCCGCTAACAAAAATCGTCGGATGAAACGGAAGGAAAGGGAGACTGATGCCTCTTCCTCCTGCAAAGGCATTCAGGTTCGTATCTCGGACAAGGACTATAAATCAACGAGAGCCTTCTCTCTTTTCTTACGTCCGTACGGACAGTGACGTACGGACACAAGACACCCTCGCCCGTCCGTTTGCCGCCCTCCCCGCCCGTACATCGCTCACACGCCATTACTGTCCCGTTCTGTATGTCTGCGTCTCTCGATTTCCACTAGTGTCTCGCGTTTCCCGTAGTCTGTTTGGCCACAACAGCTCTTCTTCTCCCCTATTTCGCCGTATCATCATCTGTCTCCGCTTCTCTCCTCTTTTTCAACGTGTCCGTCCAATCATCAGTTTCCATTCGAAACCGTTCATTTTTCGATCATTCGTTTCCTTTCGATGTTCCCACAGTACAGGATTATGGGCAGCCAAGTGAGTGATAAGATCTCCGTTCCCACTGCGTCCACACTTCCTTTTTCCGTTGGTTTTCTCCCGAATGACAATGTTATTACTTTCCTTCTTTTACATTTCGCGCCCTCAATTATAACATTATACTAATCAGGAATGTAGCCCACGGTACACATATATTTCGGTGTGTCTTCCTGTCTCTGTGTCTCCTCAATTAGCGTGCTCTTTGTGCTGCTCTACCTTTGCCTCTTGTGTCCCCGAAGCTTCCACTTTGTTTACTCAAACCCGCAACCTCTGCGGGTCTGTCCGCTCAGGTCATCTTACCTTCTTCTTCTTCTTCTTCTTCCTCCTCCTTTATTCGGCTTCTTCTTACACTCCCGCTCTTTCTTATTCCAATTTTTGATTCCTTTTGCATATTGGCCGGTAATTTATGCCCGGCTTCTCTCCCGACACTTCCAATTTTCATATGCAGATTTGACAATTTCTCTTCGTCCCGCTCTCCCTCCGTCTTTTTACTCAAGGCATTTTCTGTTTGCGTTCCATCCTTTTTGAGGCGAGAAACGAAGATTTCATCCACAATTCAATAATCCGTTCTTTCCGTTTCGGCTCTGCACATGCCGCTCTCTTTCTCCTATACGGATTTCGACTGTTTCAAGGTTGCCATCCGTCAGTTTTTCTCCTTTTCGTAACATGGATACGTCCTCGATTGGATATGTTTTTGGAGTGTCGCTTTGTTTCTTTTATGCGTCACCATCCAACGTGATATTTCTTTTGTGATGGGATTATGCATACGAATTTTACTGTCCTTCTCTACGAAAGCAACGCAAAAAGCGGGATTGTGAATAGGGAAAAAAGTTCAAAAATGTGGTAACACATGGAACATTTGATGACGGATGTGACCTTTCGAATCTCTGTGTACATTTTGAGAAAAGCGTTCACACCCCACTGACACACGTGTCGCGTCCAAAGTTAAACAAAAAACCCGGAAATCCCGCGGATTTTGCTGCCCAAAATCGGCCGTAATTTCCTTGAAAAACGGGGTGCGCACATCTGAACGAATGTTTTGAAAATATTCAAATTTCTGGGGTAAACTTTCAAAAAATACCGTAAGTTCAGCAGCCCGTTTTTCAAGGAAATTTCGGCCGACTTTGGACAGCAAATTTTCCAGGTTTTTTTTAAAACTTTGGTCCAAAGTCTTTGGACGCGACATTACTCTCCTATTCTTTTCCCTCCATTTTTCTTGATTCTCCTCTCCGCGCTCTTCCGCTCTCCTTCCGCCTCTCTCCTCATTCCGTCGCTTTGTGACACAGGAATTCGTGGCTCGTCTGGACTGGTTAATTGAAACATTCATCGTGCTGCTCCTCCGCCTCTTCTGGTGGCGTCTGCCACTTGTACAAAACGAAAAAGAGAGAAAGAGAGAGAGAGATAGAAACGACTGCTCCGTTTTGCTCTCATTCTTCTTGTCCAATTGAATGCCTTCGTTTGGCGGCCGACGCTTTGCAGAGAGTGTTCACACCCTCCCTCCCCTTCTGATGAATTGCGTGTGCTCCCTTTTCCCGGCTCCTCGGCTCTTTTGGCACTTTTCCGTCCCTCGGGGGGATCGCATATCAAAAACGCTCAGCTTGGGTTTTCCATTTAGAGAAGGGGGAAGAGATGAAGTGCGTCTAATTTCGAGTGGCGATGGGGTCACAGCCGGTCATCAGCTGGAAGTTGAGAGAAACGTGCTTTTTTATGCCCGACCCATTTGAAATTGGAGCATTCCCTCTACTTCCTCCTCTTCTGCTACGTTAAACTGCTCCGTCGTTCCCTCTCAGTCTAGGTCTCTCAGTTTCACCTCTGCCACGTCACAGTCCCTATTCAATTCCCCTCTTTCGCCCATCAATTTTATGTGTTCGCCTCGCCGCGTCGTTGCATTTTTTCCATATCATATCAAGGTTAGTGACCCCTTCTCCCCTCTCGCATTCCTTCCATTCTCCGTCCCCGCCAATCAAACAACTAGTCTTCGTTCGAAAAAAGTTTGGAAAAGTGCACTTCCACGACCCTTGGCCACCCGTCACTCTTTTTCACACTTATGAATTCTTAAAGACGTGTCTTTTTGTCTCAGCAGATGCTCGGCACCTGCGTCTCCTCGCTCTGACTCCTATCAGTGAAAAGAGCCGTCCTTTCGTCCTGCCGCATTGATATGACTCATCCAATGACACATCGCCTCCTCCCGCACACTTTCATCATTTAATTATTATTGTCGTTCCCCCTCGATCGTTCTGAAATGCGCCACCATTGTAAACTTTTCCGTCCTCTCAGATCCGTCTTCCTGTTCGTTGTCATAATATTTTCCTGATCTTTCAGTTATTATTCCTCGAACGTACATGAGCCGCTGATCGGAAAGCGCTTCTCCGAATCATGCGTAAATATGTGACCAATTGGATATTCTTCTTTTGTCTCAGCTGCGTCAAATCATTCAATCTCGATGTAAATGCGCCCATATACAGGTTTGGTCCCGAGGGATCCAACTTTGGGTTCTCCGTTGCGGAGCATTTCAAAGGGGACAGACCAGTGTAAGCCCATCGTTTTTGTGCTTTTTTATTTTCTCATTTACAGAATGCTGATCGGAGCGCCACGTGGAGAATCGGGTCAAACTGGTACGGAACGGGCTGGAGCCATGTACTCCTGCGATATCAGCACATTTTACAATGCTGGATCGAAGCTTTGGTAAGCGAGAGTGAGATGATTGATGATAGTGGAAAGAGGATACTTTCAGGTGCGAACAGGTGCGCTTCGAGTACGACAACGCCGAAGATTACATGAAGAGGCCGAACGAAACACGTGGCAGAGCTGTGCATCATTTGGGAAAGAATGACCAGTTGCTCGCCTCGACGATCGTTTCGAAAGGAACCAAGAACGGAAGTGCGTTGGTGAGTCATTCAAAATGAGCAATGTTGAGCTCCAACAATAAATCTTGCTTAGGTGTGTGCTCCGTTGATCCGATATCATCAGACAGCCGCCTATCCGCAAGGCGCTTGCTACGAACTCGAGACGAACCTCCGTCTCCAATCCACGTACTCAACGTGCGCCCAGAAAAACCTTCCGACTACAGACAGACACAATGAATACGGAGGCTGCATGGAGGGATTCTCGGCGGCCATCACACAGGTTACACACGAATGATCTCGTCGCAAGCCAATATTTTCTCTGTTCAGGACACTATTGTGACTGGTTTGATCGGCGCTGTAAAATGGACGGGAGGTGTTTTCGCGAGGAAATCCTCGGCGAGCATCTTCGATTCGGTTGTGGAAAAGTACACGATGAATCAGCCGGGAGACAGCGTCCGCAGTCGACTTGTGGCTCACGACTACCTGGGATACTCCGTCGACATCGGAAGATTCGGATTCTGGTACGAGAAGGGGAAGCCAATTACCGTCGTCTCCGGAGCAACTCGTTACGGAGAGCACGGAGCAGTCATTTTCCTTCCGTTCATTCAAGACTCGAGCTCTAAACTCACTTTGAGTGAGGATAAGTTCATCATAAATGGAACGGCAATGGGATCTGCTTTTGGATATTCAATCGAAGTAGTTGATCTGAACGGAGACGGATTCGACGATCTGATTGTTGGAGCACCGTTCGAGCACAGAACAGGGATCGACGGAAACTTCGGAGGAATCGTCTACGTGTACTTCTCTCAGGGAATCGAGAGACAACACCACGAATCTCATCTGGTATTCCATCCTCCGAAGGTCATAAAGAATCCTGACTTCTACTCACAATTCGGATTGTCCATCACGAAGTTGGGAAATGTGGATGGAGATAAGAACGGACTGAATGACTTCGCTGTTGGTGCTCCGTTCGCATTCGACGGAGCAGGCGCTGTTTACATCTACCTGGGAACCAGAAACATTGACAAGTTCCGGAAGAAGCCATCTCAAGTGATCAAGGGAAGCGAACTGCCGAACCTTCCGGGAGGAATCATGCGATCGTTCGGATTCTCGCTGTCCGGAGGCTCCGACATGGACGACAACGGCTATCCGGATCTGCTAGTTGGTTCTCCTTCCAAGAACTTTGTCGCCCTGCTTCGTGCCCGTCCTGTTATCAGCATTGATGCGAAACACAAAATGCAGAGTAGGATGGTGGATATCGACAAAGGAGTTAACTGTCCGCGCGGTGCCAAGACCTGTTTCCCACTCGAAATGGTCATTTATGTCGATGAGGAAACCACCCGAGGGGCGGAGCTTGTCGACTTCTCTTCCGACGTCTTCATGTGCAATCTGGAAGCGATTCCGTATCGGGCTGACGTCACAGCTCGCGGATTCGTCGAAGGAAGTCACTCGCACAACTACTCGTGGCCCTGCGGAAGCAACAGTCACGTACAGAAGAGGACGTATCGCCAGAACATTTACTTGCCGACCCAAGAAGCAAAGGACTGGATTACACCCCTCAAATTCCGATTCACAGTGAGCATTCGGTAAGGTGTTCGTTCGCTTTTCCATTCAACGTCACGTGTTTTCAGCAACGAGAAGAAGCCGATTCAGCCCCCACAAGGAAGCCAAGTCGTCGATCTGAAGCACTTTCCTGTTCTGAATAAGTACGGTGCCTCGTATGAGTTCGACGTCCCCTTCAATACTCTTTGCGGAGAGGATCACACGTGTCAGACCGATTTGTCACTGAAAGCCGCTTTCAAGGATATTCCTCTGTAAGAAAGCAACCCCTCGGATTTTCAATGCAAATGCCTTTTTATTCATTTCAGGACTAAAAACGGATACGTTTCAAATGTCGGCGAGAAGGATTATCTGGACATGACATTTACGGTGGAGAATAAAAAAGAGAAGGCTTACCAGGCAAACTTCTATCTGGAGTATAACGAGGAAGAATTAGAATTGCCGCAAGTGCAAGGAAACAAGAGAATGCTCGCGCAGACCATCGGAAAGAACATTGTGCATCTGGCACTCGGAAATCCGATGAACGGAGGATCGAAGCATCAGTTCACCATTCAGTTCAAGCTGACCCGAGGAAGAACAGAGGGAATCGGAAAGGCCCTCAAGTTCATTGCTCATGTCAACTCGACTTCTCAGGAAACCGAGGAAGAATTGAAGGATAACAAGTGGGAGGCTGAAGTTCAGATTATCAAAAAAGCGGAACTCGAGTTGTTCGGAAGCAGTTATCCAAAGATTGTACACTATGGAGGGAAGGCAAAAGCGGAATCTGAATTGGAATTGGAGGAAGATATCGGAATAATGGTCCGTCATAACTACACGATTCTCAACCACGGACCCTGGACTGTCAGGAACGTTGTCGCCAAGTTCGACTTCCCTTACCAAGTGCATTCGAGCTTCGGAAAGGGAAAATGGGCTCTTTATCTTCTCGACGTGCCAACCATCACTTTGGAGAACACGGACGGATCGAGAGAAGTGAGAAAGTGTTCTGTGGAGCAGAAATATGAATACGTGAATCCTGTGGACATCAAGTTGAATACAAAGTACAGTACTCAAGAGACATCTCCGACGAGGGTGGAGCACAGAGTGAAAAGATCAGCAGAAGAAGAAGAAGATGAAGAAGAAGAGAGATCGGAATCGCAGACATCCACGGAAAACGAGGAGTTCTCCCTGGCAAAAGTCTGGAATTGGTTCACAACGACGAGAGTGGAGAACGGAATGAACGTGGAAGTTGTCACTTTGGTAAGGAAAACCAATAATACTCTTCGATCCTCTTAAATACGTTGTCTTGCTTTCAGAGCTGTCCTGAGAAAACTGCAAACTGCTTCACAGTCGTCTGCCACTTTGACTTCATCGATGCCAATTCTGCGCCAGTGGTCGATTTCCGAGCAAGATTGTGGAATTCCACGTTCATCGAGGACTACACCAATGTTGAATACGTTGAGATTAAGTCATTTGGAAGGTTAGAAGTGGATGCATCTCAAGGGATCGACGACGATTCAGCCAACAACCAGGCTTCCGTCGCCACGTTCGCTTATCCGGACAGACCGGCGATAGGTAAGAACGTCTTCGTGCATTCTGTTCTTTCATTGATTGCTTTTCAGGAGAAACTCGTCCGGTCCCTTGGTGGATCCTCGCCGTTGCTGCCTTTATTGGCCTTCTCATCCTCCTTCTACTCATTTTCGTCCTCTACAAATGCGGATTTTTCAAACGAAACCGCCTCGATCAGCCGTCGCTCTACACTGCTCAATTGCGTCACGAAAGGGAACAATGGGCTGACACGGGACTGTAGTCGCTCTCGCTTTCTCTTCTTCTCTCACTTTCTCTCGATCTCTGTGATTCCTCACTTTTCACTCACTTTGTTTTTGTATGTGATACGCCATTCCTGTTTTTCTAGGATTTATTTCACTTTCTAAATTTGACTCATTCTGTCTCATGACTCTTTTGTTTCATTTAGTCAAGTCTTTTAGCCTTGACACAAAGCCGGTGCCATTCGAACATGTTTCTCTTTTTCTTCATGAAATTAGTTTTAATAAATTATTTTACAATTCAGTACAGTAAATGAAAATGTGAGCCCAAAGAGCATCAATCGTCGTTCGTCGACTGACGTTTCAGGAGCATCCAAGAGCTGCGTTTGCGAGGAGCTGAAGCTGAGAAACATTCGATGAGAATGATAAAAAAGGCAGAAAACACTCACCAACTAGCATTTTCGCCTGGTTTTTATGCGTTATCTGGATGATGCACGGAGGTTGCATCCACGGTTCCCCGTCAATTTGCATTGGAAAAGACTTGTGGGTTCTGGAAATGAAATATGAATTGCATTGGTGCTCATTACGGAGCACTCACTGAATGACGACGGTGGAGCACTGCGAAAGACGTCTCGCTCCCCGGACGCCCGCTTTTATCTGCCCCATTTGCATGGCAGACTCCAATCCGACCAACTGGAATGAGAATAAGTGACCACGAGAATCCGGAAACGTTCTCACCTCGATCAGCCCGTCTCCAATGTCCTGCACTCTTGTCTGCAGTTGCATTTTCTCCGTGTTTTTAATCGGAAACAGACCGGGCATTCTTCCTTTTGATTTCCGGCTTCTGCCCCAAAGATTCGAGCCTCCGTAAATGGACGGAATATTCAGAAGTGCAATTCCTTCGAGCGACGCGTCTTGGCCAAGATCAATGGATTCGCCGTCACACTAAAGTTACTCGCATATAAATGTTACACTCAAATGTTCCCCTAACCAGAATATCAATCTGCTCGTGAAGGTTTTTGCATGAACTTGAAAGAGTTTCACTCGTTCCCAACTCAAAGTACCACAATTTATTCCTCATTCGGCTGTTGAACTTTTCTGGAAACTTCTCCCTCATGACGTGGAATCGATGGGCAATCGAGGCATCCTGCAATCACGAAAGGGTAATCAGATACTTCAGGAAGAAACTCACCACTCCGATAGAGAAATAATTGTTGATGATACTGTAGGGAGGAGTATCACCTTTCTCGCTTGCTCTTCTGTTATTCTTATTCTCCGTGATCTCAATCTTGATCTGCCAGCGATCCATGTCGATGAGGCTGGACTTCTCGATTTGCTCGAGTATCTTGTGCAAGTTCTCGTTCTCGTAGCCTCCGCCCCATCGGAGACATCTTGCCAGATCATTGCCAGTTCCCAAAGGAAGCACGGCGACTGGAGGTCTGCCATTAGGGAACGTCATCTTATCCATTGACTCGAGCACCCATCCGATTGTTCCATCTCCTCCGCACACGAGTATATTACAGTTTTTGAGTGTGGAGAACAGTTGCAATCCAGGCTCCGGTCCTGTTTTGCTCAGGTCATACACTTGTCTCGGGTTTAAAAGATATTCAAACTTCTGGAGTATTTTCACGCCTTGCTTCCCGCCGCTCTTCGGGTTCACAAGAACAAGAAGAGGACGACAGTCATTGCTCGGAGAAATCGCCTGCAGAAGACTGGCACTGTGCGATCCGAAGTTGTGATTCTTCACGGAGGTCGACGTTTTCCGTTCGAGAAAAGCGGGAAAGATGTGCGTGGGCGGGAGAATGTGATGAACGAGAGCACCGAGATCACACTCTTGAGCGAGAGAAGACATGCATCGGTGATGGACCTGGAAGCAAGGGGAAGATGGAATTCACGAGGGGATGCTCACATAGTTGTGACACCATCTGCATCCTTTTCCTTGGAATACTCCCACTGTAGTTCTACACTTCACGCATTTCGCCGTTGCATTCGCGTCTTGCCAATGATGGTAAAGTTTGTCTGAAAGGCTCAGAAGTTTCACTCGAACACTGTTTCTACGCACCCTGTTGTCTACTGGAGAAAGTCCTGATGCAGTTCGTAGCTGCTGATCGGACGCACCGTTCATGGACTGTGTACTTGCACACTGAAAGTGGTTTTAGATGAACTCAGCTCTTCGGAATGACTCACATGAACAACTGAGTCCCTGCTTGCCTCCCCATCCAACCAGAATACTGCAGCACGCATTGCAATACGTGGGCTTTGTGAAGTGACGGAGACGCCAAACATGCGAACCGTCCTCTTTCATTTCCTGCAGAATGCCAGTTGCCTTTGACCCTTTAAAGGACCAGGGAACCCAAAAATTTTTTGATTTTTTTGTGAAATTTTTTTGTGACTGTTTGAATTGTCTCTTATTGCCTCATACACTAGTGAAATGCTGCCTCTCAAAAATGCCAATGAACGAAACGGCATGCAGTTGAAGTTGCGGCCGTGGCCTAGCGCCAATGGCCGAAAAATATATAAAAATATATGCGCTTCTCGGCCATTTTATTTTTTCCGCTTTTTTACCGGTTTTTTTCCAAAAATTCACGGTTTCTCCCATTTTGGCACTTCATATCGATTGAATGAATACAATTTTTTAGCAGTGAAAAAATAAGTAAGCGCCGAACTAATGTCAATCAACTGAAAAATGACAGAAACCGAGAATTTTTGGAAAAAAACCGGTAAAAAAGCGGAAAAAATAAAATGGCCGAGAAGCGCATATATTTTTATATATTTTTCGGCCATTGGCGCTAAGCCACGGCCACAACTTCAACTGCATGCCGTTTCGTTCATTGGCATTTTTGAGAGGCAGCATTTCACCAGTGTATGAGGCAATAAGAGACAATTCAAACAGTCACAAAAACATTTCACAAAAAACTCAAAAAATTTTTGGGTTCCCTGGTCCTTTAAGAAGTGACTCACAGTGTCAAATCCCAAAAGAACAAGCAGTGGGATGTTTGTGAGTCCTCCTCTCCTCCATTCGTCAAACGATACAATTCCATCGTTGTCATAGTCAATATCAACCATCATTTGACGGATAATCTGAAAACAAACTCTGTTTTCGCCGTTCTTTTCTTTTCTCACCTGCTCCAACTCAATTGTATCCCATTGTTGGTATCTCGCCACATTCATCATTTGCTCAATAATTCCGTCAATTTCAGATTTGTCCAAGAAACCGTTGGCATCGGAATCATAGATGTGAAAGACCACTGCAAAGGGAATTCGTTATATTTTATCCTTCAAGATGACCTTACCATCCAACTTGTTCTCGGGCGTGTCTGCCTCCAGAAGAGAAAGGGTGCAAATGAGTGGTTTCAATGGGATTCGTGGTTCTTGAGATCCACTGCTCGCTGGCTTCGGACCCATCACATCTGAAACGAATTTATGTTATAATAAATTCTTTTTTGGGCAGCAACCGTCTTCAGGAATGCACACAAGAGCCTGTGGTTCACTGCTTTGACTCCGGTCCGTCTGCTGTCCCGATCCACTTGCAATCGACAATCCGGCCATTCTCCCGGAGAGCGACTCAGTGAATTTTGCCTTGACAGTCGAAATCGCATCCTCGAACAGACTAGTGCGTCGCTCTTTGATGGGCGGCTTCGAGAAAGAAAGAAACAACTGATCAACGAGATCACTAGGAAGATCCGCCCCGAAATAGTCGATGAGAAAAGCACGAAACCCATCGATATTTATAGTCTGAAACAATTGCCAATTATCTTTCTGAAATGCATTCAATCGTGCATTCCATGATGATAGAAAACGAAGCGCGTCGCTTGCAGAGAAAGGCCACTTGATAAACACTAGCCAATTGCTAATGAATCTGCAGAGGAGTTGCGACGGAGCCCTCGTTTGGCTCTCCTTTAGCGCTTCTCCTCCTTCACGTTTTCTCCTTCCTATCGCATGTCACCTCATCATTTTTCAGCGCGCGCCACAAACAGAAAACGCATCAATTTCCGCTACTTCAATTTTGATACGGGCGCTGCACGTCAGACCGGACGACGAATACGAAAGACTTCGGGGACACAAAAAACACCGTGCGAGCGAGCGGGCGGGGAGAAACGGAGAGACAATTGGGTTAGCCGACGGAAAATGAACTCGGCGGTCCGCCGGAATAACTTCCTCCGCCTGAGTTTTGCTCCGAAAAAGAACACGATTAGACTTACTTGCCCATCGACGGACAGGTACGAATAGAACTTTCCGTCCTGCTGAAAGTCGCTCAGCATATCCTTCAGCTTCCTGCGAGAGTCTGAAACGCGTCGTTCGTTATGTTTTCGCAGGTGTTATGTCATTCTTACAAGCCGCGTATTCGCTGAGTCGCGAGAACTGCTCAGGTGATAATAGCATTCTGTAAAAAAGGAATGTTGACTGACTACTGGACAGGTTCGGCCGTCGGCAAAGACAATGAATCGATAGATGGGGCGAGCAAAGAGAAGAAGACGCGGGAAGTAAAGGAAGAGCGGGCAAGAGCGGATTGGGCAAATCCGGGCGCTGATATTATGTATATTAACACATTTATAAATACCCTTTTAATACGTTTGACAAGATTGGCTGCCACTGCCGCGCGAGAGCACAGCGGAGCCGTCGAGCAGGGGGAGGAGAGTGTGCTGCTGAGGCCGGCCGCCACGCCGATAATCCTCCGGTTTCAGAGCAATGTCACGCGAAGAATCAACGACTGCAGTTCTGCAAGACGTGCGGGAGACGGCTCCGAAGGTTCACAGATTGACGCACATTTCCGGCGATGATTACGTCAAGAAGAACCTGAGGGAAAGGCGCTGATCCCTCCACTGTAAGTGGATTTGGACGGCTTTTGATGGATAGGAAAGTGTAATATAGAAGGAGAAAAAGAAAAAGAAGTCGAAGGTGTTATGACGATGAAAGTGCAGCCAAATGGAAAGTGATAAGCTAAGGGAGCTGGTGGGGAGAGAAGTGGAGACGTTGTTATTCACGGACTGACAGAGGAATGCACTGGCAGGAACACAGTCTGGAAGCCTTCAGATGATTGCAATGGATGCCTGCACTAATGCCACTGATCGTTTCGTGGTTTGAGCTCATTAAACTTTACAATCCCGTTTCATCTCCCACATGTTCCGTTTCCAAACACTTGTTCATCCGTAATAATCTGGGTCAGCTAGTATTCATGCCTCCCGTCTGCTTCCTTTCGCCAATTACCGCGCGTCTTCTAATTGCACAGAACCGTACATCGAGACTCGAGAAACTGAGAAACCATTCAAAACGAAGTTATGAAGTCTCTGAACTTCCAATCCGTCGTCTCGCAGTTTTTCGAGGTGAGATTTTCTGAAACAGCGTTTAACAATGGTTTAGTTCAGTACGAGAGTACGGTAGTCGTCCGATGGCCGCTTCCTTTCATCATTATCCCGCCTCTTCTGACTGTTTGCATTGGTTTGTAAACCATGTAAGAGTTAATCGATATTCTCGAATTTTCAGTGACATTGACTATAACAGACTTCCATTTGAATGTGACGAACGACACGCTTCAAGTGTTTCTGCCTGATCACATGCGCAGTCTGACTGATCTCAAAGAACTGCTTCATCTTTTTCCTCCTCGAGACGCTCAAAGGGACACCTACAGTATATTTGGTTCAAAGTTTGTGTATACGGTCATAGAGGACGAGAGCTCGGAAGGCAATATTTTGTCTTCGTCGGGCATTCAGAGAATGAGAAGACTTCATAAGTTTGTCATGGGATTGCAGGTCTGACCCATTAATGCATATCACACATGTATCATTTCAGACGCGACATGGAGACAGTGTTTCTTCGAGTTGCTTGAGAAACAGAGATGACGAAGCGTGCACTATGCACCCGATTGCTTTCGCTTTGGAGGACGACACTCCCGTAAGGCTTCTACTTTGTGCTTTGTGACGGAAGTGAAAGTTCAGGAGTTCGCGATCCAATTTCTTCTGCGGTATCCAAATCTGAAGTTTGGCGATTTCACGATAGACAACGCAATGGTTTTCGGAGGGGTTCACGTTAATCCAAAGGTACTTGAGAACGACTTTTTGAAGTGAAACCGAAATAGGAAGTTGCAGTTCCGTGACCGAGAAGGAAATGCTCCGATCCGTTCTTCGAAAGCTGTCCGTTTGACGTATATCCTGGAATCGAGCGATTCAGCTGAACGGTTTGCCATCTGGTACAAAAGTTATGATAGTCAACTTTGAAGATGGATAGACATGTTCCTAGCCGCCATTCCCCGTTACAAAGAGCACAACTCAACAATTCTGTGGTCATCCTCAAAAAGTCTCGCCAAAGAAATGGAGCGAAACGGAGAGCTTCTTATCCCGTGGATGCCGTGGACTTCTCTCGTCCTCATCGTTTTTTGCATGCTCGCCTGCTCTTCCCTTCACGTCGTCAAGTCTCAACCGTTTATCGGTTTCTTCGCGATGTTCAATGCGACGATGGCAACCATCGCATCCACGTCCCTTCTCATTTACCTACAGTACCCTTTCCTACCACTAGTTTTCATAATGCCTTTTTTGGTTGTTTGTAAGTTTCAGCCTGGGAATCTTTGAACAAACAGTTTCTTTTCAGCCATCGGAACGGATAACATGTTTCTTATGCTTAAAAGTTGGAGAATGACGAAGACCTCTTCATCTGAGGAACAAAGATACATATACGCACTGACTGAATCCGCCGCCTCTCTCTTCTTAACATCTCTCACCGACGGACTCTCGTTTGCAATCGGAAGTATCTCAGACTTTCATGCAGTCAGTAAGTCCTAAGATGCTAAAAAAAACGAAAAAAAAACCAGGAAATTTAGGAGTGTTTTGTACGTACTGCGCCATGGCGATCCTGTTCATGTTCCTATTCCAAGTCACTTTTTTCAATGCCGTAATGTCGTTATGCTGTCGGAGAGAGGTCGCTGGAAAACAACCGATATTCTGTTGTTACGATTCTGCTCCAATGAGTGAGCAAAAAGAAATCAACGCAAATAGAGTGTGAAGTTCAGATGAAACGAAGATCATGAAGTCTTCCTCAGTCGACGTCTCCTCTTACGTCGCCAATCTCCTCTTCCAAGTGCTTAATCCGTGGCCCTCCAGAATTGCAGTCTTCTGTGTTTTCCTCGTTTATCTCTTCACTTCCATCCATTACGCTCTCTGTCTTCCACTCGGGTTAGACCTTAAACTGCTTGCTCCTGATGACTCTTACGTGTCGAAGGAGTTGGAAGCTCAGGAGAGACTGTTCGCAGATTACGGTGGATTCTGTTTTGCATTGGTTCGTGCTGAAAACATTTCGTTACAAGACCCACTAGTGCGAAGAGATCTGATCACGTTGTATCGAGATTTGGGAGGGTATGTAGACAGAAAACGACATAACTAAACGCGTGTTGTTCAGAAGCGAATACAGTTCGCCCGCAGAATTCTGGCTTGAGCCATTCGAACGGAAATTCAGAGGAAGAAAGTACTCGGAGTCCGATTTTTCCGATGAATTGCACACTTTCCTGGCCAGAGAGCCAAATTTGAAGTATCGAAATGACATCCGATTTGCAATGACCGGACGGATAGAGGCGATGAAAATGATGTTCAGAGTGAGAAAACTGGGGAAGGAAAATGATGCTCCGCGAGCAGAATACATGCGGAGAGTGATGGAAAACAGTCGGTTCAGTGGATTCGTGTACGATACGAGCTTCCTTCTCGTGGACCAGCAGATGACAACTGTGTACAATGTGATCATAGACGTGATCACTGCCATTCTCACCATGCTCTCCATTTGTGTTCTCATGGTATGCCTCTTTCCCTCGATCCTTTCATCGTTCCCATCTTCAGGTTCCTCGTCCCGTCTCCGCCATGTGCATCGCTTTTGCTATTCTCTCCGTGAACGTCGGAGTGGTCGGAGCGCTCGCTGCCACGAACACCCGGCTCGACATCATTTCCATGATCACCATCGTCATGAGCGTCGGATTCTCTGTCGACTACGTCACTCACACCACTTTCCACTTCGTCATTCAACGGGAGAACCGTCTGGAAGTGAGCCCCCTCATTTTCTTTTTCTCAATCCCGTATCTCTGTTCAGAAGTGTCTTCTTGTCATGACGGAACCCATTCTCCAATCCGCCCTGTCCACTGCCATCGGAGTCTCCCTTCTCTCTTTCGTCCAATCTTACATCGTCCGGACGTTCGTCAATACCGTATTCTTCGTTGTTGGATTGGGAATTCTGCACGGGTTGGTCTTCCTTCCTGTTCTTCTGGACACAATCGTTCCTGATTCTGAGTACATGGTTGCCTATGAACCGGCACACGAAAGAGCGGACGAATCAGATAAAGAAAATCATTACGAAGATCTGTATGGTCTTTGATTTATTCCAATCAATTATACTGAAGATCTCGATAAATAAATAATAAAAGAGAAGATGAAGTTATTGGCATATCTCTGAAAGTTCGCGTTGTCCTTCGTATCGTTGTTAGGCGGCTTGTTCTGAAAATGTTACATGCATAATTGCATATTAACATGCTTGCAAACGAATAGTTTGCCAGAAAATGAAAAAGAAATCAGCTTTCGATTCTAGTCGCACCTTTTCGCCAGAATTCAACGCGACAGATGAATTGCCTGTTTTGCCCGGCTCCACGAGCAATTCGGCTGAACTTCCGATCAACACCGATGTCGTCTGGTTATCTGGAAACGAAAACAGGTGAGATCGAGCAGTTGTTGGCCGATCTTACCGCATATAGAGTGAGCAGAGTCCTCGAAAGTAATCTCGCCGAGTTTCAGGAGGTGGCCACAAGTGTCAGCTGACATCTGAGTCAGCAGGGGATTCTGGAATGCGTAGAGCACGTCCGGCCACGTGCCAAAATAGGGAATCGAGGAGAGATTTGAGAGATTCACTTCGCAGAGGTTCGGGTTATTTTGTAAGAGAATCACTGGTAACTCGGCTGGAAATTGAAAATAAAGGAGGACAATTGAACGAAGGAATACGTTGGAAGTTATAGATTCTCCAGAGATTCGGGAACTCCAGGCTGACGATATCAGTCCCTAAAACAATTATGGAACCCAGAATCTGTTCGACATCATTCAATCTGAAACAATTGTTCAAGTTTTCGATGAAAAGTATAAATACCTTCTCTGAAATTCAGTGGAGTTCTCATTGGTAGTTCCATTCAAAACAAGAGAGTCTGTCAAAACTTGGCATCCTGCAGCAATGTTTGTATCATCGAAAAAGTCAAAGTCATCAAGTCTACAGTACATTTCTGCAATTGTTCGTTTATATTCAACCCATTTCCCACCAAACTTGTCGGATTGCAAATCTGTATGTGAGGAGCATAGAACTTTGAGGTTGTCATGAACTGCTCGAGCTCTTCTTCGGTGATACAAAGGGAAGGATTATCGACAATATAAATGCCATACTCTGACTTTTTGCTGACAATGACCTAGATCCTGAGCGTATCGGATGACTGCGGCTGTTTGCTCACCTTCTCCAAACTTGTGAAGTACAACCTCCGCAACAAACTATTCTTTGCAATTGTGATTCCATTTCCGTATGCTGAAATTGAAACTATCAAGGGTTGTAGAGTGAAATTCAACGTACATGAACACGTGGAAGCGTTGTCGTTTTGAGAGTACTGTATCACTTGAAGATTGGAAAAGAGAAGAAGGTTCGTGAATCCAGAGTTGGCAATGGTCACGCAACCGACTATTTTGGTGACGTTTTCGAGTTTGTACTCCACAATCTGGTTAAGAAATAACTAATGTATAAAGGGAGAGAAGGTCAACTTCAAACGGAGGCATTGTCGATTCGAGTCCCATCTGAATGTGCCCATAGATTGTCGTGCAGTTGTCGGGAAGCTTGTCGAGTTCACATAATGGACAGAAGCAATCTACAATGTTTGCGATTAAGAGGGAATATCTGAGTGTTCAAACTAACCAATGGCATCCACAAATTGATATGAATGAAGAAGAAGAACGGTGAACAATGACCATCGCATAAGTCAAAGGGAAGAAACTAGTTCGGTGCGCCCGGACAACAATCTGCTCCAATTTCCTGTTTTGATTATGTATGTTTTCCGTCGCAAAAAGAGAGCCGCCCGCCGGAAGAGAAGAGTGATTGTCATAGTAACCGACGGGTATCCCACATTCTCGAATGCACCCGCTGGACTTTTGGAAAGAGCAAAAAGTGAGGAGAAGTTCGCAGAGAAGGGATGTAATTAAACAAAGTTCTAAAGTTCAAGAACTTTTGTCTCTGACTACGAGAACACGAGGATAACTCGGCAGTCGCCATTCCCCATTGTGCTCTTCCCTCCTCGCCCCCAAGAGAACAGTCTCTTCTCACCTGTCCCAACAGACTCTCAACCAGTTCGTTCCCCTTCAAATCCGTCTTGCATTTCCATTGGTTTCGAAACTGATGAGTAAATAGTCAAACAGTCGAAAAAACAGGAGCGAACTGCCTGGCCCGCCGATCCGCGCACCCACCCCACGCACTCCTTCGATTGATATCGCCGCAGTGTTTGCGGGATGTCTGGGGGCGTCCCGGGGCTCCGAGGAAGCTTGTTGCCCTGCTCTCAGCGTCTCGCGTCCGCCGTCTCCGATCCCTCGACGGTGGCGGCTCCCGGGAGCACTCCGCACACTCATCCCCACTCTCCAAGTACACTCCACTTTATTATTATTCTATTCGATTCCTTCGTTCCTTCCGCCACTTTTCCATTTTCCCGACAATCTCTGAAACTAACACTTTCTGATCCTCATGAGTAATTCGCCACAAAATGAGGCAGAGGCTCGCGAAAAGGTAAGCAAATCGTGGGAAATCCTGCAAAGAAAAGTTGAAGGGTTGGATTTTCAAAAGATGAGACTTTAAGGGGGCTAGGACTAAAAACTGATGTAGGTAAAGAGAAATCCATTGTAGTTCCATAAAGAAGGATTACTTAACTTTTGAATTGGTCGAAACTGTACGGAGTAGGCCATAACATAACCTTTTCGAAGGACAATTCGGAAAGCAGTCCTTCTGGATTGTCCTCTATCAGGTTCATCGTCCCCTAGTCACTCGGTTCCTCGCAGACCCCATGATTTCTTCAGATGCGCGAGCTGATGTCGCGTCCACCATCGAGCCGACCAGCTGATTTCGTGAACCCTCTTGAAAAGATCGAGCAACTGCTGACGTGTCCAATTTGTCTCGATCGCTACAAGTAAGTCTCTTCTCGCTCTCCTTCCCCTCCCTCCCTCTCCATCTCTTCGTGTCTCACCAGCTGTTCGTTCGAAAGAACAGAAGTTAGTTCAGAGGGAAAACAAAGCTTGAGGAGTGCAATTGGAAGCGAGAGCGTGTGACTGACCAGTGTCGTCACATGACCTCGAGTACCGCTCGCCGAACCTGGGACCGGCTCCCAGCCTGGTACGGCCAGCGGATGCATAATAAACAACCCGGTGTTTGCGCAGTGTAGGCAAAAAAACAACAAAATCAGGAAGGGTGTGACTGTTATGAACGTCTGAAGTGATCAACAAAATCATTGAAGGGAAAAGATAGATCACGCACGAACGAGTGATGCGGAAGTCTCTCTGATGCTGTACTTGTTTGAGAAATACAAACTTCAAGAATGAATCACTCGTCTTCGTATTTCGAAACAGCCCGTTTGTCTATCTCGAACGGCCTTTCCCCTTCTCTTTTACAACCGAGGGCCACTGTTTTGCTCCCGTTTGCCAATCGGATCCTCCGCCAACTCCCAACTATCTTGCCATTGGTTGCAAGAGTGTGTGTGTGTGTGTATTACACAGATCGGCGACTCTGAGAGAAAGAAAGAATCGCGCTCTTTGAAAGATAACTCAGAGGAAAACTTTTATGATTGCGAAATCGATTGCAGACAGCCGAAGCTTCTCCCCTGCCAGCACACATTCTGCTATCCGTGCCTCGAAAGCTGCGCGGACACTTTGCATCGCACTCTGAAATGCCCAGAATGCCGTGCAGAACACAATATTCCTTACGACGGAGTAAAGGCGTTTCAGGTGAACTCGTTCGTGTTGCAGTTGAAAATATAAATAATTTCAGCCGAATTACACGCTAACAGGGTTTCTCGAGATTCATTTGCAAGCGACTCCAGAGTCGGCTGCAGAAATCGAAGAGTACATTCACAGGTACAACTTGGAACGGTGCAAAATCTGTGATGAGAAGGCCGACTGCGAACCGTGTGCTCATTGCGACCGAAAGGCGTGCAAAGAGTGCAGACAGACGCACATGGACATGCTGAAAAGAGACATGTCCCGACTGTTGAACCAGGTGAAACGACTGGCCAACCGAATAACGGAAGCTTCTGATAACCTGTCGAAGGGCATCGATATGATGACTTTGAACTGCGAAACGACGAAAGCAGAAGTCAAGGAGTACTTCCATCGATATCAAAGAGAACTGAAAAAGAAAGAAGACAATTTCCTCATGGAAATAGATACTTTCCAAGCCACTGAGAGCAGAACCATGAGCAACTTGCGAGATGTTCTCGAGATTGAAAGTTCCAACATGAGCGAAGCTGTATCCAGACTCGACGCGGCTATCAAGGTACTTTTCGAAAACCAATCATAAGGGAATCGAATTCTGAAACTTCAGGGAGAATGTTCTATTGATGACGCCGAGTTGGTTCGAATGAAAAACACGTTCACTGAAGGACTGGAATATCTCAGGAACTTCCAGGTACAGTAGTGACTTATTCATTCACTTTCAAACAGTTTTCCTTTTCAGCCAGATGCCGATGAGCTTTTCAATCGAAAACTTCGCTTCTCCGCAGGCGACGACGCTGCGAAACTGCCCGCAGCAATCACGACTTCCGGAGAACTTTGCGTTCTCGTTCCACAGTTTTCTGGAAGGTTTTCCCCTTACTTTCGTGTGCACAGAGCAATCTTCCGAGTTCAGATACCTTCCACTCGAGCAGTCTTACCTGCCCCGTCCGTTCCGATTGCCTTTGGAAAGTGACAATTACCGGGTGAAAGCAGATGAGAGGGCCAGTTTGAGAGAACGGGAATCAGATCGGACGACTTCTAGACACAGGTATGGTACCGGGAAATGGTGTATGGAACTAATAGTGGATAGAATAGAATAGAGTGTAGAATAGTTTCAATCATAACACAGTGTTAAGGTCCCGTGATTCTGGCGTTGCGTTCGTCGATTCAACTTCACGTTCTCAGTTGTTAAACATGTGAATTCCAAGATAATCGTTGTAGAACCGTCTTCAGTAACTTCTCTAGAATTTGTATATTCACAATGTTCAGTTCCTTCCGTGTTCTCTTTCTCACTACCTTCTCTTAGTTTTCCCTTTTCTATCCTCTTGTTTTTTCAGTCACCGAAACCCTGAGCCTGATGAGAGTTCTATCCGTTACCGACGACGTCAGCAGTTGGAGGAGGAAGCATGGAACCGTCTAAGGAACTCTTCCGCTGCCCCTTCCCTTCTCACAACCTCCACAACCGCCACATCGGACACTTCTGCTCGCACCTCGCCGTGGGCTGCTGATCGTGTCTCACGGTCCGTTGAGCCAACCAAGTCACGGCCAACCAGTCTGATCGTACCGTCTACCGACTCTCCGAGAACTGTCTCGCCGGCCAGCAAACCACCGCTTCCGCCGGTCGAAAGGAACGAGGATCCATCGCCTGCTCCTCTCCCGCAGATGCCAGTTCGCAAACCTCCGCTGCCACGTCAACAATCCAGTAATGACGAGTCATTAAACGAAAAAGTGGAAACGATTCGTCGTGCTCACCAGCAAAGACAGGCTGCGTCAAGAGCAGTTTCCAGCGAGGAATCCGAAGGAGAGGATTTTCCGGTGTCAAATAACCGAGGACGGATTCGCATAGTCTGTAGAGCTGCATCCGTCAACAGAGAGGAGGGTCTGATGACTCTCTTGCCTGGCTCAGGAGCTATTCTCTCGGCCCCGCTCCCCCACTCGAATCTCCCGCCCGTCGCCTCCGCGCCATTCTCCACACCACTCCCCGCTCCGATCCCCTCCGCCGATCAAGTCGCCATTCCAGTAACACATTTCACAGGTGAGGAAGACGACGGCGGAATCGTCGTGCCGGCGTGGTTGCAGCGTCGGAGGCAGCGCTTCCAACGCTCGCGCACCAATCCCGACCTGCAGGCACAGTTCACAAGTGCCAGAGTGCAGCAGCTGCTCGCCGAACGTCAATCTCGTTTAGACTCGTCCACCACGACCGACGAGGAGAAAGAGAAGTTGGCGGTGTTGAGACAGCGTGGGCGTAGTGCTTCGCGAGAAGCCGGCGAGTGGCGTGCTCGCGGAAGACCGCGCGCCGTTTTTGGCCGCAAAGGCGCAAAAGAAGGAGAACTGAACTGGCCGCGCGGAGTTTGCGCTTTGGCCGGAGGGCTCGTTGCCACGTGCGATTCGTCCAACCACCGGGTCTGTGTGTTCGACAAGGACGGAAAGTTCGTTCGACAGTTCGGAGGATACGGATCCGGCAGTGGACAGCTCGACTCGGCTGCCGGACTTGCCAGCTCGAAGCTGAGAATTGTGGTGTCTGACAGGTACAATCATCGGATTTCTGTGTTTGGATTGGAAGGAGATCACCTCTTTTCATTCGGAGGTCACGGACCGGGCAACGGAAAGTTCAACAATCCGTGGGGCGTGGCCGTCGACGATTTGGGAAGCATTTATGTGGCTGACAAGGTCTGCCTGCTGTGGATCTCTTACCCTTTTACTAACCTTGATCACAATTTCAGGACAATCATCGCGTGCAAGTCTTCGATAAAAACGGTCAGTTTATTGCAAAGTTCGGATCGTTCGGACACATGCCCGGACAACTGAACAGTCCCCTTTTTATCGCCGTCAGCAGAGCCACTCATCAAGTGAGCCTCCTTCCTCTGATTCCCTCCCTAATCTTTTCACTCTAAGGTGTACGTATCCGACTCGTCGAACCATCGAATCAGCGTATTCGACCCGCAAGGGGTCCATCTGTTCTCGTTCGGCGAGGAAGGTTTCCATGGCGGACAGTTCAAATTCCCTCGCGGAATTGCCATTGACACACAGGCATCCGATAAAAATATCGATCCATTCAGATTCTTAAATTTCAGGAAAACCTGATCATCGCCGATTCCGGCAACAACCGCATTCAGATCTTCGACGCCCAGGGCCAGTTCGTTTCTTCGTTCGGCACTTGGGGCGGAGGCGCCGGCCAACTGAAGGGCGTCGAGGACGTCTGCGTCACCATCGACGGCTCAATCGTCGTCACCGACCGCGAGAATCATCGCATCCAGATCTTCTAACTTGTCTCTTTGCGGGCTTTTTCCAATTCGATACCGATGCCGTTCGCCTAGTGTCTCTAGGTACAAAGCACTTCCCTCAAGTATTATCCTCTTCTACCGACTACAAACACTTTTCTATCAAAATGAATATTTATTTATCGTCCTTGGCATTCATTTTGAAAGTGAACAAGCACGTCTGTCCCTCGCATTGCTGGAAGACGGCCACGCGTTCATCATTGGCTGACGACAGTTCGAATCTGAAATAACACTCCAATATCACAGGACGGAAACAGCTCATCACCTCTCTCCGCCCTCTTTCAGATTCCAGACCTTGAGCAGTCCGTCCTGACCGACCGTGTAGTTCTGCTCATCACCGTCGACAGTCCCAGCGAGCAGAGTCATCACTGACGAGCTTCTCGCTTGCAGAGACGAGTTCGTGGAGTTCGTGGAGATCGTAGAGCTCGAAACGGCTGACTCAGGGATCTCCGGAATCTCCTGCTGGCCGCGACGGCTGTACGGATGTTTTGGGGCGTCTTTGTCAATGCGACCACGCTTCAGAAGGGCGATCTCGTCCATGAACTTGAAGTCGGCCGGATTTGAAGCCAAAGACATATGCGACTGAACGGGACTCTTTCCCTCATCGGCGGGAATATCGATAGACTGAAAAGGTTCTATTGAGAAGGAAAAGGTGATGTCGCTGGAGAAATGACCTCGGATCCGTTGAAAGTGACGGCCGGGAACTGATGGACATCGTCTTTCTTCGAAGATCTCGACTTGCGATGCTTGCGGAAGCTATCGTTTCGCTTCGACATTCTAGAAGTTTCCATTAGAAAAGCAGAGCGCAAAGACAAATTACCTTTTTCTACACGAGTTGGAGAAATGGCTGTTCCGAGGGGAACACGTTCGCAATCAGTGAATCCAACTCGATTCCGTTTCACGCTGGAAACGTTCTTCTTGTTTTCTTTCTCTTCTTTTCTCTCATTTTTTTCACAAATCGTTCGATGGCTATCAAGAAAAGGCCAGCAGATTTGGCACAAGTAGCAAGGAAGACGAAAGAAGAGAAAAAGAAGAAACGGAAGAAAGGTGTCTGTCGGAAAAACGAATGCGAAAAACGATCAGCGAAAAATTTCAGTTGTGCACCTTGTCTACGTTTCCTTCATGGCTCTGTCCTCAGTCGCGGCCGTTTCGTTCGGTTTCCATCACCTAAGGACGTGCTCCATCGAAACGAGACTCCCTATTCTGATCATCGTCAGCGGTGTCCTCCCGTTGCTCGAGAGAACTTTCTTTTTCCTTTGGAAGATGAGAGTGAGTACGATGTGAATCAACAAGAGAACCCGAACAGTTCAGATTCGAATGGCTGAGCGTTCGTTGTCGTTGTTGAAGATCAGACACATTGAAGATACTCGGAACAGAGATGTCGCGATGAAGAGAATCCAGTGGACTTCCTGCCGGTGGATGGCCGACAGCTGTCGAGTTGCGCACGTCGTCTGGTAAATTCTGCACATTTCAGATAGAAATCATTATTTCAGCTTGATAATTCTATGGTTTCCAAAAGCAGTCGGAGGATATCATGAGCTCTGTGATCCGTACGTCTTGACGTTCGCCATTTCCTACTCAGCCATTTCTCTGGCATTTCTTCTTGCTGTTTCCGTAGCATCCACGTTTTTCACAACCCCGAACTTTAATTGGAACATGACCTAATTCTCACGAATTTTTATTTAAAAAACCAATAAATACATCACTTTGTGCATAAATTTAGTTTGCAAAGTTTTGATGAGATTGGAATACTTTACCGAAATCGGATGCGGTAAAGGACAACGTATTGGGCGATTATTGAGTGACAATGGTGCGGAGCAACGTGGACGACAGCTTCTCCAGCTTCTTCACGTCCTGCAGTTGGTTGGTGCTATACTGCAGACAGACTATATCGTCGGTGAGCTTGAGTACGAGTTGACCCTTCGTGTGATTGTACTTGGTTACGAATCTTAAACAATATATTATGTACAGAAACCATAAAGAAGCAAAAATACCTGCACTTCTCCGGGTTTGCGCTGTGTAGTCGTTCGGCGGCCTTTGCGAATTCGTCCCAGCTTGTAAAGTATGTCATTCTATCTGGAATTCAATGCTAGTCGTCTTGAAGATTTAAGACAAATTTAGGATGAGAAACAAATATTAAATAACATTACTGATATGCCACTACGAGAAAACGAACAAATAACCTTCAGAAAATTAAGATTAGCTTCCAAAATTGGACAGAAACAGCGATCGACAACTGCCAAGTTGTAGCTGTCGTAAGATGAAATGCATTGTACGCGAAAGCCCAGCAACGGTGTTCACGTACTTTCGAATAACTTTTGCAAATGTTCGGGATTTTCTCTGGTTTTCTAACAATTTTAATCCTTTCGGGAAAGATTCTAGTTCAATTTCAACATCGAAAGTGTTTATGGGTTTTATTTAAGTCATTAAACTAAGCAGTTCAATATTTCCCTTAAAAGGTATACTCCAAAATTGTTAACTTCTAGGAAAGTATTATTCGTTTTGCAATCCAGTTCTTCCAGTTTGCATATTTCCACTAGTAATGATTGGTGCATTTTCTGCTTCAGGTATAAAATGACTTCGAAGGTGGGCGCTGTTGCCACCAAGACGTACCGCGAGAAACTCGGACCAGAAGTGCTCGAAGTATTTGATAAAAACTTTAAATCGTTCACGGATGTTCAGGTAAATATATTTATTGTTTAATTAAAATCGAAGTGAATCATTTGAGCATCTTTTTAAGTTAAGTCATTCATTCCTTCTTCATTTTCTTCCCCGAGTCAGTAGTCGCACTCTGCCATGGAAATTTGAAGGGATTGGCCGGCGTCATGTCTCTCCATTCTCTGTCAATGTCGATGTCGTACTCTTTTACCTTGACTTTACAACATTTTGCCAGTATGATCACAATTAATACTGAGATTATTACCACAAGGAAAGCAAAAACGTAGAACGTTTCCTAAAAAAAAATCGTTTTTTTCTATTGTTTTACGTTTTACTTACTTCATCGAAAATCTCATTGAATGATGGAATAGCCTGGTTCATCTGATGTACTACATCCAGCATCATTCTAGTCTTGCCACTTTTTCGCTTTCCTTGGTAGTAGTATGCTCCCCAATCTTGTTTCGGCTTATTCATATTTTTAATAAACTTAATAAGTTTGACGCAAGGTCAAAATTCCAGAATAAAATAACTTCTATTGAGTTAGTGGTAGGGCAAAAGCAAGGGATATCGATCGCAGAATGAGGGACTTGCGAGAGACGCAGACAAAGTGAAGAGTGAGCGTGCTCGCTCAGCTGCAGCTTTCTGGACTGGCGCAGTGGAGGAGGCAGTGGAGAGTGGGGGAAATGAACAGATGAGGAAATTGCGGGGTTAGCGTTTACGCTTCTGGGTTTATGTGTTTGTTTAGAAAAAAAAAGATTATGTACCAACAAGACTTTCTAAAACTGGGCCCGCTGCGCGGTGAATGATGATAACCATAACTCGGGTTGATGTTGTTTTCTTTGCAGGTTCTTGCTGGAACTCATCTCCTCAGTTTGTGCGATGTGGTTGTCGAATCACCAACTGGTTCTGGAAAAACCCTCGCATTCGTACTGCCAATGATGAGAATGATCCAAAATGCGAAGCTCCAGCAGAATGAGATCGGAGCACTGATTTTGTCGCCATCGAGAGAGCTGTGCAGTCAGATTGTGTCCGTCATCAAGCCATTCGCCGAGAGATTGAACCTGAATGTGGAAACAGTGACTGGCGGACAGAAAGTTGACAAGCACATCAAGATGTTCAAGAACAAGAAGTATTACTCAAATTCCTTCGACTGACCTCTATTTTGTTTCTTTCAGTATCAACATCCTTGTCGCCACTCCAGGGCGTCTATTCCAAATCATTCAGCATGAGAAAACTCTGATCGCCAGAGCAATGAAGACTGTTCAGCTGCTTGTCATCGACGAAGCAGATCGTTTCAACGAAATTCAATTCGAAGACCAGTAGGTGACGAGAATGGGTTCCACAGAGAAACCATGATTTTAGCATGCGAGAGATTCTCTCCTGCATTCCAAAGCAACGTCGCACTGGCCTTTTCTCTGCTACTCAAGTTAAGGAAGAAGATGATCTGATGGTGTTCGGTCTGAGAAATGCGAAGCAAGTCATGGTGTCCCAGGAGAGGAACTCGGCCGCTCCGTCCACTCTCAAGAACTACTTTGTGGAGTGCCCTGCCGATGAAAAGACTAGTGTCTGCCTAGAATTTATCCGTCAACGGACCGATAAGAAATTCCTTATCTTTTTCCCCTCCTGCAACTCGGTTAGATACTTCCAAAAGGTATAGAAGCCTCTCAGATAAAACGTTAAACTCCTCTATTCCAGATTTTCGAAAGATGTCTGACGAAAAGACCATTGTTCGCGGTGCACGGAAAGTGCTCGAATTCCCACCGTGCCACTCAAATCAAAGCATTCTCGGAGAGCAAGAATGGCGTGATGATTTCCACCGATGTGATGGCCAGAGGAATCGACATCTCTGACATCGACTGGGTCATTCAGTACGATCTTCCGAAGCACTCCAGCTGGTTCGTTCATCGTGCTGGAAGAACTGCGAGATGTGGAAGGGAGGGAAACGCATTGATCCTTATTGCCACCGAACAGCTCGCTTATGTCAAATTCCTGGACACCCATGAGAAAGTGAAGTTGGAAGAAGTGAAAGTGGCGACGAGTACATCGAGAAAGGCCGAAGAGCTCAGACAGAAGATGATCAAGATCCAGTGTTCTGACCGTTCGATCCTCGAAGCAGGAACTCGCGCATTCGTCAGTCACATCGAGTCATACGCTAAGCACGATTGCCATCTCATTTGCTCTCTTGATGGTATTCAAATGCTTTCCTTCAAATTATCATCGCCCTTATTTCAGATCTGAACGTTGTGGGCCTTGCCAATTCGTACGCTCTCCTTCGTCTCCCAAAAATGAGAGAATTGACACAGCGGAAAGATCTTGATCAGTTCGACAGAAGTGATATTGAGACCTCCGAGATCAAGTATGCCGATCAGAAACTCGAAGCGAATCGTGAAACGGTTATGAAGGATAAGCACGAGAAGAAGGTCGAGACGTTGGCGGCAAAGGAGAAGAAAAGACGAGAGAAGGAGGCGCGGAAGCTGAAGAGAATGGGCGGAAGGAACGGATTCCGGCAAGGAGCCACTGGAAGGCAAGCAGAGGAGAAGAGAGCTTTGAAGCGAAAGTCCGAGGAAGAGGATGATGCTCAGAACGACATCAGACTCCTGAAGAAGATCAAGCGAGGAAAGCTGAGCAAGAAGGAAATCAAGGACGTTCTCTAACGATTTTCTGCTATCCATTTGTTGAATTGTTTTGTTTTTGTTTGCTCTTGTTTCGTTTTGTTATCAGATGCAATTATTTTTGAAGAACAGTTATTTCAAAGATATGAGAACGCAAACGATTTCCGCATTTCACTATGGAGCGTTTTGATAGTGAAATAAGAAGGGATGTTTCTGCGTTTCAAATAAATCTATCAGTAAGGTAGGCGAGGAGAAAGAAGTTGTCTGAATAAATGAGACTAGATAGAGAATGGAGATCCTAGTAAAGGGAACAGCTGTTGTGCAGATATAAATGACTACCACTGTTGGTAATGAGGGTTTTCGACGACGCCGCCGGACGAGCCGTGTTCGTCCCAAGCGGTCGCGAAAGGATTCGTTGCGGGTGCTGAAAGAAGAGAATGTCCGTTTCAGAAGGGTATTATAATAACTTGATACCTGTCGGGGCGGGCACTTGCTGTGTCTGATACGAACTCTCGATTCCGGCCGGAAGGGTCGTGAACGTCGTCTCGGCGGCCCCGTACCCAGTCCCGTTTATGCCTGTCTTATTCACCAACTCCTTGTTCGCCCACTCGTCTTCATCCTTCGGCTCCGCCCACTCCTGAAGTTCTCCCGACGCGTAGACGGCGTAGAAAGTGACTCCGGTGAAGTGAATCAAACTGGCGAGCAGGAAGACACTCGTCCATCCGTGCTTCGAATGAGCAGTGAACGCCTCGGTGACGAAAGGACACGTGAGACCGGCGAGGGTTCCGATGCCGTTGGAGAAGCCCATGAGGATGGCCGCGTACCGGGGAGCGATGTCCAAATGGTTCACGTTGAAGCCGGAGATGGCGAATCCGGACATTCCGACGGCGGCGATGAGGGCCATTATGGCGGTGGTGTCGCTGGTTGTGTAGGCGACGATCAGCATGAACGCGGCTTCTCCTCCGAATCCTCCGCAATTAAATATCTTCCGGACGGCCGTAGTGGAGAGGATCTTGTTGGAACGGAGGTAATCAGCAAGTTGGCCGCCCATGAGAACGATGCATCCCATGACCAAATGGGGAATTGCAGCCAGAAGGCCAGACTGTAAAACGGATTTCCGGTTGATTACGACTTCTCAACGCTCACGTCCGCAATCTTCATTCCGAGTGCTTCTTTCATGTACGTTAACTGATTCTGGAGCAGCAGGTAGAAGGTCCAACTGCGCGCAAAGTTTGCCACTGAAACATTCAATTTGTTTTATGTTGACTCCTTCGAACAAACCGATAATAGCCCATACAGGCTTCGAGGTGACGATGGCCTTCCATGGAATCGAACGGATCTGGAATAAATGAAAAATCAGAATAGTTAGTCCAACCGGATCATTACAGTTGGATGTGTATTCGAGACGTGTCCAATGGCATCTTCGATGAAAATCTTTTCTTCTTGTGAAATGGTCGGATGGAAAGCGGGCTTCTCGAAGGTGACACAGAACCAAACAACGGCCCAGATAACGCCACAAACTCCTGCAAAAAAGAGATCGTTGTAATAACACTTTGTCTCTTTCAGGGACGAAAAAAATGGTGTGATTGATGAATACACTGTTCGAAAGAGACGTTCTGAGTGTAATGAGCGACACAGTGATATATCTTCCACGTCACAAAAAGTGGGGGTTCGAGGAATTTTGTGTCTTGCGAGCGAGACAAAAGATGAGAAATGGGCGGAGTTCTAGAGTCGGTTTAAAAGATAACCAATTCCCGATTCGACAACAATGTTGTTGCTTTTCAGTCTCTCCGTTTTCGTGTCTTTCATTTCTTGTCAATCGATCCCAAATGTCATTTTGACCGGCGAACCGAGAGTGATTTCGAGAAGGATACTCAATGTGGATCTCGTGAGTTTCCCGCTTTTCTTACGGACACTCAATTGAAATCCTTCCAGAAAACAGCCCAACAACTGGCCCTCCCTGATGATAATCTGCACGAGAGACATCGAGTGAATGTGGTGAACAATCGGCAACTTCCGGAGGAGACCTATCGGACCGGAGAGGAACAGCCTGTGGTGATCTACCGGAGAATCCTGCGGCCAGCGAGGATCACATTCACTGGGCAAGGAGTGGTCACTGATAACTGGAAGGCAACGAGCGACGCACTCGAGATGGAATCGTGGACGCTCAGCAAGAGACCCCTCGTTGATGCGTCATTCGTTCAACCCCAACCTCTTCACTGATAAAATTCTCCTTTCTCCATCTCCGTTCGAACAGTTTGTACATTAGACACACCCATTTTGGTTCCAATAAAGACAACCTACCATAAAGATAGAAAGGAGCCGCCCATGAGACATACGAAACGAGGAAAGCGGAGAGAGGGAGTCCGAGCACAGCTCCGGCATATGAGCCTGTGAACGCAGTGGTCGCCAACTTGGACCGTTCCATGGGAGGAGCCCAATATCTCCAAACTCCGTGCATGGCCGGATAGCACACTCCCTGAAGAACACATTTTTTGACGAGGCCATGCTCTTAGGCACTCACTTGAACCAGTCCTTGACAGATTTGAATGAAAGCGACCAGATAGTCACTTTTCACTTTGAAACCGTACGGAAGAAGAATATTCAGGAAGGCGCCGACACCGATTCCGAATCCGAAAAGCCTGCAACACAACTACTCTTATAATGACAGCAATACTACAATCTGACTTGTTAGGAGGAAATTTGGCAGCTAAGAAACCAGCGGGGATCTGAGTGACCAAGTATCCGTAGAAATAGGAACTCTCCATCACGCTCAGCTCTTCTATCGTCCAGTTGAACTCGTGTATCTTTAAACAATAATTGGTTTCTGTTTTCATAAAAGTCAAATGTTCTTACATGAGTTTTGCCCCACGGGTCAGTATAATTCCTGTACATATGCGTTTTGGCAGCACCAAAATTGCACCGTATTCCGAACGAAATCATGAATCCCATGTTGGCGAGGACGGCCAGAAGCCATCGTTTCCGGCACTTTCCGATCCACGTCTGCTCCACAAACTGGAGCACTTTGTTGGAATGCATTCTCATCGGATTCTCGTTGCCTTCCTCTTGCCTCAAAAGAACCCCGTTTCAGATCTTTGACAGGTTTGGACTCACATTTTTTGAGGTGCCGCAGACGTGGCGGCCGAGGTGACTGATGAAGCAGCCGAAGTCATTCTGGAAAGAAGAAGGAGAAGTTTGGTTGGTTGGGGGGATAAGAAAAGGTAAATGTGCGCATTGAATGAGTGCACTCATTGAAGCGCCCCTCGTTTTTGAGCAATTTCACGGCAGTGTGCCTTTTTGTTCCGGTCCGGAAATGGCGCGCGACGGAACTCACTTGGCCAACGGCTCGCCGACCATTTGTTTGCCCCGATCCCAAGCGTCGTTCCATGCAGACATGGCTGAAAGTAAGAAGAAGGATAGGAAGGAGGTAATAAAGAGGAGGAAACGATGAGGACGGGCTTCTTTCGCTTTTTATGATCTACTAGCCGCTCGGTGCCTTCTACTACTTATTTATACATGCACTTGTCTTTGGGCTACTGGAGACGGCCGAGCTTTTTGATAGATGAGACAGGCGATGAAGGGAAGGAAGGAAGGTGAACTGCAAGTGAACTGCAAGAAGGAGCAGAAGCAGTTATGATAGAACGGCAAGGATTCAATGCATAGAGAATCAGAAGGAAAACAAGAAATGTCCGAGGAGAGACGGAAGCAAGAAGTATATAATATCTCCGAGTAATTCGAAATGACGTGCACATTAGAGGGAAGCCTCTTCCGCTTGAATTAGCTGAAATGCTTGAAGAGTTGAATCGATAGCAGGCACCTGCTGACAGGTGATAACTGAATCAAGATTTGATAGGAACGGGAATCGAATTGGGCTCCAATGGCAACCCAAATTGGATCGTTCTCTGAAGCACGTCACGGAGGAAGGAAGGAAGAAGGAGGAGGATCTGATTTCAAGTCAAAAACGGGTGGGGTGGGACAAAACAGAAAAGGAAAGGCGGAAAACGGGAGGGAAGGGCGGCACGAATGAAGTTGACATTAATAGAAAATCGAGTGGACGTCAGTTGGATGACGACTGCAACATCGCAGAAAAGACTATCAATCTCGTTGTGAGCCGAAGCCGAGGTGTGAAGCGGCAGGAAATTATGAGGAAATGGGGATGGGCAGGAAATAGAGAAAGAAGGAGACATGACAAATAGTGATGAATGGAAGGAACATTCAGAAGATTCAGAAGACGTCATCTGGATTCCTGGTCATCTGAAGGCATTCTCGTTCCGATGTGTTTACTCGGGGCTACGCTCGCATGCCCACACAAAGGAAGGTGTGTAGTCGACAATGAAAAGAACATGAAAATCTCATTAGTTGATTAAACCAAAATAAGTTGGTTTGACGGACTGGGGGTCGTGCCCCTCCGACTCCCTGTTCTGCGCCTCCTCTTCTAACACGCTCTCTCTCGTGAGTTCCAGACTAAAAGGGCGGGCGATTGATGGCCGTTTCCGCTCATAAATCGTCACCTCTTCTTCGACGGCGAAAACCTTTTTGCCGCCGTTTTCGCCCCCGTCGACTTTTTCAACAAGTTTTGAATTACGCGCCGAGCACTCGACTGCTCTTGCCACAAAAAGTAATTGCGACACGTCAGGAAACACATAAATAAAATTATTCAGTCAGTCGTCGACACTCAGCTCCGCGCCGATAATTTATTTGGCTTTTAGCACGCTACTTGCCAAGCGACAAAACTTTCTCTTTCTCACTTTCCGAAAAGTGATTAGATGCATAAGAATGAGCAGGAAAAGAGCAGGGAAGGATGGACTGGGACGGGGACATTTCGAAGAGAAACTGAAGACGTCGGGAAGGTCGGTTGGAAATTGAAAGTGACTGACAGAACACAGTGACAAAGAAATCTGCTCTCACGAATCTTCAAGAAGCTAATGTCCGAATTGAGCGCTCCGTGATCACCTGCTCTCGAAGAAACTGCTCATTTTATAGCAAAACCAAATAAGAAAGAATCCAAGATAAGAAGAAGAAGAAGAAGAAGAAGGAGTGTTAAGTGACAGATTAAGTCGAAAAAGTGAAATGAGTGGCTGGATTTGAGCTGGCGGTCGGATTAGCCCCTCCTCCTCCTCCCGGATACCAACATCATATCCATTCCTCTGTTTTTCCTTCTGCTTTTTGAATCGGCAACAAGTTGAACAAAGTGTGCATTGAATTGACGTGGTTTTGATTGCCGAAGGGATCAGATGTCAATGCGAAGTGGGAAATGTAAGACAAAACGGAAGAAGCGAAGAGCGAAATGGATGAATACGAAAAAAGAGTTTGAAAGAAAAAATGAACGGGGAGAGGAAGCCTTTGAACAGATTGGTCCGAATCTGCTTAGATGGAGTGGGGATTGTCTGAAAGGGATATATTCGGAAAGACGAGATGAACTCTGGTACAGGAGGATTAGATTAGGGGACGTCATGGAGGAGCATAATACCTGGGTCGAGTGGCTAAAAGTAAAAAACTTCAGAATGATATTGTCAACCGATAACTCTTTTTCTCCCCCGTCAAACATCACTTCTTCCCTTTCCGCTCGGTTTGCCGCCCTCTCGTCGCCGTCAAAAGTGGGCGGAGACTCCGCAGAAAGGTGCTTTCAGTGAGCGGGAAGTGCCCATCGAAAAAAGAGAGAAAGTTGTGCGGAAAGTTGGATTAAAAGCCAGAAACAAGAGGTAATGGACGGCCGGCCGCGCGCGCGGTTTTCGTTTTCATCGCCGAGTGCCGATTGAGTACTGAAAGGCGACACAAAAAGAGAGAGAGAGAGAATCGAAATCAAAAATAATATTTATTCATGAGCTCATTTTGGTCGTCCTCGAGTGATTTGTGCTCAATGGAGCTTGATTCCATCGCCCATCTCTCCGATTTCCGGGCTCATCTGAAAGTGTTCCTGTTCCCGGCAGATTCTTCCTTTTTTCTCACCGGACGACGCTTTCCGCAACTCCGTTCTCCCGTCGTGTTTTCCGTTCTTATTCCGTAGTAATCGGCTACCGAGGGAACGTTTCTGGCTCCGTGAATTCCGATCGAAGTGCCTTCTGAATCGGATTATTTCGTTGCGAGACCCGTTCCCACAAACCTGCCACAGTGCTCCACCATTTAGTCATTCTCAGCGAATTGTATAACGAGAACCCGACGAGAATGAGCTCGAAGAGCACCGCATACCACGACTGAAATCCACGATTCACTGGAGATCTCTGTGGGAAACTTACGTCCAGTTGATACATTTCCAAACTCGAATAATGACGAGAAAGAACTTTGCGGTCCTTCAGAAAAAGTTAAATGGAAAAAGTTCACGGTCATTTATTTTTTACCAGAAATTATATAATTGGAGCACATTTGAAAATTGAGTAATATCGACTCATTCAGAAATCTAACCTACTTTTTCCATATAAAACCGTAATCTAATTGGTTGCACAACAAAAGAAGGGTGGGATACTATGGGATATCACAGATGTTTTTAGAGGAAACGGACCTGATCAGATAACAGGAAGTGGGTATATAGAGGGGAAAGGGAACGGGTACACTTTAGATGGACACTTTTAACATTTAACACGAAATAGTGGGTTGAGTCTTATTGGGCATCTTCGGTGCCTGTTTCAGAAGAAATCGAGGGGTTTGCTTCACGGCTGAATGGGTCAACAAACTCAGAAGAATCTGGAAGTAGGAATGTGTTGAGTTGCTGTAAACTCAAATGCAATTATTACCATCAGTATCAGTCGGTATGAATCCAAATGAAGTCGGCAGAGGCATCATAGTCGGAGGCATCATGGAAGGCATTCCAGTATCCATTGCTGGAACTTGGCTTGTGGTCATGCCCGACTGGAGGTACCGAGACCCGACACCACTTCTCGCATTCCTCAGACTGTTAGTGCTCGACTTGTTTGAATCGGGACCTCCGCCCATCAAGTGAGGAACGGACATAACTGGTGGCGGAGGAGCAACCACTTCTTCCTCCACTCCAGTTCCAACGTACTTCTTCAGTTTGTCGTCCCAAATAATCTGAAAACATAATAGTTAAATCACAAACGAAAGCTTCGTAAAACCGACCGAAGGCTTTTTGTCATCCGGAAGTATCATTTGGTTAGACGACGGAATCGACTTCATCACTTTCTCTGTAATTGCTCCAAACCATCCTTTCGACGTTTTGCGTTGCTCGTTCTGCAAAGGAGCTGCTTGCTTTTCAGATGCAGGTGGCGGCGCCTGCAATTCTCTTTTGTTTGAAATTAATTGAGAAATCAAGCTCACCGTCCTGGTATTTGGAATAGAAGGCTTATTCGTCAAAGACGGATGCTGTAGAACTGGAGCCGATGGTAGAGGTGCTGCCGGCATTGGAGGCATTGTAGGCATGGTATTATGCATCATGGGTGCTGGTGGAGCGGCAGGTGAACCGGAGCCCCAGATATCATCAAGCTCCGATCGCGGACTCTTTGCCACGTCTGCGGCCATTTCATTCGCAATTGGAATCGGTTGACTTTGTGTTGGTGCGGAAGGAGTTGGAAGATATGGTTCTGGAGTAGGAGTCGAAATTGGATTGTAGAAATCAGACGGCGCTTTCGTCTCTGAAACGGACCGGTAGACTGCTAGCGGCGGTGCTGTGAACCCCGGCTGCTGTTCTGTCTTTTTCGGTGGTGGTCGGGAAGGCTCCGGAACAGTGGATGCTCTAGAAGTTGAAGCGGCTACAGATGTTGAACGATCAGTTTCAGTCGACCCAACAGTAGTCTCATACGACTCGGACGATTCAGATGGTTGATCTGGAGGAACCGGAGCAGCAGCAGGTTGCGGTGGAGAAATGGAAGGGAGCTGTTGCGGTTGCTGATAGGCTTGTGGGGCCAGATGTGATTGAGCAACGGGCAAGTGTTCTATCTGCTGCTGTTGCACTATCTTCTTGGCTATCTCAATTGGGGCCTGGTGCTCGTTGTGCCACTCTCGTGCTTCCGACGTGAGAGAATGCTGCTCGACAGGCACTTGTTCTGCTACTTGAGCAGGCGCCGGTGGAACACCGCCCTCTACCATCATTCTCAGCGTTCCAATCCATTCGATTTCGGCTGATGTCGTAGCAGCAACGTACTGCAGACTGTCAGCCAGATCACAAAGATTGAGCAGAGTGTTTTTATCGAATTCGGAAATGTACATCCACAGAGAGCTCGCCACCTCGGTGCAGTATCTGAAAAAAATTAGTGAGGGAGTGAAATAAGATGATTCTATTCACCTGAACGAGTCAGTGGCAAAGCCTCCGTACGACGACAGCTTTTTGGCGTACTCAATTCTAGCACATTGATAATCCACTGATTTCGCCAGTGGCGTATGGGCGTTATTGTTTCCAAGACGGAGAGCGTAGTCGAAGATGTCCGTAGCATGCAAATCAGTGAACGAAAATCTGTGAAAAAAGAGATATTCTGATATTCAGATAGTCACAAACCCAGCAGTTCCGGACAATCCATCCACGAGATTCAACAAATGCGTGCCGCTGTGAACGAGACCAATGTGTTTTCGTGACTTTTCTTCCCCTTCCGCATGCCCCAACGGGAAGAACGGATCGTAACCAGCCAAGACGCACGTGACGAGAAGGCAGAAGTCGGCGGCACAGTGACGTTCTCTCTTTGCCAAAAGCAAACCGAGGTTATAGACCTTGAAAAGCAAACGTTTCTTTTTCTAATGAAAGTAGTGGGATACCGTGTGCATAGCTGTCGGCGAGCTCAGATTGGCGAGCACGATTGCAGCGTGTCGTTTCCAGTTGTTGTCGTCATCAAATGCAGTATTGGTCAGGATCGGAGGTGGCTGATTACTCGCCACCGAGACAAGAGTTGCGAACGGATCATCGACAGACCGCAGATTCATGAAGCGAGTTTCGATCTCTTCAATCTTCTTGGCGTCATTCGGGTGCAAACGACGAATGAGAGTCATCGCATCAGCGTAGAGGCCATCTGAAATGGCACTCTCCACGGCTTCCTGTAAAAATTAATAGTCATTTAGAATTCTAGAATACTCCATTCTAACATTAATATGACCGCCAAGTAAGAACTTGTTGAATCGTTCTTTGGCCTCTGCCTTATGAATCGGTTCACTGGCTGCGCTCTCTGCAATTCCAGTTTTTTCCAAAAGTTCTTCGGAAGCATTGGTCAGCAAAGTAGCCACATCCGGTCCCGTAACTCTCTGGAAACAAAATTGTTGATCCAGAAAAGATCCGATTATCTTACTCCGTGCTGCTGCACCATGATTTCAAGAAGTTGCCAGATGAGAAGCGCATCCATTACTTCGCTTTTCTTCACTTTTCCGTCATCTCGAATTCGTCGAAGTGCATCGATTTGACGTTGAATATAGAGACGGACGGAGTGCGTGGGCGTTTGTCCGGCGATTAGAGGCCCTTTGAAATTTTGTACCGACTCGATGACTTTGCTCGATTGATCATCAGAATACAGTAGACTTTTCAAGTCATCGACATGAACGCTCGCAGTACTGAGCACGTTACCAGACATTGGATCGACTGTGCCCGCCGGACGGACAATAACCAGTTTGCCTCCGACGCCAATCGTAGCGAATTGAAGGCATTTATGGTAGTGGAGAGGTCCGTTTCCGAGAACTTCGTCGGGCTTCGAGATAGTCATTTGATCTTCTTGGTCGACGATACGATGCCTGGAAATATCAGTTATGGAGTTTTAGAAATATTTTAATGCTTACTGGTTGTAGTCTAATTTCTCATTTTCAGCGGCCGCCTGTTGTGCCTTCTCGTACGCTTTTCTCGATTCCTCAAGCTGCTTCGCTTGGAAGCGATCCTGGATTCCTCTACAGATCTACAAAACTAATTTTTAATAAGCAGTTCTCATAGATAATTTACCTTGAAAAGTGCGGCATCATCGGAGTCACCAGCACAAACGAACTTGTAATACTCGCGATTGAAAATCTTGTGAAACTCCAAAACGTTGCGATAGGGTTTCTGATAAACAGCGCAGTAGAACAAATAGCCAACACGTTCGATGGGCTTCAGATTGAAATACTCTTCAGGAGGCGGCATCGTTCGGAGCACGTGATCTACTCTTTGCGCGTTCAGATGAACTACGCCGTAGTAATATTTATCGTCGTCTCCATTGAACGTATTCGACGAGAAATTGTTCGTAACACTTCTTGAGCCTTGCGCTCTCCGTGCCTCTAAATAGTAATTTCTCATGTCCTCTTCCTCTACTTCGTCCTCATCCTCCGAGTTTTCTTCAGAATCGCGCTGTCTTTGATTTCTTCCCTCTTCCGAGGTCGAGAACTCGCCGCTTTCGTAGCCGCCGAACCCGCTTCTACCATTGTTAGACACATTGTTAGTGTATTTTTCAGCTGCCGTCGACCTGGGGCGTCTTGGCTCGCGCATTTTATTCGGAAGCATTCCAACAACGCCCCGGCTGTTCATAAAATCACTTGTATAGCCGGAGACTTGGCGAGATGGAGGGTACAATCCAGAAAAGGTTTCATTCGGGCCTCGCGACGAGTTGTAATAGTTTCTGAAGAGAAAGCATATGAACAAAAATAGATTTGAAAACAAACCGATTGTAGTTGTGATGTTCATATCCGTTGAAAGTGGAGTTGTGACCTCTCGATCCTCCGTTGTGGATTCCTCCGTTTCCTACTTTGCTGCTCTTTCCGGATGCCGGACGGATCGGTTGAACAATCGCAGGGCAACGGGGAGGAGCAATATCATTGTCCAACCGACTGCGACGAGGTCTGAAAAGCTGGTGATTTCAAGGTAAAATGAGCAAGACGGAGCTGAGCAAGATCCTAACTACTATTTTAAGTACCTAGATTGAGTCACCGACGAAGTATCGTCTTCTCCATATCTTGACGAAGGCGGAGAAGTCGTCTCGTAGGCTCTTGTCCAATCGTTCATCATACCGAATGTTGCAGCTGAAAGACGTAATATAAGAGGGAAGTCAGTTTGACAGTTTCATAATACCTCCGCCGTTCCCATTCACTCGCTGGTCATATTTCATTGAATCGATCTGCAATAAATCGGCGAATAGGGAGAGTATCGAGCGGTTCGAAGCTTGGGTAAATAGGGGAGGGCCAGACTGCAGAAGGAAGGAAAAGGGAGACAAATCGAGGTCAACCGTGTCACTTTAGTGCCAACACGGCGACGCGATATTGCACGAAAAGGGCGAGAAAAGAAGAGAACTTGTTCCGTTTTCCCAAAGAATGAATGATAAAGGACGGGTAGAAGTGGACGCGGGAAGAGTGACAAATTGTTTTTTTTTGTTGTTCTCATCTGACAGATGGTCACAGCGGCCAACTAATCGATATGCTAATTCGCTGCGTTTTGATGGGCGAAAATTGTTTGCGAAAAATCTGATGAAAACTGCATTTTTGTAATAAGACTACTCACTTTATATCGACGCATTTTCGTAGAAAGCATGCCAAAACGGTAGTTGATGACTCGGACGATGTTGAAATAAATATTCCACGCTTACATAAGACGCCCAGATCAGATAGTTCACGTGCAAAAATTTAAGAAACAAAAAATCCAGATTTTAATAGTGTCGTAATTTAAACTGCACACAGAAAAGCAGTTGCACACCGTAATTCTCAGTAGAAAAAAAAACACCAATACTTCATTTGATTATCAAAAAATGTTCGAGAATGAACAGAATATCACAACCCGTAAATAGTCTTTGCCCGAAAAACGAGGTCAGCTTGCCACGGAAGCACTGCCCCTCGCACGGCATTGGTTGGAAGCCAAGAGTAGCCGATAATCGAGGAGAGAATGCGTCGCTCCCGAAGAGAAATGGCCCAGACGTCGTGCTCCGTCCATGCATTGTCCGTGTCGTTTTCGTTCTCGGCCACTTCAGACGCCAAATGTGCCGGACTTGTGTCATTCGAAGGAATCCTCTTATCCGCAGTTACAATTGAGCTGTCCAAACGGCGCATTGAGAACATCTGGAACTCGTTCGTGAAACTGTCTTTATAACAAAAGTGTCACTTACATGTGCATCAGAATCCGAAATGCCAATCATCTTGAGAATAGAGGTGAGGTGTTCGTCTTTAGATGAGTTCTCCAGATGCCATTCGTTCGGAATGTGCTTCTGACTATCGATTAGCACCTGACATGTGGATTGCACTCCGCCGCTCAGCACAACGTAAAAGCACCGGCGGTTGGCTCCGAACCGTGGGTGGTTTCCCCTTCCCGCCATTCCGGTCCTCCCGTTTGGGTTTAGTGGAAAGCCGGCCGCCGACAGCTTCCAGCACTTTCCACTGTTGCTCGTCACGTCGTTTGCTTGCCGACCGCGCCAAATTCGTTTCAGTTCGCCGACATTCTGAGGAATGAAATGGAATAGATACAGAAGGGGAGGAAACTGACCTGTTCAGTGGCGACATCCACGTACTTCTGCACTTCTGATGGGAAGTCGTCAGTGGGCTTACAGTAGAAAGGAGGGTTGTATCGGGGCACGAGCACTGACCACGGCTTCGCGATCAAGTTGACGCTGATCTTCATAACCTGGCTTTCGGGATACTTTTCGAAAAACTGAAGTTCCGACGCTTTCGTCAAGCCAGATTTCTCATATGAACCTCTCAAAGTCATCATGCGGATGTGATTCTGAATCATTTTTTTGATTGAACACTTTTGTGTCAACTTACATGTATGTTATGCAGCTCCTGAATCTCGTTTTTGGTCGAAGTCGTCTTTGGTTTCTGATTAGTATTCCTCCACTGTTCCATCGATAGTTTTCGCCAGAATGCGCTCACAAAGTCGTTCTTTTTGAATGGCACCGAAGGATTACGATAGATACTTCCGAATCGCCACGTGGTTCTGTTCTTTTCTCGCGATTCACAATCAGGATGATCGAAATCAGAGAAAAGGCCAGTGAAAGAGTTGGAGAAGCGACAACAGGCCGAACAAATGATACAAAGGATAGTCAGAGGAGGCGGGAGTGGTGGGCGGAGTCTGGAAAAGTAAAATGTGAACTGCAGGAACTTCTGCTCGGGAATGGGTACCTGAAGTCCTCAGCCAAAGAATACAACTGAAATCTCCATATCTTGTCAGCTTCGTCGTCCACAGTCTTTGCGGTTTTTGAGAAGAACGCAAAGAGAATCGGCCAAAGGAGCAGTTTGAGAATGACAAAATACTCAATGACAATGAGCCAAGAAGGAATGGATTGAGATGGACACGACGGGTTGGCGTACTGGCTGACGGAAGAGCAGTATCTTATCGGAGCACCCAAGAACGACTTCCGACAGGACTCGGGCTCGTTGAGATCTAGACAAATGAACAAATGATAGTGATTTCAGAGCATGTCTTACGGGAGAGATCAGTTGTGAAGAGACTCAGCCATAACCACGACATTTCCTTTTTGAGCACATCGGCTGTGACCGGTCTGTCCGGGAAGACGACAGCTTGAATGGCAACTGCACTGCTCAACATGACCAATGCAATCATGAAGAGGAAGTTGATGAAGTCTCGAGTCAACATCAGCCGCACACGGACAATCATCGGACCGAACACGTCGGAGAGCGGAATGTAGGTGAGAAGGGTCGAGTAACTGACGTACAGAACGAAGAAGGCGGACACCACTTTGGCTGCGTAGATTGATTCGATTCCCTGTGAAATGGGAAGATTTTAGGGGAGGGGGATGGATAACCGACAAACCAGAGGATCCAGTAATGGAATCACGGGAAACACTTTCATCACGAGCATGAGAATCAGGAAAAGCATAAAGATGCCGATGTCGAACACTCTCCAAGGCATCAAAGATAACGGCGTTTTCCTGGCTCTCGCGGTCAGGACGTAACAGTTTTCGGTCCATAAAAAGAAGGACCAGACCCACATGCCAGTGTCCCAAAGATTTGATCCACAACCAGGAAGAATGACCTGTAAAGAAGAGGGAATAAGCGAAAAAGAGAGGAAAGCTAACAGAATAGTACAGACAGCAGATGTAGATTATTCGGAAGAGCAGAGAGAGCCAGTACTTGACGATAGGAGTCGAGTAGAAAAGGGACAGCGAGGGAGCGTGCGCCCGGCGAATACGATTCTGCAAACAGACGGAACTTCTGACTCTTTTCAGATATTAAATGCCTACCCGTTTGCCAAATGGCCGTGGATCCTTGTCGATGTCTTCAATGTTCAAAGGGAAAACCATCGACTGCGGAGTGGCCGACTCAGCTCCCCCGAGAGCAGAGTTCAAGCCAAAGGCAGTGGAGAGCGGAGCAGTCAGAGTAGTCAAAGCTTCACTTCGAGACGATATCACACTGAATAGAAGTTCGTTTTCACACATTTAGATGGAACTGGCGAACGAACCTATAAGTGGAGATGGCTCGTTGCTTCTGCGGAAACTTGCCGACATCAAGAAGTGCGACGGTCGGTGATACCGAGTGATCCGACTGTTTGGGACTGTTCCGCGGACGGACCAGAATCCAGAATTTGATGGGAATGACCAGAACTGCGGAGATACAGAATTTGGCCCACTTGGGGAAGAAGAAGTTCTTCGCCTGCAGGTTTCCGTACAACTTTCGATGGACCCATCTCTGACAGCACTCATGGGCAATTATTTCTTTCGAATTACACTGAAACAGTCCGTTTTAAAAGAACAAGGGACCAACTGACATTGTATGCCAGCTGAGTGATATTGAAGCCGTAGAAGTGATCCATTGGTTGACAGAGCAATTGATACGCTTTGGCCGGGGAGGAAGAGAACACGGAATCGAAGAGGTTTGTGGCGGTCTTGGAGAGACTCTCCGACAGTTCATTCAACGATTTCTCATAGAAATGCCAATCGTGGCTCTGAAATTTTAACTTTATCCATTTCAAGATAATTGTATTACCTCATGTGCAAGTGACCTGGAAATTCTTGACAAAACCAACGAAAAGGCGACAGGCTCATCAGCGAAAGCAGCGAGACACTTGACAATTCCAGGTCGGTGAAGGAGAAGACTCCAGATGGCGAGGATCCGAATCGACTCGTGCTTGTCCCTGCTCGAAACGTCATTGCAGAAAACATTCGGGTCGAACAGATTGTCCACTCCGAAAGACAGTTTCTTTACAAGCTTCTGAATGTCATTTGCGAATCTTGGATCGATTTCCGAGGGGATGTACGAGTATCCCATGGACTGACAGAGCACAACTGTCGTGAAAAAATGCTCGTCGGCATGGTGCATCATCCTGATGAGCATGTTAGAAGTGACACGGATCGGCGGATTCAGCTGGAGAACGGAGGACAGAAAGTGCAGTTGGTCGTCCTTTGTGATGCATTCGCAGAGGATCATCGTGAGCAGTTCTTCGTCCAGCTGAGCAGCCACGTCCATCGAGGAGAGCACGGAGGGAGAGTTCAGTTTGGCGGCCAGCAGAAGCACTTGTCTCTCTTCTCCCGTGGTCGCGTAGCACTCGAGACATCGGTCGACGACGACGGAGGACAGCTCGGCGAGTTGGGAAGAATCGATGAATTCGATGAGTTGAACATCTCCAGAGTTTGACGATATCAAAATTTTTGTGACCAGAGTGTAGCTCTCGGTAAGACCCAGAGGGTAAAGTTGAGATCGGAGCCTGAAACTGGAGAAGTTGTACATTCCGAAGTCAAGAGAACACTCACCAACTGACGAATTTGTCATTGTCCAAATTGGAGGTTTCTAGAAGCAAATGACTGGAGTGGAGAATAGCGCAAAGCTCACAGCTGTCCTGGAGAATGATGACTGGAATGCCGTGCTCGACGAAGAAAAGCAGCTCAATCAGAGATTCAGCAGATGCTCCGGCAAAAAGAGCCACTGGGAATGGTCTTTTGTCGTTTGAAGGCGAAAGGAGAATAGCCGCCGAGTTGCCGTAAGCGGAAGGGCTCATTGGCTCGGACGGAACTCCGATTAGCAAGGCTAAAGTTGTTTTGTTTGTTTGATAGACAAATCGACTAACCTGGAGGAGGATGTGCCAGTTTCACGGCTGTGGCCGCTCTCAGTTTTGCAATGGAAGCGGCGATCGTCTCTTGGCATTCGGTGGCTTCTTTCCGACAAATGAGCATCAAAGTGTTGAGAGAAGTATCGACGACATTCTTGGAGTTCGCAGAGTCCGAAGCGATGACGTCATCTGAGTTGACGAGAATGTGCAGTACTTCTGCCTGATGCTCTAGCTGCGGGAGCACATTCCTGAGTGCTCCACTGGCTACTCGAGACAACGGATCACTGACTTCTCCAGAAGATATGAGCCACGTTCCACAGCCGATTAGAAACGATTTAAGCCCGTTTTCAACGTGAGACATGTACTTTGTGGACAGTGAGTTTCCATGAGAAATAAGGGAGATAATAAGGTCAGGAACTCCCTGATCCACTTCGGAAGCAGCGGCCGCGAGGCGACTGTAAATGTGCTTCGTAGCTCCAGGAAGTGCTTGAGGGCTTCCGAGAATAAGTGCGGGACATAGTTGAATGCCGGCGGAGGAGCCATCGGCCGAGACGACAACAGGTACGGTATCGGGTAAAAGAGACATGTCCGGCACATTGGCCGGCTCTGATTCGTCCATTGGGAGAGCTGAAATACAAAGGGTTAAGTTCACTCAAATGAAAATGTAGGCGAGTGTGAGACAAGACGTAATTGACGACAGATAACAAAAAGGAGACGTAGAAGGGGAGGGCGTGTGAATGGATAGTGTGATAATTCGAGTGATGGGAACATGTCGCGCATCGTTAGTGTCGATGGCAAACCAGTTTTCAGTCGGGAGGCCTCTGTCAACTGATTTCAGTGTGCCGAAGAGACCTCCTTGATCACGGGCGGAGCCAATCAGCCGGTCATTTATCGCGGAAAGCACCCGGGAGGTCGTAAAAGTGTACATAAGAACACGCTGTCGACATGAGCGACGGACCCCATTCTGTCCAGTGTAAATCGTAATTGCCACGTCAGCGGTCCTTTCTCCCGTATGCGAACAGCAGGTGTTCTCTCCAGAAGGGCGAGAGAGTGTGCGAGATGAAGAGGGCGCGGATTCCGTATTGTCCATGAGGCTAACGGTCTTTTCTGATGCGAGCAAACAGGAGAAGGTCTGTCAAAACGACGGATTTATGCAAATATCTGGGGTATAAAAGATTTGAATCGAAAAGCGGAAGGACATGAAAACAGCTTCCACTCTGCTTTTTTTTAACAAAATGAGCCAACTTTTCCGACTCTTCACTCTTCTTCTCGGCTTTCAAATTGTGGTGGAAGTGCGCGGAACGATGCGGACAGTGGACGGGAACACGAAAGAAAAAGGTGAGTGGAAAGGGTCTTCGGGATCAGAAGAGCCTGCAGAGGACAGGTGGTTGTATGGAGGGAACGGGGAAGAGCAGGGGAGATCGAGAGACTGCAGACAAGATTTATGTTCCCGGGAGGTTGCGGTTAGTTATCACTGATTGGATAAATTTCGGAGAAAGAGGCAAAATTGAAAACTAGTGAATCTCTTTCAGAAGTGTCGATTCATATCAACGACTACCCGGATCCATACTCGATTCCTCTCATCCAGAATCCAAATGTTCGTACGAAGCCAGTGAATCGGCCAAGAAAAGATGACGACTGTTCCGATGAAATACTTAGAAAAGTTATGAATGAGGTACCCTTTTCAGCCCATTTTTTTCATTACCAGAACCCTTTTCAGCACATCACAGACGGAGGTATGTCGGAATCAAAGCGAGCGATCCACGCGGCCGCCCGTCGGGACTTCGAAGGTTCCTGGAGTGTAATCTGTGCGCCCTGTGCCTTTTCCTATTTGGCGCATGCTCAGGAGCACTGTATTCATTCCCGATACGGAATCACTTGTCTTTTGTATAGAGACCGATAAGGTGTTTATTTACAGAACGAGACCTAATAAATCAATTATTACAACCTGATTACAATACCGAGAATCACACAAATAATTGGAGAAATGAAGAAGAAGGGAGTATTTGAAATGGAAGCGAATCCTCCGAGCAATCGAACGTCGAACGTCTTCTCAACCACTTCTTTCTTCTGAAGTCGCAGATCACACTTCACCTCGCCGCCTCTTTCCAGATTCTCAATTTTCAAATGATAAGGCACGCTCTTCTTGGTGTGCCGTCCCAAAAACTGAAAGAAGAAATGGAAACACGTGTTTGCAGAAGGAAATGATTACCGGGTACTTGAAGTTCTCCACATTCACACCATCGAGGGTGCACTTCACCCCTTCGACCCTCTTTACGTCGTGCATTCTGAAGAAGAAACAACGAATGTCATTTGGAAACAGAAACAGTGATACCTGATATAGTAGGTGTTGCCTTCTTCCGCCAGCAGAAGGGTTGAATTGGACATGTCAATGTTATGATTGTCAGTTCGGTCTGCAATCGAATCCCTTATAATTATAGCTCTACCGTAACCTGATCTCACTCTGCACGACAATCATCCGAGAGTAGCACGCATTTCCCAAAGTCTCTCGCACACAGCACTCGTATTCTCCCTCCAGTTGGTTGCGTATTGCATTGGATCCCGAAAGGAACCTGCAAACTCTTGATTATTCATGCTCCGATGCCAGATGGACCATCTCCTCTTTCTCTTTTCCCTTCCCCGGCCAAATTGGCCGCAATAAATCGGTATTCCGGCTGACCGTAAAAGCAACAAAACGACTGACTGTCCCTCGAGTCAAGGGCATTTTGGGCGAATGACAAATGAACGGAAATGAATGCAAGCAGAAAACTAACACAAACTGGTTCCGATGGATTTGAGTGCGTTCCGGAAGAATCGAGGAGCCGTTGAATCTCCAGTGATAACGGCCTGTGAAGGAGGCGTCGAACTCGCCGCAGAAGAACTTTCTTTCGCCGTCCGGGGACACTTCCATCTCTTCCCAAGTTACCGTAGGCTTCTGAAGAGTCTGTTGGTTTGTACGAACTGAATATTGAAAAAAACTCACAGTGATTTTGACCCATGTGGCAGCAAAGCAACTCGCAAAAACATGGAGTAATAGAAAGTGAGTAGACCTGAAAGAGAATAAGAGGTGCAATCAGATGGACCATCCATCAAACCTTGTCATCGTGATCAAACTTCCTACTCGTAATGACAATAATAATCAGCTTAGTATAGTAATTATCTGAGGGAGGGCAGCAGGTAGGAAGGGGCACTCTTGGAGAGCGGACAAATAGACGCGGACGGAAGGGACGGAGGACGACCCGCTCGGACACGCTGTTTGCTCGACTGAAACAATATGACGGATGCGGAATGAGACGCAGACGACGGGATGCCCGCCAAGGCTATTGTGTTTTTTGGAGAAGGGACGAGCTTCGGACGGCCTGTCGGAAAACCTTTCTGTGCCGCCCCCAGGGCTTTATGGACTTTCGGAAGGCGGAGATTTGGATTTAATGGGCAATCAAGTTAAAGGCAGAATGGGCGGTACAACAGAGAGAGAGAGAGAGAGAGAGAGAGACACTGATCCGAGATGACTGAATGGGTAATGAAGAGGGAAATGAGTACAGAATTGCCGACGGGGACGTCTTGAAGTAAGATGAAAAATGGGATTTTACAAAAGAAAGAAAACATTGCGCCGTGTTTATTTATCAGAAAACAAGCCTGCCCTGAGAGCAATGTGAATCCGCATCAAATTACATAAAAACATTTTTCCTGGTTATGTAATGTTTGAGTTATTGTCATGGAGAACCTGATCTTTCCACCCGCTCTGAACAAATTAGAACACTTTGCTCCGATCATTGTGATTACAAAACAACGGCCACCGCGGAACCTCTTAACCCGCAGGTGACCCTGATGCTCCAGAACCCAACTGTCACTCCACTTCTCGGACGATCGCCTGCCCTGTGATGTATGTGGTTGGATGGTGTTTCTCCCCGTTGACAAGTCGTCCATCTGTGTTCGATATCTCATTCGCCAACCCGTTTTGCCCTCGTTTTCCACCCTCCGCCGCCGCGCCATCCACCAACCGTCGTCCCCTCCCGCGGTCCCTTCCTTCCGTTAGCAGAGACAATAAAGCAGCGGGCCGGCTGCTGCCCCGCCACCCGTCCTTCTCCTCCGGTCACCCACGTATTCACCCACCCTGTCCGCCTTCTCCGCTGCCCTCCGCGCGGACCACCATCCCTGCGCTTCTTCGGATCATACGCTCTCTCGCTCCATAATCCGCCCGCCAAATTCGAATTCGAATTGTGATTCCGTCCTCGTTTCCTCGTTTTCCCTTTCTAAGCAACATGCTTTCTCTAGATTTATTGTCCAAATACCGATGATTTGTTCATCTAACAGACGTTTAACTTTAAATTTTCTTGATTTTAAAAGTCGGATGCTCTTTCTACGTGCTTCAGCTAACTTTCAAAAAGTGTTTTTCGATTTCTATGGATATGGTAGCGATTATGGTAGCGAACATTTGACGTCGAATGTGACGGAAATTTTGCGGATCTAGGTCCACCATCAGAATTTTGTTGTTTTGTTTTTCAAATTAAAACTTTTAAAGCTTGGGCATTCTAAATATTCTTTCTTTCGAGAACACTTCAAAAATTATATCAGATTCTAGATTAATTTAGTTTCAGTGCAACAGAGCGCACTTGCCGAGCAAACAGTTTCTGCAATTCAGTTTCAAAAAAAAATAAAATTATTACGCTTATTACGTTGCTGGCGTGGAAACACGTTTCTTTTCATTGTCTTTCTCTTTTTCCGCTCTCGATCGAACCTGAACGCCTTTTCTTCTCCTATTTTTCTCTCCGTCCTTGTTCGGCCAATCGCCCGCCAACTTTCAAAAATGATTGAACTTGTCCTGTCGAAAGAGGTGTTCGGCGCTTTTGTTGCGAGACTTGCACCGCCTGGCACTGTGTCACATGGACCTTCAGCCCTTCCCTTTTATTTATCACCTTCTGGCCAGCCTTTCTTCTCACTTTCATTTAGTCTGCACCGCTTTTCTTCCTCGAAATATTCCAAATCTAAATTCATAATTTCCCTTGATTCTCTGAATAGATACCGTCAAAATTGTTGTGACCCTTCTTCACTGACACATCTTTCATAATAATACTACGATACGGTCGACAGATTTCACGAGAGCGTGAGAAGTTGCCAAGTGGTTTTCTCTCTTGAAGTTCGCACGTCGAATGCCTTCCTCTCATTACGCGAGTCCCTCAGCGGCGCCGTTCTTTTTATGTATCATATCAAATGAGAGCAAACACTTTCACTCTCTCCCTCTTGCCCGCCGAAATGAGACACAGTTGAGATTTGAACCTCTTTCACCTTCTACTACTTTTCGGTAATTGTAATTCACACTTCATTCCGCCAAAACTCGCCATTTTATCATCTTTCTCTTTCTGGCTCTCAACCTGACTGATAACGTTGGGAGACGATTCGCCGCGCTTTCTTTGCGTCCATCGATGCGTATATGTTTACAAATAATTAATGTGCGGTATGGCTTGAGCACTCGTTGGTTGTAATATTTCTCTGAGAGAATGTCAGATGCTCTCAGTGGTGCCTTTCCTTTTTCTGTCGCCAATTAGACGACCGACGGGCGCAACCTTGGGTTGGGCAGGCGCCCAAGAATTAGTTCGCTCTTCGTCTTGCCTTCAATGTCAAATCGGCTCGAAAGCGTGACGAAACGGTGCTAATCTCAGGTTCACATCTCATTTCGACCGACCGTTATTTCTTCTCAAGTTCGGTCGATTTGAAAATTGAACTTTTATGTGTTCGAAATTGAAAAATGGGAAAGTATTGTGGCTTCAAGTTTCCTATCACGTGCAGCTGGAGAATAGGCTCTCGACGGTTTGTGGTGTCAACTTAGAGAGAGCTCTGAAGGATTAACATGGGCCGGCCGTCTATGAACGACGAAGGCTTCTTGCGCAATTCCAACGATTTTCCCTTCTCATTTGCAGCTTTTGTTTGCCTTCTCTATTGTAGGACTGTCATCTAAAATAGAAGATGCCTATGCGTCATCAGAGCCAAAAGCAACAATTGCGCGCTCCCATTGAAGCTTGCAATGGCCTTACATAACCTGTTGCATATTGTGCCAATCGATACGTTCAGACCAATGGTACCGGTAGGCCAGAAGAGGTCACATAGCGAGAGAGAGAGAGGGGGGCTTGCGCAATGGATTGCGTACTCGCTTCTACCCAGTCCGCTGCCTTTCCATTCCGCTCACAACACCACCATTACTTCACCAGCATTCGCCCTACGATTTTTCATTGATCTTCAGTACTGTCTGTTCCTTCATCTTGCTCCTTCATCCTCAATTCTTGATACAGGAAAACGAGAAATGTCGTCGGCACAGCGAGAATTGTATACTGAACAGGTGTTCGGCCGTCTAGTAAAGACCTTCCGAACGGGCTAAATTACAATCTTACCATATTCCACGCGCTCTGCTAGCAGAACGGTTTCCGCATATCTCATCATCTAGTTCTTCTTGATCAATCTACTTGGACGTTCATCTAACGTTCATCTTCTACTTTTCTCGCATTTTCTCGCCTCTTGCCTTTATTTCCGACATTGTTCGCTTTTAAATGAGCACATTTTCAAATTTATTTTTTCAGAATTTCGCTCAACGCGCGTGCGCCTAGGGACCGTAGGAATCAATTACATTTGCAACCGGCTCGCCAGCGAACAGTCCGCGACGAGTACGAGAATGCGGCACGCACTTAGTCTGAAGGTACGTCATTTTCCTTCCAGACCCTCTGAAGTTGGCTGGTCGAACAGGCGATTTCAGGCGCCTCAAAAGCAGGCGTCTGGTTTTTTCAGGCGCCTGTTCGACCAGCCTACTCTGAAGCCAACCTGTTTCCTTTTTCAGGCTACCAATACAGCGCACGCAAATGCAGCGACGAACAAGGAAAATGCCAAAGATGCGCCACAAATGGGAGGGAAACTGACTCGCCAGATCGGAAGCTCCAACTTGCGTCGTGAAATGCTTCCTGAAATGGAAAAGATGACGAAAGCGGAGCCACTCATCCAGACGAATGCGAAAGAGAACTTTGAAGTGTATGAAGATCCTGTTGAAGATCCCGATCCGTTGCCTTCTGAAAATGGGCCGAGCAAAGACAATAACATGATTCATTTGCTGGAACGAAAGATGGAACGAAAGGTATGAGTGAGAGTGAGAGTTGCTGAAACAGCTATCGGTTTCAGAGTCGCGAACAGGATGCCAAAAAGAAAACGAGTTTTGAAGAAGACAGAAGCAGGTTCCTGACGACTCGAAATAACAGCGAAATCATGTCGGTCTACTCGGAACCAGCGTCGGAACTGCGTGGAGGATCATCTGTCACGTACGATGACGACGATTGCGACGTGAGTTATCAGTATTCCCAAGATATTTAGGAAACGTTTTGGTTTTCAGAAGGTTTCCGTAGCATCATCCACGTTCACAACCATCCGAGCATCCTTCTCACTGATCAATTTCGATAAGAAACAGAAGGAAAGCGAAAAGAAGAAAGAAGAAGCGGCAGCTAAGGAAGCAGCAAAATTGACGGAGAAGAAGAAGAAAGAGAAAGAAGCTCGCGACGAGAGCATGTTCACTTCGGAAGAATACTTCGGAGACGTCTTGAAGTACATGATGAGCCGACAGATGAAGTACCGGGCTCCGCACAATTACATGCATAAACACATTGATATCAACGAGGACATGCGGACGATACTCATCGACTGGTTCCACGACGTCGTCAGAGAGTACCACCTCCAGAAGGAAACTTTCCATCTGGCCGTTGCCCTGGTTGATCGTGTCCTTTCGTTCCTGACTGTCGACAGAGTGCAGTTCCAGCTTGTCGGGACAACTTCTCTTATGATAGCTTCGTGAGTCATGCATACGGTTTCTGAAATACTAAATTCCATGTTTCAGAAAGTACGAAGAGATCTTTCCTCCGGAATCCGAGGAGTTTGCCATCATAACTGATCACACGTACCGATTGTCGGACATTCTCAAGATGGAGAAATACCTTCTCCGCCACTTAGTGTTCAATGTCTCCTCTCCGACTGTCGCGTGGTTCGGAGCGTGCTTCTGCAAAAGAATGCAGTTCAATCAGTGAGAACTACTAGACTTGAACACTTTATCAGTCAATGTTTTCAGGAAAATGAGCAAATCGGCCGATTATCTCTTGGATTTGTCACTTCTCGAAGTCGACTTTCTTCAATACCGTCCTTCCGATATAGCGGCCGCTTGTTGTTGCTTCGCTAACATTCAGTACAATTTGGAAGGCTGGCCGCAGAAGATGACAGACGACACTGGAATAAAAACGAGCGATTTTGAGTTGATTCTGAAAGATTTGCACAGGTCAGTATCAAGCTCTTGTGTACTCAGATTTCCCTGAATCTGCTTGTTTCAGACTGTACATCTGTGCTTCGACAGCCGATAACAAGTCCATATTCACCAAGTACAGCGAGCCAGAGGAGAAGGAGATCGCCTTGATTCCCGCCCCGACGGATAAGCTCGGTGAGCTTTTCCCGAATGTTTTCAGAGCCCGTAAGCCTGAAACCGACTGATTCGTTTGTCTTCTAGTCCCAATTCCAGTTTTTATCCCTCCCGCTTTTTTCTGTCCCTTTAAAAGTTTCCTTCACCCAATCTGTCTTTCTTATAACCGAGATTGAAAATCTTTTATTTATTACAACATTTTATGTAACACTTTCCCTTTTGTATTGAAAAAGTCCTTTGGATGTGATCCAAACCCCCTTTTACAAGTTTTCGAGTTCTTCTGTATCATTCATAATCCTTATTGCAAAACACAGCTCTCTTCTGAAGATACTCATCTACAATCTATGATTCTTTCTAATGAGACGTCTTCTTCCCGATCCCTATATTCCTCAACGTTTTATATTTGTGCAACGATCTCTTTCTGTTGTCGTCGTTTCTTCATCTCTGTCTGCTCTTCTTCTGATTCCACGACGACATGAAACAAAACACGCATTGAATAATTTATTGATGATTTTTTTCAGAAGTTCTTTGTCAAATAAATTTTCTTCAAATTTGAACTGTATTTCTTTCACATTTACTCACAAATGAAGTGCTAAAGAACGCAATTATTTTTCCGATTCACACAAAATTTCATGGTCAATTGATTCCGATTGATAAGGGAACCACTTTGATAGATTGACCGATCTTTCAAAGTCATTTGAGAAGAAGATATCTAAAGAATCGGAGAGGAAAAGATTCCACGTTACATTGTACCGTTTTGAACTTTTGACGTCAAAAACTGAGACACTATGATTGATAGGTCGACAATGTCAACAGCTAGTTCTAAGAATTCTGAACATTGCATCTCCGAGTTCGGGTGACACCGAATAACTCGGAGGGAAAACAGCGAAATAAAGAATACAAGAAATAAAATGCCAACCTAATGTGTTCATTTTTTCTTTTCCTTCCGAGACCTCTTTAAAACGCAGATGTAATATACATATTTATTTTTGGTTTTTTGAAAAGCAAGTCTTTCATTGTCGAGTAAATCTGAAGAGTGACAATGTCTTCGTTCAGCCGTAGTACTGCCCGTAACTACCGTATTCTGCAATTATCGTATTATTCTTTTCAGTCAGTTTTCATTGGCTCACGCTCAACAAACTGCACCGCCATTTCTGGATCGAGCTCTTCGATGTATCCGGAACAAGACATGTACCAGATTCTGAAATAAACCGAGTGCTAAAGTACGTACGCATTCCATCGTTCAGCACAGAAAGTTGCCCAATTGATTGTTAAGAAAAACACTTGAAAGATCGGCCGTCATACCGCGCGTCCGATCTTTCAAAGTCACTTAAAAAGTAGAAACCGAAAGAATCGGAGAGACGGCAAGAAAGAGAAAAAGAAGAAATAACCTGCAGAAGTATTTGAATCTCTCCTCGATTCGCGACGGCTTACACCACTTCTGCATCCGATGATATTCGTATTCACACTGCAAGATTCCACGTCAGCTGATCCGTTTTGAACTTTCCACGTCAAAAGCTAATTGCCGAAAGGGGACAGCTATGATTGATGGGTCGAAAAGACTGGCTAGTTCTAAGACTTCGTAGTTTGTACCTTACACTTCCGAGTGCAATGCGGATGAACATTAACGTCACAGTTCGGGCGGCACGGAGCGATCTTCTCAAGCTGAAAACATCAATGGAGCACAGCACAGTTTCGATACGGGACGGACCTTCCGCATGAGATCGTCGAACGGCATGTCCCCGACGTTCTCCGTCACGTCCTTCTTGTGCTCCTCCCTCCGTTCCCGGTCTTCTTCCGGGTCAATTCTACAGTTTCCCTCTTCTCGCACTCATTCTTTACGCATGTTCTCACCTTGTTCTCGTGACACACGCCGCTTTGTAACTCGGGCAGAACTTTCCGATCTTCTGCATGATGCTTCTGTGCTTGTGCAGCTTCTCGGCCGTCCAGATTCCGCGACAGTAATAGAAGTAGTTCATGTGATAGGCGGCACAGTACTCCCCGACATCTAGACTCGACTGAAATGTGTCATTGGGGTTCTGCTCGTTACTGATAACACAACTACTGTCCGTACATAATTTGACGCGGAACATGTCCGTAACCGTTTTTGGACTTACCGTATCCGAATCTCTGTCATTGAACGTATCGAATGTTTCACAAACAAGAGGCAGAAAGAGAAGAGAGATCAAGGAATACTTCGGGGACATCTAGTCCGGGCAAACAGAATCGAGATATCACTTTTGATTTTTGATAGGGGGACACAAATAGACACCCGACGGGACGACGGGGATGACGAAGTCTCAGCGAAGACGAAAAAAGAAAAGTGGGAGGAGAAGGAGACGGATGGGTTTAAACGACGAAGAAGAAGAAGAAGGCGAAGAGGGAGGGGAACAGAGAGTCACAACGTGACAACCGAAACGAAAACTGGAATAATCGAAGGGAGATTTGGGGACGGAGTTCAAGCATTTCTAAAGATGAGCAACGAAGCAAAGTTAAAGCCGAATGATATCATCAAGAGATCTAAAAATGATTACAAGTGAGTGCAGACATCTTCTGAAGGGACTGAATTCGTTCCAGTTGGAAAGTTATCGTGGAACTCGGAGCAGGAGGGTTCGGAACGGTGAACAAAGTGGTCCAAGTGAACCAGAACGGTGTGAGGATCAATTCGAAAGTGAGTGGAGTATCCGAAACTCGTCGAGCTCATCGGAACGTTTGAGGAGTTTGCGATGAAGACAGAATTGAAGTGTATAAGTCGGCAGGCGTCCCGATTGAAAATAGAGAAGAATGTGATGGCTTCCTATTCGAAATGCGATGCACAGTACAGAGGACATTTCCCCGAACTCATTGATATAGGTCAAACTGCCACGGAAAAAGTGATCAAAGAAGAATGGGAATTAGAGAAAACGGAAGGATTTCAGTGGATTGTGATGACTCTCGTGGGCGCATCTCTGGAGAATCTGAAAAGGAAACGTCCGTTCTCGCCCTCGACAGCTCTTCAGTGTTCTCTTCAAACACTAAAAGTACTCACAGACTATCAAAAGTGTCCATTCAACGATTTCAGGCAATTCATGATTTCCATCAAGTCGGTTTCCTTCATCGGGACATCAAACCTGCCAATTGCTGCATCGGAGCCGGCGAAAATGCAGAGGTCGTCTATCTTCTGGACTTTGGACTCGCCAGAAAGTATCGCATGAAAAACGGGGTAATTCGTCCGCCGAGGCCGAAAACGAAAATGATCGGAACCCCGAGGTATTGCCCGAGAGCGTCGCATCGTCAAGAAGAGCTGTCCCGCAAGGACGACTTCGAAAGTTGGCTATTTATGGTAAACTCGTCGCGGAAACATATTCTGAATTCGTTCGATTCCAGTTATTCGACTTTGTTGACAGGGAGAATGGCGTTCCGTGGAAAGGGAAACCGAGAGATAAAGCACATGAGATGAAAGTTCGAGTATTTGAAGAGCCGAACTGGAGTGAGTCGGAGCGAGCAGAGATTGAAGATAGGTCTATAATATTTCAGTTTCGACCGTCTCTTCCGTTCCCACTAAATTCATCGTGATGGCTGATTATTTGAATAGTTTGGAATACACTTCGGACGTCGGTTTCGGGTTGTTTCTCCGCGCTCTTTCTGTTCATTTTAATCGATTTCATTCAGAATCTTACGGGAAACAATCACCGATTATGCGAGAAGTCTTAATTTGACACTGCACGAACGGCTCGATTGGACGATTCCAGAAGACAGAGATGTGACGAACACGACGACAACCACACTGACCGTCCGTTCATTTTGGACCCCCCCACTCTTTCCGATTGCTCTGTTTTCAGTATTCGGTGGACGATAACAAGTCGATTGGCTCGGAAGGTTCTTCTGATCGGGAGCGTTCGCAGAGCAGGAAGTCACGGAGCAGAGTGTCCAAATCGTGAGCACAATTACTGTCATCCAGACAAGACAATTCGTTTCAGAAAGAAGCCACTGAAAACAAGAAAATCCATGATGACGTTCGAGGAAAAGTAACCTTCACGACGACCTTATCATACCGAAAATCGTTCTTCTTAATAAAAGTCTTACGGGGTCTGTCCCTTTGTTTATTTATTTATCTACAAGACTTCTGAAACCTGGTTAATCAATTACAGATACGTTTTCCTATAAAACGGTTCTGCTGTAACTTTTGCCCTTCATTGATAGCAATGCATCGTCTTCTCCTGGGACTTTCCCGGGTCTCCTCTCCACCTACACACCTGCAGTCCTTCTCGATGGTCTCGGGGCCGATAAATTTACCGGAGGGTGCAAAAGGGTTTTTGACCAAAGGGGCGTAGGGCATGACGCGATTTTTTTATTCTCACACCCTTTTTCTCGAAAATTTTGGATTTTTCCGTTAGAAATGAGACACATCGAATATATAGAAGCAATTCGAGACGAGCGAAAAAAGCATCTACTGTTCAGCTTAGCGTCCTGGAAGCAGATGTACATTATTATTACCTAAAACAAAGAACGCCCGCGAGTACTATAAGCACGGCTGAAATCACTTCCTTCTTATTTTTAGTGGACCCTTGTTTTAGTGGCCGTTTGGTTTTTTGACGCCGAATTGACGCCTTTTTTTTCCTGAGTGAAGCCGCTTCCGAGCATTAGCTCGGATCGCGCAGCGGGCCCACGCTCAAAGTCTTGTGCATATTAACTTTAATAAACTTCATCGAATGTAAGAAAAATGGGGAACTTATTAAAATAAAAAAGTGAGCTCGTGAGAAATTAAAATGAAATGTGGAGTGATGAATAGTCTATATTTTAAGGCATCTCAGGATTCGTTATTATTCTACAACTTAAAGTTTACAATATTAGTCCAGAATAAAGAATGACCCGATTTAAAAATACAAAACTCTGTGGGAAAGTGGAACCGGTTTGAAATGGGAGATTGTGAGATAGGTATTGCGGTCAGGAAGTCGAACTATGTTAGACGGAAAAAAAGAAAACTAGCATAACATCTACTGCTGGGGATAGTAGTAGGCAGGGTAATTCGGCATCTGCTGGTATATTCCTTCGGTATATGCAGAGGGATCGACGTACCAATTTGATGTGGTTGCCGGCTGAAAAAAGGTCTCGATATAGTTGAACAATTCCTGAAACTCACCATCTCAGATTGATAACCGTGATCGGGGCTCGATTCCACTGCCGTTGGAGTCGATGTCATCGTTTGAACAAAATGGGGTGACGGAGAAGAGAAGGATCCATCTGATGGAGGCGGAGTCAGGCGGGTTGACTGGCCGGGCGACAGTATCGCTGCTACAGTCGACTCCTTCTTCAACGCAGCTCGCTTGACCGTCTTCATGTTCTGGCGGCCAGGCTTACGGGCTCCTTCCCCGCGAGCAGTCTGTTGGCGGACGAAATTGTCGCGCTGATTCCTTTGTGCCACGACAAGGTACTTGGCGATATCGTGATGGTATCGACTAGCTGCCAATGCAGCCGCAGTTTTTTCACTTTTGTCAGTGGTAGAAATGCTGGCGCCGGCCTCCACGAGGAACTGGACGGTATGTTCGTGTCCTTCTCTCGCTGCCAACATCAGAGGAGTCTGTCCGTCCTCATCCGGCTTGTCTTTGTTCGCATCGTTGGCCACAAGGAACTCCACCATCGGCACATTGTTCACACTGGCTGCATAATGGAGGGCAGTTCGTCCGCGGTAGAGCTCCGTGTTCTTCCGCGCAGTTCCATCCGCGTCAATTTTGGCACCTTTCTTGATGAGCAGCTGTGCCATCTTGACTTGATCGTCTCCGTGCTTTCGCGCGACTTGCATCAAGGCCGTCATTCCGTTCTGATCCAGTTCGTCTATTTCTTTGAGCATTCGTTTGTCAAGAAGCAGAATCATGACCATTCGATGATCTTGGAATGAAACCGCCTCGTGCAGTGCGCTTCGTTGCGCCTTGTTGAAGATGGTTGGATCTGCTCCGGCTTTCATAAGCATGACGGCAAGTCTGACTCTTCTCGCACGCACCGCTAGCATCAACGGCGTGTTCTCCTCGCTGTCGAGGGCGTTCACATCGGCACCCGCTTCAATGCATCTTTTTGACTCCGACGTGATCATGTCCTCCGGCATATTGTTCTTGTTCGCAGCCAGCCAATGGAGCACATGTCGTTTGAACGTCGCATCAACTTGATTCACCGACTCCTTCGTCAGTGGTATGGTGATCGGGCCACATCCAGAAGCTTGAACATGTAGATCACTGAAAAAGTCTTATGTGAAATTGAAATCTCAGCAATCTCACATTTTCTTCGCTGAAACGGAAGTTGGATTCAGAGATGTGTATTCTTCTCTGAGCTGTTGCGGGTAGAACTGCTGATGGTTGCCTCCATACGGCATATCGTACTCTCCGCAATGTCTCTTTGCATGGAATGGCTCGTTGTTCGTGAGAAGAGAACACTGACTTGACCGAATCGACTGAATTTTGGGGTCATCGACTCCGGCGACGTTTCCTTTCGGGAGCATCCAAACTTGTGCGTGGATCATCTTCCTCTTCCTGCTTCTTTCGTTGTCGCCCGTTTTGGCAACCACTCCAGCGGCAACGGTCCCGAAGGCAAGGAATGCTATGACGGCGACCAGCAGAATTTGATTTCGGCTCCATCCACTGCTACCACTGGATTTCTTCGGACTGGCCACCATAGCTTCTGTGATGGGAAGTCCGAACGAACTGCGACCCTGAAAATATTTTTTTAATAGAACGAAGAGGATTTCTTTAGTTTCTTACATCGGTCTTGGTCAGTCCGGCGGCAATCAAGTCGACAACGCTTTGCGCTGACGTGAAACGGCAGTCGGTAACCTGGCAGATCTCCTCCATCTCCATGTAGAGCACGATTCCTCTGATCAGTTGGTAGTTCGTACTGCGGGTCTTCCGAACGCGTGTGGACAAAACGTTCTGTTCGGCGAGTCGCTCAATGTCCATTTCCAGTCTTTCCAGTTCTTTTTCTCCGTCCCACTCGAAAACAAGCGGGCCTTTCTCGTCTCTTTGAATTCGAACAGTTGCTCGGAGGGCTGAACTGATGTCAATCAGAGTTTGTCCTCCACTCTCTTTGAAAACCATCGGATCCATTTGGATCTTGATGCGAATGTCCGTCAGAATTGTCATTTGTGTTCGGTTGACACAGTCTCCTCCGTCGTACCCACACCCTTCCGAATTGCATTCCACGTCACAGACACCGTTAGCGAAACGTTGAGCACAGAAATTGCGAATTTTGGCGGGGCATCGGGACACTGCCGACAGACAGTCCAATCCGTCGTAGAGGCACTCTTCACTATTGCATTCCTGATTGCAGACGCCGTCCGCAAAAGCATCGGAGCACTTGGCCGCGTACTGGCATCTGTGGAATGGCTGTTGTCCTCCGGAGCAGTCTCCTCCATCGAAATTGCACACTTCTTGATTGCATTCTGGATTGCAGATCCCGTTCCCGGCCAGAGAAGAGCAGTTGCGTTGATCGCAAATCGTTCGGAGCATACGCTCCTTCGAATCGGGCAAATCTACTCTTTCCTGGCACTTGGGTCCGGCAAATCCGAACGGACATTCGCATTTGGCAGAGCGACCGACGTGCACACAAACTCCCTCGTTGGCACATGGATTTGAATTGCACGTGAACTTCTCCAACTGCTCGCATCGCTCGCCTTCGAATCCAGCTGGACAAGTGCAAATGAACGAATCGCCTTTTCTCTGACAGTGCCCTCCGTTTGCGCAGGCGTTTTCTTGTTCTTTACACCAATCTGAAATCAATGTCAATTTTAAATTTAGAGTTAAAGATTTCATTCTTACCTTTCTGTCTTTCACAAATATCTCCTTCGAATCCTTCCGGGCAGAGACACGCATATCCGATCTCTGCATCGACGTCGACACAGGTGGCATTGTTCATGCACGGATCCGAAGCACACGTATTGCTTCTCTCCCTGACAACATCGCTTTTGTGAATTTCGCAATGCGTTCCTGTGTAATCAGGTGGACACGTGCAGAATCCTTGGATACACTTTCCTCCGTTGTGGCATCGTCCCTTCGTACGAGAGCAAGTCCGTTCGTCCAGACGGAGCTCGCACCGTCTTCCCGTGTATCCCGGAGGGCACTGCTTTTCGCATCGTTTTCCGATGAACCCGTCTTTGCACTGACAGACTGGCTCTTGTTTCTCCGTGTGAATGCATGTTCCGTTGTTCTCGCATTTGTGAAAAGCGCACATATCAACAGTATTGCCGCACCATTTTCCAGTGTATCCGGGCGGACAATCGCAATAATAAGAGCCGAGCAGATTGATGCACTTCCCGTCGTTCAAGCACATCTTCTCTCCGAGACACTCGTTCTTGTCCTTATTGCAGTACTCTCCGGTGTATCCCTCGTCGCAAATACAATCGAATCGTTTGTCCGATTCCGAATTTGAGATACACTTTCCTTTGTTGCAAATTCCGAGCATCATCTGACAATTGGGCATGTCACAGTAACGCCCTGATCTTCCCGGCGGACAGGAGCAGAAGTATCCTTGTTTTTGATTGATACACTCGGATCTCGGATAACACTTGTGCTCCTGGCAGTGATTGTATCCTTTTTCACAAAAAGAGCCAGAGTATCCGCTATTGCAAACGCACAAGAAACCACCATTGAACGCCACACATCTTCCGTTGTTGCACGAGTTTTCCTCGCATGCCTTGCTTGTGACATTGATGTAACCGGGACAGTGTGATCCTGAAATAAAAGAGACGTTAGAAACTTTAACATGGACGATTCAAATAAGGAACGCCACCCTTTGAATGCATTTCATTCAAATAACGACACGATCGTATCTCATTTAAATTGCGCCGGAAGTTTGTTTTTTGTGCCCTCCTTATCCCTCATTAACCACCGAAACGGAAGATTTCCTTTGTGATACTAGGTGTCAATCTCATTAGGGAAACACGCAACACGGTGCATTTGAGATCGGATCTGCTCCGACACCAGATGGAGCAAGTGCGCTCTGCGGGATTCCCTACAATTCTCACTTCGGTCTCCAACTGTGCCGAAAGATTCGCGCCGTTCCCACGACCTTTATCACGAGAAGACGGACGCCAACGGGAGTAATTATAGACTGATTCGGCCGAAGATGATCGGTATTGACGGGGCAGAGAAAGGACGAGTAGTCATGGGAGGGTCAACAGAAGGTGTTTTGAGAGACAGCTACAGAACATAACAGTCGAAGAAGTTCAGGCAAATTTTCATTGAATGCATTTGAATTCTCTAACGTGGTAATATCGGGCGCCAGACGAGCAGCCAGAGGAAACTTTGAGGCCGCCAACAAGACAAATGAGCTATGGGACGGGCGGTTCAGGCAGCCGCGTACAGTCCAATGTGTCCTCGTCGAAACAATTATTGAGGGGAGCGACGCGTGTTAGAACATCCCTCAAATTTTCGGTAATTTCAAATTGGCGGGCCCCAGCACAAGAAAGGTGGAGTTATGATGAATTGAGGGGCCGGGGCAAAGCCGCCAAAAGGGGAGGGTAGCTGATATCAGTGGAGGGACATTTCATGAGTGACTGCCGAGGGGTAAAAAATGAGTGATTGGTGCGGGGTCCCGGTGGGAAAACACGAGTAAAGAAGCCTCCAGTTTTAAGTAATTGTTTACCTTGACACTGGCAGGAGAACGTGTTATCCTGGTCGAGCATGCATTTATCATGCTCTCCGCATTTGAGTGGGCATCTCTTTTCACAGAAGTCACCTCCGAATCCTTCGTCGCAACTGTAAATATTGAAGTATTATATTAAGAAGGCGAAAACATTCGCTTTCTGAGATGGCAATTCATTTGGAGGTTCCCGTACAGAGAACTCGAAAAGCAGGTGTTGCCCTGGCGCTGCCCGCTTTCCCATGCCGACCACCTGCCCAAACTTTCTTTCTGCGTCGTCACAGTCTATGGGAAGCAATAGCAAGGGTATTTGTCATCAGTAAGCATAAAAGCGACATGGGAAAATTATATATTTATTTACCTGCACCAATATGAGTCGCTGATCGGACCATCCTCGCACCTGCCGTGCTCGCCACACGTGCTGTTATCACAAATTCCTCCGAAATAGTGACTAGTAGAACTGGCTGCGAGCAGGAGGAAAATGGAGAGGCGCGTGATTAGTCGCATCTTGTGATTATTCGAGATTATCGCTATATTAGTAGTTGTTCCTGTTATTGCACATGAATCTGAGAAAATAGAGCAATTGTTAAATTGATGAACTGATGGTGAATACAACAAGAGCAAAAGAGAAGTGTTTATCGGGTCGTAACTCAATTTCGAAACATTCATGGAAAAAAGTGGAGGAAGGCGACTGCATTGACGAACAGACAGGCGGCGAATGGAGGCCGAGTGGCAAGCTCCGCCTCCTTTCTCGCGTCGAGCGTTGCGTTTTTTTAACCGAGAAGAAAGGACAGTTTGTTAAAAACGCGATAATGTTCTTCATAGACGACGAAGAGCGGAAAGAGAAATCCGGATGATTTCCTCCCATTAATTGGTGATAACCATAAAGGCGGTTGCGAAATGGAAGGAGAGATTTATGGGATTTCAATTGGTCATTCTCATGCCGAATTGGCAATTGAAACAGGAAAATGAGAAAAAAAAAACAGAAAAGAATGGGTAGATTTCTGCGAAAGCGAAATCGATTGTTTGTTCGCGAAAGGTACCATTTCGCCGACCGTAACTTTGCCAACCGTAGTCTGCTCCCGGAAGAAATTGAAAAACGGCAAATGTTTTTCTCTCAAAATGCTCGAATCTAAGCAAAATGTATTGGAATCACATCGTAACTGTTTACACAGAAAACTACAGTACTTTTTGTCCACATAACGCTCGATTCACATTTGAATTGTCAACGGAATAAATATTATCGTGAAAGACCTCTGGAAATATGAATTAGGGAACGAATTCTTTTTTGTTAATAATTATATTTGCACAGATAGAAGTGAACGAGCAATGTGTGTGTACAAATGGTGCAATGAACCGGCCAAATGAGATACTTAGTTTATTGAACGAATGGATCTCACATGATACTCCGGGTGATGGACGGAACGGCGTTTCTTCTCTTCGGCTGGACTATAAAGTGCTTCAGACCGATCTTCTCGAGAAGTCTGACGCGAATCGGGCGGTTCAATGCGAGACAGAGGACTCCGGTGAGCCCTGAGTTCAGCTGGAACCACACGTGGGTTCCTTCGATAAAGCATTCGGGTGGTTCGCAAGTATTCCATAGAAAGATAACAAGATAAACGAAGCAGGGCACAACGTATTGCAGGCATACGAAAGTGGACTGAATCATGATTTTGCGCTGCAGATCACTCGTTCCTCTCCAACAATTCTCGTATTCGGTGGCCAGTTTGAAGGTGAGAGTGGAAAAGATCAAAAGAATAAATGAGACGAAGAAGACGTTGTGGCCGTTCAGAATTTGTTTTTCGAAAATATCATTCTGCAAGCGAAACAATTTGAATGAAACGGAAAAGAGAGAACCTCCATGTCATTGAACGGATAAATAGAGAATTCCCGGCGGGAAGAGTTGTAAAGGCATGGATCAGTGAGAAAAGCCACGAAAAAAGAGTAGACGACGATGAAAACAAACATTGCGGTCACTTTGGTCTGCCTCTGAAAGGATCGTTCTCGTCTCCACTATACAGATGGCTTCACATCGAAAAACTTCAAAAGACACTTTCTCCTCGTCATGTCAGCTAACCGATTCAGTGCTAAAAAGACACTGGCAGTACTTCCAGCTACCCATTCCACTGAAAATTTTTTTTAAATTTTTAAACTGAATTTTTTCTATTTTACTACTCGTAAGCGCCTTTCCCGCGAACATTCCGGACAGGGGATGAGTACAGAAGACGGCTCCTTTGAAGAGAAGATAAGCAGGCCAAATTGACATCGTGAGCACTTCAAACCAAGCAATTATACCTGCAAAAACAGGCACTTCGATTAGTTCTCCTCACATAGTTCTCACCTAAAAAGAAGAGAATCTTGAAGCAGGAAGATCTCATGAGAGCGTGGGACCGGAAGGCCCATAGAACGACGGACGATGTTATCTGCAGATTCGCACATTTCTCATCATTTCCGGATCATCCAAGAGGTCATGATCCCATGAATGCCAAGTGGGCACAATTAGAACAACGTGACCGTTGCACATTGACTCCGGGGGAATGCGTGGGAGCGATGAGCAAATAGATATTGCACATGTCTGCCACAGGGATGAGTTAATAAGTCATGACCTCCCCACCGTGATGATACTAATTGTCGCCCACGTGGGAATTCGCACTTACGAGGAAGAACATGCCGGCAGCCAGATTGATTGTGCCATACGTCCTGAAGACCCTTCCCTGCTGATACCACTCAACAAGAGTCCGGTGCCAACAGTGATATCTGAACAGGAACGTACTGCCCATTTTATCTCAAAATCTACCTGTACGGCTCACTTCCAATCAGATACGATATCCATTCTTGCACAGGATTTTGTTTCAGATAGGCCATTTTAGTAGAAAAAGGAAAGAGCAGAGAGGAAATGGAAAAGGAAAACATTTCTAGTGGACCGCTGCGTTCCAAGAACACACAGATTGTATCCAAAGCAACCGAGTCCCCGGTGGCCTGTCTATCGTGTTTTCCCTTTTATTTAGGATTACTATGATATCAGATATCAAATCAGACTGAAACTTTGATGTTTGGTTGAAGCACCTCAATGCCATTACAGCTTAGCAGGGATTCTGATCGATATACAGAGAAGAGAAAACAATATTTTTGTGTGTTTTTATAATTAAAGCTGGAGCACAAGATGTTCTTCACTGCTACTTTACAGTTGCTTTTTTTGTGAAAACCATAAACCAGATTTGAACGGCCGCCTATTTAGTTGAGAACGAAGCTCCGTTCTTCCGCCAGCTCGTTCTTTACCACCTGTCCGATTTTTCATTATTTTTATGATTTGACATTGAAAATTCGCAATTTCCAGTAGAGTTCAAATCATTCTGTTCAAGTAACTTGAACAAAAACAAGCTAATATACGCATTATTTCAATTTAAACAACCAAAAATATAAAAATCTTGTGAAAAGTCCACTTGCCGTTATCAGCTCTCAGTTTGCGCAAATTCATCAAAAAATTGTTTTCAGTAATGTTCCGTCACGTGGCTCAGAACTTGGGCTCCAGAAGCACGTCCATTCAATCATGTGAGTAAATCGCATCTCGTTTTTCTCAGAAAAATCATGTTTTCAGGCCGGTTTCTCAGAACTCGTTGGGAGCGCGGGTATCTCAAGGACCTTTATCACCGTCGTCAGATTCTCGGAGCCGATCCAGCCATTTCTCGATCTTCTTATCCTAACTGGTAAGTTTGATGGGGGTCTCAGAAACACGAAAGCCATATCATCCCTCTTCTGAAATTATGTGTTGTTATAATCGGTTCCGCAAACCGATAAAATTGTTTTCTACCCCATAGCAGTTTGGTGCAAGTGCGCAGTCATCACTGCTCCGCCGATAAGGCTACTTTCCAATGGGCTCCCATCAAATCGTCGATCGACAACACATCGGAGGATTTCACCGCGAACCAGTCTGAAATGAAAGCTTTGGTCGACGATCTAAAAGCGAAAATCGCTAAGATCGAAGAGGCTGGAGGCGAGAAAGCGGTAAAACTGCACAGGAGTCGTGGAAAGATGCTTGCAAGAGAAAGAATCGACGGACTCGTCGACTCAGGATCTCCGTTCATCGAGTTTAGTCAGCTCGCAGGTTACGAGGTGAATATCGTGTCGAATTTGTATTAAACCTCTGACATTACCAGATGTACGGCCGCGAACAAGTTCCGTCTGGCGGAATTCTCACCGGAATCGGAATAGTCTCGGGACGTGTGTGCGTGATTGTCGCCAACGACGCCACTGTCAAGGGAGGAACCTACTATCCAATCACCGTGAAGAAGCATCTGCGTGCTCAGGAAATCGCCCGCGAAAACAACCTTCCGTGCATTTACCTCGTCGATTCCGGAGGTGCCAATCTTCCGCGTCAAGCTGATATCTTCGCTGATAACCAGCACTTCGGTCGAATCTTCTACAATCAGGCGACAATGAGCAGTCAGGGAATTCCGCAGTTAGCTGTTGTCATGGGAAGTTGTACTGCTGGAGGAGCCTACGTGCCCGCAATGTCTGATCAGGCCATTATTGTGAAGGGAACAGGAACCGTCTTCCTCGGTGGACCGCCACTCGTCAAGGCAGCGACTGGAGAAGAGATCTCGGCTGAAGAGCTTGGAGGAGCTGATTTGCATTGTGGAGAGTCTGGTGTGACCGACTACTATGCGGTCAATGACTCGCACGCATTGTACCTGGCGAGAAGCTGCATTGCTGGACTTCCCCCGGTTGAAGAACAGATGACCTTCAACCCTAATGGTAAGAACAGAAAATAAATGTTTCTTGCATTACATTTATTCAGCCGATAAGCCGCTGTATCCGGCTGAGGAAATTTACGGAATTGTCGGATCGAACCTGAAGAAAACGTACGATGCTCGCGAAGTCATCGCTCGCATCGTCGATGGATCCAGATTCCACGAGTTCAAAGAGCGTTACGGAGAGACCCTCGTCACCGGATTCGCCACTATTTACGGACAGCGTGTCGGAATTCTGGCGAACAACGGAGTTCTGTTCGCTGAGAGTGCTATGAAGGGCGCTCATTTTATCGAGCTGTGTTGCCAACGGAAGATTCCACTTCTCTTCCTCCAGAATATCACCGGATTCATGGTCAGTTTATAAACTGGGGAAAAACAGAAACAAAGTGTGTTTTCAGGTGGGAAGAGATGCTGAAGCCGGCGGAATTGCCAAGCACGGAGCCAAATTGGTGACTGCCGTCGCTTGCGCCAATGTTCCAAAGATCACTGTGCTCGTGGGAGGATCCTACGGAGCTGGAAACTATGGAATGTGTGGAAGAGCATACAGCCCGAGGTGGAGCCGAGCATGTGGAGCATGACTCTAATCTATTCATTTCAGATACGTTTTCATGTGGCCAAACTCTCGCATTTCAGTTATGGGCGGAGAACAGGCAGCCAACGTTCTTTCGACCGTTCAGAAAGAGAAAAAGAAGCGCGAGGGGGCCGAATGGACTGACCAACAGGATCTGGAACTCAGAAAGCCTGTGGAGGAGAAGTTCGAGAAAGAAGGACATCCTTACTTTGCCTCGGCCCGTCTTTGGGATGATGGGGTCATCGACCCGAAAGACACCCGAAAGGCATGTTCATGAAATGCTTCATTACCTTCATTTTAACCTTTCAGGTGCTTGGACTCGCTTTCCAGTCTACTCTTCAGAAACCTATTTCAGACACCAAATTCGGTGTTTTCCGAATGTAACTCAGGCTCCTCTTCATGTGTTTTGTTGTGAGATTTTACGGATTTGATCTTCTCATTTGTAGAGCTTATTTCGTCCGAAGATGATAATAGTATGTAGACTAGTAATGATTTCTGCCTAATCTCTCGCGTGCCTTTCTGTTTTAGGAATTATTGTAGACATCGAATAAATAAAGTTGCATTTATGTTTTCCTTGCTCGTTCACTTATATTTATTTGTTGAGCACAGCACCACCAGAAAAGGGATGAAAAATGGCTTTCGTGTGGGAAACATGGGCGGGATTGGATGAGATTTCCAGCAAATTCGATTATTTCAGGGATTACAACAGCGAAATATACGCATTCGGACACAGAATCGGCGCTCCGGAAATCACTGAAACTGAATATATCAAGGTGAGGAAGTGAAACGAGTTCTTCGAAAACGAAAGACGTTACAGGCACTGACGGATCAGTCATTCTTCGAAAGAGCTGACGTGGAAGACCACGTGGAAATCGCTCAACCGGGAGCCGAAGTAGGAACGGAGCACAACGCGGAGCTCGTGGAACAAGGCCAGAAGAAGTTGTCCACGTGGCTGAAGAGATATTTGAGATTCCATTTGTCGCAAGCTCCGGAAGAACTAATCGAAGCGATCGATTCGCATCTCCTTGCGAATGAGTGCCTCACTGAGATTGCCAATCATCTCGGTCTGTTCTATTTTTCCATATTGCCCCAATAACACATTTTCGCAGGAATTGATCATTTGGTGCGAACTAAAGAATTCCCAGTGAGCCAACAATCGTGCGCCGACGCCTTCCGAGCTCTTGCCGGAGTGTTTTCCGATGAGAAAGTCAAAAATCTCGTCATCGATTTCATAGTTCCACAACTCGTTGATATTGATTTCGCAGGTAGCAAACCCATTAATGGCTGAACAACTCACAGAAACTGTTAAGACATTTACCCGCTCGCTGATCCGATGGCTGTTCTGACCGATCTTCTCATAGCTGAAGGGGTCAAAGCCGTCGAACCACGTCTTCTTCGCTCTGCTGGAGAGAACAGCGCCGAGCCTATTTACGTCGTCGGAATCTATGCGGACCAGCTGAAGAACGTGGGACAAAGCGCCGGAGAAACTCTGACGATCGCTGTCGATATGGCCGCAAGAGAAGCACTTCTCAGAATCTGGAACATCACTTCTGACAGGTTACTTCTAGAATCCAGAAAAAAGGAATAGGATGATCTTTTGCAGAGTGCTCTTCTTCGGAGATCGTGCCGCAAATGTGCCTTTGGAGCAGTTCTCGAAGCCAAACTACAGATTGGAGAAGAAGTGCACACCAGGGTAATAACTGACTATTCTCCCGAGCTCTATTTTGACAGTATGAAATTCAGAACGAATATCCGTTTGATTGAAGACGCACACCAAGAGGAAGCCCCCACGAATCTCATCGAAGCAGTTCTGCGGTACCGAAACGTCGTCGATGCAGAAGTCGGCAAGAGTTACACGAAGCGACTGCGCCACAAGTTCTCGCGCGGATCCCTCGCCAAACGTTCCTTCAGATACCTCGTCAAGCCAAAGCCGTACACTGTCGCCTAAGAATTCCCCTCTCCGTTCTGTTTTTCCATTCGTATTCTCTCATCTTCTAGCTTTTGTTACTCTGTCTGTTCGGTAGTGAATAGTGTTTTATTTTCCGTTTCGTTACTTTTCGATTGTTTCCCTTTTCACTTGTATTATATGAGTGCTCAATGAAGTCGCCTTCAATTCAGTTTCGGCTCCAAATTGGCAGCTAATCCATTCCGTCCCTCTCCGTCAATTGGCATAAATTAGTGGCATCTCGAATTCAAATTGAATTCACAATGTAACCCGTCCCGATGTTGTTTCCCGTTTCCCTTGCTCTTTGTCCCTCGGCCACTTGATAAATGGCGGGGCAGCCGCCGCCAGATGCCTCGCATTCATCAAGACGGGCGGCACAACGGAGCAAGATGCGACTCCTTGATAACGACGTTTTTGAAGGCAACTCTCATGGGACACTCTTTTGTTTATCGGAAATTTGATAAGTTTTGGCGAAGAGAACTAAAATTGGCGCTTTTGTAAACACTCGGAAATTGATATTCTTGAAACTGATCATGAATTGGAAAATGTTTATGTTACTATCGGAAGGTTATTCTGGGAAGAGACATGCAATCGGAGGATCATGAAACTACGACGGGGCAAAAGTGAGATCTTCTCGGGATCACCACTTTCCCGTCGTCCTCCGTATCCTTCCGCTCCCGATTATTGGCCTCAGTCAGTTGGCTCGCTGATCTTTTCAGACAGACGCAAACACGTTTTATCCGCGCCTGGCACCGATCCCTCCCGATCTCCGTCTCCCCATTCCCCGCGCTCTTTCGATTCCTTCCGATTGATCCGACTTTCATTTCTCTTCATCTCTTGAACATTCCATTGACCCCGCCGACGATTGAGACGAATCAGAGCAAGTGTCAAACGAGAAACGGATAAAATTGCCCTTTGGAAGCATGCAATGATTCACCTTTTCGCTTGTTACACTCTTCGCTCTTCGCGAATCTTCTGCCGAGGGCAATCGTCCGATCACGTGACATGTGGAGCCATTGACAACGCAAACGAAAAGAAAGAAAGAAGAACACTTTGTGGCTTGTAGTCTGTTAGGAGTAATGGACGGCTCGAAACAGAAATCACTATGTTATCCGAGTGGGTCATTTGCAGAGGGTATCGAGTGTAATGGAGGTCATTAGGAAGGTAGATGAAGCTGACGAAATCATCAAACTCAACGGATAAGATGATACGGAATGGTGCGAGATCGGAGCAGATCAGACACGGGAGGCGATGTTTGCAGGGGGAGAAGGCACCGATGACACTCGTGCACAGCACATTCCAAGAAATGCTGGCGGGATCTGAAAAGTTTGGAAAGCGGTAGAAGAGGAAAAGGGTTTTGGATTGCAATTCATGTGCTTTCAGGTCTTCCTGACAGGGTCGGAAACGCAGAGTTCCTACATTCAACACAACATGATCATGGTCCGCTTCCGTTGCAGTCTCGATGTACTTTGTACCCGCTAATTCCAGAGAACACATCACTTTGGTCCAAGATGATTTTCTGTCTAATGAAATGAGCCGTTTCGTCCTTCAAATCACCGATTCACAAGACAACAGAAGATCAAAGCAGTGACCGCTCAAGTTACATTCTCTTTTAGTGTGCTTTGTGCTCCCATGTGCTTGCAATGTGTCATCCATCTGGCACCCATCACAAGTAACCAAACTCCAACTTTCACTCCAACTGGACCGATTTCAATCCGGAAGTAGGAAGACAGTTAAATGAAAACTTATTTATTGAGGGTTACAATTAAAATATCATATCTTCGGATGAAGCCGCTTAGTTGACGTATTGTCCGACGATGGCTTGAACCTTCTCGTCTGGAAAGTAAACGCGTGATTAGGTGGTTATAAGATTGAAAGAGCTGTGAAGGCGGTACTCACTCTGGAAGAATCCGGTGAGGATTGGGAACTGGGCGGTGATGGTGTCCTTGGCGGCCTCGGAAAGTCCCTTGTACTCGGCAATGTATCCCTTGGCGAGCTCCTTGAGGGTATCAAGAGACGGCTTCTCTCCGGCGAGGTATTGCTGGTGGAGCTGACGTCCTTCGGCGATGATCTTCTTGACGAGGGCCTGGGCGGAAACGTCGATCTTCTCGAACTTGGCGCGGAGCACCTCCTCGAGCTTTTCAGCCTTCTCGTAAAGGGATGGCGACTTCTCCTTCAGGGCGGCCTTGAATTGTTCCTCGGTCTTGTAGTTCTTGTGGTTGAGGGCGAGCTCCTTAAGGGCAGCTCTCTCCTCGGTGGTGATGTCCTTCAGTTGGTCGGCGATCTCGGCTGGGATGAGTCCCTTGTACTCGGATGGAATGTCGTCGAACTTCTCCGGGATCTCCGGGATTGGAGCGGAGAGGACGGCGACAGTGGCGAGAGCGACGACGAGGAAGGCGCGGATCATTACTGAAAACGAAGAGATTTCAAGTTTCAGAAGGGAAGCGATTGGAAATAAGAGGAAATGCTCGGCTGAGCTTGTTCTTCCGTTGCTCCTCGCGACTATTTATACGGATCCGACAAAACCATTCATCCTGAAGAAAAGAGCGCATATGTTCGAGAGAGTCCGCCTGAAATAGTGTTTGTTCCTTCGAAACCCAGGATTCGGAAAAAATGGCTTTTAGTGTAATGCAGTTTTGAAACTTTTTTTTTTCGCCGTTGCATCCCAACTGTGCAAAGTGCGGCTCCAAAAATACTTCATTCCCTCCGCTTTCCCGATGCTCTTTCGCTCGCCCCGCCCATTTCGGCCCACTGTGGCCCACCACGGGATCTGTGTCTCTCGGGGCCACACGCTCTTCCGCCTAGATTGTAATCTGTCGCTGCCGCTTCGGACCCGCCTCCTTTGTCTTTAAAAGCTCCTCCGATGGTCCCTCCCGTCAGTTCTCTCCTCGTTTCCCTTGCTTCGCCCCGCCAGCAACCTCCTCTTCATTACCATCCTTTCAGTAATGATCCGTACCACTATCGTCCTCGCTGCTCTCGCCGCCGTCGCCTTCTCCGCTCCGATCCCGGAGGTTCCGGAGAACTACGACGACATCCCGGCCGAGTACAAGTCCCTGATCCCAGCCGAGGTCGCCGAGCAGCTCAAGTCGATCACCGGACCGGAGAAGGCCATCCTCAAAGAGGTCGCCAAGGGATACAAGGACTTCAAGAGCGAGGATGACGTGAGCGATAACAGAGCGCATTTCAGTCAAACAAAGCAGATTTTCAGTTCCTGAACGCCCTCAAGGCCAAGTCCCCAGCCCTCTACGAGAAGGCCTCCAAGCTCCACCAGATCGTCAAGGACAAGGTCAACGCTCTCAACGACGAGGCCAAGGCTTTCGTCAAGAAGGCTATTTCTGAGGGACGCAAGATCCACGCTCAATACTTGGCTGGAGAGAAGCCATCGCTCGACACCCTCAAGGCTACCGCCAAGACGTAAGGGATTCCCTCCACCGTCTCCTCTCAATCCCCATCCTTTTCAGCCACATCGACGCTTACAAGGGACTCTCCCAGGCCGCCAAGGATTCGATCGCCGCCGAGTTCCCAATTCTCACCGGATTCTTCAAGAGTAAGAGACCAATGAGAAAGAGCTCAGACTCAGACGAACCCATTCATTTTCAGACGAGAAGGTCCAGTCCATCGTCGGACAGTACGTCAACTAAGCGACTCTCCGCTTCCTCCTAATTCAATATGAATGTTTTTTTTCCTCACAACGCATAATTCCTGCTTGTTTTTGATAATCTTTTCGCAATAAATATTCTTTTTGCAATTGAATGCGGACGAGTATCGAAAAGTGAAGGAGTCGGGGTGAACAACTGGCTGAAGGGATGAGTCGGCGGTCCTCGGGGAGAAAGATGATACGGGGCAGAGGGCTAACATTCGGACGACGATTAATGGCTCTTTCTCGGAGTGATGAGAGCTTGACGAAATGATAACGACGGGTTCAACGGCCAGAACGGCCAGAATTTATCAGTGGAAAGGCACGAATCAAAGGAGATCTGGGAGAGAAGCTAGGATGTGAGGGGCCTGCAAATTGGAAGAGCTCCGTGAGAAATTGAGAGCTTTATTTTGAGATTTTCAGGTTAGGTCTTCCTTTTCCGTTGCTCTTTCCTGTCAATTATCGGACAAACTTTTTGCAGAGTCTGTTCAATATCGCGTGCGATTTCAGTCTCGCCAGGAACGCATGTGTTCTGCCATTCATTTCCTCTTTTTCATCTCTTCCGAATATCTTTGTATTCTCAATCTCTTTGCGCATACATAAATGTGAGAGATTGAAGCTTCCGCCAACTACATTTTCCGACGGACCGAACGTCAAAAACGCAGCAAAACAATTCTGACTTGTACGTGTTTTGGCTGCTGCGCCGCCTATAATCCCCGCGCGTTGGCTCTACTTCCGTGCCCATTTGTGCCTCTTTTCCGTGCTTTATAACGTTGTCTCCGTTCCATCCGAATGCCTAAAAGAGGTCATAAAGTTGCTCCGCTCAGGTGCTTTTCCCCATCAGCCTATTGATCGTCGCTGTGTGTCATTCGGAGAGCTCATAAAAGTCATGAATCCATGCAGAAATGCTCCAATGGCTCTTTGGTTTCTCCTGTCTTTCTTCTCCTTTCCAGATGTCTCTTCCCCTCAACAATTTCCAGTTCTTTGTTAACTCTCTATCTCTTTTTCTTCTTCTTCTTCTTCTTCTCCTTCTCCACAAAGTTTCCCCATTTTCTCTCCTTTTCGAGCAGCTGTGAACTCTGTTTTCTCTCGCGCTCAATAACTAGAAGACACTCGAGAAGCAGCGTGTATCAGACGGCGGCACAGCATTTTCTCTTCCCCCACGGACCTTTTTTCCGCGCCAAGAGCTGACTTTCCGCGCGGTAAAGAGCCTCTTCCGCTCATGGATTTCTCCTGAAAAGTCGTCCCTCTTCTTTTTTGTCTTTACTCACTGTTACAAAATGTATATTCTATCCGGGGCGCGAGTGTTTAGAAAATATTTGGAGACATAAGACACAACATAGTCTAGAGGTCAACTTCTCCTGGGTATGAAAAAAAAAACAAAATGACTTGCGTGTTTCGACATATAGAGGAAAAGTGTCTCTGACAGAATACTTGAGATGGATTAGAAGAAAATGTGATGGAGTGGACGGAGTTATCACTTGAACACACTAACTTTTCTTTCTTACACGTCATCTTGCCTTTCTTCCTTCTATTCTTCTTTCAAAATTATTCTCTTTCAGATCATGAAGACGTGGGTCTTCTTTACAATATTATTCCTGGCCACATCGAATGTGACCTCAAAGGCCACCTACAAACGAACAGATACAATGTTTCTGGCAATGGTTTGTCAGGATGAATGCGTAATTGACATCCGTTTCCTTGTAAGGACTACCTCCACCCGTTGAGCATTTCTATCCGACACTTCCAGGCACAAGGAACATCAGACGGACTCTCCCCGAACAACACTGAAGTTCTCTTCGCCTTCACCCTGTCCTCCAACAACGGAACCCTTCGAGAAACCACTATCGACGTGGCAGAAAATGTCGATCTTATTGAGTTCGTTTACACAGTTCCAGATGAGAACGGAACGACAACAGAGACGGATGACTGGAATCTGAATCATTCGGAGTCGTATTTCCACTCGATCGGATCACTCCAAGTTGTTGGAAATATGCCATGTGGAAAGTGAGTTATTCTGTCACATATGTCACCTTCTGAGATGAGCGAAAATGCGTTTTTTGAATGGGAATCAGTTCGAAACATATCTAGACATGTGGTGAGCATATTTTATTAGACGACAATTGATGAGTTGGGAACGTGGCCACTTCAAGAACGTTTTCAATGTTTCCAGATACGGATGTCCGCAGAACCCTCTCTGCGACGGCGGCTGCCGCTTCACTGTCGTCGCTTCACTGGCGGCGTTCTGTTTCTTCGTGCTCGCCGGACTTGTGCTCCAGACCGTTTACGTCTCTTTTCTGGGATTCCGTCGCAACCGGAAGGAAATCGAATTGCGCGATACTCTCCGTTTGACTGAAGCCGCCCATTGATTCTTTTCTTTTCGAACAATAAAGTATATTTATTGGGCATCGCCTATTTGCTTGGTTTTATGGGTTCCACACCCTTCTTTTAGATATCTTCCCCATTTTTTATGTGAGTTTTTATTTTCTTCCCATTCATTTTTCAGATTCAGATCATGAAATTATCGTTCGTTTTGGCGCTGGCGGCCATCTTCCCTTCAGTCGCATCCCAATTTCACATTTTCCTCGTTGTTTCGTGCGAATCCTACTGCCACATGAGCGTTCGTCACGGACGGTTCGAGCACTTCAGTCTTTCCGAATATCCCGCGCGGATCACTCGTCACTTTGACAAACCAGTTCCGGAAGTTTACTTCAGAGTCAGAAACTTCCGGAACCAAACGGACCTATTGCCAACCAGCTGGGACCTCGACTGGATCAGTCACGAGAACACGACGTTTTACTACAATCAGAATGGAGTTCTCATTTTCGGACATTACTTCTGTCCAGAGTAACATCTCCGTTTTCGCCCCTGATCTGAAATTTTACTTGCAGAGGAAAGTGTCAGTATGACAGTACTCGGGCCGACTACAAGAATCAAGTGAATCGGTGGTCGTTCGGTATCATATTCTCCGGATTCATTTGCTTTCTTTTCATCAGCGGAGCAGCCGAAGTCATCTTCAAATGGACCAAGAAACTGATCCGTGGAAGGGGAAAAAACGTGCCGGACTACGATTCGCTCGTGCTCACGGCGAAGAATGAAAGGCAGCAGCAGCAGAGAACCAGTGGGTGAAGGCGTCGCAGACCGTAATCCGCTCCGATTTCTTTTGAATGAAATCATCATTTATGACTGACCACACAAATAAACTCGACATTTTCTTCTGCTTCTTTCTATAACATTCACTTCTGAGCGGCATTCATTTGGTGAGTCTTCTCAAGACAAACTTGGCGGTAGAATCGGGTGAAAGATGAAGTGACATCGACGATGACTCAGATACTGTATGTATATAATCGAATCAGACCGATGCATTCGAAATATTTATTTTATTTCTTTTGCCGCCGTTCTTTCCAATCCACATACTCTTTCAGTCTCACAGAAAAATAACACTTTCTCTATTTCGCTCTCTTTTCTCTTTGCAATTTTCGGGGAAACAAGTGCAAACATTCCAGATTCGCCCCAATTCAGCCCACTCAGTTATCACAACATTTTTCCATTTCATATATATCACAATCTTCTTCTTCTTCTTCAAAAAGTTGTTGGATCGAAAACTGAGAAGAGAGGGCCGTATGACTAACTGAATTGACGGGAGGAGTGTACGATCTGTGTAATGCACTTGTGCAAACAAAAAGAAGAACGGAACGAGTAGGATATTTGAATTTGAAAGTTTAAATGCATTTGGAGAGGACAACGACCTCCATATGGGACTTCTCGAGAAATGACACAGGTGTTGTGTCAGTGTGACGTGGCATTCCATCAAAAGAGACTTTTACCGTTTTCGCGGATTAGTCTCAAGCCCCTCTTGACTTGATTTATGAGCATGGGAAACCGATCGAGCCCGGAGTCTAATGAAAAGTTGAACGAATAAGTGATGGGTATCGAAGTGAGAAAAGTGAAATGAGAAAAACTCAATTGACCCGTGAGATGTCACCTCCAGCTGTAAACGACAGTTCGTGGTAGAGATGGCACCTGGGATCAACTCGTCCTAAATCTGCCCTCCCCCAACTCTTTGTCTCTTCTCGAAAACAACTACAGTCCGTCTGTTCGTCCCTTTTCCTTCGCGTCTTCTCTGTAAACAGCCACCCCATATCGATCATTCACAATATTTCGAAAATCGAAGAAAAATGCCACAAAGGCTTTTCCGCCGCTAATCACCTTTCTTTCCCACAGTTTCAGCCTCTCCTGTGGTCCCCAAACCATTCAAAAATCATCTTCCTCTTCGCTTCTCGCGTCGTGCCCGCCCTCGTCTTGGTGGCCGCAACATGTGAGGCGGGGCCTGTCCGGGGAGGCCTGCCACCCGCCCGTCTTCGTTCGTCTTTTTGTCCACCCATCTAACCACCCGTCGTTTTTTACGCATTGTTCCAGTCACCTTTTAAATCATAAGTCTCCAATTTACTGCTTCTATTCATTATATTTTATTACTCTCACCAATCCGCTCTCATTCTAACCTTTCTTTCAGAATTGATGCACCATTCCCTTCACTGCCAGTAGCTTAATATTCGATTTCAACCCAAAATGATCTTCTCGGTTCTCACTCTGTTATTGCTCTCATCACTCGCAGAAGCTCTTCATATTGGCTCTTGTCTGGGACTTGTTTGCGGCAGAAATGGTCAATGTCTTGTGGGACCAAGCAGCAACAGTCATCCGACGTATTGGTGCAGGTGAGCAGGGGCAAAAGGAGCACATTCCTACGACTGATTAGAGAAGATTGCGCAATAAGATTGATTGCGGCACGCGTAGTTCATACATTCGGGCCCTGATAAGATAGAATTCCAGGTATTCCACAACTCGAGACACGTGTCGCTTTCTCAATTTATGGTTAACTTGACTAATTTATTGATAATTACAATGCGACATTCTCTGTGTCTCGTTCCCATCATTGAAAAACTTGCGCAACAAGAGAAATGGGTGGGTAATGGGGAAAAAGTGGACACCTGCGCTCACTGCGATGAAACATTTCCTTTATGGGAAACCCGACCGGCGGGGCGCCCCGACCACAAGAACACCTGCATTCTGGACCGATCTCGGAAGCGTTCCCAAGCTTTTCCCACACGCAGAGGAAGGGAACCCAATTAACCCGTTCGGGGCTTTGACTGCGGCTGCGATTCTCATTAGAATGCGCTTTTCTCGGACGAAAAATCGCCAAATCGCTAGTTTATAGGCCTGGGAACCGCGGGTGTTCCTCGTAAATCCCTGTCAAAAAAGGACTGGTTCCTTCTGCCAGACCCCCCCCCCCCCCCCCCCTCTTCGTCTGGCGGACTGTCTTCTTGTCTTATCAGTTGAGGGCAACCACCCTGCCGAGGCGTTTACAGCCGTGTTCCCAGGTTTGTCGGCGAGTTGGCCGAGAGCAGAGTCCGACAATAAAACAATAGGATTACGGTGTCGGCGTGCTAATATATACGATCTGCCGCCAATTCCCAGACATTTTTAGGTGTGACGACGGATTTGGAGGCGATTTCTGCGAGCAACGATGCGATCTGAAGTGCGGAAACGACAAGAAGTGTGTATTTGACGTGGATTCGAAGCCATCTTGTGTCTGCAAAGGTGAGCATCTGTGGGCACATCAATCAGGAAGGCGCGCGCCACATTCGCGCCAGAAGGTTGTAGAATGAGTGGGAATGGGACCACATTGCGAAGCGAATGAGCCCTGGTCACTCGTGTTTTCCCACCGGGACCCCGCACCCATCACTCATTTTTTAGCCCTCGGCGGTCACTCTCATGAAATGTCCCTCCACTGGTATCAGCTGCCCCCTTTTTTTGGCGGCTGTCCCCCGACCCCTCAATCCATCATAACTCCACCTTCTTTTGTGATGGCGCCCGCCAATTTGAAATTGCCGAAAAGTTCGGGGGATGTTCTAGCACGCGTCGCTTCCCTCAATAATTCTTTCGACGAGGACAAATTGGACTGTACGCGGCTGCCTGAACCGCCCGTCCCACAGCTCATTTGTCTTGTTGGCGGCCTCAAAGTGACCGCTGATAGATGGTTGCTCGTCGCGTCGGCCGGTCATTCCTTCTAACCGAATCCGTATGTGTTTCATGCGATGCGCTTCTTTTTGGTGCGATTTATGGCCAATGTTCGGAGGGATCGTCGCGCGACCCGATGGCGCCCGACGTTGCCAAACCGAAAGAGAATGACCTAAAAACGAGCAGATGAGCGGACAGACGTGTCTGTCGAAGCAGAAGTCCGAACGGGCGTGGCAGTTGTGGGAAAGTCGGAGAAGAAGTGGTCGGAAGATACTGTAGTCGGGAGGAGTGACACGCCACATCTGACCATATTGGGAACAATGAATGCTTTCAGAGTGTGACAAGAATGGAATCCGACTGACCACGGAGACAATTTGTCCATCCGGATATGGAGGTGAGTACGCAACAATGAGTGATGATGTGAAAAGTGCACGGAAGTCGTGCAAACAATGAGAATCACAGCGCCCTGTAATTAGCTGTTCCGATTACGTAATCAGTAGTTGAGTAAACTTGTTCCGAGCACGATTAGTCACCAGATTAATGATCATTGGAGTACTGTAGCTGTCTCTCAAAACACCCTCATCTTCTGTTGACCCTCCCATGACTACTCGTCCTTTCTCTGCCCCGTCAATACCGATCATCTTCGGCCGAATCAGTCTATAATTACTCCCGTTGGCGTCCGTCTTCTCGTGATAAAGGTCGTGGGAACGGCGCGAATCTTTCGGCGCAGTTGGAGACCGAAGTGAGAACTGTAGGGAATCCCGCAGAGCGCACTTGCTCCATCTGGTGTCGGAGCAGATCCGATCTCAAATGCACCGTGTTGCGTGTTTCCCTAATGAGATTGACACCTAGTATCACAAAGGAAATCTTCCGTTTCGGTGGTTAATGAGGGATAAGGAGGGCACAAAAAACAAACTTCCGGCGCAATTTAAATGAGATACGATCGTGTCGTCATTTGAATGAAACACTTTCTCATGGCTATCAAGTGGTGATGTCACAAGTGGATTTACGGGAACACGTTGTTGTAAATGCACGTGTGCACAAGGATTAGTCTCGGGCATACTGTAGTGGCAAGCAAAAAGTACCTTGTGATTTCCAATTTGTGATTGACGGCCACTCATCTCATTTCCCTCGAAACAGTAGTACTTACAAATTGCGGTACTCCTCAAAGTAGACCAATTGCAATGAGTTTGCGGCGGTCACTTTTGATGTGAACTGCCCGTTTGTGTGTTGCGAATTCGATACTTCTGGGAATGACCGCACGGGGATTAACAGAAGAAACACTAACTTTTGACTGACGGAGGGGTATGCAAGTGTTTGTTTTCAGGAGACAAGTGTGTCATTCCGGGATGGTGCTACCCTCATTCATGCGAAAACGGAGGACTTTGCGTTGGAAGTGGAGCCGGTGCCCAGTGCGTGTGTGCTCAAGGATTCGCTGGAGAACGATGTGAAATGGACGTGGACGAGTGTTCGGACGCGAAAGTCTGTGGATCGAGTGGTTCATGCGTTAACACGGTGAGTCTGGTACCCCAGCTCCCTCTGCGCCCTTTTTTCGATTTTCCGAGATTGTGACAATACCGTAGAAAATTCGAAACCCGTAATCTACGGGTTTCGAATTTTCTACGGGTTTGTCAAACTCTCTCGATTTTCCCATCGCTTACCGTAGTTCGCAGCTGGCGATGCGAATCGACACACAGGCGGCCGTCTGAGCGACGACAAAGAGAATCGCCGCTTTTGTGTGATTCAGAATATTTCGCGATTCAAGGGCGGGCGCGTGCAAATATTAATAGAAATATGCATTTCCGGGTGACAAGAGTTATTAGCAACAGTGTTTGTGGATGGCTATGTAACTGACAGCCAAGTGGGTGTCAAGTTGCCTTCTTGACTTTGTCTTCGCATAAGCCAACGACTATTACATTGTTAATCCTTCCGTTTTCAGCATGGCTCCTATGTTTGCGTCTGCCCAAAGGGACTCCTTCCTCCGGATTGCTCGAGGTCCGGAAATCAAACGGAAACTGATGGCAATAAGACTGCCTGCTTTTTGAAATCAAGCCTGGAGCGCCTGAATGGACAGAGCATGTACTGTCAGAATGGAGGAGTCTGTGACACGACATTCAAGCAGCCGAAGTGTCACTGCCCTCCTGGCTTCGAGGGATCTTCCTGTGAAATTCGGTCAAGAGCGGAAGGTCCGTGTGCGAACAGCCCATGCCAACACGGGACTTGCGTTTCGTTCCCGGGAGGATTCCAATGCGTTTGTGACGACGGATACGGAGGATCGTACTGCGACGAAGGGCAAGACAACTGCGCTGATAACAAGTGCGACTCCGGCTCCGTGTGCATCAACGGAATCAACTCGTACTACTGCGACTGCCCTCTGGGTAGAACCGGCCAGTACTGTGACAAAGTGGACTGCAATGCGATTCCGGGAATGTGCAACCATGGAACATGCCTTCATTCCCCCCTCTCCGATAAGTCATTCGAGTGCCAATGCGAACCTGGATACGAGGGAGAGCTGTGCGACATGGACAAGAACGAGTGCCTCTCCGCCAACATGTGCCTCAACAACGGAACATGTGTCAACTTGCCGGGATCTTTCCGATGTGATTGCCCTCGCGGGTTCGGAGGAAAATGGTGTGATGAGCTGGTTGATATGTGCGAAAACATTCGATGTGAGCACGGAGGACAATGCATGCACACTTTGGAGAGATCTCCAATCTGCCAATGCAAGAACGGGTTCATCGGGAAGCGATGCGAGAAGGAATGTCCTTCTGGAATCGGAGGAGTCCGCTGCGATATTCGCTTGGACACTGAAATCTGCTCACGACAAGGAGGAAAGTGTTTCAACGGCGGAAAGTGTATCTCTGGATTCTGTGCTTGTCCTCCTGACTTCACTGGAAACCAGTGCGAAATTTCGAGAAAAGAAGCGGCCAAGATGGCCTCAGATAACACGTGTCAGTCGGAACCGTGCATGAACAACGCCACTTGCATCAACGTGGATGCTCATATCGGATATGCGTGCATTTGCCAGCAAGGATTCGAGGGAGACATCTGTGAGAGACACAAAGGTTATCCAAAAGAGGCTAGAAAGGAATTAACTGGCATATTTTCAGATTTGTGCGTTGAGAATCCATGCGCAAACGGAGGAAGATGTCAGCAGAAACAGGAGTCTTTCGCCTGCCATTGTCCATCTGGATTCCACGGAGAGCGGTGCGAGATGGAGAAGAAACTGATTTGTCACAACAGGTACAGAAAGAGCGCTTCCCTTTCCTTTTTATTTTGTATATTTCAGCACTTGCAAGAACGGAGGAATGTGCCACAGTGATGGAAACACTACCAAGTGCGAGTGTTCTTATGGATTCACGGGACCACGGTGCGAAGAGAAACTCAATCTGGGAGAGTTTTATGACAAGGAATCGTGAGTTGTTACAGTGCCTACAATATTCACAAGTTGGATTTCAGTTTGTTCCGTTCCATCTGCGAGAAAAGAAAGTGCCAGGAGAGAGCGAACGACGGGAACTGTGATGCGGACTGCAACTACGCCGCCTGCAAGTTCGACGGAGGGGACTGCTCCGGGAAGCGGGAGCCCTTCGCCCGCTGCAATTATGGCAACATGTGCGCAGATCTGTTCGCAAACGGCGTCTGCAATCAGGCTTGCAACAACGAGAACTGTCTCTATGACGGAATGGACTGCATGTCGGCGGTTGTTCGGTGCCCCGCCAAGATCCGAGAATATTGTGCCGCCCGGTTTGCCAACGGAGTTTGTGATTTGGAATGCAATGCGGATGGTTGCGGATTTGACGGAGGCGATTGTGCGAACAAGACGGAAGCCACTATTCTGACGGACATTCGCATCAAGATTCAGATGAATCCTGCAGAATTCCAGACAATCGGAGGACCGGCGATGATGGAGATCAGTTCGGCTCTCCGTGCAGCAGTCAGAATCCAAAGAGACGAGGAAGGTCCACTGGTGTTCGAATGGGACGGAGAGAAAGAAGGAAAACGAGTGGAGATGGATGTGAAGAAGCTCGCCGAGCAAAGAGTTCTCTCTACTTCGGTTATCAGAAAGATCAGAAGTGCATTGAGCATCGGAGGAGAAAGCAAAGGCGTCGCGGTGTACTTGGAAGTGCAAGAAGACTGTGTGCGTGGAAAGTGTCTGTACAGAGATGCTCAGAGCATCGTTGATATAATATCTGCCCGACTTGCCAAGAAGGGAACCGATTCGTTCGGGGTTCCGATCTCCGAAGCGATGATTGCGACGCCGAGTAAATCTGGAGAGTTCAAAGGTTCCTCGTGGAACAACATTATCTACATGGCCGGAGCGTTTTGCATAATGGGAGTAGCCGTGGCGGGAGTTCTGTCCGTTAAGGACAATCGTAACCGCAAACGGAGAATGGTAAATGCTCCAGTGTGGATGCCGCCAATGGGCAACGACGATAAGAATCGGAGGCAACAGTCAATCAACTCGAGCCAGCATTCTCTACTCGAAGCCAATGGATACTACGATCCGAAGAGACAGCGATCAGAATACGAAGTGGATCAGAACGGGCAGTACAGCCAGTTCTATCCTCAGTCTTATCGGAATGGGTACATGGAGCCGTACGGAACAGCAACTCATGTGAACAACAAGCATCCGGAACAACAGAGACACCAGGAATCGGTTGTTCACCACATGTCAGTTTTCTCTTTCTTCTAATTCTTTGTACATTATCAATTTCAGACCTCTTCTTCAACAAGCCGCCGGTGTAGATGCTATTATCGGGCCGATCACCAAAGAATCCGTTCGACTGAAAGATCCAGTGAACAACCGAACAGTGCTACATTATCTGGCTGCCAACATAAACGGAAAACCAGAAGACTTGATTGGAATGGAGGTTTCCAAGTGTATTCAAGCGGGAGCAGATGTAAATGCGATGGATCAAGATGAGAATACGCCTCTCATGTTGGCGGTCCGTTCCCGGAGAGTCAGACTGGCCGTGATATTCATGAAAGCTGGAGCTGATCCGACGATCTACAACAAATCGGAAAGAAGTGCTCTTCACGAAGCGGCGGTGAACCGAGATTTGATAATGATGCAGAGACTGTTGACTGACAAGCGAATCGTTAGAGATATCGAAGAACTTGATCGGAATGGAATGACTGTCCTCATGACGATTGCACTGAAGGAAGGAGAGTTCCAAATCGAAATGGCACAGCTTCTTCTGGCGAAAGGAGCAAAGATCGATTCGGACGGAAAGTCTCGTGTGGACACGGAGAAGTACTCCGGACGGACGGCACTTCATTACGCGGCCCTGTTTGACAACCTGCCGATGGTGGAGTTCCTTGTTTCCCAGAATGCGAATAAAGACAAGCAGGACGAGGCAGGACAGACTCCGATTATGCTGGCGGCCAAGTGCGGCCACGAGAACACTGTCATGATGTTGATCAGAAGTGGAGCGAGCGTGGAAGCAGTCGACTCAATGGTAAGTTCGAAAAAATGCCACTTACTTCCAATTGACACGTCATTCTCAAATTACAGGACTTCTCCGCCCGACAACTGGCGATGGTCAGCAATCATCGGCACATCGTCGAGATCCTCGACCAATACCGTCCGAACCTCGAATATCAGGGAGAAATGAGACATTTGCAACAAGGACCGCAGCAGGCAGCTCCACCGACGAATCGGAAAACGGCTCGTGCAACATACAAATCGGTCAAGAAACAGACGAATCGGAAGAAGGAGCAGCCATCATCGCGAGATTCCACTCACTTGACTCCGCCCCCTTCCGATGGTTCCACGTCTTCTCCGTCCCCGCAGCACTTTCTAGCCACTTCGCACACGACTCCCACGGGTTTGAACTACATGAGCCCCGATTATCAGCCTGAAGTGGCCGGCGCCGAAGCTGTGAGTTTTTTTCTGAATCTTCCAAATTAAACGAGTCGTTTTTTCAGTTCCAGCCGCAATGCAACGCCCATCCGTCCGGAGATATGTGGTTCACTGCCTCTCCAACGTACGCTCCGATGTCTCAGAACGAGCCGATGATGCACCGCCCCGAAGCGGCTTATCAGTACTACTAGCCAGTCGGCCACTCCTCCCACTTCCACGGGTTATCTCGGTTTCCTCTCCCTCGTGCTCATTCAGGCCACTTCATAATGCCATTACTCTCGTTTTGTTCGTGCTGAATTCAACTTCTACGCATTTGTATCTGGGTTCACGGGTCTAGTGCTCAATTATCTGTACTGTTTCCACATTTTAATAAAGTGAATATATATAAACTTACTGAACTTGCGTTTTCACCAATTTATTTGACAGACGTGAATATAAAACATTCATGCAAAATCACAATTCAATCAATCTATTGCTTTCCGTTTCCGTTGACCGGGGTGTTCAGCGCGGCTCTCTTGTTCAGATAAGCCGTGATGTTTGGGCGCTCGGCGAATCTCTCATGGAACTTCTTGAGTGCCGGCGTTCGTTCGAGAGCGGTTGGCGTCAGGATGAGATGGATGTCGAGCTCCTCAAAGAGCACGTAGTCCGCGAAGCTTTCCTTATCACCGGCAACGAAGTGCTCTCCGTTTTTGTAGGTACGGAAGAGTTTCTCCAGACGGGCCAGCTCGACCGGAAGAACGTCCTTGATGTACGACTCCTTTTGGTTCTCGTAGTCTCCGTAGATCATTTGAGCATACTTGTTGTGAAGATCACGGAGTCCTTCGAAGAACATGTCGATGAACGTCGTCTCGGTCTCGTTGGATCCGTTCAGGCCTGAAAAACCGGAGAAACTAGTGATTCAATAAATGTTTCCGAAGTGGCTGCTCAGTTTAGCTCTCTAATGTTCCCTCTCACTCACCATAGATACGGGCCAGGTGACGGAGAATGGCTCCCGATTGGACGAGCTCCTCATCACCGATCTGCAGGCACGGCACCTGACCGAAGATCTGAAAAAAGACTCATCATACCACAAACATCGACGCTCATTTCAACCATCTTTGGCTTCAGCTCAGCCCATTGATCACGGCTGATACGGTTGTCCTCGTAGGCGATTTGCTTGTCAGCGAAGATGAGACGCACCGGCTCGGCGAGTCCGCGAATGTCAAAGTAAGAGAGCTTCAGAGCCATTTCGAACGGGCACACCTGCAAAACGGCCACGTGCAAAGAGAGAAGAAATGTTTGGGAAAACAGCAAGTGTGCGAACTGGTCGCGAGAGATGGCTTTTCTAGTCGACCAGAGGTTCGAGGGGTGCCAGACAGAGGGGAAGAGAGCACTGGCGACAGAGAGACAAAGAAACGTGGCCGTAATAAGATGAAAACAAAACTCTAGACGACCCACGACTAAGATCACATTCCGGTTCAAAAATATCAAAATTACTACGAGAACACGGCGATTTTTCCGCTTGCGCCTTCAGACAAACTCAAAATTATCGATCCCCGAAAAAAAAACATATTGCGGTGGAGCGCACTTGCAACAACTTCTGGAAAAGTTCGGCTTTTTCAGGAATCAGAGTTCATGGGGATACTGTACACGGTTTCTCGGATTCATACGTTTTCAGGCGTTTATTCCGTTTTCAGTTTACTTGTTCGAATACAGAATCTGCCGTTGACAAATACATGTGCATACAAAAACCTCTCGATCAAGTAGTACATGTATTATTTTCGTTTGTTTATATGGACAAAAACTTGTTTTGAATTAGTTTATTATTCAAAAGAGATAATCAGATTGGTCTGTTAATTTAGGTCCTCTGTCTTCATTTCCTCGTACTTTTCTGTTTGCGTCATCGGCTTCCCGAATTTTCGATTGCTTTTTGTTCGCACTCAGTCGAAACCAGATTAAAAACGACGCAGAGAAACTATGACCAATAAAACAGTCTCGAAAAAGTGCGAATCGTCCTAATTCTACTATCACTTCCGTCGCATTCTATTCGAAGCGCTTCGGGAGAGACGCTCCACAGAAACTTCTCGGCGGTCTTGGTTAAATAGTGCTTGCTGTCTGCCCGGCTGCGTCTCTTTCCGTATCTCAGTGTCTCCTCCACGTGGTCGATGGGTTTGCTGCGCGAACCTTCTAGAACAATCCTCTCTATTCCCGAAGGAATCTCTCCGCGTTCAAAAGGACCCTTTCCTCCCACGCACTGTCCACTTTTTCCATAATTTGTTGACGTTTTCGGCATAAAGACCGGTATTTCATTGCCCCCCCCCCCTCCCCCCACCTTCTCGTTTCATTCGTCGCTTCGTCATGTTTATCGCATTTTTTCCGTATTCAGAACTTCTTTTGTTTGCAGAAATGACACAACTTACCAATTTCAACGACACATACTGCAATCAGAACTCGAACTTTCATCAATTTTATAACTTTGGCTCGCAGCGTAACCCAGAAGTGCAATATTATGTACGAGAGCCGAACGGAAAACGCCCATTCCCCGTCGAATTCGAACTGGTAAGTAGGCGCATTGTGTAAAAAAACATGGGGAAAAGAAAGTGCGTTAGAGCTCTCAGAAAACCACCTGCTCCAGATTAGAAAGGCGGGGAGACGCCGCAAAAGTAGATGGAAACGAGGAGTCACGTGCTACCTCTCTTGGATTACATTTGCTTGGCTGAGCGTGAACGGCAACGAGAAGAAAAGGCCGAGAGTTGCATTCTCTCAGTTTCCCGTAAACAAAATCATTCAAAGGGTACGCGCGAAAAAAACGACATGTGACCTTTTGAAGTTGGCGCCCTTTTTGGCGGCACCCACGATTTAAATTTGTGATAATGTCGGCTACTTGCTTTTTGTTCGAACTCCCATGTTTTCCCGCGTAACCTTTTTCTAGAGTGCTGTTTTTCGTAATCTGCGGTATTCATGATTGAAGTAATTGAATTGCTGAGTGAATTGGGAAATTATAACCCTTAACGCCATAACTACTTGTTTTCTGAAACAGTCAAAGCTTCGTTCGTTCAATTCTCCGATCGATTAGCTTTAATAACACTCATCTGATAAATTTCCAGATGTGAGAAAACTAAGTGTTCGTTTCGGTTCTCACTCGTTTAGGCGCATTCTCATGTCTTCTGTCCCTTATCAAATATTTGCACTTCGCCCCCACTTCTTGCCTAATTTCGCCGTCCTCTCCTCTCTGTTCCGTTCCATTCCTCGTTTATATTCATTAGTAGTTGACTGATTATTTCTACAGAAATGTCGGCGAATGTGACGTTGTCGGTGTGGTTCACCGAATGTCTGTCCCTCTGCGTTTTGTGTATTCCCTAGCTCTGGGGTGTGTCGCCGCAGCAGCAGCCTGGTCGCCTCGGCTGTCTCGCGTGCCTTGTTCTTCCTCGCTTCTAAGCAGATTACCTCCCCTTCACTAACCAGTTCGAGCATTGATCCACTGTTTCCAAAATCAAGAAGGAAGAAAGGTGAAGAAACCTCCGCCTTTCTAATCGATGCGTCCTTACACTCGTCACCAGTTCCCTTTATCAATGAAACCCTCTTCATTCCGCCAGAAATTGTAATAACGGAGTTGCAGGACATGGAATATGTGCCGAAAGCGAAAAGAAAGTTCGATAAGATAAGCGCGTGCCTGGAGAACTTCTCAATATCCAATGATGAACCGTCTCGAATCAACTTGTAAGTGGCACCTTTTTCAATATTAAGTCTTCTGAAAGAAGTTTTACATCAAAATTAAAAAAAGAAATAACCGTCCATCCTGGTTGCAGAGACTTTTCGTCAGATGAGGAAATGGAGGAGATTGGCGACGAGGGAAACGGTCCATCCTCATCCGCTCCTCTCGTTGTTGAGCCCGACGACGAGCCAGCCGTTCCCAAGAAGATTCGGTTGGACGAGTCGGTTCAGAAATATCTGCAGAAGTGTCGTCAGGAACCATATCTTTTCCTTCCAAAGTAAGATCTTAAACTGCATTCATAACTCTATTTTGACTTTTGCAGAGGTGAACCACTGAAGGGAAACGAGATGGTCATCTGGCAACCACGACTGCTCATTTCGCCAAAGAACGACTTCAACATGGTCGGCCGAATCCAAGAGATCGACGATGAAGAGGAGCAACGCGTCAACGAAAAGATAAAGGAGCGCATTATCGAGAATGAGGGCATGGTGGACGCGGATGCGGACGAGGAGACGACCACAGGAATAGTCGAGCTGAGCTACGGCTCGGATCACAGCGACATCGGTTCTTCGTGGAACTCTCCCATTCCATCGCCATCTTCGCAAATCGTCGAGCTGGACGCGGACTCGCCGAGCAGTTTGACTAACGGCAGTGTTACCGATGAAGATATGATGGAATTTGACGATTGATTACGGGCCAGCAAATTCGGGTTTTCTAATGTATACATGTTGACGTGCTCACATTCTTGTTTCCCTTTTTGCCTTTCGTTCTGTTTTGTTTTAATAAAACTACTTTTTGAAAGTTCTTTGAGTGTTTTGTTGTCTGCGTCTCGATCACAAGTTCAATATTTCGCTCAGTTGGTCGTAAACAGCGGCAGTATTTCGTAACATACTGATTGCTAATATTAAGTTCAGTAGATACTTCAGTAGGAATACATCACAGTCTGCGCCTCTTGAAAAAGTGATCGACAGATTTGTTTTACTCATTTTCTCAACCTTTTCCATTCTTGGTCGCACCGACCATGCGTCTTTTTTCGTCCGTAAACATTGTGAATCATAGTGATATCTATAGATAGGGCGTGGTTTTCCTCCTTTTCTGGACCGAAACATTGAAAAGTTCGAGAACGCGAATTCAGGGAATATATACTAATTTATGAAATACAATCAAAATAATCTCGCCATATTTGAATCAAAGGGCGTGTTTGCGAGCAGTGTTTGTTAAGTACAGTTCGTACTAGACAAAAACAAGGTTTTGGAGAAAAACATTGTGAAATCTGAATTAACTTACTCCCCACGACGGCCTTGTTGATCATCTTGCAACCGAATCACGGGGTCTTATCGATCGTTTCCTCCTTGCTAATGGTTTACTTTCGCATCTCTTTTGAACTCTTTTCCATTTCTCGTATTTATGTTCAATTATGCCACTTCTATTATGCCACTTTCAGAATGGCCTCTGCCGCGAAGAACTTTCCGATTGTCGAGACGGACGGCGAAAAGTATGTCATATTCACGGACAAATCGATCGGAAGAGGGGCCTACTCGGAGGTTTATGAGGGACGGACGGCTCCCGGCAGGCTCGTGGCAATCAAAACTGCTTGCAAACGGGCAGAGATACAGGCGATGAGGATTGAAGTCGAGATACTTCGGAAGCTACGAGGATCCCCGAACATCGTGCAATACATCGGAAGTGTGAACGAGAGAATGGCTCCCGGATCAGTTCCCGCCGAGACGTTCTCGTTCGCAATGGAATACGCACGAAGTAGTTTGGAAGCAGAGATGAGGAGACCAGAAAACCTGAAAGGATTGCCTGCTGACGTGCTCATCGACCTGGTTGTTGATTGCTGTGAGAAATAATCTATTATCAAAGTTTAATCTGTTTATTTTTCCAGCATTGGCGCTCTCGGCTCTTCATCGGAACAATATAGCTCACAGAGATATCAAGCACATGAACATCCTTTTGTTCCCAGGATCTCCTACTCACGGGAGACGATCTTGCCATCTTTTCAAACTCTGCGATATGGGATGCAGCAAGGCTCTGTTGGAGGAGAGTTCAAATGAAATGCGAACACTTGTTGGAACTCCCAATCTGCTGGTCAGCTTGGAAATATAACCTCTCCGCAATTTTTGTATTTGCAGCACCCGTATCTTGCCAAAGAAATGGTAGACCCGCAAATGGATCAGAACCTTCACGACTGGAGAACGAAGAAAGCGTACACTCCGGAGCAATGCGATCTTTGGTCTCTCGGATGCACTCTCTACTTTTGCGCAACTGGAAAATTCCCATTCGATCACGAAAGGAACAACAAACGACTGTACTACAACGCCGTAAACGCTCTCACTCAGAACCCCGATGCAATCGGAATGACTCCAGTGACCAAAGGAAGAGATTCGGGCAGAAATGAGATGATCATCGAGTTCGAGCCGGTCACCGAGCTGCCAGCCAAGTACACACGATATCCAAGATGGCTTGTGTGCACACTGACGTGTATTATCCGACAGTTCTTCCACAATCCTTCAATCGAAGATTATGCGAAAGTGGCGAATGCAATGCGAACTGCCAGAAGACGGACGTTCCTCTCTGTGGACCAGCTGAGTGTCATCGACCATACGGACATGTCCAATGTTTCTTACGTGGGATTCTGCGTTCCTACTCTCTCGGTTTGTTTGGGTTATCCGGAAGGAACCAATCTGCGACTCATTTCGAATACATCCACGCAGTATATCGACTCGAAACTGAAATCTCTGGAATGCTTGCACGATGATATTTACCTGGTCGATCCACAAGTGAGCATGGTGAATGTGAGGAAAATAATGGCAAGAAACACGGATTATCAGGAGTTCGAGGATATGATCGATCGGAAATTGGTAGAAATTCGTTCCAAGAAATGCTATGATGGGCTGACTATGCTAACGGAAACAGACGAATACTGTGAACTGTTCGAGCGGACTTCCAAGATTCTGACGACACAGTTCAACCTGTTAGTCGACGAGCTGAGCCATTTCGAACGCGTTCAGACTACTTCCCGTTTCGCTGTGTACATCGACATGGCGTCTGTTCCGATGATTCTGTTCGACGGGTCGAATCCGGGAACGAAGAACATTTCGGAGAAGTGCATTCAACAAGCAAAACAAGCGAGGGAAGAATTGGAAAGGCATGCAAGGATGACCATGAATATTGAGCAAACGGCGAAGCAATTGGCGAGGGATTCGAAGGAACTTCAGCTCGACGACGTCGATTTGCCGGGGATTCGACTGGAACTTGAATCCTATCTCTTCTATAGAAAGACCGACATTTTGGCAACGCGCGAATATTCTCAGTCCTTAGTCTTGAAATGTCTGAAACGAAGAAACCACGTAATGGAGCAGATATTCAAGTCGCCAGATGGTATCAGGAAGAGCAAGTTGAAGCATGCGATGGACTTGGCAGCATCTCTTAATCAACTACGATCCGACTACCACAAGTTGCAGAACACCATTTCGGAGTGCGTCGATTTGCTTGAAAGGCCATTCCAAGAGATGAAGGAAATTGTGAATCGACATCTGCAAGAACAGGGACATTCTCGGAACTCAATGGAGCGTTCCATGCGGTTCCTGGCGCCAGAGTTCCGTGAGGATCAGAAGCGAGTGAAGGCGGTGACACGGTCCAGCAAAGAACTCGTGCATCAATTGAATCGAGAACTCGAAGATTCAATCAAGCAGTTAGGTTTCGTCCGAATTGGTGACACTCTGATGAAGGCGGAATCAGAAGAACGGACATTAGTGCGACCCGAGGAGGAGGCGCAGACAGGCAGAGTGAGTACTTAGAATGTCCGTAATTACTGATAAACACTCGATAATTTCGGAAAGTAATCCGATTTTCGTAAGGCATTACTAATTAATCCGTTTTTCTATATCGCTAGTTTTGTGTTTTCAGAAAAGTTTGCGTCCAACACCTTTCACTGAAGCATGTTGTGCATCGGGATCAGTTAACCAGTCGCCGAACTCACCGAAGTCCGCGGATACGAGCGTGTACGTGTCCTTTTCACATTGCAATTTCAGCTAGTTAGCGCGAGTATATCTAGTTTCCTTTCGCTTTCAGCAGTTTATACTTCTGGCTTCCGCTTTAATGCACTTATCACTTTTTTCATCCCTGGTTTTCAGTATTAAGATAATGAAAATAAGAAAGACGCGCAGAGAAAACGGAAACGAAAGCGTCGTCGTTTGTCGAGTTTGTGAGCAAGAAAAGAGAAGAAAATCCTCCGGCAAAAGGCACTGATTCCCCCCTTCTCCGCACTCAAACTTGTTCCGTCTGTTGTGATGAATATCGGTTGATGAAGTAGTGAAAAATTTTCAGAACAACCACTGAGGAGAGTGATACGTCTCAGCTGACCTACTCCAGTTCCGAGATCAGCACTGCCTCTGTCGAGTCGACGCCGCCATCGTCGCCTCCGAAAGACGGGACAACCTATCTGCAAGTAAGTTCCGCTTTCCTTTTGTTTTCGGCCAAGGCCCCGCCTCCATTGTGTGCCCGTCCCTCTCACTCGACCACTTTGCAGGCCGTCATGCAGTATTTCAAGCCGTCGTCCGAAATGTAACGTGAATAATTTCCTGTATATATCCTGTATATTTCCTGTACTGCTAGTCATTCTTCTGTATTCTCTTCTGCACTCCAAAGACCGGAAATTTGAAAACAGCATCGATTTCTTTCGTGTCTGTTCCTCTTCTTCTCCGTCCCAAATACTTCATCATCCACTCACTCGGATTGTTTCTTTGTATCATTGATCGCGAACACTCACCTTGTAAATAGCCTTCCCTCTCCAGTTTCCATTTTCGCACGCGTATTCCGAATGAAGTATCACTCGGATTATCCCCACTAGCTCGAAGAAAAATAAGCCATTTGTTTCTCATTTCTCAGACGGAATTGCCAGTTTTTGCTTTCTTGTCCGTGCTCGATCTTTCTAATTGTTTTAATAAGTTTCAGATGGATCACTTTCTCAAATTATTGCCCAAATTGACGCCTCAATTGAGAAAGGTGAGATGTCGTCGGTTCGGGATTATTTCCCAGGAGTAAGGCGAATTATTTGGAGAGCAACGGAGGAAGGTTTTATGGTTGAATGGAAAGGAAATTACTGGTGGAAAATTGGAGTAAACAGCGCTCGTTTCTTTCTTTTTCCAATTGAATTCAATTTGAAAGATGAAGGAATAGTTTAGTTTGATAAATAATTCTATCCCTCTTATCTGCAAGAATAGAAACGCATTCAACAGAATAATTCATGAAATGGTGTTTGAAAAGTACATTTTGAGTTCAGGGTGACTGTGGGAAAATCGCCGTGATCGGTGGATCCATCGAGTACACGGGAGCTCCATTCTTCGCCGCAAATTCGGTCGCCCATCTCGGGGCCGACCTCATCCACGTCTTCTGCTCGGCAGATGCGGCTCCGGTCATCAAAGGATATTCTCCCGATCTGATCGTCCATCCCGGAATGACTGCCGCTTCGATTCTTCCGAAGCTCGGCCGAATGGATGCGATTGTGATCGGACCAGGACTAGGGAGAAATGCGAGCATTTGGCCGTTGATGCAGGACCTTTTCCAGTTCGTTAAAGGAAAAAACGTGCCATTTGTGATTGACGGCGTAATTCAAAAGTTCAAAGAGTGTGAAATGACGTTTAATTTGCAGGACGGCCTGTGGTTTGTGTCAGAGCACATAGAAAAGTTCCCACGGCAGATGGTGAGCACGGTGCTCACTCCGAACTTTGTCGAGTTCTCCCGCTTGTGCAAGTCGGCTCTCGGAGAGGAAGATGTGCTCGGAGTGAAGAGTCACACGCAACTGCAGCACTTGGCAGCCGAACTGAGCAGAAAAATGGATGTGACAATATACATGAAAGGAGAGGTGGATCTGGTTGTTACTCCGAATGGAGAAGGTCAGTCAATTGCTCTCTACACCCAGAAAACGAAATTGTCATTACAGTGTCGAGATGCTCAACCGATGCAAGTCTCCGTCGATGCGGTGGTCAAGGAGATGTGACTGCCGGCAGTCTGGGACTCTTACTCTACTGGGCTCAGAGGTCTGCCACTTCAATAACAAAGCACACAAAAACAGAGACACTTCAGAAACCTCGGCGACGACTGGACATCAGCACATCACGAGGCAGGAATAGCTGCAAGTTGGTTGGTCAGAACAGCAGGAAGACGAGCATTCGAAAAGCACGGACGGTCGATGAACACGCCTTCGATGCTCGACGAGATTCCGAAACTAGTACAAGACGTGGAGACGCGCGAACTGAAAGATGTCGTTCACTCGGACAGCTCTAAACATTGATTGATCACGAATAAAACCATTGTATATTGTTCGGGTGCATGACGAGGAGGGACCGAGATGAGCGAGATATCCGGTTGAGGCCATTGACGGTCAGACGGGGGGAACCCTTCTTGATGTCTGATCTCGGCCGTTCTCTGCGATTATTCTTCTGAGAACCATTAGAAGAGATGTTCCTACGGTAATTTGATACTTCGGTTCGAACAAGGAAGAAAAAATCACTATCTATCACGAATTATCAGAAGTGACAATTCACTTCCTTTCCTTTTTCATACTCTTCAGTCCAATTTGAAACTTATCTTCCAACAGATATTGTCCGATTTGATTCTGCGGTTTCCGCCGCTCTACACAAATAATGTTTGCCTATCAAATTTTTGTGTCGCTCCTCACTTCAACGGTATCATGTTCTGGTGCTCTCAAGTGCTTTCTGCCCCTTAATGCCTATATTTGGTGAGGATGGAATCCGCTCTCAAACTGGTCATTATCTACCTCTCTCATCTGCTTTTCCCCTTTTCTGAACACTTCATCTCCAATTCGCTCTTCCTCATTCGCTTCCACCCAACTGAAACTGAAACTGCAACCAAACTCCAAAAATCGCACCGGAAAGTGTTCGATCACAACGATCACCACCTTTGCATTTGCATTTCATTTCGTTATGTTGATGTTGATACAAATATTATGAATGGACGACCAACTCCGTCACTCTCCTTTGTTCTGAATGGGAGTGCCACGTCCCTCCCACTTACAAATGTTTCTTCTTCTCGGGGACTTTTGATCGGAAACAGGCTCACTTAGATCATTTTTCCTAATTCCCTTGCATGGTCATTTCTCTCTCTTTCCTTTCAGATATGAGTATGAAACCAACCCAACGTGCTCTGATCCGGAAGGTTCTGGTGCTTCTCGGTCCTCTCGTGGCAGTCCCCCTCTTGTTTTTCGGCCCGGTGAGTCTCTCCCTGCTCACCGTGCTCTTTGACCTGAACTCGTTCATTTCAGGAGTACAGATGTCTGTTCTCCATCGTCTTCCTCTCCATTTACTGGATCGGAGAGGCATTTCCGATCGGAGTCACTTCCCTCCTGCCTTTGGCTCTTTATCCGATCCTTCAGATTGTCCCGTCCAAACAGATCAGTCCTGTATACTTTAAAGTGAGCATCGGTCGAATTCAAAGTCCCCATCTTTGATTCAGGATTCGATTGTTCTTTTCATGTGCACTTTGATCATGGCAATGGCAGTGGAGGCAACTGGTCTGCACAGAAGAATTGCACTGAAATTGCTGACGAAGGTGGGCGCGAAGCAGCCAGTGTAAGGGGAGGATTCGATTACTGTGACCGACATTTAACAGTTTTACAGAATGCTTCTCGGCTTCATGTGCATCACCAGTTTCATGTACGTTCATAATACTTCCAATAGTGTGTGCAGTTTCTCTTCCAGATCTTTTTTCGTCTCCGATACGGCTTGCACCGCCCTGATGTGCCCGACTGCAGTTGCTCTTCTGATGAGCATGTCAGACGCCGTTCAGCATGTGAAAGATGGAGAAAAGAAGAGAAAACCGGTGCCTGAGGATGCGAGTGTCGCCGAGAGACTGAGGATTGAAGAGATGGCTCCGCAAGACGCTGGCTTCTGCAAAGCACTGATCCTCGCATGTGCTCACGCGTCTCTAATCGGGGGAACTGCTATTATCACTTCCACAGGACCCAATTTAGTGTTCAGAGAGAACATTAACAAGTCGGTTGTTTCTATTGCGGCAGAACACAGATCTTTACTTTCAGAAGGTATGCGGAAGGGCAGGTATCAATGACATATTTGCAGTGGATGGTATTTGCCATTCCGCCAGTGATTCTCTATCTACTCGCTTCTTATGTGATCCTTGTGGTACTCTCCAGATATATCCAAATACCCTCATTCACTCACTTTTCAGTGTTATTTCATGGGACCATCCACGTTGTTCAAGTGGTTTGAGAAGACCTCAAAAGAAGAAGAACATTTAAAGAAAGTTGTGGAGAAGAACATTCAGTTGATGTATGAACAGTTGGGGGATATTTCGTGAGCACACGCAGCTCTTTGTTCAAAAAAAGTAACATTTTCCAGTTGGGGAGAGAAGTCGGTCTTCGGCCTTTTTGTCCTTCTTATTGGTTCGTGGATATCTAGGGATCCGGGTTTCGCTCCGGGATGGGGAGATCTTCTTCCTCATCGGCACTACCTGTCCGACAGTGTCTCCGGAATCCTTATCGCTTGTATACTCTTTATTTGGCCAAAAGATCCATTCGATTCCGCTGATCCGTTCGCTCCCATCCTCAAATGGACAGACATGAAGAGCAAGTACTCGTGGTCTTGCACACTGTTAATCGGTGCTGGATATGCCATCTCGGAAGGGGTTGATGTAAGAGAACACGAAGATCCAATTACATTACACTACGATTGATTCATTATTCCAGAAATCAGGACTGTCCCGTTTGATATCGTGTGCCATGAGGAAAGTATTTGTGGGAATGAGCTCTTTTCCACTACAATGTAAGTGATTGGGAACAATTGAGAGAAAAGGGAACGGTTTGCAGTGACTGTGACAACGACCATAGTGATAATGACAGAGTTCGCCAGCAACGTTTCGACCGGAAGCATCTTCATCCCAATCTCCCTCGGAGTGGCCGAATCCATGGGGGTCCATCCGCTCTACCTCGCCCTCCCGACCACCGTCGCCTGTTCTTTCGCCTTCATGCTTCCCATCTCGACTCCTCCGAATGCAATTGTCTACGACACCAAGGTTATTTCGATGGTTGAAATGGTAATATTCATGAGAGGTTCAGTGTACATAGTGCTTCCGTTTTCAGATCGTTTGTGGTTTCCTTCTGAACATTCTCTGCATTATCATCACTTCGCTCAACATGAACACGTGGACCTATTTCGTGTTCTCACTTGGCACTTTCCCCGACAGCATCGTCTCTTCTGCTTCCAACTCTTCGTTTCCAGTCTGCTAACGAATGTACCCATTTTGTGAACTGTACAAAACGTCCTTTTTAGTTTTCAACAGATCTCTGCTGAAATAATCCGTCTTTTCGAATAAAGCTGTTCCTGTGCCATCCGAAGGTCATTCTTTGTTTTGTTTTCCGTCACAATGAGAGCAATAATATTTGCGTTCCGTCTCTAGTTCTCTCCTCACCGAGCAACATACCATAATATTTTTGTGACTTCCGAAATGGTCCAGACGGACCCGACTTTGCTCTCTCGATTAGTGAGAACGATCCTCCTTCTGTTTCAAGTGAGAAAAAGAATCCGGCCATCCTGCTTACGTCGGTTTGGTTATGCGTGGGTGTCTGATTTCCAGTTACCAGGACGTCTTCCGCGAATTCGAAACGGCAGTAACCGGCCGTAGTGACACGAGACACAGTTCCTTTTCCCTCCTTTTCCGATTCCCTCCACCGTCCATCACATCAATTCTTATTGGCCAACTTTGGCGGTTTTACCTTCTCCGCGGACGTCACGCCTTCTGCATTCCCTCTTCCCTCTCTTCTTCTCTCTATTCCTCAATTCTCTTCCAATTTCGTTCAATTTAAAGGTCCCCAATTGGAGTTCGTTTTGTTTGTTTCCGGTCACTTCCAAAAGCGCCGTGGTTTGTGCGCGGGGCAATTTCCGAAGGATTCTTCTGATCTTTGAGTACATCCCACTTTCTTTTTTCTTGATCACGGGCCATGTCTGTAGTTTCCTGTAATGTGCGAAAATCCCACGATATCATCTCTCGAGATGTTTTCCGCAGACGGGCAAATACTTTCGTTTATGCAAACATTTCACACTACACAGATTCCAGTTCGAAAGTTCATTGAAGCACCATCGTATAGATATTGTCGTTCTCTGAATAGCTCCAGGAGCCATACGTCATGTCATTTGCATCTGTCACCGCCTCCATTTTTCCGTTGTAATTTCCAAAAACGGCCGATGAAACATGAGAAATCTAGGCCAAACAAATATGAATTCAGACGCCACTTTCCGGTTTCAGCCCCCTTCCCAAGAGATCGAAAAATGCTCATGTCTTCCTGAGATTCTTTTCAATCTTTATCAAATCCGTTTCTTCTGCATTTTTGTGGGAAACGTCATCTGACGTCTTCTGCTCAAAATACATTTGACATCTTCTAAACCTAGGCTAGAATAGACCCTAAGACAAAGAAGAGGTCAGGAGAACCAAGGTAAAAAACGAAAGAAAGGTCTCCTATTTCGACGAGAGCTTTGCCCGAATGTGGCGGCTTAGGTTACAATGATTTTTGAAAGTTCACAGGGAAAACGAAAAGTACGAATTCTTTTTCACAAATGATGCTTGTTTTTGCTTTTGTGTCTCTTCCGGTATTCCGCGAAAATGCGTTCAATCCTAATGAAATCGTTCATTGAATCTATTTGCATGGCAATCAGTAGATGTTGAACTATCTACGCTCGGAATTCCCACGATTCATCCCTTTGTTATGCCTGTTCTTTTTCATTTTTTCTCCTCTCTTCTTCTTCTTCTTCTTCTCCCAAATACCGTAGTTTTGTTCCAATTTCCTCTTGGTCTCCTCATATTTCAGTCCTCCGATTTCTGCGAACTTTCCCCGGAAATTACTCGGATCATAGTGCGGCCGCTCCGATTTCACAGTCACTTTCCGCCTGCATGACCATTTGCCCTCAATGTTATCATCAAACATTCGAGATTTTTATTAGCCTGCTCATCGAGCCAACTGTCACTCCCCCTCGTCTGCGTCTCTTCAATCAACACGCTCTCTCGCCCTCTCTGATAACCCTATTAGAGTTTATCGCTCGGTTTTCTGCCGGGTTTTCACTTGTGACCAACTTGTTTTCTTTTCCAAAACGGACCTCTGTTCGCTTATTTCTGCGCTCCCGAATCTTCGGCGCTTCCCTTGCGTTTCCTCGTGGTTCCTGTTGTTTTTGTTTGAAAATGCCGTCTCGTGCCCGAAGAGTTGGGTTTCTCTTGACCACTTCAGTGGCAATAAAGTGATAATAATTAGGTCTTATGAATCTTTCATCTACCGTCTGTTATCAACGTTTATCAGAATGAAAAGGAGGCGCTGAAAGAAGAAATTCAATGCCCGCGTATAGTGAACTAGATCACAGAATAGAATAGAATCCTCTTGCCATATTCCTAATCTCTGATACTTCTCTTCACGTAATAGTAGACTTGCTCTCTATTCCTTCGTTCTCAAGTAGGTCTTTCAACATCTGATCTGAATACTCGTTTTCGCTTTTTGCATGACTAGAATGAGTATTTCTTTCAACAAAAAACGTGTTTTGTAGCGTACTCCGATAGTAATTGTTTGCTCCTCTTCAATCCTTCTGAATCCGTTTTGCTATCCTATCCCATCGAATGAGCCCGTTGCCTCCCGTATTCTTTGATGTTTGCCGGCAGAAAGTTCAACGAACACCTCGCCGCAGTCTATTTTCGATAGAAGAAGATGTGCCCATGCCCATTCAATTCACGCCCACTTGACAATCCGCTCATGAAAACAGAGCGAAAGGTCAGGACCTTCCATTCGGATTCTTCGGCGCCTGCTGGTCGGTCCGCACCGCATATGTTTCTCGGTGTCCGTCCGGATGCGCCCATCAATCCGCCCCAACTCCTGCTTCCTGGCCTCTTTTACGAGCGATCTTGTGTCTCAATCAAATGATTCATTTACGTGTGTGCGGGGGGACCTTCACTTCTTCGTCATGTTTTTGCGATATGATAGATGATCTTTTGTCTCCTCCTCCAGCTCGGAGATTTCGCCTTTCCGGCCAGTTCCTGGTGTTGTCCTCACAGAACCATTAGTGGGATTGAATCGGACCGCTCGTGGAAATAGAAAAGTAAAACAAATGAGCGAGAGGGGGAGAGAAATTGCGATGCCGCACCAGAGATAAGGTATTTTGTTCCTCAAAAGAACATTTGTCTCTTCGCTCTCTCACATCCAAATAGCGACAGTTTTTTTGCGGAATTCTTCTATTTCCCCTTACAATGTATAATGTGACATTGGAATGTGTTCTCTTTCTTCTTTTTCTTCTCAATGTGGTCAGAACGAACTCGTCTTCTGACGCCTTCGTAAATTGGAGGAAACTGATTGGTCTGTGTTGCAGAGCACATTCCAGATGTTTTCGGTCGGATCCAATTGACCATCAGAACACACTTTTTGTCACCCTCTAACATCACTGATCCTAATATAGAATCTAGTCCTTCTAAAACGATTGGCTGCGATTGGATGAATGACATTCGGTAATCGAGTTGCCTTCCGATCTCTCTGTTTCGAAACCTGCTCCCGCACGTCACCTGCACGTGCCCCTTCGTTCCTCTCCTCTACCTCCATCTTTTCACGTCAATGCACCCGTGCACAGTTTCCCGTCTAAACATTTCCTCCTTATCACTCGTTTCCGACCGCCATGCGCTTGTTTGTCCTCGCCTGTCCGACGTCTTCTTCGCTCCGAGATTGCGTCCGCTTCGGCTCCTTCAATTGTTTGTCTTGTGTTTCTCATTTTGAGAGCAACCGCCCCACAAACGGCTTCCCATCATCATCTCAATATTTGACCTCTCCTTTTCTTCGCCTTTTCCTATTCCTCGTCCTTTTCCAGTCCAACTTGCAAATGTTTGGACTCGATTTCCTTGCCCTCATTTTTGCCTACTTCACCTATATCCGATTACAATCATCAATGAGCATGAGGCAGAAGCAAGAGCTCACCCGGCCCCGTAATTTAATTTCCATTCGATTGGCGCGCGACGCATTCCAGAAGCTCCGCCTCACGGATGAATGCCCACAGTTCTGAGGAAATCGGAGAAGAAGAAAGGTGCTGATGTCCTAATTAGTCATATCAGAAGATGTCGTCACGAGACTTTTCTCTGTTTCTTGAGCCGAATGCACGGCGCCTTCTCGCAACTCAAATTACCTTCATTTTATATGAGATTGTTGCCGATCTCTCTTCCTTTTCTTCGTTTTCCCCCAGTCTGCACACATTTTACTCTTTATTCAGTTTAGATGAAGTGAGGTCATGCAACATTTCTAGCAAATTCCGAAGATCAATTCGGTGTGTGTGTGTGTGCTTCTTTTGAGGGACTGTAAAACATCAGAAATGTACAACTCTTCTGCTATTTCCGTTGTATTTGCACACATTCGAAGTTTGCCGTCTTCCAGTCCCTCCACGTCCTTCTTCGTGCTCTTTGCCCCGATTGAAAGATTTTTGCTACAGTAGTCCATATGCAGAATACTATTTGTTTTCTTGCGAAACTCAAAGTCCAAAAACTCAGCAAACGGGGTGCACTTTTCCGTTTTCTCTCCTAATTTCCTCAGCAGACTCGCATCATTTGAAAGCAAGTCGGTGGCACCGAATGCGTGCATAATTCAGCACAGTCTCATTTTTTACACTTTTCTCACGGCAGAATCGGCGGCGCCGTGTCCTCAGAATATTGCCCCCGCCTTCCTGGGCACCGGTAAACTTTCGTCATGTTGCGGGCATCTGCTGCGCCGTCACGAGGCGTCAGGACGTCTGCAAACACACGCTCACATCAACTTTTCAATTATCCCCGACCGATTTCTTTCCTCTTTGCCCTTCGGACCTCTTCATTTCTTGCCGATTTCCCAAACATCTTTCCGTGTTATTTCGTGTGTCATCTCGTCCGCCGATTCCTCGCTCAAACGAATAATATACTGGCAGACAGATGTGTGGGTGAGAACGGGAATGAGCAGAAGACATGACAAAACACTTCCAATATCCGTCCGTTTTTTGCTCCGGGAGCTTTCCGTCTCTCGGGATAATCAATCTCTCCTCAATCGGTTCGCCATTGAGCCATCCTCGATAATTTACGAGCTCTCACTTCTCTTTTTCTCGCAGAGAATGGGAAAACGATTAGGATAACGGGATCGAAGTTTGGAGAAAAGGAAAGATTACTGTAGTTGCATTTATCTCACTCTGATTACCAGTTCCTTCCACTTGCAAACCATTCCGACTCACTGAATATCACGCCGCATTACTTGTTTTCCTACTCTTTTTACGCATTCATTTTTTAATCTTCAGATGACCAATTCGAGTATGCCGTCGAAACTAGCGACGGATATCTGTCTGACCGACAGACAAATGTCCCTTTCGGTCAATTCCACCGAAGGCGTGCTCATCGGAGCCATAATTCCCATTCTTGTCCTTTTTGGAATCTCTGGAAACATTCTCAATCTCACAGTCCTTCTTGCCCCAAATTTACGAACGAGGTCAGTGCAAATAGTTGGGAGATAGCAAAATGCGTAGAGCTTTCAGATCAAATCAGTTGCTGGCTTGTTTGGCAGTTGCCGACATAGTCAGTCTCATTGTTATCCTTCCCCATTCAATGGCTCATTACGAGACGTTCGAAAATGCGATTTGGTTTCGAAAGTTCTACGGGAAATACAAGTTTCAAATAATTGCCATGACAAATTGGTCAATCGCCACTGCCACGTGGTTGGTGTTTGTCATTTGTCTGGAAAGACTTATAATCATAAAGTACCCATTATCAGTGAGAAAACAAGCAAAGGTACGTTTTTTCCCCGATCATTGATCAACTTCTGAATTCTGAATTTCAGTTCTTCACTCCTTTAAACGTTGTGTCAATAATAGTGCTCACCACTTTCATTCTGACCTCCTACAACCACGTGAGCCATGCTTGCGCCGAGAAGCTCTTTTGCAATGGCACTCAATACCACGTGGCATGCATTGGCATCGATTCGGAACGATGGTTTCGCAACGAACCGAATCCCAATTCCGAGTTCATGAAGTCTTTGGTGCGGTATGCTCCGCAAGTGAACGCCATATTCGTGGTGCTCATTCCTGTCGTTCTCGTTATAATTTTCAACGTTATGCTCATTTTGACACTGAGACAGAGGTGAGTGGACAGGTAGAGAAAACAAAAATGCATAGATGAATACAGACAAAAACTGTTCGAACCGTCGAAAACGATAAGAGGGGATTCTCAGTTTAATGGCTCTCAAGCCAAAACAGAGCACAAGGTTACGATCACTGTGACAGCGATTGTGACGTGCTTCACGATCACACAGGTCAGTTGAAACTTCTGTGGCTAAGCCTAGAAATGAATATTTTCAGAGTCCCTCTGCATTTGTGACATTCCTCAGTTTCTACATTCAGAAAGACTGGGTCACTCTGGTGAGCCCGACCCCTCCCCCGTCCCCTTCCTATTCGATCCCTTCCAGAGTGCCATCTGCACCATCCTGGTCGTGCTCGGCAAGGCACTCAACTTTGTGCTCTTCTGCTTGTCCTCCGCCTCGTTCCGTCAACGCCTTCTCATGCAAACCAAGCAGGGAATCCTGCGCAAGTCGACTAGGTATACGAGCGTGGCGGCGCACGTGTGATCCTTCCACGTTTGTGCATCTCCTCCTCCTCATTCCTCTTCTGCGAGATCTCTCTAAACGGGTGTCCATTTCCTGCCGTTCCGTTCTTTTTTCACTCGAAAACTCATCCCGTTGTATCTCAATTTGTTGCCCGATTTACGTGTAACTACAGAGCATGGCTTCTTCTCCCCCGTTCCTCCAAGACAATTCCCTCTCGAATAGACCGCCAATTTTTTGTTGTGACTGCCCGCTTTGGCTGTAAATGTAAATAAATATGAATCTGACCTATAGAAAGTTTGCATGGATGTGGAAATATCTGGCTTCCGAGAAACAGATGCTTGCCTCCCCAAACCCCCAATTGCCACATCATCAGTTCTTCCAGCTAACAAACAACCACAGCTTTTGTTCGCAGAACCGTCTCGATGGTGACTTCATCGACAGTTGTGGTGGATAGCCTTACGGATTCGCGCAAAAGAAGTCGGACCACAATGGAAATGATCGAACGGAGAACGTCGGCTTCCTCGTGTATGGTCGGAGGGAACCGTACGGATCGGACCCATCGGGCCAACAGCAGCCAGTCAATGATCGGCGAGCGAATGCCTTTGAAGGAGTTCCGAAGGGGAACGAGCTTCGTGTGAGCTGTTTTAGCGGACAGCACTTTGTATATATTCAATTGATCTCGATTTATGTGACGGGCAGTCACACATGACCAATAAAGTATTTACAATCTCAGAGAAAGACATGAAGCAGAAGAATGGTATCAAGTGAAATGCACGATAACTCTGAAGTAGCCATAATAGTTCAGAGTGTGCGGCACTCGGCATTTTGATAAGCTCTCCGTCGGCATGTTGTTTCGATAATCTCTCCCTTGTGGAGAGCTCCCCCAATTTGACTTATGTCTCTCTCTCTCTCTCTCTCTCTCTCTCTCTCGTTTCTCTTTTTCTCTTTTCATTTTCTCTTTCTCGCCACCTTTGCGCACTCTGAAATCACCTACTTTTGTTTCTGTGTTTCTGATAATACGCTTTCGTCAATGATAAGATTCCGAAAGATTCGTAGCTTTTTGGCAGTTCAGTAACAATTGAACAGAGCAGAAATTTCAATACTCCTCGAATATTCCTGATTTGATAAAGTGTACCTGTGTCCATGTTAACTACTAATATGTAAATATGCACAGCTTCTCTCTAGTTTCTCTGTGTCTCGCCTTCTTTTTCCGAAACTCATGACTTTCTCATAACTCGTTTCTTCAAATATCAAAGTGTTTTCCATCCTTGCCAGATTCTTCTGCTCTCTGAAAAATGTCTACACCTGGAAACGAAGAACCGACGGACGCAAAAAGTTAGTTTGATAATTTTTCAAAAAACTTAAGTCCCTTCGAACGAAAGTGATATCATGAATGTGTTTGTTTATAGCCTACGTGTGTAAATGGTGTCCGGGAGGATATTCTGGAGAGACTTCCCTGAATCGACACATTTATCTGAAGCACACGGACAACCGGTGGTGCACTGAATGCGAGTGCACCTTGCCGCGAGAAGAGGCGTCGGTCGTTCATCTCCGGTCGGTCCATGGATATTTGGCGCCGGAGGACTGTCTGTGCTGTCTGGGAACTTTCAGAAGTCACAAGGAACAAAGACATCATAACGACTTTTTGAAGAGAGGAATCGGATTAGTCTCGCCGATGCCAACTGTGAAAGTTGTTGGGGAGGATAAGGCGAATTGCAAGAAAAGAACCCGAAAAAGGAAAAACTTTCTTCTCGAGGACAGTGAAAAGACAAAAGAAACGAGAAAGAATAACATCAAGCAACTTTTGATACTCCAGACTGAAAAGGATAAGCATATGGATAGAAAATCTCTTCCGGCCATTTGCCCACAAGACTTTTTATTCAACTCGCCGTCCCAGACAGACGCCCTCCTCGGAATGATAAATTCTCATATTGCAAAGCAAGTGGACGCAAAGGCCGTGAGTCATTTCCCCGGTAAACGTACATCCGTTCCTCTTTTCAGATCGCAAAGCTCCCACCGATCTGTCCCTCTCGGCCGATGACTCCAGAGATCAAAGAAGGTGCTCCGATCTCCCTTGCCAGCTTGCTCTTGCTTTCACTGCTCGACTTCGGGGCTTAGCTACCATTTTCCCATTTATTTTTTGCTCAGATAAAGTCTCTCAATTCCAGCCCAAATTTGTTCTTAAACATCTTCTAAAGAGAAATCAAAACAAAGTAAAAATTCATTGTGAAATCATAAATTAAGTGGAGATACTGTTCGAATGCGTCTTCACGTCCTTGTTGTCGATCTCGTGGTGTGTCGCCGTGCCGTTCTTCTCCTTCTTGAAATGTCCCTTTCCGTCGTCCGCCAACGAGTCGATGTGGGAGCTCGAAGTGTCGCTTCCCGTCGCCTTCGATTTCTCGTATCCGACGTCCATCGACATCTCCGTTCCGTTGCCCAACTTCTGGTAGTTCTGCTTTCTGGCAGACTCTCCACGGGTCTCCAGGTCGCTGTGCTGATTGGATCCTTCGTCCAACTGGGTCTTCGATCCGTCGGCGTTCGTGTGATTCATCTTGTGCAGGGACGCTGCGTCGTTGCGGTTCTTTTCGTGAGTAATGGCACTAGAAGATTCGGAAGCCACCTGGGATCCATCAGCTAGTTGTAGGTTCTTTCTATTTGACGCAAGTTGTGCTTCCGTCAGTGACGACGTGGAAACATTCGTCTTCTTGACGTCGTTCAATTCGGAACCATCCTTTGATTTCACGTGAACATTCTGGTTCGAAGACGCATCCTGTAATATTTACTTTCATTGCAAAAATGTTTCATCTCCAAGCTCACTGTATCATTCTTGTGATTCTCAACGAGACTAGTCTTCAATTCCTGCACAGAATTTCCAGCTGCATCCACATTCACAAACGCGTTCGTTCTCTGGTCGGTGGCGTCCTTCTGAGCATTCTTGGTGGCCGAATCACTGCTCACATCGCTGAAAGAGCCGTCAGAGTTCTGCTCGAGTGCATGCAACTTCTTCTTCGACGAATCATTGTGCTCATTGACACCCTGCACACTGCTATCCACGATCTGCGTCTTCGATCCGTCAGCGTGTTGAATTGACGACGCATCCGTGTCGTTGCTCATACTGACGGCGTCGTGTGAATCATTCGCCTCGCTGTTCACGAGCGACTTCTTGTTTCCAGCGGCATCAACCGAAGAAGAAGCACTGTCGAGAGAAGACTTGGAGTTGGAAGAGGCGGCGACCTGCTTGCTGTCCTTGGCGTGGTCGACGATCGTTCCATTGGCGCTCTTCTGCTTCAGGTGGTCATACTGGTTGGACTCGGCGTCGGAAGTGTTGAAGGCGTTCGAAGCAGAGACAGTCTCGTTGGACTGCAACATTCACAAATAATCTATGCAAACTTCCGCGAGCCTACCATAACTCCGTTGAGTCCCTTGGCAAAGTTGGCTGCGTGCACGTTGGAGCCTCCGTCGGTTCTGTTGACACGAGAGTTCGATCCCTTGTTCTCCTCCTTGTACGTACCATCGGCGTTCTGTTCCAACTGAAAAAGGGCGACTGTCCCTTGCAATCATTGTTTCCATTTATCTCACCAAGTTCTCCTGAGCAGTCTTCTCCGCTTCGTACGTGTTCTTGTTCGTGTCGTTGCCGTAGGTGGCCAGACTCATCGCTCCGTCGGCGTTCTTCTGACTGGCGGTCATGTCGAAGTTTCCGAACTGTCCGGTCTTCTTGTTGCGGTAAGAGCCGTCGATCGTGTGATTCTTGACGTTTCCATCGGCATCTCTCGAGAGATCCGACTGGTGAGTCTTGTTTCCGCGCTGGCTCAATGAGGTTCCGTCGGCGGACTTCGAGTGGAGGGAGCTGACTGATCCATCGGCAGCAACTGCGTCGATTTGATCAACGGCGGTGTTGTTGTTGCTCTCGTCCTAAATTCACATATTTTCCCGTGTTCTCTATCCCATTCTGTTTACCTTTCTTCCGCTCTCGACGTTCTTCTCACTGAGTGAGTAGGTTCCGTTCTTTCCGATTTCTGCCTTGAGACTTCCGGCACTCTCATTCGCCTCATCCAACGCGTAGTCGTTAGTCTTGTTGCTCACAACGTGGCTCATCGTTCCGTTAGCTCCAACAGCATTGACATCAGCATAAGCTCCAGAAGCAGAGTTGATCTTGCTGCTGTTGCTTCCGGTGTGGCTGGCCTCCAGGGACATGGTTCCATCGACAGAGACGTTCTTCTTGGCCATAAGTTCTTCGGCAGCCGCCTTGGCGTATGATGTGTTCGCAAAGTTCCCTGTAGAGTTCGAGAACGATGTTCCGTCGGCGTTCTTGATTGCATCCATGTTCGAGGAGAAGTCGGCGCTGTTCCCAGCTTCAGACGAAGCCTTCTTACTGTAGTTGGAAGTCTGAACGTTGCCAGCAGCATCCACACTCGCAGACTGATCGTAAGCGAGCTGGTCAGACTTGTGCGAGTCGCCGATAGATCCTTTCGTCTGTAATTACTCGTAATGATACCGTCTTCAATGCATTCCACTCACGTTCGTGACGTTATGAGAGGTTCCGTCGGCTCCGATTTCGGAAGCAGCGTTGTTCTCAAGTTCGTACTTTCCGAGGTGTTCGTCGGTATTTTTGTGGCCAGTGTTATTGGAGAAATGCGTTCCGTCTTTGTTTTTGGCGTCGAAAAACTGGTTAGCCTCGTCAAGAGCAGCGGCTCTGAAATTTGAGAATGCGTACTTTAGAAAGCGTTATTTACCTGGTGTGGTTAGCAATTTTATTGTTGTTGATGTTGATCTGGTGTCCGTCCTTGTCAACTTCCTGTTTCTTCGAGCTGTCTAACAGATAATCTCCCTCATCAACTGACGACTTGTTGTGGCTGACTCCCTGGTTGATCTAGAACAGACTCTTGTTTTCTCTGCCTCCCCGTTCCCACAAACCACTCCGCCGTCCTGTGTCTTCAACATCAAGTTCTCTTGAGCCTGATCGACCTTCGAATCCTTGTTGAATCCGGCCTTCTTCTCCGACTCCTCAGTAAGATTCTTACCGTCTGCTCCGACGACGGTCAGGGAATGCGTGTCCGAGGAGGATCCGCTGCTGTGGTGCTGTCCCTTGTGAGAACTGCTCGAGTGAACCACTGCTGCCGCTCCCGCAGCAATCGATGGCATCTTGAAGTCGGAAGAGAATGCAGTGTTGGCTGTACATTATCCATTTTTCAATGTCCGCATTATTGCTAAACTTACGGCGTCCGAAAAGACCGGATTTGAGTGAGCTTTGTTGGGAGCCGAACTTTGAGCGGATGTCATCAAGAAGGGAACAGTGTACTCCCAAAACGAGAAGGGCCGCCAGGGCGACACCTTGAGGAGAAATCATACCTGGAAACAGAGAGGTACTGTAGGCGGCCCTATAAAACGAAATGCCTCCGAAGCTCTTCTGTTCCGCTTTTATACCGAATGGCTTTCCGTGTTTACGACCGTCACAAAACTCCGTGTTGCAGCTTCGAAGGGTTCGTGTTTTATGGACGAATCCTGCCTGCGTAATGGAAGATGAAAGCGAACCGAGTGACGGAGAAATTGTTTGCACAACCAAGAGATTAATGAGCACAATATTTATTAAAATCGGACTTTCAGAATACTCTTTCAGAAATCGTCCTCGTTCTCGTCACGTCCGTAGTTTTTCCACGATGTCTTTTTGGACGACGACGATGAGGAAGAGGCCTTTTTGGAAGACTTCGAGAACGAGGAAGAGTACTCTTCCTCCTCCGATCCGTTGTCACTGACACGCTGCAATCGGGGTACTGTTGGAACGGAACGAAGCGTGTTATGCTTACATGCTTCTTCTTTTTATGTCCCCGCTGGTCGAAGTCCTCGTCATGAGTGCTGCTCTGTCTTCTCTCCGTCTTCGTCATTCTGCCGCTTTCATCTCGTCGAAACTTCACCGATGACTTCCTTTCGTCGTCTCCATCATCTTCCTCTCCTTCGTTTCCACGTCTTCTATTGTTTCTTCTGGAAGAGGCTCTCCTGTTGTCCCTGTTCTCATCGTAGTCGTCATCGGATCTTCGTCCACCGTTCCTTCTCCTTTCATCGCCTTCATCGTCAGAATATTTGTCAACATTGTATCTTCCTTGTCTTGAAGAGCTTCTCCTCTTCTCCTCGTCGCCATCTTCGCTGGAATTTTCCAATCGCTGGCCACGTCTTCTGTTCCCATTTCGCCGGCGACTATCAGAAGCTCTCGACTTTTCATGATCTTCTTCGTCTTCCTCTTCGTCAGAACGGTTTCCAAAGCGATCTGTTGACTTCCTTTGGTTCAAGTACTTGTCTTCTTCCCTGGAGCGCACGTTCGACTTCTTTTCCCCGTCCGAATCCTCGTCTTCCTCCTCGTCGTTCAACATTTGAGGCAGTCGTCCGGTCGACTGATTCTCCCTCGTTCGGATCTTCTTCTCAATTTCTTCTTCTTCGGAATCTTCAGTGTTTGGTTTTCTGTTGAACTTGAGAGGCGGCGGTGAACGATTATCATCGGCATCATCATTTTGGGCGCGTGACTTTTTGGAGGTCAGAAGTGACGCTTCTTCACTATCTGCAAAACTCAATACATAAAACCTCAAGCTTCACGCTCTTTCACCATCGCCATTGCTGCTTGATTTTCGAGTAGAAGACTTAGTACCCAACTCCTTTTGCTCATCAGATTGCTTGTTTTCATTGGCTAAAATGAAGTCGTGACCTAATCATAAGTCTCTGTAATCACTCACAGTTATCTTCGTACCGAGATGGTCTTGAAGGTCTCCTTCTGCTGCCGGATGAATTTGAAGATTGATCTTCAAAATAAAGTAAACTTATTGGCAATTAATGGTTCTTACTACTGCTTGCTGATTCTGAATCGCTAGACGACTTCTCCACTGCAGACACTCCTGTTCCGGCACGGCCGGATCCATCTCCGTTTCCACCATCACTTCCGTCCGATTCATCGGCTTCGTCAGCTCCATTCTGCCCATTCCTTCCGATCGCTCCATTTGCACCATTCTGACCGTCGACTCCGTCCTGTCCACTCGATCCACTTTCCTTTCTCCTTGAGCTGTGTGTCTTCCGAATTGAGGAGGATGAGGAGGATGAACTCGAAGAGCTTTCGGATTGTTGGCTGCTTTGAGAGCTTCTTCTCGTTTTGCCCTCATCATCATTCTCATCGTCTACGCCCTCTCTATCCAACGGGTTGTCATCCCTTCCACGAGACTTCGATGAGTTCCCCTGGTCATCGCCGTATCTGTTGTCATGTCGTTTCTTCTCGACCTCCGAAGTTCCGCTTCTCGACTCCTTCGATGAGTTCGATCCACTTCGATTCCGTTGGGCTGCACGATTTGAAGATCGGTTTCCAGAGATGTTCCCATTTTCTTCACTTTCCTCGTTCTTCTGAGATTCCTTTCTCTGCTCTCTCGCATTTTCCTTCTTTCTTCGTTTGCTTTCGTCATCATCATCATCATCCTCATCGTCTTCGCCCTCTCTATCCAACGGGTCGTCGTCTCTTCCACGAGACTTCGACGAGTTCCCCTGGTCATCGCCGTATCTGTTGCCACGTCGTTTCTTTTGAACATCAGAAGTTCCTCGTCTTGCCCCCTTCGATGAGTTTGAGTCACTTCCCTCGTGTTGGTCTCCACGATTTGAAGATCGGTTTCCATTCTCTTCACTTTCCTCGTCGTTCTGAGATTCCTTTCTCTGCTCTCTCGCCTTTTCCTTCTTTTTTTGTTTGCTTTCGTCATCATCGTCATCTGAATCTTCGTTTTTTTCGTTCTTCTTGCCATTGCCAGACCCGCCTAGAATTTTTACTGACTTCCGTAAATTCCTGAAAACTCACCTTCCGCTAGATCTTCGCCATCTTCTTCATCATTCAGTATACTCGAGCTTCCATGGCTTCCTGACTCTTTATCTTTTCCTTTGTTTCTTCCTTTCACGAGATCATCTCTTTCCACATCATTGTACGGTTGATCTTGCCCGGATCCATTCTGAACCTATTCACTTGCTTCGTACATTTTGAGCCTGCTCACCTCATCTTGCTCATCGCTTCCATCAATCGCTGAAGGTACTTTCCTCCTATGTTTGCACGGCTTCTTCTTTGATCCTCCTCTCGAACTGTAACCGTTGTTCACTTTCAGAAAGTTCCCTTCAAACTCACCTGGCATCAACAATCACCGCCAACAAAAGAATAGAAAGAAGGGATAGAGTAAGCAATCTCATCGAGTATCCATGCAAAAGTGAGAAAGATTCTTGTTTTTATACTCTCGGTGAAGTCCATAAAACTCATAATAAAACAGTCATTTTAGTGTGCAATCACTTCGCTTTTATCACCAATATTATTGTTCTCCGTGGGTGTGATATAGTTATCGTAACCGTTCCCCGTAACTTTTCTCTTGTTCCTCCCGGGTGTCCACCCTTCACCCCCAAGCGGTCTCTTTCCGTCTGCACACTCCTCTTCCGACTTCTCCCTCGTACCCCTTTCCGCATAGACACCAATCGCTTATTGATTTATAATCAGTCGCTGTTCCCTCCGCAATGAAGCCGTTTCCTCTTCTCAAACTTCCAACGACTGCACTCTGCATTTTACTGAAACAAATGAGCCCAGCTGAACTGTGAGAGAGTAACCTTCTGAATCGTAAATTCAACTCAATTTCGTTCAGATTCGAAATATCTTTGTGTTCTACAAAGGCAGCTGAATGTGTGAAGGGAGCGAAAATAAGAGCGTCGAAGCACGAAATAACAATGACAACAGCGAATCAGCTGATTTCGGTTTTCTTTGGGGACGGACGAGTCTCTTTTTGGTGGGATTTCAGTACATTTCTAAGTGCAACCGAGATGAACCAGAAGCGGACAATTGGAGGACATCTCTTCGAGCACTGGTACAGTCACTTCCTCTTCTCTTCCTGCTTTTCATTTGTTCCTTTTTCAGTACCAGATTCTGGCAGAATGTGGTAGAAATCGACGAATTCTATTGTCGATATGAAGACGAGTCAGAAGGCATTGCAATTGTTTCTCACCACCTTCACAGTATTTTCCCCGGGCCGATCATACTATCAATCCATCCTTCCGCTATAAAAAATCTTCAAAAGTTTTTTAGTTATCCACACTTCGAAACGATTTCAAGTCTGGAGTTGACTGAGCCAAGAGACCACACTATTTCGGCATCAGTCATGGAAAAGTTATTCGACAAAATCACAGTTGTGCACACTCTGAAAGTGCTAGCAGAAACTGACGAAGAGTACCAACTCAAGCAGGTAACATAACATCAGTTGGTAGTAATATTCGAGAGATTCAGGTGCAATATGTGGAGTATCTGGAACTAAGAAATGCAAAATGGATGACCAGGGATCATCTCCTTCAGCTGAAGTGCCGAGTCGTTGAAATAAAAGAGCACCGTTTCACTCTTGCTGATCTCGAGGCGTTTGCTGAATACTGGCTCTCGAGAAGGGGCGACTTCTTCGAAAGAGCTTATTTTCAGTGGAAAATTGATGGAGAGCTGAAGTTCGATAGACTGAAGACAATCAAATTCGATAACTCGAAGCGGGGTCGATACTTTCACTATAGTCGGAAGGACGCGCTCCCGGAAAAAGTGGACTGCATTGACGGACTGGACCTGGAGAGGGCCGACGGAATGCTCGCTTCCATTGTCTATAGACATTCTGTATCGAATCCGGCGATTTACTTCTGTGTCTGGAACGAGAGATTCCCGGAAACGCCACAACGTGAGGTGCTGCAGCGGCGACTGAACAGACATTACAAGCATTTGGAGAAGATCAACAAACGGTATCCGGACACCACTTCCCTCGAACGACTGCTCTCTAATCGCACTTTGACCATCGACGAGTTCTTGGACACATTCAAGATCCTTAGAAACTGGTACTTGGAGCCGGAACAAGCGGGTCGCTCAACCGGAAGGGAACGGAGGAGGTCTGTGTTCGAGCACATGCACACCGAAATCAGCGTCTATTTGGACGCCTAAGTATTAACTTTTTCATCTGTTTATTTTCAAATAGATAAAGGGGAAGGAAATTGAGTACTTTGTACATATTGAAATAAATCTTGTGGTTAACAGTATGTAATCAATGCACGTAGGGAAGGTTGGAGTTCTTGAGATGCACCTGGCACTCATCGTTGAAGTCGTTTCCGAGAGACATCCAAGCGGCCCTCTGTTGGTCAGTCAAAGTGCCCGACGACGCGAGATATCCCGTGAAGACGGTGAAGAAAGCAAGCCAGAGGGCCGGGTCCATCTTGAAGATCCGATGACGATTGATTGTTTCGCGGACGTACGCCTTGAACACTTCCTCGTTGTCGTAGACGTTGGCGAGGAGATGACACGCTAGAAGGATTCTCTGTCCTTGCTTGTCGAATCTGAACGGAGAAGTGAATGGAGAAACAAATAAGCGAAGAAGAGTCTCCTACCTTTCGCTCTTCTTGACATCTTCGGCGGTGTACTTCTCGGCTCCCTTGAAATAGACACGAAGATCCGGGAAGTTGGTGAAGAAGTATTGGTAGAAGGCGTTCCCGTTCGTAACGTTCTTGGCTTCCGTTCCGACCATCTTCTCCTCAAGGGACTTGACACAATGATCACGGACTTCCTGGCGACTCATCGACATTGTTCTCTGCAAACCGAATGGATGAGGAGGGAAACTGAGGGAAATGAGAAGAGTCTAGCGCCGTCAGCGACTTTTGACCAGCGCCGCCAAGCACCGCCCCCTCTCTAGATGATGATGATGACAAACAATTTATAATCTTTTGGGTTTAATTCTCTCACTTTTCTCTCACTCTTTTTAATAGGAACGGCATTGGGCGGGAGACGAAGGTCAAAATGGAGTAAACAACAAAATAACGTATTAACCGGGGAGAAAGTTTTGAAGAGGACGAGAGAGAGAGTGGGCGAGAGGAAGAGACACAGCGACTGCAATTTGGGAGCTGAAGAAACAGGAATCAAACATGCAAAAAGAGACGTCAGAACCGTATTGCAAACGTGAGAAACAAAAAGTCTGCGGACGAGGTGGCACGTGGAATCTGAATGTTCACAGGCCGGAAAGACAGAGGTGAACGTCAAGAATGGATCAAAAGAACAACGAGGCGTAAAACAACGCCGCACGCATTGTTCTGAACGCCGAATTCTTGAAAATAAATGCAGGCATATATTTTTTTGTTATCAAAACCTATTCTTTCGCCTTGTTGCATCTTCTTCTCAGATAAAAAACACTAAAAACCGACAACGAATGTTTCTTCACTTGTCGAACTCACGTGAAGTGATGATACCGAAGTTTGGTATGTTCAACTTTATTCCCAACACTTTTGTTCATTTCTTCCATGTCAATATATAAATCCTGAAATAAAAACCTTTGAAAATGCAGTTGACCTTTTTGTTAGATGACTCATTGTGGGATTGAATGGAAATGCCGGGAAATTCCAGGACAATCCTACTAATCGCAATGTTGAGAGCGACCGGATATTTTCATTCTATTTTTTGTTTTCAGGTATTGCATGTACATCATTTCCCTTCCAAACTGGTGTGTACTACCACTTGAAAAATAAGGTGACAGCTGAAAGATTACAGTATTCCGAAATCACCGGTGTTTCCCGCCCTCTCTTCCGTTCCAATAAATTTTTTTTCCGTTTTCCCTTCACTCCAAACGCATCGAACATCTAATTGCTCGATCATTAGTTTCTTAACGTTCCTCCTGTCACTTTTCTAATTTCTCTCCTGCACACGTTTCTCTTGGCGCACCTTCTTCTTTTTCTTTTTTGCATTCCAAGTGAGAAGTAGCGCTGACGAGTACGTGCAAAGAGAAAAAGTGCAAATAATGGAGGTCATTTTGGATGCGTACCTGCCTTTCTTTCCACTCTTTTCATCCCCCGCCCTGAAACAACTAGTAATCTCCCCTGCCCGCTTCCGATGAAATGAGCACTCGCAGTCAGCTATCAGAGCTCGCGAAGCCGACGAATGATGACGGGTAAGATGACATGGATATTGAGAGCACGGTGTAATACTGATGGAGATCCGCGTACTTTTAGTTGCTCCTTTTCTTCTTTGTCTCTGAGTCACAACCAGAATAATTTGGTTAGATGTCTATTGGGGAAATAGTGTTGAAGAGGAAGAAACGGAGAGAAAGATGGCTCTCGCAATTCGGATTGCTTTCGTCCCTTTCCTACCTTCTTCTTCTTCTTCTTTCCCTTTTCGCAACTCGACAACTATTCGCTCTTCTTCCAGGTCCAACATGTTCATCGCCAACAACTGCATGCCACAGTTCCACTGGGAAGATGTGAGTTATCTTCCCATTTTTATCTTCTTCTTCACTTCTCTTCTCATGCATTTCCCCGGGAAAAATAGCGGAAACGGAGAGAAAAGTCTCCGATTTCCAAGAACGTCAAAGTTAGAGCAGCGGGGAGTGCAGTCGGCTCATCCCAGACACGATGAACTTCATCCGTCGATTCACCATCTCCGAGTCTTTCCATCAGGCGCTATTCCATCAGCATGACTTCCCGATCACTTCGATTGTAAGTTCACTTTACTAGCATTCATTTTCATTTCGTCAGAGCGCTTATTCGGAAACCTGATAAATAAATGGATAGTCTGGTGCCCAATTCGCGGAATGTAAAATTTATGTCTTTTTGTGAAGCATTCTGAGAACGAATATGGACCGTGAATCACACGAGTAGAAAGACATTTCTAGACACTAACGAAATCGAGAAACTCTGAAAAAGAATATCTTTTAGACTGAGACTACAGTGGTCATTCCAAATGATTTCCAAGCGAATCGAATTAATGACAATGAAGAACACGCTGACAAATAGCGTTGTAGTTAGTAATAATAAAGCACAAAACAAAATACTCGAAGGGGAAAAGCGGCAGAAAGGGGCCGTCCAGATGAGACCGCTTCTGCCACTTTCTCCGCCCGTTTCCTTTGCTCCAAAACACTGCGGCGCCGTTTCATTCGGCTCTCTTTGCCTCCCGATTCTAGCCTGATTTTTTGTTATTCCGAATGCCCAGGTGGCCTGCTCTGATTAGTTTCTCTCCGAAACTACTCCAGTATTCATTGGCCAAACTAGCCAAGTGAGTGCCAACTTTGGCTTGATTCGAAACTCAAGATGGCGGCGCCAACTGTGCGCCGTCCGTCTGTCGCCACTTTCCTTCGCCAATTCGCCTCGACTATCATTCCTCTTGTGAATGTGAAACAATCGGTGAGTTGAAAAGGACAAAGAAAAGATCAGAGTCCAGAAGGAAAGGGAAAAACAGACAAAGAATGCATCAGCGCGAGTTAACTACTCCGGATAAACATCCCCCAGTTGAGAGTGCATTCATTGGAGAGAGAGCCTTAGTGTGCGAGCAAAAGATGGATGAGATGAATAATAAGAGGGCAAAGGGATTCAGTAAATAATTGGGTTTGGACTGGAAAATGGAAAATAATGATATTTCATCTCGAAATATAAAGTAGAGATGAAAGTGTTCAGATTGTTTCGAACGATTATCCAGCGTGAATCTAGAATGCAAAACCGCATAGCAATGTGCGTTCTCTGTTGATTCTCAAATGAGAACGTCAAATAATATTTGTTTGAAAGACTATATCCGAGGTGTGCCTCCCGAGCCACATCCCTTCTAATCTTCTTCTCCAATTTCTGCGTCGCTTCACCACCCAGAGTGCTCCCTAATCGCACCCTTTTTCTGCTCTGACCTGCCGATGGAAATGGCTCAATTCGTTGCCCATTCTCATTCCGTCCCATTTCTGGAAAATGAATAAATTGACGGCGGTCGAGTTTTGTTCCGGGCTGTGAGCCACGTAAAAATAGTTACAGAGCAATGAGACGCAGAGAAGAGTGGGCTGTGTCTCTCCGTCTCGAGCACTGTCTCGTGTTAAAGTATGTATGGACGCCCCGGGATATTACTGCTCATTTTTCATTTTGTGTCATCTCTTCTCGCCTCCTTTCATCACTTTTCTCAGCCTTTCAAACACTTTCTTCTTTACGAACACGAAGAAAACTGAGAGAAGCAGAAGCTGGTTAGCCTCCAGAAAATGAGCCCTTTTCCAGATGCCCACCACTCAAATCAACATTGTGCTCGCGGAGCCGAGGTGCATGGCCGGCGAATTCTTCAATGCGAAAGTGCTACTGGATTCATCGGATCCGGACACGGTCATCCACTCCTTCAGTGCTGAGATTAAAGGAATCGGAAGGACCGGATGGGTCAACATCCACACTGACAAGATCTTCGAAACTGAGAAGGTGAGAGCTCCACAACTTCAGTTTGCTTATTTACTTCTTTCAGACTTACATTGACACTCAGGTGCAGTTGTGTGATCCTGGAACGTGTCTTCCGGTGGGTAAGCATCAGTTCCCCGTTCAAATTCGCATTCCTGCCAACTGTCCGAGCAGCTACGAAAGCCAGTTCGGAAGCGTTCGATATCAGATAAAAGTGGATCTAGTGGCAAGCACTGAGCAAGTGAGTTTTGGGGAAAAAGAGGGAAACATTCCGATTGAGCTACTTAGAGTGTTATGAGAAGACTTAGAGGATATTCATAAACAGAAGCACGTGGATATTATTCAGGCATCTTGCTCCGAAGTTTTTCCCCTGGTCATTCTGACTCGTTCATTCTTCGACGACGTTCCTCTGAATGTGATGTCTCCAATTGACTTCAAAGATGAGGTATCCGTTCCCTCACCGCATTCTCCGTACATTACGTCTTTCCAGATCGATTTCACTTGTTGTACACTTCCATTCGGATGCGTTTCTCTCATAATGTCTCTGCCGAGAACTGCATATCGCATCGGAGAAGTGAGCATCCGTCTCTCCCTCCTCAAATTACCTTATTCCTTTCCAGTCCATCGAAGCTCACGTCACAATAAATAATCGAACGAGAAAGGGATTGAAAGAAGTGGCATTGCAATTGATAATGAAGACGCAGTTCGAGGCAAGAAGTCGTTATGAGCACGTGAACGAGAAGAAGCTCGCGGAGCAACTCATAGAGATGGTCCCATTGGGAGCTGTGCGTTCCAGGTGCCGAATGGTGAGAAACAGATCCTTTGCTATTTAACGTCCAAGCCCTTTTAGGAGTTTGAGAAGTGTCTTCTGCGCATTCCGGATGCTGCTCCGCCCACTCAGAACTACAACAGAGGCTCCGGAGAGAGTTCGATCATTGCAATTCATTATGTGCTGAAACTGACAGCCCTGCCAGGTTTGATTTATTAACACGTGTCTCCACTTAGTATTTCATCACAGGAATCGAATGTGAAGTCCCTCTGATAGTGACCAGTTTGGGGTACATGGATCCCCATAAACAAGCCGCCTTCCAGCACCATTTGAACCGAGCAAAAGCGAAAACATCGAAGGTCGAGCAACAACAAAGAAAGACGCGGAACATCGTCGAGGAGAATCCTTATTTCCGATGAAATTAACTCTGTCTCGATTGACTTTACAATTTGTAAACCGGGTTTTTGTCTATTTTTCTCGCTTTACATTTTCCGTCAAAATAAAGTGCATGTCTATCAGTGTTGAGCGGAATTCCGTCTGCCGTGTTCCGTAAGAAAAATTTTCTTCTGTCTTCCGGGATTTGGTCTTTTTTACCGTAAAAGAGTAATCGCTTTTCAGAAACCATTCAATAGCCCCGAAGAACGCGATTTTCCACGGGCAGGCACACAGACCAGATCCAAAATGTTTTGTTGCTTTAGATATTTTCAAAAAAAAACCGGAAAAAAAGATTGTACATTGACGACTTTTTTGTTCCGCCTTCCGTTTTCCTTATTCCGGAAAAATTTTTTGCTCCGTCTTCCGGGAGAAAAGTTTTCTTCCGTCTTCCGTAAAAAAAAAATTTCTTCCGTCTTCCGGATTTCAAAATTCCATTTACGCTCAACTCTGATCAGGGGTGTGCGGAAAATATTTCGATTTTCCGAAATTTTCCGATTTTCCGAGAAATTTTCGGAAAATTTTCCGAAAATGTTCGGCAAAATTTTCGGAAAATTAGTGTGGATTCAAGGTCAATTTGTCCGAAACCACCGTATGCTTTTTAAAGGCGCATCACAAAATTTTTGGAAGGGTCTAGCAGCGAGCGTCTTTTTAAATTATAGGGGTAAGAAAATTCGCCAAAAACACTCCACAACTAGCTTTTTCAGGAAGTGGAACGGTATTTTGGGGAAAAAACAAGTTTCGAGTTATCCCCACTTGACTTCTGGTCAATGAGCAAGGATTCTTTGCCGTCACTTCACAGCTTCCACGGAAAATTTTTCTGTACTCCCGCAACGACTGCAGAAACGGAGCGACTCTTTTCAACCGCGCGTCTCATTCTCACTGACAATCGGAAAACACTGGACCCGGAGAGCTTCTCTCGGCTAATTTTTTTGCAAAAAAATATTCCATTGCTTGGCTTCCGCCCACTCAAGTGATTTCAAATCATAATAAGCATTTTTTTGTATTAGAACGTTGTTTAAACACTTTATTGAACCAATGAACAAGTGAGTTTTCCGATTTTTCCGATTTTTCCGAAATTTTCCGAAAAAAAAATTCGGAAAAACCGATTTTCCGAAATTTTCCGAAAAAAATTTTCCGCACACCCTCAGAGTCTCTGATGTCTATCCTCCTGTCGAGTGTTATTGCGTCGGCTGCCCGCAGGTTCTTATGCGCCCTCTCCTTCTATTCCCAGCTATTGCCGCGTAGCGCAGTGGATGTGTTTGTGGCCGGCGAGTGAAGGGTTGCCGGTTTGATTCTCATAGCCCTCCAGCTCCATGCTAGATGTAAAAAAGTCAGTGTGGCGTTTCAATGGGCGTAAAATGCAACTGTTCCACAAAACAATTGTAAGCCTCCTGTGAGCTCACGATCACCTAATGGTTCAGACATTTTGCCCAATATTTTTGCCGCGTCCAACGTTTAAAAAAAACAGACTTGCAACGGGCCGGGCCGGGCCAAAATTGGAAATTTTCCGGCCCGGGAGGATGCACCTAAAAATTCAAAGCGAACTAGAACTTTGAAACGAACATAATTTTATAGACTTAAAAAGGCAATGTTATAGCATAAAACTCTGTTAAAAAATAGAAATTGCTGTTTAAAGTCGCAAAATTTTCACAAAAATTACGAAAATTTTCTCAAGAGTGGGCGGAGCGATTGATTGCAACTCTGGCACGCCATTTTAGCAATTTTGCCGCACGCGTTTTCCTCTTCCTTCATATTTTTTTTGCATATTTTTTTTGAGGTCTAACTTCCGGCCCGGGATTTGGCAAGTCTGAAAAAAAACCTCCAGTGAAAAAACAGAAAAAAAACACGTTTAAAACGTGCCGAAATAACACGCGGTCTCGAAGCGAACGCGAGTACGGTAGCAGTCGTTTCAACTGTTCGCACCCCGGTTTTCCCGCAAATTTCTGCCGACTTTGGACTGCAAAGTCCGCGAGATTTGCGGGTTTTTTTTAACTTTGGACGCGGCATTAGTGAATACCGAAGGGAATTCAGGAAATTAGTAGGAAGATGCAAATAACTCTCATTATAACACTTGATTAAAAAACAATAACGTTTTTGTTATTATAAATAGTGTAAAGAAGCTGCATCACATACGAATATTGAAAGAAATCCTGCTTGAAGCAGATAAAACGTCACTTTTTTACGGAGAGAAGATTCAGTCTGTGGGCGGGAATGCAAATTCGCTGTGAACAGTTTCGCCGAATGTTTGTCGAGAGTCGCGTGTTTTGTGCGCCTCCACTCCCAATCATATCTCGCTTTTTTCCGCGATTTCTTTAATTTTGGCCCCGTTTCTCTATGTTTACCAGCAAAGAACGCCGCCGTTTTCATCTCAAATCCGTTTATCCATTCGCCGTTTCTTCCCTTTTGATCCGTGCTTCGAACGAGACAATTTCAGACAAATCGCAGTTTCAGACACCCTCTCTCTCTCTCTCTCTCTTCGTTTTTTTCGGAAACTTCCCTCGTAAACACTCGAGAATTTCTGCGGAAAAAGTCAATTTCGGATGGAAAAATGTCAATGGAGGCAGACTGGAAATTCACTAAAAGTGCGTCAAAATAAAGTAAAAAGTGGTAAAACAGGCGGTAAAAGTAGGCAGACAGATGAGGAACGTTCTGACGATTTCACAGATTTCTACGCCATCTCTAAGCCGATTTTCTTTTTAATACCGGTCCTTCTGACCGTCTCTTCTTCTTTTAAAATAACCACTTCTTGATAATTCCCTCCCGAAAACCACTTTCCAATCTCAAAAAATGGCTCGTTTTGAGGAGAGAATGTGAAATTGAGGCCCGCCGGAGCAGCTCAAAAAGCCAGATTCTGATGAAGATTGACGTCGTTTTGCAGTCATGCATTTCGGAGTTCGAAAAGAGAGCATCCTTCTCCATCTTCCTCTCTGCCCGTTTCCTTTCTCGTTTCCGCACAGCAACTGCACTTTTTCGGTGCTCATCCATGCTTGAACGATGGAATCGTGCCGCCCGCCCGGACTCTTCGCCGCTCAAATCAAAAGATGGAAACGAACGATAGGTGCTCGTCGAGCACAGCACCTGGCAAACGACCTTTTTGATGGGAAGTCGTTTGTTTCGGAAACAAATGTTTCTCTCCGGAAGAAAGAAGGTTCTCACTCGTTCCCAACCAGTTCTCGTATCTCTCTCGGCAGCTGTGTCAATCCGGAAACAAAGTTATTTTGGAAACTATGATTTAAACGCGTTGTCCATTGAACCTCCCGGATTGTTTTCTGTCTCGTTGCGAATACTTTCGATAGGTTGAACTTTGGAATGCATGTACCGCAACACACTATTCGGCAGTTCTATCTGGGATCCGAATACCTTCCATTCCTTCTCGACAATTCACTATCACAAAACCATGTGGAGCACAATGTGCTGGCCTCCTCTCCACCCCCACGTTTCCACTTTGTTGACTCGTTTCTCCCTCGACAGTTTCAAGCTTTCGCTCATTTTGCTGCGAATTCCAACCAGTCACACAGGCGCCTTCCTGTTCCCCTTTCATTTGTCACCCGATACGTACAGTTTGCTCTCTGTTCGTTGTCTTTGCTCGTTCCAATTCACTCGTCATTTTTATATTTTTGAAGCTCCGTCTTCCGATTTCCAATGATTCTCGAAAAAGCCGAGAACTTTGAGAACCGTCGGCCGGTCCATCACATGTTCCAGTTGTCTCCCGTCACGAGCCCCTCCTTTCCTTTATCATCTTGTCTGTCGCATGATTGAGCAGGATGTTTTCACTCGATTCCGTCGTTCCTTTATAATTTCCTGCCGCCGACTATACAAATCAGTTTATTTCGAGAAGTCCCTTGACTACAGTAGTCATGCCCCATCGGTCGAGAGTTAACGAAAAACAGACGGCGATTCTGTTTCTGGTTCCCGGTATTCACCCACCCACTCGTGTGTTATTCTCGAAGATTCGAATGGCTTAGTTAGGTTCTCTTGATCTTTCCTTCCCCAAAATTACATACACTGAAAATAGAATGGATTCGTGAAAAGTGAAATCGAACTGAAAACAGTCGGATTCCAGCTCGTTCGGTGCAGTGGTTGCCACTGAAAGAAGAGGGAAAAAGTGAAGGATTATTTTGATTGTTGTTCTGCGTGATAACAATATCGAAAAGATGACGTCTTCGAAATCATATTCTACCTCGTCTGTCTTTCACAAGGACTGATCTGTCCTATTCACTTGCCCCCCTTCCCTTCGATCCCATAAGTCCTGCTTCTTCTCCTTCCTTCCCTTTCCATCTCTTCCGTTTTTTGTCTTTTTCCACTCCTGTACTTTCTCATTCCATTAACTTTTTCAGTCCTCGCCGACCTGACCGACCCATCCTTTGCTCCGAATCCCGCACTCTCTGCGTCTCACGGCTCTCTCCTCTCCGCCGTCTTCTTGGCTCCGCCCCTCCCACTTTCCCTCCCGAAACATCCATGGATTCCTCCCATTCGTCGTCGCTTCTCAACGTCTCTCAGATGTCGTGCCGCTTCTCGAATCACGGAGACTTTGTGCCCGAATCGTTCGATTCAATATCATGTTCTGCCTGTTTCTACTTCATTTTTATGCTCGTCAAACCTTATTCAGAAAGGTGAGTGTGTCCAGTTCCTCATTGCACAGAAAAGGTGTCTATTTTCCTTCTCTTCTCACTTAATTATTTATCGTTTCGCCTCTCTTTTCCGTCAATTAGCGACGCGCCTCCGTGCCTTTTGTCGTCCTGGAAGACTGGATTAGAGTTCACTTTTGTGTCTGCAGAGAAAACAACAAAATGAGATTTTACAGAAATATCTGCGGTTTGAAAGTTCATTCAAAAGACTTTTCTCGGTTTTCGAAAGTGCTTCCGGCGCTCCAATTGACTTCATCCTTCCAGATATCGAACAGAATTGTGCGAGGACACATCGGGAGTGCTCATTTGTCCCATCGGAAGTTCGTCGTTCGAATGCAACTGCTCAATGAGCTCCCACGTATTCAACATCCCCGAGTTCGCCCTCAACTCGTTAGTTTCTTTCTTTCTTTTTCAATTTCAAAAGAGCCTCTGCCCCCGATAATCCATTCAATTTGTTGGCAACATTTGCCGAATTCGCGTGAAAAGTAGACAAAAAGTAATTGGAAAAAGGATGAGGAAATGAGGATTACTGTAGTCGGAATGGCTCGGTTTCCCACCAGTGCAACCCACATAGTTTCATTCCATTTCGCTTCATTTCTTTCGGTGCCCTCACAAAAGGTTCCGTCTCGGATTTCAACGCGTGTGCTCAATGAGCACACGATGCTCCTAAAAAAGAACGTATCCATTACGAGGCGGTCCCGGGCACCACCAAGTAATGCGATTACCTTCCGTCCCGACGGCAGACTTTCGTCGAGGGCAACGAGCAGCAAATTGTCGCGCTTCGCTCGCAACATTTCTTTCGAATTCGGACCCCGAATGTCTGTGCTCCGTGTGCATGATTGGCCGAGAGGGTGCGGCTCCAGAAGAGACACAGACGCACTGACCGCCGCCTCATTTCCTGACCATGTCCAACGAGTAAAAGGTCCGTTTTCTATTTCGGAAAAGGAAAGGACACGTGACCTCCCGAGGGACCGCACAAGTTTCTAATTTCTGCGAAGGTTCCAGATTGACAGGAGGGCAAAAAAAGGGGTTCCCGGAGGAGATGGGCAGAACATCATCCATCTAGATGGAACAGGCACTTGTCAGAAGTGTGCATGACGGACACCGCCGTTTTCTGATGCCGAAAGTTGTTCTTTGCGAACGAAACGTGAAGGGGCCGGAAATGCGAGGTGGCAGGGACTGAGTCAGACGGGAAGTACGATCGGACGGGCACTCGGGGACGCAATCTAGAAGAGGCCTACTTCTTCTGGCTCCGGAATACATCAGGTTCACGCATCCCGTGTTTTGCATATTCCCACTGCCAATGTCTCTTCCGCCCACCTCCAAATCTTGTTCAATGGAGCATTTCGACCCTTTCCGTAACCCCCTCACTCTCCGTTTCCTCCCACTCTTTTTCTCCTCTTCAACTCTCCGATTTTTTGAGTCTTCATGTTCCGAAATATCACTTCTTCTTGCCCGCAAGATCCGTCTTCCCATCATAACCGCCGGTCTGGGTCCCTCGTCTCATGGCACTGCCTCGCCATCTCATATCGCAACACATGATACGCGAAAGAAACACTTTGAAACGCGAAGAAACGATGAGATCACGTCTAGAACCGCACCGGGGAGTCTCGGGGAATCGCTGTGGATTCGGGGACGGACTGCTTCTGAAAGTACAGTAATCCTTGACCTGGTCTTAGGACCAGGAAAATGGGGGAAAGTCGAGAGAACAAAAAGTGACGGATCGGTCGGGTGAGAGAAGAAATGACGGGGCAAAATGACAGTTTGTGTAAAAGTTTGCAACATTTCATCACGGATCCTCTCCCGAGAACACAGAAAAACACATTCTTTCCCTCGGGCAAAAAGAAGCGACCGGATTAGGGATGGACGTACTTTTGAGGGCTGGAAGACGAATGTCTGGGAGCGAAACAAGGCGCCGAGCGATGGGAACAGAAGAGGACTCTAATCCCTTCATTCATGACAAGATTGCTTCGCTTTCGAGGCAGACACAGAGAGCACCGCGCCGATTTTCAACTTTTCATTTGATGAAACAAGTGCCTTGTGTCTCGTCATTCGCAAATGGAAACGAAAAATAGTTTATTTCTGTAAATTGGATTGGAAGGTTCAACTTTTGTAGATTTCCGGGTAAGGAGGAAAGAAAAATGGATGCCAGGGCGAGAAAAAATGTGCGAAAGGAAATTGAATGGAGGAAAAGTTCGCGCCTTTTCTGAGCGAAACTAAATCAAATACGCACTTTTCGAATGGAAAAAGGAGACGGATAGAAGGTTCCAGATCGAGGACAACGCCGTTGCACCGCCTGGAACTTGATCCGCCGCTGCCGTTTCAGTTCGATTTGGTCGTGAGAGACTGCTGTTCGGCCGCCCGTTATTGCTGCAGAAACACGCTTGTCCAATGTACGAGAGCTAGTTGAGTACATGTTCCTTATCGCTTTGGTTCGCTTACAGACAAACCACGAACGGAGGCATCGTGCCCTGCCACGTGGGATGGCTGGAACTGTTTCGAGGGAGCCATCCCGGGAAAGGTGGCGAGACATTGCCCCGGTTATATTTATGGAGGACATTCGAAGACGGACAGTGATGGATTGGGTGAGCAGAAATCCGTAACTTCCGAAATGTCAATGAACCATTCTAGCGTATCAAGCATGCACTGAAAACGGATGGGCAAAGTACGGAGAAGGGTATCCGAGGGAACACACGGACTACAGTGGATGCACTTCGAACAAGGTAGGCTTGCGAACGAGCAGTCCATCTGAAATTATCTCTTATTTGAGGATGCCGAGACGAAGATGATCGCTGGCCTTCTCACCTACTCGGCCAGTGTCATTTTCCTCATTCCCGCAGTCATAATGCTCATGATTCTGAGGTGAGTCCGTCCCGAAATAGTCCATTGTTGTGTGCTCATTGTGCTCTTCTCTCCAGGCCCATTCGTTGCCAACCAATGTTCATTCTGCACCGGCATCTTCTCCTTTCTTGCCTCGTCTACGGCTCCTTCTATCTCATCAACGTCGGTCTTTTCGTCTTCACAGAAGCGCCGCTCTCCTCTCAAATATACTCGAACCATGTGAGTCCGTCTGACCACCGTGGTCACCCCGCAAAACTGAATTATTCAAATTTTCTAAAGCGAGAAAGAACCACCACCTTCTTTTTTTACGTCGTTTTCCATCTTTTCTCAAAAAAGAGGACAAGAGGAAGTGCCTCATGACATGGATTCCAGATCTTCTGTCGTTTGCTCTTCTCCATCCAACTCCGCTATCTCCGGCTCACAAACTTCTCGTGGATGCTCGCCGAGGCCGTTTATCTTTGGAGGTTGCTGTATACGGCCCAACACTCGGAAGGAGAGACTCTCCGAAGTTACAAACTCATCTGTTGGGGTACGAATCCGACCATTTCGGCAGAGCGCATTTCCGTTCTCTTCAGGAATGCCCGGCGTGATCACGTTCGCCTACATGTTTCTCCGCGGTCTCAACGATGACGTCGGCTACTGTTGGATCGAAAACTCTTCGGTCGCTTGGGTCGAATGGATGATATTCGCTCCTTCACTTTTGGCAATGGGCGTCAGTTAAGAAACCCTCTTCCCCCTTTTTATCAGTATTTTCAGGTGAATCTGCTTCTTCTCGGCCTAATCGTCTACATTTTGCTCAAAAAACTGCGTTGTGACCCTCACCTGGAGAGAATTCAATACAGGTGAGAAGACGGAATTAGAGGGGGAAACCCGGGGTCGGGGATCGGATTTCGGAAGAGACGTCACGAGGGAACTACTTGCAGAAAGGCCGTCCGAGGGGCGCTGCTGCTCATTCCCGTCTTCGGAGTCCAGCAACTGCTCACCATTTACCGCTTCAACAACAAATATTATCAGATTCTGGATCAGTCGCTGAACGGACTGCAGGTAGTGCCCATTGTGCATCCAATGTGCTCCATCGCACCATTCCAGGGCTTCTTCGTCTCGTTTATACTCTGCTACACCAATCGGTCCGTCGTTGAATGCCTCACAAAGTGCTGGAATTCCCATCAGGAGAAGCGTGCGCTCGGAGCCGAATGCCGTCAAAGAATGAGCATTCAGGAGAGCGGGAAGCTCCTTTTGAAAGCATCGCAAAACCCGGACCATGTCACACTTTGACCAACTCGCACTCTCACCCTTTCTTCCAATGATTCCCGATGTATTTATTTGTGAGCCAGCTTGCCCCGATTATAACCGAACCCAGTGAGGGATTATAATGATAGATTTATTTGTACAAAAAATAAAACGGAAATAAAGACATTTCATTATCAATAATTGTTATCACCAGCTCAATTGAATTCGTTGATATTCAGGAATTTCTTTTCCAACGAAACAGAGATCCGCAGTCCGGACAGCACTTTCCTGCAAAAAAGTTCCTTTAGAAGAGAAACCAGAGGAGAATGTCGCTTACCCATTGTACTTTATCATGAAGTCTTTCGCTTTGTCGTGTGCACTGAATATAATAGAGACAACATCGTCGGAAGATCTCCAGCACTTCTTGATTGGTCCCATTTCGTTTGCAATCGCTTCAATTTTCTTGCAAGCGGTGGGAAGTTGCTGCACTCCGGACACATTCACGGCCAGGAACGCCTTCACCTTCTCTTTTGAGGCGGCAGTGACGGCGGGAGCGGAGACTGGTGGAGCGTGAACTGAAGCGGAGACAGGCTCTTTCCGCTCGCTGACGGGGGCATGTCTTCGTTCCTCCTTCTTCCGAATGATCTCGTCTCTTCTCCTCTTCTGCTCATTCACGCGTTCGATATATTCATTGGACAACCCGAGAGCTTTCGCACTTTCAATTGTCGCATTCTTCGATTGCTCCTTTCTGCGTCGAGAATCTCTCTCCGATTCTCTATGATGCTCCTGTCTCTCCAGTCTGCGATCATCGTAACGTCTTCTGTCGCGTCTATCGTCCCTTCTATCATCTCTTCTATCACGATCGTCTCTCTTTCTTTCCTTCCGATCTTTTCGTTTGCGATCACTTCTCGAAGAACTTCTCGATCTCGAACGACTTCCACTCGAGTAGCTGGATGCCGACGAGTACGAAGAGCTGCGTCTCTTTCTATTTCCTCTGTGGTGAGCAAACCCCTTTGCATTCGGATTGGCTCCATTCAAAAACATATTGACCGCCTGGTCCCACTGTCCTCCAGGAGGCATTCCAGGCACTCCTCCTCCGCCGACCATTCGACCTTGGGCTTGGTAACCCGTTCCGAAGCCAGCACGTCCGTGATTGACAGGCATCCCGATGAGTGGGATCCCATTGGGGAGACGTGGAACTATGTTTGGCTGTGGCTCGAGCATGAAGGACGGCGGTGGATAGAACACTCTTTCCTGCTCCCCTTCGATTCGAAGACGGACTCCAATTGGCTGATCGCCGCTTTTCATCGGGTTGTTCGTGATGGTCTTGTCAAACAGAGACGGGATGCCAGCTCTTCCATTCTGAAAATTTGAAAGTTTTTTTTCTGTATGATATGAATCTAATTCTACTTTGCTCTCTCCGCTCACCTCCTTTTTGTTCTCATCGCCCTCCTCGGACATGCGAGCTCCTCCTTTCTTCTCCGAAGTGAATCGGCTCGTTCTCTCTCTTCGTTCTTCGTCGTCTTCCTCTTCATCATAATCCAGCTCTTCCTTCTCACTTTCCACATCTTCACCCTTTTCGCCGTGATTGTCATCGTAATTTTCACACTGAAAGAAAGCGATTTCTAATGCATATGAAACAGTTTTTATGATGGGAGCGGGGAGAAGAGAAGATTAGCCAATCAGACAGATATTTGATGACCAAATTTAACCCTATTCAAACAGTGTCTCCGTTCAACTATTTTTGCAGTGCTGATTTGACTTTCTGCAAACATTCTAGAGTACTTAGCCGTTTAAACCAAATTCCTGCCCGTCTGTCAATTTTTCCTTGCCATAACCGGATAAACAGAACAATATTTAAAAAGGTGTTTTTGCAGTTGGAATGTCGACAGATTCAAGCGGATTAATCCCAATCCGTAGAGAACTAAAAATTTTACAACACGAATAATTAGGATTAACGCCACAAGATCACCGCCACGAGCCACGAGATCTGGCTGTTGCTCGATTGTGCCGCGTACTTTTCCATCTGCTCGTCGCAACCTGACCGCAGTCAACTGAAACTCACCTGCATCAGTTCTGAATTCTAACGATTATTGCTTTACTAGCTTCACTTGTCTGTGTGTATATTTATTTATCTGATGATAAATAATTCGACAAACCCGATGATGATATTTTGTAAAATTAAAGTGCAATGATCGAAAGGTACAACAAGCACCGCATGATACTCGAGACACAAAATTAAATAGAAAAATCGACATTATTAGCTGCTCCCAGCGAAGACTCGATGCGTTTTGGGGGTCGTATGTTGGGGTCGGGCGGGTGTTTGAAAAAGATCAAAAGGGAAAGAATGGGGACTATGGGATGGGTCAATAAATTATCGAATGGGCGCGGAAAACCCGAAACACCTGTTGACTCGACGAGGCGCGAATAGCGATTGAAAAACTGGGTCGAAAACGGAAAAGTGATCAGTTTAAGGTGGGGTTAGGCAGATCAGACTGAGAGAGAGAGAGAGAGAGAGAGAGAGAAAATGGGAATAACACATTTGATAGAAGTACGAATATACAGATACACATCAAGGTTCTCGCATAATAAATGTGTTCAAAAATTAGGGAAAGTGCAAAATCGAAACACCACTACTCACTAAATATGAAAATTGAGGATGGAAGGTAAATGGGACGTTCTGAAAACGACAGAAACTTACATGCTCGGGAACAGGGGCAGTGACGGTCGGAGCGTCGTCGACCGATTCCTGAATCGATTTGCGAGCGACGTCGCCAGCGCCCAACAGCAGATCTTCGTCAATGGCCTAGAAATTTTATCAACTGAATCGTGAAAAATTTCAAATTTACCGTGAGCTGCTCAAAGCCATTTTCGTCCGTTTCGTGGAGAAGGAGATCCTCTTCGACAACTGACATCGTTGTTTAAGCCTTCTAGAAAAATCACAAGTTGAACAAGGAAAAAGACAGAAAAAAAGGCTGTTTCGAAACGAAGCGAATAAAAGAACGACCGGAATGAGAGCATACTCAGGAATCAATACTTATGAAATAGCGACGAGAAGAGAAAAAAGGCAGACATGTCACTATTGTCGCGTGCGCGCGCAGCGGCAACCTGATGTGTGCGAACACAGTCACGCAATTCTACACATTTTTCCGACCGTAGTCATTTTTAAAAAATAAACTGCTGCATGTATTTTCAGACTCCTTTCCGTTCATAAGTACATTATTCCCGTGAACAGTTCACTGTCATTGCTAAGTACGAAGTTTCAGATGCCTAATCTCGACGAATCGAAAACGAAAACTGGTATAGAGGAGTGTCTGGACCAACTAAAAATCGTCCCGGAGACATCAGGAAATGTCGAAGGGACGAAAAGTATCAGTAAGCATCAACGTTTCCTTCTGATGGCCAAAATGACGTCACTTCGAAGTAAAGATCCGAACACGCAAGTAGGATGTGTCATAGTCGACAAAGACGACAGCATCGTATCCGTAGGATATAATGGATTCCCAATTGGAGTGGACGATGACGTCTTCCGATGGGATAAAGAGGATCCCGAGGACAACAAACATCTGTACGTAGTGCACGCCGAAATGAATGCCATACTAAACAAGGTACGTAAAGAATAGTTTCTTTTCCGTTTCCACAATATCCCCTTTCAGCGATGTGCAACTCTCCACGACTGCACCGTCTACGTAACTCTGTTTCCCTGCAACAGATGTGCTCAAGTGCTCATTCAGTCAAGAGTCAAAAAAGTTTACTTTCTAGAGGACCGCGATGAGCTGGTGTTTCGAGCCTCCAAGAAGATGCTAGACCACGTGAAACTACCGTATGAAAAAATCGCCATGCCTTACGACAAGTTAGTTATCGAGCTTTAAGCACACAAAACTCATCCGATCTCACAAAATGTATTAATAAAGTTATCTAATCATTCATTTACAAAGACCACAACTTTTCGGGCAAGTTTTATGTATGGCTGCTTGACTGTACTTGCTGCAGAATCCATGAGCAACCCAAGGAGAACACATCTTGTTAAAGTCTTCGCAGGTCTTGCACGCATTGCAGCTCTTCGCACAGAGTCGGTGCATGAGAGGAGCGTACTGGGGATCGGAACAACGACTCTGATTGTCCGAGCAGTCGTTCGCCACGTCGACACAGACTGAAAAGCGTAATTAGCCCGTGTTCCCTGGAATATTCCCAAACCCTCATTTCCTCCGGTTCCGTTCTCGCTTGTGCCATTTTGAGGGCACCGATTGCACGTCGATGGGCATTCCGTAGAGAGAAGATCGTAGTAATCGATTGTGTTGCAGAAAGACTGAAAGGAGAAATAATTCATGAGAAACCTTCCGAAAGTCACCGCCATCGTCGAGCAAACTTCCGGACTACTCTTGTCCGCGCACAAATTCGCATTCTTCCTGTTACATTTTCCGCACGTCGCTGGGCATTTCTCCTGCAACCAAACCGTCAACAAGTCGAACAAATAGCGTGTTCCATACTTTCATAAACTCGCTGAACGTGTCGGAATCGCATTGAGGAGCCAAAGCAGTGCAGTTCAACACAGATTCCGGCTGGGGGTTCGAGCATTTGTAAGATTCACAAGCGTTGCAGGTGACCAGGCAATCCTGCAAGCATCTAGGATGTTGTTTAGAGAACGCATATTCATTGGCATTACCCCTAACATCGGTCGAAACGTTGCATTGTAGCAGTTGGAAAGATCATCGAAAATGCTCGCGCACCTCGGTTCTCTGTTCGCTTGCTCGCAGTTCTCAGCCACGACAACAGCTTCAACTTTCACGGAAGAGCAGAAGAGAATAAAGAGAAGAGGAACGAATGTGCTACGTGCCATTCTTCTGATTGTTTGATGCCAAGTTCTGGTGACCCTCCCATTTATACGTTGGCACTTAGAGCCAGGTGCTCAAACAGAAGACGACGTTGCTCGAAAAACAATAACAATGCATCAACAGCAGCAAAAGCGTAAATGCATTGTTATTTGTATCCATTCTGGCACAGGATGACAGGCGTCATTTCACTATAAACACGACGGAACGACGGAGATAAGACGCGCCGATTCCAGCTGCTAGGCTGGCAGAATCAGTGCAAACGAATGGTCGAATAACTGGTTCCGAAAGTGAAAGGATCGGTTGCGTCATTCTGCGAAACCAGGCACAAAGCATCGTGAAGAGTTGAATTCGGGGAAAGTGAGAGAGAGGGAGAGAGAGAGAGAGAGCAAGAATTCTTTGAAGCTTTCGCACTTGGAAGCGAAACTATCCATTCCATGAGCATACTTTCAGAGTACCATTCCGACGCTATCCTCGCTGCCTCCATCGTCATTTTGTTCTTCCCGACTTTCACTGCGCCACTGTTGGTTCCATAACTGATCTGTAATCTAACTAAGGACGTAGATGCCGCAACTGGTAAGTGAGAACCGGTGTAATTCTGTGATAACAATATGCGTATGTGTATATGTTTTTGCCAAAACCAGACGTTTTGCGCAAGACGGGGGCGGCGTCCGACGTCTCCGCATACTTCTTGTTCTGTAGTAATTGCGATGAGTATATAAGATTGTCCAGTTCTCCAAATAAGCATCATTTCCACACTTTTAGTACTTTCTTTCAAGATATATTCATATTCGCTAAATACATCGTTTAGCTTTCTTTCATCAGATTTTTCGGTTTCAGAATGGCTACCTACCTACGGTTGGTAGTTCTCCTTCTTTTGACGATCCACGTTTCGTCGTTCCTCTTCCCTAGCACCGGAGGCGGTGGCGGAGGCGGTGAGCATTCATCTTAAGACTGATCTGAATGAGTTCCCTTGTTCAGGCTGCGGCTGTGGCGGCGGAGGCGGCGGTGGCGGCTGTGGAGGCGGATGTGCTCCACCACCATCGCCATGCGGAGGAGGATGCGGAGGAGGAGGAGGCGGCGGCGGCGGCTGCGGCGGCGGATGCGGAGGAGGAGGAGGTGGCGGATGTGGCGGAGGATGTGCTCCACCACCACCACCACCATGCGGAGGAGGATGCGGAGGCGGTGGCGGAGGATGCGGAGGCGGTGGCGGAGGATGCGGAGGCGGTGGCGGAGGATGCGGAGGCGGAGGCGGAGGATGCGGAGGCGGAGGCGGCGGATGCGGAGGCGGTGGCGGAGGATGCGGAGGCGGAGGCGGAGGATGCGGAGGCGGTGGCGGAGGAGGATGCGGTGGAGGATCTAGCGGAGGAGGCGGATACGCCATCGCTCCATCCGGAGGAGGAGGCTGTGGAGGTGGAGGATCCAGCGGCGGAGGCGGATACGCAGTTGCCCCATCTGGAGGAGGATGCGGAGGCGGCGGCGGTGGCGGCGGAGGAGGTGGATACGCTGTCGCCCCAGCACCTTCCTACGCTAGCTCTGGAGGCGGTGGATACCCAACCAGCGGAGGTGAGTTTACTGGATATCTGCAAAAGATCAGAAGTATTCTTCAGGAGGAGGATACGCTAGCAGCGGAGGAGGAGGCGGCGGTGGATACTCTACCGGAGGAGGTGCACTTACACCAATTACATTCCTTTAATTTGTTTCATTTAGGCGGAGGATACGCCGGAGGTGGCAGCAGCGGAGGATACGCCGGAGGTGGCAGCAGCGGAGGATACGCCGGAGGAGCCAGCAGCGGAGGCGGATACTCTGCTCCAGCTGCCCCACCACCACCACCACCACCGCCACCACCAGCACCAGCTCCAGCTCCAGTCGCGAGCGGATACTCTGAACAAGCAAGTTCTGGTGGTTCTTCTTATCCGGGACGCGCCAGATTCTCGCGCTTCTTCAACAAGGCATAATCTAAGTAATCCCACATCATTCCCCAAATGATCCCGTTTTGTTGTTGTTGTGAAGACGAAGACGTAGTTGTCATTCTCGAAAGTGTTAGTTTGTCTCCCCCCCTCCCCCAACCCCTTTTCCAATCGAAGAAGAACCCGACATCTCTTCTCTCATTTGTTTTGTGCTTGACAGTATTGTCGGCCAAAACAGCCAAACTGTGTCCTGTATATAAATGTTTCCGAACGTGTACGTCGTTTTCTAACGCATAGCATGAACATTGCACAAACGAAAGGAATCGAGAGGGACAGACAATTCCGAAGGCTTCGAACGAGGAGCAGTTCGGTACGTGGCGAGGGCAGAAACCATCGGAATAACACTGGAAGCATGAGATTTGAGTTCACCCTGTAACACTAACAGTTCGTGTCATCAGACGAATAGAGATAAGTAGGCGCGCGTCCACATTTCAGTCCATGAACAACTCAAATTCTTTTCAGAGCTCTGGAGGATCCTCTTACTCGGGCGGCGCTTCATCTAGCGGAGCTTCCGAAGGATACTCTGGCGGAGGAGATGCCTCTTCGTCTTCTTCATCTGGCGGATACTCTTCTAGCGGTGGAGACACTTCCTCGGGAACATCATCAGCCGGAGGGTACTCGGGCGGCGGAGACTTATCATCGTCTTCTGGGAGTGATTCATCGGCGAGCTCCTCCTCTGGAGGCTATTCTGCAAGTGGAAGCGGTGTTGGATCAAGTTCGTCTGGAGGATACTCCGGAGGAGGTGAGTCGGCGCCTGCCGCCCCTGCTCCGTCAGCAGGATACTCTGGCGGAGGATCGGAGCCAGCTCCTGCGGCCGCCCCCGAGCCAGCGGCACCTTCTGGAGGCTATTCTGGAGGAGGAAGTGACGCTGGAGCAGCTTCTGGAGGCAGCAACTACTCTGGAGGTGGAGATGCCGCTGCGGCTGCCCCACCACCACCACCACCACCAGCACCAGCTCCGACTTACTCGGGAAGTGGAGGAGATGCTGGTGCTGCTGCTCCAGCCCCACCATCCGGAGGAGATTCTTCGTCTGGAGGATACAATGGAAGCGGTGGAGCCGCCGGGGGAGCCCCGAGCGGAGCAAACTACGATGAAGCACAAGAAGAAGTGGAAGAGTATGAAGGAGGAAGCAGCGGATTCAGAAACAGAAGGTTTTCAAAGGGAGGAGTCGCCGATGATACTCCAGTCTGCAATTCGGTCAGACTCCGAAAGCTCATCAGACAGGTGAGAAGCACGAAAATCGAAAAAAATGAAGAAAGAGAAGTGTTTCAGAGCTTGACGGAAGATCCAGAATCCTCGATGCAGCGACTCGCTCAGCGCGTCAAATCGCGTCTTGTCAGTGGTGAATTCTACGTGGCTTGCGGCGAGCAGGGACTCTCTCCGATCGAGGGAGAAAACCGAGAGCACTGTTTCATCAAGACCCCCACCTTTGCATGCTACGTGCTCCGAAAAGCTTAAATACGACTGACGAGTACTGCACGTCATATATTTATTTATCACTCGATGCTCTCACAAAATTGTTGAACGAACAAAAACGAATAAATTATTTTCTTGAAATGTTGCAATTTTGAATCATTCGTACTCTGCGATCGACTTGTAGTATTCGGATTGGTTCGCGGCACGAGTATTAGCCGTTTTGGCGAGTTTTCCTTCGAATCCGTTTGACCTGTCGACGCCATCCCATCGATATCCTGGAGCGATCCCAAACCGATTGGGTGTCCATGGTCCCTGGAACGTCGGATAAACTAGTTCCCCTCGATCGATCGCCGTGTCCCTTCGTTTCTTCTGAATCATTGCGGCCATCGGATCGGCAGCATGCAGAACTTCTTTCATGTGCGCATTCATCGCGTCGTCATCTCGTGCTCTTGCCATAGGCTCGGCAGCCACTCTGACCATCTCCTCGAGCATTTCTTTCCGCTCTTCGAGCTGAGCAACTCCTCGATTCCACGATTTGTACTTTTCCTTCAGCTCCTCCGTCTTCTTCGCTTCTCTTTCTTTCTTCGCCTGGTCTTCTTCCGAGTCTTTCCCCTTCTTCTTCGTCTGCTTCTGACGGTAAACCGTGTCGGCGAACCGCCCGCTTACCGAGCTGTCTAACTCGTCAAACATCTGTAAACGGAAAATAATTGTCGGAACTTTCAAGATTGTGATCACCTTCGAATTTTTGGCTCTCAGCCTATCGCTCTCTTCTTTCAAGTCTTTGGCTGATTGGAGTCCGGATCTCTTTCCGTCCAATGTCTTTCCAAATGTCTCCACATCACTGTCAGGTTCTTCCTTTTTAATTTTTTTCGGTTCTTCAATCTTTCGGGACTTTCTTGGCGGACTCAAATTATCGTCATTCCTGCGACGACGAGGAGGCGAACTGTCACTGTTCCGACGAGAACGACCACGAGCGGGGGAAGACTTATCTGTAATTGAACTGTCATGATAGAAAAAAACAAGAACAAGTGCCTTACCTCGTGTACCTTTTCTTGGTGGGGAATTATCGCTGTCGTGGCGTTTTCGACCATTTCTCGGTGAGGAAGGACGTCGGCGAACAGGAGAACTGTCTGAAATAAGGAAAAGAAATACTGGGAGTAAGACAGAGTTCGCACCGCTATCTTTCCGACTTCGCTTTGGTGGCGAATTGTCACTGTCGTGCCGCTGACGTCCGCCAGACCTTCTCGGAGGCGAGTTATCTACAGACACAAGACTTTTAGAACCTGGGCACGTTGCGCGGGCCAAGCTAACGCTCGAAAGCGGATTTGCCGCTTGTTTGTTCATCATAACCGTTAGAAAGTTCAAGTGTTCATTTCTTAGTTTCTCCGTCACAATCTTTTCGTTTTAGAAATAAACGTGGGGACGGACAAACGGACAAATAAACAAACAGACAAACAGAGGGACAAACCCGTGAAGAGTTATATTAATAAGAATGATTTTAATGAACTTTTTAAATTAGTTTTCTCTTACCACTATTGCTGTCATGCCTTTTTTTCGCAGCTCTCGGTGGCGAATTGTCGCTGTCGTGCCTTTTTCTCGCAGCTCTCGGTGGCGAATTGTCGCTGTCGTGCCTCTTCCTTGCCAGCCTCGAAGAAGAATTGTCGCTGTCATGTCGTTGCCGCCTTGGAGGAGAGCTATCAGGTGATAGCGGCTCAGCTTTAATTTCCTTGAGCGCCTCGACTGGGGCGAACGTTTTCTTGAATCCTCCCACATTCTTCGCCTTTTTGACGCTTTGTTTCAACACTTCGATTTCTTCCTGTTCCTCGTCCGACCCGATATCTTTGGCTTTTGCAGGTTCGACAGAAAGAAATGCATCTTCTTCGATTAATCTTAATCTGGAAATACAAACCATTAAGCCATTTTGTCTAAAATTAGTTACCCCGTCGGTTTATCCTTGTTCTTCTTCTTTTTCTTCTTTTCTTGATTGCTTGAGCCTACTGACATATACTTTTTTAAATAGTCAGTTTTAGATGACATTTCTGCAATAGAAAATCATGGAAGAAAGAACGAAAGTAAATACAATTTAAAACGAAAAAAGGAATTTCGAATAAACGCATCCGAAACCTAGGCCATTTGAGAATTCTAGGCCAGGTTGCCGGCAAGACACTTTTTTTAACTGACCCATTTGTTTCTCCATTTCATTTTTTCGACATAATAATTGATAGAAAACGCTAAAATTTTTATATTTTGTTTTTAGAAAAATGGCGTCCACAGACGAAGAGCGAAAAGAGGTTTCGTTTAGAAAGCGAGTGCTCACAGCAATCGAAACACTGACCGAAGTTGAGAATATATCCGAACTGCAGACACATGTAAGGCGCAATGAACTTGAGGGAATAAAACTGTACTGAATTCAGTTGCAATACCTTCACAATCTGGCTTGGGATGAAGTTATTGAGGAGCGGTTTCTGAGCAAACAGTGTGGATTCCCAACCTGCTCACAAATTCCGCCCCAGAAGAAACGAAATCAACTGTACCAGATTGACAAGAAGGAAAAGAAGGTATGATAAACAGAGCAGTTTGAGACGCTCACAAAATTTTCAGATTTACGAGTTCTGCAAGCAGCGAAGTAAATTCTGCTCGGAACAGTGCTACCACAAGAGCGTCTTCATTCGGAACCAACTTGAGGAGCAACCGCTATGGATCACCGGTTATTGTGAGCAAAGAATGAGTTAGGAAATGATCTATGGGCACTATGATAGCTCTGATTTCAGAGAAAAAGTTCGAACTTCCGGATAAAACGTTCGCAAGTCCAAAGAACGAAACGGAGACGGCTTCTGAGCCAGACCCTGAATCCATTGAATTTGTTACTGATACGGTTTGAAATAAATTCGCTTACAGACAATCATTTTTTGATTTCAGATAATTGCAAAAGTGAAAGGAATGAAGTTGAAAGAAGAGTACGAGGAGCCGAAAGTGGCAGATGAAGAAGAAGCTGAGCTGCAACCATACAAACTGACGGACGACGACAAGGATTTCATCCGATCAATACGTCAATTCAAAGCCACAAACTTTGGTGCTCCGTCGGCAGTTCCAAAGAAACAGTCAGCAAAAACGAAGCTGACGGCAATAAATCAGAAGAAAGAGGAGGAGATTTTGGAGAGACTCCGAGCCAAATACGGCAACAAGAACGCGAAACAGAAGAAGCCGCCGGTGATTATTGAGGCACAGCCGCTGATTCAGAGAGCATCCGTCGAGGAACAATCAAAGAAGACTGTTCAATGGAAGGACACGTGGCTCACCGACCTTATCAAGTAAACCTCAAGAGTGTTCTGCATGCATCAACTTATTTCCTCTTCAGATCTTGGTTCACTCCGGAAACTCGTCAGATGATTCGGGAAGGCGCACGACCTGTGGGCGGAGCAGCCGAGCAGATTCTCATGGACTTTCTTTCCGGAAAGAAAGTGGAAAGTACGGTGAATCTGCCCAATCTGGACAAGTACAATGTGAGGGAAAAGAGACTCAACATCTATTTGCAATCCGTCCGGAATCAGTGAGCGGGAGAATCTGCGTAGCTTTTCGAAACAGTATTTCAGTTGGCTCGAACTGGAAGCCCTTCTCCACGTGACTCCCACTCGGAGGGACCTTCTCAGTCGTGTCGCCGCCACTTTCAACCTCAATTCGGAAAATATCGCCGGATGGAATAAACGGGAGATAAATCAGATCGTACTCGCTCTGTTCCTCACGTGAGAACTTTCGCTTCATATTATAGCGACATTTGACTGCAATCGCGCTCTAACATAATTCCACGTAAAAACACGGCCGCCACCGCGACCTTTTCTAATTAAGCACTGAATTCACGTGGTGTGCAGTAGAGCGAGATTGCAGTCAAATGCATCGCTAATAATATTCCTACTTCATCTCATTTTCAGAGTGTCTCTCATTGATGTTGAACTCGGCGATGAGTACTTCAAAAAGGAGCACGTCTCCCACGAATTATCGGCCGCTGCTTATGATATTTGTGGACTTCACCCGCATGATATCACATGTCTTTACACCTTCATCAAATCAGAAAGTTCTTGTCAAATTTAGTTTAGAATGTTCTTTGAAATGTTAGTTTCATGAAGCTGATTAGTTTCTAATCCAAGCATTCCGATCACTTGCATTATTCGTCGCTGATTCTCTTTTCTGAAAGATATTCTTCTGGATTTTGTCATAAACGTTGATATCTTTCTCAAACGGCTGAGCTAAGAAAAATAATTTATTTGAAAACGAGAAAAAATTTTATCCGGACGGTACGTTATTATTCGGGGGAACTCGAATCGCCTTCCTTTTCGAGATTGTCCACGTCGGCCTCTGCGCGCTCAATTTGTTTTCGGATTTTCGCCGCCTCCTTCTCCTTCATTCGTTATTTTTTATTTCCAATGTGCTCTGCCACGCCCGGAGCGGCATCTACTTGATCCTTCAACAATCGACGTGCTCGACAACCGACCATGTTCTAAAAGATTTCGTGTTTTCAAAAAATTGAAACTTGTCTTGCTTACGATGAGATGACTGACCTGAAAATTGCCGTGACCTTTGGAGTGGTGGAAGTAGATGCAGGCGGGGCAGAGCTGTTCCTTTTTCAGAACGTCTACGCCATCGATCGTATCGAGGTCGAACCGATGCTTGTCTGCCACACAAGTTGTAAAGATCGACATTTGTCCGTCATGGCCTTGGCCTTCGATTCCACAGTTCGCACACCACGCATCGCAGTATTCCACATTTCTCCTGGGACTTTTCTGTGGTGGAACGGGAGCATTTGCCGATTCGAGCGATGGCGTGTCGTCCGATTGGGCAGATGCCGTGTGTCGTTCGAGACGAAGATCCTGAATTAATCATTTTCAGAAAATTTTCAGCTAAATCTCTCACGTCATATTGTTTGACAGTCCCGCGAAACGACAGCGGCCGCAACTCAAACCGGCTGCTGATGTTGAACACGATGCGCGCCGTTTCCTTCCGTCTTGAGACCGTAATCACTTCGATGTCATCATTTGTGACCGTGCTCCTATAAACGATTTCGTGCAACAACTTCAGTACCAGTTTATTCGGAGAGCCGCCATGACAACTTCCTTCGATGCTTTCGCCGTGTTTCCAGGTTCCGAATGTTCAGCAGAAGCCACTGATTCCTCCTCTCTCGAAACTGATTTTCTCTCTTCAACTCGCTGATCTTAAGCGGCGTCTGGAGACATGACACCGGCAGCCCTTTCGGAATCCAGCGCCCAGTGATCAATCGATCGGAAAGCGCTTTGTGAGCAGTTGGTCTGTCCTTGGGATTCGTCTTCAGGAGCCGCGCGCAAATGATTTTTGCCATCGTCAGAGACTCCGGCTTCACATGGGGATGTGATTGGCGTGTGGCTGATGTCCCGCAGCATTCACCATACGCTGCATTGTTACATGTATTTTATTTCCTGTAAGTTCTCATTTCCCACCTTGTCGAGTTGATCTTCAGCCAGCGGTTCGAGTGGCAACGGGAAAGGCTGCTGTCCGAAGAGGGTTCGGAAGATCGTTGCGCCGACCGAGAAGACGTCGGGTTTGTAGACGATCGGGTCGCCGGCGAGCATCTCAGCTTTAAAAACAAGTTTCAAGTTGGGCGCAACCTTTCTCGAAAATCCGAAGTCGGACAAGATCGGCTAAAATTAAAATAAACATGAGTGAACGGAAGATAGTGTGTTTTCCGGCTTCACGTCCAGATGAAGAATTCTCCGCTCGTGGATGTGGCGCACGGCCCGAAGAATGCCCGTGGCGATGAATGCCACCTCCGTTTCTGAATGCCCTCCGTTTTTAAGATCCAGAGATGCCATAATCTCTCCTTCTTTCCTCAGTTTTACCAGGTCGTCGGATTTCAATCAATCTTCACGGTTTTCACTGCTCTCCGGGCTCCATTTTGTGCGTGTTTCGCCGAAACTACGATGCCGAAGTTTCCGGATCCCACGTGCTCTTCTTTCGTGTACTTCCCTCCTTCGAATTTGAATTCTCCAGGCAACAACGTCCTTCTCAAACAAGCTAGAGTCTCCCCTTACTTTAGATTTTTCAACAGAAGAGTCTTCCAAGGATGCAATATGCGATTCTCCTCATATAGCGACCGTCTAAGCCAATCCAATCTGAAATCGAAACTCCATAGACGGGTACTCCTTATCCTCAGAACATTCCACAATATAATCACGCACCAATACCACTTCCCCTCCCTAAATTTGTTTCCCAAACCTGGCGTCTCCCCCCGTTACCCGTATCTTCTCTCCTCTCTAGGCCTACCCCATGACTCTTTTTTGCATACTCATCTTGAGTGGCCAAAATTTTTCCCGAAAGACTGTCTCTTGAGGCTTTTGCGACGGGCATAGAAAAGATTCCCTCTTGTATATTGTATTCTACTTGACCTATGGCTATTGCCGGCCAATGGTCATTTTAGTCATTATTCCCTCCTCAACCCACTATCTATATTTCCCTCTTCTTCTGTAAATTTTTCTGATGGTCGAAGTGAATAAATGAGTTATTCTTATTATGAAAATTTCAAAATCCATGTGTTGTCTTTTTATATTTGTGACAAAGATTCGTAAAAAATAATAAATGAAAACTTCTTGACAATTTGTCTCCCGGACAATGGGGTCACATTACAGCAGCGGAAACGCACCGACAAGTTTATTCGAAAAAGCAAAAATAATTCATGCGAGATTTGTTTTTATTGGAAAGCTGAGTATGAGATCTAGTTGATATGATAATGGGAAACACTAGTGAAATTCAGTAGAGGCACGTCTTCTTCATAATCTCAAAGAATTGTTGCTCATTGATTCCGCTCTTTCTGTCGCCGCCAGCTTCACGAATCATTTCCTCGAATTCTGAATCTCCCAGAGATTCGCCCAACTCTTTTGCGACCTGAACACTTCTATTTTTATCACATGCCAAGCCCTAAGACTTGCCATTCTAAGGTTTTCGACAGTGATGATTCCTTTGCTTTCTGGGTCGAAAAGCTTGAATGCCGATCGCATTTCAGTAGTGACTTTGTCCTCACTTGGCATCTCTTCATCCTGTGATTGCAGAGCGTTCCAGAGCTCATCCACATCCATGTAGTCTTTTTCTGAATTGAATTTTCTTTACGCAAGCGTATTTTCTTACTTGCCTCCATGCCATCCCATCAGTTTACTCCTTCCTTCCTTGATCTTGCGAGTCATTTCTTGAACTGTCGTGTTTCGGGGATCGTATCCGAGAGCTCGGAGCACCATTTTAAGCTGTGTGAGCTTCAAAAGATTGGGGCGTTGCTCGGTGCACATCGCAGCGAATGTCACTTCTATTTCATCGCGTGTTACAGGCGTAGAAGGGGTAGGAGCCATCTGGAAAACGAATAAGTGAGCCAAATTAGAAAAATCATTGATAACAAGTATCGGCAGAAACCAAATCAGAACAAAAAAGAAATGGAGAAGAAAAACAACTTGAGAACGTTTATTTAGGCTGAATGTTATAAAAGATGGTTGGCGTTTTGAGAGACGAATAAAACGGAAAGATGGTATTATGCGAGTAGTAGCAAACTCCATCAATAGTGTATTCTCCGTTTTCGTACACTATTTCTTCTACAATCTCTAGCTTGGCACTCTCTGAAACAAGATCATGATGGGAATCAGAAGGATGACACAAACTAAGATGATGCTCGAAGCAGCTAAGACTGCCCAAATTACGACGAGTGCACGCTACTATGGCTGCTTTTGAGTGGCGGAGCAAGAGACGGAGCACGCTGCAGAGAGAAGCGAGGAGAGCAGTGTCGTAGACGACGTCTGAAAAAGAGGAGTGAGAAAGACGCAGAAAAAGGAGGGACACAGAGAAAGTGCAGAGATAAGTGAAAAGGGGTTCGTGGCTAAAGCTTCGGGAAAGAAATAACTGACCGGCGGCAACAATAAGATCGGCGGGCTCTTTCCATTCGGTGAAGTCGAAGTCGCACCAATCGAGACAACGAACTTTTCCTTGTTTTTCAGAAGAACCTACAAGACGATATTTCAAGCGTGCTTTCTTCATGTTCAACTACCTTCCGACTCATTGAGCAAGCCATTTCTAGAGGCATTTTTCTCTAGCAACTCCAGCACGTTATCATCGCAATCAGTGAGAACGACCCCACAATTATGGCTTTTCGCGATCGAGATCCCACTCACTCCACAACCAGATCCCAGTTCAACAATCCTTTTGAATCTGTCCGATGGAATGAGCCTGAACAAATTGGCCAAATCGCAGGATGCCTGCCAGACAGACAATCCAGTCGTTCCCATTGATAGTTGGTTGACAGATTCCGAGAAAACGGCCAGAATGCTATCGCCTTTTTCATCCAAATACAACTGAAATTGTTTTTTTACACATGTTTTATTTCTTTCTCTCACTCTCTCCACAAACTCTTCTTCTTTCAAGCCCATCAGTGTTCCCAAACGATCAAACAAGGAGTCAGGAACAGTTAGACTTGTTTTTTCGAGTTCAGAAATCAGATTCTTCAGAACACTGGTTTGGAATTGATATCGGATTGTATGCGAAGTAACGACTTTGTCGTTGAAAACCTGGAAACAACTAATTTCAGATGCGCAAACCTTATAATGCTCACCTTATTAGAGAGAACCTCTGCAAAAGCGGCTTGTTCTTTGCACTTCGCAATGATTTCTTCCCACAGGTCATCTGGAACTTTCGATCCACTACAGAAATACCTCTTGAACCGAAGTTCAGTGGTCTCTACGGATGGGACCGTCTCTTTCGGTTCTTCGCTTTCTGGACAGTTGTCGGAAATTTTGCGTTTGAAGGCGGACGCTAAAAGCGGTGTCAGGAGGAAGGTATTCGGGTCTTGCGTGTGGGATTCCATAATGCTCCGCCTGAACGAGACGCTGTTCAGCCTGGTAGATGAGCTTTCCGATGACGAGTGGATCCGTCTCCTTGAGAAAAAATTTCACAACAAAGTTCACACCAGTTTAATACCTGTTTGTGCTCACGGAAAATCTGGCGAGCTTCACAGACAATCTGCTGTTTTTCAAAGGCGGTGTTCGCTTCTTCTCTAGCTTTCCAGTTTTTCGCTAATTTTAAAATTTTCCTGTAAAGTTGGACGACTCGGACTTGCTGTGGCACCGTATTCATCAAATTTGACCCGTTCCTAAAAATAATCAAGGCTCATTAATCTTTTCACGAAAATCAATGTGGAAATGCTGCAAACTCGCTCCATTGCGAATTGATGCGAGGCGCGCCCAAAGACTGCTGACTTTCTTTCGCTCTTGGCCCGAAACTCGACACGAAAAACGGTTCTTTGTCCGTGTTTCCACGTGTTCTTGGGAAATTTTAGATCTCTATATTTGAAAAAAGAAGTGCTGCATCAGATAAAAATAATGAATTTCCGTGTGCTTTTTTATTTCCCATTCTCTCATCTCATTTGAATAGCATCGATTGTCAGCGTTTGGCCTAAAATTTCTGTTTTCTAAACAATCGTCTGTTTTTCAGGTATGTCTTTACCAAAATTTGAGCTGTTATCTCTGGCTGACAATTCGTCTGGATGGGGACCGCTGTCGAGTTCTGCTTTCGAAGAGCCCGTGCCATTCCAGCAATTCAACAAGGCTGATCGCATTGGACGTGTTGCTGACTGGATTGGAGTGGACCGTTTCTATCGCAGAGGAAATGAAAGGTATTCAGATGGTTCTATCAAAATCTCCTACTATCCGGGTTGCAGATACAACGAGCGTGTTTACGGATCGGCTGCCAATGCCGGAAGTCAGTTCGACTACATTCATGGAATGGACGAACATAACTTCCAGCTTGTTGATACATCGAAACCTATGGCTCGCAACCCTCAGCGCAACTTCCGCGTTCGTCAAATGCACCTGCGTAAGCTCATGCAGAAGGAAGCTGAAAAGCGCGAGATGGCCAATCAATCGACTAATATGCGCATGAAGAGAAGCATTGCCAAAGAGCAGCAGCGTGCTTTCAAGATGTGGCAGCGACGCGGGGGAAACGCTAGACAAGGACAACGTGGTCAAGGCGGTCGATTTGGCGGAGACCGGCCGAAGGAACGTCTTCCTTCAGTCCAAGTCCGTCCGGAGTGGGGAGTTCTCGAGGAGATGAACCTGAATGCGTTCTCTAAACTTGCTCTCCCGAACATCCCAGGAGGCGATGATATCGGAGATCATCAGTATGGAACTCTCCAGTTCTACGACAAGACGACCGACCGAGTGTCCGTGAAGAACTCGATTCCACTGCAGAGATGCGCTGGAGTCTACTACAATTTGACAACTACTGATGATCCTGTGATCGAAGAGCTTGCTCAGAGCGGAATTGGAAATGTGTTCGGAACGGACATTATCCTCGCTACGCTGATGACTGCGCCGCGATCCGTTTATTCGTGGGATATCGTTGCCTACAGAGTCGGAGACAAGCTGTTCTTCGACAAAAGAAACACGAGAGACATTCTGAACCCAGTGGAGACACTCACCGTCTCTGAGACGAGTGCCGAGCCTCCATCATTCGACGGAAACGGTATCAACAATGCGAAGGATCTGGCGACCGAAGCATTTTACATCAACCAAAACTTCCGTCGACAGGTTGTCAAGAGGAACGAAGATGGATATAAACTGAAGAATGCTCGTTCGCCTTTTGAAGAAGAAGAGGCTGGAGAATCAGGAACTGCTTACAAGTAAGTTAATTATCTCTCTTCTTCCCACAAGTTCAAGTTTCCAGATATCGCAAGTGGAACCTCGGCAACGGTGTCGACGGAAAGCCAGTCGAATTAGTCTGCCGTACCGAACTGGATGGAGTTATTCTTGGCCCAAGCAACGACCTGCAGACGTTGACGATCAAGGCGTTCAACGAGTGGGACAGCTCGCAGGCCGGAGGAGTTGATTGGAGAACAAAGCTCGATGTACAGAAGGGAGCCGTCATGGCCACGGAAATCAAGAATAACTCCGCAAAAGTGGCTAAGTGGACACTGCAGGCACTTCTGGCGGGCACGGACACTATGAAGATCGGATATGTGTCTCGCAACAATGCCCGAAGCACTCAGAATCACTCGATCTTATTGACGCAGTACGTGAAACCGACTGAGTTTGCTAGTAACATTGCTCTGAATATGGACAACTGCTGGGGAATTCTCAGATGCGTCATTGACAGGTAAACAACGTTTATTATTCGCTAAAAGTCTGCAATGAGTTTGTTTTCCAGTTGCATGAAGCAGAAGCCAGGAAAGTACTTGCTTATGAAGGATCCCCAGTCGCCAGTGATCCGTCTCTACTCGCTGCCAGAGGGAACGTTCGAAAGTGAACGCGAAAGTTCCGAGGAGGAAAATTCTGATGACGATCAGTAGAATGCAGATGCTAAAAGCACTGTCGTCTGACGAGATTTCCGCCGTATTCATAACGTTTATTCGGTTAATCTAACTTGTTTTCAATAAATTTTTTTAAAATTTCAACTAAGGCAAGAAGACTGGAAGATCACTGACGCCTATCCGGCACAAGGTTGTCGGCAGGAGGTTGCAGAAGTTGTCGGTTGTGCTGTGTGTCCACGTTAACGGCCAAAAAGGTAGAATGTTTTATCACCATTTTGGCGCGAAATTCGAACCCCATTTTTCATGTTTTCCGTCAAAAATTATCCAAATTTTGTAAGATTTCGACGATGTAATTGCATAACTTTGCTAAACTAATCGTCGCGCACTTTTTGAGCTTAAAACGAGCAGGTTTCATACAGAAGTGAATCAATTGCATCGCTTTTAAGTTTTGTGCTGAAAATGCGCGAATTTCAGTCATTCGCTGATACTTTTTGCCGTTTGAACGCTTAATATACTTGTATTAACGTGCTTAATCTCTTCCGACACTTACTTCGTCTCAAAACTATCTAGATCGGCCGGTATGAAAATTCCAAAATTGCGGCGGCGATTGGCCGCGGAGGGCGTATTGCGAAATAAGCCAAAAACGTCTCAAACGCGGCGTTTTCACGAAAACAAAAATTTCGCAAAACAAGCGGTGTTTCGTTTTCTCCGATTGAATCGCAAACTCGCCCCGGTCCCGCTAAAATGACATGTTTCCCCATTCAGACCCGGCGGTGAGCACGAAATTCCCGGAGGACTACCTGGAACGCGTGAAGACGGTGCACTCGAAGGGCGGCTACGGATCGGCCGGCTACAACTACGACTGGAAACTCGAGGAGGCGCAGAAGAACGTGCTGCGGACGCACACGACCGCCGTCTCCGCCCGCCAGCTCTATCAGTTGGCGCAGGAGGTAACGAATTTTACAGAAAAAAAAATGAACGAAATTGTAGTATTTCCAATCGAAAGACACCTGGAAATTTCCAGCCCTTTCCCGTTCCGTTCATTTCCTCCCGCGCGCGCCCTCAAGTCTAGGCCCTCTGTCCCCGCTGTCGACAGCCCTTTTTCTCCGATGGATGAAGCGATGGGCGAACAATGGCTCATCGATGGACCATTTTTGACCCACATCCATTTTTGGCCCATTTTTCATCCGTTGCAATCTGCCTGTGTCTGGTGTTGCACGTGTAGCGCAGTCGGTTGTGTGGCCGCGGCCGTCTCCGCTGTCGCCTCTCTTCTCGTCGCTCGCCCGGTCGGCCCCCCGGATCAACCTACGTGGCTGTGACGATTTCCGACTCGGGAAAATGGAATTGCGTCGTACCGATGGAAGCGGTTCCGGAGCCAACTCTCTCGGTGTGACGCACATTTTTGAAATTGTTTTGGGAAATTCGCAAAAATTTCGGAAAAAATTTACTAAATACAAAAAAAATCTAGAGCTCAATCTTCTCAAAACCAAGGGCTGCAGCAAATTTTCTCAACTCTCGAAATTCATATTGAAAAAAGAAAAACTTTCTTATCCTAAATTTATCATGAAGTCGGGTCTTCCCACTGCATCGGACTCTGACAAATGTGAGGTTTTAGCCGATATATCGGAAGTTATAACTTCCAAGCTCAATACCTTCATCATCAGAACCTCCCAGTCTCAAGTTTCCCCCCCGGATACCAATCAAATCAGGGCATTCCCTGGGTAAGTGACGAGGAAATTTTGAAGCAGCTCGTCAAAATCAAACCGAACAATACACTAACCCCAGATGAAATTCCGGCCAGATTCCTCAAATTTGTATCTCCCTTTATAGCTAGTCCTGTGGCACAACTATGTAATCTCTCGATGATGTCAGGTGCCGTTCCCGCTCAGTGGACAAAATCAATAGTGTTTCCCCTTAAGAAAATTACCAATCCGACTCTACCCGTTCATTTTCGCCCTATTAGTTTAACCTCGGTCATCTGCCGCTCTTACGAAAGGTGTCTATTGCGTCATTTACTTCAGCACCTTCAAGAGATACAATTCTGGAGCGATAGCCAGCACGGCTTTCGACCAGGCAGATCCACAACTACATGTGCTTTAGAAGCCATGAATGATTGGACCACACATTTGGAAGAGGGTCAACAGGTGGACGTGATCTATTTCGACTTCTGCAAGGCTTTCGATAGAGTACCGCACTCGCTTCTAATAGAGAAGCTATTGATGCTGAATTTGAACGTGAATCTTATTAATTGGATCAAAGCTTACCTAAATAATCGCAGCTACCAAGTTCGAATAAACAACGCACTCTCATCAGTAAGGCCCGCTCCGTGTGGGGTACCACAAGGTGGGGTTCTGTCCCCAGTTCTTTTCTGTATTTATGTCAACGAAATTAGCATGATCCTCCCTCCTCAGATACAATCAAAGCAATATGCGGACGACCTCAAGATCTACACACACTTCCCCAAGACATCCCCTTCCAAAGATCTCCAGATCGCAATAGACCGTATTTCTGAATGGTCCAAGAAACACAAGCTGTCTCTTAATCTCTCTAAATCAGTTTGTATATCACTAGGTCGAAATCCCACAATAACCAAATATTATATCGACACAGCTGAGATAAAAAGAGAATCAATATGCAGAGACCTAGGATTTCTGATCTCTTCAAATCTTGATTTCGCTGACCACTGGAAGAAGACCATTCAAAAAGCAAACATAATGACAGCGAACCTTTTCAAGTTTTTTTACTCCCCAAACACACGCCTGATGACCCTTTTATTCAAAACATTCGTACGGCCCATACTTGAATACGGCACTATTGTCACATGTCCTTCTAAAAAAGCTACGATAAGAGCAATAGAACAGGTTCAGAGTAACTTCTCTCGTAAACTCTGGTTACGGATAATAGGAGCTTTCGTACCTCGAGATTCGCCAAACTACATAAACGCCAGCGAACGTCGCCGTCAATTTAACCTCGAATCACTAGAAACTCGCCGATCACATTTAGATAAGAAGTTTTTAATCAAATTGTTAGCTAACAAAGTCGACATCAATCCTGATGACTTTTTCCTCCGCTTAAACACTACACGGACTAGACGGAGTCACGTTTACCGATGGAAGACTCCAAAAATCGAAGCTAAGACACAACTTTTTTTACACACCGAGTCTTATCAAAGATGAATCTGGCACAGGCATCTGTTAAATGATCATCTCTTTCCTTTTTGCGCGGGCGAGTAGCTGAAGATTCCCCATTTATTCCCCCAACTCCCCCACATCTCCTCCCCCCTCTTTTTTCTCTCCTTCTCCACGTTAATAAACGTAAATAAATAAATAAATAAATAAATAAAATTTCGATGTTTTCTCTCTTTAATGTCTTCTTTCGTCGATATCAAACACAACAATATCGGAAAAGTGCTGGAATTGCGGCAATTTTCAGAAAACGCGTAACAGATTAGGCTACGCCCCTTTCTACACTTTTGGTCGTCGTATACGGTATACGTTATAAATCAATTTTCTTCTAATAAAAATGTTCAACTTTTTTATTGGATTGTTTCTGTTTATATTGAAACAACGCGCAAAATAGACATCGAGGTAAAGTGACTAGGGGAAAATTCAAGAAAAGCCCCCCACCTCAGTAGAATCCCCCACGTTATAAACAACCTTAGAAAAGTCCCCCACCAGTACAAAAAAGGTGGGGGCTTTTTCCTGACGGCAGGGGGTCATACTTGAACGCTGCTGTTTAACAATCGCCCCCGCCAGTGCAAAGTGGAGAGCTTTTCTTTAAGAACTAGGTATTCCTAAAGGAAACTCCAAGTTTATGTGTCTGACTGAATTGCTTCTTATTGCCACATTCACTGTCCGAGCCTCAACTTTCAGAAATACCTGTGAATGGAACAGCGCTCAGTCAAAGTTGTGGCCGTGGCCCAGAAAAGTTCTAGGCCTTGTGATTTTTTCCGGATTTTTTTTGAGTTCGGCACAATCTTCATACGTTGCAAAACATTCACACAAATCATCATCCATACATAGTGCAAGAGCATCAAACTGCTCATAGGGAAGAGTTTTCACACAAGAGTTTCCTAGGCCACGGCCACAACTTCAACTGCACGCCGTTTCGTTCATTGGCATTTCTGAGAGTCAGCATTTCACCAGTGTATGAGTCAGCATTTCACCAGTGTATGAGGCAATAAGAGACAATTCAAACAGACACAAAAAAATTTCACAAAAAAATTTGAGGGTTCCCTGGTCCTTTGAATATCAGCCGCTAATTCTGATATAACAGGGGAAGGGTCTTTCTGAAATGAGAACGGTGTGTTTTCTGAATTTTAGGCAAAACACATCGAACACTGGTGAAAAAACGATCATAGCGACGAAAAACTAGACAAAAAACAACTTGTTTTCGTATTTGACCGCCCAAATTATGGTACATTGTTCCGATGTATCCGAGATGACGCGCTGATGGGGGGCTTTCCTTTAACATCTTTGCATTTCATTTGACGACATATTCGGGGGCTTTCCTTTAATCCTAGGACTTTATTTGAATTTACCTGTGACTAGATTTCCATTTGTTTTTTCGGAATGAGTTTATCATCGTTGTGTGGTGATTGAAGTGACAGGAATGTGCGAAAATGGAAGGAAATGGAAAAGTACAGAATGATGGATCGTCGGTACTTTTCAATCGGAACAGGGAATCAGAAGGCTACCCATATGCGCTATAACTTAATTTAAGGGGGGCGAATGAGATGATACAGAACTTTGTTATATATGTTATAGTGACCAATTTGGACAGAAAATCATTACATGAAAGATACAGAAGGAATACTAGGGATTTGGAGATGCTATGATATGAGTGTTTGATGAAATCGAGAAGCATATCAAGAAGATTCGGAATCTTCACTGATCTGTCGTCTTGAGGGAAGAGGAGAGCACGAAGCACACGAGGAAGACATTGCAGAAATCAGCTGCCGCGCGCGTCTCCACAGACGGCGGGGAGTGCGCGATCCACGACGGGATGAATTCGGAACTCCGTTGTCCATTGGTTTCAGCAGCACAACGTCTTCGGCCGCCTGTAATGAATATAATAGTTTTCATGAACAAGGAAATCGATTGATTACCATGGCTTTTGCCTTCTGAAGTGACCGCACCTGCTGCTGTTTTCCGTTATTCTGGTTTCCACTGTTGCACCCAATCTGATACTTTTTATCGTATCCGTCGAATCGATGGTCCAGAATGTCCTGCCTTTGTGTCACAGTTCCATTCGCATAAACTGGCTCGAACCGTTTCGACGCAACTTCAGCGGCTCTCGGATCCTGCTTGCGAACTCTATCGTAAATCTGAAAGCGATCCGCTCGAAGTAACCCCTAGGCCGGAATTGCTCACTCTTCGTTCAAGATTCTCGTCACGCAGATATTCTAAAGCATTCGTTGCCGCCGGATTGTTGTGCACTTCTTCGTGGAGAGCCATCCAACACAGATGATTCGCTTCGATAGCCTCTGCCGTTGTGCGTCCTTCAGGTATCACACTTGCCAGCAGACTGAAAAATAGTTATTGCTGTTGTGATTCTGGAAAAGAGAACATACTTGAACACTGGCACTCCGATCTTTTTGAGGAAATCAATCTGGACGGTCGGCACATAGGCGTTCGTTCGGTCCATCATTTCGAGGGGTTTCACACCCAACTGCAACTCGAGATCTCCTTGAGCGAAGAATTCCAGGTAAATGTTTTCGGCAATGCGCTTTGCATTATGGAAGTTCTTTGCCTGATCGGAAAGATCGGAAGCAGTCATGACTAGAGACATCAGGAGGTATCGGTGATCGAGAGACATCGGATTATATCCCTCGTCAATCATCGTCCGGATTCGTTCCTGTTTCCGGAGATGGGCAGATATATCGGTAGCAAGAATGACCTCTCGGATGGTGTTCACAATGATACGGAAGTCAGCCCCCGGCAGGTTCTCCAATATGGAGCATTCTTCTTGCTGTAAAAGGGGTAATCGAATTATCTAGCGGGTTGACTGTACCTGCAGCAGTTTAACAGTCTGTGCAAAGTGATGTCTTTCGAGCACACTTCCCTCAGTGCTGTACAAAACAGAAAGCGGCGTCTTCTGAAGAGACTGCATTTGGAACGAGTTCGTCGTCCCTCGGTGATCGATGTCGTGGCAAAGACACGCGATGAGCAACGAAAGTCGCTCCATGTCACTGAGAGCCCTTCTCACGGCGTCTGTTCTCATTGTCAGCCAGCAGAAGTGAGTGACGGCGAAGGCATGAGACCAGTTATGATAGGGAACTGGACGATAGCCAGCTGAAACTCGCAGTACGAGATAAGAGAGCTTCCGTTTGTTGAGCTTGTAGAGCATCGTGAAGCCAAGGTCCTCGAAAAACATCATAGAGGCCCGATGGAAGTGGTTCTCGCCGACGGATCTAGGCGGGAACGAGAAGTCGGCAAAGTTCTGGCTGAAGTAACGCCAATCGCGAAGAGGATCGTTCACAAGGCGCATGATATCGACTTCTTCTATCTGAAAAACGCACACTGTTAGTGCTGAAGCTCATAGAATGATTTCTCACCACCGCATCTTCTCCCTGAATCTTGAACTCTTCGACCATATGGATCCGAGTCCGAACCTCCTCGATTTGCTTCGCCAGGATTGCCTACAAATAGACCGTCAATGGTCGTCAATGTCACCGGAAAGATGCTATATTCCCTGCATGACACCAGCCTACAGGTGTCCAAACAATGGTTTACAACAAAAAATTCTGACCAGCGGCAAGATTTGTAGGAACAAGAGAAGGGCGGAATCAAACAACGAGCGCAAGAATCAGATGATCAAGAACTCATCCTCTACCGTATTCCGCCTGGAAAGGGAACTCACGTGGGCGATGCCGTTGGCGACGAAATACGAGAACCGCTTGATATACTTCTCGTCTTGACGAGAGAATCCGATGGGCTTGTTGTACAGAAGGATGACACCAATCAACGATCCTGCAATTGTATCCTTTGCTTTCCCTGCTTTTTGTATCTTTTATTAGAATTCACGTCACACTTCATTCCGCTAGTTCGAATGAATTCAGGAGTAATTAATGAGTCTGACAATGATAACATGTGGTCTTTGAACGAAATAAACGGCGGTTTGAGCTTCGGTTCCCTATTTTCTCATTAATAAAAGGGGAGAGAGGAGGGGAGAAGAATGATGAGACATCCCTTTCTTTTCTTCTTTTCTCTCACGTTTTCATGTTATGAGACAACATCCGGTGGTGGCGCAAAACTTTCGAAATTTTAGAAAAACAACAGTGAACACCTGCGCACTTTGCCGAAAAGAACAGTACTTTTAAATAGCCTTGAAAAGGACAGGAGGGGTAAAATTATGAAATCCTACATTCCTTTGGCGTTCATACATCAGACGAAACCATCTTTTCACTTCTCAAATCATATCCAACAAGTCCTTCGGCTATAATCCTCTTCTGAGAGATCAGAACACTCTGGAACGCTTCCGAAATTTCAACCGCGGCTTCCTTTCGACTCTCTTTCTGTTACACAATCTCCTCGCTCTTCTCATTCCCATAAATTATTATCCCATTATTTTCTCGCGGCCGTTGATGCGGCAATGATGTCGGTGTCGTAAAAAACGTGTCAAAGAGCAGCCGCAGAATTCATTTTCAGTTCAGTAAAAAAAGGCAGAGAAGAGACCCATTTGTCATGCAGACACTATCGAAAACCGGAAAACAAGAAAGATCCGAGAGAGCGAAGGCCTCACCTGAGCTGTCAATGAGCGGGAATACGATCATGTTGCGAGCCTTGATCCCGAACTGTTCGTCAATTTCCGGGTGGAAGAAGGGGCATCTGTTCACATCCGGAACGTTCATGGTCCGTAGCGTGTGAGCCACTCGACCGACAATTCCGTAGCCCAAATCGAATCTCTTTCCGGTCATGAGCATCGACTCGTTGTTGAAAAGAACCATCATCTTGTTATCTTCGTCGTACAGGAAGACAGCATAGCTGTAAATATTTGTATTTTCGAATATCTATTATGCACAACTCACTCTTCTGCTCCCGTATTCTTCTTCGCTTCTGCTATTATGCAACTGACAAGTGCGCTCAAGTTGCCTGTCAGACAGAGAAACTTGTCAAATATAGACATGGGAACAAGCGGGGAGAGCACGGTTCGGTCCGAGACATTCGACGCTATTGAACTTGTCTCCGCAATCTCGTCTATTTTGGCAATCGGACGGCTTAGTTTACGAACGATCGGCACGTCGGGGAGCAACTCTGTGAAGCTGGAGGAGCTCTGAAAAGAGAATTGGGAAATGAAAGTGGCGTCACATGTGTTCTGACTATAGTCTCTCCCTTAGCGCCACCATAGTAAGACTACGAAAAAATGTACGAAGGAAAACGAGAGGCGGAATCAGGATATGCTGATGACGTGGCAGATATTTCATGCGCGTGTTGCTGGTTGAGAAATGAAGGCGACTACGGAATGGACACACATACTAGTCAATAGTTGAGTGAATGCCACGACGGAACAATTCATATGTGTGAACCGAATGAACAACATTCCCACGTTTAACCATTCCGAAACCCACCGGTTCTTCAATATCGTATCGCAGCGATGCTCCCCAATCGTCTTTCGTTCCACGATTCTTCAACTGCATCTGAAGGTTCCGGTTGCGTGTTTCGTTGTTGTTGAAATGTAACGGCGGATGAGATGTTTTCCGCCAGACAGTCGGACTCGCCGATCCTGCCGACTCGTTTGTCGATTTGGCCGCATTGACGCCTGTAAACACTGAACACCCGTTCTTCAGATGCACACTCTCCTCTCGTCCTCCCTCACCTGTCATCGCAGATCCTCCGCAACACGTCGATCCACTTGCTGTTGCTTCGTGATGGTGTTGGTCGTCACCTGGAAACGAGCAGCGGGATGAAATGACGAGAAAGAGGGAGAATGTGCTTTTATATACGCGTCCGCGAAAAGTAATTCCTTGCCTACGCTCTCGCAAACCAAAACAATCAAAACTGTTTGGCGGCGGAAAAATGTTATGGGAACCGCTTGTTCATTCTTGAAATCGGCACGTACGTTGCTGTACGAACTTTGTGACACGTTCAAACGATTATGGAACACAAATTAGGAGTAGATACAAGAAGCAAAAAAACTTATTTGGAAAAAAGACACGCTTTTTCAGAGAACCATTCGTGTGCGGTACGTGTAAAGTCTTGATTAGAAAACGTATATAGCCCTAAACGGAAATTAGACTCACCGGAGTGTATACGAGGGACAGGAGGAAAGTGAGTGGTCGGCGAAGAGTTTCGACGCAATCCTAGCATAGAACATGCGAGATGCGATCGTTTTGGTTGGAGAAAAAATTACTAACTGTTCGACGGAGCTCTACTTCGTTTTTCTGACTCTCTTCTTCTCTGAAAGTACACTGAGATTATGGAAGGGAAAAGGTCACGAAGAGACGACGGAGCACAACTAGACGGCGACAGCAAAAAAAGCTCTGGGGCTCAATTCCCAGTGGTGTTTTCTTTTGCGCCTTTTCTTGGGTGACTGCTTGTTTGGTAAAAATGGAGGAAGAAAACATTGACAGAGGGTCTTTTAAAGCAAAACAGAAGAAGATCGAAGGAAAATAAGAGCGATGGAAACGGAGGTAACGGAAAGAATGAGCGTTGGGACGCATATCAAAAATGATGCGGATTTCAATGAGATTCAATGAAGTGGTGAGAGTGGAAGAGGCAGAGACACAGAAAAATAATTGGGAAGGAGGCGGCAGATACGCTTCTTCCTCCTTCCGTCGTTTCTTCTTTTTCTTCTTCTTCTTCTCTGTGTTGTGTCGCCGTCGACAGTGATTGAGAAAGAAGAGATGCGAGGAAAGCGGAACCTAAATTCGTCGCTCGACCTCTTCAATTTTCCGGACCGGAAAATCTGAAGAAGGTGAAGCTCGAAAACCAGCTCAGTTTAAGGTAGATAAACAAGTTAAAAGTGACAAACACAAACATGGAAAAGAGTTTGGCAGGTGGCGCAGAGTCGCAGAAAGCACAAATTAAATTTAGAAAAGCTCCGAAGAGGCAGGTGGGCGGTGGGCACAATCACTACTACTCAGTTGAGTGGACAAGAGCAGAGAGGACATTAAATAACAACAGTAGAAGAAAATAGTCAGAAAAATTTCATGTATTTTTTTAGAAGGATTCTTAGTTAAAGATGAATGACACGATGAATTTGTAACTCAGCAAGCCAGACACTACTAAAAAGTGACAAAATTCGAGATGAGAGTAATGGGCGTGGCCTCGGCCCTTGTGGTGTAAGAACACATTTTTCAATTAATTAGTGAGAAGCAGGTGGGCGTGGCCAACTAATCGGATCGAAGCCCAGACAAGGATTGACAAACGAAGAGATTTTTAGTCTTCTGGATGTTTTACGTAGCTCGAAAGTATATAATCCGGTCGGAACTAAGCATTTCCTCTCAAAACACAGCTGATCCTAATGCCTATTACGAAAGTCGCGTGTCCTTCTTATCTGAACCGGAAACTTGAAGAGTCCCTCTCTTTTCTTCTTTTCTCGATGGACCGCCGAGGAAACTCGACCCGGTTCCCACGGTCACCTGTTTTCTTCCGGTCTCTGCTTTGTCACAAGGAGACTTGCCCAGTGCACTGTGGGGTCGGAATAGTGGATTGTCCGATTTTCACTCATATGTTTTCCGCTGACTATGCTCCATCGGCGTGCTTTTTAACATTAGGAAAGAGTGTGGAACAGAAGGAGACAGAGATGGAGGCAATCCACGGCGGAGTTTCTTATCAATTAAAATATGGTCGGGCTAAATATAGAGAGACTAGTGGATGTGGAGACACAGACGGAAGAAACTTTTCATCTGCCTATGAATCCATTCCAGGCCATCACATGCGAAATGATGATGACGGGTGGATGGGGTATGATAAGAGAACCGAGAACGGAGAGACTTAGACACAGGTGCGCGCACGCGATCTTCTGGTTAACTTTTTCCCCAGAATGACCAACTATCACAGACTGGCCCCGCGGTTCCTTCGAGAAAACGCACTGTAGAAAATGAGAGTTAGCGTCTGCGCGACCAGATGATTGAATGACGTGGTCTCGGTGAGGAATGCGGTGCGGACAAACACAATGCGATGTGTGATGAAAGCCAACCACGTCCTGGCCCGAGAAGATGTTCGTTGAGAAGAACGGACGATGACTACAGAGAAAAGTGTGTAACCAACGACTACAGAATATGAAAACTACGCTGCACCAGAGCTCACCATGACGCTCCCAGCGAATCGAATTTCGCTTTAAAAATTCACGGAAGTCTCTCACGCATGAATTGAATACGAAACACGACTGGTACTGAACGACTCCAGAGAACAGAATTCGAATACTACAATGAGTTCATTTAAAGTGAGCGGGAATTGGACAATTTAATGTACATTCAAACGTCCACGGGGACACGACTCGCGTACACTCCCGCACTATCATCACAATATAAGAAATCAGCTGATAACAACATTAGAAACCCTTCGCCCCTTTCAATTTCGGTTCGGTTTCAAAAAATTCATCTGAAGTCAAACTCACAACAATGTGTACGGGAATTGAGCAAACAGAAGACAAATGTGAATGCACTTAAACTGATGAGAAAGCAAATGGAACGGATTCAGAAAAGAGATCGAGCGTTTCCCACGGGGCGGCACGAACGGATGACGTCACAAGAGAAAAACTTGGAGGGGGGAGCCAGTTTGGGCAGCAGGAGAATGCCGCCATTTCGCGCCCGGACGCCGCCGCTTTTTGTTTGTTTTTTCGCCTGCGGTGCTGCCCCGAATCGGAACTTCCCGAATCAGAACTGGTACGAATCAGAACTATTTTCAGTGCTAATTGGTTCTGATTCGTACCAGTTCTGATTCGGGAAGTTCCGATTCGGGGCAGCACCTCGCCTGCACTGTCAAAATACGAGCTCTCTCGCGTCTTTTTTCGGGACAAAGTGGCAACAAGTTGAATGAGGAAACGAAAGAAAAAAGCAAAGGACGGATAAGAAACGTAGGCGGAATGGGAGGCGGAGAGAAACACAAATGATGAATAAATGCGTTTGGCTGGTTGCCAGCTGACGGAGAGGAAGCGATGGAGCACGCAAGCGCGGAGGACGCAGATAGAAAAACGAACACATGGGAGTGACGAACGGAAGGAGCGAGATCCGTGGGAGAAACAGATGGGTCGCGGGAGGATGAATGCAGAGAGTGAAAGTTCGATGGAGCACACTTGCGATGAGAGAAACAGCCGAACTGACAAGCTGTTTCCAGCTGAAAGACGAGAGAAGGCAGCTGTTCGGAGGTGTCTGGGATTACTGTAGTTCCAGATGTCTATAGAACGACACATGTTCTCGAAAAGTATAAAATCGCAAAAGTGCAACAGAGAGTCCTTTTCGAACCACAATTGAGCACATTGAGCACATAAGAGATTAGAGACAGAACATGTTTTGGGGCACACAGGGAGTTGTACTATAATCTCGTTCTCCCTGTTCACCAAAATAAATCATCTGGCTGGCTCCTGCTTCCCGGGGTGTCGACAACCATAAATCGGAGAGCGATGTGCCACCGCGCTGTTTTCCCGACTGATTTCTGGTCGCTCTCTTGTTCTTCTCACTTTCCTGCTTAAAAATGGCGATGATATGAGGGGTTATGAAAAAAGTACGTGAGCGCGCGTGACCGCGTGATGAAATATGCGAGAGCTGATAGGTGACAAGATCGGTGGCGCCAAGAAGACCGGAAGGAAGGTGCGAAGAAGAAGAGGAAGACGGAGGAAGAAGACGGAGAAGAAGGCGACAAAGTGATGGAAAGAGAACGACGACTACTTGTTTTCGAAGCGGATGAAGGGAAATCGGGGACGAGAAGAAAGTGAGGTGCGCGGGGGACAGTGAGCCGATTAGCGACGAAGAAAACAGTCGAATCGCCGCCTTATTATTGGCTGCTAATACCCCATGTCCCAGAACGATTAAATTTGTGTTTTTCATACCCCAAAAGAAAAATCCCTCATGTTAACTTCCATTGTGTTCAGGGCGGCGATTTCCACGCGAACAAAGACTGCGTTTCAATCGGACGGTTTACAGGTATCAATTCCTCATTGTGATGCGGAAACTGCCGAACCGAATAAAAAATGACTGTAGTTAATACGCCCGAGTTTAAATGCGTATAATATAACAGGTCGAGCGGAGGGCGAACGCGTCACTTATCAGAGTGTATTATTTTCTTTCTCTCTTTCTCTCTTCTCTCACTTTCTTTCACCTTGTCTTACTCTCGCACACTCTTTGTTTCTTGTTTTTAACATTCGTTTTAATAGGCGCCAAATAACCTCTTCGTGAGATTTTCGAGGTGACTAGAAACAGTGTAACCTGATATTTATTGACTGGCAATCAAAAAAGGCACGTGGCCACCTCAAGGCTCGCACCGAAAACTAGAACACGAGTGCTCGGCTTTTGAAAACGAACTTTCCGCAATGTTGCAATTTTGTTTACTACCGTACTATGTCTAGTATTTGCACAGATGGCATCGTATTCGACGAGCAAGTGCGATAACTCGGAAACCGGAATCGGCGGGGACGTGGCGGAATAGGGATGAAAAAAACAGACGTAGTTTTGACTTAAAAGAAAATTGAAGAGAGAGGAAAGACACGCAGAGAGATTACGGGGCGAAATTGAGAAATGGATGCGAAAACACGGGCGCCGGCGAATCGATAAACAAGCGAGAAGACAACGCATGATTGAGCCCATTTGTGGTAGACGGGGGCGAAAACGGAGATGAGCAGGAGAGCGGAGGCGACGAGACGAGACGGGAGCACACGTGTGAGTGAGAGTGTGCTTGTGAGCGGCCGAGCGGTGAGAGGCCGAGAAGATGCTACAAATTAGTAAGTGGAAGAGCCGTTTGGCCTCAGATGCACTTGGATGCGTGCCAGCCGAATCCGCGATTCAATCCGCAATGGGAATCGGATATGAGAGGTCGACACGCGACCGGTTCCACCGCCATATGACTTTTAGTGGCAATGCATTTTTCGGGAAAATGAAACCGGATCTCTGTGGATTCGTACAAACACAAAGTTCAACTCACAATTACTGTGAAGGCTTTCCGTTGGTCTCTAGTTAACCTTTTTGTCTTCGTTGCAAATCGACAGCTCACTCCTACTCGTTCAAGAGTCTAGACTGGAGGAGATTACGGGAATGCAACCAGGACGACTGAGTATGGACAGCTGTCCGAGGGATCCGCGGGAAGCGGAGCATGTTTAAAGATCGGGAAGTTTCAAAGGATACATGAGAAATGAAGAGGAGGCGCACATTAAACCATAGGGATCATTCGGGAAGGGAATCTGGATTACTGTGGCTCTAGCGGAACATTTGTCTCTCGAAACATGAGAGAACGACGTAACATAATAATTGCTTGCTCGGCTCTTTTTCGTATTAGGAAGCCAATCAGATAAGCAACTCGGGCTTCTTTGGCAGATCAAAGTTCAATTTCCCTCTCTGAAACAGTCCCATCTGTACACATACAAACTGTTTGTTGAGTTGATGAGGATCTTTGATTGTGCGTTTTCTCTCATTCCGTTCATCTTCATCTCACCGACATTCATGATAATTTGATTTCCAGGCGAAATGACTACTCGGGACTGTTTTCTTGGCATTGATTTGAGCACTCAGCAGATAAAAGGAGTGGTCATTGACCAGGACGGAAAAGCAGTTCACAGAGCAGCAATCAGCTTTTCCTGCCATCAAAATCTGAAAAAGTTTAGGTAATTAGACTAGAATTGAATCGAAATCAGTTCTCGCATTCAGAACTGAGAACGGAGTTCATAAAAACGGTTCCGTGATCACATCGCCCGTTTCGATGTGGCTCGAAGCAATCGATCTTCTTTTTGATGGCCTCAAAAACGACGGATGGACGCACCGGTTGAGAGGTATTTCCGGCTGTGCACAGCAACACGGAACAGTCTACTGGACGCATGGAGCCGAACGGATCCTGAGCACTCTCGACGCTCGAAGCTCACTGGCTGAGCAACTGGAAGTAAGTCAATGAAGTGATCACTTTCAATGAGATTCTTTCCCGGAACTGCTTTCTATCCAACAAAGCTAATAACTCGGGGGGCTTCTTTTTGTTGTTCTTTTTCTTCTTCTTCTTCTTTCACGATTCTAATTGCAGCCTTGTTTTTCTGTCAAAAATAGCCCAGTTTGGATGGATTCAAGCACGGAAAACGAGTGTCAAGATCTTGAGAAATTCGTCGGAGGGGCACAGAAAATGGCAGAATTGACTGGATCCAGAGCCCATCACAGATTCAGCGGTGCACAGATAAAAAAGATTGTGGATGAACAGAATGAAACGTGGAAAGAGACGGAGGTAATTGCGGAGTCGAGGCGCCCATACCGTTATCTTTTAGAGGGTCTCTCTCGTCTCTTCCTTCCTGGCTTCTCTTCTCATCGGACGATATGCCCCCATTGACCTGACTGACGGCAGTGGAATGAATCTGATGAACATTGAGGTGACTACTGTAATCGTGGCCTTCCTTTTCACACGAAACAATTGCAGACTGAGAACTGGCATAGACCTCTTCTCGAGTACATTTCCCTCGATCTCGATCAAAAGCTGGGCTCGCTGACCCCAGCCATGACTTCTTTGGCGAGTAAAAAATGCGGATTCCGCTGTTCACCTCTCCTCTTTCAGGGACCAATCCACTCTTTTTGGACCCGTCGATTCGGAATCTCGAGCGAATGCTCCGTCCATCCGTTTCTCGGAGATAATCCCTGTACGCCTCGTTTCATTCCCCTCCCTATCCGATCTTTTTCCAGCTTCTCTCGCCGGCCTCTCGCTTCTCCCCACTGACATCGGAATTTCCCTAGGCACCAGCGACACTGTCTTCTTTTTCTCTCCGTCTTTCGAGCCCAACATCGATGCTCACGTCTTCTCTCACTTCGCGCCGAACAGTGGTTTCATGGCGATGGTTTGGTGAGAAACTGAACAAAAACTCCGTAACGGACGTCAATTTCCAGTTTCAAAAATGGGTCTTTAACCCGAGAAAGAGCTCGAGAACTAAATGCGATTTCATGGGAAGACTGGCACAAAGTGATGGAAGCGACGCCAGTTGGCAACGGAGAATTCATCGGATTTTTCTTTGACGAAGATGAAATTGCGCCGAGGAAACCAAAAGGAGACTACACTTTCGAAGTGTCTCCGTGCGAAATGATCCAGAATCCACAGAAATTCGCTCGTGCTGTGTTCGAAAGTCAGTGCCTTTTCAAGCTGCTCTACACCGAGAAAATGGGGTTCAAAAAGTGCCCGTCCAGTCGGATTCTGGTCACGGGTGGCGCGTCTCGCAATTCGACACTGCTGCAAATGCTCGCGGACGTCTTCGAGATGCCAGTTTACACAATTGAGGTCGAGGATTCCGCTGCTCTCGGCGGAGCAATGCGCGCCAAGTATTGTAGGTTTCACTCCTTGTTCACAATCGCATTTCCTTCTTTTTAGTGCACTCAAAGACTTCGCAGAAGTATTCTGAATACTTTCCATGCGAAAACGTTTCAATCGCCTGCACGCCGTCTCCTGTCAATTCTGAAATCTACCGCAATCTCTTTTCCTCTTTCAAGGATCGTTTCGAGGCCTTCATCAAAAAATAGACATTTTTCATGCAATAAAGTACTAATAAATGCAATGTGAACTAACCAGTTCGTGAGACAAAGTGACTAGTAAGAAGGGGGAAAATGTCGAAATGTACACAAAGTGGTGAAAAGAATGAAAACGTGAAAAGTACCGGTGATAGGACAGAATTCGAGGTGGAATGATCGAAATATGAGTTTTAAGAAGGGAACCGGACTGGGAGGGAGGAGATTTCTGATTAACCAATTAGGTTGCCGGTTGCGAGAACGACTCGAGGATTGCGTGGACGTTGGCGTACATTCCGGCGATAATGGCGAAGCATCCAATACAGATGACGACGCAGTTCACGGCGATTTTCGTCATCCGTTGACGATGAGTGAGCAAACCCTGAGAAACAAGTTCAGTGAACTCGGAAACGATGTTGAATGACTACCTTCCAATCAGTCCAGAACGTAATCATTTCGAAAACAGGCGGGAAGATTAGAGCACAGAGAGTTCCACTAGTGACTCCGACCAATGGGATCATGATTTCGAGGCGGGGAATGAGCACGGCCATCAAATAGGTGACCAACACCCAGAACACGCGAAATCCCTTGTCTGACAAACATTTCGGGACATGCGGGAATCTCGCTCCAAACTTTCGACGGAATCCGTTGAAGAACATGTCATAGACGACGTACATGGCAATGGAGTTTCCGAGAAGCGACTGAAGCATGAGAAACACGTTGACTGTCGAGTAGAGGCCTTCCTTCGGAACGTTCGTGGTGATGGTGGGGGCGATCGCATCTCCAAATCCAGTGTAGCCGAAGAATCCGAGAGCCGTCATGAATGCAGTGCAGATGAGCATCGTAGTGGAGAGCACACCAAACGGAGCAAGGAAGGCGGCCGGGTTGTCAAGTTTGTTCTCGATCGGAAGGATCATTGTCTGTCCTTCGAATGCGTACATACTCATTCCGATCATAGTAATAGTGCCCGTGAAGTTCGTATAGGCTGGCAGTTTGTCCCATTGGTTCGGCTGCCTGAAACAAAAGACATGAGAATGTTCGTGCTTCTTACGACTTACTGGATTGTAAACTGCATAATGACAGCGGCACCGATGACGAAAAATACTGAAGAAACGAGAGCGAAGAAGGAAACAATTCGCATTTCAGTGAACATGTTCGTGAGAAGAATGAAAACTAGAGAAACTGTCGCCATGAGGATCATCTGTTGGTGACGAGTTCCACTCAAATGGTCGCCAACCAGGTTCACCAGGTTATCAGAAATGAAAAGAATGGCTACACTGCACATTCCGAGCTGGTAGAACAGAATGGTCACATTCACAAAGTACCTGAAGCATTAACTTTGCCAAATCTTCTCTCAAACCTATCATTACATTACTGCTTTGCTATTGTTCCTGAGGAACCGAATATCACTGTAATCGCACACTTTCTTCGCGAAATGACCGTAATCCAGAGCACTCCTGTCCGATTTTCTGGCTAGATGCTGGCTGGCTCGGACAAGAACGTGGTTTCCGTACCAATTGAGACCGGCAATAACGAACGACATCACGAAAGAGACCTGGAAAGAGAAGGAGAGAGCTTACGAAGTGTTGAGATAAGGCAAATACCCAGAGTCCTCCAAGCTTCCACGCGTAAGGAAGAGAGAAGCATCCGGCATTGAACATCGACTTCGAAAGGGTCAGAACGGCCCGCGTCGGACTGAAAACATTGAATTCTGGGAGGGAAGGACTGGTATTGTTTACGTGATAACGTCCCCACTGCGAGCCGGTGGCTGCACGAGAGCTCTTCCGTCGTTCATCGACTCGGCATCTCCTTCGGCAGTAACTGCCCTTTCACGGCCTTCTTCTTCACTCATCACCTGAAGAACAATTAAGTGAACTTAAAAAGTATGGATACTAATAGGTAATCAAGGAGATGAGAAACTCCAGTGCAAGAACATGAACGATGAAGGACTTGTAATGCAGAATATTTATTCAATTGAGAGTAAGAAGAAGTGGATTAAATGTTTACGCGGACTGAACAAAGACACGAACGCCCGAACAGAACGTGGCCTTCACATTCACATTTATGTCGATCAATACGAAGTCGGCGAGGCTTCCCACGTTCAATGTTCCTTTTTTATCGATAATGCCGAGCAGGGCAGCTGAGAAATGTTCCTTTTGTGAAGTTTTGAAAAAAAGCTCACCAGGCTTATGGGTTGCACAGTGAAGAGCGTACTCAATGGAGCATCCGGTCGCATTGATTAGATGGCGAATGCAGTACGGCATGCTGGCGACGCTGGAAAGAAAGTTATTTTTTTTATGTTGAATTGAATCAAAATGAGGACCCACCTTCCTGCGGTCGTGTCCGTTGCATCCAACTTCGCTTCGAGACCTTTCACGTGGATTGTCTGTGCACCCAGTTTGTGCACTCCATCGGCCATCCCAAGTGCCGCAATGGCGTCCGTCACTAAGACTAGGCCTTCAGAGTTTGTACGGTAGGCGATTCGGAGAGCGGAGTCGTGCGTGTGAATGCCGTCGGAAATGATACCGTAGTAGAGAGTCCGACCCGGATCCAACGCGGACGAAGTGAGCAGTCCAATGAGCCCGGGATCGCGATGATGATACTGCAAGCATCAGACACTTAACGAGTTTTTGAAAAAGGAAACTAACGGATTGCATTGCATTGAACAAATGTGTTATCATTTTGGCTCCTGCATTCACTGCCATTTCACCTGGACCCAACTTTGCGGACGAGTGCCCCACGGATACTGTAGCTCCCGCGGAAACAAGGTATTCAACCGCTTCTTTAGCACCTTCCAACTCCGGAGCCATTGTTACGATCGCAATGTTTTCGGTATTACCGTACACATTTTCAATAGTTTTTGCCGGATTGGAGCCGAACGAAGAGATCACAAACTGTTCGGGATGACATCCTCGTTTGTTGGCCGAAATAAAGGGGCCTTCCAGATGAGCACCTGCAGGAAAGAATTGATTGCGAGGAAAAGAAAAGAAAGTTTCACAGAACAAGGCAACAATTAGTCGTCTACGATGCACTCCATTCTTATCATTTTCATGATAAGACGGGCAATAGGACAAATATAGAGTAGGTGGATTCTCTGTGTTACGAATCGGCCGTGATGGAACAGTAGCGAAAAAACTTCAACGACGAGATATTGCTATTTGTTCAGCCGCTCTTTCAGAATAAAAATGAGAGAAAACCCACCGAGTATTCCAGCTCCATGGGACGACGCATATGACGGTTTGAGAAGGGGAAGAACCTGCAAAAAAGGAAATGGAGTGAAGGCCGAGGAAAGGAACAAAGAGGTGGGGTGGAGAGAGGAGGACAAACAGAGACACGAAAACAGGCCGGAGTTCAAACAATTATATCACACATATGGAGGCCAGCTTCATGATCGGAAAACTATCGATCAGGCGGGAAGCTGAACATGGGTCGTCTCGTCGTCTGTGACTCGGCAGGCAGCATGTTCTCTACTTCGACATCAAATGCAATCCACGTTCTATTGAGAGGAGGCGCGGGTGAAAGTGCGGTGAGAGGGAAGGTGGGCAGGGACAGCATGTACAGGCAGACTGTGGCTGAGTGTGTGAATGAGAAGAGAGAGGGGGAGGCGGGAGAAGTGAATTAGTCATCTGGCGCGAGGAAAAGAGACGATGTGGTTAGGAGAAAGCTTCGCTCGAACAACAGTTCAATATGTTGAAATATATCGATATTGTTTTTGAGATTTAGATCAGTGACTAGCAATGCAATTGATCTGTAGTGTGCCAAAATGACTGAACTTCGGGCGAACTTTCACTGATGACCTTCAACTTTGTCAAGTTTTGATAGATCAAACATCATCCATTCACAGAGAAGCAGAAACGAACAAAACGGATAAGGAAAGAACGGGTCAAGCGGAGAAAAAGGACTGACGGGCGAGGGTGAAAACAAACTCCGAGTAGAGAGAGCAAGCGGGGAGACGCAGACAGTCAGAGGGTGGGCAGTGGTCAGTGTTAGGAGTGTCGTTTCTTGAGGATCTCTGAAACAGACTCTGAGTTTGCTTTCAGTACCTTATGATAAGTTTCTGGCGAGCTGGTGATAACAGTTGGAGCGAAGCTGGTGACTCCGTAAGCAAGAAGTTGTTTCGCAACAGACTGCAGTCCCGCTTTGTAATCGTCGTCGTTCGAGTTGTACGTCGAGAAGTCGATGCCGAAACCGCCTAGAATAGGAAAATGTAAAGATGAAGGTTCCTTCAGTCTCACCGTTCAGTTGGCAATCGATGAATCCGGGAGAGACAATCAATCCATCGCAATCGATCTGGAATGTTTACATTTAAATTCTCGACAATTGAAACGGGAGCTCTTACCTGCACATCGGCCATTTGTTTCTCTTCAAAAAAGACTGCCCTTTCATGCAGAATCTTTCCGTCTCGCACCCAAATGTGCTCTTTTCGCAGACCATCCGTTCGAAGAACCGAACAGTTCACGAGCTGTAGCGTTTGCGAACCGATTCCAGGCTCAGAGAGTACATTAGAATCGAATTTAACGCGTCGGGGTTGCATCGGAGACACTAGAATGAAGTTAGGGACGGACGGTCGAAGAACGAGTGGAAGCAAAGGAGGCGGAGCCCGCAGTGTGCTCCTATCTTATCGCATTCGATGCACAGATACAACGGGCGGGAAAACTGCGATTTTTAATAATCTGCGGGGGTGTTCATGAAAAACAATCGAGATAGGATAGCACACATGGCAAAACAGAGATGCGTTGAAACGTGGATACTATAGTCCTTCACTAAAACAAAGTATTATTAGAAAAAAAAGGTAAATTCGGAAAAAAAATCGACATTCTGTATTGAGAAGCAAAACAATGACCAGTTTCATATTAGTGAGTTCATTTGATATGCTTGGCACGGGCGTAGGAGACATCGACGGTCTGGAAAATGATAAATTCTGTAAGAGAGTCTAACGGTGGAATACCTTGGTCAGCTCACGGATGGAAGTGAGCGAGCGGTCGAACTGCTTGGTAGTGTCTGCCTTCGGATGGATGACGACGATGTCTCCGTGCTGATCGATGCTCCTGCAGTCACATTCAATTACACTCAGACAGCTTGAGGACTCTTCTCTTCTGTCATTTCCATGACAGCATGGCGCCTTGTACTCTTCTCTCCTCTTCACTCACCCGGATAACTTCCTATCCAGTATCATCCTTGCTATTGCTTTCTCGATGGGCGGGACAGTCATTCCAACAACTCTGGCGATGTAGGAGAGCTCAATTTCCGAGTACGGCTCGATAACACGCGATATTTCCTGAGAAGACTATTACTTGTTACTTTTATGGTCATTATGATTTTACCTTTTCGAGCATATTGCGCTCCAAGTTCTGCGAGTGAACCGCCACCACTTTGTCTTCAACAAGCTCTTTCTTATACTCTTTCAACGCCTTCATGAAATCTTTGAGGCTTCTTTTGCGGAACGCGTCGGCCATTTCACGAATAGCAAGAATCCGAGGCTCCGATTTGTAAATGATGAGATCCTGAATCGAACTGTTTCTTCACATTATCCTTGTGTTCTTACCTTGTTTGCCATCAATCCGGGAACTTGTTCAGTCTCATTAAGCATGATCTTGCACAGAATCATGTACTTCAGCGAAAAAGTGGCGTTTTTCTTATCCCCAATGCTGTGGAATGCCTCGAATGCCTCGTAGAAGTACGAGAAAGATGTTTTGTAGTCTCTTTCCTCCGCAGAGTATAAAACTCCCGATTGCATGTCGACAGAGGCTTGTAGTTGTGGAGACGCATACGCAGAATTGGTGCTTGTCTTAGCAGTCAGAAGTGCAGTTTTAGCTTTCGACAGGTTGTTGAGATTGAATGCGCTCTTGCTCTCCTCCACAGACACTTCGATCAGCAACTCGCGGTCCTCCAACTTTTTCAGCTCTTTCGAAAGAGCCTCTCCTAGTTTTTGCGCTCTCAGAAAGTCCCGCACTTCATTGAAAAGTCTGACAAGACGAGATTGAAGACTGCGACGAAGGAACTCTCTTTTATTCGCAGTCGCCCATTCGATGCAATTCTTCAGGAGATCAATTTTTTCTTCTTTTCCTTGGTCGATGGTGAGGGCGTACTCGACGATGTCTCTGATCAATTTGCTCGCTCTTGCCTTGCCAATCAGATCGTAAAATCCACGAATTGACTCAACTAGAGCGCGAATGCCTGGAAGAACAGCGATAATTATTAATGAGGTGAGAAACTAACCAGCAATATCCTTCTCTTTAGCGAGCTGTTTCGCATAACTTAGAATCAGATCTTCGCATCTCTTCACTTCCGCTTCTGACGACTTCGCAGTTTGCACAGATACTGGAAGGATACTTTATTCATTTGAAGAACGGCCGAATTCTGCCGAAGGAAATCTCAAGACGCCTACCGTAATTTTCAAAGGCGCTCAGTGTTCTGGCTTGCCGGAACTCTTGCCGCGCATATGTTTTTGTAGCGGGAGTTCGAAAGTAGATTCACAGATGCTAATGTTCATTCTCCGCGCGGCGTCTATCGCGTTCATGCAGCGCTTTCTCGTTATCTTCCGCAAAAAAAACATTGTTCTTTATCAAAACCGATCAATCCGTTTGCTGCCCGCAGCGCTTCTCCGTTTTTCTCCGTTCGTTTTCTTCTTCGGGTTGTACACTTCCGCGTCACTGACCTTCACTTTGTACCACTTTCAATGTCAGCACAGTCGACGACATGGTTTTGCCCTTTCCTTGAAAATCAAGCAGTTTTCAGTCCAAAATGAGTAAAATGCAAACGTTTGGCACGACCGGAAAGTGTAGCTACGTGGAAACCTAGGTCAACACGGCGAAAAAACGCGTCAGACGTGAACAGTTTATTTCTTAAATGTGAGATAGGAAAGGATGGAGTCATCTGTTAAGCATGACCTGTTTCTTGGATCTCATCGATGAAGGAATTAGATTCATCTGAAAAAGGAAATAATTAACAATCTACGAAGAAATCTTCGACATACGTCAGTGTCGTTCTCCTCTTCATCGCTGCCATTCCATCTATTCTTCTGTTTATTCTAAAATGCCAAACTGACAACTGAATGAGACTTCGGGCAAACCTGCCGACAGTCGTCTCTGGCACTGATCAGCTTGCAAGCGCATCCACGTTTTTTGAATGCTTCGCGTGTTCTCGGCGAGCCCGGCGAGCGAATCGTGTGAAAAGCGGTCGAATCGGCACGGATGGACCTTTTGTGATGCTCGTCTTTTTCGCCTTGATTCCTCCAGAATGTCCAACCCCAAAGAAGTGCGCTCGTCGCAACTGAGATTGAAAGAAGAACGTGCTCCGAACCACGGATTTCCCATCTATCAAATCTTTGTGAATATTCAATAGTCCTTACTTCTTACTTCAAAATGTCCATTCCGAGGATCTTGATAATTCGATAAAAATGAGAAATAAGAATGATTCGTTGCAGTAGCCGTGATGAGCGAGGGTCATCCAAGTACCACCAATGCCGCGTGTTCTGTCAATTCGTCAGCACTGAAATCCACACAAAAAGCGCACGCGGAGAGTGGTGAACAAGATGAGATACTTCCCCTCTGTGTCAATGAAATCCCCTGGAAACTAGTTCCTCAGGTACATTTTTCGTTCGTTTGTCATTCTCAAATTTTTTTCAGATATCCGAAGATTACATAGAGTACGAATATCTGGACGAAGACGAAAGGTTTGACTGTTCGTCGTTGATCCTTCTGAAATTGAGATTTCAGACTGATTTCTGACGCAGAATCATTCGTTTGGAAGTGGTCGAACTGTGGAAGATATGGGATCGACCTGCCCGTGAGTGTCCCGCCGTTCCTACCATTCAAACAACCTCCGATTGCAGGGAGGTCGTGACATTATCAGTCAACGTCTGAAAAACTGTTTAGCTGTTTTTGACCTCAACTTGAACAGCTGGACTCTTTATAAAATGAACATCGTTCCGTTTGAGGTTAGAATCGAATGAAATGCTAGAGGCATGCATCGTTTCAGATTCCCAGAGTCTGTTTTATTTACTGGGCGCGTAGTGACATAGTCGTTCTCGTCTCTCTCGTGGTACGTGGTTCTTTTATTTCTTATAAAAAATTGACTTTCAGAAGAGCAGGAATTCCGGACCGGACGACGAAATAGTGCTCAAATTCAAGCAGACGTTCTTCTACATTTCACACGAAACGAAAACTCTGACTCATTGCGGTGCCTGGTATGTTTCAGCCCTAGTCAGTATCTGTCAATGGTTTTTCTTACAGCAAATATCGCACCCAAAAAACGATTCCCAGCTCTTATTGGTATCACATTTTCGAGAATCGTCGTGGCGAGCCCTTCATAGACCACAACAACGACGCGTGGCTCGTCTTCTCTAACGGAAAAGATTGTCTGATTCTACTGCCATACATTCCGACTAACAGCTGTTACCAAGCCAAATGTGTCACTTTCGATATGAACGAAATCGTGAGCAGCCTTCTCGGTCAGTTTCATGTCCGTTCGGGAAGGGTGTGTTCTTTTTCAGGCAGCCGCGTCTATCTGGATCCGTTCATTTCCAATCACTACGTTCCCTGGGTTTATCGCGACGAAATAAACTTTTTCATCCGCATCGATCCGCTTTCCTTTTCCGAAGAACACGACAGGGATTACGTAGAAGGAAGATTGAATGTAGCAGACGTACCGAGGGAAAAGCGAGGACTCTTCCAGATTCGTATCAATCTAAAAGACGTCATCGAGCGAGGAGAGAAATTGTCAGGAGACGTGGAAGACACCTGCCTGATTGAGACGAAATTCACTCGCAAGGACGTTCTTCTCTGGAGAAAAATCGCTGAAGACGGTCATGGCGCACACGAATGTATGTCTCAGCATGGAAAGACCGTGGTGCTCCTCAAATGGGCGCATGACACGATTGACGTGGCTTTCAGTAAAAGGCTCAATACGGTTCGTTTCTTGCTTACGGATGGCTTGTTCAACCTGCAACTTCCAGAGAATATCAGATATAGAAGTAAGAGGCACTTGCTGCGTTACCGAAAAGAGGGACTTCTCTTTTTGCACAATTGATTTGAACACCGACAAAATCAAGAAGATCAACACTCTCGTTCTAGGGTACTTCTGCTCGTTTTTTCTCTGTTCACCCATCTCTTTCCCTTCAGAACTGATGTAGTCCTTCCTCATCCGAGCGGATCCGTCTTCATGTTCCGGTACAAAGAGATCTACGGTAAAATCTCCGACCTCTCTCTGCCTCCACCATTTTCATTTTCAGCAATGACATTCTGTGAACTCCCGTACTTCGAGCCTATTTCCCTTCAGATGAAGTGCATCCAAGCAATCTCCGGAGTCGTGCAAATCGATCCCGACTCCTACAGTTCACAGTGTTGCCTGAAATACTCGGAAGTGGATGATGCTCGTTGAACGGCCGCCCTTTCTCTAGAACTCCCCCTTGCATGACCCTTCTGCCTTTAACTAACTGTAACTATTGTTTAATTTGCTAGTAATTAATAAGTATATTCGTTCTGGTCCATTTTCCAGAATTAACCTTTTCTAATAACTAAATCTATGTAAATCTCTGACGCTTCCCCCTTCTTTCAACTTTTCTTACTTTAATATTGACTTGTATTTCAAAATTTACATCAAAAATGTACACTTGTTTAGATTTCTAGTGCTAGTCACTGAATGAACCTGAATTTACAATCTATTTTCTGATTTTTTGTCGTGCATTATGCGTCCGAACATCGTTTTCGGGTGTATCCGCTTGGATCTGCTTTCTGATGAAAGCTGAAGAAATAGAAAACGTTTATTTAACAAGCAGTAAATAAATGAACTTTAGATGAGAAAGAAGCAAAAAGATAAATTAAAAACACGGACAAAAAAGGAAAAAGAAACGACTTTTCGAATTGAACCCATAATTGAAAAATAAATAGACGGTGTTGGCACAGAAGACGGTCCCGCTTAGCACGGACATTGACGTCCTTCGCCTTCGTCCGAGTCCTTCGGAGGGTTCATGATCACGATATTCGCTGAAAGAAATGACGGTGAGTTGTAAATATTCCCGCATTTTATCTTACGCTGCTCTGGAGCCTCCTCCTGAACGATTCCCGGAAGCGCAGTGGCAATCTTGCGGAACAACTGAAATTAGGGTTTTTTTTTGCATTACTCCAATCGCGTTTTTACCTGCTTCACGTTGTATCCCGCTTTGGCAGATGTTTCGATGAACATCACATTCAAATCACGCGCCTTCTTCTCACCATCCTCGGTAGAAACTTGTCTGGAAAAAGACGTTTCACATGGACAAACAGAAAGTTCTCTTACCTCTTGTCAGCCAGATCCGTTTTGTTGCCGACCAACACTATGATGACGTCACCTCCACGCTCGTTGCGAACATCGTCGACCCATTTGGTTGTCTGATGAAATGAGTTGGCGTCTGAAATAGAGTTCTTCGGTTCGGGCGCGATAAAATTGTCTGCACGCACTCGTAATGTCATAAACGACGACGGCGACGCTTGAATCACGGATGTACGACGGAATGAGCGACCGGAAGCGCTCTTGTCCGGCAGTGTCCCACAGCTGCAGACGGATCTAAAAGCAAGAAACGATTGTGGAATTATGTTCCCGTCCTGGGCGTTCTCACAGTTCTGTCCTCGAGATACATGGTCTTGCAGAGAAAGTCTATTCCGATTGTCGCTTGGTACGTGTTATCGAACGAATCGTACATGAATCTCGTGATGATCGAGGTCTTTCCCACTGAAATTCGAGAAATACATTTTTGTTAGCGACTGAATTCTTACCGCTCTGTTCGCCGAGAAAGACGAGCTTGAATTTTTTGAGCAGGTTGCTTCCAAAGTCGGCCGACATCTGAAATATAAAGTGTGAATTCAATTCAGTATTTGCTTGAACGAGTTTGAAAAGAATAAAGCTCCGGATGAACGCGACTGCAAAAAAAAACAAATCGTGGAGAGACTCGATGAAATGAGGCCATGCCAAAACGGGGGAATTCACGAAAACCGCGGATGCCAAAACCGCGGAAGCCAAAACCGCGGAAAAAAAGAGGCCATGCCAAAACAGGGGAATTCACGAAAACCGCGGATGCCAAAACCGCGGAATCGTGCAGGCGCAATACTTGACGCGCATTTGCTGACTTTGGCGTTTATTGAATAGAAGGGATTGAAATTTAATAGCATCAAACATGACAATTTGCAGAAAATACCTTTAAACATTTTTTTTTAAAATTTTTTTTTGTTTGTTTATTTCTCTGTTTGTCCGTGTCCACTTTGATTTCTATCCAGTTGTAACGGAGAAATTAAGAAATGAACGCGTGAACTTTCGAACGGTTTTAAGCAAACCGGAAAACGGAAGAAGGGAAAACGAATTCCTTACAGCTGGTCCCTAGTGGTAAAGACTGGGTAGGTACATGAAGGGAAAAATGGTAGAGCTGAAATCATTGAAAGATCTGTACCGTCGCTTAACAGCGTTCAAGAAGTTAATAGGCCGAAAAAAATTTTTAAGCGCAAGAGCGTCAAATTTGGTCGATTGAGATTAATCCGTTTGAAGTTTCCCCCCAAAAATGCGTGAATTTCAGTTGTTCTCATGTATTTTTTTGCTGTTCGATCGCTCAAGACGTTTGCTTTGTATTTATGCGATTTATCATTCTCAAAACCAATTTTATGTGAAAACGGTCAAGAATGCGCAATATAAGGAGTGTGATTTTTAGGCGGCGAAGGCGAAACAACGAAATACTTGGCGGAAGCCGCGCCCATATTGTCAGCTCTGGAGGTGGCTCCCCGAGCCAGAACTGTTTGAATCAGAACCGTCCTAAATCAGAATCTATCTGCATGTGGCTTTTGTTACAAAAAGTCGTGTTGATTCGAGACAGTTTTGGCTCGTGGTAGCCTCCTCTGGAGACCGTGGATGTAAGATAAAACAAAAATTATTCTGCAAGTCCCAACGAAATGTGAAAACCCGGCAGGCACCACGAGCTTTTTCTATTCAGGACCACACATTCGCCGTGGAATTCCAGACAATAGAAAGATGCTGATGATATCTGTCAAAATAACTTTAAATATAACTCTCATTTCCAAATTTTTTTCAGAACTTCTAAACTTCATTACTTTGTTTGATGCTATTAAATTTCAATCCCTTCTATTCAATAAACACCAAAGTCTGCAAATGCGCATCAAGTATTGCGCCTGCACGGTTCCGCGGTTTTGGCATTTTTTTTCCGCGGTTCTTGTGAATTCCCCCGTTTTGGCATGGCCTCGATGAAATGGCGGCATGTTGTTACAAAAATACGGTATAAACTTGAAGGCGCACACCGAAGTTTCATCGCCTTCGTTTACTGCTCTGCCAAGATTTTTTCTTGATGTGAAAAAGGTTGAAGATCCATTGCATTTTTTGGTAAATAAAGAGGAAACCGCGTGTAAAATAATGTTCGATTACACGTAGATGACGCTGGCAAAAAGAGAGAGAGAGAGAGAGAGAACGAGGAAACAAAAAGGGAAATGTCGAGTTTTCTTATCAATAATACACGATGGTTACTCATCGCTTGTGTACGTTTATCGATTAGAAAACAGACAATTTAATTTAAAAGGGAAGAAGAGAAGCAACGAGTTGTCCGCGACAAAAGCAGCGAAGGGCGACAGAGATGAGAAAATGGCCGGAGGGAGCATGTATTTCAAAGTGGGGACCACGATAGGCAGAAGCGGAAAGTGCGGTTGAACGCGGACGCCGAGAGTGTGAGGAGCGAGGAGACGCAGAAGCCATTTGAATCGACGACTCGGTTTCGAAAGCGCAGCACTTGGGATGGAAGGACGGACGGACGGCTGTTGCTGTCCGAGCGAGCGGGCCGGCGACCACTGAGCACTAGAGTACACGAGGCGCAGACCACGAAACACATTGGAAAATCAAGCTCATGCACAGATGGTACTGATAAAAAATGAACCGAAATCATGGAATTCTTTCTAGAGCAGCACAGTATGAAGAAACAAATACGGTTCCAAAGCAGAGAGCAGTAAATCGTTTGTTTGAACAAAACTGAACGAGAGAACAGATTGCACAAAACAGATAATAATTTATCGATACATGGAGACAAGAGGTTATCCGCAGCATCCTTGAGTGGTCGGATCATCCCCAGAGCGTTTGGTGATAGTCAGTTTGACGAATTCTTCGGCGGAGCATGGATGGATGGCGACCGTGAGCTCCAGATCCGAGTAAGTTATTCCGGCACGGAACGCGACGGCATAGCCTAGAAATTGAACGGAGTTTATGGGTAACTGGATGAGGTTATGGAACCTTGCATGACTTCGGCTGCATTAGGGCCCACGAAATGAAGGCCAAGCACCTTTTGGGGTTCGTCTCTGAGGCACACAGCTTTCACGTAGCAGAACTGCTTATCTTTGTTCTGGGGGACAATGTACTCGAACGGAGTGTAGTGCGAATGGAACACTTCGATTGCGTCCTCCCCGTACTTCTTGACCGCTTCTTCCTCGGTCAGTCCGACAGTGGACAGTTCCAAAGGAGTGAAGACTGTCGTGGCGATACCGTCGAATCGAACCGTACGTTTCGCCTTTGCGAACAGTCGTTCGGCCAGAAGTCTTCCGGATTGAATTGCCAACGGAGTGAGTTCTTGTCGTCCCTGAAGAATGGATGAATCACATTTAATCATTTCCGATTCCTTACCTCCACAATATCTCCGACCGCATAAATGCCTTTCGTTGACGTCTTATCGTGACCATCCGCCAGAATCCGTCCGCTCTTCGGGTCCGTCTTCACACCCACATTCGCCAATTTCACTTTCTCTAATCTCGGGGTTCTCCCGGCCGCCCAGATGACCGTGTCGTAGACTTCCACTCCTCCATTCTTAGTGAATGTCACTCTTCTCTTTCCTCCCACGTCTTCCACTTTCTCCACTTCCACGTGCTCTCTCACTTTCACTCCGTTCGATTTAAGATTCTCCATCACCATTCTGACACAGTCCTGAAATGTAATGTTTGTTTCTCATCTCCTGTCGAGTTCTGACTTTGTCGAATCCTTTCAATGGAGACGATCGGACGAGTACTTCCACTTCTTGCTGTACTCCCGCAAGGAATCCAGCGCATTCCAAAGCCACGTATCCGCCTGAACTCATTTATTAGAGAGGTCAAGAAAGACGGCGAACCTCCAACCAGAAGTGTCTTTCCAGGAGCAGCTGGAAGAGAGAAAAGGTCATCGGAAGAGATTCCGAGTTCCGCGCCGGGAATGTCCGGGTAGGTCGGACGTAGCCCCGTGGAAATGACGACGTTCGGAGCAGTCAGGATAGTCTGAAAAAACCATATCACTTCGGGAAAGGCGTCTTCGCAGACCCTCGTGTTGTTCTTGTCGACGCCGGTGACGAGGACGGTTGAATGATCTACGAACTCGGCGAATCCTTTGAAGTACTTGATTCCTCTGAAACAGAAAATGCTTTTCCTCCCAATTGATTTCCCTTTTACTTTTGATTCAATTGCACTCTGTACACAAAGCTGTTCCCCTTGATTCGGTCGTTCACATTCTTCACCAGAACATTCCATTCGTGCGCGATCTTCGTCTGATCCAGCCCGTTCCATCCGTACGTATCGGCCGTTTTCAACTGAAAATAGACATGATGCACGTTGAACGTCCCTTGCACAGTGACCTCTTTGCCAACCAGCGCTGCCTGGTGCATCAGCTTCTTCGGAATGCATCCCACGTTGGCGCACGTTCCTCCGATTCCCCACGTGACTCCATGGGGCGTCGGTTCGACACCGTCAATGAGAGCCACTTTGGCTCCGAGATCAGAGGCCCTTTTCGAGCAAGAAAGACCTCCGGATCCTCCTCCAATCACAATAAGATCGAAACTTTGGGTCGCCGACATTAGTCTCTTCGTTATGTGGTTTTTTTGAACCTGAAGAATCATCATCTGAAGTCGAAGAATTCTGAAAAGGAGAAAAGTGGAAATGAAAAGTATGAAAAGATGGCGAACTTGACAATAGGAACATTGGTATAAAATGAAAAGTATACATTTATTGCAAATGTTCAGAGATTAGTTCAATGGTGAAAAGAAGAGGGGCGTTGGCTTTCAGTTGGATCCTTTCGGCAGCCAATTCGTTCGAAGAGCTTATCAGGTGTCCGAATGCCAATGGAAGATCAGCTGAAAGGATGGATTACGGTAGTCTGTCACAGGAGTTCACTGACTCATTTCATATTTCAATCCATTTGAAGTTACTCGCGTCGGTGTTTGAGCAATCGGAATGACTCCGCACATTTTGGAGCATATCTGCAGGTCTACATCCACTGACATCTCCCCCTACGAACACAAGATGTTTCCCTCGTCTTTCTCATTTTTACTCACTTCCGGAACAGCCATCAGAAAGTTCCTCGAGTCGAGAACAAAGACGGGAACACTTTGAGCTACAAACATGGCAAGCGTGGAAAGTGTGGACATCGTGTGATCGAATCGACCATTGAGACCTCCAAGAATGACGATCCGATCGAATGTCCACTGAAATGTTATCTTCTTCAGTTCATTTCAGTCATCCTTCAGTTCGAACCTCCTTTCTTTCATTTTGCTCCAAGCAGAACTCGATCGATTTTGTCAAATCCGTTTTCATTTGATCAGGAAGATGAACAATCCTGAAAGTTCCATGAGCTAAGAGCATTTAGGCAGAGTTTAGGACCGGACAATTGTCGGGTGGGGTTCCAGCTTACTAGAACGGTCGAATGCCCGATAACCTTGTCCGAACCTTACCAAAAGTATTACGTGGCATTCCTCGTCTCGATCCGCTCGTCTTTCGAGTCGAAATCTCCGGCAACGACGTGCGGCCATTCGACCGTTTCGGCCCTGCAATAATCCATTCCTTCTTCTCCCCTCTCCTCCTCATTTTCCCTAGCCTTTTCTCGATTTCATTCAGTGCTCCATCAGCCGCCACTCTGTACTTTGCCCCGTTCCACAGCTCTTCCGCCCTTTTCTCAATGGCCGTCGGTTCCCCGTTCAACCAAATGCACACAGAATTCGTGGCAGTCTTTCCAAATGTTTCAAATGGTCTCAGAATCCGTTGCATTCTTTAATTCATACTTCTTTACTGACATGTTCGCGATTCGTCACTCAAGATAAATTTCAGAACTTGACTGATTCTGAGAAAATGGCGATTTTTAATTCAACTTATTTATTCAACGGTTAGTGGCCACAGCGGCGACGACAATCGAATAGTTCGGCAGCTAGAGAAGCGGAATAGAAAAGGAGGAAAATAATACTCTACTGAAGAATAAGATGAATGGCAATAGGAAAGGAAATAAATAAATTCGGATGGATGGAATAAATTAAAAATACAAGGAATAATCACATTGATGACGTAGATTAGAGTGGAAAGTCTGCGAAAAAAGAGCGAGAACGAAAGCTTCTAAAAATGCGAGAATTCTGAACACCGAAAAGATTGATGGAAAAGAATGAGAAGAGAGAGAGATGGCTGTGGGAAAAGAGCTCTATGCACAAACACGAAGAAAATAAGCACACGACACGACACAAACATATTCTGATGACGAGAGTTAACTAGAGATTGTCGATTGTCGTCGCGCAGATGGAATCGGCCAAAGGACGCCTAGAGGTTCTCTTCGGCGGAGCGCTCCTCGGCCAGGATTTTCTCGAACGAGAACGGGGTGAACTGGTATCCGAGACCTCCGTAGAACTTAGATTGGAACTCGACCCTGAAATAAGAGATGGTGAACAGGAATGGAGGCCAAACTGACCAGTGGAGACGGAGTGCGTGGAGGAAGGCAGAGAGACCCTCCATCAGAACCAGGATGAACACTGAAAGGGATCCAAAGATGAAGAAGAGCACGTAGGTGGCGACGGCTCCCGCGTATCCGTCCATTACGAATGCGTGACGGAACACCATGGTCCACAGGACATCGGAGAGTTCTACAAAAAATAAGTTATTTGTTGAAATTGAAGGAGCGAAGCTTACGAGCATGAGCAAGGGAAAGAGCCCAGAGACGGAGGTAGGAGGCAGTGTGGGAGACACATCCGAGCACGAATTCGATGGTGTGAATGGCCTGGTAAACCATAACGTCACCCATTTCGAGAGGTCCGTCTCCGTGCCCATGTCCATGTCCTCCGGCTGGTTTCGGTGTTTGCTCGGGAGCATGAATCACTTCTGCGTCGTCTTGGTTGATGTCAGCACGGACACTCTAAAAAAAACCCTCGGTTTTTGATGGGGAATGAAGTTGACTGAGAACCGATTAAACGAGAAAAATAATAATAAAACAACCAGCAACCTAACTGTTATCATGCAATTATTAATTATGTGTTACCTGACTCGGTTCTACCAGTGTACGATATCTGGTCTGTTGTTTCTCTCGTTGATACAAGAAGAATGGTTTTGCGAACAACATAATGGGCACTTGGACCATAGCCAACACGACAAGAATTATTTCAACGGTGCTCTGCAATCCTCTTCACTTCGAATGTTTCAGAACGCATTCCGGACGATGTCGAAGATCGGATAAGAGCAGAAAAGAGACGGAGATCCAACCAGTTAATGTGTAAGTCGCGCGCAAGGCTCGAGTCTTTAGGTTTTGTCAAGCGGGCACAACAAAAGATGTCTCTGGCTGCGGGCAACTGTAGTAATCCACCACCTCACCAATACAACATCACCACAACATCAAACACAGAAATGAGGAACAACAACGACACAGAAGGAAAGGACACAACGATGTGGTGCGTGCTGACTGATGCAAAAAGATGGTGGCTTACCAGTTGCCGATGACCCCCTTCGCGCCGTTCTTTGTCTTCCTTCCATAAGTGGTACGGCTTTCCGAAGAGCATTACCGGGACGCAAGCGATTGCGACCAGCACGAAAATCGTTTCGAAGAAGGACTAAAAGTAATACAATTCTTTGATTGATCTATGTCTCTTTTCTGCTTCATTCTCCGGAAATGACATCGTCTGAAAATAGGTTATCAGTCCACCAACCTGTCCCGGATACCAAGTGCTCAGATAGCATTGGTTATACGTATTACGATCGTTGTCTACAAATCCAGAATTGCGAGACTTCATCATGAACATGTTGATGAGTCCTATAAGCAGAGAAGGAGCGCAGTTCGATCCGGGGTACTCGTAACCGAGAATCGTGCCGGCGGCTGCTCCGAAGAAAAGCCACTTTGCAAGAATTTGGATGCAGAGGTAAATGAAAATGGAGGAGAGAAAGATCATTTGCGGAATGAACATAAACTTGATATCGAGGTCAGATTTGAAGTACCTGAAATATGAATGAGGGTCAATTGGATGGAAGAAGGACTCACGTGTAGTTCTGGTAAGAGAGCAGCACTCCGAACGTCATCTGAGCGATTCCGAACAAAACGGACATCTTCATTTTCATCGAGTTAAGGAATGAGAGCTTGTTTCCTTCGGCCAGATTCCAAATTGGATCCACACCGATTGGGTACGGGTTTCCGTCAAATGCGATCTCCGGAGGTAGAATCAACTGAGTCTCGGCTGTCTTTGGATCACGGATCAAATCATCTATAGTTCTTTCCGCAATCGAGTTCTTCCACGACGATCCGAAAGTGTTCAAGCTTTTCGAGAACACGTCGTTGTACATGAATCCAGTGTAAATCGAAAACACGCCCATTAAGAAAATAACGTAGCGACCACCGAAGAATGTCTGGAAGATCTCGTCCTTGATTCGTGCCGCCTCGAGTTGTTTCTCTTTGAGAATGAAGAAGAGAGCGGCGAGGAACATGATGACTCCGTGTCCCATGTCTCCGAACATAACGGCGAACAGGAACGGGAAAGAGACCATCGTGTACGGTGCTGGGTTGATCTCTCTGTACGTGGCGATTCCGTACGCGTCGACAATGTTCTGGAATCCCTTTGTGAATTTGTTCGTCTTGTTGTACGTAGGCGGCGCTTCCTGAGTGTCCATTCGATTCAGAATCGACGGCACTTGGCTACCGCTCTCGTCCGTTCCGCGCTTCAGCGCCATCTTGATGCGGTCGAGCTCAGCAATCGGGCACCACACTTCGGCGATGAGACATTTCTGCAAGACAGACCATAGTGGGAGAATGTGACATACAAATGATACCTGAGTGACGTCAATGTTGAACAGGTTCAGAGTGTGGTAGATCGACTTGATCTTCCGAACCTTCGTCAACCACATTCGCACGTTCTTCGATGCTGCCACGAGAACGCGGTGACGGTGATCTTGGGTCTGACCAAGGACCGTCTTTAGATCTTCGATGCGAGTCATTACTCCTATGGACATTTCTCTTCTCTCTTGCGGGGTGTCCGGACATGGGTACAGCGTTGCACGGAATCTAGAGAGCGGAAAATGTTGGGAACCCGGATAGTCTGATAATCGTACCCTTCACAGATCTTTTTCACTTTCGTCTTGAGTTGCTCTCCTTGAAAGAAGATGATGAAGACGCACTTGTTGACAGGCTCTCCGGTCACTGTATCGTTGAGAACATCGTCGATTTCGCTCGTTCGCAGGAACACGTTTCCGCGACACGCTCTCCAGAGAAGGCGTTCGAAAGCGGGTAGGCGCTCGCGCTGGATGACACCAGCCACAAATCTAGAAAAAGGTGATAGAAACCGGAGCCAAACGTAAAAGAGCTGTAAAGCCTGGAGACGTCTCGCGCACTGAAAAGAGCACCACCACAACACAGAGATATGAAAGAAAAGGACGACAAAGACGCGAAAAAAGGAAAGGAAAGTGAGGGACATTCCTACCGTAATTGCAGCTTCAGTGGCGACATCGCATCGCTGAAACGGGCCGAAAGCTCCTCCTCGTCTGCGCTGAGCACATCGCCGATTGCCGAGTTTTCCGCAGATGAGGCGATCAGATCTTCGTGCTGCAGAAATCAAACAAACACATCACTACAACGGAGTTTGCAGTCGGGAATATGTAGATTGGGAGTGTGTCAAGAGAGAGAGAGAGAAAGAGGGTTGATTGTTCCTAAAATCTGGCACACCACAACGAGAAGCGGGGGAAAAAAGATAGAGAAAGAAGGTGGCAAGCAAAAGGCAGAACGTGCGGCACAGAAACGACAGAGAAGTGAGTCTCACCCAAAGTTGGCGAACATGGTGCCACTTCCAGGAGTCGCGTGCTGCGTCAACTCGAGACCTTCTTCAGATTCGCCGACGGTAGCAGTGGGCAGCATTTCCCCAGTACCAGCCTGTGTTAGTAGGGAGATGAGAGGAGTGTCGGAATAAAAGGTTTAAGGGAGGAGGAGCAAGGAAGGAAAGGAACAGGAAAGGGAACGCTTAACAGGACAACAACAACTAGTTCGCGAGTCAGTCTGTGTGGTGGCGCTCTTCGCTCCGTTAGCTTCACCACGTACCCGAGTCGGAGCAAGGCCGCCTGTGCGGAAAGCCGTGCCGCGTCTTCGTCAATGTCTCCGCCGATGTCAATCAACGGTCGTTCTTCTTCTCTTTCGGATGATCTGCCCCGCCGTCCGCTGCCGCCTTCCAGAATCCGCCAGCGATCATGATCAACCTGTGATTTTGGGACGAACCGAAATGGGAACGAGCTAACTAGACTAAAGGCTGGTTAGACCGGCACAAAACACACTTAAACATTTACTTTGAGCGATTTTTGTAATCATTTAAAGCAGTTTTTGGTGTCAAAAGCATGCCAGAATTAGAAGAATGAGAGCTAGTTATTAAAATAATGAACTATTATATCGAAGTATGAGAATTAGAGAAAAAGGAAGGTTAGAAAATGTGGAAGTGCAGTGAAAAGTATGAAAAAAGATCTCACCTCTTCAAAGAACGTCTGAGTTTTGCGTAGAATATGTTTCAACTCGGTCAATTCGGAGAAATTCTTCTTCAGAGTCTCTTCATTTTTATTAACTTCACGCAGCTCATTTTCGAGTTTCTCGAACGTCGCCTTAAAGAGAAATATGAGTGGATCCGTGGAGAAGCTGGAAAGAGCAAACCTCCAAATCGATCATTTCTCTTGGCAACGGAGCATCCGGATTTTCCCCTGTATCCAACATCGGAATTTGATCCTTCTTGATCTCACGCTCCAGGAATCGTAGTTTCCTTTCCATTTCATCGCATCTTCGCACCTCGTTAACATACTTTCGTTGGAAAGAGCTTACATCCGGGTTCAGCTGAAATTGAAGACGTAATTTTAGCCCGACAGATTTCCTCGTTAAACTTACATCACGGAACTGGACGAGTCCGAGTTCTCCGAGCTCGGCGACGCATTGATAAGAGGCGTCCGATTGAAGATAGAGCTGAGCCAAGCACATCTGTTCACTTCGATAGATGCCCGGCTGCGGCGGCTCTTCGCCCGGAGTTACGTAATCACCCATTTTGACTCTGAAAACGAAAATTACTGACTGAAACGGTGAGAAATGAAAGAGGAGACGTGAGCGTGCGCAAAATGAGAAGAGCCTGAAGACCGACGAGGGTCGAAGACCAGATATTGACGGACGGGGCCCTCCAGGAGCAGACAGTGGGAGAAAAAGAAAGAGCACGGATGGAGCCGATGCAGAGCAGCAAGAAGAGAGCATGAGGAGGGAGCAGAAAAGTGGGTGCTGTTGGGGAAGAAGAGATATGGAAATGGAAGATGGAAGAGATGGAAGAGAGATGGAACGAAAAAACTAAAATCTTAAACGAAAAATTCCAGATCTATGACTCGAGAAGCGGCGAAATCTATTGCGCAATCGGATCGATCCATCCAGACGACACGTCATTAGCAATAGAGCGCATTTCTTTTGGAGTAAAGTGACGCAGAAAATACGATTCCTTAATTTTAGGTGGCTAATTACAAAGGAATAGTTAGAAAGAAAAAGTTCATTGTTTCTCTAACATCTTGGACCGGTTTGTGGAAGAAAACGACTGCCTGTCTCCCGCAATGTTTGACGAACAAAAAGGTTTTTTTTTGTTTGTGAGCAATGTGTTAGGAATTGCAATGAATTGAATATGCATTTGCTGTTGTGTCAAAAACATAAACAAAAGACTCACATTGCAGAAAATTGATTGATTTTTCAGTTCGACCAGAGAGTTCAAAGGACACGCTGAGGACACGGAAAGACGGCATAAACCGGTGCACTGGGGCGAGATTGAGAGCAATTGGGTTGCGTGATAACGCGGAAAAGATAAGATTACGCTGCGGAAAGGCAGCAAAGGAAACTTCATAGTTGAACGTCCGCAGAAGTGAAGCATCACGAAAAAGGAGATTCTTGAAGGACCGGTTTGCGGTGTGAATCGCGATGTTCTTTTAATAGGAAAAGCCGAGGAGACGGAAAAAGAGTAGAAAACCATGAGTATGCGGAGAGAAAATAAACGGATTTCTCAAAGATTCAGCAGTTTCCTAACTGGCGCATGACTATTTCATAACTATTTTATAAAGGTGCGGAAAAGACGAAGGCACTGTAAACAAAGTCAGAAATGGGCGAGTCCTAGAAGAACAGAAAATGTTGCGAACAAAAATAGTTTGACATGAGACGAATAGATCAGTTTTAAGCGAAAGCTTTGACAAAAAAAGGAAGTGCGAAAGACAACAGGTTCTATCAGACATCAGGTGATTTTGATAATGTTTCAAAGGTCTTCTTCACTTTCTAAATCTATCAAAGACCGAGAATCGATAGGTCGGTGCTCGGAACGATCAGATCCAAAAACGGAACGTCACGACATTTTCCGCCTGTCAAACAGCCTCCTCCCTCTCCCCTCTCGTTCTCCCTTTTCCTCTTTTTCCCGTCACTCGAACGAATAGCAGCGGAACCTACCGTAGTGGTATACACACACGCCGATCATTCGTGGCGAGACCCGTCAGCTGTTTGAATCGGCCGTTGGCTGACAGAAAAGACCGCCATTTCAAAGTTTTTTTTCCGTGCGCGTAGAAAACGACATGTAACCCATTTTTATGGTTAATTTACACATTTTCAGACAACTTCTCATATTTTTTCTACCGCAATGTCTTCCGCGGTCCGGAGTCCGCGCAAAAAATTGCAAAGTGACGCGTCCGACCCGGTGAGTTTTGCTTGATGATTATTAAATTGATTCTTATCACTTTGTTTAATGTCAAAGTTAAAGTGTAATTTCCTATTTCAAGATATCGGTTTCAGGATCGAACAAACTCGCCATATAGTCTCCGAGAGACGTCGAAAATACCCTCCAGATATCGTGATGACGAGCTGTACATGTCACCATCTCGTGCTCCGAAACGTTCTTCGGTGGGATCGCCTAAGAAGTGAGCACAGCTGAAAAGCCGTGATGATGTTTCTTTTTGTTTCCAGGTCTCCTTCAAAGCGCGTAAATGGAAGAGACTCGCCTGCCGTCAGCAGTCTCAGTAGGAATTCCAGTTTGACGATGCTGGCTAGAGCGGCTCTCGGGGATTACGAATCTACCAGCAGTGGCTTGGATTATGTAGGAGACTGCCATGAAGATGGTTATTCATATTTTTCAAAGTTCCAGACAGAGCGCCGCCCACCTCGTCGACAACTGGCACTATCACCTGCTCCGCCACCTAATAACGACCCACTCGCTAAAGATCTAGAAATGATAGAAATGCATCAGAACCTCGTGGCCGGACTCGATGACCTTGACAATCCGGCGAACATGACGAACGAGGCCGTTGAACACAGAAGCGCTCAGTCCTTCTTCAACATTTTCACTTCCGACATGGAGAGGGACGCCATGAAAAGACAGTTCAAATGTGTGAAAAATCAGACGAGTGAAGATGTGAGCACTTACATGAGAGCTAACATTAAGAAGCTATACAATCTGCTCAGATACAAAAAGGTTATACTTCGATATTCTGGATGTTGGCTGATTTCTGTATATATTCAGGCAAGACAATGGGTAATGTGCGAGTTTTTCTATTCGGCCATCGACGAACAGATTTTCAAAGAAGAAAATGAGTTTGCCACGATTCTCCGTGAATCATTCCCAAATCTGAAAAATTGGAAATTAAACCGGGTCGAGTGGCGGACGATCCGACGACTGCTCGGAAAGCCTCGCAGATGCTCAAAGGTTTTCTTCGAGGAAGAACGAGCATATCTCGAAGAAAAAAGAATGAAGATCCGCAGTGTATACGAAGGAAGTTATCTAAATGTCAGTTTCGATGCAAACATTCTCTTTTACAATGGTATTTCAGGATCCATCGATTGATTTGAAAGATCTTCCTGCAAAGCTTCCTCGTCCGATGATTGTCGGCAATCGAGTATTTGCTCGCATTCGCACTCCGTACGATGGGATATACTCTGGTATTATTGATGCGGTTATTCCAAAAGGGTTCCGAATAATCTTTGATAAGGTTTGAGACGCTCCGTATTCGTATTCTGAGTTCTGCTTGTTTCAGCATGACATTCCTCCAACATTGGTTAGTGACACTGAAGTGCTTCTTGATGGAAAATCAGAACTGCTCAGCATTGCTTACTTTATTGAGCAAGCCAATTCAAAATTGCCTTCTGGAGTCCGTCCGTTCGTCGCCGCTGTCCGGGATTCCAACAGACCTCATTTGGTCCGTGACGAGTTGGTCGCAAGGAATATCGACAGAGGAGGGCCGTTGAATGGACCGAACGATGAAAGATTGAATGGACGAAATGCTGAAATGGTTGGAAATTTCCCGTTAAAGTTCCTTGTGAACCTGGTTAAACTGACCAAGCTGTCTGAGATCAAAAAAGTATTAGTCCGGCAGTTGAACGAACTGAACGGAGAAGCCGAAATGCATAATTTGACCAGTGATGAGTATCCGTCGGAATTCCAGGTAATGCTGATAAAATTAAACCCAGAAAAGATAGGGTTTTCCAGGAGAAGTACGCAAAAGTGATCATCGATCTGGAGCACGTCAACCAGAACATTGATGTTAACATGAACGGAATTCAGGATCATCATATGTACTACACTTCACATGAGGTACACATTTTGCTTTACATTAGAAAGCTTCATAATATCCTGTTCTTAGATGCAAAATGTGAGACCAGAAGCAGTCAAAAAAGTTTGCTACCAGCAAGCGGGACGATTTGTGGAGCACTGTAATCAAGGATTGAATGTGGAGAATGTACACGCACTGACACTGATTCAGGCTCTCACAGCTGTTCTTCTGCAGGTAGCCACGCGAAGAGAGTGTTGGCTAATATTTGTTTTCAGGTTCGAGCGATGGGAAGTCAGAAAATCTCAGCTGTGGATCTGCAGTCATTTGGCGACGTTGTCACCGATATTCGCAACCAGATTAATCCTCGAAACGTGGCATTCTTCCAAGACTACGTGGAAGTTCATCTGAAGCAATTCCACACCATAATGGTTGAAAGCGGCGCTCTCTCGGGTGCCGTGTCCAGCAGGAAATGACCCGCGAATATAATACGTCAAAAATTAGAACCGGTCTTACTTTTTCCTTGCATCTAACCTTCTTTGTTTTTTCTGCTTCGCAGTGCCTCTTCGCGTGCCTCACTCTCTCACTTCTCGACCTTTCAGTTGTCAGACGAAATCCCCGTCGCTATCTTTCTCTTCGCTTTGTTCCCGAAGAGAAGCAATTTGCCAAAAAACTATTTTCACCGTCGAGACGGCAAAACAAAACGATCAATCAAGTTGATCGTGCGCTTCTTCCTTCATTCCTTGCGTTCATTTTCTCGTACCGCTATGATAGGGGCACCGCACAGAAATGGCGCTCTGTTGAGAAACTCTTTTTGCAGTGCAAATTGAGCGACCTCGGGGCCGAGTTTGAAAAGTTAGGTCACGTTTTCAGTGGAAAGTTACTTCGCGGCCTAGAAATTCGGACAGATTGCGAACAGCGCGCCCTTTCTGTCCGGTGCCCCTATAATAAGTGCGTATTGTAAATGTTGTCCCGCCTTACTTTTCATTTGACTCTATAGTTATAAACGTATTCCCTCCTACCTGGCAAATATTGCTCTTGTTCCATTGCTCATTCAGCAAACTTTCAGAAACTTCAGATGAATTCGAGAATTCTCATTCTCCTCTTCCTCATTTCCACAGGTAAACATCACTTCCTCACTCTCAAATGAATACTCATTGTTCAGTGTCTTCGGCTTATGTGAAACGGGAGATCCATTCGAGCGGCTGTCCGAAGAACTCAGTTTACAAAGAGTGCACAAACATTTGTCCGGACAAGAGCTGCGACAACTTCCTGATGGTAACCCTATCGATTGGCGCGTCCTCCGATCCGTTCCCTTCCAGGTGTCCTCCTGCTTCTCCCTCCGTTGCGGTCCGCCCGCCTGTGCTTGCAAAGAAGGCCACGTGTATCTGAACGGAAAAAACAAGAGTCAAGGGTGTGTGAGCAGAGAGACTTGCAGGTAAAATCAGCTATTGGCTACCGCTTCTCAACTACGCCATTCTAGTAAACTCGTAAAAATTCGTGCCCAGCCAGTGCCCACCAAGTGATTCAAAAGCAAACGATTGCATGATTCTTTTTAAAAACTGTAAATATCTATTTCAGTCACCAATTAATAAAGTTCACTCTTTTGATAAAAAGGGTGCAAATGATTTGCAGAGCAGCAAATAAATTATAGACTTCTGACATAAAAACACAAGAAATAAATGGGACAAATAGAGAAAAACGAGTTTGAAAAAAAAGAACCACAAATTGGAATCGGCCTTTAGTTTTGTACGTTGGCCTTCGGATCGACCATCCGCTCGCTGAATTTAAGGATTTCCGGTCCGCCTCGCACTTCGCTCTCCAGGAGAGGCAGTTTCACCACGTGGAAATCTTCGTATAGTTCGTCGATCTGAAAATTAAAAACCCCATAAGCGAGAAAACGTCGAAATTGGGTTACCTCCGCGAGGTACTTGGCCTGAATTGCCTGTCTCGACGCGCACTTCCGGCATGCCACGTGCCCGCTCGCATCTTTATCGGGGAAAAGCAGCTGATTGACGATTATGTTGTGCGTGTCTATTCCCTGCTTTGTCAGCTCCTGTATCAGTCTCTCCGTCTCGTAGAGCGACAAAAACTCGGCGATGCACACGCAGACGAACGTCGTACAGTTCGGATCCTTGAACTGCGCATTCATTTTCTTGACCTGTTCCAGTGTCTGTGTCATCTTCTCGAGCATCTCGTTCATCGATCCTCCGCCCATTCCAAACATTCCTCCGAACTGATTGATCATCGGTCCGAACATCCCTTGCAACGAGAGAATCTTCGCGAACACCTTCTCCAGGAGCGTTGGAAATTGCAGAAGGCGGAGAGTGTGACCGGTCGGAGCAGTGTCGAAGACGACGACGTCAAAATCAAGAGAATCGATCAATCTGAAAATGGTTGAAGTAGAAGTGCACTCTCGTGTTCTTTTCTTTCTTACTTAATCATTTCCCCGAAGCTCATTGCTTCGTCTATCCCAGGAAGTCCTCCTGCGAAGCTCTGCAGGAAGTCCTTTCCCATTGCGAATCCGTTGTTTCCGCCGTCAGAGTTCTGTGCCGCATTCTGAAGCATTTCCTCCACATTCGCCATCTCGAAGCCTTCTCCGTTCGGATTTGAGTCTATTTCCATTGCGAACAGATTCTGGAATCCATTGACGAGCGTCGGTGTTTTCGTGAACTTTTGGCAAAGAGCATCGGATATATTGTGGGCGGGATCAGTCGAAATGAGCAGAACTCTTTCGCGGACGCTCGAGAGTTGCGCAGCCAGAGAACAACTGCACGTCGTCTTTCCGACTCCTCCTTTTCCCCCAACAAAGATCCATTTGAGCGTTTTCTGTTCCAAAATGTTCTTGATCGAAGCTTCCAACTGATCAGTCATTTCAGCCTGAAAAATATTTTAAAAGTTAGATCAATACAAGGAATTCGCAAAAGATAAAGAAACGGAGTTAACCAGTGCTAAAAACATCTCGATTATTCAGTAGATAACATTTATGTTAAATTCAAACAAGGAGATCTGATCAAAGAAGTCATTCAGAAGGTTGTTGCTGCGCAATGTGCACAATTCTGTCGACGATCGGATCGATCGCTGGTCGTGGAGTGACGATGACGCCGCTTGCCTTTAATCTGCCACGTCAATTTCGAATGGAGCGCACTTTCTGAGCGGCTCACCTCCATTTTCGGTTGTCCCAGAGGACGTCGGGCATAGGAAACGAGTAGAAATATCTGCAAACATTGCGATTTTGTTGATGGATGCAGAATTACTTACAGTTTCATCGATCCGAAGTAATATTCAAAAAAATCGAAAAATCTCTCTTGCCACGTACTGCTCGGAACCTAAAACTTGAGACTATTATTCCTAAGTGGTAAAAAATCTTACCTCTAAAAGTGGGTGTTCCTCTTGTCGTTCAACGTCGGATAACATCGTCAAGAAGATCGAATCACGACAATTATCAGACGTTTATTTCACGCGAAACAAAGTGGAATGGGAACACGTCAAAAAGTTAGAAAAAAAGGTAAGAGGGTCATATATAATGATGGACTTTGGCTGTAAAGCTGAAGGTAAAAGTATATTCCGTTTTAAGAAGATCACAGCTTTAAAAGGAGGCGTTTAGACACGGGAGGATGAAGAAAAGTCAATGAAGAACCGAACGGAACGGAGGTAAATATGCTAGAAGGGAGAAGAGAGACCCGTAGAGGATATGTTCGTTTCTCGCGAAGATATTATCTTGATCTGGAGCACTGCCCCGTGGATTTTACATGGCATCGAAGTGAAATCGATGCGATTGTTGCTGCCGTTCGTACCGATCTTCCTTCTTCTCTCGATAATGCAGAAATACGACGACCATGAGGAGCATAACACAGACGGATGCGATCACGAGCACACTCTGACGAGTATAGGGGTGGGGAGGGGAGAATGAAAGTGGAAAGGTACCTGAGCAATGAGAGCGGACGGAGTTACGTAGAGCCGACTGATCCAGTGACCGGATTGCTCGGATGGGGGAAGGACTATAATGCGAGAGTTGGGCACGATCTGCTTCAGACTGTGCTTCCAATCATCTTTCCGATCCGCGTATTTTGGAATCGCAATGTTCAACTGAAACAGAAATTAATCTACGCGATGCGGAAATGTGAAACATGCCTCATCGACAAAATTCGGACTTCTTCCGAGACCGTAAAGCAGGAATGGCAGATAGAGTGCCCGATTGGAAGAGGAGGGCACTTGGCAGGCGACACTTTGAGTACTTCCGCCCCATCCGTCCGTCATCGAGAACGAAGCACAAGCTCCTGCCATACTGATGCTCGATCCGATCTCGTCCGACTTTGGATTGCAACGATCACTGCACACTCCCGTGAACACTTGCACCTTCAGGAAGGTGGTGTCTCCTTTGTCCGGACAATAAATGAATCCAATGTTGGTTTGTCCTGCGAATTCGTACTCGACTAGCAGGTCCAGACATCCGTCCTCAAGTAAATCGAAGAAAGTGCTCATTTTGGTAGTTCCTATCGCCATGTTCTTCGTCTGAATGAAATCCATCTTCTTGAGATCAAACCGTCTCGTCCCGTTCTTCTCGCAATTTTTGCATTCCCCGTTTTCAATGACTTTCGCTGTTGGCATTGTTTTCGCCTGAAAAGAGACCATGATTTTTTTCCCTTTCCTAAACCGTTTTTTTTTACATTTGGACTCTGAACGATAGCCAGCATGTCCGGGTAACTGTCGAGGGAAAGATCTCCGACTCGGAAGACGACCAGCGAGTACGGATCTCTTTTCACCGTGAAGTCTTGCATATCACAGGCAACCGTGCCCCATTGCCGACTCTTCGACCAAACTGCCATCTGAGTAATGTGAAGGCACTCTACTTCTCTGCAGATCGGAACAAGCAGATCCATTTCACCGTCCGAGTCGAAGTCCATCGCGACTGGAGCGGCGACGTATGCGTACTGAGCCTGCGAAAGTTTCGGGATCCAGGGCCTGTACTGCCAGTTGATCTTGGTGTTCTGCCAGACGCTCATCTCGAGAGAGCCGTCATCTCCTTTCGTCATGAATACGATATCAGCGAGCAAGTCGGCTAGAAATTAAAATTTGAAATAGTCAAGGAGGAAATGAGATAATTACAGTTGATATCTACGAAAAGATGAGGCATTCCGGGAAAAACATTCAACGTGTCCGGGAAACTCTTGAAATAATCCGTACAATAGTCGACGGCCGGTCGGATTGTGCCTTTCTCTCCGATTTTCGTGCAGAATAGTGATCCGTTCGGATAGAATCCGACGATATCAGTCCATCCGTCGTTAGAAATGTCGATGGCCATCGCGTGCTGGACAAGCAGAGCAACTTGGAACGGAACGAACGATTCGCCGTCTCCTGAGGCTTCAGATGTCCACAGAGTGTGATTGTAAATGGGGATGACTTTATCGCGGACCGAAACGAGCACGTCGAGCCGGGAATCTCCATTGAAGTCGCCGACGGAGCACTCGACAAGATCTCCGTTCAAATCAGCCGCACCGATTTTGAAAGAAGTGCCTGGTGTGAATTTGGATGCTTCTAGCTGGAAATTAAACATTCTTAAATGGATGTAAATGTGAAAAACTAACCACATCGAGCAACTTCGTCTCTTGATAGTTGATAGTAAGACTTCCGTTTCCAAAAACGAGAATATCAGTGTTTCGGTCTGCATTGAAGTCTCCAAAGGCGCAGACTCTGCCAACTAATTCAGGGATTTTCTTGTCGATCGCATGATTAGCCACAAACAGAATGCAGGTTACCACAGTCCGTATTATCCATCTCATAATACCTAAATGGTAGCAATTTCGAACTTTTCTGTTAAAAAAACGAAGAAATACGAAGATGCCGATGTATACGATATTAAGGGAATGACTGAAGAAGGATGATTTCAGTCTATAACGAAAATATTTATGAGAGTTGAAATTAAAAAGAGATGAGACGGAAGCAAAGAAATGTTTGAGAAAGGGGAGCCTAGCCGAAACGGGGGAGAATTGTCCTAACAGGGGAGTGACAACGTGACGGGATATGGCAACATTCTGACGGGCAATGAACTTAAACGTGCTTAGCGAATCGCTTCTTGATTGCCGGGAGCAGTTTGATGTGATCGTCGGCGCACACGGATATGCAGGAATCGAGTTTCTCGTTGAATTGGAGCTTCTGAGAAGGTAGAAAAAGGTTAAGTAACGTCTAAGCATTTGCAGACTAGAATTTGGATTTTTCAGTGTGACAACATTTCGTAACACCCCGTAACACCCCCGGTTCAATTTGGAATGGAACAAGGACTTCTTTCAGAACCAAAACTTTTAGGGGGAAAAGCAATAGATCAATTTCGAAATACGTGGAAACGCATTGGTGATTCATGGGAACGGCATTTGCATAGACTCGTGATGAAACGGAGAGTGCGAGACACGCACAGAGTGCAAACACGCCGACGGAGAACCGCACAACTCGCCGTCGCATTAGTTGATTCATTTTTGGAATTGTCACCATGTCGAGGCTGGATAGCATCGATTGGGAATCTATGATCAATGCGCTCAACGAGGATCTCGCCTACTTTTACCAGAGTAAGTACTCAGAAAATCACGTCTTTTAGATCGATTTTCTTCAGCGGTCAGAGACTCTCTCCAAAACGACGACAATCCGATGCTGGAAAGATGGAACGATCTTATGGAAAGACCGAATCTGTTAGTTCAAAGTGTTCTGGGTATATCTGCAACACAAATTCTAGAAGCGCTGATAAGAAATCTATGAAGGCATTGAAACTGATGGAAAAGGAATCGGTCGCCAATCAGGACAAGAATGGTACTTTTTTTGTCATTTCTGTCACGTCTAGATTTGTTCAGCTACGTGCACCATCTGCATCGATGAGCTGTGCAACACGGTGGAACTTCCGGAAGAGCACGTGATCAAGCCGGAAATGAAGATGGACGTCAAGACCTTCTGCTCCACCATTGCCGTGATGCCGTGCAAGCATCGTTATCATATCTTCTGCCTTACTTTGTGGCTAGAGAAGGTTTTCAATATAATCCCTTGTTATTTCAATATCTTCTAACTCAGGAGCAGTCGTGCCCGACGTGTCGTCAAAAAGTCAAGTCGGACACCGAGTACGAAGAAGAAGAGCGTAAGAAGAACATTGAGGAGCTGCACGACTCCATGTACTCCTAACCGCATAACATTTCAATGTAATTGAAACAGAATTCCAACACTTTCTTTCCTTTTTATGTCTTGTGCTTTGGTATAAGTTTTCAATAAGCGTTTCTATCAGTTTATTTGTACTACGAACCTGTGATTCGGAGTATTTGTTGACATCTGGGCCAAACTGCTGAACGAGCTTATCGTAGCAAGTCATGGCGCACCGGGAGAGCTGATCCTGCAGTCCTCCGAGCTCCCTTTCAAGGTACGACTGAGCCTTCTTCATACTGTCATTGCAATTCTCGACGCAGTTCTCAACAGCATCGCGGGTTGTTTTCTTATTGTCACAACACCTGGAAAAACTGTTCAGATTCAAAATCAAAACAAAATACAAACCGCGCTGAGCATAGGAACATGCTCTTCTGCATATCACGAAGATAGTTCTTGTCCAGATCATCAATCATCTCGTCGACCGCCAGCTTTACCTTCATTTGAGTCGCCTCCATTGTCGAGTTTGACATTGTTACCCTGAAAATCAGAAACTGATACGTGATAAATAAGACTACGAAAAAGGGGAATAAACTGAGAAAAGGATCAAAATACAAAGAACGTACTAAGTCACGAGAATGACGCAAGCATGAGAAGTCAGATAAAACTAGGAAAAATCGTATAAATCGTGAGGTCGCTTGAGGGAATTAATATCAAGGTTTGAATTCACAATTAAAAACAAAAATAAGTTAGTTTAAACATTGCCAAACACATAGAATACTAGAGAAAATGGGTCAAATTAGGCGTAAATGAAAAAAAGGTGAAAAGACGTAGAGCGAGCGCTGGCGCCTAAGCGATAGGTAGCGCCTCACTAGCCGCCGGCGACTAGTAGGCGACTAGTCGCCGACCTTTGGAGTGTCGTAATGTCGCTCAGTTTAGCAGAAAGCGGCATTTTCAGAATTCGCCAAAAAATTCGTTGATGATCAGAAGAGAACAAAAAGAACTTAAAAACACAAAAGGAAGTAAAAGTGACTATTTTACAAACTCGAGAATACATTTTCGGAATCCATATCATTTCAGCTTCTTTACAGCGATATTCCTTTAGTTTTCAAAAAAGTAGTGAAATTGATCTCTTGAGATGCTGTTCTTCCAGCATCCGGGGAGACGTCGTGAGATTCTGATGGGCGAGGTTTCTGAGAAGCCTGGAGGATGTATCAGAAGCGTGCTGCAAGCAGTAGAAGTGCGCAGAAGGCAGGGAGAGGACGGCGACGCGGGCAGATCGCACGCAAGCGGATCCGCTCGCTTCCGGTGGCTGCTCTTCGAGCATCCGAGGATAGCGTCGTAAGAAGAAGTCGTGTCTTAAAACTCTTAACCTTTTCCAAGCGAACCCCTTCCTATCAGAATATCACGATGCCATCTTCGGACGTGCGAACAGCCGGCACTCCAAGCGAGCGGAGGCACTTGCGTGGGATCGATCCACTTCGCCGTCCTCTCCCTGTCTTCTGCGCACTTCTACTGCTTGCAGCACTCTTCTATTGCCTTATCCGGGCTTTTCTGAATTGTCGCCCATTAGAATTTAAATATGACAGCTTCGGATGCTCGGAGAGCAGCCACTGGAAGCGAGCTGAGCGACCGAATTCGACCAAAATCGAAGTTGGCGGAGCACTAAAATGAGGGAATCGAACCAAGACAAACCAAGACGGCGCCAAATTTTATCTGCCGGACAAAGGCGAGGTGACTGCACGATTTCGGCGTTGTTATGGACTAGTTGAATTCTGATGGGCTAGGATTCTGAGAAGCCTGGGGAACTCCTTTCACTTTCACAACTTGTCGGCGTCATAACACCGCTGAAACCCGAGCCGTCGACCTGTCATCCATCCTTTTATGTCTTCTCCTTTTTCCGTTTGTGTTTGTTTGTTCAAACCGCGAAATGTCGCCTCCGCTTTTCTCCTCCCTTCTTTCCATTTCGCGGCTTCAACGGCCCGTGTGCAATTCTACTCAGCTGAGCCCACGAGACATTGCGCATTATGGAGAGAAAGGAAGGAGCAGACGGGTCAGACATCACGTGGCCATGGAGAGACACAAACACTGCCTTTTCTGTGCATTTATCTGGATCCAACCAGTCTATTTTTCATTCGCTTTCTCTTTATATCGTTCGTCTTGCTTTCTCTTTGACACGGAAATTACATGTCATTTTGGATATCGATCTCTTTCATAATCCCCTTTTTCCTCTTTCTCTTCGCTCTTTCATTGTTCTTTCCAGTTTTGCCCGTTCCGAGCGATCCTCAAAATGGGTGACAAAGCCATTTTGACGGAAGTTCTAGAAGCCTCCAATCTGACAGAAGCATACGTGGATTTGACAGCAAAACAGCTTATCAAAGAGTTTAGATTCTGTGAATTCTATTTAAAAACATCTGCAAGTTCAGAATTCGTCACGTGGGAGATGACTTCGCAGTGCGCTACTCGAATCTCGATGATCGGACGGAACAGGGAGAGCCGGCGGACCAACGATCCCCGGAAAACGACAGGACATTCACTGTGGACGAAGCTGTAGAAGCACTGGGATTCGGACGGTTCCAGCTGAAGCTCTCTATCCTCACAGGAATGGCCTGGGTACGAAAGAGGGTAACCGGAAGAGAACCTAATCGCAAAGAGTTGCAGATGGCGGATGCGATGGAGATGATGCTTCTCTCTCTGATCTCCCCCGCATTGGCCTGTGAATGGGGCATTTCTTCTGTGCAACAGGCTCTTGTGACAACGTGCGTTTTCAGTGGAATGATGTTGTCGAGCACGTTCTGGGGAAAGATTTGCGACAGATTTGGAAGGAGGAAAGTGAGTAAAAGAAGTACGCGAAGGCCTACTGTATCTATTTCGTTCCAGGGACTCACCTTCTCCACTCTCGTCGCCTGTGTCATGGGAACTCTTTCTGGAATGTCTCCCCACTTCTATGTGCTTCTCTTTTTCAGAGGACTAACTGGATTTGGTATCGGAGGCGTTCCTCAATCGTGATTTCTCTTCCTGGATCATTGTATCAGTTGTTTTGTTTTCAGTGTGACTCTGTATGCCGAGTTCCTTCCGACTGCCCAACGCGCCAAATGTGTAGTTCTGATTGAGTCCTTCTGGGCAATTGGGGCTGTATTCGAAGCCCTGCTTGCCTATTTCCTAATGAATTCCTGGGGATGGAGGGCTCTCATGTTCTTCTCTTCATTGCCTCTGGGCATTTTCGCAATCGCTTCCTTCGTGAGTTAGGTACCATCGGAACCATTTCAGTTGATCCTTTCCAGTGGCTCCCGGAATCAGCCCGCTTTGACATGGCGTCCGGACACCCGGAACGGGCACTTGAGACTCTCCAAATGGCCGCCCGGATAAACAGAGTTCAGCTTCCGATCGGGAGACTCATCTCTTCAACTAAGACGGGCTCTGAAAGCCGAGGAGACATCGCCAACCTTCTGTCGCCCGATCTAAGAAAGACGACTCTTTTGCTGTGGTGCATTTGGTTAGAATTTGCTAGTTAAAATCTCTGTATTTCGAGAATTTCAGGGCATTAACCGCATTCTCATACTACGGAATGGTGCTCTTCACCACCGTCCTCTTCCAATCTCACGATGAGTGTCACGGTGGACTCTTCTCGAATGGAACCCAATTGGAAGTGTGTCAACCGCTCACTCGATCCGATTATTTCGATCTTCTTTCGACCACTCTCGCCGAATTCCCCGGTCTCATCATCACTGTCCTCATCATTGAATGGTTCGGAAGAAAGAAAACGATGGCTCTCGAGTACGCAATCTTTGCTATTTTCACTTTCCTTCTCTACTTTTGTCTGGATAGGTGAGCCCAAATGTCTGCGGAGAATCTAATTTCCCTTTTCTTAGATTCACGGTCACAGTGCTCATTTTTGTGGCGCGCGCTTTCATTTCCGGCGCGTTCCAATGTGCGTACGTCTACACTCCGGAAGTGTATCCGACGACGTTGCGAGCCGTTGGACTGGGAACCTGCTCTGGTATGGCCCGGATCGGAGCCATTCTGACGCCGTTTATCGCACAAGTGAGAGGGAAATGAGAGAAGGTCTTGAGTGCGTTGTTTGCAGGTCGCTTCGGAACATTCCCTCTCTCTGCCCATTGGCATTTACGGAACGGCCGCCATTCTCGGGTTGATAGCGTCGTTGAGTCTTCCAATCGAAACGAAAGGCCGTCAAATGATGGTGAGTGCCTTCAGAAGTCTCCGGAAAACACATGCTCATTGCTTGCAGGATTCCCACTAGAGGTCCCCTCTGTTTGGATGCGTTTCGGAAAGGAAGAGCGAAAAAGCCAAAAAGAAGACACCAGCACGCTAATTTATTACAAATTTAATTGTTCTTGCCGCTTCAGGCTCTGCTCGTTTTGTGGTGACCTTTTGCCCTGCAGTTTCCGATTGCTCTGTCTCAAACCATTCAACTTCTTTTCTCATTTCGCCTGACACATTCTCTTTCGTGCGCCCTCCAATTGCCCCCTTTCTGTCACGCATCGCCCAGTGAATCATATCAAACACGAAAACGAACAGACGATTTATAAGAATGCATAAATCTAAAGGAGTCCGTAGTCAGAGCATCATGACCGCAGATTTATGACTATGAATGTTGCTAGGACACTGCAATTACGAAACGATCCCTTCCCCTTCAGCTTTTCGTTTTTTTCTCCCTTTTTGAAGAACCTACGAGACACTTCAACATTCTTTTTTCGTCTGCTTCTCTTCTCCGAAGATGTACGTAAAAACAGGAACTCAAAGAACTTCAGAGAAGATAAGCGTGCCAGCTCCCGAGAGCCAACCCATGAGGGTTCTCATTCAAATATCATGGGATCTTGTGGTTAAACAGTGTAAAGTTTGCCTCGTTCTTTTCAGACATTCCATTTTTTTCACGATTTTGAGTAGCTCCTGAAACTTTAAAACATATTTCTTCGAAAAAGAGAAAGAGTTTATTGCTCACATGACCGGAAAGTTCGGAACATGTCATTTCCACGCCTCTCAGCGTTTCCCTTCTTCTCCACCGATTCCGCTTCTTCCAGTCGACAAAAATAGTTCGCACATGTTGATCGGTCCCTCGGGATGAGCATGATTCCCGCCTCTTCCTTCCCCCTTTCAAACCGTTCATTTTGAAAAGACGGCGGCGCGCCGAGAAGAAACACGAATTCCTTTCCGCGTCTTCAGGCGTGTTCAGGCCGAACTTCTTCAGAATACGGCACGAAACAGATGACAAAGCGAGCTCGTATCATCTTTGTGTTCGGTTCTTCGGTCGGCTTCGCTTCTCTCCTCTCCTCTTTTTTCCGTTTTCTTTTCTCTGCCGACCAGCTGCCCGGCTCAAAACATTTTTTGCTTCTTTTCGAGCCGTTTTGAACTTGTCGCCGCGCACATCGCATGTGTTCTTGAACGGCTTCTAACGGCCACCCTTCTGAACTCATTGTATTATTTATTTCTCTCTCTCTCTCTCTCTTCTCACTCTCTCTCTCCTTCTCTTTCTCTCTCTTTTCTTCGTGCACTTCCCCATTCGGTTTGGATGAGTTTCTTGCGATGCAAAGGCCTTCCATATACTTCTGATGAATAATAAACGTCTTGCAAAAGAAGGCATGCAGCTTCTTGTGAAGGCGTGCACGTGGCATGATGGATTACGGAAAAAGAGAAAGAGACACGAGATAATCTTAGGGGAAGACGGCGTGACGACGAAGAATGCACGAGGGACTAGAAGGCGTACCGAAGAATCCTTGTTTTTCTGTAAGCACAGCACGAACTCCTAGTGCTCCATCGTTTCCGTATCTCCAACTTCTTTTAGGACGACCACGAATGATTTCTGACCTTCTCTGAAAGTTCTGTGCCCCGAAATAGCTCAAGATCCCGCTGACGTCGTCGTACTTTTCCTGCGGCAGATGGTGTCAATTTCCGTGATTCTTCGTCGGTGACTGACTCCCTTCCAACTCTTAAATAAGTCGTCCATTCGTTTCTTCTCTCCGTTTCCCACTATCACTGTCAACACTGTCGACTCCCACACTTTCCATATCTATTCAGAACGTGACCATTTCTGAATGTTTCCCCTCTCAATTTGATTTCTTTTCGTCTTTTCTGCTGTTTTCTCTCTTTCCCTCACATTCAAAACAGACACATAACATGGCGACAGAATGGAAAAGTCGAAGAGTTATTGTGTCGTTCCCTCTTTTGGACACGATGCCAGGAAATAGGTGAACAACAGGAAATGAGAAGAGTTCATGGGCCACCGGGGCAGCAGGCGCCGCCATAACAAACACTCTGAAAAGAGAGACTAATCCTTTGGCGCCAAAACAAAAGTGATTTATGAGAGGGCGACGGCTCGTTCTTCACAGTATTACATATTTCTTGCCTTCCAAACACTCCAACGCTTGCTGCTCATTTTTGTGTACTTCAAATTTCCGAGAAGACGTGGATCCCCGTTTCCGCTCTTCCTCTATTCAATTGTTTTCTTCTCTTCTTATTCTATCAAATTTCAGAATAAGAAAGAGAGACAGAGTGAGACAGAGTATCTTCTTCTTCTTCTTCTCCTTCGTCCCCCTTCTCCTTCACTTTGCTCTTTCGCTTTCCGTTATGAATTCGAGCCTCAATCGCAAGGATATCGAGGACTTCTGGCGGCGTTCCAACTCGATCTGTGACCAAGTGAGTCCTTTTGAAACCCCTCCCGCCCACGGAATCAGCCCTTTCAGGACCCGCCCTCCAACCCGGAGAACTTGAATGTCCAAGTGCGACGAATGAGTCTCGCAGAGTTCACAGGACTGGCTCCCCAGCAGAAACTCACGTAAGAAACTCAGAAGTTCGAGTGGATAGTCTACTTGGGAACTGCTTATCACCACCTTTCCCGATCATTTCGACGGCGAAAGAAAACCGTGACTGATAACCGAAAGTCAAATTGAATTATTTGGTAAACAGAAAGTCGAGCGGAAGCAGGAGGTCAAACGCGGACTCGGCAAAACCAAAAAAGAACCTTCAATTTCAGAAATTACATTGTATTGAGAATTCTGAATTTCCGAAGATGTCTTCTGATATTCAGTGTGAATATGCGCATTTGTTTGGCCAAAACGCAACTGCAAAAAAAATGCGAAAACGCTGAAACTGTTTCCAGACATATTGTATTTTCCTATAGGATCATAGCTTTTGGAACTTAAAAAGTTGTACTTATGGTTCTGCTCGGAATGAAAACGCGAATTCCTCTTCGGGTCTCAACACACTAGACACAGTCTCCCCCGTAATCTGAGCAGTTGAACAGTGAACTTCTACCGGAAGATCTCAACTTCAAAACGAGACTTGATCCTTTTTCAGAGACATCGAGCCTCCCACGTGGAAATCGTCCGTTTCGCAGTCCTCTCTCCTCAACTCCTTCTCCAGTCGACGCCGTTCCGTTCTCTCCAATGACGCCCTCGATTCTCCTTCCAGACGATTATCTCCGAGGATTGAAGAGGAGATGGATGTGCAAACTGCCATTTCCAGGTCAGGCATTCTTTAAATAGGACAAAATACCAAATGGATGTACAGACTAAGGACGATCGAAATGAAAAGTGCCGAAATGAAAGCTGAGTCCGGAAGCGGAACAGTTATCAATGCGGACGACGTTTTGGCCGAGAAGAAGCGCGCGAACGATGCGATCCAGCGCATCCAGATCGTTGCCCGCCAACTGAACCAGTGAGTCTATGCATTGTTAAGTCGCCTTCCGTCGCATCCACATTCCTAAATCAAGCAATTGAAACGAACACCATTGTGGACAAATACCTATTCATTTTGAGAAACACGCACTATCCGTTCCCAACTGCACTTGCGTGCTCACAATCAAAAACGTCCTAAATGTGCGCGTTGAGCTTAACGTGCTGAAAATAGGTCATACAGGGAGACATGGGCAGTTGAACTGTATCCTATTAGTAACTTATTAACTCAAAACACTAGACTTTGAGAATTTGAGGTACTAAGTGAAGTAGAGCTTGTACATCTTTAACTCTTTCAAACTTCCCGTTATTATTTTTGACTATGAGTGATCTGGGCATATTCATGTTCTCGAAGTCCGCTTAAAATGTGATTTGGAGAAAGTGTCCAAACCTCGGACGAAATGATTTTCAGAGTCTGAACCCATGCCATTTTTCAATTTATTGCTCCTTCCTGCACACGATACTTGTGCTCCCTGAACAAAAGGAAAGGACACTCGTAAACTGAGAGCTCTTTTGCACTTTCCGCCTCATTCTCATACATTCTTTACGCCTTACGCTCCCCAATTCGAAAATTGAGCCTTTGCCACTGCAGTCCTATCGAAGAAGTGTCTGGAAATGGAAAAAAAAACACTCGGCACTATTCTCCATCCTTTTTCGTACAGCTGTGGTCATTGAGTGCCGCCGCCTGACGTTCGAATCAAGCCATTCAGGAGCACTTAATGGGAGACGTCTGAATTGAAAATGAACGGGTCGTTTCTCTTTCTGGTGCGAGGACAGGTGTCTCAGTCGACGACGTTAACGACTCGACAATTTATGCACTGCGTCCAGATGACGAATTAGGCGCTGCGCAACCAAACCAAACGAGCTGTCGTTGTTTCTGTGGGAAAAGGAGCGAAAAGGAGAATTGTGCTCTCTAAAACAAGACGGCAGAAGGTCCTCGCTTTAGACGACAGACGTGCCCGCTCATTAGGTACACTTTGCCACCCTTTAAGTGGCTAGATTCAACGGACGAGGCAGCTCAATGAGCCCAATCACGGTGGCGGTTTTCTTGTCGTTTGTCTCCCAGAAGCCATCCACGTATCGATCGGCGTCTTGGCGAGAAAGGGCCTTCGTCTCTGTCTTCGGCTGCTCAATTCCCTCGACTCGGCGCGTCGCTTGCCCGCTCAACTTTTTTGGCCCTTTCCTGTCTCGCCTTGTGCCCTCCTTAGCGCCCTCAAATTCAGAAAGACGCAACAAGAACATCTAGTTGTGGAAAGCTATGTTATTTGCTGAATGGAGGCTTTGGCTCCTACCGCAACTGTGTGCGTAGTGTGTCAAATACTGTAATAACCTGATAGGGGGAAGGGGAAGAATTATGGGCGACGACCGATTCAAGGGGCATTCAAACAACATATCAACGCGCAGATCAGTTGTCGGTTGATATAGCTGTTGAAAACCGCTCGAAGCTGCGCCCGCGCAGGAATACTGCGACCGGAGTGCGTGACCGGGACAGGACGAATAAGGGAGAATGGTGGTGGTGCGGGCCGTCGAAGGGAGATGTGGGAGGGGAGAAGGCGACGGCGAGGCGGGACGACGAGGGAGGCGGAGGGCGGAGAGGGAAACATAAAACATACACGCACGACTCTCTCTTTCGCCCTCTCTCTTTCCTGCCACACGCACACTGACACTCGCTGGCACTCACTCTTCCATACTCCCTCGTCGCCGCCGCCCATCTGCTGCGCGACGACGGCGATGGCGACGACGTGGGTGCCAAGCCGAGACGCAGACAAGGGACGAGCGGTCCGTCGGGGGAAACGGGCGGTGCCCCCGAGCAGCAGATGGGCCATCGAGGACGGGAGGGTCCAGCCAAATGGGAAACGATCAATCATGTCCGGCGAAAAGCGGCCGAAAAAGTCTCTTTCATGCAGCTTCTGTCGTCTTCTGAAGAATATAGAAAGGGCGAGAAGTGGTGGGAAGAACTGAGATTCAGAGTGGATTGGCTTCGGCTCGGTGGTAATTCAGAAAAAAGTGGAAAGGGAAAACTGACTAATCCGCATACAGACAAGGATTGACATCAAGTTGATTCTGGTATGAAACAGAAAATCTGTAAAACATAAACAGGAATTAGATGAAAATAAAGTCAGTCCATTTCAGACTCCCATCGAGCAATGCAACTGAAACGAGTTCCGCAGTCAGGTCGCAGCTTTCCGAGATGATCGCGGCAACGCATTCTCTTTCTACTGCTGTCCGTCAAATCGAACTCAACACAACAGTCTACCACGCAGAGCTCATCAGCACTGAACTTCCTCAGGTTTCCATTGCATGCCTAAAATGTCCGTCATTTGATACTTTTCCAGGTTTTCTCCTCATTGATCTCCTTTGTATCGAAACTGGATGCAACGGCAATGGCTGCAAATATTTCGACTCCGTCGCGCAAGACAAGTCTAATCTCGAGCTCGTACTCTCATTTGCTCGCCAATCTTAACGTACTCAATCGTGCCATTTCTTCGTCCGTCTGAACGACCTCTTGTCCATCTCTTCTTTTTTTACTTGTGCTGAATAAACGGAAGCGTGGCGCGTGCTTTTTGTCGTAACAGCGCCATTTTGCCTGCAAAGCACAGGTCCCCGAAGTAAGGAAAGAGTTGGAGGGCTAACGCATTACTGGAGCACGGGGAAGTTTTATAATTCAAACCCTCTTATCAGTATTTAATTTGGCTGGAAAATGGGAAATAATTCGCCTCTCTGAGTCGACTATTGGTTCTGAATACCACCACGAAAGCGGTACGATGGGAGAGAAAAGGAAACGAGCTGCCTCGTCATTTCGTTCCCATTCGACCCCTCAGCTAGGGAATGCAGAGAGAGAGAGAGTAACAGCCAAACAAGAAAACAAAACCTTCAAAGTGTTATCGTCAGCGAAATATCTTCGATCTTTTGACCTTGTTAAGACAAATTGAACCATATTTTGCTGCCACCTAACCGATTTGACGTGAAGGACGACAAAGAGAGAAGTGTGTGAATGGCGAATCTTTGCAATGCCAAAACTTGAAGCTCTCGATTGTGATCTTTGTGAACAGAAAACATCCAACAAAATGTAGTCCGAACTTCGGAGGCTCTCTGGAATCGTTCTAGAAACATGCAATGACTAGATGAAATGCGTGACACCCAATGTGCTGCTCCCTCTCGTCTTTTCCATTGCTTATCAGTTCAGTCCCGTTCCCACAATCATCTCCCCCTCATCCCCTCTTTTTTTCCGTTCCTTCCTCTATTCGTACAATAATCGACGGGCGAATCGTCCTTCGCTAGAGAGCCACATCGACCCGATCGTTGCATTTATGTGTGGGAATTTTCAGTGTGCACCTCCACCTCGCCCGGCACCGCTCCCCTCTCTCCGCCGCTTTTTCTTCTCGGGGGCGCCTCCAATCGGTCGTACCAGCCGGTGCTGGCTGCGAGTGCAAGAGCGGCCGTCCGGCGTCCCCTTCGCGCCCTCCTCCCTCCTCGCTTCACAAAAACATAGCGCGTTTTTTGTTGCACAGTTTTACTGCCTCTTCGGAAAGAGAGAACGGGAAAACATAATCGAGTGATAGAGAGAAGAGAAAGAAGGAACAGAATCGAGCCGACGGAGCTGCGAGTGACGAATTCGGTGAAACACGAAGCCATGGCAACTAATGGATTCGGCGCCAAAGAAAAAGGGGCACGCTCAGTCGGCTTCTCCTGCTTCTTCCGGAACTAGCGGCCACTCAAATTCGAATCGTGTCTTGTGATCTCTTCGTTATCGACCAAGCGACCTATCAATATAAAAAGAAGAGATAGTACTCCTCTGGTCGTTCTTCTCTCTTATCGACCACATCACGATTAAACTTGTTTGCACCATATTTCTCTTCCTCTTACCCTACTGCCCAGATTTTCTAGATAAGTTCTAAAAAGTAGTTCTGGTTGTTGTGTTTTCCGATGAAGCATCGTAGCGAGCTTCCCAGTACTGACAACCGAAAAAGCTTTTTTGTAGTCATTTAAGTGCATCATAGTCGGCGATCGGCATTCCACCGACAATTCCCCGGGCCGCCCCTCCCAATATCGTCTTTCGACGTCAGCGTCTCACTTTCATTCGAACCATCACATCAGTCACACAATCACACGGTTTATACAGCGTGTGCAGCCCATATGCAGGCAATCGAATGCCTGTTAACATACAACAAAAAAGCCGTATTCAGTCTTCATTTCCCTTTTTGCCGCATTCGGGGGAATGCCCTATAGTTTCGCATCGGTACAGATGCGGAGACCTGCGACCGTTTGGGCGTGATAGGATGTTCAAAGCTCGGCCCCCGTTGGTAGCTTTGTACTCCGATGCCGTTCAGATGGTTGATGTGGTCCCACTTTGATGAAAAGCGTTAGAGGACTCTGGAGGAGTGTCCGGAGGGAAACACGAGACGCCGATAGAGCGCGGCCGGCGGATGGGGTCAAGTTTTCGACGACGATGAAAAAAGTGCGCTCGCAGCTGTGTGCCGTGACTGACGAAGACGCCACTTGCTGTGGGGCGAGCTAGCACATGTGGAGCACAGACAGCTTAGAAGATTGGGTTCGCAGCTGCCAACTGGAGGTCATCGTGGACACCCGTCAACTATACGAATTCCTCGTTTTTTGTAGAGAAAGAACAACGATGCGTCATCCCGAAGCAACGGACGGAGAAGATTGATGAAATTTCTAGCGTAGGGAAAACAAACAAAGAGAATATGATATGGGGAAACAATTTGGGGAATTGTGTAAGAGTACAAAGAGGACAACAATGACGTGTCCTACCGGAGAAAATAATTTCGTCAGACTACAGAGTTTCTGCATTTCATCAGCTTCAGGATTTGCTTTTATAAAATAACAAAACATTACTTCGAGTAAACATATCGCAATCCGGAACCGTATCAGAGAAAAGTCGGTGTGTGTTCCGGCCTAAAAATTATCCTTCCTATCTGTATCTGTAAGTGATGTCGATGTTTCCATGATCACAAGTAGACGATCATCGAATCCGCCACATAATACTTGTCAGTGCAACTGGAATGATAGAAATCAGTGGAGATTTGATCACTTTCAGGGTGTGATCGGATAATGCAATGTCCATAAACGGCATCAGAGGTATGTCTCCATCCATCCAAGTTCAGATCCGTCGTCCTTCAAGCGGTTCAGTCGCTTCTAACCCTCCTCGTTCTCTCATCCAATTTTTTGCAAACCCCCAATCGTTCGCGACTGATGGATCGATCGGAGAGACGACGAAGTGTTGTGGCTTGCACAGAGTGGGCGGAGCGAATCGTCCCAAAATGTGGCGGTGGTTGCGGTGCTTTCGATGTCTCTCCCCCTCCTAATCAGCCGCACTCTTTCTATCAACCGGGCACGTATAAAAGGCGCCCGGTCGGCATCAAATTCAGTCCTCTTCCGTCGTCTCGCTGTCCTCCCGCTGCCACACTCCTCCCGGGGCCGCCCGTTATCTGTGTCTCGCTCCCGCGACACTCCCTCGGCGGCCCGACCGTCCGTCCGTCAGTCGCCGCCGCCGCCGCCACACAACTGCACTCACTCGCTCACGGACGGACGGCCTGCCTCCACCGCTCGCATTCCTCTACTATTCGATTCCACTGGCTGTCGCTCTCTACGTATTCCTCTTCTTTTCGGACACTCGTTCGCTCAGCTTTCGACATGATTCTGAACAATACCATCAATATGTTGTTGAGATCATTAGTTGAAAGCCGAACGATTTGAGATATCCAATTTCAAAATAAAATAATATTGATCGTCAAAAGTTATCTCTACCGGAGCTGAGTTCTCACTTGAAGTTAGAAAATAACACTTTCAGTATTGATTTATTTGTGAAGCCAACGTTGTACTCTTACACAAAACCCTCAGAGCACTGGAAGCAGTCCGTTTGTTCCCCCACAACAGAGAAGATGAAAATTGTGGCTCGTCCACAGAACGCGGCTTCTTATCTTCATTACAACGGAATTAAGTTTGTCTGCAGAATCAATGCGAAACTCCTATCACACTCACTGACAACTATGGGATTGTGTGTTTAAATATATTTGCGGGAGCAGAACAAAGTTCAAACAGACTCATCAAGTTTATTCAAACTGTTTAGGACATCATTACGTAATCATTCACTTAGGTTTGCCACTGCCAACCAAAATTGCACCACCACTATAGCCACTTCCGTAGAAGCCACTACTGTAGCCGCCATCATGGCCTCCTCCGGCGCCGCTGTTATACGGCGTCTTGCAGAGGAACCAATCCTTATCAGTGATGAACGGCGGGAATTCCGGATCGAGTATGCACGTTGGGTCGAAAGGCTCTGGTGGATTTGCATCACACTCTCCTGAAGTAGTTGTTTCTGGACCAGGTGTCGTTGTAACTGCAAGAAGTCGCATTGATTTGAGAAGTGCCCAGAACGGCAAGCTGACTCACTTATTTCCGAAGTAGTGGTCTCCGGAGAGGTAGTTGTCTCAGCTTGAGAACTTTCAGATGATGGCGTCAAGGTAGTGTGCTCGGTCGATGGGCTTTCTGGAGTTACTGTTGGCGGCGTCAAGGTAGTGTGCTCGGTCGATGGGCTTTCTGGAGTTACTGTTGGCGGCGTCAAGGTAGTGTGCTCGGTCGATGGGCTTTCTGGAGTTACTGTTGGCGGCGTCAAGGTAGTGTGCTCGGTCGATGGGCTTCCTGGAGTTCCTGTTGGCGGCGTCAAGGTAGAGTGCTCAGTCGATGGGCTTCCTGGAGTTCCCGTTGGCGGCGTCAAGGTAGTGTGCTCAGTCGATGGGCTTCCTGGAGTTACTGTTGGCGGCGTCAAGGTAGAGTGCTCAGTCGATGGGCTTCCTGGAGTTCCTGTTGGCGGCGTCAAGGTAGAGTGCTCAGTCGATGGGCTTCCTGGAGTTCCTGTTGGCGGCGTCAAGGTAGAGTGCTCAGTCGATGGGCTTCCTGGAGTTCCTGTTGGCGGCGTCAAGGTAGAGTGCTCAGTCGATGGGCTTCCTGGAGTTCCCTGTTGGCGGCGTCAAGGTAGAGTGCTCAGTCGATGGGCTTCCTGGAGTTCCTGTTGGCGGCGTCAAGGTAGTGTGCTCAGTCGATGGGCTTCCTGGAGTTCCTGTTGGCGGCGTCAAGGTAGAGTGCTCAGTCGATGGGCTTCCTGGAGTTCCCGTTGGCGGCGTCAAGGTAGAGTGCTCAGTCGATGGGCTTCCTGGAGTTCCTGTTGGCGGCGTCAAGGTAGAGTGCTCGGTCGATGGGCTTCCTGGAGTTCCCGTTGGCGGCGTCAAGGTAGTGTGCTCAGTCGATGGGCTTCCTGGAGTTCCCGTTGGCGGCGTCAAGGTAGAGTGCTCAGTCGATGGGCTTCCTGGAGTTCCCGTTGGCGGCGTCAAGGTAGAGTGCTCAGTCGATGGGCTTCCTGGAGTTCCTGTTGGCGGCGTCAAGGTAGAGTGCTCAGTCGATGGGCTTCCTGGAGTTCCCGTTGGCGGCGTCAAGGTAGAGTGCTCAGTCGATGGGCTTCCTGGAGTTCCCGTTGGCGGCGTCAAGGTAGAGTGCTCAGTCGATGGGCTTCCTGGAGTTCCCGTTGGCGGCGTCAAGGTAGAGTGCTCAGTCGATGGGCTTCCTGGAGTTCCCGTTGGCGGCGTCAAGGTAGAGTGCTCAGTCGATGGGCTTCCTGGAGTTCCCGTTGGCGGCGTCAAGGTAGAGTGCTCAGTCGATGGGCTTCCTGGAGTTCCTGTTGGCGGCGTCAAGGTAGAGTGCTCAGTCGATGGGCTTCCTGGAGTTCCCGTTGGCGGCGTCAAGGTAGAGTGCTCAGTCGATGGGCTTCCTGGAGTTCCCGTTGGCGGCGTCAAGGTAGTGTGCTCAGTCGATGGGCTTCCTGGAGTTCCTGTTGGCGGCGTCAAGGTAGAGTGCTCAGTCGATGGGCTTCCTGGAGTTCCCGTTGGCGGCGTCAAGGTAGTGTGCTCAGTCGATGGGCTTCCTGGAGTTCCTGTTGGCGGCGTCAAGGTAGAGTGCTCAGTCGATGGGCTTCCTGGAGTTCCCGTTGGCGGCGTCAAGGTAGAGTGCTCAGTCGATGGGCTTCCTGGAGTTCCCGTTGGCGGCGTCAAGGTAGTGTGCTCAGTCGATGGGCTTCCTGGAGTTCCTGTTGGCGGCGTCAAGGTAGAGTGCTCAGTCGATGGGCTTCCTGGAGTTCCCGTTGGCGGCGTCAAGGTAGTGTGCTCAGTCGATGGGCTTCCTGGAGTTCCCGTTGGCGGCGTCAAGGTAGTGTGCTCAGTCGATGGGCTTCCTGGAGTTCCCGTTGGCGGCGTCAAGGTAGTGTGCTCAGTCGATGGGCTTCCTGGAGTTCCCGTTGGCGGCGTCAAGGTAGAGTGCTCAGTCGATGGGCTTCCTGGAGTTCCCGTTGGCGGCGTCAAGGTAGAGTGCTCAGTCGATGGGCTTCCTGGAGTTCCTGTTGGCGGCGTCAAGGTAGAGTGCTCAGTCGATGGGCTTCCTGGAGTTCCCGTTGGCGGCGTCAAGGTAGAGTGCTCAGTCGATGGGCTTCCTGGAGTTCCCGTTGGCGGCGTCAAGGTAGAGTGCTCAGTCGATGGGCTTCCTGGAGTTCCCGTTGGCGGCGTCAAGGTAGAGTGCTCAGTCGATGGGCTTCCTGGAGTTCCCGTTGGCGGCGTCAAGGTAGAGTGCTCAGTCGATGGGCTTCCTGGAGTTCCCGTTGGCGGCGTCAAGGTAGAGTGCTCAGTCGATGGGCTTCCTGGAGTTCCTGTTGGCGGCGTCAAGGTAGAGTGCTCAGTCGATGGGCTTCCTGGAGTTCCTGTTGGCGGCGTCAAGGTAGAGTGCTCAGTCGATGGGCTTCCTGGAGTTCCCGTTGGCGGCGTCAAGGTAGTGTGCTCAGTCGATGGGCTTCCTGGAGTTCCTGTTGGCGGCGTCAAGGTAGAGTGCTCAGTCGATGGGCTTCCTGGAGTTCCCGTTGGCGGCGTCAAGGTAGTGTGCTCAGTCGATGGGCTTCCTGGAGTTCCTGTTGGCGGCGTCAAGGTAGAGTGCTCAGTCGATGGGCTTCCTGGAGTTCCCGTTGGCGGCGTCAAGGTAGTGTGCTCAGTCGATGGGCTTCCTGGAGTTCCTGTTGGCGGCGTCAAGGTAGAGTGCTCAGTCGATGGGCTTCCTGGAGTTCCCGTTGGCGGCGTCAAGGTAGTGTGCTCAGTCGATGGGCTTCCTGGAGTTCCTGTTGGCGGCGTCAAGGTAGAGTGCTCAGTCGATGGGCTTCCTGGAGTTCCCTGTTGGCGGCGTCAAGGTAGTGTGCTCAGTCGATGGGCTTCCTGGAGTTCCCTGTTGGCGGCGTCAAGGTAGAGTGCTCAGTCGATGGGCTTCCTGGAGTTCCCGTTGGCGGCGTCAAGGTAGAGTGCTCAGTCGATGGGCTTCCTGGAGTTCCCGTTGGCGGCGTCAAGGTAGTGTGCTCAGTCGATGGGCTTCCTGGAGTTCCTGTTGGCGGCGTCAAGGTAGAGTGCTCAGTCGATGGGCTTCCTGGAGTTCCCGTTGGCGGCGTCAAGGTAGTGTGCTCAGTCGATGGGCTTCCTGGAGTTCCTGTTGGCGGCGTCAAGGTAGTGTGCTCAGTCGATGGGCTTCCTGGAGTTCCTGTTGGCGGCGTCAAGGTAGTGTGCTCAGTCGATGGGCTTCCTGGAGTTCCTGTTGGCGGCGTCAAGGTAGTGTGCTCAGTCGATGGGCTTCCTGGAGTTCCCGTTGGCGGCGTCAAGGTAGTGTGCTCAGTCGATGGGCTTCCTGGAGTTCCCGTTGGCGGCGTCAATGTAGAGTGCTCAGTCGATGGGCTTCCTGGAGTTCCCGTTGGCGGCGTCAAGGTAGAGTGCTCAGTCGATGGGCTTCCTGGAGTTCCCGTTGGCGGCGTCAAGGTAGAGTGCTCAGTCGATGGGCTTCCTGGAGTTCCCGTTGGCGGCGTCAAGGTAGAGTGCTCAGTCGATGGGCTTCCTGGAGTTCCCGTTGGCGGCGTCAAGGTAGAGTGCTCAGTCGATGGGCTTCCTGGAGTTCCCGTTGGCGGCGTCAAGGTAGAGTGCTCAGTCGATGGGCTTCCTGGAGTTCCCGTTGGCGGCGTCAAGGTAGTGTGCTCAGTCGATGGGCTTCCTGGAGTTCCTGTTGGCGGCGTCAAGGTAGAGTGCTCAGTCGATGGGCTTCCTGGAGTTCCCGTTGGCGGCGTCAAGGTAGTGTGCTCAGTCGATGGGCTTCCTGGAGTTCCTGTTGGCGGCGTCAAGGTAGTGTGCTCAGTCGATGGGCTTCCTGGAGTTCCTGTTGGCGGCGTCAAGGTAGTGTGCTCAGTCGATGGGCTTCCTGGAGTTCCCGTTGGCGGCGTCAAGGTAGTGTGCTCAGTCGATGGGCTTCCTGGAGTTCCCGTTGGCGGCGTCAAGGTAGAGTGCTCAGTCGATGGGCTTCCTGGAGTTCCCGTTGGCGGCGTCAAGGTAGAGTGCTCAGTCGATGGGCTTCCTGGAGTTCCCGTTGGCGGCGTCAAGGTAGAGTGCTCAGTCGATGGGCTTCCTGGAGTTCCCGTTGGCGGCGTCAAGGTAGAGTGCTCAGTCGATGGGCTTCCTGGAGTTCCCGTTGGCGGCGTCAATGTAGAGTGCTCAGTCGATGGGCTTCCTGGAGTTCCCGTTGGCGGCGTCAAGGTAGAGTGCTCAGTCGATGGGCTTCCTGGAGTTCCCGTTGGCGGCGTCAAGGTAGAGTGCTCAGTCGATGGGCTTCCTGGAGTTCCCGTTGGCGGCGTCAAGGTAGAGTGCTCAGTCGATGGGCTTCCTGGAGTTCCCTGTTGGCGGCGTCAAGGTAGAGTGCTCAGTCGATGGGCTTCCTGGAGTTCCCGTTGGCGGCGTCAAGGTAGAGTGCTCAGTCGATGGGCTTCCTGGAGTTCCCTGTTGGCGGCGTCAAGGTAGTGTGCTCAGTCGATGGGCTTCCTGGAGTTCCTGTTGGCGGCGTCAAGGTAGTGTGCTCAGTCGATGGGCTTCCTGGAGTTCCTGTTGGCGGCGTCAAGGTAGAGTGCTCAGTCGATGGGCTTCCTGGAGTTCCCGTTGGCGGCGTCAAGGTAGAGCGCTCAGTCGATGGGCTTCCTGGAGTTCCTGTTGGCGGCGTCAAGGTAGAGTGCTCAGTCGATGGGCTTCCTGGAGTTCCTGTTGGCGGCGTCAAGGTAGTGTGCTCAGTCGATGGGCTTCCTGGAGTTCCTGTTGGCGGCGTCAAGGTAGTGTGCTCAGTCGATGGGCTTCCTGGAGTTCCTGTTGGCGGCGTCAAGGTAGTGTGCTCAGTCGATGGGCTTCCTGGAGTTCCCTGTTGGCGGCGTCAAGGTAGTGTGCTCAGTCGATGGGCTTCCTGGAGTTCCTGTTGGCGGCGTCAAGGTAGTGTGCTCAGTCGATGGGCTTCCTGGAGTTCCCTGTTGGCGGCGTCAAGGTAGTGTGCTCAGTCGATGGGCTTCCTGGAGTTCCCGTTGGCGGCGTCAAGGTAGTGTGCTCAGTCGATGGGCTTCCTGGAGTTCCTGTTGGCGGCGTCAAGGTAGTGTGCTCAGTCGATGGGCTTCCTGGAGTTCCCGTTGGCGGCGTCAAGGTAGTGTGCTCAGTCGATGGGCTTCCTGGAGTTCCCGTTGGCGGCGTCAATGTAGAGTGCTCAGTCGATGGGCTTCCTGGAGTTCCCGTTGGCGGCGTCAAGGTAGAGTGCTCAGTCGATGGGCTTCCTGGAGTTCCTGTTGGCGGCGTCAAGGTAGTGTGCTCAGTCGATGGGCTTCCTGGAGTTCCCGTTGGCGGCGTCAAGGTAGTGTGCTCAGTCGATGGGCTTCCTGGAGTTCCCTGTTGGCGGCGTCAAGGTAGTGTGCTCAGTCGATGGGCTTCCTGGAGTTCCTGTTGGCGGCGTCAAGGTAGTGTGCTCAGTCGATGGGCTTCCTGGAGTTCCCTGTTGGCGGCGTCAAGGTAGTGTGCTCAGTCGATGGGCTTCCTGGAGTTCCTGTTGGCGGCGTCAAGGTAGTGTGCTCAGTCGATGGGCTTCCTGGAGTTCCCGTTGGCGGCGTCAAGGTAGTGTGCTCAGTCGATGGGCTTCCTGGAGTTCCCGTTGGCGGCGTCAATGTAGAGTGCTCAGTCGATGGGCTTCCTGGAGTTCCCGTTGGCGGCGTCAAGGTAGAGTGCTCAGTCGATGGGCTTCCTGGAGTTCCTGTTGGCGGCGTCAAGGTAGAGTGCTCAGTCGATGGGCTTCCTGGAGTTCCCGTTGGCGGCGTCAAGGTAGTGTGCTCAGTCGATGGGCTTCCTGGAGTTCCCTGTTGGCGGCGTCAAGGTAGTGTGCTCAGTCGATGGGCTTCCTGGAGTTCCCTGTTGGCGGCGTCAAGGTAGAGTGCTCAGTCGATGGGCTTCCTGGAGTTCCCTGTTGGCGGCGTCAAGGTAGAGTGCTCAGTCGATGGGCTTCCTGGAGTTCCCGTTGGCGGCGTCAAGGTAGAGTGCTCAGTCGATGGGCTTCCTGGAGTTCCTGTTGGCGGCGTCAAGGTAGTGTGCTCAGTCGATGGGCTTCCTGGAGTTCCTGTTGGCGGCGTCAAGGTAGTGTGCTCAGTCGATGGGCTTCCTGGAGTTCCTGTTGGCGGCGTCAAGGTAGAGTGCTCAGTCGATGGGCTTCCTGGAGTTCCCTGTTGGCGGCGTCAAGGTAGAGCGCTCAGTCGATGGGCTTCCTGGAGTTCCTGTTGGCGGCGTCAAGGTAGAGTGCTCAGTCGATGGGCTTCCTGGAGTTCCTGTTGGCGGCGTCAAGGTAGTGTGCTCAGTCGATGGGCTTCCTGGAGTTCCTGTTGGCGGCGTCAAGGTAGTGTGCTCAGTCGATGGGCTTCCTGGAGTTCCTGTTGGCGGCGTCAAGGTAGTGTGCTCAGTCGATGGGCTTCCTGGAGTTCCCGTTGGCGGCGTCAAGGTAGTGTGCTCAGTCGATGGGCTTCCTGGAGTTCCCTGTTGGCGGCGTCAAGGTAGTGTGCTCAGTCGATGGGCTTCCTGGAGTTCCTGTTGGCGGCGTCAAGGTAGTGTGCTCAGTCGATGGGCTTCCTGGAGTTCCCTGTTGGCGGCGTCAAGGTAGTGTGCTCAGTCGATGGGCTTCCTGGAGTTCCCGTTGGCGGCGTCAATGTAGAGTGCTCAGTCGATGGGCTTCCTGGAGTTCCCGTTGGCGGCGTCAAGGTAGAGTGCTCAGTCGATGGGCTTCCTGGAGTTCCTGTTGGCGGCGTCAAGGTAGTGTGCTCAGTCGATGGGCTTCCTGGAGTTCCCGTTGGCGGCGTCAAGGTAGTGTGCTCAGTCGATGGGCTTCCTGGAGTTCCCTGTTGGCGGCGTCAAGGTAGTGTGCTCAGTCGATGGGCTTCCTGGAGTTCCTGTTGGCGGCGTCAAGGTAGTGTGCTCAGTCGATGGGCTTCCTGGAGTTCCCGTTGGCGGCGTCAAGGTAGTGTGCTCAGTCGATGGGCTTCCTGGAGTTCCTGTTGGCGGCGTCAAGGTAGTGTGCTCAGTCGATGGGCTTCCTGGAGTTCCCGTTGGCGGCGTCAAGGTAGTGTGCTCAGTCGATGGGCTTCCTGGAGTTCCCTGTTGGCGGCGTCAATGTAGAGTGCTCAGTCGATGGGCTTCCTGGAGTTCCCGTTGGCGGCGTCAAGGTAGAGTGCTCAGTCGATGGGCTTCCTGGAGTTCCTGTTGGCGGCGTCAAGGTAGAGTGCTCAGTCGATGGGCTTCCTGGAGTTCCCTGCTGGCGGCGTCAAGGTAGTGTGCTCAGTCGATGGGCTTCCTGGAGTTCCCGTTGGCGGCGTCAAGGTAGTGTGCTCAGTCGATGGGCTTCCTGGAGTTCCTGTTGGCGGCGTCAAGGTAGAGTGCTCAGTCGATGGGCTTCCTGGAGTTCCTGTTGGCGGCGTCAAGGTAGTGTGCTCAGTCGATGGGCTTCCTGGAGTTCCTGTTGGCGGCGTCAAGGTAGTGTGCTCAGTCGATGGGCTTCCTGGAGTTCCTGTTGGCGGCGTCAAGGTAGTGTGCTCAGTCGATGGGCTTCCTGGAGTTCCTGTTGGCGGCGTCAAGGTAGTGTGCTCGGTCGATGGGCTTCCTGGAGTTCCTGTTGGCGGCGTCAAAGTAGTCTCCGGCGTTCCCGGATCTACTGAGGGTGGAGTGTATGTGAAGTCATCCACTGCAATTATCTCGTTCTATGTTCGTAATTATTCGTGATTCTCACCAGTTGGAGGGTTTCGTGATGGAGTGGTAGCTGGTTGATTTGGATTCCTGGTCGTACTATTACCACAGTCCAGAGGGAATCCTTCTGGTGGTGTAGGGAAGCCAGGATAATGATTGCATTCATGATCACCGTTGACAGGCTTTGTTGAATTTTTTGTTTTGTTGTGATGTTCTGTAGAGGCCAATTGGGCGTTCGACAATCTGCCTTAAGTTACTTACCGTGAGGAGAGTCGTTATGTGGGCGTCGATGTCTGTGCCGTTCTAAAAGGTTTACTTTTATGTTCGCTACTTTTTCAAAAGTTTTTACCTGGCCTTGTAAGAGCGAGTACATCATGATGAATTACCAATGCGATAAGTAAGAGGGAGGGAGTGACTAACCTCATCCTGAAAAAAACGGAAATTTAGCTGCTTGCACCAATGCGGGCAGGGAAGTTAGAAAACCGAAAGCGGTTGGACCGGAATGGAACTTAGGTTGCCCCTCCGTGCGTTTCCTCCGTTTTTAAAGCTTTTTCATTTTATAGCCCGGTTTCTGCGTTTGCTGCTGACGTTTTATGCGGGGGATATTAAAACTGCAACAATATTTCGGTGTACAGAATCTTCCAGCGCTCTTTACATTGCAGATGCATGGTTCAATGGTTCAAATCTGGAAAAAGGAGAAGAACACAGGTGAATCGCGCACGGTCCATTATGGATACTCCGTGGATGAAACGTGGATGAGCGCGCACATAGCAGGCATAATGGATCCACGGCGGAGCGAAAGGGCAATATGCGTCACGCGTGTGTGAAACGTGCCTTCGTAGCGATAGACAGTGAACGCTTGTTCTCTGGAGAAAACGCATGAGTCCTGGCCCTGAGTGGAGTACATCCCAGCTTCAATAGTATCCCATTCATAAAAGTTTCATACAAAATGCTCCGTGGATTTGTCTAGGCTACAAAAACAGTTGCCCTGTTAGATTTCTCTCAAATCTTGTAGGATTTAAGATTATGAGTGGTTTCACTGAAGAATTAGTTTGCTGAGATCTACATCATTGTGAATTCTGAGTAGGGCTCGTTCAATCTGACTTTGAGAACGTAGTCATTTGATTTTCTTCTTGCTGACACTCCGGCAGCAGCATGAGACGGTCCTCTCAACAGTTCGTCTAAACAGAAGAACATCTTCTAGCCACCGCAACAATCTGTAATTTGCTTTCAAATCATGCTGATAGTCAAAAAGTTTTTCGGACGGAGCGTCTTCTGCTATACATTGAACATGTACTTGTGCTCTATCTAGACCGTTCCGTTCTAGTCTGTCGCTCCCCTTGGCGAGAACGCGCGCATTTTGTCGTGCAAGCCCCTGCTAGCAGTATCAGCAGGGATGGGAAAACACGAAACACAGATGAAACGCGATGCATGCATTATGCAATTAATCAGACTTGCAACGGGCCGGGCCGGGCCGGGCCGGGCCAAAATTGGAAATTTTCCGGCCCAGCCCGGCCCGGCCCGGGAGGATGCACCTAAAAATTCAAAGCGAACTAGAACTTCGAAACGAACATAATTTTATAGACTTAAAATTTTATAGACTTAAAAAGGCAATGTTATAGCATAAAAACCTGTTAAAAAAAAGAAATTGCTGTTTAAAGTCGCAAAATTTTCACAAAAATTACGAAAATTTTCTCAAGAGTGGGCGGAGCCGGGCCGACGATTTGCTGGCCCGGCCCGGGATTTGGCAAGTCTGCAATTAATGTGGATCGCGCGTGCAACTTATTAGTACGGTAAAAGCTTGCACAGCGAACGCACGTTTGTGGCACGTGGAAGCATTGTGGAGGCACGGCGGAGCGACGCTCGCCCTTCGCTCCTCTCCCCCCTCGCCCTGCTCCCCTTCATTTCCCTAATTTTTTATAATAAAAAAGCATTATTCCGCTTTTTTTCGGTAGAAAACACTATCTTGAATTTCCGCCTTTATTTCGTCCATGTCGTGGCCGAATAAATCAACAACGGCCGAAGTTTTGCAGGGAACGTTCTTCCAGCATTGTTCTCACCTTCTTATGCAATTTTGTTATGGGGTTATTCAGGCTGTGAAAAAAGTGCTTTTTTCCGTTTTTTACGTCAAAAATCCAATTCAGCGATGTAAAAAAACGGAAAACAAACATACGCTGAATAGCCCCATTATGTACTAAATCGCAAGTTAGCCTCTTGTTTAATACTGAACATTTATTTTTTGAATGACAACCAACGAGGACCGCGAAGATGCCGTCGCCATTCTCAACTGGGAAGGAACAGTGAGCTCGTGTGCGTTTCGACACAAACAAACAAATTGTATTTACAGAACGAAATTAGAAGTGCCAACGATTATGGCAGAAGCCTTCTTTTCTCTGTTCTCGATTCGTTAGAAGGCAGCGTTACGATAGTTTGGGACAGAGATAGGAGTGTCATGCACAGAGTCAATTTAGTGAGTTCGATTATTTTTCTTGTTTCGTTTCAATTGTTCATCTCCAGTTTGCCGGTGCTTCAGTGCTTGCGGCACATGGAGTCGTTGCAAATCACACTATCGAAACGAAAAATACGGTTACAACGCCGCACGTCGTCTTCTTTCTGGCGCCCACAATGACGTCTCTGGATCTGCTCTGCGACTACATGGATAATGTGCCCAATGACTCCGTACGTAACCTCTTCATTTCCCGTTTTCTTTCATTCAAACAATGTTTCTTGCAGAAAGTTCTCTATCAAGTTTTCTTCATTCCCGAAGCGTGGTATGTCGTGCGGGAAAGTTTGAAACTGCGATCTGAAGGAAAAGTGAGCACAGAAACGGCCATTTCCAATTCAACCCTGATTATTTAAGTACTGGGAGAGACTTGAATCGGTCAAGGAGATCCCGCTGTGCTGGCTGCCACGTGAAGGCGAGTGTTTGTCTCTGTCGAATCCTCAAATCGCTTCAAGGTTGCACTCGATTCTATAATGTCTTGTATTTAAATTCTTTCTGCAGACTTCTGATCAACGGCGACTGGACGCACTTGCACAAATGCGCGGTCGCATTGAACCAACTGGTAGATATGTGTCGTGGACGGTCCACTTCCAACCAAAGACCCATTTCTATTTTGGCCAAGGGAAAATGGGCAACTGATGTCGCACGGATGATGCAAAAAGTGCGGAGTGCTGTGGAAACAGATCACGTGTCGAAGAGTGCGGACCCAGTTGACGGCCTACTCAAGATCAATCGGATCGTTCTTATTGATAGATGGCTCGACCCTCTCACTCCGATGCTCACACAATTGACGTTCTCTGGTCTTCTGGATGAGGTTTATGGCGTCGGAATGATGAATTCGGTTAAAGTTCCAGAAGCAGAATTTGACGAATCGAATGACGGAGATCCGTTCAAAGAGAAGGAAATCAGCCTTATCGACGAGGTGTTATGCGTGTTTTGTTAGTATCTAATATTTGATTCAGGTGTATCATCGTCTGAAACACTCGCACATTAATGCAGTCAGTATCGAATCGTCGAAGATTCTGTCAGAACTGAGAGACGATGAACAGGTTCGTAGCTTGAGTGAACGGAGAAAAAGACGATAAGCAGCACATTCAGTATGACCGTGAGAACATGTCAGTGGCCGAGTATTCCGTTCTTGTGAGGAAGATGCCTAAGATCCTGAACAAGAAGAAGGTTATAAATATACACATGAGACTCGCCCAGATGATCCGTTCGCACTTGTACTGCAAACTGTCTGATTCTGTGAAGACCGCGCGAGGTTTTTCGGAAAGCACGCGGATCAATATAATTTTTCTGTGTTCAGAGCTTCTTGACTCCTCTGACAGTGATAGAGCAATCACATTTATCGAAGACGAAGTGTTCGATGCGGCGCCACTGAACGGAGTGCTCCGTCTCATTTCCGTGCACTCTCTGACGTGCGGAGGTCTCAAGCCGTCGGTTTTGCAACATTATCGTCGAATTGTGAATCAAAGCTACGGATCGTCAGCACTAAACAAGATTCTGAAAATGCAAAAAATGGGATTGATTCGCGAGAAAGGCGGCGGCGGAAAGATGTTGTGCGAGTATGCTCCGATGATGTTCCAGCAAAATAAAAAGAGCTACGATATGCTTCCGGACACTGTGAACGAGGAGAAACTCAACGATATTTCGTACGCGTACAGCGGATTCGCACCGCTATTGTGCAAAATGCTGGAGGAAGGGGACCGTGTGAAATGGACTGGATGGAAGAAGACGATAATTGGGGACGATTCGGATCCGATGTCAGAAAACGATATGCGCGGAACGTGCGTGTTTGTTATCGGAGGGCTGACTCGTTCTGAACTGGCCATCATCCGGGAAAACATCCCCAATGTGGCTTTGATTACAACGAGTGCTCTGATAACTGGCGATAAGCTGCTCGACAATATCACAAACATCTAAACAAGTTTTTGGAAAATCTGACGGTAACGCTTTCGTTTATTCACTTGTATGTAATATATTTTTAATGTCATTTTTAAATGTTTCATTATTTACATTACTGTATGTCATAATCAACTGGTAAACTCAATTTATCGCTATTGCCCCTCGGTGTTTGCAGACTCAAGCCAAAATTTCCTGAAATTAGGCTTGAGTCTGCAAACACCGAGGGGGCAAAAGCGGTAAATTAAGTATATGTCGCCCGTAAAGTGAAAACAAGTGGGCCTAGAACTGCGAGTTCTTAAGGGAATTTCACGTTGAGCGCGCTGATCGACACTTGATTGCCTCGAACTAAGCATGTCGGTGGAATTTGGCGAGTGAGTATGTCTATCCAGCCAAGGTAGATCGGAGAGGGTATGTCAAGACGGGCCGACGGAAGAGTGCTGGAAAGAAATGAGAAGCGGACGGATTGGACGGAACTCACCAAACAATGAGATCGGCGTCCGAACTGTGCTCCTTCATAAGCTCCGCTGCTCGTAGGAAACTACGCGTTTTCTCGCGTAGCCTAAATAACTGGTCCTAAAAACGATTATTTAGAAGTACAACTTGGTGGCTGATTCACATTGTCAAAAGTGCCTTCTTTCTTCTCTGTGCTCTTCGGATCCGCCCTGAAGGGATCGGTTTTCGCTCGGAAGTCATCATATCTGAAAATATTATTCAATCAGACGATCAGTTGCCGTTCTCACGTCTGTTTTGATGGCGGCTTCGCGAATTCGGGGAGAATGTGAAGATCGGACGAATCGATGTGGAACTTCCGGAGGACCGACGCCATGCTTTTCTGCTCCTCGTTTATCTGCGAATCCGTTCCGTTCCAATTGCATCTTCGTCCTTTTCCTCACCTTTTTATTGTCTTTTCCGTCGCTCTTAGTGAACACTCGGATGTGACCTCCTTCCAAGAAACTTCCCACTTGCGTCAAAAGGTACGGAACGAGCATCGTGAGTCCGCCGGCTTCTCTGAGCCAATAGACGTCTGCAAAATCTTATCTTTTTCAATAGTCTATCGATCACTTGCCGATTCTCGCATTGTGAATTCTCTTTCGGAATCGGAACATTTGGGTCATGATGATCTTCTGATCAGGCTCCGAAATGCTGTGTTTGTCGATCACTTGGAACCGATTACTCTCATTTGATCGCCGATTTCCACTCTCCAAATCCTGAAAAAAAACGAGTTGGAAAGAGGAGAAAACGCTTTCAGAGGATGACCTTATTCACTGCCATCGACATCTTCCGGAAAGTATTCAGAAGCTTGCCACGTGGAACTGAAAACTATTCGTACGTTGAACCCAATCTCCTTTTTCTTACCCTCTTTCTTCTGATTCCCTTGCTCCGTCAGTTTTGGAGTCGCGCTGAAATGTGTCTAATTCAGTCAGAAAGCGGCCCTCTAATCCCTGAGAATACAATTTTTTCTGACTCATCTCATATATTTTCCCCATTTCACCATGATTTCCCACTTGGAATCCGTGGCCACATGCAGCCAACTCACTTCTTTCGGAACCTTTTACACTTATTGGTTCGCCTTCGTGTGGACCTTCTGCCTTCCCCTCAAAACTGGCCTTTACACCGCTTCTCTCGGAACTGTTCTCGTCTTTCACACTTCCGATTTTCCGTTGAACAACCGGAAAATCGATCCGAAAGATGTTATTTACTACGGCCTTTCCGCAATGAGTCTGTGCTCGGCTGCTCTTGCCACGTGTATGTTCGCAGAAGAGAACGAATCGAAAGGAAAAAAAGCAGTGGTAACGCTTTCGTTCCCTTCAATTTGTCGAGTTTCCAGCATTCAGGTTCAGCAAACTTTTCCCAAAATCTCAATAATTGTTTTCTACATCTCTTTTTTTGTAACACGAATCGGCGCCAAATACTATTTGAACAGCATCTCTCGATTCAAAAGGGAAACGGAAAAAGTGTCTTTCGTGAGCTGGCTCGTCGCTTTCATTCTGCTCGGACTCAACTGCTTTGAGTACGCAGACTATCAAAAGGTCCAGGAGCACACGGAAATCGTAGAAATGATCTTCAGATTCAGAGTCTCGGAGGGTGCATGATCGCCTTCGGCTTCCTTTTCCTCAGCCTCGCTTTCTTTGTAAACGACCGTTTGCCTTCTGCTCGTGGGCTTCTGGACCACGAATTGGCGCAGCAGTTTGGATTTTTAACAGACAAAAACGTTGTGAAGCACGAAGAGCACCGAGGTTTCACGTCTTCGGACAACGTCAGCACTCATGTCATCAGGAATATCACGAACGAAAAGATTCACGTGAATGTGAGAATTTCATTTGGATTCTTTCAATCAGCCAAATTCCGTTTTCAGATAACTGTTTCAAACCCGGAAGATTCCTTAGAACCGGAAGACAAAGACAAAATCAGATGCATCAGAAGCCGGGCACATCTTCGAATTCAAGTGAAGCGACGAGAAAACCGGACAGAAAACGACCGCTGCTTCGTCTTTTTCACGAGAGATCCGAAGTGCCTGGACCCCTTCATCCCTTCCGGATTCATTTCTTTCCCTCTGCCTTCCGAATAAATGCCCTCAAACTGACCTGTCCACGTAATCCGCCAGATCCTCGTCGTCGTTTATCGGCGCCCCGTTCTTTCTAATAGATGATGTCACGTCGAATCCGGCGACTTCGTTGCGGAACACAATGAGTCCGACCTGCTTCTCGAATGCATTCGACAGCATTGCAAAGTACTCGGAAATCACTTCCTTGCCCGCCTTCTCCCATCCTGCTTTGAAGCCCAGCATCAGGATATTCGGACTGAGCCGGCCGAGACCGGCAGTCTGAAGGAGGGTGTTCGCGCCGTCGGCAATGTTCGTGCAGCAGATGGCTGTTCCGAATGCGTTTATTTCTCGAACTCTCAGCCAATCGTTGATTTGTTTGTCAATCTTCAGTTGGAGAAGGTAACTGCGAGAGCATGGCTTTTGCTGAGAAGAGCAAGAGAATTAGGAACGAAGGGAGCTACAATCTCACCGGAATTATATAGCCGCAGATGAGAAGAGACTTGCCGCGAGTGATCGAATGCGCAAAGTCCACGAGACCGGGGCGGACTGTGGGACTTCCGGAGAGCAAGAGAATCTGGGGATGGTAGTGACGACGGCAGTCCGGCTCCTGCTGTAGTTCGTGCATCTGCTCGAGAACCGAGGAATACATGGAGTTAGGATACTGTTCGTCGTCGACATTTCCCGTGTCTGAACAGAGAGAATTGGTCTGGAAATGGAAAGAAAGAACTCACTCCGGTTGATATACAGAAAAGCACAATACGACGCTGAGAATACAGAAGCGATGAAGAGAGCGAGATATCGATTGACGAAGATGGAGAGTAGGAAGCAGGCGGCGGAAATGGAAAGAGAGACGAGAGTGGGAGGAGATGGGATTTCTGAAATCGGATTCGAGAATCGCAGCGGGATGCATAATTACCTGGATTTGATAGTTTGACGAGAAAGACGTAGAAGTTGAAGAGACCATAGCCAAACAGGTAAAACACGGTCACAGGGATACAAAGGAGATCGTAGGAACCTTAAAAAGAATCACAACCGGAAGAGTCATTATTCTCACCAATAGCAGATATCAGAATCTGAATGGTAGAGAGGAGAAGCAAGCATCTAATCGGAATGTCTCTCTGGCTGTACCCTTTCGAGAGCCACAAAATACAACTGCATTGTTTGGAACGACCGAGCGATTGGAGGATGACGGAAGTGTACTTTAGAGTGGTCACACCCGAAAGAACGCATGCCATTGTGACGACGATGGCCACGGGAACGGTGGTGTAGATGTAGGATTGGAACTGAAGTGGAAGCCTTGCAAAGTTCTGAAAAAGTAAGAAGGACTCACTTCTGTCACTGGATTCTGAGCAATGTGAAGATGCGGAACGGTTGCATTGGAACTCCTGGCAAAGAATTCGACGTAGTCCAGCATCGCGGCTCCTCCGTAGAAGGAAGCACTCACGGCGATGGCGATCAGAGCTCCGCGGGGAGCGGAATTCTGCAGTTTGGAGCCAATGTTCAGAATGGTCAACCCACACATTGCGGCGGGGAATAACTGCGCGAAAATGGTGGAAATCTCTTCGGGCGGGGGCGAAGGAATCATGGCATTCCGATCGGAAACTCGGCGAAGTTGATACTCTCCGTAACGGAACATTGCGGAAGATAAGTGAAGAGCAATTGCAATGCAGGTGAGGGCGAATATGAAGGAACGGGCGTAACGGGAGTTGCGGGAGCGGACGAGACAAAGAACAAGAGTGATGAGCGAAAGGACTGAACAGACAGATGGGAACGGATTGGAATGGGATCATGATACCGGAAGAAACGAGACGGAGATCATGAGTGGCTCCGTCTAGAAGTTCGAGAGATAAAATGGAGAAGACGTGGAGCATCGCTTCGGCCGCAGAAGTCACGAAGACGCTAGTGGCAACGAGAAGGCTGATGAGATACACGATGGAAAAGGAGAATGCGAACTCGGTATTCGAATAGGAGAGCATCTGGAAAACGAAGGAATAGTGAATAATGGCTCAGTGGCGTACCGTTTTCAGCAGTCCGTCTTCCGAGCTCTTCCGCGAGACAACTGTGCAAGCGGACCATCCAGTCGTCAAAGCGATCAGGAACGTCACGAAAACAAGTATCAGAATGTTGGCTGAAAATACGGGTAATCGCATAAGTCGTCGTTCCGATTCTCACGGAATCCCGCTTCGTCGACGATGCTGGAGAATCGGAGGAGAAGAACGACTGAAATCATTGGCTGAACGCACTGGATAAAAACGTCTTTCCAAGCCATCCAGACGGATGCGGAAGGACCTCCATTCTCGGATGACGACGTCGAAACCTGCAAGCAGACCCTTTAACTCTGTCTCCGTTTCCTTCTTCTTTCTCTTCTTTCTCTCACTCGTCACCGGGTACATCAGTCCCCACTTCGACCCTACCGGTTCTTATGATTCTTCAATAACTTCGTCAAACTTACCGGCATTCTTGGTTGTCCGGACACCGAATTCTCGATGAAAGTGTTGACCGCAAACGGGCGGGATCTTCAATCTTGCCACATCACAAAGATAATGAGAAAAGGGTGAAAGGGAAGGAAAAATTGAGTCGAGGGTTGATAAAGAGGACAGATTGATGAGAAACCAAGTGCGCAAGTATTCCTTTCGAAAACAAGGAAACTCCATTCATCAAAGAACATTCCCAGTGCGCTTTTTGCGATGCATTTTTTTTAGAAAAGAAATCACATCCGGATGTGAAAAGGATTGTATGAATTGAAAATAGATACACATTCTGTGACATGAAAACAGAAAACTGTAAACTTGGTGATAAAAAAGGGTCTGATGATAAACGCAATGATCCTTTCATTTCAAAAACAATGTGACCAAATGTCAGTTGGAAATTGAGTAGAAACAACCAAGAACTACAATGAACTCAAGTTGAATTGCATTCAGAATCCACTCATTTGATGCCTTGGCTTGAGAAGATTCCGAGAGAAAGAAAATGAGTAAAAGAGCCAATTTGGTGAAATGAGCAAGCCAAACGAAAAACGCATAAACATGAGGAGTTTGATGAGAAATGACGGATATATTTGGACTTTCGCCGTTTTTCATTCAACTGAATAGCCTACGAAAAACTCAAAATAACGATATTATTGTATCTTCGCGGAACAGTGAACATTCTCTGAACTAAACTCGTCTCGTGAGTGTACATATTCTGAGATTAACTTCCAAATATCATCTACGCACGTATTTGAGCATAATTCATTACCAGAACGTTCCTGAAGCTCAACGACGTCGCAATCCCTATATTTGAACGCTCGGAAGAGCCTAAGATATTTTTTTAACTCTAAGCATCGAATCAAGTTAACATCTCCTGTGATGATGGAAAAGGAGAATAAAAAAGAAAAAGAAGACGGGCCGAGAAGAGAAGTTTATGATATTGTATGCCACTTTGATTTCTTTCTCCCTCCCGTCACACCTTCTTTACCGTATTTTCGACCGTTTCTAGTCGTCTGCGCTTCTTCGCTTATCATTCGATTCCGACGAAATAAAGAGGCAGAGATGGTGTCATTTTGAGAGAGTCAGTCCGACGATGGAAACAGAAGGAGGAGGAGAAAAAGATGGGCTATAAATTTTCAAAATCACAGAAAATGTATCTGCAAGATTAGGAGAGAAAACAGAGATATGAAGTTCAAAGTTTGGGAGTAAATAATGTTGGTCGTTTGATTCTTGCTAAGTGCGCGAAAAGAGAAAAGTCCGGACGACGATGACATCAGCGGTGTCACGTATTCTTTGGAAAAACGAGAAACTGTGTGAAAAGAATGAAAAGTTAAGACGATTTGGATGGGATTCGTCGCCCGCCCTCTCGCCCCCCCGCGTCTTGTTTTTTTCGTGTGTTGAGAGAATTTGAAGAGTTCAAAAGTCGCAGGTTTATGGGCACAGATCGGAAATGGACATGAAAGAGGATATGACATGAACGGATTACAATACTCATTCAGATGACGTCGCTGTCTGCGTTTGCACGTGTTTCGTTGAAAGCGCCCTGGTTTTGGTCCATTGGTGGATCTCAAGGAAAGTGTTCAGAAGACGTGCCTTCGTGGCGCCCGTCACGTTCGGATTATGGGTGATGGTCGGTTTGATGCACTGGTAGATCTCATCAGTCACACTCATCCAGTTGACCCACAATTGCCGTTGAGCGAAGTCGCACAGATCGCACAGAGCCACCGCGCATTTGTTGACCATTGCCGGCTCCTCAATGAACTTCTCTTCGTCGTCGACTTCTTCATCTTTCTCTTCTTCGTCGTTTCTTATACCACTTTCGTATTTTGGTTTCTTCTCCTCTTTGTAATATCTCTGTAAACTGTCTTTCTTTTTTAGTTTCCTGCAGTACCATTACCTCGGTGTCTTCGCGAACCACAAGTATCCATCCTTTGACAATGCACACAATTGTGTAAAGAATCGGATTCACATTGTCAAACGCTTTCGCGTACTGGCGTGGCCAGTGAGCACACAGAATCGCGGCCAGGAGGGACGGCAACGGCGCCTCGTCCTCCTCCATTATATGCTTCGACGATGCGGCCATCAATTCATCAGACATCACCGCACTGAACAGGCGATTCTCTGAAAATAGTTTCTTCTAACACCTCTGTATAATAAGCAAAACTCACTGAAAAGAGCTACAATGAGATCCGAGATGAACTCGGGCTCTCCTTGCTGCAGAGCGGTCCGCAGCATGGATTCGCACACTTTTTGCCACTCGTCCTCTTCCATCGTCTCCAGCAGATCCGTGCTTCCCAGAATATTACGTTCTGAAATTCATTGGTATAATAGACAATACTTTTTGAAACAGGGCCGAGCTCACGCTCGAAAGCGGCTTTGCTGCTTGTTTGTTTTTCATAAGCGTTCGAAAGTTTACGTGTTCATTTCTTAGTCTCTCTGTCACAATCTTTTCGTTTTAGAAATGAAAGTGGGGACGGACAAACGGTGAAATAAGCAGACAAACAACCAAACAGAGGAGTCCCGTGAAGAGTTATGTTAATAATAATGATAATTACGGTATTTCGTGGAATCACTTACTTATTTGAGCTGCAGAGCGATCGCTCCGGACGGTGAGATCACATATTTGAGTGATAATGTCTTCGAGATCTAACAGTTCCTCACTGCCTACAACCTCCTCAATCTTGGCAGTCCGTCTTCTCGGCTGCTCCGGCTGCTCGACAGACCTTGGTCTCTCCGATTTCTCAGTCCGATCCGATTGAACTCTTCTGTCCGGTTTATAACTTCTTTCAGGCTTCTCTTGGCATCTGTCCTGCCGTTGGAAGTTGTCCGATCGGTCGAACTTCCGTTGCGCTCCTTGATAGACCCCATTGCCTCTTCCTCTGACATTTCCTCTGTAGGGTCTCGAGAACTCCGTCTGAAATATTTTCTGCTACCAGGATCAACTTCAAAGTATTCAAAGTTCTGACCTCTCGGTCGTTATTCTGTCTCCACGACATCTCTGGAGCATTCCTGCCTCTCGGTGCCCGACTGTCTCTCGAGTCCGAAGCAGATGGATTACGGTCATTCAAGGAAGGGGGATCCGAAGAGTTGGAGGTCGCTGGAATGCGGAATGTGTTCAGATTGACAATGGGAAAAGTTTACTCACCTTCTCCAGGGTAAGTGATCCTTCCAGCGAGTCTTGACATTGTTACAATCTTTCTGGAAAAGGAAAATTTGTATCGAATCAGTTATCAAACTAGGAAGATGGTAAATATTCAGGCATGGCTGAAAAGGTTTGGAAGTCAAATAATATCTGCAAACACTGAACAAGACGCGCAAGAAGAATGTAATGGATGTGTTGGTGAAAAAGAGACATTGTGAAGACTAAATGGATATTTTAACTATCATAACCTTCTCAGAGTCATATCTTATGGTAAAATTAGAAAATGGTAAGAAAAAAAGATGAGCAAGAGAAGGAAGGAACAGTCATGAATGAGTGAGTGCAAGAAGAGAAAGGTTGTGTGCGGGGTATAGGTGAAGATATGCGTGAAGACGCGGGGATTGATTCCTTTTGTGTTCACGTTCGAATCAATGCAACGAAACAGGTAGAACTGTCATAAAATGGACTGTGACAGGAAAAGAGGAGACACTGATTTGTGACCTCACTTTGATCTCGAATTTTGGTGTAATAGTTTACCGAACATTCGAATTCCGGATAGAACTCTTTGAATATTTATAAAACAAACCGATTCAGTGGGAAAAAAGATATCACAGGTTTTAGAGGGTCAAGGTTACAGTACTCGAACTCCAGTTTGTTAGTTCACTCTTATGAAGGTGGTCAAGTCATGTGATTATGGGATGGGCAAATTGTGAGGAATATGGTAATTTTTTTTATTAGTTATTTATAATACTTTTGTAACTGCAAAACCATCTTTACCGCCGATTCAGATTACTTTCTTCTGGCTCCTGCCTCCGATAAACAGGGCGCAGTACGACACTCCGCCGTTTCCGCTGCTCCCTGTTTTTTGTTTTCGGCGCCTGAGAGACCTTGATTATTTCTGCTAGTAAACGCGTCGCATTCGCTTCATTAAATTTTTAATTCATTCGTTTTCCCTTCCGCTAATATTCGTCAACCTCTAATCAATTAGAATTTCTTTGCAGAATGGCTAGCAAAGGAGCGGCTCGTGTGCGAAAGAAGGAAATTGTCAAGGTGATTCATGGAGCGCTTCTGAGAACAAATATCAAGTAAGTCACGCACATTCTGAAGCGAAAGTTTCATACTTTCATACAGAGCACAAATGGCAACCGCCGCTCCGCCACTGGGTCCGCAACTCGGTCAACGAGGTTTGAACGTGGCCAACTTCTGCAAGGAGTTCAACAAAGAGACGGGACACTTCAAACAAGGTGTTCCTCTTCCTACGCGAATCACTGTGAAACCGGACAGAACATATGATCTGGAAATTTGTTCACCGACAACGACGTGGCTTCTGAAGCAGGCAGCTGGAATCGGACGAGGAAAAGCCACTAAAGGTGGGTGTTTACAAAAACGAATTTCTCCTGAATACTAACTTTCAGATGAAATTGTCGGAAAATTAACAGTGAAGCATTTGTACGAGATCGCAAAAGTGAAGTCACGAGACAAAGCTTTGCAACACGTGCCACTAGAAACAATCTGTAGAAATCTGATCAAAACATGCAGAACGCTGGGTATAGAAGTGCAGTATCACGATTTGGATCGTGCCGAGCTGAAGGAATTCCTCGCAGCAAGAAAAGAAAAAGTGGAAGCTCAGTTGAAAGAGCTAGCAGACAAGAAGGCCGCTAAAATGCTCCGAACCACTTAATAACCGTTGTTTCATTGTAGGTAGACATTAGTAATCTTGTTCAAATGTTCTTTTTGTTAAAAAACGGTTGTCTGTTATCTAAGTAACATTTTTGTCTCTCAAAACGACTTTGGAGCATTGTTCCCTTTCTCAATTTGCCAATCGTTCTTAACGGTTAGCCAATACTTTATGGGCACTTCGGTTCATGCCAAATCCCACTGGAACAGCAAGGAACCGAGATTTATGATGCAATATGCTCTCGATTCTTAATGTTCCTCTCTTCCGCAGTGCCTATTTCTATTTGCCTTCGGTTATGCATCTCGCGACCGACATTTCCTCGTCTCTAAACATAAAAAGGGCACTTTCTGCTTCTCCTCGTGCTTATCATTTTTGTCTGCTGATGTCATTCATGCTTGATGAAAAAGCGAGAATAGTTTCTGACTGTTGCAGGTTTTGTTTGTTTTCAAAGTGGAAATGTGCGTCCGTCTGCTTATTACTTGCTGCCTTTCGTCCCGTCCGTTCGGCGACTATGCAAATCGACTTCCCGAAGGGAATTCCTCTTTTGTGTCGAAATTCGAGACCTCTTCTCTTCTCTCTTTCTCTCTCTCCAAGTGCTGTCCATTTTCGGTGAACTACTCTCACGGAAATTGCGCGCGACGAATAGAATACAAAACTGCCTAGACTATCTCATAGTCATAGTTCGTAGTGTTTGCTCGTTTGCTGATCCATCCTCTGAAGTTTGCGCAAGTTTCTAAAATTTGTCGCCACGTCATGTGCAGAACACAGAAAATGACTGTTCTTCTCGGATTACTCGTGCTACGAACCCGTTTTCGATTAGAAATCTGCAGTTTCGGAAAGAACATTTGAGACAGCAGTTAGTGCAAGCGTTTTTTGCGAGGAAATCACAGCTGTGTTTCGTTTAAATTATTTTTCCATCAGCCGAGGATAAATGAATGTAAAGGATTAATTCAATCCACGTTTCGTCGTTGAGATAAATCTCTCTTCTCGTGTCCGTTTCTCTCCTGTCACCTGTTCCTCAAAGAACACAATTTCTCAAATCTCGAGTAGGCACGCGATACCCAGTCTCTCCTGCACAGTCAGTCACTGTTTTTATTTGTGACTCACTTTGTCCACAACGCGCAAAACCGGCTTGCCGCAGTGTGATGAAATGCGGAGAAAGCCCTTCCCTCTAATAGTTGACTTACTTCTCCCTCTTCATCCGTCTCCGTCTCCTCTCTTTCTGTGTATTCCCTTGAGATGGATCAATGACTCACTACTTCTTCTACGGCTTCATTTCTTTCGTTTCAGACGGTCGCCATGGACCACCGTGCTCAGATGCGCGAGGCGTTCGTCCGGAGTCAACTGGAAGCTGTGCAGAAGGCTATCACGAAGGTCGAAGTGCCATTGAAGCCTAAGCACGCTCGCACGATCATTGTCGGAACACATAAGGAGAAATCCTCGGGGATCTTCTGGCACACTGTCGGGCGTATTCAGTTGGAGAAACATCCCGTTCTCACCTGGAAGTTCTGCCATTTGGTACACAAATTGTTGAGAGATGGACATCGGAAAGTTCCTGAAGAGACCTACAGGTAACCAGGGCGAATGTGAATTCAAATCAACCAATTGAGTTTCAGATACGTTGGTCGATTCACTCAACTCGCCCAATTCTGGAAGCATCTGAACACGAGTGGATACGGGCCATGCATCGAGTCGTATTGCAAACTATTGCATGACAGAGTCGCATTTCACAACAAGTATCCGGTTGTACCAGGAAAGCTAGATTTGAACGATTCGCAGCTGAAGACACTAGAGAGCGACCTGGATAACATGTTCGAAATGACTATTGACATGCTCGATCAGATGGATTCTCTCCTTGTTTTGCAAGATAGAGGTGAGTAGAAACTCATGCCATTTCAGCTCAAATAGCTTCTTTATTTCAGTCTACGAGATGCTCAACTCGCTCAGGTGGAGCTCGCTGATTCCCCAAGGACAATGCATGCTCTCTCCACTCATCATTGCCATTTTGGACACGAGCAAATTCTACGATTACCTTGTGAAAATGATTTTCAAACTGCATAGCCAGGTACCTCCTGATGCTCTCGAAGGACATCGTGCCCGTTTTCGTGTCATTTTCGAACGGACGAAAAAGTTCTATGAAGAGTCGTCCAATCTGCAATATTTCAAGTATCTCGTCTCAATTCCCACCTTGCCATCGGTATCTAGCTTTTACATTTTGTGACCTAATCGTTTCTCTCAGCATGCTCCAAACTTTTTGCAACAATCTGATCTTGAATCCTACCGCACTCCACATGCTTATCTTCGTTCTGAAGGATCTGAAGATGGTCAGTCTTTGAACGGACACGAGGGAGAACTTCTGAATTTGGCCGAAGAGGAGCCGCAGCAGGCAAGTCCATCGAGCCAGCCGGATCCTCGAGAAGAACACATTGTGATGTTGACGCGAGCCGTTGAGGATGAGAAATTCGCGAAAGAAAGATTGATTCAGGAGGTGAGTGAGGAGGATGAATTCCGAAACATGAGAGTAATTTCAGGCACGGAGCCGCATTGAGCAGTATGAAAACCGTTTGCTTCAAATGCAAGGAGAGTTCGATCACGCAAAAAGAGAAGCCGACGAAAACAGAGAAGAGGCGCAAAGGCTCAAGAGTTCGTTGACGTACTAACGTGTTTGCGAACATTTTTAATTGTTCCAGATGAACTCGCTCTTCGCGATGCCTCCAGAATCCAAAGTAATGACGCGCGGGTCAGAGAAGCAGAAGCAAAGGCAGCTGCTTCGGAGGAAAAGTTTGGAAAGATGAAGGGCGTTTATGAGAAATTCCGAAGCGAACATGTTGTGGTATAATAGTTTGTCTGAACGGACGAGAAAAAAAACGAAACATTTCAGGCACTCACAAGGCTGGGAGACTTGCAAAAGCAACTGGAAGCTAGTGAAAAGTCGAAGTTTGACAAAGAAGAAGAGATCACGGCGCTGAATCGGAAGGTGGAAGAGGCGCAAAGAGAGACTGGAAGGGCCCTCTCTAAAGCGGAAGGAGACGCGGGAGCGGTAGATGAAATGCGAACGCAGCTCGCAAAGGCCGACATTGAGGTGGAAGAATTGAAAAGAGTACGTGTAGAGGGGCTCCCGACGACACGGTAACGTCATGCTTTGTTTGGCTGATTCATCGTCACAACATCTGCTCCGCACCTCCATTGTTTCTGTTTGCAGAGCGTCGAGCATCTTCGAGAATCGCACGCAAATCAACTCGTTCAATCGTCCGCCAAAGAAGCCGAGGAGATCCGTCGTGCCCAGCTCGAAATTGCGAGTGAGTGAATGGAAAGACTGCCGATTTGTCTGATTGAATGTCACTATATAAAAACAATCGCAGTCTTCTATGGTTTTAATTTTTACAGTGTCATTTTCAGAGGGTTCTGAGTTTGGAATCACCCAAATGTTCGATCACTGCGAGGAAGAACTTCAGAATGCCACCTCCATTACCTATCCTCCTCGTAAGTACTCTCTTGTTTTATTGGTTGTTGAATGATTTCGATTTCAGATTTGGCTCAATCTGCAATGAGTACTCTGGTCACCGTTTTTTCTAATGAACGTCTGAACGAACCCCTCGCCACAAAAGAAAATGTGTTCGCCGGCCACCTTCTTTCGAATACTCTCACAGCTGCCGCCTCCGCTGCTTACACGGCCAGCATTGAAAGCTACGAAGGAGTGAACGATCAGTGCAAAAAAGTTCTGATCGCTGCAAAGAATGCGTTTTCCGATGATCAGCCGTCTTCTCGTTCCGATAAAATGCGAGTGCTCCGCCAGGACGTGCAGACTCTCAACTCCCTGATAGTTTCGCTTCCTCTGCAGACTGACATTGACAAAGAAGTGGTCGGAAACGAACTGGAACAAGAAATGCGTCGCATGGACGAGGCTATCCGCCGTGCCGTGCAGGAAATAGAGGCGATTCAGAGGAAGGCTCGCGAGAATTCCGACGGAATTCGCCTTGAAGTGAATGAATCGATTCTGGCCAACTGTCAGGCTCTGATGTCTGTCATAATGCAGCTGGTGGCGGCCTCGCGAGAACTGCAAGTCGAGATTGTGGCAGCAGGAAAATCGGGAGGATCCCCAGCCGAGTTCTACAAACGGAATCACCAGTGGACGGAAGGACTTCTTTCGGCTGCGAAAGCCGTCGGAGTGGCAGCCAGAGTGCTTGTGGAGTCGGCGGACGGAGTTGTCACCGGAAAAGGAAAGTTCGAGCATCTCATCGTGGCTGCCCAGGAGATTGCCGCTTCCACTGCACAGCTCTTCGTTTCCAGCAGAGTTAAGGCTGATAGGGACTCATCAAAGTAATACACATTGCTAATTTCCCTCGAAATCCAATGAATTACAGACTGAACGCTCTTTCGATCGCTTCAAAAGCTGTCAATCAGAATACTGCTCAAGTGGTTGCTGCCGTTAAAAGTGCGCAGACAACTTTGAATGACGAGGATTCCTTGGACTTCTCGTATCTTTCCCTCCATGCCGCAAAGAAGGAAGAGATGGAATCGCAAGTGAGAATGCTCGAATTGGAGCAGAACCTCAACCAGGAAAGAGCCAAACTGGCGGCTCTTCGCAAACAACACTACCACATGGCCCAATTGGTCGCCAACAAAGTGAGTTATTACGCGTACATTAAAAAATATATTCATTGGCAGAACTGAAAGTAATTTGGCTCAGTATTAATCAAAAGTGGATGAGGTTTGAAAGCAGTTGCCGAATCCTAACATAACGTCACTCCTCTGTTGTTGTCAGTACACAAACATCCAGTTTATTGAGTGCACCCCGGAATGGAACTGACCGGAATAAAACTGCCCCGAAATGGAACTGTGCCCGGAATGGAACTGAGCGAAATGGAACTGACCGGAATAGAACTGCCCCGAAATGGAACTCCCACTGTATTTTCTGTGGCAGTTCCATTCCGGTCAGTTCTTTTTCGGGACAATTCCATTTCGGTCAGTTTCATTACGGTCAGTTCCATTTCGGGGCAGTTCCATTCCGGGGTACTCTCTTTATTTCCCTCTGCACTTCTTACCCTTCCAGACTCGTCTTCCTTTTTTCAAACTTTCCTTTTTCAGGAGGAAGATTCGCAGTAATAATCAACTCTTCGACGACTTCAGTTTTTCTCGTCGTTCGCAATTTGTTTTATTTTTGTTTACGCCTCCCAGTTTTATATTTATTTATCCAAATTTCTGTCAGATTGTACAATTCAGCGCAGTAGCGTTTCCTCCAATCTCAACAAACCGCCGCTTACTTTTCGAACTAGTCACACAGTTTCCTGTGATTTCCGTTATCCCAGTAGTCTCGCCCAATAAATTTCGTGAAATGTTTTTTTTTTCGCTTTTTTACTTACAAAACATTTATTCGCATCAGTTCACAAACCTATTTTCTATTAGAGCAGAACAATCCCGTAGTACGGTGGGCGGTGGGAAAATAACGGAACAAGTGTATCTAACACGGGGAACTTTCGGGTCAAAAACGAACATGTGGAGGAGAGAATCCAGGGAAATTTACAATAGAACTTGAGATCTCAATCAGAGAACAAATAAGTTTGAACAAGAAATCAATCAAGACGGCGACGGACGCGGCGTGGATCCACGGAGAAAATCGCTGACTCCAGGAGCACTGCTCGGTCCGATAACGACGTCTTCATCTTCAGTGAACGATTCGTTGTCGTGCTCCGATTGCGACGATTCTTCTTCGTAATAATCAGTGTCTGGAATTATCATTCTTATTAATATAACTCTTCACAGGTTTGTCCCTCTGTTTGTTTGTTTGTTTATTTCTCTGTTTGTCCGTCCCCACGTTTATTTGTAAAAGGAAAATAGTTGTGACGGATAAATGGAGAAATGAACACGTGAACTTCCGAACGCATAGGTGCGGGATGTTTGAGAAGTGAAATTTTGGAACCAGCGGCAACCATAAGACCCCCCTCTGGAAAAGGAAATCGAGTCTGAATGCTTACCATTGAACAAGTCGTCGTCGAGGAGAAAGTGGTCTCCAGCCCGTCCGGTAGCAATGTTCGCAGCTGGATTCAGACTCATTGAGTGACGCAAAGTGGGCCGAACGACTGGGATTTTCGACATGGCAGCAGCCAGATCAGTGAACGAAACGGCACGGGAAACGTCTGTCTTCTCACGTCGACTCTGCTGTCTCTTGAACTTCTTTGCTTCCTTTTCGTCGCCCAGAATTCCAGCACGGTCGTTGGTGATCAGTTCGTGAACGGCTTCCCGACCATACTTTAAGCCAAGTGCCTGAAATCATTATAAATGTGGAATGAGACATGGGAAAATGGAGACTGACCATAATCTCCTGGAACTTGGGGAAATCAAGAGTCTTGAATGGTTCAATTGGTGGTCTCAGATAGCGACAGTACGATGCCTTCTTGACAACTTCCAGTTGGCGGACACAGGAGACATACGCGAGTCGGCTCTGAATCTCTTCCATGTTCAAAATCCGCACAGGCTCTCCGAATGGATTCAACTTTTTGAGGAGAACCCAGATGCCACTGAGCGAATCTCCGTAATCGTACAAGTTAGTCTCTTCGATGGATCCAACATCACAAGCAATAACGCAACGAGCACCGAGATTCCTCATCACGTCTGCCGGCACATTGTTCACGTAGCCACCATCGAGAAGGAGATGACCGTCCTGAGGATCACAGAGGGGTGGAAGGTAGCCGGCAAGAGACATCGACGCACGGCAGTACGCCCAGAGAGGGCCGGAACGATGGACACGCATCTCGGAAGTACTGATGTCGGTTGAGATGCAGAAGTAGGAGATCCATAGGTCTTCGATTAGCCTCTCCTCGAACAGATCCTTTATCGAGTAATTGAACTGTGCACCAGTGAACATGGCACTATGCGCGTACGTCAAATCGAGAAGCTTCCGCCAGAGAGAGCCCATCACACTGAACCACGAGGCGGCTCTAGTTTCGACAATTGTATCATCTGGTGTCTCAGCGTAGAGTCCTCCGATCAGTGATCCGATCGACGTTCCACCGACAATATCGACAGGTATTCCCTCCTCGCGAAGTGCTCTCAGTACCCCAACATGAGCTGCTCCTCTTGCACCACCTCCTCCGAGAACCAATCCGATGGCGTTTCCAGTCAGAATACGGGCAAGTCGCGAAAAATCCGATCTTCGGTCGGTTGTCCAGAAAACATTCTTTTCGTAGTATTCTATCACTTCTCTCTCCACATTCAATGGCGTCAACAGGTCCAGTCGACTTGACTTTCGGCTCTTCCTATTCCATTGCAGCATTCTCTTAGGAGCTCTTATGTGATGGTGTCCTGAGAAATAGCTGTTCTTCAGCCAATCGATGGTGCCTGACGGCGTCTTTGTGCTCTCTGGCCACAGAAGAATGAGCTCCTTATTTGTTCGCACTCCATCCTGATTCATGCTCATCAACTCTCGCATCAACGTTTGCTTTTCCGGTTTCTTCCCGCCGATGGCCACAACAAGAATGGCATCAGCCTGTCGGAGACACCGTCTCGTCCAGTTTGTCGGTGTGAAATCGCATTCGTAAATGACCAGCGGGTACGTATCCTCCTGCACATTCAGCCAGTGCATCAAACGGAAGTCTGCTTGTCTGAAAACATAAATCACTGATATTGGTAAGGGGGGAAGTTTTCCAACTTTTCAAGAACACTCGGATCCAGACAGGCGGCCACTTTCTGACTGCTAAGACGGAGAACTCGTAGGTTCGAGGAAAGCGCGTGATAGAGTTCGCATGTGAATGGAACGAGGGGCACATCTGGAGACGCCGGGACAACTGCGATCGTGTGGAGATTCTTGATGTGGCTCATCGGATCAGTAGCGCCCATTTCGTTCGTTCTGATGACTGTGGGGGCGGCGAAGGGGGCACGTCTGTTGATTTGGCTGTAGTACTGCCCGAGAAGTTGAACCAGACGGAACCCGACCTGAGGAGGAACATGATTGGAAGCCATGGCTATTTCATTGCTGGTACCTGTGGATACTGCATTTTGATAAAATTGAGCAGCCCTTCGGGAACACGGGCCAACTGAGAGAAACGGACGGCAAGAACTGTCGTCGAACGTGGCTTTTTCGTGAGAACTTCCATCATTCCTAGCACATCTCCTCGTCCAAACTCCTCAACGACCGTTTTCTTTTCTACCGAACGGAGACGACCACTGAGAACGACGAAAAGGGAATCGGCCACGTCGCCGGCACGATAGACGGCGTGTCCGGAATCCACGAGAACCCAGTCGAGAGCAAAGTCGACTCCACGAAGGAACGGAGACAGACGGCGAAGAACGGAATGGGCAACGGGCAGGTAGATTTCAGGATGAGCTTCGAGGAATCTGAATGTGATAAATTGATAGTGAAATGGGGTGGCATCGATTACGTGGAGAAGTCTTTCTTTTTCATGATAGCCACCTTCGTTGGGACAGCCGCGCGAATAGTGTAAAACGACGGCTCGTTTGTGAGAATCTGGAGACCCCCGACTAGTTCTCGAGCGGTCACTCTGATCACTGCACTTTCGTCTTCTTCATTGCTCTCCTCGTCGAACAACGACTCCTGAAATACGACGCTTAACGATATTCAGAAGATAAACAGAAAAGTTATTAATCTCAATCTCAACAGTTGTTATTTCAATGTCACGAGAATTTTATCTTGCTCACTCATTCCAATCAACTTACTTACCCTATCGAACTGAGCTAAATATTCTGATCCGTGCTGAATAACTTCAGTTTTTCTCAATAACAAAAAACCGGTTGTATACGGTACTCACCTGCGCAAGGATCAGGTTTCCATGAAGAACCATCATAAGAACTTCCTCCTCGGCGCCTTGTTCGATGATGACGTGCCCCGCATCGTAGTTTTCGATTTGAATCTGAGAAAAGATGCCCGAGTTAACTGATAATTCGTGATAAACTACTAACTTTGTTTCCGATTTGACTTATAATAGTCTCGTCGGCGACCAGCCCGAAAGCCTCGGCCATCCATTTTCTGGCCACTATCAACTGTTCCTCCTCGGCTGCAATTCCATTCACTCAGTTTTATTCTCATGACGTGTATTTTATTTCAACTAAACGGGCTTGAAAATCGCATTTTAATATCCCTGCGAGTACAGACTGGACCATCCACTTTCCCATTCTGATGTGTCTATTCGACCTGGCAAACTTGTAACTTTCTGTATCGTATTGACCCTACTATGACTGTCACGCAAACATGGCGTATACTTTGATGACAAAAGGTACTGAAATGCCGGCAGCCATGACTATCAAGACTCACTGTCGTTCACATTGAACGGTTTTTCCTTCTTCTTTATCGAAAGTGACAATTGCAATTTGGACGCGCTGCTTCCATTTCGAAGTCTATCGTCGTCTCGCCTCTAAAATGATTAATTTATCTATTCATGTTTAAGTGTTCTTATTTTTTAACAAATAAACAAATAATAAGCTGTTCTTTTTTTCTATTCAGAGTCCTTCCTCGTCCACTCACTCTTCTCATCAGCTCACTGCTCAGGCCCATGTACTGATGCAATGTCGTCAAAGTGACGTGCAGCAGTCGAGTGATCACAATTTGAATAGGACGGATCCACGCCTCCGGATTACTGTTGTACGACTGGCGGAACGAAGTTATCGGAAATCTGAAGCCTCGATTAGTACCAGAAGGACGAGGTCAACTCACTTGGCAACTCTGCATGGCTCGGCCGCTTTCAACGCGACAGTTCTGAAGATAGACGGGAAATCCATGAGGATGTCGAGCATGGAGAGCAACGAGAAGAAACTGCCTCCTGCCGGAATTCTCTTCACCAAATACTCTTTTCCTTCCATGTGCTAAAATTTGCGAAGTTGTAAATTCGCCAGGGCTGGGCATTTGGCCAACCCAGGCTTTTCGAGGGCCCCCTATCACAATATTGCGAGTGGCCCAAAGGCCCAAGCGCAGGCAGGCCCCCAAGAATCGCGGGCCAGCCCTGAAGTTCGATCAGAACTGACTCACTCTGATGTGGACAGTCAATTCGCCGTCAATCGCCACGTAGATGGCGTCGTCCGACTCTCCCGGTTTCACAATATAATCACCGGTTTGGAAAGATCTCACTTCGATTTCTCGAGGATCTAGTTTCCATTCGGATGGGAGTTCTAGCATTCTGAATATGCAAGAATGAGAATGAGTGCGAAACAGGAAGCATTACTTGAGGTTATGCAGGATGTAGAAAATCTCGGGTTGCAGATTTTGAGGGATTTCGGGCAAATCAGTCGGTTCAAAGAATTCCTGGGGAGGGCGGACACGTGTGTCCCTGTTGTTCTCCTGGTTCTGCCGGAAATAGACACGGCTTCCGCGACGAATAAGACTGAAAGAATAAATGTGCGATTAGCTTTTATAGTGCGTCTCACTCTTTGGCCATCTGAAAGGCAGTCGAATGACGTCGACGGCTCGCGTTCGACTGCTTACGACGGCGCTGAAGAGAATTGCTGCCCATGACCACGTTCGCATTTTCCTCGTCCGTCGAGTCGTCACTGGGAGTGCGGCCGGGAGAATCTTGCTGAAACAATTAAAGCTTTATGGAATATTTTTGATATTTGTGTACCACAATACTCTTGTAGATTTTTTTGGCCCAATCTCGTTTCCGCATGCGTCGTGTATTCGAAAGGCCAGTAGAGCTGTTGGAGTTCACCAGGGGAAGGGACGTGAGAGGCTCCATCTGTACTGGAGTTGGAGTTTCCGTTTGAGGAGATCCGTCTGGCCGCGTCTCATCATCTTCGTTGTCTGTCTCCAGAATCGTCGGAACTTTTTTGTTACGCTCTTCTGGAAGATCAAAACACGGGCGGTGCAAAGTCACATTCCGCCAACATTAACTTACTGTTCGGAGAGTTTCTGGCCGATGGAGCGGCGCTCGAATTGGCCGATGAGGAGTTGTTGTAGGCGAAGAGATAGTAGGAGACGAAGAAGGCGACGGCTCCGATTATGCACAGAGTGAATAGAATAATGAGAACCTGTTGAAGAAGTCGAATATTTCAGAAAAAAAAAGCAAAACTCACATGGTTATAGATGAATGTGACAAGAAAAATGATGGGTGCAAATAGAGAATATATGAGACTCATGAGATAACCGCATTCGATTCGCAACTGAAATTTGGAATATTTTGTTTTCGAAATTCGAAACGGAGGAACGTGAAACGAGAGAGCGGGAGATGCAGACGTGAATACGGTACCAGAAAGACCACAGTGACCTCCATCTCACGTTTAGAACGGTTTTAACGTTTTGACCTTCTTTTTCTTCTTTTTTTGTGTCAAAATGAGAAATAGAGAAAGAGACAAAAACTGAAAGAAAAGAAGCGACGGGCGGATGAGATGGGAGCATGGTCGTCCGAAAACTCGTTATAATTTATGAGACATCCGTCAGAAAGAGACAACTCTTTTTCCCTTTTCTTTCTTCCAATTTTGGACAAAACTTTCGTTTTCGAGATGTCCCTCAATAATGATGACGCAACTAGCTGCCTCTGAATATCCAGTTCCGCCCTCGTCATCGCGTCAGACATCTCCACGTGGTCTCGCCGCGGACCGGTGTAAAAAATGTGTATCAGTGGGCTGAACGAAAAAAATAAAGGGTTTTTTTCGCGAGATCATCAGTTTTAAAGATTTGAAAAGTCGGGGAACCGGAACGATAGAAACGCGAACTGCTGTGATATGTATGGAGATATTTGACTTTATGAAAGACTAGATGAATGTTCATGATCTAGTCTGGTTTTATTTGCATTCTATATGATCTGCTGGGCAACATATTTCAAGGCTATGACACACGGAACGGAAGATAGACTGAAAAACAGATGAAAGCCAACTGACCCGTGGGAGGCGTGACTTCCTCAGTCTCGTGGAGCCGACAAATAGCTCGAAGACTGAGGAAAGGTTGTTCTATGAAACTTTCATGTTTGTTGACTTTGCCGCCAAAACGAAAAATACAATTCGAATGATGTTTCAGGGAATTCTTCTCTCATTCACATGACACACAGGTCGGGCAGTTCGTTCAGATAAGAACGCTCACTTCTCGTATCAGTGTTTCACGGCGGTTCAAAGAATACGTTAGCAGACGCGCTCCATTGAAATCACACGCGTTGGGTGCGCTGCGTCGTGGTTGGCGCCATGCCAATTTTTAAACTTCAATCGAAAAAAGGCGGCTGAGTCCCGATTCAGCCAATTGCAAAAAAAGGCGTGAAAATTTAAATGAGTTCGCCCGCGTAGTCTTTGGAACCCCGTATGTTTTTCTTTCGAAATTACTGACCCGACATATTATAGGGGCACCACACAGAAATGGCGCTCTGTTGAGAAACTCTTTTTGCAGTGCAAATTGAGCGACCTCGGGGCCAAGTTTGAAAATTTAGGCCACGTTTTCAGTGGAAAGTTACTTCGCGGCCTAGAAATTCGACCAGATTGCGAACAGCGCGCCCATTCTGTCCGGTGCCCCAATAATACTACAACGTCAAGGTTTCTATTATCGGACGGCAATTGGAGTCAATATTCACGAGGAATGGCACTATGAGGGACTGTGGTCTGCAGAATGATTCGGCGCTTCAGGATCCAAGGATATTATAGAGGCATTTCACAGAAATGGCGCTCTGTTCGCAATCTGGCCGAATTTCTAGGCCGCGAAGTAATTTTCCACTGAAAACGTGGCCTAACTTTTCAAACTCGGCCCCGAGGTCGCTCAATTTGCACTGCAAAAAGAGTTTTTCAACAGAGCGCCATTTCTGTGCGGTGCCCCTATAATAAGTCATGAAGGGAAGTGACGTGAGTAATCGGAGGAGGTGCATGGGAAAAAGAAGAAAGAAGAAGGTAGAGGGGGGCGAAGAAGAGTTACGAATCACTTCTGTCCGGTCTTAAGATACTCATTGTCACGTGTGGCATCCGAAGAACAATAAAAAAAAGGGAGAAGCTGATAAGAGTTTCAGTCTGGACGATGAGAGACCAACTCGGCCCGACAGAATCTGGGAAGAGCGAAGGATGAGAGAATCTTCTGAGAAAACACGGATGGCGAGAATAGAAAGAGTCAACAAGTAAAGTGTCTGGAAGGGATACAGAAGACACAAAAAAACTGAGGAACTCGGGTTGCAGAACGAGAAAGTGCAAACAGGAGGGACAGAGACGAGCAGAGAAACGGGTAGGCGGCAGGCAAGGGAACCGATCAAACAGGTGGCACTGTGAGCAAGAAAAGTGATGGAGAAAGTGATACGACTTTTGAAAGTTGCCAAACGGATCAGGCTACGAATAGGGAAGAAAGGGAAAGAGTCGCAGGGAGAGAAGAAACGAGCAGGAGCTCGCGGAGCACAGAGAGCAGACAAACATAGGCGGAGGAAGGACTGTTTTGATACTCTGATGACAGGAGTGAACTGTGTACCCGGTCGACCGTCTATCACCCTCTGACAGACGACCTCTCTTCATGGCTGATGCCTAATCGACCGAAGGATCATTCGCATTCATGGTCAGCCATCTATTCTTTTTTCATTTTTTTGTTTTCATTGCGCTAACAGCCGTTAACTGCGTTAATAGCCTTGTAAATTAGAAAATTATTTTAGTGAAGTTTCGAAATAGCGTGCGCTTATATTTATTTCCCTTCAGATTATTCTTGAAATAACAAGCGGTCTGAAACCGGGGCCCGCTGCTTCACGTGTTCATTTCCCAATTTCTCCGTCACAATAATTTTGTTAGAAATTAGAAACGTTTGGACGGACAAACGGAGAAATAAACAAGCAAAAAGACAAACCCGGTTAGCTGTTTTTAAATAAGAATGATGAATACAAACACTTTTTAAACATTTACAATAAAAATAGGTGAGTTCTGTATGCATAAAAAATTTACGTATGAAATTTTACTATTCCGACGAATCTGACAATAGTTCCTTCTACTTAACTCAAACTTTCTTCTAAATTTCGAAAAGAAACCAGATGCGCGGTGCACATTCTTCCATTACGCTGCGAAGAAAAATGCAGAAAACGAGAGAAAGGCGCGGATATTCGAGCGTTTCGTCAGTCAGGAAAGGGGCCTCCCCGTCTTAAAACCAAAGGACAAGTCAGGCAGAAAAGAAGAGATTTGAGGAGAATTCCATAGGGGAAGAAGGTCCGACGGAGGGAAAACACGTCATACGACCAGCGAATGGTCAATTTTTAATGAGCGCGGAAAAAGAAACGATTGATAGAGAAGACGTACTTTGGAGGAATGGAAAAAGAGAGATAGAGAGAGAGAGAGAAACGGTGTCTGTTTTCAGGAACAGGAATACGACACCCACGGGGACGGATGTGCAAAGTGCGCTCGGTTGAGAATAAATTTGAAATTTGCATTGCAAAGTTTTCAAAAGAAGAATAAAAAGGAGCATGCGCGTTCTCGACGCTTTCTCAATTAAGCCCCGCAACGACTGCATTCAGATGTGAGAAGAGCGCGAGAAAAACACCAAGATTTCCATGGCACGTCCCGGACGAAATACGCGCGCGCGAAAATTAAATTGTTTTGTGGTAGAAGAAGAAGAAACGGAAAAGGAAGGGAGCATCCGAAAGAGAAGATACTAAAGCATTGGAAACAAGTAAATTGAGGAAGGGCACACACACATAGGCAAAACTAGGGCAAGAAATCGAACTTATTTATTTCGAATAAGAAGATTTACAAATACTTGAATGTGATACTAATCGAAATAAGAACGAACTCATCGAGAATAAAGAAGTTGAACAGAATAATCGTGGCTCGAGAAAGAGAAGATGTGCATTATTCAGGGAACCACACGGATTGGGGAAGGAAATCGTAGTGCAGAGCACAAAAAGGCAGAGCCGTGTTTCTCGCTTTTTTGTGGTTTTAGCCGGGAGTTGTCTTAGATTTTTGACCAGATAGCTCGCATCGCACCTACAAACGGATATTATATACATAGAAAAGAGAAACGAGTGTTGTTCGCGAAAATCGAAAAGGATAGTAGTTAAAGAAAAAAAAGAAGAGGTGATAGACAGAATTATTCAGCTAGAAAGATTTATATACAATAGGTCGGGTCGGGCACCGGAAGAGGGCTAGAATATTCACAACTTTTACAAAAAAGCAATAAATACAAAGACCGGAAGGAGGGCGTTGGGAACAAGATAATCATGTTTGAGCTGGGCGATTTCCTTGTCCGGGCACATGATGAGACCAATCGGCCACCTGTGGGCCCATTGTCAGATTACGGCGAGAAGAAGTACTGTAGATGGGGAGAACTTCACTGGCCTCCACTGGCACGGCCTGAAAGTTTTTAATAATATGAAAAAGAACTAATTACGGCACCTTCAGATAAATGCACGCATCAGTTCCATGACCTTCCATTGAGACAAGGAACAGATCACCGAGGAAGTAACGAGCATAAAGGCGAGAAAGAGGAAGTCCGTATCCGTAGCCAGCCTGAAAATCAAACAAGTTCTAAAAGAGAAATGAGTGAGATCAGTTACCAATGGAGCTTGAGTTCCATCTCTCGGTGGCGGAGGAGCAGTCGAGTACATGTAGTTGTAGAGTCTCTCGAGGATGGTGCGGGAGACACCACCACCTCGGTCGCAGATCTTGATCGACAAATCTTCTTGCCCTTTTACCACAAACACCTTGATATCAGGAAGATCGTCATCAACTCCATGGAACTCGACGGTGGCTCTCATCGCATTCTGCAAGTCCCTTAATTTGATCTCTGCCCTTCCTATTTCCCTTTTTCTCGCAATCGTCTTATCGCAGCAAGCACGTGGGTGCGTTCAAAATAACTGCCATTGAGGGTGCGGCGGCGCAACGCTACAAAACAAAGGCCACGCTGTATTTGTCGCCTTACCTTAAACAGTTCGAACATCATGTGATAAAGATGGCTGGGCACGGCAACAATCGATATCGGTTTTCCCTTATCCACTGCATTGTGCATTTCGAGCTTCATCGATGGACTCGTCAAGTAGTAACGATCACAGAGAAAACTGAAATCGCACAAAAATGATTACATGTTATTCGCATTTCGCACTCTGTGATTTAGTCTTATTCTCAGGCATCGTCTTCTTCCCTTTCCTTCCCACACACACCTCAAAGAACAGACAAATTAGAAAGCAAAATGAACTTTGTTTTCGGCTCAATTGACAACTGACTCTTCTCAGACGCATGCAGTCCACTCCGGTCGGCTTATCAAACCCAAAAGGCGCACTCTCTCCGTCGTATAGCAAGACTCTCACTCACCGGGCATTCTCGAAAGCGTCGTACACGACACTTTCCACATCACACGCCGGATCGATGCATCCGACGTGACGGGGACTCTCCGGAAGAACGTTTCCAAACACAACCTGCAGAGGAAAAGAGAAATAAATAAAATATGAAATTCTAGTACTAGGTGCTGATTTTGAAGCATACGAATGGAAATTCTGTTGATGTAGAAGCGATCGAGAAAGTACTGAATTCCTTTCTCGCTGGCAATATCGACGCCGTCCGACTCTCTCAGTTCGATCAGTCCTTCAGCCATCGTCTCAACAACGTGAGCGTGTCGTTTCAGCACAACCGTCAGCTGGTCGTTGAACCTATGGATCAGAAATCTATTGATCAGATGGAAAAGTGTCGGACTCACTTGGAAACTTGTTCTGGAGAAGCATCCGAAGCTTCGAACGAAAGCAAATCTTCGAAGCTTTCCGCGTACCAATTTGACACCATTTTGGAACTGGGCATTTGGAGCAGTTTGGGTGGCAAGAGAGTGAATTCCTGAACGAATTCTCTTCAAAATACAGGTGCACTTCATAAGTGCAAACCTGCATAATGTTAGCGAGCCTGACAAGCAATTCGTTCTTCAGGAAAGTGTACGAGTTTGAAGCAGTGCCTATCCGGCCAAAATCCAGATACTGCTGAATCGTGAGCGAGGACGGTTGGAACTGACTGAAAAGGGGAAGAAAACAGTCATGAGCACTCGGGCAAAGTAGAATCTAACCTGTAGTAATCGAGCTTTTTAGCCAGAGAACCCACGAAGGGACCCAGCAACTTCCGCGAGAAACGCATCTGAAAATGAATTCGTTCGGGACTGGAATGTGAAGAGGAACACTGAAGAAAACGTTGTTTACGTGCTGTGAAAAGTGAACACTGGAGGCGAAAAGGGAAGAATTGCACGTCAGCAATCTGTCCTAAACGACGCTCGCTCACTTAGAGTTCAGCCGTCGAGACGGGGCGCGAAAGACGCCAAGGGAGCGAAGACGCAAGCCGCCGTCTATGAGGCGCACTCTCAGTGCGACGGCGGTAATTCAAATTCAGAAACTTATGCATAATTAGGAAAGCTGTCAAATAGCACTTTCAGGAGCGAGTATAGCAACAGGTCTTTTGACATGCACTTTAACAATTTATTAAAAACTAATAGTAAGTCCAACAACATGTTCGTTCATTAACTGCTGCAAAAACGGGAAGTGTGAGACCAGTGTGAAAAGTTGAGACCGAACTACTCGTGCATATCGAATGGGGTCGTCAGAAGAGTGCCGAATGCATGTCACAGTTAGGCATCGTCACTCCGAGGCTGTCCCGAGTCACCTGAATTCGTGGCATTTTGCTCAGTTCAGTTTCACAATTAATACCGTCGAGACGAGAGTCCACGCGTCGGATCCGCAATTCTGCAGAATGATCGGATGCGAACACCTCAAGTATCCATCCATCGCTCTGCACATCTCCGTCAGATAGGCTTCCGTTGACGAACCCTGAAATCTGATTTGCTCTCGCTCTTCCCATTCCATTATATCTCACTTTCGCTCCCTGTGCTTCTGAGATCGCCTGCGTCGCCGCGATCTTACAGCTGATGTACTCTTTTTTCGATTCAACCTTAAATAAAGAATGAAAATAAGAATGTCTGGAGTGAAAAGGAGAATAACCTCTGCGAAACATCCGGCGTGCTTCTGGAATAATGGCTGTCCAGAGCCACACATATAACTGTAGGAGGCATGAACGGCGTCTATCGAAAGAGAATCACAACGCACCGAAGAGACACACTCCTGAAAAATACAATACTTTGACAATGTCTGTGAAGTGAAGCCTACTTTGAAATCAGTGTATATTGAGCATAACTGGTTGAAGACGTGGCCGCCCTGAAGAGGGAATTGCATGGCCCCGGTCTCCGCTTGCAATTTGGTTGCGTAGTCGAGCATGGGCTGAAATTGGGTTGGACTGGAAGAGTTTGCACCCAAAATCTCACCTGCAAGCACTCGTTGACCTTCTTCTCGTCGGAGTACTCGCACTTCACCGGACTCTCTTTCGTTTCGACGCCGGGAATGAGCAGGAGGAAGGCGATGAGCATCATGCTGGAAGTGACTGTTCGCACGCTTCTTTGCTGACGCATACAAATGTGAGGAGACGAAACGAAGGGGGTCCCTAGTCACTAGGGGTGCGGCTCTGCCGTAATTCAATCGCGTCGAGTCCTCTTATCTTATTTTCACGCCGACTTCTTCTTCTTCTTCTTCTCCTTCTCCCGCTCTTCGTTCAGTCAACTTCTACTCCACTCAGGGCTGGGCAAATTTCGGCCCAGGCTTTTCAAAGGCTTTTTCAGGATTGGACTTTTGATCCACTTGCAATTATCCGATTGTGCCCAAATTCAACAGGCTTCTTGGATTTAGATTGAAGTATTTTGGGTCCAGATTTCAGATTGTTCGGATCATCTGGCCCCGAAATATATTGGTTTGATACCGAAAAGACCGGGTTTTTGCGAAAATTGCGGTCTTTTCGGCCTCTGATCCACATATCCCGAGACCAGATGATCCGATCGATCTGAAACGTGGACCCAATATACTTCGCTCCAAGTCCAAATAGCCCGCAAAGTCTGGGCCCGATCGGACCCTTGCAAGTGGCAAAAAGTCCAGGCCTTCAAAAAGCCTGGGCCGGCCTTTTGTCCAGCCCTGACTCTACTCACAAAACACTCACGCATTCTGTTTGTTCATTTCATTTCAGAATACATCGGAATGCAATATGTCAGGCAAGTAACGGATGGCGAAACGAAAGAGTTTTGGAAGCACCTGGGACCGCCATTCCCATTCAATTGACCTAAATCTGTCCCTCGCACTCCCTCTCTCATCTCCCATTCATCGTTTTGCACCTTTTTCCGGAATTTTTCGTTTCAAACTTTCCCATCAAAGATGTTCTCCTTCCTTCTTTTTCTCGCTCGAAAGAGAAAGAGGGAGAGAGAAAGACGGACGGGATGGAACAAATTGGATTTGAAGAGAGAAAGAACGCAGAAATCTGATAAACTACTCGAAGAAAATGACGGCTTCTGTTCGGAATGAGGCTTATGCTCGGAATTTGTCCGTTTTTTACCTACCCAATCGGCCACAGGGATTAGTGAAAAAATGAAGTGGAAGGGCCGGGGGGATTACGTGGAAAGCGGAGAGGAGCGGTGGTAACGAAGACGGATGAGAGCCGAGGGGTTCTCAAGAAAAAAGATGAAGAAGAAGAGGACTGGGAACACACATTAAAGGGAGGAATGGGTGGTCGCATGTTCGGTGGATGGCTTCTGAACAAGGCGTCGCATAGATTACGGTCGATTCGGAGAAGCTCAACTTGAGGATATCTCAGTTCAATGAAAAGTACGAAACGAATGGGATGAGCAGTAATCCACATGGAAATCATAAAGTGTGATGACGTTGGGAAGAGAAGAAGCTCCCGGCGGCGACGGATAAAAAGAGAAGAAAGGCGGAAAACTTTCTCTCTTTGGCCGTCGCTGCCAGCCCGTCGTCGTCTCTTCTGAATTCCATCTAATTAAACATCGACCACATGCATGTCCCGTCCGTTTTCCTGTCAAACACACACTTGTCAAACTACTGGCTAATTGCGGCGGATCTGAGAGCAAGAAGCTTCGCTTGTGTGAGCCCCCAGGGGAGCAAGTGCCGGTTTATGAGCCACCTGAGCAGCCAGGAGCGCCTAATGGGCTACACTGAAACAAGGCGACCGGAACATGCCGAGAGGGGGAGTCTTCTGCTTCAGAGAGCCAGCATAATCGGCGAATCTCGTCGATTGGACAAATTTATTAAGGAAAAAAGGAAGGAGGAGGCAATACGTATGTTTTCACAGGAAATGCAATAATAAAACACCCATTGAAGAATGCAATAAAAGATGGAAAGGTCGTTTAAAGCTATAGGTCAGAACACAGAAACCGAATGAGCACCCGACAGAAAAGGAAGGTATTTAAGTACGGAAAAAGACTATTCGCTGACAGAGTTGTACATGAGAACGGCAAGAACTACGCAAATGGTGCCGAGAACAAAATACATTCCGACGAACACGTCAGGGAAAATGAGCATGGAAAGGACGACGACGAGGATGATTGAGACGGCCGACGCCATCGATTTGTACAGATTATCGAGGTATCGCATCACGAGAGAAATGTAGAGACCGCCGACTCCGAGAAGGATCACGACGGACCAAACCTTCTCGGTGTACCCGAAAAAGAATCCCTTCTCGGAAATGCGAGTGAAATCGGTTAGACAGGCGATCGAGGCGCTGATCTGAAGTGATACACGTGGAAATGAAAAGAAAGGACGGGGGAGGAAAAACTGACCACACCGCAGCTGTACATCTGCATGTTCCTGATCCAAAAAGGCGTGCTTCCTCCGTCTTTGAGCATTTTCTCGAAGTAAACTCCTGCGAATCCGGCAGTGACACACGTGGCAAGAACGGCCGACATTCCGACGATGTAGTTCTCAGCGGACTCTCTTCTTGTGTTCTGTTCGGTTGCCGACGTGTTGTTCATTTGAACGAAAGCAACCCCGAACATCAGAAGAGCTATGGCCATCCAGCGACGGACCGAGAACTTTCGCCCGAGAAAGAGCATCATGAACAGGGCAGTTGAGACCACTTTCAGTTGAGTTGTCACCTGGAAATAGAGAACAATCACAATAACTACAAGATAAATTGTACTTGATAGACTCCTGCATCGAGATTCGAGAGACCGACAAAGTCGAGGTTATTCTGAAGAGCGTAGGCGAACGAAGGGACACTCATCTTGGCGAGCTCCCAAGGGGCGTGCAGGTAGTACTTGCTCACTTGCTGGAAGATCGGAATCTTTCTCCGAAATTAGATGACAAGTGTACCTCTGAGAATTGTCTGTTATCGAAGTTACACTCTTTGTGGAACATTGCAAACGTGATCATTAACTTCAGAAATTCAGAACATAGAACTACCGAAGTGGACGAATACATCTGAAAATAGAAAGATAACGAACATCTGCTATTCAGCAGGGTGCACATTTTCTGGCTCCACAGTGCTCCGGGTGTACTTGATAGTCAGAGTGTATGCCGTCCAGATGAATGTCATGCTGGCGATGACGTAGCATTTGAAGGCGAAGCTCGGACGGGACGACGTGGTACTCTCTTCTGAAAAACTGAACGAATATTACTGTTTTCTCGATCCGAGTTGATTGGACTCACCTGCTCCCTTTTCGAGATCATTTTCTGTCATCGGCAGAAGCGCCACTTTGTCTTTGTCATCGTGAGAGATATGTACATTTTGGAACTTCATGCCTGTAATGCAGTCAAGTTCTGAAAATAAATAAACGAAAACTGATGGCTGTAAGAGTGATAGCAAGTGTGATAGGGTGTGTCCGATCAAAAGGAGTGTTTGCTCTTCCGGCCACGACCCATAGATCATGCGAAAAAGAGTCTTCTTCTCGTTTGTCGTGGCAGGTGGATGGAAAAAGAGGCAGTTCAGATGACCAATCCAAGCGGCGTTTCGTTCAGACCCTCGGACCGGTTTGCCCAGTGTCCTTTCCATCTGGTCCCTTCAAATTTGAATGACCGAAGAGACCTCACACGTGGGAGTTCGCAGATTCAAAGATGGCTCCGTCCTGTCGCCAGTCTGCTTCTCTCGATCTCTCCGTTCGCACACTGTCTCATTTGGATGTGTCTGCGTCTCTGTTGGCGACACAACTGTCTAGTTTGCTAATAAACGACGACGATAACGGGCCCAAGTTGATTGTCGGAAACAGACGGAAAATAGTGGGAGGGCGAGGAGAGACACAGAGAAAGTTGAAATGAGTAGACAGTTATACGGTTGAAGAAAGAGGAGAAGCTGAGAAAAAGATGAAAGTGAAGGGAGGTAACACATTAGAGAGACACCAGACGGAATGGAATGAGTCGGTATGATGCGCATTTTACAGGTTATTTTCGAATTGGAAATCTTCAAAAGGTTCATTCATAGCCGACGTCAACTGCCGAAATGGTGAGTGTTTCCACTGTCTCCGTCAAATAAGTAGGCGTTCAGATCAACTTTGACGGAATAAAAAAGATCACGGAAAGACTGAAGTGGAAGCAGGGTACGTTTCATCCGAAAGAACACTCCTGGGTGCTATCGGGAGTGTCATCTGAGACTAAGAATTTCACTCGAGAACGATTTGAAACTGGATCATTTCAGGGGATGAAGATGAGAATTGGGCGAAGAAGGCTATAGACAACCTGATGAAAAAACTAATAAAACACAACAAACAGGCACTGGAAAGCCTGGAATTTGCACTACGGGTACGTAAAACTATTTTTATTTTGTTGAAAATGTGACATTTTTAGTGCCAAGGCCGTCAGAAAACCGAATGCGTTACGATTCCGCGGTCTTTGGATGGACGACTTCAAATTTCGCATCGAAAGGTATCGAATAGTTTACAAAATGGGCCGATTTGTTTATGAAAACTAAGCACTCACTGGTCGGGTAACGAGGATGCTCACAAAGACAGATTTGGGGGACATTCAATACCAGAAAAGAGTGTGAGCGTTACCAAAAGTTCACGTTTCTCACGAAGTTTCTGAACTTCCGCAGTGAACTGGCATGGAAATGAATGAATGAATGGGAGAATGCTTAACTGAAATAGAACCTTTTAGGCTCTTCCCCACGTCATCTACTGCCGGGTCTACCGATGGCCGGATCTTCAGTCTCACCACGAACTGAAGGCCATCGAAGACTGCCGATTCTGCTATGAATCAGGTCAAAAGGACATTTGCATCAATCCGTATCACTACAAAAGAGTGCACGCCGCCGGAGTGCTCCCGCCCGTTCTCGTGCCCAGATACTCGGAGAAACCGCCGCAAGAAGTGCCCCCGACACTGGCCAAATTCCAATTGATGGAGATGGACGGGTCGAAAATGCCACAGAATGTCAATATGGCGAACGTCAGTTTCACGTAAGTCGTGAGAGAAGTACAACGCGCTTTGAAAAATGTTTATTTGATGATCATAAGGGAACACAGTTATAAATTTGAGGGGAAATGGGCGAAAACGGAACCGTCCGAACAGGAAACAGGGACAAAATAATAAACGGCCTATGTACTAAGTGAAATGCGGGAAGGTCAGTCGTACAGCTCGAGCATCTCGGCGGCGCGCTTCTTCGCAGTCATCAGAGGAATCATCTTTTTGAGCATCAGGAGTTCTCTCGGCGGAGCAAAGACGGCGGCTTTCCGGATTGATTCCATCGACTTCTCGTAGCTTTCCCTGAGATTGGATTATGCTGATCAATGTTAATCAAATAAGATCTCACTTTCTGATCATTGGCTCCGGGCCGTTGGTGCCGAGGAGATGAAGTACGTGGGCGGAGAAATTAAACGGATCTTCTTTAAGGGCTTGGTTTGCACACTCTGTCGTCAGATGGAGACGCACGTCTTCTGGCTTGTGAACGTGCAGGTCCCTGAATTGAGAGCGGTTCGGATGCGAGAAAAGAAGAGAGTACTCACGCAGTCTGCAAATATCTCGACGGAATCAAGTATCTCGTCTTGATCTTGGCTGCTTCGTTAAGCAACTTTGCGGAGCTCTCCTCGTTGTTCGTCATCATGTACACTTTGGCCATCATTACGAGGTTAAAATGTGTCGATCTGTCTTCGGTGAGCTGCTCCATTTCACGGATATGTCTGTGCACATCAGCATACTCTTCGCACGTGCACAGTTTGAGGAACGATCGGATCATGGTGAGATGCGGAGTCAGCGTTCCGTGCTTAGCAGCTTCGGCAAGAAGTCGATCAGCATTGTGCTGAAATGAAAGCAAGCTAGGCCATTATGTCAAAGCTTCAATTCTAACTGTATCAGCCATCATTTGCTGTTCGTGTGTGGCAGCTGCAGTGTCCAGAACACACCCGTTATACTGAAAACGAAAAGAACTGAGGGACGGCCTAAAGCAGAAGGACTACCACAAAGACAGCTGCGAATGAGTAGAGCTTGAAGAGTCTTTCCTTGTTCTCCTCTAGAATCTGCTTGAGGAAGCTTAAAAGCGTTGTTTTGGAATGATTCTTAAAGAAAATAACTCACTTGTCGATATCAGACATCGTGTACATCAACTCAATTTGGAGAATATCATAAGCGTTTTGAAGGAGAACCTTCCGCTCTTCGTCTTCCTCCGCTTTTATCTTTTCTTCCAATTCCGTTCGGACTTTATTCAAATAAATAGTTCCCTCATTCGGATTCACACCGTAACTGAGCAACTTGCCACGAAGAATGATGGCCGGCGCGTAGTGTACATTCTCGGTGAGCAGCGAAAGAATCTGCTCGTACTTTCCTTTCTTGAACGCTTCCAATGCTTCAACATAAACCCTGGAAGTAAATGAATTGAAAAAAAAGGTCAATGATTGGCTCTCACTTCTGATCATTATCAAGCACATCCGCTGTGAACTTGGTCAGATCTTTTTTGAACAAGTCGAGAATATCCCACGTGTCACACCACTGTTGGATGCGGAAAAGTGCTATCGGTTGCGGATCGAGGCTTTCGATTCCAAGAGGCTTTCCAATGAAACATTCGCTCTGTAATTGTTTGCTATTTTATGACTCGAGGCATTATGAGAAAGATTAACCGGTTCGATGGTGAGCAGCTTTCCGAAGAACTCGAAGTTGGCTTTGTTCAGGGAGGAATCTAATGTGAAAGCGGCCAGAAGATCTTGAAATGGAGAGCTATTACGGCGAATTCAATAAAGACTCACAAGCAAGAGCGTCCTGTTTCTTTCCGACTTCGTGAAGTGCTTTGGCAGCTCTCAAGTATGCCTTAGCGTACTTTCTATCGGCTTTCAGTGCTGCGAGGCAGTCGTTAAGGATATCGAACGGGCTGTGTCCGACCTTTTCACGGCACGCAGCACGATTCTGATAGAGCATCGCGACAATGTGCTGCTCATCACTGCCGGCCTTCTCAATTCCCCTCGTGAATTCTTTGATCGCTTCTTCGTATTGCCTTTCTTTGAATTTGAGGTTTCCGAGCGATTTGATCTTTTCAAGCTCGGCTGCCAACTGAAATCAGCATCTTAAAGCATTTCTTGACTTATTTCACTTACGGTGGAAATTTCTTCATTGCTGCTCAGGCTTTTGTACGCGACATATCCGACTCCCGCAACTGTGGCCGCCGCAGCCACTCCAATCAGCACTTTTTTTGTTTGGTCGCTTATACCGGTGCTCGTCGACATTTTATCTAGAAGATTTTGAGTGAAAAAGACCAATTTTGAGCAAAACTACAGAACATTATATAAATTTGGGAGTGATAAGAAAAATAAGAATGTGCAGGCAGCGTTATTTCGGAGTGTCGTTGGCCGCGGCCGAGGCGCAGCGCCTAGGCCATTTTTGCGATATTGCCGTTCCGTCGGAATTCGAAATGATCTAGGGAATTTCAGAACGAATCAGTTCTGTCAGTACAATCAAAATGGAATCGAAGAGATGGACACTTCACAAAAATTCGATATCCCGCCGGGAGTGCCCACGTGCTTGGTGCCGTTCGATAAAGGATGGGATGAGCAGTTCTGGGCTACAATCAGTTATTACGAACTGAACACGAGGGTCGGGGAGCAAGTGAAGGTCTCCTCCTCGACGATCACAATCGACGGATTCACTGATCCGTGCACAAACGGAAGCAAGATCAGTCTGGGGCTCTTCTCGAATGTGAACCGGAATGCAACAATCGAGAATACCAGAAGACATATTGGAAATGGTGAGGGGATTCAGATGAACTGCCACGTCTCCGTCCTTTTCAGGGGTCAAACTCACTTACGTCCGCAGCAACGGAGCCCTTTTTGCTCAGTGCGAAAGCGATTCGGCCATATTTGTTCAGTCGAGAAACTGCAATTATATCAACGGGTTCCATCCGACTACAGTCGTCAAGATCGCCAACAAATGCTCATTGAAGATATTCGATATGGAAGTGTTCAGAACTGTTTGTGCACTTCTTCTCAATTTTATTATTCTTGTGGTATTCAGCTGCTCGAAGATTGCAGTCGTCGTGGATTCGATGCCTCGTTCGACCTTCAGAAGATGACGTTCATCCGAATGTCTTTCGTGAAAGGATGGGGAGCCGAGTACCAGAGACAGGACGTCACTTCGACTCCTTGTTGGATTGAGATCCATCTCCACGCTCCTCTCATGGTAATGTTCCCTTTCTTTCCTTCTTCCAACTCACCTTTTCTTCCAGTGGCTCGATCGTGTTCTCTTCACAATGTCACCGACTCCGCGTCCGATTTCCTCCATTTCCTGAGCGTTTATTACTTCTACCAACCAATTACAAGCAAATAAATGTTCGGGATCAACATGATCCACGTTGTAAATACATATGTATGCGTTACAAAAAAAGCGAAGGGAAGCGGAATAGATATATGATACAGTTGGAATGTGTTCAGTCGACCGAACGACCTCAATCCTCGGCGAGAACAGCGTTCATGATGACGGTGCAAGTGGCGAAGAACTCCATTGTTTGAGAGCGGACGACTGTGTCCGTTTCCAGCGAGAGCGTTGAGATTTTATCCAAGCTGTCCATGGAATTCTGAAGATTAACAGGATATCTAAAATTCGATGGAGCTGTGTTCACTTCGTTATCAGCCTGATAGACACTGCTGTTCAGCGAATTCATCGAAGCGTCAGTGTCTTCGACACGAACTTTCGGGATCATGATGGCTGAAAAAGGATATATTAGTCATTCCACAAAAGAAAGCTGTTCACATGGCGTCATGGGAGAGGAAACGGGCGGTTTCGCAGTGTTCCCATTCAAGTCGTTCTTTGGTTTGCTGTAAATGGAAACCGAGGCCGCACGGGAACGACTGCGAGCCGGCGGGTTCGCTGAAAACGATCGGTTGACTCTGGTGCCGATTTCTCCAATTTCCCACCTTCTTCGTCGTCAATGATTCCTTTGAAGTCCAACAGATATCCGCTTTTGTCATTATCGAGGGCAAACAGCTGAAGAGAAACTCTGGCTGGATCCGGGTTCGTTGGTGTTGGTTTGACACGAGTGATGATGTGATACATGCTCAAAATTTTCCACTCCATGTCCGCCATTTTGAGTCTTTTGAAGATGTGACTCATTGTGTCCACTGGATCCGAAGTCGCGCGGATTCCCAAATTCCACGTCAACTTTTTCTGTTCTTTCTTCAGATTTTCCAGAATCTTGCGACTGACGTTCTCTGTAATCTCATCAATGCATATAATCCGTCACACTTTCGACGACGAACTAGTGGGCTCGATGTTAGCGTGTCGCCCGATTTCCCAGAAATCATCTTTCGCCTTCTGCGATTGCTCGTCGGAATTTCGCTTGTGATTCACCTCGAGGCGATACGCTATCGATAGATTATGCAGGTGATCTTCTGCAAGCAGCGCACACGTCACGTCCTCCTCCTTGACAGAGTACTTCTAAAAACGATATCTGGTCCATCCGAAACGTCCGACTCCTTCTCACCTCGGCAACGCTCTGTACCGCATCAATATCCACAATTGACGACTCGTTCTCGCATTCCGGGAACAAGTAGAACTGAAGATCCACTTGGAACCAGGCGTGGTTCCTATCAAAAAACTGGTGATTGTACAGAAGCTTTGGACAGAACGTACACAATTTTTTTGATATCGGCTCTTTTCAAAGGATCCACTGTCAACATCATTTGAATCAGATTCGCCGCCTCCTTTTCCATTGAGTATGGAACAACGTATAAGCCGGCTGGAACAAAATTTGCTTGAAAATCAGAGTGAACGCATCCTCACATTTGATTTTCTTGAAAAGAGTTGGTACGTGTTGATCATCGAACGGAAGAGTTCCGGAGAGCATCGCGTAGAGTATGATTCCGCACGACCAGACATCCACCTCGGGGCCGATGTACAGGGAATTGGTGATGAGTTCTGGAGCCGCGTAGTTCGGAGAACCACAGCAAGTTGAAAGCAAATTGCCGTCGCTCATGTAGTTGGAGAGACCAAAGTCGGCGATTTTGATGTTTTTGTTGTGATCGAGTAGAAGATTCTCGGGCTTCTGAAACAGAAATGAGTGGAGACGAGGTGCCAACTAGGGTTGGCAACGGGGCGACCCCTCGCCCCGCGTTACTACAGGGGTGAAGGGGGCGTCCCGCGCCCCACACGCCCCCGTTCGCCCCCGGGACCTTAAAGTGTAATTAAAATTCTGAAAAAAATTAAAAAGATTAATGAGATTATTCATTATCGACGTGCGTTGATAAAATTTTTCAAAAAAAAAATTCCTGCTCGATTTTGGAAAAACCGGTCGGAGGCACGGGACTCCCCGCTGCCAACCCTAGTGCCAACAACTGACCAGATCTCTGTGAACGATCATGTGTTTGTGACAGTAGTTGATTCCCGAAATGATCTGCTGGAAGTAACGACGGCTCTCTTTCACCGGCAAAGATCCCTTTTTGGTGATGAGGCTGAACAGCTCGCCGCCAGAAACAAGCTCCATGATGAGGAAGATGTCGGACGGAGTGCTGATAACACGGAACAGACGGGTGATGTGCGGATGCGTCAGTGTTTGCAGATTCTCGATTTCGTTGCGAGTCTTCAGAACAGTTCCCATTCCCTTCATCTTCGAACGATTCAGAATCTTGATGGCAACGTCGAAGCCAGTTTTAATGTGAGTTCCTCCTGAAAACTGGTTTCTGCAAGGGAAATCGATGAGGCGAACTGACTTTTCACAGCTCCGAATGCTCCTTTTCCGATGGATTCTTTGATGGCGTATCCTCCTATCTTCAGATGTCCGGCAGCCGCCAAGCTGATGGCCAAGTCAAAACGGCCTTCTGTTTTTTGTTGTTTCTTCATCAACGTACTAGGAATGACCATAGCTGAAAGAATTTCAGTGAACAAATTTGAGCGGAGAAGAGAGAAGAAGTGAGAGACCCGTGAGTTTCTACACGCGTTTCCCTATGTCACATGGCTTTTATTCTATCAACAAAAAAGAGAAAAGGACCGTGGACGGTATGAATCATAGAAGCGAGCCGACCAGCGAGCGGCCTGATGCGTCACTTCAGAAGACACATCGAATCAAATCGACAGCCCATCAAACAGTTTCCTATCAAAACGACAGATATTTCGGTGGAATGGTTTTCAGCGATGTTTTCGTTTATTGCGGAGACGCAGAGTTTCAACGGCACAGAGAAAAAGCCGTGTCGGAATGGCCGTCGGACGACCCTTTTTATGAGCAGAAAAGAGAGGGAGAGAGAGAGAGAAGAGGACTCGATCGTTTCGGCTGTTCGAATCCAATCAAAAGCGGCATGGGCGGGCAAGTGATGTTCAAGCCCCGCCCATCACATGCATCTGCAAGTGATCGAGTTGACAGAAACAGAGGATACGGTGGAGCAGATGATGGAAAAGCCAAAACAAGAACACGCGTAACATTAAAAGGATAATGAGCATTTTTATGACGAGAAGTTGAACGGGAAAGTGGGTTGGAGCTGCTCTTTTTTTTGCTATTTATCTTGTGGTCACGATTGAAGACCTGTTTCCTCACTACCAGATGCCGGCTTTTTCGGAGCACCATGGATTTTCTTCATTTTCTTCCCAACATCGCAGTGTGAAGTCAGCGAAAATAGAATAGGGACATGTAGAACAGTCCCTCGTGACAAGAGCGGTCGATATAGAAATGGAAAAGAGGAGAAGGGAGATATTTCCCACGGTATATTGCCCACGAAAAAAAAGGAAACGGAAATATCTATTTTCTGAATAGAACGAAACAGCCTGGGAGGAAAACCGTCAGAGAATGCATTACAGCCCGCTCTGGGCAGACAAGATTGTTTGAAATGCTCGAAATTCCTTCTCGACTTTTCTTTAATTTTTTTTTCAAAACAGCGCCCGACAAACTATTCTTGTTTTCAACGCTTTTGTGAAAACCTAGCCAGATGTGGGGCAGGTGTTTTGTCTTTTCGGGGTAAAACACTCGGCTTTAAGAAGAAGGGGTGTTCGGCATGTGACTCGCAAAAAAGTGTCAACAGGGATACTGTAGATGGAGAAAGTTTGGAAGGCATTCCAATAAAAACATAAACAATACACCCGTTTTTATCTGAGGGAAACATATTTACATAACTTCCGCGACCCCGCTTTTGCAGAGTAAAGAAAAAGAGAGAACGGCGACTATTTCGTTCCGATAAGAACTCCCAGTTTTCACATTGTTATGTCACTTGCCATCAAAAAATTATTCCAAGAGAAATTTGCATTCGAATTAGCATTTTGGCAAAAGTAATTAAATTTAAACAGGAAGAGTTGTGTAAAGCGCGAGAAGAAGAGAAACAGAGACAATTCAAAAATGTTCTGGGACATGCGACAGCCAGCGAACACGTGCGCGCCCGCCTTTTGCAGTATTTTTGTTTTGGAAAGGGAGAAAAGAGTAACTTAAACAAAGCTTCGATAAAATATCGGAGCACAATAAACAGAAAACAAACAAGCAGGCAGACGGACGGAGTATTATATCACGACGGACTGGAACTGACGGAATCGTTTTTCTTATCAGCAGACGATTCGGTTATTTTATTTTTCAGTGCAAAAGAACTCACATCTGAATTTTTGAGCGAGAGTATTACAACTCGTCATTCAAAAGACAATTTTCAGCGGAATTCGAAAAGTTTAAAAAAATGAAGCATACAGTGCTCCTCAAAGCGCACACAGTGAACGTCTGCCGTAGGTCTCGCCACGAAAACAAACTTTTGAACAATGCTCTGGGAAAATTTTGTTTTTGTCTGCAAGTCAGATTGTCATATTTCATACGAAATGTTTATTCGGGACATGGAATAACGGTTAATCTTTGAAAAATACTTGGAATCACAGATTTGTATAAATTAAGAATATGAGAAAAGGCATTAAAAAGAGATAGTTTGTACCGAAGTTAGTAAGGCGCTGTGGAACAAATTGAAAGGGAGCCAATGCAATAAAGAAGGTAAGGTGCTGAATTGAACGACAGTAAAGCATCAAGGTGGCAAGCGGGCTGAAGGATAGCCGGGATTTTAGTATTCACACGAAAGGAAATGGGTGGGAAAGTGTTGAAGAAGTGAAAGAAACATCATTAGGGAAAGATGGGACAGAAGAACCGTATTTGCAGAAAGGGAAACAATGCGAGAAGATTTCAAAAAGGTTATTTCTCGTGGAACAGCAGCTTGGCCAGCTGATCCTTCGCCGCCACGTTCTCTTTTTTGCTCTCCAGACACCGTGCGATGTCGTCTGTGTCCACGCTGTCCATGTCGCAGTATCTTTTGTGATACCTGAAACGAGAAAAAGCGATTCGACGCAGATTGAAGTGAGGAAGTTCATGAATTGGGAAAGAAGCCACCTACCGAATTCGGAGAGTTGGCTCGACGGCCCTCAAAACGTGAATCGCGTCTTGTCCGAGGAATGCCGCAATCAAATCGTTCCTCCGTTCGTTCTGTCCTAATTTCGCTCGGGCAGTCACATAGTCAACTCCGTAGACGGCGAAACACGAAAAGTCCTGCGAATCAAAGCGCCCGTGGTCTTTTTGCACGATCAGAGCTCTTTTTCTCTTCGGTTCGCCGCCGTCTCGCAGTCTCGAAAGAGCAGCTTCCCGTGCCACAGAAGTCGGCGTTTCCTTCTCTTCCTTCTCCGTCATTTCCATTCCAGAAATGGTTGGATGATATTCGACGAAAGGAACAGGGAAGAACACTTGATAGTGCTTGATCGTGTTGATTCGGGCACGATCGAAGAACTCCTTTTGGACGTCCGCGTGCGGCGAAAGCAGAAGATAAATTGTATTGGCTCCGTATCGATCGACAGCGTCATCAAGAGCAGCAGCAGCCACAGTGCCCTGTCCAGTTGTGCTGGCGGCGGGGCGAACCGAAAGAACGTCAGTCTCCAGAAGAGACCGTTTGCATCGTCTCTTCAATTCTTCCATATCATTGCTGATTGCAGTGACCGAACGAGTCTCGACGGATGGAAACACTGCCACGACCATGCGGGTCTTGCGGGTCTCTTCTGTCGGAGAAAGACAGAGTCGTGCTTGTCTGGCCAAAAGCTTTCTGGCCGGAAGAACCTGAAACAATCGACGGTTTAGGAACGACCCCTCTCAGAAAGAGTTGCCTCATTCTCGTTGGCGACTGGGATGACGACGGTCACATCTGTGTCTTCCTTCACATATGGTGCCTGGTTCATCAGCTGCGTGCTGGCAATCATACGGCTGACGTGTACCCTCTTTTCCACTGAAATCTCTTTGAGACTTTCTTCGTGCACAGCCTGAAATGTAAACAAATCATTTTAATGAACACACGGACAAGTACAACCTCTCCTTCCCCGTCATTTTGATTCTCCACCTCAAGCATCTCATTCACTGTTTTCCGGTAGGTCAGATCAATCATATAGTCCATCCCACGTCGAGGATCGAAAACTCTATAACCGTTCCGCAGCTGTACAAACTCCAGTTCCGGTTCTTCAGATTCGACTTGCTGTCTCGCGGCCACAACAACTTCGGCGACGTCGTCAAAGTCCTTTCCTTCGAGTCTTCTCACATTCTGATTCGGCTCGCTTCGGAAGATTTCCGTCATTGTAAAGTATTCCCATGTTGGCACTTGATAACGATTCGGCGGTTTCGCGTATGGAGGGAGGGCAGGCGGCCAGCTGATGGCCTCTCCGGTTTCCCGTGCTTCTTCTACTGACAATCTGGATAACTCAGCCTCCATCTTGGCAATTTCCCTATCGGCTCTTTGCATTTCGACACGTACAAAGTAGTTGTGAAGGGCGGAAGCGTCTGCGTCGGAAAGCAGGCGCGGAACAGCCAGAGCTCTGCTGAATGCTTTCGAGTGTTTCCAGTCCTCAATAGAATCGTGGGCAGCTGGGGAATCAGCTCTTTCGGATCCTCTCCATACTTCGTATCGGACTCCTTGATGGAGGGTCTTGCACGTCAAATTGGTTGCCGTCTGGATGCACTTCTCAAATGCCAACTGATCGTCGTCGGTGCTCATTGCGAGTGCATTGCAAGTGTTTCTCTGCCTTAAATGCTCAACTTAGACGTTTACTTTCGCTTTTTGTTCTCACTGCAGAAGAGTTCGCATCGCCGGATTACTGATGAGCAGTCCAGTATCCAGTCGACACCGTCCACTGCCGTCTTCTGCCGCTTCTCCCATAACTACTGGCTCATTCCAATTCATCTGAAAGAATAAGATGAACAACTCCGAGCTTGGATATCATATGATTACTGTGTCAATCATTCTGAGCAAAACGAACGGATTTATATAAGTCGAGTCCTTGGCGAGAAGAAACCAGTCATAATTTTCATGAACGGTCTGAAAGTAGAATTGGCTGAAAATGAAAAATAAAGAAATTTAAGGAAGAGAATGGGAAAGACCAGAAGACTTTAGAAGATTTGCACCGAAATGGACAAAACGACGGGAATATTTACGACAAAGGAGAAACTTACTAACAAAGTAACTATTACAATTGATTCTGAAAAGCTGTGGAATTAAAAAAGAAGGACAATTTTATTGTTCCGTAGACAAAACAACCTTACCATATTGAACAGTAGCCCCAAAACCATCGAATGCGTTTTCTGCCCATTCAACCTGAAATATTGCGTTTAATTTCTGATCAACTTGTTCAAATCCATACTTGTACGGGCTCAGATTAGTCAACTGAGCCAGATCATTGTCGATGCGGGAGGAATCGGCGAATAAATGAACGCGTGGAACGTGCCTCCCGAGGGTGGCGTTGATCGAAAGAGCAAGTGCCGACTCGGCCATCACAGCAGCCATAATTCGCTCGCGAGTACCCAGTTCAGTGGCTGCGAACCGAGTTCGTGTGACCTGTCGGTTAAACTTCATCTATTAGAAACCGAAAAGAATTGACGGGAATACCTTCGGAGTGGCATCTTGATTGGCCGGCGGAGTTGGCATTTCGTCTTGATGCACCTGCGATCAGTTAATTAAATATCCTTTCTTTCCCCGTTTTCACTCACAATCCAGTGCTCTGAGACGTCTTTGTACACTCGCCCCTTCTCGAGAGCGGAGGGTTCAAGAACATTACGCTCATTTTCTGGTGGCTGACACGATGTAAATGCAGCCAATGAGCCGGCCAAGTCGGTGCTCGGCGCTGTAGAAAAGAAGAAAAGTGCGAGTGCGGCCCCGATGAGGAAGCCGAGCAGAAGATGTACGCCTGTCCGACCGCCGCCAACCATTTTCACGTCTGAAAAGAAACACGGTGTAATGAAATGAAAGTGAGATAGAATGTACCGAAAAGGCACCTAGATACAGTTCCGACTTTGAGTTTTGTTGATTTCAAGACCGGCAGCAAAGTTGGGTCTCCTGCAAATGCCATGATGAGTGGAATGGAAAGAAAAGACAAGAAACGAGTAACAATAAGAGATCAGAAAGTGTGCGCAAATAGAAATTTGGTGCAGAAATCGGTGTTTGAGCACCAAGAGGAAGCCGCGTAAATGCTTGTTTCTGGAGGGTTCGAGAGTGAAAAGGAACGACGGTTCGATACGATAGAAGACGTTGTGTTTGCCTGCGACAATGCTCGTAAAACGAATCGGCTGCAGACCATGTGAGAGACGACAGCCTTCTTCGGTATGCAATGAAAAAAACGAGAAGACGACGGAAAGAAGGAGGAAGGGACGAGTTGCCAGTGATTGACGCCGACGACGCCAGGAGACGGAGGGAGTGCGCGGATCGGGGAGGGTCAGACAATCGACTGTACTTGACCTGCCTGTTTTGGCGAAGAGGTCACTACGAAGAAAAGGACTGAACTGGTTCAGAGACAGTGAAACCGTCTTTTGAAGGACGCCTCCGGTGTTCCCCTCAGCGGTTCTCATTTTGCCATGATTTTGGCAGAACTATAAACATTTTCAAAAAAATCGGATCAACACAGACTCTACGGCATTCGATTTCTACTTAGCCTCTTATTGAGCACTTTTCACGTTGGGACCGAAATTGTAAGACCCCTGCTTGAATACGATAATATCAGTTTACTTTTCACTGTTCAATCTCAAAACGCGTTTTGAAAAATCCTGTAAAAAATCAGGAAGCGAAAGAAAAATTTCAAACTTCGCAGGTGTTCTAGCTGGCTTCTCTAGTATTCACTTTTTCTAAATTCTCAAAAAAAGTTTTCACCGGAGGCGTCCTTTAAGGTTTAACATAAGTTAATTGGTGTGATCATATCTTTAATTAGTGTGGAATTACAACACAATTCAAATGAATGGATTCACGACGGATGACGAGTCGCGGCAGGTGACTAACGACTGGCGGAGAGCGACGGAGTCTACCACGTTAGATGAATCACAGATTCTTACTTAACGAAAAGAATTGAAGTAACTCATGTTTTTTTAAGGCAATCGATCCCGAGAAGTAACAAATCAAGCTACTTATCACAGAGATTCAATTGGTTTTGTTCTATTGAATGCTAAAAAATTTATTTTTTTTTTTTTAGAATAACTATTTTATAGGAAAGCTTATCCAATTTTGCAAAAGCAGAACACTTTTCTTATCCGGGAGCCGACCGGAAAACAAAACAAAACGAAGCCTCGTAAAACCGTGCGGCGTATTTGCTAAAGTCCGTGCCAGGATTGCATTCCGCTCGTTTTAACTCCGCCCATCGCTGTGTTCTTCTTTTAAAAGTTCTAATTTTGTTCCGCTTTAGCAGAAAAATATGTAAAAAAAAAAGCTTAATAAGCTGTTAGTTAACATAAATTTGTCTTGGCAATTTTGCGAAAGTCAAAAATGTTGCATCATTCTCAGAAAATGCTCCGTTCGCTTTCCACGATCTCCAAGTCGACTGTTCGATGCATGTCGCTTTCTTCCAAGCTCGCTGCCGAGCAGCCATCGAAGCAAGACGTAAAAATACGTTTCATCTTTTTAAGCTAATCAAATTATTTTCAGGTTGATGATTTGTTCGCCGAGAAACCCTCTCACCAGAACCAGTACCAGCACGACGAGAAGAGGAGACACGCCTACAGGTCAGTTCAGAATGTTCAGTTCTCAAGAAAACGTGTTATTTTCAGTGTGAACAAAGTGGAATTGGTTGGTGGAGTAGCTTTGGATCCGCTATTCAAAACTGGAAAAAACGAGAAGCCGTACCTTCTTTTCAACATCATCACCAACTCTTACTACAAGCAAGCTGATGGAAGCACCGTCGATCAAGTTAGTTTATTCTAGACCTCAAATGTTGTCAACAAAGTTTTTGTATAGACTGAGCGTCATGCTGTGACGGTGTTCGGCAGGCAAGCGGAAGCTCTTTCTAAGGTCATCAAGAAAGGATCTCGGCTCCTGGTCCAGGGAAGACTGCACTACAATGGGGGACAGAAAGACGAACAAGTTTTTCTGATTTGCCTCATCTTCAACCAATTAATTTATTTCAGGGGAACCGATCACCACGCAACACCTATATAATCGCGCACTCTGTTCAGCCTCTGGCCCGTGCTGTGAAGGAGAACCAGAGCGAATAACAACTCACTCAAAGTTAGACGCATAAAATAGTTCCTTGTTGTTGTTTCTGTTGACGAGTTAAACTGATAAACATTTGATACTGAGCCTGGTTCGTTTGTTTTCATTCTGGTTTGACACCATCTTGTATACCTGATCGTTCTTTGAAAGTTCGATGGAATCGACTGTCCGAGATGCCCCCATTGTGGTTCTCAGTGATAAGCAGCCGAATGAAAACCCAAAACACGTGATTACTCGCCACTCGGGCATAAACACGAAATATCGATTCGCTCGTTTCACCAACAAAACACTGTTCGCTTCGCGCCCTTGCTCCCCTCGAGACAACTAGCATTATCTCTTCCGTCCGCTCCGTTTCTCTGCACATTCTCTCTTTCTCTCCAGGCACTTTGAGCCTCCGTGTTGGCTGTTTGTTGCCAATGATTTGTTTCTCACGAACCAATCAATACATTGTTGCAGTGGGATACTTACCATGAATCGAGCCGGACATCATTTGGTTCTCAGCGCCCCGCAGCAGATTCTCTTCTCCAACGCCATCAGGTATGTCATGATTTTTTTAGTTTCAAATTGTTACGCTTTTCTTCGATTAAAAATTTGGCTTTTCTCTGAAATAAAACATTTCATTCTCTTGAATTCTCATCAATCCTTCTCTGCAGAAGCCTAACCCCTTTCCCCCACCTTCCTTCTATCGATTGTTCTCTCCTATTACACTCATTCTGTTTTGTTTATGAAACCGGAATATAAACCGCTTCTGCCTACGTCACAAACAAACCCTAGTTCGTCGAGGGCAGAAGTCCCCCGTGAGTCTGTGCAAACAGCTGCCTTTCCTGTTTGCACGCCGATCCTGTACCGGCCTTCAAATTGATTCAATCAATTGCTTTATTTTCACTTTCTCAGAACATTTCCTTCGTCTTCCACGCATTCGTTCCATTCTTCTTGGTGTAACGTTCAAAATTTTATTCTAGCAGGTTTTCAACTTTCTAGTCCATTTTCTTTCGGCACGAAAACTATTAGGGAGCGAACAGAGACTAGTGGAGAGTGAGGAAACCCCTGCTCGTCTCCGCTTCCGTGTTATGCGTGGTCTTACAACGGCGACGACGAATTCGTCAACGCTTCTCTTCCTAGTCGTCGGGGAAGTAATATAGCGAAGACAATTTTTCGAAGACTACAGCTATACCTTCTGAACTGAAAATCCAGAGTCCCATGATCTCTCGTTTTTGTTCTTTGCGACTGCTCTACTGCTCTAACTGGCCTTTTCTTCAACTTTCTCGTTAGAATGCTGAATCACGTCCAAACGTTTTTTTCCGATTTCGCAACATTTAGCAAATCTTTCTGTGTCTGTTTCTCTGAGAAATTCTCAGTGAGATTTAACTAACTCGGCAATGTTCCTGAGAATTTGCGGGAACTTTAAGCAATTTCTGCGCGAAGTTTATGCAATTTCTACTAGAACTGTTCGCAAAAATTGCATAAAGTTCGCGCAGAAATTGCCCGTTTTTGCTGAGAAAACCGTCACGTCTGCCCATTCTTCGCCTTATCCTTTTCTTGCACACATTATGTCTCTCAATGTCGTCGAAAACCGTTATCACTTCTTTTCGTGTCTCGGTTTTTCCTGGCGCTAACGCACAATAAATTTTTTCTCTCTTGATTGATTCCCGTCGTTGAAGGTTTTCAAGCCCTTCCAAATTGTATTTCTCTCTCCTTCGCTTTTTCTTTTTTTAAAGGACCAGGGAACCCTCCGAGTTTTCGTGTTTGTCTGAATTGCCTCTTATTGCCACATTTACAGTCCAAATCACCTTATTCATTCTCTTCATGAATGCTTTCATCATGATCAAAACTAGCAAAGAGCAACAAAAAACTCGCAAAAATTTCTGAGATTTCTTCTGACTTGTGAGGCCTGCTACCCACGCGCTCCTGGCCTGTTCCGAGACGTCAGATGCGTGCCGTCGTGCGAATATTGATTCATTTCACTTGACTTTTTGGGAATGCGTTCATTGTGATGTAAACTGACAAAGAGACACAAAATGCGCGCACGAGCGGCCATATTTCGAAAAGAAAGCTGTTTTCATGCTGAACCTTAGAAATTTTTGCGAGTTTTTTGTTGCTCTTTGCTAGTTTTGATCATGATGAACGCATTCATGAAGAGAATGAATAAGATGAATCGATATTTCTTCGGCGGCACGCATCTAAAGTCTAAAAAAAAACCACAAAAAAAACCACAGCAAAAGGGACGAGTTTTCTAGCGGATTTTCTAGGCCATTGCCGCAAGGCCACGGCCACAACTTTTACTGCGCGCTGTTTCGTTCATAGGCATTCCTGAGAATTGGGACTCGGACAGTGTATGTGACAATAAGGGGCAATTCAGACAGACATGAAAACTCGGAGGGTTCCCTGTTCCTTTACTTTTCTTACTTTAGTTTCACTATCTTCAGATGAGTATTGATAGGATTTCGAAAAGTGAGCTCTTAGCCAACTATGACACATTCCTGTTTGACGCTGATGGAGTGCTCTGGACAGGCGACATTCCGGTCCCAGGCGCCATCGAATGGATCAATTCGCTGCTCGATGACAAGTCGAAGAAAGTGTTCGTGCTGACGAACAACTCGACAAAAACACTCGAACAGTACATGAAGAAGATTGACAGACTCGGCTTCGGTCACCTCGAGAGGGACAACGTGATCAGCCCGGCTATCGTTTTAGCTGATTATCTCAAGAGCCAGCCCGAAAAGTTCGGCGGAGAACCAGTATATCTGATTGGAACGGAAAGTCTTAAAGCCACACTCGAGACCGATGGCGGAGTCAAGTGCTTCGGAACGGGACCCGACAGTATTCGCGATCACACCGATGGTGATTTCATTCACCGAATGGACTCGTCTATTCAGCCGAAAGCCGTCGTTTGCAGTTATGACGCTCACTTCAGTTACCCGAAAATCATGAAAGCATCCAACTTCCTGCAGGACCCAAACGTTGAGTATCTCGTAACCAACCAAGACTACACTTTCCCCGGACCCTTTCCCGGAGTTGTCATTCCTGGATCTGGCGCCACGTCCGCATCAGTGACAGCAGTTACCGGAAGAGACCCAAAAGTGTTCGGAAAGCCTCACAAGCCGATGGCTGATTTTTTGCTCCGTAGAGCTCACGTGGATCCGAAGAGGACCGTGATGTTCGGCGACCGTCTCGACACCGATATCATGTTCGGAAACGCCAACGGGTAAGCCTCCGGATGTGCGAATCCGACATAATTAACAGTGCTCAGGTTCGCAAGTGTGTGGATGCCCACAGGTATTCATACCGAAGAACACGTCTCTCTGGCGAAAAAGATTGGTCAGCTCGATCGTGTTCCGAAGTTTACTCACTGCTTCGCCACCGGAAACTGAATTCCTATTTCATCGATCTCATTTATTATCTTCCTGCTTTAGAAGTCGACTTCCTCCTAGGTTTCTCCCGATGACTCTTGTTTTTGCTCATTGTTCGTTTCATCTCTGTTTCTCTAACCTTTGTGGCGGTTTTTAGAATTTAATAAACTTTTTTCAGGCAGTTGTCGGTCACTCAAAGACAGTGCCAGAATGAATCGGAAGGGCCGCAGAAGCAAGGATGGATCAGCAAGCTGCTCAAGGGAGATCAGATGGACCCGTCCGCCTGGCAAAAGCAGTCCCACTCGTCGTTGCTCTCCAACTCTGAGCTCATGTACGAGTTCATGAGTAAGAAATTTGTTCGAAACAAATAATTCAATAATGTATTTCCAGCTCATAACTATCGACCAGGAGAGCAAGATGCGTACCTTGATGCATTCGGAAAGTACAAGACCGAGCTGAATGCGAAAAGACCGTCGATTGAACTCGTCGGTTCGTGGACCGTCGCATTCGGAAGGACCAGAGACCAGGCCATCCATCTGTGGAGACACAACAAGGGATACGAAGACGTTGATTCGTCGATTTCTCTGCACGGAAAGGATTCTTCAATCCGTGCTGCCGACAAAGACGTCGCCAAGATCTGCGGCCGCCGTAAGAACCTCATTGTGAAGTCGTTCAGCTACTGGAGAGAGCCGGAGCAACGACCACCGAACCATGTTTACGATCTTCGTTCGTACGTTCTGCAGCCGGGAACCATGATTGACTGGGCTTCCGCGTGGGCCAAGGGAATCCAGTACAGAAGAGAAGCCAACCAGGATGTCGGAGGATTTTTCGCCCAGGTCGGGCAGCTCTACGTCGTCTACCATATCTGGGCATATCCGTCCATGTCGGATCGCAATGATACCCGTCATGCCACGTGGGCCAAGCCGGGATGGGATGCCACTGTCGCCTACACTGGTCCGTTTTCCCGGTCGCGTTCTGTCTTTCAATTATTAGTTTTCAGTGCCACTCATCAAGAAGATGCAGTCGAAAATCTTGACGCCGACCAAGTACTCGCAGCTCGAGTAACCGTTCCTCTCTGGCCATGCACCCGGTTCTCTAGATTCATAGACGTCTTCTTGTGTTTATTTCCTCCGTTTTCGGTAGTCAAAAGTCTATATATTGTGCTGGTGTTTGCAAAATTTCTAATTTTCAAATGTATATTGCCTCCCTTCCGATCCGTTATTTTTCTCCAGTCGCTATAAATATTGCATCAGTTCGACGTTACTCTCTTTGTCAATTCTCATGCGGTTTTCACAATTCCGCTTCTTATATCTTTCCGTATTCTTTCCGTACGTTCTCATTTATCCGTTTCATTTCTTTTTCTTCTTTCATTTCATTTCATTTGAAGGCTCGTCGAGATGTCGCGCAATCCGTTCGATGATGATTACCGAGGAAGCAGCGCCTCTTCTACCAGTTAGTTTCTTTCGATTCAATATAAATTATTATATAATTCACTAACGTTCCTTTTTCAGTGCCTGTGAAAAGTTACTCAACTATGGGAAACATGTCCGCAGAAAGCGAAGCGGACTACTACGAGCGAGAGATCGAGAAGTACATGCAGGAGTCGTTGGACAGCACGGAACGATCGCGCCGTCATCTCGAAAATTCTGAGAAGATCGGAGCGGCGACGGCTCAGGAATTGCTTGAGCAAAGAGAAAAGCTCCAGAATACCGAGAAGAATCTCGATGAAATCCATCGTACGACCCAGATGACACAACGGAACTTGAACAGCCTGAAGTCGTTCTTCGGAGGATTCTTCAAGAACAAAATTTCGAAGAAGCCGCAAGAGCAGTCAGATGTCCCCGCGGTGAGTACACTAAAGACTGTTTCACGCAGGCATATGGTTTTCTTAGGTTCCGCAATCGAAGTCGGCTTCCCGTCTGTCGGAAACTGCTGCCAGTATGTCGAATGGCGGCGGATCTGCCTCGTTCTCCGGACCTTCCGGAGGAACCGGGCAGCGCACTTTGAACGAATCGAGTCGCGCGGCGATCAAAGGAACCCGCTGGGAAGCGATGGACAACCAGATTGACGAGAACCTCGACGCGATGTCCGCCAATCTGAGAAATCTGCAACGTCTCGGAGTGGATTTGGGCAAAGAGGTCGACTCTCAGAACGACATGCTCGAACGCATTCAGTACAAGGCCGACCGCAATGACGCCATCGTCAGAGACCAGGACAAACAGGTATATTGAACTCTGTTTGGCCCACACGCTGATTGTTTTCCAGATGCAAAAGATTCTCGGAACGGGCGCGTCGACCAGCCAAACAACTGCCGAATCTCTGACTCCGAGCATTGACACCTCGACGAAGATGTCTCTGATGATGAAGGCGACCTCCCTGTTCAAATAATGCACCCTTGATTCGCTGCTAATGAATAACACTCCGCCCATTGAACTTCCTTTTGTGCCCGCTCTTACTTCCACAACAACACGTCGTTCCTCTCATTCTATTCTAACTTTCTGAAAATGTGATTGAACTTGTCTTTACGAAATCATTATGAACTTTCTGTGTATAAATATGTCATAATGATGAAATGCTACATAATCAGTTTGAGGTGGATATCTCCCCCGCAGTGTACTTTGAAGTTTTATACGCTCCCGTGAGAAATGGAGAGGATAATGACGGAGTTAATAGACGGCTTAGCAAGTGACGAGTCATGACTGACTAATCCAAATATGATAATTACACCCGCACAATAACAATGATAATCCCATCCGAATGCTTTCCAGATCGAACATGACTTCCCTGCTAACTATTAAGCAGTTTTTCTAACGAAAATTCTATAGAACGTTAACAGATTTTATTGTATTATGCATTGTTTTTTGGGAATAAATATGTACATGGTGAATTCGATGTGAGAATGAGTGAATATTCGATGTGTTTGTGACAACCGACTAGAAAAAGGGGCGGGTTTGGCTAAGTAGACCGGGAGAACGAGAGAACGGAAGGAGAGAAGGTGTCAGATGACCATCGGATAGTCGGTGTTACGGATGTCAACTGCCAGTTCCTGAAGCACTTTCGTCAGAGCTCTCAGGCGATCGGCGGTGGTATCGAGGCGCTGAGTGATGAGCACATTGAGATTGGAGACCGTGTAGGAATCGTCCGAAGAGCTCTTGTAGTTGTTGTTCGAGGCGTCTTCGTCTTCGAAGTCAACGGAAGAGCTGGGCGAGGAAGCCATGGAAGACTGCTGAAAACGGAAACGATGAGAGACGATTCGGCTGGAGATCAAATGATCTATCATTCGTATCGATTCGATCAGTTTGCTCTCTCACCTCGCAGTGGCAATTCTCGTCGCAAAGCTCGAAAGTGGCACACGGAGAGCTCCTCTTCAATGTCGATCTTTTCCTGAACTTGGTCGTGTCCGTGTTCTTGTGCTCATCCCCGTCGACCGAATGTCCGCAGTGATCGAGACAGTATCGGACAGTCACTCGGCCGTCCATTGTCTCGAAAACATGCACGAAAGCGGTGCAAGTGACGAGAGAGCTCGCCTCCGAATTGGCCGAGACTTCTGACATTCGACGACGTTTCGTGGTCGCGGACGGACGACGTCGGCAGAGAAGGTAGTACTCCTGAAGAGACACAGATTGAGCAACGGACAACATGTTTACGCGGCGGAGAGCAAGGACTACTCAGCGAGAACTCACGTCTTCATAGGAGGGTCCTTGGCTGCTGCCCAGGTATCCGCCGTCACAACGAGAGTCTTCGATGTTGGAGAGCCAGATCTGGAAGTGAGCGAAGCTGTCGAAGCACTTTGACTGCATTGTCGAGTGGACTTCGTGGCTTTGAGCCATGTGGCCGACGAGCTCCTCGGGGCTCGCGATCGAGTGCTCATTGGGGCAGAGAGGGCACCGAATTTGAATAGGTGATGAACAGTTGGAGGCCATCTGAAATGGATGAAATGGAAAAGGAAAAAGAGAAGGAGAATGAAAGAGATGGAAAGAGAAAGAGGACAAGAAAGAAACGAGATGAAACTGCGTAGGTATACTTCGAACTGGTTTTCGACTGCCCCGCAATGTTTTCGTTCCAATCGGCCGCCTGAGTCTCACACGTTTGACTAATTTGTAAAAGGGAGAAGATACTTCTAATGGCAGCGCCCACGAGAGACACGTGATATTATCAGAAATTCGGTGAGAGGCGAAGACGATGTACGGGTGAAATGTGAGTGGAAGGCGAGAAAGAAGATGAGAAAGAGCCGAGAGGGGGAGTAAAGATGGGGGTGCAGCGGAGCAGTCGGATGAGGGTGTGGGTGCAAACAGCGTGACGTGGCATCTGACAGGAAAGAGGCGCGAGGAAAGATTAGCGGGAAGGGGCGGCGACGTTCTCTATTCACGCGAAAACGTTTCCGATTTCTGATTGATAGGAATTCAGAGAATTGAAAACCTTCCAGAAGTGAATGTAATTGAAGTTATACAGCTTATTTATCGGCTTGTGAACAATCAGAATGCTGAAGTGTCACACACCTTTCTTTGGGCGAGACGCCATGAAAACGTTCTTTCGGGCGAAGATAACAGAAGCGGTGATGATCGAAACTTGCAGCAAATTTGCAAACAAAGGGGTAAAGGTCGACACGATGTGTGGTCGCGTCGAAAGGCACACATGAAGGAGAAAAGAAGCTTGCCATCAGACTGTCTCTTCGGCCGCTGTCAGACTATTTTTTATATCGGCTATAGCAATCCGACCTAAACAGAGACGGCGGTCCCACTTTAATAGTGCATCCGTCCGTGTCCGAAAGCGGAAAAAGAGAACAGGCGCGCCCGCGCTCGCGAGCAACGCGCCACAAATCGTCTGCTCGCGCGAGCAGCCTGGGCTCGCCAAAACAGAAAGCGAAGGCGGCTGCTCGGCTGCGCAGGAAAACAATTCTGCGAGTGGCCGAAAACAGAAAAAGCACGGGATAAGGCTGCAAGTTTGATGAAAACAAGCAACCCGCATGGCCCGAATATTCGCTGCCCGATCGAATGACGTTTAACAGAAAAGTGCAGAGATCGTGTGATTGGGAAAAGCAGACAGATTTACGTATTGAGGACGGGTTTACGCGGTAGACGATCGGACTGTAAACGGTGAAGTGACTACCCCGAATGATGTCATTTTTCTCAGTCAACAACAACTTCGGCTGGCTGAAAAATAAGATCTTCTGCAAGCCGTAATCTGCGGGAGATAAGCCGGATACGGCATTATCATTTCCGGCTTCTGCTGATTCCTATACAGTAGTTGAATAACTCCAATTTATGCGTACTTTGTCAGATGACGTGAGTGTACGTTTCATGACATGATGCGCCCTATTTATAGCCGTGAACACGAATTATGTTTTCGCGAGTCCTTGCAAAAGAATACGAGTGATCAGAAATAGAAAAGGCGGAAAAGAGAGGAGAAGCGGTGACGTGGAAGTGAAGGCCAGCAAATGGAGAATGCATGCGAAATGGAGGATATGAAGATGGATGTGGAGCAGCGCAGAAGCAGAAGACCGAAGCTTCCGGGCCGCGAGGAGGGTTAAACGGAGAGAGAATGCGGGCGGGTGACTCTTCGATAAGACCTTTAACCGCTCACAAATCGCACGGTGCACGTAGTCTGGTTGCGGGGACGGACGAAGCGAACGAACGGAAAAGAGAAGAGAAGATGTTTGGTGAGGCCGCTGCTCTGCAGAATATCAGCTGACTGAGCCGCTGCCACGTCACGTGGCCAAAGGAACGAGAGACTCAGACGGAGGGACGGTTGCAACATTTGCAGAGAGCAGCAAAAAAAGCGGGTTGATTCTCTCTCGCTCTCTTTTCTCTCGGTCCTATAGGATGATGGCGGCGGCGGCAGCGCCTGTTGCAAAATAAAAAGAGGAGGAGAGGCGGAGAGAAAGAGTGAGAGTGAAAGCCAACGGACACACCTCGAGGGGCTGCTTGAATCGATTCGGGAGCGGTGGGAATGGGAGGATGGCCACGGGAGGCCAGACGACTTGTGACCGCTGATGACGCCAATCCGTCCGTTCTTTCTTCCGCTCCTTCTCCTCCTCCTCCTCCTGATTGTCAATCGAAACGTGAGTCATCGCACATTGCGAAACACGAGAGAGCAAAGAATGGAGGCTGCTCAGACGAAGCGGTCGGAAAAATGGATTATGAGCCAGGAGAGACTTTCGAATTAATCTCAATTGTGCTGGTTAGCATGGCTCAGCGTCCACTGCTCAACAGAAAACGAATGAAGACTACCGTAACTCGCTGCCATTTCCGTGAGACGATTTTGAGATAAAGTTTAAATTCAATATCAACCAGAACGGTACAACCTGGAACAATGTATTGTAACCAGGGAATCAGTATTTTCGAGTCTCCCTCTCAAATAATGGGAATTTTGAAAGAACATAAAATAATCACCTGTTTCGGAGGAATTTCGGCTAGCGCTTTCTGCAAAGAAACGGAGAAACGTTTGTTTTATTTGTGAGAAAAGGCCTCGCTTCGACACTTTAGAAACCAAGAAACATTTGAAATTCGAATACGTTTTTTCTTTTCGGAAATTGAAACCGCATTTGGAAAGATTCACATTTCAGGATGGTCATCTGATCCCACCGAAAATCAACGTTTCCGGCGGAGTGCGAGAGAACGGACTGACCGAAAATCTAGGTATGAAAAAGAGAGGAATTCCAAATCATTTTCTCTTTTCAGTCTCGTGCGGCGACTCGTTTTGTGATCTGCAATTCTGCAAAGAAGCAAACGAAAAGGGGGGATTCGAGTGTCGGACAGACTAAATCCGTTATGATGATTGGTCGAAGAGCATCTTTGATCAAATCGTAAAACAGAACCTGTATTGAAGCATAACAATAAAACTGAACTATACACTGCTGCAAGAACAAATCAAGAATAACATGACATCGATAACAAGGAAGAGATTGGTCCGCAGCATTTTCGCACATGACTTTCAAGTCTCGAAAGATCACAAAGTACAAATAATGAACATGGATGCAGAAAAAAATATGAGAAAAGTGAGAAGTCCTGAAAAGTTGGAAAGTTGGGGTTCCCGACACTGATAAAACATTGCTCTGGGGTGGAAGCACGAACAGAACGACGTTCAGAAACCGAAAAGATCTGTGAGAAGGTCGTCGTCGCACTCGTTTTCATCGCCTGCCGGCATGGCTGAAAGCTGTCGACACTAAAGAAAACGCGTCGGAAACGGCTCTTTTCCCTCACCAAAGTCCAATTTGTTGAGCTCTTCGAATACGGCGTCTCCGCTTCCGTCGGCAATAAGCAGTTGTGTAGCCATTTCAGATGCTTTTGCCAGTGGATCATATGTTGACGGATCTGCAAGGAATTGTGTTCTGATAATGAGAATCCAATTCATGGTAAAGTTAAACAGCATTTCTCAAAAGCACAGCTTACCCATTCCAAAGTTGCAGTCTCTGGTCATTGGATTCATGTGTTCTTGTTGTTCGTGCTGAAGACCTGAATCTCTGATCCCACTAGTATCCTGGCTTTCATATGCAAAATAGTTTGGAAAGGGATCGAGTAGGGCTTGCTGCATTGGTTGAAAGTCTGCAAGTCAAATGAAGAGAACATCGGCTTCTCATGCAAGTTTTGCATTTTCGTGTCATACCTGGATATCTTCCAATAAGCGGATCATATCCATATGCAGGTGGCGAATTGATACACTCCTGCGGAATGTTCGGCGCTATCTGCAAGACAATGCTTAATCAATCAATTATACAGATCGAAATTTTTGTGACAACTGTTCATCAAATCGATCCCTCGGGAAGTTTCGATTTTAGTCTTGTTCATCGAGTGTCCAAATTATTTGACAACAGAACAATGGAACAAGCTGTGATACACCCTTTTCGCCATTTGAATTTCGACGATCACCCTGACAACGGCACTGCGGTTATTTAATTTATATATTGTGAAGTAATTAATGTTTCAGGCACTACTAACGTATTCTTTGCCTGACTCCTTCAGTGAGACATTCTCTCAAAATGCGGATCTGTTTCGCGACGGACGCCGTCATCTCGGAATCCGTCGTCCGTTCGCCATTAAAGAACTTCCTGCCATAAAACAATAGCGTGTGTGATGTCTGTGTACCTCCATACATTCCGTTCTATCACTTCTCGCTCCGAGACCCGAGTACTTGGAATGGCCTGTCTCTGTCGTTTCTCTCTCCTCTCTCGCCGTCTGTTTCGTGGCCGGCCGACCAGGGCGGCCCCCGCGACACACCGCTTTCGCGCTCCTCTTTACAGCGTCTATCAATTATTTTCCTTACATTTTGCTGCTGAGATGCCTGATGCTCGTAATATCCGTTCTGTGCCATCAACACTCTCTCCTTCTTCGCACTCGTCGACGTTCCTTCTTCTTTGTCATCGGCAAGTGAACAAGGATACCTTTTTGCTGGACGGGTTCGGAATTGCGGCGAATTCTTCTGAAATGCGACCGGATTTCGATTTTAGAGTGATTTGATTCGATACATAATCTGCGAGTTTCTTCAGGCCGAATTCAGTCTGTATCATCGAATTCAATCCATCGAATATATCTGAGTCCGTGTCCGGAACGGCTTCAGTCGATTCAACGGACAGCCTTACAGTCGTGTCTCCCGGCTCTTCGACCAACAGCTCCGTCGCCTCCCGTACCTCATTTCTTCGGCGGAAAAAGTTCAAGCGGTCTGGAAGAAGAGAGCGGAAATGCGATTTCGATGGCCGCGGCGGCCAGCGCCTTCTCACTCAGAGTCGGTTGATCGATCGTCACGCCAGCTGGCAGTTCTCCGTAGTAGATGTCTTGCCGCATTTCCAAATTGCGGCACGCTGCAAGAAGCCGTTTTCGTCTTTCTTTCCCTCGTACATGTCCCGTCTTCTTACCGACTTTGCGCTCCCCATGGGCGTGATTTCGGAACAAAGTCATCGAGGTGAAACCGCTAAAAACAAGAGAAATGAGGTGGCGAAGAGAGCAAGAGCCGGCCATCGATTGAGCCAATTTAAGACCGCAATTTTAGCGACGAGCCTTTCATTCGCGAGCAACAGAGCGCCAAGAGAGGCTTATGGTGCACTTGTCGCTTTTTCTCAGTCTCATTTTGGGGTTACGTTCTCTCATGAGTTCAACGCTTGTGCAATGCATTGAGGGTTCAGCGAGGTTAAATGAACAGATTTTAATCAGTTTGTACTTTCGTCAGAATTTCAAAGTTCGCTCAATAAACGGAATGCGTTTCCGATTCCGTTTCATTCGATTAAAAAAACCGGTTAGGAACTTTTGAGTCTCTTTCAAAGCAACTCTCATTTTGCCTTCACAGCTTTTCCAAGGCGCTCACTTGTCACAGACACTGCAGGTGAATGTGTGGACTCCTTCGTTCTTGTGAATGCGCATATAATGCACTTGTAAATCCATAATGCCAGTCCGTATTTCTCCACAGTAGAAACATCTCTTCGGTGTGTCTCTGTAAGTCGTTTGCCTTTCGTGCTCTTTGATTACTCAGAAGTCACTCACTTGTGCACTTCTGTATGTCGAGTAGCGTGATATGCATTGGCGAACGTCTGATCGCATTCCAAGCAGGAATACTTAACTTTTTCCTTTCCCGATGAATCCTTAAAACGACCTTTCTATAGAAAATACAGTCGGGTTTCCATACAACTGTCTTTTTCATGCCCGGAATATCTTTTGTGGTACGCAATATCTGTTCACGGAGCACTTCTTCGCATGGATATGGAAGGCAGCTCACAGAATTTTCGAGTTTTCGGTGTAGCAGCTAAAAGACGAATGTCATCTGAATGTTTCACCCCTACACATTACCAAATAGTCTCTGGCTTTCTTTTTATCGTGAATTTTCTGATGCTTCTTCCTTTCGTTTTCTGTGAACGACACACTGAAAACGCTCTCTTTACCGTTCTTACTTTAAGGATCGCTCACTGATTGCATCCGTTCTCCAGACAAGGGCTCTCATGTCTCAAATGACACCCTCTCAAATGAGCAGTCAATGTGGAATGGGTCTTGTAGGTGCGATTGCACACGCGGCAGAAATATCGATCGTCGGGCAGAATGTCCTGTTCAAAAAGAAGAGGTTAGTTGGTTAGAGAACCATAGGACTTACGACGTTCTCGAACATTTCTCGCGCATTCCTCACGACCATGTTATCCCCGTACTTTTGTGGTTCATCGGTCATCTCATTGACAGAACTAAAAGATTCGGAAAAACTCAGAGGCCCTCTGATCGGCTCCGCCAGTTGGAGCAGTTTGCGCAGCTTCAAATTGTCGGGCTCGAGCATCGAATAGCCTTGTTGAGGCGGTGAATGCGGAACATCTAGATAGTAATATCTTTTGCCTAAAACAGTTTTTTATTCACAGTCTCGAATTCATCAGACCATTTTCTACTTGAACTGATTTTGTTGCGGGAAGGCCGCACACTTCCTGCTCGTTCATTTCTTTAGCATACGACTTCTGAAGAAAATTGAAATTTAATGTTTTTCTATTTTCATTTTATCAAAATGTACGGGGACACATTGCTCATCGTCTGTTTTGGTTCTTTCAAGGCATTCTTTAGATTTCTGATCACCGACGACCTATCTTTGTTCAGATAGTTGCTCCGTTCCTAATTTTAGTTCTCGCTATGTGTGCTCGAAAAAATTCACAAGAGAAGAGTGGAAGGGCTATTCCGAGCACCAAAACGGTAAAAAAACTGCGAAAGGCTCAATTTCATTTTTCTTTTCAGCTGAAATCTGGTCGCGTGCAATGTATATCGCAGAAGGAACTGAATGACGAACACCAGGAAAGTGTGACCGGAGTCAGTGTTCGGCAAGTGAAAAAGCGAGATGCTCCGAAAAGTGGGAAAAAAATACATGCAATTCCGAGAATTGCTCGCATTTCAGACGAAGTTCACAAACCGATCGATGCAGCTGTCTCCGAGGGAATGATATTGGACCCAAAACATTTTAAAAAACAAGGAAACATCGATATGGTCAGTTATTAATTCAGACAGAAAACATTTTGATTGTTTTTTTAACTCTAAAATCTTTTTTGAATTCGTAGAGTACGGTAGAAGACACAATTTAGCACGCACACATCGTGTTTGCGTACTGTGTGTACCGTAATTACCTCGAATACCTTTCGAAAGCGTTCCTCTTAAATTGTTTTATGTGCTCGAATCCTATTCAAAAATCTTTTTTTTTGCGTTCAGATGCCATCTAACCTTGATTTTCACAAAGAAATCAAGCATTTGATGGACAACCCTCCAATTTCGGATGCAGACCGTTCGGGCTCCAACTCCTCTGAAAATAATGACCAAAGAAGGGTAATTCGCTCCATTTTATGAATTTATGAAAAAGCGAGTGATAGGTTGTTATCCATCCATCGCAGTGCAAAATTTTCGAAACTTCGAAACCATCCAGCGAACCTTCTAGTGTCTAACGAAACGAATTGAACTCGAATTTTTCATTATAACGACAGTCAATAAGATCGGAGCCGATTTGTATGTCCAAAGCGGTAATTTCGTATTCAAATTTTCTGCGCGGAATCGAGTTCGTCCAGAATTCGCTTGCCTTCGAACCTACGTTTTTCTTCTTCCGAATGTCGTACCCTGCTCATTAGTGCATTTCTCTCCGGCCGCCAAACTCCTCTCTTCCTCCCATCCAATTAAAGAAGGTACGACGAGCGGCGGCACGCCAAGTTTGGATTGAAGTCGCCGGAGACGCTCTCGTCGTCTTTGTTTCTGCTCATTCTGCCCGCAGTGGTTGCGAGGCCCCAGCCAGAATCAATCGGCTCGTAAAGCGCACTTGAGGAGCCATAGCGCCGCATTCGCAAGTCTTTCGAAGATGACCTTATTCTGGAGAATTTCTGTCTTTGTATTCTGTATGAGGTAAGCGAAGAGGTTGTAAACGACCAGACTGTCTGACCGAGTCGCCAAACATTTGCGAAGGACGAGCGCCGCAGTAATGGGAGCGCGAGAGCGAGAGACTGGAGACGCGGAGAATGGAGGCGCTTCAATTTCAAATACAAACATTCGGTTACCGTACTTCTCTTTCGTTTTCCTTTTCAACCTTCTTGTTTACGAAGACGCAGACGCGCAAACAGAATGCGTTAATGTATTCAAATTCACAACAAGTATTGTCTAACCTAGCTCCGTGGCGAAAACTAGAAAGTGGCTATAAAAATTGTAAACAAACGATGAATCATCTAATTTGTTAGGGTAATCGTATAGTTCACAGTCGCGATAAGAGCTGGGCTTTCCGCTTTAGCAAGTGAGTATGATCAGCGACATTTTTTCTAGAAATTAACTAATTTTCGCCTAATTTTAACGCGCGCAATGCGAAAAAAAGATAATTTGAGACAAAACTGTTTTGAAATTCGTATGTAAAAAGGAAAGGCAGGAGTAAATAGAAGTTGGTCCCATCACGAAGGCCGGACGATTTAGAAGCAGTCGAGAAGAAGCGGCGGCTGCGTGTTTGCGTCAGAAGGTTCTCGAGCCGATGGAGCAGCAAAGAGTGAGATCTGCTCATCGAACACCGCCCAGCTTGCCTGTGTCTCTTTCTTTCGGTTCTCACTAGAATCGATGCAGCTACGGGAAACTGGGAGGGAAGTGAAAGACGTGGAGGGGTGCTTTGAGGTGTGTTGCCGTCGAGAGAGTGAGAAGTTTAGAGAAAAAAAGCGCTTTCGTCTCTCAATCTCTCGCTTCTGAATAGCCGGTCACATCGGACATAGGCGAGCGCGACCCGTCGATGCGAAAGAGGGTGCACTGCCTGTAGAGACGGATGGACGCACGAGACTGAAATAGAATGCCGTGAGCAGAGACGGAGAGAATCGGCGACAGACCTCGCCCCACTAGGCCTGCATCCCATCGTCCGTTCTGTTCTCTTCGCCTCGTCGCGTGTGTATGTGTGTCTTGTATGCATTCAGCAGTCGGTCTGCAATGCAGACTCTGCATCTATCCATACCCCACCACAGCTGGGGCACGGCCAAAAGTTACACTTGTTTTTTCGCCTCGTTTCCTCTATCGACTTTTTCTCGCTTGTTTTTCCCGCCAGTGTCCTGTTCGTTCATCATTTTCTTTCCCAATTTTTCATAGACATCGATTTTCGCGGTCGCAGGTCAAGTGTCAGGTGCTCTAGCGAACCACACCGTCCTAGATTTCTACGGCTTTGTCCGTGGAAGTAGTTCTTTCCTCGAGTATTCACTTTGTCCGGGTTTTTGTGCAGGTTTCTTGAGTTTACAAATTAAATTAATCTTCAGTTTGTTCTCAATTTGAAAAAAAAATCGTCTTGAAATCGCCCCAAAAAATAAACGAACAATTTAAACTGCTAGTCTTCTTGAAGAAAACTTATTGATGTGAATCGTACGACCTTCATTCAGATGCGCTAGTCGCCTAAAAGTTTTCTTCTAGAAAATGTTTTTCTAAATGTACAAAATATGCGATAATCTTGTTTACAAAAATTAATTTCAAGGTCCTTGTTTTAAATAAGCCCCTCAGCGCTCACTTTTTCAATAGACAATTGTATCCTACCTCCACAGAACTCGTGACCTCTGTCGGAAAATCTTACGTTATGCAATCCACTCGTAAATTATCTTTCCGACACTCGAAAGTATCTGATCCGATCTGTCCGTGACGCATTGATAACTGTATTCCTATTGGAGTGCTCTTTTTCTAACCAAACACTCTTTTCAACTTTAACTGTTATCAGTCTTCCTTCATAGAAGGTTGCTCCTTTCAATCGGTTTCCGAAGCGGTTTGCTAGCGGTGAGACTTTGACTCCTTCGCAGTTTTTAGGTCATGTTTGACGAGACGAGTGACTGAGTGAGAGATTCGACAGAGACAGAGTAGAGAACGATCGCATTTTCTTCGCTCCTGCGACCGACGACTAGACTCGTTCTCTCGCATCTTTCCCTCCCTTCCTACCTGTACATTTTAAAATCTACGGTTTTCTCCTCAAAAGTGATGTACGCGACTATTCTGATAACCTTCCGTTCCTTCTGAAATTTCTCGGAATTATCGTGGATACATCGAGAAATTTTGCATGTTTCATTTACCCAAAAAGGAGCTTCTAATTTCACTTTTCAAGGCTTGTATCCATCAAAGTTCCTTTTCGCTGGTCCTGCGTCTCGCTATCTCTTCCCTCTCGTCCGCTTCGCTGAGCCTCCAATAATTGTTTTGGAGCAGTTTTGCTCAGAGAATCGAGGAAGAACGGAGACACAGACGCACGGAGACTGGGCTCATGTGTTTGTGCGCATGTGACAGAAGAGTCGACGTCGCTGCGCCCGAAGAGAATTCGTTGTTGGCTCGATGCCAAGTTGCGTCCGCCTCCTCCGCCTCTCGCTCTATTGCTTCTCCGGGGGCGCCTACAGTAGGCAGTCGCGTCTGCGTCTCTCTTCCCTTCTGGAGGTTTTGAATCGACAGAAAGGCGGAGGAAAAGGAAGACGACGTCGTTATCAGTGTCTTTCCTTTATGATATCGTGATATGTGTGTATATTCACGCCCATTATTTTCAAATAGTTTATGTTAAAGTGAGAAAAAGAGAGATGATGACGAGAGAAAACGTAGTTTAGAGAGAAATCAAAACTTGAATGACCTCCGTTGACGAACAGGACATAATACATTATTCCGTTTGCAAGTTTGCTCTACCGTACTCCCCCTCACACCTTCGAGATGACCCTTCTTTACTATCGGTTTCTATTTGTTCAAGCGATTGTAGCTCATTCGTAAAACCGATAGTTTACGGTTTCTCGTCCGCCGCCGCTGATTTGTTTCGCGCACATTTCGTTTTGTCACCGTTTAATCACAATGTTCTGCAGCTCTTCATACCAATGTACAGAGCCTGATCCTTCGAAAGTTCGTCCCGACAGAAGAAAGCTAAGAGTAAGATTCTGTGAAATGTATTCAACTAAATATATTTTTGGTTTCAGATTTGCACACACGAAACTGCTGGTAATCGAGATGAAGGAGATGGTGGGCGGATGTTGTGTCTGCGCAGATGAGAACGGCTGGACTGACAATCCATTGATCTACTGCGATGGAGAAAACTGCGACGTCGCCGTACATCAGGGTGAGTATTGCATTTTCTCGACACTTTATCTTCTTGAAGTTCAGGATGCTACGGAATTCAAGAAGTACCCGAAGGCGAATGGTTTTGTGGAAAGTGCACGTCGGCAGCCGCAACTGTACCCGGTCGAATAAATGAAGCGACGTACTGTTGTCAACTGTGTCCTTTCGATTACGGTGCCTTAAAACCTACGGACCGAGGAGGATGGGCTCATGTTATTTGTGCTCTCTACATTCCTGAGATTAGGTTCGGAAATGTGCACAGTATGGAACCAGTCATTCTCTCCGATGTGCCTTGCGACAAGTAAATTTTTCGAATCCCCATTTTCACATAGTTAGTTTTGCTCTTAGATTCAACAGGACATGTTACATTTGCAATGAGGAGCGACCCGAAGATGCGAAGAAGGGCGCATGTATGTCGTGCAACAAGTCGACGTGCAAAGTTTGTGCCCATTTGCTCTCGAAATTCGATATGAAACCCCCTTCGTTTCAGAAGAGTTTCCACGTGACATGTGCGCAACGAAAAGGGCTTCTATGTGAAGAAGGATCGGTCAGTCGCAATGTGAAATACTGTGGATATTGTGAAAGTCATTTGAAAAAGGCGGTACGTTCATTTTCTCCATGTACATTATACTGGATAGACGCAGGCGACTGCGCGTTGCCTTCTTCTCCTTCTTATCTTCTCTTTCTATTTCTTCTGCGTTCTAAGGCGTTACTGTCGAATTGTCGTTGTTGTTACTGTCGAACTGTCGAAAGGATGAAAAGAGGGTAATGGAGGGTTTGTGGCGCTGGTCGGGTGCATTGGTGCAGATGCAGTGGCACCAGTCTAAGACGGATAGATGAGTCTATCAAATAGAAGCAAGAGACTCGAAATAAATGAATACAATTGGATGCCTCCTTCTCTCTCTCTCTCTCTCTCTCTCTTTCGTCTCGTTCATGGCCGTTTGCACGCGGACCACCACACGAGCCTCTCTTCTGTCGGCCGAATGGCAACACTCGGCCTCTGGAGCTCGCTTGCTTTCTGCTTCTGCGTTTCTCCTTTCTCTCTTTCTTCCTCCCTTCCGTCTCGAAAGAAAGAGAGAAAGACATTATTGTGGTCGAAATACGCGCGCCGTGGCCCGCGTGCTTCCACACATTCATTCAACACAACACACTCGACAGCGAGAATGAAAGAATGGGATTGAATAGAGAGAAACGAGAGAAGACTCGGGAAGCAGAGAGTGCACGCTGGGGAGACGACGTGAGCGAGGGACTGCGCTGGTGAGATGGCTGGCCGGCCGGCTGAGTGTGACAACGACAAATAGTGCTCGGGGGCACTGCGACGGCCGTCGATTGGAGTCGGAGAGTGCGGAGATCGAGACGACGAAAGGAACAAATTGGAGGCACAAGATAACGCGAAAGTGGAAAGAGAAAGAGACGGGCAGAGCGTTTTAGACACTCGCATTCGGGCTGTGCTTTTTGTATGCTGCGATTCCTTCTCGTTATGTAACGTAGTCTCTGCTGTTGGTGGTGGTGGAGACAAGGGCTCGCTCGCCGATGCTCTTCCTGTGTCGAGCTCCCGCCGTCTCTCATAAGCTCAGAACTCGCTTACGTCTGCGTCGTCGGACACTATTCCCTAGACTTGGGTGGCCGTCGAACCTACTGTTGTCTGGTCTGCGCTTCTCCCATTTTGCCTCTTTGTTCGGTCTTTTCGTCTTCAGCACACCATTGATATTTTTCAGCGTTTTGTAAAGCTTCGTTTCTACCGTCTCCCTACTACGTAGTGTCATCATAGTGCATCGAATGATGACTGTCTTTCTGTCGTGTCGTCATCGCCTCTTTACTCTCCCAAGACGGTGCCACACACTGGTGGTCGGTCGCCCGTTTCGTTTTCCGAACCTGCGTTTCTACATTGTTCGTAATCTCTCCATGCGCTTGCCTCGTCCCGGTCGCCTTACGGTCGCTGTGTTTGATGTCACCTTTCTCATCTCCGACGGTTTTTTGCCCGAGACGCTCCTTTGCTTTCCTCTTCGCTCTTACCTCGTTTTGTGGTCACTTGCGGAAACTTGAAAACATCCTAAGAAACGAACTTCAGCATTTTGTTTTACTTCATAGTACAATCACATGTTCTTATTGAATTTGCTTGAAGTTTCTTATCCTGAGACTACTACTAGGGCCTCAATTTTGTTCCTATACATTTAAGATCCTCCGATTCGTTCTTTTCTGTCTCCATGGAAAGTCTCCATGCAATCATGCGTGCGCACCTCCGAATTCTCTTCTCTAAATCGCTTTCCCTGCTACTCTTATTCTCTTTTTTCCTCACGTTTCTGAACAAGAAGACGATAAATCATGTGCCCCTATTGCCCTTCGCGCGCTCGATTTCGAATCGTACCGACTGGACATAGGGTTGGGGGAGCGGGTCGTCCAGTCATCGTCGCCGCGTCCTTCGCAGGATCGTTTCGCTTCCTCCGCAGCACAACTTTTCGCTTTCGGGGTGGTGGTTTTACTCGCTCTTCCTTCTCTATCGTCTCCGTCGGTGCACACCCTCGACGCAATCGCTCCATCGCTTTTGCGGGCCAAAATGTTTGTCTGCGTGACTACCTGCCTCCTTCAATCAAACAGTCTCTATTCCGTCGCGCTCGCTGGCGCTCTCTTCCGATTCGAAGACTCTGGTGAATGATCGGTGTCCTCTGCACAGCCCCGATGTGATGCTTCTGTGTTTCTCATTTTTGTGACTGCCTGCACGGCTTTCTGCGTATGTGTACGTGTCTACGCATTATGTGTCTCCACAGCAGCGAGAAGCGTGCGACTGTCTGCGTCCACGCTATCTTTTTCTTTCTCTTCTCCGATGGCCCAACATTTCTAACGACGGAAAAAAAGGACGCAATCGACACGAGAGAGACAGACAGAAAAGAGAGGGAGAAGCGCGTGCGGAAGAGACACAGTGGAAGGCAGCATAGGCGGTGGCCGATCACACTTGCATACGCATACACACAGTCATTCACAACATTCGCGACAGCAGGCAAAGCGCACGGTCTCGCCATTTGGCTGGCTGCCAACACGGTCGCTGGTAAAATATACGTTTTCATTTTGTGAAATTAAACTTAAGCCTTCCACGAGTCTCACAGACTTCAAATCTTCCGTCGGATGCAGTTTTCCTTCTTATTTTGAATTCTATGGATGAAAGATTATTCTTCTCCGGAAACCGGAGTTCGAATACTGAATTCCGGAGAAATTCGGGAGGAAATTAAATGAGATTCTACGTGTTTCTTTTTATCCATCAGTGGTATTGCCTCATTTAGAAACTGTCTTTCGTCACTGTAGAAAAGAACTGGGTCATAGCGGTCTCTCTATCTCTCGCTTCTCTGCAGTTTTCTGTCCTAATGCTTCCTGTTCTTCTCGATCTTCTTCCTATATTCTCTCTCACGCTATCTCTTCTTTCCCGTCGCCTATTTCTCCTCGAGCGCGCAAAGTCAGTAAATATTTAGAATTTTCAATGAACTTTTTTTCAGATTACTGATCCTGCGATCAAAATTATTCCGGCTTGTCCTCCCGTTCAACGGATCGCAAAAGATCAGGAGAAGAAGAAGCATTTGGCGAATCTCCTACCGCCGCCGCCACCAAAGTCTCATATGCTCGTCGATCCTTTGCCAAGGCCCGAACAAGTGAACAGTGTCTTCGGACTCGGTAATCCGACAGGGAACAACCCTGTCCCGCTGCAAGAACGACCTGAGTCCGTTTCTCTACCGAATTCCGGTACTTTCGTCCCTCCGCCCACTGCATTCTCTCCACCTCTGACGACGTCGAGTAGGTCTTCTGTTGCATTGGAACAGACGCCTCCTCTCGCAACGAAGACTATCATCTCTTCTGGTCCATTGATTCCTTCAACAGTTCTAACTTCAACACCGGAATCGAGCACTTCAAGTATGGCGAACGGAAGTTCGCTCCAATTGTCAGAGACGACTGTCGGGAATCATTGTCTGCAGCAGCTCCAACATATACAGGCAGGCACAGCGTCTGCACCTGCCCCTGTGCATACGACTGCTTCCACGTCTGTACTGAACGAGCTGAACGGATATCCGGCAGCGAGCCAACTTTCCAGCTTTATGGTGCGTTGTGGACTCTCAGATTTCATTAATAGGGCTAATCAGTTTCAGCACGAAATACCGGCTAGAAATACGACAAGCGTCGCCAGTTTGTTACCTCCGGGAGCAGCAGAGTATCATTTAAATGGAAGCGGCGATGAAGAGAAGACTGTCAAAGCGGTTTTGACGGCACCGTTGGCGAAGGCGAAAAGGATGAGGGATTCGAAAAACGACATCTTAGACAAGGGGAACAAGAGACCTCGAGCCAATCAGCGAACTCCAGCGGTTCTCGGATCTTCCTCGACATCTTCTTCTGGTACAGTTGGGAAGTCGGCAAGCATGCAGAGACTCATAAACTTGGTCACACCCGTAGTCAATGAAACGGTCACTGATTTCCAAAGAGATCGTGTTGCGGATCGGACGGCAGCAGAGCGAAGGGCGGCAGCTGCACAATCTCAGCCTTCCACCTCGAGCAACGGGACGCCATCACTTGTGAATCCACCGCCAGAAGTTTACCCGAATTCCAACTCGTCGACTCATTCTAACAACGTTCTTCCGGCGACAAATGTCTCGATTCCAGGAACTAGTACTAGTGGTCAGTATTTACTTCAATATTCGACAGATTATATCTTCTTTTTTTACAGAGCCTGCGACTCAAAATGGTACGAACTCGAGTTCTCACATTCCTCGTCTCAACAATTTGCCTTCCTTTATGGAACAACTGCTCGAAAGGCAATGGGATCAAGGTTCGGGGCTTTTGATGGCTAATGCTCACTTTGACGTGGCACAACTTCTGAGTTGTCTGTTTCAATTAAAATCTGAAAACTTCCGACTCGAAGAGACTTTGTCGAACCTTCGAAAGCGAAGAGATCATTTGTATACGCTGAACGCGAGACTAGCTGAGGTGAATACTCTGGATGTAGGAAAACGGCAACGAGAACTTCTACAGCAACAGCAACATCAACAACAGAATGCTGACCTTCCACTCGTTCCAAAGCCGGAGCACCTCAAGCAGGAATCGTTGGCACCGACTGCTATGGTCGTGCCAGGCACGCACCAAGTAGTCGGTCATCCGGTGATGGTCAACACATTGTTCGAGGATGTGAAGCCAGCTAAGGGAACTCCATCCAACCGAAAGTCGGGTTCTATTCCTCCGGCCACGCTCCCCGCCCCTGTGGCCATTTCTTCTGCTGCGGCCCCACTTACCACCACCACCGCTTCGTCTGGGGCTCTTGCCAACGCTGCACTTCAAAACAACAGGTAATATCCTATTTTAATTATCTCTATTCAGTCCCAAATTTTCAGAGCAACTCCGTCCACCGCTGGCGCTCCGTTGGCTTCTACTCCCGTCATGACTGCTGTCACTGCGAACGAGATGGCTATGAGTCCGGACAGAGTCGCCAATCATCTTCAAACCGCTCTCAGCATGTACCGCACTCTTCCAATGGTAAATCATCATTCTTATTAATAAAAGTCTTGAGCAGTGGTTTGTCCGCACATGTTTTCATTTCTAAAACGTTGTGACGGAGAAATCAAGACATGAGCACGTGAACTTTCGAACAGTTATGAGAAACAAAAAAGCGGCGAATCCGCTTCCAAGCATTAGCTCGGACCGCGCAGCGTGCCCAGGTTGGAAGCCTTGTAAATCATAAGAATTGAGCATTAAACGAAGTGTTGTTTTAGGGATTCCAACTGCAAGATCCAACCGTGGCCGCTCAACTCTCGATGCTGAGCCAGTTTCCGAATCAGATGAACAATGCGCTCTTCTCTCGCCTCCTGACCCAGCCTCAGATAGCTGCCGCGGTCAACATAATCAACAACAGCGGTCTCAATCAACCACCAACCTCCCAGTCTCTTGCTGCTCTTCCACCCACTTCGGCCACTCCGAATGGAAAGTAAACGCGCCCCCTTTTCCTACCTTTTTAATTCCGTGTCCCTGGAATACCTCAAAAATCCTTATCGGTTGTCTATTTGGTTTACTCTTTTTCTCTCGTTTCAACCCGGTTGGTCGATCAGTACTCGTATGCATCGTGGAATCATAGCCCCTCTATCAATTATGTCAAACACTTTGCGGGTCAGAAATTTTTTGTTTTGGGGCGTATTTGCTCTGATCACTTCCTCCATACGAACAGTACCTTTTCCTCTGATTCCCAGACATTTTCCCCCACACCCCACCTCGTTAATTGTGCCTCACTGATTCATTCACAGTTTCTCACGATTTGCATTCGATAATTATTGAACCTTCCCATTTTCTCTCTTTAATCGTTGAAAAGCGTTCATAAGGTTAATAAGTAAAACTTTAAAAGTTGTTTTCGTTTCAACAACCACAACAACAACAACAACAATAATATTTGAGCAACAGAAACAAACGAAGAGGAACAGTTATTCTTCTCTAAGAAAAAGCCTTTTCGGTGGCAGTGTTTCGCTCATTCCGTTCGTGTTTCGCACTCCTGCTCCGTACGTGATGATCGCGATGAATCCCTGGTTGTCCGGCGCCGTTCTGATCAGATCTGGCTTCGTTTTGAGTCGTTCGTTCATCTGAAAACCTGTGAGTCACAGCAGAAATCGTCGGCTGCCCACCTCGACGAGAATGCCTCGAACGCCTGCTCGCACAACGTGCTCCGATCCGTCTTTGCATTTGAACGTGCACAGTTTCGAGTCGGTTTGCAGAATGAGTGCTCCCTGGAATGCTCTCTTTCTCACCGTCATCTCTCTTTCTCTCTCTCTCTCTCTCTCTCTCTCTCTCTCTCTCTCGTTTCCTTACGTGCTTTCCCTTTCCCGATACTTTATTCGTCGATCGATCTGCTCCGTGTTTCTTCGTACTTCCGAAGTCCACTTCGATCACTTCACTCTCCGGAATCTGAACTTTTTTTTTCATTTTGGCGAATAAATGTTAATAGTATAACTGCTCTGAGAACGACGACGGTTACTCCGCTCGGATGATGTAGATATGCAATGTTATCGTAGAGCTCGGAAGCTCGTCTTGAATACATTCGATCTGCCACGGACATGTACGAAAAGGACATCTGGAGAGAGAAATCGATGATTCCTCGGATAGAACTTTCAGACGGATAAGGTATGCGACAGCACTGAATGATACAAGATTCAAATGAAGATCACAAATGAATAACGACATTATTTTATAACCATAAAAGCACACGAATTCAAATTTGGAGAAGACTACAATTTGGCCGTTTATGGCAGCATAAAATAAGGAAGCCAACTGATTCGGAAAGGCATTTTTCACTAAATATCCTAAAGAGCGATTGGGTGCTCACATGATGGAGCACGATTCGGTGGCAGCGGCTGCATCGGCAACCTTCGGAAGGCCGCTTTCATCCATTTGCCATCCGTCTGGGAGAGCTCCCACAAGTTCTTTCGGTGGATATCCATATTGCTGCAGTTCGACAAGCAACTTTCCAAGCGTTTCAAAATGAGCCGCGGCTTCGAGGTTCGGAGACTCTTCTCCTTCGGCTGGAGGTCCTGGTGCTGGTTCGGAGGCAGCCGTCTCTGGTGCCACTTCAGGGATGTCCGATTGATTTTCAAATTCGGCGCAGATCTTCCCAAGAACCTGAAGCAATTTAGTTTTATACCTTAAAGAAGAGGGCATGAACTTACGTTCAACTGTTTCTCGTATCGTTCTCTCGTTTCTGCGTCCAATTCAGCAGAATTCTCTTCCAAATATTTGGGGTAATTGTCGAAGATCTCCTTGAGTGGAGGATACATCACTTCCTTCGAAGCCAAGGTTTGCATTATCATGCTCATGAAAGGCTCCATTGGAGAGTTTGGAGAGCGGAGCATATCGAGTCCAGCGAGGAACTCTTCGGCCGAATTGGCGTTTGCCACGTTTGAAGAGCATTCCATCAGCTGTTTGAGAGCATCCATCATGGCAAGAGCCTCCGGATCGTTCGGATCCATCTGATCTTGATCCCCGGACGCTGGTGCTGTCTCAGCCTTCTTCATTGCCTCCTCCTGCAGAGTTACCATCTGCTCGAGCATCTTTTGGAAGTCTTTGGCTGCTTTTTGTGCAGCTTCCTGATCGGCTGAGGCCATCAACTCATCGATTTCGTCGTCCGTCGTGTGCGGCTTTTGCCTGGAAGCGATAATTTTGAAATTTGCATCATAACTTTGAACGGGATAATTCAAGAAAAGCCCCTTTTATTTAAAAACTAGGTATTCTTAAAGGAAAGCCCTCACCCCCCTCCTTTTCAACAGAGGACATATTCAATAAGAGCCCCCCTCGTGTTAATCGCATTTAATATCAGTCCCCCACCATTCAAAGATAACCCTCCACTCCATTCAATAATAGCCCCCCCCCCACGGTTGGGCGTTTTTGTTTTAAGGTGATCGATCTGCTTCCAGAACGCTAAGTTTGGAAATTGGTGCCCATTCTGCTTCTCAGTGCGGGCTTTCAGCAACAGTCTGAACTTACTGAGGAGGCGAATTGAATTCTCCGAGTGTTTGATCGAGCAATGCAGAGAGATCATCATCTGTTTTGTCTTGCACATGCTTAGCATTCTCATCGGCCATTGTCAAAAATTGGCTGAAAAAGCAGAAAAATGAGGGAAACAACGGGAAACAAAGGCAACAGGAACAAACAGAGGGGCGGCGGAGAAGAAAAGAGGAGCGAGTGAAAGAGAAGAGACGGAGGCAGTGTTCGAATCGATAAAACACACAGCGGACACACGGGACGGCGAGGTCCTCTTATCAAAGGAAAACTGTCATTTGGGTACAGTGTATTGTTATGTAGAGTTTCCAAATGACTGATAAGGAATGAAGCGACGAGGGAGGAAAACAGTTAGGAATAAAAAAAGTGAGAAAGCATTGGAGCAACCTTTAAGCTCATTTTCGGTATAAGTCGGAATAATAAGTTGAAAAATGAATGTCAAAGCTCTGAAGCAAACACCAAACTGTGGCAGAAAAAAGAGTAAATATACTAGATTAGCAATAGAGCGCACTTGCAACGACCTCTTCTTCGTTGTGTTGTTGGAAAACGAGTACTGTAGAAATGGTTCCAAAAAATTAGAATGTGTCTATGTCAATTACAATTTGGTTCCAGAGTTGAGACATTTTCAGCATTTCCGATTCATATTTCACCTTTCCTGGGTATAGATTGAATAGATTACTAGAAAAAAAAGGCGCCGACGCCAAATGAGCGCAAATTCGGCACAGACGCCTTTTGAAAGGCGTCGAAACGGCGTTGGTGCCTTTTTTCTGAGTATAACACCATTCGCGGAGGGTCAAAAATAAAAGGAATCCCGTTTATTTGTATTTGCGAAAGGGCAACTGTTGGCGGAGGATTTACACAAAAACTGGTGTACTGGACGGGAGAATTTGGTCGACGGCGGGCTGCAGGAAAAACAAGAAACAAATATATCGGTTGATTCAAATAATTTGGTCTTATTTTGTTTTCAAGAAGACAATTGGTGTTCGTGACGTGGCACCACTCTGCTTTGGAATGAAAACGGACGAACTGGCACAAAGGTTCATATCGTTACATTAGTCAACGATGGCGAAAGTCCGGAGTTCTTAAATTACCAATGATGAGAGAAGGGGGCATCCACACAAATCTTCATAATTCCTTCAGATCACTCGCATTCACCATATGCTCCCGCAGCCACGAAAAGCCGCAATTCCCGAGGGTGTGTCCTTTTCCCATTCTCCACTACTTCTTCACTTTTTGATTTTATCTCGTACTCTTCACTCCGTCTCTTCTGCTCCCACACACTGGTAATTGTCGACCAGAACATCCCTCCCTCTCGCCTCTTTCTCACATAGTTTAAATTCAATTTTTGGCAAATGCGATTGAGACGCCATGCCTTCTCGTTATCGTCTTGTTGCAACAGATATTGCGTAATCTTCGAACGTCTTTTTGTTCCTCAAAAGGCGCCGCGCAGGTTCGAACTTGATGACCATATCAAATGGTCTTCCTCGTCTTCTCCGCCAATCCATCACCTACTCGCCCTGCTGATGTCTTTTATTTCAACTGTGTCCTTCGCAAATTCGCCGCCACACCTCTTTTTTATTGATGTTATATCCTCCTCCCGCTCCTCCTAATCGACATCCAAATGCATCTCATTTCCATACGAAACCTTTTCGTTTCTTTTTCCGGACACCGTTCTCCCATTCCCTCCTAACTGGTTTCTGTCGAATCATTGCGATTACTTATTTGGACACAGTCCTATGAATGCAGAGAATACGCGTGTGTTTGACCCGAAAATTAGTCATTCCAGGCCAATTTTGAGGAAGGCAAACAAACTGCTTGTGGCGCGATTCTTGCTCGTTTTGACACCTAAGTAGTTCCCACACTTTCCGAGGTCTGCAAACATTCTTCCTCTGTTATTCCGGAGGACTTCCTTCCATCCATTCACCCATTCGTATCTCTTGATGACTTGGCTCTCCAGGGACCACTTCTTCCCATTCCAACAGCTCTTTTTTCGACTTCTCACCCGCTGGTGCTCCTTCAAAGTTCCCGCTGCAGTTTTTTGATTCCAAATGTTACATCCGTCTTCTTTCGAAACTAGAGAAATCGTCGGAAAGTGTACACTTCCTTTGCCTTCCTTCCCGCTCTTTCCGCCCATTCAAAAGCAAAATAAAACATCGCTCTATTCTTCTGTTTCGTATGTTTTCACACTCATCAGCCACGTCATCCTACCGTACTCCAATTCGTTTCTTTTCCGAAATGTGTACTAACCGCCTCTTGCTCCCTCCAAAAACCTCAAAAACACCCCTCCGATTCCGCACTTCTCTCTCGGGAACGTAGGCGTCTGGTGCGAGAAAGAGAGAGAGAGAGAGAGAGAGAGAGAGAGAGAGAGAGAGAGCAGTCCAGTCAGCCAAGTGATCTGCCGAGTCGCGGAGAGCCCAATAAACAGTGTGTAGCAATGCGAGAGAGCTCGCAGGATCCGTGCCCGATGTAAAGAAGACAGCTGCTCCCGGGGAGGGCTTCTTCTCGCTGCCATCCTCCCCCGTGCCGTCCACCGTCCCGCAGAGCACTTTATCCCTTTATTTCTTCCGATCTCCGGTATCGATCGCTTCTTCTTCTTCTTCTTCTTCTTCTTCTTCTTCTTCTTCTTCTTTCTTTCTTTTCCACGTGTCGTCTCACATTCCTCCGAATTCTCTCGCTCCAACGCATCGAGAATTCACGAGCGCTGCCTCCCGTCCGACCAATTCCACACAAAAAGTGAGCACCTGCAGCACCTGCTCCGTCCCTTTATAACTCTCATGCATTCCCTTTCTTCCCTTTCTCGAACATTTCCCTTTTCCAGTGTAATCGCTAACTGCCAATCCTATTCATTTCCGTAATTCACAACTATGACTGTGTCATTAAAAAGTGTACAGTTTGGGAGGAAAGGGGCTGCCGCGAGGAATGTATTCGTCAGCGAACGAATCTAAAAATATCTACCTCCGTCTTCTTTTTTCCCATTGCTCAATCATACTGCTACAGAAGCCGTACTCCTCCATTTTCTCCTATCTTTTTCCTCCCTCACCACCCAATTAACTCGTCCGTCCCATTCCGTCCCTCCTCAATTTATCACTCGATTTCTATTCAAAACATGACCTTTTTGTCGGGCCATTCGACCATATCTCACTGCTGACAATTAGTTGCGTTGCCCCTTTCGCCCGACCCGAAATTGGAGTTCATGCGTGCTGGTTCCCCTTCATTCCCGATTCATGCTTCACGTCTCCGTCTCTCCGTCGCTCGCACTACTTCCATTTGACAGATGTTTGATAACTATCCGGAAACTATGCGACGAAGAGAGCGCCCCAAACGACTTGAGTCATCACGTTTTTCGAAAATTCATGGGGGTGGCTTCGGGGTTCCTATGAGTGTTGAAATGTGAAAAGAGAAGGGCGGGAAGAGGACCAAACCCTCTTGTGACTCAACTGGTCACTGCATTATTTTTATAGAAATCCGATGTTTAGACATGACATATCTACCGTACATATCAGTACTTTTGAGAGCTTGATCATTCCCAAGGTTCAAGTGAATTGGGCTTACGAAGCACGACCAACACGGCTCAAAACTAATATATTTTACTACAAAAGTCACCTGGAGAACCTCGAATTCATTTGGCCTTCCCCAGTCCATCCGTCTTCTTTCATGTGTCACCGGTCTCATTTGCTCGTCGATCCATTTCCGTTCGTATGTTCTCTTCTCTTCCTCCTCCTCCTCCCCCTCAACTAATCCATGACTTGTGTGTCAAATGCTGCAGTCGTCTCCTCAATTATAAATGACTTCTTTGTTTCGCAATCGCGTGTCCGAGCCTTCCTCCGGCTCCCTCTCATTATTATCAAACCCGTTCTTGTTCGTTTCAGTAGATGCGGGAGGGTAGTTTTCCGCGGAGGGCGCTGCTTTTCGGCCTTCTCCTGGGCCTGCTCTCGACCGTCGCTGCCTTCAACATCGACACGAAAAATGCGGTTCTGCATCACATGGCCGGCAATTATTTCGGATATTCGCTTGACTTCTACAATGAGCAGAAGGGAATGCCAATGTGAGAATCGGGCTGAGAACTGAACAAGAGTGTCTCTTTTCAGACTTGTCGTCGGTGCTCCAGAAGCCGAAACCACCAATCCGAATCTCGCCGGGATCAGAAGACCTGGAGCCGTTTACGCGTGCTCCGTTAACAGACCGACGTGTCGTGAAGTGCACGTGGACAAACAGAAAGGAAATCTGAAAAAACTGAACGGATCCCACCTCGTTCCCATCGAGGACAAGGCCTATCAGTTCTTCGGAGCTACCGTCCGCGCCAATGACAAACACGACAAACTCATTGTAAAAAAAGTCCCGTACCATTCCTTTTATTGAAGTTAACAATCTTTCAGATGTGCGCCCCGAAGTACAAGTACTTCTACTCGAAGTTCGAGGTGATTGAACCAGTAGGAACATGCTTCTACGCGGAGAACGGCTTCGAGAATACCGAAGAGTTCTCCTCTTGCAAACAAGAACGTATGCTTTCCTTCTTTTTCTCTACTTGAACTGAAGCATTTTCAGCCGCTCGTCATGGTCGTCATCGGCTCGGATACGGTCAATGTGGATTCTCGGGAGCCATTCCGGGAAAGAAGAAGCAAGATCGCATCTTTCTGGGAGCTCCTGGTGTCTGGTATTGGCAGGGAGCCGTATTCTCGCAGAACATCAAGAACCAGACGGACCGTCCGAATACGGAGTACGGTAGCAAGGAATACGATCACGATATGATGGGGTACGCGACTGCCACCGGAGACTTTGACGGCGATGGAATCGATGACATTGTTGCGGGAGTGCCACGTGGAAACAACTTGCACGGAAAGCTGGTATTGTACACTTCGAAGCTCAAACTGATGGTGAATCTGACCGACGAGGTATCGAACCAACATGGACAATACTGCGGAGGAGCCGTCGCTGTGGCTGATGTCAACAAAGACGGGTGTGTGAGAATAGGAAACGATAAAAGAGTCTTCGTAGGATCATTCTGAGACTTCCGTTCTTTCAGACGCGATGATATTCTGATGGGCTGTCCGTTCTACACTGATTACGCCACCGTAAAAGACGCGAAAACACAGGAGCGCAAGCCGCAGTACGACGTCGGAAAGGTGATTGTGTTCCTCCAGACGGCTCCGGGAGTGTTCGGAAAGCAACTCGCCGTAGTCGGAGATGATCAGTGGGGAAGATTTGGACACGCTCTGGCTGCTGCCGGAGATTTGAATTTGGATGGGTACAATGGTAAGTGAACCGAGTAAGATTAATGGGTCAGTCAATTGAATTTCTCTGTGCAGATGTCATTGTGGGTGCTCCATACGCCGGAAAAAATAAGCAGGGAGCAGTTTATGTAATTCATGGATCGAAAGAAGGGGTCAGGGAGAAGCCGACTCAGAAGATCGAGGCCTCTCAGATCGGACACGGAACTGCAAAGGCATTCGGATTCTCTGTGGCCGGAGGAGTCGATGTGGACGGAAACGGAATGCCGGACATTGCGGTCGGAGCCTGGAAGTCTGGAAATGCGGCTGTTCTGCTCACGAAGCCAGTTGTGACTGTGACGGGACAGACGGAGCCAGAGAGTGCACTGATCAATGTGGAGGAGAAGAACTGCGACGTGGACCAGAAACTGGGAAAGCAGGCATGCAGACACATCAACACGTGTTTTAAGTACGAAGGAAAGGGAGACACGCCGAACGACCTGGAATTCGATCTTCGATTCAATCTAGACGATCACTCTCCGGAGCCGAGAGCGTATTTCCTGCAGAAAGATGTTAAGTCTGATCGCAGCATCAAAGTGGCGTCTGGATCGAAGACGAAGGATCATCCGTCCTCGATTGAACAGAGAGTTCGGCTAGAGAAGGGAAGGCAGAAGTGCTTCAGACACCGATTCTTCGCTTCTTCCACAATGAGGTTAGTCTGCTCTGATTGTTCTTTTTCTTATTCTATCCGTTATCAGAGACAAACTCTCTCCGATCCACTGGTCCGTCAACTACACGTACGTTGAGTCGAAAACTGGAAAACTTCGAGGAGACAAGCTGGAACCAGCAATCGACACGACTGTCCCACTGTCCTTCCAAAACAAGATCAACATAGCGAACAACTGCGGAAAGGACGACCTCTGTGTGCCAGATCTCAAAGTCACTGCCGTCGCGTCAGTTTCTTCCCCTCCCTTTGCTCCTTTCATATTCCGTTTTCAGTGATCGTGAGAAGTTCCTTCTCGGCACCCAAGACAATACAATGCTCATCAATGTGACCGTTCAGAACGGAGGAGAAGATTCCTACGAGACGAAGCTGTACTTCGACGTTCCGCAAGGATTCGAGTACGGAGGTATCGAGAGTGTCGGAGGAGACTCTAAATCCGCTCCGGCCTGCTCTCCCACTTCCGACGAGCCAGATTCCGATGGGAAATGGACGTTCGCCTGCGACCTCGGCAACCCGCTTCCGGCCAATAAAGTGGTGAGCAGCGTCGTACGAGTGACCGCTTCTTCTGAGAAACCGCCGCTCGCTCCGATCAGCATCAATGCGCACGTGAACAGCAGCAATGACGAGGAGGCGAACACGGTAGCTGACAACCAAGTGACGTTCACGATCCCCGTGGATTTCAAGAACCAATTGAGTCTGAACGGCCGTTCCAACCCGGAACAAGTCGACTTCTCCGCTGTCAACAAGTCTCGTCCGGATGTATTCGATGACAACGAGATCGGACCAGTGGTCTCCCACTTGTACCAGATCAGCAATAGAGGTCCTTCTGAGATCGACGCCGCCACTCTTGACATCTTCTGGCCATCGTTCTCCACCGACGGGGGACACCTTCTCTACATCATCACTGAGCCAGTCGTCAATCCGCCGAACAAGGGAAGATGTCGAGTGAAGCAGTTGCAGAATGTGAATCCACTCAATCTCCGGATCACGAACGAGCACGTGCCGACAGAGCCGCCCGTCGCCAATACTCCGAACGAGTACTCGAGGGAGGAAGACGACGAGTCCTACGAAGACGTTGAGACGACTACGCACCAGCAGGCAGGGGGGCACGGTCACGGACCAGTTCATGTGTACGAGAAAGATGAGGAGAAGATCAAGCAGAACACTGGAAATTGGCAGTTTGTGGAGGACAAAAAGAAGAAGGGAGACTACGAATACATTCCGGACGATCAGGAATACGACGGAGATGACTTCGAAGATGACGACGACGAAGATCTAGACAGAGCAGGAAGCCGAGTGAAGAGAAATCCGAAGAAGAGAAAAGGAGGACCTCGTGGAGAACCGAGAAGCGATAGGGCCAGATTCTCGGATCTTCGTGACGCGGTCAAGTTGTCGAAGGAGGCCGGAGGAGTCGTCGACTACAAGGGACCACTCTCGCGAGCGAGTGTCGACTGCAACTCCCTCCGATGCACACACATCGAGTGTGACATTTATGATCTGAAGGAGGACGAATTCGTTCTCGTCGAGATCTTCTCCCGTCTCTACACAAACACTCTCGTGGACGAACAGAATCCAGGAGGAGACATTTCGTCTCTGGCTCTCGCGCGAGTCACCTCCACCAAGTACAATCTGCCACACAAACCGACGCTCATCACTGCCGTCTCCACGAATATGAATGCGATTGCTGCCGAGGAGGGACGCGATCTTCCGTGGTGGCTGTATCTCCTGGCAGTTCTCATCGGACTCGCCATCCTCATTCTCCTCATTCTCCTGCTCTGGAGGGTAACTGTTTTATCCCTTCTTACCGTATTTCATTCCTTTCATTTCAGTGTGGATTCTTCAAACGGAACCGTCCGCCCACCGAGCACGCGGAGCTCCGTGCCGATCGTCAGCCGGATGCTCACTACGCGGACACCAAGAGTCGTTACGCCCCGCAAGACCAGTACAATCAGGGCCGTCACGGTCAAATGCTTTAGACTTTCAATATCACCGACTATTTACTTGCTCTCTCCAAGTGCTATTCGTTTACATCTGCGGGTGTTTTTCGTCAATCTGTTCCAATTTAGTCTCTTTTTTCTCCTGTTCTTCCTTGTGCCTTGCCCCCTCCCCTTTCATAATATTTTCTTTTTCGGAATCTCCGCTCGATGGTGCTTTATGTTCATATGTTTTCACGTTTATCAAAGTGTTTCTAATCCGTTTTTATATGAATAAATGAATTTTTTCATTCGCCTATAAACCAGAAAATTAATTGGAAATTTTTTAATCGAATAGTGTTCAGTTTTCGGATTTCTTTCTCCGAATCATCTCGGCAAGCTGTTTGAACCGCATTATCACCTGCTTCTTCGATTTAGTTCCGATTTCCTCCGATATTCTTTCCCATCTGGAAGAAGTATTCATTAATTCACACCACTCAGTCCTCTTAGAACCTTTCATCTGTACCTTTCGGGTACTTTTGCAGTGCCGTCTCAAAAACCTTCTGCTCCGTCTGGGTCCAGTCCTCTTCTGACTTCTCCTCCGTCGGCACTGACTGCTGGATGCTTGTCATCAGCAGCTTCGTATAATCTTCCTGCTTAATCTGCTTCATCTTTCCAGCCATCGCAATCACATCCTCCGGTGTCCTGTTCAGCACTCTTCCCATCTGTTCCCATCGATTCGGAGTTCCAGCCGGGTATTTTTCAGTGCTCAGTCGGACCAAATGAGCCAGTTCTTCAGGCGTCCACGTGCTTCCAGACTGTTCTGAAAGAAAATAAATAACATAATTATTATGGCGACATTTGACTGAAATCGCTCTCTACCGCAATCCCACGTGAAAACACTGCCGCGACCGCGACCCTTTCTAATTTAGCACTGAATTCACGGGCGCTACACCGAAATAGAACTCGCGCGGAATGGAACTGTTACGATTTGGAACTCGCAACGTTAAAATACAACTGCGAGTTCCAAATCGTAACAGTTCCATTCCGTGCGAGTTCTACTTTGTTGTTGCCGCAATTCACGTGGTGTGCGGTAGAGCTCGATTGCAGTCAAATACACCCCTAATATGAACATGCTCTCCGAAACTACTTACTTTGTGCCACAACTACACTTTCTGCGGCGTACTTCTTCTCCATTTCCGGATCATTCGTCGATACAGCTTTCAGTCCCTGAGCAACTTCGAACTTGAACTCTGGCTGTTGTGGAGCAGCGGCCGCCCGTTGCTGCCTTCTCTGTTGAGCCAGCTCCTCTTCCGTCGGAATTTCCGGTTTTGGCTCCTTCTTCTTCATGGCTTCTGTGATCATATTCTTGCATAAATTGAATGTTCCCCTGACTATTATAATCGGAAGAAGTTCCGAGTATTTGGGAAGGAATTCCTCCAGTGCCTCCTTCATTATTCTCTCCGTCTCTGCCGGATCTTCTTTCTTCGTCTTTCGGAACCGTTTCATGTTCTGTTTGAAAACCAATGTCTTCTCGAAATACGCCGCCCACATCATCAAGTAATGAGCGATTGTTCCGATGAACAGAAGGACGAGGACAGTTTCATACCATTCCAATTTGCGCATTCGTCTGTAATAGTAGAGGGGCTGTCGCCACGACGGCATTCCATTCTCCAGAATATTGTCGTATTTCTCGCGCAGTTCCGTCGTCTTCAGCACCTCGTAAATGCCTGCCACTTGGCGGAACTTCTCAGTTGCGTCTGGAGCTGAATTCCTGTCGGGGTGCCATTCTAGTGACAGTTTGCGGTAAGCCTTTTTCACTTGGGTGGAACTTGCGTCACGAGGAATGTCGAACCATTCGTAAAAGTTGACTCCGGATTCCTCGACCAGATCGTAAAGAGCCAGATCTTCAGTAGTCCACTGGCCAACTACAAAAGGGACGAAAAGGATTAGAAGATAGAAGACCCGCATTCTGAAAAGGAGGTTAAGAAGTTGAAATGTGGAAAGGGGCAAAGATCTCAACGACTAACGTTTTTGATATGGAAAAATACATTCATGAACATTTTTTTATTAAGACCTAACAGGTCAACATTATCAAATTTGTTTTGCAATTACTTAAATACGGAAAGAAAGTGAGAAGGCAATGAGATCGGCAATATTCGGTTCGAGTAAATGTTCACTTTCCGAATTTGAACTTGATCGGAGCACGAGCGTTGCCCGACTTGTTCAGAATTGCCTGCTGCTCGTTCTTCTGCACTTCGATTTTTTGACGCGCGAGTTCAGCACGGTCCCTCTCCAACTGGCTCTTTTGTTCAAGCATCGCGAGACGATCCTCTTCCTGAAAATGCAAAATTTCATAGAAAGTCGCTTCGAGTGTTGCCTAGCTAGAGGAACAGAATGGAATAGTCGAGGGACCATCTCGGCGGAATACCTGCTCTCGGATCATCGCTGCATTCGTGCGATTCAGACTGCGATGACGTCAATCCCATCGATGAATCAAATATGGCAAATTGATTGCACAAGACATAAGAAATTCAAAAACTGTAGAGGGATACGAAGAGAGGTAACGGAAATGTGGGGGTTTGAGATGGGGATATTAATTAACGCTTATGAAAACAGAGATAAACTTCTGAAATATAATTAGGACGACTTTTATAATCAGTAGTGACAACAAAGTTCATATTACAGAATCCGATAGCGAAACTCACAAATTTCTTGCGGCTCTCTTCTGCTTCCAGAACTTTTCGCTCCAATTCCGCTTCTAGCTGCTTACATTTCTTTCGAGATTCTTCCTGGAACAAGATCTTTGCGAAGGCTCCCAAAGTGAATTCACTCACATCTCGTTTCTTACACTCAGCCAGTTCCACTGCCATTTCTGCTTCAATTTGTGCTCTCAGCATCTTTTCCATTTCGTTCCTGGCGGATGTCGCTTTCTCGGCCATCATCGTTTCCAGCTGATGTACACGTGTCGTCACCTGGACATGTTTTTACGTTCATTCGTTCCATTTCTTGCTTCCGAACGCACCTGTTCCACAATTTTCTCCTCGAGCCATTTCTTTGTCGGCTCGTCCAGAGTGCTAACATCGAACGGAACACCTGAATCTGGACCGTCGACCGGCGGAGGCGGCGGCAACGGAGGAAGTCTCAAAACCGATCATTATTATTCTTCAGATAGGACGGAGAGTCCTCACTTCGGCGAGCTGTTCCTTTCGCGTCTGCGTCTCTCCTCTCTCAAGATGCTCCCCAATTGATGTGACTCCGCCATCGACGATTCAGATGAAGAACTGCGATGTCTGGAAGCATTTAGATTCAAGCAAATGAACACGATCCTTCCAATTCTGCCTCTGTTACCTTCTCTTTCTATCACGATCTTTCCTATCTCTTTTCCTTTCTCGATCTCTGTCATCACGTCTTCTTCGTTCTTCTCTGTCCCTTTTTGGGGACCTGGATCGACTGCGAGATCGGCGAGACATTCTGAATATTGAATGATAAAGTATGAGGAAGGGAAGCAGGCTGCGAGTTGTACGAATTGTCTCCCGGATGCGTATCGACCGCCATCTGGCGATTACACTGCTGCGGCCTAGTAGCAAACACACGGCCGCGTCCCCAAGTATTACGGCCGATTGACCGATATTCTCTCATTTTCCAAAATGCTTACATTGCTTGTTTTTTTGGAACAACTTTAAATTATCCGAGAAAATCCTATTTGGCATGAAATTACAAGCGAAAAAACCCACGCATTTGAACACATAATACACAAAAGAAGATTAAAACCATGATATATAAACAATTAGAACCCGTTGTCAATCATTCTGGTTGCTGCAAGTACTGTTGAAGGAAGAAGGCGGTGGGGATCGCGATGATGGCTACTATGAGTATCCAGTGCCACCACTCGACGGTTTCCTGCTTTTTGAACTTGAAGAGATTAGAAAACGCTGTTCGAAGGCAATTACATTTTCAAACGGATTTTGGGAGTTTGATGGGTTTGAGGCACTGAACATTTCCGAGTCTTCTTCGATTTCGTCGACTCGAACAACTTCTTGTTGGGAGGAATCTTCCTTAGTGGTCATATCGTACTGAAAATGACATTTGTTGGCATCAGAAGAACGAAATCACTGACAATGTCAAAGTCCTCGTGTGTAGTCTCTACTTGAATGAATTTCTTCGGTGGCTCTGGCATGTCCTCAATCTTCCCGCGGACAACCGCAAATCCATTGACCTTCGGATTGTCGCTTGATCCTTTGGAGAACTCGATCAAAATATTCCCGTCATAGTCCCTCGGACGCCCTTGCACATAAATTGTGTTTCCTTTAACTACCACTGGGATATAACTGAAATAGAAAAAAAAAGTCGAACGAAGTTAGAACAATTCGATTCTTACGCGTCATATGCGAATCCACGTCCACCAGAAGCTTCAAAGATATCCAGATCATTTATGGCCAGATGATAATTGATTCTGACGTGGAAGATCTTCTGACCGGACCTTTGGAAGTAGACTTCAGAAAACTTCAGAATGATGACATATTCGCCGTCCCCAGCAGGAACTGAATACTCAAATGATTCTTTGCTCCAGCGCTCTGTCTACGAAAAAAAAACAAGTTTCGGGATTTATCATGAAAGATTTACCGTATAAATTTCCAAGTCATCTGGATCCGCGTTGCTGAATGAGAACTGCATTCCGTGGTCCGAAGCGACGCCATCTGTGGACGTGTCCGCCGAATACTGAATTCCATGAGCGCCAATAGCTTCTTGTCCTCCACAGTTGACAGCGGCAATCACTTTATCGCTAAGGTCCAGAGAATTTGCCACGTTGGCGAACCATGCAATGTGCAGTAGAAGAAGGTTGCATTTGAATGAGCTGCTCATCTGGAATGCACGAATTCGAAAATGAGAACGAGGGCGAGAGAAGGAAGGAGCAATTAATCACTTGAACACGAGAGGTCGGCAAGCAATTAGCAAGGTGACCGATATAAACGTATCCTTTTTCGGCGAGGAGAAAAACGAGAGAACAAAATTGCGGGCGCCACGTATTGGCATCATTGCATGCGGGAACACGCAATAAACAAACATTCGTTCGATTATTCCGATCGCTTTTTTATGAATAAAAGAATTACACTTTTGCAAAAACAGTACAAACGACGATTTGAAACGTCAAAAAAAAGACAGTACCTGTGGAAGTTTCGAGACCGCAATGAAAAAAGACGATGTGTCCCTTTAAACGATGTGTCCCTTTAAATGTACAGTAATAGAGTTCAAGACAATTCAAACCCGGAAAACTTGCCTATTCCCAAACAAAAAAGCAAAAAAAGAAAACAAAAGGTCTTCAATGGATCTACATAAAAAAAAGGTACATCTTATTAGCTTTCCGAAAAGAGATGGCTCTACCCAGCACAAAAGTGTATTATCGTCGCGCGGCTCCGCCATTCGCACACTTCCTCTAGCCGTCCCGTCTTTTTTGTGCCTGGTCTTTTCGCTTTTCTCCTCCTTGCTCGGCATCCCCTGCGAGCGTGTTGTTGCTGACGCGGCTACGAACTAACAACAAGAGAGTCGAGTGACTCCCTGTTGCCCTGACCACCAATTCTGTTTCCATCCATTGGGCACTGAAAGCGCATGAATGATTCTCCTGAGCATGTGAGACAAAGAGAGATATGTGTATTCATTCTAGATCATTCTAGTAATGAATTTCTCCGAGCAATATATTGTCTGGATTCTGCCACTTATCCTCCTAACAATCTATTAGCAATAATTTATTACACGATTAAAAATGTAAGTAAATACAAACTGGGCTCTCCTCTGAACCTTTTTAACTTTTGATGATAATGAAGTACACCATGTACACGTGGAAGTTGGCGGAAATAAGTGGAAAACGGGATGGGGGATCTTCGAAAAAAAATAAAGAAACCCTGCAGAAGATCGGTAGGGGGAAACGTTTGGGACGAAAACTTGGAAGGGAACAAATATGACCTGTATGAACAATAAAACAATGCGGGAACTCGGAACAATCACCTAGAGAAGAGCGAAGAACGGAAGGAGAGTCGCCAGAACGAATGGCACTGAAATGGCGCTTTGGACCGGCCGGGACGTCGTCGTCGTTTCCGCTTCTGCTTCCGTCACGTCGTTGCTCATCGCCGTCGTGGCACTGGCTGGAGTAGTTTCGTCCTTCGTTACGATCACTGGCTTCTGGTCACGAGATGGCTCCACTTCGTTCACATCGATGCTCTGAAAGAATTGAATGAAACGGAAACTTTCTGAAGACTACTGTACCGGGCTTCCAGTTGATTCCTTCGACGGTTCCGGTGACTCCAGAATGCACGAAGCGTTGAAGAGATTTGCCCAGTGCATGTGCACACTGAACACGTGCAAGACAGCGTCGAATCCGCATCTCTTCTCAATCTCTCCGGTAGAACATCTCATCACGTTGTTCAATCTGAACCAGTTCAAACATTTCCTCTTTCATCGGATGTCATCACTTACCCATCACACATTTGAGCTGGTGCCGACTTTTCGAGCTGATCAATCTTTCCAAAATCGGAGATGCAGGATATTCCGGAGTCAGATTTGGTGTACTCAGAAAGACACATTGCGAACTGTTTCTGGTCGCGAAGAGTGATTTCTCTGTTGCAGATCGAGTCGATCAGTCCAATTTGAGCGGAAGCGGCTGGCTCGTACTTGCATTTGAGTCCCTCGACGCATGGAATGTACGTCTTGTTGGCCATTTCACAGAATTCGCCCCATTTGGATGCGTCTCCGATTATCGCAATCGGACGGAATGCGAACTGATCCAAATGAGTCTCGCATTGCAAGTGCTCCACGAGATCTCCCTCTTCACATTCTTCATCAGAAGATGACAATGTGGTTTCAGTTTCTTCTGTGGAAGATACGTCGACTTCAGAAGACGTAGTTGATTCAGAAGAAGCAGACGATGCGGTGGAAGACAGGACGGTCTCGAGGTTCGGAGTGACTCTCGTCGGTTGGTTGATGGGCACGATCGGGTTGTGCTGAGGACGGATCGGGCAGATATCCGGAGTGCTCATTGCGTTCATGATCTTGATCGGACTCTCGCCGCACTTGTCAAGCACAATGTCCTTTGTGCAGTCGATGAATTTCGGAAGAACACTTCTCAGCGTGGACAAGTTGAACTGCTTGAGGGTCGAGATGGTCGCACGAATGCATTGCGCGAACTTCGGTTCTTGAGCCTGCCCGAAAAGACACGAGAGATTGTCATCGATGGCCTTCGCAGGGTCGGAGAGCAGGCATATATCTTTTCCTGCCTCGATCATGCAGGAAGAGACGACACAAGAAGTTCGGCCTTCGAGCAGGAAGTGGGCACAGGTACGGAACTCGTCAGTGAGATTGCAAGCGCCAGCGAAGACTGGGGCGAGCGAATTAATGTTCTTGATGAGTGACTGCATTCCGCCGGCGAACAGTTCCTCAACGCGAGAGCCGATGTCATTGAGCGGAGCGGCGCAGTGCTCGATGATGGACTCTTCCTCTGCGGAGCATCCGATTCCTACGACACGTCCAACTGGCAGCTGACGGCCGACCTTGCAGCGGACGTCGATGGCATTGGCGAATCTGATGATGTAGTTAGAGACCCAATCAGCAGCTTCCTGACCACATTTGGCTTGTATTTGTGGAATGGCACACGAGTGGAGGCGGTTGGAGGACATGCAAGCGGCAGTTGGAGCCCCGCGGGAGAAGTCGGAGACGCACGAACGGACCTCCTCGAGCATTGAAGTCTCTCGGATACACTTGCGAACCTTCTTGAATTGCTCGTTCGATTCGTTGCACGCAAACTCGAACATTGCACTCATTCCACGAGCCCACAGTGGATGGCAGTTGTTCTCGGCGGAGCAGGCCTTGAAAGTGTGGAACGCTTCGCAGGCCTGATCGATGTCACGTGGCATGGCAATGACAGAGAGAGGATGAGGCTGGAAGGCAGTGAGCGGTTTAACACACTCTTCGAATTTCTTTTGCTCTTCAACGGAGCATTTGGCTGGAGAAACTGGCGGAGTCGAGGAGATTGGAATGGGCATTGGGCGGGCAGTGGGGGCTCTCGGAGGCAGAGTGACTGGAGTTGGACGAGCAACCGGACGGGCGATGATCTCGTCGAGGTTGGCTGGTGGATCCCTTGGGCAGCCTTCCTCCTCGCCAAGCGAAGTCATCTGAAAAGGAAAGATGACGTCATGAAAAGGAACAGCTGAGAATGAATCATTGAGAACCGGTTCAGGCGGTTTGAGAACAAAAGTATCAATGTCTAAAAGTTCAAACAAACCTTGGTCTTCAGAGAAAGCAAGTCGGTGAGGGCTTCTGGCTGACACTTGTTCTTGACTGCGCGTTCTCCGCAAGAAAATGTGTCCCGAATCGTGTAGAAGGATTTACAGAGAAGAGCTTCTCCATGCACTCCCTGCAGCATCATCTGCACAGTGTTCGAGAGGGAAGAGAGCGACGATTGGCAGTTCGTGGCGTCGTCCGCTTCGGAGGCCAAAGTCTCGAAACAATCTCTGTGCTTTGCGAGCATGGGTCGTGAATCGAGAGAGCAAATCGGAGAAAGACCGATTCTGGCGAGAGAATTGAGAGGAGAGGCGAACGAACAACGCTGGGAATCCTTGAAGACGGTGACAGACAGACACTGTTCGTAACGGGCAAACAGGGAGCAGATTCCCTCGACGACGGTGGAGTTAGGGCTGGCGATTTCAAGAAGGAAGTTGAGGTTGGCAAACGCGGTGAGCTTCTTGTTGATCTCAATGAGCTCGACGAGGCATCCGAGTGCTCCGTTCTCCTGTTCTTCGGTGCACTTCGGAAGGGTCGTCTGCAGATGAAAATCTCCTTCCTTCGTTTCATTCTGTCCCTCTTCCTCCTTCTTCTCTTCGAAGCACTTTCCGGCAATGATCAGGTCGTTCACTTCTTCCTGCAATTCCACGACGAGGTTCTGAGCATCCACTTCGCATTCATCGTTCATCGTGACAATCGCGCAGTCCAGATTGTTATTGTATGAAATGAGAGCTTCGCACTTCGACGTGGCATTTCTGACGGCGCATTTCTCCTTCTCCAACGTCTTCTGATAACAGTCTGACCATTTGGCAATCTCATCCTGCTTGGCACAAATGCGTTCGGCGACAGCAGCAAACGGATCGGAGGAGTAGTTGGCGGAGCAGATGTCGTAGATGTAGTAGAGGGAGTTGACGGCGTCAGCCATGTTGATTGCGAGAACCGGCTTGTTCTCCTGCTCGTGCGCAGTGGTTGTGGTCGATTCCTCCGAAGTGTTCGTTGTGAGATTATCGTCCTCATCTTCATCAGAAGCTGAAGTAGATTCTGTTGTATCGTCGATGATGAGAGTGGTGCTGGAGGACGAATCAGGCAGCTGAACGACAGAAATTACATTCCGAAATTGAATATAACTGTTACCACGCATCGAATGGCTGTCACGATGTGCTCTGTTTCTTCTCTGATCGGACTGAGCATCTCGATGGCGTCAGAGGAGCACTGCTCTGGGCGGATCGTCTCGAGGCAAGAAGTGGCCGTCTGGATGGAGGTGACGAGGCCGCAAAGAGTGGAAGAAGACGACGTTTTGCTATAAATAAACACTCGAATGATGTTCCTTTTAATTCCAATCCCACCTGGAATCACAACGCGGATCGGCAGAGCTCTTGAAGCAATTCGCGTGTTCTTTGACAGACGGAAGCACCAGTTGGCACATGAACATCTCGACCTCTCCCCAGGAACGGACTCCCTCGTCTGGCATGCATCCCTTTCCGTTTCCGACGCATTTCTGGTAGGTCGTCATCAAGTTGCAGCCGTTTTCGATTTGTGACTGACTGAAAAGGATGCGATTATAGTGATGGATTGTCGTATTAAAACGGGTAATTACACTTGCGCTGACGTCAAGAATGACATGTTCTTGAGGTTAATTTGCTCGATTTCATGCAGGAACTGGACGATCGGCTCACTGCAGTTGTCGATTCTCTGCTGCATTCCCCAGTCGCATTCCTCTTCGGAAGTTCCCGGAGACGAGGACGCACTCACGACTTCGTCGAACTTTCCGTCGGTCGTCGTCTCTCCGGCTACCTCATCCGATCCGTCCTCGCAATCCTTCTCTCCGTCCCCTCTCCAATCGGACGGAATGCAACTGCCATCTGCACAAGTGAACGTGTTCGGAGGGCATCCGGCAGCCGAGGCCGCTTTCGCCATGGCTAGAAGCCACACGAGCAGCACCCAACGCATTTCACTGCAAAAAACGGACGAATGAAGAGCGGCTTAGGTCAGTGAAGAAAGACATAATGGAGCGGTTGGGGAAGAACCAGATCGGGGGGCGCGGCGGCACCAACCAATGGATTGGTTTGGCGCGCGTTCAAATTAGGCTTAAGGTTGGAGGCAAATAGTGTGTGGATGGGCGGAGAGGACAGGCAGGCTAATGGTATACGGATTGACGAATCTAGCCGAAAAAAGAGGATCACGTTAGCAGCTGAAGCCGTTGCTTCAATCGAGATTTGTCACACATTAGTGCGCGTGAGAAAGATTACGGTAGTGTCACGTCATTGTATTGTTCGTTGAGAGAAGGAAATGAAAGCGGATTACTGTACAATTGGTACACTTGATCAGAAAGTGTGAACACTTGATAAGCACGTTGTGAGGAATCAGAAGTAAGCAAACGAGTGAAAAAGGCGGCGAATGCGTTGCGGGAAGTGGTGAACGAAAGGAAATGTCATAATTGGAAGCTATCGGTATTATTGTGCGAATTGTTCATTTCGGTTGGTCGCGCCTTCTTCTCCTTCTTCTTCCTTCCCTCCCCTTCCGATCTCTTTTCGCGGCGTTCTCGTTCCCGAAATTCGACAAATGCAAATGAATTGACGGAGAGGGCGCAGACGGACAGGTAACAGGTGAAGAGATAACCCAAATATTCAGCCTTGGAAATCGGTGGATGACACAATTTTGGAAGCGATGATAGCGGGTCGGGAAGGCCGGGAGGGCGGCTATTGTTCGTGCGGTTTATTGGTGGAAGAAGGCACGGGCGAGAGACGCAAGAATATCTCATTCTGGAAATTTCAGAAAAAGAGAACGCAGTGAAAGCAAAAGTCAAACGAAGATGAATCACTTTTAGGGCGAAATAGGGCGAAAGTTGCCTCCTCCTCCCGAATGGTACTTCAAGACTTTCGCGGACTTCTCTTAGGATCATCTTTTATCCCATAACGATCATTTTATTTGTTTTTGACGCCCTCGTGACATGTCCAGGTGTCAGAAGCCGGGGCCGGTTACCTTTGTTGGGATTGTACCGTGAATCGACTCAATTCTTCGCAGTTGGATGGTTTTTGTACAGCCCCTCGCAGACTGGTTGCTTTGGCAATCACTCATGCAACAGATAGATAACTAGGACACCGTGTGACCCAAAAAACGGATGGAATGACTGACTAAGAAGGTAGAAGTCACAACTGGACCGATTGTAATATTATGAATCAGAAGGTCGTCGTGCCACGTCACAGTATCACACTAAACCTAATTTCCATTGTGGAACGTCATGAAAGGTTAAAGAAGACATAAAGCTAAGGAGGACGGACGCTACTAAACCAACAAAAGTACGAGATGGAGATATGATGACGGGCAGAAGCGAGGAGGGAATGAAAGCGAAGTCAAGAGGACGGCGACGACGGAAAAAAGAAGCGGATTGTACGGCGGCGGGAGGCCGGTTGCCTCTGCTTCTTCTGCTACGAAGCCTGCCCGCCGAGGCAGTAATCGTTCCCGAACGTCCTGTTCGTCTGCTGTCTGATTAGCTTTTTCAGCTATTGCTACATTTGACGGCCGGATACAGATAGTCTCCCGATGGAAGACATAATTAGGGCGAAAACAATGGAAATGGAATGGTAATGGGGGAATGGAAAAGGCGCGAAAAGATCGAAAGTAGCGGGATTCCTCGGCTTCTGGAGGTGTTCAGATTGGAAGAGATTGCGGACGGACGGACGCAGCAGGAAATCACGAAGGCAAAGAAAAGAAAAGAAAGACGAAAGGGAAAGTAACCGAGGGGATCTTCTTGGTTTAAACTCGGAACATTTATACGTTCGTAGATTGAACACGAAAAAACTGGAATACCTCCTGCTTCGGATGTTCAAAGATTGGAAGGAAGGTAAACCGAAGGAGAATGAAAGAATCGGACGAGGGACACTCCGGGGCTTTTTATTGAAATGTTCACAAGCTCATTCGACTAGACAATGACATATTACCATTGTCCTTCTGGCGCCCTCTGTGAAACCGGTAATTTTAAACTTTAACGACTCGCTCCTCCTCCTCTCTCTCTCTCTATTCTACTTTTCATTTGATGAATTTACTAGGAGGTTATGACACACGGAAAAGAGGGCTTGCGGTTGCTTGTCAAATAGGGAAACGATGGAGTCCGAATGGGAGCGAAATGCGCGGGCGCTGGGATTTAGTGTGTCAAGGTCGGCCGGCCGGTGATATACTCTCCGAAATGAGACATTTCGTGGATTGGGCGTTATCTTCTGATGACCGACTGCCAGCTGCCCGAAAAGTGTGTCGAAACGGTCGAAATGAAGAAGAGATATATTTGCATTGAAATGAATGAATCCAAAACAAGAGTTAATCCTTTTTCTCGAAGGCCATGCACACGCTGTTGATGCAGTATCTCTCGCCCGTCTTTTCCTTCGGTCCGTCGTTGAACACGTGTCCAAGATGAGCATCGCACTGAAAAACTGAATGACAATTGGAAGAACCTTCCCTTTTTTCTCACTTGTTTGCATCTGACTTCTGTCCGGAGCATTCCGTGGGAACGATCTTGAATTCGCACGATGTTCGCGTCATTTCCGACGGAGTCCGAGAACGCCGGCCATCCGCATCCCGCCCAGAACTTTGAATCCGAACTGGAAAGGTAAGAATGAGATGTTTGAAAGGGAGAAGGTTTTACTTGAAGAGTTCGGCACCGCAGCACAGACACACGTATCTTCCTTTCTCGAAATGACTGTCGAATCCCCCGCTGCCGGGCGCCTCCGTGCCGGACTGTCTTGCCACTCGGAACACTTCCCCCGGCAACACCTCCTTCCACTCGCTCTCGCTCACTGATTTCGGCGCTTTGCTCCCTCCGATCTTCGAGATCCCAACGTCCTCCATTCCGAACTTCTTGCTCGTCATTCTTCGTAAAAGCGGAAAAAGGGTGCGGCGGAGAATCTGAAGAGAATGATAAATAACCGTGAAGCAAGCAATGATAAAAGAAGCATGTGAGAGTGAGTCATTCCCGCGAGAACTGAGACGGAACAGGCGTCTGTTCCGCATTCAGATTTGTATCTCCGTTTATTTCTATCTCAATCTATTCTATTAGAAACAGTGTGAATTGGAGAGCCAACTGAAATGTAGAGGACATTTTGTTTATCGTTTATAAAAACCATTAAACTGCAGGAAACATTGAAACTTTGACTGAGACAATGATTATAAAAAGAGGAATGTCATTTGACCGAGATGGCTGGGTGCAAATGAGAAAGATCAGGAGAAACCCAACAGCATATCATATAAGGGGGAGTTTCAGGGGGCAGTGGAAGTGCTCGGTTGCTGGTCGGAAGGCAGATCGTCCTTTGGCTCTTCTTTTATTTCCTTCTTCACTTGTTTCACTGCCATCGGACTCGCATTGTCCGCCGGTTCGGTTCTGATTTTCACCGCCGATATCGGAACTTTGAATCCAATTTGCGGTAATGCGGACTTCGCGCGGAACTCCTGTGGAGAGTGCACATCTGGACACCGTGAGGGCGGAGCGACCGACTCCGACCGAAGAGGCTCCGGCTCTTCCGCCCCCTGTTCGAACTTGAAGTTGTAGCCGCAAGCGATCTTTCGTTCACGGAACAAAAAGATCACTTCGACATCTGCGTTCGTGGCGCTCTCGAAACTGAAAAATCGTAATTCGACATGAAAAAGGACTGCGAACACTCACTCTAATTGGCAACGGACGCTTTCGTAAATGTGATTCTGAACCATATGCAAGTAGTAATCGTTAGAGGTCGGGAATCGGATGATGCATCTCTGACAGTAGTCTCTTTCGAGCAGAAGCTTCTTTCCGATCAGTTGATCATCTGTGAAACCATAATAATGGAATGATTGTATGGTCGCGTGATGATGTTCAATATCTGAAAGCAATAGAATACAAACTATTTTCAGATAAATTTGTAACTGACAATGTTGGAAGAGCGGCGCGAAGGTGAAATGAGTTCCCTTCTTGCACACTTTGCAGTACTTCGCGGTCCGAGCCTTCGTCTCCAGTGGTTTTCTGTTACCTAAAACTTTTTGGGCTGTGTTCAATGTTTCTTGACAATTTCGTGAATTCTGTATGTGCAGTTCAAAAAAACTTACGCTCAAATTCGGCCACTTCCGTTATCTCGACCTCCTGACTCGATGCCTCTTTCTTCTTGCTTTCTTCCAGTATCTTTTTCACCAACGCAGACACCTCTGGTTCGTCTTGTTCCGGGGCCTGTTCCTTCTTTCTTGATCCTTCTGGTCGCCTTTTTCTTTTCCTCTCAACTTCTTTTATCTCAGAATGTCTTTCTTCCTCTTGGTACCCCGGATCATTGAGCAGCGCATTCGCTTTTTCCTGCTCCTTTTTGGCTTCATAAGCTTGCTTAGCCGCCTCCATTTTCCTCGCTTCCTCCTCCCTCAGTCTAGCTCGTTCTTCCTTTCTCTTGTCTTCCGATCTTCGTCTTCTCTTGACTTCCGCTTCTTTCTTCTTCAAATCTTCACATCTCTTCTTCTCGACCGCTACTTTTTTTCCTCTTCCTTTCGCAGCTCCCTCTCCGTTTCTTCTTTTTCTCGACGATTTCTCAAACTCTTCGTACACATAGTCTTCGTCATCATCATCTGAATCCTTTGCTTTCGACTTTGGGGATACTAGAATAGTTTCGTTGTTCCGTGATTTTTAACTTTTCCTTTAATACTCACCAGAATTTTCTTCCTCTTCCTCCACTTCTCCAAGCGGTACCTTCGTCTCGCTCCACCGCAATCCGAGTGTGTCCATCGTGTGATCTGACCACAGTTGGTACGATTGGGACATCACTTCGTGCACTTTGAGCATGTGCTGCTGGTACTCGATGCGATCGGACAACGTCTTTCCGCAATAATAGCAGAGATAATGGTTCAGAGTTGCCGGATCCACACGTTCCATACGGTAGCTGCAACTGAATTGTTTCGAAAACGGCAAAGAATGAGCACTTACCGCTTGTGAACTCCTTGAAGTTCCTTACCCATTGTGGCTAAAAAGTTTACTATACTTATTTACATGAAACAACGAATTCAATGGTAGTGTTTGGACGATTACCAAAAAAAGTACTAATTAAAAAATACACAAAAAACATTTATTTATTTATGGGGCTATTCAGCGTATGTTTGTTTTCCGTTTTTTTTTTCGTTTTTTTACATCGCTGAATTGGATTTTTTGATGTAAAAAAAACGAAAAAAAAAACGGAAAACAATCATTTTTTCACAGCCCGAATAACCCTATTACTACAATTGAAGTTTCCCGGAGACCGCGTAACTTCAGACCGTATTAGTGGGCAGGAAAACGGAAGCGGGACAAGTAGAAAGGCGATATGCTGATACAAATGGAAATTTGGTGCACATCACTACTATACACGACAAAAAACAGGCGAACGTGGAAAACTGGAAAACATGGATGGATTGTCAAAGTGTTTGAGAACTTTTTGTAGTGGAATGGATGTCGAATTGAACAGAATTAAGCGGACTCCGCCTGCAGTTCGTGGCGAACATGCATAAGAATCCATCCGAGGGCGTTCTTTCCGTTGGCCACCAGCGGTAGATATTGCACGTTCTCCGAGCTGACCTTAGCCGGAATCTTGAGGCTTTGGTTGACATGGCGAGCGATCCAGTTGGTGGTGTATTTCGGATTGGCACCGGCAGCGAAGAAGTTATCTCTGAAGAAAAGGCAGATTATAATAATATTGATCTGACCTACCCGATATAGGTCTGAATAAGGATCTTGTCTCCGGTCTCCAGGAGCTTCTGTTTCAGATCTTCGTTTTGCTTGAATTTCTGAGTGATGGCGTGTTTCAGAACGGCGATGCTGTCCTTGACCTTCCATTCAGCAACCTGACAATTTTTCAGTTATGAAAGAACTTTCTCAGAATACCGACCGCTTTCGAAGGCACTTTTCCCTTCAGAATGTCTTTGGTCGCCTTTTTGACTTCAAGCGGCGTGACGGCCGATTTGAGCTGTGCAGCAGACTCCTTTCCGACCAGAGTGTACAGTTTGCAGGCCTGATAGTAGTGCTCGACCGAATTGTATTCGTTTCCGTCCACGTTCACTTTCACCGGATAGAGAGCAGAAAGATAATGTGCCGGTCCGCTGAAGAAAAGGACATTCTCCTGCGAAATAGTTAGTTCACGGATCTCCATTTCGGCTGGAAGAGCAACCTACAAACAGTTGTTCAGTTGCCAATTCTATCGGTACGTTTCTCTCACTACATCCTGTTTTCTCAGGTAAACTTTGAAAGGACGTTTTCCATTCGGAGCAACGTTCTTCATGTTGTCATTACTTCTGTTCGGCATTTGAGGAGTGGATTTGGCGTCGGACAGCGGGGAATCATTGGACGAAGGAGAAGCTCCTAGGGCCGCTGGCGACTTGTTCCGAGTGCTCGAGGGGCGTTGGGAGGATTTCTCCTGCTGCAGCTGGAAACTGTTTGTAAAGAGACATAACTTCCGTCATGCACTCACAATATGCACGTATTTCGGTCTGTTTTCCGGAGTCTTGCCATCCGGATGACCTGCAGCCTGCTCTTTTTCCTTAGCAATATCCACCGGAGCCGACTTTTTGGCTGTTTCCATTTTCAGAGGTTTGAAACTGAAAATCTGTTTAGAAAATTAGAAAGAAACCCAAAAAAGAAGATAGGTAGCGGTGGTTGGAAGACCGGTGCTGTAAAGTAAGCAGAACGGAAGAAAGAATGCGTTTATAACAACGAAACGGGGACAACAGAAGAACAAACGAGACCTAATAAACAAACTAGAATCTAAAGCAATCGATACTTTTAAACAACGCCGCCAAATTTAGCTTCTGGGCTTTTTGCATTCGTGTACTGCTCCAGACTTCGCACTTCTTCCCTTCGAATCGATCTCAGCTTATTTTCAAAGTCCAACTCGAAATCCACGAGATTACCGGTTTTGCAGAAAAGATCAAAGTCGGGAGACAACATTCTTTTCAGGTCGTACACAATATCAGGTGTAGGAAATGCAAATTCTCTAAAGCTCATTGTAAAACGTTTTGCGAGCGTGATTTAAATCTTACAGAACTATCACTGCGAGGCCGAGTTGCCATATAAGATTGGCTCCGGATACTTTGATAAAATCAAAAAACGCCTCTTTCTTATTTTTGTACACTATCCGCTCTCGATTTGGCAGAAATTTCCAATTTTTGTTGAGTAACCGCCTCGATATTGAGAACATTCTGCAAGAAAGCGGTACAACTCTGTTTCCGACAGTTTTTGATAAACTTCAAGTGGAAAAATGCGAAAAGGCGAACAAGAAGTGAAACTAAAAGACATTTCTGAAACATTGTGGCTGCTGAGAAGCATGGAACGATCAAAAAAGAAGGGGGAAAAACGGCTCGATACGAATTTTTTCCAGCGGAGAAAAGTCGGCCACGAAAAGGCGGCCACGGACACTTTTTGGCGATAGTTCAAAAAATTATATATTTTGCTACCTCCTTACTGATTCGCCACATTGTTGTTGTCAATACCAAGGTTTCCAGAAGCCTCTCATAAGCGTAACGACTATTCAAAAGTATTCCAATCGGATTGGGGCCATAAATTCTATCTCAAAGGAAACGGCAGAGATGATGACAAAAGTATACTGAAAAAGAGTATACTCCAGAAATGTCAGCATCGGGAGAATTAAAAGAAATGTAAAGGTGTACTTTCCAGAGTATACGTTTCCTGATACAGATCTCTTCAGCTCGAGTGGGCGGGGCCAAGCTACGCATTCACAGGAGATCAGTTCTCAGATTCAGAATCAGAATCATTCGACTCATTCACTCAGTCATGCAGTCTGTCCTGAATTTCTTCCTTCTCATCGGCCTCTTCCAATACTGTCAGTCGGCCGGATTCCTCCGTTTCCAACTGACTGCTGACGGCGACTGTCTTCTTCATCTGGAGTCTTCCTATTATTCTGAAACGGTCCGTCTTCTTGCTTACGAGACCCGGTCTCTTGAGATCTATTCTCCTGGATCCCCCAGCGAAATCTCCGTCCGCTTTCACCTTCTCCACCATTTCTCAGGCAGATCTCTCTGTGATCCGTCCGACCACGTCTTCCGTCTCGATAACAACGGCGTTGTGGATTCCCGGGTGATCGACACTAATCGGGTTATTCTTTCGGTCCGTTCGGTGTTCGAATGCGAGCAAGGATACTTCGGTCCTCAATGCGAACGTCGTTCCCGCCCAATCGAAGTTTCCACTGCTGTCGTCCCGACTCCATCTCCTTTGTTTTCCTTTGAAATCTCCGACGAGTAAGTTTCCCTTCTTATCTTCTCAATTTCCAATTTATTCCTTTTCAGTGTCATCATCTACTTCTCGGTCGCCTTCCTCGTCTTCCTGTTCATCCTCGCCAACTGCCTTTTCTGCTGCAGCCGGTCCGGTTCGATCCGTTCCTATCAGGACACTCTTCCACTCGAAATCCCGGAGATCAAAGTGTTCTCCATTGATGAGTACTCTGTGTGCACCTCCAAAACCGAAGAGACGGGAACGGAATACGTGGATGCTCTCAGTCAATTTACTTCCGACATCAAGCTCCAATCTATTGTCTAACTTCTAATAACTGTAATTTTAATATTCTTTCTTTACATAATACCAAATAAATGCAAAAGAATTTTCATTAAAATAGTCACTTTTTCAAAGGACACGCATCGGGGTGAACAGTTTCTGGCACATATAAAGCTAAACGGTGAAGGTGAAGACTAAAGTGAAAAGAGCAGAGAAAAAGGTGAGCTAGTCAGTGAATTTGACAATGTTTTTGGGTAGAATACCAGCGGGAAGGGTCTTGAACGCCTCCAGCTTCCCCTTGAAGTAATAGTCGTCGACGTCTTCCACAATCAGAAGAGTGTCTCCCCGCGTGACATACAAATGCTTCGGATCCTCCGAGTGATAGTCTCCCGTCGCCATCGCCTTCTTCGGAGAGAACGCGCTCGCAATCTCGGCGATGCCTTTGTTTGCTTTCTTCGGAGATCCGTACGGGGGACCCAGGAACGTCTTCGGAACCATTCCTTGTTGTCCGCGGCACTCTGCGAACAGCCACTGGCCGTCAATGTCCTCGAGCACTGTGATGACGTCTCCTTCGTACAAGCGCAAGTCCGTCGCCACTCCAGAGTCGTAATCGTAAGTGACGGTGACAATCTGTTTGGAACCGGATGTCTTCGGAGGACTGATCGGAGAAGGAGCGGGTTGTTTGGACGGCACTTGGGAAAGATTCGGACAAGTCACGAACTGAGAAGGGAAGATTCCCGTCCGTCCGTAACACTCCCCTTCCAGCCATTCAGCGTTCACACGGAACAGCACCGTTATCTGACTTCCAGCCGAAAACTGACGAAAATAACGTAATTTTGGAGGGATCCGAACACTCACACTCAAATCTCCGATCTCTGCCGAGTTGTAGTCGTAGAGAGCAGTTGCGATGGCCCCGGAAGATCCAGAAGGAGCCGAAGGACGGGATGGTGGGGCTGAGAACGCCTCCTTCAGTGGGATCTTGATATCCAGATAAGAAACAGGAATGATGCCAAACGAGCGGGTATTCTGATTTTCTCCTGAAAATATGAGCAATGAGTGATTTTAGACTTTAACAAGCACAATTTACCATAAAGCCACTGATCATCTACTTTTTTGGAAAGAAGAACAGTATCCCCCACTCGCAGAGCCATTTCATCGGGCAGCGAAGGCGTGTACTCGAAGACGGCTATTCCATGAGGAGTTGTGATGTTCGGAGTAGTAGTGTACGAAGGGACGGAACTGTTATGACGTGGCACTGGAGGTGGGGCTGGCGCTGATGAGTATGACGTGGCAGCCGGAGGATTGTACGTCGATCGGTACGAAGGCGAGACGGAGGAAGCTGTGGGCTGGTATGATGGTGACGTGGCAGGAGCATCTGGAATAAGAGAAAATAAATCGATGAAAGTTCGAGAAGGATGACTCACTGCTCGACGATCCGCCGATATGAAGGTTTTCGAGCTGAGATCGGATGGCCGAATGAGCAGACGAAAGCTTTCCCGGAGAGCTTTTAGATTCCGAGTAGGAGGAAACAGCTCCTGCGCGATGAGGCGGCGGCGGCGGAACATCGGCTCTCCGGTTGGCATCCGCGACGGCGACGGCCGCGGAGAACTTGTTGCTTCCGCTAGGATCCTTGACCGCATTCAGGACTGCTCCGCGAGCCCTCTCGTCCTGTGCCACGTTCTTGGCAGCCTGACGAACGAACGGATTCTTGGCTGCCGCGATGGCCGCATTCCGAACCTCGGGCTTCTTGGCAGCTTCAAAAAGGGCCTTTGCAGCAGATACGGAGAATGTGCCGGTGTCTAAATGAGATATTTATATTCCGAGAAAGCCGTTTGATATTTGTTCATGACTCACCTTTCGACATTCGTGAAACCCGAAAAAGGCGTGAGAAAGTGACAGAGAGGGGCGCAATCGATGAAAAAAAGAAAAGAGAGCGGAGAGGATGAAGAGACGCAGAGAAAAAGGCGCAGTCTTCTCGGCGGTGCTTGCAGGAAACAGAGTGACGAATGAATGTTGTGACCGGGCACAATCAGGACAAAAGGGGCGGGGCTTCTGTTTCAGAATCCACGAAATACAGTACTTTATCTGATGAGTCACAACCGGAAGCGAAAAAAATAAAAATAACGGAACACGTGTTCCAATTCATTGAGAACCGTTCTTTTCAAAGTTGAAGTTAGTTAAAGCGGCGTGTGATCCTGATTACGGCGGTTTTTCATTTTTACTTTCTCGCGATTTCTATGCGTTGCGGAGTCACCAATTGGTAGTTTCCAGTTAGCCACAATGCTCCATCTGTTCCCAGAAATGACGGATGACTCACCGATGTTCTCGTTGATGCCAGAGGGCTTTGGCGGAGTCACTGGCGGCGGCGATTTCATCATTTTTGCTGCGAAAAGCCCAAACTGCCAGAAGTGGATCTTTTCCGTCCAAGACCCCCTTTCATTTCTGTTTGCACACTCCGCCTATTCGTCCTTATTTACTCAACTTTCGTGCTCAACTCGATACAAAACTCCAGACCGTTTGTAGTGGAACAACAGAAACTACCAATTTATTACTAGTGTTGTGACTGCGAAAAACCGAGAAAATTTAATATATACAGAGCACACGGATTGAATCGATGTTTCGTCTTAGCGTTTGATTGTTACCCATTTTTGTGTAGCTGTGGCTATAAATTATCAACTTGTGAATGTACACGGACCTGAAAATAGAGCATGGAGAAGGAGAACAGGATTTCAACGGCAGTTACCTCAATAGATCAAAAAAGGCTGATTCTCTCTCGGACGATCTGATCCTCAAGCCAGTCACTCGGATCTTGCGCATCTGGCTGGCGTCTTCGTTGCCGGGAGTAAACGACGAATACGAAATAAAGAAAAACAATGATGAAGATGCAGCAGCCGACACGGTCGAATACGTCCGGAAAGTAGTAGAAGAAGAAGCTCACAGAGAACAGCTGACCTGAACGAAAGGTAACGATTTACGGAACGAGCGGGGAACGCGTACCGCCGAAAATAAAGAAAAGAGTGGTAGTCTGCAGAGAAGACACTTCATCTCTGTTATGTGGCAGAAGTCCATTGTCGAGGAGAAAGTCGCAGAGCCAATGCCTGATATTGAGAAGTGTATCCAGACGGAAAAGCTGTCTTATCCTTTCTGGACGCAACAATTCAAAGACGGCGCCTGACAGAGTTGGCAATAATGCCGCAAGCAACATGTAGACTTGGTTCCGGTCGATCGCTGCTCTTCTCGTCACGTGATTATGCGCTGTGATAGGAGGCAAATCGTGGTCAGGTGGAATCAGAGCGATTCGAGCTGGCGGCGAGGCTGCAGAACGATGAGTTCTGCGACGAAGGGATGATTCATCTGGAACTAGTGGAGGAAGAGTGACAACGCCGGGCCGAGTGTACGGGATGTTGCTGATGTGGCAGTGAACGATACTCCCCGCCTGCAGTCCGTAATGCTGCAGAGTGAGGTTGTCGTCACGAAGAAGTTGGCCTGAGAAATAAATTCAATGAAAAAAAGCTGGTTTTGAAGTTGAATACCTTGGAAAATAAGTCTAATAACTTTGTTCGAGAGATCAGCGAAGTGTTCCATTTTGAACTTGGCCACAGTGTCTCCCAATGACGCGTACGCTTCTTTCTCCGTATCGTCCAAGAACTTCAATCGAATCAACACTTTCTCCTCTGATCTTTCTACATTCGAACTCTCAGATTTACTATCTTGTATTAGAGTTTCCGTGACTAAATCACTATTCGGTGCCGAGACGCTTGCAGACTGCTGAAGCCTTCTGTCTTCCCTCGACAGAATCTCAATCTCAATTTCGGAGCTATCGTCTTCGTTCACAGGATTGCTGGCAATCGGGCGACGTGTGATGGGCGAAAGGATCTCGATTTCTACTTCAGTGGTCGGCTCAACTAGCTCATTCAGAACCTGCCGATTTCTTGCGTATTCGCTCGGTGACAGTATTTCCAGTTGTATTTCATCATCTTCATGCACTTCATGTTCCTCCCCTTCAGGACTGATCGACTCTTCGTCGCTTCTGTCCTCATCGTAATCCGGAACGAACTCTTCACCGACTTCTTCGTCGATCCCATTCAGATTTTCTCCCTGCCGCCTGTTATATCGAGCGATCAGAGGTTCAGTCGGATGCTGGGTTAGATCTTGAGTTGTAATCTGATGCGGAAAATCGGGAGAAATCACTGAAAATAATGAGTGAGACGCGGATTGGACAGAAAACTGACCAGGAGTTGTGTAAGTGACGTCTGTTGTCACATAGTCATGTTGCGAATAACGAGGCTGGAAAAATGCATGAAGGTCTATCAACCGGTATCATTTTAATGCTCACGTTGACATATCTTGCTCGATTTACATTCGGCAATCCGTCTTCACTGTCATTGGTCCGCCTTTGCGTGTTTTGGAAGACTCTCGAAAAGAGTGTCGTATCATTTCTGAAAATCAGTTCTGTATAGTTGTTTGGTTGCCAAAACTGACCCTCTGGCAAGAATGGCGATTGCAGCAGCCGCCGCATACTGACTATCTCTCGTCGGATGAGGTACTTCTCCTGGTTGCGGAGGCGGCATTTCAATGTCCCACAAAGTGATGCGTTCGACATCTGGACTTCTAAAAACCATCATAAGCATGTGTTGTATTTTTCGTGTTAAACCGGGAAGGCGCAGGAGAATCTATGACTGTGTTGGGTGACTGAATGACAATGTTTGTGTCAGAAATGGCCACTCGCTGCTCTCCTTGAACTCTCGGAGCTCTCGCTCGCATTCTTTGAACGAGGCGGTCCCATGGAACCGGCGGATTAAACTCCTGACCGAGATGGAGAACCTGGAAAAGAGAAAATGTCAGTTGGGAACATAGGAAGCGACGTCATGCCTGAACTATCCTTCTTGCTGTCCACGTGTGCATTTCAACGATGAATAGATTGTAGTAGAGTGGCCTCCGAACGGATACTGAGTATGAAATCAATGCACATACGAAAACCACCATTACAGCGGCCACTGTACTGAACTGAAAACTATTTCTGATTGCTTTGTCTGAAACGTCACACAAAAAACTCACCTCTACATAGCTGAGTACGGATTTGATGATAAGTGCGTTCATCATGATTATTTCACTGCCTATAAAAATACAATCAATGCCAATTCAGATGATTTTTTTCCTCGGCGGAGACACGCAAAGAGAAAAAAGTTCTGATAACATTTCTCAAAACGAATCAATAGCAAACAGTGAAGGCGCAATAGTCGACGGGAAATTGCACGCGTTGTGGGGGGAGAAGCGCAGTTCTCTTGCTTTATTCGATTCCATTTCGATAATTTCACCTCGATAACTTTGAAGAGAAGAAGTATTTTCCCACAGAAAGTCTTTATTAGTCGCAGAAAATATGTCGCAAAACGGGAACGCAGTGCGAAACTGGAGTGTAAAGTGAAAACAAGATAAGCATTAAAACCAACGGCAACTGTTTATCAGATCTCACTATTTCTGACCTCATTGATAAATACACATTAACTTTTTGGTTGAAAAAAAGAAAGAAAATGTTTTCTTGAAGACAGATTTGTGAGTATGCGCCTTTAAACTGACAGTAACCGAAAATCGCGGTCTTCTGATTGTGATTTTTTCCATTTCCACTATGGTCCACGACACAAATTCATCTTCAACGTTTCGTTCAGCTGTTTTCTGTACCTGGCGAACCACGTGCTTCCGTGAGACGTCTTTCCGACCATTCACTCACATTGCGTAGGCTACACTGAAGACGACTCATCAAGGTACAAAGTCCAGAGTGACGAAAGGCGGGCGGCGCGTCGTGTGGAGGCCAGCTTGTTTTCTCGCGTTCTCTTCCGACCATCACCAATTTATCTGTGCCTTATTGATTACAATTGCTTGTCCGAAATTGCGAAGAAATGAATACGGGCCCCCTATTTTTCTTTATCACAATGCTGATAGCGTTGGGTGGACCGCCGAGTAAACAGTGTAAAGGGCCGAAAGTCTGTCGACTCTTTGTTTTCTTTCTCTCTTTCAAACGTAATATCACGTCGTTCCCGTCTGTGTTCGGGTTTCCACGAATGATGCCATTCTCGTCATTTCTCGAGTTTGTGCTTGTTTTCGGTTAGCTTTAAAAATCGCCTCTTCTTTTCCCAAATCTCAATGTCTGCGACCGATTTGCATCAAACAACAAAAGGACAGGAAACTTTGTCCCTTGTCGTTGATGAACTGATAAAAAGACACGCAGTCGCAATTCCGTCGCCCATTCTCGTCGTTTCTTGCCCTTTCGTTCTTTCACTCATTCATACATACCCTTGCCTTTTCCAGAAGATGCTCCGCGCAGTCAGTTCTTCAATCGGCACCGCTCGTACTGCTTCCACAGCCGCCAAGAGAAACCTTCCGAACATTGTTCTCGTTGATGCGGTCCGCACGCCGTTCGTTGTCTCCGGAACCGTCTTCAAGGATCTCATGGCCGTCGATTTGCAGAAAGAGGCCATCAAAGGTGAAATTTTATGACAAAATTTGTTTCGTATCTTCAGTTTCTCAGCACTCGTCGAAAAAACGAATTTGTCTTACGACAAACTCGATCACATCATCTGTGGAACTGTCATTCAGGAGTGCAAAACGAGCAACATCGCAAGAGAAGCCGCACTTCTCGCAGGCGTTCCTGATAAGGAAAGATCTCAAACAACACGTGATTTCTTACTGGTAACCTGTTCAGATCCCGGCTCACACTGTCACTCTCGCCTGCATTTCGTCGAATGTCGCCATCACACAGGGAATGGGAATGCTCGCCACCGGAAATGCGAATGCTATCATTGCTGGAGGTGTCGAGCTGCTCTCCGATGTGCCCATCAGATACAACAGAAAGGCCAGAAAGGCGATGCTCGGAATGAACAAAGCGAAAGATGTGCCGTCTAAACTAAAGATCGGAGGAGAGATCGTGAAGAACCTGCTCTCTCCGGAACTTCCAGCAGTTGCTGAATTCTCGACTGGGGAAACCATGGGACACAGTGGAGACAGACTCGCCGCCGCCTTCAACGTCTCTAGAAAGTAATTGAACTATCCTAATTTTCTCGTATAGTTTTTTTCGTCTTCAGAGAGCAGGACGAGTTCGCCATCCGCTCGCACACTCTCGCATCGGAGGCTGCCAAAAAGGGAAAATTCACGGACGTCGTGCCGGTGTTCTTGGACGGAAAGAAGCCAGTGACTATTAAGGACGACAACGGAATCCGTGTTTCCACTCTTGAGAAGCTCTCTTCGCTGAAGCCGGCGTTCGTGAAGCCACACGGCACAGTCACTGCCGCCAACGCCTCCTATCTGACCGACGGAGCCTCGGCGGCTCTCATCATGACTGAGGATTATGCTCTTGCCAATGGATTCAAGCCAAAAGCCTACTTGAGAGACTATCTGTATGTCGCTCAGGATCCGAAAGATCAGCTCCTGCTCTCGCCTGCCTACGTCATCCCAAAGCTGCTCGACAAGGCTGGACTCGAACTGAAGGACGTCGATGTCTTCGAGATTCACGAGGCGTTTGCCGGACAGGTCCTTGCCAACCTGAACGCACTCGACAGTGACTACTTCTGCACGGAGCACATGAAGAGATCTGGAAAGTACGGCCGTCTCCCAATGGACAAGCTCAATCTGTGGGGAGGATCGTTGTCGATTGGACATCCGTTCGGGGCCACCGGAGTCCGACTTGCCGCCCATTCGGCGCACAGACTCAAGGAGGAGAAGGGACAGTTCGCTGTGATCGCCGCTTGTGCCGCCGGAGGACACGGAGTTGGAATGCTGCTCGAGGCTTATGAAAAGTAGACGGAACGCCACCAATACTGCCCTCCTTCAGTTTTCTGTATGATAAATTAGTGATTGCACCGGCTATTTATTCTCTTCTATTTTTATGTGTATAGACTTTAGCGGTTTTCGTGTCTTTTCTGAAGACTTCTTGTCTCCTCGTAATTTACTGGTCATCTCTTAACACTCTCCTTTTCTCCTTCATTTTTCTTCTGACTTTCATACCAAAAATGAAATCAACTATACCTTATGCATAATTATGCAAGTTTTTTAGACACTAATAAGAAAATATCGTCATGAGTTATGAACTTGTATCCCTGCTCGGCAGTAGTTGACATGTTGTTGGCCTAAAAACCAATTTAACAACCAACTACTGGAGCTTCCGAATACCTTGAGACTTTCCGTAATGTGTGACTGTTTCAGTCGGTGGCATCGGAAAGTCTTTCCCCCGAAGTTGTAGGTGGTCGCATCGAGGACGCCGCCTTGAATCAGAAATCCGCCGTCTTCGATGAGAGAACAAGCACCGCGGACCGCCCGGAAGTAGGCTTCGAGGGTCTCGCACGAGTACTCGAGACAGAAGACCGTCGAAACGACCTGGAACTTCTGCGGAACGAGCACGTCTTCACTCCGTTTCCAAACTGCCGACTGGACCACTGGGGACTCGTGCACGTTCACCTACAACGCCCGGATTCGGAGAGGGCAGGGCACTAGGAGCTTACATCGAGAACTGCTCTCATAAGATTTCTCGTCTTCTGCTGCATCTGAACGCCCGTTTCCATGGATGCTTCGATGTTGGCAATCCATTTGCACACGTTGTTCCAATCGAACTCGGACCTGCAAAGTTGAAAGAAACCTGAACTTCAAAGGGTTTATTTTTTAGTAAGGAAAAGTGAGTACCGGTAGGGTTACCTATTCTCAATCCAGCTGATCAGAGTGTCTCTGTTGGCCGGAGCATAGTCCGAAGTAAATATGTTCTCGGCCCGATCTCTCAATGCGATCGGAAGATAAACGGTTGGCCCAGCGCCCAAATCAAGAACTGTTCGGACTTTTTGAGGGAGACGGTACAGGATTCCGGGCAAGAAAAAGAGAACGATCTGCATGGCAGTGTCTTCCGAAGCCGTCTTGTAGAAGCTGTCCAGGTAGGCTGCCGGATTGAACTGGAACGGAACTTTCCCACTGATTCCCAATTCGAGCCGACCTTGTCTTTGTGCTCAATCGCTGCGCACTCCTCATTGTTCGCTTCTGCTCGCACCTCGTCCGGTCCCTTGTCTGATGCGTCGGCCGACACGGTCATCTGAATACTTTGGCATCATTTCCATATGAATACGGAACGATAAACAACGGCGGAAAAGGAGGACGATTCGCAGCGCAGATAATCTCGCGAGGTTGCGACTTTGGAGGTGCACTCTCGGCAGCCTCCTCTCCTGATATCCGGTCCATCCCGTCCCGTCAAATGCTCGATGTCTGCGTCTCTCGGCTCTGTATGTGCTCTCAAAGGATCTGTAGTGTAACACTCATCGGGCCGCAGTCTGTCCCCTCCTAGCGATCACCCAATGCCTCGTTCCTGTAGCTTCTCCTCGTTTTCTGCTCGCCGGTGGGTCGCCCCGAATGCTCGGCCCGTTTCTTTATGTTTCTCTGTTTCGGATCGCCTCGTTAATTGTCACTCTCTCATCAGTTTTCTCTTTTCCATTTTGATCACTTTCTGAATGCGTTCTATTGATGCATCAGTACTTCTGAACTTTTATCAACTGATTCCCAGTTTCTGACAAGTTAAATCGGTTATTCAGCTTCCTATGACGTAACGAACGGAATAAAAAAGCATGTACATAACCGCATAACGTTAAATGATTTTGTTTTCAGTGGATGCATCAGGTGACAAATGTACGAATGCGACCCTATTTCAACACTTCTTATCAGTTAGCAAATGTTATAAACCTAAAATTCTTAGGAAATATTAGCTTTTTTCATCGGTAATGTCATTTTCCATTGGTGGCCGAGTTGCATTGTTAGTCCACCACCGCACATTTTCTCGGTCATTCATTAAATTTGACTATTCCATCAATTGTTGCTCATTTTTATTTTACTTGTCTTGATTCAAACTCAAATTTAAACGTATTACAGAAAGAACAAGCATAAAATGCAATAAACCCAATCACAATGTCAACCGGTGTTTTGCAATTTGTCAAGGGAATCGATTTCTCCGGGAACGACTTTTCGGTGAGTGTTTTCCCAGACATATTACTAGTCAAATCGCTCATTTTGCAGGGAGATCGATTCCCTCACGATGTGGAACAGATGACGCAGATGACGTGGCTCAAGTTGAACGATTCGAAGCTAGAACAAGTAGGAAATAACAGAAAATACAAGAAAGATAAAGAGAATTGCAGGTTCCTGATGAGTTATCACGTTGTGCAAACTTGGAACATCTTCAAATGGCTCACAATCAACTATCATCTGTACACGGAGAGCTCTCAGATCTTCCGAGACTACGATCTGTCATCGTTAGAGATAATAATGTGAGTGTTCCCTTTCAAACGCGACAGCAACACAGAAATGTGATATTTCAGCTGAAAACCGCCGGAATTCCAACAGATATATTCCGGATGAAAGATCTGACAATCATAGACTTGTCGAGGAATCAGTTGAGAGAAGTGCCAACAAATTTGGAGTACGCAAAAGGAGCCATTGTGCTCAACCTGAGCCACAATAACCTGGAAACCATTCCTAATTCTGTTTGTGCCAATCTTATCGACCTGCTCTTTTTGGATATTTCCAACAACAAACTCGACATGCTCCCCCCGCAAATACGGCGGCTCAGCATGCTTCAAAGTTTGAAGCTTTCCAACAATCCGCTCGTTCACTTCCAGCTGAAACAGCTTCCCAGGTAACATTCGTCCTATTGCATTCCTCTTCATTTTTCAATTGTTCAGCATGACGTCTCTGAGCGTTCTTCACATGAGCAACACGAACAGAACTCTTGAGAATATCCCTCCGACGCTCGATGACATGCACAATCTCCGAGTGAGTATTTCATTGCCTACCAACCACAAAACATCTCTTTCAGGACGTGGATTTCTCTGAAAACGGACTTCCAGTTGTTCCAGAAGCTCTTTTCAAGTTACGGAATCTGCGAAAGCTGAATTTGAGTGGGAATAAAATTGAAAAGTTGAACATGACCGAGGGAGAATGGGAGAATTTGGAGACTCTCAATGTCAGCCATAATCAGCTTCAAGTGATTCCCGATTGTGTCGTGAAACTGACGAGACTTTCAAAGCTCTACGCCTCCAACAACTTACTCACTTTCGAAGGAATACCGTCTGGAATAGGGAAACTTATCCAACTGACCGTTTTGCATTTGTCTTACAACAAACTTGAACTAGTACCAGAAGGTATCTCTCGGTGTGTCAAACTGCAGAAACTGAAGTTGGACCACAATCGGCTGATCACTCTTCCGGAAGGAATACACCTCCTTCCCGACTTGAAACAATTGGATTTGCATGAGTAAGTTTTTCTCTTCATTCTGAGAATGCCTGCTAAAAATGCGTTGAGAAGAGGACTGTTCGAGAAACAAACATTCCGAAGCATAAAATGCTCTTTGGTCCGTTCCCATGCTCGTCCGGAATGCATGACTCATATGCCCGAATTCGGCATGAAACAGATTTGCATTAATGAAGTCTACAGATTAGACGACTCCTCTCTCTTTCCTCATTTCTTACTTTCCCTTCCTCCCATATTCTCGTTTTACAGCAACGAAAACCTGGTGATGCCTCCGAAACCGAACGATGCTCGCAAGAAACTCGCATTCTACAACATAGATTTCTCGTTGGAACATCAGGTAGGTCAAACAGGAAACCGCACCGTCCCTCGGCGCTAGATTTTAACGTAATTTTGATCTTCCCATCAATCAAACGTTGAATTTTGCCCTTTCGGAACGTCTCGTTCGCCCGTTTCCTACATGCACTTATTTTTTCGTCTCTCCGCCCGGAAATCGTCTCCGCTGCTCGGTCGCCCGCTTTTTCTTCTCCATTTCTTGTCCCTTTTCCTCCCAAAAAACGCGCAGACGACTTCCTTTTCTTTCAATTCTTCCGACCCGCACGCAGAGAGCCACCAAAATACTCATTTCTGACTAGTCGCTTCCTTTTTTGTTCGTTTTCTCTCGAAAATGCGGGCTGAGTGTCTCTTGGTGAGTGACCTCGAAGCAGCAGGTGATCGCCAGATGTGAACCGCATGAAATATTGTTCCGAGAAGAAGTAACCAGTCATTTTCAGCGAAAGATCGCAGGCCAAATGGCGAGCCCGTCGTCGTCGATCTCGTCAGTGCATTCAGGCGGTGCACGTCAGGATGCGTTGGCAAGACGGAAGGAGTTCATTCGTCGACGGAAGCAGCAGGCGGATCAGCAGAGTGCGGACAAAGTTATACAGGTGAGGAGAAGGGGGCCACTCGAGGTGTTTGGATAGTGGGTCACGTGAATTCTCGAATTCCTCGTCTGAAAATTCAGAGAATATGATCGCACTTTCCATATGTGTATAACCAGCTGACTGTTGGGAACTGCATAATGTTCCACATAAATTTCCTTTCTGGTCGCGGACTGATCGATAATCTCGACCATAAACTAGTGTCCTCCCCCTCTTCCCTTTTTTTGCGGTGGTTCTTTTCTACGAGAACGACGTTATCATATCGTATCACCAATCTCAAATGTGACCCGTTTCCCGGTCACTTTTCTGTGTTTTGTTGACATTTCATTCCAAGTGTCCATGATAGCATTCGTATTTGCAGGGAATGTCCAAAATTGCCGGTGTAGGAGCGGCACTCACGGAGAAGCAGCAAGAGGAGGAAGAGCGACAAATCGAGGCGAAGAGCGCGGTGAACTGGCAGAAGAATCTGGAGAAGCATCGGAAGCACATCGACTACAGCGACATTTTCGATGAAGACGTCGGCAATGACGAGGGAATGTGGGTCTGGGAGATCGAGAACTTCTACCCATCGATCATGGATGAAGCCTATCACGGACAGTTCTACGACGCCGATGCATATCTCGTGCTGAAAACGACGAGAGAGATTTCCGGACAACTCCGCCACGCCATCTTCTACTGGCTCGGCGAGCACGCCTCCTTAGACAAAGGAATGTGCTCCGCAGTGCACGCAGTAGGCCTCCGCAACCATCTAAATGCCACGTGTCGAACACAAAGAGAGGAAATGAACGACGAATCGGAAGAGTTCCTTTCGTTGTTCGGAGAAGAAATTGTTTACATCGAAGGAGGAAGGACCACTTCCGGCTTTTTCACAACTGAGAAGCCGGCTCATTTGACGCGCCTCTACAGGGCTGGAGTCAACGGAACCTCTGTGGATATGGAGCCAGTGCCTCTGAGTGTCGAATCGTTGGATCCACGTTTCTGCTTCCTTTTAGACGTCGGAGAGACCATCTGGATATGGAGTGGATTCAAATCGAGGGTTCGTTTCGTGTGTCAGAAAGTTAAAATGCGCTAGAAACGGTCAGTATGAAAACGAGAAATTGAAGGTTACACTGTTCGCAAAATTCGATGTAATTTCTTTTTTTCTCTGAAGTGACCTTTCCGCCTCGGGGGTCGACAGATACTGACGGCAAGTGCCCGCGAGACAGAGGAGGCGAGCGGGTGTGCGAGAGGACACGACTCTCTCTCTCTCTCTCTCTCTCTCTCTCTCTCTCTCTCTCTCTCTCTCTCTCTCTCTCTCTCTCTCTCACTCTCTCTCTCTCTCTCTCTCTCTCTCTGTCCACTATGTTATGGGCACCGAGAGACGAAAGAAATGCGACTGCTTGGCGCAATGGTAGCGCGTTCGACTCCAGATCGAAAGGTTGGGCGTTCGATCCGCTCAGTGGTCAAAACATTTTGTTTTTTGACACTCCATGAACTGACAATCTCTTTTTTCAGATCACAGTGTCGAATAAAGCGAGACTGTTTGCCGAACGGCTGAACAAGCGCGATCGGAAGGGAAAGAGTGAGATCGAAACATGCCGGCAAGCGAGATGTCCTCCAGAATTCTGGCAAGCACTGACTGGAAGTCCCGAAAAACCGGAAGGAGCGATTGTTGAGCATGTTCCGGAGTCGTTCGTTCCGGAGAGAAAGAAGTTATACAAAGTGAACATCGGAATGGGATTTCTGGAACTTCCACAAGTGGAACTGCCAAAAGGAATTGCGAAACAAGAAATGCTCAACACGAAAGGAGTATTCATTCTCGATTCCAACTCGGACATATTTCTGTGGACTGGAAAGAAGGCGAATCGACTTCTGAAGATGGCCGGTCAGAAGCTCGTTGTTGAATTGCATCAGATGATCGACAGACCCGATTACGCGCAGGTGTACAGAGAAACAGAAGGAGAGGAATCGATGATGTTCCGATCGAAGTTCGCCGGATGGGACGAAATAGTTCCCGTGGACTACACGAGGACCAGCGACTCTGTGCAGAGAGTGCCCGACCTGAAAGTGATTGTGAAACAAGACAACATGATGAGGGCCGATCTGGGGGCACTTTTCCTCGAAAGACAACCGCCGATGGTGTTCGAGGAGAGCGAAGAACTGATGCTCGATTGCAATTACGACCTGGAACTGATGGAGAGTTTCGTGCTCGAGGGGAAGAAGTTTGTGAAACTGCCTCAGAAAGAGTTTGGAATATTCTACACAATGGACTGTTACGTCTTCCTCTGTCGGTATGCAGTTTTGCCAGAAGAAGAGGACGACGAGGAAGAGGAAGAAAAAGACGAAGACGAGAAGCCGGAGATGGATTTTAAGTGTGTCGTGTACTTCTGGCAGGGAAGAGACGCATCGAACATGGGCTGGCTCAACTTCACTTTCCAGTTGCAGCCAAACTTCGAAGAGATATTCAAAGACAAACTCGAGGTGGGAAATCAACGAAAGAACGTTTTCATTTTGCTATGTTTCAGGTCGTTCGGATGTACCAACAGCAAGAGAATCACAAGTTCCTTTCTCATTTCAAACGGAAGTTCCTCATAAAAAGAGGTCGACGCGGACTGACGAAGAATCTCGGTGGCAAGTGGCCAGAGCTCTTCCAGATGCGAGCCAATGGATCCAGCGTTTGCAACAGGACCATCCAAGTCGATTGCCAGTGAGTGAACTGAATTTCGTAACAGCAATGAGTTCTTCTTTACCTTACAGAGCGAATCAACTTTGCTCTGCGTTCTGTCACATGTTGCGGATTCCATTCAAAGAAGTCGAGGAGAGCGGACACCGCGGAGTCGTTTACGTCTGGTTCGGTAAAGATTCGGACCCTAGAGAGCATGACTTTGCCCGTCAAGTGGCCTCCGATCTGGTCGTTCGTGATGATGACAATGACTTCCGAATAGTCGAAGTGAAAGAAGGCGAGGAGAACGAAGAGTTCTGGAAGGTGCTCGGAGGAAAGAAGAGCTACGAAACTGACAGCTCCTTCATCAAGTACACTCGACTTTTCCGATGCACCAACGAGAAAGGATACTTTGCAGTGTCCGAAAAAACTGTCGACTTCTGTCAAGTATCATCAATAGCTCTTTTATTAGTGTAAAACACGGTTTCAGGATGATCTCGACGATGACGACATCATGATTCTGGACAACGGAGACGCGGTCTTCCTGTGGATCGGCGCGCGTTCTTCCGACATCGAAGCGAAACTGTCGTATCAAGCGGCACAAGTGTACCACGCGTCATTGCGAATGAAGGCGAACGAACGGCCGCGCAAGTTCATGCTGGCAGTGCGGGGCCGCGAGAGTCGCAGGTTTCGGAAGTGTTTCCACGCGTGGGCCAAGATGAAGGTGTGTTCGGATTCCGAGGCACCCTCCTCAATTTTTATCATTTTCAGGAGCCCGTCGGAAACTAATTCGCCACCACTCCCTTCCTTCTGCTTTCAATGGCACGGATCTTATCCCAGTTCTAGTCATTTCTTCTTTTCCGGATGCAAAAATATAGTTTTATTGCCTCACATTTTTTTGTTACTACTAATTTATTGCCTTCCTTTTCTGACCCACTTTTATCACTTCCAATTTTGCTCATTCAACTCGTTTCCACGACATCGAAACAAACTTTTTATTAATTCTTATAATTTGACTGTGAAATATGATTTCTCTCTGGTTTCCCACCTTCTGGCTGGTATCAGCTGCCGTTCCTAGGTTCCACGGCGAAAAAACAAGCTAGACGAGTATAGAAACGTTTAATTTTATCTTCTAAGGTCCCAATTCTCTCTTCTTCAACTCGTTCATTCACAGCTTCCACCGAGTATCTTTTCGAGTTTTCACTTGTTAAATAACTCTTTCTTTCCATTCTTCTTGGTGTTCCTCATGCATATTACTGTAGAAAAATAACTGGTGCTCTGATTTGTTCACAGCAAAATTCTTATAAATCACAACCGATGCAACTAATTTGGAGCTAATCTAATAAACTTATCGTTCTGCTCTGTTCTGTCAAACGTATTCAGGAATTTAAAGGGAGTTTATCGAATATGGGTTTGTGGTTCTCGCAACGAAATGGCGAAGAGTACGGTGTGCCTTGCCATCTGTTTTTGTTTTTCTCGAAGTGTAAGTTCGATTTCAGAACGCATAGCATCTTTTACGGCACGACGCCGACGTGATTCTGAATTCAAGTTACAGTCACAGAAAAAATGAGAAAGGTAATTAATCAGAAAAACGGCTTACTTGACAAAAATTGATATTTCAGGGAAGAATGGAAAACTCCGGTGACGAAAAATGCGCTGAAAGGACTAGAGTAAGTATAGAAGGTGGTAAAGACACAAAAACCGTTCAGAATTTTTTGGAAAGTGAAGCGTTTGTCCGACAAATCACCGCCGATGACAGAAATGATAGGGGTGGGAGGCTCTCATCGTCTGAAGATTATTCCGTATCTCCAGAAGGGAATAGTGAGGCGAGCACTCCACGCGTCAATTCAAAGGCGCGGAAACTATTCGTATGTCAGCTTTCCAGATTATACCAATGAAAAAGAATGCTTGCAGTGCGTCGCTCGTCCGAGACTTTCTAACAAGTCGATGCTGAAAGGACTTGTCGAACGTGCTGAAAACTACAACAAGACAGTAGACAAAGAACTGTTGACCGACTCGAGAATCGCCTTCGGTGAGCCGGGAATTATAAAGATTCAACCTCGCTCAGATGTTACAGAAGACGGACAGTTGAAAGGAAGCAAATCGTTGGATTTGATGGCGAAAGATTTACAGCAGTTGGCAGTGTCGAATCAACATATATCGACCCGGGGGCGCGGTGACATCTTCGGAAAGTTGCGCAGTGTAATGTTGCCCGCATAAATTAGACCAATTTTCTGGTTTGCAGAGTTCCGAGTGTGAAGAAGCGAAAGGAGAATTGTTCGAAAGTCCAGTCAGTAATAATGGCAGCACCGGCAGCTGCAAAAAAGCAAAAGTCATTGTGAGCAAGGCGTCGTTGAGCTCGACAAAACTCTCTTTCAGCCATTCAGCACCCGTATCAATGTCATTTTGTCAAGTGATGGCTCTGGAAACACTTCGCGCGTCGTCGTCGCGGATGATAACAATCTCAGTTTCCAGTCTCCTCGTCGTACCGCACTTTCTTCACGATTGACGCGAGAGAGCAATGAACCGTTGGCCCAACACCACTATGATCCGAGCACAGCTTATAACGGAAAAGTGAATTGTTCAGCAGCCGAGTGTAGCTAATCGAATGAGCCATTCAGGTGGAACCCGACTACCGCTACAGTTACAAACCGCAGCAGCCGGCGTGTGCTCACGTAGTTCCTGTTCCTGTCGGTCACAGAGTCGTCCCTTTCATTTCGAGTGTTGTGTCTCCGGTTCGTCCTGGACAGCGTTATCCGAAGCGACCAGAGAACAATCTCCGTAACAGTCTTCGTCTTGTTCAGATAATCAGCGAATATTTCAGCGCCACCATCTAAACCGAAACATCTCAATCACAACTACTACGACATCAATCTGTACGGCGCTGCGCAGGAGGAGATAATTGCACAGAGAATCGAGTAAGCTCAGCCGAGATGGCAACTTTTCAACACGTTTTTTTTCAGGAAGACGGTCAGACAGACTGAGGCGCCACCACGATTCTGATCAAAACGACGTCCTGCAGCTGGTTGACTTGTGATTTTCGTTGACAACTATTTTGTTTTAAAGTGTTTTATTAACTCGCTATAGATGTTTAGTGCGCGCATTGATGTTTTTCTCAATGAAGAATTCTTTATTTAATTCTGGCCGACCATTATCATTCACTGTGCGTGTTCCGCTTTTTCTATCCACGTCACTTGTTTTCCGACTTTGCTCTGCTCCGTCGTAGTGTTTGCCCGGGTAAGAAAAAGTTATAAAAAGGTGAAACAGAACGCGGACAGTATTTTGAGTGTTTTGTGACTTAAGAATGGGCAAAACTCTGGACGCACAATTCGAAGCGGCAGTCTGGATCATCCAGGCGCTCCCGAAAGACGGTCAGTTTCGATCCGTTCCATTCCCATTTCCGTGCGTTAAAGGTCCGATCAAAACGACGATAAACGATCAGCTGCTGATGTACAGTCTGTTCAAACAGGCGACCGTCGGCCCGTGCAACACCCAGCAGCCGTACTTTTATAAAATCGAGGAAAGACTGAAATGGAATGCGTGGAACGAATTGGGCGAAATGGAGAAGGATGAGGCGAAGGCTCGGTACATAGAGAAGATGCTCCAATTGGTAGGTTTCTCATCCAATTACTCATTTCAAATGACTCCGCTCTACAGTGTGACAAGGCGGAAAAAGAGCACGACCTGATGAACTACCTGAACGACCCGACAGTGGCCGACCTCTTGCCGAAACAAGATCAACTCCGTGAGCACTTTGCCACGTTGGGACGGACGACTGTGAAGGGATACGAAGGAGAGACGGTCACTGTAAACGGAGTCTCAATTTCTTTCTGACAATCTTTATCCATTTTTGTGAGACTTCAATGAACTCTTATGAGTCTTCTTTGCGAAGTCGTTTGGTCCAATCGTACGGCTCCCACAGCTCTTTGAACTTTTCCGCTCGGGCCTTTTGCTTCGACATCTCGTCCGTCTCCCGCTTCCTCCACTTCTTCGGGGGCAAGTCGAGCATTCCAGCGATTATTTCCTGAAGAACACTTGAATTATTTGACCGAAAATAGCCGAATTACGGTGGAAAAGGTGGCCGGGAAGTGATCGTGGCTCTCAATGGCGTGTGCGTATCCGTTGGAGAGTCCGAAGTCAACTGCAAAATAGCTGAATCCCTTCGGAATTTGACGCCGAAGATCCTTCGTTTCGATCAGTTTCTTGTTGTCCATGTACTCGCCCTCGCATTCGTTGATCGCCTTCTGAAAAGAAACGCATTTCAGTTTCTGATTGTCTCTAAGGCTTAGAGTCTAAGCTAATCTTTTCGTATCTGCCCCTAGAATCGCATCGAATGATTCAGAATGCGGCGCCAGAGTGTCTCGTTTGTCCTAAGCCACCGAAAACAGCGCGCGAATCAATCATCAATCACTTGCGGTACGGTTCGAACCCTTTCCCCGAACAAAATTTGCGCTGCCTCGTCCGACTAGGAATTCGGTGTGATAAATCTGATAATCTCCGAACACACGCGCATAAAAAAGGTACGCATCTGTGCCCGGTTTGGAGGCCGATTCGTCGGAATGTGAACTTTCGAAATGCGTGGCGCGACAACGATTTCTTGCAGACCTCCCGGGGCCGATTCGCATCGAAAAGGGAGAAGAAAAAGAGATGCGAATCTCCGCGCGTTCTGAAATGACAACTCCGATTTGCACAATTTATTGACGAGTCTGAGAGATCGTAAATCAAGGCAGGCTTTCAGCCGCAAAAGTACATCTGCAGATTCAGTGAAAGCGCGGTTGCGTCAGCAGAAAAGTTTAACACTGTGAAGAACTCGCTCAGCGCTCGTTTGTGTCCGCGTGATGTTCGGTTTGGGTAGAAGCGGAGAGATATCATTCCATAAATGAGCGGGAAGGAGGAGATCAGATGACTGCGTTGAGATGTCGGTCGCCCAAAAAAAGCTGACCAAAATTGATAACGACATCTTCATCGTCTTCTCCCACTTCAACTACTTTTCGTTATCGCGAGGGGATGATCTGATCCCTTCGGCGGCGCGTGACTCTGCTTTTTGTTTTGATGGGAGAAGCAATGCGGACGACCGCAATGAACTTCCTCGTGTTGACGTGGCAAGCGACGAATGACCGAAGATTACTGTCGATTAGTCGCTCTCCGATTCGTTCCGATCGTCCTACTGCCAAGTCGGTCGCCCGCATTCCACGAATTTTCATCGCTACTGCGTCTCGTCTCTTTCGCCGTTAATTACGAGCAATTTCGCGCGATTAAACCAATTTACACCCCGACATGTTTTTGTTGTGGTTTTTGTTAACACAAAAATGGAATGCGGCAAACCTTGAAGTAGATCGGAGCCATGTCTCCGATTTCCTGATCGACCGGAACGCACTCGATGACTACGTGAGGGTTCGAGTCCACGTGGCGGGACATTTCGAAGAAAATGCAGTCACGATTCTGCTCTTTCCAGAGAGCCACGAGCCCTGAAAATACGATATTTAGACACAGTTAGATGGGATACTGTTGACCTTTGCGCCACAATCGCATTTCGTCCCACACATTCTCATCCGTTTGGATTGTACTCGAACAGTGCTGATTCGGCACAATTATCAGGTGCTCGTCATCCAGGCCGTCCCATTCCACAACTGCCAAGTACGTCTGAAACGAATCCAACAGTAATCCTTCTCATTTCTGTGAATCATTGGCCCTGATCATTCGACTAAGAGAAAACAATTATTCGAAGAAGAGATCAGCAAAATGCAAATTGATCAACTAACAAAATGCTATTTGAGTGTCTGTCGTGCCGAAACCTATTCTAACTATTCATTCACGATGGGCGGTCGCCTGGATGAATGATCGTTCAAGAACCCTCATTACGAACCAAACACCAACGAACTATTTAACTGCATGAGTGTTTTTGTGTGTTCCCGTGTGTTCTACGAAGAGAGATAAAGTGTGCAAGCTGTGAAAGCAATGCATTAGTTCAGAATCGGCACGTCGTCTCGCTCGATTTGTGATCAGTTTCGAATTAGAGATGGAACCATCTCGACAAGTACACGCAACCTCGAGAAATAGATTTCCATCTCAACTCAGATACGCATCGGTATGTTTAGTGAGTAACTTCCTTCGTCGGCACTGAGAATCTCGCTGACGCCAACAAGACCGGACACTTCAAAGCAAAGAACTTCCTCCCGCCATTATTACCGTTTTTACAACTTCGGGTCGGGTCACTTTGTAAGCGAGACAATCACTTCGGAAATGGCAACCGAAAGAAAGAAGAGAATAAGGAAGAAAGGAAGAAAGACTCTGGATGGGAGGAGGAAATTCTTACGTTGATGCCCACTGCGATGATGTTGTGTTTTGCGAGGCGGGAGCTGTCGATGCATCTGGAGCAGTCGTCGAATGAGCGTTCAATCCGCTTGTGCTCTGAAAAACGGCATTTTATTTTTAGGCCTTTAGGCATTTTATTTTTAGGCCTTTAAGCCTTTAGGCCTTTAGGCATTGACCCTTTTAAAGATCAAGAGGATTCGAGAGGCCCTCTCAACTGAACTCTTCTCTATAGTACTTTAATCTGTACTTTCTGCCATACTCGTGGCAATTCCCGCCATCAACGTCATAATCGACAAAAACAACGAGTGCGAACTACTACAGGCACCTTCTTCACTCAAAGTCTTTCTTCCATCGTTTCAATGACGCAACTGAGTGCTTCTTGTTCGACGATCTCATGCCGGGAAGCCGTTCATGCAGTCGAACCGTTTCCACTTCAGCGGAAGGGTTGAGTGGCTGCCAGGAGACGAAACGCTGTCGTGAACAGTACGAAAGCGTTTCCGGCTTCCGATACTTTCAAACGGAAAATCGGCAAACTGTTTCTAAAACATCAGTAACTGCCGCAAAAAGAAGACGTCAGTGTGTCTGCTGTTGTTTCCCCAAACCACACCAAGATTTGTGGTCTCTCCCGAAATTGATGTGATAGCTGCTGATGCGAAACTAAACAACGCTCTTCGGTTATTTATAGGAGACCTCTGCTCTCGAATTTGTGACTCATTTGTTTTCCCGAACTAACGGATATCATGTGGAATACGGCGAAGAAAACCGTAGATGATGGATGATCGTCGAACAAGTCGAGAAAGAGTCACGAGGATCTGTTGTACTACGGAACACACATCTGATCATGAATCAACATTTGCCATGGCTTTTGCCAAAGTATCATTAGTACTAGGACATCTTGTAGCCTTGATGTTGCAGCTGTGTACATTTCGGAAGAGAACGGATTCCTTGGGTGCAAACAGTTCCACTGTAACTTTCTTTTTGGTTTTTGGTGTTCTACGCAATCATTCCAGCCCTTCCAATTCTTCAATTGCCAGTGCGTTTTTTTCGCAACACTCAACTAGAAAAATGTAGTAGGTCGGAGCGGTAGCGCCAGAAGCGATGGGCGGGCAGATAGCACGGTCGGGGCGGGGCAACTCACATTCTTTCGACTGCGTCTCTCGCCTGTCCGATCGTCCGCACCCATCAATCGACTGTCGCTTTTAACACCCCGAGAAAACAGAGACGAAGACGTCCTCCCCGAAGCATCCTTCAAATTCATTCCGTCTTGGTCGACACCGCACCGTGTGGTGAGACTTCGTTATGTTCGTTGCATCCCTTGCTCTTCTCTCCACTCTTTTCTCCTTATGTACATCCACCACTGAATGGTGGGGAGATCTCAGAGCACATCTGAATCCTGCTCGTCAGGCGCCCTTCTACGATGTAACTTATGATGAAAAAGGTAAGATTCTTTCGGGGGACTAAAGCTTCATAAAACGTTCTTTTTCAGTAAATGTCTGCCCTCAAGGCCTTCATGCTGATGCTATACCGGAGTACGTTTACTTCGGAACCATGCTCGCAACAATGACTGTCGATGAGCATGACCAGTGTCTTCAGAAGTGCGCAGAAAAGCCACGTTGCAAAGCCGTCAATTTCTTCCATCCCTTCGCTTATCAAGAGAAAGGTTTCTGCGAGTTGCTCACCGAAGGACAGCGCGACAACCCGTCTCTGATGCGTCCATTCCGCAAGGCCACCTACTACGAGAAGATCCGTTGCCGTGAGCTCGATGATGTCGAAGACGTTGAGGAGTCTGTTGCCGCCGAAATTACAGAAAGTGAGTAAGACTAAGAGTGCGAGACGAACCAGTCGCCACTCGAAACACACTTTGCTCAAGTACTATTGTTTGTGTTACAGAAGCGCCAGAAGACGCGGTTCGCGAGAAAAAACTCGACATGAGCAGGCTGATGAAGAAGTTGTCGGCAAAAGTGAAAGAGTTCAACGGCGGCTCGGGAGGCTTCCGTGCGGCTCGTTAGATGCAGCCTGGTATCAGCTGCACTTCATGTCTGTACCATATATTAACCATTCTCCGTTTTTTTTCGAGCCCGTAATATTTGTTCCTACCTACATGTCCCCTTAAGATCTCTCTGTTTCTCATCGTCGCTCGGGTCCATTTGCTTACCCAGTTGTTTCGCCCATTCCATCCAAAATCCTAAGTTCTCCTAGTCAAAAGTATAGATGCTTCTTTTCTTTCTTCTCTCATTTCTCTCCGATAGAAACCTCCTTACGTGTACGTATTCGATACTTTTGCAAAATAAACCCCTCATTCTTCTCGCGCTCTTTCTTTCCTTTCTTCCACCCTCAGGTCTTCTTATCTAATCTGGTGACATTTTCGTCGTCCGACACACACCGAAACTTCCCATCATTCCCCATGTTTTCTCCAATCCCAACATCAACATTCCTGTCCAATTTCGCTGGACAGACAGGGAAGACGGTGAGGAAAGGACTGCTTCTGAAAACGATGGGCACAAACTGTTCGGCTGAGGCGGACCGGTTAGAATTCTGGAGACAACAAGAACACTTGCAATACAACACTCCTGATGAGAGGAAATTCCGACAAATTTGATAGCGCACTCATGCCGCGTATTTTGGGTTTTGGTACGCTCTTATTTATTGAGATATCTATTTGAAATCGATCTGCCAGATCAAGTGTCTGTATCTTCGATACAGTTCTGGTCTTTCATTCAGGGATTCCTTGGTGTTCGAAAAAGCGCAGTTACTCTTCTGTTTTCCGTGGAATTCGGCACTTACTGGTGTCTTCCGCACTGTCCTCTTTTCCTCATTCTTAACGACTCTATAAACCAAACCAAAGATTCCCCCACTCCAATTATTCGGGCAATCAGTGTAATAACCGCCCCATCAGCCCGTCGTCTCGACGAAAAACAAAATTCCTAGCGAAAAAAACACATGCAGTGTCTACACACGGATGAAAGATCGATTTGATTCTCGACTGGTGTTTACAAGTAAGGAATTCCTGCCAGGAGAAGGTGACGTCGGGGACGCAGACAAAGAGAGTGATTGGTTTGTGATCAGCGAGGTGATGTGACCGGCAAGGAAGGGGATTTACGGGCGAAACTACTCGAAACTGTTATCTCGGCGGCACCCTCCCCCCCCCCCTTTTTGTTTAACGTCTTCTGAAACCGAAACATCGCCACATTCCGCCGAAGTGATTAATTGGGAAAAAAGATGAGCGAGTATAGGGGATTACGGGGCGGCGATCGGGTAAAAAGGAGAAGGCAGTGTCGACACCCCGTACGTAAATGTGTTATTTTCCTTTATCCATTATGGCCTTTGAAGCATCCCGACAAAGTATGTTCGGATGAATGCATTTTGATCTTCCCACTGATTAATTTTAGGATCCGACTTTGTGAAATAAATTTTGCAAAAAATTGTTTTGAATTCTGTTGAAGACGATCACATGTTTGATTTTGAATGGAACTTCAGACTATTGTGTTCTTCTCCGTTGTGACTTCTGCTCTCTCACTTTCTCATGACTGTCTTCCCCGGAAGGTGGTCAATAGAGTAATCGACGAACCGTGACCGAAACTCAAACCCATTTCGAAGGAACCATCCCATCAAGAGATGTTCAAAAGAACATAGACATGTGAAAAGGAATCATTAGGAATTTGCGAAATGGCCATGAAATGTGTTTGCGACGGACGACCAACCACATAAATTGACAAGTTTCTTCCCCATCTCTTGAATATTTCTCGCTCTCGGATACAAGAGAAACCCCGTCAGTTACCATTCAAACTAGAGACGACCCAAAGTGCTGATTACATCCAGACCGCGATCAGTGACGTCATCGGAACGTGCACTTTCCAGGAAGCTAAATGTGTTGTACATATTGTGGCCGCAAATAGCCAATAGAGAAACGTCTAGATTGATATGAAATTGATCGATTCGCCAGATGCAGAAAGACTTGTTTCGTTCGCCGGCAAGTGTCATCAATGACACCTTCTCACCAGGAAATTCCCTTCACACTTTTCCCCGGTGGACTAGGGAGGTGCTCTTTTCGTCGAAGCCTACGTGGGGAAACAACAAATAATGAAACGGTGATTTGTTTATTTCTCCGCAGAGGAAGAAGTAGAGAAAGAAGGAGACGAGTTCAAAAACCGCGTTATCTGCCGGAAATATACTAGTACAATACGAGAAGACAGATCGGGTCAAAAGTAGAAAGAAGAGAGACAAACGTTGAGAATAAACTTTCAGAATTCTCCATTTTCAGATCTTTCCAGGGCTCACCTTTTATTGCCTCCTTTTCTCGTTTCTTCCTGTCTTTCTCGTCAGACTTTTTCTTTCCCTTCTGCATCTCGGCAATGTCGTCCACGCTCTCATCGTCATGACGACGGATTTTCGAGCTTTTCTGAAAAAGTTTGGAATAAGAGAAGGACAGGTTTAAATTACCTACAATGAGAGATCTCTCGAAGAGACGAAGCTGGTCCCCGGCAGTTCCAGTCTTCTCTTCACGAACCATCGAATCGAGGTCCTGCGACTTCTCGTACTCCCGTCGCATTCTTGATGAGCCCTCCCCATGTCTGTCAGAATCGGATCTTCTGCTGCTCGCCGGAAGAATGTTTCCCTCGCGGTCCTTCCTCATCATCGTAATTTCTTTCGATTTCGACCTCGGAGGCTCTTCCTCTCCAGACATCCCTGATTCGAGCTTCCTTTTTAGTTTTTTGACAAGATCCTGAACAAAAATAATGAAAAGCAATCGTTTTCTTAAGATACCAACCGCGTCTCCTTTCATTTCGGCTTTCAGAATCTTGGCGGATAGTTTGTTTTTCTCGTCGTCTGTGAACGGAGCTCCTCCGCTTCTTGAAGACGATCTTCCTTCGTCTGAGTTCACGTGCTGATTTCCGTAGAATTCATTTTGTGTTTTCGAGCTGCTCGTCACGAATGTCTGAAGATTAACAATTTATAGACGAGGTAATGGATCTTAGTCTTACTTTTCCTGTTGCATACTCTGAACCCAATTTCTTGGCGTATTTTTCAGCAATTGGCTTAGCTTTTACAACTCTCCGTCCGCTGTAGTCGTCATCCTCATCGTCTGGACGGCGAAACATTTCTGAAAACTTGGCAATCAATCAGAAGAACTGTAAGAATGAAAATGATGTGTTTTCACAGTAATTAGAGAAAAAATCGACAGAACTAGAGATCTTTTGTAAAATTTACAATTTTTTAAGTCATAAAGAAAGCTGAATACTTTTAAAATAAACATTTTGTTGAAACGGAAAAAAAAACGAATTTTCGTCAATTCGGAGTGGTGGCCGTGGAATGTGGGGCCGAGTCGGATCCTGTGCCGCCTCCACATGTGCAGCAATTCGGACAGCTTTCGCTTTCTCCTTTTCACCCTCCACGTTGCCGCTTCCCGATGCAAACCTCTTTCCGTCCGTCCCTCAGCTTCTCCAAAATTGTAATGTGTTTTTGTTTATAAAGGCATCCATATATCCCCACGCATAATTTTCAGTTCACTCACTTGCCTTCTCTCTTCGTCTTCTCTTCTTTTTTACTTCATATGCTATTCGCTTTAATTAAGCTTGTTTTCATGTGACAAGAGAGAATAGACGGCAGCTCGCGCGACCCTTTTAATATCGGAAATGGCACATTTTGCATTTTTATGCCTAGTGAGCTCTCAGAGAGAAGTTCCTTGAAAAGAGTTTCAAAATGTTTAATATTGCTCTTTCATAGTTACGAAATCTTGAAGTCTATTTTTGGAATTCGTCGAGTTCATTCAGAGTTTTGATTCCTAGAGTCATCTGAGACATTATATAATCTGCCAAGTCGGAACCAAAACTACAATGCCAGATCAGAAATAGTCGCTTTTCTATCCGCGAATTCAGAGCTCACATCTGTAGTCATTTCCAGCAAAAGTCACGTCATCCCTTTACGGCTCGGGAGACCTGCAAAAAGGTTCTCGGTAGGGAAGAACGAATTGACTGAGAAAATATTTGCAAAAAACGATTTTACAACTCAGAGCATGAAAATTTCCCCCTCCCTTCGTTTTATTAATTTCTATTTAAGAAAATTGATGTTTGTTTTTGTAAAGGCAGAAGCATGCCGGGAGCTAAAATTAGATCAAACGTCATCTAATCAAGAATGTATCCTCGACCGAGGCCCTTCTACTTACGTGCGAATCCGTATGGGCTAACAATCTTGCACAACCGCAGAAATGTTAATCAGCCAAGAGAAACAGTTTATTCGAATGATGAGATCTTTTCGCCGACCGAAGAGTCCTGCTCACTACATTTCAGAAATTTACTATGTTCATAACCAGCAAGTATTTTTTAAACTGAGAACAGCATCCATAGCAACCCTACTGCGTATCTCTCAAGTCGATAGATGTATTTCTGTGAAAAACGTCATTTCTCGATTGATTTGTCTAATTAACTGGCCGTGCACCCTCGGGCTCTCTCATCCCCTTCGCTATCCCTCCCACAAACATTCGAACATTTCGCCTTTTTCGACCAGCTCCCCTCCGGATTGGATGACGCAAACGCCTTCTCTTCTTCCTCTGCTGCACTCTCATCCCACCAATCCCCCTTTCCCTTCGTTTCAAACCAATATCGCTTCTAGTTTGTTTACCTCGTTTACGACCTCTCGAGATATATAATTAACTTCTCTTCGTTTCCTTCTTTACGCTTCCCTTATTTCAGCAGTCCAGTTCCCATTATCAAGAGCTCAAATGTAATGTGGCTCATTTTAATTTTCGGACTCATCTCTATAATCGCAACCATCAAATATTCTCTGGAACGTCGCAGGTGAAAACTCTCCAATTCGTTGCTTATTCACTAAAATGATCATTTCAGAAAAGCCAAGGCGGTCGCTTTCTTCCATCCGTATTGCAATGCCGGTGGAGGTGGAGAACGAGTTCTCTGGGCAGCTATCCGGTCGCTGCAAAAAAGGTCAACCATCTATTCGTCGGTACAAATTTATCCAATTTCCGTTTCCAGATTCCCCGAGCTGAAATACTACGTGTACTCCGGCGATACCGATGCCACGAAAGAGCAGATTCTTTTGAAAGCGAGACAACGATTTGGAATAGAATTAGACCCAGCCAACGTGCATTTCGTGTATCTCCGGTTAGTGATTCCTTTCTCGTTTCTCTGATCGCTCTTCAAATCCACTCGAGAGTTCTTTACTATTTGTTTAATTCAATTCCAGCTGGCGCCGTCTCGTTGAAGCGGACCTCTATCCGGTGCTCACTATGCTCGCCCAGGCTCTCGCCGGTTGGGCTCTTGCTTTGGAGGCGTTGTACCATTTCGTCCCGGAAGTATTCATCGACTCCATGGGTTATCCACTGTCCCTTACGACTTTCCGATTTGCCGGATGCCGCGTCGCCGCCTACGTTCACTACCCAACAATTTCTCGTGATATGCTCGATGTCGTCGACCGGAGACAGGCCGCATTCAACAACCGGGACGTCATTGCACAGAGCAACATTCTCTCGTTGCTTAAGGTTCGAAAAAGTTTGAAAGGGTTATTCCGAAAAGTGCAGTTTCAGCTTTATTATTATCGATTGTTCGCTGTTGCGTACCGATGGGCCGGAAAAGCTGCAAACGTGGTTATGGTCAACGGGAGGTAAATCGTTTTCTAAAAATATCTGAAATAAATCTGATTTTGACAGCTGGACTCAACGCCATATCACTTCAATCTGGTCTCGGAGGGACGTGAGCATTGTGTATCCGCCGTGCGACGTCGAGGCTTTCATGAACATCGAATCTGTCGCAGAGAACTTGTGAGTGCCCCAACATTTGGCAGAAAAGTCAGAAGTAAATTACTTAAGGCTGGAAGAGTCGAAGACAGTCCGTATATTGTCAGTCGGGCAAATTCGTCCAGAGAAGAACCACAAACTGCAGATTGAAGTACTTCATGAAGTCAAAAAGCTATTAAGAGAAATGGGGTACAATGTGCAATTGTGCATCGCAGGAGGTTGTCGTAACATAGAAGACGAACAGAGAGTGGAGAGTCTGAAAAGGCTCGCAGAAGAGTTGGATGTCACTGAAAATCTGTTTTGGCAACTAAACGTGCCTTATGAGGATTTGATATCCGAGCTATCAGTAAAAAGACATCTGAACTTTGTCAACTTTTATTTCAATTTCAGAAAGCCCTAATCTCAGTTCACACGATGCACAATGAGCATTTCGGAATTTCGGTCGTCGAAGCGATGGCTGCCTCCACAATCATTATAGCAAACGATTCGGGTGGTCCCAAAATGGATATCGTTAAAGACTACGAGAATCACTGTGTTGGATATTTGTCCGTTTCGAAGGACGAGTACGCGCAGACGATTCTGCACATTCTGAAGGAAGGGCGTCCGAGGAGAGATGAAATCAGAGAGTACGCTCGCAAATCGTTGGATCGATTCGGGGAGGCGACATTCGAGGTGAGTCATACACTGATCTGTGTGGAAATAATTCATTTTTCAGAGTCTGTGGAACGAACAGATTGGAACTCTTGTGATTTCTCGATGATTCGTTTCCTTTCTTTTCAATTTTTTGTTTCTTAATTTAAGGGTTTCCGCTTTATAGTCAGCATGCAATCAATGAACTTTTCTCTGCTTTTCTCATGCCGTTTTCTCTCTCTCCTGGCTGGTTTTCGTGACCATATCGTACTTTTCTCTTTACTCTGTTCGCGATTCCCATTTATCAACATTGGTTTTCTTTCAGGAGCGATGAAGCTGTATTCCGTTTTGGTTTTTCACAAAAACGTCGACACCGGCAACGTTAACCTGCTCAAATCTGAGTTCAATCTCTCTTCGTTCAGCTTTTTCCAACGTGGATCAGTCCAAGAATTCATGACGTTCACTGCTAAGCTTCTCGTCGAGAGAAGCGGTCTCGGAGCAAGAAGCTCCGTCAAAGTAAGTACACAAATGGGAGACGCAAAACAATTATTACTTCAGGAAAATGAGTACATGTGCCACTGTTACGTTCGGAACGACGGCCTCTCATCTGTCTGCGTCACCGACACCGAATATCAGCAACGTGTCGCAATGAGCTTCCTCGGGAGAGTCATGGATGACTTTACGAGCAAGCTTCCAGCCGTTCAATGGGTCCGTTTCTTCTTCTTGACTCCTTCAAAGTGCCTTTTTTTTAGTCGGGAATCAAGAGCGACAAGGATTGTTCGTATTTGGGATTGAAGGACCTTCTGGAGAAGTGGCAGAATCCACGTGACGCTGATCCGATGACCAGGGTGCAGGAGGAAGTTGAGGAGACGAAGATTGTGATGCACAACACAATCCAATCGGTGCTCGACAGAGGCGAGAAACTTGACGATCTGGTGAAGAAGAGCGAGAATCTGTCGGATCAGTCGAAGATGTTCTATACGCAGGCGCGGAAGATGAACAAGTGCTGCAACTATGTCTAGATTCCCAACAATTGAACAAGTGCCATGTTGGTACATCAGCCGCTGAATCAGAGATTTCATCAGATTGTTATTCCTGATGTCCCAAATTGGTTCAATTTTTCAGAACTTGTTTCTTGTTCTCTTTTTTTCGTCTGTCCGAATATGCCGATTCATCACCAGTAGCTTATCTTGAATGTCGCCGTCTTTTCTGTCTTTGTTTGTAAATTCTCGCCTCGTTTCCTCGTCCGTCTTTTCCTCCATCATTCCCCTCTAATCCAGCCCCACGCACCTGTCTCTCGCATTCGCCGAGAGCACAACCAGGGCGAGTGCCAAACGTGACCTCCTTCTATCGATCACTTCTTCTCGCCGAAATATCAATTAGCCCCGCAACCACTCTGTCCCTTTTTTCTTTCTATTACTTCTTTGATAAATATGTCTATTTCTGTGTGTACTTGAATAAACTACTTTTAGAATGTTAGTACTCGGAATCGTTTTTTGGAGGATTGCTCCCTTTGATTATCCTTTCTCCCCCCCCTCTTTTGTCATCTACACTTTTCTTATCAGGGCGGTTGAATGCTGTTTCGTGTCCTGCTTCTTTTTATCGGAGCAACGGCCGTTGAGCACAAAGAAGTGGGGCTGGCGGCCGACATTTCCACTCTCGAATACGTTCACACTATCTGGAGACACGGAGACCGCACTCCGGCAGACCTTCTTTTCCCCGAAGACGTCTCGAAATGGCCGGAGGGGATCGGCGAACTGACCGCCCGTGGAGCAGGTGACAAATGAGAAGGGAATCCACGTGGCAGTTCCATTTCAGAACAACAGTTTCGTCTGGGAAAGTGGCTGAGAAGGCGATACGGAGACTGGCTCGGGGAGTTCGATCGGAACGCGGTTGGTGCTCAGAATCCCGCATCTGCAGATATTTATCACTTTCTCAGATATACATAAGAAGTTCGGATTACAACCGGACTCTGATGTCGGCCCTTGCCAACATGGCGGGCTTGTTTCCGCCGAGGAAAGGACTGGTCGAGGGTGTGATGTGGCAACCGATTCCTGTTCACACAAAGCCAAAACCGACTGACAAAGTGGGCAAAGATTCCGAATCTTCACGTAAATTAATGATATTCAGGAGCTTTACGAAGACGTGGCATGTCCGACGGCCGAGAAAGAAATGGACTCGCAATGGAATTCAGAGAAAGCAGAAGGAATACGCACGGAGTTCGCCACTGAACTCGCCTTTTTCTCGGCAAAACTGAACATTCCAAAGATGAAGCTCAAGGAGACTTGGAGAATATTCGACAATTTGTTTTGTGAGGTCGTTCGTAGGCTCACTAGATATTTTGAGTTCCTCCGTTCCAGAATCAACATAACATCTCGTGGCCAGTCTGGATCAATGAAAGTATGTTCGAAAGAGTGAATCAGTTGTACAACGAAGTCACCAAACTGGAATTCCACACAGAAACACTTCGACGACTGCGTGGAGGAACTCTCCTCGAGGAAATATTCCAGCGATTCAATGCGAAAGCGAGCGGATCGCTCGGGGAAAAGGCCAAGTTTTTCGCCTACTCTGCAGTGAGTTCCCGCTTCCGATCGCACCGAAGTCATCCCTTTCTCAGCACGATTCGACCGTGGCCGCCCTTTTATCCACGTTCGGAGTTTTCTATGATATTTACCCGAAGTACGCGACATGTCTTCTCATCGAAATGCACACATATCCTAACGAAACCCGAATCATCCGATTTTTCCATAAAAACGAAACGGACTCTGACTTTTTAATCGAGTACTCGATTCCCGGATGCGATTATCCGTGCACTCTTCAGAAGCTCGGAGACGATCTCAGTCGGTACTTTCCGGAGGATTGGGAAGCAGAGTGCGGACTGAAATCTAACTTCGAATTCATTTATCTAAGTGAACATCGCTATTTGCTTTCAGAGAGCGCACGACACTTTCCTTTTCAGCGTTGATATTCGGTCTTCTGATCACAACCGTCTTCTTCTGCACAATGTTTGTTTTGGAGAAGAAAAGGAGATCCATGAAGTACCGTACCCTGGCACGAGACGATAATGTTCCGATGCTGGAAATGGTCGACAGTGACTGAATGATTAATCACATTAGCGTGTCTAGCCCCACTCGCTCGGGTCCACTCATACATTCCAACTAACCCTCTGATTCTTTGTATTCACCGATTACAAATTATTGTCGAACTCCATTTTTTCCCCGTGCAATCGGATGTTATTTTCCAAAGGTTTTCTGGGTTACATTTATTGCATATTCCGTCTTGAAACCAATTTATTTCCAGTGCAATAAATAGTATACTTTCCAAACATTACCCGGGGTTAGTCTAATCACATTTCGATCGCAATTCAATTCATCGTTTTCAGTTGCTCTCTGAGCTTCTCAATTGTCGAGTCCAGATTGCTGTGCGTGCCCGCTCTCAAATCGACGAGCGCATCTCGCAGGTATTCGGCGTCACACAGGAACTCTTTGACGAGTCCTTTTGAGAGTTTCGCTGTCTTTCCATCCGTCAGCCAGACATCGTTAATTGCCTGAAGAAGCTTCTTGACGACGTGGCTCGCAATTTTGTCAAGGATCGCTGCGAAGATCGTATTGTCGTCGGGTGTCTCTAGCAGATCTGAAATTGAATGAATCAACAGTCATCTGCTCTGAGTCAACTCGGAATACCTTTGTTAATTTCAGAAACGTGCACCGCAAGTGCAATTTTCGTGTTCTCATTGGCAAGGGCTTCTTCCCAGAACCGCAAAAGATGCAGAAGATTTTGGGTTGCAGTCACGACGAAGTCCTGAGGAGTCGGAAGAGCTGATTTCGGCAGTTCCCCGTTTTCATTGTATACTTCGCTCTGAAATCATTAAAATAATAGTGGCACGTGCGACTGTGCGACTCACTCCGTGATTCGGCATCTTATCCGTCACGAATCGATGACTGGCTCTGATTGCGTCCTTCACTCGGTCATTCATCCATTTTTTCGCATTTTTCAGCTCTTGGCCATTTTTGATTTCCGTCTGTTGCTTGTAATCGTCCACAATCGTTGCCAGCTGCCCGGATAGTGAAATACGTTCGAGATATTCTTCCAGTTTGACTTTTGTTCCAGAATTATCTTCCATCCGACACAGTCGCATCGAATAGTCCGTAAAGATGGGTTTCAGAATCGAAATCGTGTATTCTTGGCCGTCCTCTGAATAGATTTCGAGCAATTGGTTCGACACTTCCCGAAGAAGATATGCGAAGTTCTCGAGACTCGCCATGACTTCGGCCACAGAGCGCTGAAAATCAGATATTGACGGTTTGCGAGAAATGACTGCGCTTACGAAATTAAGAGGAGGTGGTTCAACCATCGACTTCAACTTGTCCGCCAAGGGTCTCTTTGCACTTTCAAGCAGCCCATCCACAATAATCCGTTCTATATTTTCAATCGAGTCTTCTTCTTCCGATCCATCGGCCGTTCCATCGAATTCCTCGTAGGCCTTACCGACAAGAAGGACCAACTGAAAGTAATCGATAGTTTCCGATAAAGACATTCTGATATTCGTACTGCTCTCAGGTCAGTAAGAAGATCGTAATTGCTGTAATTGTCCATTGACTGCCCAAACAACGTCTCCACTGATCCGTTCTTCACGAAGCTCTTCCACGCGTCCAAAAGTCGCGAGAATGCTTCCGTCTCATCACAATACTTGCACAGTGACCTAAACGTAATACAGTTGTGAACGATATGAATTCGAACTGTTATACCCGATGTGTGTTCTGAAGTGCTCTGCCGCTTTCGTAACGAATACACTTCCAATTTCTTTTAATGATTTCTTCTCGTCGACGCCGGAATGTTTGTGCAAAAGAGCAGTAAGACTCTGATCAAAGTGATGCTGATAGAGACGGTAGAAATCTGAAAGCCACGCATGCTTAGTTCAGTGATGCAAAAGACGACACATACCTGTGACCGAGTTCAGAGTTGTGAAAGCTTCAAAAATGTCGTCAAGACCTCCGGGAGTATCAAACTTCACAGCGAATTCGGTTCCTTTCCATGTCAAGTACCGGTCTTTCGTCTTGTGATACGTCTCCGCGTCGAATTTCGGTTTTGCGCCGAGCTCCTTTATGATTTTCAAATTCTCTCCAATTGCCACCAAAGTCGGAAGCAGTGAATCATCAATCGGCCGGTCTTTCAACTTCTCGGATTGACCGTCTTCCGAATCGAATATCTGACGAGCCTGTAAGAAATTCGTATTCGGGATGACGGGGGATGACGGGGGATGACGGAACGAACATCAAGAAGACGTGTCAGCTGCTTCAGATTCCGTTTCGCAGTGTCCAGCTGGACGAGCTGTTCTTCGTGTGGGGCGTACGACGTTGTGCACCTCGACATGTTGTCCTGGAGGCACGAAGACAACGAAGAGATCTCATGGCCGATTCTGAAGTATTTTAGAGATTATCAATTTGATAAACTGCCGTTTGTACCTTGTTTCCACATGGACCATCTGCTTAAATATCGCTTGAAGGTTGGAGTTCACCGAGTACAAATTCCTGTTCAGTTGCTCGACGAGCTGTTTGCACGCTTCTCCACGTGGAATATCCGAGAAGTCCTCTATCGATTTTCTTTCAGCTGAGCCATGATGATGGATTGTCATGGCTGTGATTTTCAGAATTCTCAAACGATTCCTTTTGAAATTGTTTTTAATTTGACTGAAAAACGTGGAAAATTTCGAATTAACAATGAGTGGTTTGTCGTTATTTCGGAGTGTCGTACTAACTAGCAAACAATGCGTGGGTCTATAGACTCCACGCGTTGGTCTTTAGTCAATATTGGATCGAATAAAACGATTTCTGACAAAATCATCATTCTTATTTAATAAAAAGCTTACGGGTCTGTCCGTTTGTTTGTTTGTTTGTTTTTTCTCAGTTTGTCCGTCCCCACTTTCATTTCTAAAACGAAAAAGTTGTGACGGAGAAATTAGGATGTGAACACGTGAACTTTGAAACAGTTATGAGAAATAGACGGCGAAGCCGCTCCCGAGCGTTAGCTCGCGGGCCTAGTTTTGAAAAGTCTTGTAACACTTTATTTATACTGTAAAAGATCAATTTATCATTGGCTGACATCCGAGAATATGATCGCTCCGAACCTGAACATTTGGAGGATGAAACCGAAAGTGTGAATTCTTAATACTTACTCCTTGGATGGTTTGTTCACTTGACGTTTCGCAGAAGTGCTTGCTAATGAACTTGAGGAGGATTTGCTGGAAGTGCTCGAAGAATCTGGGCTCAGATAGGACATCAGCGACATTTCCGCGGTTTCCGTGGGGTTCGAGAGGCTCTCCACGTCAACTGGCAATTTGGTATTCTGGAAGGAAAAGTACACTTTCAAGACATCATGTCATACTAACTTTTGTCTCGTTCAGCATGAAACCTAGAGTAGCAGAAATGAAACTGAAGAATCCGATAATGAGAAATGGAAGCCAAGAAGGGGAGAGTTGCTGAAATAAAATGCTGACAAGGGAGGGGCGAGTGAGCTCACAATATGTTTCAGATACGGTGACATGATGATTCCCATGCTCTGTGGAATGTTCATCAACGAGAAACAGAGAGATCGCACTGAAGTTGGGAACTGCTCGGTCGCCCAAATCGGATGCACCGAGTAAATTACTCTGGAACAATCTGTTGGCTGTCGGTCATCTGGAGCAGCTAACGCACGTCGCCATCACTTTTGCCACGAGCATCATAGTCAGTTTGAGAGAGTAAATGTCGAGGAAGGCGGTGACTCCGATGAGAGCGAGAGTCTGCAGACACAGACACCAGATGACTATTGTCCTCCGGCCAAACTTCATCATAAGAGGGAGAACGGACAGACCAGCTGCAAAAAGAGAACCGAGATGAAATGTTAGAAGAGGAGGGAGACCTGGAATCTCGACGATGGAAGAGTAAAGGAAGGCTTTCACGTGGTCGTCCCCGAGTTCAACCGAAAGGAAAGAGATGGCGAAGTAAACGAGGGAGATCACCATTCTGACAAGTCCAGAGCACCTTTAATAATGTCAATTCGATCACTCACTCTATGAACCCATTGGCGAAAAGAATCCACAATAGTTTGGAACTGCCACAGAGAGCTTTGAGAGATTCGTGCTTCTCAATGTGATGGGTCTCCGACTGGCATTCGGAAAAGTCCGGATCATGATTGTTCACCCTTTAAAAGTGCATATTCTGTGCCGTACAACCGTCATTTTTTCAGCTCACTTGTTCGCAGTTTTTATATACTTTTTCAGCTTTTTCGTCTTGTTCTTCACAATCAACCAGTGCGGCGATTCGGGAAGAAAATACCAGAGAACGAAGGCGTAAATGCCTGGGAACACGACTATGAAGTACCTCCAGTGCCAGTCTTCCGTCATAAAAGTGACCATCAAAGTCCACACCATTCCGAGGGACCATGCCACGTTGTAGACTACGGTAATCCAGGCCCTGGCCTTTTCCGAAATGTATTCACATGTGGCGACACTTCCAACAGACAGATACGTCTGAAATTGAATCGAAAATGAGAGAAAATGATTCGGGTGGAATCTCACATCACTGGATGCTCCGACGATTGCTCGGAGCACGAGGAACACTGCGTAGTTTGGACTGAAAGAGGCGGTGACGTTGGCTAGAAACGCCATGACGGCAGATGCCACGATGATCGGCTTCCGACCATACCGATCGGCCAGAAAGGACATGACTGGCACGGCGAACACCGCCCCGACAGTGAATGTTGTCAGTCCGAATTCTTGAAAAAACCAATGAGAGCACGAGAGATCGAATTCCACGAGAAGGTTCGTCTTCGCGCTGTGGTTCTCTATTCTAAATTTTGAAAGTTTCCCACTTCACTTTCCTTTTAGACCTTTTTGCACCTACATAAGCTCAGTGTTTCCTATTGTTCCGCACGTGTTTCCGTTCATGAAACTATACTCTTTACGCATTTCTTTCGTCTCAATCTCACACGTCCGACTTATCGGAACTGTCTGAACTGCATCTTCCGCTCCAGTTTTGCTTATTCTCGAATCCTCACTTCATTTCCATATTTGCAAGTTTTCACCAGATTCAGTTGCACGAAACTCATGACGTACATAGAGGAAGAATAGAAAAAGTTGAGCGTCTGCACGAGAATGTACGTAATAATCTGATATCTGCCATAGGTTCCATACGATTCAACGAACTTGTCCGGGTCCAATTTCTTCAGATGTTCTTCGTTATTCTGTTTTTTCTGCATAATCTTTTGACTTTTCATCATCTTTTGTGCTCAGAATCACCTTTTCCTGCTTTTCACTTCGAGTTTCGGACATTTTCTCATCAATTTGTTCAGAATTCCGTCTTGCTATCGACATTTTCGTAAAAATAAATGTTTCTAATCGTTTCCCACGCTTTTCTCATTTCACGTGCTTCATTAACGTTCATAATGTCTAGAACGAGCTGCCATCGTTAATATATTTATTAATTATTGGAACTTCGCGCTGTTTCTACAGTTCGGTAGAGCGCACTTACAACCACTTCCGCCGAAATATTTTTCATCGGCAGAGCTTGCAATCTATTTTTCTAATTTTAGGTAGTTTTCTTTACACTTCTTTAGTTAGAACACGATAAACTTTATAAAAAGGTTTCTTAGCTAATTCGCGAGTTTCAATATCGTCATTGCATGCTCCTGTTCTATTCTTATTCCAATCCAATGACTTCTGCAATCTTTCACCTTATAATACGTTTTTTAGTCATTTCGCACACTCAAATTTCAGATAATGCATCCGGAGCAAAAAAAATCGTTTAAAGAAAAGCATGACATCAGGAAGAAGCTGTTCAATTCAACAAAGACGGAAAGATCAGACTGGAGAAAGAGTAAGAGTGCTATATCATTATAATTATTTATAATTCATCGTTTTACCATTTGTTTTAGTGAAAGACGAGAAGAAACGTAAAAACGAAGAAAAAGTAATCAGAGCAGCCGAAGAAACCAAAAGAGCCAAAATGGCGAAGGAGGATCACACTCCGCCCTTCACAATTTCGATTGCCGTTCCGGGACAGTTCCTCAACAATGCACAATCGAGTGAACTGCGGACCTACATGGCCGGGCAGATTGCCAGAGCCGCCACTCTTTATCGAGTCGATGAGATTATCATTTACGACGAATCATGTAGGATGACCAATGAGTGAGTGCTGCCTCTCTTTCAGATCATGAAAAATTATTTCAGAGCGGTGAACGCGTACTACAATGGTTCTTGGGAAGGTAATCTATTTCCGGCCGAAAACAACTACGAAGGATGTTTCTATCTGGCGAAGATCCTCGAATATCTCGAATGCCCACAGTACCTTCGCAAGGACCTTTTTCCGATCCAAAAACCTTTGAAATATGCGGGACTTCTGAATCCTCTCGACGCGCAGCACCATCTTAAAAGCGACGAGACGACGTTCCGCTTTCGAGAAGGAGTCGTGCTGAAAAAGAAGTCGAAGGAAGGCCGAGGCCCGATTTGCAATATCGGACTGGACAAGGAGTTCGAGATCGACTCGGATGCCGTTGCACTACCGCCGTGGACAAGAGTTACCGTGGAAATCAAAAATCTGTCTGAACGTAATAAAGTTTACAGGAAAAAATCACAGAGTGAAGCATAGTTTATTTAATTTCAGAATGCAAACTTTATCGTGGAAGCATTACGAGCGGAACCGCAGTGACCAGAGAGACCGGACACTACTGGGGATACTCGGTTCGACTTATGACTGGACTGCAGAAGGTTCTCGAAGGGTGAGTAGCAATCTTATGTTAGAAATTCAAACATTTTTTAATGATTTCAGAAAAAAATTCGATATTGTGGCCGGAGTGTCCCCACGTGGAAAGCTTGCTTCTCAGATAGACGTCTGTATTCTGAACAAACCGTAGGGTTCAGTAAAAGTGTCTATCCGTAATCCTCTTGCTTCAGAAAAGTGCTTCTTGTGTTCGGCGGCGTCGCTGGTGTCGATGCGGCGGTCGAATCGGAAGAGCTTGCCGAGTGGAAGCGTGCCGAGGACGCATTCGATGTGCTCATTCGGACCACTTCTCTTCCTAATGGATCTCGCAGTGAACGCGTCGAAGAGAACGTCCTTTCGGTTCTGGCACAAGTCCAATGCCGACTTGAGACTCTCAATCAGCTCTAAATCCGTTTTTTGTTGAAGTGTTCATTTTCTTTTTGTTGAATTTTCTGTTACTCCAATCGTTCATGAAGTTTTCGAATCTGTGTCTCTGTTTGGCCTTCATTCTTTTTGAGGTAAATTACCTTTCTCTTATCTCCATTCAGAATCGTTCTCATTGATAAAAGAAAAGATCAAACCCGGCTTCAGATTGTGGTCCGAAATGCGGCTCTTCAACGCAATGCGTTCTGTGACGTTGCTCTCGACTGTGCCCAAAAAGGTGAGAATCCATCTTCTTGGAGACCTTCATGTTCATTCCTTTTTCAGGTTGTGGCCCCCACGATGCTCCGAAGCGTGCGTGAAACGGCTAATCACTCGAAAGGAGTGTACGCGACAAACGAAGTCGTTATCGGAGCACCAAAAAAAAAGAAAAGTGAGTAAGAATTATGCTCTGTTCAAGATCAACGCGTGTATATCAGAGAGCTCAAGAAGTCTTTGGCCTTATTTTGTTTGTTCTCAGTTTCACAATAAGTTGACTGATCTTTAGCTCCTGATGCCACTTTCCTCCGACAACTTGCTAAGAAGTGTTTGCAGTTTGCATCTAAAAAAGTTCTGTCTCAATCAACGAATAGTTCAAGGAGCAGCCGAATTCTGCTCGCTTTCTGAGGCTTCTCCTTGTTTTTTTGTGCTTGCTTCTGTTTGCTCTTTTCGCCGCTTTCCGCACAGCAACCAAACCTGGTTCGAAATCGGCCATACAAACAGTGTCCTCCACGACCTTCACACGGCCGGCCCTCCGTCCTTTTCCATTTTCCGATCGTTTCTTTTTCGAGTATACTGTAGGCCCTTAATCGGGGGACAATACTCAATGAACACGGCTTGTCGGACGATTTCTGCCAAACCGATCAAACTATGGCTATGAGAAAAGTGGCGTGATTCTTTGAACGAAATTGGTTCGGGCACAGGAAACCCAATACTGAGCCACGAGTGCGCACTTCTGATCGGTTGAAATACGAGAGTGTGAAGTCTGATCGGCGAGATGTGAATTATTGAATACAGGACGGAGCTCGAAGTCTGAGTGTCGCAGTTGATCATGAAACGTCAGGTATATGCAAAGAGTGAAACGAGGCGAATTCGCAGCCACGTCATTCCGGAATTGCTCTACTGAAGTCCCCCTTGACCTGCCTTCTTTTCTTCCTTTCTTCTGTTTTCTCTTCACGTGATATTCCACGTCTTCCACACGTCAAACGGCAAGATGGGCCCATCCACGGAATGCGGCAACATGTGATTTCCATCTTATCCGCAAGCCCCCTCCCTATACTTTAGTTTAATTTTTTTGTTTTTCCGCTCGGTCTTCGTATCCGTTTTGAATCGGGCGTAAATGATAAGTCAACGGCTGATAAGCTGACCGCAAAAGGACGTGATTGTCTTTTCAAAACGAAAAAAAAACGTCAAAGTCGGTTGCTAGGGAACCTGAAAAAGATGGAAAAGTGGATGTAACAGGATACCCGCCGGCCCATGTTTACCCATCATCCCCAGTTTTACTCTAAAAAATACATCTCTCGACACAGTAATGGCATTCGACCGAAACTCGCTGAGTTCCCCTCATCTGACCGTCATCTGTCTGCATCTCTTCGCCTCTCGCTCACGGACCGCCTCATCTGAATCACATGACTCATCGCCTCCGCGCGTGTTTACCGGCAGCTCCCTCCACGTTCCCCCGTGTCTCTCGTACCGGCCTCCGCGTGTGTTCGTCGCCCTGTTTAATTGGCCTTTCATATGCTTCCGGCACTCGGTCTCACTCATGAAATGCCACCGCTTTTTGAGCTGAGCGCTGAATTGAAAAACTGACATTGAAAAGAAAAGAGAAATACAAGACTGTCTAGTCGCGAGAATCTATCTCTTGTTCTTCGCAGAATGTTCTCATTTCACATTTCATTACGAAGAAAGGAGTCCAATAGAACGTCACACTTCTGCTTTGCTTCTTCTCAGTATCAGATTTCATAACAATCTGACCAGTTCTCTTTTAACTTTTCTGGTCGGCTGTTCCCATTAAAATTACCCGTCGGGTTTTTATCTTCTTTGATCAGTGCTCCTTTGTTATGTTTTTTGGGTTATCATCGCTCAAAGTTTCTGGAGACAGTCCTCCATCTCCTCTCCGTTCTGGCCTTTCATCACATGTTCTCGCCATTTCTCGCGCGTCTCGGTCTCCCGTGCCGACTGTTTTCGACCTCCTTTTGTTGTTCTTCCATTGCCAATGGCAGCATCATCATCATAGTATCTCCTTCTCCCAGACACTTGTATTTTTCAACCTGTTATTTTCCGGGTTCATCTTTCCATTCCTTCCCGTCTCCATCTCTTTTCCCTTCTTTCTCTCCATACCAATATTTTAGCTCCGCCCCCTTTCTCACACACTTACCGCTTCGAAATCATTCACACTGCGATGTGAATAGACGAACGGAATAGGTAAATTCTGTGTGCATCTGCAATTATGCTGGACTTCTCTGCTGGTGGTATTCTGATGCCCGACTCGGTCATGGCCATCAATCCCTTTCTGCTTTTTGTCGCTTTTTGTGAGTGAGAGAAGCTGAAATTGAATCAATAGATGACTAAAACATTGTGTAACGAAAAAGAAAACGTAGAGAAATTTTTGGATTGCAGGGAGTTGGATAAAATGGCTGTCCGTGTCTACGCTCATCATCGGAGGAGCCTCGTACGTTGCGTATCTGTTCACTCCGGACTGGCGGGAAATTGTGGACAGCAAGCACTACTACAGTAACTGGAAGGTATAAACTGCAAAGAAAGTCACTGGAATCTGAATTGGTTTGCAGATCCGTGTTTACCTGTCTCTTCCGTTCAACACAGCGAGCCGAGTGATCGGCGGTCTTGCGAACCAGGAGATTCCTGTTTGGATGCGAGAGCGGCTTCTTGGAGGATTCGCTCGAATTTACGATTGTAGAATGGAGGATACCGTCGAGCCGGACTTCAAGAAATACCCTTCGTTTGCCGCCTTCTTCAATCGGAAACTGAAGGAGTCGAGCCGTCCGATCAGTGCGTCTCCGCTCGTCTCTCCTGCCGACGGAACCGTTCTCCATTTCGGAAAAGTCGAAGAAAATCGCATTGAATACGTGAAAGGACATGATTACGATGTCGCGAACTTCCTGGGAAACGTGGATCTTCCGCAGAAAGAAGAGTTGGATCTGTACCAGGTGGTGATCTACTTGGCTCCCGGAGACTATCACGCCTTCCACTCGCCCGCCCGATGGGTAGCCACTCAATGCAGACATGTTCCGGGCCTCTTGCTCTCGGTCCGCCCCACTCTGCTCAGCCACGTGCCACATCTGTTCTGTTTGAATGAAAGGTGATTAAGCGTACTCAGAAGTTGAAACATATTCGTTTTCAGAGTGGTACTGAATGGTTCCTGGCGTCACGGATTCTTCTCCTTGTCTGCCGTTGCTGCTACAAACGTCGGTGACATTGTCGTTGACGCCGAACCGAGTCTCCGCACGAATATCGTTCGGCGAAAGACTCAGAAGATCATGAACACCGAGACAGAGATCCACGCCCCATACCTCTCTGGTCAGCGGGTCGGAGAGTTCCGTCTCGGATCAACCATCGTGCTTGTCTTCCAAGCCCCGCCCACAATCAAGTTCGCTATCAAAGCGGGCGATCCGCTCCGTTACGGACAGAGCCTCGTGGCCGATGGCGTCTGATGCTCTCATGTAGCTTGTAACTTTGTACAGTAGAACTTTTCTGTTTCGGTGACTCAGTCACCGTGCTTTACCTTTTTCATTTACTTATTCGAACTTTCCCTCCCATTTCTCATTTTTGTTGCTCCAATCGGGTACGAAAGCTCTTCTCGCTCCCACCTCCGACCGCCCCCACAACCTTAGAACTTCACTTTTTGTTCAATTATTAGATATATTTATTAAAATCAGAAAATAAAGATTTTGCAAATAACATTGAGATCGAATTCATCATCAAATACACAGACCCTGGGAACAAATGAAAAGTTTTCGAGAGATATAAGACTATTTACATAAAAAATATCATGAAGTTGGTAAAAAGGGACGTCAGCGGACAAAACTGGACTCGGAGGTTTTGGAGAAATCGACGGAAAGCTGAAAAAGGGCGGTCAGAACGAGGTGACTCGCGGAATGGGTACCTGTTTGGTTATCGTGTTCTGCGGGAGAGAAGTCCGTCTCTGATGACGTACTTGCTGATAATAACCGTCCCGGACGCCCGTGAACAGGGCGGAAAACAGTTGGCTCCAGGCGGAGAGGGTCTCGCATCGCTTGTGCACTCCGTCCAGTTTCACGCATTCGGCGATGGCGGCGTCGGCCAGAGAGGCGAAGAGATCGGGCCGGAAGCCGAGGGGGACCAGCGACGCGTAGGTCCCTCCGAACTGGCGCGCGTGGGTGAGCACCTGCAAGAACGGACGGATCAGTGGAAGCGGATTACGGAAGAACGGCTTCCCTCGTCATTCACCTACTTATTGAGATCAGAAACAATTTAGGATTTCAGGGCTTTCAGAATTTCAGTTTCATTTTCAATAAACATAATTCGTTATGGATTACGATGCCTGATTACTCGTTTTGACTCTGATCAGAACTGTCGAAAACAACAGCCGGTGAGGACGGGGTTCACTGATAAACCAGTGACGTCGGACCGACCTTTGTGCCTCGCAAAACACACGAAAGTCTCCGCTTCTGGCTCGGCGGCATAATCAGTAATTCCGAGCAGTGCACTTGCGGACCAACCTTATCAGACTTATCGGCATTCTCAACGGCGTCTGTGATGAGCTCGTACATCTGCTTGCTCAGACACTCGATCTGCTTTTCATTCATTTTGCTGAGAAGACTCCTCATTTCTGCCCTCGACGCCGCCGCCCTTTTCATAATCGCATCCCCGATGCACGGCCTGAAAACAAATAGTTCTGAAGGAGGCTTCCACGATTTCCCGTACTTGGCCGCCTTGAAACACTGCTGGATACGGAGCCTGTTGAGCGACGGCACGAGTCCGCTGCTCGCCTTCCGGCCTCCGCTTCCACCGGCCTTCTCCTCCTTCTCTTTATTATGTTGAGCTGCGACAGCCTGCAAATGCACACAGATTGAAGATGAAAACAAATGAGCACGAGTGGGAGGGGCAAGCGAGCAAACATCAGAGTGCTCTGCCACGTGGCACGTACCTTCTTAACTTTGAATACAAAGAAAATTGCGTGAACAATGGAAATAGGCTTCCGAGTTCCTGGCGTTTTATCGTCCTGCTCAGACATCTTTTTGAAATGAAAAATAAGGCCCCGCCCGAAATGGATATTTTCGTGGCTTCTTCTCTAAGTTTATCAGTGCTGCGTCTCTTTCTCTCGTGCACTATGTCCCGATTATTAAAGGATTGAGAGGAGATGTTTGTTGTGGGGGATGGCAAAGAAAATCCTCGAATTCGTAGGACAGTGAGGGTGGACGAAGGGGAAAAGCAACCAGAAGGAAGGAGCTATTCCGGGCAGATGACACTAATAAGGTTAGCACGTTTCGCAATGGAACCTTCGAAAAGAAGAAGGGGTCCCTCGGGTACTCGGGTAGAGATTTCCATTAAAATAGAAAAGGGAATCTTTTTGCACGGAATATTGTCTTTTCGAGTAAGCCAACACAAGAACTCTGTTGATCTTCTCTCACCTGAGCGTCGTCTTTCATTTGTGCAGAGCAAAGACTCCTGCTTCTCCGTCGATCGTTGGAAGATGCGGTCAGCGGACTGAGCAACGAATCGCCGGATCCGTCGCTGGATAGTCGGAAATTGGACACTGAAATGAGCAAAAGATGATGAAGATGATGAGCAGACCAATATAAAAACACAACGAGCGGAAGAAATGAGGCGTATTTGGTCGGGCCGTATGTGTGTGGGGGTGTGCTTATTATTACTATTGAGGGAGAGAAAATGGGAGAAACCACGGAAAGGCCGGAGAAGTATCCGACGGGGTCCGTTCTTCTGGAGTCAAAACAACTTGGGAGCGACAAGAAAATGGATCGGAACGGGTTGTCAGGGAGACCAAAACAAGACAGATTTCCGGAATGGAATAACACGATCAACTGAATCGAAATGTTTTTCCAACCCGACACAAATACGTGCATCCTTCCGATTTCAGAAATCTTCGAGCAATGCGGGAAGAACATCCGTCCAAGTACAGTAATCTCGCGTGTGAAAATGGATACGGAAAGGAAAGTGATGTCTTGAAAGCACTCCGAAATGAGTTAAATCCTCCCACTCACCGGAACTTTTCCTCGATCCTATGCTGATCGAATCCTCCGCTGACAGTTGTGCCTGGATGAGCGCAGGAATCGGCGGCACCACCGACCTTCTTGATTCGATCACAGAAGTGGGCCGGGACTGACTGACACTCCGACGCGACTTCTTCCTATAGACGGACGTGTGCTCTCTGCAAAACATGATGAACTGATGCGAAGGACACTGAAGATATGAAGAGAGGGGAAGTAAATAATTCAACTATTTATATGTACATTTTTCGGATTAGTCTCTTTTCCTTCTGGAATGGGGGCGGACGTTTCATCCCTAATCATCTTAATTGACGGAATGAAAAGAGCGGCACTGGCAGTTGGGCCTCATTAGCGGAACGAAAACAAAACAGAAACCAAACAGAGTAATCACAATCAAACGAAGATCAAGGACATCTGATGACGTGGCAAGAAACGGAGGAGATCTGGAGTTTGGTCTCCGAATGTTTTGAAAGGAAAAATGGGGGAGCAGACGGCGATTAGTTGAGCAGAAAAAGACATTCATTCAACGCCGAAATGGAGCAGAACATGACCGCAGTTCTACATATTTATAGTATTCGGAGGTAAGAAACGAGCAAGGAAATGTATCAAGTTGTGGGGATTGCTGTAAAGGGAAATAGTTCGTGGTTTTTCTGATTGTAATGTTGGAAAGTGACACCAAGATTCCGGATTATGGAACTGAGTTCAAAGCAACCAATTTAGAGGGAAGCAGTACCATTCTGTGTCAAACGGGCTCTTATGAAATGGGAAAGCGTTTGAAAACACTTGCCACGTCTCCTCCCCCTTCGTCTTCTTCTTCTTCTTCTTCTGTTAAAGTGTTGTTTCGCTGTCAAAAGTCAATGGTCAAGAGTGAGCTTCTCGAGATTTTTTGAATGGAAAACGAGCCGAAAAATCAGACGATTGAATTGGGATGGACCGCGTAACGGGCGCAGTTTTGTCTTCTCTCGCTCGTTTCGCCAATCGGCACCGCACAGAAATTGAATTTGTTCGCCCGCCTGCCCCATTCAAAGAAAGAGAAGTCGTTTGAATTGGGCAAGAATGGGACACACTCAGAAGAAAGAGAAAAGCAGAGGGAACGGAGTGAGAGCGGATCTGAAATCCGAAACGTGGCAGTAAGGGCTGTACCCCCGAGCCTGTTTTCTCTGAGAAATGATGGAGTGGCCAGGAAGAGCGACGACGTCAAACCGGAAGGGACCCCCAGAGAGCAGCCGACCAAAACAATTGACCCGCACAAGTGAACCCACTGCGACGTGGCAAGAATTTTGCAGGCAAATTTATTCGAAAACGGTGGATGCCTAATATTAAAGAGTTCTTTGTGAGATTAAAGCCACAAGAGCCGAATTCTGATGTAAAAGAAGAAAGAAGGGGAGGATATCGTCAGAAACCTTGTTAGAAAGTGATACGCTTGATTGAAAGCAAACGAAGAGTCACAAATCAGTTTTATGTTTTCGAAGACAAGAAAGGACGTATATCACTTGGGTGCTCTTCCCTTTTTATCATTATTATTCAGATGAACAATAGTTGTGTAGACTGCGAGGGAACTCGTCCAATTTGCATGAAACGAGGAAGTCCCGTTGGGCAAAGTACGGAGGTCGTCTTTGGGCGGAGAAGGAAGGAATCTTTTATTGAGTCGGCGCAAAGATGTGGGTGATAGGGAGGAGAGAAAGAGAAGAAAATGAACCTAGAGGAGGGGTCTCTTGAATGTTGATCTCAGGCTCCGGACCATCTGAATCCAATCAGAAATGGCACTTGACCCGACCGTTCCACTCACCTTTTCGCTTCGACGCACTCGATGAGCACACTCGGCTCCTTGCTGCCTCGTCGGATTTTGACGAGCGACGAGTTCTCGTTGCCCATTCTGATTCCTTTAAATCAAAAATATTTCATTTCTAAGACAACAATCGTAGGATGGCTTTTTGAATTGGATACGCGTGGGAACGTTTAAAAAACGGACGGAAAGAGGGCGGGGGAGGAAATGAGAAGAGGCGATAATGGACAGAAACCCTATTGGAGGGTGACGGAAAAACGAACGAATGGATTAGAAGAAAATGACGTGGCGAGTGAGGAACATGTTGCAGAAGAGGAGCGCTGACGTAGACGGGCCAGATGAATTTTGAGGATGAATAGTTTATTGGGATGATGAAGTGGGAAGAAAATGATGGGAGAAGAGTTTCGAGAAAAGCAGGATTATTGGTTTCAGACGAACGGCAGGAAAATGGGAAATGGGAGTCTGGCAGATGTGTCTTTCGGATGAATTAATAGATTTTGACATGCTTCCTTCGAAAAGATTTCCTCCTGGATGTCCCATTATCAGAAGAATCAGAAGAGCTTTCGGTCAGAAAAGAGTAACATAGTTTCCTGATTTAGGCCACGCTCACTTTCTATTGCGATAGAGAAATTCTGATCCTAGTGTGACTACAAAAAATGAGTTATTTCCCAGACCGAAAACATCGTTTTTTCTGCCCGCGTCAATTTATTGATATTCACTCCGACTCATAGCCAGTCAAAACGCGATACTCAAATTAGAAAAAGAACAGAATGTCTGGGACACGGAAGGAAAAGAAAGAGAAAACGAGAGAGGGAGGGAAAGGGCATTTGTGAGTCACGAGGCAATGCGCACTCCCACGACGATCCGATTTTCCAGACAAATCGAGATGGCTGGAACTTGATTTCGCTTCCCTTCCGGGTGCTTTTTCATTCTCAGGAACACACATGTCGACGACGTAGAAGAGGGGATTATCTGTTTGACGCGGCCAAGAGCCATGTGGTGGAATTGAATTGTCTGTGACGTTGAGAGCGTAATTGTTTCAAAAGGTCTCCAACGGGACAGACCGGTCAGAAACGGGGAAAGAGTTGGGGGGAAAAGTAACAAATGGGAGAGTGAAGTATTGAAATATTAATAGAGAACGAAGTGGAAGAGAAGTTTGTGGAAGGAAAGGAAATAGAAAACATATTTTGATATTCTTCGCGGGAAATCTTCTGTGTTGACATTCACGGAATCTCGGATATCACGCCGCCAAAGTTCGATTGGAAGGGGATAAAAGGTCGCGAGATTGGGAGTGAAACATGTGATGGCAATGAAATGGAATGCGAATACACTTGAATTGAGAGGCGAATCCTGTTTCGGGGATGAGCCGGATGAAGATGAGAAATGAGAGAGAGAGAGAGAAAACATCAGATAATCAGAAGACCCTGGAATGATCCATAGAAACTATCGTCAGGGAAACCAGAAAGAACTCTTTGAGAGCCTTCCTCTCTTATAGTCCTTGTTCGGGGATCGAGAGTGAAAAATGGGAAAACACAGCTCCTCCCTCGCATTTAATTGAATCCCGATGTGGGAAAACGCGGGAGGAGGGTCAATGATTTCTGATTGTCTGCGGAGATTTCGAGTTGGCCGACGGCTATTTTCCACGCTCCTACATATATGATTTGGGACCCGAAAATAGGAAAAAGGACGACGAAAATAGAGAAGAAGCCAACGAAGTTAGCGGAGGAGGAGGAGAATGTCGCACGGAGCGGGCGAACTTTACAGTTATCTCCGGGTTTCCAATTATTCGCTTTCTCCCAAACCCGAACGTTTTCCAGTTATTTCGGAAATCTGTTTTTGAAAAAAAAAACATTCGAAAAAGAATCCCGAGCTGGGGCGAGCCAAAAACAGCCTACGGCAATAACGAGTTTACGTATTAATATTCTTTGAACTCGGAGCCGCCATTAATAAACATACGAAAATTATAGAATAATGCCCTTCTCTCATCGGGAAATGAGTCCACCCTCTCATTGAATATGCATTTCAATAATTGGCAAAAGTAATTGAAAAATGATGTATGCAATGATATGTGGCAGGAGAAAAAAAGGAGAGAGAAGAAGTGGGAGGAAAGGAGCGAAAGGTTCTGAGATGATCGAATTGTCTCGGAAGGAAGGGAAGACCCGATGAGACTTCTTGTTTCGTCGCCGTTTCGAGCAGTCCGATTCGTTTACGGGCGCGGACCTACTATTCTTTTGTTTGGCGCCCAACAACGAGAAGATCAGAACGAAAGTGCGCAGATTTCTAACAAAAAAGATCGTCAGATCTAAAAAAACGTGGTATTCAAGAGAATGCTTTGCAGTATTCAGAATGTTCGCTCTCATTCTCTCTCGCATTCCGGATAGAAATGGATGATTCTCGTTCACTGACATCGCTTCTCTCAAATCAAATTATTCCCTTCAACCGAGAAATTGAAGTCTGCAGACCAAAAAAGGACACATTGAGGAAATTACAAAAAGAGAAGACAGCACAAAAGAGATTCAAGTTTCCGAATAGCGTTTGCGCGAAATGCGATACGCGTGAAAGCGATATGCAAACGGGCGGCTCATTAAAGGGGCAGTTTCAGAGAAAACGTGCGCCGATCAACGACAAAGCGAGGGAGAGATGAGTGAAGAGCGGCCTAAATGATTGTTTGCCATCGGGGCAGCTCACCGACGAGACGACAGAACATTTGTGAAAGTGACCAACTCGAGAGCCGACTTCGAGTGACTACAACTACAAGTAAATGATTGCGTCATCCAGGCTGCACTTGTGCGAATTCACCCGAACGGCCTTCATTCATTTTTAGGAACTTTCGAAAAAGGCTAAATCCTGTTATTATTTACTCCCTTGAAGGAGTGAGCTCCCATTTGAATTGCCGAGTTCAGCATTGTTCTCTATCCAGATTGAATCAGAAATTAGAAACAAACAGATAACTTCCAGGAAGACACTTCCGCAGAAGGGCGGAATAAACAACAGGCCAAATAATTAAGGTAATACTTTCTTTTCAGCAATGAATGAAGACGAGGAGCTTCCAGAATTGGCGATGTGAACTCAAAGAAGAATTGGAGACGATAACAACCGGAGTAGAACACTAATTTCCAGGCGGGTCCAATCAATCACAAGTGCGTGGTAGTTTGCAGAAGCGCTCGGGCATCCAGATGAGCCAACGACGGCTAAAACAACGGAGAAAACGGAGAAGGGGAATCGGTCGAATATACGTTCTGTGTTGATTAGGAAGAGCGAGTGGGATGGAAGAAAAACGGAACCTGATTGTGAAAGGGTCGAAAGGGCCGTCTACAAAAAACACCAAGAAATGCATGACTGGATAACGAATGCGGGAGTTCGTGTCGCAGAAAATAGGCGGAGAGCAAAGGAAAAAAAGGAAAAAGAAGCATCGGAGAGCGTTTTAGAATGAGCCCTGAACGATTGGTGTTCAGCAGAGTACAGTTAAAAGTTTAAAAAGTTTGAGCAACTTTCAATTGAAAATTGCTTCAGATGTGGTTAAACGTTGCTAACAAATGTCGAGTAATAATTGTTACAGCCGTGTTTTAGCGCTCCTTATCGCAAAACGTACTCTTTTAGCACACGGGTGAATCGCTTCGCTGCGACACGATACAAGTGAGAAATTCAAACCATGCTCACACATGTCCTCATTGGAAGATCATCAAAGCAAAGGAACAAAAAGAAGCCGTCAAGAGAGGGCGGGAGGCCCTTCCGGAGAACTCGTTAGCGACGAATTGAAGTATGTCGAAACGATAAACTGAACAAAACACAGACAGGAGTGAGAAAGATACTCGAAAATTTGTGTGGACGGCATGAAAAGTGGTCAAGTGTTAACGAGTCAAACTTTTTTGAGCCACACTGTTTACTGTAAATAGCACTTTTAGCACACAGGTGAATCGCTTCGCTGCGATACAATACAGGTGGGAAATTCAAACCATGTCCACACATGTCCTCATGACCCTCCTCAGCATACCGATCGAGTCTGCCCCTCCTCCTTTCCTAAGAGAACTCGGCTATTTCTGAAAATTTTTCGGCGGTTCAGCGCTTCAAATGTTCACAATAATATATCTACTGAATTGAGAGATTAGAATTCAGATTAAAACTCGAATTCTGCAGAGATTCAAGAATCTCCTTTTTTCCAGTGTTTATCTTAAAATGAATAGCATTCGCTCGAATCTGCTCAAAATATGCCCATTTTGCACTCAAAACATTCGATTTGCAATAAAGAACAATCGTGAGATTTTAGAATTTGGGAAAAACTACGTCTTACATAAAAATTAATTCGCTCACGGCCCGGCTTTTCATACATAGGACTTTCGGTTTTTTTCAATATATCTCCAGAAATCGAACATAGGGACCTCTGATTTTTTGATAAGAGTTCAATTTTACTGAGTCAGAGGTAAATGTAATGGGGTTATTCAGGCTGTGAAAAAAATGATTGTTTTCCGTTTTTTTCGTTTTTTTACGTCAAAAAATCCAATTCAGCGATGTAAAAAAAAACAAAAAAAACGGAAAACAAACGAAAGGTTCAGCACGAAAACAGTTTTTTTTCTGTCTCTTTTTTAATTTACATCATAAATTATGATGTAAACTAAAATGATGAACTCATTCTCAAAGAAGGAAGTGAAACAAATCATTTTTCTTTCGACGGCACGCATCTGAAGTCGCGACGCCAATTTAAAATAGAGAAAATTCTTCCAGAATTGAAATGAAAACTAACTGAAATTCGTTTCGCCTTTACTGGTCGGTTGTCAGGAATCTATTTTTAACTACCACAAGATTATTTTTACCCATCAATTTACATAATTTGAGGATGCCGTTGTGGGAGTTTCATCTTGATCCGATCAGTTTTCAGAAAGTTATACTCATTTGAATTTGTTACCATACATTGGTCGCGCCCTGTATATAGACAAATTGTTCCCAACCTTCTATTTTTTCGGGCTGAAAAATATGATGCAAGAAGAAACGAGGATGATTGGCATCTCGGATGGAGATAACCATCCGAGGCACGAGTAGATCAAACAAATGTCTTCACGCTCGCAAACCGGATGTGAGACTGAAGAAGCGCAGAAAAATTCGTATGAAAGGTTAACAGGAAGCCCAAGATATGCTCATCCACATTTCAGTTCAGTTCAATTCTTCAACGAGTTCCTCTTCTGCTTTCGTCAAACTGAGAATCCATCTAATGCAAATACGAATGAGCTGTTTCAAGAGCATCTTCGGAGTGCTAACTCAACTTATGCAGCTCGTCTCAAATAGGTGTCTTACAGTGTACATCAACTGCACTTCTTTTCTAGATTTTGAATAACCTACTCTGTTAGGGTGTGTTTCTACCTAAGTTGAAGACCCTCGGCAAAGTGTCAAGACATTTCAGCGATTGAAAAGAACGGTTCTGATCAATTCTGGCGAGCTTTTCAGGCTAATATCACTGAATAGGCTAACCCGCTAACCCGATGCTGAAAAGAAACCTACGTTAAAATCGTAGCTATGGTCCGGCAAGACGTCGACCTGTTAGTTTTCCAACTAAAGTGCCGAAAGGTCCATTCATCTTCATTTACCTCCCATTTGCGTTCTTGTCGTCGATCAGTTGACACGGACGAGTTGCGCAACGCGAAGAAAAAGAAGAAGCTGGCCTTCGCCTCTCCGTCTCACGCGTTCGTTCGCTTTCAATGTTTTCCGTCTTCCTCCTACCTGCATCTGTGTCTTTCCGTCTCACACAGTCTCTCCTTAATTGTCTGGCCATAAGAACTTTCGCTAACTTATTACAGCTATTGATGACTTCTTCCGCGCGGCGCACTGGACTGAAAATCAGTGTGTATCGATGTTGAGAAGTTTTCGCTGAGGATTACAGTGATTATGAGGGCTAGGGAGGAGAGAGACGATCAGGAAACAGACGACGACGCCTGGATTACTGTGGATGTCACGCTGGAAAGAAAGGAAGTGATACTGTCTTGAACACAATCTTTATAACCCTAAAGAAGCCTCGCAGAATCAGAAAGAGGGCGAGATGCCGCCAGTCAGTAATCATAAATTGTCCAAGTGAAAAGACTAAAGCTGCCAAGAGATGTTGTCAGCGCGTCGAATGATTGACATTGTTCAAGAGCGCTTCGTCTTCTCGGAACGAGTTCCATACAAGCTCACCTTCATTTGTGATTCCTGACCCTTCGATCGTCTTTATTCGTGGGCGGTCCCTGCCATCTTCTTCTTCTTCTTCTTCTTCTTCTTCTTCTTCTGCCGCCTCCTCATCTGTATTTTCACACTTGTTTCCTTCACTCGCCCAGCCGCTTTCTCCGCCTGTTTCCTTCCGCTTGTATGTACAGTTCTGCTATTCCATCTGACCTATGCGTCTTCTGCTTATTCCGCTCATCTCGATCGTCCTCACAGAATCAGAACCTATTGAATCCACAGTTCAATTGGATTTCATTAAACCTCAGGGGTTGAGGCATCGGAGATACGGTGAGTGGAAGAGAAAACGGACTGGAAGGTGAGTGAGTGATGTTCCAGTGATCAGAGCGAAACGGTGGAGGAAGCACACGCTGACGTGGCAGCTCCAGACACAGAACCTAGTGGACGCCGATGTGTACATTGTCAGGTGAGCTCAATTGTCCGTTTCTGCTCCAACCTCCACCCTTTTTTAGGAACACAATGCACCGCGCCTTCAGTGAATGGTCCGCCGTCTCGTCAGTTGATTTCCGCGAGATTCCACCCGAAAACGACTCCGAACAACCCCCTGATATCTACATTGCATTCGAGAAAGGAGAACACTCGGACGGATTCCCTTTCGACGGACAAGGCGAGTCTTTTTTTATTCGCCATGTTTGTAACCAGCAATGAATTCAGACGGCGTCGTCGCCCACGCATTCTATCCGAGAGACGGACGTCTTCATTTCGACGCCGAAGAACAATGGAGTCTCAATTCGGAAGACGGCGTCAATTTATTCCAGACGGCCGTCCACGAAATCGGTCATTTGCTGGGATTGGAACATTCCGTGGACATCCGGGCGGCGATGTTTTCAGCCAAGAGACCTTATGATCCGGCGTTCACTCTCGGTAATTCCATTTGTGTTGTCTAATACTAACTTACGTGCAGGTGACGACGATGTTCGAGCGATCAGGTCGTTATTTCCGAAGAATGAAGGACCTCCGCCGGTGTCCAGTTCCATAGCCCCTAAAAAGAGAGTGGAGGAGATGGACGAAGAGAACAGTTAGTGTTTTGTTCAAAATAAAGGAATAGTCTGAACCGTTTCAGATGATCCATTCGAAACAACCACCTCCACTTCTTCTTCTTCTTCTTCTTCTTCTTCCTCCTCCTCCTCTCCAGACTCTTTCTTCCCGTTCCCTCTTCCTTCCATCGAGCATTTTCAAAGGCGAAACGACTGGTTTGTCCACTAGATCTCATTCATTATATTGTCGCTCGGGTACACCTGCACTCTCATGTCACAATAAACGAAGTACACGCATACATTTTATTCAATAAGCATATTGCACAGACCACAATCACAAAGTTGGTTAGGGGAAAGTCGGCAGATCCGATCAGCGCACCACCTTCATCTCCTTCTCGTCGATCTCGACAACTTCGATGATTTCGCGGCCGGAAAGAACCGCGCGATCGGCCGACTCGCGGGCATCAATGATTCCTTCCGGAGCCAATCCAAAGTCAATGCGGAAGAACTCTTCCTCCAGAAGCTTTACTGCCTTAAATGGGCTAATTGTTGAGGTCTGGAAAAGGTTCAACCTTTCTGGTGATGTTGAGAGTGAGATCCTCTCTCGGATGGAGGATGGCGCAGATGGGCGACATCACGTAGTTCGCTGCGTTTATCATGCTTATCTGGTACACGACGTTCACTTCGCCGTCGTTTTTGATCGTCAGCTGGCATCTTTCCTCTTTCTTCGGGCTGATGAACACCTTGTTCGAAGACACCGAAATGGCGGGCATCATCTTTTCCTCCTCCTCTTTCTGGAATGTTCCGTATCCATCCCCTCAATTCCTCTAGTTCCTCACCTTCTGCTCCAGTTTGTTCACTCCGTCCAACGAGAAGAACGACTTGCCAGTGATGCTTGGATGCTCGAGACGCAGTCCCTCTGCCACTTTCAGAGCTTCACAGTAAAATTGGATGACCGACGGTTCCGTCTCGAGTCCCTTTTCCACGTACTTCTGGTACGTTTGTTGACGACGTGCCTCCAGCCACGTCTGCAATATCACCATCCGTAATAGTCACCACCCATTGCCCTCTGGTCACCTCGGCAATCAAATCGGTCATCGAGAACAATTGTCCGAACTTCTTGACGGCCTCAGTTGTCGGGAACTTCCTGTGCTCTTTGTAGAACTTCTCCAGGTTGTCTGACTGCCATTCGGTGGTTGTGCCGAAGCGGAAAGGGCGTTTATTCTGATAAAAACTGATTAGTAAAGAAAGAGAGAAAAAGGCTATGGAGCTATAATCAAATAGAACCTAATCTCATCGAGTCGCAAGATACTCGTGACTGACCGCCGACTGGCGATTCTTGATTATGTTTTCGGTTTCTTAGCGACATGACTGATTGGCAACGGGAAGCACGGAAACACTCGAACTAACTTTTTCTTTTTCGTCCTCCGAATCCGGATACTCTTTCGGAGTCGGAAGATTTGCTAGCTCGCGAGAATCTGAAAAGGAAGCACAAACTCTGAATGTGGAAGACTTTAAAATACCCGCTTTCTCCAGTTTCATTCCCTCAATATCCTTCGCTAACTTATCCGATTTGACAGGATCCTTACGGACGCTCCCTTTCCGAGAGCCGGAATCTCCCGATCCGGCCCGGCTCGGACTCAGAGATTTGTGCACTTTCGGAGGAGAATGGTCACGGCTCTGCTGGGCACTCAGCTTTTTTGGAGCGAGAGCCACATTCGTCAGACTGGTCACACTTGTTTTCTGAGAAACGACAGTAGTGCTCGACGATATTTTAGTTGGGGTATTCGACGGAGTAGTCGGAGCAGTGCTCTTTCCGTGGGAGTTCGCATAATCAGTCGGGGAAAGTTTGGAATCGCACGAGAACAGAGAAGACTTCTTCGGGATCGTCTCAACGACGGACGCCTTCTGAATCGGATTCGAATGAAAGACAGGAAAGGAGTGCGAAATGAAACGAACCTTGACAGCTGGAGAGGCAGCTTTCGACATAATATCTTTCGATTGAGAATTAGTTACTCGAGTGTCTCTTATATAATTTCGAGAAAGCCCCGCCCTCCTTTCGACTCAAGCCTCGCTCGCCCCTTGCTCAGGTAACTCGATGAGTAGTGCGCACCTGCCGAGAACTGATTGCATTTGGTCCGTTAGTCACGAGTTATTTCGGAGTTTGCAAGCGGATAGATATATCTATAGACAAGACGTTTTGAAACGGGCACGCTGCGCTCTCCGAGATAACGCTCGGAAGCGGCTTCGCCGCTTGTTTGTTTCTCATAACTGTTTGAAAGTTCACGTGTTCATTTCTCAATTTCTCCGTCACTACTTTCTCAGAAATGAATGATTTTAGAAATGAACGTGGGGACGGACAAATAGCTAAAAATGAAAATAATCCAAAAGAAAGAAGAGGAATGTTCCCAAGAGAAGTAATGTTCAATGAAACAGGCTGAATCATCTGTCTGGAACTGAACGTCACAAGATTCCGCCCGGAACAACAACGCTGGTTTATTTAAAAATGCAATACAATCTGTGATGTATTATTTTTTTCTCATTTTCTCATTGTTGCTCGGTTTCAGCCAGACGGGAGTAGAAGATCTCCTAGAAACAATAATAATGTTGAAACACGAGAGAAGGAAACTGACTCCGTAGATGTGCGAGAAGTAGTCGTCCCACCGTCCCTCGTTCATTTCAAGCGGCTGATCGAACGAACTTTTGCAGAATATGCACTTCACCTGCAAGTACAAGCATGGAAGCGGGAGGAGAGGAAGATTGTTCCGTACCACTTCTTGAGTATGCTCCAGCTCGTAATGTTCTCTGATCTTCTTCCGCGTTTCGAACTTTTGCAAGCACAGATGGCACTGCGCATTCAAGTCGTGCTCGCTCATTTCGTGGTGAATAAGTGCCTGAAAATCTCGAAGATGGACACGATCTGAACAGAAAAGTGCTCGCCTTGACACTATAATGCCTACATCCGCACTCCTTGCACCTGATCGCGTCTGCCGTCTCCTCCGTCCGTCTGCCCGTCCGTCGCTCTCCTCTCCTCCATTCACTTCTTCGTTTCCTTCTCCGATCACGGCTTCTGCTTCTGCTCCGATCGCTGAACGACTCCGAATTGTTAATGCTCTCTCTGCTAATTCACCTTCAGTTAGTTTCGGAAATAGTTCTCTCACCGATCATCCGATATTTCTCCCTCCTCTTTCCACATCGGCTTGTCTCTCCTCTTCCGTTTTTTCAGTTTTTTATCCTTTCCTTCGCGTCTTCTCCTCTGACGTTTGCGCTCATCTTCCGAAGAATCCGAGTGCGTTTCCGACGAAGAATATGAAGAATCGCGTCGTTTCCGAGAGCGATACGCATACGGAAGATGTCTGAAGTAAGGAACGACTTCTGGAAATTTCAAAAGAGTCACACTTACCGCTCATCTTCAGAATCACTCGATGATGTCATTTTATAGACAACTGTTAATCTGCAATGACTTTATTGACCTTCACAATTGCCACGCAACGGTCGCCACGCCGAAAAGGTCAACGCGTGAAATTAATAAATACTCTTTATTTTGGGTAACCAGGAAACAATGCAGGAAGAATAGTATGATGATAATCGCATAACCGCAGGATAATATTCGAAGCAATAATGGAGAAGAACGAATAATTAAAAGAAATAACCGACCGAGGAATAAATACTACGCTTATCCGCAGATTTATTATGGATGCTCAGTAACTTCTTCCGAACAAAGCAAAGAACTTTGGAGCTTCAGTGCACGATGGGAAAAGACACTTGGCAGGCAATGCCTGCTTCGGCTGTTCCAATGGAATGCAGAGAGTCTTGGCTCCCATCTGAGCACCCTCTCCGTCTTCTCTCGTCGACGCCTTCTTGATCTCTTCTTCGCAGTCCTTTCCTCCGCAGAATGGAGCAAGAATAATGCACTTGTCATCGAGCAGCTTTTTAAACTCCTCGAGATCCGTGGTGGTCTTCAGATGAGCGTCACGGCCAGAGAGAACCCTGAACAGAAACTTAGATCCTCGATTGAAAGTGTTCACTCACTTGTTGTACATCAGAGTGTGGATCTCATCGAGAAGACTCTTAACGGAACCAGCAATTCCATCCAAAGGAAGTTGTTTTTTCTCTCCGTTGAAACGGATTATGGCAGTCACTTGTTGTTTCTCCAAATCGTTGGGGCCAATCTCAAACCGGATTGGGACACCCTTCAGCTCCCAATGGTTGTACTTCCATCCCGGAGAATAATTGTCTCTGTAATTTTTTTTAAATCTCAACTCAATCATTTTTCTTACGAACCTCGTGTCATTTTCTGCTCTTAGACCGCCATCGAGAAGACTTTGAGTAACCTTCTCGACAGTGTCGTACAGATTCTTCTTGCTCTCGTCAGTCGTCTTCGCAGTAATTCCGACAGGAATAATAATGACCTGAACGGCAGCCACACGTGGTGGGAGAACGAGTCCCTTGTCGTCTCCATGAATCATGACCATGGCTCCGATGGTGCGAGTGGAAAGTCCCCACGAGTTCTGCCACGCGAACGCTTTCTCTCCATTGACCGGATCTTCGTATGAAATGTCGAACATCTTCGAGAAGTTCTGTCCCAAATGATGGGAAGTCGCTCCCTGGATTCCTCTTCCGTTGCAGGCCACGTAAGCCTCGACGGTAGTGGTGAAGTCTCCTCCGGCAAACTTTTCCTTCTCACTTTTTCTTCCTTTCACGACTGGAATGGCGAGCAGGTCGGTGTAGACTCCGGCATAGAGATCCAGAATCTGGAAGACTTCCTTCTCGGCATCAGCTGGGTTGGCGAACGCGGTGTGTCCCTCCTGCCAGAGGAACTCGCGAGTACGGAGGAATGGAGTTGGATGCTTGAACTCCCAACGCTGCAAATCAGATGATTTTAGAGAAATATCTATTTTAGATTATGCTTACAACAACATTGCACCATTGGTTGAGCTTGATTGGCAGGTCGCGGTGGGATTGGACCCACTTCTTGTAAGATGGATACATGACAGTCTCGGAAGTTGGACGAATGGCGATTGGCTCTGCCATTTCGGAGTTTCCCGCACGCGTAACCCAAGCGACTTCTGGGGCAAAATCAGCTATGTGGGTCTTCTCACGTTCGAGAGCCGCGTTGGAAACAAACATTGGGAAGTAGCAGTTCTTGACTCCAAGCTTTTTGATTCCCGAATCGAACCATTGTTGAATGGATTCCCAGATGGCATAAGACCATGGTCTGAGCACGTAACATCCGGAGACGTCGTAGTACTCGATCATTTCGGCCTTGGTGATGACCTCACTGTACCATTCAGAGTAGTTTTCGTCCTTGCTCGTCTCAATTCCGAGCTTTGTCACCTTCTTTCCGTCTAGCTTCTTCTCCTGTTGCTTCTGCTGTTTTGGCTTCTCCTCCTTCTTTGGCTTGGACTGTCTTGCACCTGGAGCAGCATAATCCTTTCCGGTGGCCTCCTTGTAGGAGAGCTTCAAAGCCAAAAGCTTAGCAATGGCCTCATCTTTAGCAGCCTATAAAACGAATAAATGAATTTGAAAAAAAAAACAGAATCCACAAATCTTACTTGAGTACTGCTCTTGTCTTCCTTCAGACGACGCACTTCGGTTCCCTGTTCGACGATTTGTTTTTCAATGTCGTCCGACATGATTGCCCAAACTGAAAATTGGAAGTTTGAGAAATCTTGACAGTACTGCAAAAAAAAATAAATACGAGCAGAGGAGTCCTTGCGTAATCTTGCCTAACGTTATTCTTTTGAGGAACAAGCAAGCGCGCTCTACGGAAAAGCTCCAACACGGCAATGAGGTTTTCTGTTTTTGAGACTCTTGCCATATAAAATGATGTAGAACTTAACAAGGAACTAACAATCACATGCGGTGGAGGGAATCGATGCGAGAGAAAGCAAATAGGAAGGAAAATGAATAGATGAAACAATTTTATGCATTGGAGGGTGGGCTGGTCGAGGCAAGGCTTCCCAAGCGGCGGGTCAAGAACAGGAATTGGCGCGATGAGTTGGGAACTGTCCGCAAACACGGCGCGGTCAGTTCGGAGAGAAGACAGATATCGCGCGTAGTTGTCAATTTGAGAACGTCTCCATCCACGTCAAGAGGAATTCTTGACAGAAACGAACGTTTAACGAGAACAAATTAAAATGTTATGGGGTTATTCAGCATATTCAGAATGTTTTTTTTTGTTTTTTTACGTTAAAACACTCAATTCTGCGATGTAAAAAAACAAAAACAATCTGAAAACAAACATACGCTGAATAACCCCATTAGGAAATGAATTTAAAAAATCTCCGAAAAGTAAAATCTTTAAAAAAAATCTTAATTAAGAGCGAGGCTACCCCGCATCTGACTGCTGCCTCACCTAGCCACGGTGATTCTTTGCGAGGGTGTAGTGAGAAACGCGCCGCGAACTCGGCCACCATTCAAAGAAGGGGCGTGGTCTTGCGCAATTGCCGCACGCAATTTTGCAAGTTTGGTGCGCGCGCTTTCTGTTTAGCCGCAATTGTTTCCGACAGCATTTTGAAGACGTTCTTACTGCTTTTCAGGAATATTACACAGAGCTGTTTTTGGTTTTTGCTGTTGGCAATTTTTCTCTGTCGATAACAATTACTAAAAAATAATAAAGCTTCTATAAACTGCGTTCTTTCATGTTTGAGATGAAAAAATACAAAACTCAGCCGAAAACAAGCATTAATTGACAGAGAACAAGCGCAAAAATATGAAACAAGCGCGAAATTCGTGAAAAATTCCCCATGGCCGAGTTTCTTCGCTTCGGCCTCCTGGCCTAACTTCTGGCGTGGCCTAATAATTTCTTGTTCAGCCGGGGGACTCGGCGGAAACCGTGGCCTAGTACCACGGCCTGCGACCCCGGGCCAAATGGACTAGAATTTTCCTCGTCACCCTCGCAAAGAATCACCGTGCTAGCGTCACCCGCTGGTTTTTGAAGCATCGTACTGCGCCTTCTTTAGCAGAAAGTGGCATTTGTTGGATTTTCTACATTCGACGCGTACTTGCGGCCTGTGTGTGGTAGTGATGACGTACACTTCTACGTGAACATTTTCGATAGTTGGACGTTCTTCGTGCACTGTGAACCTGAATTAAAAGTAAAACCATAAAGGGTTTATCGAATCAAACTTGATGAGAAACATTTAAAAATCCGTCAGTAATAAAACAATGAAAGACTGAGAACCATAACTGGTCCATAAGCGAAAGATAAAGTTCACATCTTTAAAATTTTATCAGATCGTCGCAATATCCGTAAGGTACAGTTGTTCCGTCTGGGAGAATGCGACGCTTGTCGAATGTGAACCGTCGACAAATCGGCTCTCATCTTGGAATCGTTCCACAAGTTTTCCACGACCATTCGGTGAGCAATGATCGCATTTTGCCTCAAGAGCTGTTCTGTGGTCTGGTGGCATGTATGCTGAGAACTTTTGACAGTATTGGACTGCGAGCCAGTGATGCGCTGGATGAAAGAGAAGAAACTGTTTGAAAAATTCTCGATTGTTTTCCATCTTTCCTGAAAATAAGTTGATTTCGACAGCATAGAGAATAAATGTAAAATCAACAAAATCGGTATGAGAGCCATGATATCCCCTCCCAATAGGGTCATGTGGCTACAAAAGAGAGGGAGTGAAAGTAGAGAGAGACTGAGAAAGGGGAAGGGGTTTATTCTCAACCGTTGCAGGTGACGTCATGAGAGGATTTTCGATCAGAACCTCTCCATTGGAATTTCACATTGAGAACGGCGGACGCTCGGACGGCAGCCACTCCGAGCGAGCAGAGCCACTTGCGTGCGTTTCTTTCACTTCGCCGTCCCTCCTTGCCTTCTACACACTTCTGTTGCTTTCAGCCTGTGTCTATTGCCTTCTCAAGGCTTCTCTGAATCCCTGCTCATTAGAATTCCACATTGAGAAGCTTGGACGCTGGGACGGCAGCCTCTGCCACCGAGGAGAGACACTCACCTGCGTTCCTTCCAGTTCATCGAACCCTCCGTATTTTCTACACACTTCTCCTTCGTTCAGAAGACTTCAAAAGCCTTCTCCAGGCTTCTCAGAATCCTCGCCGATCAGAATTCCACTATACCAGCTTGGACGCTCAGACGGCATCCTCTGCCCGCGAGGAGAGGCACCGACGTGCGATCCTTCTATTTCGTCGTCCTCTCCCTGCTTTTTACGCGCTCCTTCAGATGCCTTCTCCAGACGTACCAGAATACAGAACAAGCCCATCAGAATTCTACTATGACCTCGTCGGGTGCTCCGAGAGCAGCCAATCCGGTAACAGTTCCACGCTATTTTCAAACAGAAAGAGATTGTGAAGAAGCTGAATAAATTTTATAGGGATTCTGAAAAAGTAATCTTGTATTTCTTTCATTTAGTTTTATGCTTTCTGGCTGTTTCACATTAATTCTCCCTTGATTTTTATTGAGAAAGTCAAAATCCAACAAATGCCACTTTCTGCTAAACAAGGCGCAGTACGATGCTTCAAAAACCGGCGGGTGTCCGCCGGGCCTCCACAAACCCTAGCTGAGGCGCAGGACAAGTGCGCCTTGCCTCGTTCTTTTCAAAGATATTTCCCCAGCCAAATCCCACCGTTACAACGTTTTCAAAAATAAAAATACTACAAAAAAACATAATGGTTTTATTTTTTAGTAAGCTAACCTCGCTGTCAAAATGGCGCTAAAAAGCGTGGCAGTGCTGACGAAAGGCATGTTCGGAAGAATGCCGGCTCAGGTGGGTTTTTCCCTTCCTCTTCCGTAATGGGGTTATTCAGGCTGTGAAAAAAATGATTGTTTTCATTTTTTTTCGTTTTTTTACGTCAAAAAATCCAATTCAGCGATGTAAAAAAACGAAAAAAACGGAAAACAAACATACGCTGAATAGCCCCATAAGTTCTATTCAACCGATTTCAGCTTGCCGTCAGCAGTGTTCCTTCCAACACGATTCAAAAGCGTTCCAACTACAAGTACGTCGGAATGCCTAATGAAACCGACGGAACTGTTGCCGGTGATTTGAACTACGGACTCCACACTGTCTTCTTCACTGAGCTGTTCAGAGGTTAGAAAAATCTGTGAAAGATATTATTAAACCATTTTCCTCAAAGGATTTGGAGTTATGCTCGGTCACGTTTTCATGGAGCCAGCTACCATCAACTACCCCTTCGAGAAGGGACCGCTCAGCTCCAGATTCAGGTACGTAGTCTTCTGAATCGCACGGTCAGCAGTACTTTCAGAGGAGAGCACGCTCTCCGCCGGTACCCTTCCGGAGAAGAACGATGCATCGCTTGCAAGCTCTGCGAGGCCATTTGCCCGGCTCAAGCAATCACCATCGAAGCGGAGACGAGACCGGATGGCAGTCGTCGTACCACTCGATACGACATCGACATGACCAAGTGCATCTATTGCGGACTCTGTCAGGAGGCATGCCCCGTAGACGCCATCGTCGAGGGACCGAATTTTGAATACTCGACGGAGACGCACGAGGAACTGCTGTACAACAAGGAGAAACTGCTTCTGAATGGTGATCGCTGGGAGCCGGAACTGGCTGCTAACCTTCAGGCTGAGTACCTCTACCGCTGAATGAACATTGGACAGACCAAATAATCGACTGTAGTTTAAATTTCCGTTTCAGAAGTTTCTTTTTTCTTTTCGTTCGAACTGTAGATGAATAACATGTTATGGATTTGAATATTTATTTGTTCGTTTCAATCGTGAAAACTTCGATTTTGTAAATATTTTCATAGTTTGAAAGGAAATTGTATAAAACTTCAACGGGTACAGATGACCGAAGAAATGGAAGTAGAAGCAAAGTCGACGACGATCGATTCGATGATGGAAGAAGAGAACGTGCCGGATTTCGTGAAGGAAACAGTCGAGAGATGCGGCAAGAACCCAATGTCTCTGTTCTCGGAGCTCTACGTTCAATTGACCTCTTCTGTCCCGGAATTTGATTACTACGTCAGAAACCAACCAGACGGTACTATCAAATTTGTGTGTGTCACAGAATTGGACGGCGAAAAGATTGAGGGAAGCGGGAAGACGAAAAAGAAAGAGGCCAAGTTGGCGTGCTCCCTGAAAGGCCTCGGAATAGTCCTGAATCGAGTCGTCAGCGACTCGGTTATACCGCAAGTGAAGTTTGGAAAAGACACGACGTTCTTCGAGCTGCTCCGGGAGCACACTTATTCAAAGTTTTATGAGTGAGTGTTCGATTTTCAATGAAATTTGTTCACATTTACATTAGAGACTTTGCAAGAACAATGCGTTCATTTACGGATTCGAGAAAGTGATCGCATCGGTTTTTGTCAAAGTGAACGAGAAACTGCAACTGATTTCGCTGTCGACAGGAAACAAAGGGCTCCGGGGAGAGAACGTGGCAAATGACGGGACGGCGCTCATCGATTGCCACGCCGAGATTCTTGCAAGAAGAGGGCTCCTCCGGTTCTTGTATTCTGAAGTTCTGAAGCATTCCAATAATCCCGATAATTCGATTTTCATAAAAGGAGGGGAGAAACTCGTTCTCCGTTCGGAAGTTTCCTTCCATTTGTTCATAAACACGGCTCCGTGTGGAACTGGAAGGGTAGATGTAAGTAGAAAAAAAGAGATGAATCGGATCTGCATTAAAAGTTTCAGAAAAAAGTGAAAGAATCTACAGAATCACAGAACTCAGTTTGTCGTCTTCGATTCAAAATTGACAAAGGAATGGGGACTGTTCTGGGCGACGCAGATGAGTTCGATGCTCCGCAGACGTTCGATGGAATCATGATGGGAGAACGAATGCGGACGATGTCGTGTTCCGATAAACTGCTGCGTTCGAACGTTCTCGGCGTGCAAGGCGCCCTACTCTCGCATTTGATCGAACCGGTAATAAAACACATGAAAGAGACAGTTCTCAATTGGTTCCTCTTCCAGATTTACTACTCGTCCATGGCCGTCGCCGAGCAGAACAACGTGGATCGGTTGCGGAGAGCCGTTTACGAGCGAGCAGCCGCCTTCCAGCCAACGGCTCCGTTCCGTCTTCAGAATGTGACAATTGGAGAGTGTCAAATCGATGACGTCGAGCAGTCGACCTCAGCCACGGCGAGATCTACGATGAGCTCGATTAACTGGAATCTGGCGGACGGAACGGTGGAAGTGGTCAAGACATCGGACGGAATGGTTCACGTGAAGGATCTAGCGGGCGCTGATCTGGCGAAACCCTCCAGACTCTGCAAGAAGAAGCTCGCCGAGTTAATGCTCGCTGTAATTTCTCCATCATCTGAATCATTCGAAACTATTTTTTTAGACTTGCAACCTAACCAAAACATCAGTGGAATCACCGATCACTTACGAAAAGTTAAAAGCAGGCTCTTTAAGCTATGAGAAAACGAAGAAAGAGTTCGTGACGTGGCTTCACAAACAGAATCTTGGAGTTTGGCAACGTAAGCCACGTGATTTCCAGATGTTCACTGTCAATTGAACCTGACCAACCTACTTTTTCCGATCTCATTTCTGTTTGTTAATCCAAAATAATATGTAAATGTTCATGCTGTGCAAATGTCTTCCATTCTTTAGGGTTGCAACCCGTTTTCAAATACTTTCTACTCACAGAGACCACAAAATTATCAATCATTTATTCAGATGCCTGAGCCGGTGACCCATGTAATTTTCGATTTTGACGGTCTCCTCGTCGACACCGAATCCGCGTATACCAAAGCGAATTCGGAACTTCTGAAAGCGTTCGGAAAAGACTTCACGATGGATCTGAAGAGAAGTTCGCCAGCATTAAAATACTTGTTCACTTCCGTTTCGTTCAGGACAAATGGGAAAACGACATGACGAATCGATCCGTTGGCTGATAAACGAACTGAATATCGGTGACCAAGTGACACCGGAAGAGTATTCCCGCAAGTACGACGCCATTCTCACCGAAATGTTCCAAAAGAGTGAGGCGATGCCGGGAGCGGAGAAACTCGTGCGTCATCTCATTCAGAAGAGAATTCCCGTTGGACTGTGCACCGGATCGTGCAGCCGAACATTCCCGACCAAACTGGATAACCACTCCGACTGGGTCAACCTCATCGAACTGCAAGTCCTCTCTGGTGATGACCCGGAAGTCAAGTTCGGGAAGCCGCATCCGGATCCGTTCCTTGTCACCATGCGACGATTCGGACAACCGCCCGAGTCCCCTAAGAACGTTCTCGTGTTTGAGGACTCCTACAATGGGGTTCTCTCGGCTCTTGAAGCTGGAATGCAGTGTGTAATGGTCCCGGAACGGACAATCTACGACCCGGACAGTGAACCTGATTTCAAGAAACGAGTTACGCAGATCCTCGACAGTTTGGAGCATTTCAAGCCGGAACACTTCGGACTTCCTGCTTACGAATAAATCCGATTATATCCACTTATGCATCCCATTGCTTCTTCCTATTGGTTACTTTGTGATATTCACAATCCCCCGTGTTTCCTGCCATATTGGCATCTGAAGTGTTCATTTTCTAGTTTTTGTCATCTTGAATCAAGCGCCATATCGCTGTTAGCATATTTTTGCTCCATTTTGCTCTATCAAACTCCTATCCCAAATTACAGATGGAGTCCAATTCCAATGAGTCATTTACATCAACTGCTGCTTCTTCTTCCACCAGTCAGAGGCGGAAAAATACAATCCGACCGCCAGTCGCTGCTCCTTTTCTTCGGGAACGAATTGCTCCCTCACCTTTGGTCACATCTGCTCTCGGAACTGGAGTGCAGAATCCAACGGACGGAAATGCACCTGAAAGTTCGGAAAAAGTGATCGAGGTACCGAAAAGGAAAAGCAATCCGTGGAGTTTCGAGGATGTCTCCGCTTTTTACGAAGGGATCAAAATAGTAAGAAACTGCAAAAAGCAAGCGTCCAGTTGACTTTTTCAGCACGGGAAAGACTTCGACAGCGTAGTAAAAGTTATGGCGAAAAGGAAAGTTGAAAAGACGAAAGAGCATGCGAAAGTATTCTTCTTTAATTCGGCAAAAGCCTACAAACAAATGTTATCGCTTTCGGATGGTAGGAAACGATTGCGCTTATTTCTCTTTATTCCCTCAAGGTTTTACAGACGATCTGAACAGCATTCCGAGAGATGCGCGGGAACTTTTTCTTCTCGTGAATGCGTGCGAATGGAAACGTAAAACAAGCAACATGAAAATGAATCCGGAAAAACTCAAAGAGCTTGTATATGATGGGTGGGCAGGAAGCACCGGATTCCCGAGATTAACTGTTCTTTTCAGATCTGTCAACGTGAGAGTAGGAAAGAAGTTTGTGAGAATCAGGACACCGCCGTGCCCAGCACTTTGTAGATACTTCTGTACGTCCGTCAATATTTCTGTTTCGAAATGGCACTCGTTACAGCTTGTCGAAAAGCGGAGAAGATCCCTTCGGAACTGTTCGTTCACTTGGAGCCAACCAGCAATGGAGACCATACATTCGTTCGAAATCGCAATTACAATCCGTTTTTGCGAGTCAAACTGAACACAAATGATCGAATTTCAAAACTTCTCGAGTTCCTTCAGAAGAAATGGGCCGCCGCTAACGACAAATCGGCCCTTTCTGTAACTTTGTGGCCCGACAGTTCTTGTGAAGTGGCCTCACTAAGCGTTCACACCGTTGAGACATCGCCGTTCATCTCACTTTCAATGAATAAATTAAAGAAGCACTTGGAAGATGTTAAAGATAGAACAGATCCGAAGAAACCAGCGGTGGCTGGAGTTCAGATGGCTGCGGAGGTGAATACAAGTGAGCGAATACTACAGAAACATTGAGAGAGAGAGAAACCACTCGACTTCAGAATCGAAACCGAACCACACTGTCTACTATCCGCGACCGTTCACTTTGACTGACAAGGTTCTCGCAGAGGGAATCACCCACCGGAATATCACGAGTGCGATAATGGCCGAGTTGTTCTGTGTTGTAAGCACATTTCCTATCCTTCCTCCTCGCATTAAATACTCATTTTTCAGTGTGGAAGAAGCAATCCAATTCAGCTGAGATACCAAATAAGCTACGAACAACCGGATGGCCAACCGGCTGCACCAGAGCCATGGAGAGTGATGATCGATCTGTTGAAACGAGGGTACGGAGAAGCTCTGACTAATTGCAAGAAAGAAGAAGAGAAAGATCGACGGAGAGGGCAAAGAGAAGCCGAGATGGCGTTAGTTTGATTACAAAAACATCATTTCACGCTTTCGATCAGTTACAGAGAACCCGCTGCGAAGAAAAAGAGGGCGACCGAGGAGTTACCACCGCCATCCGCATCTACTTCGTCTGAGCCAGCTAAAAGGATGGAGCAATATCCGGTTGCCGACATTGTTCGTCAGGAGAATGAAGATTTCGCGAGTCAGTTGGCAATGCTTCGAAAGACGCAGCGACAGAAAACAGTTTCCTCGAAGCGGAAGAAGTCGGCGGCGCCCGTGCTCTCAACGAACACTCCTCCGATCTCAATGCGTCCCCCCGTCACCAGTCCGGCTACTGTCATGCAACCACCTCAACAGCAGATATTCGTTGCTCCAATGTGCACAATTATACCGAGAAGAGCAACAATGATTCCAGCTAGAACTCCAGTCAGGGCGATCTTGAGCGGACAGTCACAAGCGGGACCGTCAACCAGCGGACCACCGAAATTGCCGACGGACTTCTCCTCGGTCGTTGTGTCCCCGAAAAAGACGGTCGTCGATGCTGAACAGCAAAGGAAATGGACGGACGACTTTCTGTCCTCGCTGCGTACGCCGGTGGAAACTCCAGTGCAGACTCCGATGGTTTGGTTAAATTTCCCTGAAAATGTTTTCAAGTACTTATATTCAGAAGCCCACAATGCAGCAATTGTTTGGAGACGACCTGTCAATGTCCCCTTCATCCACCCGACACGCATCTCATTTGGAGGCCCCGGAAGGAGCTAATTCGTACGCAAAATCGTCCATGAACAATCATTCATATTTCATAATCTTTCGATTTTTCAGTTCTGTGGTCGACTTCACCGACATGATGTATCAGCATATAAAGGACAATACTACCGATATAACGATGTCCAACCAGGGACTGCAGTTCTCGGTCACGGAAGTGCACGAAGTGTACGACGACATGATGTGCTCCTCGCAGAACAGTCACGACTACATACTCCAGCAGTTCGAGAAGAAGAAGATCACTCCGAAGAGACGCAAATAAACCCTCATTCCCTCTTTTTCTTGTAATTATCCTTCATCCTATCTTTCGAAATTCAGAGACTCGCATTTTATACACTGGTAATAATTTATGCCATCTTTTCGAAATTGTGTTTATTTTTTCCCTCCAGGAAGTTCTGTAACAGCTTCTCAAACTATCTCATCCTTTATTTGTTCTCTGTCTCCACGTTCCAAACTTTCAGATGTCTCTTTCCGTCAGAATGTTGTCTGCTCGGATGCTGCGGGCTGCCCGATTCGTGGCTCCGATGAGCTCCGTTCACTTCATTCCGACTGTTCCAATTCAACGGAGATCATTCGCTTCTAAGCCACAGAGACACGAGTTCCAGGCTGAAACCCGAAATCTGATGGATATTGTCGCCAAATCACTCTATTCGCACAGCGAGGTAAGACAACTGCCCCAATCCAGCAGACGAATGCTTATTTTGAGGTGTTTGTCCGCGAACTCATCTCCAATGCTTCCGACGCTCTAGAAAAAAAAAGATATGCAGAATTAAAAGGAGAAGTGGCCGAGGGGCCGAGTGAGATCAGGATTAGCACAGACAAGGAGAGAAGGACGATAACATTCGATGATACGGGCATCGGAATGAACAGAGAGGACCTCGTCAAGTTCCTCGGAACAATCGCCAAATCAGGATCCAAAGATTTCATTGAAAATGTAAGCATTCGCGTTGAAACTGTGCACAAAGAATGGCTTATTGCAGAACAAAGAGAACGCGGAAGCAGTGATCGGACAGTTCGGAGTCGGCTTCTACTCTGCATTTATGGTCGCCGATTCAGTCGTCGTGACCACGAGAAAGGTGGGAAGTGGATCCGAAGAAGGACTGCGATGGACGTGGAACGGAGACAACTCCTACGAAATCGCAGAAACTGCGGGACTCCCGACAGGAACGAAAATCGAGATTCGTCTGAAGGTCGGAGATTCGGCCACGTATGCGGAAGAGGACAGAATCAAGGAGGTGATCAACAAGTACTCGTACTTTGTGTCTGCTCCGATTCTTGTCAACGGAGAGAGGGTGAACAATTTGAATGCGATCTGGACGATGCAATCGAGGGAAGTGAACAAGGAAATGCACGAGACATTCTTCAAGTGAGTATTCAAAAGAAAATGGTAATAATAAATTATTATTAATAATGTTTCCTTTAGGCAATTGGTGAAAACGCAAGGCAAGCAGGAGCTTTTCACTCGTCCGGAATATACAATTCATTTCCAGGTACACCAAAGCTTCTTCTCCTTTTTGATTACTGTAATTTTCAGACCGATACTCCAGTTTCCCTCCGTTCTGTCATTTACATCCCTCAGTCCCAATTCAATCAGCTTTCTTTCATGGCCCAACAGAAGATGTGCGGACTGTCTCTGTATGCTCGCAGAGTGCTCATCAAGCCTGACGCCCAGGAACTAATTCCGAACTATCTTCGTTTCGTCATTGGAGTCGTCGATTCTGAGGATATTCCACTGAACTTGAGTCGTGAAATGCTCCAAAACAATCCAGTTCTGCGAAAGCTGAAAAAAATTCTCACTGATAAAATTCTGGGAACGCTTCAGTCTGAAATGAAGAAGGATCCGGTCAAATATTCGGAATTCTATAAAAACTATTCGCTCTACTTCAAGGAAGGAGTTGTCACGGAACAAGACCAGGGAGTGAAGGTGGAGTGGAACGAGAGAACGATCGAAAAAAAAAAGAGATTGCAGGAGCAAGTGGCCAAGTTGCTTCTGTTCGAGTCCTCGTCAAAGAAGGCCGGAGAACTGACGAGTCTAGGAGATTATGTAAAGCGAATGCAAGAAGGACAGAAAGAAATCTACTACATGTACGCCAACAAGTAAGTTTATTCGCCCCTCCATTCGAACGAAAATTGTCTGGTCCAGTCGCCAACTTGCCGAATCGTCTCCTTACTACGAAGTGATCAAGTCGCAAAACAAAGAAGTTCTGTTCCTTTACGATCCGGCCGACGAGGTCGTCTTCCTTGGGCTGGGCCAGTTCTCCATGAAACAGTTGGTTCCAGTGGAGAAATGGGCACAGGAAGAAGCAGAGAAAACGGGCGGCGAGGAAAAGAAAGATAACAGTGAGCGGAGGGAAAGGCACAAATACAGGTAACAAGAACATTGCAGAAGATTTCCGTGATAACGAGAAGAAAGAGCTGCTCGACTGGATGAAGGAGACGCTCGGAAGTGTGCGTGTGGCAGAGATCTCTGGCAATCATCGGCCGAGTGACCATCCTGTGATGGTGACCGTTTTGGATATGGGCGCCGCCCGCCACTTTTTGCGTACCGGGGAAATTAAAGACATGGAGCATCTTGTGTACTTCAAGCCTCACGTGCACGTCAATCTCACTCATCCGCTCGTGAAAGCAATGTTCAAAATGAGGAGGACCGACAAGGAAACTGCCGCTATCCTGGCTGAGCAGGTCAGTAAAGCTACGAGCTGTAGATTGAAAGAAAGCGAAAACCGTGTTCTTCAATCAGCGCTCCCTGTGGAATTCGGTGTTTTGAAACGGCTGCACGGCAACGGCCACTCTGCTGACGTGTCACATCAAGCCTATTTCTCTCGCTGCCTCCTCTTCCCTTCGCTCTATTTTCATTTCATTTCTCAATCGTTCCAGATTTACGACAATGCCCTGATCACTGCCGGTCTGATTAAGGACACGAGTCGGATGGTGGGAAGACTGAACAAGCTGCTGACGTCGCTTGCCGGCGCCAAAGGATCAAGCACCATCCTCACTCCATAATCATCCTTCATTTCTCGTTTTTCTGTTGTAGTTCTAGAAGTAGAAGTCATAACTTATTATCCTGTTTCGTCTGTTGAAGGTACTCCGTTTCCGGTATTTTTGAATATATCAAATTGTATTTCTTTAATTCTTTATGATCGAGTCTCATCGGTTGTCTATCCGATTTACATTTTGGTTATTCTTTTTGTTTCGTCTCTCACGCTCATTCTCAAGTTCAGATGAACGGCGTGGTCGCCGCACTGGAAGAGATGCCGCCGGTCACCCGGTTCTACACGGGAGCATGCGTTCTATTGACAACTGCCGTTGTGAGTCAGATTTTCCTCGAATCTTTCAAATTCTTGTTCCCAGCATCTCGAATTCGTGACACCATTCCACCTGTATTTCAACTGGGAACTGATTGTCCGCAAGTATCAACTATGGAGACTCATCACGTCGTTCTGCTTCTTCGGATCTTTTGGATTCTCGTTTCTATTCAACATGGTCTTCACATATCGATATTGCATGATGCTTGAAGAAGGATCTTTCCGCGGGCGGAGGGCCGACTTCGTCTACATGTTCCTGTTCGGTGCAGTTCTTATGATCATATCCGGAATCTTCGTGCAGATTCTTTTCCTCGGACAGGCCTTCACTATCATGCTCGTTTACATTTGGAGTCGACGGAATCCGATGATTCAAATGAATTTCTTCGGAGTGCTCACTTTCACGGCTCCTTATCTTCCGTGGGTTCTCTTGCTCTTCTCTCTTCTTCTCGGAAACAATGCCGTCGTCGATTTTATGGGTAATTTACAGCAGAAACTGAAGAAACCGCTGATATTGTTCTAGGAATCGCTTGCGGACACATTTACTTCTTCCTCGAGGACGTCTTCCCGTACCAAGAGCACGGAAGACGCTTTTTGAAGACTCCTCAATGGCTCGTTTATCTGTTCGACGAACGGAGACCGGAACCATTGGCAGAAGACGAGAGGCCCGGAGGATTCGAGTGGGGAGCCGATCACTGAACTAGTCGCTCATATCGCACACGCTTTTCTGTGTCTGGTCATTTCCTGGTTGTATTCCCCCATTTCTAATCTGTCCTTCATCTCCAAAGAAATGTGATAACTCGTTACCCTCGAGTTGCAATCTAATTCCACGTTTCTCTTGCCTTTACCAAGTTCAGCGTTTTAACCGAATAACAACGGGATGGGATGGGAACCACTGTTGTTTTTCCAACTATTTATTTATAAATGTTATGTTTATCGCTTTGGAAAGTGCAGAATCGTTTGACGATGCCGCGCGAAGTTGTAAATGTCGCGCACGAAAAACGATATACGGTGCTCTCCGCAATAAACAACAGATCGGGCACATCTGGACAGACCACGCCCACATGTTGCGTTATCGGTTACTTCGGTTACTTCTCACTCATGTGAGACGGAGTTCTTTGCAACGTCGCATCTCTTCACCGCTCCGCGAGCCGATCTGTTTTTTTTTCTACCGTACTGCGAACTTTAAAGGCGCATAACACACTTTTCGCCGTTTGGTCTCGCAGAGAGGCGACAAAAGCAGTGTTTGTCTGCTGACCTGTTTTTGAAGAATTCGACCTGACAGAATTCTGAAATGTCGGATTTGGAGGAGAGCAAATCGTTGAGAGAAGAGAGAAAACCTGATGTCAGGTGAGGCATTTTAAGTTGAACGCGCATTCAGTGAAATATTACAGCACAAGCAGCTCAAACGACGGTACAACCAGCTCGAACGACGCAACAAAACTCGTAAGAATAGCTTTTAATTGCTTCACCGCATGTAAATAATTTATTTCAGTCGAAATCGAAAAGTTTAAAGCATTATTACGATAAGCAGAACGAAATAAGACGGCAGTACTCGCGAGACAGTGAGCAGATCGAGGCCGCGCGGCGGTCTAAGGAACACCAGCGAGAGCTGAGATTGAGTGAATCCGATGGAGGGATGTCTGAGAGTGGCGGACCCATGAGCAGCTTCCACGTTTCGGATGCAACCAATCTGTCAAAGGACTCGCTTCTCGCTCGGCACGAAGCATCGGTGAATGCGGAGAAAAAGTTGGAGAAGGCCGCTGGCCGCCTCGCCAACATCACCCTGCTCGTCAATTTCACTCTGATGGTTGCGAAGGTACGTCATTCTGTTCACAAAGACTAGATAATTCAGCTCATTCAGGTGACGGCTGCCTGGCTTTCAGGATCGATGTCCATTATTTCTTCCATGATTGATTCCCTCGTTGACCTCACTTCCGGCGCTCTCCTCTCCATATCGTCCAGATTGATTCGGAAGCGCGATCCTTACCAATATCCCCGCGGAAGAACTCGTGTGGAGCCGCTCACTCTCATCCTCATCAGTACAATCATGGGAATAGCCAGTTTGATGCTGATCATTAACTCTGTCGAACGGATTACTGCCGCTGGTCAGTTTTTTGTTGTAAAATTCTAAACAAAATTGTTGTAACTGTTTACAGCGTTCAATGGTGTGAAAGAGGAAATCAACGTGAGTTGGCCGACAGTCGCCATCATGCTCACCACGATCGCTGTCAAGTTGACTCTCTACTTCATCTGCAAAGGGTTAGAATTTGTTCAAGTAACCCCAGAAACGCCAGAGTTTCAGATACAAGACAAACTCTTCGATCAGAGTTCTCTCTCAGGACCACCGAAACGACTGCATTTCTAATTCCGTGGCTCTCGCTTGTGCTTGGCTTGCATACTATTTCGACGATGGCGTCAGTTTGTTCGGATTGTGTCCGACCGGAGGATGCGACCTCTACTATCTCGATCCGATCGGAGCAATCGTCGTCTCGTTCTACATTCTGTACACGTGGATGCGCACCGGGTACACTCACTTTGTCATGCTCAGCGGAAAGTCGGCCAGCCCCGAGCTCATAAATCGTATCATCCATCAGTGCATGAAACACGACGAACGAATCACTCACATCGACACAGTCTACGTCTATCATTACGGCACCAAATTCCTCGTCGAGGTTCACATCGTTCTCGACCAGAACATGATTCTGAAGGACACGCACGATATCGCCGAGAGTCTTCAGACGGGAATCGAGGCGCTGCCGGAGATCGAACGGGCCTTCGTTCACTGCGATTACGAGTTCGAGCACCATCCGCACGATGAACACAAATCTGTCTAGTCGTTGTTTTCCTATCTTTGCAAACCTAAGTATTCTGCCATTTTACCCCGAAATATTATATGTTACATCCATTTATTGTTCCCCCAATTGTCTTAGCTCAACCTCACAGAATACGATTATATCAATAAGCTTCACTTTTTTAGTAAAAAGTCATCAATTTTAACATGAAAGTCCGTAGCAGTCGTAAGCGAATCCGATACGCTCAAGTTCGCATTGCATCCATCCCACCTTAAATGTGATTTATTCAGGCGTGTTGAAACTGAAAGAAATCTCACATAGGCGTTGCACTCGATGGTGAAGAAGTCCTTGATGCATCCGATGAACGTCTCCGTCGCTCCACAGAAGTTGTTCGGATTGGCATTAACGGTCGCGTTGAACTTGTAAAAGCAGGCACGGTAGACGGTCCCATCGGTAGTCTCTCCCTTTCGGATGCAGTCCAGATTGCTCTGGTACACTGAAAACGGATTGCTTTTAGTGGATTACAATCGATCGGAAAAGACCGTCGAATCCAGTGCTGCAGATGAACTCGAGATGTTTCATCAGATGAGTGTACACCATTACATTCCACCAGTCGGTGTTTCCGAGCGAAATCAGATAGAATCGGTCGATGCACGTGTCGTAGGTCTGTCCGAGAGTCTGCACGAACTGCTGACGGGACCTGAAATCTTTCTTTCGGGAGGGGCTGATGACGACGGATCATACGCGCAGACGGCGGCGAGTCCGTCGATTCCGGTGTCGATCATCGTCATCGTCGCATTGGTGAGCGTGGTCGCATCTCGCCACGTGGTTGTGGACGGAAGACCGACGGCAGAAGCGAATCCAGCCTGGAGAGAAAACGAAAGGGACGATCAAAAGAGAAAGGCATTGGATACCTGAGCAGACGCGAATGGGACACTGTTGCAAGTGCCGGTGGCATAGTTCTTGTGACCGAAGAAATAAGTACGGACTTGTTGCTCGTTGAGCAGATAGTCGCCGAGAGTCGGGAGCAGCGGATTAAAGAGTGCGGCCGCAAGGACGACGGACGAGAGTCCGACGATGAAACGGAGCATGGCTTGAGGAGAGCGAGAGAGAAGTTCAGCGACGACTGAAAGCAAACCCGACGGCGCTGACGTGGACGGCAGTGAAAAGAGGCGCGGCTGCAGTGATAACGAGGTGATAATGCACAAGTCGACGGCCGTAAAAGAGCCACGGCGGCGTGATTCGATGGGTTCTCCGATCTGACAGGACCCCGTGAGTCAGACGAGCTCAACAGTAGACTCCTGCTTCCATTCGCCCCATGGGATGTACCCTTTCTTTCAGTTTTGGAAATGAAAGCGTGTGCGGCCAAACCAAGAAACAAATAAATAAATAAACAAAGGAACAGACTCCTCAAGACTTTTAGTAATAAGAATGATGTTTATTTCCGAAAGTCGGTGTACATGAGATAAGAAAAGATGAACATGGGCGATGAGCACGAATGTCAGAACGAAAGAAGGGACGAAACGCTTGAATAAAAGAATAAATTATGCGTAGAATGTGTGTTTTGTGAGTGATTCCCTCGAAGTAAAACCCCGGGAAAGAGAATTGTTTGAGGAGTTTTCGATGCATAAAAAGGTGTGAAAAACGGAGATAAGAAGCGGAGAGAGGTGTTAATCTATGGCCTGATAACTCTTTGAGAGCAAGGTAAAAGCCTACAATGATGATGACGACGAGAGATTGTACTCTTTCGCGAGATGAAATGATCACTTTCAGTCAGATTCTATTCATTCAGACCGACGACTGAACGAAGTTGGCGCCTGGAGATTGGCGTTGGATAGAGTAGTCGGTGGGGATCTGCTGGATGTATCCCTGCGGTCCCGAGGTGTAAATCACTTCTGGTTGGTACTGTGGGATTCCTTGATTGCTAATGTACTGCTGAGTGGTCGGTGTGGCGAGGGGGACGTTCGAGTACTGTTGTGGTTGGTTGTACGGGGTCGTGGATGGCACTGGAGTGTAGGAAGTCGCATTCACTGGCGTGCGAGGTGCCTGGTTGAAGCTGAAAAGAATGGAAGATGAGATAGGTGCAGTAGGAACGAATTCTGAGAACTCACTCGTAGTTTTGGACCGATGGAGCTGGATTGTACGGGTAAGCAGAGGCTGGTTGATCTCTGAAATGTTCTTGTTTCTTGTTTTCCTCTCTCTCTTTCTCCATTTCCCACCTGTATTGCTGTGGTTGCTGTGCCCAATTGGCCGAGTTCCTACCCGAATTGAGCCTTTGCTTGTCATCCGGTCTCATCTGCAACTTTTCCATTTCCATATTCCGTTTCCTCCGTGGCCATCCGCCCGTTGACCTTCCCGCTTATTTGCCAAATGCTTCTGTTTCTGACCGTTTCTCTCCGCTTTCCGCGCGCTCTTTCCGCATTCACATGCAAACACAAACATTACATGTACATATGATTTGGAGCGCACTCGCAAACGAAAGGAATTCTTCGAGCCGTCCGGCCCGCCGCTTTCCGAAATTGAATCGTATAGGGCGCGTCTGCGTATCTTCACTCTCTCGCCTTCAAAAGCATCGGACGGTTGGCAAACTTCCAGCTTCGACTGTACGGAAAGAAAGGAAACAACAAAACATACCGACTTGACGACGACCACGTAGATGGCATAGACAACGCCGGCGAGAAGGAGGACGCCTCCGATCACGATGGCGAAGACCACGGCAATCTGAAAAAGGATGAATTGGGAGGGAAGTAAAGAAGGAGGACCTGAGGACCATTTCCAGCAAATGGCTCGTCGAATGTATACGCCGGTCTATAGGTCATAAGGGGGTGAATGGGAGGGTGTAAGGACCCTTCGGAACGGGATTTCAGTGTGTGTTCACCTGGGAAGAGGGCGGGGGTTCAGGAAACATCTAGGGTTACGAGCACGAGGAAACTGAATATCTCACCGACTTCTGCCAAGCCCCAGGCGAACATTTGAAACGTGTTTTTCTAACAATGGTCTGTTATCTGGACCTATGACTGTTTCCTCGCCTATTCTAATAAGATTATCGTAAAACCATTTGGCTCAACTTTAAAACTTTGGCCCCTCCTGTTCTTATCACTGAACTTGTTATCAACCGGCTCTCTATTCCCTATTTGTATGGCATGATCGATTCAAAAAACGAAAAACAAACGAACCTGATAGTTGTACTGGTTGTGATTGTACGACATTGCGGGAGAAGGCGACGATAGTGAGTCACTGTCGCTTCGATGATAATTAGAAGACTCTCCGGGCGGGAGCGGAAAGGCGGCGAAGGAAGAGACGGTCTGTAGTTGAGGAGGAGGATTGACTGAGTCAACAAAGAAGAAACGGACGGGGGAAACAGACGAAGATTCATGAGAGCAACACGTAACGGCCGGCTTCTTTCGAGCAAGAACGGAAAGTTGGAACGTGGAAGAGCGGGTATCAAAGGATGTCATAGATGATCAGACAGGAATGACCAACAGTCAGGCTCACTTGGGATAAGGAATCGAATAGTTAAGAGGGGAGAAGGGAGTGTTACGGTATGGGAAAAGGATGAAATGCCGTCCTGAACATCAAAAATCATTCCACGTGTTTTGGAAGTGAACTATCAGCAACGGAACTGTTTCGGTGCGCCCTCAAGCCCTACTTGGGCCAATCCGGTCGGGGAGCTTTCAAGTGCTCGGAATCGATTGAAATGCTTGCCATGTTTACTGCCGGCAAGGAACTCGCGCAAGTAAGTCACGTTGTGGGTCTCGTGTTGGCATTGGGTTACATTTTTTGAGGTGAAAAAATTGAGGGAGATAGAGAGAGGTCTAATAACAATAACACTGATGCATCACTTGGTATCAGTCGGAAAGAGTTTTTGAAGTGGGCGAAGACATTCCAACTGAATAACTGAACGTCAGAAAGACAAACGGGACGAGAGATCGATTGAGAATATTTAATAAATATGTTCTGTACATATACTTCTGAATGTTACCGAAGAATGAATTCTGGCGCGAGCAGTAACTGGAAAGAGAAGGTGCCAAATGACAAAGAAAAGAGGAAATGGGGCAACAGGTAATATACATAGTAAAAGTCGGTTTTAACGGGTTTCGAGCCGAACACAGAACAAACAAAGTCTCGCGCACTCCTCCCTGTCTCTCTTTCTGTGTACTCGCAACCAGACTTCTTCTTCTTATTCCCGACTTGACTGCTTGCAAATCGGAGAGAAACAGTGTTTGATAACAGATTTACTACCGAGGACGCTCTTCTTGAAACATGAAATGCCCGGTCACGGGGTCATGAAGAGCCGAAATAACGAGGAAAAAACTGGATGGAAAGAAAGAGGGAAGCAAACAGAAATATGCGCGCGTTTTCTTCGCATTCACTCGAAAATGTATACAAAAACACGAGAAGGCGGGCGCGGAGACGATGGGAATTTGATAATTCGCAAGACCGATTGGGTAGGTAAAAGGGGAGGATTGATAAGAAACTGAAAGGGGCGGGGCCGGGGTGCGTAGGGGAGAAAACAGTGAATCTGAGTCACCGTACGGAATGGTCCCGTTGCGGGGTACGGGACGAAAGGAAAGAACTCTGATGAAAACTCAGACAGCTGTGGACTTAACCTGTTTTGTTTGACTTGTAATCTAAGCTTCAACTCCAACAGTTTCTACTGAAAACAGTGAGTCATTGAGCAAAAACTGTGGAATGAGCTTCAAGAAGCCTCCAAAAACGGGGAAACTGGCAATTTCTCTCTCACATTTTCTCATGATTTGTTGACGGGAAAAAGAAGACGAATGGCTTGTTTCTCGGCACAAAACTATCGATAGTATTTGGATGGAAACCGGCAGTTTGCTTCTTTTATCGCTACCGTGACGGCCGTAAATTCATAAAATTTAGCGGCGGCAAGCACACTTGCACTCCCTTTCATTTTCGGAAGTTTGGCAGACGGTTGATGAACTACGATATGGCCACGTGGAATCTCACAAAGTACTCAGAAGTTGTGAACCATCCGGTCACTTTTCTGAAGTCAGAAATATCAATTCGACCGTATAATTTTGATGTTTGTGGCGTGTTTGAGGGAAACATGTGACCAAACCATGAGAAAAGAGGCTTGCAAGTTGTTTCTGATAACGGAGGAAAGAAACGAATAAACGATTTTCTATTTCGGTCCTCCCGGCTTTAAATAGTTCGGAGAAGTGACCAAGATAATCGGCTCATTATCACCGACCAGCACCCGATTTGGCAGCTATTTTAGGCACTGTAATACCATTAAACAGTTATCAGACGGACGGAAAGAGCACGGCGGAGCACATGCAGAAGTCGGCAGCTTCCTGATTTGTTCCTCTCGTTTCGGAGAGAGGAATCGATCGATTTGACGGGGGAAAACTCACTTGTTTGTATAATATTTGAATAAACACAAAAAAGGCTCGGGAAACAGTGCATATCAGCATCAAACATACATCTGAATCACTGTTTCTGACACATTCCACGCAATATGAAATTGGTTCAAAGAGGAAAAGCTGGAAAGTAACCAGATAATCATAGTCGACAGAATTAAGTGCGCAAAGAAGTTTTCTAATTATTTCTAGAAAGAGAATTCTAGAATCTGTTGAAGTGAGGGACTGAGCGCTTCGCCAACGGTTTCGTGTAGTTTCAAAAAAGAGAGTCAACGCAGATGCGTATGGAAATCATGTGAGAGTAGAGAGATGGAATGGAACGGAGTGTGATTCCCACAGTGAACAGTACTGTACAGAAATGGAAGTGAGCAAAAAAGGCGGGAAAGCGCTGACTCATGGCCGCTTTTCCGTTCGTTTCCGTCTTCTTCTCCAAACTGACTCATCGTGCCAACACTTTTGTGCTGCAATCCGAGATCGGAGAGCGAGCGACGATAAATGGAATATTAAAACTTTTAATTTAAAAGTGATTCCCTTTCGTTTCCCTCCCTGCCCGCTCTCATCGATTTCCTCCGATTCTTGTCGCGAAAACAATCGGATCGGTGTTTTGAGGTGTGCATTGTTGTTTTTGTGCAACTCATCCGACGGAATCAGATCAACGACAATCAAACACGACAGAATAACACCCCTACTTCCTGGATATAAATGATCGAAGTTCCGATTTCAGAAAAGAAGCAGCTCATCTGAAGAGAGATCCTCTGCGGACAACTTCAATCGCTGATTTATACGAGGCGGACTGGCCCTACTTCACGAATTGAGAAAAAGAGATAAACTCGATGAACACGACGCAATGAGAATTATCGGACAAACATGATAATCAGCTTGTTCGAAAGTTTCAGGAATCACTTCTGACCCCTTTCCCCCGATTCTTCTGGCTCATTTTTCTGTTCTCTCGAGCAATATCCTTGCGGAACGACATTCTAATCGTCGAGTTCCCAACCAGTTGGGCCGTCATCTGGTATCTACATATGCTCCCTCTTCCTCTCTTTTTCCGCTCCTATTTGCAGAGATCCCAGAAAGTTGTGCTCGCTAAAAACCGACTTCTTTTTTTCTTTTTGTTTTTCCCTGCTCTTCTCATCTTCTCGTCCGTTCGTTGGAAACATCGGGCAGCCGGAGGAGACGCCGAGTCGCACCTCTCTCCAGTCATTCTCTCGTCTTCATCTTCATTTTCTTCTTCTGTTTTACACTGAGCTAGCTCCCGCCGCTTCGGCTCACCGTATCCTCTGGCAAACACAGATAAACGACGGATAGCATCGGCAAAATAACTTGAGAGAAAAACGCGAAAGAGAGAGTGAGAGAGAGAGGCCATGTGTCGGGGAGCCAAAGGTATCATACCTTCTTCTTCTTCTTCTTCTTCTTTCTCTTCTTGAGCAGAGTGACACACCGACGAGACATTGTAAAGTGACGCAAACGGACAAAAAGCCGACGGAAGAAGACGTCGGAGGATCTTGTTACCGACGGAAAGCCCGTTGCAAACTCCCTCGCGAGATCCGAAAGACCGAACGAAGGGTCCGGGGAGACGGGTAAAACCGTAAAGTTTCACGAGATGAACTGGAATTTCACACATACGGCACTTTGTGCCAGAACAGAGCGCAGTATTTCTACTTCTCGCCCAGTGTGTCTTTTCGATAATGTTTCGATCAGTTTTGCTTCTGAAAATTTTTTCGAACATTTCGTGAAAAGCATTGTTTCCGAAAAATTTTTGAAAGTGCCGATTTCTCGAATAAATCCCTGAAAATCGAGCGTTGATCCACAATACTTGCTTTTTTTCCTTCTTCCTCTTCTCAAACTCAAATCAACTGACCACGCAAAAAGGCTTGAATCGGCCCAAAAGACCAATGACAGCGGACACTAATTTTATCATTAAAAATATCAGAAAATGGCTTGTGATAAGCTGTTCACACTTTCAAAAGTGAGACAATTTACGTAAGAAAGTGCACCGATTTACGTCTTTCCTGTCCGGCCGATCAATGCTTTGTGACGCAACCCGCCGCCTTTTATCAGCAAGCACTTTGTTATCACCGCCCACAGTTCTATGCCCCATTCTGCTAGTACAGCCAGACGTTTCAGTTGGAAAAAGAAGAAGAAGAAAAAGAAGATCTCTCTCTCTCTCTCTCTCTCTCTCTCTCTCTCTCTCTCTCTCTCTCCGTGTTTTGTGGATCGGAAAGATATTCCTGGCCCGATCCGTCTTCTCCGATTTGACCTGTGCTCGTTTGATAAATGGCCGATTGCTCTCACTCCCGCTTTCACGTATCTTCATTGATAATCGGTTTGTTTTCGGAGAGAAAAAACGAAAATGCAGTCGCAGAAATCCCATGAAATTGAGAGAAACGGGCCCGAGAACAACTGCGAACAGAGAGAGAAATGAGCCCTCAAAAGTGCGAAGCATCCTGGGAGGATTCGAACAACTGGAAGTAGCCTGCAAAACACGCACCAAGTTTGCAACGAGCTACTCGACAAGAATCGAAAACTCCCTCCGCCGATCTTTCAACTATCAAAGTTTCGCAAGCGCAAGCAGTGTCTCTGCTTTCATTATCATCCAATCACTTTTTAATATTGTTCCACTGAACCACGTGGGACTCCTGCTCGTGTGCTGTCACGTGCGGTCTGTATTCAAAAGACCGTGCTCCTTTCTCGTTCCCTTCTCGCTCTCCGGACCCTTCCCCGAATATCTTTCCCCCGTCCTTTTTCTGACCTGTCCGTCCAACTCTCAAATATTTGCAATGCAACTGGGTTTGGGTGCGAAGAACTGGCGTCATTAGGTGCCACGCAACGAAAAAAGAACGAAATCTTATTGAAGAAACCCCGAGACGGCTCGAGTTGTGTGCTTTGTTTGCCTGCCCAGATATCTCGGATTTATCAATTACTGTTTGTCGACCTGTCGCACAGAGCTCTGCTCCCACGCCCCGTCGATCCGAGGGCTCCCGCTCCGAGACTGATTATATCGAAAGAGTTTTCTGACAGTTTTCATTACCTCCGATCTCCAGTCTTTGCAAAATTCGGAGAACAGTCCGAGGAGAAAATGCGATCTCATTTCTCGTTTCGAAGTAGTCACTGGTGTCGTTTGAAGTCTTTGAGCCATCCTATCTCTTTCGAGTATTCCCCCTTCCTACGGTATCTCTCGGCTAGTATCCGCGAGTACTTTGCTTCCGAGACATCTCGAATTCACGTGAACCATCGGATCCTTGTTTTGTTGGTAGGCCCCGCCCTGCTAACTTGTCTTCTCCCGAGCTCATTCAATCACGCCACGACCCTTCCCGACAGATGCTCTTTTTTTCCGTCTCTCCTCCCCACACACTATTCCCTTCCGCATTCATTCGTTTCAAAAGCACAGAGTTTAGAAGTCTCCAACTTGTTTTTGCATAACAAAACCACATCGGCAGATGCTTCTCCCCCGGCTGTTTGTGCGCGAGCCTCTTCCGCTGCTCATTTTTCTTTTTTCCCGCCAAACAGTTTTATTGACAATTTGATTACGCACAGAGTTCTCGATTTTCCTTTCCAAGGCATTGCTAGATGATAATGTGTCGATGTCACTCGCCTACACTGTCTCCGACGGATGAATTATCGATCGATGAGAGCAAGGAGATGCGCCTCCTCATATGGCTGTGCACATTAAAAACCTGGCCAGCTGGTCAATCTATTTCTAGGGAAACGAGGGACCTTATCGAGCGCGCGAGCGCCGTCTCCTGTCTCGTTCTTTGTTTCTTCGCACTCCTCCACGCACACCTTTCTGCTCGCACACCAATCGATTCATTCTCTGCTCACTTTCCAGTCACACCACACGGAGACCCCGTAATTTTTGAGAAAGCAGCGACTGACGCCGTTGCGACCGCGTGAAAAAACATCCGCCACTGGGTCGTAAGTCTTCTGCCTTCTTCTGTCATCTGCTCCTCTTTACGAAATCCGCAAATAAGCCAGTGGACATCACTCTCTGCACTGGATTTTACAATACAACAACTCGGCTATGTTGTTGTGATCAATGTCTGTTTGCCTCCGTTCTTCACACTGTTGCCCCTCCTCCCCAACACTTGAAAAAGTGGCCACGTCTGTTGTACGAAAGGACGAGAATAGCTTATCGAGAACCTTAAGTTTTGAGTCGCCTCATTTTTAAATAGGTCACAAAATGATGCAGTCCGGGTCGACGCAACCGACACACAATCATGTGTTCTCGACGTTTCCATCATTGCCATTGTGTGCAGTTGTCCGTGAGTGCACCGTACTCGACGCGCTACTACACACTCACCCATTTCGGTATTACTACACGTCATCCTTCGACGTCTCCGCGTGTGCATGCTGTTTCCGCTTCTTATTATTATTCCGAGTTGATCTATTATTCTATTTTTCGATGCCAGTCTTCTGGCCCTCTTTCTGGTACTCTGTCACTCGCTTTCGTTGATTTTAGGCCAAAAATATAATATCTATTTCTCATCAAAAATTGATAAAAGTCGAGAACTGGTTCTTTTAGAATGACGCGTAATTGTCGCAAATTTTATTCCGGTCATGCCATTCTCGTTTTTCTGTTCCTCTCATGCTCTCCCCCTTCTCTCTCATTCTCTCAAAACACGAAAACTGCCTGTCTCGGAAGATATTGAGACTTTGCAAATGTCGAGCAAAAGATGAGAGAATTCACAAACAAAATGGAGAAGTCGCCAAATAACGAAGTTTATCCGCAGGTATCAATGTTCAGTCGTTAGTTTTTGCAAACGTCCCGTAGAGATAGGAAAAAGAGACTCTTGCTATGAAAAACTGTAGGCAAGAGAAAGTGTGATAGATGTTTTGGAAAATATTTTTCCGGAACCGTCAAAAAATGTATAGGACCAGTTTTCCACCTCTTCTTTTGCTCGTTCCCCTGTCGCACCCAACATAATCGTTATGTGCGTATGAGCAGCTGTTCGCGACGATGTAACTGCCCCGAAAACAGAGGTTCTCATTCACACGACTCGTCCTTATTTCTTGCTTCTGAGGGCCACTGTCTGTCGTATTACACTTGACTAAAGGTCACCGCCGTTGGTTGTCGTAACACACAAAGTCGGTTTTATGTGTTATCCGCTTGATTTCGTTCCAAGAGATGTCCCTAGCTTCATCTTTTGAGCCGTGCTTGAGCGCACTCCAGCGAATGGAGCAGAAGGGGGCTCGGGCTCCCGGCTCCTTCGATGTCGTCGAGGGATGGCGCGAGAGAAGCAGCAGGAGTCGCTTCTTCCCACCGATCCGCCTGCAAATACACGGATGCCACCCTATCTCTTGAATTTTACCACCTGAGTCTCTTCGACTACCGCGCTATTTCTCATCGTCAAGAGATGTTTTTATTTTCATTCTACTTTACACACTCCTTCACGTCCCGCCACTGCCAGCGCATCAGTAGGCACGGGCGGTGTGCTCGGGCTCCTGCCTCCAACCTTCTGCCAAGACTTCCTTCCTTCTTCATCTCGCTTATCATTCTCGCTCCACTCGATTCTTTTCATCACATACAAACATTTCCAGAAGAAACAACTACTTGGGTACAGCCTCATAATGGAGGACGCGCATTCCAAAGACGCCGAAGAGGTGAGTTGCCACCTAGTTCTGCTAGCAATCAACAAATCGTTTCCCCTTTTCAGGTGTGCAAATTTTTTGGTACAGGTCCAGAGGGATTGACTGATCAGCAAATAGAGACACTAAGGAAAAAATACGGAGAGAATGGTGAGTTGGGAGCGTTTCGAAAAACATGTAACATCTGGTGGTGCGCAGGCGTATGGAATCGTTGTATCAATAACATTTAATGTCCATTGAATGCATCGTGGAATCAGGGAATAGCCATAAAATTGTAGAAGGTTTCTGAAAAATTCTGAGGAAAAATCAGTTTTTGACAATCGCTCGTATCTCTCACATCTCACCATCGTCGCATCAGTGTATTTTCTGCTAGCCATGTCTCTTCTTGAGCGCACATTTGTTCGGTTTGCCCCCGTTGATGAGAGTATCATTTTTCGGACCGAGCTGCTCAGCTCAATCTCTTCTTTTGTCTCAGTTGCCGAGATGGATCATTTGTCAATGAAAAAGTATGCGAGGGATAGGGAAACAGTGGAAGCATAACAGAAATAGGAACGAATGAAAGACATGAACATCTATTTTCAGAACTGCCCGCCGAAGAGGGAAAGTCCCTGTGGGAACTTATTCTCGAACAGTTCGACGATCTTCTTGTCAAGATTCTCCTCCTCGCCGCTATCATCTCATTCGTAAGAATATCGCCTTGCCGCAACTCACTGGTATTCTTCCAATTCCAGGTTCTTGCCCTTTTCGAAGAACACGAAGACCAAACTGAAGCAGTAACAGCTTTTGTGGAGCCTTTTGTCATTCTCCTCATTCTCATCGCCAATGCTACAGTCGGAGTCTGGCAGGTGAGGCAGTTGTGTTTTGCGCTGTAGATCAACTGAAAACGGGAGAGTAATGTCTTTTTGACTTGCTGTTGGAGTTGATGGCGAGAGATAGGGGCAGGACCGGCGGCCCGTTGTGTAACAGACGGCCGCTGAGAAACGGGTAGAATGCTCTTTGTGCCGAGTTTTGAAGATGAACAAAAAGAAGAGACTTACGTCATGACTTCGTTTTTACGTACGCAAGGGATAGATGAAATTGAGAAGAAAGGGATTTCTCAGTGGCAAATGGCACGAAATATGGATAAATGAGGTCCCTGTGATGTACTTTGCGGATTGCTAATTAACACTGATTTGCCACAAACTGATGAAACATTGAATGTGATTGCAGGAACGAAATGCCGAGTCTGCGATCGAAGCCCTCAAGGAGTACGAACCAGAAATGGCCAAGGTCATCCGTTCCGGACACCACGGAATCCAGATGATCCGCGCTAAGGAACTCGTACCAGGAGATCTCGTCGAAGTGTCGGTCGGAGACAAAATCCCGGCTGATCTCCGCCTCGTCAAGATCTACTCTACCACCATCCGTATCGATCAGTCCATTCTCACAGGAGAGTCCGTGTCCGTCATCAAGCACACCGACTCCGTTCCTGACCCACGCGCTGTCAACCAGGACAAGAAGAACTGCTTGTTCTCGGGAACAAACGTTGCTTCCGGAAAGGCCCGTGGAATCGTTTTCGGAACTGGACTGAACACTGAGATCGGAAAAATCCGTACCGAGATGGCTGAGACCGAAAGCGATAAGACCCCACTTCAGCAGAAGTTGGACGAGTTCGGAGAGCAACTCTCCAAGGTTATCTCTGTCATTTGCGTTGCCGTCTGGGCCATCAACATTGGACACTTCAACGATCCAGCTCACGGAGGATCCTGGGTTAAAGGAGCCATCTACTACTTCAAAATCGCCGTCGCTCTTGCCGTCGCCGCCATCCCAGAAGGCCTTCCAGCTGTCATCACCACTTGCCTCGCCCTCGGAACTCGCCGTATGGCCAAGAAGAACGCCATCGTCAGATCGCTTCCATCCGTCGAAACACTCGGATGCACGTCTGTCATCTGCTCTGATAAGACCGGAACACTTACCACCAACCAGATGTCCGTTTCGAAGATGTTCATCACTGAAAGTGCTGCTGGAGACAACATCAACTTCACCGAGTTCACCATTTCTGGATCGACCTACGAGCCAGTTGGAAAGGTTCACCAGAACGGCCGCGAAATCAATCCAGCTGCTGGAGAGTACGATGCCCTTACTGAATTGGCTATGATCTGTGCTATGTGCAACGATTCGTCTGTCGATTACAACGAATCCAAGAAACAGTACGAGAAGGTCGGAGAGGCTACTGAGACCGCTCTTGTCGTCCTTGCTGAGAAGCTCAACGTTTTCGGAACCTCCAAGGCCGGACTTTCGGCAAAGGAGCTCGGAGGAGTTGCTAACCGTGTTATTCAGCAGAAGTGGAAGAAGGAATTCACTCTTGAGTTCTCCCGTGACCGCAAGTCTATGTCTGCTTACTGTCTCCCAGCGACCGGAGGATCTGGGGCTAAGATGTTCGTGAAGGGAGCCCCAGAAGGAGTTCTCGGAAGATGCACCCACGTCAGAGTTAACGGACAGAAGGTTCCACTCACCCCAGCCATGACCCAGAAGATCGTCGACCAGTGCGTGCAGTACGGAACCGGAAGAGACACTCTTCGTTGCCTCGCCCTAGGAACCATCGACTCGCCAGTCAGCCCAAGCAACATGAACCTCGAGGACGCGACCCAATTCGTCAAGTACGAGAAGGAGATAACTTTCGTCGGAGTCGTTGGAATGCTTGATCCTCCAAGAACTGAGGTCTCGGACTCTATAAAGGCTTGCAACCACGCTGGAATCCGTGTCATCATGATCACAGGAGACAACAAGAACACCGCTGAAGCTATTGGAAGAAGAATCGGACTCTTCGGAGAGAACGAGGACACCACTGGAAAGGCCTACACCGGACGCGAATTCGATGATCTGCCACCAGAGCAACAGTCGGAGGCCTGCCGTAGAGCCAAGCTTTTTGCCCGTGTCGAGCCATCCCACAAGTCCAAGATTGTCGACATCCTTCAATCGCACGGAGAGATCACCGCTATGACTGGAGACGGAGTCAACGACGCCCCAGCTCTCAAGAAGGCCGAGATCGGAATTGCCATGGGATCCGGAACTGCCGTCGCCAAGTCTGCTTCCGAAATGGTTCTTGCTGACGACAACTTCGCTTCCATCGTGTCCGCTGTCGAGGAAGGACGTGCCATCTACAACAACATGAAGCAATTCATCAGATACCTCATCTCTTCCAACGTCGGAGAGGTCGTCTCTATCTTCATGGTCGCCGCTCTCGGAATCCCTGAGGCTCTCATTCCAGTTCAACTTCTCTGGGTCAACTTGGTCACTGACGGTCTTCCAGCTACTGCTCTCGGATTCAACCCACCAGATCTTGATATCATGGACAGACACCCACGCTCGGCACATGACGGACTCATCTCCGGATGGCTCTTCTTCAGATACCTCGCTGTTGGAAGTATGTTGTCAATTCGGAGTTCGTTTCCAATCGTTATTTTTCAGCCTACGTCGGAGTTGCAACTGTCGGAGCTTCCATGTGGTGGTTCCTTCTGTACGAGGATGGACCACAGATCACCTACTACCAACTGACCCACTGGATGCGATGCGAGATTGAGCCGGACAACTTCGCCGACCTCGACTGTGCCGTTTTCGAGGACAACCACCCGAACGCCATGGCTCTGTCTGTGCTTGTCACCATTGAAATGCTCAACGCTATCAATTCGCTTTCCGAGAACCAGTCTCTGCTCGTGATGCCACCGTGGAAGAACATCTGGCTGATGGCCGCTATCACTCTTTCGATGTCTCTTCACTTCGTCATTCTCTACGTTGACATCATGGCCACTATCTTCCAGGTAGACTGTCATTCCTACTCGTATTCCTTATCTTCTCGCCTTTTTAGATCACACCACTTAACCTGATCGAGTGGGTCGCCGTGTTGAAGATCTCATTGCCAGTGCTTCTCCTCGACGAGATTCTCAAGTTCATCGCCAGAACCTGGATCGATGGTAAGCCTGAAACGAGTGCTGCGAAGGCGCGTTCAGTCGTCTCACTGATCGCCTGGGTATCTATTACCCTTGCTTACTTCGCGTGGATGCTGGGCCCGTACGCTGAGCTCATCAACCATGCGCTCGTCGGGCCGTCGGTTGACCCATCGAAATTCGATGCGGTCCCCGTCGCCGATAAACTGCATAACGAATTGTGATTGAAACTATCTAACCGCCTCTCAAAAATTGTGATGACTTCTTTCTCTCTTAATCATTTTCCATTGGGCCCTCTGCAGTGTGTGAAACTTTAATCCTTCGTGTCTTACCTACTTCTAGGATTGCCCATTTGCTCAGTGTCCGTCCCGAAAGACCTTTTTTCTCCCATTATATGTTCGATCCCAAAAACCAACCTTTTCAAATGGATTACGGTCACCAATCTTTTCATGAGTCTAGCCAATTCTGAACATCTCGTTTTCCCCCTGTTCGTTTCTAATCCCCACTTTTCGAATGTCTTTGATTATTTTTTGTTCCCCCTTCTTGTCCTTTTGAAATTTTCTGTCTTCCAAATAATTTATTATTATCTACATTCGTTGCGTGTGAGACCAGGAATCCACGAATAAAGTGATCCTAGTCTGCTTTCACCTTTTCCGAGTGTCCATTTCGGTCTAACGTCAATCCGGTTGTTGTTCAGGAAGTGTCCTTCTTCCTTCCTTTTACCGAATGGTGTGAAGTCGTTTGCTACATAACTCCGGGCCGTCGCGATTCTTCTACAATCAGGAAACTTATAAGGGCTGTTTCAAGTGACACTCGCTCATCTTTCTTTCTTTTCAGTGGAGGCTCCGACCAAGGACAAGCGCGACTAACTGACCCGAAGTGGGCTCCCTCCGCGTTCCCGAGGGACCCGACGCTTCCCGCCCGTCCGCCATCATCTCAATCTTCTTTCATTTCTTTCACCTTTCTTTATCTCTCTCCGTTTAGTGCGATCGTTTCGTTTCGAGACCCGAAATCGGAAAGATCTCTTCTAGAGAGCACTCGATACTTTGCTCAATTATGTTTTCTATTCATTTTTCTTCTTCTTTGTTTACGGTGATTCAACCTATCTGACATTTGTCCGTTAGAAATCTACATTTCTTTTAGGATTCTGAACTTCTAAATTCGTGTACTTTCCCTTTTTCTCTTCGTACCCAAATTCGATTGTAATTCGCATCTTCAGTGTGTCCATGGAATAAAAATTGCGAAAACTTACACACCAAAAGAAGAGGGATGCATTTATTTCCGAGGCCGAACCATTGCAAAAGCCTAAAACGGATTCGGTCGCCATTTCAGAAAACAGGCGGCCATTCAGAAAATAGGCACCCGTAGTTATTCACAAGGTAAAACGAACCTATTCCGAGCGAATGTCAATAAATACGTTTAGTGTAAAATATCGGGGGAATGAAAAAAGGGATATATAGGACAAAAAACGTATTGAAAAATACGAGCTAATTGGTACATGAAGTGGGTAGAAGAGAGCCGACAAATCAGATGTTTTCGACTGCGACACGCGTGTTTGAAATGATCTGGGCCAACTGATCGAGTCTGGCGAGGCACTCTGCTTTCTGGGTTGCGCTCGGCTCGTTCGAAAGCACGGACATCGACTCCCGGGACAACTGAAAACAGCTCTGTAACGGACAAAAAGGACCTGATCAAATCTTGCCTTCTCAGTCATTTCGTTCAGATTGCGCAAGTGATCAACTGCCAGACGACGGTGTTCCAGTTTCTCCTGCTCTTCGTCGTACTCGTCATCTGATTTTTCGCTTTGCGGCGGCAAGAACAAATCTTCGTCGCGAATCGGAGTCGCCTCTCCGCTCCCATCTGTTCCCATTTCTTTGACGCGATCGGCGTACCGAAGAGTGTTCAGAGTATGATCACTGGACGAAATTCCAGGAGAAATCATAGAAATCATGACAGTTCGTGACTTCTCTCCGATGAAACTGTCTCTCAGAACCATGGTTAGCTTCGATTGGCGGAAGGGAACGTGCGAACTGTTGCGAGCCATTCCACGGATGCATTCCTTGAGAGCGAGCAACGACTGATTGATGTTGGCTCCCTCCTTCCTCGTGTCTCTGTCACATTCCCGCGTGTCCTGCCCCCTCTCGTTTCCGGCCAAATCGATGAGCGAGAATTTGCCCCACACCTTCTTTCCTCTGCAATACAATTAACTTCCCATTTGTCACAATAACCCTTTAGCTCACTGTCTCAGAATAATTTGGAAGATGGCATGAGAACGAGACGAATTCGCATTGGCCGAAGTGGTTCCGGCTGTTCTCACCAGAGTTCCCTTGTTTATGAGCTCGAGGACGTCTTTCTCGTGCATGGCTCGCTCTTCCTTCAATCCGACAATTTGCACCTTTTGCATCTTGTCCTCGAGCACTCGCAGCTCCGTTTTTTCATTCAGCAAGTCAAACGTCTTCGTTCCATAAATTTCGAAGAAAGCACAGTGAACAGTGAGATCTTTGCGGCGATACTGGGGCTGTTCGAGCATTCGAAAGACGTCTCGAGCGGTAAGAGCATAGATTCCCATCGACGCATTCTGCTTCTTTCCGGAGAAGTCGCCTCCCATCGTATGCGTCTTTCCGGAACCAGTTTGTCCGTAAGCGAAACACGTAGCATTTCCGTTTTCGAAGATGGTTTTTACCAAAGGTGCAGCAGTGAATCTGAAATTATATATGTTTTCGGATGATTAATAAAAGAAAACCTGTAAACGAGTTCGTTGTTAGCGGATTCGTCGAACGAGTAATCGAAGCGGAACTTTTGATTATCGAGGTATTTGGTGAGATCGACACGAACTTGTGGCTGATGGAGGACGGTGATGTCTCGACTCGGGATTGTGATCACGTCCACTTCATTCTTCAGTTGCTCTTTCTTGTTCAACGGACGCTTCCGAACGCACACAGAAATTCGATTCTCATTGACTGCGTCGAACACACTCAGCGGACGATAATCAATCTGGAACGAATGAGAGTTTCAGCCGACAAACTTACAATTTCTGGTGCTGCCTCGAATCGGAACTTCCCGAATCAGAACTGGTACGAATCAGAACCAATTAGCACTGAAAATAGTTCGGATTAGTACCAGTTCTGATTCGGGAAGTTCCGATTCGGGGTAGCACCCGATTTCTTACGTTAGCCCTGTAATTACGAATCATTTCTGCAAAGGTGAAGTCTTTGTTCGTTACGGCCACTTCTTGTTGTGGATACGAGCGGGGCACATTCTTCGGAGAAGGTCCTCTAGTGGCGGCTGGAGACGGAGCACGCTGGGAGTTGATTTCAGCAACAACCGGAGCAGGAGCTGGAACGACGACAGGAGCAGCAGCTGGCAGAGCCGCAATACGGGGAGTCTTAGCAATATCAGACGCAGCAGCAGCCGAACGCGTGGATATCGGTTTCGAAACAGGGTCTGCAGCCGGCTGAGCACGAGTAGTTAGAACTGGTTTCGGAGGAACAGGCGCCACGAATTTTTCAGCCTTCGGAGACGGAGCACGTCTTGCGGGTTGAGCCTTCTCGACAGGAGAAGCGGCACGGAAAGGAACGTGTTGCATGAAGATTCCAGATTGGCGCTTATTCGGAGCAGCGTCTGTGGTTATTTCAGTAATTTCTAGCACATTGAATTCGTCTTACTTTTTTGCTCACTCTTGTTGTTCTTAAGGTTGATGTGATCCAGCAAGAACGTGTCTTCCTCGTCGAGTATCATATCCTGGTGGTTCGGAGCCATGCTCAGTCTGTTGCTGACTGTCGACATCTGAAGTGTCTTCGGCGCCGGAGGTGGTGCCGGTTTCGACATCTGCAGCGTCGGATTCAGTTTGAGCAATTCGTCGAGCGTCGATTCCTTTCCTTTGGTCTCTCCCTGCAACCAGAAAAGTACATAACAATATTTTTTAAGACGCGTAAAAATAAAATGCATGATTTTTGGTTTGGGACATACAAAATGCATGGCTTTGTGATGAGCCTTGGGAGACTGCCAAAAGATGCGTGCTTTTGAATTAAGCCTTTCTTTACTCACCTTCTCGTACCATTCGACCATAAATCGACCATTCGACTTGACTTCTGCTATGACGGCGCCGTGGATGCGACCGTCGCTCCGTTTAATCTCGACGTGCATTCCGACGGCGATCATTTTACCTGAATTCATCGACATTTCTGGTAATTAGAGCGGAAACTGAATAGATAGCAAGTGTTGGAAGACATTAGTCAGAAGATGTTATGAAATGGCGACACTGCGAGGGCTGCTTGAAAATTGGCGAGAAAATTGTGTTCGAAGCGGAGAGAGGGAAGCGGAACGAGAGGGTGCGGGGAGCGGAGAGACGCAGACGGACGGCCGCTCGGTGGACGGAGAAAGGGTCTGGACACACAAAGTCGCTTCGGAATATGGACGGGATCAGCCGATTGTTCGACCCAACTCTCCGCTTTTTCACTAATTAGTATATGCGCAGAGACTGTTCGCATATTAAGAGCGATAGAAAAGAAAGAAAGAGAAAAAAAGAAATGAGCGAGCGAACGAAAATGCTTTTGGCGCCAACACGCCTTTCAAACAGAAGGCCGCGGCATACGGTTTCCGAATTCTTTGCGAGACCATACCTCGGTCGAGGTCTGAGAAAGGAAACGTGGATTCTGAGCACCAGAGTTGAGCGGAAATGGAATTTTGAAATACGGAAGACGGCAGACGGCAGACGGAAGAAAATTTTTCTTACGGAACACGGAAAACGGAAGACGGAAGAAAATTTTTCTCACGGAAGACGGCAGACGGAAGACGGAAGAAAACTTTTTTCCCGGAAGACGGCAGACGGAATACGGAACAAAAAAAACCACGGAAGACGGAAGACGGAAGACGGCAGACGGAATTCCGCTCAACACTGCTGAGCACGTGTTTGGAAAAAAAATAGTATTTATTTAAGTTGCTTAGTGGAATTCAGGGTGAAAACATTTAAACATGTAAGCAGCAGCACATTAATAAGTATTTAAATTGAATGCATAACAAAATAAAAACTAAAACCTTAAATTCGGGAGTTCATCCGATGTGTTGATTGAACAGGTTAATGGTCCCTCTAGATTAAAAATTATTTATTGAACAATTGACACTGCTATTTTGGTACAGAGACAGTGGAACATGAAATCGAAAGAGATGGACTAGCAGATTGGGAATGAACCAATAAAATGTAGGGAGCTGTTCGAAAGGGCTCGTGTTTCGCAATCTAGAATAGCCACGGACGGACGGACGGACGGAGAGGGCCATAAGAGACGACGACAGACACAGAAGAAAGAAAGAGGGTCTTCTGAATAGGGCACGGCGACAGCAGTTATGAGCTCGTTTTTGTTGGTGCAAGGGACAAGACAAAGAAGAAAAGGATTATGATAGGGCAGGGGACCGCGCAAATTGTGGGTGAGAAACGGAAAGAAGGAGAAGGAAGGAAAAGAGTGATAGGAACTGGTAGGAACAACGAAACGATGAACGGAGAGACTGTTTCAGAGGTTGGAAATGAAGTTGGTGGAGAAGAAGTGAATCACCCAGGGAACAATAGAACAAGGCCGTCCATCCAATGAATACGTACGCGTACAGTTCAAATCAAGACGAAAGTAGCACTTCGTTAACTTTGCAGCACTTTCGAATCGTTTTCCGATTTTCCCTTCATTGACATCACCCTTCCTCGGTGGTCTATTCACACCTTGCGACAGTTCAAAGAAGACAATGACGTGGATCTCTTATCATTTTCCGTCTTACGAATTGTCGCGACCAGAGTTTCGTTCTCTGGAACACGACCAGTGTCGACAGTTTCCCCCATTTTCAGCCGCCTCCCGTTAATTCCCATTGCATAATCGGATTGACGGTCGATTTCGGGGCAGTTACGGCCTCGAAACTGGTGCTTTTACTTTCGCCGCCCCGATGTCCACGTCTCGCCCCTCGTTTTTTTGTCCCTTCCTTATCATTTCGGAGCTCTCCTCCTCCCTCGTTCTTTTATTGCCCACATATTTTTTAGTTCCCGCCACTCCATTTGCCTTCTTCCTTTTTCCTCGTTTTAGAAACGCGAATGATAGTTTTCTGCTCGTTCCGTTCGACAGTGTTTACGGGTAAAACGGAAAATGGGTGGGGCTTTCCGAAAACGACGAAAAAGCATATACAATTTTCATTTAACAAACAATATCTCTGCTTTGTCCCACGACGAATAGTATTCCCCTCACATTTCTCACTTCGAACATGATCAGGAAGGACTCAGGAAACAGATAAACGAATGGGAGGCAATCTGTAAAAAAACGTCCCCTCTTCCTACAGTCCCTCTCACAGTTGCTCCGATTGGCTGCGATCAGTCTTCTCAGCAAATGGGGCTCCGGATCCTTTGTTCTTTTTGTTTTGCTCCGTCGATCGCCGCCTGTGGTCCCCTCTCTTCCCTCTTGTTTTCCCCTCACTCGTTCTTGTCGCTTTTATCGTTTTGAACACATTTTTTGGGCAGCAGCCGATCATTCAATTATTGATAAACGCGGGCCGTGGCTGCTATCTGTCCGTTTCTTTTCTTATTTCTCCTCCGTTTTCATTTATTTTGATGGATGAGTCGTCCCCGAACGCGCATTCCACCCCCTCGGATTCTCCATCCGAATCCGAAGAGTACAGCTGTCATTCCGCTTCTCTTTTCTTATCATATCTTTGTCATCGGGCTTCTCCCGTGCTCTCGGAAGAAAAGATAATTATTGTGTTTATTTATCGGTAAAAACTTAGATGGAGTCTCGTTTCATTCCCACCGATTCTTTTTTCACCTCGCGGTGGCAGCTGTTTTGATAAGCAAGAAGATGAGAATGAGAGAGAGAGAGAGAGAAGGCTCAAAGCCAAGTTCATTCCGACTGCCACGTCATATCAGCGTGACAGCACTACATCTCTTGCTAATCTCTTGAGCCACACTTCTGATTGGTTTCTCTACCGATCATGAGAAATGCAGTTTCTTTGAACCAATCTATATCGCCGTTTGCCCCTTTATCATCGTTATCATTTCTAAAAGTCGAACGAAAGAATACTCGGTTCTGACAGTCTCCTTTCCGCCTTCTGTCTTTATCTTTTTCGATTCTGTCCGAATTTCGACCGAGAAAGATCAGAAAGACGGACTTCTCTCGTGATTTGCCTCTTGCAGTGTAATCTTTTTCTGTTGCCCATCCGTCTTTTTCATCCCGACACTGCAATCAATTTATCAAAAATTTTCACACAGTTTTGTGGGCACTGAACACTCCAACGGATATAATCCTCTTCTCTTTCCAGGATGTGGTTCGATATCAATCGATTCCACCTTCTCGTCCTCTTCACTTGGCAGTTCTCCATATTCTTCGCGTCCCAACAGATATTCCCTATCTTCTCGAACTATGTTCCCCAATGGAAATGCGGTAAGTTCTTCCGCTCTGCGCGCGCTCCCACACGTTCTCTGTGTTATAGGCAATGGAGAACCGACGTCGGACTGTGAAGTGTACGAATCCTGCAAAGCGAATCTGACGTTCGTAAACGTGGCATTCAAGTCGGCCGCCATGGAATACAACTGGATTTGCGGAAAGTCCGCTTACCTCAAGTCACTTTTCTCACAGATTCAGTTCGCCGGAGTTTTGTGCGGTACATTCTCTTTCGGAGCAGTTTCCGATTTAGTCGGAAGGAAACCAGTGGCAGTGTTCGCCCTATCCCTTGGTATTCTCATGAACTTTGTCACAGGTAGTCTAGGGGTTACGGTACGCAATTCGTCGTTTCCCATTCAGGTCTCGCTCCGAACTATCAAGTCCTTCTGGGCATCCGTTTCTTCCTCGGTCTCTCCGTCGGAGGAACTCTCGTTGTCGTGTGCACATTCGTCATGGAAATGCTCCTTCCGAAACAGAGAATGGCTCTGCGCGCATTTTTCAATTGGGTCAGTTCGTTTCCCTTTCACTCAACGTCTTCTGCTTTTCAGGGAGTCGCCCGTCTCATCATGACACTCATCGCAATGGCTCTTCCCGAATGGAGAATATCTTCGATCGCCTGTGCAATCGCCGCTCTTCCCGCCCTCATTATCATCGTTTTCGTGTTCCCCGAGTCTCCCACATGGCTTCACAACAAACAGAGATTGGAGCAAATGAAAAGAAGTGAGAAACACATTGCGAAGGTAGCTGGAGTACCGTACATCCCAGTTGAGCATCAGAAGATCGAGCATTCTAAAGTGAGCTGCTTCTCCGTCGTTCTTGCTCAGTTTCCTCTTACAGACAATGTGTGAGATGCTGCAAACGAAGGGCCTGATGCGCCGTCTGTTCGTCCTCTGGTCCATGTGGTTCGTGGCCTCCATCTGCGGATATGCGACCGATCTCAATTCGAACACAATCTCGGGAGACCTCTTTGTCAACCAGATTCTTTTCTCCATCCTCATCGCCGTTTCCAAGATGATTCTCGTCATTTTCGACACGCACGTCCCGTCGTTCCGTCGGCGAACTCTCCACCAGGGGGCTCAACTCGTCGTCTGCATTTGCTTCCTCATTCTCACTTTCATGACGTTCTATGGATACACTGTGAGCTCCGAGGCGGGTTTGAAACATTGTCATTCTTTCCAGGGAATTGCCTTTTTGATCGTCAACTTGATCGGAACCGTCTTCATCGAGTACACGTGGGATGCGTGTTATCTGTGCGCCGTCGAGAGTATGGAGACTGCGTGCCGTGCATCTGCCACCGGAACGTGCTCGCTCGTCGCGAGGGTCGGCGCGATCCTTGCTCCGATGGTAACCGGCTTCTCACCCATTCCCTTTTTCATTGTTTCTTTGTCCAGTTGAACTACGCAAACCTTTGGTGGCCGCCATCGGTGTACCTGACGGTCGTCCTGCTCGGAACCATCAACCTAATAGTCTCCTACTTCTTCTTGGTAACCTCTCTCTCCTTCTCTCTCTCTCACTCCTTCTGTCCAACTCCATTCGTCTCAGGTCGAAACGAAGAACGTGAACCTGGACGCAGTGCACATCGATCCGTCTTCAGAGGAAGGAACTCCGATGATCGACGAGAAACCGCTCCAGAAATCCGACAAATAGTGCTTTCAATGTACAAATTTCCCTTTTTCTTCCATTTATTTTTGTTGCAATCTTTTCTAATAAAATTGAAATTCTAACGTGACACTTTCTGATTTCATTAGTTTTTCTTGTACTATAAGGTCAGAATGTCTGTTTTCCAGAGTATTCTGCGAAATTTCCGAAGGAATGGAGTTCATCAATGTCAAGGGCGCCGTGAGTATCGATGATAGGTGGCGCCAACGAAAAGGAACATTCAGGAAAGAATCCTCGAATTACCTGATGGAATGGAAGTCCTGAATCACGAAGAAACTGGTAAGAAATGGAATGCTCGACGATTTATTGGAAAGTTCTCAAATATCAGTGCTTCTTCTCCGGCTTGGCGGCCCCGATGATGACGACTTCTCCGCTGGAGTATCCTCCATTTCCGTGCTTGCATGGAGTACCCATTCCGGAGACGGAAGCAACGGCGATGGCGACGGAAGAGAGGATGGCGAAGACGTTCATGCTGGAAGAGAGCGTTGCTCGTCTGATTGTGTGAAACTCACTCACTTGACAGTAGAGATGGTCACAAGTGGCTGACTGCTTGTTCCGATTCTTTCTCTCTCTTCCCTTTTATACACTCAGTTTCCGGCCGAAGCCTCCTCCGTTCCTCCATCTTTGTGGTAATAACGCACATTTCTCCGATCACCGAAACAGAGTTCCGATCCGAAAGTTTTCGAACTAAGCACTAAAAATGTTACAAGAAACTCTACCGGAAACATCGAGAACTTTGGTTCGGTGATCGAGTTGTGTGTGATGAAACAAATTGGTATAAAAGGGAGGAGAAAGATGGAATGGGCACAAGCAGTAGCAGAAGCCACTTGTGATCATTCAAGTGAGTTTCACACAATCCCACGAGCAACGCTCTCTTCCAGCATGAACGTCTTCGCCATCCTCTCTTCCGTCGCCATCGCCGTTGCTTCCGTCTCCGGAATGGGTACTCCATGCAAGCACGGAAATGGAGGATACTCCAGCGGAGAAGTCGTCATCATCGGGGCCGCCAAGCCGGAGAAGAAGCATTGATATTTGAGAACTTCCCAATAAATCATTGAGCATTCGATCTAATATTGTTCTCTTTCGCATCTTGCACATTTCTTTAGCGTTCACCAACCACTACACCGACGGAAAATCGTTCGACGACCTGGAAGAACGGAAGGTTGACGAAAATTCTGAGCCAGGGATTCACTTTGCGATCGACTTTAAAGTCCACAAAGACGGAGTGAATATGCTGAAGAAAGTCGGCAATCAGATCCAGTCGAATTCTTACATTCTACAACACAATCTGATCATGTACTCCTATTCCTATGCTCTTAGCGTCGTGGGCAAAGACGCGAACGAAGGTAATATACGTCAACACTTCTGAAAAATTTGTTTCTCTAGGGTTTTTGTGTCAGTTTCGTCTGGTTCCAATCAGTTACACATACCGTCATCCGGTCGGGACCATTGCGGGAGGTGTTCCGAACATCTACAAACCGAATGCTCCGGAGCTATCGAACGCAAAGCTGGATCTTGGAGTTGGTGACCCATTCGATCTTGTCAAATGCAAGGACGGTACTTATTTGTGTGAGACTGCTATCCACTGCAGTTCTCTCGTCCATATGGCTCAAGTTTGAATGCAAAATCGGCCCTACACAACCAGCGAGTGATTTGCAGAACGGAATCGCCACTTTGAGAGTGGAAATGACCATTGACAGCGGCTATTTCGATATCGGAGAGTACGTCGACCTCAACTTGAGACAGGCCCACGTGGCTCCCAACTCGCACGAGATTCTCGGGAAGATGTTGCTCGGGGAAGTGGTGCCGAAGAGTGACTGGGTGATCACCGTGGGGGACGGATCGCCGCGAGACTTCCACGTGCACGGAGCTGTCCTTACCGATTCCTGTTTGACATTGAGAGTGGGTTTCAGAAGGGGAAGGATTCGTTCGAGTCATCAGACGGCTTCAGGCAGCCCTTTCGAACCACATGAGCATCGCAAACATTGTCGCCATGGTGTCTCACGAGAATCGCTTCATTCTTGGCTCTCTGAAATCGAAGGACATGAAAGTGGTGAGGGAAATGATTGGATGGATTTGGTAACATTTCCCAGTTCAGCTGCTCTCCTACATCTATCAGCGTCGTTACGTTCTTCCCGAATACGACTCTGTCAACCGCATCGGACCCGTTCTGACCCTCTTCTTCCGAGAGGAAATGCCTCTTTTCTTCAAAAGTTGGGAAGTGGAGCTAATCAAAAAAGTTCAGCAACTGGATGTGAGAATGAATGCTTTGACAACTAGCGAGATTTTGACTTTTTCAGCGTTCAAAGACTGGCGTGACTGTGATTGAATGCATCAAAGCGTTGATCATCGTGCACACTTCCCCGAAAGGCGCTCTTCTCGCCGCTTACAACGCTGCTCTGATCGTGGCCGCCGATGCTTTGCAGATGGCCGAGGCGAAGGGAAAGAAGGTGAAAGTGGAGAAGGTGAAGAAAGCGATCGGAAAGGAATGGCAACTGATTGATGACGTGTTCGAGTTGTGAGTTGATAGAGGAACGAACAGAGCGGAATGCAACATTTCAGAATCGGTGACTTGAAATATTCGATTTGCGGAGTTGAGAAATCGAAATTCGTGGACTAGAAGAGGAACGAAGAGCACACCACACCGACGATTTCATGGATATCAATGTTTTTAAAAGTTTATTTTAATAAATAAAAGATTGCGGACGAAGCGAATACCAGTGTGAAAGTGAAAGTGAAAAAGAGTGGGAAAACATCGCGAAAGACGTCAAAATACAGAAAAATGGCAAATACTAGAAAGTGAAATTACGCGAATGGAGTCACCAAGGGAGTCTAGAAAGCACATCAGAAAGAGGATACAATTCAAGAGGAAATGGGAGAGAAACGGAGCACCCGAACAGAGAAAGGAACGGAAAAGGAGGATGGAAGGGAACCGAGGGCTCAGGAGGGATAGTAGAGTTCCGGAGTGTTCCGGGACTCACCGCTGTCCCTTCGTTGCGCCGTCGTCATGTTCGGTGGGTATTTGAGTTTAGCACGCATCGGAATGATGCCTGTCGTGTTGGCTGCCACCGCCGGACCCACTCCGAACGTGCTGAGTCCGGATGGATCATGTTCTTCGTATTCGGGAGGCCCCGAACTTCCCGACAGCTCCCGTTTCGGACTTCCAGTTATGGAGGGCGGAGCGCCGAGAGGACGAGACGAAACAACTTGGGTTCGATTGAATTCGAGTGTGGAGAGGGAGTATTCGACACTCGGGGGCGGCATTGTGTAAAGATCGGGGTTGCTGAGAAACTGTATCGATGCTGTACGGGCGGGGTTGTTGTACTGAGCTTGTAGCTTTTGTTCGACAGCCTGGAACACTCTGGATATCAGATCAGGTTAGAGAAGAAAGACTCACGTCAATGTGTTCTTTCGTTGCCTTCGAAGATTCTCCACAGTAGAACATGGATAGCAAGACGGGCAAAATGACAAGACCATGAAGTGCTCCGAGCAAAATTACGAGAATGATGGTCTTGAGGAAACTTCGGAAGACGTACGACTCAGCAGAAGCCATGAAAGAAACCCCGAGGATCGTGGAAGAAGCAGACATCAGGATAGGGGCGCCGACTGCGTACAGAGCATTTCTCATCCTCTCCGCCGCCTCAATGTTTTCTCCCTTTGCAAAGTTATAGGCTAAATGTGCAGCAAAGTCGACGCAGAATCCAATAGACATGACGATGGTGACCATGGAAATGAAGTCGAGACGGACGGACCAGAATGTCATGAAGCCAAGGATTCCCACGTTGATTGAGACGATGGAGAAAGACACCTGAAGAGATTACGATGAATGGAATCTTAAAAGCGGAAGTACTGACCCACAAACTGGCAACTGGCTCCGGAATCAGAATGAGGGAGACGGCGACAACGGCGGCTCCTGCGTAAGCAATTGAGGAGAGAGTGCCGGGAAGAACGGCGTTATACTGCTCGGCGAACTAAGAAATTAAATTTTTGATCTATCGGATATCAGCAAGGTCCTACCTGGAAGAAATCTGCATAAACGCCGGTCTGCAACTCGCTCGTCTCGGCCAGTCTGCGGAACAATCTCATTGCTCTTGACTGATTCGCCGATCCGACGTGCCGCAGTTGGACGGGAATGCGAGACGCCTCCAGGTGTTCTCCGTCATTACTCAGCACGACGTCTCTGTTGTACTTGGCAAACTGGGGTTGCGATAGAAAAACGTTCTTTAGAATGTAGACAAAGTTTTCCGGGGTGATCAGAAGGCCGGCTTGCTTCACAAAAGCAAGAAACGTGCGGAGCCAGGAGTCACTTCCGGCCGTGAACTCGGTGTGTTCGTACAGCTCGATCTCCTTCTCCAGAACATTCCACATCTTTCTCGGCGCCACGTTCACTTCAGACAGGTTGTACATCCAAACATGGAGAGAGCTTCCGTAGTCTGAAGTCGCTACTTTTTAACCAGAACTACTTACCTGAGAAATACTTCTCAATACTCACCTGAGAATACTCACCTGAAAAATACTTCTCGGCCATCATCAGCGTCCGTTTTCCGTACGAGTTCTCAGGAAGCAGGTCATTCGGCTCAAGGCCCAATTTCACTTTTGTACATCCGTAAGAGGCGATTCCCTGAAATAATCGGATGAGATCACTGGGAGAAGGAAAGTGAAACTTACTAAATACGCAAGGAAAGATGTCAGGATGAAAACGCGGACAAGAGGATTCAGGAGGAAATCCGAGTAAGTCGTGCGGAAGAACCTCGCCAACATGCTGTTCTTCTCGAAGCTTCTGTCTCCTTGGACGGCCATCTTTTCCGGAAGACTCTCATTTTCTCTTTTCAGTTTATGGAAAGTGATGCAGTGCCGATTGTCCATCTCTCTTCGACACGTGTAAACCATGACGGCTGCGAAGAACGTCAATTGATAGACGTAGGTGAAAATGACGGCGGCGACGGCGTACGCACAGAACATCTGGACACTCGGGAATGGAGTTGCACAGCCGACTCCGAAGGAAATGAGGTCGGTGAGGGAGGTGACAGTGATGCTGACGGCAGCATCTGCTGGTGGAATGAGGGGTTGGAAAAAGAGATGCCGTCGGAATACCTGCGAACGTCTCCTCCATTCTGTGTTCGAGGGTCTCTGTCGAAGGCGTTGATCTCCATGCCGATAGAAGAATGAAGACGTTATCGACGCCCACAGCTGAAATAAATAAATTCGCTCTTTTGATCTTTCTGCAATCTTCCCCTCTGCTTCCACCAGTTTCGGACAAAAACCGGAAGACTGACCGTGTTTTGACCCTTCCCCGCGCGAATCCAGGAATTTCACACAAAGTTCAAAATGTGTAAACACATTGGCAAATAGTGTGCTCCCAAACCATGCGTCGATTCTCTCCAAGGCATCAAAATATTTGCGAACGGGATTGACTCACTCGCTGACACATACACACACACACACACACGTCCATTTGAATACACTTACAGAATACAATGAACGGCATCGAGTAGGCGACGCTCGTCATACCGTAACCGGCCAGCAGCAGCACTCCAACCGCCGACGAAATTGCCATGGCCGCGGAAAAGACACCCCCGATGGCGAGCCTGAACGAAATCGGAATAATGATCGAAGATCGAGAGGGTGAAGGTCACCAGGGACGCGAACGACGCCAGGAAAGCACACAACAGCAGGCGATTGTGTAGATGGAGACGCAGACGAAGCAGGGGAGAAGCATACTGGAAAGAGACGGATTGGGAAGGATAGCGAGGACAAGGAGTACTTGATGAGCTGGAGACGATCACGGGCTGACTCAGCGGCCAAGGTTTCATAGGTCCACCAACTGGCACGGATGATGGGAGAATCGTACTGTAAAGGGAAGATATTTGGATGGAAAAACAGGGGAGACGGATGGGACGCACCTGGAGAAGGAAGTCGGCCAGACGGACCTCCCACTTCTCGGCCACCCAGTCTTCGTCGTCCGAAGAGTGACGGAGAGCATAAGGGAGCAGCATCGCCTTCGCCCCAGCTATTCTTTTGTCGTCGTCCAAAGTGACGCCTCCCAGCAGATGAGTCATTCCTCCGCTGTCAAACTGAATCGCATCGGAGATTTGGGAGAGAGTCATTTCGTCAATCGACCTGAAACATTTCCATTTCTTCTATTTCCTCCCTGTTTCGGCGCTTACCTGTTCAGAAAGGACCGATCAGAGACGAGAAGAAGTTTGAATATCTCGACGAGTGGGTTCGAAACGCATATCTCCTCCGGCCTGGAAAGATCCCTGTTCACTTCTCATCCCATTCTTCCCCTTCTTTTCCGAATTCGCGATTAAATGAACAAACAGACGATGGGAGATCTATTATTTTTTGACACTTTTGATGGGTCACTCGAAGCGCCTCCGATCTGTTTGTCGCTGACGTAATATGCATCCGAACGGACGGTTCGGAGGACACGAACTTGTATTGTTTCTCGTCAAATAAGTGCGGATTAGGAGGAGGTGACAAGTTGGGTGGCTATTGATACTTGCGCGCGAAAGTGAAGACACTTTTGTACTTTGGGATGACTGGGAAGTTCGCATGTTTGCACTTCCTCACAAAAGTGACCACACACTTGTTTTTGTAAGGAAAAAGATGCACAAAACAAACGGATCGATTGCAATTTTCCAGCGGTTTCGCGCATTCTTTAGTTGGGTAAGACTACAAAAAGCGCACTTTGAAAGGTCAAAATCAGTGTCAAATCGGGCATAAAGCACACTAATTCGAACTCTGAACGCGTGTTCTCGAGAGCACTTGGCCGCTTGAAGATCTTGTTGTGCCAACATGAAGCCGATGTTTAATCTTCTGACCTACTGTGACCATCTTAACAGAAGCCGCGCCGCTTCCGCTCGCTCCTCAAATATTTTGGCCCCCAGCCACTCGGCTCATCTCGAAGGTGATAAGTGAGTGTCAACAGAATAAGGAAGCGCATCGATACGCAACGTTGCAAACTCTTCCAGTAGCGTGTCGCTACTACCGTAATCCGTCGGCACGGGCCGCCCGGAGCCTATTCTATTCTACTCTGCATCAGGAGGGCCAGCTTATTCTGTTTGCGCGGCGCATTATTTTGTTGCGGTACAAGACCGAAAAAGGCGTACTCGCAGGAGCCACCCGTGTATTGATCCTCCCTCGCGGGCACACTTACGTGGTCATGTTGGGTGCGAACAGCGAGTGTAGAGCCTTGCTGAACTCGGGCGGGATCGGGAACTTCACACAGATTGACGGGTAATTTATGCGACGGTCGTCTTCGTCTTCCACTGTCAGCGACTGGAATATTCAATCACCCTTCATAATTGTCTACTTGTCATATTATTGGCTTTTCAGAAAAGAAACAAAACTATGAATTGACCAACCTGTACGATGCTCCAGAGTTGCATGGCTGCGTGCATGACCAGTGGGTTCAGAATATCTCCGTCCTCTTCCCGATTAGTAACAATGATATAACCGGCTCTTCGAATGTCATACCTAAAATATCTTCTGTCATTTCTCAAAATCTTCCCTCTTTTCCTCACCTTCTTGTCGCGTAGAACGGATCGGAATCGTTGATATGGAATAGTGTGTCGAGTTGATCGAGCTCCTTCCTTGCCTGAGCATCAGTCGGAGTGTATAGTTCGAGCTCATCCTTCATGAACGCCTGCTCGTGCCGCACGAGTCCGGTCGACAGGATTGTGGTCACAATTATGGGAATAATGAAAAATGGGAGCGGGCAGCGGACGACGACGCCTGAGTAGGCGCCGAATGCGTGCGCGAACCGCCGTTCAATGCAATCGAATCTCATTTTTCTAATATCGACGATTTGTTCTCGGCATCGTACGAGGGCTGCAAAAGGAAGGGACGGAGTGAGGGCGGAAGGATGGCACTGATGTGTGCAACATTCGGATTACGAGCAGCAGAAGCTGTTTACAAAACAATACGCTTAGATTAAAAAAGGAGGAATGAGCAGGGAACGAGCATGCTCTCGACCTGCGGGAGCCTCTTGTGGGCGCGCGAAAAATGTTTGGAAACAACGCCGATACAAAAGGTTGTTTGGCAGCTCAAAGAGCCGCGCGGAGGAAGTCTCCGCGACGCAACGAGACCGAGAAAGAGAGAGAGAGAGAGAGAGGGAGGAACACGCCCACTTTTATATTTGGAAACTGAGAAACTCATTCGGAATATTCGGATGGATGTGGAATGATGGCACGGTCGGATAGAAATGGACACGATTATGAGAGTAGCCGATCGGACAGGTTATGTAATAGACGGGCGGCCGGCCGGTTGGAAGCGGCAATTAACGGGTCGGGACTGTGGGGAAAAACTGGGAACGAAGTACTTTGAGAAGGTTGAACATCAAGAAGATGAATACATGTACATTCAAAACTTTGTATATCGGCTGCCGGTGGAGATAAATATCAAAAAGTTGTCAACTAATAAATTGTTTACTAAGAAATTTCGTACATTTTATCAGTTAACCACTTTCTGATATCTCTACAGGCAGCTGAGATAAATCGTCCTGAAAGATTGGCGACGTGTCAATTTTTTCAGTCATTTTCACCGTATTCCCCATTTTTCCACGTTACTCTCGTGCTCTTTGCTCTCTTTTTCTGGCCCGTAAAGATCAGGTCAGACGGAGAGTAATTCGATCCGTCGGAAAGTTCCAATTGGTCTCCAAAAAAACTGTTTCTCGAGTGGCCAAGTTTGAACCTGTGCGAGTGTGCAACAAAAGAAAGAAAGAAAGAAACACAAAATGAGCACGGCGTCCGTCGAACAGAAACAGTATCGTTTTCACTCGGAGCAGCAGGGGCTCATAAGGAATCGGGAGGGCTCGAAGCGAATTGGAAATGCGAAATGCTCGCCGAGTTTTGAAGAGGTTTTTCCACCGAAAAGTGAGCGTGAACCGAGCACTCGAGAAGAGGAAATACAAAAAATTGGAGAGATACGAAGGATTGGTCACTCTGTCGAAATATAAATAAACAAGAGAGAAATGAGCCCGCCCATGCGGGAGCTCAGCGAGCCCGGCCGCCGATTCGAAGGAGCCGAAGGGTCCGGGTCCCTCTCGGCCAGACGTCTTTTGCTCCGAAAGGTCACTCCGGAGAAGGAACGAGACACGGTTTTGTGCATCTCCCGGCTGGGGGAGCTCACCCCGGTTGTCAATGTGCTCGCCCTTGTTTGCACTTCGATTTGACACACACCAAAACATCATTTTCGCTCGTTCGTCGGTTCGCTGGATGGGAGAAGCAGCAGCAGCTCGAACCGTTTGTTCTCAGATGAGAGATAGTGAATAATTTATGGTTTACATGTGAATATCGTCATTTAAGCGCGCACATAACGGGCTCTGAATGGTAAAAGAAGAAGGGGGAATGAGTGAATGTACCGACAAAAACCGGATAGCAAAAACGAGTCTGTCTCCGGGTAAAGCGGAAATCAAGAGATTGGGGGACAAAAACAAATGAAATAAACAGACGCTCTCAGGTTTTTGAGACAATCAGACATACAAGAAATAAATAAAAGAGTGAATGTGGGGGAAAAAGATATTCAACAGATGAAACACGGATTACATGAGAATATAATGATTATGCAAGACTCTGAGTGACAGCTAAGGGTGATGAGATTGCTTATATTTAGTCAGAGTCCGAATCGGATCGTTGCTCGTCATCCGATTGATTATCCATGTCTTCGTCTTCCTCGTCAGAAGACGGAGTGGCTTGACGACGACGTCTGCGAGGAGCCCGTTGAACTGAAGATGCCGGAGATCCTCCTCTCGGTGCTGCTTTTCTTCCGCGTCCACCTCTCTGAATCAAAATTGACTATTATTGTTTACATTCGAATTTTGAAAAGAACGGATGATGCTCAGATGTTTTTATTGCAGAAGAACATGATTAGCCAAAATATGGTCCTCCCGAGTATCCCTTCTTCATTATTCCGTCTTTGTTCTCAATGATGACACTGGGTGCGGAATGGAAGGTTAAAAGCAGAAATAGGAGAGAGGTGACGAGACTTTGCATTTCGGTTTGCAACGAATGCGAAGGGTAAACCCGCTACAGCAATCAAAAGTTTATGATCCCCCTTTTATTTCCCGAATCCCTCACAGAAAAAAAAACTAACTTTTGTGGTGGAGGGCACAGCGGCCATGTCATTCTTCGTGAGTCCTTCCTCTTGGATCTTATCGATGCTGGCGATGAGCTCGTTGCACTGGCTCTTGAAATCTTCGTTCTTCGATGAACTCTCCAGATGCTCCAGCATCTGACGGTACTCTCTGGCGACCGATGGGTGACACAGGAACTTGCTCCAGTGACGCCAGTTGTCTTGAAGCTGAAAATCATTCGGCTATAAAGTTGCACTACCTCGCCTTCTTTACCTTATGAATTCCTCCGTCGTTCTGTGCAAACTTTCCGAGGGCAACGAGTAGATATTTGGGAGCTTCCGTGTCGTTCATACTGAAAATGAAATATTTGTTGGTTGTATTGGACGGAAGGAGAAACTCACTCGATTCCCGAGAATTTGAGGCAGACTCGGTCAATCATAGATTCGGTGTTCGTCTTCGTTTTTTCTTTGAGCAATTGGATGAGGAACCTGAAGAACCGTTGTTTTTTTTTCACTCAAACAATTTTCACTTACTCGAAGACCACTTTGTACGACTTGAAGGGCATTCGTTCTCCAGTGCACGAGAGACGATACAAGAATTCGGGGAGCAGTTGAATGATTGTGTCACTGCGAGAGTTGAGCTCTCTGAAGAACGACTGGGCAGCTTCTTTGACAGCCCTCGTGTTGTCGCAAATGCAACGAGCGGGCTCCGAGAGCACTCCGCGCGTCTGGATCATGTCGTTGCTCATCAGATGCGACAGGACAAGGATGGCAGATTCCCGAGCAGCAGCGGATTCGTCTTGAGACCTGGAAGAGACTGATTTCACAGATGAACTTGACAAGGAACGAACATTCTGAAAAGGGACGGGGCGTAGAGTTCGAAGAGAGTCGGCTGGGAGAATGCGAAGTCACAACAGGCGGCGATCAGATTGCAGCGGACCAAATCCGATGGAGAACTGACCATGACGGTGAAGAATGAAGGAGCAGCGAATGAAGAGATTTCCGCACTGAAAATAGATGCATTTGGAAAAGAAAGGGATCAAGTGATACCTCAATGGCATGAATTTTCCGTAGGCAACCATTGCGGCCTGTTTGATCCGAGTGGGCATGGTCTTGCAACGCATAAAGTACACAACAATCGGAAGGAGTCTTCCGAGAAGTTTGTTTGGCAGAAACAGCCTCTTGTCGCACATCAACGAAACGAGATGATGTAGTTCGTTGGCAGCAGTGCCTGGCGCAGTGTCTCTCGGCACCGAGAAGATTGTCTTTTTTTGTGCGATCGACTTCTCCAGGTCGGTGAGCAGACGGACCGGCTCTTCGCGAATATCCCTGTCGTCCTTCTCTGCCTCCAACATCTTGTTCACGTATCGGCTGTGCAGCTTCGGCAGGGTCACTTGGATGTAAGCGTGCACCTGAACGGCCACTTCTCCGCAGAACGCTATCAACTTTTCCATTACACGACACCAAGTGAGAGCCCAGTAATCGCGACGACGGGCCGCATTCTCAGCTCTGAACGCATCCGTCTCATCCTCAGCTTGCTTGGCATGGAACATGTAGAACTCGGAAACCTTCTTGGCACGATGCATAAAGTGAGCAGCGAGCTTCGGAAGCATTACGTTCACGTCCATTGACACGTTGAGAATGGTTGTGATCGTCAGACGGATGATTCCGAACCAGTCACGTTTCGGATCATCATTCACCTTCAAAACTTCGTGGAAGAAAAGCTTCTCAAGAGACTTGAACAAAGAGTCGTCCTGGTGAATTCTGAAGATCGGACGGTGGATTGCACTGAATTCCTTCTCCCTTTTCGTTGGAGTGTTGAGAATCGAAATGATTCGAAGGGCTTCGACGGCAATAACTGGTTCTTCCGATAACTTTTTCTGAAGAGAGCGGAGGCGAGTACGAGCCTCTGGGATTCCTTTCTCGGTTCGTGAGATAGGATAGAGAATACGGAGAGCGTCCACCTTTCTTTGAGTGGCTCTGTTCGAAGTATCTAGGGCGATTCCCCAAAGTCTCGTGATCACATTCGGTTCGATCGGCCGTCTCTTCTTGTTGCTTCTATCGTCTCCGTCCGAATCGCCTGCAGCCAAGAGATATATTACTTCCTCTACAGACGGACGGTCCTTTTCGGCTACTCCGCTCATCGCCTTCATCAAATTCTCGACTGTTGACTTGTCTCTTTCGGATGCCTTCTCATTCCCATCCAATCTACTGATAAACATTGACTCGGCGGCATCGATTAATTCGGTAATAACATCAGCTGCCGGCCTCCAAACTAATGAGCACATCGACCTGATCGCAGCATCCGCGCCGGTGATTTCGAAGAGTTTGCAGCGTGTCAGGAACTTGATTCCTTCCTTGATTTCTGCGGTTTCTCCCATCAAAACACATCTCAGAGCAAGGTCGATGAGATTCGAAATCTCCATTTCCATGCACATCTTGTTGATCAATTGCTGGAGTTGAGCGCGGTGTTGGAGCACCTGATGGTCCTGATCCTTTCTGGCTTGTTCCAATTCCACAGCTGATTCCATTCCAGACAAACTCTGTTGAACCTGAAGCAAAACCGTTTTCCTTAGTTTAAATTTTCAAAAACAGTACTTTATATTCAATGAAATCTGTTCCAGCTCGACGAATCAGCCAGTCCAGTATGTCATCGACGGCTCCACTCTCCGGTTCTTTTCTCGGATTAGATTTGTAAGCCGGTTCACGATTGCTGAAATATCAAATAATGGTCTGGTTGCAATTCGTTTCATTTACAATATAGAACCGTCAATTGCAGAGTAGTACGCGACAAGACGCGATCCGCCTCCGACCTCAGTCACGTTTTCCAGAGCATCGCCGATATTGCTGTAATTTAATTGATTCGCTTTATACCGCGCTTCATTCTTCTTACACGTCTCTATTCGCTTTGATTCCTCCTCTCAAAAAAAGAGCAATGTCTCGCATCAATGAAGTTTTGCAACGAGAAATTTTCACATTGAATGCTTCCTCGGCATCACTGATAGCCTTCATTCTCGGATTCTCGGCCAGTCTCAACTGTCTACTGAATTCAAACAATTTGATTAGATGATCTTGTCTGTTGAACTGTAAATGTATGAATTTATGTAGTTTCTCCGGAATTCCCCCTTACATCGTGACCATGTCTGTTGTTATCCAGGAACACTGTGAGGAACTGAATGGAAGCCTTGCGAACTTGTACCGATTTGTCATTCATCCGCCGACCGATAAACGTCAGCAGACCATTGCACATGAACTCATCGGGGATCCGACGGTTCTCCATCAGAAGGCGCAACAGTGAAACAGCCTTCGCGCGCACGTTCGTCGCCTCGTCGTTCGCGTGATTCACTATCTTTTCAAAAATAATGAGTCGCTTATGTTTTCGACCAGCAAACTGAGCACAGAGGGTTGGAGAAAGATACGGAGACGAGAACATATCAGCGAGTGCTTGAAGAGTAGCTATGCGGACGTTCGGATGAGGGTTATGGAGCAGTTCGCACACTCTGAGAACGTCTTGGAGCATGATATCGTGAGCATTCACAGCCAAAGACTGGATGAGCATGCAGTAGGCTTTCGGAGGCGGACGGTCGAGACGGTCTCCGCCGTAGAGTCCGCAAGCACGTCGAACAATCATTTCGAGTACGACACGTAGAGGTTCTGAAATAGAGCCGATAGACGAATCAAGTGAAGAGAGCTGCACTCACGGTATATTCTGGACTCGCCGCTCGCCGAATTCTCTTTCATCAGATGGACAAGGGGCTCGATGAACGGGAACGTGCTGGCCGCTTCGAGGTAATTCAACTCGAGAGTGTCGGTGAACATACAGTTGGCGACGTCTGAAAACAGGATTTAAACAGAGTTCAACTTCATAAATGTCACTCGTCGACAGTCCAAAGTCAGCAGCCAGAATCTTCCAGATTCTGAAGTAATGAGCGATCCACTGTTGATTGGCTCGTGTCATATTCTCTGGGTCTTCCAGAAGGCCAGTGACGGTGTCCAGAAATCGTCTGAATAAACATGAGTTTGTCTGAAAGGAAGAAAGAGGGATGTACTGTAAGAAATCGGGTTCCATTGGCTCCGGAGCGAACAAATACTGGATTGCCCTTCGTTTTGTACCGTTCACAGTATCGACACGAAGTTCAAGCAATTCGATCAAACAGTTGATCATCTGGAAAACAACTGGATTTTGAATGAACAACAAGTGTATTCACGTACTCGGTGTCTCTGCACTTCTCTCCATTTTATCAAATCTCCATCTGGATCTGCTTCGAGGGGACGGCCTTTTGCTGCTCGTTTTGCCTGGCTCTGTATCGCATTCTGTTTGGACACGTAGAGCTGCAGTTGGACGGTCATTCTGCCGATGAGGATGACGAACATGCAGGTGGCGTGCACTAATTCCACATCGAGAACATGATGTTCTTTGTCATTCAGATAACGAGAAATGTAAAATTCTAATTCGCGTTTGAGGTCTGCCCAGCCTGGAAAGAAAGTTTAGAAGTTAAAAAAGAAGCGGTGGCTTCGTACATGCAGTGAGATACTCGGCGAGTATGAATCGACGGTCCCAGTTCTCGTATGTTGAAGCTCTTCTGGAGAGAGAACTGAGCGCATCAAAATGAACCGGGATTCCCTTAAAATCGCCGGTGTCCGAAAACTTAGAAAAGGCAGCTATTTCCGCGTCGATTGTATCTGTCGGGAGATTTACATCCGTTTCGGCGATCATTTCAGCTATGAGTTTGAACGAACTGAAAGATTTCCGGTTTATATAAAATTTTGACGATTTTTGAAAGCTTTTAAAAGATGTCCAACCAATTTGTTTCCAGTTTTTCATTCTCACCTCATTGGGTTCGCTCCAGCCCCGTCTAACTGCATATCGTCGTCTTCATCGTCAGGAACCGGAGAAGCCGGTACTGGCGCCGCGTGAACAGGTGGACGATGTCTCGGCATCGTCAGTTCTGAAGAAGGTATTCCACATTTATAAGCGATAAAATTTTCATGAGCGAGAAAAAATAGCAGAGATCTTGGAGCGAGGAGAACGCAGTGCTGAACGGAAGAAATAATACAAAAAGACTATAAGAAATACCATGGTTATAGTCGCTTTTCTTTTATTATTGCATATTAAATGATTCGATAACAAATTTATCACCACTACAATTGTCCGGATCGAATTGAGATTCGAAAACGCGGATCTGCTTGTCACGGCCGCGAACCGCCGCCGGAAGATAACGACAATTGTGAAAAATGAGAAACTCGAGAGACATTCGCTCGCGGAATTTATCGGCGATCAATGCAATGCCACCAAAGCGCGCACCTCTGAAAATCAATGAGTTAGAGCGCGGAGAGAGGGGGAAGGTGAACTCACGGCTCTACTTTTTCGCGTAGAAACCCGCGGATGATCTCACTGTACATAATCCCTTCCTCGTCGTCGCTGCAAAAACGAAATGATACGAGACAGAGCGATTAAGACAATTAGAGCACATGCGGTCCCGTCATCTGCAACTGCTCATCTGATTTCAAGCAGTAATTGCTATGACTGCTTTCTGCTCTTTTATGACACCGAATCGGGTTTATCAATATTTCTCAATTTCCTAGAAACTCACAGTACTCGGGACGCAATTCCTCTGCAGAAATCTGCCTTCACGAGGGACTCGCCATGTCCGGTCGAACAAATCGAGATGGTTCTTTCGCTGATCTCGTCGAACGGCTCTTCGTACTGTCTTTTCTCCGACCACGTTCCACTGCCGTACACACAACTGTGACCCAATCGACCGGAATGTTTCAAGACGATTCCACCACTCGAAGTTCCAGATTCGGCTTCCATATTCTGAAAAGTTCTCTGCTCACATCTCCAGACCTGCATTTCACTCACATTCGTATTGATAGAGATGGCTCCGACAGTATCATGTGTATCGTAGGGGTGTAGCATCCGGTGCAAGTACTTTTCGTAACTTTCCTTCGCCGAACCGGAAACCAGCTCCTCGGGACTGCACGTTGGAAAATCTCGAAGAAACAAAGTGAGTTCTCCTATTTTTCGTTATTTCCGCTTACCATTTTTAACAGCATATTTCTCTGCTCCACGGCCCACGAGGATCAACGGATGTAGCAAACGACGCCTTTTCCACCAGTTGCTGTGAGCCAGATGACGAGCCACTCGGGAAGGATGGAAGACGTTAGCAATCGCGCCGACCGCTCCAAAACTGAACAAAAACTGACAGTTACAATGTTCATCTTCTCATGACAACTTCATATTTTTGGATGTCATGTAGGAGGCCTCGCATTCAACTTCTTGGTCGATTGTCAAATGAGAGCCAAAGCCACAATTGAACTTTTCAATTCTTTCCAAATCCTGGAAAGAGAATAGTAAATACAATTCTGATTCGTTGCTGAATCACCGTCAACGCGTTCTCAACAGTTCCTGTTCCGCAGGCATAGCGACAATCTTCAGCCAAACTCGGATCAAACTTGGCACATGCACCTCCATGAACCGCAATCAAATCCACCACTTCGTCCCTATCTTTCGATTTATTATTCGTCATTTATTAGCCGCGATATTTTCTTGGAGAATTGCTCCGCTGAATCGATGTTTTAATATAATCTTCTCTCCGTGAACCAGAACCGGAATATCGTACTTGTATTTCTGGGAAAGACTGAACCGTGAACGAGAAAAGAAAAAACAGCAATGCGAAAATATACCGCCAAAAGAGCAGAATTTTTTAACCTTACTCGACCTCTGATAATAAACCAAAAAATTCCAGCAAAATTCAGTAATGGGGCTATTCAGCGTATGTTTTTCTTCCGTTTTTTTTTCGTTTTTTACATCGCTGAATTGGTTTTTTTGACGTAAAAAAACGGAAAACAATCATGTTTTCACAGCCTGAATAACCCCATAAAACTTATTTCCAAATAATCTTTTTTGGGGGTATCAAAAACACGAGCACATAACATGCTTGCAGTCTTATAAAAAATTGTTTCTTTCTCAAAGACAATTTTTAAAAATTGAAGTGCTCCGAAAAACAAATTAACGAGTGGGCTCACCTCAATAGTTTCAGGAGTCTCCTTCTCTAGATTTTTCTGTATAACCGTAATGTTGGGGTACTTCTTGAGATAATGCTTGAGCTGTTTGTCGAAATGGACGCACAATGAGCAGTTTTGGGAAGAAAAAAGCACGAGTTCGACGGGTTTGGACGAGAAAGAGCGCTGCAAAGCACGAAAAAATGTGATCATTTGAATTGGCGTCAAAATCACATGGCAAAACTAGGCCCCGCGTGACCAGAGCACGAGACTCGGCCAATTTCAAATTCCCGCGTTGTCCATACATCTGGAGCGTGTTTCGGCGAAGTGTATGGAGGAGTGTGCGGCAGTTGCGTTTCTCATCGCTTGCTCCGCCTCTTTTTCTGTGCCCGCGTGCGATTTGTTTCGAAGCCCTCACTTTTTTCGATTTCTAACGATTTTTCTATAAATTTTGAGGTATTCAAAAGTAGTTCCAATTCTTCGGAGGTTCAGAAAAATTTTTCTATCGAGTCATATCACGTTCCACCCGAATGTTTGGTTTTAGTCGTCATTTTATGTGCCCTCCTTTTTAGGCCAAAGTTTGGCACACGCTAAATTTTCAACGAATGCTGTCGAGGCATTTTTGCCTACCCTTGCGATGTTACTCGACTCCTCCTGTTATTCAAGTGCTTTCTTTGGATGCTCGGGACACGCTAATCAAGCTAAAAGCTGATCCGTCCGTGGTCTATACTCTTTTCGCACGAGATCATGGCTTGGACGTAGAACCCGACGGCGTCTTCCAAAATTTTTTGAAAAATTACAAGACAATGAGCATTGCTTCTCCTTGTTTCGGGTTCAACGATGGGGGAGATAAGCTTTGGTGGACAAATGTGGTTGTTTCGACCCTCTTAGATGTAAGAATCGGGTTGTAGATTTTTGCTGTTATTATCTGTTTCAGTGTTCTCCAATGGCATCTAGAGATCGCGCCCGAAGCGCAGCAGAAAGTCTGTACGAATTTTATGCGACTTCAGAACCATGGGAGCTCGTTGAAAGCAATGTAAAAGCTTTCTTAGATTTCCCTTTGTTTATGCACAAACTTTAGGTAAAGCTAACTCTCCAAAAGCTGCGACTGAAGGGCATTCACCTTGTTGTCACTTCGAACTTCGATAGACGCTTGAAACCTCTTTTATTGCAATTTGAATTGCACGAACTTTTTTCGATGATGGTTCTTTCCGGTGAAGTGGGCTTCGAGAAACCTGATCCAAGAATTTTCCAGTTGCTTGTTAATCATTTCGATCTTTTACATCCATCTGAAATACTTCATATAGGTGACAACTATAAGAACGACTTCATAGGAGCCAAGCAATTTGGTTGTAAAGCTCTCTTATTTGATTCTAAAAATCACTCCCCTGTTGATTCATTCGATCGCATTTCTTGTATTTCTGCTCTTAATTTGTATTGATTTCAATAAATTGCAGGTTATGGATCTTTTCCGGAAGCCAACAAAAAAACGGAATTTTGCTGGTCGACGAGATGGAGACTCTAGTGACGACGACACAGAAGTGAAGGACATTGTCAGAAAACGAAGGCGCACAAATCCGATGGTCCAGTCGGTGAGATATTGGTACATGATGCTCCATTCGAAAGGGAGCAACGTTTATTTTGAAAAAAAAAAACATCCCAATTTTTAGACTAAGAAAAGCAACCATCGACAACAGAAGTCATCTGACGATTCCGATGACTCGGATCAAGATGTAGCTGTTGCTACTCACTCGTTCGCCGCCACAGGAGATACTGGTCCAGCAGGTCCACGCGATCAGGGAGCAACAGCCACTCTAGAAGTTGATACCGATTACATTCGTGATGCACAAGCACAATTCGAGCGTGTCCAGCAACAACTCAAGGAAGGTGTGGAGAAAGACGGCAAAATTCTTTACAAGGGAGTTGCTCTCTACGGTGCCAAAGAAGCGAAAGACACGGCAAAAGGAAATGCTTCGAGTGGATATAATCGAGTGGGCCCAGTGCGAGCACCCCAATTTCTACGCCAAACAGTTAGATGGGACTTCGCTCCTGATATCTGCAAGGATTACAAAGAAACTGGATTCTGTACATTCGGAGGTGAGTGGAGTTTCGATTTTTATTTATCTACAAGCCTGCCCCCCGCCTACGCCGAGTTTCGGGCTTGTCTTAAACTGCTCTGGTGGTCAAGTGGTAAAACCCGCGGTCGTAGGTTCGGAGTCTTTCTGCTGCTCGCAGCGGACATACAAAAAGACAGACGCCTCTTTTGTTTTATATATAAGAAAGATACGTTTCCATTGCAGATTCTTGCAAATTTGTTCACGATCGATCCGACTACAAACATGGTTGGGAGATTGACGAGGAGTATGAAGCAGGAAAGTATGGCGAGGAGGATGATACGAATTACGAAATTCGTGGGGACGACGACACTTTCCCGGAAGACTGCTTCATATGTGGACGGCCCTTCGTGGATCCGATTGTCACCAAATGCAAACATTACTTCTGCGGCAGTTGTGCTATCAAAGCGTTTCAACGATCTTCGAAATGCCCAGTTTGTCATCAAAACACCGAAAAGATAATGAACGCTGCGAGAGGTAGAGTTCCTAAGTTGTTTGTTATCGCCTAAGCAAAACGTTTATAGACTTGATGACTTTCCTAAAGCGGAAAGAACAAAGCAGTGCACGACAAGAGAAGCAACAAAGTGAAGATGAACCTGACGAAGGAGGATGTGAAGGTCACAACCACGAATATCATGAAGCACATCAAGACGAACCAGCTGGTGATACTGGGGAGGAAGAAGATGTTGGTGAACATCAGAGTGATGTCGAAAAGGAGATTATTATGGAGGACGTCGACGACGTGAATGAAGGGGAAAACCAATCCGAAAGCGATGAATCCGTGGACACGGATGGTTGAGTGACCCGAACTTTATTGTACAAATAAATTATTTTGCGTATCATTCTAATTATTCGTTCACCATCGTGGGTTCAGTCCACATGTTTTATCTTTGATTTTTCTTTGCCCTTTACTTTTTCTAACTTATGATTGCAGGGTTCCCGCTACAGTCATGACTAAGCTGAAGACTAAGTCTCTCCGCGGACAGAAGAAGGATTCTCTCCAGAAGACCCTTGACGAGCAGAAGACCGAGCTCGCCACTCTTCGCGTCTCCAAGGTCACTGGAGGAGCTGCGTCCAAGCTCAGCAAGATCCGTGTTGTTCGCAAGAACATCGCCAGAATTTTGACGGTCATCAACCAGACCCAGAAGCAGGAGCTTCGCAAGTTCTACGCTAATTACAAGGTTTGCTATTATAGGGGCACCGGACAGAAAGGGCGCGCTGTTCGCAATCTGGCCGAATTTCTAGGCCGCGAAGTAATTTTCCACTGAAAATGTGGCCTAACTTTCAAACTCGGCCCCGAGGTCGCTCAATTTGCACTGCAAAAAGAGTTTCTCAACAGAGCGCCATTTCTGTGCGGTGCCCCTATAATACAGACGTGGCATGATGTGTACAAGTATTTATTTTTTAGTACAAGCCGATCGACCTTCGCCTCAAGAAGACCCGCGCTATCCGCAGAAGATTGACCGCTCACGAGGAGAGCCTCCGCTCCGCCAAGCAGCAGGCTAGGGCCCGCGTCTTCGCCGTCCGAAAGTTCGCTGTCAAGGCTTAAGTGGCTTGTGTTCATTGTTATCCATACTTGGACATTGTTTTGTTCAACTGATCATTTCAATGAAATTTGTTGCTTACTTTGCTGTTCCTGATATACCAAGTTTATTGCAATTGCTTTCTAGAAAAAGCTCAAACTGAAGTAGTTTCCTAACTAATGTGCGAAGCAGTCGCGGAAGTATTATTGTGCGTTCGACATTTAGTTTTTTCAGAAATCTCAAAGTGCCTGTCTTCCGATATCTTGTAACTAATCTGGAAAAGGTATTCGCATAAAGCATGTTAGAAATCTTTAGCACAGGGATAGATAGACGGTTGTTTAGCGTGTTCATAAATAATTAGAAATGGGATTTCAGATGAGCTCTTCTCGAGTTCCAGAATTTGATCGGAAGTTCCCAAAAACGTGCATCTGCACGAAATAGACACTTTTCTCAGCTTAGTGTCCATAACTTGCGGAAATAATGAAACTCGTAAATGGACTTATGAGAAATGTCGGCGAAGTTCCAGATTTGATGAGTCCTTTTTTGTCTCCACACGGCATTCTTTTCATTCTTTCGATTCAGATCATGTTCCGAACCGAAGACAGTAAACTCATTCCGTTTTGTGAAAAATCAAATGTTCATATCATAATTAATGAAATCATTTTTTCACTATTTTCATCGGTTTGGTCGTCCTGTGCTGTTTTTTCGTCGGGCTTGAAAGCGAAAGTCGGTCATTCAGCTGACTGCCTTAAGCCCCGCCCACTTTTCCATGCCGCACATTGCGCACCGAAACCCTGCCGCAGATTTTTTCCTTTCTTTTTTGACAGTTATTGACGGCGCTGCTATTCGACTACTGAAAAATGTCAGCCAAAACAACAAGAAAGAATAAAGCAGACGAGGTTCGTTTTTCTGTTTCACTTTTATTCTAATTTCAGTATTTCAGAAGAATAATGTGTTCATCGTTGAAAAAGTAATGGATAAACGGTCGGGAAAAGGTGGAAGAGACGAGTTTCTCATTCAGTGGCAGGTGAGAATTCTGTTGCAAAGTTCGAAGAAAAGAACATGTGGTTTCAGGGATTCCCGGAGTCAGAGTCCAGCTGGGAACCGAGGGAAAACCTCCGATGCGCCGATATGCTTGAGGCGTTCGAGAAAGAATACGCAAAAGTTCGGGGAATTTTTTGATTGGTTATTGTATTTTTTATCAAGTTGCAGAGGGAGAAGCCGAATCGAAAGCGCAGAAATGCGTCGCCAGGTTCCGACGACGACACCGATCCGAGCGACAAATACGCTCTGAACGGGAAACAGTTGCGATGCATTGTCGGGCTGACGAAAGGACCTGGAGAACTGCACTTCCTCTGCAAATTCAGCGATGATTCGGCACGTCTTCTGCCGGCGAAGGAAGTGAACAGCCGGTGAGTTGATGGGTGGTGTGGGGGCGAATCAAGCGAGAGATGCATTTCAGCTACCCGACACAAGTAATCAAGTACTACGAGTCCAAACTTACCATCGAAGATTCCAAATCTGATGATTTTTAGTGAGAACGGGGACAGAAACGAATCTCTCGAGATCATATTCGCCTTGTTTTGACGATATTAACTTATTTTACTTCCGATAATTTTGAATTAAAATTGTATTCCTCGTCTAAATCTCAACCAACGTTTGTCCTGTTTCTCCACATGTATTTGATGTGCTTACAAGTTTCTCACCCTCTCAGTTTAACGAACAATTGATAAATGCTAAAGACGACAATAAAGACGACAATTTTCACTTTGTAATCCGCACTGCTGTTTCACATTTCAGGTACCGCCCATTTGTTGACGAATACGGAAAGTTTCTGCAGCGGAAAATGGAAAAACGAACGAAACGAATGGAAGACGGGAAGCGGAAAGGGACGGAAGAGGAAAATGAGGCCGAGTGGCCGGAAATGCCGGCAGGCTATCGGATTCTCGTAAGTCAGACACGTGTGGAACGGAATGCAGATTGGCATTTGATTTGCAGAGTGAGGAAGAGCAACAATTGAAAATGCTGGAGGAAGAACGGAGGAACCAGGAGATGAAGGTCACGAACACGGTAAGCGATCGGAGCATCCCAGGGCAGTCCCTCTTCCTCAGAATTGTCACGGGCCGGGCCGATGGAGGATTGACCCCCGGCATCGGTTTCAGCACTGACAAAACCGTCTTGTTTTCACAATTTGTGTGCTTGCGAACTTGAGGAAGTGCCAAAACAGCGGAAAGAAATGCGAAAACATCGGAAAAGCCGTCCAACGCTTTTGGATCAGTTTCAGCAGACGGCGAACGACATTCTGGCGGACATGCAGCTGGCCGCCGACGGAGATCTTCTCTCCAGCTTCCCGCCCGATACGGTCGACGAGCCGATGGAAACGAGCGGCATCTCGGACAATCTTCTCTCCGCTTTCGACGACCATAATGAGAGTCCGATGGCGTGTCAGATTGTCGTCGACACCATTCCGGACGACGACGAACTTCTTTTCCCAGAGGTTCCCAGAATGTGATCTATTCCTCTTGACATGATTTGTAAGATCTCAATAAATATTTTCGCTGTGCCTTCAAATGTTAACTTTATGATGTTCAACAAAATTGGTACAACAGTGAAAATGATCTGTGAATCAGGTAGAAAGGGAAAACAACAAAAAAGACAGATAAAAAAAATATTGAAATCGAACAATTTGCAACAACTCATTGGCGTAACGGACAGAGAAGAAACGAAAGAGGGTAAATAGTCAACAGTTATAGAAACGTGAAAACAAAAGGCGAAATAATTTGCCTAAAAACAACGTGACATTTAGTCGCTGTCGCTGTTCAACTCCTCCTTCACTGGCTTCGTCTTCTTGTTGTTCGGCTCCCCATCATCCACCTCTTCTTTCACAACAGCGTCGTTCTGCGTCTGCTTGTCGGTCTGCACGTGTTCCTTGGACCAAGATTTCGGAGTGGAATAGTTTGGCTTTCCGAACTTGTCGAGGAGACCATCCTTGATCATTTGCTTCTTTTTCGAGGCCACTGGTCCGAGTCCCCACTTTCTTTCGTACACGTCACGCTCCATGATAACGCGCTTCGACTTGGCAACAACTCCATGGTCAACGGAAGCGATGGTCGAGGTGCTCATCTGAGCAATGGCGATGCAGATGGCTTCTCCTTTCGTGGTCATCACGACAATCTCCTTTCCGACTTCGATATCATCGTCGTAGCGGATAATTCCCGGAATCAAAATCTTGGCTCCGTAGCAGATTGCATTGACGCAACTGTCCTTCACGACAACTCTCTTATGCTGAATAAGAAGAGCCTCGAGTGGACGGACAATGTGTCTCATGTAGCTCTCGTCCTTTTGGGTGTCCAACAAATACTGAGCATCGAGGACGTCGTGCATCGTCACCATGCTCTCATTCTCGTCGCAGATTCCCGAGCTGTAATGAACCATTCGGCAACAGTTCGAAGTTCACATAAAAATACCGATTTCTACGAAGTTCCTGCATCTGTCCACCACATCCAAGGATAAGACCAAGATGAACACAGATAGTACGGACGTAGGTTCCGGACTCGCAGACGCAGCTGTAAAGGAACAATAAAATACTGTTCTGCCTTTTTACCACCTACTTGAAAATTCCCATGTGCTGGTTCGCATCGTACTCGATGAACTTGTTCTCGTAGACCGTACGAATACGAAGCTGACGCTTAACGGCCGAGATCAGCGGAGGACGTTGGAAGAGAGCTCCAGTGAGCTTCTCGAGGGCCTGGCGGACCTTGCGCTCATCATCAACAGCTTCGTGCAGCTTGAAAATGCAGATGTATTCCTTTCCAGCTCCTTGTTGCGACTTGGCCAAGCGAGTGGTACGATCGATACACACGATAAGACATCCCGACACTTTCGGATCGAGCGTTCCACTGTGACCCGTCTTTCCGGCACGCAGAATTCTTTTGATCCAGGAAACGACTTCGTGAGACGATGGGTTGGACGGCTTATCGAGGTTGAAAAATCCCGAAGAAACATAGTTCGCGATGTCGCGTTTCAGCGGCGAAACTCCCTCAACGTGTGGGGTGTAGTGGTTTGTTCGGACGTTGAGTTTGTCGTAGTTCTGAAATAGAAGAGGAATACATTTCATTTTAAAAATAACTAACCTTCAGCAACAACGGCCATTGAGAAGCATCGAGCTTGGCAGTTACATTGGAGGTCGGTAGTTGGAAAGATCCTTTTTGTTGAGCCTCCTGTAAAAAATATTTCTTCTCATGTATTCGAACGAATGACGAACTGCCAATTCGTCTCCTTCGAGCTTGGAACGCTTGTCCTTCTTGCACATCTTGAGATCTTGCCTAAAAACGGAATTATTTATGTTAATTGTCTCCATATTCCCTGATTTGACGTCAAAATAATGAGTATATCGTCGATAAAATAAATAATAATAGAATTTTGGTTGAAAATGTAGTTTTCAGACGTGTAAATCTGTTGAATTCGCCAAAAATGGCCCTAGAATCGATCGATTCGCCAGAAAATAAGGTGCGAACCCTTCGCTGGCATCGTGCCAAGTCTGCGACTCGTCGCTGCGTGTGTGCCCCTATGCTACACCACGCGAAGGGGCGCTACGCAGCGACTTTTTCGAATTTCTCTCGTTTTGGCGCGCAAATGGGTCCCGTGCGCCATTTTCGAAAACACTCGCCCGCTTCACCCTGCTTTTGTCATCATTTTCCATTTTCTCATTCATTTTGCCAACTTTTTCTGCAGATAACTCACAAATTTTCGGCTTATCTGAAAGTTGAAACTTCTGCTGATAGTCAGCTTCACTGAAAAATATCTGAGATAATAAAATATATTATCTATCTCTATCAAATTCTTTCTAGAAGTTTTTGAAACATCCTCTCTATTTCATGAGTTCAGTTTCAGCGAGAGCAACATTGCTTCGTTGATTGATGTAGGGAAACGTTTTATTTCGCAATCTTTTCGTTTCGTTTCGATTCTATTTTTCTCAGGGTTAAAAACATTTTGTTGCAGTTATGTCTGGCGGAGACGGTATCCCAACTTTTAAGCTTGTCCTTGTCGGAGACGGAGGGACTGGTAAGACTACTTTCGTCAAGCGTCACTTGACCGGAGAGTTCGAGAAGAAGTATGTCGGTAAGTTGAAACGGCCTTTTTCGAGTCAAAACATTTTCCGCCCTTTCCAGCCACTCTCGGAGTCGAAGTTCATCCACTCGTTTTTCACACTAACCGTGGACAGATCCGGTTCAACGTGTGGGATACCGCTGGACAAGAAAAGTTCGGTGGTCTTCGTGACGGATACTACATCCAAGGTGAGAGCAGCACAAATGTTGAGAAATGCTAATTAAGCTTAATTGTTCCAGGCCAGTGCGCCATCATCATGTTCGACGTGACTGCTCGCGTCACCTACAAGAACGTTCCGAACTGGCATCGTGACTTGGCCAGAGTATGCGAAAACATCCCGATTGTCTTGTGCGGAAATAAGGTAACCTGTCTTCCTCTCTGTTGGCATTTTCAATATTGGTTTTCAGGTCGACGTCAAGGACCGCAAAGTGAAGGCCAAGACCATCACCTTCCATCGCAAGAAGAACCTCCAATACTACGACATCTCCGCCAAGTCGAACTACAACTTCGAAAAGCCATTCCTCTGGCTTGCCAGAAAGCTGCTCGGAGACCCGAACCTCGAGTTCGTCGCTATGCCAGCCTTGGCTCCACCAGAGGTAACAACAAAAATCTCGATTATTCAGCTAAGAGCTGTTCGATTTCAGGTGCAAATGGACCCAGCTATGATTGCCGAGTACGAGAAGGATCTGGACAATGCTGCCAAGGCCGACCTTCCGGATGACGACGATGATCTTTAAACACTTTAATCTTTCAAGTCCTTGTTTTCAAATCTCACAGCCACCATGCAACACAACCATCCCTAAATTTACCATTTTATACATTTCATATGCCAATTAATTTCTTAACTTAAAAAAATTAGCACCCCAGCCAGTGTTTCGAATCTCAGTACTGGAATGGGTTGACGGAGGATTGTACATTTGCTGTTTGATCGTTGTGCGAATGAATTGAGAAATGGTTGGCTCTTTCCTTGCTGATTTTATATTTATGTTTAACTAAAAATTTCGAAACAACTTGTTGCAATAAAAAATATAGCACCAACTTATGAGAATGTACCGGCGGGCATGGGAATTTGAACAAATACAAGTAATCACACGTATTTAAAGCACTTTTGATGATTTTGTGGGAGCCGAGTCTTGAAGAGAATGGAGTCTGCTCTGAACTGAGAGAATCTGAAAAACAAGGGAATGAGCGATAATTCAGGACGGAAAACTGGACCTCAATGGATTGTAGCCGAAAACCTCAGTGAATAATCGCATGCATTCGTGGCGTTTTTCGAAGTGGGAATCCTCTTTAAACAAGCTTTCTGTACAGGTTGGACATCTGAGAAATGAGGGAATTGGATATAATTTCGACAGGAAAACGGACTTTAGTGTCCATCGCGAAGTGGTTTTGATGGGAGGACGGCGAGTGAGATGGGAGACGAGGTAGTTCATGGCGATGTCCTCGCAGTTTCTGATGCGATCCACGTGTTCCCGGATGACCGACGGCATCTGATATGTGTACGCGGACAGGTAATTCTGGAAGATGGAGAAAATCGACGAGGAAACGGGGAAAGTTACCTTGTGAATGAATGCGGCGCCCGTGAGGATCATGCTCATTTGGCACGTGTGATTGCTGTTGTAGAACATGGAATCTCCGTATCGGGCATGATGGCGGGCCGGGAAACCGACGATTCTTTCGCGGTTTTCTCTCCAGACACGAAATGCCAGCACAATTTCCTGCTGCATCAAATCGATGTCGTCGTCCAGAGAGAGCACGGCTTCTGTTTCGATCCGATCCCATGGAACGAACCGATTGTTGAGACTGTTCTCCTTCACTCGGATGAATTCGACGGGCACGTGGAGAGACGGCCACGTTTCAGGGGGATCCCGGTGCACGTTGTTCCAGACGACGATGATCTTGTTGAGGTAAGGCAATTGATGGAGACGTTCTAGAGCGCCAACCAGCACGGCGTCTCTTTCGTAAGTGAGCAGAACTGCGGTGAACTGTTCTCTCTGCCTGTTCCCTCCCAACGCTTTGCTGAATTCGACGCCACTTCCCGGGTCGATCGGACGGAATCCGCTCTTTGTGTACTCGTCGAATTCCGCTTCAGCTGGAGGTTCGACCGCATTGATGAGATACTCTTTGGAGCTGTGCGGAGAGAGAACGACATTCCACGTGTCGTATGAATACTGAAATGGGAAATATTTATCCAGAAGTAAGTAAGTAAGAGCGAGAAAGAGCTGTTACCAGTTGGAATTCTGTGAAATTGTGAACGTATGGCGTCGATTCGATACGAGATTCCAGAGGGCCGAGAAGATACTCATCGTCGAAGTTCGGCTGAACATTTACGACGGATCCCTTCGGAGCAGTGAACGAAGAATTGAACAGGGGCACCGCCCGGTTGCCGCCACTCGATCTCATCTCTCTCGTCGGTATTTGCAATCGGTATCGAAGTGCAGCGATGATACTTCTGGCCACCGTCTTCCGATCGGACAGATAGTTCTCGTAGAACACTCTTCCCATCCTTCGCATTTCCAGCACATCGGCGATTTCAAACGAGCGAACAATGAAATGAGCTTCTGGAAGACGAGCAGCTGACATTCGGTGACTGGCTCGCCGCCAATCAATTAGATCTTGAAACGGAAGCATTCGAGTGTTCGAGAGGACGATCGGAATGCAACCGACACGGAGAGAATCTACGAAATCGGCGAGGAAATGGACGGAAGGCAGAAGGAAGCAGAATGTGGTGGCGGCGAACAGCTCCTTTCGTGCCGTACGGTCACAGTTCCCCGTGTCTTTCGAACAATTTCTGATGATTATCGAATTAGGTGCTTGTCTGGAAGATTCTTCCAGAGACGAGACGTCAAGAGGAACCGAATCGTTCGGAAGAATGAAAGCGATGAAATGGTTCCGGTAGAGAGGAAGTAGTGCAGGAAGAGCCTCCGGAAATGGAGAGATGGAATTGGCATCTATTGCGAGATCAAAAGAGCTGAAATTAGGAATATGGTAATAACTGAAAACTATTGGAAGAGCTACCGAAGCTGGGAATGTTGCATAAGAAGTGAATTTGTCTGCAGATCCTTTACCGGCTCTCCAATATTGAAAAGAACGACGTTCGGACGGTTGTCGGTTGGAACGACTCCGTTCGTAATGCTCATCTGAAAACGGTTTCATATTTTCAGCTCTGCTACCCAGTTCTTACAGTCAAGCACGCTTTTTCTGGATTACTCTCAAGGTTAGGGATAACATTTTGAAGGATATCTCTCCACTCTTTTTCCAAATTGCCTTCTGTAACCGTTTGAACAGAAACGGGCATGAAAGAAGAAATGGAACATCGACTGTAATCGATAACATCGTCAAGAGTCGGAACTTGCGTGAGAGGGAGTCGAACGGATCTGAAACAGACGGGATTGAATGTTAACGCAGATGATGACCGTACTCATGTTGGATTCGAGGTGTCTGGATCGGAGAAAAAGGTAGGAACACCCGTACATTCTGCGTCTCTCTCAATTCTTCCAACTGACGTTGAGCAGCTTCTATCTCCCCTTCCAGTGCAGACAGTTCTAATTCTGAAATGAAATTAGTGATAAAATTTGAAAAAAACCTGATAATTTACGTTTCTGAGGTATCAATCTTTGCAATTCTTCCTGTACCGTCCTGATCTCCTCGATTTTCAACTGCGATTCTGCGAGTTCAGCGCGCACTGACGCCAAGATTCTGCGAATTAGCTTATTTTAGAGTGAAAACAAGGTTTTCAAACTTTTTCTGTTCTCGGAGTATCCTTCCGAATGAATATCCACTGCATCCAGCATCGTAGTCATCGATATCCTCGACATTTCTGGGAAAACAGTACGTACACACTTTTATGGTGATTATTTTTCTAAGTGTACTTCCTAGCTTCCAAATCGGTTGATTCGAAGCCAAGGGGTTGTTTTACGTATATGAGCAAACATTTTTTTGTGAAAATACCGTTAAACCTACATTAAGAGGGGATCTATTCTGGGCCCCAACGACGATGTCTGATCGGTGAACGACGCGTTGAAAAGGATTACGGAGGAAATAACGAACATTATGAGTATCAGGAAAGCAGTCAGACGGACTGATGGCACATAACTCCGATGAAAACCTAAAAAATTATCAGATACAGTATCATTTTCAGACGAGAACTTCGACGTACCGTTCAATTTTATGGCCATTGATATTACCGGGTCAAGCATGTATTCAAAATGTTGCTAATCATCGATTTTCTGAGCCTGTAACTCTAAAAATTAGATTTTTTATTTTTTGTCGTGTGCAATGGTTCAAATTCAGACTCGTTCGCGTTTGGGAGTAAGCAAACGCGCTCCATTGAGACGCGCGCGTATCGCGACGCGTGGCGCCAAAAAGCGATTCGAATCGCGGTTTTGGGACTCTGCCTCGGAACAGTCGTCATTCCGACCGCCCTATCGTGTTATCAATGCGTTTTTCTTCGCTGTTTTATATTTTTAATGACTCAGAAAAGTTTTCGATGTGTACTGGCGCAGTTTCAATCGATAGACCGGTTCTTTTCGTTTGGAAAAATCTATTTTTTCTCTCGCAAATCGTTAATTTCTTCCCCGTTTTTCTGTTTGGCCTAATTGTTCTATTTGTCTTTTTTCAGTCAAAATGAGAGAGATCGTTCACGTTCAAGCCGGACAGTGCGGAAACCAGATTGGATCGAAATTCTGGGAGGTCATATCCGATGAGCACGGAATTCAGCCCGATGGAACCTTCAAAGGAGAGAGCGATCTCCAGCTGGAGAGAATCGACGTTTACTACAACGAAGCCAACAGTTCGTTAACTGTTCGAGCCTAAACTTACTTTATTTTTTAGATGGCAAGTATGTCCCCCGCGCTGTCCTCGTCGATCTTGAGCCAGGAACGATGGATTCTGTCCGCTCAGGTCCATTCGGTCAGCTCTTCCGGCCAGATAACTTTGTCTTCGGACAGTCCGGAGCTGGAAACAACTGGGCGAAGGGACACTACACTGAGGGAGCTGAGCTCGTTGACAACGTTCTCGACGTTATCCGCAAGGAGGCTGAAGGATGCGACTGCCTGCAGGGTTTCCAGTTGACCCACTCTCTTGGAGGAGGAACCGGATCTGGAATGGGAACTCTTCTTATTTCCAAGATTCGCGAGGAGTACCCGGACCGTATCATGTCTTCTTTCTCGGTCGTTCCATCGCCAAAGGTTTCCGATACCGTTGTCGAGCCATACAACGCCACCCTCTCTGTGCACCAGCTTGTCGAGAACACTGATGAGACTTACTGCATTGACAATGAGGCTCTTTACGAGATTTGCTACAAAACCCTTAAGCTCACCGACCCAACTTATGGAGACTTGAACCATCTTGTCTCGCTCACTATGTCTGGAGTGACTACCTGCCTCCGATTCCCCGGACAGCTTAACGCCGATCTCCGCAAGCTGGCCGTGAACATGGTGCCGTTCCCACGTCTCCACTTCTTCATGCCAGGTTTCGCTCCACTCTCTGCCAAGGGTGCCCAGGCCTACCGCGCTCTCACCGTTTCCGAGCTCACTCAGCAGATGTTCGACGCTAAGAACATGATGGCTGCTTGCGACCCAAGACACGGAAGATATCTTACCGTCGCCGCTATGTTCCGTGGACGCATGTCCATGAGAGTGAGTCACAGACTAGCTATCAAACAGCACTATGAGTGATATTTTCAGGAAGTCGACGAACAGATGCTCAACGTCCAGAACAAGAACTCCTCGTACTTTGTCGAATGGATCCCGAACAACGTCAAGACCGCCGTGTGCGACATCCCACCACGTGGACTCAAGATGGCCGCCACCTTCGTCGGAAACTCGACCGCCATCCAGGAGCTCTTCAAGCGTATCTCGGAGCAGTTCACCGCTATGTTCCGCCGCAAGGCCTTCCTTCATTGGTACACTGGCGAGGGAATGGACGAGATGGAGTTCACCGAGGCCGAGAGCAACATGAACGATCTTATCTCGGAGTACCAGCAGTACCAGGAGGCCACCGCTGAGGACGAACCTCTTGACGGATACACCGAGGGAGGAGAGACCTACGAGTCTGAGCAATAATAATATCTCTCGGGATGACTAAGTTATTGTGCCCAGTTTTTGTAATTCCTTGTCCCATGATCTTTATAACCAATTCGTCGTCGACTTATTTTTATTATCGAATAAACGATACATCTCGACTGTGTCTCGCATTGTGTCAATAAGTTGTTGCTTTTCTTGAAGATTATCTTGAAACGAAATACAATGGAATTGAAAAAAAAAATCGTTTTAGAAAATGAAAGAGACTGTTGTGAAAGGAGCTCTAAAGTTGAAGAAGGTGTCGTCGGAGGCGCCGAAAAAAGCCAAGAAGAGCAAGCCGACGATGGATCTGAAGCAAGTGGATATGACGATCCGAAGGTTTGCAAAGCATGATCAGACAGCTAACGGTCTCAGAGATTCCAGAAACACTTCCGGCACCGGATCGCAAAAAACCGAAGCCGAGCTTCGGTTTGAAGCCAGAAGACAAGCGAATATGGTGAGAAAGATTTGAAAAACCTTAGAAGCTCTAATGAAAAGTATTCAGGCGGAGAAAATGCTGAAGCGAGCTGCCGTCAGTCATCGTGAAAAAGTGGAGAAGTTCAACAAGCAAATGGAAGAAATGACCGAGTTCAACGATATTCCAAAAGTCTCGTGGACTAAATAATAAGCAGAATCGAGGACGGCTTCTCATTGTACATAATCTATTTACATTGTGGATAACTGTTAATAAACACGTTCACATTTCAGACACCAGTTAATTATCCTAGAAGCCTGTCGCAGGCTCTCCATACTTTTCGCAATCCTATAAGTCAATCGATCAGATGAGATCATCTCGGTCTTTGGTTTTTTGTTTTCGAAGCGAGTCATCAGGAACGATAACGTTTCATTGTACACTGCTCTAGAAAATCATTGTTCCACCTCGATTGTTCACTGGAACACCCTTTCAGGTCAACTTTCAGAACAAGTTGGCAACATGAAAAGTGTGTCAAATTGAAAGGGTATTCAGTTAATATTTTTTTCGCCCTTACGTGACCCCATTTTGTCAATGTTGAAAAACATGGAAAATGCCTTTTGGCCAATCCAAAAATCATTGTTCTACTTGGAAAACCAGGCTGATTTCAATTGAATATTGAACGAATAATTTACAATTAAAAATAAAAAATGTTTTACGTAACTAAAAAACCATATTCCATTATGAATCCAGAAGACCTAATGACCTAGCGGTCGGCTGGAATCCAGGTAACACTCATAACTGAATTTTGACTTTTCTTTGACACTTTGACACACTTTTGACTTTGACACACTTTTCATGTTGACAACTTGTTCTGAAAGTTGACCTGAAAGGGTGTTCCAGTGAAAAATCGAGGTAGAACAATGATTTTGTGGAGCAGTGTAGTTTTCAGCTTCCGCGTTTTTCGCGTCAAATGAGGTGTGTTCACAGAGAACCAGCCAACGCAGGGCTGCCGTCTCTGCGTCTCCGCGGCATTTCGTTTCGCTGCGTCCTCTCTCTCCCTCTCTCTCTCTTCCCGATATTTAGTCGCCCCATTTCGGCCAGCTTGACAACGGCTCGCGGACTCTCAGCCTCATTGATTATTCTCATTTCGCGCCTTCCCGAGTTTCAGTCCCTCTTTCTCTTCCCAAATTCATTCAACGCAACAGACTGTCCCTAAAAGCCTCAAGGGCATTCACTCTTCCATTCGCCATTCTCTTTTTTTTTCCCACGTTACAGTTCGTCTGGCAATCGATTGACTGTCTGCCCCCTGTCTGTTATCAGTCCGTACTCTTTCTGTGCTTTTTATCAGCGAGAACTGTTTCAGGGTTCATTCGGACACGTTACGAGTACCGAATTATCTGCTTATCGACAATAATGCTGCGCGGAAAAGTAGATCCGAAGAAAGAAGAGCAGGATAGACTGCAGGGATTCCTGCTCGAAATGCTCAAGGAAGAAGAAAACAAGTACTGTGCGGACTGCCAGGCGAAAACTCCAAGGTAAACGTCTTCGAAGCCTTCTTTCGAAATTTCAAATGAATCAATATTCCTTTTAGATGGGCAGCTTGGAATTTGGGCATCTTCATTTGTATTCGTTGTGCAGGAATCCATCGAAATCTTGGAGTTCACATTTCGAAAGTGCGCTCAGTTAATCTGGATTCGTGGACAGCCGAACAAGTGCAGACCATGCGGGTCTGGGGAAACGAGAAGGCACGGCAAGTGTACGAACACGATCTGCCCGCTCAGTTCCGCCGTCCAACGAACGACCAGCAAATGGAGCAGTTCATTCGGAGCAAGTACGAGCAGAAACGGTACATGCTCCGCGACTTTGAGCCCCCGAAGGTGAATGTCAACGACCTTCCGAAATCGTTGACTCAGATACAAAAAAAGTGTGGAACTCCGGTTGTAAGTATTGCGACAAGAGGAAATGCGGTCGTCACGACCAACGGACACTCTGCAGCTTCTCTAGTGAGCATTAATCGATGTATTCCCCTAACATTCACCTTCAGGCTCCTTCCCTTCTCGATTTCTCCGACCCTCCGGCCAGTAGCACTCCCGCCCAAAAAGTGACGAATTTGTTTGACGACTTCGACGGACTCAGTCTTCAATCTTCTGCACCAGCGGCGGCACCGGCTTTGGCTCAATCAGCGGCGAACGACGATTTTGATGATTTCGGATCGTTCGTTTCAGCCAGTGCTCAATCTGCAGCTCCTTCTGCGTCAGTCGGGGGATTCGCAGACTTTTCATCTGCTGTTTCGACAAATTCTCACGCTCCAGCTGCCTCATCTGGCCTTTCCGGTTAGTGCTCTGTCGTATTGATAACCTATTCAACGCATTATAGATCTGACAAATTTTACTCCTGCCGGGAACGAAAATGGAAAGAAAAAGACGAACGCGGACATCCTTTCTCTGTTCGGCACTTCCGGGGGACTCGCCGCTCCGAGCGTCGTTGCACCTGGAGGATTTGCCGGCTTCGGTTTACAGGCAGCTCCGCAGCAACCTCAAACTTCCCATCAGAACGCATTCGCCGCTTTTGGGGCAGCTCCTGCTCCAGTCCAGCAACAAATGGCTCCGCCACAGAATGATTTGTATAGTGGCCTTTCGGGAATCAATTTCGGAGGGCTGTCCACGCAGCAGAACCCAGTCCCACTGCAAAGTTTTGGCACTTCGTTCGGAGCGACACAGTCGAGCTTCGGGGGCACCACTTCGCCTTCGTTCAGTGCCAGAGCAACGCCTACTTCGCCGACTGCTTCTCAAGGATTCAATATCCCGAACAAAATCAACGCTTTTGCTGATTTAGCTCTCGGAAAAGTAATTATTACATTGGAAAATTACTATAAGCATTCCAAGTTTCAGGTTATGAAAACGAATTACGGGCAAAATGCTTTGCATGCGACGTCTACTCCGTCTGCCAACCAGACTTCTCCCCTGCCAATGACGACGCCGCCAATGATGACCACGTCGTCCACAAACGCTGTCAACAATGACTTGTTCGACATGTTCGCCACGGCGCCTCCTCCAGTGCCCGTCGCCGCTAACTCGTCTTCCGGTCTCGATGACCTGCTGGGGCTCTAGATATGTCTTTTACGTTTTTACTGCATAATGTGGCCCTGTGATTATTCCTCATTTCTTCAAGTTTCTGTTTTTTTAGGAACTCGCCTTTTTGTGATAAGAGAGTTATTTATTAGCATCTACCGACCTTCAATGGTTGTGAGCCCTTCCCCGAATTCCAGTCAATCCCCCCATATCCTCCCTGTGTTTCTAGGATTTCAATCAGATGACGTGGACCGACTTCGTTCGCTCCATGCAGACCAAACCAGACACTTTTATCACTTCTCCGCGCGTGTGATTCTACTGATTTTTATTCTCAATCATAGCACGTTCCCTCTTGTTTTTTTTCCTCCCACTCCACTTTATTCTTTTCAGTCGCCCATGTAACAACTAATTAATGCTTCTTTTTTTTCTAATGAAATGTATCGAGATAAGAAAAAGAAAAGAGACGGTTCTACGGACAATCGAAAAACCAGTCCGTGTGGCATCTGCCACGTCACTCAGCTTCTGAAACTCGCCTCTCGTGTCGGAGCGGGCGCTCGAGACTATCTGCAATTGTGTTGACGTCGTACGACAACAGGACGCGAGGAGGAGTGCTGGAAAAGCTGAGAACGCAGACGTGTTCGCCCTGATTCCGGGCGGTAATAACGCGGGAATCGGAGAAGCGCAGACAGTCGAATGGGGCGGAATGCGCGACGGAGGGGACCGAGACGGACGGCGTCTCCCGGGAGGCAAACCGCAATTATCGCGCGGAATTCATTTCGTTCGAGGACTGACTTTTTGCTGGAATTCCTCAATCCCCTGCTCAACCTTCCCGTCCGTATTTGTCAGTTCGAAATGACTATTATCTTTTCGAAAGTATTCTCCACAGCACGTTTCGAAGGTTACGCAACTGTGCTCTAATGCGAACTGTTTACAAAAAGAGACCGTTCAAACCACTGCGGATCGGAATGCATCTCAAAGTTCAGTCATCCCGAAAAATGCGTATGCTCGGTTTTTTCGAAATCTTTCAAACTGGTTCTCTCCGTTCTGAATCACAGTTCGACGTCGTCTCTGACTCATTTCTGTACAGCTTTTTCTTCTCTTCTCTCACTCTGAATTGTGGAGTTTCGAGGTACAACATCACAGTCTCTTTCTCTCCCAACGTCTTCATCTCTCTCTCTGTCTCTCTCTCTCTGTCTCTGTCTCTCTCTTTTTCCTTCTCTCTCTCCGAGTTGGAGCTCTCACAGGCCACACAAGTCACAAACTACGGGGCGAATACGAACCGATTGGCAACTGCAAATAGATGAGAAAGGTCTCTCTTCAAGTTTATTTTAGAAAACTTGTAAACAGCAGAGTGTTCTCTCTGTTTGCCGTGCTCCCAAACAGCCGAACCAGGTGTCCGGAGGCTACGTTAGGCGAGCGAGGGCGGCCGAGGGATCTCTGCCTCTTTCGAGCCACTTCCAGCCTATTTCCGCTTGTTTTGGGTGGCTCCGTCCGGTCTTTCTGACTCACATTAGAAACTATCGAAGGAGTTCCTTTCTTATCGTTTCTTCCCTCTGCTTTTTGTTTTTCCTTTTCCCAACCATCTCTCACTCCTTCCCTCCTCTAATTATCTCTTCATTCCAGTTTAATAAGTGCACTCCTGAACAACGTGCTTCCATTTCTTTATCTGATTTCTCTACAAGTTCCCGTTTACTGGAGCACATCCCCCCTAAAACTGCTCCGGACCTCCACCCCTCCCATTTTTTCGTTTTCCTCAGTCCAACAGGTATGTGTGCTCTCTCCCCGAGCCGAAACCCTCTCATTTTCGCGCCCAAGTCGACCCAATTTACTTTGTGCCTTTGGCCTCGGTCATATTTACTCAGACCATCCAAAATGAAGGAAAATCGAGCTCTGGCGGTGCGGGAAGAAAGTGTCTCCCTTTCGGCAGACTCTTCTGCCTGTTACTGGTTTCGAAACGATTTGCTCCCCTTCTCTGCTCCCCAACACTATCCCCAGCTGCTATTCGGGTCCACGGCACCTGTCGTCCGTTCAGATGCGCGCATTCAACGGTTTTTCACGAAAGAGAGAGAAGCCCCTCCGATAGATGGAATAGACAGAAAAGTACTCGTTTTTGCGCTAGCACGAGATCCTCCGATTTGGCAGCTGTTCATATCCTGAATTCCTCCACCCCTTCACTTTTTCCGAAATCTGTGTCCGTTGCAGACAGGCGGTGGCGTCGCCTCTTCGCTTCTATTTTTTGGACGGAAATTGAAATGAAACGACACCGATTTATTTGAAAAACCTATCTCTCTTTCTTCTCATTCTCAGCCGAGAACGCTCGACAACATCGTCGTCTTCTTGTTTTATCTGGTCTATTTCGCACGTTTCTCTTTTAATTTGTTCTTCCGCAACTTTCTGAAGCAAGTGCTGCGCCTTTAAATCTGTTACCGTAGTTGCTAGTTGAAAATTTGGTTTTGCCGTGAACTTTATGTGCTTTTCTCCCGAAAAGCTAACTTTTCATTTTTTCTGTTCGATTCAACCCTCATAGAAATCGGCCTTTTTGACAGCGTTGTCGTAGTTGTGAGTCGTTGATTTACGGCTTGTTTTTCTGACGCTAACCGCCGCATGTTCATTTTCACTTTCATCGCATTTTTTTCAGAGAACGTCGCCCGATTTCAATCAATGTAGCAAAGTGCGAACGGCACTTGAAACGACTCGAAAACCATCCTCACAACTTTGTTTTTGTCGCATTTTTTCACAAACATTCTCGGTTTCTAGAGAATCGTGAATGAGTAAGGTCAGTTCAAAAACTATTGGTTCGCGGAACTTGGCCGATCACCGGCCGAAAACGGGAAAAGAAAACAAACGAGACGGACGACAGATAGAAATCGTATCGCTTCAGTGCGCGTATTCTGCCCTTCCATCGAGAAAATTCGAATATTATGCAAAAATTCACCATTTTCTTTATCGAATTAATCTTCGATGCTTGTTAGAAGGATGACAGGAAGAGGGTACTGCGGGTGGTAGCAATTCAAATCAGCTCGACCGGAAGTAGTAGTCTGGGCTTAAACTACAGAAGCTGAGGTGATGAGTTGTCAAATGAACATTTTTCAGAAGTCAGGCTCTGACGTTGAAGCGTCGACGTCAAATTCTAGCAGTGCTTTGTATGACACCACCTCGAAAGGACATCATCGTCGCACTTCATCGTTATGGGTGCCTCCTACCAGGTAACCCCATATTCTCTTTCATTTTCCCCCACTTCCTTCATCTCCAGACCAATATTTTCCTCGCCAACTCAAGTGTTCAAGGAGAAGGCAGAGAATGGCGGTCGAATTCTGAAAACGCATCCGGTGACTCGCTGGTTGTTTCCCAGCCAGCCGATCCTTCCACAGCAGCGGATTGTCGTGCCGAACAACCAGAAAGATCCGCCGCCTCGCTACGAACAGCCGAATAGAAAGTACTGTGGGAATCGGATATCAACGACCAAGTACAGTGTGCTTACTTTTATACCCAAGAACTTATTTGAACAGGTTCTTCTTAATCTTCCAATTTTTTTCTCATTCTGTGATTACAGCTTCATCGTGCAGCGAATCTCTACTTCATATTCATTGTGATACTCAACATGATCATCGGTGCTTTTGGAAAGTACTTATCTGTTATGCCGATCGCTTTCGTACTCGGAATCACTGCGATCAAAGACGCGTTCGAAGATTACCGCCGTTATAAATCCGACCAGAAAATCAACCATTCGACGTGTCGTGTTTGGGATGCCAGTCAGCAAAGATATCGAAAACTCGAATGGCAGAACATTCTTGTCGGAGATTTTGTGCACTTGTCTCACGATGAAATCATCCCAGCTGACATCCTTCTCTTGCGAAGCAGCGATGTCAATGGTTAGCCGACGATCAAACAGTTTCGTGATAATTACACTCTTTCCAGGTGTGTGCCACGTGGAAACATCGAATTTGGACGGAGAAAGCAATCTGAAACAGAGACAAGCGATTCGAGCTATGGGCAAATACCACAACACTAACGTCCCTCTCGAGTACTCGCCTGCCGAATTCAACTATAGAATAGCCTGCGAACAGCCGACGACCGATGTCTACAAGTTCGAAGGCCGTCTGGAAGCGATGGAAGGAGGCCCTCCGCTGGCCCGCGAGTTCACGATTCTGGCGAAAGACAACGTGTTGCTGCGAGGCTGTGTCGTCAAGAATACTGATTTCGTGGAGGGAATCGTTCTGTACGCCGGGAAAGACACGAAAGCGATGCTGAACAACAGTGGTCCCCGGTACAAAAGAAGTTCGCTCGAGAAAATGACCAACATTGACATTCTGTGGAGTGTGTGCACTCTTCTGGCTCTTTGCGTTCTCGGCGCCGTTCTCTCTGGGGTCTGGCTCCGCACATTCTCTACGCCGTATCTGATTCCGTTCCTCGTCTATATCGAACCGAATTCCACGTATCATAACAATAATGACACGCAGTACAAGTACAATCCGGCATTCGAATCATGGTTCAGCTTTTGGAGTTATATTATTGTTCTGCAGGTACGCACAGGCTTCTCTTTCCTTTTATCTTTCTTAATTTTCAGGTTATGATTCCTATATCACTGTACGTTTCGATAGAATTCATCAAGATATTCCAAGTGTGGTTCATGTCTCAAGATCGGAACATGTATTACGATAAAGTCGATAAACGTCTGCAGTGTAGAGCATTGAACATAACAGAAGAGTTGGGGCAGATCCAGTACGTGATGTCGGATAAAACAGGCACATTGACAGAGAATCAGGTATGACGGATTCGTGAAAAATGAAATGTGAATTCTTTTCAGATGGTGTTCCGTCGATGCTCTGTTTACGGCAATGATTACGGTGGCCGCCCGGTTCTCAGCGCCGTCGATTCTTCACTCGAACTGGTAGCTTCCAATCTTCGGAATGATCAACCGACGGAGAAGAAGCTTCAAATGGCTGCTTTGGCTCAAGCCGCTGCCAACACTGGCCGACTCCGCCCCTCTCGCGATCCTACTCTCGAATCCCAACTTGCTTCCAGTGTACTGAAAGAAGGAGCAAACATCGATGATCCCGTTTTCGCTTTCTTCTTGACAATGGCCATCTGCAACACTGTGGTCGTAAATGCGAAACCTCACGAAGATCTGATGGATCCCGATGGAGACATTGTGAACAGTCGATTTGCAACGGAAGAGGACGGAGTATTGCCGAAAAGAGAAGGGAGCACGGACAGTATCACGGGAAACAGGTACTTGTCGGAAGTGGAAGAGGAGAGTCTCTCGTCGAACGGATCGACTCCGGTAATAGCAGAGGAGAAGGCGGCAGAGGACGGATTCGAGGAGATCGAATTGATTGAGTTCCCCGAAGTGAAAACGGAAGAGACGCAGCCATCGGAGAAGGAGATTGTGGCGATCCAAAAGGAGAAGGAAGGATCCAACAACTACAACGGAGAGCGGAAGGAAGGAAAAGGATTCGTGAGTTTTTTCTTAAATGTTTTCCTCATCCGAAGTTGTGAATTCCAGGGAATTCTCCACCGTCCTTCGATTCTCTCCGTTCCGTTCGCTAAACTCAAAGGAATCAAGAGTCCGTTTCGCCGTTCCGTCGACAAGCGTCGTTCAAGCTCTTCTGAGATAACCACGCCACCACTTCACTCGTTTTATGATTCTGAATCACCAGATGAACTGGCACTAGTTGAGGCGGCCAGGGAATATGGCGTCCGGTTGTTAAAAAGACGATTCGATGACGTCATCGTGTACTTGCGTCACTCGACCAAAAGCGTCAAGTATAAGGTGAGAAACAGGAGAAATGGGGACGATCTCAGTGATTTTGTCTATTCAGGTCTTGCACACACTTCCGTTTGATGCGGACCGTAAGCGCATGTCAGTGATTATCCGAGAGACAACTGGCAAAAAACGGATCATTGTGCTCACGAAAGGAGCCGATGCAACTGTGTTGCCGGTCCTGAGCAACGCATTTTGCACATCCGTTCAAGGAGAAGACGTCATTTTCAAGGCACAAGAACACTTGTCGCAGTACGCAAAAGAAGGGCTCAGAACTCTTTGTCTATCCATGAAAGTGTGGACCGAAGAAGAATATCAGGAGTGGAGAGAGAAGCACGAGGAGGCAGAGCTGGACATGACTGACAAAGAGGAACTGCTCGCGGAGAGCACGATTCGGGCAGAGCAAGACCTCGAACTTCTCGGAGTGACGGCCATCGAGGACAGACTGCAGGACGGAGTGCCCGAATGCATTCATTCGTTGCGAGAGGCAGGCATCCGGGTGTGGGTTCTGACAGGAGACAAAGTGGAAACAGCAGTCAACATAGCCTACTCTTCTCGCCTTTTCTCCCCTTCCATGGATCTTCTGAACATTGGAGCGAACGGAGTTCGTGCCGTTTCGGACCTTCTCGATGAGCATTTGAAGCGGATCGCAAGAGCTCAAGAGGTCTCTGCCGATGCCATCGACTCATTCGGGCTCGTTTTGAATGCGGCCACAATGAACTACTGTCTCGATCCGCACAATCAGGATAGATTCGTCAAACTGTTGCGTGGCTGCCGCTCGGTTCTTTGCTGCAGAGCAACTCCCTTGCAGAAGGCACAACTTGTGAATCTGGCAAAAAGTCAATTGAAAGGAAAGGTCCTCGCTATCGGAGACGGAGCCAACGATGTCAGCATGATTCAGGTGCGCACATTCCATCATCACTTCTCATTCAATATTTATTTTTAGGGCGCCGATGTCGGAGTGGGATTGTCTGGACAGGAAGGAATGCAGGCAGTCATGTCTTCTGACTTCGCGATGGCTCGTTTCCGTTTTCTCTCGAATCTTCTGCTCGTTCATGGCCACTGGAACTACTATCGTCTCGCCCAAACGATTCTTTATTTCTTCTACAAAAATGCCGTAAGTTGTCTCTCATTTTTCTTCTGTTTCTCATCATTCTCATTCTGCAGATGCTCGTGTTCGTCATATTCTGGTACCAGATTTTCAACGGTTTCTCCGCCCAAGTGCCCATCGATCCTGTTTATTTGATGGTCTACAATTTGATATTCACTTCCGTACCCGCGCTACTTTTTGGATGTCTCGATCAAGACGCCAGTGCTGAGATTCTCATCGAATGTCCAAAATTATACGAACAGGGAAGAATGGGTAAACGATACAGATGGTATTCGTTCTGGATAAACATTCTCGATGCGATCTACCAAAGTCTCGTTGTCTACTTCATTTGCTATCTGGTAACTCGGCACTATCTGAGCCACTCACCATACTCTCCTTTCAGACTTACCGTGATACAAACGTAGACATGTGGACTTTCGGTCACTTGCTCGTCACTCAACTCATCATTGTCAACACTTTCCATCTGGCTCTGTTCGTGCAGTACTGGACTTGGCCCATGTTCTGGTCTATGTTCCTTTCCGTCCTTCTCTTTTTCATTTGTGCACTCCTGTATAATGGATTCGTCACTGCCAACTGGACCTGGACGAACGTCAAAGATCCGCCGTCAATGGTCTCACTGAAGTCGTTCTCGAGTCTCGAGTTCTGGATGGCACTCGTAATCTCTGTAGTCCTTTGTCTGACTCCCAGATACGTTCTCACGTCCATCGTGAACACAGTCAATCCATCGACGACTCTCCGCACAAGGCTCGGAGCAGAAGACGGAATCAAGAAGACTCAATCACGTATGCTCCATTGTAATGTGTCGAATGAACCTTCCCCTATTCCAGGCTTCACTTCTTGCGCCGTCGGATGCCTCTCCGCGCCCTTCAAGTGCGCCCGATTATGTTGTAATAAAAAGAAGCCGACTGTCTACGTAAGTTCCCTTGACCTCCTTGCCCTTTGTAATACGATCCCTCTGTTTCAGATCGAAGAAGTGCACTGACCGAATTCCCTTCCTTACCCTCTTTTTCCTCATTCCTTATCACATTTTCAAGGTCCTTATTCACTTTCCTTCTTTCTCTCTCTCTCTCCATTTCTCATTTTTGTACCATTTCTCATACAACTCAATCATCCCATTCTCACGAGTTTTGCCTTTCAGACGGGCCCTCTCCACTCCTTTTTCTCTGCCTTTGTATTCGGTTTAGGCGCATTTTTCGAACAACTTCCCCGACGGCTCTTGCTGATAAACCCCTCATTTTTGTACGCTCAGTTTTATCACAAGTCCTCTCATCCTGTAAAATAAAACCATCGCTTCCCCGTTGCGGGAAATGACTTCCTTTATAGCATCCCAGTAGATTTTCCTTACTACGAGGTGTCACTTTTGTTAGAAATCCTTGAGAGACTCATTCGCTCTTTAATAAAATGAATGAACTCTTGTGCTATTGTGTATATTCATAAAGTGTTGCGATGCACACGAAAACAAATATGTAGTTGAAGGTGGAATGGTGGGAATGGGAAGAAGGCTTCTCTGACCCGCGCACGTCATCGAACGAATCGGACAAAGACTATTTGCATCTTGATCTGCGCATGGTTTGAGAACCGATCAAATGACGATTTCGGAAAGTACTCCAGCTGATAAACACTGTTTTGCATGAGGCAAGACCCTTGACAGTGGATGAGGTCGCAAAGAACGGACGAAAATGGCACGGGACTCTTCGAATACTCTTCCAGTCCGGACTGCTTCTTACGTCAGTCCGCGGACTGATCGCCTTCGCAAAAGTCAGCTGTCGATCTGTTCGAGCAAGTGAAGAGCTTATGGAATAATGAGACGCAGATGTGTCTGTGTCTCGTCGCTCCTTTCCCTTTGCTACGATGTATTTGTGTCTGTCGCTGCGACGAGAAACGGGCGCTCCGACGAAACAGCTGAGTGGAGGACGCGAGAGAGTGTGGAAGGCAGCGGAGAGCGCAGAGACGGGTCTATTGATTGGGCCGCCCGAACATACGGGCAGAGGGAAGACGAGGTGGGCGTGGAGATGGTTTCACACTCTCCGGAAGCTTCCCAACATCTTCGAATCTGTTCATCGTCCCGTTCTTTATTCTATCCTCTTCATATAAGGTTTGACAATACTCTCATTCGAACATCATTTCTTCTTTTCGATGTCGCCAGTTTCTTATTTGATTTCTAAAAATGAACCGACGGTCCGTTCTCTTTCTCCTTTACCTCTAGTTTGTGAATCTCAAGCTTCTTTGGCACAAATTTGAATTGCAAATCAGACCCTAAGTGTCAGCAGTGCGTTGCCCATTTGCTTCCTCGAATTGCGTCACTCTGAGAAGTAACTAAAGAAAAAGGTGGTGGCTTTCTAGGTTTCTTTCGTTCTGTTATTACTGATGTACTTCGGCGAAACACGAGAACTTTGTCCTTTCATAAGTTTATGAGTTTGTCATGACTCGTCTGAAACTCTTCCCATTTACCATGATGTGACTCACCCTCTTTACTTTTGTTAAGTTTCCGGACAATACCGAGTCAGAATATGAGTTACATGTTTCTGTGCCACCCGAGGTTCCTCCGAGGTTCCAATGTTCTGCAACATCCCAGTTTATTGTGCGTTTGTTGCATTGTTCGGAGGAATCGAGCAACCCAAACCATTCCACTATTGCGATTCAAGCCGAACCCCCATTTTATTTCGTCAGGCTGACGCTCTTCGCAACATGTCGTTTTCCCACTTTTTCCGCTCTTCACCCGTCTTCTTGCTGAGCTCTGTTTGCTGCTGTTGCTTCTGTATTTGATCAAGCCTGCCTTCGTCACTCGTCCTTCCGCTCCCCGTCTTCAAACTGATTCGTTTTTTTTCGACCGGTCTTTTCTCATTGAAACTCTGCCTAAATGATCTACCTTTCGTCTGTTTGCCACGTGCCCCTCTGTACTTTGCTCTTTCTACTCTTTTTCTCTTTTTATGGTTTTTGCTCGTCAATTTTATCGTTTCACGTTGCCTTTCCAATCAATTAGTTTTGTCTTTAATAACAGCTATTCGTCTTGGCTTCATAGTTATTTTCATTAGTCTTCCTCGTTAATCAAACCGCCCGAGACGAGCGGAACAGTTGTTAATGCTGCACCTCGTACCGCCCACGTCTTAAATTAGAAACTCTCTCCTTCAAGACTACAATGTTTAAGTAGACGACAGTTCACACTTCACAGCACATATATGTGTGGCTGAGCGCCGATGACGTGATAGATTGACTGATGTTATTGACCGAAGACGAGTTTGGTTTTTTATCGAATCTAACAGTAGACACCAGCCATCGACGGCTGGGAGATGTACTACGGTAATAACTGTGTGGCGAACAGTTAATTTGTTCGCAGATTCATCACTTGTCGATGTTCTTCTGATTCGATTGCTTTCTGATAAGTGTTCTGTTTTCGTGACGATTGATAAACTGCTCTTTCCTTCATCGAAAAAAACTGTCCGTAGAGAAAGGGCTTTTTCTCGTTAAACGGTCAAAAGTGTAACAAGCGTTGCAGCCCGTTTCACGGGGATCAAGGTCTTGTTGCCGAGTTCATTGCATTTCTCGTGCCGATCCGCTGCCATCAAACCCATCTCTACTGCCGTCAGCGTTTTCTTCTATCCCTTTCTCTTTTTTGTTTGTGTCTACGTGAGAAACACAAGAAACGATTCACCCGAAAACTCGTCGATTCGATCACCCAGCTGTTCGACCCCACGTTGATCGGACTTTGACCTAGTCCATTCCTGTCCTTTGCGATTACCCGCTTGATCTTTGGTTCGTACCTATATGTTATCATTAATTTCTCGTTTACCTATCGATCGAACGGAATGAATTCATTTGATTGATAGAAACAATTATACTGATTTGCTAACACGTTTTATGACTGTTGGTCAGCATGGTCGTGGCGGACGATCTGAACCTTCGGAGATCTAAACTGTCGAAAACAAAACGGGCGAATTACCACGTTATCATTTGACTCCCCTTTTTTTTGCATTCTCAAACACATTTACATAACCAACAATTTCAATGATCTTCGACTCGTTCACATTTTTTCCATCTCTTCAATTGAATGTTTGGTCGGTCTAGTCTCGTTCGTTTGACCTGTTTTGAATGTCTGGCGAACAACGATCAGTCCCGTTAATGAATGGACGACGGACTTCCTCAAAATTTTTGTTTTTTTCGTATCTTCCTCGCCGCCGCTCAGGTGACTTCCCAGAGCGAGCATATTACACTTTGACTCCTCGTCCATGCATTCTTCTACAGCCTTGTCTTTGTCTTCTTCCCCTCTTTTTCTGGTTCTTTTACTCTCATAATATTTTTACGAGTCGGAACGCAGTTCAATCTGTTCTCTTTTGCAGGAGTCGCCAACAAACCCTCAATTCTTGACCCCACCACCTCGATCCTTGACGCCGTCTTCCATGCATCTTTGAACGCGTTGAAACTCCTCGCAAACGGTTCTCATCGCAATATCCGCTTGGAAAATTCCGGTTAACAATCGAAAAATGGTAGCCGGTGTGAGACTACTCGCATACGGACGACTAGCAGTAAGGGCCGTATTCTCGGCTTCTGCTCTGGATTTAGGTGAGCTCCGACAGCTTGTTCCGCTGTTAAATAATCGTTATCTTCTTCAGGCTCAGCAGTTGGTCCTGAGGCGATCAGTTCCGGCCGCCGAGGACTGTCAAGCAGTGCCTCTAAGCCAAGCAAACCGTCCTCCGAAGGATCTCCCTGTCCTGCCGCCTCCGCTCACGTTGAGAATGTGATTGCGAGCTGTGCAGGGTTCCCGAAAGACATGCTGAAAGGACCTTCGACCGTACTTGACAAGGGAGTCTTCGGAGACGACGCCTGGTTTATTTCCAGGTTTAAGAACACATTTGTAGTTGGTCAGTGAGCCGAATCGAGTTAAATTTCTCTAAGTCTGTTATTTTTCAGGAGTGGCTGATGGTGTTGGCGGATGGAGGAAATATGGAATCGATCCTTCAGCATTCTCTCGGCGGCTAATGAAAGAGTGCGAAAAGAGGGTCCAAGAAGGAGACTTCGACCCGCAGAGACCAGATTCTCTTCTCGAGTACGCATTCATGGCTTCTGCTGAAGCGCCGAGGCCTGTTGGTAAGTAGCAGGAAAGATGTATCTGGAGAGTGATGGTGTATGTTTAGGGTCTTCAACGGCGTGCGTTCTTGTTGTCCACCAAGAAAAATTGTATTCGGCGAATCTCGGAGACTCTGGGTTTATGGTTGTACGCAACGGAAAAGTGATTTCATCGGCTGCTGCATTTTATTTTATCAGCTCTTTTTCAGGTCATCTCAAAAAGTCGCGAACAAGTGCACTACTTCAACGCGCCGTTCCAGCTGACTCTCCCACCTGATGGATACCAAGGATTCATCGGAGACAAGCCAGATATGGCTGACAGAGAGGAGTTGGACATGAAGAAAGGGGACATAATTCTTCTGGCGACTGATGGAGTTTGGGACAACTTGAGTGAGCAGCAAGTGCTCGAGCAGTTGAAGTCTTTGGATGAGGGAAAGCGAAATGTGCAGGAGGTGAGTCGTGGTGACTTGAGAATCTTTGAGAAGACGTTTCCAACTTTGCAGGTCTGTAATGCCTTGGCTCTCACCGCTCGCAGGTTAGCCTTCGATTCGAAGCACAACAGTCCGTTTGCAATGAAGGCTCGCGAGCACGGTTTCCTGGCTCCAGGAGGAAAGCCGGACGACATCACTCTCGTGCTCCTGCTCATCGCTTAGATTTGCTTCATTCTCGTTTCATCTTTTCTAGTTTAGTTTCGCATTGTTTCGTTTAATGTCTTTACTGGTCTGTACCCCTCATTAAATACCAATTTTTAATCACAAAGTTGTTCCTTTTCTCTCTCTGGAAATCAGTCGATCCCATCGACTGTCCTGCCCAATCTAAAGTACCTCCGAAATGTATCGCTTGATGTTTTGAGATCTCTTCGTCATGGATTCAGCTTCTTATTCGTCTCTCTTATCCCCTCTCTTCTGTTTCTTCTCTCTTTCTCCCTCTCTCTCTCTCTCCCTCTCTCTTGTAAGCTCTCACCGTTCGTATCACGCGCCTTTTTCTGTGCTCCTTTCTCCATGAGATTCCCCCACTCCACACTTTTACAGCAAGTGTCCACGTATTCGGAGTATGTTCTTAAGGGTCATTCTTGTTTTTAATGTCGAGGTCGCCACGGCCTTTTGCTTTAGCCGTCAGTTGTTGGTCGGTTAGTCGGGACAAAGTCCATTTTCTTTTTGTTGTTTGTTTCTAATTAAGTCGCCATTTCACGATCAACGGCGCTATTCCGTCACCCGTACAATAAATGTAGTTGAATCGATATCGAACAAACAGAAAGCGTACAGACATTGTTTGATCGCGCGAGACGCAGGCGGAGACGGTCTCGACAGGAGGGAAACTCCTTCTTGTTTCGGCGACGCCTCGGTTCGTTCCAATTTGGATGCGTTTGCAGAGACCGGAGTGACGGACGCGGCGGATGAAGATGTCGATCAATACGTGCGGATCTCGCATCAGAAGCCCCAGGTGCCCATCCAAGAAAACCATTTTCGTGTTGAGACCCTCAATTCCAGAGATGCCATTCTTCACCTCGTTTTTGGCATTACCATCGGATACCTCATAGGGATTCTTCTGTTTTTTGACGGAGACAACGACGTTTCCGAACACATTCATCTCGTGAATCACGGTGAGACTCTCGTGGCGAACTACATTTTGAAGTCGTGGAATTCAGAATCACCGACTGGTCAACAGCAGCAGCCGTTCCATCTCCGATGTGTCATTATTCTTCATAAATCACTACACGTGAGTCGCACAATTTACAGAAAAGATTTGCAATGAATGTTCAGAAACCTGAGAAAGTGGTGTCTGCGATTCATGACGGATACACAAAATTGTGCAACGAAACGATATACTTCACGAACAATCAGAAGCTGTTCAACAAGCTTGAGAGTGAGCACAAGCACGAATTCCCTTGTAATCCATTCCGAATTGCAGAGAATCACACTATGTTCTTCGTCGACTCGAGCGCCAATCACTACTATTGGTCGTACTATCAGTACGTGATGGAGTTCTCTTCAAAGGTTCCAGCGCAGTGGACATTCATCGGAGACGATCAGACTTATCTGATCGTGCCGAATCTCCAGCAAACCCTTCGTAACTTTGACTCGACGGAGCCAATGATATTCGGAAAGATAAAGGATACGAGGTGGACCGGTTTCCTCGCTCCCTACTTTCATTCCATCCCTTTTCAGCAACTTTCTTTCGTGGGTTTTCCCTTTCTCCAGCTACCAGAAAGTGTCGATTCGTGGCGGAGCTGTCTTTTCCAATTCTGCCATCGACCTACTCTCCCAGTGCAAGTTCGTTCTTCCTTTTTTTTTAAATCTTCTTCATCGTTCTTCTCCCAGAGGTTTCTTCTTTTCCCGTTCCTCCGACTTTGCCCTTTACGACTGCAGTGTAAAGTACAGAGTCCGATTGGTAGATCCGTTCGACGAGGACGCACTCCGACTGTTCAACGACCTCCCTCCCAAACAGATAATTGCTCCCGACTCGTCAGTCTTCCGGAGGGATCCCTCGAAAGGCGGAAAGTGCTCGGACCACGCAGTCTCTTTCGGGCAGCTCTCCGAGAAGGATATGCGGGTGCTTGAGTACGGAACAAGGGTCAAAGTGTTCGGAAGAGGAGGTACGTCCTTTTTGATTGCTGACCGCATTCCTCATTTGCAGGCCTCGAGACTTCCGAAACCAATCAGACCGTCTTATAATCGCGATCCCGAGAACGTCAAGTTGCGCCAACGTCGAAAGTTCTTCATTTACAACGTGTGATCTATTGCAAGCGGGTTACTTCTTCTTTCTCTATTTACAACCTAGTACTTAAAACTGTGATTTTATTTGTTGCTTTCCGAATGAAGTTTTAACAACCAATTTATACTGATAACTTAACAAGAATAAGAACAAAAGAGCTATACTATCTACGAAAATGAGAACAGAAGAAAACAGATAATTTGGGGAACCAGAAGATTTAAACGATTTCGATGACAGCTCCGGCCTTCTCCAGAACAGCCTTCAGTTCGTCTGCTTCGGCCTTTCCAAGGTCCTCTTTCACATTGACTGGAGCCGTTTCCACGAACTTCTTGGCTTGAACGAGGTTGAGTCCTGGAATGGCATTGCGGATTTCCTTGATGATGGCGATCTTTTTGGTATCATCGAACTTGGTGAGTTTCACAGTGAACGTCATCTTTTGTGGCACATCGGAAGCAGCCTCAGAAGCATCAGCTGCAAAAAATACGTACAAATGAGCAATTTAACAAAATTATACCATGAGCAGCAGGGGCAGCAGCCGCAGCTGGAGCGAAAGCAGCAGAAGCCATCAGTGGTTGATCTGGAATGTTGAGGCGCTTCTTGAGAGCCCAGTTCAGATCGGAGACGTCCAGTAGACTCAGATTGGCGATTTCTTCGACAAGAGCGGACACTTTCGGAGAAATAGCCCTGTCCTCTGACGGAAGTGGCGCTGGAGCACCTTCGCTCAACGGAAGACCTGAAACACGAAATAAACTATTGAAAAAATCCTGTTCAGCTCACCAGCTGCTTGAGAATACTTGACACTGCTTCTGAGAACCTTTGAGATCGGTCGGAGTGTTCTGGACAACATGCTTGGCTGAAATCAAGAAGATTAACACTTTTCAAAGGACTAGAGCTAAAAGCAAAAAAGAAATAAGATAGCAAAAATTTCTAGTTTTTCACATGAAAAAGTGAAATATACTCAAGTGATATCGATATCGTGAAAGATTCGAAACGGTTATTGTACGAATCATTCGAGTCATTGTAGCCTACCAATGGCACTCCGTATTATCGATTCCGAATCGCCTAGAAGAAGCTGTCTTCAAATTGCAGCGTTCAAAGTTAAAAAAAAAACCCCAGAAATCCCGCCGATTTTGCTGTCAAAGTAGGTCAACATTTCCTTGAAAAACTCTGGTGATTGCGTTTCGCAAGTCTCAACGAACGGTTTTGGAACTGCAAGAAGCGCGATACTCGTTGCAAGAAGCGCGAGACTTCTTGTTACTTTTGAGTTTCATTGCAACATTCGAAAATCACATTGTAACTTTTCAGTTCCATTGCAACTTTCGAATTTCTCATTGCAACTTTCGCGCTTTCGACAACATGCGAAACGAAATAGCCAGAGAACGGGGTCCGCACAGTTGAACGAACGTTACCATACACCATAAAACTACGGTATTTAAAAAACACTTTAAATTTCTTGTTTAAAAATAGAAGGGAAAAAAGATAATATCTGCAAAAACAATTTAAATTGGAAATTTTTCCTCACCTAGCGTTTGTGGAGGCCCGGCGGACACCCGCCGGTTTTTGAAGCATCGTACTGCGCCTTGTTTAGCAGAAAGTGGCATTTATTGGATTTTGACAGAGATTTCTCAATAAAAATCAAGAGAGAATTAATGTGAAACAGCCAGAAAGCATAAAACTAAATGAAAGAAATACAAGATTACTTTTTCAGAATCCCTATAAAATTTATTCAGCTTCTTCACAATCTCTTTCTGTTTGAAAATAGCGTGGAACTGTTACCGGATTGGCTGCTCTCGGAGCACCCGACGACGTCATAGTGGAATTCTGATGGGCTTGTTCTGTATGGATCGCACGTCAGTGCCTCTCCTCGCGGGCAGAGGATGCCGTCTGAGCGTCCAAGCTGGTATAGTGGAATTCTGATCGGCGAGGATTCTGAGAAGCCTGGAGAAGGCTTTTGAAGTCTTCTGAACGAAGGAGAAGTCTGTAGAAAGTACGGAGGGTTCGATGAACTGGAAGGAACGAAGGTGAGTGTCTCTCCTCGGTGGCAGAGGCTGCCGTCCCAGCGTCCAAGCTTCTCAATGTGGAATTCTAATGAGCAGGGATTCAGAGAAGCCTTGAGAAGGCAATAGACACAGGCTGAAAGCAACAGAAGTGTGTAGAAGGCAAGGAGGGACGGCGAAGTGAAAGAAACGCACGCAAGTGGCTCTGCTCGCTCGGAGTGGCTGCCGTCCGAGCGTCCGCCGTTCTCAATGTGAAATTCCAATGAAGAGGTTCTGATCGACATTTCTGACTTTACCGCGACTGTAAGAGGTTGTCAGGTTGCCCCAAGTGTCTCCATTACTTCTATGGGCTATGTTCTTCTAGTTTTGTCCTAATTGGAAACACGAGAACACTTGGTACGAGCACAAGAGTCGGAAATGTTCAGATTGCTTTAATGTCCTTAAGGGGCAGCAATCTGCCGCAGAAGTTCGCAGAAATCGTAAAATTAAAAAAAATAAACAGCGGACACCGAGCTTCTCTACGAGCAAAGCCACTTACGCTCGATCCTTCCACTTCACCGTCCCTCCTTGCCTTCTACGCACTTCTGCTGCTTTCAGCAGGTTTCTATTGCCTTCTCTAGGCTTTTTTGAATCCCTCCTCATTAGAATTCCACATTGAGAAGCACTCGCTATCAAGAACGCCCTCCTCGTGCGGGGTTGGTTTCCTTCCTTTCTTATTCATCTTAACAGCCATTCTTTTTTCGTGTCCTTCCTTTTACCGGCCTCCTGCCGATGAATAAACGAATTAATAAAGTAGGACTGCGCCTATAATATTTAAAGCTATATATATATATATATATATATTATAGGGGCACCGGACAGAAAGGGCGCGCTGTTCGCAATCTGGCCGAATTTCTAGGCCGCGAAGTAATTTTCCACTGAAAATGTGGCCTAACTTTTCAAACTCGGCCCCGAGGTCGCTCAATGTGCACTGCAAAAAGAGTTTCTCAACAGAGCGCCATTTCTGTGCGGTGCCCCTATAATAAAGCTATAGATATCAGGTTCGACAGTTGAGCCAAGCACCATATTTTCTGGATTTTAATGCTAATCTTTGATTTCCTTTTAACTATCAAGTCATGATAAACTTGCTTTTTGATAAATTTGTGTTCACACAAAAGTGTTTTTTTATCAATTCGTCCATATTTTGCTTCCTCTCCTTTCTGGGGTTTATGGGTTTATTCAGGCTGTGAAAAAAATGATTGTTTTCCGTTTTTTTTCGTTTTTTTACGTCACAGGTGATTCGCGATCGGTCTATTGAGAACGTAGGTCTATAATATGCCTATCATGAGCCAATCGCGAAGAAAAATTGCCTACAATACGTCTATCGCGAAAATTCCCGAATACGCATACGATAGGTCTATTTACTCTAAAAAGTGCTCGCGATAGGTCTATTGAGCATGAAATTATCGTGATCGGTCTATCATGCGCCTATTGAAGAACCCGCTCCGAGTTCTCAATAGACCCATTACGAATCACCTGTGGTCAAAAAATCGAATTCAGCGATGTAAAAAACGAAAAAAATCGGAAGACAAACATATATGTTTGTCAATCTAATGCGCATTAGATTGCGTCGGCGGTCGCGTCGCGTGTGCCGCTACGACACTCCGAAATTCCGGTCGACCTCTCGACCCAAATCTCTGAGCACAAGCCCTTCTGGACCGGCTCTGCTCCACTTTGCAAGTTTGATTCAGCCCATATTTGTCGAGTTTACTGTCTCTTAATTTACGAATGTACAAATTACAATTTAATGGGGCTATTTTTTAAACCGCTGAATTGGGTTTTTTGACGTAAAAACACGAAAAAAACGGAAAAAACCATTTTTTTCACAGCCTGAATTACCCCATAAGACTGTCTCGAGTTTGAGCTCTAATACTCATTTTTCTCTCTGCTCCTTTTCCAAAACCTTTTTGCTCGGTGTATCAAATGGCTTAACACAATTCTTTGCAGGTACTATATGAGTAATTGCTGAACTCATCCAATTTCACCGTTTCCCGAATATAATCAACTCATAAAAGGTGAGTACTTTGTCTGCATTCTCCGTTTCCCTTGTGCTTCGATCAATGAGTGTTCCCGAGAGTTCTTCCGCCGCTTGTACACAGTGTTTCTTTGCAGTATGGGCACGAACACGGGTCTGGTGATCGCCGGAGTGGCAGGCGCGACAGCGCTCGTCATCTCGGCGGCCGCAGTTCCGTTCGTGGCTCCCGCATTGCGTCGCGTCTGCATCCCCTACGTGCCAGCCACTCCGACTCAGCTCGCAAACGTCTCCCGCGCACTTTCTCTCGCTACCAACAACACGAAGGGAACTCTCATTGATCTAGGCTCTGGCGACGGTCGTGTTGTGAGTAAATTTTGGTTATTCGTGTGTTTTTCAGATGAAATTTGGCGAACAGCTAGCCAGCCACTTGACGCCAGAGTGGCGGAAACAGTACATTGACTATGAAAGACTCAAAAGTCTGTTGTACGATGACATGATGGAGGTGCCGGCCGACGACGACAGAAGAGAAGAGCACATTTCCCGGCTCGACGAGAAGTTCTTCAATGAGTGCGATCAAGAACTCACGAAGATTAATCTATTCTTCTCGCAAAAGATAGCCGAAGGTCAAGGAAAGCACCACGAGCTGCAGACTGAACTGCAAGTGTTCAAAGATGTGCTCGGCTCAAGAAACGAGGCAACCGGAGTGCGGAGAAGGTTCGGAGGAAAAGACAGATTTCACAAGGAAACAACTCGCAACGAACAACAGCTGAAACTTGCATTCTCCGAGTTCTATCTGTCCCTTGTGCTCGTGCAAAACTACCAGCAATTGAATGCAACTGGATTCCGAAAGATTTTGAAGAAGCACGATAAGTTGACTGGGAATGAGAGAGGACTCGACTGGAGAATCAACAAAGTAGAGAAGTCGTCTTTCTTTTTGAATCGCGAGATTGAAACACTCATTACAAATGTTGAAACAAGTGTAATCAACGATTTGGAAGGCGGTAACCGACAAGCAGGAATGAAACGACTCAAGGTTCGAACTGTATTTCTGCAAATCATAGTTGAATTGGTTTTAGGTTCCACCACTTTCGGAGAAGCAGAAGCCACTCACAACCTTCTCATTGGGCCTATTCATAGGAGCCAGCATCGTTCTGCTGTTGGCCATACTTCTCACTTGGTGGGCTTCCCCGCCACGTCCCCAGGAACCGAAATGGGTGGCAGTTCGGCTCTTCCGTGGACCTCTTCTTCTCTTCCTCTCCATATTCCTCTGCGGAGTCAACATGGCTGGATGGGCTGGCGCTGGAGTGAATCACGTTCTAATCTTTGAAGTGGACCCTCGAAATCATCTTTCCTATCAAACGCTCATGCAAATCGCTTCCTTCATGATAATGCTCTGGTCGTTTGCCGTACTCGCCTACCTCTACGCCCACATGTTGCACATTCCGCCGTTTGCTCCTCCGCTCGCCCTCATGATTGTCTGCCTCGTCCTTCTGCTCAATCCAATCGCCAAACCGGATTCAGTTTTCCATCGGAATTCTCGGTTCTGGTTGCTGAAACACTGCTATAAATGTTTCACTTCACCGTTCCATTTTGTCACGTTCACTGATTTCTGGCTCGGAGATCAGATGAATTCGTTGACGACTGCCTTCCTCGATTTCCAGTACTTTGTTTGCTTTTACGCGACCGAAGTCGACTATTCGAATGGATGGATCGAAGTGAAAGGAATAAACTCAACCACCGGATCGATTCCATGGGGAAGTGTCGAGCTGTCGAACGGAAAGGATCAGTGCGCATCAGCAGCCGGATTGAGGTCTCTCATGTCCATAGTTCCCGCTATGATTCGCTTCCTACAATGTCTGCGGCGATACAGAGACACGAAAAGAGTGCATCCACATCTGGTCAACGCCGGAAAGTATTCAACCACGTTCTTCGTGGTTGCCTGTGGAGCACTCAACAAATACTACGAAGCGAGCGATCCGAACTCGACGTCCATCTTCTTCTACATTTGGATTCTCTCCTACATCATGTCGTTCACTTATACCTTCCTGTGGGATATCTTCATGGATTGGGGCCTCATTGATCCCCGTGCGCCAAAAGAAGCAAGATTCTTGCGAGAAGAAATGATATATGGCAGCAAATGGTACTATTATCTGGCTATCGCTCAGGACTTTGTGCTTCGTCTCGCATGGGTTCTCAATGTATCTCTCGGTGAGGCATGGACTCTGGACTCCGACTTCCTGACTACAGTGACGGCACCATTCGAAGTTTTCCGTAGATTCATCTGGAACTATTTCCGACTCGAGAACGAACACGTGAACAACTGCGGTCAGTTCCGTGCCGTCCGCGACATTTCGGTGAAACCGATTCGAAAGGGGGATCTTGAGTCACTTCTCTCCAAAATGGATCAAATGGACGGAGTCACCCATCGTGGACACGATCTGATGGAGAGAGTGAAAAAGCAGAAGAAATCGGCAAAGGCCACCCGTCAACTGCTTCGCAAAAACCGATTCAATCGGATGATCGCGGCTGCTCCTGTCGTCACGACTACTTTCATTGATACCACTATTAACAACTAGCCCGTCGGTCAGACCACGACTGTAGTTCTTTCTAGCTTGTGCACGGTTCACTAAACTCTTTCTGCCTTCTCGGTAATCATGACAATCTGTGAGCGCTCGATTGTCTTCAGGGAGCCTTTTGCCTATTTTTTATCCTTTATTCACATTCCATTCTTTTTTTAGTCTACCCTAGCCAGCTTTATTGCTCATCTTCTCCTGTTCCCATTTTTTATCTAGTCGTATTTGAGTGAAAGTTTTAATAAATTTATGAATTTGTCCTGAAAGTCTGGGATGTATTGTAAACTTGAGATTTTCTCTTAGTTTCGTCAGTTTCAATGTCTCCTTCCAGGTGCTTCAATGTGCCAAACAAGGATACAGAAGCACGGGCGTCGAATTGAACTCAATTCTCGTCGCGTATTCGAAGTACCGATCAATCAAAGACGGACTCAGAAAGGAGGCAAAGTAATTCTGGAGCACATCTGTATGGTTAATTGTTGTTCAATTTCAGATTCCAGAGGAAGAACATTTTCAAAACGGATATGCATCCATTTGACACCGCCGTGATCTTCGGAGCAGAAAGTCTAATGGGCGATATGGTTCCGAAGCTGAGCGAGATGCGGCCGAACACCAATTTGCTCGCGTGCCGCTTCCCACTTCCGGAGAACGATGCGTGGAAACTGGTGAGAAGAAGATAGAAGCCCAATGAGTACTCATCACGATAATTCAGGAGCATCAAATCGGAGAAGGCATCGATGCGGTGTGGGTCTACAAACGGAATTGAGGAGAAAAGGAATAATTGTAGTTTCTGTTGATTTTATGATTTGTCTGTTTTTGTTTTCAATAAACTCACGTTTTCCATCACTGTCGCTGTGTTAGAATCGAGATACTTCGATAAACAATCCTTTGACGAATCAGTGTATAAATGACAATTTTTCTCTACAGAATGTTCCTGAAAATGAGCAGCAGTCTATCGGTCGCCGTCCGTTCCCGGGCCACGTACTACCAGCAATCCCGTCGTTTCCCTCCCGCATTCATCCGGTCAGTGGTCCCTCCGTTCCTCTGTTCCCATCTCCGATCCCTTTCAGACGGTTTCTTCTCCGTTATCCGAGTGCCCATTTGTACCTGGTGTTCGGTCTATGCTCCTCCGCGATGGTCGCTCCCGTCCTCCATTCGGTCCGCTTCCCCTCTCTCATTTCCATAATCTTCCTCTCGTTTTCAGTGTTATTTGTACATGACAATGTCGAAGAACGAGTTCGAACAGTACCGCGTCGAGCAGAATGCAATCGTTTTGGAAAGACAGAAATTTGGTGGGGGGAGAGTTTGAAAGACGAAAAGAAAAGGGACGTTTTCAGGAAAGGGACTCTGGTTTCCGTTTATGTCGAAGGAAGAGCCGAAGCCAGCCGGGAGGACAGCAAATTGAACAGCACTTTTATTTTAATAAATCTCATAGATAGTTTGAGTACAAATCAAAAAATGTTAACAGTTTCATAGAAACTAAATTCAGAATCTCGAGTTATTCAAAGTTTCTTCTTGAAGTCGGCGCCCCGATTTCTCTCGATTTTGTTGTTGGTTGCCTGAAATCAGATCTCCTTTTCCCACTCTCTCTCCTTCTGATCTCTTACCCGAACCGCTCTGTAATTCACATCCCAAATCGCTTCCTCTGCACCTTCCCATTTATGGGGACCGTTCAATCGGAATACGTACGGCACGCACGGCCCGAAAAACACTTTCCAAGCGAGCAACGGCTTCTGCATACACAACGTCTTCATGTCCGGATTACATCCGATCAGATCTCCCAGATCGTGCATGTACTTTCCGTAGTCCACCTGGATCGTGTGTCTTCTGCTCGCCACGTACCGATGTTCCAATGCTTCTCTCGTTGCTTCGATGTCCGCCCGCATCTCCTCTCTGCTCGGCAACTTCTGATCTCCCGCGAAGGTTTCTAAGTAGACTCTCGCCTGCATTTCACTGATTGGCATGATCGATCCGACCGGTTGCACTAATCCTATCACGGCCAGAGAGTTGTGATCTGCGGTAGCCAATGGGAACATGTACTTGAAAGCTTCTGTTTGGTTTTCGTTCACTTTCACTAGATTTCCACGTTCGATTATGTCAAAATGGAAAGAGAATCCAGTGGCAAGGATGACCTCGTCTACGTGATCCACTACGGAGCCGTCGTCGAAAGTAATCGAGTGCTCTCCGAACGACTGGATTCCCGGCTTTACTCGCACTGTTCCGCACGCGATTCTGTTTGGCAACTCGTCGTTCATCGTCGGATGAGCTCTGCAAAGTCACGAATTATTACAAGGATCAAAGACTCTGGACCACTGACGAAAGGACAGAGTGCTTCGGTTTGAGCCCGTATCTCTCGTGGTCGAATCTCTGGTTGAGTAGTCTTTCGAAGTTCCAGTTGATGAGACTGGTCGGGACTGTCTGGGCGAGAGCCAATTGGAACTTACTGAAAGAATGAATGGATTGGAGGGACAACACAGAAGAAATGGTTCACGTATTGAAAACCAGGTCGACGGGTTCTCCTCGGTCGAAGAGTCTGTTGAATATCCAGCTTCCTCTGCGAGTAACCAAGTACACCTGCTTCGATATTCTGCTCAGTTCGACCGCACAATCTCCGCCCGAGTTGCCTATTCCGACCACGACGACGATCTTATCTTCGTACCCTCTGTAGTCTTTGTAATCGTGCGAATGTACAACCCGTCCCTTGAATCGCTCTTGCCCTGACCACGGCTTCGGAACATGGGGGATAGCATGGTGTCCCGAACAGAGCATCACTCCGTCGAACACCTTCTCGTGCTCTTCCCCTTCTCCGTCCGTGTACCGTACCCTCCACTTTCCGCTCTTTTCATAATCTTTGTTTCTCTCAATTGAGAGCACCGAATGATTGAGTTTAATGTAATCCAAGAGGCCGAAGTTCTTTGCGTAATTCTTCAGATACCGACACATTTCCGTGTTGTGCATGAAATTGGCCATCGTGTCTTCCGGAGGGAAATCCGAAAACGCTGTCATTTCTTTCGAAGTGTTGATTACTGTCGACTTCATTACCGAAGACACTGCAAGCATTTTTTGCAAAGAATGAAGCGAATGAATACTCACGATCGGTTTCGTACGGTTTGTAATTCCACAATCCGCCGATGTCTCTTGACTTTTCGAAGCAAGTGACTTCGACATTCGGATACAGTAATGCATGTCTGCGAAAGGAAACGGTCAATCGAGATACATTTTCAAACAGTCTTTTAGATTCTGTTGGAATAAATTAATTCGAAAGTGATTAAAATACGTTGCTGTTGCGAACTTTCAAATCACTTTGTTTGAAGACAAAAAGTACATAAATGATGAATCGGAAGTACGTGTGCCCTGCTAGAAACCGTAAACGCACCGGATGGACGGAAGGCCGGAGGCACCAGCGCCGACGATGAGAAGTTGTTTTTTTGAGACCGTCATAGAAATAACCAGCAAGAAATATCTGGCAGAATGTTCACCAAGACGGTCTTTTATAGGTGGTCGTCTGCTATTAAATTGGGTAGAATGACTACACGCGAGACCAGGAAAGTGAGGAGGAAGGAGACGCAGACGACGACGTGCTGTTGCAGATTGGTCATGTTAAGTAAACGGATCGAACGGGCAAGAATGTAGTTGGTTGGCTAGACTCTTCGAGTTTTGGATGATGACTGGCCGGATGAAAGGACCAGTCCCTTGTCCTCATTTGTAGTCTGTGAAAAAAGATCAAGGAAACGAAAAAAACGTGTTGTTCTTTATGTTTAAAATCTAAATAGGAACAAAGTGAAAGATCCATGATAATCGATTGTACACAAAACGAGAGGAGCATGTTTCCCACATATTAAACAGAAAACGAATGCAGATTGAGACAGAAAGGATGGATGCAGGATCAGCTGAGTGAAAGAGATAAAGAGAGGGAGAAAGTGAAGCAGAGAAGGCAGGAGTAGGCAACACTCGAGACAGAGATCGGATCAGGAAGCATAAGTGAACTAAGCAGCGAATTGACTAGAACATGAATGGATAAGAACGGAAATTAAACTTCAGATGACACTTGTTTCGTCAAGTTCTGGCTGTTGAGGCAGATACCGACGAGGCACTGGAGGAGCCATCGAAATACGACGAGAAGAGTAGATATCGTTGTCGGATGTGGAATATTCACGGCTTGACGTCGATCCCATTGCGGAGAACTGAATAAAATGTGAATTTAGAGGAAACAGATTTGATCTTTCTCACCTCTGGCAACTGGCAGAAGTCATTCTCTAGTGGCAATCCGTAATCTGAAGGCAATCCGGCAGTCACCAGCATATCGAACACTTCCCGGAAACCATTAGACCTTGCGTAGAACAAACAGGATCTTCCGTTGTTATCCAAAATACGTGGATCTGCGTTATGCTTAAAATAGCTCAGTCATGTTTCTGTACATCTTTCCAGTGCCTACCCAAATGAGAAGCTGTGCCAATTCGACGCTTCCGATGCTCGCCGCCAGGTGGAGCACTGTCCTTCCGTCTTTTGTGGTCGTGTTCACTTCGTCGACCGTCATTCCGTTTGCTAGCAATACGTTTAAAGTCATGACGTCACGAGCCAACACGGCGGAAATGAGCTGCGATGTGACGGGCTCTCTGTCTGGAATCGGCTTCAAAAAGCACTTCTGTACGTATTTCCTGTCGATGAACCGTTCTTTTTCATCGCGCAAACTGTCTGCACTCGGTTTCCGTTCGTTCATCAGACTGAACTCCCACAACTCGTTGGCTCTGTCGTTCCCGATCGACTGCATAACTGCCAGATGTTCAACAGGCCATTGATCGAGTTCCAATCCTCTAACTTTTGAAATATGTGATCCTAAATTGCGATGGATTCCCGAGCATTCGATGCAAATGACGATTCCCAGGTTGATGGACGCCCATTCGGCCGATTGGTTACCACAATCAGCACACCGTTCGTTTCCGGGAATAGAACGGAGAGCAGCAATGTCCGGGCGGTCGGCGACGGCGCGATTGTTTGTTTTCGCGTTCGCAACTTCTTTTCCTAACGACTTTTCGATTTCCATTCCGATCGCGTGAATCCATTCGTCCCGCTCCTCCACCGATCCGGCACAGAATTCCCATCGCATGAGACAGTTGTTAATCACTTCGAAGCATTCGTCCTCTTCGTCGTTGTGCTTCGAACTATTGCCTGCTTTCCGCGATTCCCTTTTCTTCTTTCCGGCAACTGTTTGGGGCTGCGCAGGCGGCGAGAACTGTTGTCTCTGATTCTCCTTAATCGCATCGTCGGAGCCTCCTCCAGAAGTGGCATCCCCTGAATTGGCTCCCATTCCAACGTCGCTCCGTCTCGGTTCGTAGCTCTTCAGTGTTGGCGTTCCGCTCCCTTCAGTTGACGATCCAGCAGTAATAACACGATGCGAATGGAGTGGATGGAGCCTGCCTGTTATCCGAATCGTCGCCAATTTCAGATCCATTTCTTTTCCTTGTGCCGTTTTGTCCATGTACTCCTTCAGGTTCGTGTGATATGTGAGACGGCCGTCATTGTAAAGACATACGTATTTCTTTTTCCATTCGCTGAAAAAGTGAACATAAACATAGCACATTCCTAAATTTGGACTAACCGATTCAATGCCGATTTAGAACTTTTCTTGTAAAGAGTTCCTTGTTTTATAGGGATTGCCCGACCGATTCCAAGGTTAAGAGACTCGATCATTTTTGTCTTTTCCTCCTGATTATCCTTTTGCCTCTGTAAACACATAAAAAATCGGTGCTTTGAAGATGCTTGAACTTACGAATATGTTTGATATTCTTCTGTTCTTCCGTTGTGTATTCGGCGTAGAAGAGGGTGTCGGAAGGTGTGATGTTGAAGCAGAGACTTGATTGGAACCGCCTTGATGATGTCCGATTGGAGTTCCCGTGGACGACATCGAGTCAATGGAGTACGAGTTGATGGCAGGCGTGTCCGAGTCAAGAAGAGCCGCCGAAGATCTCGAATAACCTCCGTTGGCGATAGAATGCACCGACTTCTGGCTGGAGGACGGAGACACTCCGGCTGCCATTCTGCTCCCGTATGAAGCCCCGAGCATCGTCGACATGGACCTTTCACTGGCCGTTCTGGAAGAGGGCGGCGCCTCTCTGTGATGGATTGTACTGCGACGGGCGGAGTTGACTGGATAGGACGGACGGATGTTGGATGGCATTGCGAACACCGTACTCGAACTCATGTAACGTGGATCCTGGTAGTCTTTGCGACCACTGTCAGAATGCGTCGGCGTCGGCGTTCTCGCTTGGGAAGAGGCGTTTCCCACTTGTGATCGGACACGAGACTGGATGATTTTGCAACAGGCTGAAACGAATACGTTGAGGAAATAGGGGAAAGAGCGGAAGAAGAAGGAGTTCGCAGCAGAGATACGAATCTCGAATTTTTTCTCATCTATCATTCAGATTTCACGATCACCGAATTAGAAGGAGGTGGCAAGAGAGAGAGAGAGACGTTCAACCGAAATTTTAACTTTACTGCGAAACGCTTTTAATTTCGCCTGCGCAACATGGTTTGTTTGCCTTTTCAGACAGAGCTACTCTGGTTAAAGTGAGTCGGTCGACAAGCGCGGAAAGGAAGAGAGAGCAGCCAACTCCCACGGGGCTTCTGCCCTCCCAGCTGCCTGGCGGCGTCGCTGACTACTGGTCAGAAAGCGAAATGCTGTTGCTGCCGAAGCTGAAGAAGCAGAAGTGGTTAGCTGGCGGAGAGGTGAGTGGGGTGGCCGCGCGATATTCACACGAAAAATTATGCCAAATTGACACGCTTCCCTGAATTCTTTACAATTGAGGCGAAAACGGTGAAAGCGTGGTATGCGCAGTGAATTCGTTGTTTACTTTCCTTTATGCGCCGGACGGTCAAGCGGACGGGTCAGATGCGCACGCAGCTGTTGGCCGAACTATTCCGTGACAAATCCGTGACTCGTGTCACTCTGTAGTGGGCCCGCGACTCTAGAATACGAAGAAAATACGGCGAGACATCCGTTTCTTCTTTTTCCGAAGAACAGAACAAAAACCGGAACTCTTGACTAGATAATCATTTCACACAAACAAAAGTGTCTTTCGTCCAGCCAACACTCTCGGAATCTCTCCGGCCGGTACTCTACGTCTTCCAGACAGTCTCTCTCTCTCTCTCTCTCTCTCTCTCTCTCTCTCTCTTTCTTTCTCTCTCTTTCTCTCTCTTTCTCTCTAATTCTTCATGAGAGACACCGCACAAAGTCAGAATTAAATGGCAGAATGAGCAGAAGAGAGGCACGGGGGCGCCGAACCTTTCCCTCTTTCGGTGGATCGACAGACCTCCGAACTGTTTGCGTTTCGTCAGCGAGTGCGCAATGCGTGTTTGCATCTCGTGTTCTACTCGAAAACTCAGCACACCCCGCAAAACACTTTATAATAAATTTTGTCAAAGTCGAGATTCTGTCGCTCGTTTTTATCTTGTGTGTCCGCAAAATAAGAGGGTCGGAGGATTTCGGAAAAGAAAGAGCGAGAGAAAAAGAGGAATGTATCAACCAGTACAGGCTGTGGAAAGAGAATAGATGGATAGTACTCTCTGGAAATAGAAAGACTGAACTTTGCAATGTTAGATAGAAGCCTACAGTATGCTTGACTTCATGCCTTCGTCCTGCGACCAGTGTCCTTTTGTTGTAATTTAACCTTGCATCATAATATAGGCCTAGTCATAAACCATTATTACGTAGCACGTGCCGTAATGGAATAGCGCAATTCGCTACCAACACTCAAGTGGGCCACAACAAAAAGCTGAGAGCATTGTGACGCGGCGGTAGTGAGCAAAGTATGTCACATACTTTGCTCGTTGCCACATACTGTATGTGGCAACAAATGGGGCAGCGGTTCGGAGAGTCAGCTTATCAGAGAAAAAGCGGATGAACAGGGCATACGAGTAATTAGAGCGTAAATTCGAATTCGGGGATACAATGCTTAGTACACTCACCCTCTTTGAATACTCTTTCCACATTCGATCCGTACGTACTGGACGTCTCGAAGTACGAGCACCTTTTCATTGAGGCCGCCAACTGACGACCTTCGTCTTCTGTGATCGCTCGTGCTCGTTTCTCGGAGATGTGGTCCTGAAAGTTGAATGCTGCGAAGCGAAATTTTTTTTAATGTTCTTCAATCGTAAAATTGTTGAACGAGAGCATTTCGTCAGTGATGCGATGCAGCTGTGGATTGTGGGTAATACGGACAGGAAACTAAAGCGCGTAAGAAGGCAGATTTGGAGAGGATGACGACTTTTTCATAGCCCCGTCATTCTAACGAGTGCCTTCTCACGTGGTGCTAATCCGAGAATACGTACAGGGCAATTACATGGGCACAAGGTGCTCACATTGCTTCCTTCTGTCTTTGAGCATGTTTCCAGAGATCCTTATCCCTCCCTAATTTTCTCGTCTTCCGCCTGTCACCAGATATCCGGTTTGTCACTTTTCATTACTGGGCAAACCGGTATAAAATGCTACTATTCAATTAGGAAGAGCAAACAATGAAAACGAACCTTTGTTCCAACAAGAATCAGGGGCAAATCACTGATATTCCGGTACTTGCTCATCTCGTGAGCCAGCCCTTGAATGCTCTCGTAACTTTGTATCGAGCAAACGTTGAAGACGAAAACGACGGCGTCGACCCACTGGCAGAACTGAATGTCCAGATGCTGCTGTCCTTCGTCTCGAATAAGAAGCAAATGACTCTGCCCTTCTATCACAACTTCTTTTTTGAATCGACCGCCTGCGAATAGAGAAAATAGTGGTGTGGGACGAATGTTATCAATGACAAACAAACGTTCCACCTATTATATGTTATTATTATCATGACCTACCTTCGGGACTCTCATCGGGTGTGTACGTTCCCGTCAGATACCGGTGCACAAGGGACGTCTTTCCTGACTGTGAAGTTCCGACGATTCCCTGAAATAAGAAAATAGAAATAGAGAAATGAGGAATTGAGGGATCATGGGTCTGGATATAAACGAACAATTTGGCATTCGTGATATTTGTTGTCGAACTTCGAAGGATTCACATATCTGTGCCAGTGGAAAAAATCAAAGAGTAAACTTATGGCGACAGTCATTTCACGCACTGCCTTGGCGGGCAAGGAATCAGTGTGTGCAGCCCGTACACCCTGAGCAACGTCTCCAAGAGACTCCGCCCACGACACCTGGCAGACCGCCTTTTGTTAAGTTGTGCGTCGAAAGACGAGAAGGTGGACGATCTGCTGTTGCGACTATCAATGCGCAATGTCTTCGGGGGAATAAAGGAGAAAGCCATCATCCAGTCAGCCGATGGACACAAGGATATCGGTCGACAAAAGTGTGAAGTGAAATTGACACGTCTCGGTCTGTCATGTGGGCACACTGTCTCGCTTATTGTCATCTGTCGGTTGAGAACATCGACAGAACACCTTCTAATCAGTTGGTGGTCAGTGATACTATCCGGTCTAACCGCGTTCTTATTTACAGCTATTTCAGTGAGCTGAAAGATCAAAACAATACTGTTTGGGTCCCAGATGAAAGACATCCTTGTTTGAGACGTCAATACACTTTCAGTTCGCCATGTTTGCTCATTTCAAGTGCATCTGGAAATAACGGGTGTCCGTCAGCTAAGAGACCAAAGACCACTCTCCCCTCTCTCAATTGGTCCATTCGAATGAGGCCTCTTCGTCGTGCACAGGTGTTCCCATTTGGTCCACTTCCTGTGCTTTCCAAAGAAACAAAAGGAGGGCTGTGTAAAGTAGGCGAAACATGTAGAGCAACTGCCGAGCAATTCAAATGTTTCCGTTCTCACACTGTAAATTTTTGAAGTGTAACGAGAAAGGTCGGTACGTTGTTATTAGAACGAGACGATCTGGCGGTGCATTACCATAATTGATCTTCTCTCCCGCCGAGAGCATAACCCGCGTTTTGAATCAAAGGCCGCCGCACAGGAAACCCGAGGTTCTACGAGCAGAGAAAAATAAATACGCAACCGTTCTTTGAAGGTTTCCGACTCAATTAGCAATCGCATTCTGTTTCCCAAAAATTACGGAGTGATCAGGACTCTGTCGAGAACGGCAGCCGGTCAGACACTTTGATAACAATCGTTCTCTCATCGCGAAGGACCAGTGACGCAACGGCTACAAATCATTTGCGAAACTACGACTTGTGCTCGCACGCAGGTGTTTATAATGACTGGTTGCATTAGCCAGGAAACGACACCCTTCAAAATCCGTGACAAAGAACGCAGCTGGTGTCCGACGTAACCAAACTAAAATATTAGAAAGCCTTTATACGGATACAGTGAGCATGTTTGTTCGGTTTGAACAGAAACCGCTGAATACCGAGATGTCCAACGTCAATTTTTCCGACAAAATCTATCCAATTTGTCATATCTCAAGGCTCCTAAAGCATCCGAAGTGGCCTTGAACCGCATCCGAAGTGGCCTTGAAGATGTAATCCAAATTGTAATTGAACACCTTCTCGCCTCGGCTGCTGGCTCATCAGCCAATATAAACTAGTGACGGCAGAACGGAAAGAAGGAAAAAGAGAACGGACAGCCCTCCTCTCGCCCACTAGATCATTGTTCCATGTTCTGGCGGCTTGCGCAACAGACACAGGGAGCCATCTGCCGACCCCCTGGTGAGTGGACGGCATACAGCCCCCCACGGGCGGGAGTGTATCATGTTCTTCCGACACCTCAGAGCAAACTACGTACAATGAGGCACAACATAGAGAACACCGCTAATCTGCACATCATCGTCGCTCATAATAATAACACTCGGCATGATAAAAATGTGTTTTGGGTGAAAAGAATACGGAGGGAACTCACCAATTTTATTTCGCTGATTGACCTGCTCAACGTCCATTCGTGCGAATTTACGAAGGCATCTGAAAATTAAAATTGTTTAACAATGGGCTCGAAAATTTGGTGAAGCCATTTCAGTGATTATTGTTTAGCAAATGTTTCTTTTGTCTATTTTTCTTTTAACGAACCGTGATGGTATGTTGGACTTCTGAATATTTTATGCTTGGCTCCATTCGGCATCACAACTTTCCGATTGGCCCCTACATAGACTGTCGGCAGCATCGTTTCTCTTTCGCCTGCTCCGTACCGTCTTGCGTGAACTATCGACGAGGCCGGATAGATGATGTAGGAGGGCGTCGGGACCGAAGCAACGTCTTCGTAGTCAGTTGTCGTGTGGGAAGAGGAAGAAGTCATCGCGTCGTCAGAATATCCAATTGAAGTGCTCGTCATTATTCTTCTCGGTGGCATTGGAAGTGGCGGTGGAGGAATATAACGGTGGCGGGAAAGGGAGCCAGATTCCCTTCGTCGACACCTCTCGGGCTTCTCAGATCGGAATGACACGGAAGAGAGACTGCGGGTGGCAACACTCACATTCGAGTTCTCCTTGTCTTTCCGAGACGAGTGTTTTCCTTTGGGGAACAGAATATCTCTCCATCTCTTTTTCTTTCTTTTCTCCTCTCCACTCACTGAATCATTCGCATTCAGATCTATCGATTCTTCGAAGTCTGTCGGATCGTGGATAGTCGTGTTCCCTCTCCACTCGTCTTTTCCATAATACATCCTATCCTTTGCCGCGTATAACCCTTTTCGGGGGCTTTCAAAATAAGCATGGTGACTGATTACTCGAGACTGTGGAGCAACAATTGAGTGAGCTGCTATCATGGCAGACGGATGGGCGCTTCCGGGTGCCACGTCGATAAAGTCATAGTAGCCGTAGTTGCGGATTAAAGGCATTTCGAAGGAAGATAGTTGCTCGGAGGGGAAACGAAAGTGAGAGAGGGTCAGAAAAAACAGGCGCCTGTCAAAGGGATGTCTTCAGCCGCATCGAAGGAACCAAGACGAGCGTATTCTGGAACGGCAGATTAGAGACCGAGTTTACGATGCAAACGATATGAGGATAGTGTGAAGAAAGAACGGAACAGAGAATTTGGTAAGCATATGGAAGACACTGATACACGTTTCGGTGGTACTTTTTGAGAAAGGAAAGAGAACAAAGCTATAATGAGAGTTTATGTAATGACGAGTCATCACAAATGTGGCAGCTCGATGATGATGTATACCGACAAACCAATTATCAGGTAGCTCAAAGAGAGCGCGCCTGATTACACAAACAAAAACTGATCGAAATGATCATGATCGGTCGGCGGGTGAGAAAGAAAGAACAGTTTGCGGAAATGTCATGCCGATCGAGCGGTGTCGTTTCGTATTCGATTGGCGGTGAACGTGCCGAAATGTGCAGACTGAGCGGGCAGATCGTGGCAGAAATGCAAAACTGACCCTCGGAAAAAAAAACGGTCGGCGAATGTGGCGGCGATGTCGAAAAGAACGACTCCATCTTCAGACGTGCCCCCGCTTTCTTTCGACTTCTTACACCAAAAAAACCAAACAACGGAAAGTCGGTGTGGGGCAGTGGGAGGGAGGGCAATCGAGTGAAATGCGCGAGGAGAGATTCAGCCTCATTAAAGAGAGATAATGGCTTCATCGTTCTCTCATTCGATATACTTGGGTCAATGGAATAGCAGGAAAAAGAAGCAGGACTGATTCGGGCGGAGGAATTGAAACTTCTCGTTTACATTTATTTGTTGATGAGAGCACTTTTGACACCTAGGCAAGTGTTGAATAAATAGTGAGATCCGAGACTAGCCGACCGACGCTTGGTTACTGGTTGCGAGGATAAGATAACAGCTGCGGATTTCGTTTCACGATTTGAGAATCTACATCATAGCTAGGTGACACTTGCTCAATAGAAGAAAAGGGCGAATTAGCATACTTCCCGTAACTGCCTTTGAAAAATCGGATTTGGCAATTGAGTGTAAATTAACGGACGGTCACGGGTAGTAAAGTTTACCTGAACCCGCAGAAGAAAAGGAAGAACAAGGCTCATAAAGCGAAAAAAAGTGGCTTGATCGAATGAAAAAGAAGAATAAGAAGAACAAGGCATCGTTAGATGGCGGCCGACTGATTTATGACAAATCGTTCGGGACGCCATCCATCTGATTGGCAAATCGTGCTGCTAGCAGCCGCAGCAGCAGCAGTTTTATTCTCGCGACAACATCGGTCATCCGTCATTTCGGGAACAGCTCCAAGGACACCTTCGCAGAAAGAAGAAGGCTCTTGGTTCTCGGATACGATTCACGGAAAACCCGACAGATCGAGACGAAGATGTGAACGACAATTGAAAAAAGGAATTCGACCTTGTTGATCGCGCCCGAAAGAATAACAAGAGGGTTCGGGGATGGTATAGTGGTGTGCTGAAGAAGGACACTGAATGCAGAATTAATTGAATAAAAAGCAGACGATGATGTGAAGAAAAAGGAAGAAAAGAAGAAAGAGGAAGACGTACTGGGGGACGCCAATCAGGAAGCGAGAAAACGGAACGACGTCGTCTTTTTCGGGAATGAGACGGGCGAAAATGAAGATGAACAGGGTGGGAGGAGCTACACCGAAAAGAGGAAGACCCTTATTTATTGATCCGTGAAAGGAAGATGATGAAGCAATCAATCATGTGACACGGAGCAATTGAGTGCTCATAACTCGTGGGGAAAGATGGCTGCTCAAGCTCACTGCATTTATGATGGAAACGTAGGGAACACGAGAGATGGGACCATTACACAAACACTGCCACATTCGAAATATTGTGATGTTCTATCAGAAAGAACAAAAGAGACCTTATCTCATTGTTACCGAGATGGGACTGTGATTAGTTATTTTCTGAATGCCGTATGTATGTACACTTTTATGATTGAAACTACCCTAGGAACCAGTGGAATGAAAAGAAAGGAAGGTGTCAGATAGCACGTTTGAGCGAGAGAGAGAGAGAGAGAGAGAGAGAGAGAGAGAGAGAGAGAGAGAGAGAGAGAGAGAGAGAAATAAACTAGGAGGTAAAGTAGAGACTAATAGTAGACCACTGATTGAACGGGAAGCTCCCGTCGGGAACGCCGAAGACGAAATAATCGGATTACTGTATATATAACTGCTCTTTTGCGAAAATAATGGCAGACTTTTAAGATTCGAGTAAGTAAACAGTGAAAAAGAATGTTCGAAAGAAAATCAAAAACAGGGGAGGGAAATGTCGGCCTCGTGCATAATCTCTTCCATGGCTTCTGCCTCCTTTTGTCTCATATTTGCGTAATTCATTAGTTCGGCTCCTCCTCTTTCTCCGCCGCCGCCGCCTTCTACACACCTTCGCTCTATCGTCTGAGTGAGTTCGGAATGTGTAACGAGGGGATGAAATTTAAAAGAAAAGAATATGAGTGACAAGTTGTTGATGACAGATATCTGCGGTTTCAACTTTGTTCAATCCAACTGGCGGCAAAAGCAACGGCGGAGGAGCAAACGGAAAAGAGAAAGACGGAAACATTGATATAGGCGACTAAATCAGGAAAAGTTAACAATGAGAATTCATTTATTTACTACTACGTGATGAATGCAAAATAAGACGACTTGCCTCTTCAGATTGTAACCTCTTCAAAAAGACCGACAAAAAAGGAAGCACTTGTTGCGAGAAGAACACACACCGAAAAAGAGCGTTTTTCTCTCTTCCTCTTGACACAGATACTGTATTATGAAAAGGGACAAAATGTTTAAGGGAGGAATATAGAAGCTTTATGACATTTATCACTTTTTGATGTACGGTCCGACGACAGAGACAAAAGAACTGGTAGATGGAGAAGCAGACAAGAGAAGAGCGGACGAGCGGACGGAGGGAGAGATTCGTGAAAAACCCGAAAAGGATTTCGAGAAACGATACGCGAAAATACAGCAAATAAGGAAAGAGTCGAGACGAGAGGGGCTGCTCAGACAACACAAACAGAAAAGAGCAGCATTACTGTTCGGAGGGCGAAGCGCGGCGAATGGAATGACGGAAATTTTTGAGATTGGGTTGTGTGAGTTTGGGTGAAGGACACAGTGCCTGCTTTCTGTTTACGTGTGTGAAGGAATCTGATTCTCTTTTCTGATGGCGTAATGAAACGTGCAATGTTTGCTCTTCTCACACGACAATAAAGCCTGAGATTTGGAACAGGGCCCGTAATCGGACACCCGGAATCCGTCGGCGGATAAGCAAAAAGTTGTGTTGTGGTCTTTTCTTTTGGCTGGCAACCTCTTACGACCTCTTTCGCAACGGATCGAATGACATATCAAACGGCAATCGGTCTGTTTCTCCGCCGGTCAAACTACGAATGGTTTGAGAACAAGCAAGAAGAAATGCTCGCACGGCGGAGAACATGAGATGGAGATGACCGATACGAAGAAGAAGCCAAGACCATATGGCTTCTTCTCTTCCTTTTCCTCTTTGGAGACTCCTCTTCATCTCCTCAAGTGTGTTAATCCACACTTCACCCCATTCGACACTTAGACACCGACACTATTGTCCCCCGAGAGATTTCCGCTGCTGTCTATCGATACCGTCACTCCAAGTATGCCCAAGCAGCAGTCGGCACACTCAAAATGACAGTTGCTCAGAGGGTCAGAAGGTGAACAGGTATATCCATGCATCGTTAGGAACCTGATACGGGTGCATATTCGAGTAGAATCAATTGCAACAACCAAACAAACACTGCTGACGTCGTTGGAAACGCCAAAGCAGAATATATTAGGTATGAAGAGAATGAATCGGGGAGCGAAATAAGTGATGCGAATGGTCTTGATCGGTGTCAGCGGCACAGTGTCCAACGATAAAAAACAGCTGTTTCGGGAGGACTTTTGATTGCGTAACGAGTCACCGAATCGGACGGACGGCGCGCGGTCATTTCAAACGGTTGTATCGTTTTCTTGTGTATACGGATTATTGGGCAGATGCAGCAGCCGACAGTCGGGCGCACAGTAAGGATTACCAGGAGACGGTCAAACAGAGCGTCGCGTTGCAAGCTTGATGGGAAACAACTCCAAATCGGGAAAATGCATTCAAAAAAGCAGAAGCTCTCGAGAAACCATATGGCGCTAGTCAATTGAGTCGATTGACTGAATGATTGACAATCGAGAGCAACACAAACTAATTAGAATCGTACTCGATTACTCTATTATTGCTACCAACACTCGTTTCAGGTTCTCTTCAAAACGACGGTCGGGCAAAGAAAGAAAAAGTAGATTCATTCACATTCAAGAGAACCCAGTTTTCTTGATGAGCATTTGAAACCAAAAAAGGAACTGGACGTGAGGGAGAAGTAATCAAGTGTTCAATTGGGGAGAGAGGAAGACGGAAGGCAAGAGAAGGGGGACCCACTGGAATGCGAGCAGCGACGAGATGGGGCCCGACCAAAATGCCATCCAATTTTTTATTCAAATAAAAAGAGTGAGAGAAACGAGCATCCAGAGAGGCATGCATGTGTTGTGCCGTCGAACGAACGCAATGAAGAAGAAGAGAAGAAACGGAATGAATCCGGGCAACCGATACTCCAGATTCTAGCTTACTTTCTGTTTGCTTAATAAACTAGAACGACAGAAAGATTGTCTGGAAATTGGAGAAAAATAAAAATAAGGGAAGGTGATAGCAATTTAAGATCTTCAGGAGGAAGAACGAGGAAAAATACACGAACCGAATAAGCCTCCTTCTGCTTGTTCCAGGAAAAGTTGCGAAATGCGCACTTTGCTTAATTATATTCGGTCGGCTCACCAGAGCTCATGCAAAAAACAAAGAGAGAGAGAGAGAGAGAGAAAAAAACGGAGTTTTTATCAGGGTTATCCCTTTTGCAAACGGGGAATGGAAGATATATGTCGAGGGTAAAAAGTGAGTCGTCTCGTGGGACCGTCGTCACTTGGAAGGAAAGCAAAGAAGAAGGTGGGAGGGAGAAGGGAGGGAGAAAAGCTTTCGACGGCGACGACGATTATGAATCGGAGGGATGCGGGACGACAGTTTTTGGAAGTTTCTTGGAGACATACAATTAGGGAGGTATGTCTAGGTACCGCAACGGGTTTCGCAAAACTCCGAATTTCCATAAATTTTTTGTTGGAATGTGTTCCCCTACTCTATATGAGTATACTCCCAATTTTTTTTTCAAAAATTTTCTGTAAATCCCGAGTTATACCCCTTCAAAGTTGCCCTGTTTTCTCCCCGGTCGGCGGCCGAGAAGACGGCGGAGTCTCGCTGGCAGGCGATTCGTGTCGCTGTTTGGTGGAAGACACCAAAGAGGCAACATATTAAGTGAACAGAATTGATGTTTTAAGAAAGCAAAACAACTTTCGAGATCAAAAGTTTCGAACCCGACACCTCCAGACTGCCGAGTGAGCACTCTGCCACTGCGCCAACCGGGCGGAGGCGCGGCGAACGCCAATGGCAATGAGAAGCTCGGTGTTCGCCATTCATTTTTGATGCGACTTTTGCGGAATTTCAGCGCAAAAATGTGAAAATTTGAAGATGTTTGCCGGGCTGAAATTTTGAATAAATAGATGGATTTTGTAGAGAATTTCACGCTGAATCCGATTCCGTGGAGAAAAGCCGCGTGTTGGCTGTTTCCCACCTTCAAATCATCGAAAAACAAGAAATTCGGCCGAATGGGGCCTACTCAATCGAACACAAAAATGCTCCTAGGGGGTCTAGAGCTCTGAAATTTTATATTTGGCTTCTGAGAGAGTTTATCTATGCATTCCAAACATAAAAAAGTGGGGTCATCGCTGAAAATTTTTCGCTAACTTTTTTGGCACTTTGACGGTCTGAAAAACAATGTTTGCCGGAACGAAATTTGAATTTTATTTCAAAAACGGATTCCCCATCCCTTAAACTGTCAGAATCACTTCTCAGAAGCCGCGTGTTGCACAAACTCCGGCCACAGTGGCTCTCAGACTAACTTCCATTTTCGTTTTCTCCTTTTTTTGAGAAAACTGTGCGTTTTCACGGAAAACGGAGCTGTTCATTTGATTCAGCATGGCCGATTACATGAAGTAAAACATTTTGAATATAGTACTTGGTTTGGGGACCTCGGTACAGGCCCTCAAACATGCGCGGCGCGACCGGGGAGAAAATTCGGCAGGCCACGCCCCCTTTGTTGCGCCCCCTAGGTATGTCTGAGTGCATATTAAGGCACAATAATATTCTACAGAAAACCGGATGCGGTCGGAGAGGTAATGGACGTGATTTTGCATGACACTGGTTGAAATTTAAATTGGCTGGAAACATACAAAATGGGAAAAGAACCACTATTTAGATTACAAAAGAAGAAACATTCGCATTTACCATAATCACTAAAAAGAAAAATGAATTCGCGTACCTTCAACGGCCACAATTTGCTCTCGTATCTGTTCGCTGATTGCGTGGCATCCGTCGGGAAGCAAATTCAGAAGGTCGTATATCTGAAAAAGAACTAATTGAGTGAGAATTGTGAAATAGAGATAGAGCCCACATGAGTGAAATCGAGTTCCCGGAATAGAATATCGGTCATTTTTGGAGAACTAGCATTGCATTGTGCACTGGACGAAACGAAGTGAGAAAGATTCAAAAAAACGGTCGTTTCGAACAAACAGTGGGATGCCCTTCGATCAGATACACAGAATGGGAAAGCGGAAAACGGAGAGACGCCGAGAAGCGAAGAGAAAACTTTATTAAACTGAGGCTGATTTGGCAGAGAAGAGGAACATTGGAACTAACCAAAACATTTTCAACCTTGCAGATTTTTCAGTGTTCACTTTCCACCTCAGAACGTTGCAATGCTCATTTTTATATTTGAAATTTAAGACTTACGTACCTGATAAATGCACGGATGTACACTTTCGAACCGTTGTATTTCGTATCTGATTTGTTCGGAATGGAGGGTGTTGTTGCCACCTGTCAGCAGGTGTCTCGACATTTCACTGTAATTATTCTTCCTCGTTTCTTCTCTTTTCTGCCTGTCCACACCTTTCTACAACCTCTTCGTTACTTTCTTTTCCATTACGTGTTCCTTTTATCGTTGAGCCAGGAGTCGGAAGTCAAACTCTGCAATAAAGCGGATTGCCAGTGCAGAGGACAGAAAAAAGGGCAGTATTCCTCCGATAAAGCGATGAAAAATGGTTCTTTGTGGGAGAAAAGACATATGGTTGGAGGCAGAGAGGCGGCGAGTCACACGCTACAAATTTGAAACAACGGAAGAGAAATAAAGGGAAAGACTCAACAAAAAAGAGGAATGCGTTTGGTAAGGAGAGATGATTCAGAAATGATTTCAACATTTCATAAACATGGGAAACCGGGAAGCGGTCAGGTTTATGGATTTTTAGCGGTTATATTCTGCCTCCACTTTCTCCAATATCATATTTGGGACAATGCCAACATTCTCCACTTTCCGCCTTCTCCTTTGCGCCAATTCCGATATATTAACGAAGCGGCGACGATTGCAACAGGGCGAAAGTGGAGATAATGTCATTAAAAAGTTTCGTTTCGCGTCGTCTGGCGGAGGATTCGGAAGCGATTGCGATCGGAAAGAGGACGAATTTACAAGAAAGCGAAGAAGAAAAATAAATAAAAGTTTGAAAAGTTTCCGTGTGTTTCGCAAAATTGATTCAAACGGCAGTAGCTGGGCAAATAGTCAAGTTCAGTGGTTTTTTTTGAGAGAGAATGAAAAGAAAAGAACCCGCGTTTTGTTTCTGTTGTTGAAAAATGTTTGGAATAAGAAAAACGTGAGGAGTGGAAGGGAGAAACGGATGGAAACGGACGAACAGTATTCATTCATGTAGTTGTTGGCGTAAGCATTTTAATTAGAAGTGTAATGAGCGAATCGGGATGGAAACGGGTTCGGAAACGAAGAGGAAGAGGGGGAGATAAAGGTTCCGAGGGAAAGAAGCCGAAGCAGCATTTTTAGGACATTCACTTGATTTTCAGACGGTGAATTACTCTGATTTCAGGTAAATTATATCAATTTTAAAGTGATAACTTTTTATATTTGAAAAATAGCATGCCATATATTTTGAAAAAAGAGAATTTTTCATGCACATTCGCTCAGCTTTAATTATAATTTAAATTGACAAAAACATGTGGCAAGCGTCACATTTCGGTAAACGAAAATAAGAAAATAAACAGATTCAGAAAAGAGGAATTGTAATTAAAAGTATTCAAATCAGCGGGCAGGAGAAGGCCTCCCAGAACGCAAAGCATACGGAGTGAAGCGCCGAAACGACGAGGGAGTGTGCGGAAGCGAGAGACGAAGACAGCGAGCAGCAATCGATGAGCGGAGAGACGCAGACGGAGGGCCGCAAAGCACCCGGGTCCGTGGGAAGGCGGAATACGCTTGCATAATGGGCCGAACGGACTGTTTGCACTCTTGTCCCCTCCGCAAATAGGGTCCGCTGTCTGTTTGAATAAAAACATAATCCGTAGATGGATGGATTGCGTGCGATGGATTTCGGTCCTCGCAGATACCTCATTCATCAGAAATGGGCCATTCCACGGCACTCCGAATGAGATGCAGGTGGCTCCTTCGTGGGCGGTCTCTGGATTTATGAGGCGACTAAGTAGGATTGATCGCTTTGCACTTTATATGAATTTCACATTAGCAACAATAACAGACAACAACGAGATGAACAAGGGTGGATAAAGAACAGAAGTCGAAGGAAAAGAGAGGAGTATTCAGATGATTCCCCAGATTTCCTCGAGTCCGCTCGTCACTTTGGCACACGTGAGCGCTGCGCTGAGCGGATAGTTGCTGATCTTCGTATCCGAGTCGGTGTAGTCGACGACGATCTGTAAAAGAGCAATGATTTGAGATGAAGCCGTCGGAACGATGTTATCTAACCTTTCCTCTTGCGATTCCGCCGATGACGAGCACAAGCGGCTCGTCTGCTTCCGGGGAGACAAGCTTGTTGGCCATTGTCAGCTCGGGCACATTGAATGACATGAGCATCTTGCGAGACCCGACTGGCAGATGGTTTGACACTGGATTCTTGATGACTGACATCAGCTTCTGCGTTGTTTCCGCCGCTCTGATCGACAATTTGTGGAGTAGTTGCACTGAAAATGGGATGTCATTACAGCGAGAAAAAGTGGCGGTACAACATAATAGAACTGGGCAGAATAGAACCGCGACACGATATAACTGTTTGGAGCGCCTTTCTGTAGAATAATCGTTTTCTGAAGTAAGATCGTTTTTGAAGCTTGCTATCGAATTATTGTCAATAATTTATTGAATCGAAATATAGGCTCACATCTAAAAAAAATGCTAACGCGCACCACCAAAAAACAGTTATATTATGTCGCAGTTCTATTCTGTCCGGTTCTATTATGTCGCAGTTCTATTCAGCCCAGTTCTATTATGTTGTAACGCCAGAAAAAGTTAACTATCTTACCCATAAGTCCGCAGAACCGATCGAAAGTTCTCGGAATTCTGCATTGCGGCGACACGTCCACGAGCACATTTTTAGTGGTTCGGAAGAAAACTCTGAGCTTTCCAGCTCTGTTTAATGGGCTGTCGAGCAGATTGAGCAGACACTGATGCAAGATGTCCGGACGGTAATCGGACGGATCTTTCTTTTGTTTCCGCAGAAAGTTCGCATGCTTGTCACTGCTCAGAATGACGTATTCTCCTCCGATTTTGGCCGTTTCAAGGCTGCAGCCCTCAAGAACCACGTACAATATCTTTTTGTCTTCCAACTGCGTATCCGTTTTCATTCGCTTCGCATTCGGAGGCACCACTGTGTCATATTCGTGCGACATCTGACGGAGATTGAATGGAGTGGAAAAGAATTTACAAAACGTGGGAAATATGACAATGGTAGATGTAACCATAAAACGAACGCGGAAAGAGAGAAAAAAGTGATGAGATTCATTGTACAAACATATTAAGTATTTTACTTGGGAATGCTGAGGAAAAAATCGCAAACTTTGGTCGGCAAGTTCAAACTCGGAATCGTATTTTTTACCGTTTTCTCAGTTAAGTGCAGCCAGACTTTTCTGAAAATGCGAAGTTTCAGCCTATATCAGTTTCTTCTTCACCTGAAGGAAGTGTTGGTCACACTGATGCTCTCGTCTGCCTTCAACAATCCCATTTCCACTAAGTGGTCGAGCTCTCGGAATACAAATAAATCGCTGCTCACGTCGAGAATATTATAGTATCTGTTGGTCAATTTTTTGAATTCTGAATTAATTTGCAATCTTGCAAGATTCATTCAGTTTACAAATACCAAGAAAAACAGCGCGATACGTGGTCTTCGGAGCTGTCCACGGACCGTCCGACACTTTATTCTGCAAAAGTCTCCAGACGCAGAGGAACACGCACTGAGCTCGCATTGTTTGATCTGAAAAAAGGCATTATCGTAATCAAACATCTCTCTCTCTCTCTCTCTCTCTCTCTCTCTCTCTCTCTCTCTCAAACCTTTCAACAACTCAAGTCTCGAATTGTATTCCGGCAAAGAGCGACCCACAATTGTACGGATATTTCCGCTGATACTCTCGGCTGTCCAGTCTTTCTCTTCGTTGCAGTGATATCCGAAAAGCATAAGAATCTGAGCCGCCAACTGCTTCAGAACAACGAAGTTGCTCGTCTGAAAATCATTTCACATTCTTGAGGGCAATCAGCGGAACCACTTACCTCGAATACTGCCCTAAGCCATTTTTTTAAGTTTAGCTGATCAATAAACTGCTTGTAGCACTTGCTCTTGGCTGAAAATGAGGAAACCTCAATAAACCCAACTGCTGTATAGAAACTAACCGCACTTGGATTCACTGGGAATCAGAAATTGGCTCATCGCCAAGCAGTACTCTTCGTAATCGTGCGTTCCATCAAATGAAACTTGCACTTTTGGGATTCGCGATGTCGCCTGTTTTTGCAGATTCTGTGTGAAATTCTGAAAATGCCTATTGATCAGGAGTTTCGCAAGAGATGTCAACCTGTATGGACACGGAAAAAAAGACGAGCCATGAGAAGTGTGTCGCCTTATCGACCATAGTGTACAAGAACTTTTGCTGCTGCGGAGTCAGCAGTTTGTCGGCGTCCCTCACTAAAAACACGGAGCATCCTTCATCTTCTTCAGTCGCCAATTCATGTTGATACGTGGCATCGGCAGCCACGAATCCGGCATTTATCACGCGAAGTCTCTTCTTGAACTTGTAAAGCACTTTTCGCAAAGTGCTTTCTCGGCCGCAACTCCGTTCGCCTAAATGCTTTTTTGAAGAAAATTTCATAAAATTTGATTACCTTCGAGAAGGCAAGACTTTCCATCTTTCGTCTGCAGAAAATCGTACACAATATTCTCGATTTGCCTGAAAAAATAATGAATTGATTGGTTTGCAAGCAGGAGTGCGGAGGAGCGCGCTTGCATTCTTTCGCAGAATACTACCTTTCCTGTTCGGCCAATCCAAATACCTGATCGTCCAGAAGGTCCAGGGCTCTCCGAGCATTTTCTGCGATCGCTTCATGGTCAGATTTCTCTAACATTTCTGATAATCTAATTTTAAAACGAATACGGCAGTTTTTGCAGAGATACATGAAGTCAGCGATCGGACCGAACAAACTAGACGACGACAGAAACCACGTTCAACATTTATTTTCCTCTGAATGAATGGAATACATAAAAGAATACTAAACTGAATCACAACATACGAAAACTGATATATTTCTCTTGAAGAGGAGAAATTAGACAACGATTAGAATAAGATATAAGAAGTTTTACTTTTAAACTGAGTAAGTGGTTTTGTGTTTTTCGGTGTACATCTTCACTGCCCTTTCCGCTTCCATCGTCGACATTCCCAGTTTGATCCGTCGATTCATCATACCTTGGTCTCCTTTCCCCAGTGAAACGAGGGCAATGCTCGAAAGTTGGAGGAGCAAACCGAAGGCGAAACTGTCGGAAGCCGGTTCGATTAATGATATTTCTGTGCACAGGCTGCAGTACATTTTGTAGGCGTTCGCGAAGATCACTTCTTCTTGCTCGCGGGTCTAAACATAATAACTTCAACGAAAATCGAGAGGAACAGAAAGACTAACCATTGTTTCAACGGCACGGAAAAGATTGAACTGATGCAATCGGAGCCCCTTGACGAGTCGGTATTTGAGCGGTTCGAGTACTCTGTTCTGTGCAGTTATAACCTGAATACTAGGATTCGCCTGATTTTCGACCATTCCACTCTTACATGTCTCACGTCCAGCTTCTCCGCCTTCTCATCGACCGCCACTTGAATTGCTCGGCACAGGGAATCGAGTGCTTGTCTCAAATCTCCCGTGTTCGACGCAATCTTCTTCGACACCAGCTCGACGGCTTTCGGTTCGATCAGTTTGGATCCGAGCAGGCGTGCTCTCACAATCTCCTGAATCTGTTCGTGCTGATACGGCTGGAAGACGACACGTCGTTTGTCGAGTCGACTGGCGTTCCGTTGACAAAGCATCCGCTCCGGAAAGTCCAGGGTGTTCGCGATTCCGATTATGGTGACTCTTGACTGCGGGAGAGAGGTCCACTCGAAAATGTCATAGAGCACATCCTGCTTCCGATTGCAAAGACTGTCCAGTTCATCAATCAGAATCACAATGGGCGGTCTGTTCGGGTCTTCCTTTTTGAATATCGAATTGAGATGTTGGCGAGCAGCTGTGGCCCTGATCTTGGAAGGTTTAGTCGATATCGAATATTCTTGTTCGATTCTGGAAAAAAATTAGAATGAAATTTTCGAGGGTGTGACAATCCAGCGGAAAACCCAAAAATCGCGAAAACGAACATTTCAGCATGCGCCTTTAAATTTCAAATTTTGAACGCTCTGGATTAACGGTCTACCCTTTATTATTATAGGGGCACCGGATAGAAAGGGCGCGCTGTTCGCAATCTGGCAGAATTTCTAGGCCGCGAAGTAATTTTCCACTGAAAACGTGGCCTAACTTTTCAAACTCGGCCCCGAGGTCGCTCAATTTGCACTGCAAAAAGAGTTTCTCAACAGAGCGCCATTTCTGTGCGGTGCCCCTATAATATAGGGGCACCGGACAGAAGCTGTTCGCAATCTGGCCGAATTTCTAGGCCGCGAAGTAATTTTCTACTGAAAATGTGGCCTAACTTTTCAAACTCGGCCCCGAGGTCGCTCAATTTGCACTGCAAAAAGAGTTTCTCAACAGAGCGCCATTTCTGTGCGGTGCCCCTATAATATTTTAGGACACTAAATTGCAATATTATCTATTTTGACAGCCTTAAATGAATAGTCCCACAATTTACTGTCCCAAAAAAGGCCCAATCAGTCCACAAAAACCGTTTCTTAATACAGTCAAAATTTGAAATTTAAAGGCGCATGCGCAAATGTTTGTTTCCGCTCTTTTGGCATCCGCTATTTTTGAGTTTTCCGCGATTTTTTCACACCTTAAATTTTCGGAAATGAAAACAGCTAACCAACCCATTGTACACCTCGACGAAAACAGTTTTCGTGAAAACCATCGCGTTCACTTCCACGTACACGAACTTTGGACATTTTTTATTTTTTTGCATCGAGTTAATCACAGCTCGGACCGTGGCAGTCTTTCCAGTTCCGGGCACTCCACTGATGTACATGGCGGAGCTCTCTCCTTTTTTCGGATCGATAACTTCTCGAATGAATTTCTCGATCAGCCGAGACTCTTCTTCGCGGCACGGTAATTTCTCCGGAATCTTTGAAAGATGCAGTCGACTTGCCAGCTCTTTGAGAGTTACGACGGTTGTGGAAGGCGTCGGAGCCTCGAACTCAACCGAATCATTGTCGCTATCTTTCCGAATACGTTGCTGAAATTGTAGTTTTGATGAAGAAAAATCTTTTTCTCGGGCATTACCCTTGTCCGCAGAGACTTGGCCACTCTGTGAGTACCGCCCGGGGTCTTTGTTATCAACAACGGGGTCACTTTTCGTTGGAGGAGTGCTCTGGAAATTCTGAGAGGAGGAATCGGTTGCAACGGCGTTCGCACTTTCTGACTTCTGCAAAACAATCGAAATATAAGTTTTTCCTAAAATAAGTACTAACTGAATCTCGCGAATTCCTGTTGTAATATATTCTTCACCCAGTTCATCGCTCAATTCGTCAGCGTCAGACTCTGAAAACACGGGCTGTTTTCTTGAAACTGAAGCTCTCCGCGTGTTCTTCCGTGGCGTCGTGTTTTCCTTTTCTTTCTGTGAACGAAGAGCGGATAGATTTTTCTTCGGAGTCCTAACATTGCACATCGCATTCAAGTCTCTGGCTATCTTCTTCGATGGAGTTTCTTCAATGTGACGTCCTTGACTTCTTGTCCTCCGCCAGTTCTCCTTTTCACCAGAACTGTTTGGACTTCTTGTAGTCTTCCAAAGCGCGGTGAAATCTTCGTCAATCTCATCTGAGCAGTCATCATCCTCTTCCATTACCACCGATTCTTCCGGATCATCCTCTTTCACTTCATTGTCGTCGTCTTCGTCTGATGAAGACGAGGAACTGTCGATGATATCTCTTCTCGACGGAGCTCCACGAGTTCTCGTGTATTGCTTTTTTGACGGCGTGTTTTTTGCATTCTCTACTTTCTTCGATACTATTCTCTGAGACCGGAATTTTTTAGAGGATGCCAGCAGTAAGTCGGTTTTTTTGGTAGACATCACTTGAGTTTTCGTGACCATTCTAAAAATTAAAATTAAAGGATCTCATACTAATTAGTGTTGCAATAGATCAATATTATAAAGAAAGAAGAACACGGATCGATGTGGCATGTTGAGTCCTGAACTATTTTCGCAATTTTCCGATCGGGACCAAACTCTACAGGCTTGTAATCCGAGTCTAAGAAGTCTGTAGAGTTTGGACCAGAAAATTAAAAGTCGCAAGATTAGACTTCAAAAAGTATCCAAGAAGCCCGGGCAGGCCAACGGTTGTGCGGGAAAACGTAACGGAGGAGGGCGCATTTGAAATTGGCGCTGTCCGCAGGCACGGTGAACGACACGGTGTTTGCACAGTTTTGCAGATCGTATTTTTTTTAGTTCGTCGGAGGACATGGATGCATAGAGCATTGTTTTCTTTTCATCAGAATTCTGGTTTATCTGAGAAACTGCATTCAATGCTCGCTTTTAAATTAGCTATCGTCACAGGTAATTATTATGTATTTTATTCATAAAACGTGAAAAAAATGCGTTCGAAAAGAAAACAAAAAAGGCTTCAGGAGGAGGATCTGGAATTGGGCGGGAGGTTTGTAAAAAGCTTGCTGCTTCGGGAGCCCGTCTCATTGTGACTGATCTGAATGAATCGGCAGCGGGTTCTACAATAGATAGTTTGGCAGGAAGTGGACATGCCGCATTCCGAATGGACGTTAGCAAAGTTAATAAAACATTCGTTTCTTTTTCACTGTATGATTTTCAGATTGTCGAAGTGAACAAGTTCAAAGAATATCTCGGATCGTTCGATTCTCCACCTGCAGTGCTCGTAAATTGTGCTGGAATTACAAAGGTTTCAGAAATCATCATTACTTGTATTTGTTTACGGTATATATATATATATATATCCAGGACTCGACATTGCTGAAAATGAGAGAAGAGCAATGGAAGGATGTTATTGATGTGAATTTAACGAGCATTTTTCTGGTGAGACTGTTGCGAGACGGATAGAATAATGTTCATTTTCTCCCGGTCTCTCAAGCTGTTGCTCGAGAAGCCGTTCAAAGACAGTCGCCTCTCTCCATTGTGAACGTCTCCTCGATTGTCGGAAAAATTGGAAATTTCGGACAAACCAACTACGCAGCTACGAAGGCAGGAGTCATCGGATTCACAAAGTCTGCGGCTAGAGAGCTCGCCACCAAGGTATTGCAAAGTAAAAGAAATGCAAAGCAGATAGTCTCTCCTTTAGAAAATTCGCGTCAATGCTGTCCTTCCGGGCTTCATCCGCACTCCGATGACGGAAGCGATGCCTCCAAAAGTTCTCGAAGGAATGGTGTCGATGGTCCCACAACGAAGACTTGGAGAGCCCGAAGAGATTGCCGATGCCGTGCTGTTCCTGGCTTCGGACATGTCATCCTACGTGACAGGAACAACTATCGAAGTGACCGGAGGGCTCGGAATGTAATTAGCACATTTACTTGTGTTTGAATCTAAACCGGTTCCCTATAATCTTTCATGAATTGTTCCTTCAGTTCTATTCCTCGTGTTAGTAGAGAAAGTGCATGCGCTTAGTTTCAAACCCGCCGAAACAATCTCATTTCCTGCCCATCGTATAGCCATTACCGCCCTCAGGTTTCCTTCTTCTGTTCCGTTCTTGCACTCCCCGAAGAATGTCTCAAGCGTCCTCTCTGAGAGCATCTTCCTTTTTCTTTGGCTGCCGCCGTGCTCAATCTCATTAAATGTAATGGTTCCGAGCACTTTCTGACTCTCTTCCCCTTTCCCGCTCTTTTCGGCTATAAAAAACGGAGGCGCCCCGTGCCGGGTGGTCCTTCGCACAGCTCTCCGCCTTCTCCGTGCTCTATCAGTCCCGACTTTCGACGACGTTAAGAAAGTGCAAGCGCGCGCTCACACATTTTCAGATTTATAGTTATTGCACGAATCTCCAGTGAACAAACGCTCTCTCAATGGGAAATGGGCGGCCGGTGCCAGGCACGCGAGCGGTACGAACGTGGGCAGAGACGGGAGCGTTTCGTTGTTAGTTGCACTGTTAGTCATTTATCTGATTGGAGCAAAAAAGGTGTGCACTTTGGCGCCGATATAAATCATTGATCACAGCGCTATACGACTACAACCGGAAGACGTCGAAAGTGCACTTTCAGAGATTGGCAGACAGAACGGACGGGTGTGTATTCCGGGAGTTTTGACCAGTCTCCGAAATTGCCGTTTCTTTTGTAGTAGTAGATTCCACGGTAGGATGAATTTCATAAAAATGCATTCCATTTATGACAGCCCATTCTGCTCTGTCTTCTGCTTTCCAATGTCTGTTGGTTATGGCATGTGTAGTTCGGATTATCGAATCCAGGAAGGTGCCATAGACAGCAGATGTTCCTCTTCTGGAAGCGATTGGCGCACGGATGAACGGAAAGACACACGAATTTGTTTGGAAGACATTCCCTTCATGAAACAGGCAGTCAGGTAACATCCTTCCGGGACGATCGACTGAATGGAAATGAGTTAGCGGACAGGCGGAACAGGTCTTATTACATTGTATGCTCCAGGTGAGGAATAGACGGCGCCGTTCTGATGAACGAAAAAGAAGAGGAATCACAGAGCCATTTCGAATCTTCATTTCGGGAATGTTGGGCATTCCCGTTTTTTTCACGCATAGCGGTGGCATTTCGTAGCCATCGTTTGTGAGTTGGATCCGCGTCTGGAGCACCGTCGTCCCATTTCGAAACGATTTCCTCGGTCAACGGAGGCCAGAGTAGACACGGACATCTTCTTACGTTATACGTCTTTGAATCTGGACTCGAATGAATGAATGAATGAATGAGAAGGGGAACGCAGAGTTTGGTGATCCATCGCATCGTAATCTAATTAAAGGGGAAACGCGTGGAGCTTCTTGTGAATGCGGCATTACGGCTAGAGCGTCAGATGTTAAAATGAATGTATTTATAATTTATTCAGAAAGTTTAGTTAGGATCAAATCCTCCGTTGTCGTACCACGGAGCTCTCGGACAGCAGATTTCGGCCTTTGTGAAGACGTTGCACGGGAACTTGGCGTGGCGGAAATGGTTTCGGGAACGGCACTTCGAACTTTCGCCCTTGGGGAAACACTTTGTCTCGTAGCATCCGGGAGGGACGGGCGGCTCAAATTGAAACAATTCGAGGATCGGCAGCAAAAACAAACCTTTGTGGCAGTTGTCAGTTTGAAAGCGAGAGAAAGAACGAGGAGAGCGGCGAGGAGTCTCATGGCGGGAATGAGAATCGGGACTGTTTCGGATGCTTTCATGGTTCCGCTTAATCGAATCAGTCCTGATTTGATGGGGTCGGGGCTGTTTTCCTTAATGCACGAAACAGAACATTTCCAACGTTTATCGGTTAGTACAGAGGAGCGCATTATCTTCCCATGGCGATCCTATAGGGTAGACGTCGGAAGATAGACTGCGTGGACTCACAATTCCAGACTTGCAACGGGCGGGCCCGTGCTTTAAAAAAAATTCTACAAGGCCCGGACCCGCTCCCGTTGAGCTGACGTTGATTACTTTTGGAAACCAGAAGTCGAACTGGCTGACCTAAACCTTGGTTTTTCGGTTTCGGAAGGACGGATAAACAATAATATGAATGCGTGCTGGTTTGTTGACGGTAAACAACAATAATTAGGTGAACAATTCATGAGGAAAGAAGGTAGTGAAAGCGGAGGAATCCGAGAAGCCGACAGCTGAGGACCGAGCACTGGCCATTTCCGAAATGAGCGCTTTTTTCGGAGTCTGCCGGTCACTTTTACGCGCGCCCTTCGCCTTCGTTATTCACAAACAATGGACTGGAATTTGTGAAAAGTACGAAGTCGCACGATCATCGCCAAGTTCCGAACAGCTTATTTGTCGGTCTGCGCGAGAACGATGAAATAATGATTGGCTTATTGTGGGCCCGCACGGAAACATCCTCGACAAATACTTTCAATGATTCACAAGCGTCTTCTCAGTCGATCTTTGCGGTTTTTTCAGAGTCACTTCTTTATCGAACCAGAAGGAATCTGAATGTGGAAGATCTGAGGCTGAGCACTCCTAGACTCTTTTCGGCTTTCATCAAATAATCGTGGCGATCATCGCACAATTCGATATATTTTCGTGCACTTTTCCTTCTTTATTTACTCTTTTTTCCCCTCTCTCTCTGGTTTCGATGCAGCTAAAAAACTTGCCAAAATGTTGCGAACACATGCTCTGCGACGGAGCCGCCTGTCCGCCGCAAACTCTGTCTCACCCTAACTTTGCACTTTTCTCGAAATAGAGAGAACGCGCAAACTGGTTGCTAACTGAGAAGGGCCTTCTTTGCCGACCTTGCAGATCGGCCGAAAAACCAAAAGAAGAGACCGCCCGGCAAAAAAGTAATGCGAGTCGGCCACACTTTTTTCGGTGGCCATTGTGAAGACGTTGACGATGAAAACGGAGAAAAAAGAGAAGAAGGAGAGAAGAAAGGACACGTTCCCAGGGCGGGCTTCCGATGATGAACGACGGACGAAAAAAAGGGAAAAGGAGAGAAGAGGACTGATTTGCACAGTTGATACCTACTGGGATGCAGAAGGACACACGGTAGATTGAATTGTTCGGAGGCATCGCTTTCAGATAATTTCAGCTCAGGATCCAATATCCAAGACGTTACACATCCCAACTTGCGTTAGTCGTACGGTAGACCGATTGTTTCCAGTTCGTGCTCCTTCGAAACGATCATGATCGGTGCTCCGATGCAACGCACATCTGTCGTCGTGTTTCGGTCGGTGCTTCCCGCTGGAACCCTTGCCAGCGACACCTGCCAGTCTGTGCCAGTCTGTCTTTTCCGTCTAGGTCAACTAAGCCATTCCAATCCTTTGATGGCCATTTCATCTTCAGAAAACAGACATCTGTCGTCGTCGTTTTAGTGCATGCCAGGTGGCTCTTTCAGACTCCGCCCCGATTGATGTCCCCCGCCCCGCCCCTTCTGCCCCTCTACCAAATCTGAAAAAGGAGAAGGAGACGATCAGAACGCTTTATCTCATTCATTCCGACAGACAGCTCAGAATGACACGCGGCTCTTCGTGATAGTTCCGGAGAGGAAAGTTCATTGCGCTTCGCAGTTGCAACATTTTTGTGTGTTGCTTCGTTTTGCGTTTGTTCTCTCTTTCACGCTCACACTCGTCTGTCTGTCACTCCTTCCATTTTTCGGCGTCTCTCGAGTTTGTTCGGCCGCCGGCCATTCTCTGCGTCTCGTCCTACAGATGACAAACTCACTAGTCAGTGCTTGTCAGTCAGCGTGCGGTCTTTATTCTGCGCCTTCTTAGACAATCTCGGATGGTGTCGACTGCTTATCACTCCGCTCAACCGTTCCCGTTCCTTTCCAGTTCTTCTAAGGGTGTCTACTTCTAGATTACTAGTCGTTCCTTGCCTTGTATGCACTCATTTTGTCCTTCTGATTTCCGTCCGTTCTTTCTTATCACTGTTTAATTACTTTCCGCCGTCTTCGTTATCTTCTTTGTTAAACATCAGCCCTCTCCTTATTAGAATCTCTTGCTCTCATTATGCTAATCATCTCGACCTCATCCAGCAGTTTCTTCAATCTACAACTTGCCCCCGTTCTGCGTCTCTTCGTCTCCTATAGTCTATGCGCTCGTCGCCAGACACTGCGTGGCTCCTGCAGAGACACGAGACTAGTCGAGACGGCGCGCTCTGCCAGGCGCTGGGTGGTACGCCCCGCCTATTTTCTGTGTCGCCGCGGGTGCAAGCCGGCGACTACCCAGGGCGCCGACGGCCACGACCCGGCCGCGCCCAAAGAGAGCGACAGAGAAGCGAGTGCAAATGAGGGAAAGGGCGCAGACTGACAGGCGAAGGAGGAGGAGGAGGAGGCAAATGGAATGAGATGATGGCCGGCGAGGAGACAGAGTAAGTGCTGAGTTTATGCTGGTGCGTGGCCTCGGATCCGAACCGCTCCTGATGCTTCGGACGATGTTCCTTGGTCGGAAGTCAAGCTTACTTCTCTGAGGAAACTCGCTATTCTTCGCGCTTTCTTCTACGTTCTCATTAGCTACTGCACTTTTATCATCTTATCCTTCCTATGAGATCTTCCTTCATCTTCATCTTCTTCTTACACGCATCCTTCAACTCTCTTGTGTTAACTTTTCCCGCTTCGTTCAATCTGTTTCTCTTTCTTCATCGGAACGCTGAAATGTCTGTGCCTCTTCGTCTCGCGCACTCTTTCCTCTTCTTCTTATCTCTTTTTTGTCTTGCTTGCCCTTTCTTATCTTTTCTTCCTTTTCCTTTTTTCAAAGATGGTGGTCTAAAGAACTTGTAGATCAGAGAATAGTGAGTTGAATGCAAACTAGGTCACCAGGATGAAGAATCACCTGATTTCCCACTTTCTTCCTTCTGAACTGCCTCGATCGACGGCCCTCTTCTTTCCATGTATTGTTGCCTGGAAACAACTCTGTCTACATCCACATTGCTCTTCTCCTTCTACTTCTTCTTTCTCTTTTCCAATGCAGATGTGTGATTCATCTACTTTCCACTATACGTTTCCTTTGACCATGCCGACTTTACCTTTTGGTCCGCTCTTTCCAATCACTTTCTCTTTCTTCTCATTCGTACCTTGCCCTTTTCTCACTGCTTTCTCAAGTTTCGTTGTGCTCAGAAATGGCTCGGACTATGGATCCCACTACAAAGGCCACCTTTCCGAATGACTTTGCTGCTTCCACATGGGCAAACGGTTCCGACACGTGGTTCAATGTTTACAGTTGGGTCAATTCGCAGGTCAGTTCAGTGCAAAACGAAAGGGGTTACGGTAGTCGCACGCAGTCGTTTTTTGCGTCTCTCGGGGAGTGACCGGGTGACCGACTGGCACGGCCGTCCGCGCATTCAAATTAGCGCCTTCCGTGTATACTTTACCGACTGATTTATAGGGCATTGTCCTTGCGAAAGAACACTTGCCCGCTTTCTTCTCCCACGAAGGGTGCAATTTCAATGTGTTTGCACTTTTGAAAACGGCCCCCGACGCAGCGGAGATAGAATTGGTAATGACGCGGAAAGCGGCACGGACACTGGCACCGAGCCAGCTGCCTTGGCGACCGAAAGGGACCGAAAGGGACGGGTCCGGATGGGAACGGCGAGATATTGTGGGCGACGGCGAGACGACGGCCGACTTTCGGACATTTGACTCCCAAATCGGAGTGGCTCCGCGAGCAGCGAGCATCCGGCGGTCAAGCAAAAGTGGGGTAAACTCCTTCTGAAGACGATTACCCCATTAGACTTTCTGAGAAGATGGATGGGACTCGGAATCTTGTTGTGTTGTATACGGTAGATGAGCAGAAAGCTCCAGTACATCAGAGGCATCAAAAAGAGACTGAAGTTTTTCTCCGCGCGATCCTCAAATCTCTCCTCCATCCGGCTGCGTAAAGAGTGCAAATCTGATTGCGGCAGCGTTCGTTCTCTCTTTCTTCATGTTGCACTTCTCACTTCCGCGTGCACTTTGTCGGTATCCTCCTCCCGCGAACAAAACAAACGAATCGGCACCCCTTATCACTCGGCTACCGTTCTCAGTCTCTTTTCCAATCGTTCTATTTCCACTTTCCCTCCTGGTCGCTAGTTTATTTGCGTACCCGACAGTACCAGTCAAAACGGCCGATCGAAATATAGAGGATCTGGGAGAGGTCGGCGACGAAAAAACTTCTCTCGGCGGTCGTCGCCTCGAAACCTTGAAGTTTGATGACCCTGAAGCGGAAGGGAGGTGTCGCCTCGTTCCCGGCGCCGCGTGCACGCTCCGCTCTCACGCGCGTCCAAGTTCGCACAAAAAGAGAGCTTGGCACGGCGCCAAGTTGAGAGAGCCGCGCAGATCAGATCTTTGCTCTCAAGGACCGCCGCCCGCATGTTGCAAAAGCAGGGTGTTCTCTAGTGAGCAAAGAGCACGGCTCCGCGAGAGAGACACGCTGTCTCGAGTCGTCTGTCCCCTCGCAGCTCTCGCGCCGTCCACTACCTGGCACGGCGTCCACTACGTATATTCTGTTGTTGTTGTTGTTGATATGGTGGCCCGACTGCATCTCTCCCGCATCCGCTCCGCCCCTTGCTAGCCGCTGGAATCCAAAGTCTGCGCCATTGTTGTTGTGGATGAACGAGAGAGAGAGAGAGAGAGAGAGAGAGAGAGAGAGAGAGAGAGAGAGAGAGAGGAAGTGAGTGAGGAAGGAGATGTTCAAATTTGTTGTCCACGTCCGTCAACGGCTTCACGACCTGGCACCCGTGCACGCGACATCCGGTGCCTGGGAAAGACGTCCGGAGTTCATGTGGAACAGAGGGATCACACGAGCAAAGTCCACGCAGATCAGGCCGTCGACTCGAAAAGGTCAAACCTCCGTCGGTTTGCAAACAAACTACTATTGTTCCGTGGAAACGTAAGCCACGCCGAATCGGAATCAGATAGTGGAACCTGTTAGCCGCAAGGCCGGTTGCAGGAGTAACAGCTGTCGGTCCAATTCAAACAACCGTGCCCGGTTTCGCTTCCATTTGCAGTGCACCTGTCTTCAGCACCCGCCCGTCTTTTGACTCATCCGTCGTGTTCACTTCACGGACGTCGCCGTCCGTACCGGGCAGTGCGTCACTCAAAGACGAGGTATTCACACAGGTGTACGGTGACGTGGAATAAGTTAGAAGGACGGAGGTGACTCATGGCGCCGTGCGAAAGAGCGCATCCTTGACGAGCCATAAATCGTCGTCTGCGTCTCACCCTCTAATTTACAACAAAGAAACGGGCGATGCGGACGTCCTTGCTTCTCATTACGAGCTTGGTGTCTGTCGGTGACATGGCAAAAACGACTGGGCCATAAATTTCGACGTTTCGATAAATTTAATGACGATGGGAATGCGCAGAGAGTGGGGGAAACGGAGAGACGGAGGGAATAAAAGGAACGAGATCGGGATGGGTTATCAACGGAAAGAGAAACTGAACGATTTCTGGGGGACAAGTAAGTAAGTTTCAGAATGATTCGGACAACGGGGAAAGCATCCGCTCGTCGACCTCTTCTCAGCCACAGACGTCTCCGTCGTCCGGACTGGATGATCGTGAGCACCGTCTCCTTTGCGATACTCCAAACAGCCCGGTCGAGCAGCCTTCGTCCAACTTTTTCAACAACAATAACAACAATAACAACAACAATAAGATCTCTGAGTTCGACCTCAACACCAGCTGGTTCAATCCGCCACCACTCACCACTTCCCTCATTCAGAATCAGAACACTGCTGCAGTCCAACAGAAGCAAGAGGTATTCTAGTGACCTACGAAGAATATTCTGTAGTGATCAATTTCATTTCAGACTAAGTCGGAAGACTATGCCCTGCTCCAGGAGCTCCTGCGGCTCAACCTCAACACGTCCTCTCCTCCGGCAGTCTCCAACATGTCCACTTCCAATCAGATCTTCTCGTCTGCCTCTCCGTCCACCTCTTCTCCGTGGTCTCTTCCGCCAGATGAGCCACCAATGTACCGTCCGGTGCCAGTTGCTGCTCGCGTCAGTCCTCCACTTTCCCAGAACATGTACTGGAATGCTCCGACCAGCCGTCACAACTCGGACGCCGATTTCCTCCAGGCTCTTAGCAACCAGCTAGCCGCCTGCCAAGTTGCTCCTCCGACGCAGCCATCGGGAGTCGATATGACCTACATCATGCAGCAACAAGCACTCGCAGTCCACCAACAACAGCAGCAGAACAGCCGACAGTGGCCCCCGAAAGCTGCTTATCAGCGGTTTACTCTTATGGCTGCTCTCCAGACCAAAGTGGATGAGGTGACCGATGAGTACCGTCAGTTGGAGAAGGAGAGGAAGCAGACGGAGGCGGAACTGGCTCGCCATAACCTCGGAAAGAAGATCTCTTCTTCGAACGGACTCCCGATTCCGAAACTGCCCACTGCTCCGTCCCGCATCGACCGAATGGTTGTCGACTTTTTCCGGGAGCACGCCAGAATCAGCACTCTTCTCTCGAAGATGGAACAGTTGGCTGGGATGGCAATGCCGATGGCTGCTCACCACACTCTCGCAGGTACTTTTCATTTGCACTGGGGGCTTGAATCAACGTGTTATTGTTCAGAGCTTCTCGAGGCAATCACTCGTCTCTACCACAGTCGTATTCACGAAAGAGGACTCATTCTGCAGCAGTTGAGAGGCGAAGTCATTCATTATGACGAGGAGAAAGGTAAGCATTCACACCGAAAGCCTGAATCAATCATTCGTCAACTTCAGAAGCCGGAGTCCTTGTCGAGATCCTCTGTCTGGTGCAGCACGCGGCAACTCGTGTTCGTGCGGCCAACTGGTACTGTCTGATGACCACTCTCAACCCGTTGGATGCCAACCAGAGAATGCAGATGGATCAGATCGTGGCTTCCGATTACACCATCGCTCCCCCACCGATCAGACCTCGTCCAGTCTGAGCTCCCCTATTCTTACCTCCCCGACGCTTCTTTTTGTCTACTTCTTCTTCTTCATCATTTGCAGCGTAGTAACAACATGCGACCGTTCCCCTCTTCTCCCCTAGTTGGCTGGACCCAATAGAAGCCTTTTCCTTCTCGGCCTAGCCGCATTTCCTTTCCTCTAGACCCATCCCAATCCGACTCATTCCCCCGTTCCTCAGACTGTACATACCGTAGCAGATACCTCTCCGTTCGCCTGCGCACTGATTTTCGTTGTGTTTATTTCAATAGACTGTCTCCCCGAGTTTTTCCTCTCTTTTGCACCCCCTTAGCCGAGTATCGTGTAGTACCCTCCCCTTCCCGTTCATCTACAGCTTCCTAAACTCAATTCATCGCTATTGCCCCTCGGTGTTTGCAGACTCAAGCCAAAATTTCTGAGATTCGGCTTGAGTACGCAAACACGGAGGGGGCAAGAGCGGTAAATTGAGTATACTTCTCATCAATGTATTATTATTATCTTCCCCACTTTAAACTGATGAAAACCATTCGATTTTGTTTTCTGGTTGTCGGAAATCAGTGTGTGCGTGTGTTAAATACAATGAATATATTCCGAACGTCGGACAAAATAAATGCGTTCTGTTCAAAATCAAAACTAGTTTTCCTTACTGTGCCTTGGCGTTTTCTCTTGATTCGTGAGAGCGAATCTGCTAATTAACAAGCTAATAACAAGAGTGAGAACGGAACGAAAAATGAGGGGCTGTGTTGTAATAGGATTGTTGACCCAGATAGTCCGGGAAGCGCCCGCCGATCTGTCCTCTCGCTCAACGTGGATCCTCGCGGCCGGCCACTTCTTCTTTCCCCTCCTCCGTTGAATATATTTCCCTCGTCACTTGGCAACTCTGCCTAGCGATCTCCGATCGCCGAGTTTGCCACGTTCTCGCTCCTTTACAATCATTCTCACTTTTTCTGTCTGCGTCTCTCACTCGCGCGCACCCTCCGCTCGTTCACTGCTCTCTCTGTCTCCTTTTTTTCTTTGTCAACCACAATTTTTCACTTGCTTGGTCGGCGCTTTCAAAGAGAATGACAGCGTTCGGAGAAGCAGTTTTACCGTATCTTTCGGTCACTGCGCTCGCCTCCACTGTAGGTGAGTGTTTTCCTTTCGAGCATTCGAAACTGCGAGTAAGAACCGGACAGCAAAGAAGAGAAGCAGCGCCGTTCAAAAATAGTGTTCCGTTCTCAATTATTTCCGTTTGCAGGATTCTTCCTGTGCGGTCTGCAAATCTGCCATCGAATTCAGACTCGTGGATCCTCCGACGGCACCAGCCCCGCCCCTTTTCTTCTCGGTAATTCCTGTCCTCGTCACTTTTCTCATTTGAACATTGTTCATTTCAGCCTTCCTCTCCTGCTCTCTTTTCATTCAATACGGACTGCTCAAGGACGATGACATCATCACGTTCACAAACGGAATCGGAAGTTTTCTCCAAGGCTGCTACCTTTCTTACTACTACAAAATGACGAGAAACAGGGTGAGATTCAATGCACCGTTCAAAATTACTATATTTCCTTTAATATTTCAGAGGTTCTTGAACAAAGTCATTTTCGCTGAGCTGTGCATAATCGGAATTGTCGTCTTCTGGGTGAAACACTCGACCGCCAATCATCTGACGAAACAGACGTACGTCGGAAACTACTGCATCTTTCTGAATATCTGCAGTGTGGCGGCTCCTCTTTTGGATATCGGAAAGGTATTCCAATGATTGAATCTCGACAAGCTTTTCTCATTTTGAGGTTGTCCGTTCCAAATCCAGCGAATCTCTTCCCTTCCCTTTGTGTGTGGCCTGTTTCCTAGTCTGTCTTCAATGGATGTTCTACGGCTACATTGTCGATGATATTGTCATTCTGGTACGTTTAAACTGATTCATAAAACGAATTTATAGAGTGGACATGCTATTAATACTTGGAGTACTGTAGCCCGTATTTCAGGTACCCAACGCCATCGCCACTGTCATCTCAATCCTGCAATTATCTTTGTTTGTCATTTATCCAAGTGCTCCGAAGGGCGTGTTCCCCGAGAAGTACGAGCACATCTAATTTACGTACCGTATCACTGCGTGTCCTGCACCAACGGGCTTCTCGTGAACTGCTGACTCATCTGCATCTCTCCGCTTCCCGTCGTTCCCATTATAATGCGGCGTAACTGAACTACATTCTATAGTCGATGATCTCTCGGTTCTATTTGTATTTAAACGTGTGCCTTTTTCGAATCGAAAACCAATAAACTCACTTTTTTGTTTCTGTTATCAACAGTTTTCCTTCTTTTCGGTTCCGGAATTCGGAAGAAGTCGTCCGGGTCGGCCATCTTCGCTTGTTTCGGAGTCGCGAACCTTTCCGGTCTGACACTTTCCACGCGGAACGTGGAGTTCGCATTCTGGGCTCCATGAATACTGAAGTCTTGCATGGCTTGCACCGTGTAGTCCGTCTCTGCATTTTCTCTGAAATTCCTTCTCATTCTACTTTCTCCTCATTCCACATACTCCGCTGGTTCCACTTCCATCACTTCTAATTCTTTCTCAATCGCTTGCTGTCTCCTATCTTTTTCTGCAGTTTTCTTTCGACCGTTTTCGCTGCAAACGGTCTCATTCTTTGATTGTTTTTTTTCCCTGAAAACCTACAAGGGGTTCGCACGGTCTCTCCACGATGAATCTGCAATCGGTTGGGTCGTTCTTTCTTCATCCGAAGTTGTCATGAAGTTATTCTTGCTCATTTGGGAATTTGACGACGATTTGCGAGGATATGAGGGGTTCTCCTGAGTCCGTATGAGTCCTCTTCTCGAACGAGATCTCGAGCTGCACTCGATTTCCGCCGTCGTCGTATGGCTCGGTCGGCGACGGCTGGGAGCGGGGGACGGCGATGATTTCGCGGTCTCCGCAGCAAGAAACGTTTCTTTCTGGAAACGAGCATGACAATCCGAAGATTCGCTTCAGCACTCACTATGATTCCTCCATCCAAATCCACCTCATCATTGTTTCCCATTGTGGCGAGTGCCAGTTCGATATCGAAGTTTGAATGCTGCTCGATCGACATGATCAATGGTTTGCCGGGAGTATCGTAGTACAGACACACTTCTGATCCCAGCTGATCGGCGAATGTGACAATCGACTGAACAAACGTACGTTTTCCATTTTAATAAGATGGTCTTACCAGGAATTCTTTGAGCGAAAAAGAGAACTCAATCGGAATGGTCACTTTGTGCCGAACCAACTTTTCCACTCCAATCGTAGTCTCTGTTTTCACTTTCTTTCCTCCTTTCGAGTCGCTCACATTAAACATATGAACTCCGTCGACGGAGTGATAATTTCTGATCGTCACTCCGTTCTCATCCACTTTTATCGTAACTTCGATATCCGTCTTCATTTGAGCGAGAATTGGAAGAATCGTTCTGAAAGACAAACGGAATACACAGAAAAGTATCAAAAAAAGTTACGAAGCAAAAACGACAGTTGTGTTCCTGCAGAGGGAGCGATCGTAGACAGGCTTCTGGAGCACATTGGACGTTTCACGAAGCTTCGCTCGGACAATGCGGTTTACATCTGAAAAACGACTAGCTCCAATAACTCCGAACTGAGATTTTCCCACCGTAGTTCATTTGTAAATTCACATCCATTTTTTCGGCTTTCGGATCAATTCGGAATTCGCAACCAACGAAATTTTTATCGCCGAAGATGACACCTTTGAAAATGCGTTGAGCAGACTAAAAGCACAGTTCTGTTTAGCTCTAAAGCGGTTAGATTCTCTCACTTTCATGGACAGCCTACAGATGTTCGCGGCTTTTTTGTTAATCATCGTCAGGTCACACGAGTTGAAAAACTCTGGGGCAAATCGGAAAACGCAATATTTGAATCGGCTAAACGCTTTGAAAAAGAGCTGAAAACAATTCTGTATTTACATTAAGAATCTCTCTTACTCCATTGTCGGAAACTTCGATGTACACGTCCTCTGAAATCTTGCTCAAAGCGGCAATCGATCTCGCTATAACTGAAATGGGAAATTTAGAGCTTTTAAATCTTTCCGATCGTTTACTTTTCAAATTCGACTGAACAAAGAATTGCGCGCCTTTCATGTCTTCATGCTGTCTAGTTTTCTTGTGACGAGTTGCAGACGACGATGGAAAATCTGCATTAGAATCATGAGTCGCTTGCATTTGAGAATTCTGTAAACAGAAAAAAAGTTGAATGGTGATCTAATCAAAATTCAAACAAGAGCGGCTTCCAAAATCAGTCCGCGTCTGATGGCCGAGAAAAATCGATGTGTGTACTCCTTTTGGACAATCACGCTATTCTTTGTTTTTGTTTCTCTCGAGATCCGCGTATGATTCTCGTGTTTCTCGCAAGAGAACCGGTTACGGGAACATGCGAATCATCGGTGCGTCATATATCGTTTCTCCCTACGTCGACCAGGCACGCCCTCCCCTCTCTCTCTCCTCTCGTGCTCCCTTCTGCATGATACATGTCCATTGGAATCCATCCACCAGTTGCCTGTTTTTTTTGCTTACATCATCTCTAAATAACACTTTGCCCTCTCTCTCTCTCTCAACATTTTCGCTTCATTCTCTCCCAACCCTCCGGCAAGCGAATGAATGTCTCTGGAAACTCTGCCTACTTGTCGTGTCGCAGAAGCTGAGAGTGTAACCGGACCACGAATCGATTGAATCCAATCAGGGCGTCTGCGTCTCTTTCTGATGGAAAGTTTCTCTTTCCCCCACAGCAGTCTGCTGCCATTTTGACCCTTTTCTTTGTTTGTCCCAGGTGCCATGTCCACTCCTTCTGTTTGCTTTTCCAATCGACACCTCCCTCCGTCCACTCATTCAGTTCGATCCGTTTCAGGAATGACGTCGACAATGAGTGCCGTTGTCCTCGTTCTCGTCTCGCTGCTTGCCTCAGGTAATTTTGATGCGAAAATTGCCGATACCCTTTACTGTTTGTGTTTGAAATGCAGAGTGTAGAAAGATTATGATTTGTTTTCGAGTGAAATGAGTCATTCTCAATCCAATTGCTTTCCGTCTGAGCCATGAAGCAAACAAACTAAAGAAGCGAAAGATCATTGTTTAAAAAAGCTAGACGATCGGCGACGCTGCGTAATTGAATACATTAATTCGCATGCAAATCGCTGCTCGTAGAAATAACAGTGATCACTTTCAGTTGTCAGCCGCACGATCCCGTGTTTGGACGGCTGCACCTGCGACCTCTCGGAGCACGATCCCGTGATCCGCTGTGATGGAGTCGGGCTCCAACGCTTCCCGCTGCCGCATTCCTCGCCTCTCCGCGGATTCCACTTCCTGGCTCTCACGTGCAATGAGCTTGACGCGATTCCCGCTATCAGCCTGATTAAAGCGTCTTTCCCAGATCTGCAGGGAATTGATGTGCAGGGGAACACGCGCCTGAACTGTACTGAATTGAACTTCCTGAGCGATGAAATCCCAGTGCTCTCCGACTGCGGCAACGAAGAACCTCTGCAATGCGACAAACTGGATAAGGTATTCGAAAGCCAAACTGTATTGAAATCGCATTTTCTCATTGTAGAACTGCGACTGGAAATGCCGAGCTCTGACCAAACTGAAGGAGATGTGGGCTCAGTTCAAAGATCTAGTGAACAGAAAGGCCAAGGAGTGGCAGGCGGAGGAGACGATCGAGGCGGCGAAGAGCTGGTTCAGTGCCCAGTTCAAGAAGTTCAAGATTGCTATCGGAGAGCTCTCCGACTAGATGCTCCCACTCGAAAAATGTGCCCATATTTCAGTTTTACACTCTTTACAACACCGTTTTCACCCAAATTTTCAAATCGATTCGCATTTTCCTCTCGTATCTCACACCATTTACAGATTACGGTAAAAACCAGAATTTTGACCAAATTTCTAATTGTAAATAAATGTATGAAATACAAGACTTTTGAAACTTGGGCCCTCTGTGCGGGCCGAGCTAACGCTCGGAAGCGGCTTCGTCGCTTTTTTTGATTCTCATAACCGTTCGAAAGTTCACGTATACATTTCTCGGTTTCTCCGTCACAACTTTCTCCGTTTTAGAAATGAAAAAGTGTCCGGACATACGGAGAAAGAAAGAAAGTTACGAACAGACCCCATAAGCTTTTTATTAAATTAGAATGATGATGATACGAACTCTTCTCTATATTTCTAAAGCAAAAACTTTATCAGAAGAAATCAGTCCAACAAATCGAAGAGGTGCTTCAGTTCGTTCAAATTCTCCGGAGTGTAGTCGCGGCAACGGAGAAGTTCCCCGAGATCCTCCTTCTCGATTTCCTTGTCGCTCTTCTGCAAATCCCACTTTCTCTCCCATTTTTTTATCCGTTCCCCCACTCACTTTGCTCTTTTTGTCGTCGTCCTTCTCCGCCAATTCCTTCGATTTATTCGACGGCGGATTCGCTTTGTTGCCCGCTTCCTCCAGTCCTTCCTTCGGCGGCAACGTCACCATCGGAGGCACCGAAGTGACCGGAGTCAACGGAGTCTGCGTCGTCGGCGTCATAGCAGAGCCAGTCGTCAACGTCTTCGTCCGCTTCCGATGGTTCTTCGACTTGCTCTTCGACTTGCTCTTCGAGTTCTTCTTCTTCTTTTTGTTCTTGTTGTTTCTCTTGCAACATACGGGCAGTGCGAACAGGATCAAGGTTCCGAAGTAGACAATGAGACTTGTTATGAAATACTCTGAAAGGGAACGAGTTCTCCGGAAGCAGCAAGGATTCTATAGCCTACCCAGCATATTCCTCGAACCTGTTTGATGAAAAGTAATGAGAAATCGACGATCAAATGGAATGGAATAATTCACGTTCACAATGATATCAGTCAGGCAGTACGACTGTGAATGGTCACGTGAGAAGATTATTTTTTTGGAAAAGATTCCCTACATATATGAGTAGGGACCGTCACCATCTCCTGCTCATTCGCCTCAAAAACAGTACTGTCCGCCCTTTTTTACTGATGTTTGCCCTGTTCTGCAGCTCACGCCGTCGCCCATCTTATCATCATTTTCCTCCTCTTTTATCGTCGAATTAATCTTTTTCGTTTGCCAATCTAATCACATTTGTGTGCCATTTGTCTCGTTTCGTTTCCCTTTCTCTGCCGAAAATGCGGCAGTTTACGGCACTCTTTGTCATTTTTATTTTGGCGATTTCGGTGGAATCCAGTAGAAGAAGTCGGCTATTTCGGGTGAGCAACTTGCAGATTTGAATTTTTGTACGGGTTTCTGCGCTTTAGAAATTGTTCCAAAAGCCTGTGAACTATGATGAAGCTCCGACGAACGTGAAAACGGAATGGTACAAAAATATGAGATTGGATCACTTTACATGGGGAGACACGCGAGTATTCGACATGAGGTGAGCACTCGGAAGAGCCGAAAGAGAAAGAGCATGCGAATAATTGAAGAGTGATGTATAATGACACTTTCTACAAACCGGGCGGTCCGATCTTCTTCTACACCGGAAACGAAGGAGGTCTCGAATCGTTCGTGACGGCCACTGGAATCATGTTCGACCTCGCTCCACAGTTCAACGCGTTCATCATCTTTGCTGAGCACAGATTCTACGGAAAAACTCAGCCATTCGGAAACAACTCTTACGCGAATCTGGCCAATGTGGGCTACTTGACCAGTGAGCAGGCACTGGCCGACTATGCGGAATTGCTCACCGAACTTAAAAAGGACAACAATCAGTTCGGATTGACGTTCGCGCAGAGCACGAGAGTCATTTCATTCGGAGGATCGTACGGTGGAATGCTCTCCGCGTGGTTTCGACAGAAATATCCCCATCTCGTTCAAGGGTTGGGACACTTGAAATTATGACCGAATAATTTAAAAGTAGAAGAGTTCAGAGCGTGGGCGGGATCAGCCCCACTCATCTACATGCACGGAGGTGGTGTCGATCCAGGAGCATTCGACAATATCACTACGCGAACTTATCTGGACAACGGATGCAATCGGTACATCCTCGCGAACGCCTGGAATGCCGTTCTGAACCTTTCCAGCACTGGTAAATGAACCATCCGCCGCTTTTCTTGTTCACATTCGTTTTGAGACGACGGAAGATCTTGGCTCAACAACAACACCGTCTTCAAGCTGGATCCGAGGACTCCGATCCGGAACACGACGGACGGCTGGAATCTGAATGCGTTCTTGAGGGAAGCGATCGAGTACATGGCAATGGTCGATTATCCCTATCCAACGGGGTTTCTGGAGCCCCTTCCGGCGTGGCCAGTTGCGGTAAGCGAGAAGACGAGAGAAGGGAGTTACGTGGCAGTTTCAGGTTGCCTGTGGATTCATGAACGCGACGGGGACCTCTTTCAGTGATCAGGACTTGGTCAGTATGGTGGCCAGAGCGTCGAACGTCTATTACAATTACAACAATGTGGGTCCTTCGATCGGACTTTTAGGATCTTCCATTTCAGGTGGAAAACTTCACGTACTGCATTGATTATTCGGTGTGCGGAGATCAGGGAACGGGCGGTCTCGGGGACGATCAACTCGGTTGGCCGTGGCAAGAATGCTCCGAGATCATCATGGCGATGTGCGCGAAAGGAGGGGACAACGACATCTTCTGGCCGGAATGCATGGATGACATCTACAAAACTTTCGAGGAAACCTGCTATGCCACCTTCGGAACGTACGAGTGCACAGCTCTTTGTTTCCGGTCCTAAATCTCTCTTTCAGCATGGGATGGAACATTTCCAACTGGAACATCGACGCCGTCAAAACTCTTTATGGCTACGATCTCTCTGGATCCAGCAATCTGATTCTCACGTCAGTTCAATCGAATGTACTTCTAAGACCTGCTCGTTTTCAGTCAAGGTCACCTCGATCCATGGTCCGGAGGAGGCTATAAATCGGACCAAAACAACGCGGCACGTGGCATTTACGTGCTCGAGATTCCCGGCTCCGCCCATCATCTGGATCTCCGTCAACCGAACACTTGCGACCCGAATACAGTGACGAATGCTCGCTTCCAGGTCAGTGTCATTTTTCTCATACACATCACAGCTCCACTTTCAGATCATTGACATTCTGACGTGCTGGGTGGATCCCAACTGCAATACGATTCCCGTTCTTCGAGATCTCCCGTCCATCAGCATTCCGATCGGAGAATGCAAAGATGTCGTCGGAGGATATCCTTGGGGACAAACCAGGGACAATTCTGCAGCTAATTTATCCTTCTTTATTGTTATCGCATCCCTTTTCTATGTTCTCTTTTAAAATGTGTCTGCGAAGCAATGCGTCAGGCAAGAACTAGAAAGTTTTCATTGTATTTCTAGAAAATAAACAAGGGACAGACAGATAATAATAGTCTATTTCTGAAAAAAGAAAGCAACAGGTCTCAACTATTACAGACTAATTTGGTCCGTTTACTGCTTGAAATACTGTGCCTCGACGCGCTTCGTGAACTCAATCAAATTCGAGTACTTTTTCAGAATGTTCGTGATATTGGTCAGTGGAAGACGGACGGTGATCAGAGTGTACATGTGTCCGAAGAGAAGAGCGTCGGCTTCCGTCGGAAGGTCGCCCGTCAGGAACTTCTGCGCACCGAGCTGAGCGGAAAGCGCGCGGAACACTTTGTCCGCTTGCTCGCCGACCTCGTCCATAGTCTTCGATTCCCAATCTTTGTCGGCCAGCTCCTCGATCACTCTGCGACGTTTCAAGAACGGCAAAACGGAGGAAAGTGGCCAATGATAGACACTGCCGTATCTCAGCTTCGTCACTTTATCGTACGTTTCGTCGTGTTTCCACAGGACGAACATCTGCAATACTCGAATTTGAAGATTACGGTAACGAAGGGGTTCACTTCGACAGTGGTGAGCAAGTGCTTTATCATGGAAACGTTGGCTCGCATGTCGGCGACCTGCGTCTCGCTGAGGTGCGAAGTCAGCGTCACTCCCTTCTTGTTCACAAAGTCGACGATGGCGTTGAAGCCAGTGATGAGCGTCTTGTTGATTTTCAAAAGTGGAACGACGCCTGCAAGCTGTCAGCAGTTAGGATTTCTCCTGAAGAATCATAATGTACCATCGGGTGAGATGAAATCGACGTTCGGTCTCTGGCGGACGTTGAACGGAAGAGACGTCATACGAAGGAAGGTCTGGACGGCAAGGCAGTCGGCGAAGTCGTACATGAGAGCCTGGTCGTCTGGAAATGCACATAAATAAAGCATCTGCTCAAAGCTCTCGAGCTCACTGAGATACGGAGTGAAGAGGGAAACGTCCTCCCAATCCTGAGCAGCATTCATCGAGAGCGCATCCGTCACCAATTGGGTTATTACTCCAGTACTGCTCATGGCTGGAAGAATTATTATAATCATAAACCTTTCGGGGACAGTTTGTGAGGAATGTATAGAAATGGTGTCAGCACCATTTGAAATAACATGGAAAGTAATGCGAAACGCGGATATTCATGAGAAAATGAAACAATAGAAGGTAACAACATATGAAAACAATAGGGAAGACAACAATAAAAACAAGAGTTTAACAAGATTATCAGGACGCTTCGGCCTTCTTCTTGAGCCACGGTTTCTCTCCGCGCACAGTCGGCCGACTTTTCCGTTTCGCTTCGAATCCAGAGCGTTTCGAATTCGCTTGACCGCCGTTCCGTTCTTGACCGGACACCGCCGCTTTCAAACTCTCCAGCGCTTTCGAATATCTGAAGAACCACTTTTTCAGCAAAATTTTCTGGTGAGTGCTGATAAATACCTGTTCATATCTTTTTCAAACAGATATTCCTCCATTTGTTCTTCAACCGTGTCTCCCCACAAATTTGTGACTTTGAGCATTTTGATGAACAGTCGCTTCTGAAATTTCAATTTTGTCACAACGTGAACTTAATCTGCACTCACCGATTCTTTGTCTCCAACACTGATCAAGTTTCCATCTTGTCCTGCTCTTCCAGTTCTTCCCGCCCTGTGCACGAACAGCTTGTCGTCAGCCGGCAAGTTGTAATTGATCACACAGTCCACGCGGTTCAGATCGGTTCCTCGGGCTAACACATCCGAACAAATAAGCACTCGGTTCGGGTTTTTGTTGAATTTGTCCAGCATTTTGTAGCGTCGCTTTCCGAACAATTGAGCTGTGAAATAATCCACTTCGAACTCTCCTTTGCACAATTCTTTCAGCACATGCGCCAATCGATTCGACGAAGCAACCTCGTTAACGAAAATGAGTGTTCGATTGAACTTGTTGCGGGAGATTTGTTGATAAACGGCAAGAGGATGGAATTTAGCATCGGAAACGACGAGACGATGGGAAATGGAGGAGGGAAGTGCGAGACGGCCGGAGACGTGATCTACTTGAGCAATTCCAGATGAAATCTGAATGAACATATTGAAAATTCAGAAAGTGAACCAAGCAGCCACATACATCCTTAGCTTTCGTGGCAGTTGCGGAGAAGAGACGTGGCTTGAAGAGGTTCCACAGATGCAGTTCCTCGACATCTTTTGAAAGTGTCGCTGAGAGAACAATCTTCTGTGGGGCTTTTCTTTGCCGGATAATATCATTCAAACAGGCGACTCTCTCCATTCCTCCGCACAGGAACTCAACGAGATCCAGCCACTCTTCCCTCATCAGTTTGCCCATTCGATCTGCTTCATCGACGATCAAAAACCGAAGTCTAGTCAAATCAATGGGCGGCGGGATCGCAGCAGTCAAATGCTGAACGAGTCTTGCCGGAGTCGCCACTATCACATTCGGCGGATCGGAAGCCAATAGCCTTGCTTCCTTCTCGAAGTCGTTTGCTCCGCTGAGGCTGACCACCTTCGCAACGCTCGCTTCTCCGTTCCATCGGCGGAATTCTTCAACGATTTGAGTAACGAGTGTTTGCACGGGGACCAGGATCACCGCGTGCAGTACCTTTGACGGTTTGACTCCAACTGCGGCGAGTACCGGAAGAACGTAGCAGATTGTCTTTCCACTTCCTGTTGGTGCAGCAATTGCAACATCCCGAGGGCGCAGAGCTGGCGGAGAGCGAATTTCAGAGAAGAGAATGGGCAAAACGGAGTACTGAACCGGAAACCACGTAGAAATGGCCGAAGGGACTGTTAGATGGTCGGGCAGCACAATTTTCGACAGTTTCCGGGAAGTGAAGCTGTCAATCGTCGCTGAGAATGTGGTCGCGTTTTGAACCCACGAACTCGTCACTCTGAAAACAGCCCAATGAAGTAGAACTGCTCTGAATCAAACTCACTTTAAAGCTTCCAAATTTTTCATTTCTTGATTGCCTAGCACTTTGAACAGATTCGCCTCCCAATTTACAGTTGAATTTTTCGTCTCTTTCTCTTCGACAACTTTTTCTGTCTCCATATCTGCGTTTTCTTCGTCAATTATCTGAAAGAGATGGGATTGGACAAGCTCAAGCTTCGATAACGTACATTTCCGTCGACATGATCTATCCAATTTTCCGTTTCTTCAATTTCATAATTTTCAGCTTCCTTGCTCTTTTTCTTCATATCTGCAAATGCACATTTGTTTTAGAGAGAATAAAAAACTTTAGTTTAAAGTCAGCGGAATTTACGATAAACAGCGAGCGGATGCGTTATTCCGGCGCTTCGTTGCACTCTGCGTCTCTCGCAAACGCACACTCTCTTCCAGTCGATTGAATCGACCGACTTGGAAAATCGAGGCACAGGTGAACTGCGATTGATCTATCGGGTGTACTCGATTAATCAATCGCGAGCCAATTATCCGTAAATATTGGTCAATCATACGTCAATCGCGAGCCAGATCACTAACAATTGATAAACCAGGGAGCGGCCATGTACAATTCATCAATTCACAGGTGAAATGCGGTTTAGCAATTATACAATTGCGCTAATTCTAGACAAATTCTCGGCAAATCTAAACAAAAATTCCTAAATATTTGTTCGACGCTTGGAGAGTCTTCCCGTTTGTGCGGACTGTCTGATTGTGTGGGTGCGCTCAAAACAACGAATTATGTGACTACACAAAAGTTTGTTATCATTGAAAATGAGAACGTTCTCGCGGAAAGAGGATTAGATGGTCGCTAGCCAGGAATCCTCATAATCGATTTCAATGGACAGCTCTACATTCTGATTGGTATATTTCAATAAAAAATGGCAACGTTTTGGTAGCAGCGAAGAGTGATGGCGGTGAAATTCCCAATCCAGCAAAGCGGTATTATGGAATTTACGAGTCGTGCAACTCCACTTCTTCACCTGATCCTTGAACATGATCTTATAAATTATTTAATTAGCTAGATCTTGTATAGAAATCTGAAAAATATTGATTGAAAAGTTTGGCGTGACGTGGCACCGCCCACATGACCTATATGGAAAAGTTGTCAACAGACAAAATGTTCCCCTGGTTGTCACATATCTGTCCATATTTTTTAATAATTTTAGCAATAACGGGTCACAAGATACGGGGCGAGATAGATGACTACAGCGGTTTTCAACTGGTCCCAAATAAACCAGCATGCACTGGTTTCAAGCGAAACCACAGCCAAGGGAACGGGCTTGGCAAAAATAGCGGGGAAAGAAGACCCTGTTGAGCTTGACTCTAGTTTGACATTGTGAAGAGTCATGAGAGGTGTAGCATAGGTGGGAGACCTCGGTCGCCAGTGAAATACCACCACTTTCATCGACTCTTTACTTATTCGGTT